ACTATTCGCAAGATTAGGGAAGCTCAACAACCACTACAGCGCCCAATCACCAAGCGCCAGGTTAAAACGCCGCTTAGCAAAACAGGGGTGCTCTCTATTAGAGATGCAAATCGTTCTATTGCTAAAAGAAACGAGAAGGAAGCAGAGGCAGAGCGGAAGCGGGTGAGGAAGCAGTGGAAGAAAGCGTATGGAACATCACCACCACCAGATCCTACACAGGAATCCCAGGCATCGTTAGATAGAGCAGAGGAAGCACGTCATAACGGGCAGGGTTTCTATATAGATACTAGTGGGATACGTTGATCAATAGGGTATGTAGGAAAAAAATGGCAGTCTCATGTGGTTTGGCAGTCTGACGTGGCGCACCCACAACCCGGAAGGGTTGGGGGGGGCGGTGTAAGGCACTAATAGTGGCCATCTACCTGTGCGGAGTACGGAGTACATCTCCCTACATGGCAGCGCTCCTCGGATGCACCTTCGTATCCCACCAAACATTGACTTCGGAGCCCTCAACTAGCACCCCTAGATCGACGGCTGCATTGCCGGTTGGATCGGCAAAGAAAGGGCTCATTCGGGTTTCTTGTATACATAATTTCCACGCCTCTGCGATCTCATAGGCCGCCCCTCTTCCCCTGCCTGGTGTTTCCCATCTTAAGCTGTCATGCTCACGTAGATGCGGGTCAGGCTATGCATGACCTCTGAAACGGACCATCCCAACCAGCGGTCAGGCTCGAAGGGTTCACTGGGCTATCCGTCGATTCATATCTTTATGGCTGCATAGTCAACCCGGGCTAGGTCCCACGCAGAACTGGACGGTACACTAGTATGTACTGTACTGACTCTGTCGAGAGAAGGGCCCTGGTCTTTCAACACCCGCGATGTATCTGCCGTACTGCCGTACTAAGAAATATCTCCTTGATTCCTCCGAATAGCAGCCGAGCCAGTCCACTCCATCCCACAAGACAACAAGCCGGGCCTTGTGTGACGTTGAGGGACGGTCCGAGAAATGAAACGAAGTTGTACCAATGCATGAAGAGAACGCGAAGCATGAGGGACAGAGGAGGGTGTCATAGAAGCTTCACGCAATTCGACACTCGTAGTGTGTCAGTGTGCCTCACAACATACCCTTTTAGGTCATTGGTCTGCTCATTTTCTCGGGTACTCAAGCAATGCGTCCGAGAATCGCCTGCGAATGGTTGGTTGTCGGACTACATCTTGACCAGCAACTAAGTTGAGCCAGGTAGAGAGTGGACAACCAAAGTATCGCCTATGGTCAACAGTTCGCCATGACGCCATTCTATCTATCTACTTTTTTTTTTCTTTTTTTCCCGGTATCGCCGTTGTTAAATCGAAAAAATGAGGTCGTCAAGAAAGAATTTAGTGTGATTGGGGGGATGCCAGCCATGCGGGTCAAGTGTAGTTCATCTATTTCCATCCAACTCGATAGATCACCTGCAGTTGAGGCCGGCGGGGCCGAATTCTTTGAAAACTGCAATGCGATCGTTTAGGACGGTTCGTGGCGAGTGCCTGAGGGTATTGGCAGCGGAGCTATTGACGTTGGCTGTCATGGCCCTGCAGAGACCCGGTCAGACGTGCAGCGAGAATAAGAAGCAAAAATTCGAGCAAAACCCAGCAAAGCGAGAAAAAAAAAACAGGAAATGAAAATTAAAAACCTGAAAATAGAGGAAGGCACGAGGTTCGTAGGCAAGTCGAGAAGAGGACTAAATGTAAACTCTTGGCTGAAAGGTTGATGCGAGCCATGTTGCAAAACATGTTTGGCTGTGCTGGTGGCCTAGTGGTTAGGATTGTTCCTCCACAAACATGTTCGATGTAAAAAGCATGGCGGGGTTCGATTCCCCCCAGCGCTTTTTTTTTATTTCCATGAGTACTAGATATTCCTACTTTTTTTTTTTTTCTGGATGGAAAAATACTTGAGAATAGTCTCAAAAACAGGATTCAGTAGAATATGCCTAAACCACGAACTCATAGCGTTTGATCGATCTACAATCCACTTTTATTCGATCTAGTATAGCGCCATAGATACTCGACTTATCTTTGTTGTTCTAAGCTTAGATAAACGTTCTTGATTCTGTCACATACAGGAGACTATTTCTACAGCCCCTGCTACATGTCCACGATGAGAGCCACTATCTGTGCGCCTGATCCCCCGATGCTAGTTGCCTTTCAATCTGTTGGGCGGGAGATCTATCCGTCCATTGAATTGTCCCAATCAGGGTCTCCACTCCAGCATATCCCGAAGTGAACATGCAGGCTGCAGGATCACTGCCAGCAGCATGAAGATCACCGAGGCGGTGGGGGAGGGGGGAATATGAGCCTTTTTCTCTTACGATGTCTCAGGACCCAAGTCCTAAAAACCGCAATCCTACAAGTTTAGAACCTAGAACCGAGCCTCAAATACCTCGTCATACTCCAGTAAGCCCTACAGTACCCTGATCACCTTGGTACCTGTCGCCAAGTTCACATCTGGGGGATCCCCCGGCTCCATTAGCGCTAGCCGTGTGGGGTAGTTCTCCGTGCTCAACTATTCATCGGGCGAATCTTATACTCTCCTCCCTCTTATCCCCCCCAAATTTACAAGCTGTAAGTGAGCCCGGGAGATTTCGGTTAGATGAATCAACTGCTTTTATTGCCTGCATACGGGGTTTTTGGCGGGAGGGAGCTGCTACACTGGCAGCGTTCCGGGTCGGCACGGCCCGAGGGTAATAAATAACAGAGAAAAAAAGAAAATAAAAAGATCAAAAATCAGAATATTGGAACATGAATTGTGAACGGCACTGCAGCTGTCACCTGTAATGAAGTAAACTAGACAACCTGCAGCCGCGCAGTGCCACATCTCTACGGAGGTCACTCGATTCTCCTGGGCTCCCCCCTCCCCAAGCCAGTGCGGAGCATGTAATACCGCTTATCTCAAACGGTATGCTGTACAGCGTACACGCTCCGAGGCATGGACAGTGGAACCTAGGTAGGAGGCGGAAGCTCCTCTATCGAACGTGCTTGGCGACCAAGGAACTGCTCTTCCCCCCGCTGTCACACCTCCAATCTGCGTGCTGGGACCACTCTTTTCCGGCGATCAACCACATGCTTTCCCTTCAGCGCAGAAATGCATTGTATAGCCATACTTGTAGTCATAGCCATACATCGTCCTGTACTCCTCCCTAAGCCATCTGATACCGCCGGGCACCCCAAACGACGCTACTGTCAGCCTCACTTTCCTAGACAAGGGGCACCGCTAACCCTGCAGTCGAGCCTGCGTCATCGTTGGACGTGTAGATCTACCTGACAGATTTGACAGATTTGACAGCTTGACATATTGACACATCCGAAAATCTCAAAGCCATTGCAGCCGAGATCGTAGTGTTTTTCGGCTCTGAGTTTTTTTTGATTCGTGCGCGGTTGCATCTTTGCTTTTTTTTTCTTCCTCCTGGCTTTTTTTTTCTTATTTTTCTTCACTTGCTCCCGTATCCCACCACGAGGGCCATGATGCATGGCTTAAGCCGTACACAGACTGCGGCGCGATGGATGAGCTCAAATCTGGGACTATCGGGGGTTCCATAGATTGTCTTGGTCTTGGCGGTGATCTGTTGCACGGGGGAAAGCGGGGAGGAGGAGGGGGGAAAGTGGTTCGATACGCAGTGTATAGTATTTCTCAGGATTAAAATAATCGTTACTATTCAGGAGCAATTGATATGTCTTTGGAAAGTCGATCAACATTGACAGAAGTCCTCCTTTCCTCCCTCTCTCTCTGGCTCTCTATTGTTTTCTTTCGCCTCGATCACTCCCGAAATCCTAGGTTGGTGGGGTTTTGGGTGGCGCAAAAATCAACCGGAATAATGATGCATGTGCAACGGGGGAAATCGGTGGACTGAAGTCATGGCCGCCAAGGGAGGACCGCGTCATCGGTGAGAGGACGGCTGCACGGCTTGCCGGGTTTGATGGGGGGAGGGGGATGGGAAGTCGTACATGGTAAAGGGAAAGCCTGGATGACGCACGAGACAGGTCCCGGTGCTCTATCTTCATGCGTAAGTCGCGCAGGAGGAAAAGCCCAACAGCCGGGACAAAAGGGATTGGGGGAGCGATGGGACTGGGGGCAGACTACACGGGGCGAGCGGGCCGGTCCATGATGTAAATAGGGCATGGAAGGGGGGGGGCGCGCCAAATAGGGCTTGGGGAATGGAGATCCAGCCGAAGCTTAGTGAACATGACAGCATGGTTCGAGGATTCAAAGAGTTTGATAGTGTTATAATAGTGCGATAGTGCGATCCTTTATCTACTCAGCGAATAGGCAAAAAGAAACTCTCATAGATCATCGCACCGGGGGAATATCGGTTTCAGGCCATGGGGGCCGAGCAAGCGCAAGTGCGAAGAGAGCCTACCACAAAAGAAACAACCTATGATACAACTCCAACCCCGCCACTTTGACAGCTAACACAATACATCAAAAAAATAATAAAAGAGCAGAAAAAAAAGCAAACAGTTCATCCTGGAGCAGGCAAGAAAAGGCGAAAAAAAGAGACCGCAGTGCCGGATGAAACCCCAGAACTGCCCCTAAAGCTGAATGAAAAACGCACGAGGGATGTACCAATGCCTCTTAGATTCTAAGAGGCCAGATTCAGCTAAACGATCCCCCGGTCAGAAAGACAAGGTAGAAAAGAAATAGTAAAAATAAAAATTGGCCATGCCAGCGATAGCAAAACAAAAGGGTTTTTTTTTAAAAAAAAACAAAAACAAAAAGTAGAAGAAAGCATCCGCAGAAAAAAACCAAAAAAAGATACCCATTAATGCACGTCAGCCAACAGCCCGAACCTTCCACCTCAAATCATCAAGTTCTAATGCACTTCCCTATTCGCGCCCCCCCCCCCCCCCCTTTTTTTATTTTTTTTTTTTTTTCAATGGCTCTGGGTTCTGGATTTCCCCGCCTTTGCCCTCAACCCTTACCCCCCCCCCCTCCCTCTCTCTCTGTCTCTCGCCTCTCTGCATACCTACACCCCAAGATGACCAGGTAGATCAGATGGGCTATCCGGGCTGGGCATCATCGAGTTATGATTGGCCCACCAGTTTAGCGATCCCATGTCTAATGCAGCATAGCCGGGCCCCGACTGTGCAGTATCGCAGAACACGGAATTGTGGCCAGGTGGGGGGCTAGTGCAGCTGATGACTCGGCTCATGTCGAACGTGGAAGGCACCGGGGGACTGCGAGGCACAGGGTAGCCATCCTGAATGGCCGGCCCGTCATAGGTCACCACGGGCATGTAGACGGGGCCCCTAGGAAGATAGCCCGGGTGCATGGCGCGTGAATGAGAATAGGCAGTGCTGCTGCTACTGCTGCTGCTGCTCTCCCACAGCTGCGAGGAGGAACCGCCGTGCTGGGATTGATGTAACATCAGTGGAGGGCAGTACCGCTCCCTTTGATGTTTTCTCTGTTGCTTCCCGTCGGTGATCAGAATGCGTTGCTTGGGAGATGACCGTTTGGGCTTGTCACCTTCCCTGGGCCCTGATCGCGGGCGACGAGTATTGGAAAGCTCCATGGTACTGGCCTTCTTGCGATATCGGGTTGTGGACTGAACGCCGCCATGTTCAATGGCTTCTTGAGTCAGACGCCAGTAGTTGATGGGTCTTCTTCCCGCGGCCTCGCTCTTGACGGCCTCAAATCCCTAAGAGAGAGAGAAAAAAGAAAATCGATGATCAGTGAACCTGATGATTTACATTCAAAAACAAGGATTGCAGAGGAAAGGATGGAGTGGCGATGGCTGTCCAGAATTCAGACAGAGGAGAAAAAGAAAGAAAAGAAAAAGAAAAGAAAAGACAGACTGGGGAGGAGGAGAGAAGGGGAGAAGACATACTGCATTCATTGACAGGTTATGGCGGATGCTGTTTTGCCAGCCCTTGGAGCTTTCGTCCCTGCCTTTGGCAGTGTTCTCTTCAAACCATTTGTAGATATCTTGCAACGGGAGCATATAGTTCTTTGCAGAGTGCAAGGCTTCCCAAATGAGTCGGGAGTATGGCGGGTCTCCATGTTGCTCCTGATCACTCGAGTCACTCATGCTGAGGCGTGGAGAGGTGGTGCCAACACCCAGGGGGGGCTGAGGGAGTCATGCTGGCTGGTGATGAGGCAGAGGATTGCTGTGAAGAGGTGGAAAGGGGGGATGATGGAGGAGTGGTGTGCAAGTGGCTCGAACCGCTGGAAGGGTCCAGGTGCACAGGAGGAGGATCGCAGGTGTCTCTTAAAAGAACGGCCGGCGCTGTTTGCCCGTCGATTAGATCATCGGATGCGCGTCTCGGCGCTTGTGGGGACAATTGGGACATGCTGGCCGGCGAGGCGATCATGGAGGTGCTGGCAGCAGCGGCAGCAGCAGCAGAGGAGGAGGAGAGATACGTCGGGTCAGGCACCGGTCGAGGCTGTGGCCGGAGCTCGTATGGACCCGGCACGGTGGCGCCCCACGAGTCCCCATTATACCCGGGATGGTAAAGGGACATGATGGGCGCTGGCGCCAGGTTAGATCGGAATGTCGCCCAGTTGTCGATGGGGGAGCAGGGGTGGTAAGCGTATGGGGGGAAGTTCGCCTGATGAAGGCGAACTGCTCCGAATGCCCCCGTTTGTACCGAAAATCGGTGCTCGTGCTCCCGGTCAGTTGGCATCTGAGCCAGGAACTGGTAAACTGAAAACGAGTGATCCATGGTCCTGGCGAGGATGGATGGGAGAATGGGGAATCCAAGTAACAACACCGGTGAACCGCTGGACTTCGGCGTGCAATAAGATCCCGATTTGGAAATTGGGCTCAGGTGAGAAGCTTAAACCCATGCACTGAGCAATGGAGCTGAAACACAGAGGAGAAGTCAAGGGTAGGGGGAAAGCATAGAAATCACAGAGAAAAGGGGACCAGCCACTGTAGAAGTAACCGGGGTGCATCTGACGGTGAAGCGTCATCCCCAGGACTGTCAGAATCCCCAAATTGGAGCTGTATATTGCGAGTAAGTCTCCCAGGACTGGTTTGACGGCCAGCACATCCGGCACATGCTCTGCTGCAAACCGCTAGAGGATGTCCTGCAGAGCAAACAAAAGCCGGCGTAGTTTACTTTCTTTCTTTCTTTCTTTTTTTTTCACCTTTTCGTTTCTGTTCTTTTCTTTTCTTTTTATGGTGGTATAACGAGGTACGTCGGAACGAGGCGAGTGGGGAAGTTCACGAAGGATGGGATCTGTCTGGACGAGACGGGGGTCAAAGAAGAGTCAAATGCAGAAAAAAAGAGGGGGGAGGCAACGAACTCGTTGAGACGAGCATATCATGAGGGCTACAGAGCTGGCTAGTGCTATTGCTACGAGGAATGGGCTTGTTCTCAGATGCTCAGGCTGTGGAACAGCCCTTCATAGTACAGACAATGGCCAATGATCGCACCAGTGGCCCAGGCGGCTCAATCTGGTGCTACACTCGATGTTCAAGCGAGTCCAGAAGGCCGACGGCGCTGGAGCAGGGGCAAAAATTACGAATCACGAATGGCACGAATACTACGAAAAGAGCAGGAGGATGGTTGGCAGGAGGCGGCCACCTGCAGCACGCACCATCCATTGGGATCTTTTCGATTGTCCAGCCAAGGGTCTGGCCGAGGGAGAATCCTCTGGAATGCGAGCGAGGAAGTGCAGTCAACTGCCGAACGCACCACAATCCAAAGCTGAGGAGGAAGAAAAAAAAAAAAAAAAGAAGAAGAAGAAAAGAGAAAGAATGGATGGGCAAAAGCACGATGGAATTGCTGTCCTGTCTGGTAACGGGCAGTGTGAACCTTTTTGGCCGGGGCTGCCTCTAGCCAGCCGGAAGGCATGAATCTAGGCTGCAGTCGCAAGGCCTGCATGGTGTCACTACAGCCGACTTCAACGTCCGCCGTTCCGTAAAGGAACAGAAAAAAAAGGGAAAAAAGGAGAAAAACAAAATAAAGATAAAGCCTGGTCCCCGTCACAAGGCATATGGGCGGGAGGGAAAGAGGGAAAGTATTGGTTGGGGAACCCGGCGTGTATTGATGGACGTATCGATCGTAGCGAATTCCACGGCAGACCTCGGTTTTTCATTCCTCGTTCCTCATCCCTCCATACGGTCGGACTCTATAGATCCGAGTGCAGGAGGTGCAGGAGGTGTCGGATGGCGATGTCAGAGCACAGGCAAGTTATTGGAAGCATCGATCGGTCGAGGAGTCAAATTAAGCATTTGACCTGGCACTTTGACACCCACACGTGGACAACGCAGAGAGTTCGTGGGTAAGGTGAAATCCATAAGGGGGGAGATTACGGGTTAATGTTTCCAGTCCAATCAATTATGGTGGCGGTTGATTCACAGGGTATCAGCACACTGGAGAATACACCCCGACTCTTCAACCTGCATATGCCTGCCGAATCTCCTTTCGTCATCCTGATATAATGCCCATGTGGAAATGGCTGGTCGCGCATGTGTTACTTCCGGTAATAGATCTGAGACAACAGGTCAGTGATGTTCTTGGAGAAATTTGCCGGTGACAGCTGCTTGAAATTGCCAGTTGGGGCAACTAGTAGCTGAAGGTATCCGCAACTTACCCGCTTGAACTGGAAGTGGAGCTGGAGAATGCCCTGTACAACCCCCGCGAAAAAGCAAGTCAGTAAACCATCGAACTTAACGAAACAACAAGAATAAAAACAATGATAACAAGGCATATGATAAGAGTGAGGGAAAGAGTAACCGAAAGACAGGTGAGGGCCGCAAGCCCCGAAATTTCTGGGATGCACTGGAGAATCAATCGCCTTACCTTGTCAAATGTACTTTTAAATCCGCGATCGCGCTTAGCACTATAATCCCATTCTCTGTCCACAATGCGAAACGCAATATCTTCATATGGAGCCCCGGAAATGAACCGTATCAGGCAAGTATCCTCCTCGCCAGCCTCGGCAAAAGACTGGCCGCGCTTGCGACCATGTTCTCGCTCAATACGATATGTTGGGGCCTTGGTCTTGTCAATCAAGTCGGGATAAAAAATATTGAACTTATACCCTTGCACCACCTTCGGGGGGGGGATTGTCGTGATCGTAGTGGGTTTGATTATATTTGTTCCATTCGTAACCCATCTGGACACGGTTAAAGTATCGCGGCTTGCGCGGCCGGTGCTTGCCTGCCCAGAGGGCCTGCGAGGCTGTGGTCACGGCTTCTTCACTGGTGAAGATCTCTTCATTTTCACTGATTCCCTTCGCCAACTCCCGTTCGTACAATGCCTTGGTCGCTTGGGAGAAGTCGTCATTGGGAATAGCCGAGAATCGGCCCGGGACACCGGGCGCTGCGGTACTAGTAGAGGATGGGTTGGCGACAACGGCGGTCGACTTTTCAGTAGCTCGCTGTCGCAAAGGAACAAATCCCAACCGAAGAATCTTCTGCCGCTCCCGAGCCTGAAACAAATGTGTTAGCATGAGATCGCAGGGAGAAGCTGGGGATGCATCGTACCACCTGGCGAAGGAATGCAGACTCGTCCATAATCTCCAACCCTTTGTCTTCAGGCCGCACATGCAGCAAAGGATCTGGGTCCAGACCTTCAAATTCAGTCAAATTGGTCGATGCTTTCTTCTGGTCATTCTCAGCGACAACTGGCGCCAGAGGTGCCAGCTTTTCCCGAATGGATTCTGCCTCTTCTTTCTGCTGCTTTCGCAAGTCGCGTACACGCTCCTCAATGACCGCTTGACAGACATTTCTCAGCCTTGCACGAGCCTTCCAGACTGCCAGGCTGCGCAGTAGTTCCTCCCAGTAATCCGTATCGATAGGCTCGTTGGAATTTAGCTTCCGTTTCACCTGTATCTCCAATGTCTGCAGCTGTTCGTAGGTTTTCGGACTGAGTAGTCTATTAATATCGGCAGCAACAGAGCTGATGGCGCGTCCTTCGGGGGCAGAGGTTTTTTGGCGATCTCGACAAATAATTTTCATGGTCTGTCACAAAAAAGAAAACATTCACTGTCAGCAAAAACGGTTCATTTTGGATAGCTAGATGCTCGACGAGAGCCATACCTTCCAAAAGTCGCGGTTCTGGGCATTGGATTCCAAATTCAAAAAGGTCTCAATATCCTTCTCCAGATCGGCGAGCTCTGATGGCGACAACCCCTCAAACACGCCGTCTGGATCTACCACATCGAGCTCTGAATCGGCGATCTCGTCGTCTAAGGGGGTTGCGCGTTGGGTCGATAAATCGGAGCGTCACGGTCAGCCAGTCGATTGGCTTTGCGCGCCCTTCCTTCACGCGGATCTCAGCCTTTTTCTTGGCCTGCTTCAACACAAAAGTGTCCTCCTGCGCGACCCACTCGCGCACCTGCTCGTCCTCTTGTAGCTGGTTGATTCGCAGTTGGTCGCGCATATGGCGAGGCCCCTGGCGTGACCTGCCATCATCCCATCGTTGGTCGGATTCTGGTCGGTCGCGGTAGTCACGGTCGTTGCGCGGGGGATTCTGGGGTTGTCGCCAGGACGTCGGAGATCGTGAGCGGCGGCGCATCGGGCCTGATCGGTCCGGGAGTCGCGAGGACATGTTGGATGCTTCACAAAGCTGATCTCAATAAGGATTAAGGTCACTCACAGAGAGGAGGATCCAAGCAGAAATGGAAGGGGGTCCGCGGTGTATCAGCTCGAAATCGCGAGGTTGAAAAGTGGCTCGGGCGATCGGCGGAAAGTTAAGCGTTGCGGCTAAGTTTCCCTGGTGGCCCCAGGCAGCTCCGCATCCTCGGCTTCTGCCTTCTTTGTCTGTTGCATTATTCCCTATATAAGCGCCGACTGTGTACACGGCAAGAAAATATCCCTTAGGCCATGTCCTCGGAATGGTGCAGACTGCACTTGTCACGGAGTGATGTGCCGCCGCTGCTTGTCCAGTATACTTGGACCCGCCAGGCCTACGAGCTCTATCTGACCGACTTAACTTCCATCTGGTCTGAACGACTGTCCCACAAGGATATATTGAAGCGAGCGGATGAAACCGCCACGACCATAGACCCCAGCGAAGGCGCAGCGCAGCTGGATATGTTTCTGACGAAAATCGGAGACGCTCTTTGTGGCAAAGGAGGTAGCGTATCTCTCAATAGTGGATCTGCGACCAATTCCATCGAGCTCCTCACGAGCACAAACCTGCCATCTCCGCTTCAGCCATTGCAATGGACTTTGCAATTGAAAAAGCAGCCACCGTCATCTATGACTGATCACCTTCTTCTCCCGCTGCTTAGAGATGAGGCTATCTGGGAGTCTCGACAGCAGTCACTAGTCGACAAACTCAAACAGAAGGATTGGGTGCTTGGAAAGCTGTTTGATAAATTCGACGCTCTCGGCGCTGATCTTGGAACCGTCTTCCCAAGTGCTCCCGGGCTACGTAGTGGCCGCAAGGGCAATTCACGATCAGAGGCCGCTAAGCATATCAAAGGTGTTGCGGAATTTGATCAACAGGCCTGGCTTACAGATATCGAAACGTCTTCCTCCAACACAGCGTCCAACTTTGTCCGCGAGATATCTAGAACTGATTCCAAACTACATATTGATACATTAAAACCAGCACCAGACCAGTGGTGGAGTGGCCTTCCCAAGGACTCCAAGCCAATTTCCTTCAACGAAGACGCGCCGCTGTCCACAGGCAACAAAGCACCAGACGAGGAACATCCAAAGACCAAGTTATCACAGGGTGATATAGACCTTGACGGTGACACTACCGCCGGAAGCGATGATGATGAATTTGAGGTATGTCGGAATTCCACCCAACTGTCGTTCCTTATCTAGCCACAAAAGAAACCCTCTCCGTCTTAACATATTCAACAGCGACCAGAAAGCCCTCCGCGGCTCCGAAAACCACACACGAAGCCAACAACACCCCCGTTAAAGCAAGAATCAACCCCCAAGCAAACGCCAACCCAGAAAAGCTCATCTCCGCCGGCGCCAACAGACGCCGGCGAGGCCACAGCAACAGAGTCCGAGTCAGAGCCGGACCCCATTATCAAACGTCCACTGACAGCACCATCACCTCCTCTTCCACCACCTCCTCAGCCCAATTCCCCGCCCAAAAAGCCGAAATCAGGTCTTGGCATCATCGGTGGCAAGAAAAAACAGCCCGCAAAAGCACCCACACCCCCTTCAGCATCACCCTCTTCGCCATCGCAACCCGTCGCGCCCCCCAAACGACCCGCGAAACTGGGCATGATAGGCGGCAAAGCTAAGCCTAATCCACCGCCTCACACAGAAGAACCATCCCCTCCGGCGCCGGCGCCGGGCCCAGGCCCGGAAGCTACGCGGTCTGTCTCGCCAAAGACCGAGGCGGGCACGACGCCGGTAGAGGAGACCGAAGCGCAGAGGGCGGATCGGAGGCGGGAGGAGTTGAAGCGGCAGCTGGAGGCGAAGAGTAAGGCGCCTGTGAAGAAGAAGCGGAGGTTTTGAGGGAGGGAGGCGTGTGTAGATCTCTTGTACAGGGGACTAACTCTTGGTTGATATGGAATGGATGATCGGGTGGAGGGACTATGATTCAATGGATGGTTGTTGGGTTGGGTACATGAGTTAAGTTAGATTTGGGAGAATGAAAAATTCCGGATATCTAAACCTATAGCGAAAGAACACTGACTCACTAAGAGCCACGTCAAAAGATTCCGCCGAATGTAGAGATTTTTGTGCCCCAGAATTGCCAAGATAGAGAGAAGGAGATAAATAAGAGGGTATTAGAACTAATGGTTACAAGAAATGGAGGTGGGTCGGAACAGGGAATGGTCTATCAAAGACCATGGCAAAAGCAGTATGGTTTTTCACCATCAACACGATCAATTTCTCGGCGCCCCACGACGTCTACCTTGTTCACCTGGTGTAACAAGCCGGACCTTCTTCGGAGACACCGCACCCGGTGAGACGGGGCTTTGTACAGCGGAATTGATTGTTGAGGTACTGGCGGCCGCGCCACTTTGACCCGTGGCGGCCGCGACACCAGCAGCGCCGAGCATGCCGCGCACTTTTTCGACCGCCCTACTCTCGCCCTTCGCCCACGGATCACGCTTCACAAGTCCGACCCCGGACGAGCGACTGGCTGAGTCGCGGCGCTTGGTCTCGGAGAGGAGCATCTGGCGATTAAGCTCGCGGCGCGGGCCGGGGCCGCAATCGTGGGAGCAGCCGGGTGTGGCACAGCCACCCTCGCTGATAGACAGGTCATTGAGCCAGGTGGTGATGCAGGCGACGTGGCCACCGTGGCCACAGCCTTGGCACCATGTCCAGAGGGACGAGCCTTTGGGGCTGGGCGTGACGAAAGAGTCCACTTCGGAGGCAGGAGCTCGCTCTGTGGGAGCAGATGAGAGCGACGAGAGGTGCGAGATAGTTTCCGCGTCTGGATCGGGACTAGAGGTGCCTGAGACGGACTGGCTCGACTGGTGGGCAGCAACCCATTCCGGAGGAGGCTCAATACTCATGCAGATGGTACATGGTGCTTGTGGGGTGTTGCAGCGGTGACAGCAGGTGTTGTCACGCCGCGGATTCTCATACGGTCGTTGACAGGTATAGCAGTAGACGTTGATGAATGTGTCCATCTGCGCGTAGTCGTAGATGCCAGGATAAGTGGATACGCAAGAGAGTCGGAGCTCTGCGGCTTCCAAGTCCATCTCGTGTCGAATCAAGTATTCATTGTAGGTTTTGAAGATCATCTCACACTCCTCGTATGGGAGTATCGTCTCACAATCCTGGAAAAGAGCGTGCATTTTATGTAGCAGGTGGGCTGCGGTCTGGATATCAACGGACCTGCTGCTACTGTGATAGTATCGGATGGCCTCCTTCATGATGGCTTCGATGCTCCACGGCTTGAGATCCGCGGTATCTGGAGAGAGAGGAATCTCCACATGTGAAAGGTCTTGATAGATTCCTGTTATGCCGGTGTAGGCTGCAGTCCCACCAGACAGCAGATTGACCGAGTCGTCAAACGTCCTCCGAGAGCCCGGTGGCTCAAGTGGAGTCGACTCGGTGAGTAATAGAGGCGGGCTGGAAGGTCGTTCGAGATGAACTTGATCGTTTTCAAGCACAGATTCGTCTATATCCATGTCATCATCTTCAGGCTCCTCCTCCTCCTCCTCCTCCTCCTCCTCCGGGGCTGGATCGAGACCGGATTCGCGTCTCGCAACAGCTGCAGCCCGACCAACATACGAACCAGCTTGGCCATTATCTGAGAGCGGGCCATCTGAGAGCGGACGCCCATTGGATGAATAAGACGCCGCGATAGACTTGGAAGGGTGAGAACTATCCGTAGATGCGGAGAACATCGGGAAGCTTTCTGACGAGTCCCGTCGGCTGTAGTGATCAAGAGGAGGGCGATTGGATTCTAATGGGGAATCCAGCGTCAAGACTTTCTTGGGGTATTGTTTGTAATCACGGATGGCTGCCCGCTTATCTTCCATCTTCTGATCGTAGTCATCTTCTGAAGCCTCGCGATTGAAACTAGGTTGACCATGAAGACGCCAGTCGGCTCGACCAGTTATTGCCCTTGGTGCAGATCTTTGATCACTGTCAAGATCATGCTGCAAGGGGTCACGAAGATGACCAGAGACGGCAACTCCGGAAATATGTGTGTCTTCGCTGGATGCTCGCTCCTGCGTCAAGGGTAGAGGGTGGTGTAGGGGTTGAGACTCGGAGCCGGACATATCCCAACCATTGTGGGAACTCAAGACGGACGGTGGAAGAGGGTCTAGATCAATCGCGTTCTCGCTGATAGAGGGAATCTGCGAGTCTGAACTTGTCCAGGACTCCATTGGAGAATCAGGCAATGGCCGTGCAAGTGGCGTGGTCATGTTGGATGAGCTCTCAGCTTCAGGGTTGAGACCTCTTTGACCTTCAGTCTCCATGACCCCCTTAAACAGTCGACTCTTCACCTTGCCTGGGCGGCCTTCATCTGACGGTCGGTGTTTATCTGTCAGCAAGCCATCTTTGGATGACTTCCCTTTGACGCTCCCTTTGCCAGATTGATACTCTCTCGATCTACGTTGAAGCTCCTGCAGAAGGGCAAATTTAACAATCCGCCACGTTTGGGCTAGCTTGGTCAGGGACAGTTCATCGGCGCATTCAGCATTGTGATCGAGCGACTTCATCAACGCACTCAGAGCACTGGCATGACTTTGTTGCTGGCGATGCTCATTTATGAGTGGGGAATAATGAGTTGCCAAGAACCGGAAGATAGAAGCATCGTTCGTGACGCCGGGTATACTCCCAATAGCACCAAGCTGACTCGAAACAGGGGATGAAATCTTGGCCAGGCCTTCCTCCAGATCGAGCACGGGAATGATAGTCACTGCCCCTGGCGGTGTGCTGCCCAATGACTTGGATGGTCGAATCGTGCTGGGCTTGGTCTGCCGGTGTCGGAAGGAAGAGGCCAGGGCCACCTCATCAAGCATGTCTTCTGCCGGGCTCTGGCTTAAAGATTTGCCGCTATTGCTCTCGTGATCCTCTTCATACTGCAGAAATTCGGATGCATCGACCCCCAGAGCCCGTCGCCTGGGTCGCTGCTGGGCGAATGCAACGAACTCGCCATTTGGGCTCCATGCGACCGAGCACATGGGTCGGCGATTGACCACTGCCGGGGCATACCGCACATCGGTTTGAGTGAATGCTCCCGCCTCGCCGACCGTCCACAATAGATCTTTCGAGTGCCAGAGCAGGTCGGTTGCGGGGACATCATATCGGTCGAACTCACGGAAAGGAACATGGGGCCGCCGAAGATCCCAGAGATGAATGCGAGGGTCCTCCTTGTCATAGGTAGTCACGATCTGAGAGGACTGCCATTCCCCCGAGCTGGGCGAGTCGCCCACCCACGATGGAGGCCGCCATCGGACGTTTGTCACGGCCTGGGGGGTTCGGAACTGGAAGGCAGGTTTCTGCCGTCGCTCTGCAGAAGGGGAGAAATCCCAGACCTTCACCTGTCGGTCCGTGCCCCCACTGACGACGTGTCTCCCATCGGGATGCCAGTCCACGGCGAAACAGGGGCGATCGTGGGCGGCAATCCTTAGGATGGGGGCATTCGTCTTGCGCGAATCCCACTGTTGAATAGCGCCGCTGTCCGAGGCGGTCGCAAACACGACACCATCCGTGGGAGACCACCGGACGTCCCGGATAGCATCGCTATTTCCCTGGTAGACATGCTTGCTGCCGCACGTGGAAAGGCCCCGATTCGTAGACGCGGCACGCAGATCCCACATCCGGATTGTACCATCTTGGCTGCCGGACAACAACCATGATGCGAGATGAGGGTTGAAGGCGAGTCTGTGAACCTGGCGGTTGTGGCCCTGGAAGCGACATAATTGGAGGCTGGGCCGCTGCAGGTCGTAGACGACAATCCGGCCATTGGCGACCGCTGTCGCGATTATCCGGTCGTAATTACCATGTGACCACTTGACGTCCCTGACATTCAATTGGTCTTTATGCGGCATCGACATGCCCACCTCATTGTGGGTAGATGCATAGCTGATGACCGCATTGCGAATATTAAATTCTTCCGACGAATGATCAGGCGAGACTCGGATAGTTTTGAGAATGTCTTTGCCTCCGATGACAGCGTGCGTCCGTTGCGGCGATATATCGAGGGCGGCGATGGGGATGCCGGTTCGGTGGGTAACAGTCTGCGGTTCACCGGGCCTGGTGGTGTTAGAAAGGTGCCATTGGCCGATCTAAGGTCGCCACGGTCGAATCCCAATCGGGGTTGTAGTGGAAGTAGGAAAGAGAGGGGTGGTCGCAGAGAGAAAGGAAGGGATGTGAAGGAATCGGAGATGCTTGGTGGGGGAAGGACTCGAAGGGGAAGTACGGAAGAGACGCGACGGGAGATATTCAACCTCGCCTTCGACGTGTCTGAAGATCCATCGGTGCTTTGGGTAGCTTTGGGATGAAGCGGTGTGAGGGCATATGCAACACGTACAGAGATTTGGACCTGATCGGCCGGGGCCCATCGACCCGGCTATTCTGCGGACTGGGGGGCGCGACCCCGAGAAGAAGGGCTGGGCGAAACGGGCGAGCGCGTTGGCGGCGCGATGCGAGTACTTGGTGGGTGGCGGCGGGGGAGGGGGGACCGGGGAGCGTGACCCTGAGAGGTCCGACATGGCTCACACGTCCATTGCGAGCACACGACCACTTGACCTGAATGGAATGAGGAAATGGAGATGTGGAGAGGGGGGGGGGGGGAAGGTTGCGTTGGGGTTGCGCAAGCGGTGAAGCGGTGGAGTTTCAATTTAGGTCGGACGTCGTGAAAGGCTGTTTACCTAAGGTTTTAGCCTAAGAGGGGGAGTCAGCGTGAACCAGCTTGAACGGGCTGGTTCACCCTGGACACCTTCACTCGCCATTTTGAGATAAGGAAAGTCAATACGCTGATGCATGGTTAGGTCCAGAGTTCTGTGGCCTGGCCAAAGTAGAACAAGAGCACCTGTTCACCCTATGCTGAGGTTCTGAAATTACTACTAACAAGCCAGTTACCCGCTACTTCAGGAAGCCCGGTCGCTCCCTGACTCCGAGCTAGTCCCCAAATAAGAATGAGTGGCTTTGAATTGACTTGGAGCCTGCCAGTGCCACGTTGAAAATGGCGTGGGTACCCAGTTCAGTTAAGGATTTACCTGCCGAAAGTCGACGAGCTATACGAAGTAGAGCCGGTACTTGCTCGGGATCTCACCCTCGCATCAGGACACAGAGCTAAGAACAGGGCTTTGATCGGAGGGTAATTGGGACGGTCGAGCTCGAAACCGGTTCTTCTCGGTCCGTCGAGCATTCTAGTTTTAGTCCTGGTCCGTGAGAATCCTGAAGGAGCATCTTTCAATCCTGAATTTCTCTTCTCGTCGTCTGTGCTGTGCGAGATGGATTGATTCTCTCACAGGGTACATCCTCCGTACATGACAGACAAATAGAAAGAATAGACTCCAGTACTGAGCTTTTTTCAGAGATCTGGGACTGCAAAGGTCAAAAGTATATAGGAAGCACCCAATCAAACCCTGCAACGATCTTTCATGTGCATTGAAGAGAGAGAGAGAAGCCGTCCGGGAGCGCTGCAAGTCATCTTCTGCATCTGTCGTCACAACCTAGAAGACGTGTCCACCTTCTCAAGAGCGGTCAGGCGGCCAACACACCAGGCGCGAGAGATCAGATTTGAAAATTGCACAGGCACTGCAGGTGGCTTCCCGACTCTCCGATGGGACACGATGGGGCACGATGGGACCGAAGCAAGCATCGGCAATGTGTAATGATCAATGATCGCGGACTCGTCAACGGTCGGAAGCACAGAACAGCCCCCCCCACACACATCAATTCCAGAAAGTGCATATGAGGATCAGTCTATGTCATCCTGAGCGTCATCCCAAATTTTATTCATATGCAAAGCCCAAGATAGACAAAAGGCCGAAAGCCCGGATCGCCGAATCAAGTGGTGGGCCTTGTTTGATCGAGCATGTATATGGGTCTATGGGGGTATAGGTTTATAGGTTTATAGGTCTAAGGGTCCAAGGATTAATGGATGTCTCTGGCGATTCTCGAGACTTCCCACACGCACTGTCTCTCTCTCTCTCTCTCGTTATTTCTTCTGCTATCGGGAGATCTATATTTCTAATGGACCAGCCTTATTGAGCTTATCGTCAGAGCGTTGTATACTCAGAAGCCCCGGATAAAATTGACGCTGGGAACGCCGATGCATATCCCTCTCGTCATCCCGGAGAAACAACAAACGAAAGAGTAAAAAAAAAAAAAGAAAAGAAAAGAAAAGAAACCATGTCTCACACTGTTTGTCGGAAAGGCGGGAGTCCAATCGAATGGTGATGACGCCGACCGAGCCCATTGAATCCGTCGAATCGCCTTGACTCGTGGACCCCGCGTCCCCCGAAACGGGCCTAATCGCCCCTGAGACCTCCCGAAGCTCTGCCTGCACCAGGCCCCGAGGTACCAAGGCGCTAAATCTCATCGGAGCTCAGATGGGTGGCCGCTCAGGCAAGTCATGACCTCCACCGACCGGGGGGGGGATGGGGATCTAGATCGTTGTGGCAGAGGGCCGCGCGCACCGTTCGCCCCGTTTCCCTACGTATCTGTGGTAGACCGGGGTACCGGAAGGTACATGGGGTCGCGTGTTTTCCCATCTGATGGAAAATGGGCTTTTTATTTTAGTTTTCATTTGGGACCGTGGCTTGAAATTCTTCTGGATTCCCATTTTGGAGAGTCCCCAAGTCCCGGTCCCTCTTCTCCCCCCTCCTCCCCCGTTTTTCCTGTCCAGAACGAGACAATCCCGAAAGAGCAGAGCAACGACCCTCAAAATAAGCGATATCAGCCATGCGAACACTCTCGACCCCATATCCAGGGAAGAGGAGCCCCTCCAGCCATATTTGTGGAGATATACATATTCCATCAATAGAGGGGGGAGAGAGAGAGGGACAAATAAGTACAGGTACAGGTACAGGTAGGTATAAATATAGATATAGAGACAAACAGGGAAATATATAGATGGAGAGACAGATAGAGATCTATGTTTCGAGACATATATATCCTGCTAGACAAACGGAGACATAGACTGACAGTCCGAGTTGACCGATCGACTCCGGGCTGATTCATTTTGTTTCCCGGGTCCACCTCTGCTGCCACTTTGTAACCGCAACGACGAACGTGGGCTCTCGTTTGCCTGTGGACTGATGCTGGATTATAGTCTACGATCGTCTGTTATAGTCCCGGGGGTGGTACGATCCCTCTCAACCTCTCTACATTGATATACATTCGGCGGTACTTGGCTGCTCGTTTGATCGTCGGGTCCCCACCAAATTAACCCTAACTGGGCCCCCCTGCTGGTCTATTCGATTCTGGTCCATCGGGCACGAACCATCTGCTCAAGCGCAGCTCCACTGCCAAAAAAATAAATGACAGTGGATTGTTTCCCCCCCCCCCCTTTACCACGCAAAGAAACCAAGACCCTTAAAACAGGGAAAATAAATACAAACGAGAAAATTAGAGGAGGAAGCAAGAGGAAGCGAAACAGGAAGAAAGAAACGAGGGAACATCGAAGACGAGAGCGGAGACGATCTATAAGAACCGGCCCCAGGGGGATCGGAGAATCCAGGAGAACAGGGAACTACTCGGGGTCGGCTTTCAGCAGGCCTTGTGATAGTGTGATAGAGCTTGGTCGGACGTGGGACTCGCTCTTGGGCCTCGCTCCAGTGTCATCCCAAGTCATCCAGAGTCGAATCTTGCGTCTGGCTTGGTCCCGGCCATCGTGATATAACTCGTCTTGTCCCCCCCCTTCCCATATCACCCTCCTCATTGACGGAGGTACCAAGTGGATCCCCCATCGAAGCTGCAGCGCCCGCATCCACACCGTCATTCTCCTCGACGTTCGCTTCGAGGTCGCTTTTTTCTCCCTTCCTTCCCTTCTCTTTTTCCTCTCGTGCCTTGATCTCCCCTCAATTGCCCTCCGGAATCCGTCAGAAGAGGTCAGAAGAGGTAAGTCTCGTGCGCCCGTCATCCGCTGGGTGGGGAAAACCAAATGGTTCGCCACAGCTGAAGCTCGGGCATTCCAAACTCTACGCCTTTTTGCCCCCCTCCAGCATCGCCAAAAAAGCAATTTCAGCCCTCAAATTCGCCGCATCGGTATGCTAATGCACCGGCAGCGTTTAGATCGACTCTCTACCCTCCGATCCTTCTATTCATCTCGTTTTCCCCAACCCCAGGTCTAAGCCTTGCCACTCCGTCCCCGCGTCCGTCCGCGATCATTCCTCGCACACTCGCGTCCGCCGATCTTTGCCCTGCTCCGTTCAACTCATCCACTGTTGCTGTCGTTTCCGACCTCGACCTTCCTCCGCCCTCTGCCTTCCGCCCTCCCTCTCCTCCTCTTCGGCTCCAACACCTTCTGGGCCAAATCATTCGCCCTCTTTCTCTCTCTCTCCCTCCTCCTCTCCCGCGCGCATCACCTCCCTCTCTTCGCCACTCGCTCTACCTCGGGGACGCCGCTGCCCTGTCATGGAAATCGCCTGAATCGCCTCTCTTTTCGGTCGTGCGGATCTTCGTGGAGGGACATCCCCGGTTCATCATGGATTCCCAAACAGCTCTCGACCTGTTGGATTACCTGCGCACATGCTATCCCATCTTCCTCCTGCTCCTCTTCGTCGTGGCCTTCGTGGCCAACACAATGGTCACGGCGAGCAGGTCAGGCACCACGGACTCGCCTCGCATAGGTCCCGGTGGACGCCCACTGCCTAAGCGCTCTCGCAGTGAAGCTGCTTTTCGTAAGCCCCAGGGCTTCTCCCACAATGTCAAGCGGTTCTTCAACTGGCTTTCGGTGGGCGTGCTTGTGACGTACCTGGCAGATGCGACGATCTACATCCTCCATGTGATGGTGGCTAGGTCCGAGCATTGGTGGCGAGGACAGTCAGTCGTGGTACGTTGCCGTTTTGTTTTATTCTTGTTTTCGATTTTTGATTTTATTTTCTTTTCACCCTTGCTCTCCTCTCATTTACCGCTCTGTCTCCGGCTTTTCTTAGCTCTGCATCTCGGGGAGTTTAGAGCGGCAAGAATTACCCATTCAAGCCAAAAAGAAAAAAAAAAAAAAAGACACCGCCTCTCCAAAACAAGCATAAGCTAAATGATGTCAGATCTACATTGTCGGCTCTTTTTTCGATTATGCGGTCTTACTCATGACCTTGCTCGATACCACCCCATCCCCGACTATTGCTCAATTGGTGTGCTGGGCGGCTGCCATTCCCTTTGAACTGGTTATTCTTAGCATCTCGTTGTCACTCTATACCTCGCCTCATCATGAGCCAATTGTGGGAGACCCTGCCGGTGGTAAGCTCCGCCGGAGCATGACGCCCTGGGAATCCATGGAGGTCGTCTCGGGCAGCATTCGCATTCTCATCCTGCTGGCCCTGGTGCTCCTCTATACCAGCCAAGTCATCTCGTTCAAGAGCCACGAAAAGAAGCGTAACCACCGGGTCAACGGAGAAGCCACCGAGTCGACCGGCCTTTTATCTGATGCCGCCGGAGCTGAGAACGGGAATGGGCATGCCAATGGCCACGCCTACGGGGCGACGAATGGAGCTGCGCAGACGGAGTCCGCTAAACCCCAAGACCCGTGGGTCCGCCCAACTACCATGCCCTCTACCAGTTGGTGGGAGTATCTCAGTGGCTACTCACTCTTCTTCCCTTACCTGTGGCCCTCGAAATCCCGCCGCCTGCAGATCATTGTGGTGTTTTGCTTTATCCTACTTGTTCTCCAGCGCATCGTGAACGTCCTGGTGCCCATCCAGGTTGGCAATATCACCACCATCCTGGCGGAAGACGAAGGGCAGGCATTCCGTGTGCCGTGGGTAGAAATCCTGGTTTATGTCATTCTCCGCTGGCTGCAGGGCGGGCAGGGTCTTCTGAGCTCCCTGCGTTCCAGCCTTTGGATTCCCGTGGGCCAGTATTCTTATATGGAGCTGTCAACTGCTGCCTTTGAGCACGTGCATGGCCTCAGCTTGGATTTTCACCTTGGAAAGAAGACGGGCGAGGTCTTGTCCGCGCTGAGCAAAGGTAGCTCGATCAATACGTTCCTCGAGCAGGTTACCTTCCAGGTGGTCCCCATGCTCATCGATCTAATCATCGCGTTTGGGTACTTCCTCATCGCATTTGACGCTTACTACGCGCTGGTGGTTGGCATTTCAACATTTGGGTATCTCTATGTCACCATCCGTATGGCTCAATGGCGTGCCGAAATTCGACGACAAATGGTCAATGCCTCGAGACAGGAGGATGCTGTTAAGTGAGTTTTGCCCATAAGACATAGGGGGTTCAAGTCACCGCCCATAGACAACTGGGAGCTTTACTAATAAGTTTTGTCTGATAGAAACGATTCGATGGTGTCGTATGAAACTGTCAAGTACTTTAACGCCGAGCAGTACGAGTTTGACCGGTACCGTGGAGCGGTTGGCGACTACCAAAAGGCCGAATACCACGTCCTTTTCTCTCTCACCCTCCTCAACACATGTCAGAACACTGTTTTCATGATCGGTCTTCTAACCACATGCTTTATTGCCGCATATCAAGTTTCGATCGGACAGCGCCCGGTGGGCAAGTTCGTATCGCTGTTGACGTACATGGCTCAGCTGCAGGGCCCTTTGAACTTCTTTGGTACCTTCTACCGCTCCATCCAATCAGCTTTGATTAATGCCGAGCGTATGCTGGAGCTGTTCAGAGAACAGCCGACTGTGGTTGATAGCCCCAAGGCTACCCCCTTGGCAATGTGCAAAGGAGATATCCGATTCCAGAATGTGGAATTCTCATATGATGTTCGGAAACCCGCCCTGAATGGGCTCACGTTCCGCTGTGAGCCAGGCACCACCACTGCATTGGTTGGTGAGTCAGGTGGAGGCAAGTCGACTGTTTTCCGATTACTGTTCCGATTCTATAACGCCGAAAAGGGGTCGCTTCGTGTTGACGGTCACGACGTGCAAGATATCACTATCGACTCTCTTCGCAAGCACATTGGCGTGGTACCACAGGATACTGTGCTCTTCAATGAAACACTGATGTATAATCTCAAGTACGCCAACCAGAGCGCTACCGATGAAGACGTCTACGAGGCCTGCCGAGCCGCCAGCATCCATGACAAGATCCTGGGTTTCCCCGACGGCTACAATACCAAGGTCGGTGAGCGCGGCCTTCGACTCAGTGGTGGCGAGAAGCAGCGTGTGGCTATTGCCCGCACGATTCTCAAGAATCCTCGAATCATTCTTTTGGACGAAGCCACTGCTGCTCTCGACACCGACACAGAGGAACACATTCAGCGTGCCCTCTCCACACTCTCTCATGGACGTACCATGCTCGTCATTGCGCATCGCCTCAGCACCATCACCACGGCCGACCGCATTCTAGTCCTTTCAGACGGCCAAGTCGCCGAGAGTGGCACCCACGAGGAGCTTCTCGCCATGAAGGGCCGCTATGCGAGTATGTGGCGGAAGCAGATCCGCGCTCAGAAGGCAGCTGCCGAAGCCCAGGTTCTCCAAGATCGGGCCGAGCGTATTCGCAATGCCACCAACAGCGACGACAGCTCCAGTCAATCTGACGAGGACCGCAACCGCATTCGGCGTCCCGCTCATTAAACACTCCCGTGTCGGGCGTCATGTACAGGCAACTCACATTTCTCCTGCGAACACCCTTTTCTCCTTCGCCCTTTCTTATCTTTCGACGTGTGCATATGCTTTCTCATATCTTTCTTTTTTTTTTTCTCGAAGCCAAAAGCAAAAAGCATGGGGCAGTAATGGTAACCGACGAACAGCAGGGACAGGCATAGGGATTGTGGGTATTTGTGTCTTTCTTTCTTGTTTTTGTTTGATTCCTCCCTATTCTTTTCGGGTCTTCTCTCCTTTTTTTTTCTTTTTCCTCTTTTTTGATTCTTCTTCTTGTTTGACCATTCTGGTGCTAGGTTTTTCCCCCTCTCATTTTCGCTTCTCTGTGTTTTGCATTCATTTGTTGCGTTACTTGGAGTTTGGGGCCTTACGATGCGTACGACTCAGTCATTTCATTTCTTGTTCTCGCCTTGATTCACAACGACCCGATGTGCAGTCCGGTCATGGTTGGATTCTCTGGAAATTAAAAACTAGACTAATCACTAGGGCCGCCGAAACGATTACATTTAATATAAAGAACCTTCAATTGAGAAATTCTGTCTTCGAAGGGTGTCTGCAATGTAGATAGTCATACGCAGTTCCCTGAGTATATATTTGCGATTCCCCGCGTTCATATCCACAGAGTGCAATGCGTAAGTCTCCGGTTTATTCTGAATTCTAAAGGCCGAAAAGAGAAGGTAAAACAGGCTGGCTGGTATTTCTGGTGTCGGGGTTGTTTGGTATAACCCCAGCTACCAGAGGCCGGGGATGCCAAGACTCGCGGCAAGCTTATCAACCTGCCAACCTCAACTCCAGCGACTCCCGCTGCCTCCAACCTTTCATCTCCCATTCACCACTATTTCCTCCCCCGTCCAAAATGCATTCGCCATCTCCCCAACTCCTCCGTGCCCTACGCACCTCCCTCGCCGGGCCTGCGACCCGTCGCCCCCATCCCTGCCTCCCGCGGTCACGCTTAGCCCTCACCACCGCACGCAGCTACAGCGCCCCGATCCGGCCAACACGCATGATCCCCCGCGCACACGCCCACAAGCCAACCACTCACGACCGTGGCCCCCAGTCCAAAGAAGACACCCAGACAGACTTTGCTACGCTGGATGTCTTGGGCAACACGCCCGTGCCGACTACCGCCATCGACGCCTGCCTCGACTCCGGCTTCCACCTGAACTCTGGGCTCAAGATCACTGGCGGCGATGGGCTGCTGCTGGTTGGCGGCGAGGCATTTGCGTGGCGGCCGTGGCGGGCCGGAATGGCTGCGGAAGGCGACGAGCGCGCGGCCAAGATGGGTATGATCAATGCGAAGGGCCAGTTTGAGCTCGATGAGCAAGCTTGGGGCTTGTTGAGCGTGGTGTGGCCTCGACCCGGTACGTTCCTATGTTCTGTGATTTCCAATTTCCCATTTTCTACCTTCTACTTTTTCCCTCTCTCTTTTCTCTTTCCTCGTAGCTTGTGGAGCTTGGCTTGTTTGCTAAGGTGAGAAGCGTGTCGGTCTCCGACTTTGCGTCGTTGATCAACCGCTCGTGTTGCGCTGTGCTACGCTCGAGGATGTTTAACAAGCCTGGGGGTTGCAAATTCTTGGTGTGGTAGATCTCATTGTGCTGACGTCGCGGGCTAGATATGCTCATCTTGGGACTCGGGGGTTCCATGCTACCCCTCTCGCCGGAGACAAAACGACACATCAATGCACTAGGAATCCGTGTCGATATTCTGGATACTCGAAATGCAGCTGCGCAGTTCAATCTACTGGCTACCGAGCGCGGTGTCTCGGAGATCGCGGCGGCGATGATCCCTATCGGATGGAATCGACGGTCTTGACGGTCTGTCTGAAGAGTTGCATTTTTGTCTGGTGCGGCGATTATGGTCGGTCGAAGACGACGACTTTGTAATATAGCTATTTTCCCCTCTCATTCATCAGTGGCTTTGGAGTGTTTCCTGCTGTACAGTACAAATTCTTATTACCGTTTTGAGTAAAATCAAGTCATGTGAATGGACTCTATCTTATCGTCCCTTATTCGCGCCCCGTCCCCTCTTCCGCTTCTGACTCCACCAACCTCCGAGGGGAGCTTACAGTATAGCTAAGCTCCTTACCAACACACCTCCATCGCAACCATGGCGCGAGATGAGCCTCTTTTGACTTCGCGCCCTTCCTCCGATGGCTCGTCGCTTCGAAATGCCGAAGAGGAAGATGCCCTGCTTACGGGTGAGCGGGCGGTCCGTCGGGACGAACCACGCCGGGGCTGGGCCTTCTGGAGGGAGATCGGCATGTTCGCCTGGGCCCTGATTGCCACGATCCTGGTCATTGTTCTCGCAGTCGTATACCAGCATGAGCTTGCCAAGAGTGAGCAACAATCTCAGCAGTCGTGGGGCCCTAGCGGGAAGCCGACCGGCAAGCGCAACCTGATCTTCATGGTGTCAGACGGCATGGGGCCCGCCAGTCTCACGACGACGAGAAGTTTCCGGCAGCTTACGGAGGATTTGCCCATTGATGACATCCTCGTGCTAGACAAGCACTACATCGGCACGTCGCGAACTCGATCGAGCAACAGCCTGGTGACCGACTCGGCGGCTGGTGCCACAGCGTTCTCGTGTGGACTGAAGAGCTATAACGGGGCTATCTCGGTGCTGCCGGGCCACTCGCCATGTGGTACGGTTCTGGAGGCGGCTGCCCTTGCGGGATATAAGACTGGGTTAGTTGTGACAACGCGGTTGACGGACGCGACGCCGGCGTGCTTTGCTTCGCACGCCAACCTGCGCCAGTATGAAGATAGTATTGCGGAACAGGAGATTGGCGAGCATCCACTGGGCCGTGTGGTTGATCTCATGATGGGCGGTGGCCGGTGCCATTTCTTGTCGAATTCCACGGAGGGCAGCTGTCGCGGCGACGATCGGGACCTGATCGAGCTCGCCTCGAAGAACGGGTTCAACTACCTGCATGACCGGGCCGGGTTTGATGCACTCAAGGGCGGGGCGGAAGCCAAGCTCCCGCTGCTAGGCCTCTTTGCTGACACGGACATTCCCTATGAGGTTGATCGACGCTTCCAAAATGATGTGTACCCGTCTCTAGAGGAGATGGCACGCACGGCGCTGACTGCATTGAGCGATGCTACGCGCGATAGCGAGCAAGGTTTCTTCTTGATGATCGAGGGCTCACGTATCGACCACGCTGGCCACGGAAACGACCCGGTTGCTCAAGTCCACGAGGTGATGGCGTACGACCGGGCATTTTCCGCAGTCCTGGAGTTCTTGGACAAGGACTCCACCCCCGGTGTTGTGGTGAGCACATCTGATCACGAGACAGGCGGTCTTACAGCTGCTCGACAGCTGCACAAGAGCTACCCGCCGTACCTATGGTTACCGCGTGTCCTAGCCAATGCCAGCCACTCCACCGAGTTCGTCGCCGCCAAATTCGCGGAGTATCTTTCCGGGCCGGGCAAGGACGATGACGACTCGCAGATGAAGGCATACATCCGCCAAAACCTACTGGAAGAATATCTCGGCATCACCGATCCTGGGGATAAAGAGTTTGACTCTCTGCTCTATCCAGACCCTCAGATATCCGCACAGGCTGTCTTCTCCGACATGATCAGCCGTCGCGCACAGCTAGGCTGGTCTACCCATGGACACTCCGGTAAGTAGAACTGAACCTCTTTCCCAATTTTCTTTTTCTATCAACTTTTCAATTTTTCAACTTTGGCATGGTCACATTGCTAAATACGATTCTAGGTGTCGACGTCAACATTTACGCCTCCTCTACCGAGGATGCCTGGCCGCTGGTCGGCAACAGGGAAAATACCGACGTCGGCGGCTTCCTCGCCGACTATCTCGACGTCGATGTTGCCGCCGTCACCAAGCGCCTCCAATCGTCATCCTACTGGACCGCTTCTGGCGAGGAAACTACGGTCCAGGAGAAATACAGTTGGCTGGGCGATCCACTAGGCTCAAACGTGCGCACCGAGGGCATGGACACGTACCATGGCGACTTTAAGAAGCGTTCGCTGGAGGAGGACTGCGGATGTGGCGCGCTGCATTAAACTGAGGGAAGGGGAGGGGACAATTGCATTGGAATATGGCACATCATGGTTGTTTGATACCTTTCATAGCTTTCATTTTCTTTTTTTTTTCGGGTCTGGTTAAGTAGATTTTGTTCTGGGACACTGTGCACTTTTCTCAATCTTGTTGTATCAAGCTGGTTGCTATTTTTCTTTGTTCAGTTCTTGGCGGTGCATTACTTGTTTGAACTCAACCTGGCTATCATAGCCATGCTCGTCCAAATATTATTTATCGCCTTTGAGGCTCTGTTGTATCTTGAATGATTGGGAAATTATAAGATTGCATTGCATGCCTTGATTTGAATAAAATACAGGTATACATATATACTTCTCTCAGTGTTTGAAGCAGATGTAGGGAACCCTCGGTTACGTGCACCCTCGCACAGCTGGATTTTGTTTATTGTAGGCCATTATTCTCTTTTTGCAGATTTCTTGATTCTGTCTTGGAGTCAGCAGAACATGTTCTACAAATCCACTGGGCCCTGAACTTGATTGGTTTGCTTTACAAGGCACAAGCCACAAGGCACGATGGATGGATACTGACCTTATCCATGAATCGATCTCGCGAATTGATCGATTCGGGACTCTTCTACAACCCCCATAGCTACTATGTACTAGAAATCCAATATCCTTTGACCCCATAGTTTCTGTAGATTCGTGAGCCATACCAACCCCCCAGAAACCAAAACCCCCGAAGCCAGACTCAAGACTCCATCCCCTCCCTGCCCCAAAAATAAAAACACCCCCATTTTCGTTCAAAGAACCGAACAATCCACAGAAAAAAAAGGCATATCTCCACAGATACTCCAAACCCCCTCCATACTAACATATCTTTATTCAGACCACCACACCACCACACCACCACCACCACCACCACCACCAGCACTGCACCCCCTCTCCAAGTCTACGCCCTTCACTTCCCTCTTCTCGACTCCTGATGCTCACACTTCTCCGCACAATCAGGACATAGCTCCGCGATATGGCTCACCCATTGTACGACGTTCGTGGCCCCGTACTGCGCCGAGGTATCGGGTACCGAACCGTTGAAGACGGCGCGCGGCTCGCAGCCGGGCAGATCGGGGGTAAACGGAAGGGCGAAGGCGTCGCGCTGGACGGCGTCATTGATGCGGTTGAGTTGGTCGAGGAGGCTGTGGCAGAAGAGGTAGAGTTGGAAGCGCACGTGGCGGCATTCGTGGTAGAAAATACCGGCATATTGGCACATTTTTAGGGAATGTATAGGTCTTGCAGCCTTGCAGTTTGGAATTTGGGGCTCGGGGCTCGGGGCTCGGGGCTTGTTAAATGGACCTGTTTTGGAGGAAAGGGGGAGAAGGGAGTATTTGAGTGAAGGATTGTGTTGGTTGTTGGTATGGTGGATGGGTACATAGGTAGTAGATATAGTTCGATAGACTGGTTGTGCGGTGAGGTTGTATACTTCTCTATGATTGTGTGTTTGGAGTCAATAGTGAACGGATTTCAACAACGCTTGATTTTGCGGAAGACGAATGGCTTACGTTAGAGGAGAGTTCTTGTTGATGATATTGATGATGATGATGATGGATGGGGCGTTGAGGATAAAAAATGAAGGTCAATGGTCGCATGAGGTGAGCTTTTATAGCCATTGAGGTCGGATATGGTTTGAGAGTTGACGTCGAGAGAAGTCTCAGCTATAAAGAGCTTGAATCTGGAGGGAGTCTCAACATGCTGACCAATAGTCACATATTATTCACTATAAGAGCTTCACAATATCTGAACGCTGTTGGGTGGACTAGTAAGTTACCAAAGGGCAGAAATCTGTAGACTGTGAAAGAGCATATATCAGAGATTATGTCCTGTCCATTCATTTGAGCACTAGGGCCCTTCCGACAAGGATGTGTTTTCACCATCGCCTTCACCACTTCTTCTGCTCAAAGGAGGGATTTCCATTGATGCAAAACACTCTATACCTCATCAAACAAAAGTCCCCGTGGCTTCTGACATCCAAACACCACTCCGAAACAAAATCCGCCAGACATACCACGGCAGTGGCGCCTCGCCCATCTTCAGCCCAGAATTCAGATCCAGATTTAGATCCAGATACCGACCCCTTAACAATGCACCAAAAACCCCCCAAACCACATTCCCGCGGAATCCGCCTACCTGGTCAGCCCCGAAAGTCCCTTCCCCCTCCCTCCTCTAACTCCCCACGTGGTGGAAATACGAACGACACCCTGAAACAGGCGGGGATCAGACGGAGCGGTTCGCGGCTGCAGGGGCCCGATTCAACGCCCAACCAGCCCGGCCCCTCCCCCTCTCCCCCCACCAACCGCAGAAACCCACTACAGTACCTAACCCCCAACGGAGCCCCTGCATGAATACGAGAGCTTGAATGGACGTCCCGCCAAGAAGCCAGGATTGCGGATGCCAGAGCGTCGTGTGACAAGATAAGGGCTGGACGCGATGGGCTCTTCTTCTCCTTCCCCGGGGCCCTGTATGTAGTGTACTGCTACACATTGGGGAAAGGGGGGGGGGAGGAGGGTGCTTTCTTCGTCGTCTTCTTGTCCAACGCTTCTGCTCGCTGCACGCGAGTTCTACCTCTGCATTGCATAATGGGAACTACATGAGGTATATGGTTCGGAGAGAAGAAGCACAAAAAGACAAAGGAGTCCAACGGGATCCGTCGATGGCGATTTCTCACAATATCGAACATGTTACTTCAAAATGACATACTAATGAAGCTAGTGAAGTGGATGACGGGAGACAAGAAAATGTTCTACACCAAGCGCGAGTAAAAGGGCTCTGGAGTACCGTGTTCGTTGATTGCGTATTGCGTATAGACAGAACCACAAGTGGAAGAGAGGCATGGAAACAAAGCAGGCCTGAGAAGGGAAGAAGAAGGACGGCGGGAGAGGGAGAGAGGAAATACTAATGGGTCTGCTTTGAGCCATGCGTGTATTAAGTAGGAGAATGCCGAGCAGATACTTCCGGAAAACACGGGGGCATGTGTGTATGTGTGTGCCATCATAAATAACGAACAGGGAGAGAGAGAGCTACATGACCAAGAAAGAGGAAAGTACAAGGCAACCAAAACAGTTGTCGTTATGATCCAAAAGTGCTTCAGAGGCAAAGTCGAGAAGGAAAATTCGTAGGGAGGAGTGACCAGAAGAAATATACTGGCAGAAAGGAAGCCCAACAAGTGATATTCTGAAGAAGATAAAAAAAAACAAACAAGGTTAAAATAATGGAGGAAAGGGGGTGTATCACAATCCACACAGATAACAAAAAAAAATATTCAAGCATTTTACAGCGTCACCAGAACCACAACCGCAACCAGAACGGCGAAGAGCGAGCCCCGCAGGACACGCTCACCCTGCGCCGGGGCACCGTTGTCCTGGGTGCTGCTGCCGCTGTTACCCTGGCTGAAGCCAGTGCTGGTGGAAGAGGAACTGCTGGTAGTGGAGCTGCCAGAGTTGCTGCTGGCCATGCCGCCCGAGCCACCGTTGCTGCTGGGGACGCTGTCGCTGGCGGAGGCGGTCGCGCTGCTGCTGCTGTTGGCACCCAGAGTCATGTCCAGGCCCGTCGCGCCGAGGGAGCCGAGCACGGTCGAGTTGCTGGTGATCTCGACATCCGCCTCCATGGCCGAGGAGGAGGTGTAGACGTAGGAGGTGTTGCCGGTCTGAGAAGTGCCGGACGGAGCTGAGTAGCAAGTGACATCCACCTGGCCGATGGTCGCGTAGTAGTAGCCCTTCTCCTGGATATCGGTGCTGTCCCAGTCAATCTCACCACCAGCCCAGGCGATGGTGCCCTCGGCGTTGCTAGCCTGACCGGCGGGCCAGATCGACATCTGCAGACGGGCGGGGGTTTGCGGGTACTGGTAGCGGTTGGCGGTAGAGTTCCAGGTGTCGGACTTCTTGAGGGTGCGCTTGACCTCGCCGTCCACGGACCACTGCGTCTGGTCGGGCTGCCAGTCAATCTCATAGGTGTGCCAGTCGTCGAAGGAGTCGCCGCCGTCGATGGAGGCGTTGGCGCTGTTGTGCCAATCGAGGACACCCTGCCAGTAGTAGTTGGTCTGAACGTTGCTTAGGTCGGCACCGACGAACTCGTAGTCGATCTCGTCCTTGACGTCGGACAGCAGAATGAACGCGGTGACGACACCGGCGCCACGGCTGCTCTTAATCTTGCCGGAGATCTTGCCGTACCAGATGTAGTGGTTGTTGGCGAACAAGGTGCCGACGCTGTTCTTGGGCATGGTCATGAGGAGGCTCCCATCATCAATCTTGGGGTAGCCGCTGTAGGTCCAATCGGCCTCGGAGGCGTCGCCGAGGTACTTGGTGTTCAGAATGGTGTTGTCGAGGTTGTCCCAAGTATAGGACTTGTCCTCGCAGACGGGCATGGGGGCACACGAGTCGATGGAGAACGAGGATTGGATGTCGCAACCACCGAGGCAGTATGCGCCAGTGCCACACTCGCCATATTCTGGAGAGAGCCGAGGAAGTTAGCCCAGATTGATGGTCCTGCGAGGATAGAGGAGAGGAGCAAGGTTGACTTACGTGAGCAGCAAGGCTTATCCTCGGGACATTGGCTGCTGGTGCTGCAAGTGGTGGTCGCGAGCGCGGTGGCCGAGAGGGCCGTGAGGGCCAGAAGCGGAGTCGCGAAACGGACCATTGTGTGAGAGATTATGTGCGAGAAATCCAGAATATACAAGAATAAAAAAAAAAGAAGAGGAGTATGGAAGAGCCACAGACAAACGAGCGAACTGTGGGAATTAAAACGAGGGCTAGAAGAGTGAACGAGGGACAGCCAGTGAAGCACGATTCACTGCGCAGGTTGGCGAAAGGAAAGTCGGGAGGAGGGAGAGGGAAAGCCGTCAAAGAGCGACAAGAGACAACCGTGCCATTTGTCCCGAAGTGGACTTTGGTCGACGATCGATGGGCCAGTAATCCAGTAATTCAGTACTCCTGTACTCCTGTACTCCTGTAATCTATCGGGGTATCGGGGTCACGTCGGTATCCATACCAGTGATATCCAGGGAACAGAGGACCCATCACCCCTTTTGGGCCAGGGTAGAACCTCGTCCAAGCGTCAGGGTTCGTGGATTAGGGGGCTTATCGGAACACTATGGACAGAATACAGCATACAGGGCGGGTTTGGGGCAAACCAGGGAACATCGATAGATTTTGTTTAGGGGCCTTGTTTAAGGGACTGTTAGGGGACTGTTAGGGGACCGAGTGGAGCCGCGACTTGTCCCTGTGGAGTTCGGGGGTCTTGGGAGGGTCTTGGGAGGGTCTTGGACGGCCTCTGATGGGCGCTTGCAAAGGGGTTTCCGGGGGACTCGGGGGGGGGAGGGGGACCCTTTTGGGGCAAAGACACCACTGTCTTTCGGGAGCTCAGGGATCTTGTGGCCTGTGCATGTGTATGGTACGGTAACCTCGGAAGGGGTTTGGTAATTTATCTGGTCTTTTTTTGGGGTTCCAAGACAAAGTTTCTGGTTGTCCGGGTTATTCTTAGCTATTTCCATACCCTGAACCCTGATCGCCCTATCATTCTTGGTTGACGTGTGAATTGTGAGGGTCGTGATGCTGGTGAGGATGGTGATGATGATGATGATGATGATGATGATCTGGGGGAATTGAGCGGACTCCGCATACTCTGCATGTATGACTCCAGCACCTGCGGTAGTCCTCATTTGCCAGAGATTAGCAGGTCTGATTAGTTCATTTCACTGGGGCCCCTAGTGGCGGGGGCGTTGAATCGGATTAATTAGTGGACGGCCGTTGGAGACCACCTGAGACATTTTCCCTCCAGGTGTTTGCCGCCGACCAGCCCGATGAAGGGCAAGACCGATCCTCCTTACAGAACGAATCCGGTTTCTACGATGATTATTATATATCAATTATCACCTCGATGGTTTCTCTGTTGAACAACACAACAATAAAACCAAAACCAAAACAAAAAAAACCCCCCTCGAGGTAGGACGAAGTGTCGCACCCAATTCCGGTCAATAGCGGTCAAATCACTCTCGGCGCAGGAACAGGAAGCAAAACCCACGCTGTGTTCCCCACGCGGGCCAGCCCAGGCCTCAATAATTATACCATTGGGACATGCGGGATGGCGCAGCCTGGGCATTGTGCGCCGTAGAACGTCCACCACATCGTTCCATTCGACTCGTGCTGACGACTCGTGGCGGCGGACTATCCCCAATAATCCATCATCAAACTCTCTCGACGCCGTAGTCTGTTCGGGATTGAGGGGTGCAGACTGCAGACCCAACTTTAACCGACCAGGCTACAATGCAAAAAAGTCTTGGTCCGGTTAGTCGCTTAGTCGATTCGTCTGCCAAATCTCGTGACATGGGCGCATGCCCAAAAAGGGGGGGAAAGTGGCCCTCCAAGAAACTCGGCGTCTGGGCCTGTTCAGTGGGCACCAGGACTCGTGTTATGTAAGAATAACTGGGAATGGAATCACATTCACTTTCCCCGTACGAAAAAAGAAACAAAAACCTTAAAGCAAGATCTGCTTGCTCCTGCGAACGGGAAATGCGCATCTAGGAACGAGCTGCTGTCGATCCAGCGGCAGCAGAACCTTGTCTGGTCGCATGCGGGCCAGTCGCCGCCCGCCGGACATTCGTGCTGGAGCTAACAAGGAGCGACGCTTGCTGATCGCCTGGGCATGAGGGGGCACCAAATTGGAGCGTGTACGGAGTACAGTGCTCTGTCCTCTGTACTCTCTACTCTGTGTGCTGTGTTCTGTGCTCTGGAGCCCCATACAGGAAGGAGAAAGAGAGAGAGAGTCTTAGGAACTGGGACAGCTACCACATCTGATGTGGTAAACATCGTGCTTTTGGCCAGCAACCGATATTTTTCTTCCAGAAGGAATGCTGAGCACCATATCGGAGATCCTGTGTTGACTCGGGCTGTTTATTATTCAGCCCAAGAATGTGTCATCCCCGGTACGCAGAAGTAAGGGGCGTTCAAATGTGCGTCCCAAATACCATCGGCCGACCAAGACCGATAAGGCTTGACGGAGCACAATACAGTCAATGCCGTCCGTCGGCGGGGAGCAGGCCCGATGTGACGGGCTGCAATGAACTCGACTCGACCTGAACCTGTGTGATGGCGTTCCAGCACGTTTCTGACTCCGCGTATTGTACTCTGTCCTCCGGACGCGCGAGCGCCCGATTGCCGCTTCCAGGCTAGCGCTGTGCAACTGCCCTCGAAGCCCCATCACCACGCGAGGGTTGGTAGGATTCCAAATATTACCAGACTCGATGGGAATGCACGAGCTGGATGTGCGAGGCCGGACGTGCAATGGGTTCTTGCATTTATGTACGCAGGGTAAAATTGTCGAGCAACTCTTAGCCTTCTCTTCCTGTTCTAGTGCTCACTCCTCGCCGCTTTTTTGATCACTAAGTAGAAAGAAGCACGCCTCTGAGCGGGCCTGAGCTACTTGGTAGTTACTATTATGCACGCCCTCGCTCGCGGAGTATTACAAGCTTAGCTGTAATACAGTGACCACCCTAGTTGCAGCCTCTCTGTCTAAGGCGTAAGATACTACTCATAGAAGAAAGGAAATTGATCTTACTCAAATACGAAAAAAACGTAGTTCACAAGCGTTCAAATCACACAAGCATTCGGAAATCCTCATCAAAAAAAAAGCCTTTTTCAACGAAAACGGTATCTGTGCGAAAGATATCTATAACTTTGACAAAAGCCGGCTTCGTAATAGGGTTGATATCTATTGCTTGAATCGTAACACGTGAGATATTTCTACCGCCAGAAAGCTCGTCTACAACTAGAAAATCGAAAATCGAGAATGGATAAGGGCAATTGAATCTATATCAACAATCAGGTTCTCGCCTCCGCCGTGTATTATATTTGAAGGGGGAGGTCTATTTTGCGAATTAGTTTTGATAAGCTACTATACTATCGCGATTTCAAATATCACAAAACGGATAGACAACTGATAATATAATCCTACGATGGCTAGGAAAACTCTTTGTTCGAGCAACAATTACGTGTACGTAAGGCAAATATCGGTTGTTGGAAATAGATATTTTGCTCTATTAAAACGTTTATACGGCCGCTTCATTAGGTTCTAGTCCCGACTAGGCCATAATCATACCAATAAATTTAATTCCCTGGAATCATATAACGAATCATATAAGAAAAATCATGGATCACCACGCAGGGTGAATCTCAGCTTCAGAGTAGCGTACTCCATGCCGGGACGCTTTACACCCTACAACAACTTTGACTTGGACAAATAAATTGGCTAGTCTATCATCATCAGGTGGGTGAATATACACCCACTCTTTCACCGGTTCTTTCGATGAACTTAGTTGCAAGCGCATGGCAAAGAGCAGCATCCTCTTCTTGGTCAAATTCCTTGTTGAGTGCAAAGGGGATATGGGGCGAGTTGGGAGTTTCATGCACTTCAACATCATTACCATTCTCCTTCAATCTGAGTGGGAACTCAATAATACTATCATAAAAGAGCTCCGATGTACCAGCAGAGAAAAAGACGGGAACGCCCAGCTGATATTCGTTCCCGAGAGAAGTGAAGTAAGAGTTGTTGCTATCCCATCCAGGGGGTATAAAGGCTCTCTGGCCCCAGTCCAGGAAGTCGTATTTGACATAGTCGCGGTTGTAATTGCGGTTCTTAGGCAGATCGTCCACGGTCTTTCTGCTCATATCGACCCATGCAGATAGCAGAAGTGCACAGCGAGGCAGAGGAAGCGCCGGATTTTCGTTCTTGATATATCGCAGCATCGCAAGAATCATATTAGCGCCTGCTGACTCGCCGGCCAGCACGATTTGAGAAGGTGGGGTTTTAAATATCTCCAGAGCATAGACGTAGGCAGTGATTCCGTCCTGAAGTGCCGCTGAGAACGTCGTATTCTTGTCCCGCGAGAGGCGGTACTGAATAGAAAGCAATGGCCATCCAGATACTTCGCTAAATCTATTGCAGCCCCAGCTGGCACCATCGGCCGGACGCGGACCGAAGGTCACATAGCCACCTGCGTGGAAATGGATGATCAGTCGTCGCGGAGGTTCAACCGGAGCCTTCGGGTACCAAACAGCGCCAATAGGCACGGGCTCAATTTAAGGAATGGAGCAAAGGATTCCTTTATAAATCTTATGCATGGTCGTCTGTTCCATGCCTTGATCGGTGTTAGGCGCTGCGATAGTCTTTTGGGGGTTAAGCACAAAGAAGCGATCTCCATCTGGACCTGGTTCCAGTTGTTTTGGCCATGATTTCTCAACAGCCATCCAATATTTCGTGAGCGAATTTACGATGCTATAGAAGAAGAAGTGATTGAATTAATTATAGACATGAAGACGTGACGGAGGATGCACTGAAGAATAGGGTGCGAATGAGTCTGTATTGGGTCTATAGCAGACCGACTACAGAGCATGGGGCATAAAGATTATGGCAAGCCTCGGCCCCTAATAAGTGGTTATTATCCTCATAACACCGGAGGAAGTCAGGGGTAGATAGTTATACGAAGCACATACTCCAGAATTGCTGAGACTTTCTAGCGCTATCAACCTGTATCCTTGTAAAAAGATATTAATGAATCGCTCGATCAGCTGCGCCTTGGGGGATGCCGACTCCCTTTGTGTGCAAGGATTTTGTACGGCTTAACGATTATCTTGCCTTCGATGTACAAAGTAAAATTAATGAATTAATAAACACTATTATGTACCTAAATGGATCTATATGAAACGCCTTTTCAAGTTACCGTCCACACCATAAGCGCCTACGTCGGTTTGACGCATAGAAATGAAAAAAAGCCAAATTACTTGGTCTTATCTGTATGGTCGCCGCACAACTTGAGGATTTTCTCACAGGCCATCACGCGTCCAGGAATTGGGGATAATTGATTCCGGAGGGCCAGCGCTTTGTTGCGTATTGTCTCCGACTCCTCGCTAGCGAGAACGCGCCGAAAGGCTTCGCCAAATTCCTTGCCGTTGATTTTTGGTGCGCTTTTCTTGCTGCCCCAGACTCCGATGCCATGATACTCGACTCGGCTTGCGAAGTCGTACGTGTCGAACCAGACCGGTAGCACAATGTGAGGGACACCGGCCCTGTTCATGGTCAGTTTGTGCAGACAGGATACAAAAGAGAAAAGAAAAGGAGAGGTGAATGGGGACTCACCAGACTGCCTCATTGTAGGAGTTGGCGCCACCATGATGGACCATGCAGACCACATTCCCGCTCTCCAAAATACAGGCGGGATCAGCATTCAGCCAGCTCTCGGTTCGGACTCGTTGGGTAAATGAGTCGTCGACAAAATCCTCCAACTTGAAATCTGTTCCAGCCAGAGTTTTCATCTTCCATAGGACCTGGACATCGCTCCGGCAATCGAGAAGAGTCTGGATGGCCTCTATGTATTGTTTCATGTTCTCAGTGTCGGTGAGAAGGTGTGATCCTAAATTAATCAATACTGTGGGAGCTTTGGCCAGCCATGTCGCTAGACTGGGGCTTTCAACCGCAATGGAGCGGAAGGGCCGTAGGATGGGGCCGCAGGTGGTAAATTGCTCGGTAATTTGACAAGGGAAGTCTATTTCTGGCGAGCAAGCTATAATGTAAGGGATGTTTTTGTCCTGTAGAGTTTCCCATGTTGCTAAAGGACCTGGAATACCGTGCTCGTTTCGGTAGGTGTTCAAATCCTTGAGGGCAGGGAATTTGGGGTATATTATTGCCACCTGGATGGCAAGATAGATGTTTTTAAAGAAAAATCGCCAGGGGATGGGGAACGGAAAGCCAGAGCCAGAACTGCAACCGATGAGTCATTATATTAGCGAGTAACAGTAGACAAGGAAAAGATTGTTGCTCACAAAGGATATTTCCAGAGCGTGGCCAGCCACGGTTGGAAGACATGGTCTTTAAGGGAATTCGCGCTCAGGATAGTGAATTCTCTGCCCGCTGTCCGGCATGCATCTATGCTTTGATAAAATAAGGAATCAACAGTAATAAGTGTGGGCTGGATCTCCTTGATTATGGTCACTATGCTGTCATGTGCCTTCATATATTCGGGACCGGTCCAACACGCCATTAACTTTCCACTCTTCGTTTTGAAGGCATCTAATACGCCATCATACCCAGGCAGGTGGGTTGGAAAGACGCTCTCGGACCATCTCTTTGTATAGGTTTCTGCCATCGATAAGCCGTCAACTGGGTGGAAAGTTGCTGATTTGGCGGGTCCGTCCGAGAGGAGCGCAGCCCGGGCATTCATTTCCTCCACCGGGCGACTTAGGGCATTGAATGAGGCTATATGTACGTCGCAGCCACGGAGGAGCAACTCGTGGGCAACCGAGAGAACAATAGTGGCCTGACCAAGCTCACTGTGGGTTATCATGAGAATCTTCTGGCCTGCCATGATGGGGAGTGGGTGGGGTGAAAACGAGCAACGAAGCACACAAAACAGGAGAAGAAATTCCAGATATTGAAGCGGAAAGGAGCTTATTTAGAGGCCGAAAAAAGCCCAGAAAAGTCAATTGGCAATTGGCAGTCACTTTGTTTTCCCTAACATAGAGCTTTGTGTATTCGGAATCCCTACAGCTTCGCTTACTTATCGATCATTTTGGGGGCGCTTTCTCAATAATTCCATAATCCGACGACGTTTTTTTCCCTGGAAAGGGATCCTGAAACCAATCATGAGCTAACTTTACATGTCGCGCCTCTGTCAATTCCTTTTATTGGGGTGGGGGCGAAATATAAAGAGAGTTTCATCTGTAACCAGCTGGAATCTCACTGCAATTTGTCCAGATCTGGCTACCGAAACGACAACAGAAAACACGGAATCGTTCATTGGTTAAGGACGAGTGGCGTTGGGGCCGCCGAGCGCCGAATTCTTTTTGGAACACCAGCATTTCCCAGGGGGGCCGGTACTCATCAGATTTAGGTCGGTACTGTGAGAGCTTAATCCAAGCATCTCCTCAAGGTTCATTCTACTGCCAATACAGGAGCCACAATGCTTTCTTTCTGATTTAACCTTGATTCCTTACCCAACCGGCAGTCCACTACGCTGACAAGTAGGACCTCTACAAGTTATTAGTGCTTACAATCGCAGCTGAGTAAGAATTACTAGTAAGTAATTAACTAACCGACGCTATTCACTAACGTATTTCACTATCCCGTGACGCACACTAGCTGGTGACGCACCCTACCAACTACTACTTTTTGAAAACACTATTTTTCCACCAAAACACTAGATATTTGATTCAACTATCTAGCATTACATTGATTAATCTTATGCCCTATATTCCCACATCCAGAACACCGAAACACACGCTTGGTAGTAGGCCTAGCGCATATAGTAGGCTGCTGAGTAAGCTCTGTGTTAGAGAATAACTACTTGTAAATGGTAGAAAGCCTGCCGACTAGGTAGGAAGATAAACGTCAAGTAAGGAAAGCAAAACACTGTTTCTTGCTATCATGGATCTCTCCATAATCCTCAATTTATGTACAGGCTTCAACACTTTCCCACATGACCAAAGCAAAGACGATGGATCACATTACAACATGCGGTCTGACGTGGCCCACATGTAACAAAGGTAAGCAAAGGATACAGGGAAGAGGGGTTCACGAATCCCTAATGGAAGGGCACCGAACCCCCAGGGCCTTGTAGGTCATACATCCATGTTGGGGAGAAGTGGGGCTGTCATGTCGAAGCCTGACCGATAAGGTGTCAAACTGACACCTGAGGCATAGAGTTGGGAATAGCCTCATGTTGCAATATCATATGACATATCACTACGCGTTGCTAGTAGAAGATTTACTGTATCTTTAATATACGAAAGCCTAGGGGAAACACTACACGTATTAAGCGATAGTATCCACTGACAAAGTGAATCCTCTTCTTTTTGTGTTAGTTTATAGCTATTAGGGCGTATATCAACAATCGAGGCTCCCCCTGCGCGTCGTCGGCGAAGCGTTGCTTCTGGCACGCTATATATATCTACTGCTTTGCGAATTGATAGATTCGTGTCATTTTTAATAGCTTCGATTGCTAATAGGATTCGGCCTTCCTGTTCAAGTGATTTTAAGCGCTTTTCAGAACGTTTTGGTGGCATGGTATGTGGTGGAAGATAGTAGGTGACGCGTGGGAAGCGTTTTGATGGGGTGCGTCATCCGCTAGTGTGCCTCACGGGATAGTGAAATACGTTAGCGTTCGGACTACACTAAAATTCGGATCATAATCCCACCTACTATTTTGGAAGAGACTAGTTTTCCACCAGAAAATCAAATATTTCAATCATCTTATCTACCAGCGAAATTATTAATTTTATGCCCTATATCATTATATCGAAAAACACCGAAAACAGGCCTGTGTATAGGCTCAGCACGCTCAGTAAGCTGCTACGTCTGTTGGTTTGGGCTAGGAATATACTGGTCTCCTCAAGATCCAGTCTCTTACAAATTTAGGAGCTACTGGATTTATCCTTGATTCCTTGCCCAACCAATGGCCCACTACTCTGACAAGTTTACCTTTACAGTATCCTCATACAATAATAAATCTATAAAAGGGAATAGTAGTATTAGTAGTATTCATGTACTAGATATCACAGTATAGATAACTCAAAAGAGGCTCTCCTTTTCAAGTATAGTAAGTTATGGACTAGACTTCAGAAAGTAGCTACTGAGCAGTGGCTATATAGCTAATACCGCCCATAAGTAACCAATTGCTAAGATCTTTGAAATCATGAAGCATGAGTCATCCATCACATGCCATTGCTATAGCTAATCACTAAATCTAAGCTCGCGCTGATATCTACTCAGTGAGCCTTAACCGGAGCGCCCTCATAAAAGCGGCGGCAGCTGAGACAGGAAAGCTCCACCTGCCAGACATTATCCGGTCTTTATGGGTGCATGTATAGAAACATGACTCGTCATATAGATGAAGATGAAAATGAACGAACGGAGACAAGTCAACACCAAGTGTCATGGGAGCATGGGCCCCCCTTCCATGTGGTCCCCCATCGGGTGTCATTCGGGAAAATTTCCGTAATTCGGAACTTGATAAGACAACAATCAATCTAAGCTCAATAGAAGATTTTATTTGCTGAGACATGACACGACATCCCCAGGGTTGGGTGGAAAGCCGACACCGTGTCCAGTTGAGTCGGCGCATGCAACCCACACAGGATCAGGTACGAGCAGAGATGTTTTCCCTTGAAAGCCTTGAAAGCTACACGCTAAAATCTTTTAGGACAAAAGCGCCTACAGAAGGAAAATGTCTGACGACGTAAGCAGCGTCTCATAGCTTCATGCGAGTCCACAACAGCCCCCAAAGACCGTCAATGACCTTACAACAAAGCGACCGCTTGTATCTTTAGGGAAATCGGTAGATCGTCGACCGTGGGACTACAGTATGTATACAAATCAACCGTGGCCTAACGCCAGTTAGCCTTGTATACACCGTTTCCTTTCAAGTCCGTGAAAACATAATTATACATGGAGTAAGAATGGCGTGGCGCAAAGGGATATAAAAAATAAAATAATCTAATTAAGAATATCGACAGATAATCTAAGGTTGTCTAGTCTAGTGAGTAAGCCACCGGTCGATCTTCCGCGCCACATCGACACACCGCTCGTCAACGAATCTAGTATATAGACCCGCTACATACAGATTGATGACAGACAGAATTACGAAACCAGTCAACCACGAAAAGGCAAAAGGCCCCGTATACTCACTTGCGGCTTGTGTGCCCGGATACCCATCTCGCGTGGCTACGAACCATAGGAAGTTCCGGATAGGATCTCGGACCAGGTGGTAAACAGACTGGTGCACGAGGTAGAGCGAGAAGGAGATTTTACCCAGATACTGAATTGGACGCACGTTCAAGGGGCGTTGCAGGCTGGGCGACTGGCTGATAGCGAAGACGACGAGCACCGAGCCGACAGTCTTCCAGCATTTGCTCATCACCGCCCAATCGCCGTCCCAGCGCGATGATTCGACCGCCTCAAGAAATTGGTAGCCCGGCGGGAGATGGCCATCGTCACTCAGACACACAAGATAGGTCCCGAAAATAAAACAGATGGCGTTTCGGAGAGTCACTACACGGGGCGACTTCATTTTCGAGGCCCAAATCGTGGTCAAGGTATGGAAGGGCAATTTGGGTTCTTCATCAATGGAGGTTGCGCCTGATAGAATCCGCATTTCGGCCATATAGAGACCGGCCATGAAGCCGAAGATGTCCCAGAGTCCAAAGTAGAACCAGTAGACTGTCAGACACGCCAGGGCAAGGCGGCGGAGCTGCGGCCGCCAGAAGGCCAGCCCCAGGATAGTGAGATAGGTGATGCAGGAGCCACGGAATTCCAAGGGCATGGTCCAGAGCTGGCCGTTCAGACCCGGATTGCCTTGGAAGCTGATAATATTCAAGTTGTCAATCATGTAACGAAAGACAAAGGTGACGTGACGCCATGGGGTAGTCCATGGTCGTCGGCCCCAGAGCGCGTCGTCGCCAAAATTCCACTGGTAGAGATTACAGAAGAAAAGCACCTGCGAAATGACGGTAATGACAAAGACGGGCAGGTAGATGCGGAAGACTCGGCGAGTGACGGCGGAGGCTAATCGGCGCACAAACTCGCCGTCGTTGCTTTGGCGCAGGCGGAGGAGGTTGATCGAGATTGCATACCCCGAGATCACCAGGAACAACGGGACCATGGCATGTGCGGCGAAGAGTAGCCGAATCGGGGGCAGCTGGATCAGTCGCCGATTTTCCTCGGGGGGATCGGCCCAAAACGAGAGGAAGGCATTGTCTAGGACGCCGCCCATGAAGTAGTGGTCTGTTGCAACAATGGCGGCGGCGATGCCGCGGAGGCCATCGAGCCAGGTGGTGCGGTCCATGGTCGTGTTGGCCGCCAGCCGGGCGAGTTGGATTCAGGGAAGAAGAAGAAGGAATAGGATTAATTCGGCATTCTCATACTCGTCATGCACTCAGCACCCAAGTCAGACTAACGGAGCAGAGACATTCAAACCCGATGGTTACGATAATTGGGGGCCGTCGAACTACTAGCGGCGGGGTGGACCCTTTTTTTATTTTCCTGTTTTCTCTTTAAATTTGTGACCCACTGGGGCCACTAAGGGTCATGGATGCTATGGTAGCACTTGGGAACTAAAACCCCTGAGTACATACGTTATGATGTGGGGAGAGCAGAGTCTGACACCCGGGACAAGGTCTCAACTTGGGAGCATGCTTCACTCGTCCATCTTCGTCCATATTCATTCATTTACAGGGATGGGTATGTATTAGATCATGCAGATCTTGCTATTAATATTCAGATTCATATTTATTAATGTTCCATCCGTCGATCACTCTGATTTCTCAAGATTAGGGCCCCGTCGGATCCCGTGATCGACTGTAGTGATTTGTTGATGATCCGCCAGCCCTGCAACGGTTGTGATCAGCTCTATAGAGGCCGTAGAATGTGAATATACAAATCTACGAAGAAGAAAATAGCCTTCATGAAAATAATCAGCCCAGTATGCTTCACTCTTGGCAAGCCCAGTTTTCCACTCGACGGGGCAGCCACCCGCTGACCCAAGGCAGGCTCGTCTGACGCCGCGAATCGCCCTCAGGGATGCCGTTGCCTAGCAGGACCTTGTTGTCCATCTTACACCGGTCCTCGTAGAAGGCCCACTGCACGCACTCCGCCCACGCCACACAGGCCGCTTCACATGCGTCAACCGACTGCCACGCGGTGCGCCAGGTCTCACCCGACTTGACCGTGTTTGGTGTCTCGGCTGTTGTGGCAGTGCTCGACGTGATTTCGTGCTTGCCAGACCAATTATCCCACCACTCCGCACGCGGGCGGAGGTACGGGGCGACCAGCGCCTCGTATATGTCGCGATATCGCAGCGGGCCCTGTTGAGTCAAAGATTAGTCTTTTCGGTCTATTTTCAGATCTGGGGAAAAGAGCGCAGATCCAAAGAAAATTTTTTCCCAAGACCAAAAATCGCACAAAATAGAATTAAATGAAACACACCAGACAAATGCGGGGGAAGCTCAAGACTCACCTTCTCAAAGTTCCAGGACTGTTCCAGATTGTAAAATCGCGCGACATCGCGACCGTGCGTATGGTGCCAGCTATACACGGGCTTGCACCAGTTGGCCGGCTCATACCAGGTCGACCAGTGCGCGTCCGGGTTGAACCCATACCGGAACCGACTGTCGTCGGTCGTCTCGCCGAACTGCACGCCATACTCGCGCAGCACATGGCCCAGGATATGATCGCCACAACCATGTTCTTCCGTGAAAGCGGCGAACTTTTCCACAATGCGCGAGTCCTGGCCGAAGCTCTGCTCCCATGCGCCGCGCGAGAGCGCGAAGCCCGAGCCGCCGTGCGCGAAGTAATCGCCGTGGATCCACGCCAGACTGCCCAGGTACCAGGGCTCGCGATGATTGAAGGTATTGAGGTGGCGTAGCAAGTTGGGGAGGAAGATATAGGAGTCGTCCTCCATGAAGATGTACCATTTGGCATTAGGCCGATTGCGACCAGCGTGTTGGACTATCGGTAGGAATTTGTACTTATCCAGTTTCCATCCACCGGGGGGTCCAGCCGCGTCGCCGGGCATGTTGGAAATCTCAGCATAGTTCTGGCGCGCCTCGTAGTCAGCCTGCTGCTGGTATGGTTGGAAGGTCGCCGATTGGCGAACGGTGTCGGAGGTGTTGGCGAGGATGTCGATAATGTTCCATTCGCCAATGGTTTCGGGATAATCGGAATACAAGAGCACGTTGTCAGGGTGGATGCGGTTGGGCGCGAGAGTCGTGGCCAGGTGAATGGGCACACGCTTCCACAAGACCGTGGCGCCGGTCTTGAACATGAGGACCACATCGTCGGTGGTTAAGCCCTCGGAAGAAGGAAGAGATTGACTGGAAGTGGAAGGAGAGGAAGAGGAAGGAGAGGAAGAAGTATAGACATGAGGTTTGGCAGAAGGAACGGCAGAAGGAATGATGTGAACGCGCTGGTCTACAGCTTCGTCGTCGACATAGTTGGAAGTAGAGCTCGAGTCGGCCTTGCGCGGGGACTCGGCGACGAAGGCGTTGGGAACGGCGGCCGCGGGGATCTCGCCCAGTGGACCCTGACGATCCAATTCAAAATGATAGACAAAGATGAAAAACGTCAAGAGCATAATCCCCAAAGGGACTACCTGATTGTCCTTGTAGAACGGCTGGCGCATCGTGAAAGCAGATGAAGGCGCTCAACCATGACAAGAATCAGGCACAAGACGAAGTTCGGCTTGTTGATAAATTATTCCCCTCTTTTCTTAAATTTGTCAATCATTCGATGACCCACAGGCAGCCTAATCCCAAAAGAAAGACAATACAAGAAAAGACCAAGAGCACCTCGAACCGAGCATCTCGTCAATCCTGCAGTGGTTGCGCCAAACCCTAACGGGATTCGTCCGGAATTTGAAGCCTCGCAACTCCACTTGGATGCTCCAATGTCTCACCAGGTTTTCTAAAATAGACCCACTATGTTCGACCGGTTTAGTGATAGCGCTGACTTATACCGACTCATGCGGCTCGAATGGACCCCGCCTAGAAGTAGACGGTCACTAAAAAATACGAGGTCTTATTCGCAGTGTCGGGATGACCGGAGAATGCCCCTGAGTCCTAATCTTGGAACTAGCGGAAGGCTAGAGATTAGCAGACACGGCTAGGCGGCATGTCTGAGCCTCACGGTCGTGCCATGGTCTTATGCTTTTGGCGTAGTGAAATGGAAAAAAAAAATTTAAAAAAGTGGACGCGAAGGGACGCCTGGCGGAAGTTTGATTCTTTCTTTTCGGAGTTTACATTGAGTCGACGAGTACATTCTCTCTTATCCTTCGTTGTTTGCCTCACGAATCTTCGATTTCTTCTTGATTATTTGTTACTTCGTCATTCGTTATTTGTTCTCGCTGGTTGAGTCCCGGGGTTGACCTCCTAATACATACGATGGACTCTTTCTCCGAAAAGAACTTGTATACGGGGCACTCGATGTTCAAAGAACGGGGCCCTGACGTCTCTCGCTTTCGACAGTTTCTTAATCTACTGGGATGCATTATCGTGATCCCCATATACTCATACATTACGGGCTATACGCGTCACCCGTTAACCCTAGATATTCTGCTCACTATTTTTGCGGCCGAATATAATCGTTATGCAAATGAGAGCCGCCGGAGACGGCTGCAAGCCCCTTCCAATCAAGACCTTGAAAAGGCCAGTTATCTACTCACCAATGCGGATCGGGGCCCAGAATGCATGGCCGCCATTGTAGGCTACCGGGAAGACCCCGAACTCTTTGCGAGGGCACTGGAGAGTTACAAGGACACAGCGGAGTGTCGTTTTGTCCTGGTCGGAGTCGATGGGGATGACACGCCTGACATGGAGATGGTTCAAGTCTTCCAACAAGTAAGTGAATTGCACATATGTTTCTATGAATCTGGAATAACATTCAAACCACAGGTTTTCACCGACAGATCAGCGGTCATTCAGATCGAGGAGCCTTTGGGTGAGATTGCCATGAAGACTTTTGAAAAGCTCTCCAGCATCGATGGGAACTCCCAAGCCCCCCAGGTGTATATGGAAGCTACTATCGCCCACTGCTGCCGTCTTGCTCGCGAAATTTTGGCTGAGCATGACCTGGATCTCGGCGAGTCTGGTGGCATTACCAGGCTGTGTCTATTCCAGCCGCATCTGCATAAGAAGGGTATTATGTTCTCAGCATTTATCTTTTCTATTGTCATCTCTGAGATGCTTGGGATTGAGTATCTGTGGTCCTCCGACTCCGACACAATTGTCTTACCCTCTTCTCTACGAAGCACGATTGAAACTATTGCTGGAGACCCCCACGTGGGTGGAGGTAGTTCTGGCCTAATTGTGCACAATGAAAATGATTCTATCACCACGAAACTCGGCAGTGTGGTCTACTGGTCTGAGCTGTACATGACCCGCTCAGTCTCGACCTCGTCAGGAACCAGTGATTGCCAGTCTGGCCCCAGCACAGCCTTCCGAGTCTCTGCGCTCCCAGCGGTCTTGTATCCATGGTATACGCAGACCGTGCTGGGACACCGCATGATCGTCAATGAGGACCGCCATTTGACAACAAACCTACTCATGCGCGGATGGACCGTGACTTATGTCTCCGACACATTGACTGCGACCGATACGCCTACCACCTTGAGTCGCTGGATCATGCAGCAAGTCCGCTGGAGCCGAGCAGGCCACATCGAATCCTTCCAACAGCCCCAGGTCTACCTCCTCAACAACCCTCTGTTCTTCTGGGCCGCCATCAAGCGTGAGGCCGGCCCTCTGCTAGGATTTGCCTACATTCTTTACTACCTGATCACGGGTAGATGCTTTGCCTACTTTAACTGGTATGATGTCGGCATCCGTATCGCCTATACCCTCATCTATAATTTCTTCCGCAACCCCGATCGTGGTCCAAGCAACTACTGGTTCTGGATCGCTCCGGGCCTCCTGTTCTACAATATCCCCCTTCCAATGATTCACCTGTGGAGCTTGATAACCGTGTTCCAAGATGGCTGGGGGACGTCCATGCGCTCTACGAGCGAGCTGTCGCAGCGCGGTAAGGCCTGGAAGCGATGGAACGATCTGGGTTTCTTTGTTGTGTGGATGGGCATTGTTGGAGGCACATTGGCACGCATGTTTGCGAATATGGCTGGCTGGGATCAGATGAGTATCTTCAAGGCTATTATCTTGGGCATTCTCGTGCCCTCGGCGGTGTCCTTTTACGGGCTGGTGATGCGTGAATGATCCAAAGAATAGACTACTATACGGTTCCCCTCCTTAGACTTAAAACCTAGAGCTCCTAATTAAACGTGAATGAACAATTCTGATGCAAGATTCGGGTATATATAGTAGATTGGAACAAGGCAATCTAATCCTGTAACTGGCTGGCCCATGCATCATTATAATGGCACATGAAGAGGAGCTTGGTGCAGACGGGCCAAAGTCAAAAGCATGTGCTCAGCTCAGTTGACGACAAATACTTTAATCCAGGGAGAAATTGTCCTGTCCAATCTCTTTGTAAAGTCCTTGGGAGCAATAAAACGAGGTTTCCTGTGCCGGCCCTCACCTCTGATTAAGCTCAAGCAGGTCATGTATCTGAAACAAGGGATCGACATTGGCGATTATTGCGCGATTCGGCTAGATCCAACCACCAAGCCAAAATCCAAATACCCTGTCACGTATCTGATACACTTATGATAGCTTCGACCGGCCTGCATAAACATGCCTAGAAACGGCGCATTGTCCCTCTTACTGTCCTTTTCAACCAGGCAAATTGGAGATAAACGCCAATCCAAGAATAGCCGACCAATAAAGCGCCAGCCACTATTATCGATAAATGTGGCGACTGATATGTACATTCATTTAATCCGGTTTATTTGCAGAACTATTTCGAGATAATGCTCCATGACTCGCGCAATCATGATAAAAACCCCTCTTTGTGAACTATCTACTTCTCTCACTTCCTGATAACCAGCGACGAAGCTAGTTGAAAGAATGCAACATCTCAATATACGAGGCGCAATAATACTGGTAGGGATCTATTAGATAGTGATAGGAAATCATGCCAAGAGAAGTAATCATCATCATCTATGCTGACCGATCCATAAAAACTACCTCAATGAGCGCAATTATACAAAATCCATGGTGTTTCCTCTCATATACAGGATGGCCCGAAACGTCCATTTCGCATACCGTGAGTTGCGCTGTTTTTCTCGTGATGGTTCGGGTTGGAATATTTCCCTCTTTATTATTTTAAATCTCACATAAAACCTCATATCTTAGATCCGAGTCAATCCGAAAGTGGAGGGAAGTTTCGCACAAAGCTAGCAAAGCACACAAATGTCAGCTTTCTGCAAAACAAAATGACTAAAACGAATATTCAAGACACGGCTTTCCGTGGCGTCTTGTGAAGGGGTGAGGGGAACATACTGAGCAGGGCATTCGTAGCCAGAGGGGTTGTTCTGGAGGTAGAGCTGATGGTACTCCTCTGCATCCCACCACTGGCCGGCCGGGAGGACCTGGGTCGACACGGGCTGCTTGAACCACTGCTCGCTGACCTTGGAGGTAATATCTTCTGCGATCTTCTGCTGTTCCGCGCCATGGGTGAAGATCACGCTACGGTACTGAGTGCCGACATCAGGACCCTGGCGGTTCAGGGTCGTCGCGTCGTGCATGCGGTAGAAGAACTCGAGGAGCTGGCGGTAGGTGACGATGGACGGGTCAAAGGTCATCTGGAGGGCTTCGGCATCTGCAGAGATCGGGCAAGCATTTAGTGAGCATTTGTTTGTTTCATGAGGTGCGACGGTGATAACTTCAGGAACTTGGGGGAAGCATTCGGGGAAGACATACGGCCTGTATCGCCTGAGCAGACGGCACGGTACGATGGCGACGAAGTCTGGCCACCGCAGTAGCCGACTTTCGCGTCCAAAAGACCCTTGCCGTTGCCGAAGTGCTTACGGTACAGGTGCTCGACGCCCCAGAAGCAGCCGGCGGCAACAGTAGCCTGTTCGGTGGTGGAGGACATCTTTCGCGCTTGCGATTCCGGGGTCAAGGCGAGAATGGGTGAGCTGGTTGAGAAGCGACGTAGGAGGCGTGAAAGGAGGGTAGAGGCTGCCGGAGCGGCGAAAGACATCTGCAGAATTCTGGATTCTGGTGGGGAACGGGATGGATGGCAAGTGGGGTGCAGCCCTGGAGGGAGGGTATATCTCTGTATAATGCCCGGGACCAGACGGGAGGAGCTGATGCAAACACAGTCGCTAGTTTACGGAACTGTGGAAGCTGAGGTGAGTAATCCAGTCAGTGTGGCGCTTGTCTCGACCGACTAGACTGGATCTTTGAGGAAGATGATTGTCGGGAAAGGAAATTTGGAGCTGCGGACTGCTGGAAGTGGCGTCATCTCGTCTGACAAAGCAAGTCAGAGCTCCCCGCAATTGGGAAACTCCCGGGATTTAGGCTTTCGGAGAGTTTTGGTGGTGCCTTACAGCCATTCCAGTCGTCATCTATACTGGCGATTAAAGTGATTGTTAGGTAGTGGATGGCATCTTTGAGGCCACCGCAACATAGTTGCAATGAAAACAAACTAGCGCCATTAATGTACACGACAAAAAGAATATGTCAGGGCGGAAAAGAAAGTAAACACAAAACATCGACATCCGAATGCAACCACACTGCTCCAGCCGGGTAACATAGTCAATGACACGAGAGAAAAAATGACACAAAGAAAGAAAACACCGTTAGATCCATGGCTGAGTTTGGTGGTTAGGGGAGCAGACAAACAGAAAGACAGAAAGGAAACAAAACAAAAAAAGGTGGTATCTAGTACGCCGACGCCATGCCAAACTCCCACTATTCCTTTCTCGGTACAGGAGAAACAGAAAATCAATTCGTTGTCTACCGCAATCCACCAGATGTGAAATCCGCTGTGTGGTTCACTGCGGGCGCGGCAATTACACTGAGGCGGAGGGCATCCCTGCTAGACAGGCTGGCATGTCGAGGCCGGATTTCCCCTCCAAGGGTCGTACGGCGGCTGGTGTTCTTCATCACAGGCAGGGTATGAGGACTCAAAACACGGGGCTTAGCCTCGAGCTCTCGCTCACTCTTGACCATACGCCGAGCCTGGGAGGCAGTGAACATGGTGTTCTCGCTAGGAGAGCTCCCGTAGGTGTTGGAGCTGGGACTGCGACGGCGGTGGACCCGCAAGGAGTTGGAACTGGCGGTAGATCCAAAATGACTGCTGGAAATTCGGCGCATGGCAGAGTTGATTTTCATTGCATCATCTTTGTCCGTCTTCCAGTTGTCCTTGTTCTCTGATTTGCTCTCGGAAGCTGGGCTACTGGAGAAATTTCCGCTTGGAGACCGAACAGCAATGCGAGATGGGCGCTCTGATGAGGCGCGGTTGAGGAAGCTACTGCCATCAATGTCACGAAGGGGGGAGTTTTCGTTGTCAGAGAGAGGGAGGCTAGCCATTGGGGGGGTGCTAATGGAGAGCTTCCAACTCGCGGTTTGGACAGGAATCCAGCCTTGAAGCGACTGTTATTCTTCTGAATGTTCAATGTCGGCTCAGCTGGCACGGGAGCTGAGTAATTCAAGCCAGAAGGACTCACTACCCGCGGGATGTTGCGGGGGATAGGCGATACTCCCCGAGGCAGTGAAGGCTCCGAGGGCTCGCAAGGCTCATCGGAGCTAGATTCACCGGCGGATTCGGGCTTTTGAGGAGTCTTTTGAAATTCAGTGAGAGGAGCATCCTCCTCATCATCCTTCCATCGAACAGATCGCTTAGAGGCCTTAGGCTGTGTCCTTTTGGGGGTGAAGCTAACACTCTTTCGTCCGGCAGCTATTTTACGTCTGCGAGGAGAGCCCTTTGTAGGAGAAGGAGGCGCTGCCGGGACAAGGTCCATGGAGGGTGTAATCGACATTCTCGGCGCAGGCATATTAATCATACTAAATCGCTTCTTCGACTTAGAAGGACTAGCAGATTTCATAGGGCTGTGCAAATTCAAGTTGGGAGCGGACGACGTGGTGCCGTCCGACTTGACGATATTTGACGCAGCACTGGAGCAGTGCTCCAGCATCTTCGTGAGAATCGCACGTCCCTTCTGGATAGCTTCACTTGCACTCAGTTGCATGATTTCATCGATAGAGGCCATAAGCTCGAACTGGGCTTGGAGCAACAACTGCACAGCAACCGTTTCTCCGGCCTTGTCCTGCTCTACCACCGCGGAAAGAGCCTCGCGTTCGGCATTCGATCGCAGAAGCTCAGCCTCTCTTTCCAAATTGGAATAGTCACTGTTGTCACTGATTTCAAACTCTTGTAATTGTTTGGCCGCATTCTCAACTGCCGAATTCATGGCTCGGTCCCATGTGTTCTTCGACAATCGCTGGTTATAATGGTGTCGGCTACCTTCAAGTTCAATAAGAATGCCCTGCGCAGTCTTTCGAATGGCATACAAGCTAGCCAGTCCTTCTTCATCCTGTCGATTTTCACATACGCTATCGAAGGCGGCAATCCAGGAAGACAAAATGCCGATGCGGCGGCTGATCTGGCGCAACTTGAGCATGTTGCTAGTCTTTTCTTGTCTTTCCGGCAGGGTATGCTCGTAGGCACTGCGAATGCGTGCGACACCTTCACGAAGAACAGCATCCTTTTTCTCGGTCTGTTTTTTGAATTTGGCGAAGGCGACATTTTCGTAATCTTTCTGCTGGGCTTTGAGTTCATTGATCAAGTTCATCTGTTCATCGATCTTGACCAGGAAGTCCTTAACGTGACGGTTGACATTGAACACGTTGCGGGTAACCTTGGTCTGGATATTCTTCGCGCGATTTGCATATCTTAGAGTGTTTTGAGTCTCGTCAAAGTGCTGGCTCGAGGGGCTAACGCAGACAATCATCACTGTCTTGCAGTTTCCACCAAGGGCAAACTTTAGTAGACGAGTAAGCTTAGAGTTTCGATAGGGGATGTGATTGCGCTTCCGAGGGTCGCAAAGGGCGTTGATGCAACTGCCTAGGGCCAATAGAGACTTGTTGATATTGGCACCCTCAAACAACCGCTCTCCCCGGTTTTTTGTAGCACTGGCTCGCTCACTTCCAGCTAAATCGATGATGCTCAAAGTAGCCATGGTATGGGGTTCATTTTGGCCGGCATTGCGATCTTTCTGGGCGATGTTGATTTGAAGAACAGCGTGTGATCGGGATGAGGTGGCATTGGCTTCGGTAGGCGACATGGTACGGCATTCGTTACCCCTCACAATCATATCCATGACTTCCTCAACATTTTGTGGATGATGACTAGACAGGCCAGAAACCGAGACTGACTGCTGACTGTCCTCCCGTAGCATGAGACCGCCCTTTGGGTTACCACCTGGGACGAGCAGGTCTCGAATCGTTTCATTGTAAATTTCAAGATAAGATAGCGATATCTCGGTAGATTTCTCGCCGGCTCTCTCATCGATTCGCTCGAAGAGCTCTTGCATCGTCATGAAGATGATTCCAGGTTGTTGGGCGGTTCCGGTAATTGTATGAGTCTTTCCGCAACCTGTGGCACCGTAGGCGAAGACTGTTGCGTTATAGCCGTCAAGAACATTATCGAGGAGGCCGCGTGTAGTCGATTCGTAAACTTCGCCCTGTGAGGCATTCTGGTCGAAGATTCGATCGAAGGCAAAGGTTTGATCTTTGACCCGCTTGCCATTCGGGATGACGCTCTTGGAGAACTTCTGGACGGGGTTGTCCTCTGGAGGATCGAATACCCTGGCCATGGAGTTAGTGCCATGTACCTTTTGTGATAAACACAAAATCAAGGGGAGACACTCACAAGCATCGATCGTCGATCACCTTAACAATGGACCGGATTCCCTTCTGGTTCAGCTTCGGAGCTGGCACGCCGGCCAACGATCCATCGCCAAGGAACAAGGGACCATCGTCACACTTGGAAATTTGAGCAGCTTCACGGATAGTAAATGGTCTCACGCGGACCGCGACAGTTATGGAAGAAGCACCATCGGAGGCGGGCATGGTGGATGGTGGGCTGTGTTATTCCCGCCAAGTCGCGATGATTGCGGGGGAGGCCGTGTCGAAGCAGCGACAACCCTGCGGTCGGCAAAGGCAGGAGGTTGTGTTGACGTTGAAAGTAACGATGGAAGATGAAGAATGTGTGGAGCTAAAGGGTGTGTGTATGGGGTATTGGGATGCAGGACCGTAATCTCCGAGAGTCCCCTGGATGCGATTTCATTTGTTGATGCGACGGCGTGTTGTCTCCTCCTGGTTGCCCTGAGCAACCAGTACAGAGTGGCCATTGCGCTGCTGCGGGCGTGGCAATAAAGCAACCTGCCATATTAGGCTATGAATTTCCTAGGTACACAGAGAGTTATTCCGTGGAGCCACATACAACTTAATGATGCCACGCACACCCTGTTTCACCTTTGTCGCAGGTTGCGGGGCGCTATTTGATGTATCAAATTAGCACAATGTGGTGTACTCTGTACACTTCAAGGCTACGCGATATCTACGATAGGAACCGGACTAAATCGCCTTCATCTAGGGGAGAAGAGTGTCCAGTGGTTATTTCTATTGTCCCACTCAGCTATATTTGTGACAGAAGCAACAGTTCGTCCACAAAACCATCATGTTGCTCCATGATATTATCGTCTACCCTCATCACGATCGCACCCGCTGCAAGATCGAAGACAATAATCATCCGTAGACTTTGAGATCCTTCTCTTATCCTTTCGCCTCCTTTCCAAGCACCAAAAATATCAGAAGAAGGCAAGCAAGAAATTCCGTTAAATCAACAGCGCCACTAGCCCGTTTTTTTCCCGGACTCCAAGTCAAAAATAAAATAATCTTATTTGTAAAGCCGTAAATCGTGAGACATCACACATACTAAAGCTCCTCTTCATCGTCGAAACTTGGGATCACTACGTCCCAACCCGAGTCTTCCACATCAAGACCGACTTCGAGCTCATCGCGCTCTGGTATCTCACCCGGGTTGCGGAAGCGGAATGCAACCAAATGGCCATTGCCGAGGCCTGCAGCCATCACAGTATCGGATGGTATCTTGGACTTTCCCTTGGATGGAGCATTTGCGACATTTGTGATGTCTGTGGTGTCTGCCTGAAGCCGGGTCCATCCTTTCTCTAGATCGCCTCGGTCCACAGGCACGCCAAACTCGATGAGAGCGGGGTCGGTCGGTATGGAGTCACCATTGATCTCACGAAGTTCACGCGATTGCAAAGCTTCTAGCAGCTTCTCTTTGGCGGATGAAAGAGGTTCGTGAGGCTGGAGCGAGAGGAGTACGGTGGTCTTATGCTTCTTCAAGAGGAGGGTCAACGACCGTGGGTCGGGATTTGATTGTTTCAGTGGCTACCCCGCGACGTCAGTAGATTGGACATACATAGCCAGATCAAGAGAAGCTGGACAAACCATCGTGGAGGAAGCTTATCGAAGTGATTTGATATAGAGGGGTTTCGCCTGGGCGAAAGGTTTGGCCGAGTGACGGAGGCGGAGAGAGCGACTCGAAGCGGGCCCGCGCGGCGCCCCGAAATTCATGCATCCTCCAAGCTGCACTCCCACCATTCCGCCATTCCGCCATTGACGTCCACCAAAAAGTCTTGATAGTGACACAATCAATAATCTCCAGAATGGAGACCCAGGAAGCCTCCTCCGAATCTGCCAGGGAGAGTTCGCTTCTCCTCAAGCTGTTCCACTGGCACAAGCTCTTCGAATCCGACACGCCTCCTCGGCTAGGCATCGAGGTGGACAGACGCATACCCTATGCGGTGTTTTCTGCCTTCTCAACGGGCATGGCCTTAGGCTATTATCACGGTAGCAATAAGACCGGCCTTGTGTTTCGCGCGGAGAACGCCCATCGATTTCCCACCTCGTCCTCTGGGTGGTTCCAATACCATAAGACAAAGAACTACATCTCCGTAGTGGGCGGCGTCAAGGATGGCGTCAAAATGGGTGTCAAACTGGGCGCCGGTGCGCTTGCCTTTTGTCTGTTTGAGGAGACGGTGGACTATGCTCGCCACGATGAGCGAGACTTTCTGTCCACGGTCACAGCTGGGCTGTCTTGCTCAGGCATCTACAGTTTGATAGGTAAGGCTTGATGGGCTACTCATATCCCGTGGATTCTGTTAACCCAGATTTGAATGAACATACCCCGTGGCTAACTGTGCTCTATTACAGCCCGTCACGATGTCTACACTGCTGCCCGGACTGCCAAACTCGGGTTAAAAATGAGTTTGGTCTACGGACTTCTCCAAGATACCCTCGAGACAATGAAAGGAAACCGACCGGCTTATGTGGACTTTCTTCTCGGCAATCGTCGCTCCAAGGCCCTTCCAGAAGGCTCACTCTGATTTGACCGAGCCTCATGAATGAAATTGCCTTGAGTCAATTGAGCTGTCCTGGCGGTGGACGACGCTCGCAGCCGGCTGAGACGGTGGCCGGCCGTCCCAACCGTATTTTCACGGACTCCCACAGCTACTTCGGTGCCATCTCCTTCCACTCTTGGAGCAATCCGGCTGGAAGTGGACCCCTGTGCCGGAGTATCATTCCTGAGCGGTGTGCATCAATCCGATTTGGCCTCCCCTCCGAGGGACACCCGCTCCTGCAATAAGTCCACACAAAGCCAGTCAGGTCGCAAAGAGGTCCCCAGGAGATTTCTGGGGGTCCGTTGCCAACGTGGCCCTAGCATATGTTTGCTTCCGACGTGATTGGCAAGGTTGGAGTTTGTTCGATGGATTCTTTTTTTTGTTGGGTCGATTTCTCTTTCTGTTCTATACGTGTACTATTACCCTTATTGATACCCTCTTGTTCTTCTAAATTTGATCCACTCTTTTTTCACGGTTTCTCCTTGTGTCTCTCCTCAGTCGGTCTCAATGCGTCTGTTTGACCAAATTATTGATGTCACGTGACCGCGTTGGCGCTCCTGTTGATCGGCCCTGCAACGAAACCCCGGCCCAATTGCAGTCCTCAAAAGACACCAAAGAGAACCAGACCCATTCGGCTCTCTCAGACAAAGCGTTTTTGTTTGGACCTGCACGGGCATGGTGGAGAGGTAAGCAGGGTGTTGCATGTTGCGATCTCCGGCCCGGAGAAATCCCCGGATTGGGCAGTAGAAGACCGCATTTCTGCCAGCAAACAAGATGACCCTCTGTCACAAGTCGACAGGGTATTTCTCCCATCGAAGAGCCTGCTGGTGTAGAAGACTTAGGATTAGCAGGGCCAAACTCGTCCTCCTCGTAGACGTAGAGACCGCTTATGTCTGTTTTCCTTTGACTCCGAAAGGGCCGACAGGGCCGATCGTCAACCAACACGTCGATCCGATCATGAACCACTCCGCCAGCAGATTTCCCCCCCCCAACACTCATCCTGAATTCGAGCAAGATCCGGGACAGCAAATATCCAAGCCATCCGATTGCTGAAATCCCATGAGATCCTCGAGGCGGCGAGACCCTCAAGTGGAGCAAACCGGGGGTTCCCATAGAGTTTCCGAAGGTTTCCAGATGATCGGTGGAGCTCAACCGCATTTGACGTCGCTGAGTCGGCAACCCCCCACCTTCAGCCTCTGAGCTCTGACACCTCAACTACCGTGAATGCTGCCCTTCCAGCTCCTCCTTCATCTTCCCCCGATGCTGCTCTGCTAGGCCTCGCTACCCACCGGGCGAGGAGGCATGCCGACGCGAAGCTCGACTCTGCCGCCGCTGCTGCTTTCGTCGACGTCATCGCCCTATTGATGCCCACCTGGTCCTGGATAGGCACCGAAGCCCTGTTCCTCTGAATCTCCCTCGTCTCCGCGCATCGTTCAATCATGCGTCGCCATGGCAGGGCCTCAGGAGGCCCGACCAAGGCCGCTTCGCCCTTGTCCGACACCGTCTCGCTCATCCATTCCTTCGATTCGGTTTTGAACCCCAACCGACCCGCGCGCCCGTCACCCTTGGCCTCCTCCCATATCAAAGCCTTGCCACTTGAACTTGTCGATCGCTTGCGCTCCTTTCCGCTCTTCCAGTCCACTCCCGAATCCTTCTTGTTCGAAGTTGGCCAACACCTGCGCCCACAGCTCCACGCCCCGAATGATTATATCTTGACCGAAGGCGACGATGCCAGGGCGATCTACTGGCTGGTACGAGGCGAGGTCTATGTGACCTCTCGTGACGGCGAGAGTATATATGCCGAACTGCAACCGGGGGCCTTCTTTGGGGAAATTGGCGTGTTGATGGACCGGCCGCGCACGGCAAATATCATCGCTCGCACCCGATGCATGCTGGTCGTGCTTACCAAAGAAGATTTCCGAAATATTTTACCACGCTTCCCGGAAGTCGAGCAAGCCATTCGAGAAGAAGCCCAGGAACGGTTGATGATCCTAGAGAAGAAAAAGAAAGAAACCTCAGCCCCAGTCGTGGAGTCGCCTAGCCCAAGTCCCGTACGTCGGGGCTCGAAAAGATTGCGCGAAAGCTCTGCCAAAGATCTCGCAGTCGCGGAGGAAGACCTTACCGTCAAGTCAGTTCACAAGAAGCGCAAGTCTCCCAGTCCGGGCCGCCGCGATCCCTCCAGCGCTCTTGCAAATGGATTGGTCAATGTTCGCCTTTTGCTCAAGGAATTGCCTCTTTTCTCGGGCCTTCCCGCCGATATTTTGCACTTCCTTGGTCTCAATGCCCAGCCACGGTCATTCCCACCATTCACAGACATCATCAAACAAGATTCTCAAGGTCGGGAACTTTACTTCATCGTTCGGGGTGAGGTGGAGGTTGTCAGCGAGAGACAGGAACAAAGCCATGCGCACACGGGCCAAATGAATGGCACAGATCATCTGAACGTCGAAATCAAGGCCCGACTCAAACAAGGCCAGTATTTTGGAGAAGTGGTCAGTCTATCGCTGGCGCCGCGTCGAACAGCTACTGTTCGGTCGGTCACGTCGGTCGAATGTCTCATGTTGAGCGGAGAAGTGCTCTCGAAATTCTGGGAAATGTGCCCCCGAGATATTCGCGAACAAGTTGAACGCACTGCACAAGAACGGCTTCAAGCCGCTGCCGATGGTGATGTAGTCATGTCAGATGCGACAGACGAACAACCTCCTATGGGTGATCTAGACCTCGATGACCGAGTGAAAATCACTGCATCGCGGAGGCGCTCGATGCCGCTATTGACATTGACTGAAACGGAGTTAGATGGTCCCCTTCAATCTTCAACAACAGAAGACCAAGATCAAGCCGTGTTGCGGCCATCGGATCCCGACCCCTACCTCAGCCTTGGACTGGACAAAGTTCGTCTGCGCAGTCGGCGAGGCTCCGTGGCACCCTTGACGCCGGAGACAATTTCAGGCGAATCGCAACGTTATTCCCCCGTAGAACCTGTCTCTGCTAGTTCTTCGTCCCTCACTTTGCCCGATGCCATCAGTCTCTCAAAACCACATGATGCGGCACGACCTTTGAGCGATGCCCACCGTGGCATTTTCCCAGACAGTATACTGTTGAATATCTTTCAGTTTCTGGAACTGCATCACCTCCTTCGTCTTCGAGCAGTATCTTCCCACTGGTCAGAGATCCTAACCAAATCACCAGATGCAATCCGTGACTTGGATCTCAGCATGTACAATCGACAAGTCACAGACGATGTTATCGTCAAGATCATTTGCCCCTTTGTGGGAAATAGGGCTCGGTCTGTCAACATCGATAACTGCTTTCATGTCACAGATGAAGGGTTCACTGCATTGGCAACCACTTGTGGGCCAACCTCGACCGCGTGGAAAATGAAGAGCGTCTGGGATGTCACCGCATCTGCGATTCTCGACATGACCAGCAAGGCTACCGGCTTAGAAGAAGTTGATCTAAGCAACTGTCGAAAAGTGGGAGATACCCTAATGGCGCGGATTATCGGATGGGTCGTTTCTAGCAGTCAACAAAAGCCCGATGGCAAACAAACAACGATCAAACCAACGCTTCAGACGGCTGATTCTACAGTCTATGGGTGCCCCAAGCTGAAGAAGCTCACCCTTTCTTATTGTAAACATGTCACCGATCGGTCGATGCATCACATCGCATCCCATGCCGCCAGTCGAATTGAAGAGATGGACTTGACGCGCTGTACCACGATTACCGATCAAGGGTTTCAGTATTGGGGCAATGCACGGTTCGCCAATTTGCGCAAACTTTGCTTGGCGGATTGCACCTACCTTACGGACAACGCTATCGTCCATCTTACCAATGCTGCGAAGCAACTACAAGAATTAGATTTGGTAAGAAATTGGTTGCCAATATTTTAAAGCCAGCCATAGGCCCCTTTCAACTAACAATGTCATTAAGTCCTTCTGCTGCGCACTTTCAGATACAGCCACCGAAGTCCTTGCCCTCCAATGCTCGCAACTCCAGTCTCTCAACATGGCTTTCTGCGGATCTGCTATATCCGACCCTTCTCTCCGAAGTATTGGCCTCCATCTTCTATCTCTGCAGCATCTATCTGTTCGCGGCTGCGTACGAGTCACTGGTGTTGGTGTCGAGGCAGTCTCCGAGGGCTGCCATCAACTTCAGTCCTTTGATGTCAGCCAATGCAAAAACCTCACACCCTGGCTTGAAGAGAACGGTTCTATGCGTTATGAACCGCGTATCCAGTTCAAGACAGTAGCTTCAAGTAAGAGGAAGTATAGGTGAACATACAGCTCAACCTAATCAATGTTCACTAGCCGGTGGCGGTCCTGAACCAGTCACTGTACCAGCAGCAGGTATCTTGGATGATTTGCTCTTTTTTGAGTATTTATACTATCGGTTGCATTTCTTGGCCCATCAATTTATGCGCTTTCTGCACTCTCGATGGCTTTTATGTTTCTGTTCCATCCTCGTCATTTCTTCAACTTATTCGCATCACTTTCAGTTTTGTTTTTTGTCACTTACGGAAATTCCGACGTCTTCTCATGAACTAGGAGTTCAAGGGCTTTCTGGGACACTTTTCATTCTCTTATTGGCTTAGTTGCCCGGTATAGATTGGGCTTGCAGACTCGGGCTTGCATGTTTCCAGGATTGGGATTCGGGTCACAGATTCTCTGGTTCTTGGGGCTGGCTGAGCATGGCAGGAGTTCAAAGACACAGCATATGAATTCTTGCGGTTGGGCTCGATATTCTAATAATTTTTTTTCCGGTGTTCTTGTTTTGTCAGTCTTTTGTTGACGTTCCTTTGTCATCTACGAGATAATACTGCGCTTGTCCATGTGGTTCGCTTTCCCCCATTGCCTGTTGTCTTCTCTCACGTTTTGAGTCCCGAGGGTCACTGTACTCTAAATATTCCGATCTGTTTTTTTATCTCTTGAAAATTTCATTGGCCTAAAATATGTGGGCAACACTCCTTATTCACACTTAAAATTCAAAAAAGGCTAGGAGCCTCTGGGTTCCTGTATAGGATAGACATATAATTCCGTATGCAGATATTTCAGTATAACATATAGTGATGAAATGTACTTTCCATCCGTTAAATGCACTGGAAGAGAATGACCTGGATGGCTAGTAGGGTCGGGAAAAGAGGATGAAACCTGGACTATCCCACGAATGGTTCTCAAATCGTTTCTTATAGCACGCCACGGCTTTCCTCTTATTTTACTAAAGTAGCTCCTAGCGACGTTATGAAGCAAAATTTGGCCTGGCTCAGCCGTTGTTCAAGGTATTTACAAATGTTGTGGGTATTTCCAAAATTGATAAGTTGCATCGCTCCTTCCGAAATCCAGGAAGCAGTGATTCATTTTCAGTCTAATGCATCACCAACTCGCATTCTTCTTCCAGCAGCAACAGATTCCCTTACTCTCACACCACTCCCTCACCGCGGAAGGCCAGATTTCACGGTCTTCTCCAACAAGACCAAAACCTTCGACATTAAGCCATGTTGTTAGATCCTCCAGAATGATAGGGTCGTACATGAGGATTTTCTCATGCCATGTCAGTCGGCCACAGGTCCCGAGTGAAGAGCGTGGGCGTGGTTGGGCTTTAACTGCTTTCGTGATCTGGTCGGACAGATCGGGTAAGCTGCTTTCCCTGGAGGTAGAAGACAAGGTTGGCTTTGTAGTGTTTGATGCCTTGGAGGGCCCACCTCGACGCGGTGTCGGGCTCTGGGGCGGCTTGCTCGTCACAAAATCTAAACAAGGCTGTCCACTTGGTAGGGTGTTGGAAGAAAAAACATCGGTATATCGTTTCTGTATTTGGCTGGGCGATGGAAAAGCCTCGTCCTCTGAATCTTGGATTTCTTCAACATCCATGAATGAGGAAGGCAGAGAGTATGGTCTGCTCTTTGATATTTTGGTAGAACTATGCTTCTGGGGCGAGAACCTAGCCGGAGACTTGGGTTGGCCGATGGTATCCGCTGGGATGAATGAAGATGAAGACCCCTTTTTTTGGATGTGGTCTTTCCCTTCGGCTCCACTTTGGATTTGGGTATTGAATGGTCTTTCTCAGATATTGGTTGAGATTGCGAGGAAGCAATCTGAGGTTTTGGAAGCTTCCCGTGTTTGGATTCCCAGCACTTCTGCAGCAAATCAATCATCTTTTTTCGGCCTCGAATTGACTTGAAGCCAAATGCAGTAACCTGTTTTGAGAGTTCGGCATCCGTAAAGCCGTTATATTGCGGCATTATAGGCTGCTGTAAGCTCGGTTCTGGTTCTTGAACAGTAGCTGGCGGCTGAGGATCATCCAAAAGGATTGAGCTGGCTGCTATTGCTGGCTGCCGGGAATTGACACCTGAGTCTAGTGGTTTCTGAAAAGCAGAAGCCATATTTCTAGACGAAGGAACAGGTTTCCCGTAATCAAGATCGAACCAGTCTTCGTCGGGACGGTTCGTTGATGTAGAAAGCTTAGGCTTAGTTCCTTTTTCAGGGCCAGAATTTGTATCGGTTAGGTCCACTGAGTCCACTTTCTTAGCCTGGACTAAGGAACCACCCATATCGCGAGCAGCTATACACCATAGATTTACCTCGCGGGTTGAACAAGGAACAGAATAGGCCGATGTTGACCTGCTGGTTTTTGACAACCCTCTTTCCTCAAAATCGAGATTTTCCGATGCAAGGATGGTATTTTGCATTTCTAGCAGTGTCTGCGGTGACTCTTCCCTCTCAAGCTGGCTGCAAGTCCCAAAGATAAGGTCCTGATCATCCAAGGCCTTCAAAGCATCCTCTGGGGAAAGTACGGTGAAGGCGGAGTTTTGGGAGTTCTTATTTGCTTTAGATCGCTGGGTCTTTGCCATGGCCGTTTCTTGAATATTATCCTCTGCCTGGAAATTCTCTTGCGCAGTGTCGTTCAAAGTATATTGAGCTGTCATTCGAGCTGTCAAAGTAGTAAGTCTCTTTGGTTTCTTTGTTTTCCTTGCTTTCTTTTGAAGCTGTGCTTCTGATGATGACGAGTTCTCTTCTTGGGCGGGGGATGCATCATTTGAACCATGATTGTTGTTGAGAAGCGACTGAAGCTGAGGATCTACCAATTCGATGCGCCTTCGCTTGGTTGGTCCCCCCACGTTGACAGTAGGAGTTTCTCGAAAGTCTGAAGTTGACCCAGAATAATTATAATCTGAGAGCAAACTCCCAAAGCTGCCTTTGGTGCTGGACCCGGAATTATTATTGCTAGCTTGATGGTGGTCCACCATAATCGCCTCGTTAGCAGTCCTCTCTCTTGGCGGTGTCCAGTCCATGCGTCTTCTAATTGCTTCATTCAAGTGAAGCAAGTGGTCCCTATTGGGGGTTCCTAGCTGATTAGATATTGCGATTTCTGTGGTCTCATCTGGCGACAGCAGCTTGGCATTCTCCCCTATGGATTTGGCCAATTTCTTCGTCTGGGCATCACTACCCGCCTTAGTGACTTTTCCAGACAGCAACATATTCGCCGCTCCCTTCTTCTGGACTGTTTTCTGGGTGCGGCTCTTTTGTTTCTGCGGGCCTGTGGCCTTTTTCGCGACGTTCATCACATCAACGGATTCTGGCCGTAGGTCTTCCGAGGCATGTGGCAATTGTTCCTTTGTAGCCTTCTCTTTCTTTTTTCGTGGCTTGCTCGGGGCATCCTTCTTGCTTGTGTCCCTTGATACGATTTTCCTCTCCGATTTGGGTTGTTTCTTCGTCGCGTCGTCGGGCCCGCTCAGCGTGGGGAAGAATCGAGAACGTGAAGGCGGATGTTGGAAGAGCTCTGAGGGTGAGGGTATGGAGGGTGGCGTTATGACTTGTGGCGAGATATCAAAAAGCTTCTCTGCGGCATTTGTGACCTTCGTGGGTGTACGCATAGGAGCGCTCGGCGGCGACGACGATAAAATAATAATATCGGCGGAGCTCCCCATTGTGGCGATGGGTGCGTTGAGACCGCGTTCTGAACTTCGTGGTAATCGAAGTATGAGACATTTAGTCAAGGTTCTCCAAGAAATCTTCCATTGCTTGGATGCTTCGCGCAGTTCGAGCCTCGGAGCCCCGTCTTTTGTGCGTTGTGAGGTGTTGCGACCTCCGCAAAAGATGCGATGGGAAGATGACGATCGCGTCTTGGCAAAGTTGCGGCATTGCCATTTTGGGCCTATGGAAACAATTATGGCCCGGCAACGCGGGGAATCTCACCATTGGACCCCAGTTTTTAGTCACTTCTTATTATTTTGAGCCTCTGTATGTGAGAAAAACTACTATAGAATGATGATATTTTACTAAAATCGCAAATCTACGACCCTAGAACCATGCGATAACCATCCTTTGTGTGATCTCAATAGAGAGAAAGATGCGACGTGGAAATATATATGTGTATCTCAATAATTATAGGATATATGTGATGCTGTCAACAGCCATGTTTCAGCGTGACCAACATCTACCAAACATCTGCAAATGCTCTGGAACCAGATAAATAATACAGCTATTTGAATGAATCCTCCAATCTAATTTCAGATCTACGTATTTCCCTTCAGTTATAAACCCAATAGCTGTTGCGGTATCATTCTTGCTACTGAGAGAATTGTGCAGCTTCTCGTCAAGAATTTTTCAACTTTTGATATTCTGTTCAGAGCAACTTACAGTCTAGTTCCTATTGGGAAGAAAACGTAGATGTATCGTATCAAGCAAAGCAGTGGCTACATAAGGAAGCTGAAGTGGCATATGTCTTCAGTAAAGCATGTAACCAAGCCGGTAGAGGTGTCCTGCACCAAATTTCCATCACTGAAGCTGTCCACAGATGGAAAACTGATCTGTGGCACATGTTGAAGCGTGGCCCAATTAGCTGGGCGTGACCTTCGCTAGGTTCGCAACGCAGGCGAGAACGCGCGTGGATGATTCATCTCGGGCCATGGAAACCACGATGGCAGTAAGCGTCATTCTTGATAGAACGAGAGCTTGTCAGTATTCAGTGTTGTCTCAGGATCCCCTGAGGGCAATGGCTCCTAAGATCGAAAGTTCCAGCCGTCGCTTTGCGTCATCAACGTAGACTCCGTTGGAGTGGCTGGGGTCGGCATTAGTCGTCGGCGAGGGCAGTGCACCTAGTTTATACAGCTTTTTGATCTTTGAAATGTCGGAGATCTCCAATAATGTTTGGTCATCGAATGGCACGGGTGTTCCTTGGACAAAACTTTCCAGATGCGCGGCAACAGAGTCATGGGTTATCTCCGGAGTTACAGAGACTTTGATGACCAACAAGTCCTTGGTGGAGTCGATGATGCCGATTTTGCGAAATGACTCGGCAATCTAAAATTTTTTTTTAGTTTTCCAGACAAAGAAAAAAAAACTGCTATTTGCGCACATACATTATTGGTTGGGTTGAAGGAAAACACAATCTCCGAGTGCACATTGTGGGATTTCAGCCGATTGTTCATGGAGTCATTGACAGCACGAAAAATAGCTGCAAGTGCATGGGCTCGAGAAAGTACCTATGCCGTACGCATTAGTATACACTTCTTTCTCACTCTCAAATCCAGAGTCTTGATTTCATACAATGCTTGCATCGATCAAGGCATATTCAAATTCTGCGTTGCCAGCTAGTAACTGCTGCCGCAAAAAAGCACCATTCTGCACATTTCGATACAACGCCACATGCACTGGAAGCGAGGCTGGCAAATGAGGAAGACTGATCGTTTCTAGCTTCACTGCCATTGTGAATCAAGAAACTAGGACTGTGATCAATGCGAATGACGTATCTCCAAACCTGCCCGCCGCATTTCCATCGTGCACCCCGCCAGTCACGTGTGATTCTGGAACCTTCGGACTTAAGAGGTGCCGGGTCCCGGTGAGTAATCCGCTGGTCGGCGGTGGCTGATATCACCGGCGCAGCCGTCCGCATATAAAACTCCCCTCATCATATTACTCCTAGAAACCATCACTGCTATGGCTTTCTTCCTCCGGCGTCCGTTCGCCGTATCATCGGCACTTCGTGAGGCTCCTAAGCTCTCCAACACTGCTCGCTTCATTCACAGCTCTCCATTCAAGCCCCAGGCCTCCAAGCCCTTCGGTGCTCAGTCCTCTATCTTCACCAAATCTCGCCAGACCTTTCAAAATGCCTTCCGCCGCACCTACATGCAGCAAACCTTTGATTCTCAAAGTGGAAATTTCACCCAGAAGCTGATCTATGGCGGTGCCATCGTGGGTGGTACCATCTTGGCCACCAATTTCATCTTCAACCGCGAGACCCGTGAGGACGGCGGTATGCCTGCCTATGAGCGCAGCTTCCTCAACGAGACTTTCATGCACACTGGACTTGGTATTGGTATTATCGCTATTGCTGCCCGTGCTCTGCACACCAGCGGCTGGTCGATGCGTCTTATGGCTATGAACCCATGGCTTGTCATGGGTGTCGGTTTGGTCGGCAGTATTGGTTCGATGTATGGAACTTTCTACACATCCCCGGACAAGTAAGTGTTTTTTGAACTTTTTTTGAACCCTTCTTTTTCTGTCCAATGGCAATTGTGTGCTAATTTTGGCTTAGCTATGTTATGAAATACGGCTGCTGGACCCTCTTCAACCTTACTCAGGCTGCTCTCCTCTCACCTCTCATGTTCATGAACCCTGCTATCCTGGCTCGCGCTGGTCTCTACACCGTTGGCATGATGGGATCTATTGCTTTCGTTGGTGCTACTGCTAAGCAGGAGAAGTATCTCTACCTTGGAGGCCCTCTCCTTGCGGGTGTTGCTCTCGTCGCTCTTTCTGGCCTTGCTCCCATGGTTCTCCCCGCCACTGCTGCCCGCACTCTGATGTGGTCGGAGCGTATCTGGCTGTACGGTGGCCTGGCTGTCTTTGGTGGCTTCACCCTCTACGATGTGCAGAAGATCTTGCACCACGCCCGCCTGGCTGAGCGTGGCTACATCAAGCGTGATGTTGTCAACGAAAGTGTGAGCCTTGAGCTGGACTTCATCAACATCTTCGTCCGTATGGTCCAGATTCTGGCCATGCGTAGCAACAACCGGAAGTAAATCTTCTTGGGCATCTTGGCGTTGACACATCTAATTTCCTTTCTCATCTTCCCACCCCTGTATTCCTAACGAACTGTCCTATTTTCCCTTTTTGACTGCAAACCCTCATGATATTATCCGTGGGGAAATCGTTTTACATACTACTACCGGGGAGCATATCTCCACTCTAAGTCTGATATCCTCACTTATTCAAAATTTCCAACTTGAACAAAACAAGCAATGATTATAGTAAAAATCCCGGTAAATAACCCAATCACAACTTGAGTAATGTGTATTCGAGAGTCCGAATTTTTAAGATTGGCAAGTAAGATGTCTCTACTTCAATGGCCTAGAAACCCAGGATCATCGGCCCCGAGGGTATGCCCAAGTCTGTCTTCTTCCAGCATCTGCAGGACACTCCCAGTTGCTCTATCTGATTGAGCAACTGGCAACTGTACAGCTGCATCAGAAGAATCATCTTCAGTCTGCATAGTCAACGCTGCCCAAGCTCCCGGGTCTGTTGCAGCTAGCGTCTCTGCTTCCTGGGTTTCAATCCAATTAAACCCCGTAATCTTGCCCAATTTCCGGCTGGTCACGAAGTGGTGCCAAATCCTGGGGCTGATTTCTCTGTAAGCGAGTAGGATCAACGCGATTGTTTTCCAGCCGTCGATACGGCTTTGTGGAAGACGTAATTGCAAGGTCTTCTTGTCTCCAGCCCACTCATGGATGAATTTGAACAGTGAGCCTTCGTATAGCTTGTTCACGAAAAACCCATACTCTTGGTGTCGAATCATGAAGGTGGTTCCAAGAATGGCTTGTTTGTACTCAGCCCTTGTATTTGCTTCGATATCGGCCTCGACTGTCTTGATTTCTCTGAGATTGAAGGTGAGCAACAGGGAGTTGTCTGCCAGGGCCTCAAGGTTGACAAATGCGGTGTTTGTTTTGTTGAAGTATATTGCGATCTTATGTTGCGTGGTCTGCCCGTCTCGCGGATCTTTCACTTCCTGCTTCAGCACCATGTTGCCGGCGAAAAAGTCAAATATAGCACTGAGCTCAGAATGCTCTCCATGGAACTGTTGCACCTTTTTTGCGCCCTCGGTATGTACGATCAGCTCCAGGGACTCGAAGGGGGCCATGTCTCGGAGTATCTGGCAGCTGCACGACCTCACAGTGCTAGCAGTAATTTTTTAGGTTAGCTTGTCTGGAGATTTCCGGGGGCCATCCCAGTAACGACTCACCAGCACCACGACATGCTTGTTCAAAGCCAGTGGTGAGTACGTGTTTCGGTCTGGGACGCTTCCTGGTTTCAGCTGATCTCCTGAAGGAAGGCTCAGCAAGTAGTTGTTGAGAATTGAGGATGAAATGAGCATTATCTGGGCCGGTAGGCAACCAAGTTTGGTCATTTTGGAGCTGGGTGGCCCATTTCTCTTCTTTTGCTTTCTTCTTTCGCACTGGAGACATGAACTGACTCGATCTCCCTCTCTTTCTCCATATTTAACAAGTACTGAAGCTCATTACAAACACAGTATCTATATGAACAGATGTCAACAATATTAGCTATTTTGGAGAAAATAGGCATAGAATGGGATATCTCGGCCATGTATGTTGCCATTAAACTATCCCATAAGGCTACATATAATGCGCCATAACTAAGCAAGTGGCGAATAAAAGAGTACTTCACAATACCTTTCAGGCAAAATTTATCAAGCCCTTTATATTTAATGAATATATGAATTGTATCCCGAGGGGCAAAGGAAATGGCAAAGAGAGGTGTTCTGATAACATGCTAACATGCTGATTCTGAATCCGAGAAAGGCGGAGAAGCGCTAGCCGAAACGGGATCGCAGAAGCCAGAGCTTTTCCCGATCCGCGAAGCACCTTCATAAGACATTCGACCACTCCCTTTCTCTATTCAATCCACCAACGTGCCAATTCTCTTCTCTTCCTCCCCGAGCAGCCTACTCTTCATTTATCTGCCTCCAAAATGTCCAATGAAATGGAAGTCGACCCGCCTGTCGCCCAAGACGATGCCCCCGCGCAGTCGGGGCGCGGCTTCGAGCCACAAACCCACTCCGGCGCTGTCGCCGTGCGCAGTATTGAGGGGTGGATTGTGATCGTTTCCAACATTCACGAGGAAGCATCAGAGGAGGATGTTACCGATCTCTTTGCGGAATATGGCGAGATCAAGAACTTCAGCTTGAATTTGGACCGCCGGACAGGTTATGTCAAGGTATGATTTGGCTATTTCGCGTCTTTTCCTGGCAAGTCTTCGGGGCCGGCTCTGAGACTGTCCTCGTTTGCAACATGTGGCTATCCGGTTTGCTGTATCCCAAGAAAAAGTGAGCGCTAATCTTCTTTTCCCGTTAGGGATACGCATTGATTGAATACTCCACCCTTCCCGAGGCGAGCGAAGCCATCAAGAACCTGGATGGCACCAAGTTATTGGATCAGACAATCAATGTGGACTACGCCTTCGTCCGCCCTCCCCCATCCGGCAAGGGCAAGGGTGGTGGTCAGAAGGGTGGCCGTGGCCGGGGTCGCAGCCAAAGCCCTGGTCGGAGCCGCAGCCCTGGAGGTGACAGAGACTAATTCGTCGGACTCTCCACATATCATCAATTTCTAACGGGGCGGGCTGCCGGTTTCTTCTCCCTCTCTCTCTCTTTTGATACCTAGGTTCTTTGTTTTTGTCGTCTCTCTTTCCCCACAGCGTCTCTTCCTTCGCCTCTTCCCATACCCTCACGACTTTCTTGGATGACAAAAACTGGTGTTCCTTGCTTCCCGCCGACACTTCCCTTTTCTCTGAGATGCCTGAGATGCCTGTTCTAGAAATCTATTCGTCTAGGTTCTGGTTCAGGTACTTCCGCGGAGAGATGCAGTGTCGGCGTCATGATTCATTATCCTGTTGGGTATGAAACTTTTCCCAGAACAGCTTTTTCCAACATGCTGACTCGAGTTCAGACCAATAAAAGAATGTTTTTTTCTAAACACAATTTTGAACCCCAATCGCACGCCTTGAATGACCAGTTAGTCATGAAATTTATCTAGCATAAAGATTATGCCTATGAGCTAGCGAGAGATCTATAATTGCAATATGAATTGTCCGTTGATTGCGGACCCCAGATAAGATCCGATTTTGTATACAAATGGCATTTTCTGGGAGTGTTTTGTAGGCCTATAAGGCCCTTAGGGTCTGGTAATGTAACTATTGTACTATTCCCCAGATAAAATACGTCAAGTTTACTTATTGTCTGTATGCATTGCTCAATATTGGTTTTCTACTAATAGACACATCAATCTAAGACCCAGAGGCGCATGGCTTGCAACCCAGGACAGACAAACAGTCGCTACGTCTTTGGTTTGCGAGGAAGTCAAAATGAGGAACTCCTGGTATATGCTATGGCTGCCTATCATGTCTAATCACATGCCGCTTGCAATATCCATAGACGAATCACAAACCTCAAAAGCCAGAGGTTTTAACCGGAGGGAAGATCATTATGATACATGATAAGTTGAGAGGCGCTCTTTCTTTGACGATATGACAATGGAGTGAGCAAAGAGACACACAGGATAACATGTCTATTTCTTGCCGTTCTGCTCTTGGGTCAACTTGTCACTATAGTATCGAGTTAGCGTGACCCGTTCTGGTAAGGGAACAAGAAGCACACAAATATAGAATCCGGGGAATTTGGAGATTGAGTACATACATGTGACCCTCAAGCTCATCGAGGTGGGCACGCTGATCAGTGATCTTCTTCTTCAGGGCTTGCAGCCTGTCCAGCGATTCCAAAAATTAGTCATGCATCGAGTGCAAGAGCACCTTGTCAGGAGGAAACCTTACTTCTCAATCTCCTTCTCACGGATGTACATAGCTTCCTGGGCTGCCTCTCGCTTGGTGAAGCTATCACTATTACACGGGGAAATGTTAGCTTTTGACCTTCAACCCTGATGATGTCATTCGACGGTGCCATGCGAGCCAGACATGTCTGTATCTCCATGGTCCATAAAGGGCTAATGGCTATATCCTAGGTGAAGAATGGGCGGAGATCATGCAGGGGAAATAAGGGCAACGATTACGAACCCAGCAGCAACGCCACCAGCGCGAGGGGCGCCAGTGTCGCCTTCACCCAGTCGAGGCACAGCAACAGAGAAGGAACGGGTCAGCAGTACCCGGTTTGCCGTGGCAGCAGGACGAATGATAGTTTGACGGAGCATTGTGAATGAAAATAGCGTTCTGATTGTGAGATCACAGGATAGAAGATGGAAGAGAAGGGGAAGAAGACGAGATCCGAGAGCAAGCTGACAGGCATTGCATGACGACACGTGCCAAGACCGCATCAGGTGATTCCGCTTCAAGCTCCGGGGTTGTACATTAGATAATGGCTTATGTCAGCCGGGAAATCTCTGCGATAAGCAACTGCGCTCTCATTCGAGTTGCGCGGAGATCATGAGGATCAGGGCTCGGACATGGCACCTGGAACCTGGAGCCTGGATCGGGTTGGGCTCCCTAGGAACCGGGTCTACAGACTACAATTGTGGCATGTGCTTGAGATCCGGTTCAGCCAAATAGTAAGTGAGGCTGACTCGGGACCGGTCAGGGGGTCGCAAGGCGGAAACCGATTATGTACAGACACAATACCTCGGGATGCTTAGAGAGAGTCTTGTATAGCCATAGAGAGGGTATTCTGCCTGTACAGAATGACCCAAGTCTCCGAGAGAGTGAGGCGTCAGTAGGGGAGAACGTTCCAGGGCGATTGGTGGACGCGGATGGGGGGATGACGCTGGGCCGGCCCACCGAACCACACAGAAGACATGAGGATGGACAGTGTGCTTCAAGGGAGGGGGGGGGGGAAGGTATAGGAGTGAGACCAAGCCCAGTTCACGAGAAATGAGGAGTTATCGAAGCACATGGGGAGTTTTGCTGGAGTATCAAGAAAGGAAAAGGATCGAGAGTCGTCCGTAGTGACTTTTTGGCTGATAGTCGTAGCCCCGAGTAGTCGGCGGTCACCAGTAAATCCCAACAACACCGCCTTCTGTGTTTCCCCCCCCTCCTCCTCTTCTCCTTCTCCTCCTTCTCATCTCATTCCCCCTTCCCACTCCATCCATTCCCCCTTGTTTTCCGGCTCCTTATTCCTCTCCAACTTCCAGGTGAGTTCGCTCTGGCTACTGCTCTGCCTTTCTTCTTCTGGATTCGCGCCCTCCACCCACCACACAACCACACACATCGAAACGAAAGACGGTGTATTGGATATGGGGGCTTTCCAAGGGAAATATCCCGTCGAAACAGCCCATCCAGAACATTTCCCTCCTCTTTTTCGCAATACTCCATCATCACTATCGCCTATCCATCAGGAATTCATTTTCCCCTCCTTTACCCTTCTTTCCTGGCGGGAACCACTGCCGCGACCGCTTCGCTGCGATCTGCCCCCCCTCCCTCCCCCCTCCCCCCAAACACACGCATCCCCCCGGAAGGCCCCAATGAAAGAGCCACCACCCACTACCCACCACAATGATCGCCACAATCTCCACGCCCAAGACCACAGTGTTTATTCCGGATCAGAGATCTCCTTCTGGGAGAAATGCTGTCCTAATTCCGGGGAATGGGAAACACTAGCCCTGGTCACGACTACCCCTCCCGGTCGCTGGCGATGATGTCGATGGCGTGATTCCAACCCTTCTATCCCACTTTGATGGCTATTTCGAACTTTTATGTAGAATATCACCAACTAACCAAAAGAATTGCTGAGATTTTAGAACTTTCACCATGGGTCACGAAGACGCTGTTTACCTCGCCAAGCTGGCCGAGCAGGCCGAGCGCTATGAAGGTTCGCATTCCTCTCACCGTTCTACTCAATCCAATATCCTCGGATGGTCTTGGTGCTAAAGTCTGCTCTTCAGAGATGGTCGAGAACATGAAGGTTGTTGCTGCGAACAACGTTGAGCTCACCGTTGAGGAGCGGAATCTCCTGTCTGTTGCCTACAAGAACGTTATTGGTGCCCGCCGTGCGTCGTGGAGAATCGTCACCTCAATTGAGCAGAAGGAGGAGTCCAAAGGCAACGAGTCCCAGGTTACTTTGATCAAGGAGTATCGCCAAAAGATCGAGGCCGAGCTCGCCAAGATCTGTGACGACATCCTTGAGGTCCTGGACAAGCACCTCATCCCCTCTGCCGAGAGCGGCGAGTCTAAGGTCTTCTACCACAAGATGAAGGGTGACTACCACCGTTACCTCGCTGAGTTCGCCATCGGCGATCGCCGCAAGGGTGCTGCCGATGCCTCCCTGGAGGCCTATAAGGCCGCTACTGAGGTTGCCCAGACCGACCTCGCTCCCACCCACCCCATCCGCCTCGGTCTTGCCCTGAACTTCTCGGTCTTCTACTACGAAATTCTGAACTCACCCGACCAGGCCTGCCACCTTGCCAAGCTGGCCTTCGATGACGCCATTGCTGGTCAGTTTGATTGATTCAAGCACCAAAACGAACATGCTCGGAGACTAACACATGATACAGAGCTCGACACCCTCAGCGAGGAGAGCTACAAGGACTCCACCCTGATCATGCAGCTCCTCCGCGACAACCTGGTATGTTATATTGTTCTTGGGAGGGGAGGGAAACTCATGACTGTTCCTCGACCCTCCTGTTAATCCCGCCCAGCTAACGAATGACCTTCTTTTTAGACCCTCTGGACCTCTTCTGAGGCCGAGCCCGCCGCCGAGGGTGCCCCCGCCGAGAAGAAGGAGGAGGCCCCGGCTGCTGAGGAGAAGCAGGCCGCTGAGTAAAGAACGAAATCTAAAAAGACCTTGATGATGGACTCACGTCCTCGAGGTGAATGGGGGACAACAAGAGAGAGTCTGAATGTTACAGCCACTCTCAGAGACGGGAGAAAGAAAGAATAGAAGGAAACAGCCAGGAGCCTGAGTAAACGTGGGCGGAAAGAAAGGAATGGACTGGGGATGCATTGATCTGAACCGAAATCCCCTTTCGATTCCGCTGTCCGAGGTATTTTCAGCCTAAGGATAGGAGGGAAAGAAAGTGTTGCTTTTGTTTGTGTTCGATGCCTCTTTTGGGAATCCCTTTTGCTTCAAGTCTGTTCTACTTGGGCTTTTGCTGCAGCGCCTGCGGTGCCTGCTCTTTCCTTTTTTTTGATCTGGTTTTCTGCCCTGGGAGAGGCCTGTGCTGGGCCTTCTCCTTTTTCGTTTTTCATTCTCCTTGTTATTTTGTCTACTTGCCTCTTAACTACCCCCTTTTCAAAGAGTCCCCTTCGCGCGCACTCTCCAAACCCCCCCCCCCCCCCTCCCCATCCCACACCACACATACACACGGACAGAGAATCGTTTTTTTTTATTAAATCAGCTTCCTTATCAGGAACTACAATGAGGGCCTCGTATTGATCACTTCCCCGATCTGGCTTTTTTTACTCTATCCTTCTTCCGATGACGATTCCATGTCCTTTTTTTTCTTTCCTTTTTCTCTTCTAATCTCTTTTTGAGCCCCGTACTTTCTGCCATATGGCGTTGGAGATTATCGCTAGATGTGATGCTTTCTTCTCGAAGATCAATCACTTTTGTTGATCGGGCACACCCTCTCTAACCCCTCCTCGTACCTCTCCTCTCCTTGGTGGGTATTAATAGTAAGGATGACTCGAGCTGTGTGATATCGACCCTGCTCTAGCCCCGAAAGCCAATGTTGTTCATGAGTGTGGGTACCTAGATTCTGGCAGCTCGATATCTATCTTTCGATTAGCTACGATATTACCGCCATGCATCTGGACGGGGGCAATATACTGTAGATTTCTATCTCTTGATCTTTTAACAAGTGGGCTGCGGTGTTCTCTGGGGTTAGACTGGGATCCTAACATGCTTTGCCCCGTTCCTGTTTTCTCTAACATGCCTTTGTGTAGTGTAGGAGGAGCTGCATCTGATGGATGACACATCTATTGATTTTCAATCCACTCGGATGATGATCTTCAATCTCGCTGCCTTCCCCAAAGAAACAAGATGGAAAATAGGAAAGAAAACAGAGCGCTTTCTCGGCCCGATGATCGTGTTCAGGTAATGAACTCACCTCACAACAAGACCCAATTGTTCTTGAAAGACATGCTAGCAAGCATGTGTGGGCTCCAAAGCCTTTAATTGTACTGAAGAGAATCGATGCCTGCACAAATTTCTGCAAGATTTGCTATGGCCTCCAGAACTCAAACCGCATGGAGTCCACGATGAACGTCATTCATTCCCATTAACAGACACATCGACGTATACAGTGTCCCTGGAGGGTGTCGTTTTGATTATGAAAAAAAACAGCAAGACTCTGGACCTAGACGTAGATGAGGAAGAACAGTGACGGCCTTTTCAATATCTCGAGTTCGAGTGGTCAATTCTGCGAGGGTACGGTGATCGGGGGAGAACTATAGCTGTAGCGTGCAAGTAGAAAGGCAGATATCATAGAGATATTCTATGGACCCGACTGCATCCACCCAAGAGAAAGGGAGAAATAGACGACTGCGCTACAAGCCCATAGAAGAGGATGACCTGAGGTGTGCCAGGAGTCGGCGCATTCAAGACCTCCCCTTGTTCTTCCTCAATTACTGAGCGAGATGTCCATATCCTTGCGCGTCCAAAATGTAGGGAATTCTGGTGCCAGGGTGATCACTGTGAGTTTGAACCACGCGCTTTCGCTAAGCATGATCCTTTGCGCTCCCACCAGAACCGACTTCAAGGTTCAAGCCCTCAGCGGGAAGTCCCAACCCAAACCTGCCCGGATTAGTCCAGAGACAACGAAACCACGGCTCGCGTAGAAGGGCGGAGATACGTGCCATGGGGTAGTGGAGTACGTCAAACGCAGAAAGATCCCGCGAGGGTGATCACGAGCAATGACGTCCTCCGGGCAGCGACATTGGTTAGGCCGTTTGGGAATCTGCCCAATCTGCCTGTGCTTTGCTTTTGCGTTCTTGGTGACTTCGGGGATTCGCAGGGCTGGCCGGTTCGTCAGGTTTGGCCATGTGTATTGACTTTTAGGAGGTGACGAGGGAGAAGATCATGCATTTGGCTGTTTCTCAAAGTAGGCTTGTGCTCTGTCTGCATCCTTCCGGGGCACTGCAGAGGAGTAAGACATATTGGGGGGAAGGGGTCAAGCTAGTGCGCTCTTCACTCCACACTTGATGTATTTGAGACTGGATAAGTCCAAGCCACATTCGTACATGGCCCGTATGCTCCATACTATGGAGCATACGGGCGTTTTGTAGGAATCCTGGGTATTTCCCAGTTTGCCCTTACGAGACACATTTTGAGACCGATACGTGATAGATCTTGGGTAAGCTATTCATTTTAACAAAATTTTATTACTCCCTATTGCTATTGTCATGGATGTAGACCACCATGCGACCAGCTATGCAGAGCTAGACAGAAGGGGTATGGTAGATGGTAGATGTTAAATGGTATGAAGGCGCAAGTATCACCGGGGCATCGAGACACAAGAATGAAAAAAAAAAAAGACAAATACGGATGGGAACTTGAGACATGCACATGGATCCTGGGTATGGGGAGAAAACAAAGGTGTGCAAACGTAGCAGAAACAGAGCCGCAAGGTCATACATAATAAATGGGGGCGGAAAGGAAGACAAAAGCCAGCTGCCTGTCGAATAGCAGTTTCGACAAAATAGGGGTGTAGTATGCATGGACGACGAGTGCAGGAACAAGAGTCATTTCTGAACAGGTCAGTCCATCGCATTAAATGAATGCAGATGCAGAGGCAAGGCACGGCAGAGATGTACAGTGTTTGGTTTTGTTTTTTGCACTTCTTCCCTCTAGGTTTTTCGTTTGGGAAAGTATTCTTCTCCTGAACTCCAGGGAGAGAAAAACAAAGAGGGAGAAAAGCAATGATGAGGTCATAGGGAGAGCAAGTTGGGAGAGACAAAGAAATTCGGAAAGAAAAAATAAAAAACAATGGACTGCTCCGAAAAGACCCCCCAGACAAGATGCTTTCCACTTTCCGCGCCGTCCTGCTGTTGACCATGACCATGACCATGCAATGCCATATGACGACGAAAACATTTCCAGTTGCGGGCTCCGGTAGGAGTCATTCAATCAAATCGAGTCTAGTCCCAGTCCCCGAAACGCCCAAGGTGCTATGCATCCGATGATAAAAAAAAAAAAAAGGGTGAAAAAAAGTACAGGTGAAACGTCATGTTCACAAAGAGCCGCCATGGAAGTCAAGTAAAAATGAAAATAAAACGCCGGGTGAGAAAGGAAAGGGGAGAGGTATAGAGGTCCTGGAGATTAAATGGGAAGGGGATGAAATGAGGGAAGCCCTGTGATACCAAGGTTGAATGGAGAGACGTCGATCATTCAGCCAGGGTTGACCATCGTCGCAGTATTGGGGGCACGACAGGGAGAGTCGGTGAGATGGTTCCGCATCCCATCAACTCCGAGATGCCGGCCTCCATGCTTTGGTGGAAGACCAGAGAAATTCAAGGTTGCCAAGGATCGGGTGGCGGACCACTTGACAAACCCCAAGTATGCAATGATGTCACAGAACATCTGGTACCCCCTTGTGTTGAATAAGCGCTGGCGCAGACAACCATCATCTCACCGGTCGCATATGCTTCACAGGGGGCGGCGGAGTCGAAGATGTGTTTTTTTTTCATGTATGGTGGCGTGGACTCTCTTCAAAAAAAAAGGGGGGGGGGGGGGGGGATGTAAATGGCCAACTCGATCCAGTCGGGTGTTGGCCGAAAATGGTCTGAGAGTAAATGTTGAAGTGGCGACGACCGTGGGGGTGGAAATGGTACCCTTTCCCTGGTCTCCCCATGAACGCACGGCAAAGTAACCCCGTATTCGGTCAGGGAAGACCCCCGTCGAAACATGTCATGCGGCGGAGCATATGGGCGAAACCATGATGCAGCTCGGAGCCGACGGCTGACAATCGCCATATTCGGAGAGAGAAAATGTAAAATATCCAGTAAACAATGATTTGAGGAGGGCTCGGCGGTCGTATATGGATGAGCTGGACAAAAGAGATTCATGAAAAGGTTGAGCGAATCGCCCCAGATACACTGCGGGGGCAAAGACCCCGTCATCTCCGGTTCATAGGGATCAGATTGACCTCTCTCACGTTATTCTGCGAGACTTCTGACCCCGTTGGATGTGACGGAGCTATTTCTGGGCCTTCCGTGCCTTTGTGCTCCGGGTCATTTCGCTCTTGGTCATGTTGCGGGTCAGACCACCGATGTAGTCCTGTAGAATCTTATTCTCATTCTCCAGCTTGTCGTGATCAGACTTGACCGCGTCGATACGCTCGGCGAGGGCCTGAAGAGATGATTGGAGGGCCTTGGCTTGTCTGGAAAATCCGATTGTTAGTCAAGACTAGCACACTTCTTGCAAGCAGAACGAGCTGAGGTTCTGGAGGGGGAGAAGACCGAGGGTATATTTGATTCACTCACTCTTGAAGAGTCTGGCGGGCCTCCTTGCCCAATCTTTCGAGATCGGCGGAGTTGCGACGGGGACTCATGGCGCGAGCATCATCGGGAGGGAACTCTTCCTCCTCAATCTCAATTTCGGGGTGGTCTCGGGGGACCAATATGGAAGCGGAGGGCTTGCGACTCGCCATGCGCGGACGTTCGGAGCGGCCCCGGCGTTCAGTTTCTGCGTCAGAAATGGATGAAGACGAGGAAAGCGAGGACATATGCATGCGGCCACCGTCGTTGGGTTGCGGTAGGGTCGGCACGGGCAAGGCTTCATTCATCTCCGTATCAGATGCCATAAGGGTGGTTGCTCGCAACAGACACAGTCGAAAAGAATGGAGTTGGCGAGGTCCAGCGTGGCGATTGTTCGTTTAATTCCTGAGGTGGAGGAAAGGAAAGGGAGGTTGATGATGAGAAAACACGGAGATGTCGTAGGTCGGAAACGAACGGTGAACGACCACGGTCTACCCCTAGCGATGTACCCCAGACGAGAATCTGTGTTACGCTTGAGGTAGCTACCGGGGTCGGCGGGGGTTAATAATGAGAGGATCGGAACGGGGGAAAGGAGGTTTGGATGTTCAAGATAAATGAACGTCGGCAACCGGACCACTGGCGAGAACGGTAGAGGTATGGTGCGCGCAGAGTTTGGGAGGACAAGTCAAGATGGCAACCGTTCCAGGTGTTGTTGAACAAGGCGATTTGGACTGGGAGGGGTGGTCGGCTGGTGGAGAGCGCGATCAAGTTGCTTTTTAGACGGGATCGAAGAGATCGGGTGGTATTCTTTTTTTTCCCTGGATTGAAGGTATAATCGGTGGATGGTCGATTTTCCGGAGGGCGGAGAAGTAGTGTTGGTTGTTGAAGAGAGAAAAGTCGGACTAAGGTCGGGGGTTGTAGGAAGAGGGATTGGCAGTTGGTAGTTGGAGGTTGGAGGTTGTTGAGAGGAAAGGAGAAAGGGAAGGGAAGAGGCCCAGGGACGAGGAAAAGGTACGTGAGGTATTGAGAGTATCGGCGTATGGACCGTATGGGGCGTATTGCCAATACCCGTATGGGACGGGCTGACCGGGGGGGAAAGGGTTCGGAACCACTGCGAGGACTTCGGTATCGGCATTACAGGTCACAATAGGGAAGGTCAGTAGTACCGCTGTACAGCGTGCTTCGTGCCTAGTATGGTATTCTATCTGTAGGACGGGTTTTCGCTTCTTTTTTTTTTTTTTTTCCTCTGCTTTATTTTCACTGGCTCAAGCCAGCTGAATGGTTGGACGATGGACTATCATGGCACCTTTTCAGTAGGTGGAGGGGAGGTCCCTTTGGATACACTGGGTGATCGTCCCCCCTCCCCCCCCATCCCTTCCCTCTCCGAAATGAACCCGTGAGAGGCGCGTGGCAGCCACAATTTTGCTGGAGTTCGGTACGGCTATTAATTAAATAATTACCGATAGGTTTGGGGGTGGGTTCCCGGTATCCTCCCGTAATCAGTTTATGATTCATTTTCTCATTCTCTTTTTTTCTTTTTGGCCTGACGAAAGAAAAGAGGGGATGTTTGACCGAAGACAGCAATGGGGGCGACTGCAAACGAACGGAGAACAGGGTGTCCAATGAAGATGGGATCAATGACTCCGTTCAACAAGCAAAAACCAGGCTATGGTGGCATGGCGGCATATTGGCATACTGGCATCTCATCGGTATGGTAAGCAAATGGCTGGTACGAATCATAACCACCATGATCATGATCATCATACCTCCCCCCTCCCTTCCGGGGCTCGTTATGACCACCCATCAATTCATTAATAATATATTCCATGGTTATTATGGTGTTGTTGGTTTATCGTGGCAATGAGATCATCAATCTATACATAGGACGGACTTCAGGTCACTCAGAATCCTCATCAGCGCGACCAACATGAGCTGAACCCCCCCCCCCCCCCCCCCCTTGCCAGTCGGGTAAGCGAATGAGTCTCTTTCGGTGAGATACCACAGAATACCATAAGGGGAAAATCGAATTAAAATGACCAGAAATCGCGCTAGCGAGCGACCCAAGGGAACCTACGAGTTCCATGGAAGCGCCAGAGAAAAAAAAGAGGGTCGAACCGGTGCCAGCGGGGGAACATCGAAAGAGTCCGGTGGCCAATCAACAGCCAGGAACGGGCTGGAGGGGCCCCAATCCTCCTCCGCTAACGGGGTTAGGGCCGGGTTAGGGCCGCCCTTTTCTTGCGTCCGGTTAGTCTGGTTATCGGAGCTGGCGAGTCCCATGTTGTTTAGCCTTGTTCTTGTGCTTGTTCTGGTTGATTCTGGAGGGCCAAGACCTCACTAGTCCGTCCCTCCGAGCAGATTAATTGATATTGAACTATCGTTATGAAGGAATCGATGGTTCCTAGGGATTTTTTTTATGGACTTTATGGGTTCCTATGGGGGTTTCTGGCTTTGGCGGCTTTGCTGGTTCTTTTGGATCCTTTGGTTCCCTTCCGGAGTACCAGAAGTTCAAGATTCCAACAGTTCTATGTCATCTTATCAAGCTTCTTTACAGATTGCTTCGTCAACGCACTATTTACCCGACTCACGTACGGAATACTTGCCCTCTTTGCGCACATCACGATCAGCAGGCGTGTACCACCATCAGGTCCGTACAACGAAGTACGTATGTCTGAGCCTTTGCTAGTGGGGAAAACAAAGTACACCGTACTCATTGCTCTATACACCGCCCCAGGGCCTCCACCTTGCGGAAGCTTCACAATCCGTCATCTGTAACTGCGGCGCAGGTACTGGGTACTTTGTCGGACGGCGACTGGGTATGGGTAGGGCAAGCTCCGCCGACCGCAACCAACCAGCCTCCGACAAGAAGCGGATCGCGCCTCCACTGTCGCCCACCGCCAGAATGGCAGAAATGGAGTGTGTTTTTACCGAACCTTGATGAACACGTATTCCCCCCCCTTCGTGTGGCCCACTCGCCCTATTCTTGTTTGCCATGTCTTCCTGACCAAACGCCCCTCTCCCAACCCCCTGTCTCCCCTTTTTGACTCCTTTTCACTCTCAAGCAGGTTTGTTCCGGAAGTCGGCAGAGGCAGACCCTCGGACGACTCGCAAATTATTCTGATAACGGACCACTGCAGCATCACGAAACGAACTGCCTAGTATGTGGGTAGAGCGCAAGCTTCGCGACTGGTTCGATGTGATGTACCCCGTATTGAAGTATTGACCACTGATCCGTAATACGGCCAACCTTCCCAATAATACCGAGGCCGTGACCACTGAACGTCTCTGTCCGCCGGAGACATTACCCAAGTCATCCTCCTCCCTCGGTCGACTAGCTAGTTTACTTCGTTTACATCCACGGATCCTCCCAGAAAATCAATCTATTTGGCCTTGATAGTCGGGGGAGCCGCGCCTCTCGACCGCTTTTACCGGAGCCTCCCCTATTTGGGGATGCTGGATTCCCGAGACTTCCTTCTGTCATGCTCGAATGGGAGGGGCGGGGGAGGACCACAAAAGAGGAGATGCTGCAGCTGTCGGACGCGAGACTGCATATGGGAGGGTGGAGGGGGATTGAAGGCCAAAAAGGTACTTTTGTCCAGTCCTGAAACATAAGTGAGGCATCATAATTGGTGCTTCTCGAAGGCCGTCGTATGGGAGGGAGTGAAGAGGGAAGGACCGCCCAGGACATTGAGGGGCCAAAGGAGCGAGAGAGAGGGAGGGGGGCGCTATGCAATGTCGATCGAGCCGCAACAAGTGGGCATGACGCCATTTCACTGGCCCCGATCACTCAGTTGATTAGCCCCCTGATCCCCAAGACACTCAACCGGACCCCCCTCCACCGCCTCTATTCCAAGACGGGAAGATGGGGGAGAATACAAAAATATCGAATACGGAGTACACAAGTACACGATTACACGAGTACATTGTATTACTTGACGTATTACTCTCTTCCAATCTTATTCGGGCTCGAGTTGCAACATACCATCGATGGCATCTCCTGGTGGCAAATGTATTTTTTCTATTCCAGGAGCAAGACAGCGCGATTGAGGCAAAAATGACTTTCTATTCAGCAATTTGGCTGGATGGAGGTTCGACGGCAATCTCGACGGCAATCTCGAAGTATACCGCGTAGATCTACCGAGTAGATCGTAGCCTGTCAATATACAATCATCAGAATAATACGTGCAGGTGGGTATATACTTCAGATTGTCCGTCCGGAGAGACGAGGGAGCACCTGTCAAGGGATAGTCGAATTCTCTCTGACGTCCATCGGACCGAATCCTCAGGTGAATTCAATTCTATGGTCATGATTATCATTATCTATATGATGTCGGATACACCGATGAGGAATTCTGGTTGAGGATCGTTCTTGCAGTCTCTCTCTCTGTCTCTCTCTCCCTCGCTTTCGAAAGGAATGGCTACTATGATCAGTATGCTAATGATTATCGTGATGAGCCCGGCCGTTTTCGCTGGATTGGTATTCTGACTCTCGTTTTCTGGGCTTCCTTTGGCCTTGCCCAATATGAGTCGATGGCCGATCCTTGCGCCCCGTGGAGTCAGAAAAAAAAAACACATCTCTGTGATCACATTCTGCGCCCCCCTCGGCTATAGAATAGAAGCCTCTCGTTGGACATGAGATCCCGCCTCCCGGCTTATCCCATCGTACCCGGGTGGAGAGAGGCGGAAAAAGAGTCAAGGATTACGGAGGACGGAGTATAGTAGTGCAGCTGACAGAGCAGTGCGGCTGCTCCGTCAATTCGTAGGTGCGCCGTACTATCGGCCACACTGGACTCCATCCCAGAGTGCTCCATGTGGATTCCTCCATGCCGGCAACTGCAGTCCTGGAAGTCGTGACACTGTTTTCCCCTTAGCGATCTCCTATAGCTGTCCTTCCCCCTTCCCCCTCCTCAACCTGCACACGGATTTCGAGGATCAACGGGAGAAGGCATCTAATCTCCGGTATCCAGTCACGGACCGGCGGAGTCCTTCAACCAGGACGACCGGGGCCAATAAGGGCCGCGAGGATAGCGCGCTATCTGTAACTCTGTAAATCTGTAAATTATACTCTGTACGGAGTACCGGGCGTGCAGGCGTGAGCTTCAGACATGCGGTCAGTGGACATCTGTAGGCGCTTGGGCAAGAGACGATCCATTCCCATGGGTTCGACCGGGGCGCCCTTCTTATTTGGCAGATCGCTGGCCGGCCAAGGAGGTGAAGCCCTCAAGCAGGGTCACCACCGGTGCCGATCCCCAGGATTTGCTCTCCTGCGCCCTCTCCACTGCACCGGGTTGACGAAGGTCCCAAGGAATGCCAACGGCTGAGCGCGGTCCACATTTCCCAGATTGGGGAGGGAGGGAAGAAGGGGGGGGGGGGGGGGGCGGCGGAAGTTGCCAGGATTCGAACAAACATCAGATGGAAGTCATATGGACTCCGTATAGCAGCATGATAAGAATTGCATGCCGTAGTCATCATTGACCTTGTTGATTATCAAAGGGTCAAATGGGAGAGTCGAAGGAGATCGCTTATCTTGGCTGGTCACGGGGACTCGAAGTCCCATTCGCGACCACACGACCCTCGTCCCGCTCCATCAGGCCGCATGTTTTCGAACTACTCGGTATTCTACACGGAATGGGCTCTGTACAGAGTACTTCGTGTTCTCTTTCCTTTTCGCTTTATCTCGACTCCATACAAACAACAATACAACCCCCCTCCCGGCCTTTCCCCTCTCCTTGGGCACCAACTCCCCCTTCCCAGGTACCGGACCCGACCAGCATCCATGGGTCCCATCTATCGGCAGTGGCTTGTTGGTGGCTGCGGCGACTCGAATCAAAACTGCCGGCGCCACTCCATCACTTGCGCACGAGTTTTCCGGGGAGCCCGTCCCGGACGTTGCACGAGCGCCAACACCATCCCTGAATGACGGCATGGCCCAGCAAGGATGCAGCCGGTGGTGATTGCTTTGCCCCCCCCCTTCCTTCCCTCTCCTAGTCGCTTTTCATCCTCCATTCTGGTCCCGCAGAATGATGAGTTTGTTTGGGTCCTGACGAAAGAGCAAAGTGTGGGATCCGCCCATCTGCCAATGTGACGGATCGGAAAATTCCCTTTCCAACCAGGAAGCCCGCAGACCAACGCCAAAAATCAAAATCGTGGCTTCAAGCTCGCAAACTTCCCGACGGATCTTCGGGTTCGGGGGGTCAGGGACGGTTCAGGACCCAGTTGAAGTCAGCCTTGGTTACCGGTCACCAGTTTGGCACAGTTCCTGGCGACCAACGCTAAGATCTCTGGCCTACAGTCTCCTGTCACGATGACTCGTGTTTGACCAAACAGACTCGGATGGTCATCCTCGTACAGCGCCCCCATCACCCCTCTCCTACTCATCTTCCCCGGCAGTCTGTTGCTGCTGTCACTGCTGCTCCTCATCCGAGAGCCAGTGGCGGTCGTTCCTGAATCCCCGCAGCCCGAAGAGTCAGATGGTGCGAGGACGCTTAGGCCCGACACTGGTTCGAGGGGCGCGTGTGACTGCATGCTGCGGTGGTTCCACCGAGGCCCTACTAACACTGCGGTTTTGCGGGTTTTCTGGTTTCTCTTCACGCGCTCCATCGCGGAGTCGCTCGTCCGCAAAGCCTTTGGCCAGGACAATTCATATCCACCCCTCCATCCATACTCTCCTTTGTACCGGTCAAGTACGGATTAAACAGAGACGACGTTACAGGCTCCATCTCCATCCACTTGTCTTGGCAGTCCTCACAGCCGCATGTCAGTTGTTCGGGGCGACTGAAACATCCATTGTGAGGCGCTTGCTTCTTCTTGTCGATGAGACATCCACGTAACGCGCCGGCCAAACGTCATCACTAGTCCCATACTTCAATAGTAGTTTATTTGTTCGCCTCCCATCTCGCGGATCACACGCTTCCCGATCTCATTATCACTGAACGGGAACACTGGTGGAGTTGCCGCGGGATGATTTCGTATTTTCGTCCTTGGATATGTTTTTTTTTTCTTCCCTTTTCCCCTTTTTTTGCTTTCCCAGCGAAAGTCTTTTACTCAATTGGGATGGGCAACAACCCTGCCGATCTACTCCGTGCCATGTCGCCCGCGGTCGCTGATTCGCTTCTGTTCGCGCACCCCCACCTGGTACGAACGCGTTTCAACGCATTACGGGCAGAATTGGAGAGGGGCGAGCGAAAAAGATTCCCCCAAGGAGAGGTAAGTGGGAGGGGCGCCCTTAAAGTCACGCTAAGCCCGGATGGCGCGCGATGAGGGAGTGGCGGTGGGTTTATTTCTCTTCGCCGCCGCATTTCACTGGCTAGCCTATTTTTTTCCTGCCTGTCGCGGGACATTTTCGTGGGTTGGAAGCCCAATCAGCGGGGCCTTGAATGGCTTCTAAGCAGCCCCTCCGAGGAGCAGCAGCACCAGCAACAGCATCGGGTGGGACGACGGGCGACTAGCAACTCGGGATAGTTTCTTTCGCCCTTGGCTCTCTGTCCGAAATCCGGTTTGCCTCTTTGTTGCTGACAGGCTCTCTCATCCCGGCTCTGGGCTACGAAGTAGGCTCTTCGGTGAAAAGAACGATTTCAGAAAGACTACTTTGGGTTTCTGTAATTTCGTATTTTATATCGATAGCATCCACAGAGGACGGAGTAGGAAGGACAGTATATACTATCCCAAATCAAGATACCATTCCAAGTTACCCCTCCGTTTTATACCACAGGATGTGCATACGATACGACAGTAACAAAGTACGCTCTTCAGTGACTATATCGATACCCACTCTGAATAACTCTGCCTCAACAGGGCCTCCATCTGAGTCCGAGTACGGAGTATAGATTACCACTGTAGGTCGCCTTGCCCTCCTGCGGTGGATAAACATACCGCGCAGACTGCCGTTTGCGGACATTGCCATTGTGTTCCTCACGATGCTCTGGAATGCTGCCTCCCAACGCTCGCTTCCATGGAGGAATCTGCTTTGCCTTCCTGTCGTCAGCCAAGCTGCCTTTCTGTCGTCAGCTAGAACTTCCCTGGGCGCAACTGGTCCCGAAATCAGTATGACGGAGGAGGAGAGAATGTAATGCCTGTAAAGGAGGTATATAAACGACACTTTGTATGGCAGGTGCTGCTATGCACCGCATAAAAACCGCAATTCGCAATATCTGCTACTGTATCATGTAAACTCCCAATCTCACCCTACACTCCCTAAATAGGACACATTGATCGATGTAACAATCAATGCTTTCTCTCTTCTTTCTCCTCCTCCCCCAAGATCAAGAGGCTCAACGACGTCACACATAGCACACCTAATTCTGCGAGGATCACTGTCCCACCCCCCGTGCAGATCGCATCGATCAAACAATCCTGTTTTCAGATCTGGATTTCTTGGTTTTGATCTTTCTGGGTTTGACCCGTTCCATCGCTTCTGTGGAGCGAGCGCGATGCCCGGAATGTGGGAGCTGGGTCTCCGCCGCGCCGGCGATCTAAGGTCCTCCTGCCTAGCTCTGATTCGATTAGACCCGGTCGAGTCGGGCTCCGTGCACGGCGCCGGGCGTGGTTTATTGGGCTGGTGAGTGGATTGAAGGGGGAATACAGTGGTTAAGAGTGTGTTGGATGGATGAAGATGGTATGGAGCTTGTTTGATGGGAAGGTCTCGGAGGTGGGCTGTTTGGGAGTGGGTGCATGTGAGTGGATGCTGTGCTTGCGAACTAGTGAGTGGTGCAGATACAACGGAGATATGATCTCGTAGATATCTGGACAGATCAGATCTCTGTCATGGTTCTTGACGCCGTCGAGAAGGTGGTTGGTTCGCCGTCGCGCGTGTCTATTTGAGGTTAGGGGAAGAGAGTCTGTTCTTGAGTCTTGGACGTCCATGGAGTAAGTGTATGTTTAGAATGGACAATGGTCGTGATTCGATGTCCATGGGACAATGTATTGTACACAGACGAGAAGAAGACACATTAAAACAAAATTCAAATCCCGATAATGATATGTATTGCCGAAACGCCTTTCTCTCCCCTCCCTAGGACAGTGTCGTGTTTCATGAAAGCGCATCGCTGGTCTGCCACTGAAACAAAGCTCGCAGCACAGCAACACCACCAGCTTGAGTCTCAACCGTACGTCCCCGGCCACGGTCGTTGAAGTCCCGCGGTATTCCCAAAGCTATACCATCCACAGCGAGCTCGTCGTTGCGATAGTCAACAGCACCAGCGGGGAGAGTGCTGCTATTCACAATCTCGCTCGAGACCGAAAATTGCCGGAATGGCAAACCCCACCACATACCAAACTTCCCGTCGTCATCGCGAGTCATCAGCGCGGCCCGCGCATTGTGCTCAATCCAAGGCCCGTAGGCGCGGCATCGGCGCAGATGCCGGTCAACGACCTCGTCCCAATCCTCGTCTGCAACGGGCTGGCGCTTCTCGTCCGCCAGAAACTGAATCTCCTGCGGCCGCAGCGGCCGACAGAACTCCGCCAGGTGGTGGAAGAAGATGCTCTTGAAGGTCTGCCCGTTCTGCGAGCAGCTGGCGTGCGAATCGCAGACCTCTTCGAGAACGCCGCCGCGGCCGAGCCCAGACCATTTAGTTGAGGACGTGTGTGGCCAGCCGGTAGCGCGGAGCACCTTGTGCACGAGTTCGTGGCCATCACGAAGGTAATTTTGCGAGCCGGTGGCGATCCAGAGGCCGCGTAGCCCACTGAGCACGACGCCCTGGTTGTAGGTGTACACCATCGTGTTGAGCAGGTCACATTTGCGCGAGCCCGGGTCCGACGAGTCTTGCCAGCCGCTGATGTGGAAGCCGTCCGCATAGAGCCCGCCGATTCCGCTCATGTTGGAGTTCTTGAGCCATGCGTAGGCGTCGATGGCGGCTTTGAGATGGACGGGGTTGTGCGGGTATGACTGCTTGGATCTCTGACCGGACGAGTCGGCCATGAATGGAGCGTCGATGGGATCGCCGGGGAAATATAGATACATTCCAATGCTGGCAGATATGTACAGCTCGTTCGTGATGGCATTCTTATACGGCACCAGCGAGGGGTTCCAAATCATCCCGCCGTTGCAGAGAGTCTTGTCCCACCCAGCCGAGGCAAGCTCATAGAAGATCCGTGCTCGGTGTGCCGCCGAATCACGGAATTGGGTGCCATACCATGTCGGCCCCGAGGTTGTGTTAGACGAAGCGGCGGTTGAATAATGTAGCTCGGAGTGCAGGTCCTGGAACTTGATGTTCTCCAGCCAGTCCAGGACCACCCAAAGCATGTCGTCATAGGCCTGGTTCCGCAAGCTGAAGGCATTCTCACCAAAGTAAAAGGTGTTCATCTGGCTAAAAAAGTGATTCACGGTATTTTCGAGTCCTGGGAGGATCAACTCTTGTAACTGTTCGTCTTCGGCGATATCCCGCGCATTGCATGAGTAGGAGGAGAGGGTCGCGACGACATGCGTCCCCAGGACCGCAGCAGTCCAATCGATGCTGGACGGCCAGGTGCCGAGCCAGAGCACAAAATACTTGTCTTGCATGACGTTCAGGGCACTGAGCAGGTTTCGTAGTGTCTCTGCGGGCGGCGCCCAGCTCATTGGCTCCGCTGTATGACCATCCCCGAGGTCAGTCTCGCTGGCGATGTCATCCAGTGTAATTTGGGAGCCCTGGGAAGTAGATGAAGACTCCCTCAGTGGCTTTTGGGGCTCGTACGCCAGCGCATTTGCCCCGGTTGCAAACAGAAGGAAAAATAGCGACAGAATCATATATAAAGACGGTGGTGGTCGCCGGGTACGGGCGCTGAATCCGGACTGGGAAGGCATCCTAAGGGCAGGAGAAGAAATTCGACCGGCCACACAAGTCAGTGCTCAACCCGCCTCTATAAAGATATCAGAACACCACAACATGCACACACACCCACACGAGACGAGGGCGAGACCAGCCTCGGATGCGGGGAAACGGGGAGGAAAGGTTGCGCCCCGGCCTGGCGGGGCTTAGTCACCAACCACACACTGCCCGCCCAGTATCACGCATACTAAACCGAAGAATGCATTCCAAGAAGCGATCTACCGATCTGGGGAAAGGTCAGAGAACGATCAGCTCATGTGGCGGTCCGGGATTATGCAGGATCTTCTTTAAATGGTGCATCACGAGTCGTTCTGGGCTGGCCAGGATGCGCCACATGGGCGTCGCGTGATGCAGACAGTAAGGGATCTCGGGCCGCCTAGCGGTGCTAGGCGAGGACTGGATCAGATCATAGCTCTCTTGATTCTCAATCTGTCATATTGTCGAAGGCTACTGGTGATCGTTGTATTGTAAATATGCCACTTGGTATATGAGAGCAATCTTTGAAACCTCTTTTGTACGTGTGCCGCCCCCGCTGCACCCACAGCATACTACGTAGGTAAACGGCCTCCTGCGTTAACCTTTCCGGAGGCAATATTAGAATCTAAGTATATTGATATCTCTTGGACAGAATTATCTCATTTGACTTTCCTTCTTCCACCTCATTGTTCAGTAATCAAGTAGATAAGGGACACAATATCACAAACGCTATGTATTACAATGCTTTCATTTCGTACGTCACGGCATCATGGGACATTTCGAGCTTGATATACATTTTTATCAAACCAATTGACCTGGAAATTCTTAGCTATCCATGATTTTAGAAATCTCTAGGACTCAGTGAGGACTATTTTGTCGATCTATATATATAAATTCAAGTTATATAAATGTCATAGAAAGTGTGCAAATGCTAGTCATACCTACTAAAGATATCCTTTGAGCTAATCTAAAGCGAAAGTCCCATGCAAGTGGAAAGCAGATTATTTTTGCGGGATATTGTCTCCAAGCCTACCGAAAAAAAAAACACTATATGGGATAAAGTATTGGATCTTGATTATCGAAACTAGGAAATGAAACAACACTTTCAACGACATACTGAAGGACCTTCTTCGTGTCACTCTCTCATGCTCCAACGATGCCTTGGCATTCATGAAATGGGGGAACTATTGCAAGGATTGCTGCATATGAGTACATTGTCCCTACAAAGGGCTCATTGCCATAGCATACAAAAGTGAACGCCACCTCCTCATGCTTTGGTTCAGAAAGCCACAAAATACCAGGAAGATATTGTGCGGACCATGCGGCGTTGACGATCTAACATTGAATTAGGCCAAGATATCAAAGAGGGCTGGAAGAATGTGTAGACGTACATCCGTTAATGGTTCGAACTGCCCTCGATCTGCTGCAACTTGATCCCGACATATTCTCCCTGGGCCCCCTGGGAAACTTTGAGATTCGTTTTCGATTTCTGATCCTGGGCATTTTTGGTGAATTTTTTTATTCCCAGCACCTTGCGGGACAAGTATAATGTCTTCCAATATTTATCAACGTCTGAGCAGACAGGTATGGTCAGAGGCACTTGGATGACTCGTGGCTCAAAAATACTTGCCTTCCCGGAGGTAGTCTGTCGTTTGGTCCTCTGCCTCCTCTTCATTGCAGTCTTCATCAAAGGAACTAGAACTCAATACAGGGAGTACATGTACTTCCATACCGAGAGACCTCAATATGGAATAAGAAACCAAGTCAACACCTTTAAGACCTCTCGGAATAAGTTCTTCGACATATTTTGAAGAGTGCGGATACGCATGAGAGCAGTAGATGCCAAGAACGCCACCTGCGAAGCGTTATTATCCAAATCTCGATCTGTGTCTTGAATGCCTGACATACCATCTTTGAGAAACGCTGGCTCTGCAAGAAGACCTCTTAATGAGGCGTATAGAGGCAGTGTCTTAGAGTCCACACTAACATTTCTGGGAGCCGCATTACATCCCGACTCAGTCACGTAAAGGTTAGATGTTAATGTAATTCTTTCGCCGGCCGTGATTGTCTTGATCTCATGCTCACAGTCGCTATGGTCCACTAGATCGCCGAGGCGCTGTTAGGAGCCCAGTCACAGTCGATAACCGACCCATTGTGCTGAACGATCAGTTTACCGCCTTCGAATGCTGATGGTAAGCAAACAACCAAGGACCCAATTTATTTTTCAGACCGCAGGGTATCAACATATTTTCGAAAAAGGCCTGATGGCCCTTGATAGACCTGTGGGGGAGAAAGAAATCATAAGTAAGCAGCATATTAGAACTCCGGATGAGACAACACCCTACAGTCAACTTGTAAAGCTCAGCCGTCAGCTTTCGAGAGGGTAGCTGGTTCTCTGCATCGCTAATGAAATTGGGAAGGAGGAATTGCTCAACATCTTCGATAATTCCAAAATCAGCTGGGTGGAAGCTGCTTAGGAATTGTTCGGGGTCAAGCTTTCCGGCGTTACGATACTCTGGGTCAATCACATCTTCATGTCTTCTACCGAAGCTGGCGGCAGAGCAATCTGTAGCCAGTTGACGAATTCTTTCAACATTGGAATCAGGATAGGCTGTAATAGGCAGTACTAGCTTTCGCTCCTCAGATCCATCCTTCGCAGTCCAGGCAATACGGACTGGACGGGACACCTGGTGCGTGGGGACAGAAGTATTATGTTCGATCTGGATTTGGCCACCGCAGATAAAGGTCGCTGAGGCTTTTTCATTGGCAATCAACTTTTCCAGTTGGCTGCAGGATTTTTCAAATGCAAGTGTAGTTAATGCGGGAGCTCCAGAGCTCTGCCTCATGGGCTGCGAAGGGCATTGAGATATGACAGCATTGAGCAAGCTTTGATGGGCAGAGCTGTGGGGCTTATTCTCTGGCTGGATACTTTGGAAAAGCCGGGTTTTCCATCAAGTAGGCCCATCGGGCTTCTAGTCTTGTCTTCATGGTTTGATCGGAGAAGATATCGGAACCAGCCGAGATATTCAAAACCCCCGGGAGAAGCCGGTTGATGTTCTTCTGCATCTCCGCTGCAGCGTGATTTATTTTCTTCGCATTCGTGTTGCCGAACTCAGAAAAATCCCAAAGAGACTGTTTGGATCGACGGTCATCTTTCAGTATGTCGTTTAGAGAGAGTAGAAAGGGATCCATGCAGGCATCTAATTTGCATTTCTAGAAGAGGTGGGAAATCGGTGAGTTCTGGTCAGGATGGCCCACGATGGCAGTGGTCGCAGTCACAGCGTCAGTGGTGATCCCACTTTGTTGTAGCCGGTGGCTCTAAAGAGGCTCAGGTGTAAATACCTCGACAACGGCCTTTGTAACGAACTCTTGAAGGTCGGCCTATGATTTTTTGAATGGAATACCTTGTGTCGTGTTGCCATGATCAGATAATTCGCCGTTATTGTTCAGATCCATGATAAGGCCGATGTCACTGCTAATTAAGATTCCGAGCGGGATAATGAAAGTAAGGGCTGAGTCAAACGTCCAGTGAAGAAGTACAAGGTGCTGAGGTTGGTAGTGAGGGGCTGGAGGGGGAGGCAGAGTAGGCGCCTTTGCAGGACAGGATAACGTGAAGGTAACCATTTGGGTGCGGGGACTTGAGGTGTTTATGTAGCGATAAGTGTGACGCATGGTCGGTATCCCAAACACTTGCCCTTGCCCAAGGGGCTCTGGGAAGTGGCCTATGAGGCCTATTCGGGAGTCAGAGCCCTAGTCAGCAAACACAAAATTCCCGGTGGGGTTCAGGGCCTGCGGAGGTCACAATTTGAATCTGCATGCATGGGTAGAGTATATATGTCATGCAATATTGGTATCCTGGTGTAAGGTATCACTGTCAGCAGCATGACTTGAGATCCTGATCTTTTCATGGGGTAAGACCGGATGGAGGAGGAGAGGTAGTGAATATTCGTCCTGAGATGCTTCGCTTCGGAATGAAAAATCTAGTATTATGCACCATAGGTATTAGCACGGCGCCACGCGCATAGTAGATATATAGCCTTCATGAAGTGTATACATGCAATTCGTACACCTGGCAATACATATATATTGGGCTACTGCATTCTGCCACTGGGTACAGCTGAAGGTTAGTTATTTACTGAGCTAGACACTTATGAGTATCTGATCGGGCTCGCTGTGAGCGTAACAAAAGCAGATGTGGAGACGGACTGTCATATATATCCTCCATTGCTGACCAGGGTGTTATATCTAAATTTGCGATCTTCCTGCATCAACCAGCACCAAGTGGTCGAGCAGTAACTCGGCTGACGCATCTTCCTTGGTCTAGTGGTCATGATTTCCGCTTGTCATTAACACCGATAAGCGCGGGAGACCGGGGTTCGATTCCCCGAGGGAGAGTCTTTTTTTGCATCAAGTTCATACTAATCATATTTGATGATCGATTCTTCGCAAGTACCCAGTCCTCCTTTGAGCGCAACCTGATCAATGATCAAGAACATTGGATAAATACAACACCCGATCTATTTATTTTTCTCTGCAGACATCACTTTCCTGCCTCCAAGGTTAACTCAACCCTTTCAGCCATTTAGGAAGTCACGGGACCTCATTCAACCCTAGAGCGGGGCAAGAAAACTGGGCCCACATGAGATACTCCCACATATAGCCAAACCTTTTCCCATCTTTCATCAAGGCCGGCTGGCCCAATGGCAAGGCGCTTGACTACGAATCAAGAGATTGCAGGTTCGACCCCTGCGTCGGTCACATCTTTTTGGCTCCTTCATCTCATGGTGCTACTCTCTTTTTGAACCTCTGATATCAATAAATATAGATAGATGTGGTTAATGTCAGAACTTTCTAAGTCTTCAGAGTCACAATCTGCACATATCTTGGTCTATTGGTCGCTCTAATCGTGACCAGAAGACTCAAAGGCCACTATCGAGCTCCTACAAGATGTCTGGTTATTCGGCCAATGACTCGACGTTTCATAATAAAGTTCGCATGAACAGTCTGGAGAGAAATGAGTGAAGAACATTGATAGCTTTTCATTTTGTTTTATCATTCACAGTGAATCAATACCGTAGGAGGGCAAGGCGAGCAACTGAAAGTTATCCAAGAGCCCATAGATGGCTCCGGGGTTACTGATACGAGAAACACCAGAGCGCTACTAAACAGCATGGAGTCCAGTTCAGCCAATATAAACGATGCATTGCTCAAGGTAAATAGTGCTATAGATCACAAAAAGCCCTCTTTGTCTTCTCATTGCTTTATTAAACCACCAAAAGTCATTGAAACTTCGTGCCATGCAGACCCATTACTAGGTCAGTGAAGGGGCCCTTTCCAAACTGGAGAGGTAGCTCAGAAGAAACAATAATCTTATGATATATTACATCTTGCGCTTCCTTCATGAGAAGACAAAATTTGCATTCAGTCCATCTGAGAACTGACTGATACCAATAGTGTCACAGTCTTGCCACACGCCTTAGGTGTCAGTTTCAAAATAAACCCTGCCAAAGCAAATATTGCACCGACACGGATGTTCATTTGACTTCCGAACATCTCTCCAGTGCCTTATACAAATGACTGAAAGTCTCATCATGGAAGCCCTGGACTTCTGCTTATTCATGTGCTAGGAGAGTTCCACTCATCATCTTCCGCCAACCACCAACTATAAGATCTCCATGGCTAGCTCGGGGGCCGAGAAAGAATAGACTGCCATTATTTTAGGAGTAGAGCCGTTGAGCCGTTAATTTAGCCAGAATATCCTTAAAAGAGGCCTCAGTATTTTCTCGATCTTCCCCAGCTAAGGTAAAATCATCTCACGAACTCAGACCGATGGACGAACTCAGCCTCGATCGACTCTGCACTCGCTGGGTCAAACGGAAGCCCTTGCACCATGAGTGGGATATGTGGTGTAAAGGCAGAATCGATGTGGGTATTGAAGCGCGCGTAGTCGCTATACGCACTTTCGTCCCGCTGGCTTAGCGGCACTAACATTGCCAACTCAATGGGATAGGTGAAGTCAAGTGTTTGCTCAGGAAATAGATGGCCTGATACACAGTCTGGATAGTTTTCTTGCAGATAAATCGCGATTCCAAATGAATCACCGACGATGGCGTTGTTGGCCGGATCGGTGATCATGGGCAGCGTATAGAAGTCGCTGCCGTCGGCAAACTTCCGTCCAGGGGGTGCGCCGACACTCTGGCGAACTTGGCTGATATCTAGAGGGGGCAATCATTTCGCGGAGTGCGGGACACATTTGAAGTTCAATGCATAGTGAGCCTTCCATGTGTAAGTGGCGCTCCTCGATTCTTCAAATGGAGGGCGGAACGCGATGGCATAGAAGGTAATAGCGGAGGATGGAGTCTGGGAGTCCGACGAGATGGTGATTTGACAAGCAGAATGTGAATATCAAGATTCAATGCTTCAATAAATAAAACAAATATGCTTTCACTTGGAAGTTAGAGTTCCCGCCGGACCACGCCGTATTAACACTATTCAAGTTCGACTGTATTTGAGGTTATTAGCGAATCTCGCTTTACAGTGCAGAGATAGCTATCATCTTGTCGAGGCGAAAAAGACTTCATTTGGTGCGCTGGTCATGTTTTCAAAAGATAGGTAGAAATTCAATGCTTTAAAGATTGGGATTGTAATGATGGAAGAGAGTGCGGGTCTTGCATAAGTCGACGCGCCAATAATACGTAGATTGAATTACGAACAAAGGCTAAGCATATAGACCAAGAGGCCATCTGTCAAATTAATATAACGAATTGAAGCAAATAATTATATGCGCACCCTTCAACCAGGGTATTGCTGGCTGTATTTCAGAGGCGTGATATAAGAACTATCCAAGTCATTCATCACAATTATTTCATCAGTAGGCTGACAGCCCAAGGAACACTCAGCCCGCGCAGGTCTCCATAGTGCTGTCCGACACCCAGGAAGACAATGGGAATACCCGTAGCATGGACCATACTGACAAGCGTTCCCACCATATCACCCACTGTGTCACACTTGCTAATGATGAAGCCGTCCAGATTCCGGCCAGTTCCAAAGGCCTGGTTAAAGTTTCTCGCCTGCATGACGCTGTCGGTTCCAACTAGCGCCTCTCCAACCATGAAGATCTTGTCCGGCTGGGCAAACTTAGCGAACTTCTCAAGTGAGGACATAAGTCGCTGGTCATTGTGGCGACGGCCAGCCGTGTCGATCAAGACAACATCAAACTTGTTGGCGGCGGCATAGTCCACCGCATCTTTGGCAACGTTGGCAGCATCTTTGCCGTAGCCCTTCTCATATAGCTCCACTTCGCCGACATTCTCACGGGCACTGAGTTCTTTCAGGTTGCGGGCATGGACACGCAATTGCTCCACGGCACCAGACCGAAAGGTGTCACAAGCCGCAATGAGGACTCGGTAGTTGTTCTGCAGGAGAAAGAAGCAAATTTTGCTCAAATTAGTCGATTTGCCTACCCCATTGACGCCGACGATAGACATGACATAAGGCCGAGGCGCATGCTGCTTTGTGGTTGGCGCAGTCACGGCATTGATCTCCCGCAGTAGGTCCAAGGAAGAAGTTGGAGTCAGAATCTTGCGCAGTGACGCTTCCATAGCAATGCGGAGAGCAGCATCAACACTCTGGAAATTGGCGGTTTTCTTGCCGACCAGCTCGCGCTCAACACCCTCACAAAGACGAACAGCGGCTTCACGAGCAACGTTTTTCTTCAAAAGATGGTCTTCCATGGCCTTTAACGGCTTCTCGAGGTCGGCAGCACTCAAAACTTTGCCACCAACAATGTTGCGGAAAAAGCCTCCAATTGCATTGAAGCCGGTGCCTACAACGCCGGATGTCGCGCTATCCTTGCTCTTCTCGGCATCTGCATTTTCGAGAATATTGTGAACCTCGTCGCCCAAATCCTTCAACACGAATTGTCCTTTTCCAGTCCTGGTGCCCATTTCTTCTTGAGAGACCGCCTCGACAACTGGACCAGCGGCATCTGTGTCGGCTGCCGGGGCCGAGTAATCCAGAATCTCTCCATCATCTTCATCCGCAAATCCACTGGCATCCCATTTGCGCATCTTCTTTGCAGAGCCCTTGGGAGTAGATTTCCCCTTTCGAGAATGTTCGTCACCTGACGAGGCGTTGGCGCTTGCATTTGCCGCTTTGCGTGCGCGACGCGAGACTCGACCCGCAGGTCCGGTCTTTCCAGTGAAGATGTGACTTGCGATGGGAGTCGAAGACCTAGAAGTATCAGGAGTTGCCGGTGGCGTGCCCTCGTCAGAGGTCGCCCCGGCTAGCGCAGCGCCATGCTGCGCTGCAGTTTTGTTAGCATATAATTATTGAATCGAAGCCGGTCAATGATCTACATACCCTTCAAGAGACCAGGCACCGGCGGCGGCGGCGGACCACCATTATCCGATGAGACAAGCGGGTCTTTTCTTTCCCCAGTCTCAGCAGCATACGTCTCAGCGACGCTACCAGTGTTGTCCTCGAGCTCCCGCACTTGTTGTTCAAAGTATGGATCGAATCGGTAGGTGGTAATTCTTACTCGGTTCCCCTTCAGTTGGTCTTTGTACAGGTCGACGAAGATAGTTGATATATTCTCAAGGAGTTTATCGATCCATCCAAGGTGCAGCAGCGATTGGTAGACGGCCTGTAGAGAGCGCCGGTGAGTTTTATGAATCGGGCGAACCAGAGGGTTTAGAGATACGCGACAGTCTTAAACTTACCACAAAGATCAAATTGAACTCCTTCGATTTCCTCCACTTGAGCGTATATTTCTCCTTTTTGAAAACGGGCGAAACCCCGCTGCCCAGAGCGCTCTGCGGCACGACTTTCTCTTCGATAAAAACGTCGTTGATCAGGCTGTTAATGACATGCGACCCCACTGGTGCGTAGGACTTGGACCATAGGACCACACCAGAGGTTGTGAGGATTTCAAATGCTTCCAACATCCTAAGGTCTGCTCCGAAAGGGTGGAAAAGAAATCCAAAGGGGGTATCTTGCGGTGGAAAAGGGGGGTGTAGAGGTGGGAATGGTCGTGGTGGCGGATCGGGCAAAAGCGAATGTTGGAGCTCGGAGGCAGAGCGGATCTCTTCAGCCACGTATAAACACCTCGACTTTAACCACCTAGTCTTCCAACACCCCCAACCTTGCCCCTCGACGCAGCACACAACCCCCATCCTACCTAGTGCTCTCTCTTCCGCTCTCTCCTGTTTCTTCAGGAACACTATGTATCGGGGATCCTTCGCACCGCCGCCCGCGCAGTCGCCGCCTCTTCACCACCCCGTCCCGCAGCATGTTTCGACCGTCCCGATGATGCGCTCTCCACCACCTCCTTCTCAACAGACACCGAATGCCGGATATAGTGGTACTGGGGGAGGTAACCCCTACCAGCCATCTCCTGCACAAGGCAGTAGTGGGACATATGCGCCTGGATTTGGTGGATTCATGACCGATCCCACTGCGCAGATGGGGTTTCAGGTCGGCAAGAGTGCCATGATGGCTGGACAGGAATACATGGAGCAGAACGTAGGTATGCCGGATTCGCCAGAAATACTTTGACCAATCCCATTGACCGCGACCTCTAGTTCAACCGCTACGTCTCTATCCCTGCACTGAAGCACTACTTTAATGTCTCCAACTCCTATGTCCTCAGCAAGATCGCCCTTGTCCTCTTCCCTTGGCGACATAAGCCCTGGTCTCGCCAGCAGGCTCGAATGGCGGCGAACGCTACCGGTCCGAATGGACAAATTGTCCAGCAGCAGTACTCCTCCATGTTCCTGCCTCCGCGGGATGACCTCAACTCGCCGGACATGTACATCCCCGTCATGGCTTTGGTCACATACATTCTCCTCTCAGTATTGCTGGCCGGGTTCCGAGGCAACTTCCACCCAGAGCTTCTGGGGTCGATCACCACCACGGCCATTGCCGTGATCATTTTCGAGATTCTGTGTCTGAAGATGGCCATGTACATCCTGACCATCAACAACGACTCGCAGCTACTGGACTTGGTTGCGTACTCGGGCTACAAATTTGTGGGCATTATTGTTACCCTAGTGGCTTCCGAAATCTTCACTCCGGGACGAGGCACTGGTGGTTGGGTTGGCTGGACCGTCTTTGTGTATACATTTTTGGCGAATGCGTTCTTCTTGGTAAGCCTGCATATCTCGCTGTGATACTCCCGCTGCAAATGCTAACCTAGGCTGGGCACCTCTAGCTCCGCTCATTGAAATATGTCCTGCTTCCCGACTCGACTGACTCCTCTATGCGAGCTGGTGCGATGCACACTGTCGCTCGGTCTCAGCGCAACCGCCGCACTCAGTTCCTATTTGTCTACTCATACATCATCCAATTTGTATTCATGTGGGTGCTCAGTCGTGAGGGCCCGTCTTCAGTGGCTGCGAATGCCAGCTCATGATCAATGGCACGAGGTTGTGGAACGCCAGGGTGCATGGAGGATTGGTATAGACTGGGTTAGTGGGAAGCATGACTCTCGGAGCTGGATGGGAAAATTGCTTTCAAGGACTGAGGGGATGAAGGCCTGGCTTCAAATCACGATATAGCATGACGTTATTGTAATCAAAATTATCTACATTTTCAAATAAGCTCTTGATTAAAGATAAAGTACTTACGCTAAAGAAGAACAGGGTTTACGGTTATTTATGAAGACAAAGAGTACTGATTAAATAATCGTGTATTATTACTATCGACTCTATGGGCACATAGGCCATGGCCAGATGGTGTTGGCCGTCAATCTGGGCCGTTGACATCTCCGCTCGATGTGAAAGAAACTGATTAATCCTAGCCAAGGTTAGAAAATGATCTCAACCAAAGCGTCAAGTGAAGCAAGTCAAGTGTGTGAAGGTCCTCAGAGATCTTGGTGATAAGGTAAATTTCAGTTGCCAGAGGCATCAATTACTATCTAGGCGTGATAAAGTGTGTAATCATCGGGCCAGGGGGAAGGGCAATGGAAAAGTGGTGCAGTTGAGAGTCGAAAGACTCCAAATCCAGTGTACGTACCTCTTGAATGGTTGTAGGCCAGGCATCATGGCCGTTGCCAGACAAGACGAAGCTTCAAGATCGGTGAGCCTAGATAATCTTCGAGCTGTTAGCCATAAAGCTCATTGAAAGCAATAGAAAAACATGAACAGGTTCAAGTGAGAGTGCATCAGAATATGTAAGAAAATTAAATATCATCCAGCAGCGCTGTATCGAAACTCCGGCGAGAGCTTCACAGACGCTGGGTCAATCGCAAATTACCGCATCATTTAAGCAGACGAGACAAGGTGTAGCGAGGGAAATACGTACCATGAGGATATGCTGTACCAAGCAGTAGTTAGTCTTGGTTGAAAATGTCAGTTAAATGGAAGAATTGCCGAAAAGGCAAGAAGAGCAAGCTTGATGCTCATGTGAAGACAACAACAAAATGTCGCGAAGAAAAAACCGCAAGAAAAGCTACTCATCGGAACAATGTTGTGCCGGGTTCCGTCAATTGCTGACTTAAGCCAACCCTAGACCGGCCGCGAGTGGCCCGCTAAGCGAGACGATGTGTGGGCACATCCGAATTTCGCAGAGGCAACTTTGGACAATCCGACTTCTTTCGACAACAACCCTCCCGACTTATCCCAACCCGGTTGTCGACCGTGAGTGTGATCGCTACGAAACCTGCAGGAGTGCATGCGCTGAAACTTTTCTTTGTGTCCAGAATTTCGCCATGGCCGATATCGATGTCAAGCTCGCTTCCTGGAAGCTGGTCGAGGTTGGCCGCCTCGTCCTGATCCGCCGTGGCCCCTTCGCTGGCAAGCTCGCCGCCATTGTTGAGATTGTCGACCACCGCCGTGTACGTTACAAGCGCCCCTTCGTGAAAATCCCGCAACAGTTATCCCCGAGAATCCGATACTGCAAATTGGACGGAGACTTGGGGAAGGCCGCCTAGATCCCCGAGCGAACAAGTGTATTGACATGCGATTTCTTTTGCTACAGGTCCTCGTCGACGGTCCCTCTGGTGAGGAGCAGAAGATCGTGCCCCGTCACGTTCTTCCCCTCGCTCACGCCACTCTCACCCCCTTCACCATCCCCAAACTTCCCCGTTCTGCCGGTACCGGCCCTGTCAAGAAGCTGTGGGCGAAGAACGAGATCGATGGCAAGTGGGCCAAGTCTAGCTTTGCCCAGAAGTCCGACCGCGCTGAGCGCCGCAAGAACCTGACCGACTTCGAGCGCTTCAAGGTTCTGCGTCTCCGCAAGCAGGTACGTTTGAATGAACCGGAGCGAACCCGAGGGATGGTGTGCGCCGGTCGTGCGCCTGCTGAACCTCGATCGCGACCAACATCGCCATTCTTATCGAAACCCGGAGAATTTGCCTCTAACCATCTTTCTAGGCTCGCTACGAGGTCCAGAAGTCCCACGCCAAGGTCCGGGCTGCCGCTGCCAAGTCATAAATGATTACGAGGGTTCGGTGCATTGGATGAAGGAGGTGTCCTGGGACGGGTTTCCAAAGCTGGCATTTGACCAGCAAATTCGCTGTATGCATTTAATCATCTACAGCTAAAATGATTCAAATTCCTTGATATCCCGGCAAGGGCTTGTGTCATAGTATCTCTACGTCTAGGCCTCAACGGCTCCTCTTTTTTTGATAGATTTGGGACTCAATTTCCCTCGAAATGGAGGAATTGAGGTAAATCAATTTATGTAAAAAAAGATGACGAGAGAAGATGTTCTTCTTTGTTTTTGTAAAGCTTTAATTTATACGCCGAAAATTGTATATATCGTAGATCGCTGCCCAGGGAGCACCTCATGAGGTCGGTATAGGGCAATGTGTGGGAGTCCGGGGTGGGTGTAACCGCCTCGCTAACGATTTTCGGCCGGTCGGGCTGCCGCACAGCTACGTGAACCTTCGCCCTCACGACCAACAAAATCCATCCCGCGTCCACCATCACTCGATATCTGTGTTTCAGGTGCGTTGATGAACTTCTACCGTCGTCCATTCGAATTTCTATCGTCGAAAACCCTTGTTCCCCGACGGTTGTGCGATTTCTGGGGGTTCTTTGGATCTGCCCACTATATTGCCCGCCCTCCCACTCTCTCCCACCTTGTCCGAGCTCTGGCGATTTGCGCAACACACAAGCTAACATCAAACCTGATCAATTCCTCTGATAGATTCACTCTCCATACACACATTCACAATGGCCGATCCCCGTGTTGAAGAGCTTCCCGATGAGGAGGTCCCCCAGACCAACGTCGAGGACGTTGGCAGCGACTCTGAGTCCGAGACCGAGCCCACCATCCCCGGCGGCGCTGCTGTCACCATCCACTCTCGCGGCGAGAAGAAGGCTCGCAAGGCCATTGCCAAGCTTGGCCTGAAGCACGTCCCCGGCATCACCCGTGTCACTCTCCGCCGCCCCAAGAACGTACGTGATATAACCTTTCGTCGAATCAATGGAATCAGATTCCACGAACATTGCGCACTCTTGTTTCGAACCAATCCTTTGTCCGAATCATAGCGGAACCAATCCTACGGCTCTTTGAACCATCTATACCATGGGCAGATAGCTAATCTCCATGTGCTTATAGATCCTCTTCGTCGTCAACCAGCCCGACGTCTACCGCTCCCCCTCCAGCAACACCTGGATGTATGTGGCATTTCGACCCGCCTACTCTCATTGGATACCTTGACTGACTTTTTACCATAGCATCTTCGGTGAGGCCAAGATTGAGGACCTGAACGCTCAGGCTCAGGCCTCCGCCGCCCAGCAGCTGGCTGCCGCCGAGGCTGCCGAGCACGCCGGTCACGACCACGACCATGACCACGACCACGACCACGGCAAGGGCAAGGCCCCTGAAGCCGATGCCAAGAAGGATGAGGAGGAGGATGATGGTGAGGAGGTCGACGAGAGCGGTCTGGAGGCCAAGGATATCGAGCTCGTCATGGCACAGGCTAGCGTGTCCCGCAAGAAGGCCGTTAAGGCCCTCCGGGAGAACGACAATGATATTGTGAACTCCATCATGGCTCTCAGCATATAATGAGATTTCCTGACGCGGTCGGCGCAGTTCTCTTGAAAGGCTTGGGTTTCGCAACCTGATGGATATCTATCGTGGATTGCTTGAGTGTACACAAATCAACCCCAAAAAGAATTGAACCAACTTCAATATATCATCTATTGCACTGTATATTTTCAAGTTCCCATAATTCCAACTCCTTCGGAGGAAAAAAGAGAAAGAGATAAATATCCATATTTTGAAATCAGCTAGATCCATTTGCATGGAGAGTCGTCTTGGAGGAACCCTTGAAGACGACCACCCGATGCTCGGATGCCGGGTCGTCACGTGCCACCCGCATCCAAACCTTTCCGAGTCAAACTCGCCTGTCCGGCACCTCCCTGCACATCGAACCTCCCCCTCTTCTCTCCACCTCCACCACTCATATTCCCTCTCGTCACAATGGCAGCTGTAGGTGTCACTCTCCTCATGAACATGCGCGGCATGTGATGGCCCCCGACATTGGAAGAGAACGAGGCCCGCTAACCGAAAATCCCCCTACCCGAAACAGCGCAGCGCCGCTCTCAAGATCGACTGGGCCAAGGTCACGACCTCCCTCGGCCTCCGCGGCCAGACTGCCGCCTCTCTGCAGTCCTTCAAGAAGCGCAACGATGATGCCCGCCGCAAGGTCCAGGTCCTTTCCGAGCAGCCCCAGACCATCGACTTCGCCCACTACCGCGGCCTCCTCAAGAACCAGGCCGTCATCGACGAGATCGAGAACCACTTCAAGTCTTTCAAGCCCGCCTCCTACGATGTCAGCCGCCAGCTGAAGGCCATCGACGCCTTCGAGGCCCAGGCCGTGCAGAACGCCGAGCAGACCAAGGGCAAGATCGACGCTGAGCTCGTCAACCTGCAGAAGACCTTGGAGAACATCGAGACTGCCCGCCCCTTCGAGGACCTCACTGTCGTACGTATTTTTGTCACCTATGGGTGTTGTTGGGCCGATTGCTTATTGCCATTTACTGCTAGGACGAGGTTGCCTCCGCCCAGCCCGAGATCGACGAGAAGACCGCCTCCCTTGTGTCGAAGGGCAAGTGGATGCCTCCGGGCTACAAGGTACGTTCGATATCACCGCACAGCCCTCTGGTATTTCTGATTTGCTCACATGGTTTTTTTCTGTGCAATAGGAGCGCTTCGGCGATCTTTCCGCTGTTTAAACGTTGGGTTTTCCGCCCAATTTTCCCTCTTATCCCCCGTGTCATCGCACTCACAGATGTATTTGTTCAATCTCAAGCATATGGCTCTTTCGCCAAGGTAAGGTTAGAGGCCTCCCATCATCTTTGGTGTGGTGGGGCGGATGGGATGTGTATAGAAACAATTCAAGCCAGATGGTTTCTGCGTTCTCTTTTGTCAACCACGGGTCCATCATCTGTAGACTGTAGATCTTGTATGCTCGAGTCAAAGAGAAAAGATTGGCTTATAAGTCGGCCCTCAAGAGGATCCCCGAGAAGATATGATAAACTGTTTAAAAAAAAAGGAAACATGTTCTTTGTAGCAAGTTCAGTAGGCCAAATCTGCGTCCCGGAAATATATCTCAACCCACCCGCCACTCTGGTAGTCCAACCAACTATCTCCATGCATAATCTGACGTCTTATTATTCCTATTTTTAGTTCTTGTTCAATTGTCTGAATCATGTTTGCACTTGCTCATATTTCCTGCTTTATGAGACCTTGGACAGGGACAATTGTTTCTTGCCTCTTCATCCCGCAGCTTATATGTACTGAGGGGCCTTCTGACTCTATCCATTGACATCATTTGCTGCAATATCTCCGGCAAGCTTCGCTCTTTCAACAACACTGGCCATCCCAAGTCAGTGGCAACTCGAATGCTTCCATCCATACAGGCCCTGCAACTCTTCTTATTTGGCCCTCAGCTGACAGCGCCACAGACATAATCTTCTAGCGCGAACTCCGTGCCTTGCCAAGACATGTCTGTTCACTTCAACTTACCCACTTCCCCCTCCTCCCTCCTCCAACAAAGAGTTGAGGTGCGCAAGTTACCCCTCGAATTGTTCATGCCTTAAATTCTGCATACCCGATATGATCGCCTCGTCCTTCTTCTCCTGTGGACGTTGCCGCCACTGAAATGAACGACATCTTTCCGAGTCTGACCAACCGTCCTGCCGTTCCTAAATTTCTGGCGTTTGCAATTGTTACCAGGCGCATGATCCAAAGAAGACAGTGTGCGAGACCGACGGTTTACAAGCCTATACTATCGAGCATTTTAGCCCTTCTGAGGTCCGGACCATGCAAATGGGCCATTCCGACCCGTTGGCCGCCTACCCATGCTCCTCACGCTTGGAGGCTCTGCCCGTGGAAATTCTGCAATTGATCTTCCTCCATAGTCTGGAGATCAATCTTCCACGGGCCTCGCCACATCTCGCCCGTGCCTTGTCCAACCCCGTTCTGTATACATGGCTGATCCGGCTTGTCTTTAGCAGCACCAACCCGGGCTCCCGCGAGAGCTTCTTTACCCCGGACTTCCTGCCCCCACCCCTCGATTTCTGGAGTTTGTCCTGGGAGAAGCGGCAGCAGCTCCAGACTGATATTCTTGCGTGTCGCTGGTGCACATTACCGTTAATAAGGCGGTGTCAGCGCGAATATGTAGCCCATGCCGTCCGTCAGAAGTGCGCTGATCTCGTTTTTTCGGAATCGGACCAAGCCGTTCTAGCTGATCTGGACTCGCGGTTCGCGAACTTGAACGATAGTGATCATGCTGTCGATGGCCATCGTGGAAAGGGGGACTTGGTGATCCCCGCGCAGCTCCCAGAGGCTGAGCGGCCGTCCGTGTCTCGCAGCGTCGACCGCAAAGTCGCATTCTGGTTTCACTTCGGGGCTGTGCAGATCCGCGAGCCGAATGAGTTTTACTTCGAGAATGATCTTTTCAGGCTACCGGCCTCTGTGGTCATCGGGCCTGGCCGGATCCCCGACAAGCTGCTGCGGCCGCCGTGGTCAGATGCCCAATTCGACTTTCTGGCACTGTTGTCCACCGACTTCTATCTAGACGAGAACGAAGGCACGGCAGAACGGTCAGAGGAAATTACAAACAACCTGATTCGCAGGCGCGAGATTGAGCCCTTCCGGCGGCTGCTGCGAATGTCGTTCCGTGCGGCGAACTGCCGCATCCCGGGGAAGTGGCCGCTGCAGTCGTCGCATTATGAAATGATTCAGCGCCGTGGGAGAAGGCCGGCGAATGAGATTGCCGCCGTGATCCTGGATGAGCGCTGGGACGAGATACCTGCGACGAGCAAAGATGGTTTGATGCGGCTCGCCGGGTCGTCATCTGCTGCACGAGACAGCGTCTAGGGTGCGAGAAGGACATGGGGTATAACTCTTTTTCCCTTCCTCTCATCTGGGAAGGAAAATTATAAATTCTTGGATACAGCCTTTGTACAATACCTCTGCATATAACCATCTATCGGGAGTGCCTAAGTCCTGGCCTCCATGCATAAACTACACATAGCTAAAGAGAAAAAAAGCGAATCAAAATCACTGAGTTTGGAACTTGCAATTCACATCCTGATATTCATGCGCCTGGGTATGTAACAGAGAGAAAGAAATGAGAAAAGTCAAGCGGAACAAAAAAAACACCAAATCCATCCAGGCCTCATCCCGCAGAAGGGGAAGATCATTGGCGAGGTACACCTAAGTTCATATCACATCATGTTCCATCGTCGTGGAGGCTTTAGTCGTCATTCGACTTGCCTCTCCCACTTCGTGGCAGTGTTCTCATATGGCAGATCTGGTCCGGCGCCGGCGACGAGCGCAGTAGCCACAGGTGAGGCAAGAGATGATTACGTCGAGGACTGTGACGACGCCATCGATGATCGCACGCAAGATAGAGCCGATGGCGTTAACGATGCCCATCAGGCAGGCGCCGATGGCAGAGAAGACGCTTTGGATCTGCAGAGGAAGATCATGTTAGTATTGATTTGGGAGGAGGATATGGGCAGGATGGGGGTAAAATATGGTACATACACAAGAGACGACGGCACCCATCTTGGTGGTTGCGTTCCCTCTGAGTGGAATGTGTAGTGAAAGAGGATTTTTGTTTTATGGTTTCGGTTTGTGGGGGATAAAAGGTCCAGAGCTGGAGGAGGCAGTGGTGTGGGTGGAAGTATCGCTGAAGGGACGCATGGTGAGAAGAGTTGCGATGTAGGGGAGAAGTAGATATTTAAAGCAGGAATGAGGAGCAGATGATGAAGACCAGTTCCTATGAGAACTTGATTACGGCAATACACAGCCAGACGAGACACAACGGTTGGATACGTAACGGTGTGTCTGGAATGGGTGAATGATAGACACGAACGGCCGCCAAAGCCTGCACAGTCGGAATGTTCCAGGGTCACGACAGGAATAGGGCTGAGACAGCACTGACGTAGGTTAATCGACTGGAGTCGAAGGGTGTGGCTTGCAGCTCAGAGGTTGAAAGAAGAATGAAGGACGAGAAGCATAGGTTCGCAGGTTTCCTAACGAAGATTGGAACGGGCTGAAGGGTGGCTCGATTCCGTCATGGCGACGCGGTGGTCGGGGTTGCTTCCTTGATTTCCAGTCGATCCCTGCCGCTGTCTCGACCCTCGTGCGGCTCCTACTGGTTGGCCGTTGGTTCTGGGTTTGCAGCCTGAGAGACTGTTCCTGTTACGAGCCCTCATCGGATCCATGAACCTCTGTCCTCAGACCCTGCGTCCCTGACGAGTGGATTGGAGCTGTATCGTTCCTCAAATGTCATTGACGTCACTCGATACGAGGACGTGAACGCCCGACTGCCTACCAAAATTGCGTGGTAGGAGACATGCTACTATTTTTCACTATGAATAAATGTTTGAAGCTCTCTAGTACCTTTCCTTTCCTTGTTCCATAGCGTCTAGCTCGATATCGAGTCTCTCCTTCAAACCCTCTCTCTACTCTTCTTTCTGCTCCTCTTACTGTTTATTGCTTCTAATATTGACATCACTTACCAGTAGTCATACTAATAGCAATGAGAGCTTCTAGCTAGAAACATAAACCCATCAGATTGTGTGGCAGCCATGATCGAGAGCGAAGGCTGGTATGTATTCTCTCCTACATAGGAGTGGTGGATCAAACTAGCACTTTTGGACCGGCAGAATAATGCGGCGGATCTGAAACATTTCCCGATTAGGAAATCGGAAGAGAATAAGCACATGACGGCACGTGATTCAAACCTCGTGGTGGCGGGGCGGGTTCCCGCCAATCAGCTCCGCCGTCTTGGAAAGAGAGGCGACTGAGGTGTTTGGAACGAAATGAGAATGAACTCCGAAGATCCCCTCCTACTTGGATGGAGGTTTGCAGCAAGATTCACGCGGAGGATCAGGTCGATGGATGTGAGCAGTCCGGTCTGCTATGGCTCCCCGCAAGGGCAATGACGGCCTCGTGACACGGAGTGGAGTTACCGTTCCCCCTGGTCATGCCCTCGACAGAGTCTCGAAGCCGAAATCTGCACGTTCCGCCTCGAAGCCGAAACGCGCCCGCGGACGTCCCTTCAAGATACCGGTCCGAAGTGATTCGTCAAATTTCCGACCTGCACTTATGAAAGGACCCTCTGCTGCCATGAGCATGGCGTCTGCGCCACCCAGCGCTCCCCGCAGGCTGTCCATGCTCGAGGCCCTACCAGTGGAGGTCATTGAGCAGATTTTCCTCCACTCGTTGAACCTGAACCTCCCTCGCGCGTCGCCCGCCCTCGCTGCAGCGGTTTCCCGAGAACACATATACAACCTGTTGATCCTCCTTGCCTGTTTCGACGACCATCCTGAATGGCCTCGCAGCGTGACAATCGAGCGCATCTTCGCTCCGCTGGAATACACTCCATTGGAGCCGAAGGCGCGTGCACGATTACAGGAGGCCGTCTTTCGATCTCGGTGGTGTACAATGGAGCGCGTGTGTGAGCAGATCCCGACCATCCAAAACTTGACCATTCACCGACACTGGTTCAATGCGGGCATCACGATGGAACCTGAGCAACAAGCCGCGCTAGAGCGGTTCATGAATCGAGAAGACGATACAGTCCGAATGTTTAACGGCCAAGGACCTCCAATGAGATCGATTGGGCCCCTCCCAGAAGCAGAGCGGCGACGCATGGCGCGAATGCCAGGCCCGCATCAATACGAGCTGCACGTTACGCCCATGCGGATGATACAACTATTCTCGCCAACATTGAAAGTTCAATCCACGTTTCCTGCGATTGGTCTGACCCATTTCCCTGACCGTCTTGTTCGTGGCCGTTCTACAGGTTTCACGCCCGGGGATGTAGCCTATCTGGAAATGCTACGCATGTGCTCGAAGAATTATTCCTGTCCCGGCATCCCTTCGCTCACCGTGACAACTGTCAACCGCACCAATCTCCACGAGGGTGTCAGCAGAGCCATCAAATCTCAGAATTACAACGCGCTTGTCTCGCTGCTCAAAATTGACGAGTTCATTTTCCGCTTTCATGAGTCCAAGTCGGGTCCAGTGTTTTACACCATTCCTCAAGATCACTTCCTGGCTGTCACCCGTTTTGGCCGTGAGAAGCCGCACCTCAACTGCGCCTTTTTCGATGCTCTCATTCGTGCCTCTGCCGAGTCCATCCCCCCAAACGCCTCCGAGATCATGGCTTGGACGCTGGACAATGTGCGACTCGGACAACGCCATCCCAGCAAATATAACGAAATTAATGGCAAATTCGCCCGCTGGTTATCAAATTTCATGTTGCGGCTGCCTGAGCAGATTGAGTTTGTCGGTGAGGATCCGACCGCGCAGCTGTTTAACTGCGGCAAATTGGATTTGCTGGATATGGAGGGCTGCCGCTTCTTGGATGAAGTGCTTGAACCTTTTCAAGGGCCTTATGAGAATTATATGGGCAAGTCTTCGTTTAATACGGAGGATTACTGGGTGAAGAAAAAGTGAAACAACCCATCGCCCTAGGGAGCTGCGTTCATGACCCTTTTTTTTGGCAGTGGCCGTGTGCTCTGCATGGTTTGATACCATTCTTTACAGATAGCGCATGTATATAGACCGATAAGCGTGAAGCTTTTGTACAATATGCACCTATATAGACTATATAATGTCTGGCGGATGGGGCTTACCTGTTCTGGCCGCCGCCTTCGTGAAAGTGCTCAGGCTCAGGCGCAGTGAGTATTATATTGTAAGCGCCTGATTTAATGCGATGCGACTCGTCCACATGCCAGGATAGAAACGCGTTACACATTGCAAAACTCAATAGATCAATAGTGACAACTGATCGGCATTACTATTCTATCTAGGGACTCAAGTTACTTAAACTATAGGATCTCTAGCACAGACCATCCATTATCTGACAATATAACTACCTGTGCGAGGTGTTACAAGGTGTTACAAAGTGCCTAAGCTGAACTATTTCTTATTTCTAGATATATAATTATTAGCAATTCTGCTTCTAGTTGCCTGACCTTCGCAAAAAATATTCTTCTAGGCGAGATCCTTCCATATCTTGCCACCCGCAAACAGCCAAATAAAATGAAGCTCCTTACTATCCTTCTTTTCTGCCTCCTTGTGTTCGTCGCCAACGCTGACCAAAAAGAAATAGACCGTCGCAAAAGGCTTGTATCATGCATTAATAAAGGATTGGTTGAGGACAACGCAAGGGTCGATGCAGTCAACACACTGAGTGGCGATGACATGGCAAAATTCGAAGAAATTGTGGACAGCGTGCTCAACAAAGAACTTCTCAAAGCACCTTCTAGCCACCATGTGAAAGAAATGTTGACAGAGATCCACAACGGAGCACAGAAAGCATTGCCAAATCTTAATCCTGCGACCGTGGACCGATTGTTGAAAACAGTGAGAAGCAGGGGTATTAAGTGTTGGAAGGAGAACCCTGCCCCCAAAAGCTAGTCCAAGTCAATTGTGCTGTGGAGCTACATATCGCTCCCAGGGCTGTCGGAGCTTCAACCAAATTGGAAAATACAGAGTCTATTTCTAGTGCCCTGATATAGACAAAGTGGGAGGAGGAATTGCTTTCGTGCGTGGGAAGTATTTTTGTTGTCTGTATGTTTTCATGCCTGAAACAAGGAACGAGAGAAGAGCCTATGTCGAGGAGAAGCTATTGAATACCGCAAGGACCAACATATTCTTCTGTGCATCCCGCCACTATCGGATCACTCGATTCTCTACCCGTTTCATATGGTATCCCGGTATACTTGGAGACTAGCACTATAACACGCTAGTCAGCGAGGCAGGAGCTATTCAGTACTCCCTGCTAGTTAGCTTAGTTTAGTAGATATTATTATATGAGGTATTATATTCTATTAGATCCTACCTTAACAAGCTTATATAGTATCCTACATTAATAGTTATAAGCCTAACTCGTAGGCGTTAGGAATGGTCCATATTCCTATGTTACTATGGAATAGGAAAACAGCCTACAATAGTCTGTCTTTGATTAGAGAATATCTTTCATAGCACATAGTCTTTACAGATTTAGCTTCACATCTCCGATAGGGGAGAAATCACTCCTACACTTTTTGCGCTCAGACAGAGTCTGTTTCCTCTCTGGAAGGCCGCCTTCCATCGTGGTGTGTGGTGGTTTTTAGCTTATTTGTTGATCTGCCTGCATGCCAGTCTTGCCGTCGAGCGCCCTGGTTCAGTAGGTGTAATATCTTGCATTAAAAGAATTATATAATTTTGAATATAAAAGCCAATATCTTTATGAACTTATCTTACAAGTGGTATATCAAATCTCTGGCGTCTGGACGGATGCTTCTGATTTCCAAACTCTCGAGTACGGCCAATCCAGGGTTCAAAGAGAGAGGATCTTCAAGAAGACCACATGACACGAGGCCAAACCCCTACATATTCCCGAGCAATCGCAGAATACCAGCAACTCGCCCTCCAAGCGTAATCTGGTACCCAGTCTCCACGACACCCTTGCACATCTCCCATGCCGAGGTCCCATCTTTCGCCCCGGATGCGCCCTCCCGCTTCTGGATGGGGTAGTCCACCCGCGGCGGAATCGCAGTTCCCATCAGCTTCGGAAACCGGTCCACGCAAACGGCTTTGAGATTGCACAGCCCGCGCAAGCCCTCGTCGCCCGCAAAGCGCCCGTATCCGGAGCCCTTCACGCCGCCGAAAGGCAGCTGCACAGCGTAGTACGCACCGAAGTCGTTGACAGACACCATGCCCGCCTCGATCCCGGACACACAGGCCTGTACGTCGGCGGCGTGGTGCCCGAAGACGCTTGCGCCGAGCGCGTAGACAGTCGAGTTTGCGATGGCGATCGCGTCGGGCACGTTTGAGGCTCGCATTACGAGGAACACTGGCGCGAAGAGTTCTTCTTGCGCGATCCGCATGTCCCGGGTGACATCGACCAGGAGGGTCGGCGCGAAATAGTGGCCTTGCGGATGCTTGGGGTGCGAGTAGCGCTTGCCGCCGGCAAGCAGGCGGGCGCCTTGGGCGATGGCTTCGGAGATCAGACCCTCCAATTTGTCGAAAGAGGCGGGCGAGATCATAGCGCCCATGTCAGGGGTTGTAGTGGAGTTGGCGGGGGTATCAAGGAGGATGGAGCCGAGGCGGAGGGCTTGGATGCGCGGCTTGACGAGCTCGATGAGCTTGTCATAGGTGCCGGGGAGGGCGACTACGCGCTCGACGCCAATGCAGTTCTGACCAGCGGATTGGAAGACGCCGCGCATGAGGATCGAAGCGATGGCGGGCAAGTTGCGGACTGTGCGAGCGTCATCGAGGATGACGGCGGGGTCTTTGCCGCCTAACTCGACGGTTACGGGGGTGAGGGATTTGGCAGCCGAGGCGCAGACTTTGTGCGCAACGGGGCGCGAGCCAATGAAGGTTAGGTGAGCGATGTCCGGGTGGGAGGTTAGCTTGTCAGCGACGGCAGGCAGGCAGACGGCGAGTTGAACCAGATCGCGCGAGTGGCCGCAGCTGGAGAGAGCGCCGCGGACGATGTCCAAGAAGAAGGCGGAGCACCAGGCGGTTTGTTCAGATGGCTTCACGATAATGGCATTGCCGGTAAACAAGGCACTTATAACAGGACCGATGAAGTTGTGGAAAGGATAGTTCCAAGATACAGCAGCGGATACAACACCAAGAGGTTCATAGGTCACCATGTTCTTTTTGTACATCATAAGAAAGTTCGTGGGTCGGCGTGATGAGAGCAGCGCCTTCTCACCGTGGTCGAGGGTCCATTTGAGCTTCTCAGCTGTCACCAGAATTTCACCGAAAGAGGCATCCACTTTGGTCTTGCCGGAGTCGAGGCAGCATGCGGTCACGATGTCATCTTGATGGTCGAGGACGTACCTGGGAAGAGATTAGTCTCAGTTGTTGGTAGGTGCTGCCAGTTGTAGAATGATATGCTCGATACGGAGTCAAGATGGCCAGGATGAGAATAGATACCAACATACTTCAACAGAGTCCGAAGAACCTTCCGGCGCTCGGAGAAAGTGGTCGTGGCCCATTCGCGCTGCGCAGCCTTCGCAGCCCGCACAGCATCATTGACATCCTCAACCTTCGCCGGTTTAATTCCATTACCCAAGACACGTCCATCGGCAGGGCAATAGCTCATAATCAATTGGTCATTCCATACCTAATATTGCACATTGCACGTTAGCTCACGTTTTCTCTCTGAAACGCCGTCCTAGCCAAGTTGCATGTCGCGTGTCCATCACTTACCCCCCGAACCTGGTCCTCCAGCAAGCGCTTCTCCACTCCTTTAACCTCATCCCACTTCTTTCCAGACCCACTGTTGCGAACTTCCGATGGCAATGGCACGTTGAAGGTGACAGCAGCCTCTCGCCGGCTCAGAATGTAAAGGTACCCCGCGTAGAGAGCAACCAGGGACAGGAGCCCGGCTCCAATCAATTGGGCGTGTTCGGCCGTTAGACAGGAGCCATGGGTATCTGCGAATGCACGCAGGGACAGCAGAATGGATGAAAGGGGTCGATCCATGCTGACGGATGTGAACTGGTGAAGTTGGGCGAGGCCCCTGGAGCGGTGATGAGGGAGAGCCTTGGAATGGTCGGGGCCGTCTTTTTTGCTGATAGGCGATAGATAACCAACTCACACGGGCCACCTCTGCTGTGAGTGGTCTGATGTGGGGACCAAGATAAATAGATTTTGAGGCAAAGCATATATACAGAAAAAGGATGAAAATAAGGGCTCATTCTTGAATTATAAATTGTCGTAGACTAAATTTGCTCAGTAAGTATGTTGTTGCTTGGGAGCAAAGGCAATATGCCACATGAGCTAGTAGCAAGATAATGTAAGAAAATATCGAGCTAAAGCGGTTCTCACGATCCATCTCGCTCTGAATTGTAGCAAATAAATAAAGAGCACCATTCATGGCTATAGATATGTGAGGCTCCAACCTGGTCCAGCTACGAAATTGGGTCATCATGTCTTGTTCCCACCAACATTATCTCCGTGGACGTTCGTTCTGAGCCTTAGCCTCAAAGACTTTCGAGGGGCTTCGTTGGCGGGTGCATAAGCTTTTCGGTTTGATTTCTTCACTTTTTCGACCTTTTTCTTTCCATGTGAAGATTGCGTTAATTTCCAATTACCGACAGCTGAAGATGAGGACTTTGCTTTACGAGCCGGTGGTTTCCTAAGAGGAGTTGAAGCAGTTGCTGTAGCTGGCCTGTCTGTTTCCGATTCTTGCATTACAGTTGCCTGCGTTTCATTGAGAAGAGGCTGCATTTCCAGAGGTGCCACAGCAGCAGAGTGATCCTTCGTTTGTGTCTTGACATGCCTTGCTGCTGTCTTCTTCGTGGCATGGGCTTTCTTGACCTTGTTTCGAGAAGATTCCTCCGCTTTGAGTGCTACCAGCTCTGGGTTATTTTCTTTCAAAGCGACTTTGACTTTTGGAGCACCAGTTGCCCGACGCTTGAGAGCCTGAGGTGCCCCGCCCTTCATCTTTCCGGTCCGTTTGACCAAACTTTCAATGACACAGATTGTATCCCAGTCCGCACTGGCAGGGCTTGTGATGGCACGGCAGCGACCACACTCCTTCCCATGTTTGATGAATAATTGATGGAGGGAGTATTTAAACTCGTCAGGGATTTTCACATCCAAATGGCTAAAGGCAGTAATCTCGTTGGACTTTGGGGGGACCCACCCCAGCCATTTGCATATCCTGAAGATATGCGTATCCACGGCAAAGCAAGGCCTCTGGAGACAGAAGAGAACAACGCAAGCTGCAGTCTTAGGGCCAATGCCAGGGTATTGAACCAGCTTTCTCATAGCCTTTTGGGTGTCATATTTATGAAAGTAATTCAGGTTGAGAAAGTGCTCATTGGCACTGGCTATATCATAATCTCTGATGCCCGCAGCAGCTTTGCCTTTGAGTGACGATAATTTCGATGGTTCATCTTCGGTAGACGATTCCTCTGCAAGGTGTTGATTTTTGCGGAGCTGGTTCTCATTGTAGACTTGATCCAAGATCAGTTTGAGATTTTTGCTTTTGATATCCGCAAGCCCCCCGCTCTTGATTGCTTCAAAAACATCCTTGACAGAAGCTTGTCGCACAGCATCCCAATTCACGCTTCCTTTTCCAATTCCATCCTCTAGGATACCGAAACGCTGTACCAGGCCATTGAAGGCTCTGGCAGAATTCTTACTGGTGGTGGCACCACTGAGAAGAGTGCGAATCAAAGCATCCAGCACAGATGGAACTTCGCCACAACCGGTGACCGTTAAGGAAGGCTCTGGAATGGTTGCGGGGGCAATTACTTCTCCGTGAGCTTTGGATAGAAGCTCATTGACCAATTTGCATTCCTTCGGGGTTGGATGTTTGTGGTTCGGAAACGGTGTGTTGCCAGGCGTCAACCCATAAGTGTTCTTCTTGATCAGTTTCTTGTTCGGTGTCAAATCTCCAGTCTTGTGAGTGTCAGCTGCATAAATTGAAGGATGAATATCTGCAGCTTCTTCATGGGAGATGTGCTCTTTGGAAGCTTGACTACCTTGAACAGGACTTTCAGTTGGGATCGTAGAATTGCCGGCTTGAGGAACAGTAATTGGGCCCAGATTATGTGGAAGTTCAATGAAAGTTGCAGCATCCTTAGATTGAGATGGGTTAGCAAGATTGCTGTAAGAAGCCCCTCCAGGAACTTGACTGTCTTCTTTTGAGACATTGATCAGGACGCTGGATTCAGTTGAAAATACACCGGTATCATTCTCTTTCGGTGAAAGAGTATCTTGATCATCGATAGGAAGCGATATTCCAGAATCTCCTTCGGCAGACAACGAGATAGAAGGGCTATTTAGATTTGCGGGACTCTCATCATGCGAATGAGCCGGTGATATTTGAGGATTTAAACTGGGAGTTTTAAGCCTCGGTGATTGCAAGACAAGCCCTGCTTGATCGTCTGATCCATTTTGCAAATGGACTGAAAGATCAGAGGGTGGGGCCTCGGTGGGTTGTAATTTAGCTGAGGGTGCGGCCTTCTTTTTTGGAACTGATTGCCTTGATGTGGCTCTCTTGCGCTTCTGGGCCGTGATACGGGCCATTGCCTTTTGACGAAATGCAATTCTGGATTACTTCCGAAGACGCAAAGAGATTCAAGACTCTTGAAATACTCGAATTGAAATTGTTGTGGCGAGAAATATGACAAGATGATAAACCGGTTGTGTGAAGGAATGTAGAGGTTAGGTATGACGTGAATCCCGGGGTCTTATCCGGTCATGTGCAGATATCCTGGGCAAGTTCGAAGTCATCTTATAGAGCTATCAAAGTATCTCGGAACATGAATTATTGACAGTACATGATTTCTCAACACTTGATTTATGAAGAATTGAGTAATTCACCTTTCACAACCCCCATCTGCATCTCATGGATCATGGGCGGTCTCTGCTGACTCTCCCCGACCGCAGCGTCCACAATACTAGAAATACGTATATATATCATCCGCTATTTGTCAGTATTAAGATAAATCACTGATGACTGTTAAAAAACCTGTCCTCACTAAGAACACCCAACATGGCACTGCCAATCTTTTATACCTTGAAAATTCCCCCAGTATTGACAGAGTAACGAACACCCTAACCTTCCGCTGTCTAAAGATCGTCTGTGGGGTTAATTGAGCATAAAAATTGGTTTCTATCATGGGTCGTCTATTCATGCACTTATTGGAATGGGAGGAGCCTCGAAGATATCACGAAGACTGAATGTAATATACTGTATCTCTCCTGCTTTTCTCCCGCTCCCATGAATATCATGACGCCAGATACTATAAGTAGACCGATGAATATTTATATTATCGAGGGGTGGAATGTACACCTACGCATGGTGAAAAGCGGAGAGTGAAAAGGAAAAAAGCATAGAAGGAAGTACGATATAAGTTTCAAGAAAATAGAAATTTTTGGAGGAATTCAAAATGGTATCTGAACTCAACTACCTATCATCATTCAAATAAGATTGCAACCCTGTAGATTAGGGTCAAAGATATCCGTTTTCGCATCACTTTGCACGTAAATCGTCCGTCACCTGTCTAAAAGAAAAGATGCCATCTTAATACAAACTCCTCGACTCCGAATGCATAATAGAATAATGGCTTGAGAAATAGGAAAAAGGCCGTCGCAGATATCATGGATGATCGGCAATGTTGTGAATGCTGATATCCATGCGGTCCGTAACCTTCGGGTGCTCATCTGAGCTGGGCGGGTCTGTGGGCTCCGGGGAGACAACTCCCTCCGCAGGGATGATCTTGCCGTTGGTGTCCATGGTGACACCATGAGCGGCGATCTGGAAGTCGGTCATGTTGGCAATACCATGGGCAACGGCCTCCTTGGCCTTGTCAAGGGCCTTGATCTTGCGGCCCTCGCCACGCACTTGTTCCAGATGGTCAAAGTAGCCTTGACGCACGGGTGTCACATAGCTTCCACAGAACACACCGACCTCGAAGTTGTGGGGTTCAGACTGGCCATTCTCACGAGCAATCTCAGCGCAAGAGCCCTTCAGGTCATCCAGAGTTTGGAAGATGACGCGCTCGGCACCAATATGACGGGCAATGCTCTCAGTATCCCGGTTGTGAGCAACCAGCTCCTGAGGAGAGGCAAGGTCAATACCGTAGATGTGGGCATGTCTGCAAAAAGAAGAAAAACAACACCATTAGTACTCTATATTATATCAAGTCGTGATTGTCAAGACTTACGTGATCTCGGGCGCACAGCTGGCCAGGTAGACCTTCTTGGCGCCAGCCTCACGGGCCATAGTAACGATTTCGCGGCTGGTGGTACCACGAACGATACTGTCGTCCACAAGCAGAACGTTGCGGTCTTTGAACTCTTGCTTCATCGCGTTTAACTTGCGACGGACACCCTTCTGGCGGGTCTTTTGCTCAGGCATGATGAAGGTGCGGAAGACATAGCGGTTCTTAACAAAGCCATGGCAGTAGGGTTTGTCAAGGTACTGAGCAACATGGGTAGCAGATGTGGTTGCAGTCTCAGGAATGGGGATAACCACATCGATGTTCTTGACCTCTTCAGGGCCCAACACATCGAGGATGCGAGCACCCAGACGGTCCCCCATGCGCTGACGGCTGCGGTACACACTGATACCATCAATGACAGAGTCTGGGCGAGCAAAGTAGACAAATTCGAAAATATCTGGGGCATAGTCCTTCTTGGGTGCCACCTGGCGGAAGACGGGCTCTCCTCCCTTCTCGATGATGACAGCCTCACCTGGCTGAATATCCCGGTGGTTGGAGAAGCCCAACTGATCCAGAGCAACAGACTCAGAGGCCATCATGTAGTCAGTTCCTTGACCGTCCAGGGAGGGGCGGGAGCCGAGGACGAGAGGACGAATGCCGTATGAGTCACGGAAGCCCAGAACACCGAAGCCTAGAGAAAAGAAAGGCAAAGCAGGTCAGTGGGGTGTTCAGGCACTGTTGAGTTTGACGCGATCTCAGACTTACCAGCGAGCATGGCAGTACAAGCCCAGCCGCCTTCGCAGCGTTTGTACATACGGCTCAAAGAGGCAAAGAGATCCTCCTGGTTGACGCGAGCCTTCTTGGTCTCGCTCAGCTCGTCCGCAAAGATGTTCAGCATGAGTTCACTGTCACTATCGGTGTTGATGTGACGGTGTGCTTCTAAATCCAGGTACTTCTTCAGATCCGGGGCGTTGATCAGGTTGCCATTGTGTGCGAAGCAGATGCCATATGGACTGTTGACGTAAAATGGCTGAGCCTCAGCGTTGGCGCTGCTGCCGGCAGTTGGGTACCGCAGGTGTCCGATACCCATGGAGCCTGGCAGATTGGCCACCTTGGCACCGTCTTGAAAGACCTTGGCCGCCATGCCATTGGCCTTCAGCTGGTAGATGCGACCTCCGGAAGCGCAGGTCGCAATACCGGCCGCATCCTGTCCACGATCTGTGGTCACATCGGCTTAGCGATTGTGTCCTCCATGTAATTCCGGTTGCTACTCACGTTGAAGCAGGTACAGGGCCTCGTGAAGGTCCACGGCCGCAGCCGCGGAGGGGTTCGCCAGGATCAGAGCGATGATGCCACACATGTTGAGGCGGAAGAGGTTTCCTTGTAAGACAGCAGACTGGTCAGCACAGAAGTCACAGTAGGCATCGGCAATCGAGCAAAAAACAATGGTGGGGGTGTCTCAAAAATCAGTATGGGATGTTCTCCGCAAAAAAAAGCTAGGAAGTCTAACATCTATGAAAAAAATCCAAAGTTCATCATAGAGACGCGGGCAAAGGCAGGACCAACAACCACTCACCAAAATCAGATAGGGAATGAAGGGGGAGCAATGCTCATCAGGACCCCCAGGAAGTCGGAGGGGAAGGGAAAGAAAATCTCCATAGTGGCCTTTCGTTCCGCCGTGGTTCTTCTCCACTGAGATTTTTTCGCGGCACTCCGACTCCGGGCTGACAAAGGCGTGCTGACTCAGCGTGCCCCTCGCGGTGCCCCGCATTGGGCAGGGTATATAGTTGACTGTATGAAGATGAGCGACATTGATAGACATTAATCAAACTGGTCACAGTGGACACCCTTTGGCATGTCAATTCACTTGAAGGGAGATTTCGGGAAGAGTGAAGATGCAAGATCGGTGCCAAAGTGGGATAATGGGAAAACTTTCACATGTGCGCCTGCCAGTTGCTTTGTTGCTATGCACTCTCTCCTCCCTGCATGATCAGTTGGATCGTTGGTCTGCTTTTATTTAGTCTGTTATTCATGTATACCAGAGAATATATTTTTTGGTTGCGTAGACATCCCTTCTACGTCTTTCATCTCCCAATTCCAGAAGATTTTCTGCATTTACCTTTCAGATCGGGTAGCATCTTACTATATCCCCATCCCCACTTGCCTTAATTCAATCTTGCGCATCTCCCTTTTTCTGAACACGGGGCATATACTCCTTGAATGATGAGAAGCATCGTCAGAGGAAATTGAGTCCAGTTTCTTCCAACCAGCTACAATCTTCATTTCTCGAATTTCACTGCCGAAATACTTGACAAGAATGGGCGGAAAAAAGATGGATGCCGAGATAATTGATCTCATTTCTGGGCCAAGGTCTGAATCCAAGGAGAAGACTCATATCTCCCCTAATAGTGATGCCCCCTGGATTTTACCACGAGCATATTTGCCCCAGATTCCGGAAACTTTACCTTCGACTCCGGAATCTTCATCCACGAGCCCGGGACTCTCACTCACATCTCTAGAATCTTCACCAACGAGTATGGAGTCTTCATCAACCGAGTCGATGGAGTGGCCTACAGAAAACATATCTCCGGACATGAATCTGAATTTGTTTCTGGGCCAGGAATGTCTCGCGATTCCAGCTGATTCCGAAGACCCTTCTTTCAAGGATTGGGAAGATATTGACCGAATCTGTCTCAAAAAAAATTTATCCACCTTTGACCCTGTCGTGAACAATAGCGCTGAAAGACCCCCTCTTGTCCTGGACCAGTACAATTCGTTGAGACCTGATTTTGGGAGGAGGAACAACGTTTTGATCCATCATCGTGTCATCCGTCATTCTTCTAAGTCTCTGGACGACGAAGGAACACTCTCTGCCAAAAACGCCATATTGACCGCGCGGGGAAACACTTGGAATGAACCTATCGATCTGACAGTAAATGGAACGAGCGGGAAGGTTGATGTAAGTGGCCCAGATCATCATTGAAGATCTACTGATCAATTAAACAGAATTATGTCACTAACAGTGAAGTCGATTTGCAGGGACTGATGCCGCTCATTGACTTCAGCGCGATCGCAAGGCACATTTTCAAAGAGTCTATGTCTGTGGAGCTTTATGATGGGTCATTTGTCTACATTGAGCACATCTCCCATCAGGGACCGGAAATATCCCTTTATGGGAGAAGGCTTTATCGAACCAAGGGGTTGCGTCTTCCACATATTCCGAATTGTATTCCACGGAATGATAATGAGCTTGTATGGGCAATTGAGGTGGACTATGATAGGAGTACTGACGATTTGATCCGCGACAAAAATGGAGGTCCTTTCTCAGTCGATGAAGTTCGGCACTTGCGCAAGATCCATTTCACCAACGTCCCACTCACAAAGCATGGGCAATATAGACAGCCGAAGGGATTGGTCTGTCGCTTGAAATGGACATTTCGGTGGCGGGAGAATCTGACCACCCGGCATCACGAAAGCCATAGACTCCCGGAAAATTCGGTCGAATACCTGAGATTTGAGGAAGCTGATAGTGAATATCGTTGTTCCCCTGTGGAGCTCAGGGAGAAATGGCGAGGACCAAGGAGGACCATTCCCTATGGCGATGCGAAGTTGTCATACTCGCAGTCTTCAACTTCTGGTCTGAATGACTCAACCATTGATCTCACCACCGATGGCCGTACATACTCTTTTGGCGATGCCTACTGTGGTGCTGGCGGAGCCTCCTGCGGAGCCCAGCAAGCGGGACTGTGGATTAAATGGGCTTGTGACATCAACTCGTATGCTGCTCAGACCTACACCCTAAACTTCCCTCACGTTGCGGTTTGGAATTCCCCGTTCCACGATTTCATGACCAACACTGATGAATTCCTCCGCGTGGATGTCTGCCATTGCTCTCCACCATGTCAGACCTTCTCACCTGCACATACGATCGACAGCAGTCGGGATGAGGATAACTATGCCTGCATCTTCACGGGCCGTAACCTACTGGAGCGAGCGCATCCCCGCATTCTGACTATGGAAGAGACCTCTGGTCTTAAAGAGATCCCCAGAAATGCCGAAGTCCTGGACCGGGTTCTTCTGGATTGGCTGGAGATCGGCTATTCAGTTCGTTGGGGACTGTTAGAGGCGCTTCATTACGGTATCCCACAGACTCGGAGAAGACTGATCATCTTTGCGGCTGGGTAAGGTCCCTCTCCCTCAATGATATAAAATTGTTCATTGATATTGACCAAGTGCTCACAGACCAGGAGAAACACTCCCCAAGTTTCCTGAACCAACTCATGGTCTTCCGGGTAGCGGTCTGGCTCCTATAAAAACCATCCACGACGCCATCTCGGGAATTCCTGAGGATGCTGACAACCATGAGACGGTTATCGAAGAAGACCGATGGAGCACAGCCCACCGTGCTTCGTATTACCCTCGCCAACCGGCGAAGACTCTCACCTGTAACGGCGGGGAGGGTAATTGGCACCCCTCTGGAAAGCGACGATTCACTTGTCGAGAGGTGGCCTGCCTGCAGACCTTTCCCATCGATTTCGAGTTTTCGGGCAAGGGAACCCGGCGGCAGATTGGGAATGCTGTGCCTCCGACGTTTGCCCGGAAGTTCTTTGAGTCGGTGACCCAGTCTCTGAGAGAGACCGACGAGCGAGAGCTGGCCGAGAAATCCGCGCGGGGCCGTATTTGGGCATGAATAGTTGCGCTGGCTATGATGGCGGTTGGAAAGATGCTCAGAAAGTGAGTATGATCTGATCGGCGTTGGGGCATGTGAAACCGCTGCGGAGCATGTTGGCCCGAGGACAAACGGGATCGGCTTTCTAGTGTGATTTGTTGGACGAGCTTGGCTCGTCCAAAGATTTAGTTGTGTAGACCGGACCCCGAATGAAACGATTTCCCCTGATTTGAGAGCTCTGGATCTGTTCCGATATTCGCTGGTTTGGGGATGATGCACTGTAGCTGTTCGTCGTGGCCCCCTGCGTCTCCGAACGCTGAATACCGCCGGTCCTCGGGATCTCCCCGGCTCGAGCTCAACCCTATGGTCACTGTTCCTCCATCTTGTAGAAGCCAACTGGGCCCAGGACCAATGGCAGAGACTGGATGCCCTGGCAATGTGTCAATTCCCCAATTCCACCATTCCGTCGAGGTCTTTGGTGGTGGTGACCGAAGCATCGGCCGCATTCCCGACACTAACCGACTGGCCTCGGCACGATGAAGTCAGCTTGAACTCACCCTTTCCCTTTCTGTTACCCCCAACACTCCCCTCTCCACATTCTTCTTTCTCCCTCTACCCCATCGCCAGATTATCCTCTCCATTTTCTTCTATTCCCGACTTGTTTTTGCCTCGTCTGGGATCTTTGTCTTTGGATCCTGCTTCAATTCCCCTTCCATTGCGCAGACAACCATGTCCCTTCCCGCAGTGAGACGGCTGACCCACACGTCTCCCCGCACTTTGGCCCGCATCTCCGTCTCCAGGTTGCCCACTTTCGCTTCTACTTCTCCCATCACCGCCATCGTGACTCCTACTGCCAATCGTGCCCCTCGCTTTTCCACCATGGCTGCTCGTCAATCAGCTGCTCCTCCGGCGCAAGCCGACAAGTCTTACGACCCTGAGATCCAGGATATGGCCAGTTACATCCACCAGTACAATGTGGACTCTGATCTGGCGGTAAGTTTCTCTTTTGGGCCCCAATTCGGTCAATTCACTTCGTACTAATACGATGTTATTTTCTGGCACCATTAGTTCGATACCGCTCGTCTGGTGTTCCTGGACACTCTGGGTTGCGGTCTGGAAGCCTTGAAGTTCAAGGAGTGCGCGAAGCTGCTCGGCCCGGTTGTGGAGGGCACTGTGGTCCCCAATGGCACCCGTGTGCCTGGTACTCCTTACCAGCTCGACCCGGTGAATGGTGCTTTCAACATTGGCGCCATGATCCGCTGGCTGGACTACAACGACTGCTGGCTCGCCGCCGAGTGGGGCCACCCTTCCGACAACTTGGGTGGTATTCTGGCTGTAGCCGATTGGATTTCTCGCACTAACCGCGCAGGCGGCAACCTGGGCAATGGCAAGATCCTCAAAATCCGGGATGTTCTGGAGGCCATGATCAAGGCCCACGAGATCCAGGGTGTCCTGGCTCTGGAGAACTCGTACAACAAGGTTGGCCTGGATCACGTTGTGCTGGTCAAGGTTGCCACCACCGCGGTGGTCTCGAAGATGATGGGTCTGACTGAGAAGCAGACCGCTGATGCTATTACCCAGGCCTGGGTGGATGGCCAGAGTCTTCGCACTTACCGCCACTCCCCCAACACCATGTCCCGCAAGTCGTGGGCCGCCGGTGATGCTTGCCAGCGCGCGGTCAACCTGGTTCTCAAGGTCCAGAAGGGCGAGGGTGGTCTGCACACCGTTCTCTCGGCTCCGGTTTGGGGCTTCTACGATGTCCTCTTCAAGGGCAAGAAGTTCCAGTTCCAGCGCCCCTACGGCAGCTATGTCATGGAGAACGTTCTTTTCAAGGTCTCCTACCCTGGTAAGTACCTTGTACCTTTTTCTGGTTGAAATTTGAGGAAATGAAATGAAAGATGGCTAACTTGGAAATTAGCCGAGTTCCATTCCCAGACTGCCATCGAGGCTGCCCAGATCATCAACAAGAAGCTGGCGGCTATGGGCAAGAGCGCCAAGGATATCAAGGAGATCACCAACCGTACCCACGAGGCCTGTATCCGTATCATCGATAAACAGTTCAAGGCAATGGACAACTTTGCCGACCGTGACCACTGTGTTCAGGTAAGCTAGCTTGCATAAGGATCATATGATTATTTCAACTGACAGCCCGACCAGTACATGGTTGCCAACATGCTTGTGTTCAACCGCCTGACTGCGAGTGACTACGCCGATGGCTCTGAGGCTGCCACCTCACCTCTACTGGAGGATCTGCGTCAGCGCATCCGCTGTGTCGAAGATGAGCAGTTCACCAAGGACTACCATGACCCGTCCAAGCGCACCATCCCCAACGCCTTGACCGTTACCCTCAACGACGGCACCGTTCTTGACGAGGTTGTTGTTGAGGCTCCTCTGGGCCACCGCCTGCGCCGCGAGGAGGCTAAGCCGGAGATTCTGGCCAAGTACAAGCGTCATCTTCAGGCGCACTTTGACCAGGCTCGTATCGACGAGCTGCTGAAGGTGGGCTGGGATCGCCAGCAGCTTGAGAACTACGATGTCGACCAGTATGTTGATCTGTACGTCAAGGACAAGGTGATCGCCTCTGCCTAGATACCCTCTTCTTGGGAGAGTGTTTGAGGAGAGATCTCTTCCTTGGTGGACAGAATAGCACTACGTGTATGATGAACATATCCTTTTTTCCTTTGGGCGATATACAGCAAAATGACTGCATAGACTTTGAGTTCATTGATTTTACTGCATAAAAACACATGTTCACCTGTAATATGATCTTCCATCTTATCCCGAGGCCCCTGATGTACATGTCACCCCTAGATTTGACGGGGTGTTTGCGCACAGTACCTCGCTCTTCCCGTCCGGAGCTTTCACTGTATATGAGCTGACCTTGACGCCGCAAGTTCCGTCCGCTCCACAGTCGAGATTTCCAGTGACGTCGTCGTATTTGCCGCTAGTCGTGCCGCTGAAGTTCTCGAAGATAATATCGGTCAGATCTGCAGTGCCAGGGTAATCCTCGCAATAATCCGCATCTTCGCCGTAGCAACTCTGGATCTGGATGGCGTAGTCGCACCCGTCGACCGTGACATCGTTCCAGGTCACATTTGTGACGGTCGACTGTCCATGGCTCCCACCAGATGGATAAGTCTTGATGCCCGCGGCTTTGGTTGAGTTCACCATCGTGGCACCAGACACATACACATTCTTGACTGTGTCATCCGAACCCTTGCCGAGAGATCCCACAGACAGACCGTGGCTGCCGATGCAGGTGATGTCGGTCACTGTGACGCCGTTCGCTCCAGGTTTGAATGCAACGCAATCGTCGTCGTTCGTGACCTTGACGTTGCTGATGACCACATTGGTACTCTCCCCAATATCAAAGCCGTCTGTGTTCTTGGGCGCGTTGTCGCTCTTCGACGTGGCGTCCATCTTCAAGTTTGAGAATACCACGTCGCTACTGCCCCCCTTGACGGAAATAAACACGTTGGGCGGGTTCTTCTGTCGTAAGTTGGACACGGTGATGTCGGAACCGCCCGTGATATAGAGAAGCGTTGGGCGATCGTAGCTGCTATCCGAGGCGAAGACATCCCAACTGGAATTACGTTAGCTTTTTGCATAGTCGTATCTTATTGGTCTCTGCAACATACGCATCCTGGCCATTGCCGTCGATTACTCCATTTCCCGTTAGAGACCGGATCTTGATCCCGTCAATATTCTTGACATTGATCATTGCTGTGCGCCCCTCCCAGTAGCTGGTCGACGAGGCGAATTTAAGCAGACCTTCTACCTGGAAGTCACAGCCACTGCAGCCTGCGAAATCCAGAACGCTATTTAGATAGTATGTTGTTCCCGAGGGAATCACAATCGTGCCGCTGCTGCAGGATGCGATCGCCGAGGTAATGGCAGGGACGTCGTCAGTGGATGACGACCCGCCAGCCACGGGGGTGCAGGTCGAGGCGCGAGCATTCAGAACGCGCGATGCGTCTGGTAGTGCCAGCGCGAGTGGGATCGTGGCGAGAAGCGGACATAGTCTCTTTGCGACACCCATTGTGATCGAGCTGGGGATGGCAGATGTTGGCAGGCTCCTCTGATACGCCTGTTACGGAACTCTTTGGGAAGTGGATCGGGATTCTTATAGAAGTCTTGTAGTATAGTATAGTAGTTTGACCAGGATTGGTCCTTTTAGGTACATGTATATCTGAACTGGACAGCCGATTATTTATCTATAGCTCAAACAACATCCACGGATCATCACCTGTCAACCTGAAATAAGGAGCTATCTAGAACTATAATTCGAGGAAATTCTTCAAAGTGCTGGTCCATCCTGCCGGTATATTCAAACCTCTGCTGCAAGGGTCAAACTACCCCACTTGGTTGAAACCAGTGGCCTCTACCGAACTATTTTTCACGTGTGACAACCCCTGGTTGGTGGCGCTTCTTTTGTCTCGGAAAGTTGTGAAGAATCGACGTCAGAGGGGGCGCTGGAGACCAGGATTGGATGAACGCCTGGAGAGGCTGTTCACCCTTAATGGCCTTGGCATGTACTTCGTTCTAATTTACTATAAGGACCGCCGGCTAAATTGCTCTTGAACGGACAATAGCCGGAATGGGCTGAACGCGGAGATGATTATTCCAGTTGACAGGCATCCGTGTTTCAGAACAGACTGTTATTCATGGAATCCGGGGCCGCGCGGTGGAGAATCTATTGTTTCGCTTAAACTCCAAGCATAAAATTCACCGGCAGTTTTGACGCGAAAAATTGAATCCGATACCCTTGAAACATAATTTTCCGACGAAGGATAGAGGACCTTGTGCTAGGGTGGGTGAGCAGTATGTTACAGTGATGGGTTCATATATTCGCTAGCTGAGCGCTGGTCGTCTCGCACTCCAACTCTATCAGTTGAAGATCATCTTTCTGAGAAAGAAAACCCATCCGCTCAAATGCGCAAGTCCGCCATATTTCTCTTGTCAGCCCTAGGGCTCGGCACTGGCGTCATCGGTGCGCCCGCCGAGCTGCAGCGCCGTACAAGTAGAACGAGCGCGCCGTCCGGCTGTCTCAGTGTTGGCTCCGGTCAGACATACTCGACGATTGGAGCAGCCCTCGATGCGTTGGGCTCATCGACTTCCTCGGCATGCATTTATGTTGCCAGTGGCACGTATTCAGAGCAGCTGACGATCGACTATGCGGGCACTTTGACTCTGTATGGCGAGACCTCAAACACGGGGACCTACAAGGATAATACGGTGACAATCACGCATACCATTTCCTCGTCGGCCGCTGGTAGTCTGGATAAGAGTGCCACCGTGAATGTGGTCTCGGATGGGTTCACAATGTATAATATCAATGTGGCGAACGGATACGGGAAGGGTGCGCAAGCTGTCGCGTAAGTCAATTTGCATCGCTCTTGGTCTGAAAGGAGAGAAGATATTAATATATTCCGGCGCAGGCTTGTTGGTAATGCTGATCAGCTGGGATTCTACGGGTGCCAATTCACCGGGTACCAGGATACACTGTATGCTAAAGCTGGAACTCAGTATTACTCCAACTGCATGATTGAAGGTGAGAAAAAAAATATAAGCTTCTCGACAATGATAACTATTTTGGCTCATGAAAATTTGAACAGGAGCTGTGGACTTTATTTTCGGAGATGCCTCTGCTTGGTTCGGAGAATGTGACATCGTGTCCAACGGTGCAGGTTACATCACTGCCAATTCTCGCGAAGAATCAACAGATTCAGCCTGGTATGCTATCGACAACTGTAACATCAAAGCGGCGTCTGGCACAGACCTGGATGGTGATGTGTATCTGGGCCGGCCGTGGCGTGTGCTGGCACGGGTGATTTACCAAAACTCGGACCTAGGCAGCTTGATCAATGCTCAGGGATGGACTACTATGGCTGAAGGTGCAACACCCCTGTTTTACGAGTACAACAACTCCGGTGATGGATCGGATACATCGGACAGATTGTATGAGACGTCGATCTCGGCGGGTGTCACCAAGAAGACGGTGCTGGGTAGTGACTATGGGGATTGGATTGATTCGAGTTACTGAGTGCCCTTTCATTTAAGCTGGAGAACAAGGTTGATTACACAATTTACAAATGGATTTCATATTTCTTCCAAGGAATAGATAATCATGACCATCGATACCGGCTTAGCTGCTCTAGGAGGATTGGGGACACTCTCGGGGCATTATGGACCACAAAAGCAGTAGCAACAACATTTTGTCTAATTAGATTCGGATTTGCTTCCTCGTCAGTAGCAAGGAAAGCTGGATTTGTAACATAGTAATACAAAACACGCCAAATATCCTTCCTACGTAATACGAGATAGCTGTTCAAGTAGCGCGGGCTATTTTTATAAGGGATTTTGAAATAGTTTCTCTTTTTCGCATTCGTTAACAATATGACACTAGCTCGAAATCGCTAAACATATCTCTTTTATATATAGAGCTAGCGTAGGTGTCCCAGGATTCGATCAAGCTTTGCAGGTGGCTAGCGAGCTCCACCATTTTAGAGTTTTCTTAGGAAGATCATCTAAATAAGGTTCTTTCAAATAGAGGATAGGAGAGGCAGTCATCAAATCATCAAAATAGATTATCCCCTACAGTAGTTCAGCAAGTTGCGGCTAAGGCAGCGGAGGATATAACGGGAGCTCTACACCTGTGATCGGCTGTCCAAAAAGCTGACCTATAATTCCACTCAGGCATCATTGAAACTCATAGTTGTTGCTCCAAATATTGAAGTTTCCTGTTACCCGAGCTATGATCTTGTGCATACTGAGATAGCCTTCCAATTTCATAGCTCCTGACGAGACAGGATGTGAAGAGGACCGAGCGGGCCATTCGCGACCAAAACGATCTTGCTCTTTCAGTATCAATCACCTTGTGTGGATAGAAATTTTTTCAAATGAATGATAGGAGGGACTTATTTCTTGGAAAAAGGTTTGTATCGCTATTCAAAGTAGTGCTGCAGGCAGATAATAATTCGAATTCTGTACGGAAAATGCAGTCTCATCCCGCCAGTCGCGTTGAGGACAAAGAAAGATAGAACAATCCCTACCTGCCAACACGGACAAGGATGAAAGCATCAAAAATGGCATCTCGAATATGTGGATGTCTAATCTTCCCATGTAGCTCAGCCTGTGCTATGTCCCGTCATTGACAACTTAAAGTGTATATCGGAAAAGAGGGGAACGATCTCCTATCCTCTCCAATTCCTCGTCGGAGTACCTCTCATAAATCTCGTCTTCATTGAATGCAGCACGTGTCCTATTGATCCTCCAGAATGCAAATTCTAGGACAAAGCGGGCGATAATACCAAGGCCCGCAAACGCAAGCGATGTACCAAAGCCTGTCGGATACTTCGGTTTCTCTTTTTCAATGTAGATGAAACTGCCAATTATTCCACCAATATTACCGAGGCAGATCATGTACGCAATACCCTGGCTTCTCTTGGTCGGCCCGGCCAGATTGCTTAGCGTCCATGCATTACCTCCAGGGTTGATCTGGTAGAACCCAATATTCGCGAGGAAAATGGCAAAGTAACAAGCTGGGATATTCGAAGCAATATCATCTGCCTTGACAAAGAGGACAGCAAACGAGATGACAACGAGTAGTTGCGCCCCAACAATAAAAGGCTGCTTGTATAGCCCATATTTCTTATAATCTGTGGCATTGTGAATTTCATTCCGTAATTGGGCACAGTATTCGAGCAGTATACTAGAGCCTGAAGGTAAAGCTGCCAGTCGAGAATCACAGACTTGGCGATCTCCCTCCTCCTCGATTTTTCAGCTTCTGTCACGCGTATGCTGTTGCCTTGGACAGCAAGTTGCCAGAGCTCTAGGTACTTGCGTTCATTTGGCGTGAGCCAAGAAGAGAGTGCAGGTGTATCAATCAAGAAGAAAAAAGTGAAAACACCAGCTAGTACAGAGACGATACCCTCTAAGATAAATATCCACCTCCAGCCCTCAAGCACGGCGACACCATCGAGATTCACGATCGCAAAGACAAGAAGACTCGAAAACGTACCAGTGAGAGCACTCGCGGAATAGAAGAGAGCGATTCGAACTTGTGTCTCGCCAGGAAGATACCAGCGCGATATAGTGAAGACGGCCCCTGGAAAGAACTCAGACCTACAGAATCGTGACAATGAAATTTACAAGCACCACATTGGCGCAAATACGGGGTTTTCGAGACTTACTCAAACACGCCGAGCAAAAATCGGCAGGCAACAAGATCCCCGAAATTCCTGACGATCCCTGTCAAGGTCATAACGAGGCCCCATAGAGTGATGAGGAGGCCAAGGTAGTGCGAGGGGCGTTTGAACTTGAGAAGAAGGGTGTTGCTAGGCATTTCTGGGCATGAATTCAAGTCAGTGTCGTTTACTTGAAGTACGGAACCAAATGCGGGACTAAGGGTCTTCACCAAGAATGATGTATGGTACAAAGAATATCGAAAGCGCAATATTGTATTGTTCTCCAGAAAGGCTGAGGTCTTCCATGAGACCTTCGATCTTGGCGTTTCCTATCAGAAAGTATAAAGATCAGCTCACCGTGTTCCTCCCCATTGAACTGATATTTGCTTACCAATATTAGCACGATCAAGGTAGGCCATGAGGTAAAGGAAAGCCAGCATAGGTATGAGTCTGATATCCAACTATAAGAACCATCGGTCTGAGCATTAAGTTTGAAGAAGGACTCGAGAGTAAAGGACACTGACTTTCCACATCACTTTCTTTCTTTGCTCATCGGTGAAGTTACTAAGAAATGCCTGTTCGTCATCTGACAGAGATGGAATATCTTCCACGTGCACTGAATTTTCGCCTTCCTTGAGCCCAGCAGGAATGGAAGATTGCTCCTGTCCCGCAGGGATATCTTCCTTGATCGGCATATTTTCTTTGTATAAGAGCGTGTGGATGAATTGAGTGAAAATATTACCAACAGACGATTTCTTTCTCGCTTCCCATGAAGGGGAAACTCTTCTGGAGAAGACCAGGGAAATAACTATTTTATGACCTGCTTCAACTTTAGAAAGGATCAAAATATTCCATACAAATGCTCCCTAGGCTCATACCCCACGGGGAACCCCACTGGACGCGTGTTGGTAACTTCAATCGCCAGTGCTCTCCGACGGGGAGTCCGAACATTTCCGAGAGACTCGGAGAACATTTCCAAGAACCGCCTCGCATGACCAATGACTTTGGGAGCAGGAGAGGGTCATTATTTCTTAGAGTCAAAATGATCCACCGAGGAGTGAGTCCATGGAGAAAGGTTGTGTGCAGCGAAGGTATTTGGAAGAATCTACCGAAGCAGAGGGAAGGCTTGTGAGCCATCATAACATCAATTGACCGAGCTTGCCAATGATTTAATAAAAAAGAACAGCTGGTCTAAAACATATTGACCATGCGATGAGACTTCCTTTTTTTCCAAGTTTTGCTATGAAATTAAACCTAAACCTCAACAAAATGTCTTTTGTACACTACGCAAGATCTTACTAACCACTCCGCTTTTTCTCTACCTGTTTATCACATCCAGGTTCATCGGCGAAAACAAGGTGGTACGAACAGCACTCGATAGTTGATGCTGGTGGGATCCCATAGTTGAGGATTCTGTTCTTTGGCTTTCTGCCGGGGCTGTCTGTTTGGCTCAGCCAGCCGGAGACAGAGCACGTTCGATACTGTATGACGATATTCATATATTGAATTCGTCTCATTGGCAATAAGCCACCTCCTCGGTATAAAAGCTGGGTAATTCAGCGAGTCGATCACGAAGAGCGTCGAGCATCCCAGGGTGGACGCTTGGTGGCGCGCCAGGAAGAACTGTAACTGTAGGAGGATTGGGACCACCCAACAACCACATCAAACCGATATCGAGCGCTATAACAAGTCTCAAGCCCATCAGTTGACTCAGTAAAACGCACGCAGTCACTTACATGGAGTACCTATGAAGTTGAGTATCACTAAGTCTTGTGTAGAATCTTACTGCTCAATTGTCGGGTTGAGTGGTTACCCCAGATTCTCACGGCACTTGCCACTGGTATTCATTTAGACTGCGCTTACCGCTCTTCGTACAACCGCGTCCAATCTTCAGTTGCAGTATGTCAACTCGGGATCTTTTGCATATGGTCCCATGGTATTTGTCTATCTCACACCCACAATAGCAGGCGCGTCAAGAAAAATGCAGACGTTTATCGCACCCTTCTATCATTATTGATGATACAGGCAATCACTCCACTCATTCTTCTAGGTCATTGGAATCGACTCCCAGAGTGCTTGCAGCTAGCAAAGGTTCTACCGCTGAGGCTGGTGATGATTTCACAGGTATTTGTTTGCGCTGCGCAGAGCTTTGTCTTATTTGTCTTGACTCCTCTGATCACTCAATTAGGTGATGCCAGTGTGGACTCATTCTTACGAAGAGTCTCCGGGCATTTGGCTCAAATTGGTCAAGGCCTTCCAAGGAACTTATTCACGAGGTTTGAAGAGAATGACCATATTCGCAGGATGGATGGGGTACAGACGCTGGTCCTTCCTGACAAAAGCTTGGCCACAAACTATGTGGAGGCCTACTTTGACCATGGAAATGCCACTTGTCGGTTCCTTTTGAGAGATCAATCCTTCGCATTATTGGATAGACTTTATTTAAATGATGGCGAATTGTCAACAGATCATGCCAGCACTGCTTTGATACTCTTCCTGATTGGCACCGGGTATGTTCAGTCACAAATAATGCAAAAACTTTGATTTTCAACACCACTGATCGCGTAATTCAGTTGTGTATGGATGGCATCGTGGAGAAATGACCCAGTAGCAGCTTGGAGAGCTAAAGCGTGAGCGCTAAATATAGATCGCGCTCCGAGTCTTACGAATGCTGATGCGCTACAGACATCGGTTTTTCCAAGCAGCCGAAACTCATCTCGAGAAAGTTGATCGGATTTACCATCCTACGATTTGCATGCAGATATACCACTACCTGGATACCGATAATTCGCTATTTACAAGGAAACCGCCGATCCAGCGGATCCAAATGTAAAAGATCTGACAGAATAGACTATCGAAGACGAAGCAAGTGGCTATTGAAGATTTGAGTGTCTATGCATCTCTGTGAACTGAGCCTTGAGGATCGACAATCCTCGCCTATATTGTAGGCTATATATTTGACTATGGATCCTTCCGTACTCAATCTGAATTCGATTATATACCTTCTCGTTCGGAGCCCCGCTATGACACCTTGGGGCTGCCACTCTTCCAACCTCATTTGTTAATGTTTGTCTTCAAGTCAATTGCTCTATGATTGATACTTTCAGTCCTTTCAATTAAAGCCGTTGCCGCTGGTGTTACTGTCTGAGATCAGTCGTGTGTTCCGAATGGGTTTCGTCCTTTTGCAAGTATATCTGACAGCTAAAGCTATTTGAAATTGGATTTCATGCTTGAGTCTATTTAAGCAGCGTTGATTTTGCTCTTCGAATGTAGAAGGTCTTTTGCTGGGCCAATGTACTTATGCCGGGCGCGGAAAGTCCAGTCGATCACGAGCAAAATGCATACACCGAGGAAGACAGGACCGGACCAATTCATGTTCGCGGCGGTGACGGGAATCTGTGTGGGAAAAGGAACGAATATACACACAAAGGTGCCAAATACTAGAGCGTAGATGTTGATCGCCATCCCATAGCGACCGAGCGACCATGGCCCAAATGGAATAGGGCCGCGGCTGCTGGTATCGAGCCGTCGGATGATCATCATGACGATCGGGATAAGATATGAAACATAAAGAGAACTGGTGGAAAGAGCGAGAATGGCGCTGAGTGCAGTCTTTGAGGCGACATTAATCAAAGACAAAACAACGACAGCAGCGCAGACGAGCTCGATAGCTCGCTTTGGTACGCGGTGTTTGCGGTCAACCTTCTCACCCAATTGAGGTCAGCGATGAGATTCAAAGACAAAAGCGAGGTAATTTCGGTAAGGGAAAGCTCACGCGAGCGAAGTATGTTGAGAACGGTAACCCTCCATCTCGAGCGAACGCCCAAGTAAGTCGCGAGACAGATGCGATCACACCAACATTTGAAATCATGCCAATCAAAGTGATTGCTGTTTGCATGGCAGTAGCTGCTCCCACGGACCGGGTTGCTTGCTTGAAAACACCAATGATAGGAAACATGTACGCCGGGCTAAGTGCTTCTTCAACATTACCAATGCAGAAAAGCAGCACGAGAAGAAAGACAAAAGCCAATATGCCATTGATGACAATTGTCTGAACTAAAATCCGTGGAATAGTGACTGCAGGATTTCGCACTTCCTCGCTCATATGAATGGCGCCGTCGAAGCCTGATACGACGATTGAATTAGTTCTCAGTCAATCAAATGCAGTCAATGAAATGCATTTGCTTACCAAGGAAGCAGTAGGTTACAGTTAACATGCCGAGACACCAGGCAATGCCATTTGACTGCCAGCCTCCGTCTGCCGTCGATAGCTCTGTAAAGACAAATTCGGAGGTGCTACGACGTGCTAGAAGGATCAATGGAACGACAATTGCGATGAAGAAGGTGATATGCATGATGCCACCGAGCATCTGTAGAGCGGGCATGATTTTGATCCCATAAACATTCAGTAGGCCCGATATGATGACGATCACCCACATGAGCAAAGTTCCATGCCATTGTTGAGGATCGTAGTTGGGATTGTTGAGGAGAACCATTCCTTGAATCTGGGTTGCGACAAGGTAGCATATGCTTGTCGTTGCCGCCTGCCATCCGAATACAGTGATCCATCCTTGCATCCAAGTGCTGAAGGCTTGAATTCTTGGGGGTGCTAAGACGGCCGTCCAATGGTACTGTGCTCCTGCTAGCGGGCACATAGAAGATAGCTCGGCGAGGGACAGCGCCATCGCCATTGTGCCCGTCAGTGATAAGACCAAGCCCCAGACAAGACCTGCTGGACCGCCATTGACAAGACCTTGCTCAAAGGAACTGTGCGGACAATCAGCTCACGCGACGAAGGGGGAGACTGCAGCCGTTTGTGCTTACTTGGCGATAGACTCCCACGAGGAGAGTAAGGTGATTGATAATGAAAGTATCGACAGCGAACCGAAGCTTCTCTATAAAAGATGAGAGGGAAAGAGATGGTTAGCGGTGTTTATTCTTTATTTCTGCTTGCCTACAGTTCGTATTGCGATCGTCCATCAGGCAAGGCACTTACATCCATACGCTTTCCACTAGACATGGATGTCGAAATCCCGCCATCGTAGCCAGAATTAGATCCAGTGCGACTGTGAAATCGTTGTTCGCTCATGCTATGTTGAACATGGGATTTGACGCTCAGGCGACTTAGTTCAATTCCATCGTTTGACATGACGGGGTAGTGGTTGTGGGCACCCGTTGGCCCGGCACACGACAGTCGCTGACTTTCTGTCCGCTGCTCAGCACTTTAAAAGAGTAAAATGCAGGCACCGTACGCGTATTTGTTTCCTTTTCCGACTATGCTATTCTATGTGTCAGGCATGTGTGTGGACAGAGTTCAGATATGCCTCAGGAGAAAGAGACTAGTCGACAGCAGTTCCTCTACGAGCAGCGTCTCGCAATCAGGCTAGGAGTTTCGTACCGAATTCAGGGCGCCATGTCGTATCAGCGGGTCCTTCCACGCATGAGCTCTTGGCTTTTCTAGCTGGTGGCGGCTCGATAGTCCAGGGCGCAGAGACAAGCAAAAGCCAGACAGGGCTTCAGCTCGTCATGATTCGTCCGGAGTCCACTGTTATCCGGCACCAGGCTGGATTGGACATGCAAATCCGCTGATGATTGGTTCAATGTGCGTTTTCTCTCCTGGTCCACTGTACGTCCAGTTAAATTGGAGCGGCTTCGTGGGGCTATCAACCACGAAGTCCCCCGCATGTTCCAGGGCCTAACGTGATAAAGACGGTCGCAAGTTGACCTTTTCACATGCAGAGTGACGGAAAGGAATCTGATTGGAGAAAGAGGGATCGAATCGAGACTCCCGACTATATTATCAACACCATCGTCTCGAAGCCATCAGCTTGCTCATTCGAATCCCTCATAGTTTCCTGACCGGAGATTCGGCCTTTGGCAAGTGTACCCGAAAGCTAAAGCTATTAAGGCCCCTGGGTACCGTGCCTCTCATATCGCGAGGTAGGTCATTTCCATGGGCCAGTGGGAAGCACAGGCCTCGGGGGCGGGCCACCCCGACGGGACTCCGGCGAATTCAGACCAGGGTGCTTCGCGATAAAGATTGGTTTTAGAATCTTCCGATGATCTTTTTTTTACGGAGTAGTTGTAGCACCATGGAACTATGTCACATGTAGAAAATAACGCTATACTCATATTCGGCATCATTGCCGACGGCTCCTGATTCTTCGAAGTGCCTCTAGTACGGGTCCTCCCAGTAGCCAGCCTCACACCTAAGCAAAGCCCAGACCCACCAAATCGAATGGTTCTCCGAAGATTCCTTTCTTAATTACTCATGGCCCGCGATCTGAGATCTGCAAACAATTTTTTTTTCCTCTACCGAACCTTTCGCTGTCGAATTGCACGGCTATTTGGTTCTCCCATGTGGTCATGGCCGGCACGCTCCCTCCTCTATTTGAGATCTCCGACGATGATCATGGAGGATATGGAGCGGTGTCAGTGTATACCCTTCTGGCATTGACACTCGTCGTTGTGGTGACACGACTTTCCACTCGGTGGTTTATTGGTCGTATCATCCACTCCGACGATATCTTGCTAGCAGCAGCAGCATTATTTGCAATAATACAAAGCATACTGGTCCAGCTTGCTATCTCTCATGGGCTGGGGCGTAGGGCATCCACTATAGGAGAAAGTAGGCTGGCAGATTATCTGAAGGTGAGCAGGATCAAATTTGAATCCGCCTATCACTCAGAACAAGAAACTAATTCTATCAATCAATAGTACGAGTATGCGGCACAGATCCTTCTCATTGTGACTATTACCTTTAGCAAGCTATCGCTCGGGCTGCTTTTCAAGAACTTGATGACTTCGCGCAGGTCGTTGTTTGCGAATCAGGCACTTATGGGGATAATCGTTGCATGGGCAGTGGCGTCTGTTCTGGCTTTAGCCCTCAGATGCCCAATGCCATCGCCCTGGGAATGGAACCGACTGGATAAATGCGTCAACCAGGTGGGAGTCGCTTCTGTTGGATCATCCACTGGCCGTTGTGACCTAAATAATGACATAATTAATCGCTTACAGACTGCACTCTTTCAAGCAATTGCAACGTTAAACATACTGACTGATGTCGCCCTTGTTTTACTTCCCTGTATGATGCTCCGCAACGTGCAACTATCTCGATGGAAGCGGTGCCGAATTATGGCCTTGCTAGCGAGCCGACTTTTGTAAGTGAAGCATTTTAGATATTAACTATGAGAACGATACTGATTATATCTTGCAGGGTTTGCATTGCCACGGGAGCCGAAATTAAGTACACTGTCGACATGCTGAAATCCTCCGACATTCCATGTAAGTGAACCATCAGCTGCAGCTCCTACAATGATTTAACTGAAGATACATATAATTTTAAGGGAAAAATACCAACTCGGCAATTTGGGACCAGTAAGTCTTTATCTAAGCCTCAATTCAACTCAATATGACTGCAAAAAGAGACTCATTTTCTGTATTTTCTAGGATTATGATGAATCTCAGTATCATCACTACTTCCCTCCCATCCCTCGGACGCCTTGTTATCGAGCTCCAACCCAGCATCTTTGCTTTCACCATCAATGAGAACCCTGATCCCCGCTCCCAAGGTGGTACATATAATTTCACAGGGTTGGGAAAACCATCAACTGAAAATGGAATGAAGCCTGGTACATCGGTACAGGTAACGAGTGGATGGCGGGAGTCGCTCAAAGATGATGGCGAAAGTATGGAGGCATTGGTGCACGACAGCACCCCACAGAATGCCATCCAACAGACGATTCATTTTGAGGTCCATTGAAAGTTTCATAGTGCTATTACTTATGAATACTTGCATCATATGCTCTGATGGTGATATCAACCGTCATAAGACTCCCGGCACAACACTATATTCATGTCACAGCAAACTCTCCGGTGGCGTAAGTCCCACAGTCAATATACATTGATATAAAAAGGTCAATTTGAAATAATGATATACATCAAAGAATTCTTGCAAAATTAACGGAAGTTTATCTTCGTACAGCATCTGCAGGAGAATAAGAGGCTTGGCAAATTGGGCATCTATACCGCTGGTATTCAAACCAAGAGGTAAGACACGTGAGATGGAAGGCATGATGACACTTATTAAGGACAAGTATTCCGCTATCGCGTCTGAGATCCGTATTTCCACACTGACAGCTATCTGATCGCGTGGGGGAGAGGTTGTGTTGATGGCGGGGTAAGCGAGCAGGCTCGGGACACACGAGATATGGAGACGACGACAAAGACGATAGACATATTGGACTGGCGGAATGTTAGTAAGGTGGGAATATGCGGTGAGGTTTCAATTGTAGTATTCTGGACCAGTCCCGACGCGCCAAGAGCTCCGAGAACGGTCCCGGAACCCCGGCTATCTAGGTCAAGTTCAAATGAGGAAGATGGCCGACGCCCGAATGCCGAGAAATTGAATCAAGCTCTGGAGCATTTTGATATGCTCATAAGGAAGCCTGGTCCATAGCCCAGCCCTGGGCATTCCCCGCATCGCATCATCGGGCCCCATAGCCAAGGCTTGAGGGTTGTGGCAACGATTGGGGTCATCGGGAAACGAGGGAAACAACAGAGCAAGTGTGAACTTACCAAGTGTCTTGGGAATATTGGTTGACATCGCTAGGTGCATTCTGTTGCTCCAACCATCGCTCCACCGACGAAGCCTGCTCCATTGGCGAACTCATATTGTGAGCTTCTCTCATGACCCGAGCGGCGGTGCGGCGCCGATGGTACCACATGATAACGCTGACCCGATAGAAACACAATATCAGTACCACTTTCAAGGCTTCCAGATGATTCTCTGACATGAGACGGGGCATGGCCAAGACATGTCTGTGCCCCAGTCAAGAACTCACATCGGAACCATGCTGATCAGGAAAAACAGCACTATAGCCCCAATCACGACCCCGATGATCTCGCCTTCAGGCAGTTTCTCTTCCGTCATAGGTGGAGGTGCATGGAACCAAAGCCCTGGTCCACGCAAGGAAATGCAAGTAGAAATACGAGAGGAAAGACCAAGAGAACAGACCCAATAACAACGAGCGATCTTGATGAAAGGTGATTTAGGTCCAAAGGTACAAGGTTGGTCGGATCATCCAGGTCGGCAAAAGATACAGAACCATCCATTAACAAGGTCACAAAGCTCAACCATTGTCTGGTAGGAAATGAACTGCCTGCGGAGACCCCCGTTTGCCACTGTCGCAGCAGAACCTTTGTACAACTCCAGACAAGGGGAAATCAGAGGCGGGAAAGGTGGGCAAATTTGAACCGCGTGGTGGGCTCTCAGGCCTCACAAAGAGAAGTGCGCCAAGAAAATCCCAAGACCAGCCAAGGATGACACATTATCGCAGGTCGTTGGAGGTGTCGAGCGCGGAGGGCCGCCCAGGATCCCGCTCTTGGCGTTCCGCGCCGCCGCCAATCACTGGTCGGTGGCGGATCGCAGCCGAGCCAACGCCGAGGCCAGTCGTGTGCGTCATCCGAATCTCGGCCATCCTCGAAGGGACGATGCCAAGCTGGTCCGCCCGATGCCGAAGCGTGGTTCGAAGATGCGATTGGCCAGTGAGGTTGGAATTCCCCAGATTCTGGGTTGGTCAAAGACATTGCATAATCGGTACAGATACTCCGCGGCCCCGGTTGCATCTTGGATTCGGGCGGAATTCGCCATCAACGCTAGTTGTAGGCGAGATTATTTATATCGGGCGAATACCCCCGGATGATATGAAGAAAAGGAAAAAAAAATAAGAATCAAGGATTTTGGAGCCCACGTGTATTTAAAATCCAGAGGATCAGGAACTTACTTAGATTTCGGATTCTCTCAAACATCTAGGCCCTTGAAATCATTCTTGGCTCGTGTATGGACTCTCATACTCTCGAAGACACATTCTATATGACGCCCCCTTGAACACGTCACCTAGAATATTCGACTAGATTTCCCTGGGCACTCACGCGATGTCTCAGGAGAAACTTCAATCCAAAGGTTCTCAGTCTCCTAGTGATGCAGCCTCACAACAGTGCCTATCTCAGCCAGCCCATAGCCTCACGTGCGAGAATACGCTCCTGGAGCTAGGCACAAACTCCGACGATGGCTTGACAAGCAGAGAAGTTAAGCAACGACTTGAAAAATACGGTCAAAATCTGTTGGAAGGCGATGAGGGGGTCTCCTTTGCCAAAATTGTCATTCGACAAGTCGCAAATGCAATGATGCTAGTAAGTCAATCGATAGATCAATCCATATCCCAGTCAGAAGAAGCAAATGTGATTAATACTCACCTACCTATCCATAGGTGCTCATCATTGCTATGGCTGTCAGCTTCGGTATTCGATCCTGGATTGAAGGAGGATTTGTTGCTGCAGTGATCGCTCTGAATATTGTCGTGGGAGTATACCAGGACTTTGCGGCCGAAAAGACCATGGATTCTCTACGATCCCTTAGTTCTCCTACGGGAGTGGTAACTCGTGATGGAAAAACAATCACTGTCCCTGCGAATGAAATTGTCCCCGGAGATATGGTGGAATTGAAAGTTGGAGATACAGTTCCTGCAGATCTTCGGTACGTGAAGAACGAAGACCCCGAAATATAAATACCAGAAGCACTAATTTGAAGTTCCAGATTGGTTGAAGCCTTTAATTTTGAAACCGACGAGGCTCTTTTAACAGGAGAGTCCCTTCCAGTTCAGAAAGATGCCGAAGCCACCTTCGACACTAATACCGGCCCTGGCGATCGGCTGAACATCGCTTATAGCTCGTCAACCATCACTCGGGGGCGTGCTCGGGGTGTTGTCGTCGGTACCGGCATGAAAACTGAAATCGGCGCTATCGCTGCAGCTCTTCGTGGAGGTGACTCAAAGCGACGCCCAGTTAAGCGAGGGCCCGAGGGTGAAACCAAAAAGCGCTGGTATCTCCAAGCATGGACGTTGACCACCACCGATGCGATCGGACGCTTCCTAGGAATCAACGTTGGTACTCCGCTACAACGCAAATTATCAAAATTAGCGCTTCTCTTGTTTGGCATTGCGGTCATTTTCGCAATTGTTGTCGCAGGCTCAAATAGCTGGCGAGGAGATAGCGAGGTAATCATTTATGCAGTTGCGACTGGTCTTGCTATGATACCTGCTTGTTTAGTGGTTGTTCTCACAATTACCATGGCTGTCGGAACGCGTCAGATGGTGCAGCGGCATGTCATCGTTCGGAAGCTAGATTCCTTGGAAGCCTTGGGAGCCGTGACAAATATCTGCTCGGACAAGACTGGTACGCTCACTCAAGGTCGCATGGTTGCCAAGCGCGCCTGGATTCCTTCAATTGGGACTTATTCGGTGGGATCATCCAATGATCCCTTGAATCCTCATGAGGGCGATTTGAGCTTGACTCCAGAGCCCCCGATTAAAATTGAACCTGAGTTGCAGGCTGGTACACCAACATCGCCGGAGGAGCTTCTAGGGGACAACGAACTGTTGAAATCCTTCTTGAATGTCGCTGCCATGGCCAATCTTGCACATCTGCATAAAGATGCCAATGATGAATGGCAAGCCCGTGGAGAACCCACAGATATCGCCATCCAAGTCTTTGCATCCCGGTTTCATTGGGGCATTGATCGCTGGACCAAGGGCGAGAAGCCTACCTGGTACCAAAAGGCGGAGTATCCATTTGACTCGACAGTGAAAAAGATGTCGGTCATGTTTTCTAAATGTGACAATGGTTCAGAGAAAACCTCCGAAATGATCTTCACTAAAGGAGCGGTTGAAAGAGTTCTCGATACATGCACAACAATCACCTGGAAGAATGGGTCTGTGCCTGTGCCTCTAAATGAGGAAATTCGCGACGAAATTTTACAGAATATGGAGGCTCTTGCGAAGGAAGGTCTTCGGGTGCTTGCCCTAGCTGGTCGTGAAAATGGACTTAACAGCAAAGAAGACAAAGAATCCCTTCCACGAGAGGAAATAGAGAAGGAGTTGGTATTTTATGGACTAATAGGTCTGTATGATCCTCCTCGACCTGAAACTGCGGGCGCAATCGCCCAGTGTTATAAAGCCGGTATCTCCGTTCATATGGTCACCGGTGATCATCCGGGTACAGCACGTGCTATCGCGGCCCAGGTTGGTATCATTCCGTCAAATATGGATATGATCGCGAGGGACGTGGCTAGTGCCATGGTGATGACTGCAGGAGAGTTTGATAAACTCACTGAAGATGAAATCGACAATCTCCCTACACTGCCGTTGGTTATTGCTCGCTGTGCTCCAAATACAAAAGTCCGCATGATTGACGCTCTGCATCGTCGTGGTTGCTATGTCGCAATGACCGGTGATGGTGTCAATGACTCGCCGTCATTAAAGCGGGCGGATGTCGGTATTGCTATGGGCCAGAACGGCTCCGATGTTGCCAAAGATGCCTCAGAGCTGGTCCTTACTGACGATAACTTTGCTTCTATCATTAACGGCATTGAAGAAGGACGTCGAATCTTCGACAATATCCAGAAATTTGTTCTGCATTTGTTGGCCGAGAACGTCGCACTGGCGTTGACTTTGCTTATTGGTCTGGCCTTTAAGGATGACACCAATCAGTCTGTGTTTCCGATTGCTCCAGTTGAAATCATCTGGATTATCATGATTACTTCAGGCCTGCCTGATATGGGATTGGGAATGGAAGCAGCCGCCCCAGAAGTTATGGATCGCCCACCACAGAGTGTAAGTTTTCAACAATACGATTTCTCTGAGAAGCATTGACACTGATATGAAAATAGAAACAAGGCATTTTCACTTGGGAGATTATCATAGACACGCTCGTGTATGGCGTCTGGATGGCAGCCCTGTGTCTATCCGCCTTCGCCCTCGTTATGTTCCGCTGGGGCGACGGAAATCTTGCTATGGGATGCAACACGCAATACAACGATCCAAACACTGATTATACTTGTGACACTGTGTTCCGTGCACGCGCCACTACCTTCACATGTATGACCTGGTTTGCTCTCTTCCTGGCATGGGAAATGATGAACTTGCGCCGAAGTTTCTTCCGAATGCAGCCCGATTCCAAGCGCTATTTTACCCAGTGGATGTACGATATCTGGAACAACCAGTTCCTGTTTTGGGGTATCATGGCTGGCTTTGTGCTCGCCTTCCCCATCATATATATCCCGGTGATCAATCACAGTGTCTTTAAGCACTCGGCTATTTCGTGGGAATGGGGGATTGTCTTTGTCGAGACAGTACTCTTCTTCGCTGGTATCGAGTTTTGGAAGTGGTGTAAACGGGCTTACTTCCGCCGCCAGGCATACAAAGAAAAGAAGAACGGTATGGACGTACTTCAGGGCGAGCGTCGAGGACTAAAAGACTTTAGTCGATATACCACTATGAGCCGTTCAGAGACTCAGGCAGACACTGAAACAAAGGTTGAACAGTCTTTGGTGTGATCAAAGAGGGGCGCCGTGATATCGAGCCCATGGCCTTTTTTGCCTGACTCTAGCCTTTTTCTTTAGTTTTGGAACGGAACGACACATTCTTTTCTAGAAGTGTTTCCAAAGTTAAATGCACCAGCATATTTAGCACATAGAACATGAAATTCGAATTCATTACACAAGGCCCCTGGGACAAGACTAAAAGACTCCCTATATATATGAAAGATTCTATGAATCCAAAAAATATATATGAAGAAGGCCAAAGGTTATCATAAGAATGGAGAGCCAAGCCATTGTGAAAAGATGCATAACACTGATTAAGCCTCTTTAGTTTCGCTTGTTTTGTAATCCTCTCTGTCGCCTCTAGTTTGTCGTTTCTCGGGGTACTCGGTATCTTCCCACTGTTCGAAAAAGCACGCATTTTTCCGTAGAGAGGCAATGGTTTCCCAAAGTACGCAGAACACAAAGAGTGCCATGATGATTGATAGGACAGAAGTAGCACCAAGGTCATGAGCTAGAGGCAATAAAATAAGAATAATGCCGGTTATAGGCCGCATGATCAAACGGAGGGGCTAGGGATTTGTTAGGACGTATTCTCCAGTCCAGAGAGAGCGCAGACTGCATACCTTATCTAGGAACAACGTCCCAGGTTCATCTCTAGACCCATGCATCAATGCGAAGATGTACAGACAAATGATTCCAGTGCCGAGGCCTGCACAAAGGAGCCACCGCTGCGCATCCTCGAACTCTTTTTCGGCCACAGATGCTGCAGCTACATGACCACCAGCCAAAAGGCTGGCAATCAGAGGAAGATGGATCAAAGCAAATGCAAATGCGGTGTAGATACTGTGGCGCAGTGGATGGTCATTCTCAACAGAACCGTCATTATGAACATACAACCAGTTAAGACAGAACGCGATGATTAACGTCCAAACGGCACGGAGCAGTCTCTCGTTCAGCCCGATCGCGGCAGGTGACCCCACAATGATCAGATAGAGAAACTCGCCAAGAGCGATAATATAGAATGCGGCGTATCGATCAACCTCGTGGTTGATATCAACTGCAGTCGTGTATTTGGCTTGGAGAAGTTTCTTTGCAGCGGGAGAGTAACAAAATATCCAGGTAACCTCTTCAACAAAGATAGCCACGGCGGTGGCGGCAATTTTCCCGCGAATAGAGACCGACTCAAAGAATAGTGGAATGTACAAGCAAAGGAATAAGGTGGATAGCACCACCCAGAGACGCTGCTGAGCCCGGTGGTGGTAGCTGGCAAAAGAGTAGTAGAGATGGGCCAAATTGCATGTCAAACGAGCGATCATGTAAGCGCCGACTGCGGAGCGCATCGCGCCAATGTCTTCATCAACGAGAGGCGCATTATTGCCATAAACAACTAGCGTAGCCATCACCCACAGAATGATCACACGCTGCAGAAGGTCATCGTTGTAGAAGGAGTTCATCAGCTCGCGTAGGTCACTCCATACGTGCCATGATGGAGATAGGATGAGCTATATGAAAGTCCAGATTAGGTGAACTTCCCGTACAGAACTAAGCTCGCAAGGGATGTCTATCAGTCAAGTCTTACAATGTACTTCACAAGCTTTGCGCCTGATATGTCTTCCACAAGGGTATCCGCGAAGTTGGAGAGGATCGCAACGTAAAGTAAATCGAGAAAAAGCTCGAAGCGACCTATGGACGGGCCAGGCAACGATAAGATGAGGAGGATAAGACGAGAGGAGTTGCATTCTGCAATATGTCTTCTTACCTGCTTGTCTTTCTTCGTCATGGCGTTTCACCAGACGGCCGTTCTCGAACCACTGTAGCGCGCGAGGCTGGCGAAACAAGAAGCGGGGATTCGACGAAAGATCATGGCAATCGATTCCTACTCCTGAGGGTCCAGACATTGTGTGCTGATAGCTATTCTACAGTACTTGGATGTGCCGCGACACCGGGGGCAAGGCGTGTCGAAAGGGCTGGTTGCAAGGGGTGAGCGAACATGGATAACCTGCGATCTGCGAGCCGCTCGGGCCCCACCGATCTTGCCCAAGTATCATCTTACCTCAGATCTTGGCGGATTCCTTGGCAAGCGCGTGCGATAGCTGATTATGAGGCGCTTCACATATCATAAATGTTCCGGACTGATTCTGACTATAAATCCTGGGAATACCTCTGCTGCGAGGCCCATCATACAATAATAATGAATATCATGATAGACTTCGAAAGTACATTATCGATCAGTCCACATTGTCACGCTACGAATAGGACCATTTGGAGAAATTGTGTTGTTCTCCGATACAGAATTAGCATTCGCATCGAGCTCCACAAGATTTCAGACTGTAAAGGAACGCAATATGTACATATTGCTCACAGAACTTTGACTATATCTATGATCATGGCCAATGGCTTGCAAAAGAAAAGCAACATCTGGGTACTAAGAATTTTTGGACGCTGTGGGCAATATGATGCCTGAGTGCCTTGATGCCTGAATTAATGCCTATCTGTATAAGACGTGCAGAATATGCCTTCTCGTAAAGTAGCCATAGGGAAAATATGAAGACACAGGCATTACAGTTTTACTAGTGCTGTACTAGTACTATACTACGCTCTCCGTATGAGAGAGAGAGGCATGTTAGACTTCGAATCCACCAGCAGGACTGCCAAGCCGAGAAAAGCCGAAAGACATCGACCGCAAGATCTGGAAAGAAGGGGCGACACGGGAAAGGCTAAGTTCGCTGGGTACGAGCGATCGGGCGCATCTCGTCTTACACACTTTCAGAAAAGATCGACGGGGTGCGAGGGCAGCGAGGAAATTTATTATTTCGGCCAATCTTCCATAATGCGCTGGGGTATGGGTCGCGTTTGTTATGAAGACCCACTGACTGGAGAGTTCCGAGAAGTTTCTGCTTTCCGGATGTTCGGATGGAAATAAAGGATTGCCAAATATTCCAAGCAGATAATCGAAAGAATTTACATATAGCTAAAATCAAATTTTGGAATTAAACGGGCAATATGATCTTGATTCTGCCAGGGTCCTCATCTGCAAGCTGGGGAAATCTGGGATAGCCAGAGCCCTACATGGGATTTCTCAGGGGAATCGCGATCTCGGGCTCCACTTGGCAGCTTGTGTCGTGCGCTAGCGAGGGCTTCTATACGCTTGTTTCCGTCAAGAAATTTCCTTTCCGATGCCAAGGGGGTTTTGAGCCCCTTTGGTCCCCGGAGAAATGAAAACTTTTCCGCCTGGGCTACTATGGTTGGCTTATTTGTGTGCCGTGCGTTACCCACATCTAGTCCATATACAGCCGGACACTGGATCTAAAGACTCCGTGTAAGCTTTGAGTTCGAGTGCTCAGGGCGCTGTTTTTGGGCGTATTTGCGCATATTCAATTTGGGTACCAAGTCCCAGAAATTATAAATTATAATATACATAGTTCATACCAAATATCACGCTTTCCACTGTTCAGGCAGTCTGATTGAACCATCAAAACTCCACCTCTGCCGAATCCTAAATATCATTCTTTGCCATCAATTTAGTTCAGCTCCTTGGAAGCAATCTCAAGCAGGTTGTCCTGGCCGAGGGCGTTCTGGGTGTAGCGAGCATTGAACTTCAAGACGTGCTTGACAGCGTTGTAGCTCTGGACGTTCAGAGGCAGGGGCTCGGTGCTCAGGAACCAGGCGACGTCCTCGGAGCAAGGAGGGGTGGTGAGAGAGCCAGTGTACTGATAGATGCCATGGGCGTTCAGGTGGGCAGTCAGAGCGGTGAAGTCCAGGTGGCCAGTCTTGGTGTAGGTGCCAGGGGTGGCAATGTCGTCGATGTGAGCGAAGACAGAGTCAAACAGAGGAGTAGAGTAGCCGAACTGGGACAGCTCAAAAACGAAGCCGACGACAGCAATAGAGCCAGCTAGCACATTTATCAGTATATGGCAATCTCAATTGAAGTGTTCCTAAGCCGGTCATAATCCCGTCGTGTAGATCAAGTACAATTGGATGCACATTGACTCGGAAGCAAGATGGAATTAAAGCCTACCAGTGTTCTCAAAGACGAAGTGAGCCTCCATGGGGTAGTACTCCTCGTTGATACGGTGCTCCGAGGGGGTGTGGAAGTGGAACTGAGCCAGAGTGTACGAGCGCTGGGAGGCGACGAGGGTTCCGTTGGTCAGAACGACCTCAAGACCGGAGCCCAGGTTCTCAAATTTGGCATTGTCAGTGCTGGGAACGTGGAACTTGATGGACTTGGCCGCCGCGTAGTCAATCTTGTCAGTGACAATATCGATGGGAGACTGGTGCTTGCCCTGGGAGCAAGCACTGTTTGACTCATCAAGACCGTACCAGGTGAGAGGACCACCGGTGTTGGTGTAGTTGAAAGAGTTGATGTCCACGGTGCCATCGGCGGAACGAGGCATCAGCGAGGTGCCGTGAAGGCACGACGCGGTGGCCGAAGCAATGAGGGGGAGTATGGCGGCAGCAACCTTCATTATGATGGTGATATACAGTATATGAAAAGATATTGGATTGAAATGGACTTCTACCAGAACCGCTGCTTGGGGCTGGGGTCTTTATAGGGTTCCTCTCAAGTTTATTAAGGAAATTTGAAATTTATTGTTATTCTATTTTATGACATGATACCGAGAGACTGGCCAAGCAATCCGACTAATGACCTGAGTTACTCCCAACGAAGCTGGTCCCGGTCACCCAAAAGGAGAGATCGGCACCGCCGGAGGGTTCGAAAGTATGGAACTATTTGGATACCCACCATATCTCCATATATCCCTACCGCAGTAAATGATCGTCAAAATCGGGAATGAAAACAGCGAAGTCAGCGCCACGAGAGCTGAACGCTGGGGCTACTGACCCGAGGGGGCTCTGTGGTCCCCACATGGCTTTCTGGATTGGGGTTTCTGGATCGTTGGGTGTGATTGTGGGGGGCTCTGTACAGAGTACGAAATAGTCAGATCACTGCCCGTACGGACATAGGCCGCCGTTGCCACTTGGTTTGTTTTCTTCCAATTACTTCCTTTGAACCCCTGAATAAATGCTCGGGGATATATTCTACTGGTCGTAAGTCAACTTCCTTCAACCCACATCGGAAAGGCTATCTCGGCGAAGTTCGGCTTGAACACGATCGAAATAGGAACCCAATACAGCCTTATATAAGTGATGAGAATCGGAACTACTTCAAGTTGTAAATATTCAGTGAATACTTTCGACCTTTCGAAATATCTACAAAGTAGCATTTTTGCGAAGCAGTGGGAGAAAATTTTCTGGATTGAAAAATCCGGGCTCTAGGAGAACAACATTGAGCTTATGCGCACACGCCAGCCCGGCATTGATTATGCCTACCGTGTTTCCCCACTCCAAGTCCCTTCATGGCTTGTGGCAAAGCCCGGCAATTTTTACATAGCGTGAAAATTGGTGTTTGGTGGCTCTGTTAAAGTTGGCCAAACCCGGACCGCCGGGCCCCGATTCGGAGTCGCCGGGAATAATACCCACATCGTACATTAATACAGCAAGGGGAATTCTGAACCGGCACACGCCCCCGACTGGAATCACAATTAGAATGCCAGGCTAAACATATATCAATTCACAAATATTAGAAGATATTTGGGTTCACTTATTTTCGGGGCCTTGAAGAACGAAGGCCTCTTGTTTTCCCATGCACTAGACAAGGCAAAAGTATTGTGCTTTTCTTCATTCGTTGAGTAGAATGCCCCGTAAAGGACTCTAAATGGAAATGATCACCGCCTTGCTTTGACAAAACGAGGGTGGAAACACAAGTTCTGGTCATAACTTGGCCGCTCTGCTTGTTGTGCCTTTCTTTAACCATGTCTGAATAGTTTGAACTAAACCGTTCACCTCATCTTCGGTATTGCCGGCGTGTAGGCATACCCGTACTCGCTCCTTGCCTTCGGGGACAGTGGGCGGCATAATGGCGCGGACATTGAAACCATCGACTTGACACGAAGCAGCCAATTGTCGTGGGTGTGATGTGCGCAATGAAAAGATGGGCGAGGTGGGAAAGTGGTCGACTTCGAAAACGACCGACTCATCTATTTCCAAAGTGTTCAAGCAGCGGTGAAGATACCCGATCAGTTGCTGAACACGGTGTTGTAACTTCGAGCAACAGTGAGCAGACGATATTCTTCAATGCGATGAGTTTGTATAAACTTACTGGTTGAGTTTCTCCCGAGGAAAGAAGCTCGTAGCTGGTGCGAATTGATGCGAGAAAGGGAAATCCGAGAGCAGTGGTATAGATGAGGCTGCGGGCATAGTTGATCAGGTAATCTCTCGTCTCGGGGCCACATAGCACCATGGCTAATTAGAAGAATTTAGCACACGAGTCACGAAGATCGATCGAGAACGCATACCACCATGACTGGCCAATGCTTTGCCGAAAGTATGTACTCGAATAAACATGCGGTCTTGAACGCCAAGCTGTTGAACTACGCCGGCACCACGTGGACCGAAGACACCTGTGGCATGCGCTTCATCGACAATAAAATACCCATTCTGACGGGGGAGGAGTTCGTCGATAACACGAATGAATTCTTTGATAGGGGCCATGTCGCCATCCATGCTGTATATGGACTCGATTACCACGAAGACATTTCGGGTGCCGTTCTGAATCTCTGAATCATTCTTTATTCGCGCATTGAGAACTTCTCGCAGACTTTCTGGCGAACTATGAGCAAACTTCTCACGAGCTCCGGCCCGAGAGAGCCGCATTCCCTCGTGGGCACTTGCATGGATGAGCTCATCATAAAGAATCAGGTCACCTGGCTGAGGAATACTAGACAGAACCCCCACATTGGCATCGTAGCCTGAGTTGAATAGCAGCGCAGTGGGTGCTTCATGAAAATCCGCAACAAAGTGCTCCAGATCTTCTGCATAGGTGGAATGCCCGTCTAATAGACGTGATCCACCGCTGGCAAACGGATAGAATTCTGGGGCATTGTTCAGATGCGCAAGGTATCGCTTCCGGTAGGCCGGAGCTGTAGAAAGAGAAAGGAAATCATTAGAAGAGAAATCTACCGCGGTTTGTGGCAAGATAGTCAGCTTGCGGCGGGCAGATTTCGCTTCTCGCTTGACCAACGCATTCGTCAACGCATTAATGAGTGCCATTGGCTCTGACGATGCCGTGCGGTTCTTGCCTTCAGGGTCCTGATTCCGCAGTCGCTGGTTGTTTGTTATTTCTACTCCAGCTCCAATCGGAATGAAAAAATCGGCCTAATCTCCCGCGCAGGTACGAAGTCGGTTAAAAACGGGTGTTGAGCGGAATCTTGACCCTCGGGGAACGGTCTCCCACGATCTTCCCGCACTTTAAATCTTTTAGGGCGAGGTCGGACCGCTGACGAATCCGGGGGAGACACAGGCCAGGGCAAGCAAGCAAGAGTGTCGAAGATGCAGAAATCAGAGCGAACCCAGTCTCACGATCAACTTTCCCTTCACGCAATTGGATGACAGTCTGACTCACACCATTTTAACTCTGGACATTGATGTTGGGAATTCCTCATCTCAACGGGAAATTCAACCTCGGTGAAAAGGGGAAGTCGAGATGGTGGAGCCGCGGCGGGCCGGTGATTGGCGCATTGACGTCAAACTTCCCGGTAAGCGCAAACAGCGCCCGGAGTTGACTTTACCACTCCCAACGCGGGGATGCTCCAGTTCCTGTCTTGAACAGCCACTCCCTCGCAACCTCAATTGCAATATGTCTCCTGTCGGTGCTGGTCTTTGGCGCACATTGCGTGCGCACCAGGTCTATGGTGCCAACACGGACGTAGGCAAGACGATCGTGTCCACCGTGCTATGTAACGCGATCCAGAACCAAAAGCAGAGGGCTGCATTCCTGAAACCTGTGTCCACTGGATCATTGGATGAGGCTGATGATCGGTATAGCTCATACGGTATCTCAATCCAGATATCTGGCGGCTAATTATTTTCGCAGACATTTGAGACATTTTGGAGCTGGTACAGTGACCAAGTGCTTGTACCAATTCGATGAGCCTGTTAGCCCGCATATTGCAGCAAAACAAAAGACCGTCCGTATCCCCAGTCTGCTTTTAAAATAGAGACTAACCGAAGCAGATCCCAAGGGATGATGATTTGCTCGCATCAATCCATACCACTCTGTCAGAGTGGGCTCGGTCTGACATTGATTTCGCCCTGGTCGAGACCGCGGGGGGTGTGCACTCACCGGGCCCCAATGGCAACTCGCAAGCCGATCTATATCGGCCACTTCGTCTCCCAATCGTTCTAGTGGCAGACTCCCGTCTAGGTGGAATTTCCTCATCGGTCTCGGCATATGAGTCTCTACTTCTCCGCGGATATGACGTGCAATCCGTTCTGCTGTTCCGCGATGACTATTACCAAAATCATGACTATTTAGGTGATTACTTCCGCAAAAAGGGCATTCCATTGCTTCCCCTACTGGCTCCTCCTGCAAAGCCATCATCAACAGACGTGGATGCGCGAGCGCGAGATGAAGAAGCAATGTTTACCTACTACCGACAGGTTTCTCAAGAGTCGGACATTCTTCGCTTGCTTGAACAGATGACCTATCAAAATAATGCACGAATTGAGCGCCTGGAGGAGATGGCTGAACGTGCTCAGGATTTGATTTGGTACCCATTCACCCAGCATCAAGGCATGCGTCCTAAGGATATCACCGTGATCGATTCGGCCCATGATGATTATTTCCAGACTTTCGGCTCAGGCCAGACAGAGAGACCGGATAGTGAGCTGCGACCAACTTTTGATGGATCTGCTTCTTGGTGGACCCAGGGACTGGGCCATGGAAACCCTGATCTCTCTTTGTCCGCAGCCTATGCTGCCGGTCGGTATGGCCATGTGATGTTTGCCGGGGCAGTCCATGAGCCAGCTCTCTCACTCGCTGATCGTCTCCTGAAGACCCTTGATAACCCGCGGTTTACTAAAGTATTCTATACAGATAATGGCAGCACTGGCATGGAAGTTGCCGTGAAGATGGGTCTTCGGGTATCCTGTGACCGGTACGGCTGGGATGCTACTGAGGAGCAGATCAGTATTCTAGGACTCAAGGGAAGTTATCACGGCGATACCATCGGTGTGATGGATTGCTCCGAGCCTTCGACCTACAACAAAAAGGTAGAATGGTACCGGGGACGAGGCCACTGGTTTGACTTCCCTCTTGTTAAGATGGTGAATGGAACATGGAAGATCGAGGTACCAGAGGAACTCCAGGCCGATTTGGGTTCTGATGCTGAATTCAAATCTCTGAACACTGTGTTTGACCTCGACACACGAGTGAACTCAGAGGCTGCTCAACGCTATAAGAGCTATATCCACCGCACTATTGAGGATTTAGTGAAACGCCAGGGCATGAAGTTCGGCGCGCTGATTCTGGAGCCTGTTATTTTGGGCGCTGGCGGAATGCTATTTTGGTGTGTACTACTTGATTCATTCCCGTGTTCCAATTTGAATTTGTAGATGGAAAATTTCTAACGCTTTTCATAGTGACCCCCTGTTCCAGCGTTGCCTGACAGATGTTGTGCGTGATCACCCAGAATTGTTCTGCTCGACTGCTTCGTCGCCAAAATCGGCTACATCATGGTCGGGGCTTCCCGTTATTTTTGATGAGGTCTTCACTGGTCTCTATCGCCTTGGACGTCCCACCTCTGCTTCCTTCCTCGGCGTGCACCCCGACATTGCCGTTAATGCAAAGCTGCTCACCGGCGGATTGATCCCTCTGTGTACAACAGTGGCCAGCCAGGAAATATTCGAAACTTTCTCAAGCCCAGAGAAGAGTGACGCTCTTCTTCACGGTCACAGCTACACCGCCCACGCGGTTGGCTGCACTGTTGCAGTGGACTCTCTCAAAGCTATGTCCGAAATGGATAAAAACGGATCGTGGGATGCCTTCAAGGGGGACTGGAATAGCAAGTCGCAGGCTGAAGCAAGCCAATCTAACTCAGATGTGTGGAGTGTCTGGTCTCAGGATCTTTTGAAAGATCTGTCGTGTGCAGGAACCGTTGAAAGCGTATTCGCGATCGGAACTGTGCTTAGCATCTCGCTGCGAGACGAGCAAGGTGGAGGTAAGTATTCGAAGAGATAAAATCAAAAGAAACCGAATGCTAAAGTTCTCATAGGCTATACATCAAATGCCGCCAAAGGTTTGCAGCAGAAGCTCGCCGTCGGAGGCGACCAGTTCAATGTCCACTCCCGAGTCTTGGGAAATGTCCTTTATCTCATGTCGAGCGTGACTTCAAAACCTGAATCGTTACAGGAAATGGAAAAACTACTCCGTTTCTCACTGGTTTGATAAGAGCATCATATATGAATATAAAAATGTATGGATAGTTCTATAGTACTTAAAATCAAAGAACATGCTATGTGCAGGATACAAAACTTTCGCAAAACACCATGATGAACAAACTCCATATAGACAAGATCGTTAGTTCATATAGTACAAAGACTCTATTTATGCAAACCAGACATAATTGTTGTTGCGTTCAGAGGGTTCATGCGTTGCTAGCGCACGAGAAGCTGTTGCTAGAGGCATCGTCGTGAATCGCCCTGCCAGAGACGTAGAGGCCGAGACCGCACTATAACACCATTTGTCAATTGAAAATGTGGAAGGATAAACAACCCTAAATGTAACTTACCATGCAACCCCCGATCAAGACAATCAAAACATTGATAATAGTCAAGCAAACTTTTCTTGGGGACGAAAACCATTTACCCCAATTAAGGTGAAGCCAGTACACACCTCCAAGGCCGTAGCTAAACCAGCTAGCGAAAAGCGAACTCTGCATTTGAGGAAAGGGAAACAATCAGTCAGAGAAAATCAAAACTTCTCACACAATAATAACCTACAATGAGACTGAGAAGATCACTAAACACAGGAATGGCGTCGGCGATGATCCAGGCGATGATCCAGCAACTCAGGCCAATTGCGACCCAAGAGCCAATCGAAACAAGGTCACGGCGGTGCATCCTGTCAGTTCCACGGAAGAGTCGGACATAGATGTACTTAAGTCCAATGTGGCCGTTGACGACACCAGCACCCACAATCTGTCAAATTCAGTAGCTGTTCAGACATGTTCAAATACGGAACCGAATATTCGAGCTTACAGTAGGAATAGCAATGCCGTAGGCAACCTTCTTCAATACAGGACCGGCAGATCCCAAGGCCGGAGACTCGACAGACTGGCCCGCATAGTAGTAAATGACGACAGCAGCAACAGTATAGAAGATGATCTCGAAAGTCTGCAACATATACAAAGCCTTGGGGAAATCCCTAGGCTCCCTCATCTCGGCAAGAAGGCCAAAGAAGGCAACGTGTGCACAGTAGGCAAAGACAATGTTAGTCACGGCAGTGAAGGCATGATAGAGGTCGGTGTCCACTGTGGCTTTAATGATGTTGTACCCACGGCCCTGGACACCCACTCCCACCATAGTGATTATCACAGCAGTGAAGATGCTCACAAAAGCTAATGTTCATATCAATGGTAAGATTCCAAAAAAGAAGGTCGAAATACTGTGAGTTCCACGTACAAGTGCAAGAAATATAAGTCATGTTCTTCATGGTACGAGGCAGCGAGCAGACCATGCAGATCACGAATCCAACCGTCGTGAAGACCATCGTGCAGGTGCCGTGCTCGGTGATAGTGTTCATCATGACGCTAAATGTCAGGATATGGCTTCCCATGATGAAAATGGAGAACAGCAGTTGGCCAATGCCGAATAATTCGCGGCCGAATGCGCCGAGCAAAACCTCGCCGGCATCAGCCAAGTTCTGGATATGGGGATATCGGTGGTGAAATTGTCCAATCACGTAACCAGTATAGGTAGCGAGAAGGCCGAGGCCAATGATCAAAACAAGAGCCCTAGAAATGTCAACTTGGAATCTCGATTGTGAGTGATTTACATCGGGAAACTTACGGAGCAAGGCCCAATTGAGCAAGGGTTGCCGGCAATGATAGAACACCGAGAGAAACCGATTCGGCAATCATGACTGGGGTCAGTCAGTTGCTGTTCTTCCTATTCGCTTCCTTCGAATTTTAGAATTGTGACTTACACATTCCAGTTTGCCTATATATCGAGAATTTAGTCAATTTCTTTCCACCGAAAATCAATCTAGAACCAGGAAGAGCCGAGTACTGACCACCATTCCATCGTCTTGTATTTAACTTCAGCATTGGACTCATCTCCAAATGCATCCACGTAGCGTGGCTTCTCGTCCTCAAATCGCTTTTCGTTCCATCCCGATTCCGAGTCAATGGGATCAGGCTTGGGGGCGACTCCGTCGATGGTCATGTTGTATCGAATATGCAATATCTATTGGGGAGAAAGAGGAGGAGGCCGAAACCGAAGAGAAAGAGAGAAGCAAGCCTCGAAGGCAAGGATTACTAGTTATGTATGTGTGGAAAAAAATCCTTAGCTAAACGTCAGTGGAGCTCAACGTTGCATGAGCCAACCGAACCCCCGCAGTAATTGATTCTGGTGGGAACCGGGGAGCGAATTCTGGGGCTCGGTACTTCTAGAAGGGGGAAGTCATCAGGGCTTATCAGCGGAGTCAGTTTCTATTGCATATTCAATTCTGGAGAACAAATTGGCCCGAGAAGGGTCCAATTTGGTGATGTACATGCGAGGCTTGGGGTTCGGTCACCATAATCATGAATTAAGCGTCCTGCGGCCCACTTCCGGGCGCCTCTTGGGGTCGGTTCCTCCACTTTAATGCGCCGCCCTGCCAATAAGGGCCTCGGGATGGCGATCTATTAGATAACGAAAATCTCGGTACCTCGTGGTGGCCCCGAGGGTAGCCGGACACGTCCAATCCGCGACCCCAACACTACAACGCTAAGGACTAGAGAAATGTCATTAGCATGGTACGCGCCGGTCTCTCTCTAATGGTGAAGCTAGATCAAATCATCTGAGAGGGTGCGAAGAAGAGGGCATGCTTCATGGGGAAAACACTGGCATATTTCAATTTCAACGAGACGATGAGTAAAGACTTCCATCACAGCCGGTAAACGTGTGATGATTAATGAGCCGAAGGGGTGGACCCATCCCAACCATCGTTTTGGGCCACAACTGCGGCTGGAAGCGCATCCTTGCCACCATTACCGAAAATATTAGTCAGGGCAACTGAATTGGGTTTCGGTCGTTGACCGTGGCTATTTAATCACTGACAGGTTGGGGTTCAGGTACCAAGAGGCCCTGCTAATGAAACTCTGGGGTCAAGCGGGATTTCTGAACCCTAGTGCAACGGAAAAGGCTCCATGTGACTTTTGACCTGGAGACTTTTATGCGTCCCCACATGCCAAGCTTCGTTTGCCGCTTGGGATGTCGTTCTCCGAGCAGGATACTTGATCAAACGTTCTGCTCAGTCTAAATGCAGGTCACATCCCTGAAGTTAGGGAAGGCCTCAAGTTGTTGTGTTGCTTCAAATACCTGGGAATAGGTGAAGGGGCTTGCTTCTGTGCCTCTTGAGAGACATGGAGACATGCTGACCCATGGAATTATGTATGCGACTGTAGCTCGTCAGTTGATTATGAGCTTTGAAATGAAACCACCTTCATTCGATGTTTGATCAGATAGTTCTACAGCAAGGTCTATCCCTAGAGTATTCTCAAGTTTCCATGAGCACAGTGTGAATTCACATACAATGCTCACCCCCAAACTTTGTCGGATGGCGAGCCTGTGCGTATAGCTCAAACGATGGGCCTAAATCCCCGAGTCATCATCTTCTACGCTGAGCCTGGTTTCAAACGCGTTCCTTGCCTGGCAGTTGCTTGTTAGATCCTTGTAACCAACCAGAGCTTTGATCTCATCATATCGCTCCACAAACTGGGTTGCAAACCCTTCTCCAGTGTGCCATCCTATATGTCATGCGCCAGGAATATCGGTCTTGAATGCAATAACCAAATGCCCATTCTCGGGCAGCATTGCGGTGTCTCTCTTGGGCGGCTTCGCAAGGGAGATCACTTGCCCACTGTATGCTCCACAGCCCTGAGTCATGATGACAAAGTCGTGACCATGCAAATGAATTGGGTGTGGCACGAAGAGGGTGGTCTCTATGACTTTATAGGTCCACCCGTCTTTACGAGGAAGTTCCACTACTCCGCTCGTGCTCAGCCGGGAATTGTGGTCTTGATAAACTTCCGAGAGCGTGGGATCTGTCCAGGAGACATGCATGGATGTGGAGTTGAGTTTCCTTCGGTAAAGGCTATCTCCATTCTTCGCTAGAGAGACTGGCTCGGATTTTTTTGTAAAATGGTATTCTGATGTCCTCGGAAAAAATCGGACTCAAGTCCGACATGCTTTCATCTTCACAGCTATCCGTATAGGCATGGCCGGTGGTTGTTGGAGGAGCGGACTCATCACCATAATACACAATATCCTTGATGTTGTTGGGGGATTTGTTTTCGGAGCAAGCAGACTGTGGGATCGCCCGAAGCCAGAAATTATTCGCGAACGAGGCTCGATCGGCTTTCACAATTATATCATAGCACTGCCCTGGTGAATTGATCAGTCTTTCTGTGTGGATATCGGTGGAAAGAAACTAGCCCATAGCAAGATTAAGAACATTGGTACTATATGGCTCAATTGGCACTAAACCATTCGCAATAACGGTCATAGTATGATTGTCGATGGAGAATTTGAAATGCGTGTGGCAGGCGGCATTCACTAGTCGCAGTCTGTACGATTTCTCAGCTATGAATGAAACGTTGAAGCGAGTTCCTGTCTGATTGGCATTTCCATCTTCCCCGAAAGCATTTTTCTGCTGATCAGGGCATTATCCAGAGTCAGTGGACCATCGAGCTGAGTAGAAAGGAAGAGCTCATCGACAGTGTTGATATCCCAATCGTTCATGATTATAAAACCTTTGTCCTCATCGAAATTAGCACTGGCTGGTCCATTGATGACAATCCCACCAAAGAGGGCCCCCCAGGCCTGTAGTCCTATGTGAATGATACCAAGTCGTGCCGTACTGCATTGCTCGCCATTTATAAAAGATCCTTTTTTTCGGCGCAGTCGGACATTGTGTAATAGAAACGACACCATCATTCTGGCTGGTGTCAAACTGTTGAATTCCATGCAAGTGAATGTTGGTACCATTCTGTAAATCGTGTGGAAGCCTGATGGTGAGATGTACGATAACCTCATCACCCCGGTTTGCTTCAATTGACGGGCCAGGGATAGAACCATTGATTGCAACTGCTTTCTTCGATCGACCGTCTGGCGAAATCGTAAAAATTTCCAGGTTAATCCATTATTCTCGTATGACACCAGTTTTGGTGATAGTTGTAGTATAATCAGTCGTAATGATATACTCGCACTTTACTAGCAACTCATCGTCAGGAGAGGATACTTCGAAGCCTAGAAAATATGGCGGACTTGTGGCTTACTGTAACAGATTATCCAACACAAAGTGTCTTGTCCGTACAGAAGTGAAGTATATCACCCGATGAACTATCAAAAGCGTTTTATATACTTCGCCAAGCAGGGTTTGTACATACGGTTAGGTGTACTATAACTCTCAATATTGATATATAATCATCCTGACTGGTTAACATTAAGACATCGGGCCTAGCAGTCGATAAATTCATTAGGAAATTCTTCAAGGGCGAATTTCGATGTAAGATCCAGACATCAGGCTTCAGAAGCTCTGTCCAATCATATTTTTTCATGCACATAATGAAAACTATGAAGTCTAGAGGCTCACTTTACATATGAGATGGGACATAGCCAATGATATATGGTGTCTGCGGACAGTTTCCTTTCTTTTGCATGAAGATACTTCCCCGGAACAACTGATCTTACTTTTATACAGCTAAAAAGCCTATCCATTAAGGAAGGGCTTACAAATAATATAGGAATTGCGCGAGACGGGCCTACTGAACTTAAAGGTGATTGAACTTTCATGGTTCACCGCCATATAGTGATAGTCGTTGCCTTTGAGTTGGAGCGCAAAACGTAGAGGTGCAGAGCAATTTGATAACTATTTTGTGCAGAGAGTTGCTCGGTATCCATATTGAAATCCAAAGTTGAGATGGAATGAGTTGTTTGAGTATCAGTCCATTTCCTTAAACCGTAAAATGCCTTCGCCCTAGGCTCACTCCGAAGCTAATGCCGTTGTTTTCCCTCATCCCCCATCCCGGGTAATTCATGGCGCAGTGGGAGGGTGCTCATGACTATTAATTATAATGGAAACGATGGAGTAAAGCCAAAACAAATGCCTTTTCACATCAGTGAAGGGAATGAATGTCTCCCTTCCGCTTTATTTTTGAAGTAATTGGGTATTAGCGCAAAGCGGAATGAGATCAAACTACTCAAGGGCCATACATCACTCATAGGATTACAGACACTGAAACTGTGTTGGATCAACCATGGAGAATAGATGTGGATAATAGAGTGGACTTGACTGCCCAATATAGATAAGAACATAGATATTGTCAACAAGAACTTAATATTAAGAAATTATGTCAACTGTCTTCCGATGCAGCTGTCAGATGGCTCGACCAGAAATTTCAAAGGGAACTTAGATCTGCATAGCCAGGGCACAGAGAGCGCCAAACGCCACCGCAACCCCGGATAGAGTAGCGCGGCCAGCCGCGTTGAAGGGAACAGGACTGGTGGTGGGGGTCTTGGCAGCAGTGTGGCTAGCAGAGGCAGTGGGAGTCACACGGCGCAGAGAGGTGGTGGGAGAACCGCAGGCCATCGGGCAGACAGTCTTGTAGTGGGTAACAGTGGAGGTAAAGGCGGGCATAGCTCCGGCAGAGTGGGAATGGCCAGGAGAGACACCAGAAGGTCCAGATCCACCGGGAGCGGGAGAAGAGCCAGAAGGAGAGGGAGCAGAGCCAGAGGGAGCAGAGCCAGTCGGAGCAGGGCCGGACGGAGCAGAGCCGGAAGGATTGCCAGGGTGTCCAGTGATTGCAGGGGGAGGAGTTCCGGCGGTGCTCGAAGGGCTCGCGGGAGTCTCAGAGCTAGGCACGGATGGCACGGTGGTGGAGGAGTCCTCAGAGCAATCCCGGCAGTCTACGTCGCCCAGAACCGCGAGGCAAACGTTGATGGGAATATTAATGAGACCACCCGAAGACTGAGAGCTCTGCTGGCAGTGAGCCTCACCGAGGACGGCCAGGCAGATGTTGATGGGCACGTTGATCAGGGAGCCTCCATCGCTGGAGGAAGACGAGGCCTGGTCGCACTTGGCCTTTCCGAGAGCGGCAATGCAACCATCGATGGGAACATTGATCAGACCATTGGAAACGGACTGCTGCTTGCACTCGGTTTCTCCGAGGATAGCAGCGCAGAGGCCAACGGGGACACTAATCAGGCTATCAGAAGCCATAACTCCCTATGTGACAAAAGCCAGTTAGCCATACTCCGTATGTAGCCCTAAAGCACAAGATCTGTAGATTACGGAGTTTCTTACAGAGCACGAGGCGGCCAGAGCCACGAGGGAAGTGATAATTGATTGCTTCATCTTGGCGGAATAAAACGTCGAACTACGTGAATTAAAAACAACGTTGGCGTGAGGTTGATAAAGTGGTAAAAGAATGGACGCTGAGAACAGCAAAAAAGAGCGACAGGCAATTTAGACCAAGAGAATGAGGCAGTTGGAAGAAAAAGTGGTCAGGAGAAGAAGGGACAAAAGAGCCTTATACGTGCCGAACCCTGAGCTCGCGCCCCGACCTCTAGTCGCCTGGAGAAAAAGGGTCCACTTGTATTGGATGCCGATCTGTATCCTGCCGGATTGCCAAGTTGGACATGACCAAGGACTCCCAAGAAGACCAGACCGGGCCATTGACTCTTCGACCGCATAGTAACTAATGTGATTGGCGTGTTCCTGCATTCACTTTTCTTGACTCGGGTGTTGACAAGACCGAACTATGCTATCTCCGAACTAGCGGCGCTGATCAAACTCTCCATGCTGCTAGTTGCAGTAGTGCTTTTCTGACGGTTTCCTACTCGTGCTTTCCCGTATCTATTTTTTTTGATAGGACCGAGCGATTCAGGGGCCCTGAGACTGGACCTCCCTGTCACTTCAAACCAAGCGAAGTGCAGTCACTGGGGTCATTCTAGTTTGGCCCAAACGGAATACCTGTTGAAATTCACTCGAGCCGCTTTCTGAAAGATGAGCCAAACTAGACAAATGACCAATTATTGATCATGTCGCAGCGAGAATGCTTGAAGAGTCGGTGAGATGTTCATGAGGAGTTTGCATGAATAGATACTGGTTCAATTCCCAATGTGATGCGCCGCATTCTGCTTCGTCCGTCGCTTACGACTTCTCGAGGAAAATACTTCGCGACCCGCTTAGGCTGGCTTTGAAATCGCTTTGTGGACTCTACTCGTTATTTTTTTTCTCCCATATTTAATTTAATTTGAATTTTATTGCCGGCACGTTGGCGATGAACAGGTCCGAGGAACTGAGCTATCGCTTGCGGATCAATCCGATTTTAGCACGGTAAAGGGATTCAGGGGAGACGAGGGTCGGAGGACTCACCCACAAAAAAGTCCGACGCGCTGTGCCCATGGTCGAAACGAAACCACATGGCTTCTTCGCTACCATTTTTAAGGAACCAGAACTAATATTAGACAATAATGTGATATCTCACCTGCGGGAGTCAGCGCGCTATTACATGCGCCTACATATTATGATTCGCGAAGACCAATATAGGGTTTTGGGCTGGCTGATAACTTGGCGCCACAGAAATAGACCCTGCAAACCGGTGGACCTCGGCCTTTTTATCGTTCTCATCTTGAAGAGAGACCCCACAATCCCTCCGACCGCGAGGTGCTCCGTCCACAACATATTACATATCATTCAGCATGTTTCACAAGATAAGAAAATTCAATAGATGAACTTTTGTGCCACACCAAATCTACTCCGGTCTCCGAGCAGCTTATCGGGTGTCGGAAGCTCGGAACTTGACAAGAAGCAAAAATAGCCTCCGGCCGTTATCCTCAAAATCTCATGTGAGAGCATTGCTCTGAGCGCCCAGCCCGTGATGCCAGCCCGTGATGTAACCGATGTATAAACCAAGGCAAAGCAGGTCTCCTTTTACTGTCAAGGGGGAAGATTTCCCGTAGAAGATTATTGGGGTCATAATTTCATCATCATAAACACCTGCTTAGAGATCAAAATACTCAACTAGGCGCCTGATGATATTAATCAAAAAGGTGCTTCAAAAGATAGTCAGAAAATGAGTCACGCATGATTCTATCACGCTCGCGATTCAGCTCAGGTGTGCAAACGGGCAGTTCAAATTCGAGACTAGAGGCCTCATTCTAGGCAACCTTTATAGATACGCATGGACTGCATTACAGGGGAGTATTTCTGTTCTGCTGAAATATGGAATAGTTTTCTCCCGGCCTTCATCCTGATAAAAACCCATGCTACTCATAGTTTTGTCATGTCATTCATCACTGAATGTCGCCTAGATCCCTATTGGTATCGTTCCATCGGATTCTCTGAAGCTTGACGGTTACCTGTGGCTAAATTTTGAGAATAACAATCGTATTCAAGTCAAATTTCTGCACTAAGAAATTGAACCCTGTTACTCATGACATAAAATGTCTTGGACGGAGCTCCTTGCTCGCAAAGAACAAGGTTTTTTCCAATCCCCACAATATGATACTTCAAATCGACTTTCAGTTGTAAAGCTCAATGCATTTATGGCTGATCATATCAGCCAATGCATCTAACATATTGCCCCAGGCCCTGTTTTTAATTCATTTCGAAGAAGACGAGGTCCACGTTCTCATCCCCAGCTGATCAGACCCACGCGGCAGCCTCGATTCCAATCGACGCACGCGAAAGCCAATTTGATTTGACAATTGTAAACGGTCCGAAGTGCGATGCAAGATGCAGCATCCCTGTGGGTTTGTAAGCTACGTGGACGTGAAGAGACGTGTCATATCAGACATGTCGGCCGCAGGGAATCAAGGACTATCCAACACCAAGATTGCTGACTTGCCGTCGGAGTCCCAAGCCGCTCCATTCAGGCATAACGTAAACGTCATTTCAGACATATTTCTGAATCAGCCACTTTTGACAAATGGGAGGCTCAGTTGGACTTTCACTAGGCTGCGGTGCTAGACAGAATAGCTCTGGAGTATGACAATTTCATCATGTTTCCTCTGACCATCAACCCGAGCATGCTCCTTAAGGAAATTATTAGCATATAGAATAAGCCTTTCTTTGAAATACAAAGGGCAGTACAAGAGAGTATTTCAAGAATAAAGAGATGAGAATAGCTCAAAGATCCTAAGGCAATAGTGTTCTGGATGAAAATCATCGTCAGGCTTTTCAAGCAGAAGTGGTGGAAGTATGCTTTTCTCTCGATTGTTTTCTGTTACTCTAGCTTGCCTATATTGAAGTCGGCTAAGCTTTGTCTCTGATCTCAGCAGTTCAATAGCGACTGTGTCGCTCTCAGTGTCTTAATGTCTATCTGTTCTTCTTTTCCTCTCTTGGAGGATCATCTTCCTGCGAAGGGCTGGCCTCTGTCTTTTTTCTTGGCACTATATCGAGTGCGGGCAATTCGCCTTACTTCTACTCCTAAAGCTCCAGATATAGAGTGCTTTTTTCACTTCATGTCTAGTGATCTGTTCAGGGGGTTCATTGAAGCCATGTATATGCATCTTATCAGTATGCACAGTCTTTGCACAACGTACGAGTCTTCTTGGATCAAACCTTTTCTCCTCGACTATGCTTGAATGATTGAAGGACACATACGCTATTGGACTCTGGGTTGGACTTTGTGCTAAGGGTCTTCCACCTCATTATCTCCATTTTCAATGTCTCCGAAGTCTCAATGGCTTTTGATGTTCGATCTTGATTTGCAGGTGCAAGAGGTTGGAAAGTTCTTTGTGTGGGATAGGACGCGTCTTGATAGCAGAAAGTCAATGAAAATAAATTATGCAGCAGAAAGGACTATCTGGGAAATACAGATAGAATTAAATATCTGACGATAGGAAACCCCATTTGAAAAATGCGGTCGAGTTATCAAGATATCAAGACCCCCACAACAAGTCAATAAAGATCTTTATTTAAAGGTCATAGTTGCGAGACAGGTTCTTTGTTTGAAAATTGGATTACTTATGTTATACCTTTCCGAAGTCAAAAAAAAATCAACCATTTTAGTGTGAATTCTCGAATTGGCAACTGTGCAACTCTTTTGAGTGCAACTTGGGCAAAATAGCCTGTCGGTTCAAGATCAACAAGAAGAATAATTTGCCCTATCGGTAGCCCATTGTGGTATAGCCACCTTGACATGAACGAAAACCAAAACAAATAATAAGCTTTTCAACTAGACATCTGGACTGCCCATTCACCAATTGTCCGTTTGTTCAACCAAGACTGCCTTGTAATAGATGAGTGACAGTTCGAGCACATCTAGAATTTCTTTGATAATCGGAATTTGTATAACAATTCCAGTGCTCGAAATGACCTTGCCTTAATTACATTTATACATTTAATTGAATAATGCTGCAGTATAGGCCTCTGATAATCATTGTAAGTTGACTATCAAGTTCTCTGGTAATAATTGTATGTTGAATATCAAGTGATCAATGAAATAAAAAGCATTCGGAAAAGGAATATCCATATAACCTGGAAAAATTTTCAAGTCCACGCCTTTGTTTCAGTCCATAGCTCAAAACGTGGTATCTGGAAGTGAGTTCTGTCTTCAAAAGGCGTTAAATGAGAATAAATACCAAATACCCAGAGATTTTAGGTTTGATCTCTCTTTTGGGCCAAGAGTTTAGTCAGGAAGGCACTAGAGAATGCTCATCAAACGGGCGGAAATTCGGCAATCAAAAGTTCTTCGCGGAAATTCGGGAATTGAAGATCTTCGCGGGAAATCGGTGTGAAGAGCGTGCCATGTTGCAATTCTAGCGCGAGGAACATGGCGTCTCGCTAACAGAGTGTGAGGAGGTACCTCCGAATACTCTGAAAGCGCAGATTGTCAGACGCGATAACTACCGCCGATAGTGGAAAAAGATACTACATTTACGGGTAGATCAGAGGCTTTATTATATACGCACTCCGCTGGAAGTTCTATCATGAACACGCTTTTATCAGATGGCAGACACCATTCCCCAAGATCTGGAGCGATATACGCTCCAATCATCATATTGAGCTTTTGCTCTACGCCATGCGGAGGGACAGGAAAGGTCATGGCGTTGAGGCCAGGTGTGAAATCAACAGCATTCCAGCTTCATCGAACCTTGGGAGGCTATCGTTAATGAAGAGAAATTCAGCAAGGGACATTCAAATACGATCACCGAACGAAGAAAGTAGGTTACATTGAGCACCGAGATCGAACTGATGGGAGCAGTTCAGGACCTGCTTCGAACACCCCTGCTTCTTGCATTAGTTCAAGCTTTGGGCTGGCATGGCATACATGATTTCGAAGGAACAACGATGGAGCTAGACTGAAATTAAATATGACCCGGAGCGGCACAGTACTTAGACTAGTTTAGCGTCTCAGCGCTGATAGCCACTCCCCGTCCAGTTTACAGAGATAACCCCGCATTCTCTGTTAGAGATGCAACCCTAAAAACCGCAATATACGTGATACAATTTTATCAGCCCCTGGATGTGCTGGTAATGCGTGTTCGGCGCCAAAATGGGTGGTAGGGTGTCCTTTTCTGATGTTCTAAGGCTGCAGATACTACCGTGCTGAACTTTTCAGTATCTCTTATTTGATTTGGCATATAACGATGGTTATGTACGTCACAGGAAGACAGAGACCGAAAGAGTTGATTGTGTGATGAATTTTAAGTTTTAATCCGCCCACGCGCACCCTCTGACAAATGAACATATTATTCGCGTTGGATAGATCTCGAAATGCCAAAAAGACGGCAGTAACGAATATTTTGGATGCTTTTGATCCATTGGCTCCCAGAGCGAAAAAGAAATGCTGTAATATCAAGGGTGATAAGCAGGAACTGTGCTATGACCAGACTAACATCCTGGCGTCGGTGCAAATAATCCGGTCGGCCCTGGCTAATTTCCCATTTGCCTAATTCAGGCAGCTCTACTACAGATTTAAAACCTCTAAATATTTAGATCTCTTTCCACTCTCATTAGACTTGATAAAAGGTAGGTAGATTCCATATTGACAGATTATTGTGCTTCACTGTAGTCAAGATAAAGCATCATTTCCTGCAGATGAACTGTGATGTTACACGGTTGATAGTGGCATGCCTAACCCACGACGGGCTTGTGTGACTGAAATGTACTGCCATCAAATGAGTCTCTGAATTTTATTGACTCCAATCCAATATTCATGATTCAGGGTCCTGGGGTGCGGATAGTAGTCTTGATGTATTACAGAACCGCGGATCCGCAAATTGGTGGGTGTTTCAGGGTTCTCGATAGGACTGCAGTTGCCTAATCCAGATCGGCAAGTCCATCAACCCTGTTGCGTCACATCATCAGATCATTTTACCTACACTAAAGCCGACATATAGGGCGGGTCTAGAACGCATGTTCACGCGATCATTTCGGGAAAGGTGAGCCTGCACATCTCCCAAATACTACCTAGATGAGGAAAGAAGTTTTATCATTGGTGGGATACGATATATACCCAACAGGATTTCGTTTACGCGTTCATTGACCAAATCCTTGATACGTAAAGCGGGAAAGAATATTATGGAAGAACAGTGAGAAAATGAATAGGGAACTGCTAATCACTAAATTCAAATAGTTGAAAAACCGTGGCTTCTTTCAGACTCGACCACGAATGATGAACATACAAGAATTGAACGAGAACTCGAGCGAGTGAATAGATGAGGAACACGAAGAAAAAAGATAGCCCCTGGAGACCATCAAAGGATGGAATAAGATGGAATAAGAAGAAAGTATAGGATTATCACCCAGGATCACAAAACATTGGATCGTTCATATGTTTAGCTTGGCGCTTGTCTAGCAAGGGGAGCCAGTGGTGAGAATGCTCTTCGCCTCCTGGGCGTAAGTACATCCATTATTAACATTCGAGTCAGAGAAGCCCGCCGACCACATCATGATTCCACCAAATGCGGAGTTGCTCTCGTATTCACCCACCAAGGTCGCCAGCGCGCTTGGTTCAAGGTAGTATTGCGCACCGCTCGACGTGCCTGTGGCTCCGAGAGTGGAGGCAGGCACACCAATGAAAATTTCGGCATTAGCAGATGGAGTTCCAGCCACGTTCGACACCCAGTCATTATAGTTAATAGCACCATTCACGGAGCACCCGGGGTTGTTATAGAATTGGACCCAGAGATAATCAAACTGAGAAGTGGTAATAATTTGCTGCATGTTCGGTTCTGGGATAGGGCATTGTGGGGCGCCAGTGATATAGTAAGTGTTGGATGCGTCGGATGCAAAGTTGGACCGCAGGGTGCTGATGAGATATTGGTAATACTGGTTTCCGCTCGAAGCTTCGATGTCAAAGTCCCAGCCATTGACGAAGTTGGATCCGAAGGGTCGAGGGACGCTGCCGCCAGCAGTATTGCCATAGGCCTCCCAAAGATTTTGTCCAATGGTTTCGGCCTCAGCCTGCGAGGTCAGAGAATAAGCACCGACGGCACCACCCAGGGAAAGGATAACTTTGACGCCATTGTTCTGGCAGGTCTTAATGGCCGATGCCAGGTCGTCGCAGTTCTGAGGTTCACCAGCAGGCGAGATGTAGCATGACTGGCCAATGGTGCCAGACGCAATGGTGTTTCCATTGCCGTACTCGTATAGGAAAGCGAGAACGATGATATCTATGCCCGAAGTGGAGGTGCAATAGGTGGAAAGATCATTGTTCTCAACGGTATTGCCGCCATTCTGGCCCCAGTAAACCACATTCTGGGCACCCGATGCACGGCGTTGAAATGCACCAAGCCTGTGCGGCACCGCCATCACAGAGCTAGCCAGGAGGCTCAGGCCGAGAAGCATACTTGAGAATTGCATTTTGGGAAGGAATTGAAAAAAGTTTGATATAAAGTACCGTTGAAGAGATAATCGATAGAGTTCAACTCTGTGGAAGGAAAGACAAGTGAATTGTTCGTCGAGAACTAAGGGAGTGTCGTGCCGAATTGTCGAAGTCGATGAGAGAAAGAAAAGCCATGATCAAGGAGATTTTTGAGCTGTATTTATGTGTTCTATCCATCTAGAACCTCGATGTATACATCTAGAAAATGTCATTGAGGTGGCTTCACGGAGTAGCTGCTCAAGGTAGGATGCGCTAGCGGACGCGACCTCACCGGGGAAGTCCAGAACCATTCACTGAGAGCGGTAATTCCATTCGGTCGGAAAAAGGTATTTGCATTAGATTCTTTGTGGTATGTGACATCCTCTTAGTTAGCGTTGAGATTGTTTTACACTATAGATTGCCCCTCTGAAGAGGCTAATCTTCAAGGTTCGGCATCCTCCTGTTTCAGCACATCCCTACCGTGACATGTGCGTGGACCGGCACGGGACCAAAAACATCAATGTAACACTAAAACACGCGAAAGTCCTTGAGATCATAAAGGTACATGACCTTTATGCCAGCAGGAATTAATCGCATCACTTTTCATGTTACTTCAAGGAAATGTCCTGTAAGGAACTGCGTACTAGTCATTTGGCCTCTTCTTCTATGTGCCAAGGGGTCAAGGCGCTGGCCGCACTCCTTTCAATCTGTCAACATTAGTTTCATTAGTTAGTTAAATCAGCTTTGGATAATTATGGGTTACTTGTACATTTAGAATGAACTTGAACTGTCGTTAGCGCCTCCCACGGTAACAATGCTCCCTGCATCTACATTGCGATGAAGCGTGGGATCGCGAGATGTTAGCTCAGTTCCTGAAGTATGCAGTGATATTCAGCATAATAATCAAGTGAGTGTAACAACAAGAAGGAAGTGATAAGAGTGGTTTCGGCTTAGCAACCGTGTGTCAATGGCTCCTTCTATCCGAATTATTTCCTCCGGGATCGTATGGACTGGGCGAGAGTCAGGGTACAAGGAGAGTTATCTGGCCACGGAGAGTAATTACTCCCGTTGATCCAACCAAACACTCGCTGGGAGAGTTATGAATGATGACAAGTTATGAGAAGAAATATATCATTTACCTCACAGTCTAATACAACTTCGTTGGAGTGTAGAGGCCCCCAATCTGAATAACCAAATTGGTCTGCCTCATTAATTGTATGGCTGATTTGATCGGAATCCTTCAGGTCAGGGCTTTTAACTACCACATCAATTGGCATCATAAATACCAAGCTCTCAACATTTATTGGAAATCAAAGATAGCACATGAAGTCATCGGCTATGTAGAGAGAATACCATACTATTCAATAACCTTCTAATGAAATCTATTTCTTAGCACTTTGATTCTTTGGACAACCTTCCTGAAAATGGAAAATAAAAAGCCACCCGTCTTGGTGGGAAGGATGCCAGTGGCCAGATCTTTACATGGCTGGGATGCATGTCTCACGCTTAAGTCATTACTTTTCCCTCCTTTCTCCACTCTCGAGGTCCTCTTTTCCAAAAACGGCAACTAAGGATGTGCGCAGCTTTAATCCCCAAGGCATCCAATACCTGTCTCACTCCTCAACACAATATTTGCCTTCAAATAGAAAAAATACCTAAATTATCGCCAGTATCTTTGCGAAATTATTTAGAGTTACTCTCCTGTGGAATTTTTATTGAACCGGGTTTATGACTTTCTGTTAATCTTAGAGACAAATTTTGATCTATTTAGTTACAAACCACAAAGAACAAAAGATAAAGCTCATTTTCAAGCTTTCTGACTCCGGCTTGCAGGCCTGATATCCTGATATCCCTTAACCGAGCAGACTAACTACTAGATGTACCAGGAGAGGCTCCCTCATAAGGAACCGGGCGATTTTCCTTCGCCCAGAGTTGTTCCGCATCACTTTTGTACGAAGGTGGAGTCAAGCTGTTAATTTTCCAGAGTCGTCTTTCTGTTTCATCGACATGATACTCAAAGTCATAGCCTTTATCCAGTAGGTGAGGCTTCATGATTTGATCCAGGCGCAATGTAGTTCGGGTATATATTGCGTCAACATCAGGCATGGTGATGGCAATGTGGGTGATGACAATGCGAACGAAGGGCTTGTCGGCGCCTTGTTTTGGCTTTCCGCCGATGTAGACATCATTGGCTTTCATTTGATAAAAATGCGTCACGACGTAGAAGGCAGGAAGGCCGAGCTCCATGTACATCTTCGTGATGTCTTCCGCGAACGATTGCTTGGAGGCGTCATCCTCAAAGGTGCCTGCCGGGTGGTAGATTTGCCAAAGAGGCATGTTGTTTGCGAGAAGTCACAAAAAGCAGTGTGTAGTGTGTAAAATTCTTTTTCTCGTCTCTAATCAATCACAAAATGTTCAAAATGCGCTGATGATTTTCGGGCCTCGTTCGTCGCCACCTTATCGCCATCTTATATGCTCTTCTCTATATAGCTCAGTGAATCAAAACATATAATGGGGAACCGGGTATGAATACTCATCCGTTGATGTGCGTAATCACACACAAACAACACGCAAGGTAATCAAGCCGACTCGTACGAGAACATACTTTTATCAGATAGATTTTAAACGATACTGCTCTGCGTAATTTTTGATTCATCATCAAGATTCCCAACCATGGCGCAATGAAAAGCCGAGCCGATGACAAAGCAGTGCGAGCGACCGCGAGAGCCCGAGCCCGAGGCCGGCAATTCATGATGACTCAACGCCCTGGGCGGCGTGGCGGGAGGATTCTCAAGTTAAATAAGCGCTTGTGCGCCACGGTGATTCGCGATTATTCAACATGTAAAACAGTCGGAGAAATCAAAACTGTGGCATATTTTTGAGGCGTTTTGATTATCAATATCCATCTGATAGATTTGTATATAAAGATGTCGGACGTGAGGGTCGTTCAAATCATCACCATAGGAATCAGCATCACTGCCTCCTGATCAGCATTGAGATCAAAATTCAATTGACACCAGCGTTTTTTTTCGCGTATCAGAATGTCCAAACCACTTGTTTTCATCACCGGCGCAACCGGCTTCATTGGCTCACAAGTTGTGGCTTCAACATTGAAAGCCGGGTATCGGGTACGGCTCAGCATTCGAAAGCCAGAGCAAGAAGCCACTATCAGAAATCGATATCCTGAGCACAGCAATGACATTGAGATCTCTGTAATTCCTGATCTGTCTGACCGTCAGGTCTTTGGCCAGGCTCTAAAGGACGTGAACTATATCTTCCATCTCGCGTCGCCAATGCCCGGGCAGGGAGTTGATGTTCGACGCGACTATGTGGATCCTGCAATCAACATGACTACAGCCCTTCTTTACGCTGCACTAGACGCTAAAGAGGTCAAGAAAGTGATTATCACGTCTTCGTTGCTTTCTCTGGCCCCAGTTGACGCTATTCTTTCGAGGAACGGGAATGTCAAAGGTAAGTGTCACTACAAGCTGATCACTCTCTTATCAACATCTTATGGCATCTTGACTAACTGGGATACAGAAAACACCAATGAAATCATTCCTGTCGATCTATCGGCATCATTTCCTGAAGGCTTTACCGGCGAGGCTCTGCGGTATGCCGCCTCCAAGATCTTGGCTCACCAGGCTACGCGGGATTTCCTCAAGGAAAATAGTCCGCACTACTCGGTTGCCACGTTCCATCCCACTTTCGTGCTCGGCGACAGCCTGATTCAAGAAAAGCCCGAGGATATTGATGGTATGAACGGGTTATTCTGGATCTCGTTGATGAGCGACCAGCCCAAGATCGCCAATTCTTGGGTGCATGTGCGCGACGTGGCCGACGCTCATGTGAAGGCACTGGAGACCGAGAGTGCGAGTGGAACCGAGTTCATCTTGGCTCGTCCCGTCTCGTGGAATAATGTGGCGCTGTTTGTCCAGAAAACTTATCCGGCACTGGAGAGTAAGCTGCAGCCTCCGATCGAGGGTGAATGGGTCGTGGAAACTACGGCTGCCGACAATATCCTGAAGATGAACTGGCGCTCGGAAGAGACTATTGTTCGAGATGTCGTGGACCAGCAGTTATCGCTGCGGGCGAAGACATCTTCGATTTAATCCTTAATAATTACACTGGGAGATTGACAAGAGTGGTTCATAGATCGCGTGAAATTTGGCTAATGTGCTTGTCCATGGGGGGCTTTCTGATAATAATTCATCAATAGAAATAACAAGACTTATGCCTCCGATTCAGCATCCTCTGATTCTTTATTCGAACTTTACATGGAGAAAAAGGGGCAGAATTCTAATCAATATTGTTCTAGAAGCAGGTTTTCAGTGCATCTAGGCCGGACACAGTCAAAATAGAACACCAAGCATATTCGTAGCATCCACATCAGGGATGTCTTTCATAAAATCACGAATGCCCTCTTCAAAACAAAGGCATCGTAGCAAAGTTGTCGTAATCAACGTTATCCGCCACCGACTCGATCCGCTCTGTACAAGTACCAAATATTTTATCCCAAAGACGAGTTTGCTTGCCGTAGTTGTGGCTCTTCCGCCACCCCTTGCGATGATGCAAATCATGGTCCTCAATCACAATCTCCGAGTCCAGCATTTGCAGAAGCCAGCTCAATGTGGAAGGCACGGTCAAGTGCATGCGCAACCCGCTGTGGCCGAATACCTCGGCGAACGCAACGTACTGGTGGCAGATAAACCATTCGTAGAAGCCCATCGGCATTCCCATCAGGCGGAGACTTAGGTACGTCATCAGCGGGACGCCGACCATATCAAAGAACTCCTGCTCGTGGTCGGCATAGGCGGCAAGCAGTGGGTTCGGATGCTTGGTGAGATGATGTGTGCGGTGGAATTTCCATAGGAAGCTCACGTCATGCATCAGACGGTGATACCAGTAGAACCAGAAGTCGAGAACAATGCCGTAGAGGCCAATCTCGAGAGGGAGCCAGGCCCAGTTCATCTGCGAGGGGAGAAGCTCCTGGTTATAGGAGAGGTAGACAGCGAGGATCAAGCGGGAGCCAGTGGTCTTGTAGAGCGAGGTCACTACTTTGGCAACGCCGACATCCGGCACGCCATCGCGCTCATGCTTGTCGCCGTCCAGGAAGCCGTAGATGTGACCGAGGCGACGAAGAACATGCACTTGGTAGATAACTGTGGCGTTAAAAGCGAAGAAATATAGATTAAACGTGGCGAAGGGCCCTAATGTGAGACCCGTGAAGTGCATGTAGGCCTGGTGGAACAGCAGTGGAAGCGCCGAGTAAAAGAGCACCCATCGCTGCAGGGACCACTGCGGCATAAAAGGGATCTTTTCGGTCTTTTCATGCACTGGAATCGGCTTATTTAGTTCGATTGGATGGGCGTTCAGAATCTCCAACGCCCAGTGGTAATGCTTCCATTCGGCGCGGTCTGAGGTGCGCCAAGTGGACCGCATGGAATCCTTTGATAGGGACTTCGTATCCATGGCTAGAGAGTGCGGGCTGGATTTCACAAAGTGCAGTGATGGGCGCCATCGTGGCCGTGGCGGTTGGTTTATATTGTTCCCAGTTCTGGGCAAGAATCGGATATACCCATGGGACATGTGAAGAAGCGTTCATGACGCTGGACATCCCACGGTGGACCTCTCTTCCCCAACAGAAAGTTGCACGTCAAATGATAAGCAGATCTCTTGCAAACTATCTGGAGCCATCGTGGACTAAAAGGGAGCGGATCCGCACTTTGGAACATGTGAAGATTTGGGGGTCCCCACAGGGAAGTGCCGGCGGGGGTCCGATCAAGTCTTTGTCAATGAATCGGCTGTTGTATGGTGTGAGAGAGGGCGACAGATCAGGACGATCACCTTTCAGACCAGAAGATCCTTGCTGGCGATGATGCAGAGCGTTTAGATCGGAGGTTGTCGCGCGAGAAGGGCGAGGTTCGCCTCGGTTCGCGCCATCGTGATTGCCAAGATCTCACGGGTTCCCCCCAATCAACAGTGCCCAAACGCCCCCTCCTCGCCTAATCCCACATTTTAAGCATTACCGCCTAGGGAGACTTACTACCGCATTGGGAAAGCTCTGCGATTGCCCCGGAAATACCATTGAAAGGTTGGGCCCGGAATGGAGGGGGGGAAATTGTTGGGGGTGAACGTGTGAACTGCTTGCAATGCTGATATTCGGGACCCTGCAGCGGGCACGCATATAGCCTATATAGCCGTCTCATGGCCAACTCCACGGCTTCATATGTCGGAACATGTGGTTTGTCCTGTGCAACTTTTCGCTTTCGGAGGATTTGAAGTCTCCGGCCATAGTTGCACAAAACATGTGAGTCTGCACCATGCACCATGCGCCATGCACCAAAGACACGGACAGATGCATGGATCGAGGAACCGATGGCAAGGAGGAAGTATGAAAACGGAAGGGGGTCTGGAGAAGTCTATTGATCTACGACTTAAGCGAGAAGGCAATTCCGACGGCTTATCAGATCCTCTTACGGCCAGTCTAGACTCCTTGGGATTTGATGATACGAGCTGGCCCAGTGAGACTATGTGGAAGCCCTCCTGATGGCCTTGATGGGTAGTTCCACACAATGCACGGTCAAAATGATTTTCAAGATTCTACAGTACCACGGCCTGAAGAGAGTGGAAGTGCGTGTTTGAACGTGTGATACTTGCTAAGAGTGCCACGTCTCTTGCCTTGATTTTTTTTCCTCTTTTGTAATCGGTGTTATGCTATCCTAGCTAAACGATACGAAGGGAAAGCAACACGCTAATCGTTTCACGGACCCTGTCCGGACATCTATGAGCTGGCTGCGACCGGCGCAGCAGTCTCGGATGGTGTAGGAGGCGGCGTGACCGTGGTCGCGGCCGACTTGAGCTCGGACTTCTCAAAGCTCTTCATCGGATAGTAGCCCCACTTGTCGAACATCACGCGATCCTCGTCCCATCCGTTGCAGTCGGTCGTCAGCATCTTCTCGCCGGTGAAGACGGCATTGGCGCCGGCCTGGAAGCAGGCCACCTGCTGCTCCTCAGACATGGCAATGCGTCCGGCGGCCAGGCGAACGATGGTGCCGGGCATCACAATTCGGGCGGTCGCGATTGTGCGCAGCACGCGGTCGAAAGGAATCATCTTGCGGTCACCGAGCGGGGTGCCCTTAATGGGGACCAGGGCATTGACGGGGAAGGACTCGGGGTGCGCGGGCAGACTGGAGACGGTATGCAGAAGGCCCACACGATCCTCGTCCGACTCGCCCAGGCCCAGGATACCGCCGGAGCAGACGTTGATGCCGGCGTCGCGGACGTGGTCGAGGGTGCGCAGGCGCTCGTCGTAGGAGCGAGTGCTGATGATGCTAGGGTAAAACTCGCGGGAGGTGTCCAGGTTGTGATTGTACGCGGTCAGACCGGCCTCTTTCAACTCCTTAGCCTGGTTCTGGTCGATCATGCCCAAGGTCACGCAGACCTCCATGCCCATCTCTCGAATGCCGGAGACCATCTGCTTCACGTTCTTCAGACTCGTCTTGCGGCCCCGCATGTCCCGCCACGCGGCACCCATGCAGAATCGGGTGCTGCCATTGGCCTTGGCGTTGCGGGCCTTCTCGAGTACTTCGTCCACGGGGCTCATCTTGGTTGCCTTCAGGCCGGTCGAGTACCGCGATGACTGGGCACAGTAGGAGCAGTCCTCGCTGCAGCCACCGGTCTTGATATTCATCAGGGTGCACATCTGGATCGCGGACGGATCATGGAATCGTCGGTGGACCGCAGCCTACCGGAAAAGGAATTTGGTCAGTTCAGGTCGGCTCTCCTGGGACCTCGGTTCGACGACTCTGCCGCCTCGAAAGGAGCGCATCGAGGCCGCAGTCAAGGAATCGAGGACGCGGCAAGTCTACCTACCGACGCATATGTGAGTTGGTTCAAGGGCGTGTTATAAATGGCGCCAACTTCTTCACGAGTCCAGTTCGTGCGGGGACCAGTTGCGGCTGTTGCTTCCGCCAAGGCAGTCGGGATTCTGCTGGCGATCGAGGCTGCACTGGGAGGGCCCTGGACGGTCCCGTAGGACCGCAGCACGGTCCGGGGCAAGGACCGGGGAAGGGCGAAGGACATTGTGTAGGGGAGAGTGGAGGGGGAAGTGGATGCAGAAGGAGGGGAGAGAGAATAAGCAGGGGAGGCGAGGATATAGTGTGTCGAAGAGGGGCAGGCACGATGATTCACGCCGGATGCACGAGGATTCACCGGCGCGACGGTTACGACAATCTTGTGGGGAAATTAATTGCAAATCGCGGCCGGCTCAGCGATTGGGGGCATTTATTGGGTGAGAAGTTTGGTGGGCAACCGCGTTTGGTTGGATTCGGCCAACTTAAACTCTCGGGGGCCCCTGGGCTGCTCCCGATGTCATCATCGGGGACATCGCGCGGGCCCATGAGGATCGTGGCATTCGTCGGTCGCTCCTGAAGATAGGGCTTATTTTCGGGGGGTTACAGGCTGCACGAGTGTGAATAGGAGTCACCTCGGGCATTTCAGTAGCAACCAAAGGACCTGGGACATTGGCTCTGGTCACCCAACGGAGTTGAGGCGATCGAAGCATTGGGACTTGTCCGTTGACCCCAACAACCGCTGCCTGTCCAGACCCGATCTGCTGCGTCTCTTTCCCTCGGAGATCGTTCGAACTCAATCGCCCCCGAGTGTAACCGAGGAATATCCGACTCGTGTCGTCCCCGAACTACAGTCTTCCTATTCCTTTTCGTGGCCGTGGAAGGGGGTTTCCCCGTCGTCTCTCTCTCTCTCCCTCTCCCCGTTTGGTCTTTTCGCTTCTGTTGACTCCGTTTGCGTCACAGTTCGGGAACGACTCCACCAGTTCGACCCGGGCCAATGATCGCCTCGCTATTAGCCATGGTCGGGACCGGGGATCTGGTCCGTGCGGGCCGGACCAAGGGAAGTCGAGGAAGGGGATTCCGAGCAAAAAGCCTCGCGGGATAATTGTTTATTCCAAGACGAATCTGAACGAGTCTGAACAAGTCTGAACGACTTTGAAAAAAACGCTACCCTAATCGACATTGCGAGGTCTGCGCAATTGGGCTGTGGTGGAACATCTCAACACATCCAGAAAGAGAGGTGAATCCGCCGAACCCCCTCACCAGACGGGAAATAGGTCTTCGCGAGAGCCAAAAAAATGTACAAAGGTCCCATATCCACTACTTCTTACCCTGCAGAAACGCCAATCTCGAGCTTGAAACGTAGCAACCCCAGTCGGACCAATACCCAGGCTTCTTTCACCATCCACGGAAAATACTAGAGCGAACTATCTGAAACGCCACAACATACAACAAGCCGCGCATCCACCCAGACGTAGATTGTATACCGAGCTGAACGAACACACGAGTCACCGACGCAGGCTTGGGCGTGTCATCACGGTGGTGATGTTGGTCCACACTAGAAGTGCGTTGTATGCAAACGACCCCGCGTACTTTGACACTGAGATCGAAGAACAGGTTGCAAATGAAGGTCAAGAGGAGAGGCAATGAGAAGGAGATGGGAGAGGAGGACTGATCGGGGGACGATGTGGAGGCGATGGATGTATATGCAGGGCGACGGGTGGAGAGATCGAAAGGAGTAAAATCCCGGTGCAGGAGAGGGCGGGGGCTCTCAGAAGATACGCTGCCGGCGTCTTCGAGATCATTGGGCCCGGGAGAGTCAGGGGCTGGTAAGGAAGGATAGCTGACTTCGCCGGGGGAGTAATCACTGGCTGTTGCCAGGACCTCTTCTTTGGGAAGGGGTGGACTGGGGACTGGAATGGGGGTGGGAATGGATGCAGCAATCGAAGTAGGGCATGATGAGGCGGTCCCTTGGTAGTACTGTTCCAGCATTTCAAGCCACTCGCTCTCTATTTCGTCTTTATAAGTCTTGCCACTTGGACTGCGTTGACGAGGATGCCGATCTGCATGATGCAGTTCTTTCACGAGACATTCGATCATATACTTGTCAACTGACTCAAATTCCTTGTTGCGGAACACAGATCGGAAGAGGATGTAGCGAGCTTTGTCCACCCTATCCTTTGCCAATCTGTGTTCGCAGGACTTGGAACCTCGAGGTACAAAACAGTGCACACGCTCAGGATCGGTGTTCTCGGGGAGCTTGATGCCAAGAATATCGGAAAGACAAAGATTGGGTAATGCCGCCATTGGATAGGGTTCGGGAAAAACGTGTAGAGATCTGCAGGGGAAAGTGGACTGGGCAAGGAGAGTGGCAAACGTCTCCGTGTCACTGGAGATATGAACACGAGGTGCTAGGCGAATAGCCTTCGAGGAAAGCTGTCTGCCTTTGAGAAAGGAAGTTCTCTGCCCCATTCACCAGGGCAACCAAGAGCCTTAAAAGCCTGGAAACATACCATGATTCGTGGGCAGTACAGCCTCGATTCACCATTTCCGTCACATCTGGGGCTGCGGGACAGGGAAGCCACACTGAACACTTCCCTGCAACTCAGCCACAGTTGTCATGAGCTCAGGCACCAGTCATATAAGGCATCTCAATAGGTGCAATTTGGGGCTGTGCTCGTTTGACAGGGGTGCCCTAGGCAACAAGGTGTATGAACAGCCAATTCCACGTGGTTCAGCCTTTCAATACAGAACGCTCCAAAAATAGAAGTATCTACCGGCTGTGCCAGGACCTTTAGAATCCCCTTTTTCATTTATGTTACCTCGTCTTAGTGGTCTGGATTTTGACCCGCCGTTCATTATCCTTTCAGCTCGATTGATTCATACTCCTTTTTCATGCCGTTCCTCATCTCTTGACTTAAGCAGAGTGTGCGTACCAACCAGGTACATACCGAAAAGTGACACCGCTAGTTGTCTTTCTGATTGCCTCTGATTTCCCTGCTTTCCCCCTCCCCTGTAACAATGTTCAACAAAAAACTCATGTCTCACTGATTCGTCATTATGCCTGCCGGATCAACGTCTTGGACTACCCTCCTGGGTTTTATACAAGACAGTGACAGCTAAACCGCCGATTGTTTTCGTCAAACTCAATGGAATGAGCTGTGTCAAATTGCTGCAGGGGTTGCTGGCCATTTGGAGTGAATAGCACTAGACCAAGTTGCGAGAGGTCGCAACAAAATTGTCCAGTTGCTAAAGTTTCCTGACCAGACTCGCTGGGCGGCCCGAATTCATATTAGAAGAAGCGCCTCCTCCCTTGTTAGCAGTGCCAGGCTCGAAACTGAAGTATCAACAATGCAATTTATCAGGGAGCATAGCGACCTACCAGTGCCTCGGGGTTTTGCATATGACGTTCACGAAAACAATCCGGTGAAGACTGCGTTTAATTTAATGGAGCTGCTCCCCGGAATCGTCGCTATGGACGCCCTCGGTGGCTACAAAGTCCATCCCGGCGTGATACCTAAAGAGCATCGACAAAACTTCTACCGTTCTGTCGCGAAGTCTCATGTTCGTCTCTTTCCCCGCGCGTAGGCTCATTCCGCTGCTTATATGCCCACCTCACCACCTAAACACAGGTTCAATTGACTTCTTTACGACTACCAAAAATTGGAACGATTGTCCGCGATCATGAGGGCAGATATAAGTGTGGTCCTTTACCAGGTATCGGTGGCCCATTTGATACAGCAACTGCATTCTTCGAGGCATGGGCCGACAGCATCAAGTTTAAGCCGGATAAAGAAACTATCAATTATTTTATCGCCAGCCGCAGATTTGGGATTAGAAGAGTCCCAACGAAAGTGGTGAGGGCCACGAAACGGTCATTTTCCTGCAGGTCAAGTGGTTGGAGTTGAACACTTTTTATTCTACATTCGATGTGACCCGAGAATGGCTCAAGATATGAGCCTCTCTGTATCATATAATGGGCTGGATATCCTTTTTAGCTGTCGGCAGGCCCGATAGCAGTCCCGCATAGCAGCATGTATTTATGGCGAGCTACATCGGGCGGATAAATTCATCATCATCATCATCATCATCATTTGTAAGTTAGTAGATCTACATTCTTGAAGCATAGAGTGACAGCAGCGACGAACTGCATACTATAGTTCTGTAAGTATATAATAGGAACGCAGTAACTCCTTAAGAATGTTTTCTTGTACACTAATATTCGAAAACAGTTTCCCCTGCAGAGACTCAAACTTTCTCTCACGGAGTGTAATTAAAACGATTTTTACAATGGACAGACCTAGCCATAAAGTATTCTAGAAATAATTGGCCATCGTCTCGAAAATATATCCTATTCCGGCTCAGGTTCGTGACGGGTAAAACCCGAGAAAAAACATGTGTGTTCAGAGGGGAAACTGTTTCCGAATTTTCCTATATCTAGAACATGAAATTGGCCCCCAAAAATGTGAAATGATGCCCCCCTTAAGCGTGCATGTACACGCAATATGCCACACGCTAGACAAGGGTCTTGCAGCATGGGGGCGGAAATGTGATACGTTGGGGGAAAAAAAGGCAAAAAGGCGAAAAGATTCCGGTGCTTAGGACTCCGCTACGAAAGATAATAGCAAATATCACACATCCTAAATTCAAAGAACTGTGGTAGTTAAGGAGAAACAGTTCTGGTTGGAGGTTGAAGGGGCGCAGACAGTGAGTGGAGTTAAGCAAAAGGGCTCAAATCTGTGTAGGAGTTCGATTGGTACTTTTGGAGCACCAAAATTATTAAAACTATTGTAAACCCCGCTTGCCTCACTTCGTTCTCCAGCAAACATTTTGCTCATTCAATTCCTCAACCACATACTATATAGTGTCTCTTTTTTTTTGGTTGTCACACAGTGTACGCTTAGGCAAGTCTGCCCTATCGCAATGTCACAAGCAGAGAAAGATGCCATGGAGCAGTTGCAGTCACGACAATCCCAACTTCTGGACACCATCGATGAACTACGCTCCATCGGTGTAGGAGGTCTCGTCGAGCTTCCCCAAATTATTGTCTGTGGTAATCAGTCTAGTGGGAAAAGCTCTGTTCTAGAGGCGATCTCGAGAGTGCGCTTTCCAACTAAGAGCGATGCTTGCACACGATTCGCAACTGAAGTTATCCTTCGCCGAAGCCTTCAGTCTCGGGTGAAAGTCTCTATCAAGCCAGGACCCTCGAAATCAGATAAGGAGGAGCGCAAAAGGCTTCGGAGCTTTACTTCTGAGGAGTTCACCAATTTCGATGATCTCCCTCAGCTGATCAAGGAAGCCCAGAAACATATGGGACTCTCAGATAGCGATCCAGACAGCATAGAATTCAGCGACGACGTCTTGAAAGTGGAAATCTCAGGCCCAGACAAACCAGATCTAACTCTTGTTGATCTCCCTGGTCTCTACTCGTCTTTCAGTGAAGAACAGACCAAAGAGGGGATGGCAATTGTTCGCAAGCTGACAGAAGGCTACATGCAAAACAAGAGAAGCATCATCCTTGCCGTAATCAGCGCAAAGATGGATTTTCATCTGCAGGCAGTTCTCAATATTGCGCAACGCTTTGACGAAAAATACGAGCGGGTGCTTGGAATCATCACCCAACCGGACACGCTTTTAGAAGGCGAGGAACAAGAAGGGAATTATCTTCGAATCCTTCGAAATGAGAAGACTTATCTGCAGCTAGGCTGGCATTGTCTGTGTAACCGCTCCTTCAAGACCAAAGACTCCTCTGATGATGAGCGAGATGAGAGGGAAAGAGAATTCTTTGGGAAAGGGTCCTGGTCTTCCGTCTCGAGGGACTTGGTCGGAATTGACAGCCTTCGGAAGCGCTTGAGCAAGTGTCTATTCAATCACATTTGTCGTAATCTTCCAACCCTCGTTGCCGATATTGAAAGCAAGATCCTTGACCGAGAGGAGAGATTAGCCAAGCTGGGTCAGGAGAGATCATCTATCCAGGATCAAAGAAGTTATCTTATCGACATAAGCAGTGGGTTTGAACGCATCATAAGCCAGGGCTTGAGCGGTATGTATGATGACGCATTCTTCGGGGGCTTTGGAAAATGCCCTTCCACAGACGAGAGATTTCGCCGACTTCGTGCCATTACCCGAATGCTTCATGAATGTTTCTACAACGCCATGATAACCCGCGGAAATCGGCGGCAGATTGAGGGCTTCATGGGGTTTTCTGCCCACTCGTATATACCAGTGGATGAAACAAAGCCTTACATGGATATCTCAAGACCGGTGCAAATTAGTCGAGCATCACTGGAGCAAGAACTAGCTCGAGAAGCACAGAATTGCCGAGGTCTCGAGTTGCCTGGGAATTCCAGCCATTTGCTAGTAGGCAACCTCTTTCGCGACCAAGCATCACCCTGGGTGAAGATAGCCCATTCACATTTGATGAAATGCTGGGATTCCGTAAGATACTTTGTTAGCCAAGTGCTAATGCACTTAACCGATGAGCATACTCTCTTTGCTCTAACGAACACGATCATCGGACCTGAACTAGAAAAGATCAGGGATTCTCTCGAGAGCAAGCTCGAAGAGCTGACATTGAACTTGAAATCCGGACATCCGCTTCCTGTCGGAAGAGAATTCTTGTCGAAGATCAACGAGACTCGATTGAACCGCCACACAAATGCTTTGGAGTCACGTCTGATCATATCTAAAGGGGATACAGGCCGATACTCTATAGATGATATCAGAAAAGCTACCGCAGATTTACAATCTTCTACCGATGTATTCGCAGCAGGAGATATCATTAATCAAATGCAGTCTTATTACGACGTGAGTTGCTTGACAAATCTTTTGCCTCATTTTATCAGAACTGATAGTCCAAATATACAGACCGCTTTAGTAGTATTTGTGGATAATATCGTTGTACTTGCTGTTGAGAATTGCCTCCTGCGTCCCTTGGGGAAAATATTCACCAGCAAGATGGTGACAGGTATGAGTGATAATCAAATCCAAGAGATCGCAGCCGAGCCTCAAGAAACCCGGAATGAGCGTCTCCAGATGAAGACCGACCTTGAACGACTTCAGGGAGGTAAACGTGCCCTAAGTATTTTCAGTGCAAGTGGGTTGGAACCTAATGCACCGTCTTTATTCGGTGAGTATTCCACATCTATCCATTTGAGCTTTTTTCTGATAGCCCGCAGGATCTCACTTTGATACCGGAGTCTCTAGCCCTCTACCAGTTCGGAATGGCGCGGATCTGCAAGGTAAGCTCCAACTGAGAAGCTGGTGATATTCATCGATCAAGCTAATCTGACCATGACATAGCACCCGAAAAAAGAGAGACTCCTTCTGCCCCAAGCAAAACACCGAGTGCATATCTGGCCCAGCCGACGGTAGAGCAGGGGCCTCCAACAAGTTCTTCAAATGCAAATGGTGAGTGGAGTATAAATTATAACGTTAGGAAGTCGCTAACAGCCTCTGAAATAGCTTCTAGCAGTACGCAAAGAGAAGCCTCTTCTTCATCGCTTTTCGGCGGAGTCTCTGCTGGATATCCGACTGGCAACTTGAATACTACTAGCTCCCCGGTCAATAGTCCATTATTTGGCAACCCAACTTCTGACACCTCAGCAAAGCCGCCTTCTCTATTTTCTAAGTCTGCTGGTAGCCCTTTCGCTGTCGGTACTTTCGCTGTCGGTAGCACTCCTAATTATGCCCCATTCGGTGCAACGGGATTCGGCAAAGCCAATGCTTCAGTTGAAGCTGGTAGAAGCTCGCCTGCCCCTACTGGCAGCCTTTTCAGAAACCATTCTACCCAGTCTAGTACTCCCAATAACTCGTCAACACTTTTTGGTTCTGGCGTCAGTGGAAGCTTTGGCCGGCCTACCTTCAATTCTGCTAACGAATCTGCGGATAAAAATGCACCGGCAAACAAGTATCCAGATACAAAGAACGCCTTCCAGTAAGAAGAATGATATATCGAACTATTGGATTCCAGTGGAGATCCTGACTTGTTTTGGATGAAGGACATCATATATTGATGGCGGAGTTTTTCATAACATTAGTTGTCAACCAGAGTTTGCATCCTATTCACCAGAGGTGTGTTTCCCTTAGATTCTTCTGACTTTTCATATCTCGAATTCATTGCTAATATTCATTTGTGTAGGAGCTTCGTCTTGGTGACTACGATCGGGGTCAGGTAAACAATCATGTAAATCCGCTTGCCCAGGTGACATGGAAGATTTTCAAAGAAACTTGAAAGGCGAATTTTCTCATTGGCATCTTCATAGAAAATCAAAATCTACTACAGAAGCGCCCGACATCGGCTTCTATACTGCGAACATACAGATGCTCGTTCCAACCCTAATCATATGATCCCACTTTGCCAGATATAGTTACTTGTATTTTGTATAATTTTATAGCTAAAATATCTGTTTTATAAAACTATCAAATATGGTGACCAGAACGGATTTAAATAACAGTAAAAAAGAGATAAATCAGCAATTTATCCATCCGAAATAGAAAATATCTTGGCAGAATTATGCAATTCCGGTTCCGTCAGGTTCGAACCTGAGTCGAACCTGATAGAGTCGCGATCCGACTCAAGCTCTGACCTTTAGAACCTGAGTCGGACCATGCCGAGGTCTACTCAGGACTAGGCTTCTTAGCCTCGCTGGTGACAGAAGAGGAGAGACTTGACATATCGGGGATACCGATAGTAAGAAATAAACCGGAAAACCAGTGAGAGAGAAAAGTAAAAGACATCAGAAGTTATTGTAGAAATGGCGTGAAAACCTAGGTGACTGATCGGCAGATAGAGAGAACTGAGGAGGATTGATGCCGTATCATCAAACAGAACAAGGGGGAAGCGAGCGATCAAGCCAAAGACAGAGCGACATTAAGCTGAATGAGAGGGTTCATGAGTGTCTTGAAAAAAAAGCCTACGAGCAGGTTAGAGCATAGGCTATTTATGTATCGTTAACTTTTATATTTAATATCGTTTAATATAATTTTTTCAAAATATTGACTAGCTCAAAAATGACTTGAGGAGATTATTTAAGCGGTTACAATCGGACGACAGAGAATAGAGACGCTGATGAAGTGTCTGATTATCTACCCAGAGCACCCTGAGTAGGGCGGAGCTGATCCCTGAATAGCCATGGGCGCTCAGGGAGCACTCGGGGAGCACTCAAGGAGAGCTCAGAGAGGGCTCCGGGAGCAATCCGGGAGCAATGTTCGATATTGATCACGTGATGAAAGAGATAACTAAGAACTTGGTAAAATAAACGCTTAAACCGGTGTCGAGTGTTGCCGTTTTCGGCGTTCGATTTACCGTCACTTAGCGTTGTAGTGTAATATAATAGAGAGCTTGTTACTAACTATAGCTTGAATAGCTAAAGAAGCCCAATATAGCAAGATCACGATTATAAATATTCGTAGAAACTTACGCTAGTTTAGTAGCGTCTACGTACTCCTGACTCGAATAGGTAGGAAACTAACTATAATATCTCTAATAATCGATGTACTATATAACTACCTATTAGAAATCTAACCCTATACCTTAATAAGATAGATTTCTTCCTCTAGGATAAATCCAATCCATTTATGCATATTCGACAAGGTCTCTAATCAAGGAGGCAGTCAGGATTGATAGCAAGATTCAAGAACGGGAAGTGGTTTGAGACCTTGAATAAGTGGAAGTTGGCTTTGGCATGACCGGAAACCTCCGAGTCGTTCCGATGCTTTTTCAAACTAATATATAGATGTTGGTGATGGTCTACCGATCAGTGGAAATACGCTTAAGATTCCAGACAGAGTGTGCGCGCTGAATTGTAACTTGAAAGTGATCTAACTTGCAAAAGCAGAAAAAATGGCTAAAGTTCAAAAGGTAATTATTGAACAAATCTCTCATAAACCCCAAATTCGTATCTCATCTTCAGCAGTTCGTATACAGTATCATCCGCACAAGAACGTTTCCTTCTACATACGCTTGTGGAATCACCGCGACGCTTTTAAGTCTGAGGCGCCTTTTTCATGTCACTTTTTCTAGGCCTCGATTTAATCTTCATAGCTCGTAACTTTAGCATTGACTACTTCTCTTCCTGGTTGTGATGTTCGACTTCTGCTGATAAATCTGTCCCATACGTGTGTCCTCATTTCCATATTTTCTTGGGCTCGGGTTACTGAGCAATAAGTCGTAAACGCAACTTGAAGGCATCATGGCCAGATCGCGTGTGGCATCTCTATCCCGGTATGTGGATTCGGAACGGGGCTCGGCCTATTCTCGGTTTGCTTCGTACATCTAAATATACTGGGGATTGTGGGGAGGAAGGGTGGATGGCTTGAGATGTTGATAGTAGAGGCAGAATAACCCAAACCCTCGCGAAGTTCTTCTAAAAAGCTAGACGCGACCCTGGAGCCCCTGTAGCAGAATCAGAGCAGCACCAGCGAGACGCGACTATTTTGATACGCTGATTACTGCCTGGCTGCTATGATTTTGAACCCACTTAGTGGCACAAGGCAAGGCAGCAAATACTAGCGTAGAAAAAGCTTGTTGCTCAGGATCATCTTCCTTGTGCTCAGCCCCTGCCGACAACGATCCAGATGGTGATAATTGTTCACATTCTTGCTATTGAGAAAAAATGACGCGGTTCAGAACAAGGACCGACTGATTCATATGAGCCCCAGTATCTCGAATAGGATAACAGATCTCCAGAACATAAAAGTACTATTATGTAGGCATTTCACGAGAGTTCATTGCAAAGACAGAGCTTGTAAACTTATTGGGCTAACATTCATATGTCAGACGCTTAAGCGTAACCAGGTTTGCATGCAGGAAAAGCCAATCAAGAAAAAGCGATGGGTGAGTCGGCTACTAAATAGAGTCCCCCAGACTGGAGTCTGCGACACAACTGTACACCCCAAATGGACTGTGCGGCAACAACAGCTAAAAGGTATTATTTGAAAAGAGGAGCAGCGTAATTAGTGGGGAAAGTGAGTTGAGTTGTGCTTGGCTTAGTTGCACAGCGAGCCTACTATGCAGTGGATACTGGAACAGGTGCCGAGGTCAAAGATCGCTGTTTTGAGTGTTCCCCGCATCGCACAGTTGCCCCCACTGGGACTAGAGCCGACTAGCAACCATTGAGATTAAACACGGGGCTTCGAGGTGAAAAAGAAACCGGGGCTGCGGATTCGCTAGTGCCACCTGAATTGTCATCATGTCGTGTGGAGAGGCCCATTTGAGCCGAGGACTGTTGCTCAAGAGTCTCGGTTCACGGCAATTTTGGGCCTTCACCCCCACCCCTTCAGCAGTCCTATCCTGGCTACCACTCCGCTTCTTCTCTTGACAAACGTGCGATTGACTGTGATATTCATTGTTTTCATTGTCGAGCAATCTGAATCACTTAGGGCAGTTCCCCACTTTGATTTAAAGGTGATCTATACGCATCCTTCGAACAGGGAAAAGGAATCTCGCCAATTCGCAGTAATATGGATCTGGGTATGCCCTCTCCTTGATTCCGACACATATTTGTGGAGTCATGGAATAGATTAACATTAACTTAGGTACCGCCGCTGCTGCGCTCGCCGGGGGGGCGACTGTGGCCGCATATCTCAATGCCAAATTCCACATCAAGAAAGATGTATCGGCATTATGGGCCCTGAAGAGGGCGGAGCGTATTTACTCCTCGGCCCGTAAGTGCTTTATTCGATGTGTTAAATGTCGCAACATGTACTAAAAACGACGTCACAGTCGCAAGAGAACAGGGGAATCCATGGTTTGTCTTCCTTGAAACAGTGAAACGATACCCAGACATGACTTGTCTATGGACTCGGGAGCGATCTTATACATACCGCGAGGTTCTGGAACAGGCCTGTCAATATGCAAATTTCTTCTTGGAGAGTGGCGTGCAGAAGGGCGACCTGGTGGGGTTCTATCTACAGAATCGGGCAGAGTTTATCATCGCCTGGATAGCCCTCTGGAGTATTGGATGTGCGCCTGCCGCTATCAACTATAATCTGACTGGAGACGCGCTTGTGCATTGTTTGAAGATCAGCGGTGCTAAGATCACCATCGTGGATGAGGATCCTATCTGCACCGCTCGAATAGAGGAGTGCAACCACATCCTCTCTGGGGAACTGGGGATGAAGATGATGACTTTAGACGAGTCACTCAAGGCCACTATCCGCGCTTCACCAGCTACATTGCCTCCGAAAGACCTTGCTATGAAAATGAGTGGTGAATTCCCATCTATCCTTCTGTATACTTCTGGGACAACGGGCATGCCAAAGGGCTGTGCTTTCACCATGGCACGACTCTACACTACGCTTTATCTTCGTCGACACTCTTTAGGCGACAAAGATGGCCCTGATGGGGACCGTTGGTATAGTTGCATGCCTCTATACCATGGAACCGCTGCTATGAGTCTCATTTCGTGTCTGGTGGTAGGCGTTAGCATCGCGCTGGGGCCCAAGTTCAGTGTTCGAAACTTCTGGAAAGATGTGCGCGATTCAGAGTCAACCTACTTCGTTTATGTCGGAGAGACAGCTCGCTATCTACTCGCGCCGCCGCCATCCCCTGACGATCGTAATCATAAGGTGCGATGCATGTATGGGAATGGGCTGCGCCCTGATGTCTGGGAGCAGTTCCGAGAGCGGTTTGGCGTTCCTGAAGTTGGTGAATTCTTCAATAGCACCGAGGGCATCTTCAGTCTCTTCAACTACAATCGCGGCCCCTTTACTGCCGGTAGTGTTGGCCACCACGGACTTCTCGTACGGGGCTTGATGCATAATGTTTTTGTGCCGGTCTCTATCGACCCGGAGACAGGCGATATCCTCCGAAACTCCGATACTGGATTTGCAGTCCGTGCTCCCTATGATCAAGGAGGAGAGATTTTAGTGAGCATTCCAAATAAGCAGGCCTTCCAAGGATACTGGCAAAACGACAATGCAACCGAAAAGAAGTTTTTGCGTGATGTGTTCAAGAAGGGCGACTTGTATTACCGCTCAGGTGATGCTCTACGTCGCCAAAGTGATGGTCGATGGTACTTCCTTGACCGCCTAGGTGATACATTTCGCTGGAAGAGTGAGAATGTGTAAGTTGTGAAGGGAAGAAGCTATCCTTGCATTCAGTTTTAACATTCTTTCCCTGAATATAGGGCCACTGCCGAGGTATCCGAAGTCATTGGGAAGTTCCCAGGCGTTCAAGAAGCAAATGTCTACGGCGTCCGCCTGCCCAATCATGAAGGGCGTGCCGGGTGTGCAGCCCTACAGATCAGTCCCGAAGCTCGCCAAACTTTTGACTTCGCCGCGCTGGCGCGTTTTGCACGATCGAAGCTGCCGCGCTACGCTGTACCTATCTTCCTTCGTATTGTGGACAACCCTACTCATATCCACAATCATAAGCAGAACAAGGTGCCGCTACGCGAGGAGGGTGTGGACCCTGAACTAATCGGCACAAAGGTGACAGATGGACAGGGTGATCATTTCTTGTGGGTCGCTCCCGGCAATCAGGAGTATACGCCCTTTGGAAAGCAGGAGTGGCAGAAGATTTCTGATGGCAGTGCCCGGTTGTAGAGAACTATGACATAAATAGAAGAATTTGTATGGCACGTAATACACATATCTGGTTGATTTATAAATTGCCTTGAGACGGTCTTATGGTTCAAAATGATATTATTCTCAGTGGTGATAACACTGGTTGTCGTAATTAACAGGCTGGGAATTTTACGTTTGAAGCATGAACTACGAGTTTCTAGATATAGTGATAAGCTCTCCAAATACGTAAAGGGTGCCATGCTCAGTGTGGGAAATTCAAGCCCATGAAATCGCTATGCATAACGGGAATGTCAGATTAGGCGCCGGCAGGGAATGTTAAAAGGCGGTTTCCATCGCCAATCTCCCCTCCACACATGTTGATAAAAATTAAATGTTTACTCTATGGCTTGACCCTCGAGTCCCTAATTGGCCTGACAAGTGTTTATTGTGGTGTTGCTGCGCTACATGTGGATAGTTGGCTAGAAATCGGCATCTAAATTGATTGAGGAAGTAATCAACTCTAAGAAAGGATCCTGCCCATAGGATTTTCCGTAAGGCAGAGCTCATCAATGTTCCAATAAGACGTAGAATAGTAGAAACGGTCTAAATAACAATCAAACGTGGAATAACAGATAAAAGGTCGCTTGCATCATTTTCATCACTGGCCGACATGGGAACTATATGAACCATTTGTGAAATCACTCGATATACACAATAAAAGAGCCTATTTTTTCAGCAGGCCCAGCAGGTTGATACTCTTGGGGCGCTCAATAGGCATGCCCAGGGCGCGGTCCCAGATGAGCTGGACGAGGGGTCCGAGAGCACGGCTGACACCGAAGGTCACAGTATAGTACAGGGGCTGCTGGAAGCCATAGTGGTAAAAGAGTACACCAGAAGCAGCATCCACATTGGGGTGAGGGTTCTTGGTCTTTCCGTGCTCGGTCAAGACACCAGGGGCAATCTCCGAGTTCTTCTTGACCAGCTGGAAGACGGGGTTTGCGAGCACGTCCGGGCGGGTAGCCGCGAAGTCCATCAGCGCCTCGAACCGGGGATCGGGCTTGCGCAAGACGCCGTGACCGTAGCCAGGAACGACACGGCCCGACTTCAGGGTCGACCAGAGGTAGTTGCGGACATCCTCGTCAGTAAACTTGGTGCCAATCTTATCCTGCATAGCCAGAATCCAGCGGAGCACTTCCTGGGCGGCCAGACCGTGCAGCGGGCCAGCCAGACCCAGCAAACCAGCACTGTAGCTCAGGAAGGGATCACTCAGCGCACTGCCAACCAGGTGAGTTGCGTGGGCGGAGACATTGCCACCCTCGTGGTCACCATGCAGAGCTAGATACAGGCGCAGCAGATCGTGGAAATCTTGGTTCTTCTCGCCGCCCTTGCCAAGAAGCTCCGCAAAGTTGTAGGACCAATCCTGAGTCACGTCAAGTTTCTGGTTCCCGACAACATCGATCTCGTTGGAACGGAATACCAGTGCCGCGACACGGGGGATCTTAGCAAGTAGGGAAATACAGTCGTCGAAGGTTGGCTCCCAATACTCCGCCTTGTTCAGGCCCTTCTCATAGGCATGAGCGAACTTGGACTCTGTGTTCAGCGCCGCCACAGCAATGGATAGCTGGGTCATGGGGTGCATGTTCTTGGGGAAGGACTTGATCAGGTCGAGAATGTGCTGGGGCAGATAAGACTTCTCGGCCAGCTCGCGCGAGAAGGCGCGCACCTGAGCGGTGGAAGGGACCTGGCCAGTCAAAAGCAGCCAGAACATGGCCTCGGGCAGCATCTCTGTACCAGAAGTACCCTTGGGTAGCTCCTTCTGGCAGTCTTTGATTGTCTTGCCGTGGAAACGGATCCCCTCGTCGGCATCCAGGACTGAGCCCTCCCACAGCATGGCCTTCAGGCCACGCATGCCACCAATGACATTGCCGACCTTGACATCACCAATGACTTCGTCACCTTGAGCCTTGACTTTCTGGAGGAGTTCACGCTTGGCCGGAATCACCTCCTTAAGGGCAGTCTTCAGGTCGGGTTCGGCGGTCGCATAGTGCCGGGAGGCCGAGAAGACCGGGCGGGAGGCCTGTCGCAGGTTGCTGGTTAGAAGGTCCAATCCATTTTAGGTTTTGCATAGGCTCCTGTGCTCTATTTTCACTGAGGACCTCGAAAGGGATCACGTACCTGAACCAATCTGGAGGCGTGGCGGGTGGCTCTGAAGCTGAGGGCCATTGTGTGTGAGTGTGTGTGTGTTGATGGGTCCGGGGTAGAATTGTGGGGGCGGGAGACTCAATGCGGGGGCGGACAAGGAGAGGAAGGGATGGAAGGGATGGAGGGTGAAGAAACGCTGCTTTTCAGAACAGCAAGAGTGTGATGGTATCCCACGAAGAGTCGAATAGACGCAGAAAGGGAAGAAGAGGACACAAAGGTACTTGTGATCGACCAAGTCTAATAACATCTGACCGCAACGCTCGGTTGAACGCGGGGCTTCTGGGCGACTTTCTACCGAGGCCCGGGGCGGCTGCATGCGGACGGCGACATCGGCCCTTTTCCTCAGGCCACCCAGTCTACCATTCCTGTTGATTCTGGTCGATAGGGCACTGTGATCGAGAATCAGATCGATTCGTACGAGCAAAGTGATCCCGCGCATGTTGATCCTCCATCTCTCAGTCGTGATCTGAGCAGGCCATATACGAAGGGGTCAGGTATGAGCGGCTAGCCGACGCGGACCTCGGGGCACCAGACCGAGAGAGCGAAAGTCGGACCAGAGTCAGGACTTTTGGTATTTGGCGAGCAGTCCCTTTCCAGGGGCGAACACTGGCCGGCATTCCGGCCCTGCCGCCAGTGCCTGGTCGGGTCAACCCCCGAACACGTGTTGAGGCCGTGCTTCTGCCCATGACGTTATCGTCTGCATGGACGCCTCAGGCCTCTCTATTTGGTTACTCCAGCAGTTTAACTATAGGTCTGTTCGCACATGAAGTAGATCGGTATATGTTGGATTCTCCTTCAGTCCATGGTAAAGCGAATACGACGGGTTCCTTGGGGAGTGCCGAGTCATGTATCAAACTTTCTTTTGCAAGTTGGCACGTTCTGTTGTATCGCCAATGAAACGGACGATCGGTATGGAGGATTAGGGAAAGGACCTCTAGAAAACGGGGTAGTTCATGATCTAGGTATCAGGGACGATTCTCATGTGTCAAATTCTAGAGTTAATATGCCATGAATTACTTGGTATCAAAGGACGTAGACTGACAATGTACGCTGTGTACACTAGCTGTGAACATGTATATATTTCTTGTTAGACATAAAACGAAAATGATGAGAAGGACCACCGGTCTCCAACGTTGAATTCATTTTCGACGGCCGTCTGCATGCATGGTCCTATTACCCCCACCTGTCAAGATACATCATCACATCCCACCGATAGTAATGATCCTGAATGCTATACACCAACTGACCCACATAATCCAGTCGCCTTTTGGCCGGCAATGATGACTAATTAAGCCGCTGACGAGAGACTTCCTGCCTCAGGCGGAAAGGAGGGACCCAGCTTGATAAGGCTAAACCAGGTCCGGCTAGTGGCGTCTCATGCCAATAGCAGCCCCCGTGATTGGCTGGCGGAGACCGTCGCCTCCCAAACAAAAAAAAATTGTGTGGATAAGCCCCGATCAGCGATGCGCGATACTCCTGCTCTTCGCCTTGTCTTCTCCCCTCCAGCGTACAGCCCCGTGTGGATTCCCGTATCTACCGCTGTCACGATATTGGAAACTACATTCGTTGTCGACTGGAATCCTTTCGCGTGTTAGACATCTGTTTCATTTCCTCCATCTTCGTTCTGCTGGCCCGGGATTTCCCCCACCTCTCAATCCTATAGGATCGAGGAAACCCTTCGCCCCAGGCCGAGTTTCTTTTTATTCCAAAATCTGGTATATATTAAGGACCAGATTTGGTCGTCTCGTGATACCCTTAGACCATGCCACACACTGTTTCGCCCTCTGATACTCCCGCTATGCCGACCGTCGTCGCGAAAACCCCCTCCGGCGTTCCCCCCACCACCGAAGAGATTTCTTCGCTTCTCAACACCATCTTTACCGCTGAGACGTCCCAACAGTCCCTTGATGGCTCCTACGCACTCACAAACCTGCTGATCCAGGGTGCTGGGTCGACCGGTCTGCTGAACTACAGTGTCCTGGCCGAAGCGAAGAAGGCGGCCACCGACAAAAAGAATGGCGCCAAGCGTGAGAGTGCCATGCTGATCTTCGGCGCTCTGTTTGAGCGATTCCCTCGCGAATTCCCTCTCAGCGAGGCCATTTTCCTGCTGCACAACGGTGGTATTTTTGACGTTGTCCTGGACTCCCTCGCCGATAAGGGTGCCGTGGTCCGCGATGCCGCACAATATGCTATCGATGCCTTGTACGCCTGCCTTAGCCCCGAGGCCAAGGCCAACGCCTTGCTCCCCGCCCTGGAGGCATATCTGGTCAAGGGTAGTGGCAAGTGGCAAGGATTTGTTGGTGGATACAAGCTTCTGGAGAAGATGGCTGCCGGAGCCCAGATGGGTAACGGCACCAAGGAGGAGGAGCAGGAGAAGGATGTGCTGCGGGAGGCCATGGGCAAGACCCTGAAAGAATTAATTCCTATCGTCGAGTCGGGCATGCATGATCTCAAGAATGAAGTTGCGAAACAGTCCGTCAAGACTATGAACCAGCTGACCACTCTGCTTTACAACGACGATGTCGCCCCGCGTATCCCCTTGCTCATCAAGACTATGGAGCAGCCATCGGCGCAGACTCTGCAGAAAGCCATCCACGCCCTCTCTCAGACCACTTTTGTCGCAATCGTCACTTCCCCCGTTCTCGCCCTGCTGACTCCGCTGCTCGAACGTTCCCTTAACGATCCAACCACTCCCCAAGAAACTCTCCGTCAGACCGTTGTTGTTGTGGAAAACCTGACCAAGCTAGTCCACGACCCTGCCGAGGCCCGTGTTTTCCTTCCCAAGCTTCAGCCAGGTGTCAAGGCAGTCAAGGACCGCGCCTCACTCCCCGAGGTCCGTGAGTTGGCCACTCGTGCTCTGGATGTCATGGAGAAGGCGATGCAAGATAACGATGTCGCTATGGGTTCCGTCACCAAGACCACTCCCGAAGATGTTCTTGCTGTCCTAAACTCTAAAATTCAGGAGCATGCCGGTTTTGTCAGCTTCGGTGATGTCAAGTTCTCTGAACTAGCCAAGAACTTTATCGCCAGCATGATCCGTGAGGATGTCAACTGCCGTATGATGGACCGCATTCCCTCGTGTATCGGTCCGTACCTGAAGGCTTTGATCCCGGAGGAGAATCTTGAGGCCATCAGCACTGCGGTGCAGAAGCACTACATCGAAGAGGATGAGCGCAAGTTTGGCAAGCCTGTCCAGGAGGACCCTAATGAGGTTGAGATTGTTAACGCCAACTTCTCTCTCGCCTATGGTGGTATGCTTCTGCTGTCTCACACCAACCTGCGCCTGCTTAAGGGTCACCGATACGGACTTTGTGGCCGCAACGGTGCCGGCAAGTCGACGCTGATGCGTAGCATCGCCAATGACAAGCTGGAGGGTTTCCCTCCACCCGAGGAGGTTCGCACCTGCTTTGTCGAGCATAACCAGGGTGAGGATGCCGACCTCAGCATTCTGGAGTATGTCTCTAAGGACCCCAAGGTCGCCGCCGAGGGCCAGGAGCACATCAAAGAGGTTCTTCTGGAGTTCGGCTTTACAGATGGCCCCGATGGCCGTCAGTCTCAGCCTGTTGGATCGCTGTCCGGTGGTTGGAAGATGAAGTTGGCTCTTGCCCGTGCCATGCTCATGAAGGCTGATGTCCTGCTGCTGGACGAACCGACTAACCACCTCGACGTTGCCAATGTGAAGTGGCTCCAGGAGTATCTGAAAAAGCACACCCAAATTACCAGTCTGATCGTTAGTCACGATTCCGGCTTCCTTGATGAAGTTTGCACCGATATCTACCATTACGAGCAGAAGAAGCTCGTCTGCTACCCTGGAAACCTGGCGGCTTTTGTCAAGGTTAAGCCCGAGGGCAAGAGCTACTACACGCTGTCCGCCTCCAATGTGCAGTTCAAATTCCCACCTCCCGGTATTCTGTCGGGTATTAAGTCTCAGACTCGTGCCATTCTTCGTATGAGCAATGTCTCATACACTTACCCGGGCGCCTCTAAGCCATCCATGTCGGATGCTACGCTGTCGCTCTCTCTCTCCTCTCGTGTTGCTATCATTGGAGGTAACGGTGCTGGAAAGTCCACCTTCATCAAGATGCTTACCGGTGAGACCATTCCTCAGACCGGTAAGGTCGAGAAGCACCCCAACCTGCGTATTGGTTACATCAAGCAGCACGCTCTGGAGCACGTTGAGATGCATCTCGAGAAGACCCCGAGCCAGTATCTACAGTGGCGTTATGCCAATGGTGATGACCGTGAAGTCTTCCTCAAACAGACCCGTATCTTGACAGAGGCCGATAAGGCCCAGCTGGAGAAGCCGGTTGATTTGGGAGATGGGCGTGGCGCTCGCCGCATCGAGGCCATCATGGGTCGTCAAAAGTGGAAGAAGTCTTTCCAGTATGAAATTAAGTGGATTGGTCTTCTTCCCAAGTTCAACACCATGATTTCTCGTGAGACTCTGTGTGAATTGGGCTTCTTCAAGATGGTCCAAGAGTTTGACGACCACGAGGCCTCGCGTGAGGGTCTTGGTTTCCGTGTTCTTGAGCCCAAGACAATTTCTAAGCATTTTGAGGATGTTGGTCTGGACCCCGAGATTGCTAACCACAACGAAATTTCTGGCCTCTCGGGTGGTCAAAAGGTCAAGGTCGTGCTGGCTGGTGCCATGTGGAACAACCCCCACTTACTGGTGCTGGACGAGCCGACTAACTTCCTGGACCGTGATTCTCTGGGTGGTTTGGCTGTCGCCATTCGCGATTTCAAGGGTGGTGTGGTTATGATTTCTCACAACGAGGAGTTCGTCGGTGCCCTCTGCCCGGAGCAGCTGCACATTGCCGACGGCCGTGTCGTCAGCCGTACCAACACCGCCGTCAATCTGGACCGCTTTGAGGACAGTGCCACCAACTCGCCTACTGGTACTGGTACTCCCGCCGCTGCCTCAGCCAACACCAGTGCTGCTCCGTCCGCCGTTAACTCTGGCGCCGAGGACCAGGGTGAACTCAAGTTCCGCGCCAAGAAGAAGAAGAAGATGACTCGTGCCCAGCAAAAGGAACGTGAGGCTCGCCGCCGCCTGCGACACATCGAATGGGTGAGTTTTTCGATCCATATTTGTTATCGAAAACTGTACTAACTTTGTGTTCTTCTAGCTCAACTCTCCCAAGGGCACTCCTAAGCCTGTTGATACCGATGATGAGGAGTAGTTGTGCGACTTATAGCACATTGACGCGTAATGCCTTTTTCTTTTGACCTCTCATTTTAGTCATCTGCATTGAGTTCCGTTGTCATTTGTGATGTTTCTTTTGCATGGGATATTGATAGACGGAGTTTGGGATTGTCTATTTCTGTTTCGTCGGTAGATACGCGCTTGCTTTCTTTGGGGATTGGATTGACCCAATGATAGATACTTTGGCCAACCTTTTTGAACAAAAGTTCCTGTTTATACACATTTTCTTTACATATGGTTTCATTATGCAATACAGTTTCACTCTGAAAATTAATATCGTGGGATTTAAAGTGCTGCAAGACAGTAAATAGTAGATCCCCACCGTTGTTTGCAGGGGGTCAGGTGACCCTTCCGAGCTGTCGCATCGTAGCTTCCGGCCAACCCCAATTCGCATTGCGCAATCACCTAGCCTGATTTGATACTGTTGACGCAGTCTTCGGTGTTTGGATCTCAACTTTGCAGAATGCAGTCACCAAGTCGTGGTTAAGTGACTGTCACGCCCACCTGCCAAGCAAACAAGCGCAATGGCCAGGCTAAACCGAACAAACGCCGGCGTCTCGAACACGCTACGCGAAGGATACGAGTCGGTGGACAATAACTCATCCGTTGGAGAAAGCTCATACGATTCATCGAGCCATGTCAATCGGCATGATCGTCTAGGGACGGGCCCTCAGCGACCCGATTCCTACCTTTCCAGCAGCGATGAGTCCTCCGCAGAAGACGATGCCAATGTCAAGCTGCTCCCTCTAGAAAAGACCGGAAAATCTAGCACACGACGCGCCCGACGACACATTGCAACGAGTCCCGACTCTGCGAGTTCTTCAAGCCCCCTGCCCACCGATGAACACGGCGAACCGATTGACGTGACCAAAGCCATCGATCAGGTCCTGCAGAAAGAACACAATATCCTATCGGAATCATTCGATACAGATCTTGAAGATGGTGGATCGCATCTTGTCCTGAGTGACGATGAGAGCGACGGCTATGGCAGAGGCAAGAAGATTCAAAGGGAACAACGTCCTGAACATGCGAACCACAGCCGGAAGTCGGGAATACTGGGCTTGTTCCATATCAAGACATGGTGGCATGTTTTCCCACTGGTTGCGATTGGATTGCTGGTGATGTGGCTGGCAATGAAAGGGCTGTCCTGGTGGAGTGGTAGGAGGGCTACTGCTAATGAATATGTACGAGGTCCTGTTTCGAACCTGACTGATTTCGGTCATGCCAACACCTGATATTTTTACGTGCTACTTTGCTAACTATCATAGGCCTCGATCCCATGGTACCCCACACCGCGCGGAGGCACGAGTGCGCGGTGGAAAGAAAGTTATACGAAAGCGCATGATCTTGTTCAGCGGATGGCGCTGGTGGAAAAAGTCAATATCACCACAGGCACGGGATGGGAGATGGGTCTTTGCGTGGGAAATACTGGCCCTGCTGAATGGGTGCAATTTCCATCGCTCTGTCTACAAGATGGTCCTCTCGGCCTCCGTTTTGCAGATAACATTACTGCATTCCCCGCGGGCATCACCACCGGGGCAACTTGGAACCGCGACCTGATGCGCGAGCGAGGAGCTGCCCTGGGCCGAGAAGCCCGTGCGAAAGGCGTCAATATTCTCCTTGGTCCTTCAATGGGAGCTTTGGGAATGATGCCCGCAGGTGGGCGAAATTGGGAGGGATTTGGGTCGGATCCCGTCCTTCAGGGTGTCGCTGCGGCGGAGACTATTCGCGGCATCCAACGCACCGGAGTCATGGCGACAGCTAAACACTATTTGCTGAATGAGCAGGAGCATTTCCGTCAACAAAATGAATGGGGTCGTGCAAATGCGCTCTCCTCCAACGTCGATGATCGTACATTGCATGAAGTGTTTATCTGGCCATTTGCCGAGAGTATACGGGCCGACGTGGCAAGTATCATGTGCTCCTACCAGAAAGTCAATAACAGCCATGCTTGTGAAAATAGCAAACTGCTTAATGGTATCCTCAAAGACGAGCTTGGCTTTCAAGGATTTGTCCAGTCAGATTGGCTGGCTCAGCGATCTGGCGTGCAGAGCGCTCTTAGTGGCCTCGACATGAGCATGCCCGGCGATGGTGCAAATTGGGCGGATGGGGACTCATTCTGGGGCTCTCGCTTAACGCAGGCTGTCTTGAACACCTCTGTGCCCACAGACCGACTTAACGACATGGTCACTCGCATTGTTGCTGCCTGGTATCATTTTCGCCAGGATACATGGAAAAAGCCTCCGCCATTTGGCCAGGGTGGACCGAACTTCTCTTCCTGGACCTATGACAAACTGAGTAGTTTGCACCCAGGCAGTGAAGACGACAAGACACACCAGGTGGTTAATCAATATGTCAACGCACGAGGCAGCGGGCCAACATTGAACTCCCATGCCGAGACTGCCCGAAAAGTGGCTGCAGAAGGGACTGTTCTCCTGAAGAATGTGAACAACACGCTTCCACTGTCACGCAGTCCATCTGGCCCCAAGGAAAAGTATCGGGTAGGTATATATGGTGAGGATGCTGGCTCCGGCCGTGGTCCTAATGCTTGTCCTGACCGAGGTTGCAATCAAGGGACATTGGCATCGGGATGGGGCAGTGGAGCAGTAGACTTTCCATACCTGGTCAGTCCATGGGAAGCTCTTCAGTCGGCTTGGTCATCGGATACTGTGGATGTTCGAGGGTACTTGACGAACAGTGTTGCCTTGGAGGATCTGAGCGAGCAGGATCTCTGTCTTGTGTTTGCGAATTCAGATGGGGGCGAAGGGTTTATCCGCAATGATGGGATCGACGGAGATCGCAACGACCTCTTTCTTCAGCGCAATGGCACTCAATTGGTGCAGTGGGTTGCTAACCAATGCGGTGGAGGCCAAGGCAGAACGGTCGTAATAGTCCACTCTATTGGCCCTGTTGTGCTCGACCCCTGGATTGATTTGCCTGGTGTACACGCAGTTGTCTACGCGAATCTCCCAGGACAGGAAAGTGGGAATGCTCTGGTCGATGTGCTATTTGGCGACATTGATGCCAGTGGCCGACTGCCTTATACCATCGGGCGATCTTTGGAGGACTATGGACCGGGTGCCCAGGTCCTCTACGAGACTGGGGATCAACAGCCAGAAGTGAACCTCAACCAAGGCCTCTATATTGACTACCGATACTTTGACAAGTACAACATTACCCCGCGTTATGAATTTGGCTTTGGACTGTCTTACACATCCTTTGACATCTCGAGTTTGCACATCAAACCTCTGCAAGAGAAGTCTAGGCTTCCCGAAGAACGCCCAGATAACCAAGCCGATCCACCACAGTACGACGACAGGTTGCCAGCTGAGTCTTCGACCAGGTTTCCGGAAGGATTCAAAGCGCTGTCTAAATACATCTATCCTTACATCCGGGACCCGTCCGGTACTCAGCCTGGCTCCTTCCCTTATCCAGATGGATACAAAAATCGTCAGCGTCCCTCTCAGGCTGGTGGCGGACCTGGCGGAAACCCGTCGCTATACGAGCCAATGCTTGAACTATCAGTCACGGTCGCCAACACAGGTCGCCGGGCAGGTAAAGAGGTCGTACAAATCTACGTCTCATTCCCCGAGCGCGTCGCTGAACATCGCGGACTAGGCTGGTCTCGCGAGGAAATCGAGTTCCCCGTCCGTGTTCTGCGGAACTTCTCCAAGGTTTCCTTGAACGCCGGTGAAGCAACTGTTGTCACGATGAAGCTTTCTCGGAAAGACCTGAGCTACTGGAGTGTACGTGAGCAGAATTGGGTTCTACCCACGGAAGGCACGTTCAAGATTTGGGCTGGGAGGAGTTCGCGGGATTTGCCACTGGTGAAAGAGTTCTAATGAAGTCTCGCGACTTTGCCTTTCTGTCATGGCATTTGCCCATGTAATTAATTATTATTCTGTTTAATATCGGGGTCAACCCATTGGGCGTTGGGCACATGGAATCAGAGGTGGATTACTGGGTACATAGACGATTAACCTAGCTTTTATGTTCTTATTCTTGGGAATCATTTCCCATTTCAACGAATTGACGGTATTTTCTGCATGACTGCCATCCATTCTTCTAAAGCTTGGCCTTGTGAATGGTGTTCTAGTCAAAAATGAGGACACTATTGATTGCCTTCTTTGGCGGCGTCCATGGCTCCAATTTGCTCATTTGCTTTGTTCTAATTTTGACGTGCACAGTCGAGCTTATTACGACGGCGGCTGCATCTGTAGACGACACAGGGACGATCCCACTCCATGATTGTTGCTGCCTCGTCCCCCACCTAACGCCGTCATTCTAAGAGGGAACTTTTATGTGGCGGTGCCCGCGAAATTATCCCCTTTCGGCTCACAAAACGGAGCTCGATAACCACCTCGTTTTACTGTCACATACAGATTGCGTCGATGCTTCGAGACCGAGTCTAGCTACACTCGAAGGGGAAACCCCCACAGAATATCATAACGATGTAATAATTGACCCTCGATCTCACTATTCTAGACCAGTATATGGAGTATCCGATCGCGCACATCTCAGATACGGAGACCTCCGCGATTCCCTCCGTGTCAATGATCGGGCAACATCATGCCCGAGTGATGTCAAGAAATCCACCTCCGAGACATTGGTGGACCCGTGGAGACCGCATGCCCGTTGAGTCGCCACACACAAATGCTGTTGAGCCACAGCGAGCCATTGCCAAAGATAGGATGTTGCGACCCGCTGTACCGATTTTTCCTTTCGTTTCGGCGGTCTCTATCAGGGACGGACCTCTCCACCGGGGTTCCAGTAAGACCCCGTCGATCCCTACTCCTATCTGCAACAGCTTGATTTGGCTGAAACAGTCCACCTGCCCGGGTCTTTGCACCGATTCTGGATGGCAAATTCTGTTCAATTCGAGACCGCAGAGGAAAGGCATTTCATTCAGGAAGGCTCAATCAACTTGCATTCTCAGAATGCAAAAATTGCTCCCAATTATGACCGTGAATGTCCATGTAGTGCCAGGCATCTGTCAATTCGGCTTTGGCGCAATGTTGCCTCATAGCCCACTACTACCCTGGAATGTGGCTGTCGATCACCGAACCTTCTCGGTGGGGACTTCTGCAGCCTGTCTCAGGACCAATCCCCCCCCCCCCCCCCCCAATAGGGACTTGCCGTTCCTGAACGAGACCCTGGGACGGGTGTAGCAATGGACAAACTCCATAAATGCCCATGCGGTGCTTATTGGCCAACTCATATGGTAAACTCGACGCTATTCCCAACTTTGACACGCCGAGCGAAGTTGCGCCGTATTCCGGCTCTGATAGACGGGCATGAGTGAAGCTTGGACCGAGCAATGATATCAAGTGTCGTTCCATTTCTATTTCGGTGATAATTTCGTAGCCAGTACGCCGGCCAGTGTCGATCGACAGGAGATGGAGACCCTGGACGGCACATGGGGTTGTGCAGAGGATGCAACTGGGATATAAAATCCCGTTTCTGACTGACCATCCTTGATCGTCCAGTGTATATTACTTATTTAATAGACGGTCTTCCTTGGTTCTCCCACCTCAGGTTCTTCGTTTACTTCTTCATCACGATCAAGCAGTCTTTACCAATCGATATCCCACTCACTCATTCACAATGAAGGTCTCTGCACTTCTTTCTCTCGTTCCTCTGGCCTCCGCCCTCCCCGGCCGCCGTGCTGCTGCCACTCCGGACACCAATGCTCCTTTCTCCGTCATTGCTGCCCATTCCGGCTCACCCATCCATCTCACTCCCCTGAGCGCATCTGGTTCACACTTCTACCTTGGTAGTAGCCAGAGCCAGACCTACTGCCCGAGCGAAGTTGTTTCCGGCTGCTCTAAGCGCACCAACGAGACCATCCTGATCGGCACCAACTTCCTGGTACGTGGTCTGATTTTGAAGTTGATGAATGTTTTCCTATATCCGGGATATACGATCTAACAAGCGCCATAGGATGTCGTCGTACCCGGCGGCCAGAGCATTTATGTTGACCCCTCTGGCGCCCTGAGCTTCACCTCTCCCCACTCAGGCTACATCCCCCCTGGCTCTTCTCAGGGTCCTTTCCAGGTCAAGCCCGGCCAGAACTTCGGTAGCTGGACCTATAGTGGCGAGGGCGCCTCTGGCTTCATGGCCTGCCCGGTGCCGGCTGTGAGCGCGACCGCTGCCTCGCGCCATGTCCGTCAGGCTGCTGCTGCTCCCCCCGCTGGCAGGTATTCGCTGCTCTGCAGAACGCGACTGTCCCCACTGGAAAGGTCAGCGACTGCTTGGGCTTCGATGCGCTGGCTGTCAATGTGAACGTCACCTCTGACGCTCTTGCCTGGGAGTATATCTAAACAGGGATATCCCTGTCGAGCCAAGCGGCTCGCTTCATACGTTAGGAAGCGCTGAGCATTGATTATACAGTGGATAGGTGGATCCCAGTGATCTAGCATATCAATGATCTGCTGTTTTATAGATGACTGCTACTGGTCAAGGTCTTGCTTATAGACCTGTTGATTTCATTATGTTGGTTAGATTATTTCTTTGCTCTGCTCTCCATAAACCCTTATACATCTTTACTGCCTATCAGTACATTATTTGATCGAATATATGATTCACTCGTTTTCCATGTGACCTTTTGGGCTATTTGTGTCGTTTGAATGAATGGGCCTTGAATTGATATCATGTAAGAATCTCTAGAGAGGTGGCTGGAATAAATGTCAAGCTACGTTTCTTCCGGATGAACCAAGATATCTTTATATCATTAGAATATAGACGAAATAAATCTAATGTTAAAAGCTTAACTATATTCTCTCTTTCATTGCCGCTGAAGGTCTATTTGCTCCATTTCTTTTGGCAATTCTAAGGAATTGATGGTTGACAAGCTAATTCGTTACTATCAGACCATCATCTTTTGCTCGAATGGCCCATTCCATCCAGCTTCCATCATATAACCTTGTTTCAATATCGTAACCACAGATATGCAAAGCGAGAATCAACGCCGAAGCAGTCACGCCAGAGTTGCAGGTCATCACAGCTGGTAGATCACCCTTTACCCCAGCATTTGCAAAAATCTTTTTCAACTCTGATGTAGGCAAGAGCACCTTATTGGCATCCAGCATGGAGGTCAAAGGAATGTTTAATGCGCCAGGCATATGTCCTGCTCTCAGTGAAGCATAAGCACCATGATCAAGCCCAGAGAACTGATTTGGCGGCCGGGCATCTAATATTTGATATTTGTTTCTGCCTTCATTTGAAAGTAGGAGATGTTGGAGCTCTTCAAATGTGATGATCTCGTTCATATTGATCGATTTGGGTATCTCATAGGAACCAGGACCAAGGTAAACAAGGGATGGTGACATTTTCCCAGTAGAGATGGGATATCCTGATTGAATGTATTGCGGGAAGTTGTTCAGGACATGAACATTTTGGTGGCCAAAATGAAGGAAATTCCAAGCGACCCGGGGCGAAGAGTAAATACCAATCTCACATGTGTCGTATATGACTAGTATGTCGTCCCCACGAATACCAAGATCAGTCATACACTTAGCGAAGTGTGTGGAATCTGCCAACATCACTGGGTATTCCGACCTGGTATCTCGGATCAAGTCCATGTTGAAGAAACTTTTTCTTTGGTAAGTGATATATTCCAGAGAGGCGTATAACCTAAAGAAATGTAACTTACATAGATCCTGGGACATGTTGTGATTCAAAAGATAGAAGAGTTGGACTTCGTCCAGCTGCTACTGGGATGATTCGATAGTCCTTCTGGTTGCTGGATAATTCATGGTGTAGCTCGGCGGGTGAAATGAGAAGACTTGTGAATGGATTTAAAACCGGGGCCATTGTGTAGAGGGCCAATAGAAGAGATAATCAACACACAATTCGCGTCTAAATAAAGGTGCTCGATAGGCTAAATTTGACGCGGGGAGGTCCCGGCTCGGAGGTTTTTGGCGCTGACTCATTTTCGTTAGTGGGGAATTCACGAATGGCCCGATCATAATCACAAACTCAGAAAACGCAAGACATTATCAACAATTAAATTGAGAGTAAATTATTACATTGCAAGGTGAGCCTATAGCGTAAAAGGCAATGAGTGAGAATTGAACAGATCTAGTGGCCGTTATATGCGACCAGCTGATCTGCTCGTTGGACATATTCTTTTTTGTTCCCAAATCTTTTGATATTAGGATTGGTCTCCTTTGTTTGAAAAATACTGGAATTGGTATAGAATTAAGTTGATCTTCAAGATTTCAAAAACATTCTATATGATAAATGAATACAATGCTTCTATTCCTGATTTCCTAAGTATTGCAAAATCAAAGAATCTCATAATGTGCGTCCAAGCCTAAGGAACAAATTATCCATGGCCTCTTCTAATCTAGATCAAGTAAAACGAATAATTGAGATCTCTGCTGTAGCTATACCATTGGGAGAAAGGATCCGTCTCTAATCAGCAACTGGTAGAAAGCCTCAATGAAGCCATGTGAAGTAATCTTATCCGGGTATTTATGGAACCCGCATGACGGATCTCGGCGATAAAAGTAGTTCCGTACCTCAATACATTATTTATATCGGGGTTGCGACGAACAGACCACCACCCAATCCACTCTCCTTAAAATTGAACCGTGCACTTAGTCTCCCGCATGGAATATACCAAAGAGCCCTACCGCAAATCTCTCGGCCAACGTGGCATTATCAATGGCACCACATATTCGCTGAACCACACCCCTTTCGCTCATTACTTTGGCGGGGTACGATATGGACTGTCATCGGAACGATGGAGGCGAGCAAGGCCATTGCCTCCTGACTTCACATACAAGGATCAAGATGGGTCATCATGCTGTGATGGTCAATCTAAAGTTTGTCCCCAAAGGGATTTTGACGGAACGTTTAAGGAGAGCTTATGGAGCGAGGATTGTTTCCAAAGCAATATCTGGACACCGACAGGAACGCCTCCGGCAGTTGGATGGCCTGTTATAATGTTCATTCGTAAGTGAAGCACAACTAAGGTGATATAATGACAATCTACTCACTGCTAGTAGATGGTGGGTGGCTCCAAGCAGGTACGCCAAACGAGTTCAACCCTGCTGCGCTCATCGGCCAAGCCGGCCTCAACGCAATCGTCGTTATGCCCGCATACCGACTTGGTGTGTTCGGCTTCCTCTACAGCGCCGAGCTCGAAGCAGAAGCGAAAAGCACCGATACAACGACTGGGAATTTAGGCTTCTGGGACCAGCGCCTGGCTCTCGAATGGGTCCATACCAACATCCATCTCTTCGGCGGCGACTCGGCCAATATCACCCTCGCTGGCTACTCGGCGGGCTCTTACTCTGTCTTCCATCAGCTCGCGTATGAGTTCTCCCTACCAGATAGTCACCTCATCCGGCGCGCCTGCATGTGGTCCAATGGCCCCGGCGTACAGCCCAAAAGCCCCGCCCTCGCCCAGCATCAATTCGCTCTCCTCCTAGCCGCGCTGTTCATCCCGGAATCGCTGCCGGCCGCCGAAAAGCTCACCAGGCTGCGCAGTCTCCCGGCCAGGACACTCCTCGAAGCTGCCCTATCTATAGATATGCATCAGTTTCGTCCAACGGCAGAGTCCGTATTTATCGCCCCAGACCGCATCCAGAACCTGGCGTCTTTCGCACGCACTCTCGTTGCCCGTCGCATCCCGCTGCTGATCGGCGAATGCCGTGACGAGCCCTGGCTCTACGCGCAGTGGACCGCGCCGAAGGAGAACACCCTCGCCGCGCTCCGCACGCGTTTGCTCGCCGAGTACCCACCACACATCGTGGCCGGGCTGGTTGATATCTACTTCCCGGGTGGGACGCTGCCACCGCAGTTCGTGGACTGGAAGCAGGCCTTTGGGGCCGTGTACGCGGATATGCAGGTGTATCGACTGGAGCGGGGGCTGGTTAAAACGATTGCGGAGTGCGGCGGACAGGAGCTGGTATTCCGGTATCGTGTTGAGTACCGATTGGAATGTGTAGATCGCTTTATGCCGCCGGAGGCTGGGGTGACGCATGCGACAGACGAAGCAATTTGGTTCTGGGGAAATGGGTATCAGGTACGTGAGGAGGAGGGGGAGGCTGTAGAAAGGGCTTTTATCGGGCCATTCAAGAATTTTGTACAGGGAAGTGTGGTTGAGTGGGGGGTTGGTAGTGTGAAGTCGATGCGCAGGTTGAGGGCAGATCGGGGTGTTGATATCTGGGAGGATGCACTATGGGAAGATGAGGATCCAGTATGGATGTTGGTTGCTGGTGATGGAAAATAACCTGGTTTAGACCATCACGATGGAAAATTTATCAGATTCAGAAAGAACAACGTTTGTCAATGAATTTATAGAAAAGGGGCACGATGCTTCATGGATAACTTGTATGAATGATTGTTGAATGATTGTTATACAACGATGCTAATTTCAATATGAACAAAGACAACGTGCAGTACGCAATGGACAGACGAAAGGAAGTAGAATAGAATAAGGAAATAAGGGTATTCATGATCATCAAAGGAACATCACAGCCTCAAGCTTACAGCTTGGCGGCGCCACCAGCCGAGGAGATCTCGTTGTAGAGCAGGCTGGTCAAGAAGTCTGCGTAGTCCTCTCCGGTCACCTGGCCAGCGAAGTAGCGGGCCGCCAGCTGGTACTTGTTGCCCTTAGGGCCCTTGGAGGCCAGGCTATCGGCCTGCTCCTGGAGCAAGCGCAGGGCGTAGGCCTTGTCGACGCGCTTGCCCTCGGCTGTCGCGACGTTGTGACGGACCCACTGCCACAATTGCGAGCGGGAGACCTCGGCAGTGGCGGCGTCCTCCATCAGGAAGTTGATCGGCACGCAGCCAACGCCGCGTAGCCAGCCCTCCATGTAGCTCAAGCCGATGTTCAGGTTCTTGCGGATTCCGTCCTCGGTGATCTTGCCAGGCACATTGGTGTTCAACAAGTCGTTCGCAGTGATGTTAACCTCCTCGCGGCGCTTGAACAGCTGGTTAGGAGTCGGCATGTACTTGTTGAACACCTCAGAGGCGATCGAGGCCAGGGCCGGGTGGGCGACCCAGGTGCCGTCGTGGCCAGCGCGCACCTCCCGCAGCTTGTCGGCACGGACGCTCTCCATGGCCTTGTCGTTGGCGACAGGGTCGTTCTTGACGGGGATTTGAGCAGCCATACCGCCCTAGAGAGTCGATGTTAAAATAAGATCCAGAGGTTGATAATTGGTGCGAAGCGTAACTTACCATAGCGTGCACACCACGTCGGTGGCAAGTCTTGATGAGCAGCTTGACGTAGGCGTCCATAAATGGCACAGTCATGGTGACATCGGAGCGGTCGGGCAAGACGAAGTTGGGGTGCTGGCGGAACTTCTTGATGAAGGAGAAGATGTAGTCCCAGCGGCCACAGTTTAGGCCGGAGCTGTGATCACGCAGCTCGTAGATGATCTATTTGCAAGAAATAAATGATTAGTCACTGTAGCTAGGACAAGCTCGGTTGGGAAACAAGCATACCTCATCCATCTCAAAAGCGGCAGTGATAGTTTCGATGAGCACAGTACCACGGATAGTGCCGCGGGGCATACCGATGTAGTCCTGGGCAAGGTTGAAGACGTCGTTCCACAGACGAGCCTCCAGGTGTGACTCCATCTTGGGAAGGTAGAAGTAAGGACCAGCACCACGAGCGACAAGCTCCTTTGCATTGTGGAAGAAGTACAGGCCAAAGTCGAACAGACTGCCGGAGATGGGCTCGCCGTCAACAGTGAAGTGCTTCTCATCCAGGTGCCAGCCACGGGCACGGGCGATCAAGGTAGGCAAAGTGCGGTCAGTGCGAAGCTTGTACTCCTTGCCACCCTGCTTGAAATCGACCTGGCGGCGAATGGCGTCGTACAGGTTGACCTGGCCATTGACCATGTTGTCCCAGGTCGGGGCAGAGGAGTCCTCGAAATCGGCCATGTAGGTCCAGACATCAGAGTTCAGGGCGTTGACGACCATCTTGCGGTCGGTCGGACCGGTGATCTCGACACGTCGGTCGACCAGACCGGGGGCCGGGGGCGCACCCTTCCAGGCATCATTCTCACGGATATGCTTGGTCTCGGGAAGGAAGTCGAGCAGGTGGCCCTTGTCGATCTCGGCCTGGCGGTCGATCCGGCGCTGAAGCAGGGCCTTGCGGGTGGGGTTGAAAGTGCGGTGCAGGAGAGCCAGGAAGGCACAGGCCTCCTTGGTCAGAATTTTGCGGGCATCATTGTTGATGTTACCCAGGATGGTGACATCCTTGAGGTGGGCTTCGATGGAGGCGGCCATCTTGGAAAGTATAGCAGGGACGGGTGGGCGACGGAAGTAGGAGGGAACTATATAGCAGCGGGGCGATGGCGATCGTTCGATATAGCAGCGAGATCACCGAACGTCCATCCACAATTGAACCAGGTCGAAAAGGAACCGATGGAAGCAAGGACGGGAAGGATGGAAGGCTGAGGTTTACCGGAAGAGAGAAATGAGAGGGAATCTCATTGAATGCTAGAGCGCCGAAGAAGAACTATATACAGTTGCAGCCGTCCGACCGAAGGCGGAGATAGAATACGTCAGAGTGGAAGTGCCGCGGCTGTTCGCTCCCCCCGAGTGCGGGCCAATGGCGGATACCGGCTATTGCTTTGCAGGTCTGTGAAATCGGTGGTATCTGGCTGTCGCCGCAACAATCACGCTGGAGAGAGCCGTTGGCCCAGCCCACTGGCAATCCTGGTGGACCAGTCACCATGCTTGACTCGGGCTAGCGGTTTGGCGCTGTCGACTTTCCCGTCGGGAAACTCGTTGCTCCACTCGATTTGATGCGATTTCACTGGATCTTCTCGGCCGACATCGCCCGTTCCCCGGAAATCCTGGTCCATCAAGGCCCGTCCTGGCACATCGAGCATGATTCCCCAGGTCCCTAAAAGGTCCCTTGCCGACTGATTGAAGGCGGTCGCGGCCTCCGAGCACTCGGGATGCGCCGCACACCGAGCCTTATCACGGCGTTGTCCCGTCGGATTAGCATCCGGTAATAGTCAGTTTCTCGTCCGGAAGGTCCTGGTGTTATATAGTTTTTTCCTGCCCCGATCGTGATGACGAGCACGACGAACGCTCGAGTCTGCGAAAACAAAAAACAAAGTTCGATCTGCCGCTATGTTGGCTCCGATCCTGGTCGAGGTGGTCGCCCCCTAACTCACCCGAAAGGCCGCCTCCAGCTCCCTGTTTCCCCCGCTGGGCCGACGCTCCAATCAGCCGCGGTTCAAGCATGCAGATAAGCGTCCAGGAAAGTTACAGAGGAACAGGCTTGGCCCAAGACTCGGCATCGGCCCAGGAGGCTTGCTGAAGTCTGGCCGAATTGTCCCGGCTTGTGATGAGAGCAGGGTTGAGCGTTGAGCCGGGGGAAGTTGAGGTCGACGCGCGACATGTGATGTGACATGTGATCGTCATCTTGACGTGCAATCGGTCGAGCGCAATTGGAGACTCGCGACTTCGAGACTCTGAACGTTGTATATCTTATACTCCTAGTACGACTGATGTAGAATTACGACCTGGTCTAGATCAACGATCGACACGGCAACAAACCCAAAATCCACAAAGATGGCTATTTCCAAAGCCTAGATTTGATATGCAACTATTTATACTCCTGACCTATCGTACGCCCTGCCCTGCAGTGCGATGTCAACCTCCGGTACATAGCATACTCCTGGCTTCTCATAACGGCAGAACGCAATGGTATCATGAAGATGACTTTGGGGACTACGTTTAATGAATCCCTCAGCCTATACGGTCTCGATATACCGCCGGACCTCCCTGCAAAATTCTGGTCAGCGAACTTTCTCAGAGTGTCAAAGAAAGACAATGTGTCTTCTGAAAAGCCACCATGATTGATGACGGACTTACCAATCGGTCACGGCCTCTTCCCATAGACGCACTTCGTGCTCTCGAGTACCTCCAAAATGATCGACAAATGCGTCCCCGAACACTTCCCGTGCAATACTTTCTGGACGCATAAACGTAACGACTGCCTCCTTTAGAGACTTGGCGAGTCGCACGCCTTGGTCGCTTGCGCCGCCCATATCCTCGCCCTTCGACAGAGGTGGTACAGGAATCTCTAGTTTTTTCTCAACACCACGCCAGCCTAAAGCCATCACAGCTGCAAGGACAAAGTGTGGATTAGCGTCTGCGCCAGGCACACGGACTTCAAACCGGGTTGCTTTAGCGCTGGCGGTTGGTGGGGTGATCAGCCGGATAGAGGCAGCACGGTGCTCTAAACCCCAAGACACGGTGACGGGGGCCCAGAAGTTCTCGACTAGGCGTTTGTAGGAGTTAACGGTCGGCGCGACGAGCGGCATGATATCCGGCAGGCCGACCAGCAGCCCTGCCAGGAAATGCCGCCCGAGATCGGACAGATGTGCGATGTCCGGGTACTGCGGGGAGGGATCGGGGGTGTCGCGAATGAAGGCGTTCTTCCCGTCGGCTGTCACAAGGGAGATGTGCATGTGCCCGCTGTTCCCGGGCAGTCCCTGGCGTGGTTTGGCCATGAAACATGGGGTAATGCCGTGCTTAATGCCGTAGGCCTTGACGACATATCTTTTGAAGGAGTAAATGATTAGCTCACCATGTCGATCAAGCTAGCCATTGTGAATGACAAGATATTCTTACTTGAACAAGCCTGCCTTGTCCGCCATGTCCTTGGCCTCGCCAAATTGTAATGCCTGTTGCGACACAGGGAGGATTAGCGCTCCTCCGATCGCATACTTGCGTTTCATCCACTCACAGCCTCGAACACGCCTGGTCCACTCTCGGTGTGCCACCCTTCAATATCGCAGCGGAATTGCTCGCAGGCGTCATAGATGCCATAGTAATAATCTTGGTTATGGAGGGGCCGCGTGAGGGAGTATCCGAACATCCCCTCTGTCAATGAGGGCAATGCATCAACTGGGTTCGTCTGGAGGAAGGTCGCCGTCGACGAAGCAGCTCGTTCGGGTGCCGGATGATCGCTCGGGGCGCGGAACTGGTAGAACTCATACTCAGCTGTCGCACATCATGTCAGCGCACATCCAGGTATCACAGACTCATGGTCTGCATTGTCAACAAAATTGAACACACCTCCAGCCATTGCACGATACCCCGCAGCCTCTGCCTTTGCAGCTGCAGTCTTTAACAGCCCACGCGGGCAGGCACACACCGGCTCCCGCGTGTCAGGATCGAAGAAACTGACTAGGAAGAACGGGACATTGTTCTCCCATGGAATGCGACGAAAGCTGCGTAGGTCCGGGATGGCAACCAAGTCGCGATATCCGTTCTCCTTGTTGCTGATTGCTAGCTCCTTGTAGTAGGTTTGATCATGTTGGTCCCAGCCGAAGATAACAGAGCAAAAGCCGAACCCCTCAGATACAATCGAGAGGAACTTGCTCTTCTTCATAAGCTTGCCGCGCAGCTGACCATCCACGTCGATCCCCGCGACCTTGACCATGCGATCGTTCTGGAGGATTTCGGCAACATTCTCGGCGGTGACGTCGAGGTCTGACATGGCGAGGGGGAGCTAGCGAGGACGGGCGAAGCTGAAGCCGCTCAGTCGACAGTGACGGCGGTAGACGTGAGGAGAGGAGGAGGGAGGACGGGAGGGGGAGAGGTTATCACGAGGGCGAGTCCGGTGGCTGCCTTGAAGGAGGGGTGAGAGGTGTACTGGATCGGTGCTTATCAGCTTCGGACCAGGGGGCCGTTCGACTCGGAGATACCGCTAGATAGCGAAGCAGCAGCGCGGTATCGTCACCGCTTAGGTAACAAGCTCCACCGTGCCCCGCGTATACAGCTCATTATTGTGTGGGAAGGGGGGCATTCCACTCTCATCCTGCTTGAATCAGTGAGTTCTTTTGCTTGTTTAACTAAAAAAGAGCCGGTAAGGTTGAGTGCACTCTACAGCTGGTAATGTGCACTCCGAATCCGGCTTTAATCCACACTGCTAACGAATACATGCTGCACAGCTCTCCATATTCAACATGTCTGCTGCCCACGGTCGTCTTCAGGGCAAGAATGCCATCATTACCGGTGCGGCTGGGTAAATCCTCTCTCGCAAGCATCCTCGAACACGATACCGATAGAAAGCTAATGCAATTGACCGGCATAGTGGCATCGGTCTCGAAACCACCATCCTCTTCGCCCGCGAAGGCGCCAACGTTCTCATGGCTGATATCTCAGAGCCTGCCCTTGCGAAGGCGATTGCGAAGGTGAAAGAGGTCGTTCCAAACGCTCCACGCCTAGAGACCATTCGTTGCGACGTTTCCAAAGAGGCCGACGTGCAGGCCATGATCGAGTCTCAGGATAGCTGGGGCGGCACCGATGTGATCTTCAACAACGCGGGCATCATGCATGCCGACGATGCAGATGCCGTTGACACACCCGAGAAGATCTGGGACCTGACCCAGAGCATCAACGTCAAGGGTGTTTGGTTCGGTTGCAAGCACGCCGTGCTCAGCATGCGGCGTAACAAGAAGGCCCGTGGTAGCATCATCAACACTGCCAGCTTTGTTGCGCTGATGGGTGCGGCTACTCCTCAGCTGGCATACACTGCCAGCAAGGGCGCTGTGCTGGCCATGACCCGCGAATTGGCTGTTGTGCACGCTCGCGAGGGTTTCCGTTTCAACTCCCTGTGCCCTGGTCCCCTCAAGTGAGTTTTCCTCGTTCAACTGACGACCTCCAGTTACCCCTCCCTAACCTCTCGATAGCACTCCTCTTCTCCAGGACTGGCTTGGTGACGACCAGGCCAAGCGCTTTCGCCGTGAGGTCCACTTCCCCAGCGGTCGTTTCGGCGAGGCGATCGAGCAGGCCCACGCTGTGGTTTTCCTGGCCAGTGACGAGAGCAGTTTTGTCAACGGCACTGATTTTGTAGTGGATGGTGGCCTCAGCAAGGTTAGTAAGATATTTTTGCTTTTTTTGGATTTCTCCTGTTCTCCTTTTCAATGCATGCAAGAACTCGATGTGCGGGGGTTTTGAGGGTTGCTCAGCCGATCCCCGATCTCATTCACGATGTTATCCTCGTCGTCATACCTGGCAACGATGAATGCGTTTGGAGTCGACTGTTGCTAATGTTGTGTTTTCCTTAGGCATATGTCACTCCGGAGGGCCCCGCGCCGGCTGCGCCTCAGAACCTCGGGCACTAAGTCGGCGGACATGCTGCAAATATCTTACGTTGGACTTTTTGTTCATATTTCGGTTAATCGTACCTCCAAAGATAGACTGAAAACCCCTTATGATCTTCAAAATCGGATCTTTTGTGTTAGCCCAGTGCAATGCAGGACTATCAGCCAGTTTAGTCCTCCGTGGAGTATAGTTCGGCCTGGTCTTCATGGAAAGTGGAGACGGAACCCCATCCGCGGCCCAATGGTTCATTTGTTGGGCGGGTAAATTATCGTCCAGCTCTCTCCATACTCAGCTTGTAAACCTTCAGAAGGATGATCCCCGGTATACATGTTGCCCATACTCAGGCAACTATCTTGAGTAGCATAACAACATGAGGAGTGGCTACTTCATTGTGATCGCATAGTTGACCATACCCATGGGTCCAGGGCAAATCTGTGGCCTGATACTCGTCTGGCGCAGCACCTGATTCTCCACGTCATGCAATCCCCGCATTCCCGCATTCCAGAGCCGGGCGATCTTTAAATTCCGTTGCACCGGCCGAACTCTCCCACGCGCCACATTGCTACTTTCTCCTTTCAACTCTGAGTCCATCATCTCCTCTTATCCCTTCCTCTTTCAACTTCCTACAATACTCTCTTCACTATTACACTATCTACAATGTCTCAGTTCGCTTTCCCGGGTGCCAACCAATCCCACCGCCCACATCCGACGGGCCCGAGCCTCAGACCTCGGCATGGACGCTGGTATGTCGAACCCCCTTAGCAACACCCCCCCCCCCCCCCTGATTCCATAACCCGCAAGCTAACTTGGGTTCCGTCTAGGTATATTCCTCTAGTCGCTGCAGTCGGTCTCGGTATGATTTATCATTGATCAGTTTTCCATTTTCAACATCGTTCAGTGACTGACATGTCCCCACGTGCCAGGATTTGCAGGATACAACTACTATAACGAGGCTAAGGCACGCCGCGAGTACGCCATGCTGGAGGAAGAAAAGCGGATGGCCCAGAACCAGCAGCTAATGGACGCATACGGGAGCAAGGACAGCCTGCACGATGTCCAGCAAGCCCTCGACGCTTACCAGCGAAGCTAAAGAGGGCGGACAGGACTTCCCGTTTTATTCGCGCTGCTGGCAGTTGCGATCATTGCAGGCGTTTCATGATTCATGATATGAAGGTTTTCTATCAGACAACGGCGTTTTAATCGGATCGACTTTTTGAGGGAGCCTTTTCTTGGTTCCAGATTGCATGTGGGCTTCATGGGCTGTCTGGACAGATGTTTCTCATGTTTTAAACCGCTTTTGCCGACACTGGGGCTGAACTTGGACCACCCCAGAGTTCGCTGACGCCACTCACAATCCTTCAAAAATAATAAGATAAACAAATTAAAAAAAAAAGAAAACAAATTCTAAAATCGTTCTCACTTTCGGTGCGCGGCGTATTCTGTAACGGATCCAGTTCATTCCAGTGTTGATAACCTGGGATTGACAACCATTCGAAAGGAAAATAATGCATTTGGTCATTGCGTTACTTCGTCTAGGAAGGCCTAATGCTATAGACAGAATACTCAAGCAGATCATCAGCGGAATCTCGTACACGCATGCTTGTATCGAGACAACCCCTGAACTCACTCAGTCACTACTTGAGTAGAAGCTACTGACAGACCATCCGTCAAAAACGCTATAATCCGCCAACGGAGACGATCCGTACAGCCTTTCATAGTACCGCCGATTACCGCAGTCCTCGGCCGTGCTTGAAATGTTTACGCACTTATCCTGCAGTAGCGCCGCAATTTGCAGGCCTGCATCGCGGCCCTCGAACCACGCGCCGTGCAGGAAGCCAAAGTACTCGGCACTCGTGGCCTCGCCCGCAAACCAGAGTCGGTTTACATTCGCACGCAGATTCTCGTGCATCTCGAGCGTCGTCGATGGCGGCCAGTTCGAGTAGCTGCCATGCGCCCAGGGTGTCATCGTCCACCGGGGGTACATGAAGGCCGTAGGCTCGGGGATGTCGATGTTCGGGTACATTTGGCGCAGGACGGCTAGGACCTGTTGCTTGGTCTGCTCGTCGGATTGGCGTTCGACGCGGTAGGCCTCTTCAGATACTACAGTCACGAATATGATGTTGGAGCCGGGGATAAAGCCCGGAGTGGACAATGACTGCCAGACCGGGTAGTAGCCACGGGTGGTTGGGTCGGCGTACAGGAAGTACTGGGTGTCCTCAGGCCAGAAAGTCTCATTGAACTGCAGGAAGATCTTGGTGTAGGTCCCCATGCTGAACTTCTCGATCGCAGTTCGCTTCCAGTCAGGGAACTTGGGGCTGAAGGAGACAGCGTTATTTTGGAGGACCCCCAGGGAGAAGGTACAGACTGCGTATGCGGCTGTCACACAGCTGCCGTCTTCTTTGTAGATAGTAACGCCATCCTCAGAGTAGGTGACATTGGTGATGATCGAGTTGAGCTGGACTCGGTGGTCATTGTCCTTCAGGAAGGTCGAGGCCTCCTTGAGAATGATCCGATTGTAGCCGCGTTGGTCCCAGACGTAGTTGTTTGCATCGCTGAACTGGTTAAACGTCAGATTCGAGCCAGCAGCTCCAAATATGAAGGAGCTTTCATCGGGGGAGTATGCATCCTCCCAATCTATATTGTCGTCAGATCAGAATATGGTATCATATTATTCGATGATGGGACTCACCCCACTCCCACCATTCAACGGCCTGTCTCGCCATATCATCGACCTTGGGCCGCCACCCGGCCAATGCCAGGCCTGAACGAGCCGTTTGGTCCTGTCCGTTCTGCGTCAAGAGGACTCCGGCCGCCTCGGCCGCATCGTCGTAGAGGTCCTCGAACTCATCCAGCAAGGAGGAGTAGTCCACATAGCCGGTCTCATTGTAGGTGAGAATCGAGCTGTAGTCGGAATAGGTGTTTTTTACACCCCACTTCTTGGCAAAGGTCCAAATGGGATTCTCTAATATAAGATTAGCTCTGTCCAGGCGAGACAACGAGAGAACTTGCGTACCAGGACCCCCTGGTGAGCCAAGGCCTTGCACCTATTGAACAGGAATGAGCCATGCCGTCCCTTATAGTATGATGTAGTAGCAAACGAAAATGTCATACCCAGTTGGCGCCGAGCTCCACAGTATAGGGCTTGCCATTGGCATCCTTTCCAAATTTGGTATGGGCAACGCGACCTCCCAGTGTATCACGGTACTCGATGATCACGAAGTCGTTGATGGACGAGTTCGAGAGAGCTTGCTATGGCCATCATGTCAGCACCTGCACTCTGTAATGAGGACATGACGAGCCTCGTACAGCTGCCGCGACACCGGCCATTCCCCCTCCTCTGGGTAAATGTTAGTCAGAATATCCGCTGGATACGCTTCATCTCTTAGGAACTGACAGAATCGCGACCGTAGTTTTGGTGCATTGCGCGTTCTCATCGCGCACCTTCGACACTGCGCCGGCGCAGGTTTGTACGGCAAGTGCTGCCGCCAGCAATTCTTTCTTCAAAAACATCTTTCAAAAATTGTAAACGCAGGTGGAGCCCAAGAGCGAGGGGCGCTGCTGTCAGCCACTATCGCAATGCTCTGAATAGTGAGATGCAATGGCATTACTTATACTCGTGGACGATAGCAGGCCGCTGACTGATGCCTGCCTTGGCAATGATATTCCTCCAAAGTTTATCAGCGGATCTACCCCCAGTACCGGCGCTGAAGTGGTTAGCTGCAGACTGCATAGGACCGCATGTACCAACAGGTCAACAGGTATATTGACATGATGCCTAAAGGGTCATAGACTAGGGCATCCGGGGAGAAGCCACTAATACATTGTAGGGCATGTCCATCCGAATCCTGACCAAACAGGGAGGAGAAGCCGGGCCGTTCAGGGACTTGGTGATAAGCTTTGCGGAGAGGACAGCTACTCTCGCGCAGCGCCAAGGGGCGGGGCCGATAAGACCATTCCGCTCTGACGGCGGCGGGGCCACGAGGATTGCGACTGGTTACTTTGGTCTACTCGGGGTTGTACATCGCGACGCGCTGCGGCCTGCGGATGGCCCGCGACTGAGCAGCAGTGGGTAACGGAGTCCCACCTCACAATCGCCGATTGGTACGTGACTGGATACCGATCTCTACCTCATCATTCCCCGCATGCTAGCGAGCTACAACCCTGTCGGCGCTATCCGTAACTAGATGCGATAGCCATGTGCTTCGGCGACACCGGGCACTCGGAATACTTAGACACAATATCCTCCGGTCAGCTCAGGTCTTTTCTGTTCATCTTTTTTTATTTTGAATCTCCCTTTCTGCGAAATCCTAGCAAGATGAGTCACCAAAAAGATATGAAAGAGGCTCCGCTGCAAGACGATGACGCTCAGCTGGCCGCGATGGGCCATAAGGCGGAGTTAAAACGTCAATATTCCATGTGGTATGATCGGCGCCAGGATAGTCCAAACCTACGATATACTCACCCGCAGTTTAGGTCAATGCTGGGGCTGGCTTTCGCCGTGCTTAACGTGAGTATCCCGAATAGGCGTTTGGAGCTGAAGTGTGAGTAGTGGAATGATGCTAACCAATGATCCAGTCGTGGACTGCCCTGTCAGCAAGTCTATCGATTAGTTTAACGTCCGGGGGAAGTACCAGTGTGATTTGGGGTTTGTTGACCCATGATTGCTGATCAGCAACCACATAGGAATATCCATCGGCTAACATCTCACAGGTTTGGTCACCGCCGGCTTTTGCAACTTGTGCATTGCCTCGTCACTTGCAGAGTTTCTTTCGGCTTACCCAACGTAAGATGATCGAAGTATTCTGATTTCTCCCAATTCCATTGTTATTGACACATCATGCACCCCTTAGGGCCGGGGGACAATATCACTGGGTGGCAGCTAGTATGTGCTTTTGTCGCTCTATACCTTGAACATTAGCTAATCAAAGCGAAGTCGCTTGGCCAAAATGGGTTCCCATTCTGTCCTGGGTTACAGGGTGGATCAATGTAGCTGGATGGGTATGCAGTCTTCGCATCTGGTCGGTGTCTTAATCACCAACTAACCGCTTCTCAGGTTGCTCTAGTCGCTACAAACTCTCTCCTTTCCAGTCAACTTATTGTGGGCTGCATCTCAGCTATGCACCCGGTAAGATACTACACTTGATACCTAGTAACCCTTGAAGTATCTAACACAACAAATAGAGCTATGTGGCTCAAAGATGGCACCAGTTTCTGATTTATATCGGCCTAACCATGGGAGCATTTGTGATCAATGCTTTCATGAATTCTATTCTGCCATGGATCTACCGCGGTGCCTGTATGACAAGCCCTTCCCCCTTTCAGTCGATTCATTCTTAGAGGCTGATTCCCTAAAGTTACGTGGTCCATCGGTGGATTCGCGATCGTGTCTATCACCGTCCTCGCCTGCGCGTCGCCTGATTTCAACTCAGCCTAGTAAGTTCCAGAGCCATGATCCAGTCCTGTGAGTTCATGCTGATCGGACAGCTTCGTGTTCTGCGATTTTGTGAACACCACTGGATGTAAGTAGTAATTCAGACCCATACTCTAGGCCAGTTACTAACTTACAATAGGGCCTGATGGTGTCGCCTGGTTACTTGGCGTATGAATTTCTTTTCTTTTTGAGAATTGTCAGTCCTTGTACGTCTTCCTAACTCCAATTACAGCTGCTCCAAGGAGGTCTTGGTGTCACCGCTTTTGTAAGTATTCCCTCCCAGGACTGAAGACAGTTAGCTCACTGGCTTATAGGACGCGGTTGCCCACATGATTGAGGGTAAGTTCCGCACTGTTCTGTACTCGCATATAGTCACCTAAAATCAGCCAGAGGTCCCAAATGCATCGGTTGAGGGGCCCAAGATCATGGTGTCATGTGTGGGCATCGGTACCTTTACTGGCTGGGTCTTCTTGGTTGTTCTTCTATTCGTTGCTGGAAATATGGAACAGGTGACCACCTCGGCAGCTGGCCCTCTTCTACAAATTTTCATTGATGCGACGAAGAACAAGGCCGGTGCGATATGCTTATTGATGTAGGCCCTCACACCCCTTTCAAGAAGACCGTTCGCTAATTATCATCAAAGGCTGCCTCTTGTCTGTTTGATCCTAGCCATTCTGAGTGTAATGACCACCAGTAGTCGAATGATCTTCGCTTTTGCACGGTATGTAATCCTCAGAACGGAGTCTTCTTTCGAATTTCGATGCTGATTCTCGCAGTGATGGAGGTCTTCCCGCATCTCGATTCTTTGCAACTGTCCACCCTAAACTCAAGCTTCCTCTCAACGCGCTCATGTTGACCGTCGCTGTAGTGATCATCTTCGGTTGCATTTTCCTCGGTTCTACAAGGTGAGTAGCCTGCGGATCGAACTCTTGCAAGCCTCGATTTGCTGACGTTTCAGTGCTTTCAATGCTATCATCTCTGCCGCCGTTGTGGCTCTGGACCTCTCCTACGCCATGCCTATTCTCGTCAATTGCTTGCAAGGACGTCGGGCTCTTCCAGAGCGAAAATGGAAGCTGCCCAACGCTGTTGGCTGGTTTTTTGACATTGTATGTTTCTTGATAATGTCTTTGAGAAACTACTGGATCTAATCAACCTGTTAGGTATCGCTCGCCTATATCGCTCTGACAACTGTCCTCTTCGTTTTCCCTCCGTCAAGCACTGTTACTGGAAGCAGCATGAGTAAGGCTCCATTTCTAATCGGAATCATTTGAAGCATACAATGATCACTGACTATTCGATTCAGACTACGCCATTGCTGCCTTTGCCATCATTATTAGCATCTCCGCCTTCCAGTGGGTTGTGGATGGCCGTAAGAACTTTACCGGCCCTCGAGTGGATCTCACGATTGATTCCCTGCACGCTGTACATACAACCGAGGATCCAGAGCCAACAGTGCACGAGAAGTAGGTCACACATAGGCCATCAGCGCCGCAAAAAGCCTCAGTGTAGAACAGGGAAGATTGGGATGCCTTTAATTGTCTTTTCATCAGACAAGCCCATGTACTATTCAGGATCTAGAAGGTGTTCATTTAGTATTGAGGGATAGAAGGAAAGGTCTAGATATTAGAAATCCATCAAAGGATCCCAGGAATGAATCGTTTCGTCGACTGATGCCACTTATCCCACTGTTTTCCAAACTTCTGTTTCAACATCTCTTCCTCGTCCTTCACCCTTGTAAACAGCATCATCAGTCCAAGCGTGGAAGTCCCTGCCGCGATACTCAAGCCCCATCCATTCAATTGAGATATAGTGGCCTCCCGGGTCCAGCACCCAGGCGCCCCATCCCATCGCATAAAGAGTGCAGTCGCCCCCAGGGAAATCAGCGCCATGCCAGTGTAGCTCGGGTGCTGCATCCACTTGTATATCCCCGTCGTCACTAGCTGGCTCGGCGCCGCCAGGTGGAATGTGAAATTCTGGCTAAGCCCCCTATAGGCAGCTAATCTGACAAACGCGCCCGTGAAAATCATCAGCAAGGCACCGGCTGTCGTGGTGCTCCATGTAAACAATGCCGGGTTGAGGTTCTGCAGGTGTGGGCACATCTGTGCCATGCGATCGGGCGCATATGTCGGGAGCACTGTCAAGAGCGCGTGATACATGATGGCAGTCACGACGATTCGGCGGATCACAGTCGCCACAGAGCCGGTCATGAAACTAATGCGGTCGGTGGTGTGCCGATCTTTCTGGTCCAGAGGTGGGTTCGGAGGCGTCGCACAGAGGGCGCTCAGGTAGCCTGCCGCAACCACGGCGGCGGCGAGTATTGTGGTTCCTGCTTGGGTCATTGTGGTGAGTTTGCGGACTGTGGATAAAGTGAGAGTTCCAGGGGGTGAGAGAAGGCTATTGGGGCGGGTCCAGGCGCGCTGGCCTACGGCAATGGCAAGGCAAAATGTTGCAACCGAGTTTCTTGTGTTGGGAACGCAATCGGCGGCTGTGGGGAGCGCCCTGCTTCCGAGGCTTGTGATCCACTGCCCTCCTCTCAGAAGCTAGGTAGCACTTTTTCAAGTTTTTTAACCTCACCTTAAAAGTGAGGCATCTGTATACCAATGGAGATACTTACTGTCCTGGCAGAGGTTCATCATTGTCTACTTCATCATGCTGAAAGATAGATAAGCGTAACTGGCATGAATTGATGAATTGGGACATCAATAGGTTTATCGAGGCTTGTGGTCCGAGGACAACTTAGCTGCATAAGAAGGAGAAATAAACACTGCAAATACTTAAGTTGATGATAGTTTTTTACAAATTATCACATCTGTGGAGGTTTTAATGGTTCAATCAAGAGACCTTCAGTCCATCGAGATCACTAAGTAGCCTTTTTGCATGCTAGAAGAAAATAGGGTATATATATATTTTCTGATCCGCCTAGATGCAGGAACGACTCTGCATTCGTGCTATATTTATGTATTGTCCATTTTCAGGTCTGAGAGAAAACTGCAGCGTCTAATGAGATCAGTTCGCTTTTTATTCCTTGGGAAATCCCTTCTGAACCATGCCCTCCACACTCTCACACTGCCCTCGGTCGCAACTATGAGAATGACGTCATAGAGCGAGAAGAGCGAGAAGTGCTTTGCAAGCTACTTACGAATCCCAAAGGTTTCCAGCATTCATGTATGGAGTACCATGTTAATCGAAAACTTCCTGCTCGTTCCCTCGGTGTTGTGGATTGATAAATGGCATTTTGAGAATGAAGTAGGCCCCCACAAAGACAAGCTCCACAACCCATCAGCCCGAACCATTCAATGGTAAGGTACATATTATGACTTGGATCTTTGCTGTAATCTATTCATCCACATATCTATCGAGCATATATTTCAAAAGAATCTGTTCCTAGGCTCTTGAGGTGCACTGAGTTGCCTGAGGTAGAATCAACGGCATTAGAAGGCAATTCCACCAAAGATCGTGTCATGTTGAAGCACTGAGCTCGTTTCATCTGCGTGTCATATTTAATGCTAAACGGTCTAGGCCTAAAATTCATGGCAGACATTGAATGGAAGCCCTCACCACTGATGGGTAGCATGACCCGGAATAAATCGACCTATGGAGAAATAGTTCTCACTGCTTGTTTTAGGGCTTACGCCCGAGCTGCCAAACCTGCAGATCACAAAAGCCACCGATGTCTTGGTCTGCAACACTAGTTCTGGCGGATAAATTGACCCTGTGTTTGAAACTACTACTTTGAGGAACGGAGCTTGCTCCACATTCCATTTCTTGTCAAGCCTTACGGCCCTATACCCTGATTTGTAGATCAGTGCCTCAAATCTATTTTTTGACTGGCGGAAAATGCCGAGTAAATGGTTCAGACGGATTAATTAAGGGATTTCACCCCCTCCAATTTGAATGTCAAGGAAGCACCATCTATTAGACAAGATATGGTTGTCGCTGGAAGAGCATATAAAGAACATCTCATACCTCCGTCCTTGCTCAGAGAAATTTGAAAAGAACCACGAGGCCGGTCGGAATTTTCGAGAACTACCAGCCTACCTTCGCACCATGCCGTCCTTCAACCAAGCTATGTCGATCATCGCAATGACAGCGATCTCCTCCGTGAACGCTGCCTTTGGCCCTGCTTTTAGTACCGGACCTGTTTCTTCTGACTCTTTCATCCGCGAGTCCACTGCTACCTTGGTTCTTCCCAAAGCACCGAGCGGCAGCTCTGGTGATGCATCCCTGTGGGTGGGAATGGGCACCTCCAATGGTGACTTGATTCAGTCTATTGCCGATAACTGGGAATCCAGCACTTGGAGCATTTTTGCCTACACTCTCCTTTCTACCAGTGGTGAGTATTCCAAGCCAGGAGCTCATGAAATTGTTGAATTATACTGACTTGAAGATTGGCAGCTACGACGCAGATGCCTGTTCAGGGTGATTCCTCCACCGCTACTGCAGGAGATCAGGTGACAATGCACTGTATGTGTGGATTAAGTGCCTTAACATGATATTGGGACCAAAGAAGCTGAGACATTTGCAGACAAGTTTGATGATTCCACCGGAAACTATACCCAGACTGTTCTTGTCAACAACAAGACTGTCTCAACCCTCTCCACAAGTGACGGCGAGGCTCAGGGCTGGGGAAGTGCTGTTGAATGCGCGGAGAATAACTGCGGTACTATGCCTGCTCACAGTGAGTTTTTGAATCTCAACCTGGATTAAGAAGCCTTTTTTTGATATCAGTCACACTAATAAGATGGGTTTTTGTCTTCTTCCAGCTTGGATCAACGCCAAAATCATCCTCGATTCTGCTGATCCTAACTACATCAACACGATGTATAAGGGAGAGGGAGTCACCGGTACCATGTCAACCAGCGATGGTGGTAAGACCTGGGAAATCGGTACCATTGGTATTCCAGAATTCACTTTCGGAAGCTCGTAGGGTGGATAAAGCTGTTGGGGAAACAAGACAATTAAAAGTTACCCTATCTCCGCCAGTCACTGGCTCTACCGCGTTCTCGGCACGCGTGGTAGGAAACATTCAGAACCACACTCAAGAGAGTATGATCTATACTATTCCTGTTTTCTCATTTCATTTTTCTCTGATTAAAATTGCTCTCCTGATCTTATGGGATGATGCCATGGACGCTTTATCTGTGTACGCAGCTCGGGAAGCGTCAAGAGTAAAAGATGATCACCATCTAAAGCATCTATTTGAAGCCATGTAAGAGAATGCGGCAGAAAAGTGGGAGCGAAGATGGTGAATGCATTCTGGTGTTGTAGTAGAGCATAAAATTGTAAGTTCTTTTACCAGTAGCTTATTAGGGTGAGGCCTAGGTGGCCAAACACCCCGCTATTCTTACTGTAGATATTAATAGAGTTCTACATGAATGAAAAATGTTTGTATACTATTTTCGCATTATTTAGCATAGTCACCCGAGATTTATGACGTGTTCGGAGATCAAATAGCCTGACTGAGAAGGCGTAACCTCAATCTACAACCCGATTTACGCAAAAAATATGTGGTAACGTGTGCAGGTCTTAGTATCATCTACCTAAGCTAAAGCTAAAGCCAGGACGGCTGTAAAACCCAAGAGGAGGCAAGAAGGAGATCTGTATGACACTGCAGCCCCAGTCTTGGTGGCACTGGCTCCAGTTTGAGTGGCTGTACTTCCCGAGCCACCCCCAGTGCCTGTCGCTGTCACAACGTTGTCTGTTGATACAGCAGTGACTGCGTGCAGTACAGTACCGTATGTCCAGGTAAAAGTGGCACCACTGACAGGGGTGGACAAAACACCGCCCGTATTGTACATAGTCTCAGTACCGTTGGCTGGAAGGCTGTTTGGCTTATAGAATTCAGTGGTGTCACCCGCATCATCAGAGCCATATCCAAGGTCGCCTGCGCAGTCGTATGACGCTAAATAGGGTCCACAATCCTCCCAGTCATTTGGTTCGAGGAGGGCGCTATACCAAGCATCTGCTCCAAGGTCTGAAGGTTTGGTGTTCGGGCATGTACCCCAGATACTGGAAAATGAGATTTAATAAGAACAAAATTGTGGATCTCGTTCAGTAGAGAACTTACGCGGTGACAAATCCGCTCATAGCACAGCAAGTGCAAGCCCGTGAATAATCTGTAATTTCGTCTACCGTCGAAAATTGAGCAAGGTTCGTTTCATTGTTCACACATTGTGTAAGATGTGCAGATATCAAGTTTTCTTTGCGGTCTATTTTGCCAAGGTTGCAGGAGCATCTAGCGGGAGCATCGTCAGGGGGTGGCCAGAAAGGTAATTGATCCATGTCGGTCTTCGCGCAGAGATTGAGAACATCCTCGACTGTCCTCTGGTATTCGCAAGAATAAACCTGATTTTTTCCCGGAGATGTCAGACCAATAATCTGTGATAATGGATATCGCTTTCTGTCAGCCTTACCTGGTTCCAACAACTTGAGGCAATGCAGTCGATTTGGTTGACACTTTGCACGCACCCACACGCATTAATGCAGTCAATTCCTAGATTAGGGCATTGCGTCGCCATACAGCTAGCATCTCCATTGCAAGAGTTATAGCATTCTTTGCTTCCTCCACTGCAGTTGTTGGCGATGCAACTGGCATAGCTAGTGGCTGCGCTCTTGTAGCAAGTGGCAAGTCCCTTCGAGTCGGCACAAATCGAGGAGTCTTCGAAATATCCAACCTCTTCAGCAATAGTCAGAACCGAACTCCCCAGTAAAGACAAAAGAAACCGTGATTTGAGCCCCATTGTTGTAAATGGCTGCGGAAATGAATGGCCCGGGATGCGGCTTTTAAACAGGGTAAACATAGGTACCTTCGTCCGATAATGCTTTCATGAAACCCAGTTCGGGTTTAGCCGAAGGGTCCAGCGATTCATACCTAGTGCTTACCAGGATTCTCACACCGGCCGAATAGGAGTGGGCGATGTCTTGGCGTTGGATGATCTCCGCTTGTCCGGCGACGGTCTGAAATCGCACCTCGTCTATTATTCCCTGGAGAGATCTGAACTGGGAGTGCCAAGATGAAGGGCAGGAATCGAATTTCGTTGGGCCGATCTGCGATCGCGATTCACCCTTCTCATTGGTGTGTCTACAACGACAGCATTGCTGGTGAAAAGCAAGCAATGGACCGGAGCTTGTTTGAGGCACTGAGACTCCGGGATTCAGCAAACCCGATTTCCCCTTGAGTTGGAGTGGCCGATACCTATCAGAAGCGCCAAGGTTTGCGAAAATTAATCCAAGAAAAACAAGCTCGATGAGCGATTCAGTTCGATCATCGGAAATCATTGTTCCAACTGCTCCCAGATTTTCCAACAGAGAGATAAGCTCGCAGACGGCTGTATTAATCTTAGAAGTGAACAAAGAAGATAGGATAATGTATATTCTTCAAAGAATGAAGAGGTGTGCTGCCCGTATTTCGAGGAGATGACTAGAAGCATAGATGGCGGTCCGTAGCACGCCGCCACACCGTATCCATTCTGACGGGACCTGAGGCTCAAAATAAACATTGTGGCAAACGTTATTTCCTTGAACAAACATCAGCCAAGTAGTTAATCACGTCCACCGCGCTTGCCTGAATCTGTTGATGAATCCATTGAACAATTGACGAGAGGGACAGCACGTGCTGGGCTGTTTCAATTGGAGGTTCTCCCTAGCCAGCAGTTCTTATTTAAATGCATCAATGTCCGAGTCGCAGAGGGCTTTTCAAATCCTCGCCCAGGTCAACCAAAGCCTGCTTAAGCTGTTGGAAAAAAAAACATCTCGACTTCATTGTTAACTCTTCAGTTGACTCTGTTAACATTCAATTCATTTCTCCACACTAACGATGGAGTCTGGTAGCGAGTCCCCTCTTGGCCCCAGCTGTACAGCGCAGCACGCTACTACGAGTCATCACTCCACCCAGGCAAAGCGCATTTCTCAAATCAAAACAAAGTACAAATATGAGCGCGATAAGCGCCTGCGACCAGATGGCCTCCGGCAGTACCTCGATCTGATATATGGGCCAGCAAGCATCGAACCGGGAGATCGAGAAGCCCTCGGCAACCCGCAACTTCTTGACAAGATACACCATCGAGCTTTGATTGTGGGAGCTGGCTTTGGCGGGTTACTATTTGCCGTTCGCCTGATACAAAGCGGATTCTGTACCGCTGAAGAAATTATTTTCATTGATGAAGCTGGTGGCTTCGGAGGCACCTGGCACTGGAACAACTACCCCGGCCTGGAGTGTGATATTGAGAGCTACATCTATATGCCACTCCTTGATGACACAGCGTACATGCCTACCCAGAAATACGTGTCCGGAGTTGAACTGAAAGATCATGCGGATCGCATTGCGAGGCAATTCAACCTAACAGATCGTGCCCTTTTCAATACCCACGTCAAAACATTGACTTGGAATGACCGACTGTTTCATTGGGAAGCTCAAATTCTTCCGGGGTTTGGTATACCGACCATGCTCGAAGCCGACATTGTAATTCTCGCGACCGGTCTTCTCAACTCACCCAAAGTTCCCATCCTGCGAGGTGCACAAACGTTCGAGGGTCACGTCTTTCACTCCTCACGCTGGGACTGGAACTACACCGGAGGAACCCCGGATAGCCCAGACCTAGTGAATCTGATTGATAAAAGAGTCGCTGTGGTTGGAACTGGGGCAAGTGCTGTTCAGGTGATTCCCGAGCTCGCCAACTGGGCTGAAAAAGTCCTAGTTTTCCAACGCACCCCCTCGTCTGTTGACAGGCGTGATAATTGTGTTACCCCATTTTCCATGGGCTTGGAGGCAAATCAACCGGGGTGGCAACGACTGAGAATGGAGAACTTCAACGCTTTTGTGTCAAATGAGTATCCTCTTCCGCAGGTGAATATGGTGAATGATGCGTGGACTCGGATGCCGTCCTGGTCCGCCCTCGGAGGCGGACCTGGAAATCTTCATTCGACATTTTTCCATCAGGTGTTGGATCAAGACTACCTCCGCCAGATGAGACTTCATCACCGCATAGACTCGTCTGTTCAGGATCCTGCTACTGCGGAGGCATTGAAGCCTTGGTACCCAGGATGGTGCAAACGACCGTGCTTCAGCGACACCTATCTTCAGGCTTTCAATCAAGACAATGTGGTCCTGATAGACACTGATGGAATGGGGATTCGATCCTTGACCCAAAATGGTATTCTCTTGGATGACATAGAGTATGAGGTAGATGCGATCGTTCTGTGCACAGGATACAGGTATGGCAGCAGCGTGGACTGTGGCAAGCTGGTCGTTACCGGACGCGGCGGGGGCACCTTGAAAGGAAAATCTACCACCGGGATTAAAACCCTTCATGGTGTCATCAGTCGTGATTTCCCAAACTTGTTCTTCCCAGGACCGTCACAGGCCGGGGCCACAGCAAATCAGATGTATGTGCTCGACCAGCTCTCGATCCATGTCGGGTACATCCTATCGACTGTATCGAAACTTGTTTCGAGTAGCCAGCCTAGCGGAAAGAGCTTGAGATTCTCTATTGAGCCCACTGTGGAAGGCGAGACACAGTGGACTGAGCAGGTTTTGACGCGCGCCTATGGGGTCTCAGGTGTTGCCGATTGCACTCCAAGCTATTTCAACCGCGAAGGGCTGTACGCGAAAGAGGCCGTGAGGCTGACTGTCAGCCAGGCAAGCCATTGGGGAGAGGGAATCAAGGACTATGTTGACCGCATCGAGAGATGGCGAGCAAGGGCCATGCTGGAGGGATTCGAGATCAACACTTGTGATATCCAAGACTCCGAAGAAATGTTTACCATGGATCTTTGATCCATTGGTAAAAGATGGGCACTGGAATTCCCCTGGATACTTTTTGTCTGAAATCGCTCATAACTGTTTGACCCAAGAGCCGGGCTTGGGCAATCCGGGAATTTGTCGGTTCCATGGGCTTGTATTTTTATTGAGGTACTACTAGCTTCACAGGAATTAATCAGCCAAGCTATACGCTCAACGAACAATACACACTAGTCAACAAATTGGAAGACCGACGAGTAACCCCTCTCCGTCCCCACGTTCCATCATGAAAGCGACGGAGCATGCCGAGGGCTTCCTCCGCAATCTGCGAACCCATAGACCCCGACAGGATCCGGGGTCAACGCTCAACGCTACGGCACACGCCGAGCCCCCGGAGAGACAATACGTGGCTTAGACAGAAATCCCCGGATCCCGTTTACCCCGGGACATGTAAGGTTCGGCTCTAACGCAAAGCTCTCACCGGCATGCCAATATTTCGATCGCATGTCCGGTGAAGACGAGTCGGCTTGCCTGGTCGGCAGAATATGGGGCGGGCAGCCGGGGGGGTTCCCACACGCTAGGGATGCCGAACCAAGACCTAGACCCTTGAATTAACTGGGGAAAAAGGCGCCATCCTAGCCCGAGTCGTCCGAAAAACCCTCAATGTCACAATGCCACACATCCCGCCTCATTTTACTTAGGCCGACTGGGCGGATGGTAAAGTCGGGGTCTGGCTTGAGCCAGCCCCAATTGAACCATGATTTGAGAGCCGACAAGATTCATACAGTATTTGCCCTTTTAGTGGAAGTGGGGGGAAGAGGGGGGATTGGTAGAGAGTGGTTTTCGATTTTTCCCCATGGCACTGGCTAGCGTGTCGTTTGATTTTTCCTTGCAAATCTCAGGTGGCCTCATGAGCTTGGTTTTCTTAGGTTGTTTCTTTTCTTTTCTTTCCTTTTTTTTTTTCTCCAAGGAGGCGTTCTTGCTTCGTACCCGCGATGTTACGGTGCCGTGCGGCGATGGAACTCTATAGGGAAAAAGTCGAGAAGGGTACACAGAATCCTGGAATTCTCTGCAGAGAAAGAGCAAGAACAAGCACACGCTGATTACTTGGTCTATCGGTGCTAAGATCGGAGGGAATGCTTGCCCGTCTTTTGACAGTTCGGGTTCTCTCCTTGGATCTCCTCCTGGGGGCGAACTCTTGTTGGCGATGGGAATCTAGTCCCCGTCAAACACGTGGAAATTATCTACGAATCGAGCCACGGGCCCATCGCCGTCCGTGCTCTGTTTTTCCCGCTGGGCCTTGGGATGTTTTTTTTTCTTTTCTTTTTTTTATAACCTTTTCATCTGGGTCGTAGCTGGTAGCTGTCCCAGACTTGGGGCCTTGGTGGCCATTTCTTTGATCGATGCGGGTTTTTTTTAATTTATTATTTAATTTTTGTTTCCCATCGATTCACCGGTGAACAGTCAGACTGTGCCTGTGTCAGACTGTCATATTTCCCGGGGCCAAATGAGGGGGATCACCCCCGGCATTCCTCCAAACCATAATCGCAGCTCAATGTCACACACGGCTTTCTGCTTCTGCGAGATCCTCTTTCCAGCCCTAGGCGAGGGTGAGATCGCGGCGCCAAGCATGCGGCCCTGGCCCACGAATCCCCTCACAGGGGTTGGCCCGATATTAGCCCGACGAGCATGCCCAACCCTACCCGTACGCTCTATCCCGATTTCCCAGGGTTTTGGCGGGCAGGGGCTTGTTGGACCCCAATTTGCGCCGATTAAGCAAATACGGGGCCACATTCTCCCTCTGTCTTGCTCTTTTTCTTCATTGCGGGGCAGCCATTAGGGGCCCCACACGCGGGCGCCTCTTGGGGGATGGGGAGCGACTTAGGGTGACTGACTGACTGACTGAGTGGTTTCGCTGCACGAGAGGTGGGACCCGCGAGCCGAGGGCTGACGGCGTGATTGGCTAGGATCCCCGTGGGCAATTCTGGAAGAGAGCGCGAGAACAGGCAACTGAATGGGGGAAATGGGCATTACAGACTTCTGGGGGCTTCTGGGGGTGGGGGAAGCTGTACAGCACCCTCCGGGGGGCTTACGCCTTGATTCATGCGATTGGGCGAGGGGGGTGGCGCGTTGGTGTAGGCTTGAAGTTGAATGCCTACCATTGTGGTCCTCTCCTATAGAGTATCGAGTGTCACAGGCCAGATGCTGGTCCGCGTGTCTCCTGTCGTGTTCTCGACTTTCCAACCGTCTCGGACGGAAAGGGTTTTCGAGCTTTGGGGGGGGGGGGGGGGGCAACGCCTCCCCGAGACAGAGTCACAGAGTAGGGTTAGGCAGTGTGTGTAGTAGACCGGGACAGTCGCGACCATCGCCCATCGACCAATACCTAGAAACGCTTGCCAAGTCGAGCCGTCGCGGGCACGGGCGCTGCTCGGTCCTGGTTCTACCACTGAACTCCAGCGCCAAGAGAAGTGATTGTTTCGCGATGGCGTTAGGTGGTGGTTTCTTACATGGAAACTGTCTGAGGGCCAAGACTCAGACGGATCATTCCTTTTGATTTGATTATTTGATTTAATTCTTTTTTTGAGTTTGGATTGTTTGGCCTCCGGTGCGACCGAGACCTTCGGGATGTAGACCTGGGGCTATTTCTGTCTACAGACCGACAGACGAACAGACGGACAAGCCCGTTTCCCAGGTGGGTTTCCCTGGTGGTCACCCAGATCGACTCGGCCAACTCGGTATCCTCCAGTCCAAGCCCGGACATGGCCGTCTCGCGCGGTCAGCCGAGCGGCTCACGCGACTCGGGGCAGGCGAAGGGCGGAGTCGCGGCAACGACCAGAATAGCTCATCGCTTTGTCGGGGGCCCGAGTCGAGTGCGCTATAGGGGAATAGTGGCACCGAGTCCTAGCACCGAGTCCTAGTCAACGTGGTCACGAACAGGTGAAAAAAAAAAAAGCCGAAGAGGCAAAGAAGAGGAAAAGAGCCCAAAAAAAGCTGTGGCGCAGCGGCTGCCGGAGAAACCACCAATCAAGCGCCGCAACGCCGCGGAGTCGTACCCTGAAGCGGCGCGAGTCTCCGGAGCCGAGGAACAAGCGCAACGAAAAACAACCAAAAAACAACCAAAAAAACCCAAAAAAAGCCCTGACCCAAGCAAAGGGTCCCTTTCCCCACGAAAGAAGTCGGCCTGGACCCGAGCCTCTGTTTGGCTGGCCTCGTTCAGCACCCCTCGATGCTCACATGGCACTCCAATCATTTCGCCCGTTCCTTCGGTTTAGCGTCCAACCCATGTCTGGTTCAACCAACCGGCGGCGGCGTCTCGCCTACCTACGGCTTGATCCGTGCAGACCTTCCCCGGTTTCCTCTACCCGCATGGCTTGGTCCCTTCATTTTCATGGTGTTTTCAGGGTAGCGTGTCCCGCATTAGTCTCGATTCGATCTAGCGATGGTAGGATCTCAGCTCAACCGTCCGACGCTCTTTTTTTTCGAGTCACTCGTCGGGAATTGCACGGGTCGCAACCTCACGGTCCAATCTGCGTGCAGAGCCAGCCGAGTCTAGCACCATCCCCGGCCGTGTCTAGAAGCCGAGAGTGGCCAAAATCCGTAATCAATTACTCGGCCATTCCATACACGGTACACACGATGGGGACTGTATCGTATCGGGGCTTTGCGTGCCCACCCCCTGCCCTGTCGAGCCTGGGGATCTGGGGTGTCGGATCCTGACAGGAGCCCTCAGTCTGCAGAATATAAACCGCCTTCGTTTCCCCCTCTCGTAGTGTCTTTGTTCCTATCCTTGTCTATTCTACTTCTCGATCGACTATTCACACTTCTTTTTTTTAAGCCTTTTGGTCTCACCCTGCACGTTACTACTTCTACTACTTCTACTACTTCTACTACTACTACCACCACCACCACCACTACTACTACACCTCACACCGCAGAGAATCTTTCTGCAATGCCTGGTGGAACTGCTTCCCCCTCGGGCAGCGTCGACGCCCTGCGCGTCGAGGCCCCGGTCACCCTGAAGACGTACCTGATGTGCGCCTTCGCTGCCTTCGGTGGTATTTTCTTTGGATATGATTCTGGATATATCAGCGGTGTCCTGGGCATGGACTACTTCATCACTACCTTTGAGAACCTCGTAAGGCAAATCTGCTCTACCCTGGAGAGGGATTCCCGCAAGTGACACACATACTGATATCATTTTCTTTTTGCTCTTGACAGGACCAAGCAACCACTCCCACGGATCTGTTCGTCGTCCCGTCCTGGAAGAAGTCGCTGATCGTCTCTATTCTCTCTGCTGGAACTTTCTTCGGTGCCCTGATTGCTGGTGATCTGGCCGATTGGTTTGGTCGTCGGACCACCGTTGTTGCTGGTTGCCTTATCTTCATCATTGGTGTTGTTCTCCAAACTGCCTCCTCCAGCCTGGGCTTGCTGGTGGCTGGTCGTTTGATTGCTGGATTCGGTGTTGGCTTCGTCTCGGCCATCATCATTCTTTACATGTCCGAGATTGCTCCCCGCAAGGTGCGTGGTGCCATTGTCTCGGGCTACCAGTTCTGCATCACTATTGGCCTGATGCTGGCTTCCTGCGTCGACTATGCTACTGAGCACCGCAGCGACTCCGGATCTTACCGTATCCCCATTGCCCTGCAGATGCTGTGGGCTCTGATCCTGGGTACTGGTCTGCTTCTGCTGCCCGAGTCTCCTCGTTACTTCATCCGCAAGGGTGACAAGGCCGCCGCTCGCGCTTCCCTTGCCCGCATCCGTGGTCAGCCCGAGGATTCTGAGTACATCGAGCTGGAGCTCAACGAGATCGACGCCAACTTCCAGTATGAGACCCAGGTCATCCCCCAGGGTGGCTACTTCCAGTCATGGTTGAACTGCTTCAGCGGCAACATCTTCCACCCCAACAGCAACATTCGCCGTACTGTCCTCGGTACCTCCCTCCAGATGATGCAGCAGTGGACTGGTGTCAACTTCGTCTTCTACTTCGGTACCACTTTCTTCAAGCAGCTGGGCACCATTCAGAACCCCTTCCTGCTGAGCATGATCACCACCATCGTCAACGTGCTGTCCACTCCCCTGTCCTTCGTCGCCATCGAGAAGATCGGTCGTCGTCCCCTTCTCCTGTGGGGTGCCCTGGGCATGGTTATCTGCCAGTTCATCGTTGCTATCATTGGCGTTACTGACGGCGATAACCCCCACGCTGTGTCGGCCATGATTGCTTTCATCTGCATCTACATCTTCTTCTTCGCCAGCACCTGGGGCCCCGGTGCCTGGGTCGTGATCGGCGAGATCTTCCCTCTGCCCATCCGTTCTCGTGGTGTTGCCCTCTCCACTGCCTCCAACTGGCTCTGGAACTGCGTATGTCTTCCCCTATTTATCCTCTCCACAACGCTCTGGACCAAAGCTTTCTGACTAACATACCTCGCAGATCATTGCCGTCATCACCCCCTACATGGTCGACGCCGACCAGGGCAACCTCGGTGCCAAGGTGTTCTTCATCTGGGGCTCTCTCTGCACCTGCGCCTTCGTCTACACTTACTTCCTCATCCCTGAGACCAAGGGCCTCACCCTGGAGCAGGTCGACAAGATGATGGAGGAGACCACCCCCGTACCTCCGCCGGCTGGAAGCCCCACTCCACCTTCGCCGAGGAGATGGGTGTCACCTACGACGAGAAGAAGGTCGAGACTGCTGTCGTCTCTCAGGTCGAGGTCTAGGCTCCTGTCTTCCATGGTCCCCTCTGACTCTACTTATCTGGACGCCTGCTTGATTCACAGGTTGTCTCGTCTTTGACTTGCAAGCTGGCTGGTTCCGTTGTTTTGTTTAGCGCAAATACCAAGGTGTCATGCGTTTACGTATTTTATGTCGCTGTTCGTTTGTTGATATATTAATGGATGTTGATGAATTGTATTTATACATATAATCTAAATTCTTGAATACCCCAAACAATCAGTCTCCTTCTATTAGTAACTTCGATAGACAGCTAAACAATTTCCTTCTCCCTGTACTTCGGGAAGCAGTCAAAAGATGATTAACCTAATTACTCGATTGATGGAAGCGGGGTTTGCAGACACTACCTGAGCACATTTTCTCATTCCGATGAACCATCTCATGGCAGATGATATCCCTTGTTGCTGCCGCTGTGCAATATACGTGTGATCCTGAAACGAAATTCCGATCCTGGAAGCACAATTTAACCGAATCTAGCAGTGTCACAGCATGTATAACTAACTTCCCCTGATCACGGAAAAGCGGACCTGATGTCCCTTTTGCTGGATGTATTTGGGCTTAACTCGACCAAACCGTTTAGAACTCATTCACAAAATTGTAATCAACGCCACTTTGTCTTTGAAAAGGGGGCGTGCTTGATTCCATTGACCCGATTGAGATGACAAGGCAAGATACAGTGGTCGGAGATCTGGTGGACTGGTTTAAACTCACATGCCTGCTCCTAGAATATTAGACGCATGTTCATGCGCTTTATGAACTAGATAAATTTATCTTCAACCGCTGCTTGAAGTGTTCCTTCCGACTCGGCAGAGGATGTCGATACGACCCACTTTACGTTCGTCATCAATGAGTTACTGCAGCAGGGTGTTAACCTATTGGCAGCGAGACATACAAAATCAGTCCTTTGTTCATCGTGCTCATGATAGGTGCTCTCCACTTTCCTAGAATTTCCTTCTTCAGCGGGCGATCTGACTTCATTCCGATCATCAGACCCAACTTGACCAGATTTTCCGAAACGAAAACCCCCCAACTTCACGGGGCCCTTCAATTCTTGAATTCCATCACAATCTCTCTGATAGTCTATCCTTATCATTTGATGCTTGAGAAAAATTATGGTGTCGCAAGGCTTTCGGCGAATATTACTGGAAGTCAAAATATTCCGCCGCTGTATGTAATTGAGCGATCTACACAGGAATCATATGTACCTCTACGCGCAAGCCAAACAATGTGTCTGGAAATTTCTCATGACCATAACACAGAACACGGATTTAATTCTCTCCATGTATAATGTCAATATAACCGATCCATTCCCTACTGAAATCCTTCCTGAAGGTTGGAAAATACAGATATGGTATTTCCACTATGATGAAATTTGTGAGGTATTTACACTGCATGTTAACTAACCTAAGATGCTCCCAAAATATTCTAGGCTCCATTCTTTAGATCATCAACCGGGCGGCCAAGCGCGCTTCGCAATCTTTCTAAGATACAAGAAAATTCCGCCGATAGATTTTTTTTCCTCCCTCCTCTCTTTCATACAGCAATTCTAGTGGTGACATGGACATGTGGCTTTTCAGGGGGATAAATATTTATCCTACTATTTAATGTCGAGCTTCCCCCGACTCGAATGGCCGGGATTTGCGATCATTTCATATGTTTAAACATGAAATCAAGCAGGAATTTTACTTTCAAATATAGTCAAAGTAACATTCTACGTGATGAATCATGTTCTTTTTGAATCTTTTTGAACCGCACATATTCGGTTCAGGCTGGTGCCTTCCGACTCCCAACGTTTTCAAACAATTGCCCTATGTGTTCAAGCACGGTTGAGCGCCAAGCAATTGCTCGCGCTACTCGTGTGATAGGGGCATAGAACTTGGCAAACGGCATAGCGAGAACACTGAACAAGACAACCTGAGACCGTGTTTCTTACCAAAAACTACTTCGACCGGTGCGTTTTGAGTGCAACTTGGCTACTCCTGCTCGGTTGCCCGTCACAAAACGTTCTCGGCGGTGGAGGATCTTCGGGCAAGCAATGCCAAGCCATCTTGGCGAAGTTTTTCCACGACTATATCGCATTGTTCATCCACAACGGTTTCACGTTGGGAGAGCATTGAGAAATATCTCCGGGCGTAGATATTGAGTTACACTTGGCACAGTCCCAAAATATCGAGAACGGCATTCTAATATGTTTCGTCTTGCCGGAATATCAGTGAAAGTCCAGGACGACGGGGATGCCAAGAAGGGGTACGTGTACGGGTACGTTGCCCGGGGAGTTTCCAAGAAGCCGGGAGCTTCACCACGGTCCTTGAGCTAATGATGCCATTGATGTGGTGATGATCGGCATACTGCCTAGGACCTATCCTATGCCGAGCATTTGTCAACAATGAAGGCCTGGAGGTCCGCGCCACCCGTGACAAAGCTGGAACGGACATTGTGATCAAACTAGGATTCACGATTGGGCCCAACCTGAATTGGAGAGCACCGACAGTGCTCCAGGGGTGTCCACCCACGTCAAGGTCCCCCGAGAGGGCTGAGGCAAGGATGTGTGAGACGGGCGTGCAGTGGCTAGCCGGATAGCGCCTCGTCACCACTGCAGATCATCGGGTCCTCCACTTACCGGGTTCTATGTTGTACAAATGGACCCTATTATCACTCATCCCTAATTCTCCGCGTGGAGAATGTTGCAAAAGAATCTCCTTTGCACCGGCTTGGCAGCAGGCACATGCCATAATTCAACCGTGATTCATCATCTGCGGAATATCTTTCCAAGGCCAGATCAAGCTGAACGGTGCCGCCCCAGTCCGCAAACTTCCGCGGCCAATGAAGAGAGCACATCACAAATCAACCTGAATCCGAATCCACTGCCCAGACTCTATTGAAAGGAACTCGATATGGCGGCGCTTGCTCCGCTGCGGGACCTGGAAACGACCCAGTTTCGGTTCGACCCTGCCCGCTGAATAACAGAGAGCTCCTGATTTGCGGATGTCGAAGGAAGTTTCTCCATATCGATCTTTTACAGTATCATTGAGATGAATGAGGTAGGAGGATTGCGTTTTCCACCATCGGCGAGGCCTCTGCCAATTATTGGCATCTTGGGAATATAAAGAGGGCGACTGTCCAACATGAAATTGTCTTCACGAACATCATTAAATCAAGACCTTCTGGGCTCACAATCTTTTCTTTCGAACTCCGTAATTGATTTGAGTTATTTGATATATACAAGTCATGGTTCACCTCTCTGCTGTCGTCAGCGCCGGCCTTCTCGGTTTGGCGTCTATCGCATCTGCTCATCCCGGCCATGATCACAAGGCCGAGGCCGCTGAGCGCCGCAATTTCGTGGAGAACGCCCAATTGCAGACTCGCAGTCTGTCCCAGTGTGCTTCAAAACTCAAGGCTCGTGGTCTCGAGAACAAGAATGTTGCCCGCCGTGAGAATGCCGTTCAGCAGCTCCGCCGTCGTCGCGGTCTCAATACTGGTGCGTGTTCAAAAAGCGGTCAGAAGCCCTTCAATTGTGTCTCTGTGCTAAATCTACTGTAGCTGCCAAGTTTCTCAAGGCTCGCGATCTTGACAGCGTCTTGAGCACTTCCCACAAGTCTAACTTGACCAATGTCGACTTCTCGACCGACCCCAGCGTTCTGTTCGGATCTGAGGCCACCTGCATTTTGGCTCCCGATGTCACTCAGGGTCCATACTGTAAGTTGACCATACCCAAACTATCTACTCAACTGATCTAATTCCTTATAGATGTCACCGGTGAACTCATCCGTGAGAACATTGTTGAGTCCCAGGGAGGCGTTCCCTTATACATGGACATCCAGTTGATTGACACCAACACCTGTGAGCCCCTGCCAGATGTCTACATGGATCTCTGGCACTGCAACTCTACTGTAAGTCAAAAACCTCTAATACTACAGTTAACTGAAAAGAAACAAATGTTCTGTGAAATAGTGAGACTGAGAGTTCTTGGTATAGGGTGTCTACTCTGGTATCCAGGCCAGCGGCAACGGCGACTCGTCCGATTCTTCCAATCTTGATGCCACTTGGCTCCGCGGTATCCAGGCTAGCAACAGCGATGGTATTGTTCAATTTGAGTCTATCTTCCCTGGTCACTACACTGGCCGCGCTACTCACATTCACGGTATGAACTTCTTCAGTATAATAAGTTCACGGAAGTTTGCTAATTATGATTTCATTAGTCCTGACTCACCCGGCCAACGAGACCTATGCTCAGGCAAATGGCACCATCAACGGTCTCTACTCTTCTAGCACCTCGCATGTCGGCCAGCTTTTCTTTGACCAGGACCTGATCACTGAGGTTGAGAAGACTTCTCCTTACTCGACTAACACCCAGGACCTGACCACCAACTCCGAAGATAGCATCTTGTCTGAGGAGGCTGACACCATCGATCCCTTCATGGAATACGTTCTCCTGGGCGATGACGTCTCTGATGGCATCTTTGCTTGGATCACTGTCGGTGTTGACAGCACCGAGGATAGCGACGTGACCCCTGCTGCTTACTACACTGAGGAGGGTGGGGTCGAGAATGAGAGCTCTGGTAGCGGCATTGGTGGTGGTGGTGGCGGCGGTGGTGGTGGTTCTGCCCCCGGTGGTTCCGGTACTACCAGTGCCAGAGGTGGCCACAGCACTTCTTCTTAAATGATCGAATGGTCTACGGGAATACTATCCTCTTGGATGGCTCCATATCAGATGCTTTGCCTTAGATACGGTTTCTATCTTGAGGCTTTGGATACTGTTCTTCTAACTTTTATTCCATCCTTGTCTCCGAATTCAACCTCTGTCGTGTTTATTGCCTACAGTGATTATACGTTATTTTTGTAACAAAATTTGCAAGGCTCTAGCCTAATCATATGCAACTCTGTCAGTAACACTGAAGAAAAATTTCATGCTATGAGGAGGGCGTAATACGTATGTCGTCTCAGAACAATATTGGGCCCCGCAGGAATTCAAAGTGCGCATCCTACTGCCAGATATTTGTTCTCTTCTCCCTCAGGCTCGCTCCGTTTACCGATCAATTCGCTCTACTCATGATTTTAGTCTTAGAAAATATCACTCGTTATTGAAAACAATTCTTTCCTTCCAGATCAAGACACATGCACCGAGTTCGTTTATTTCTTTTATTATTAAGAGCCCCCTGGCCTCAAAAGCCCGTCGGCCCCTCCATTTTAGGCTAGCTAGCTACTACGTCCAAATTTTTTTTCTTATTCTTATCCTCTCTAGAAAAGAAATGCAAGGTATCATCTGGAAATAAATGGAGATCATATTGGACCTAGGAAACAAATATCATGAAAATAGCTTCAATATTTCAATATAATAAATCGTGATGGCTACTGAGGCCTTGAAAACAACACATTATAAGCGTGCTCCATAGGGCGTCTCAATGATTCGCTCGCAGCTCTCACTCCGACTAATCTCAACCGTCTTATGTATAGCATTAGGCTTCGTGCTGCCTGCATTTCGCGAGGTCCAAACTGAATTCTCCAACTGATAACTTCTTTCATCAGGGTTTGCTCCTATTCCTGCACCTGAGTATCCTTCGCTGTAGCCGTAGCTTTTCTGGGTAGTTCCAAAGATACGCTGTAAAACGGTAAGCTTTCGGAGTGTGGGGAGTGATCCGACCATGAGGCCAATGTTGTATTCGACCAGCATCCATAGAAGGGACTTTGCGATAGAATCTATTTATAAAAGGTTTTAGTCAAATGAATTTTTCTCACTGCTGGGCAAGAGAGGGGAAGAGAAGAAGGGATCCAAGTCTCTGGGCACGCACATGTATAATCAGTGGTATTGTTTTGATAAGCCAGTGTAGGAAGACGAGCAAGGGCTGCAGCGCAGCTCAGAATCCCTGTGTGAACGAATTTATTGGTCAGTAACCTGCCTAGTGCGGTTTGCATTTGTATTCAGATAACCTACCGAGGCCAAAAAGAGCTGAGATAGACAAACGACGTTTTAACGGCATTTGCAGCTTCCAAACACTGGGCATCGGCAGAACAATGATCGCCACATCCACCATAAACATCAGCACACATTGATACATTGTTATTCCAAACAATGCATCGTTTGAAAGGCATTTCTTGTGTTTGATTGAAGAGTCCCAGGTGGCTTGAACAGGGATGCACTGAAGTATCATCGCGATTTCACCGGAGATTGTGAATAGTGCCAGGAATATGATCAACCCCCATCCCCAGTATCTTACACACTGCACAGGGAAGACTCGCATAATGAATGCCAGAAGACTAGTCTTGACCATTGAAGCGACCAGAAGATATACGGCGTTTGCAACGTAAACAATCTGCATATGACTGTCAACCTCGACCGTGATAGAAGGTGCAACGGGGGCCTTACCATTTGCATTGTAGGTAAATCCTCCAAAGGAACAATTGCTTGATGATATCCCACTCCATAGTAAGTCACCACGACTGCTAGTACATCAAAACCCAGTACCAGGATCTGAACAATGCCGCCAGTTAGTATGTTTATTGTAGGATAATAATTCCATACGCACCAGGGCAACAACAACACAGTAGTCATCAAGTCCAAACGAGTGTAGGACGAATTTTCTCAGATATAACTAGTCAAGTCTGCTGTCAGTTCAAGTCTATGAAAGTCTGGAAGATACAAGGACAGCAGAACACCTACCCGGGTTCCACACACTAGAATCATCAGACCAGCTAATGCAAGAGAAACGCCGCGCACTGTATTGGCAAGAGGCGAAGACCCCTCCATCATTGTAGGAGAGGTATCAGTCATGATGGATCTCGGATGGCCCGGATTCTCATCTAGCCATTGACCACGCAATCCTCGCAGGACACATTCACAAGAAGTACAAAAATATGGGGGAGCGCTGCTTCCTAAGGAAATACCGACAGGGGGCCAGAACGCCTCTCGGCTTTTGTCAGGGATTTTAACCCAGATCTTCCATGGACCCCATAAGTAGAGGTCCCCTGGGAGCGCCGGGCCCGCTGGAGGCGAAAAAGCGAAGAGATTCGTGGCTGACGAGCTACCAGCCGTCCTGTAATCCTTCGCGCGAAACGTCTTGAATAAGTCGCGCCATGGTCAACTCTCCAGGCTGCCTTAACTTGCAAAAGGAAGGATGGTGAATCTTGGCTGGTTGAAAGCGCGGGAAATGGGGCCGGAATAACGGTCATCCTGAGCTGTCAACAGTCCCCACTCAGGCGATCTATACTCCATCTGGTTCGTGCGACGACACTAACTCGAATAGTGTCCTGTCAAAACCCCATTCACCATTCCAGCAGCCCGGTTATGCAGCACAGCAAAGAGAGTTCTTCTTCACAATGGCCTTATGCTGTGCACGATTGTCTTGTCGCTGAATGATCGATAAGAATGATCATTTCCTTCGTGCTCGCAAAGACCTGACTACCAATTCCAATTCCTCTCAACATGGATGTTGCATGTCTCCTATCAATTTTACAGCTTACTCCTGAAAAGGTGGCGGCTGTCGAGCCCATACTATCGCAGTTCCACGCGCTGAAGGATTGCGAGAAAAATGATCGCCGCTTAGCTACCACTGAAACGGTTTTCCCCCTGGTCTTTGGAGAAGATGCTAGTGTTCGGACCGATCCTCATTTCTCCGAACGCAACAACACTGTCTGGTTAGACATGCCCTACTTCACCCGCATTTCATGAGAAGGTCTTCTGAAACGTAATCAAATCCATGACAGGTCTCTCAATTGTCAACTCACCCCTGGTGTGATCGTCGTTCCCCGCACAAGCGAAGATGTCGGCAAAGTGCTCGCTCTATGCCGAGGCCTCGATGTGAAATTCTCCGTCCGCGGCGGTGGTCATCTCCAAAATCCAGGATTCACTAGTAACGAGGATGGAGTCGTGATTTCTATGAAGAATTTCAAGGCCGTTACTGTGTCGGAGGATCAGTCGAAGGCCGAGATTGGCGCGGGTCTGACCTGGTTGGAAGTGTACCGAGAGCTCGAGCCCCATGGGGTCGCCGTCACTGGAGGGCGTGTCCCTTCAGTTGGCGTACCTGGCTTGCTCTTGGGAGGAGGTCTTTCTTTTCAAAAGGGCAAATATGGCCTCAGTTGTAATGGCGTTGTGGAATACGAGGTAATGCGACTCTGAAAGGTACCAGCATGATACCAATTACTGACGATGGTGAAGATTGTTCTTGCCGATTCTACGATTGTCAAAGCAAATGCCAATGAAAACAAAGACCTGTTCTGGGCTTTGAGAGGTGGAGGTTCCAATTTTGGTAATACCCTTGCCCTTCATACCTGTCTTTAAAGGCTGGCTCCGTCTAACTAACCATGACGGATAAGGCATCGTCACAAAATTCACCATGACGACGGTGTCCAACAAAGTATGGGCTGAAGGTCGAGTCTTTGCGCCAACCGAAAATAATAAACTATTTGAAGCTCTCATGCGCTTTCATCAGGATGCCGAGAAGGACACAAATGCTTCATTGATTTTCAACTCCGTCCAGGAAGCGACCCTGTTGGTATTCATCTACGCCGAGCATGCGGATAAGCGACCGGCTGTCTTTGATGCTTTTGAGGGAGTCGATTTTGTTGCTCAAATGGTACCTGGCAACAACTACACAATTTTCCAGATTGTAAATGGATTTGAGAGTGTGACTGCAACCGAGCCCAAGAAGTACGCTCTTCACCCCAAAATACCCGTGTTGCTGAAGCTCTTCTGACACTTACGGCCTCTCTTGGATAGCCATGATATGCGAACTATGTCGAGTTTGCCCGATCTAGAGGTTTATAATGCCGCCAGCGAATGCCGCTACCAGCAGGAAGAAGTAATCAAAGACATTCCTGGTGCTAAAATTACCTTCACTCTCCAGCCAATTTCATCGAACGCTATAAGGACCACAAATGCCGGTGCTGGTTCTCCGCTGGGCATTACGGCAAAAGCTCATCAATGTACTTCTAATGCGCATCGCCTGCTGATTCTCGAGCTAACATCAAATAGGGTTCCTTCTTATGACTGAATGGACAAATCAAGAGGATGAGGCCACTGTGCGAGACGCTGCTCGTAAAATTATTGACGCGGCCGAAGTCGTTGCGAAAAAGAACGGGACCTTCCTTGATTTCAAGTATGCAAACTATTCCTCTCGGGACCAAGACCCTCAGTCAACTTACGGCGACACAAATCTCGCGAAGCTGAAAGATGTTGCGAGGAAGGTCGATCCTTCTGGCGTTTTCCAGAACCTTCAGCATGGCGGTTGGCTGGTGAGTCGAACCGGAAACAAGGAATAACATGAGGAACAAGAAAAAGACCCCGGTTATCAATTACTCAATTACTGCTGCCGTAAGGCGAGAAATGAGGAGATGCTACTACCTTTGTGTGACTGGATATGCCCCCAACGTTTAGAAGATATGAAACATAATCTTCAGCTACCCAGGGAGCACCCCAAGAGAAAGTTATATGTCACCACGAAACGTCCCTTGCACCTACTGAATATTAGTATATATGAGAAAATTCAAGAATTTCTACCATAAGCTGTACGGATGACGATGTCTTCACTACTTCCGATTGGCGCGGCAATTGGTGGTTCACAGCCGATTTCATCGTCGTTAGACATTTCAGTTAGCCGTTTAAGACATCGTAGACCCAAGCAGTTTGAAATCATAAAAGAATCGGGGCACAATGTATTGAAGGAGAAGTGCAAGAAGCTTTGCTAAGTTTCCCCCAATCCCGAACTTTATCTCTCGATGTAGCTGCTCTTCACCAAACCGAGCAAGCCTTCTTATCTTGCAGTAAATATTGTGCGAGTCAAGAGAAGAGAAAATGAGTCTTACTTTTTTCGCGTGAGTATGTTCAAGGGGTTCTTTTACCATACTTCGAGACAAATAAAAACGACAACTTGGATAGCGAACACCGCGCATTAATTACCCTCACGACAACAAGCGAAGTCGATATTAAAATACGTTTATAGCTCCAATTATCAATGACAGCATCAAATACCGTGATTAAATTTCTAAATCTTCATCAAATGATGCGTCATCCGATCCTTCAATTGGCGCATAGTTCATATCTTCACTTGAAATCTCATTTCCTACTTTGCTGTTAACAAAGGCTCGACCTTGACTCGATGTTTGAGCTAGGGTTTCGCCTGCCGCTTGACTCTCAAGTCGAGATGCATCTTGAGTGATGAATTGATGGGAGTCATTTTTCGAAAGTTCTACTCGAAATGCAGGCCGGGTGGGTGTTGGTTCGCTTCTATTTATCCCCACTAAGCCTAGTGTGATATCGTCTCTTGGACTCTGTGTTTCATGAACATATGATGTATCCTCGTGGCTTGCGTATTGACTTTGCCTCTGGGCTTGGCCAAGTGTTTGTCGCTGCGATGATTGGTTTTGCACGTAAATCTTTTCGTTCAGAGCCCTACGGCTCAAAACTTTCTCCAAGGTTTCTAGATACAATACATCGTTCGCCGTCGTTGTTGGCTGATGTAGCATGTATCGAATAGCAGTTTGTATTCCGGATATAGCTTCCATCGATGTAGGTATCATTTCGTGTGCAGGAATCGGGATGAAAGGATCATCGAGAAAGGAAGTGTCAACATTTTGGTTATACCAACTCATCTCATGGGACCGTTCAATGAACTCCTCTTCCACGGGATTCAGCCATTCCTCTAGACTTTGCGAAACCTCCCCATTCACCATAAAAGAAGCAATTTTTTCATATAGATCTTTCATTTCTGGCAGTTTTGGCGCAGAGAGATAATTGACACAGGGGTCGATGAGGGTGCTTTTCCGAAAGGCTTTATAGATTGTTCCATTTGCAACATCATGGCGCCAGTTTCGAGTGATCCAGCAGAGTGCATGGTAAAGGCTCATCTTACAGATAGGACTCTGACCAGATTCAAAGCCAGCGACTATATAATTGAGCCATCTTTTTCGGTAATGCTGCTTTAGATGCTGCATGATTCCAAGTGAAAGCGGCTGGCGCACTGTTGGGGCATTGGCAGGTTGTGCCGGCAAATTCGCAGGGAAAAGCTGAATGTGTACATTTGGTGGTGGTGGTGTTGTCTCGACAGCTGTCACATGAATGTTAAAGTCATCTAGCAGCAATAGGACTCGTCTGGAGGTACCAATATGTTGGTAAAAATTTAAGAGCCACTCTGACATGATTTGGGGTGTTACCCAAGCAGGAGGGCTGTGACGCCACTCGCAGTCCAAGGCTTTCAGGTTGACTCCCTTAAGGGCATCCGGATTACTCTTGTGACCAATCACCCAAAGTGGAAGACGATCGGATCCAGTGCAATTGGTGCACACCATCAAGCAGATCCGCGAGCGGTCTTTGTTGAGCTCATGACTCGGGCTACGAGATGCATCGAAGGGAGCTCTTCGCCACATCAAGCCCGTTTCATCCATGTTATATATATTATCTTCTTGGAACTCTCCACAAAAAGTACGAAGTACATGGAGCTCTTTGCGTCGATTTTCGGGCACCGCAGGGGCAGAGCCCTGGTTTTGTGCCTCTATAAGGCGAGCTTGATGCCGTTGCTTGAACTTCCATAACCATCCCTGACTGAATTGAGGGCCAGGGAAATCAACATATTCAGGAATATTTTTGAATATCTCATCTGCTTTGTGAAGAATCTGCTCGCCACTCACTGCACCTCCAATTTGGGCATCTTTGAGCCAATCCGACAAACGCTCATCTAGAATTGGCCACTGGGATGGCCGGTGACGGAGCCTGCTCGATGGAGCTGTAGTATCAAGATAATCATATTTCTTTGACAGGATGGTGGATATAGTAGATTGAGTCAGTCGCCGACCGTAAGTTTGCTCAAACCAGGCAACGCTGGCCGCATGGGTGGGACGGGGCTTTTGGCTCCTTTGCCAAACCCGAAGAGCCTTTTTCTGTACTTCCGGGATGCTAGCTCGGGTTCGAGACCCAGGGGTACTACTCATTGTGCAGAGGGTACACAATAGTAAAGCCGGTCCCTGATATTGGTTGGGAATTTACCCATATTTTAGGCCAAGAACTTGATAAGAGTTTTCGAGTTAAAGGGGCTTCGTTGACGTCGCGCGTCTTGGCACCTAAATTAACTCTCTAATACTGTTCACCGCCTTCACTCACCTCGATTGGAAGATATCCTTCGGAGCGCAGTTTAAAGATATAGCTTCAAATCTCCGATAGGGAGAATTATAATTTCTTTAATCTCTTCCCTTAGACAGTGTTTAGTTTCTCATTAGGAGACCGGCCTCTGTCGTGATGTGTGGTGGTAGTGTTGGCTTGTTCGTTGATCCTTCTTATCCTGTCTGTATATTAGGCTTGCCGACGAGCGCCCTAGTCTATACAGTCCTTCTTATCACGGTAAGCAACGCTATACAATCAATAGTACCTACGATTAGTAGTTTGAAATCTGATGAAATAGGAGGAATAAGTAAATATAGAGATATATATATAATTTATACAATATTTGAGCACCACTCTTCAGCCCCAACGATAGGTTGATAATCGCATCTTCCTTAGGCTTACTCGAGAAAATCATTGATACATATTCTGTATCATGATTGCTTTGTTCAATACTCTTTTGCGCGTACAGATTGTTTATACAGCTCCATTAAATCTCTGGGCCGAGAATCTGAACGATAGCCTCGTCCGCGGCACCTTTCAACCTCATTTTAGGGCTGAGTGTCAATTTAGATCCTTGTCCCGATACAAAATACCTCACTTGACTTGTTAACCCAACATGAGCGTTGAATAAAGACATATTCAACTGTTAGAGTAGTTGAATTTGAAGAGTCAGAGGACGATTCAAAGACAGATGCCCTGTCTTATCCAACACAAGAGTCTATCCTTGGCAGCGGAATCTGTGCCAATGTGATCGTGATATGTGAGAGAGAGCGGAACAAATTTGCACGTAAATTGGAATTGAGACGTCCATCTTCCCACGTATCCGAAAGCATTCTGCCTTGCGATGGTTTGATGTATTCAATCAGGATATAGCCCATCCCTAGAGACTCTGCCTCATCAATTCTATGTGATACATAGAATGAGGAGCATAGGTAACCTAACTATTTTAATACAGCGCGTCGAATGTACTGGATTCAACGGGCAAAAAGAGGCATATTCTCGAGAAGTGTAAACTGCAACGAAAAGCACAGCGGAAAAAATTCGTACAGTTTTTCTATTCGAAAATCCAAAAACATAAAGGCGCGGAATTGGATTTTCTGGACAGTTTTCTTGGAGCCATGCATATCTACCGGTTTTACAGCGGATATTCTCATCCCAATTACCGGGACAGGTCTCCTCATCAACGCGGTATGGCAAAGGGAATCGAACCATGACTTGTTGCTCCAATGTTTGGTCTCTTTCATCAACATCGACGCGGATGCAGACGTTGAAGCTGCCATCTATCCAGTCCTCTACTTCAGCAAGATGGCACGAAGTACCCGAAGCCAGGCCAAGATTTCGTGCTACAATCACCTTGATTAGATGCCGACCTCGATTAGATGCCGATTTCGATACAAATGCGCAAAATATCGAATCTTCTCGTCTTGATATATGAGTTCTTGGGGAATATTGGCGTCTTGCTGCTTTGCAAAAGAGGACGTGATTTCGCCGTGAAGCAAGCGACGTTGCCTGAATTGTCCTAGCGAACCATGGTCTTCGTCTTGAGACATTCTTATAAATTCGTCAATCGTCTGGGAGCAGTGAGAATATCAGAAAACAAGGGCGGTGGTGGAGGAAAAGGAGGCAAAATGTCAGTTCGGGGAAACAAGACTCCTTTGACAAGGATGGATAAGAATACCCCTGACATTCGTACCGGGGGAGCATCAACTTGTTGAAGACCTCCATCTCTTCTGGTCGACAGATATCTGAGGCACATAATCTCGAGCACTTTTCGAAGCTCTGTCAAAATCGATAAATGCAATCCTCCGATCGCGGACAGTAGAAATTGCACCGATGGGTAGCCCCGTGTCGGACTCCTAATCATTGAATAGAGCATACTACAATCACCGTGGCTCATTGCATTGAATCAAGCCTAATTTTTTTTACCTGTTCCTATAATTAAGCTTGCTAATAATAAAGTGCTTTAAATACATATAGACCTGATCGATGCAGTTTTCAAATCCATACTTATATCAAGATCGAATGTCCAGCTTTCTCATCCAAGCAACACCAGCGGAGTCTGAGGTCGCTCTGGGCAGCTGAACAATCCCATCCTCCAGTGTGCCTCCACAGCGTCTCTGGCTCCATCAATAACCTGCATGTGGTGCTTCTCGAGGAATTGAGCAAATATATGCAGGATAATGGTCCGGTCACTGGTGGATGTCGCAAACCTGCCCACGACATATAACGGCCAAGTCAAAGTCGCCATTGGCGTGGACAGAACGCAAACCCGGAGGACACTGTCGAAAGCAGATCTATAAGTCGGACAATCAGAAGTTTGAATGCCCCCACTACCTTCCGTTGGATCAATTGATGCCTTTAATTTGTCCAGCATTAAAAGTCCACAAAACTGATATGATCGCGCAATCTGTACCATAGCCTCTGTGTATGTATCTTCCCCTAGAGGAGATTCAATATGCCATGCGTTTAGAACACTGCTAAGATGCGCTGCGTCATCTTTTATGTCCTCCCCGAGGTTCGATCGTCCGATCAAGTCGGCTAAGCGATACATCAAGGGCCACAGTTGCCCTGCGCATCCAAAAACAGCATCAACTTCGTTGATAGAATAAGGAGTATGACTGTCATCAATGGCCAGGGGGCGTCTCCCAAGAGATAATGCCAACATCACGTTGAAATATTGAAATATTTTTCGAAAGAATATAAATGAAGATGTTTGGGACTCTTCGCGTTGATATTCTAGTAGCACCTTTGCACCCTCAAGATGACACCAGGCATTATTTGGGGAGTTTCCAAGAACAATCTGATTTACATCAACTCTGAAATTAGCTTAGGCCAACAGATGGTACATACTTCGTAATATATTAGGAGCAAACTGCACGCCAGCCAATATCCACACGACGATTCGTCCAAGCGTGGACGAGATAACTCCTCGGCAAGTACTTTCAAGGTTTTTGTATGTAGCTTAGTTGCCCTTTCGCAGGACTCGGATCCAAGGTGATAAAGATGTGCAGCAGCGACAGCTTCCACCGCGCACTGGACTTGAAGAGAATTTGAGGTGCGTGGCAAGACATGAAGCATAAACGGGTTATAGTTGCCCGAGTGTGGAATTGAAAAGGTGATCAAACTCGAAAGATTAGTGTTAAAGTGATGGATAAACCGTGTCGCTGTAGACTTGGGGAGAGCGGGGAGCAAGATCGACTGGCCGGAACCTGTGCCAAAACTGGCACTTTGATGCTGATATCTTCGTTGCCGCGTGTTGGAATATTTGACTGAACTCCAGTCGGGATAGGTGCACTCCACTCGCCTATCTATACACAGGTGGCACGATGGCCGGGTTTCATCACATTTCTTGCGCCTGTTGCGACTATCATCTCATTAGCGCCGGAAACTAGTTCGTATTATTGGAGGATGACAAAGCTCACCAGTTCACGCATCCCCATCTTGACCTCATCTCCTGCCTTCGTGATGACATCGGAGATTGCTATGCGGTGCATTTGATGTCGTGGAGGCTACTGCGCAGTCATGGAGCTCTCCAAAGACACGAAGCGGAGTTCGTAGCGAGAGCCGACGCCGACGCGACCTTTCGGGTCATGTGATGGAAGGTCGCACTGGACTAGAAGTAAGAAAGAAACTTTAAGTTATCGAATGTATTATTTTATTTGCACAAAGAAAGGGAAAGAAACTATAGGTGTATCAATACTACATAGAAAATGCCTGGGGAAGAATCCTGGGTAACAGCCGAAGAGAAGAGAAGAACAATACAGAAATCAAAGAGACCTGCTCTGCGCCATATACCGACTCAAAAACGGAGCCTCGTAGTTGTCGATTACTGTGGAATGTCATGCCAAAATCCCACAATCACCGGTATTCTCGGGTTTCCGGGAGTTGGTAAATGCCACTGCCTTCCAGCTCGGTCGGGCCACGCGTGGCGCGTGAGTTCTGCGAGATATCCCAATTGAACTGACCAGAATCGTGACGAGAAGAAGTGCCTCCATATCCTGACACCGTATCAGATGCAGGGGAGAAGGTTCGCATGTTGGGATCGGGACTTCCAGGACTTCCAACCGATGCGACATCTGTCGTGGCCCGCTTCGTTGCGTTGCTGTCGAGCTCGTTCTTTTGGTATGTGTCCCCGCCTCCATTGAACATGGCCCATCGCGCGGTGCGCTCGGTACGACCATCTTGTGAGGACATCCACTGACTATACACTCGGTTGCGACCCAGGACAAAGAACAAAGCGATCAACGTTGCCACGAAAACGACACAAGCGACGGCAATACCCGCGATAGCACCAGTACTGAGACCACTATGCCCACCTCCAGAACTGCTGGTCACGCTAGATGTAGTGCTTGAATCCGAGCTAGAACTTTCCGTACTAGAACTTCCCGTACTAGAAGTTGAAGAGCTTCCCTCGGCTGGTGCAGACTGGCCTGGAACAAGCATATATGGGTATGTGAGGGCTCGCTGATATTGTGTCTCCCAGGTCTCGCTCGAGTTCTGGGAAAGGAACCTGTCAGTATTTTCTTTTGACGTACACTGCGACCACAGATACTTACCGGATTGATAACCCCGACCATTCCATTGTCCAAACATGACCCGATAGCAGTACAATAGAAGAAGGTTGGCTAATGAATCATTATATTAGATGATCATTCCATTTCCAACATTCTCCATTCTCGATTCATACCTCGGTATCATTGATCACAAGAGACCAAGTCGGTGCCTAGCGGAGATAAATACGTTAGCTCATCCACTGAGTCCTCCAACGCCGGTATCACGGTCATTGATTTCGATACTTACCGCACCAATCAATTGTCCATCACTATTTTCGTCAAAGGTAGTGAACATCCCCGAATAGAAGAGGCCCTCGCTAGCAGGCACACAGGGAGCTTGATAATCAGCTTTGACTACTGAGTGATTTGTCGGGTAGAATTCAAAAACAACAACATCGCCTGGGTTTGCTGTGATATTGTGCGGAACATATGCGTGTGGACTCGATTTGGGCCCAACTTGGATTGTATGTGTTGTGATGCCAGTCGAGGTTGTTGAGATTGTTGAGGTACTCGCCACCGCTGAAGTCGCAATAGCCGTCGTGGTTGAACCGGTACTCGTAGTAATTGTATGTCCTAGTGTCGCAAAAGCAAGCGACACTAGCAGTGTATAAAATACCTGCTGCATGAACAGCATGCTGAGCAGAAAGGGTGAGCTATAGAACTTCCGAATAAATTTTGAGGAGGATGCGTGAAGAAGAAAGGTCTCTCAAGGAAGAGAAATAAAGGTAAGGGACCAGCCATGTTCGGGGCTTAGCCCATGTACATGGCCGAAAGCTCATGGTGTGCTTTGTCTACAAAGTCTTTCTGCTACTTTTGTCAGACTTACAATCCGTCGGATCCTTGAACAGGAATATCGATACGTTGGGCCTAACTAAATACAGTTAATGTTGCCACCCCAAGCGCATCCAACTGGGCCTCCTTGGCCCCCTCACTGTGGTGATGATCCTCGCTCGCCCCCAAAGAAAATAACGTGAGAGATGTGTAGATTTATTCATGTTAAAAGCCACTTTTCATTACAGCCACAGTTACTTTGATGAGGCCTATGGCAACAGCCACTGTTGTGTGGATAAAAGTGAAACACGGTCGGATGAAAGGGGCCTTCGATTAGAACACGGCGACCTGAGCCTTTGTTAATCAATACCCAAAGACGGCCAATATAGTTTTTCTTTATTACAGTGTTTCACTGTAACCATCATTAATGCAGTCAGCATGGCTAGATCAACTTTTCATTGGACGGGCTGTCCGGATAACAAGGTAGACACATGTCAGCACAGGGTCCAGGCACCTTGACCGTAGTCAATGAACAGAGCATCATGAGAATCCGACAAGCTGTTAGAACCCTTTGAGGGCCCACATAGGCAAAAGAAAAGAATCTGCTATCATGCTATCAGTGGACTTTGATGTGATCTGCGCCTATATTGCATAATGTATGGGACAATAGTCACTGTATAAGCGCAAACCTCCGAGTCGAGACTGATTCGCCCATCCTCCGGCTGCCCCAAAGCCACTCAGCCAGCTTCCAGCCAAGTCTAATAAATGAAGACCCCGCCCCTCAGCCTTACAGCCCGTCTCCAGGCGTCCATAACTTCATCCATCGGTCATCCATGTCGCTGCCCTCTTTGTAAAATCTGAGGTCTGTGCTAACACGAATGCGCCCGTTGTGCCCCTCATTCTTGGAACTCGCATGTACAATATACGGGTCATGGAAAACCACGTCACCAGCCTCATATTGGGCAACTAGCCATTGTCGCTGTCTTTCATTCTCTGGCTTCTGATAGAGATCACTGAATTCTCTTGCGTCTTGCGAGAGCTGGCCATACTTTTCCATATGTACGTTGAATGCACTCAGCCGCTCCTTCTCGGACAAAACATTGGCCCGTCGAGTGAAGTCATCTTCGATTGCACGACCCACAGAGACAGAGTCGGATAAATACATTAGACCACCACCATTTGCTTGGATGTCTCCTATGGAGCTTTATTGTTAGCTACCTTGCTTGGTGGATGGAGTTGTAACAGGTCCTACCAAGAGGTACCCAGGCCGTGAGAAACTCGGCTTCCCCTTTTCGAAGAAACAGTTTATCATAATGGACTCCGGTACTGAGTGCATGTGGCGCATTGTGTCGAATCATAGTTCGCTTGAGCAAAATCTCTTTATTCCACTTCATCAAGCCTCGTACAAACTCTCGCAGGTGAGGATGTTCTAGGAGCTGGAGGTATTTCGGTTGAGAATGCGCATCAATCATAGCTTGTACCTGTTTAGACGTTGGAGGTAAGTCACCAGCGCCGATTCCTCCATGTTCGAGAGGGTCATTCATCTCATTGAATATTCCGTCTTCAAGAGCCGATCCTGGCTTTAAAATTCCGGTCGGTTCGTACAGAGTGAAATATCTAGGTGTTCTGTTAGCTGCTGCGCTGCCAGCTTTTTGTTATGGATTACCATACTCTTCGCGAACTCTCTGTACCTCATCCCTTGGAAGGAGACCCTTCACAAAAACATATCCGTCCTCTCTCAATCTCTTCCGCATTTCATCAAAATGCGTGTCCTTGGGCGTAACCCGAAGCCATCCCGCTCGCACAGTAGGGCCTTGATTTGAGCGCACATCAATCATTGCCAAAACGTCTTAATTTGAAATATTCAAATCAATCGGAATAATAGGATATCAAGCAGAGAGAACTCAGTGTTCCTGAATGTTAGCGATCGATGAAAAATACGAGTGTCTGCATTTATGGTCCTCTTTATAAGTACAATGTCGGTATATTTCCGAGCGCAGGACGATTTGGTCGGAGAAATTAGACTTGTGACCTCAAAACTAGCTCAGCCTGTATGTTTCATTGGATGTCGTTACGCCTCCTCTTCTCTGAATATAAATGTGATCATGTGGTCAGCAAGGGCAAGATCCTCTCCACATCTGCACCGATCAGTCTCCCAAGGTTACCCCAACCTTAGTGAATTTTGATTGGTCAGCGTTACGCCGGTCTTGCTCCCAGGTGTATTGCTTGTTTTGAACAGTAAAAATGGTCTAAAGGAAAATATAAAGGCAAATGATACAAGTGGATCAAACTTCAATAAAAGACACAAAGATTCATGATGCCTTTGTGATTTGCCGTACAATATCAAACGCTCCAGCCTTCCGGTGCGCCAGGGGCCAAGACCAGATATTTTGTGAAGGACAACAAATACGTCGCCATTGAGTTCATCTCTCATAAAAGCCATCAATCCCCGCAAATTTTGATTGATAAATTAAAAAATCATCCGGTATTGATGTATTAATTCAGATAACCGGCTTTTTCAAGCCCGGGCTTATGTTTCTTTCTTTCGGAGCCCTCGTTTTTGATCTTTCCATCACCTGAATCCAATCATTTTGACAATATGTCTTTCTAACCCACACTCGTTTTTTAGTAATTGTCAAGAACCTGCATTTCAAGTAAGCCTCACATGTGAGTATTACGACTTATCCATTATGAGATATACGATAGTGATGGCTAGCTAAGACCTTCATTTTAGCAGTATAGACATGCACCACCATTCCAGGTCATAGATATTGCTCTCTAAGCTTCTTTTAAAGATACACTATTTCGACCAATTTTATCTAGTACTAGATTTTAACGAAAATACAGGCGTAGTTAAAATGGCAAGAAAGGTCTGCATGTTGAACAATCTGATCATGTAGCAAATAATGCTCATTAAAGTCATAACGAATAAAGCGCCTTCAAAACCGAATAGCCCGCTATGCCAATAAATCCATGATTCTAGTTACGAATGCATTGATAATCGCCGCTGGCTCTCCTCATCAATAGTTTCACGCGCCTTGACTTTCTCATGAGTGATGGGAGATATCCTCGCCGCGATTATGTACGTACATACCGCAATAATAACCGCCTCAGGCAACATTGTCATTAGCAAATACGCGGTCGGGCTGCCTTTGATCGCATTGAATGACATATTCCCACTGATGACAAAAATGAGCGAGTAAGTTACGCGCACAGCAAGTATTGGAACGCAAATGGCCACCCCTGTCAATGCCCACCGCTCTCCTTCAAAGTATTCAAGCCTGTGTCGCCAAAACAAAATGAACACACCCACCAAGTAGAGGTAAATGACCGTTAGCAAACCCATACTAGCTTGACTCCATGGTGTTGGATCCAGAGGGCGTTTAACATCCATCACAGCGACCCAACCTCCAATAGAAATACCAATATCAATCCAGGTAATAATAGATGGGATCCAGAATATTCTTCTAGCGGCGATTGTAACGACCTTGTTGCTGTTCGAGGCGATTTGGTTAGTTTGTTTTCCTCCGAGAGATTGGGGTACGAGAATACGAACATTCGTTCAAGCATTTCTAACAAGAGGAAGATAATAAGGATCATTCCGAGGGATTCGCAGACAAAGATTGCGGCCCACAGACCTTGCGAGCTATGGTCGATGGTTGCAAGCTTACAGCTCGCACTGATGAGTCGAAGCAGTGCAAAAGCACCAACGCACAACCAGCCAATCTGATGTATGTATTTGAAGTAAATGGCGAATAACAAAGCAGATGCGAAGGCGACAATTTGAGTGACTGCGATGCCGTCACGGTAGGTGAAGATCCCGTCACTCGCCATTTTATAAGGGACTTGTATATGGGATTGAGACCACGGGCTCCTGTTTAAATAGTTTGACAAGCTCTTTCGCTAAAAAATTAAATTCAAAATGGACTCGGTCGTAAACTGGGACGATACAAGTCTTCTCAGAAGTGCTCGAGCTCAAGACTCGAGATGGAATTGTGCAACTCATCGTTCCAAATATCCATGAGCCAGCCTTATAGATGATTGTGAGCTGACATCTAACAGAGCAACTTCTTGGCCGCGTCTTGGCTTTGTGATGCTCTTCTGTCACACAATTCCCCGTGAGCTGTCATTGGCCCACTGCAGCCCCGTAAGGCTCGCGCCTGTGCCTTTTTGGCAACCCTCGCGCGATCATGTGACCAGCGGTCAAATATCCCCCCGAGAACTGATCGACGCGCTTGAATAGTTGTCTAGTCTAGACTACTAGAATAGTCCCCGGTTGAAACCCGAAGGCATGGCATGGCCCAAATCATGAAATTCGACTGAAGTTTCTCCACCTGCTGTATGTTGACTCGCGGGTTTTAACCACTGGCTGAAAGTCCCAAAAGAGGATTGGAGCCGGAATTCCTATCCCAATCGCCACAAAGACCAAAAAACGTTCCCTTAGCCGTGTTAAAGCGCGTCGAAAATGTAAGGCGTTCATATATGGAAGCTTAAGCCTGTCAAAGACCGAAGACAAGTCTCTGCAGCTAAGACAAGGACTGTAAACCAAGTACTAGAGTCCACAATGTGTTCATTTTCATTGCCTCCTTGTGTAGAGTGATCGTCGATGCTTATTTGGGGGTTGGGCTCCACCGGATGAAAATTATGAGTCTCAACCGATATCAGTGTATTTGCGGCATGCGTCAGAGATCATTCATCTACTGCCATCCTGAAAATGCCATCCTGAAAGGAGATAAGCCGAGGGAGCAAATATACCTATATCTTGGTATTGCTGGCCTCTTGCCTGGGGTTGAAATGGCTTTTGAATCAAAAAGCGACACAAAAAAAGAAAAATGGGCCATGGCCTAGACTATAGACTGAGTCATGATGGCTATTCGGTAAATCACCCCGTGTCAACAGTTGGATCCTGGATCGCTTCCTTTGAAGGTACGAAGTTAACTACGGGCTCCTGATTTAAAATATGGATTTCGCCTTGATTATTCCAGTTTGATCTCTATGCGAAGTGGTTGATATGAATTTTGACTTTGTGTACTAGATTGTGCGAATCAAGCTCTTCAAGTAGCTTTCCACTCGGCTTGTATCTTTCAACTCTGCGATCACTCCGACATATCCATCCGGTCTGACCACTGCCAGTGCACCCTTGGCCGGATCAACACCGTAAATGCCGTAGACATCATCCATCTCGTATCCACTATAGAATGTCATTTCCGAGGATTTCTTTATTTCATGTGGGATATCATTCCACATAAACTCTCGTGGGAGCCTGGGATGGATGACCAGTTGTTCCAGTATCGAAGTGGGGAAGTGATTGAGGATGGTGCCAAGTTCAGTAAGTGATTGAGAGGAAACGCCTTGCCAATCCAACAAATCTGAAGAGGTTAGGCAAAGTATCCGGAAACGACCGGTTGAAGCAAGGTCTATTTGAGGTGTTAGAACTTTAAATCAGTCTGTACAACAAGTTGATCTTGCTCTTACCATCATGCAGGTCACGACGATAGCCATCCGCATGTCGGACCAGACGCACATTGAGAATTCTTCGTCCTGGCCGTAAAATTCCTGATAAATAGTCCGTGCCTGTTATTGGGTTTTGACTGTCCCCCAAGGTACGATCAACAGTCATGTTTTCGGGATATTCAATCCCACAGCCACTTGTGAAACCATTGCCACGGCTAAATACTTCAAGAAACTCCTCATGAGTTAATCCTCCTGCGCCATCCTCAGAAATACCAATCTTCCCCGAGAACATCGAAGAGAAATCTCGGTCGAATTTGATAAGCTCCTGTGCGATAGTGTGACGTTCCTTGTGATAGGTATCCAGAATGGGATCCGGTTCTGTCGTGGAGCCCTTTGGTGTGAGCCCATGGATAGAATATGCTAGCTTCCAGGCCAGATTGTATGCGTCCATCATGGACACATTCATGCCCTGCCCTGCCTGTATTGTGGAAAAATCGGTTAGTGCTTTGTTCAATACAGCTTTCTATTCTGAAAATACCTTCGGACTATGTGTGTGGCAAGCTAGTTGAAACAGTTTGTTAGCTGAAAAGTGTGCCATTAGGTGCGTAGTTTGTATTCCTTACCATCTCCAGCAATAAACACACGGTTTATTCCTCTAGAGTCTTTGACTGAAAAGTTGTCCGTGACACGTTGGCCAATCTGGTAAGCTGCCCACCAATCTACAGCCCCATCCTTCTTGGGGCGAATATAGTACGGCTTAAATGCTGCCGCTGCATTTTCAAAGATGGTTTGTTCAGTGACTTGGCTTCGACGAGCCCTCGCATCAGCGGAAGATGCATTCGAGCCTTCCCCAATTTGCTGGTCGTTATCAGGATTGACATCACCTGGAACTTGTACGTATAATCGTGTCAAGTAATCGCCGGTCGCAATTCGCTCCCGGGGGATAACCATGACCGAACCTGCAGGAGAATGAATAGCGCAACGCCTTCTGATATCCGGGAAATCTGTGTCAACAACCAAGTCCACCACACCCCAAATGTGATCAAGAGATTCGCCTTCGAGTTTGAGGCCCATGCATCGCCGCACCACCGAATGCGCCCCATCGGCACCAACCAAGTATTTCGTTCGCAGGGTACGTTGCTTGCCTTCAGTTTCGATCTCCACTAAGACGGGATACTCGGCATCTCCTGCCTCATCGATTTTGACATCAATGAGTTTAGTGCGGCGTTGAACACCCCGCTTCGAGTAACGAAGCAGATCGTTTTCCAGGATCCGTTCAATTCGACCTTGGTGGATTGTGACTTCATGGGGGTATCGAGCCGGGACTGCGACATCGGGGACTATCGAGGTTCGCTCGATGATTTTATCCTTTTCATTCGAAGGGTTCCAGAACGCGACCTTATATATCCAGCATTAAATGTGGTCCTAGAGTGCGATAAGAGGTTGAAAGAAATATACCTGCCACATCTGACAGCCTTCGCAGAGAATTTCGTCAGCTAGGCCCAGAGACTTCAGAGTTTCAAGAGTGCGAGGCTGAAGTCCGTCGGCTTGTCCGGATTTCAAGGTTGTTGCTTTCGCATCAACGCACAGTAGAGACTCGTCACTCAACCCATACCGTGCCAGCAGGAGCTCTAACATGAGTCCCGCCGGGCCGGCACCGACAATCACGACTTCATACTTTTCGTTTGTCCCATCCGATATTATACTTGGCGCGAGGCGTGGCAACGGAGGTGCAAAGGAAGGAAGAACGCGCAGCTCGCGCGATGCTGCGGCAAATTCCGTGAAGACGGGCATGACGGCTGCCCTCGCGATTCAGAGAGAATCCGAGTAGATCAAAAGACCAAGGAGAGGCCACAATCTTTACTTCTAGGGAGGAAAATTACATTTAAACCATGGGGGCTTAATGGGGGATTTATTCCACTGCGGACGCTTTGCGCGGACACGCCGTGGGTATTCGTAAATGGCGGGGAATCGAGGGGCATTGTCTACGCAATGAGCTATCTTCGAATTCGAGCAGATGCCCATGGGTCTTGTGGATCGAATAGCATGGCGAGAGCCAGTGAGAAGCGGTGGACCGTTGGGCTTGCCACAGTTAGGGATTGGTGAGATTCAAGTAATCACAGCGTAATAGCCGTGGCGCTAGGCGAGCGTTGGGGGGGGAATGCCGAGGAATGGTTTGTCGAATGAAGACCAACCTCGGGTTTACAGCACGACGATCTCCCCGCTCAATTCCAGTTATATCCGAGTAATGTTTCTCATGAGAAGCGAGCGGGTGCTATAAGTATCTAAGGGGATAAGTATAAAGTACCTGTAGATCTGTAGATAGGGTGCGTACCTCTATTTTTTTTCAGTTGCTAATCTTTTCAGAAAGAGCCATTTGTTTATTTTAGAAAGAAAAAGACCGAGATTCGATCGACAATCGCAACCAGCAGGGCGTATTTTGTTAGGTTCAACGACCCTTGATTTTCTCGATAGTCAAATAAAAGATAAGCTATAAAATAACTTGAAGTTGTTAGAAGCTAAATATATAAGCACTAATAACTAGCTAGTAGATTAATCGAATAATTAGATTTAATTAGTACTATGTAGCTGCTATCAATACCCGTAGTCCGACCGTGGTTGCCTAGGTACTAATAGGGGCCAATTCTAAAAAAAAAAAATTTAATGTATTGCTGAAGTATAGTAATAATTATATTCAGCGAAAAAGGCCGCCTGCTGAACAGGCACATGCATTATGTTGGGGGCGCAGATAGCGGACACCTGAGGCTCGGCGTGAGGCTCAGCAACCGCACATGTCGCTATTTTAGGAACACCAGTTCACAGTTTCTTGGGGGCCTGAAAACTTCGGAGATTATCAACCAATTGAACAATACCATTGTTGACGATCGGTCAGTATAGGAGCATTCAGTAGGGCGCACTATTATGTGACGGTATCGTATGATGGATTTTATTAGGTCGTTGGGATTGATAATCCTTGGCTAGGCACCTGGGTTAACTGCCGCGCAAAGAGTAGCAAAGAAGTAAATTTTTGACTCGCAACTCCGAGAATTTTAACAGTATATTTAATTTCAACCAACCCCATTCACCCGGTATTAGGATTAATCAAGTCTTCTCGTTTACTAGTAGAATAGAATTCAATTACCTGGCTACCATGAACGGCTACGAAAGGGACCTAGAATCTGGTCAAGAGCAATATGGTATGTTGGGCATTTATTCAACTGCATGACGTTCTCTAACATGACTGTTAGCTCTCCAGAACACAGGCGACATGGCAATAGTGCTCACTAAGCGACGCAAAATTGACCAGGACTTGCGGCAGGTCGCATTAAAGCAAGAGCAACTTCAATCATCCCAGCAAGCTCTCCTCGATTCGACTACCGCAGCCGAAGACTATCAAGCCGGGATTCGCATCGATGCCGTCAAGGAAGAGATATCTGGTTGCTTCCAACGCATTCGAGAGCATGTCGCAAGTCTCAAACGAGACTCCGATATGTCCAATCCACTTATTCAGCAACAAATCAAATTCATCAGTGAAAATGTTCAGCGGCAAATTCAGTTGTACTCTGCAACACAGCAAAACTTCGAAGGCAAGCTTAGGTCGCAAGTACGACGAAGATATGAGATTGTCCACCAGGGCGCGACTCCGGAAGAAATCACTGCAGGCATGGAAGGAATTATCAACGGAGGGGAACAGGCATTTGCAGTACGTTTGTGTGACAGGCTAGACTGGGGGGACCACAGGTTGACATGTTTCTAGATCCAAGGTATGCGAAGTGCACAAGCCATCGAAGCTCGAAATGCTGTTTTGCAAAGATCCGTGGCTATCCGTAGAATCGAGCAAGATATGAAGGCCCTAGCCGAAATGTATCAAGATATTGGATCACTGGTTGAGCAACAAACATACCCTGCTCAAGAAATTCAAGACAAAGCAGAGGCAACCGCCAACTATACCAAGGATGCAAATGAGCAAATGAGTCGAGCGATAATCAGCTTGCGCAATGCGAATAAATGGAAATGGTGGATTCTGCTTGTAGGCGGTAATTATTATCCTAACCGACTGCATCGTACACCTGACTAACAATTTTTTTCAGTTCTTATTGTGGCTGTTATCGTGGGAGGGTGCGTTGGGTGGTGCAAAGTAACAAATCATTGCTAGACGGTGTTTGCTGACAATTACGATAAATATTGCACATGAATGAGACGAGTAGATAATGTCTAATATGACTTCAAAATGACCCATCATAGAGAAAGCCTTCCCAAGTCTTCTTTTGTAAATGCATACCAAATTACTGTTCTGTACAGAACCAATCCCTTTCCACCCGAAAGCGTCTTTGGGGTAATTTGCGGGGGCGGATGGGCGCGGGGTGCGAAACCTAGGTTCACATAGTACTCCGTAATTCCGCCCACAAGCGGAAAGGCCCAAGAGCTATGATACGAATATGACCAAACCCCGGAAAGTACACGATGCCACGGTAAATGATACTGCAGAATTCGGCGAGACGCGGCAGTGCAGCGGGTCACAATGCCGACTCCGGCCTCAGCTGGCGCGATCAGACAGCGCTCGGAAGTTAATGTTGCCCGTGTTAATGCAAGACGGCGGGAATGAAGCGCGATTGAAAGGACCATACAGTAGTCGGCCGCCACAATGCTTCATAATTGGTAAATGAAGCTCCCCCACAACTCGAGTTGCGTGGGGCTTTGACATGGGGGTTTTCCGAGCGTCCATTCACGTCAAAATTGGTGTCAATTTCTTGGCACACTGACCTTCACCTTGTGCAGATCGTGGATACTCTGGGTTCGACAGATGTATAAACGCTGGGTCTATATCGAGAACAGCGAGGCAACAGTGGATCCTCACTGGGGCTCTCTACTAATCGGAAGTTGTCGAATCTGGTTGAAACCGGGGAGGAAACACTGAAAAATTGGAATGGGTTGAAAATGCGTGCAACCCGGAAGTGAGGCCCGAGCCTTGGTAGAAAAACTGGCAAGAGGGGAACCCTGCATGGCCTGTAGTCATTGTATAAGTTTGGAAGCGTGAATAGCATAAAACCCGGAAGCTGTCCGCAAAACTAATGACCTCTTCAGCTAGAAAGGTGTGTGCCATGCAAAAGAAGTCATTCTTGCCCATAACTGCCTACACCACCTTTTAAATTTCTGTTTAAATCCCAAGATAAATCATGAAGCGCCTTTCTCGAGTATTCAGTGGAAGCCCCAAGGCTGTTAATGCAAACGAAGTGAAGGAAGTGAGTGTGTCTCGTCGAAATACCAAGCCTATTGTGGAAGGCCGGTCTGTGGATGAAAACAGACCAATTCGAGTGGTTGTTATTGGTGCCGGTATCTCTGGAATACTCGCATGCATTCGACTTGTCCAAAGGATAGAGAACCTCGAGCTTTGCATTTATGACAAGAACGCCGATATTGGAGGGACATGGTTCGAGAATCGGTATCCCGGATGCGCCTGTGGTACGTTATCATGACAAAATGAAAAGGGGCTTTTACTAACCAATACCTCCTATCACTAGATATTCCTGCCCACACTTACCAACTTACCTTTGAGCCCAATAAGGAATGGTCATCCTTCTACGCACCTGCACCTGAGATACACCGTTACTGGCAGAGAGTTGTTGAGAAGTACGGATGTATGAAATATATCAAATTGAAGCAACAGGTTACCGGTGCGGAATGGGATGAAAGGACCTCGAAATGGCTACTTCAAGTAAGGAACCAGTGACGACTTTTAAAACAAACGCAACTAATTTAGTTCCATAGATCCATAGCTTGGAGGATGGGGCTATATATGCCGATACAAGCGATGTTGTTATTCAAGCAACTGGGTCCCTGAATAACTGGAAGTGGCCCAGTATACCTGGTCTACATGAATTTGAGGGAAAGCTGCTGCATAGCGCTTCTTGGGATGAGGGATATGACTACACCGTAAGTACCCTTTCTGTTCATCAAATATATGTCTCTGATTATTGCCTAGAATAAGCGCGTCGCTGTTATTGGAAATGGGTCTAGTGGTATTCAGATCGTGCCAGGAATTCTCCCCAATGTGACACATATTGATCATTACATGCGATCCAAGACCTGGATTTCGCCGACTTTTGCAAGAGAGCACATAGACAAGCGTGGTGACGGGCTAGAAAACTGTGGGTGAAAATTCCACGAGGCTGGTCCGTGAATCTTCTACTAACTTCTCTTGCTAGTTGACTTTACCCCAGAGGAAATTGAAACTTTCAAGACAGATCACCAAGCTTATCAAAAGTTTCGTAAAGGTGAAGGGTCTATCTTGCATCTCAAAATACTATCTTACAACTTCTAATATAATCAACAGAGGTTGAACTTCAGTTACAATCCGTCCATGGATCTACTCTAATGGGAAATCCAATGCAAATCGGGGCACGGGAGGTCTTTGTGGAAAACATGAAGCGGCGACTAGCCAAGAAGCCCGAATTGGCTGACGATTTAATCCCTTCCTTTCCTCCGGCATGCCGTCGGTTAACCCCAGGACCAGGCTATCTTGAGGCTCTGACGGATGACAAGGTTGAGATGATTCGATCAGAAATCGTCAAGGTCGATGCCACAGGTATTATTACAACAGACGGTCAGCATCGGAAAGTCGACGCGATCATCTGTGCTACCGGGTTTGACACGTCCCACGCTCCTCGATTTCTAATAAAAGGGCGTGGAGGTGTCACTCTTGCTGAGCGTTGGAAAGAAACCCCAGAGACCTACATTTCTGTCGCAACCGATGGGTTTCCAAATTATTTCATTTCTCTGGGGCCAAACGCCGGGCTTGGAGAGGGAAATCTGCTAATTTTGATCGAGAAGTCCATTGAGTACATGACAGAATGTATACGTAAGATGCAGCGAGACAGCATTTGTGCCATGACTGTGAAGAGTGACGCCGTGAAGCGCTTCACGCGGTATTGCGATGAATATTTCGCAACCACAGTTTTTGGTACCAAATGCCACAGCTGGTACAAAGGTGGCACAGAGGATGGGCGGATCGTTGCTCTCTGGCCTGGTAAGTCAGACTCCTATTCACTGATAGAATCTCGCTCACGATGATAGGGTCATCTCTTCATGCGATGAAAGTATTCTCCAATCCCCGATGGGAGGACTTCGAGTATGAGTATGTCAACGATAACCCCAGTGGGTGGTTTGGCGATGGCTGGACCGAGAATGAGAAGCACAATAAGATCCATGTCAATTACCTGGATGATGAGCAAGTCGACTTCCCCCAACCGGCGAAAGTATAGATATCCCTCGGGCAAAGAAGGTTTTGATCCGAACAAGAGGAGCAGCCGAGGTAGTACCAAGTATTTTGTTCCCGTTATAAAGCAATATTCCTCGATAAGAATGCACTAGTCTTTCTAGTTTCCTCAGACGTAGTAATTACTACCCTAAGGTTTCCTGGAATCTCTTGTACTCATCCGTAAGTACTGCGAAGTGGAGCAGTCGGACCAAGTCCGGGCGGTGATGATATCATTAGCCGTATCGTAACAAACCAGCGTTGTTACGCAGCTGAAGTACCTCCGATGTAGCATTGTGCGGGGAAAGGTACTCCCGACTCCCGTTGTTCGCCGGCAATACCAATACCGCACTCTGGCCATCTTCATTCCTCCCCAGACTTGATCCTCAACTCTTGTTACCCCGGATCTCCCTCCTCCCCGATGGACCAACATGAAGCCCACAGACAAGCACTTTCGCTGCACGGTCTGTCAGCGGGGCTTTACGCGCATTGATCACTTGAAGAGACATCATCTTCGACGTAAGTGCCCCGCCCTGCAGGGTTCCCCATCCTTCTCCAACACCCTCCCCCAATTGCCTGCTTATTCTTGGACAGATTCCGGCCAAAAGCCTTACTCTTGCGTATTCTGCAATGAGGCCTTTGCGCGCTGGTATAAAATTCCTTCTCGGGCCTATTCTCGCTTCATAGATTGACGGTTTTGTAGCGATAATTTACGCGACCATTACGGGGATTGCGCCCAGCGCGGCGATCGCCAAATTCCCGAGACAGGCCAACGAGGCCGGCGGCGACATGCATGCCAATCAGTGAGCTTTATTATACAGCGACATATCAATTTGGGAATGGTGGCTAATGGTTTGTTTGCCGATGTATTAGTGTACCTCGATGAAACTCCGATGCGACGGCCAAACACCATGCGAATCCTGCGTGAAAAGAAATCTCACATGTACCAATGCGAGAGAATCTGTCCTCAAAGATTCTGATTTCAATGATTCTGGCAACTCAGGTATGGCTAATCCGGCCATCACGATGATTACAGTGGAACTCATATCCTTTAGTATCGCCGAAGACAATCTATGACCCGCCATCGGACCGCGGATCCATCAAATTTCTACTTAACGGTGGCACTGACAGCTTTACAGAAGCGTTTAGGCTTCCTCCACGCAGCGATCGGGCCCGCGGCATGGTATTTCACAGCCAGAATGGGCTCGAGGACGCAGCTGAAGGAGCATTTGCATACAACGGACCAGGAAATCGACCAGAGTTCGCGCCACCATTTGCTGAACCCGACCCGGCAGCGCTACAATTTTTTCAGGACACATTTTTGGATTTCTTTAGTGGACCTTTTGGTGACCAAAAGCCATTAGAAGATCCATATACAGGTCAAATGGTCTACTCGACGCCTATTGCCTCGGGGCAGAGTCCCAGCCTATCCCTGCAGCCGGAGCAGCCATTATTTGAGCCAGAGAGGCCATTTGCCATGGCCCTCATTCAGTCCATTCTAGCTCGAGCTTGGACAGTGCCGTTAGATGCCAAAGCCCAGGATGAAATATCCACAAATCTGAATTACCTGTTGACAACCGCTCGAATACGAAAATTTGTTTACCTTTATTTCAAATACTGGCAACCTAGCTGCGCCATGGTTCACATTCCATCCTTCGACATGGAGACCGCATCGCTGCCTCTCCTCGCCGCGATCACTTTCTTTGGGGCTATGTATAGTTCGGATCAAAGGGAGGCTTATGTCGCAAAACGACTACTCGACTTCGCTGAGCTTTTCATCTTCTCGAGTGATGTCTATTCGCCCGAGACTGAAGTTGCGAGCACATTCTCGGGCAATCAAACTCCTGATGATGATGCGAGTGACTGGGCCAGATTCCAAAATTTTCAAGCTGGGTTTATTATGACAATCGTCCAATACTGGGCAGGTAGCCGTCCTTCTCGAAATCGAGCAATGGAAAACCGTTTTAGTGAAGTTGTCAAGGCAAGTCATATTGAATGTGCCTTCCGAGGTGCAAATATGGCTAACGGGAACAGGTTGCCCGTCGACAAGGTCTAGTAAAAGTGTGTCACCTTCCAGATAATGAACAATTTGATGAAATCCTCTGGATTCAAACAGAGTGTCGGATTCGGTATTTCTCGACTCGACGATATACAGCTTCATCATCAGCTAACTTTCAACAGAACCATCAGCATCCTCTCTCTACTGGATTGTGCCTTTTTTTTCTATCAAAATTACCCTTGCCGTCTAACTCACTCTGAAATGGAATGCGACTTTCCATGCGAAGAAGCACTTTTCAAATCAGAACATCCATATACAGATCCAAATTTCCGATTCTCTCGTAATCTAACAATATACAAAGCCTTTCAAAATCTATTTGAGCCACCTGAACCTGGTCACCACATATCTGAGAGCAACAAGATGGATCTCACTGTCATGGACATGTTTATTCTTATTCATGGTAAGAATCTCCACTCCATATACTCGTATGTTCGGCTTTGACGATGACTGCTTCAGTCTTGTTCGCTTTCATCAATACACACATGACGCTTGTCGGGTTGCTCAAGCAACAAAGCCTGGTTCTACCGCCTTCGAAACATGAAGCGAATTCAAATAAGAGCATGATTCCCGAGGACTCGATTTTGAGCTCAATACGCACGGCACTAGCCCGATGGCGTGACTATTGGGTTGCTCTAAGGAACAAAGTCTCAAATGATGAATGGGCATCTATGGGATTTTACAAGAATGGATACAACTTCTGGCTTGTATCTCAGTTGCTAATCACCAAGAAAGATGCGGTTGATGTGATAATGCAGATGGAGGTCCACTGTGAAGATAAGCTTGAGAAGTTGAAAGTGTTGCTACAAGATGAGCAAGATTAGGTACTGCAAAAGGTGGACTTTCCCGAATTAACGTGTATTAGATTCAGGAAACTTTCCTGTAAAGGGCATTCTGTATTACTTTGGTCATTTTTTTGGCGTTCACTATGGGCCGGCTAGAGGTTTTGGCGTTCACTCACCATAATCTGATATCCTCGATTCATTGCGCTCCTATTTCAGCGACTTTGCTTGGTGTTTTTTGGCCTCTTTGAATTTTGCGGGGTCTTATATATACTACTGAGAACTGTTTTTATTACCTGTGAAAGAATTTATGAAACAACAAATATCATTTTCAAATTTGAAATGAAGCCACAACAAAAATATCTTTCGACTCGAAATCCGCGTTGCTATAGGTCTGGTGTGTCTCATACTGTTCATGCATATCCAAGGTTCCAGAAATTTTCAATGTTCTTTTTGGTATCCTCGTCCACATAGGCTGGTGGTTCTGCAAATGTGATATTCTGGCCATGCAATTCTGCAACCTTGCCTGTCAGCATGTCGTCGGTTGCGAATTTTGCTACTGCGGAAGTTGCTGTTGACATTGGAGTGAGGGTCATGGACTTGAAAAGGTCAGCACTTGGGGCTATGTTCGTCTCTATTATCTGTCAATATTCCTATTATCGCATTGATTAGGATCGCAGTGACCTACCAATAACAGCTGGAGCTAGTGCATTAATTCGGATCTTGTCCGCTGCCAGGCGGCGGGCGAGTGATCTCACTAGTCCTACCACACCAGCCTTTGTAGTTGCATACATCGGGGCAATGGGAAATGGGTAAAGACCAGCGTTCGATGCAGTACAAATAATCAAGCCGTTCGACGAACATGATGGCTCAATAGCCGCATTTTTGTACATGTAGTGGGTAGCAAGATGCACGGCTAATAAAGTTTTTTTTATCCTTTAGTAAAACACGATCATGTAATCTCTCAGAGGATACTTACTATAAATGACTCCTATCAGATTGACATCCAATGTTGCTAGATTAGGCTTCGACGGTTTCTTATCGTTGTCCTCCTTTGCTGGTAACAAACTCCCTTTCTCCGTGATTCCCGCATTCGCAAAAACGATATCGATTCGACTTTGCAGCGAATAAACTTTTTCAAACGCAGCTGATTGGCTTTCCCATGAAGAGACATCGCACTCTTCAAACGAAACACTTGCCGTTGGAAACTCAGACTGGAGCTGCTGCAGAGTTTGAGTGCCCGTTGTTGGGTTAATATCCAGTATCGTAACATGAGTGTTATTTTGCGTTATAAAATGCCGAGTAATGCCCAACCCGATACCGGACGCTCCTCCTAATGTGAAGAACTGATAAACAACAGATTTCTTTTCTTTCTGATGAGGGTAAAGAGATCTTACCAGTAACGACAATACTTCTATTTTGCGGCATAATTCAGATTTGAGTATATGGCTTAGAAATTCATGTATGTGAATCAATAGCTATATTTCATTCCATGCCATTGCAATCTCGCCTGAAAAAGCCCCCTCGGTTCTTCATTTCCCGCTCTCAAACCTTCTCCACATCCAGTGGAGCTGGGGGATTTCCGACGACTATGTACTGTAGAAAAGCTTGTGGATCTCTGGTAAGAAAAGTCCGGCAATTTCTTTTATCTTAATACACCCAAAACTTTCAAATACTGAACGCTCTTTCGTTTTGTCAAACCTTATCCTTCCTCGGCCAGATCTTGTGCAAGACATCATTCTGCAACCCCGCTTTCGTCTATAACCGATAGTGCGGAATTAAGACCTCAGCAACGGGGCCATGGGATATTTTTAAAGAATCTTCTCGGAAATTTTATGGTGAAGATGGGGTTTTTTTAAGGAATGATTGAGTCCGGAGCTGCCATAGGACTGACTATCAGCGATTTCTCTTCAGAGAGACTAAAGCCACCTAATCAAGCATTCAAGCGATCACTGTTCTAGGTTCACAATAGGCTTCCATGTTCGCATCGAGGTAATATTTTAATAATACGAGGACACTGCCGAACCATTCACGTATGTACTCCTAGTTAAGTAATTACTGTAGGAAATGGTGTCCACGATTTATTTGAGGGACAAGCGGCCTCAGGGTTCATGCAGTGTGATGTGAGGCTTGGGCATACTCCAAGTTAGTACCATGACTAAAGTGCTATTCCAGATTGAACCATTAAGTCCCTTTTGGTCAACGGTAAAACAACACGATGCTAGTACAGCATAGTTAGGTCAGTAAGTCCCCGTGGGGACCCCAACTTGAAGCCATTGTGGGTTTCCCCAAGATGGGGCCGAGGGGCCCCATATTCTAGATCAGCGACAGTATGGAGTTAATGGCCTCAGTTGTGAACGTTGCTCTACTACGCTCATAAGAATGGTGGAAATATCAATGGTATCTCAGAACACCAATACAGTATAATTAAGCACCAAATGCCTGGAATCCGAGCACTATTCTATAAACAAGGACCCGTCCCCCACAAGAATGATTTCCTTACTGGTTCCAAATTGATCAACCTTTCGGTTTGCCAACAGAGACTAGCATTATTACTAGTGCCTATTTATCTAGTCCATCATTTCTGACGGGCAACCTTCTCTTCTGCTCCTTGTTCCTGGGTTGTCGTTCTCAAGTGCGGGGATTCCAGTCCTCATTTTCCAACGCCAGCTCAAGTACATCATTCAATAAGTCATCAAAATGCCACTAGGTATTCTCGATGATGATACTGTGGAGCATATTCCAGGCACTGCCCCTCTCAATGGCTTTCACGTCTCTGATGTCTATGCAGGCATAGAGCCCAGTCTTCTCAAGCACGATTCCACCGGGCAAATTGTTTTGGTTCCTCAGCCGTCAGACTCACCAAACGACCCCTATAATTGGCCTAGGGTAAAGAAAGAGCTATTCACGATCACTTATGGCTGGAGTTGTGGATGTGTTGGAGGTAATAATCTACCATACTTATTCATGAGTTGGGTTCCTCGAGGCTGATCTTTATAATCTACGAGTAAGCCGTCGGTCCACTCCTCGGTGGAGCATTCGTTCCACTTGCCAAAGAATTCGGCGTATCGCTGTCAACCTTTATTTCTGCAGTACAAGGTGGTGCAATCGTGGCTATTGCTGTTGGAAGTCTCTTGTTCAACTCTCTTGCTGTGAAATATGGCAAACGCCCAGTTTATCTTGGCACAACTGTGGGCTTAATGATCTCATGCTTTTGGGCAGCCGAAGCGAAAAGCTTCGAATCCTTCGTCGCAGCACGGGTATTCTGTGGTCTATGTATGGCGCCGATGGAGGCTTTAGTCCCAGCCTCAATAGCCGACATTTGGTATGCATATGTGCCCAGAAATCGACTCGAAATGGTTTTAATACTTTGCAAAGGTTTGTTCACGAGCGTGGACTACGTACAGCTATTTTCAACCTTGGTGTACTAGGAGGAATCAACTTAGCGGTACCGATCGGTTAGTTCACTCTCAAAATCTTTCATGTGATTCCTCTAATTTAGCAGCTGCTGCTATTATTGAATATGGATCGTATCGAATTGCGCTTCATGCCATGGGCGGTGCCTTCGGTTTATCACTGATCATGGTCATATTCTGGATGCCTGAATCCGCGTATTCGAGAGAGACCTTCAACATTGACACTGGGGACACTAATGTAAGTATTGAATTTTGACATTACTTACTTGTAGGTTTGCTAAGCTTTGCTAGATGAAGATCGAAGGGAAGGGAAGTAGTTTGGAACAACTTGAAAACTCTCCAGGTGCCGGTAATCAGCAAAACGTCACTCGGGTCTCTTGGATTGAAGAGCTATCACCATACAGCGGTTACGTGAATGGTGTCTCTTTCTGGAATACTCTCATTCGGCCATTCTATCTCTTAGCTTCGCCATCCGTCCTTTGGGCTGTCCTGCTTTTCACCACTTGTATCTCGTGGCTGGTTGGAATATCTCTCACTCTCTCTCAGATATTCTCAGCACCTCCATATAATTTCTCAGTCGTGGGTGTTGGAGCAACAAATCTGTCTTCCTTCGTTGCCTCCATTCTAGGTACACTGGCTGCAGGACCCTTGATCGATGGCTTAATCACTCGGATGTCTAGAATGAATGGCGGTGTATTTGGTATGTTTCTCAGCTATTCTTCAATTTCTGGCCTTATTAACCAATATACAGAACCCGAGTTCCGTCTTCCAATCATGGTCACGTATCTCCTGTTTACTTCGACCGGCTTCTTTGCCTGGGGGCAATCCTCGTTTGCGCAGGATCCATGGCCAGTTCCTGTCATCGTATGCCTGGGCCTGATCAACTTTGGAGTTCAGCTGGGAACAACTGGAGTCGTCACTTACGTTGTAGATTGTCACCGTGAAAAGGCTGGCGAAGCATTTGCTGCCATGAATTTCATCAAGAACCTTTTTGCGTTTGGCTTAAGCTTCTACATCAACGATTGGATTGCTAATCAGGGTGTTCGCGGCTGTTTCTTTGCCATTGGTGGCATCACCATGGGTGTCACACTTTTCACCATTCCGATGTGAGTTTATGGCTGCGATCGATGGTAGACTCAATATAAACACAATCTAATTATCTCATCAGGTATATTTTCGGAAAGCGCGCCCGGGCCTGGGTCCATCGCCACGGAATTGTTGATAGGCTGTGAAAAGCGTAAACTTTGGTCTGGCAGTAAAGAGGTGATAGAATGGCTGATAGCCCTGGTCTCTAGCCAAAGAGTCATGCAGTACTAGGAAAACCTCTCGCAAGAATCTTTTGTTCAGCCATTCTCGCCAATCTAGTCGTTGCTTCTGACAAGCTTATGTGGATTCCAGCGCTTCGCCTGTTTCTTTTTTCTTTCCCTGGTTAAACTCAGCCAAGCCTAGATGTTTGTTTGATACTCTTTCATATCCAAACTCGGTTATACTCTACCTCTTTTCAAAGAGTCTTCGTATATTTGATCCCTTGCAAAATATCAATGGATTTGGGAATTACAAAGGCCGAATTAACTCCGCTCATCTTTGCCCTGCTTATTTTCTGGTGATGTATCATCCGCCCCATCGCTTCGCTCTGAGTTCTCTTAGTGCCTGATAAGTAAATGACTACAGAGACATGAGCACTTTTCACATGTTCTCGCCGGCGAAAATTCAACGGATTGGGCAAAATTGAATTATTAAAGTCTACTTTAATAGCTGAATTAAAACATGAATCAGCTAGAAGAGGTACAATTCACATCCAACAAGCTGTCATCGACCTGTAAATCCGGCCGCATTAGTATTTCAATTATCTCATAAGATAGTAGCACATGAGAAACTTACATTTGTGCAAGTGAAGGCGTTGTCTCCAGAAGGGCTAGTGACATCGATATCGGTGGCATAGATATCGGAACAGACCTATAATAATCAGATTTTCTATCCAACTTAATTGGTTAGGAGGACTCACGTTTGGACTCGAGCAGACGATTGTTCCAACCTTCGGGTCATACTTTCCGGATGTTGTACCCTTGATGTTCGTGAAGTGGACATCAGAGATGGTCATACTGCTCTATATTTCCCAAAGAAAGAGAGATTAGTTGACTTGAGCACGTAAAATATCTCTGGACTGTTGGGAAATGACATACGGGGTATTCATTGCATAGGGTCAGATTACTCTGTCCGTAGCATTGAGTGACCTCAATCGCGTAGTCAACGTTGTCGATAGTCATCGTATCGTAGGTGATATTCTTAACGCTGCCTGAGCCACCTCCACCCTGCAAATCAGTCGATAAGGCAGAGGCAACACCAGGCCAAACCTTGATACGGGCACCGTCCTAAGTGTTCGGTCGTTAATCCATACCACTGATCCACAAACCTACTTCATTTAATACTCACAGATGCGTTGAACATGGAAATGTTATAGACCAACACGTTCTCAACATAATCAACCTCATTCTTATATTGACCCAGGGAGCCAACGGAGATACCGTGAGAGCCGTTGCAGTGAAGGTTCTGCACAATAATGTTTGTACTATTGGGCTTGAAGGACACACAGTCTTTTGATATGTCAGTTCCTGAAAACAACAATTGATATTCGGATTCGAGACACCTACCATCACCATTGTTGATCACCGAGTCCTGGATAACAATGTTGTTTGAACGATAGACGTCCCTAATACAATTTTTTTGTGTCAAAAAATTGATATCAACTCAATCATTAAAACGCTTACCATCCATCAGTATTCTTCGCGGTATTCTTGCTCTTGCTGTACCCCGAGATATCAATGCCCTCGAAGAGCACGTTCGAGGAATTGGCCACAAAGTGGTACCATTGAGGCGAGTATCGCAGGTTCAATGGCCCGATGGTACCACCATTGAGTCCGATAATGCCCATCAGAATGGGGCGCAGAATGAGAGCATCTGAAGCGTACAAGTCATACCAAACTTGTCCATTGCCATTGATTGTGCCACCACCGTAAACATTGACATCTTCGCCACCAAGCTGGAAGAAGGTCGTCGCGTTCTGGTAGGTCTGGTAGAAGGCATTTGCCTGCCAGTAGTCGGTGTCATTCGTGAACTGCACAGTACCCAGGATCTCTGTCACAGATCGGGTCAGTGAATTTCATGCGTAGCATGGCGATTCCAGGCCACCTTCCTAAGTTTGAGATACGTACCAAGATCTATATGCTTAAGGAATGTCATGTCTAGAGCAGTGCCGATAGTGTATGTCTTGTCGGCATCAAATACAACTTTTCCACCATTGTTACATTTCTTCAGCGACGAAAGAATGTAGGCTGAGTCGTCCTTGCCATTTCCATGGCTAGGGACATGGCAAGTCTTGGTTCGAGCCTGGCTAGCAGGAAGAGGCTTGAAAGGTTGGTGCGGATGGCAGGCATCAGTTCGGGAGTACGATTTGCCTGAAGCTGCAACGCTAAGTGGCAGGAGTAGGCCAATGGCCTGTGTCAGGACAATTGACACCTTCATTTTGGCTAGCGATCAAGGCAATGCTCAAGATATATAGCTTGCGCGCTGTGAAGTGAAAGGATCGGCGGAGCTACGACGTGCGACTACGGAGTCTTTATATGCTCCCTATTCGAACGCTGGAGGTGGGGAAGGACTAATTACATCGCTTTGCGCAATGTGCTCAACATGCGACGACGCTAAGCAATAGAGGGCGTTGTGGACTTGGTGGGGTAAACTCTGCGCGCTCTTCGTCCGGGGAAACGGCATCGTGAGCTGTGGGGAAGCTGAAGGGTGAAGCCGACATCAACAGTGAACTGGCGCGTCGCTAGTGAGTATTTCGGAGATTGAAACTCGAGATTCCGTCGAGGCGGTGATGGTGAGAGTTTGATAGGAGGAAGATCCAGAGTGTATTTCACCGATTGGGAGGAAAATCCCGGGGAAGCCGACCGGGGGTCTGTGGGTATTGCTTCGACTTAATTTCTTGACTGGGGGAACTGGTTCACATATGTAGTGACGCGCTACTATATTGCAGTCAGATGCTTTTGGCAGTGTCTATGCCTTGCCATCATAGGTCAAACACCATTCGTGTCCAAGTACTCGATGCTGACGCATCTCCGATTCTCTACAGCCCTAATGCCCTCTCGGTACGATGAACATCTCAGCAGATCAATTAGAAAAACGAAAAATCACCTTGCCATGTTTATATATACAGCGGGTCTCGGTAGACACAAATATCAGCAAAACGGAATAAATCTTTGATGATCTCGTGGAGTAATGCTCCGTCCGAGATAGATCCCAGGGCCGGTCAAATTGAGGCCTTTCTAAATACCACTCTACTTGCGACCTGTCCGACTTTTCGTATCCCCGCATTGTCATCTATAAAGATGAAGTTCCGTCTACATTTAAACCGACTTCTCACCGACGGCCTTCACGGCATCTTCGGCCTTGTGAGCGACGGCCTTCACGGAGTCGGCGGCCTCGTGCTCAAGCTCTTGGGCAGCTTCGACAGTAGAACCCTGCTGGCTGCGCTGCCACATGAAGATACGCGACACCTGAACAACACCAACGCAGCCAAGGAAGAAGTTAACGGCAGCGAGGCTAGAGGGACGAAGGTTTTGGTTAGCAAGAGCGATGCCTATCAAAATAGAGGCGAAAGGGAATCTCTAGACGCACAGAACATTACGGGGCTTGATGATCAAGCACCAGCGAGTCCAGATGGCGCCGGTGGCCATCAAGGCACAGTTCTGAGTGAGCGACAGCTTCTCAGCAGGACGGTTGAAGTCGGAGATACCGGCGATGACCAAAGCCCACTATCAAAAGAAAAGCATGTCAGCCACAACACTTTCAGTCGACTCCCAGGCGAATTCCCTCGTCATTCTCCATGATTGATCAATTGTCGCAAGGACGCAAACGAGGACTGTAGCTTATCAAGTCTGAGGTGGATCGAGTCATAGTGGTTCGTACCTTCATAACGGGGGCCCTGTAGCACACGCGGTTAGCTTTACCTTGGAAATCACGAAGGACCTTAAGAGAAGTAGATCTAGGGCGTGACATACCAAAAGTGCACAGTCTTCACGCCAACGGGGCTGTTCCACATCCGCTGGAAAGCGCTCTGCTGCTCTGCGGCACCAGCACCGGCCTCGGAGCTCTGGAAGCGGAAACCCTGGGCACCCGGCCGGCGGAATGGCGCAGAGGCATTGCGGAACGCAAAACGAGCGTTGTTGAGAAAGCGGAATCCCACGCGAGACGACGACATGGTAACAGGTGTGGTCGAGGACTGCGACTGGACGGAGTTGTGACGGAAGAAAGGTTGGGGTTTCGAGGGAAGAAGGGCGGGATCGGCCGTTGATCGGGGCGAGTGAGTTTTCCGTCGGGCACGCCACAGAGAAGCACCACCACAACCAGAAGTCAATTCACACGAGAAATCGGTCTGAAATACAGCTTTCAGGCCCTTATAAATCAATTGAGACCCTTTCGAGTCTCTCTGGTCGCATCGCTGGCGGTGCTTTCCGGATGATGTAAGCAATATACGCTAGTCTGTTCCTGGACTAGCGGCTGTCTCTCTTTGCTGAGCGAATCACCGCCGTCGTGAATAATGCACCTCCGGCTTCATCTCGACTACGATACCCCTCGGCCTTGCTTTCCCTCTCCTCTCTTTTCCCCCTACCTCACTGCCATCCGCCATGTCGGGCAAGTACGTCTTCACCAAGGGCCTCAAGGAGCTCCGCTTCCTCTTCTGCCAGACCTCAGAGCAGAGCGCTGCCACCCGGTATGTTGACCGTCAACCAAAAACCTCCAGACACTCCCGTGCCTTGAGTTCGCGAGTTCGCTTCTCAATACTCTAAGGCCCCGTTGACTAACGCAATTGATGTCTCTCTAGATCCTTCCTCAACCGCGCCTACCCGACCATGAAGAAGCACAACCCGCACACTCCCATCATGATGCGCGAGGCTTCGGGTACCCAGCCGCGAGTCTTTGCCAGATACGGTACGACCTTACTACCCGCAGCATTCATAACAATCAATTGGCAAAGTACAATGTCACTAATGTATTTCTGGATGCACCATAGAGCTCGGAAAGGAGAAGCAAGAGACGCTGTCCGGTATGCATCCCCCGCATGGTGATGACTCGACCCGAAATTCCATCCGCTAACTTTGCAACAGGCCTGTCGGACTCGCAGATTGAGGAGCGCATCACCAACCTGGTTAAGCAGTCTTCATAACGAATTCCCCTTTCGCCTTCTCTACTGTCCCGCTTGTTCCTATCGCACGTTTCTCCCCATTACAAGTCCTATGTACCTATAAATGAAATCGAGACCCTCAAAATCGGACGATTATTCACCCATACCCAATGGGATTCCTTATATTTACACTTTTTTTCCAACTGTGCTACTATAGCGAACTAGAATTATTGGACAGGTCTCCGAACCGATACTGCGCCCAGCTCATGCTACCTTCCTTCAAGGTCCAGAGCCGCTTTCCCAGATCTACCCCAGCAGCTCCGGCGCCAATATGGATGGGAAGCAAGTGGTCGAAGGTCGGGTGGGCCTGGCGAGCATCTGGCCGCTTCAAGAGATCAGCCATTGCTTTTTCTCGCTCGGCAGGCAACTTGGTCACTGCTTCTTTCAGGGCTTCGTCAAAGCTAACTGTGTACGGCATCGGGCGCGAATTGCCGAACGAAAACCGCAAATCACGCAGATTGTGCACCGCCATTCCAGAAACAATAATCAAGATGTTCTCCTCGCGCAGTTTCGCGACCGCCTGGCCCAGCCGATAGTGCTGTTCCGGATCCTCCGTGTTGAAAAGGGAGACCTGCACAACGGGGACATTCAAGGGGTTCGACTCAGGCTCGAAGGCTGTATGAAACTATCAGCTGCGGTTTGGATGCAACTTTCGCTTTCGGGCAACATACCGCACTTGAAGCTTGCCCAAACTCCGTGGTCAAGACCGCGCTTTACGCCCTGTGCCTCAATGCCTGTTGCCTTCAACGCATCAAGCACTTTATGCGCCACTTCCTTGCTGCCCACATTGGGATATTTCTCCTTGTAGTAGTGATCAGGGAAGCCGTAGAAGCTGCCGTTGACTCGATTAGCGGATTCTCAGATCAAGGAACTTGCTCTTTTTTTTCTGCACGTACTCGTAAATCAAATCGGTCATCTCGGCTGTGTTGACATAGATGGTATCCCGGCCACCCTGCCAATGCGCAGAGAACACGACCACAGCACGTGGCTTAACCTTGGTTGTAATCTCGCGCCCGATCTCGCCTAACTTCCTATACGCTGGATGCTCCGTGTCATACATGACGTTCGGCTAGGAAGTAGATTAGCGCATTTCAACCCAGAGGGACGCACTTCTCCCCGCGCCAAAAATAAGAAACAAAGCTTACCCCGCCATGGCTGAGGAAATACACAGGCGTCTTCATATTGGCGCTAGGCAGATCTCCCAGTTCAGAGCTAATGCTTGCCTTCGCAGTACTCGCCGTGGCGATAGATGCCGACGCAGAGAGTGGTGCACCAGCGGAGCGAGCGGCGCGTGACGAGGCGCCGAAAAACCGTCGGAAGGGTGACAGATTGGCTGTGTCACGCCAAAAAAGGGCGATTAGGACGGCTGTCACGATAGAGAGCAAAGACAGAATGATCAGCTTTGGGTTGCTGGTCGGTAGGTGCTTTGATCCGGATATATGATGCTGATGTTGGGTGTCCTGGCTCGCTTCGGAAGACATATATACCTTCGAAATTAGGAGACGACAATGGCAGCTGACAGTCGGAAGGACTCGAAACCTTGGGAGGTTGGGTGTAATGTACGTCGGCCCCGATGCGATATCAAGTCTCTACCAGGCCTGCTACTGCAAATCGCGTAATAATCAATTATTCAGAATCGCCGTTGGAAATGTAAATCCGCGTCGGATGTACGGGGTGCCGATTGCATAAGCCGATCGGATGAGGGTGTGTCAGCGCGGAATGGACCCGCACCGCAGCGCTCGGATGCCAGTGGAATATTGGAATCTATTACAGACAGCTTGGGTTCAGAGTCTTCTCTCGGACACTAATGTGTAGATAGTACGACAGTAACGACATATACACTAACAACTCTTGAGAGAAATCTTTCAGCAGTTCTAGTGAACAATTCTATCAAATGCAAATGCAGCTAGGCCTAGCTCCAGGGTATTCGCGCCCCAAGTTATCGTTATCCCGTACCAGTCATGACTTAATTTCCGCCGCTAGGGAAAGGAGGAAATGCACAGCGCACAGCACCCGCGAATTGTCATCATCAAAAAGCAACAAGAAAGGAAGAAAGAATAAAGGGGTGAAAATGTAACCCAAATCAACTCGTGTAACAGGAGGGGGAATTGTACAGTCCAAACCTGAAATGAGAAGCCCTGGCCAGCACTTTTCATCTGTGCTGGCCAGGGAAAAACAACACATCAAGCGCCGGGGTTCATTAGGAAGATACAGGTATGCAGTAGGGCCCAGTGAAATGCAATGGACTGCAAACAAAAAGAAAAAAAAAATAGAAAACGTTGGGTTTCCACCATAGAGCCAGCCATAAAAACGAGATTACATGACCACGCAATCTCCATCACTCTGTTTGTTAACCGCAGAGCGTGAGAGTCGAGTCTTTTGCATACGGCTGCCACCTTTCTTGAGATCCTCAAGACGCTCCCGAGCCTTGGGGAATCCTTGCGCTGGAAGAGAAAGACAAGTTAGTGACGGTGCACATGATGTACGAGAGTACGATTGCGGTTAGATAAAGGCTTACCTGCTGCACGCCAGTACCATCGTTTGGCATCATCCAGATTGGCAGTGACGCCAATTCCAACCTCAGTGAAGTATCCCATGGCGTACTCTGCCTTGGAGAGACCAGCAGTTGCGGCCTTTCGGGCCCACAAGTAAGCCTCGGTGTCATTCTGCTGCAGGATACCATCTGATCCAGTCAGGTACCAACCGCTGAGCGCAAGCTCACTCTGATGCTCGCCCTGGGCGGCCGCACGAGTGTACCAGATGATACTCATACGGTTATCGACAGGACATCCCATCAGACCATATTCGTAAGCCGTGCCGAGGCGAAACTGAGAGAATTTGTAGCCCAAATCAGCAGCCTGATGGAAGAGCTGGGAGGCATATTGCTCGTCGCGGACAATGATGTCGTTGCCACTAGCATTCTGATACATCAGCGCCAACTCATGGAGCGCATGAGGGTTCTCCTCATCGGCACGCTCTGCTGCACGTTTCAGCCACGAAACTCCCTCACGCGGGCTACGGGCTTGCCCAAGTAGACCCTTGAGATTGATCATGCCCATCTTGTACATAGCCGGCGTGTCACCCAGAGCCGCAGCACGCTTGTACCATTGCACAGCTTTGAACGGATCTCGTTTGGTACCGCCGCCTTCCTCGGCGCCGATCTCGCAACACACTGCCACACGGTATGCAGACTGTGCGTGACCTTGCTTTGCGGCGGAGTGGTACAGGGAAAATGCTTCCTTCGCATCTGTCTCCAATCCCAGAAGACCTTCGCCATAGCAATCGGCGAGGTAGAATTGTGCGTCTGCATTGCCAGCCGAGACAAGTTTCTTCACGATCTTGTATGCATCCATGACGTACTTTTCTTTGGCCTTGGCCTTTGTTTTCGGGTCGAGCCGACTATTGTCAACCACGAGGACGGTCGCTGCTTCAACCAACTTCTTGGCGAGGAGGAGCTGTGTCTTCTGGTCGGAGGGGTTACCTCTCGCTTTCTGCTGTAATTGCTGCAATTCTTCATGTGTGACTGGCTTCGGGCCCGTTGGCTCATTGGGCATCGGCTGCGGTGCAGCTTGCGCCGGAGTCGGGGCAGAGGCAGGAGCTGCAACCTGGGTAGCATTATATTGGCGAACCGGGACTGGCTTTTGATCAAGCCCAGGGCGGAAAGGCGCTGGATGGGATGGAAGAGCATCGGGGTTCTGTTGAGGTTCTAGGATCTCAGGTTGGTCGTGAGGAAAACCGACAGGGTTGGGAGGATATGCAACATGGCCATTTGAAGGATAGTTGTGCATGTCTTCATAGCCATTCTGATATCCGCCTCCATTAGGCGGGTACATCGCAGGAATCGGTGGGGCCTCTCCTGGAATATCAAACTGAAAGCCGGCATTTTCAAACTGATTGACAGGAGCATCCGCGCCGCGGAGATCAGGCTGAGATCGAGAGCGAGGAGCTCCTTGGCTTGACTCTGGAGTATATGCTGCATACTGGCCTCCTGCGGGAGAGGTAGGAGTAGTTGGGGTTTGAAGTACTGGCTTTGGAGGAGTGTCGAGTCCCATCTCATCCATCGGCCCAGTAGTTGCTGAGGGCATCGCGTCAAAATTGGGCATATCGGGCTCATCATCGGCCGACTCTTTATCATGTTCTTTGTCGTAATAGCTGTCCAGAAATTCCTTAGGCGCATATGAAATCCGGTTTGCTGGATCGTTCGGGATCATTAATCCCATGTCCATGTCATTTACGGGCCGACGTGGAGGTCGCATTCCACCCGCGGTGTTCGGACGGGTTGGCATTTCGCCCATGTAGCCACTTGCATAGTCCTGTTCTTGATAGGTTGCCTGACCAGGGTACATTGTGGGGGGGTTCAGCGGCATGGTCGCGCTTCGACCTGGTCCGCCCATGGGGGGGCCATTGGGATCCGTGTAGGCACGATCAGGCCTTCCAGAGCTGGGAGCTCGAGTTGGACCAGGATAATAACCCCCACGGCCTCTACCAGGAGGGGGTCCTCGCTGGGGCGGTGGGCGCATGTCCGGACGACGTCCATTGGAATTGGATGTGTGAGGTCGAGGCGGGGGTCCTCTGCCATTAATATCCATCGCTGCCATACCTCTGTCTAGACCTCGGGGGTCTCCTCGAGGGTCTCCTCGAGGGGCAGGGCCCCGTCGGTCTCTCGGGTCTCTGGGGTCTCTACCGGGAGGCACCGAAGGAAATGGGCCATCAAACCCAGGGGGGCGACCGCCCGCTGGAACGTTGTTAGTGTCAATTATGTTCGCCTCCCCAAAATTCAGTCGGTCGGAGCACATACGAGTTCTTGAGCGACTTTGTCCGGGTGGCGGGCGCCGAGGATCTAACCCTCCCGGGCCAGGTCCAGGCGGCGAGCGCATCGAGCGAGGTTGTTTCGACGAGCCATATGGCTGGGGACCAGAGGAACTAGACTGGTAACTGTATGTGGGGTCTTCGTATCCTTCTCCTCCTCCATCAGGGTAGCCATAGCCTCCGTTTCCATGTGTATCTCCATAGTCAGCGTCTGGCGCATACCGAGGGCCCGCTGACGGCGACGTGGGACTGTTGTATTGCCTCATGGGAGGTGGCCGCTGAGCAGGCCTCTGGGAGTAGGCCATCGTGGTCGCTCAGGAACAAGAGGTGTCGCGAGAGTCGACCAGGGGGGTAGGATGGGGATTTGTGATGGCGCAAGTCGGGTCGCATGCAAGGAGGGCCTTAGTCGTGGTCAGCGCACAATTCGTCTCCGCACGGGAGAGTCCACGTGCCCGAAGCACGACGAAAGACAACTTACCCAGAATACACCTCCTTGAACAAGATCGGTTGCGCGCGCCAAATTGCAGACAGCGCGGGGAGGAAGGAAAGGGACGATATCAGGTTGATTAGGGTGATTAGGTTGAGGGGGTGGGCGGTCGGGGGAAGTTGACGCTCTTTTAATTTACCCTAAAAGCACTAACGCGATCCCAAGGCCTACGAAGGACCCAAAAAGACCCAAACGAGACCCCACCAGGGACTTGCCGTCATCAACGGGATTTCGGGGAGCTTGGGCTGCTCGGAATTCTAGGCAATTCTTCCGGTTCGGTTCTCCGTTCTCCAAGACAATTGCTCTGCTGTCTCATCTCACCACTTCCGAGATGTCCGTTATCTGACCCAACAGGCGTCCTCAAAGCGCGCGGTTATATGAGCGTAATCGTATCGGAGTGCCTGACGATCCTGGGGGAGGACGGCCCCTTACTAGGCGCTTTTGCAGAAATGGGGCCGACGCAAGCCCGTCACTTTACCGGTCCAAACGACAATCATTGTGGCTAGCAGCAACGAGATCCTGTACAAAGCCATGAAGTTCATGAATGGAACGTTCTCCCTCCCTCTGTCCGGTCATCGAGGACATGATACAAATTCAGAGGACGCCTCGGTCATTCAATGCTGTTGAATGAGCCTCCCACCCATCTCCACGTCCCGATGACTTTTACGTTTTCTTAGCGGTCGGTCCCCACCCTTCACGCTGGGTCCCAATGGATTCCATGGATCCCTAGAAATTCCATGGCCCTGGAGATTGTCGTTCCTTTCCTTATTGTTTGGTTTCTCTCTGCCCAACTGGTCCCGTTGGGCCCTTCGGAGAACCACAGTGGTCAAACGAGGAAATTACATGCTAATCCGATCCAAGGGATGACTAACAAAGGGCCTCCCGTTTCCCTCACATCCAAAACAGAGTCAGCAATGAGGACGAGATGTCCAAAATTGAACCCCCTCAATGCATTCCCATGGACGAGGCCATCAATGAAACAGGGACATAGAGACCGACGTCACATGGTCTTGGTTTCCGGGGTGGAGACGTGCAAAGGGGCCTCTGATCTTCTTCCAACCCCCTCCACCTTCCAAAACGTTCCTGAGAAGCCGGGAACCAGAGAGCCCTGAAACATTCCGGTGCTGCGCCACATCAAAGCCACACTCGCGCCGCATTCTCCAAGGGCTCTTGACATCATGCGACCTCACTTGACCCGAGTCATCCTCCCCAAGTCAGACATAGCGGTGGCTGAGAATAATGTGGGATGTTACCGTAGCAGCTGTGTTGAGTCTCAAGTGCGAATGGCAATTGGACGGTCTTATTTTCTAGACTTCGTCGCTTCGACCCTCACAGTTTCATTCGCTAAAAATCCCCTACCGCGGCCTCGGTTTCACGTTGCCAGCTTTGAACACGAGATGCATGTGCTATGTTCATATGTTATTTCAGTCATAATGCCGGTTCACAGTTGGGAGATATGCAGAAAACCAGAAGAAAAACAAATTATAACCATAGCCAACTACGTATTCTGGGTCTCAAAAAGGTCCTAACCTACAAAGCCCAGCCCCAGGCCAGATCAACTGCGAGGCATGCTGCCACATAAACTCTGTGGAGTATGTGACATCCCCAAGTTGGTCTTCTGTACATCTTGAAAATTTCTTCCCCCAAATAACGTACAAATCATATACATGATATATCTGTGATAGTATACGCAAACATGAAGAGAGACATACTGTGATCTGACCCATCGTCCAAAGAAACAAAGCAGGAAGTCTGCTATTCAAGGTGCAAAGCACCATAGCTATTACCAGCCCCATGAAAATAGAACTCTTGATAGGCTACGTTGGCTGCTAGGTATATGAATATACGAACATGTGTAGTGAACGGGAAGTCGCAAGACTGTTGCTGGCTTGTAATCTACTTATGCTTCACCGAAGCCTTATCATATATTCCCAGACTTTCTCTACATGTCACTCAATACCCAATTGATATGACTTCCCAAACTAATAATGTATGTAGAGCTAAAAGATGGCGGTTCGGGATAAAACGGACTGGCAGTTACCTACTCTGCGGAATCACCTCCCCTTTCTCTACGCAGACTTCACATCTCGTTACTTGATGGACAGAAAGTACGTTTGATTCTATAATCTTCGCTTACATGATTTCAGCGCAAATTATATTATAACCTCAAGGATTGTGACTTTGCTCCACCTGTCTGGGATCGCTTGACACCAGCCACTTATGACGCGATCCCTACTAGGCATTCTACATAGTGAGAACGAACGGCGGCCAAGGAGATCTCACTCGGCATAAGATTTACTTATTGTCACTTCAATATTCTTATTCTGCTTCCAATACGCGGTAATTGAACACGAGACGTCTGCGCCAGGATGCACATTTCCAAGTTTTCATGAGAGAAAAGAGAGTTGGTGCAGTTGACAATATTCGCAGTTAGTTCACCGCTACCTTACAATGATAGCAAACAGTGCCAGTCCAAGCTACAGAGCAACATTTGTGATTGTCACTGATATATTCTAATGCAAATCCGAAATATGTCTCCATCGAATTCCAGAAAAATTACGCGATCACTACATTCAATGTATGTCAAGTATGGCAGCACTAGAGTATTTGATCTATGCTTCTATCTATACGCTATACCGATATCCCTTCCACCTTTTTAGCTTCTTTTTAGGTATTAGCTAAATGTTCAATCACTTGAGGCTTTTAGCGGCGACATAGGCTATGTATATTATTGATGACAATACAAGGGACTCAAATATGCACAAAGAGCAAAGTATGCTTTTGAACAGATCCTCTCCAGGTTAAAGGCTGATATATCTATAGTGATTCCTGTGAGTGACCGGCAGCTTGAATCCCTCGGGTGGGCGGGCGCCTGGCACCGGCAGTACGGAGCATGTTACTAAGAATAGCGGTTCCTCAAGCAACTGTGCCGTTGGAAGCATTAGCAGTCTCCATTTTTAAGCCTATGATGGCAATAGGCAGCCACATAAAAACCATTATTGACTAACTAGGTATTGCACTGATAAATTATGCCAATTTTCCGGATAGAAAATTCCTCTTCAGGAAACAAGGCGTTGAATGTGAATACCCCGGTCGGAAGCGCGGCCAATCGATCGCCACTGTGGTGATCTGTTTGTAGTAAATTGCCATTCATTTGCCTCATCCAAGCACCCGCCATAGATGCAATCTGTCTCTACCGTTTGCGCTCATCTCCACCCCAGAAAAGACCGCCAGTGAAATATCAGTCTTCAATTGCGTTTCAATAGATTGCCTCAAATACAGGAGCCAAATTCACAGAAGGCTGCGCTCCGGTTCCCTTTGAGACAGCGCCACGTGTCACGTGATTCTGGGCCACCCGCCATCTCCCAGCGGCAACCCTCAACTCGTCAGCTTCGACCTGTCAAACAATCTTCATCCCTAATCCCCTCCTCTAGGCGACTTTCTTCTTGACCTGTTCCTCTTCCCGCCTCTCATCTCACATCCTCCGTCTCTGTCACCTCTTCATCTCCTTCAGCGACAAGTTCGGTTGGTTTCCCCTGGCCAAAACAGAGCGACCCTGACTGCTTCCACGAGGTAGCCCAGTCTTCCGTCAACGCCCTCCGAACCCTTCTCTAAGACCCTTGACCCTAGCTCCAACCTTCACGATGTCTTCCGAACAGCCTTATGACCCTTATATTCCCGCTGCCAACAATGGTGCGGCCGCCAGCGCTTCCACGCAGCAGAATGGCAATCAGCGAACCGCCGCATTGCAAGCGGTTAGTTTCTCTCCTTCCCCCAAATCGACCAAGCCCTTCCAGCCAGACCATACATATTATGCAAGGCTGTGCGCTGCACTTTCAGTGTCTGGCGCATGGTGCTATGTGTGTAATGTTGGATCTGGCGGTGGCGGCCTCGGCTCGTTGATTTGAAGCCGGAACTGACTGGCCTTCATAGCAAATCGATGACACAGTCGGTGTAATGCGCGAGAACATCAACAAGGTCTCCCAACGTGGTGAGCGCCTCGACTCTCTGCAGGACAAGACCGACAACCTGGCGGTATCAGCCCAGGGCTTCCGCCGGGGCGCCAATCGGGTGCGCAAGCAGATGTGGTGGAAGGATATGAAGATGCGTGTATGCCTGGTGATCTGTGTGATTGTCCTGCTAGTGGTCATCATCGTGCCGAGTAAGATCCATTTCCTCCCCCAGATCATCGAGATCCAGAGTGGGACGCGGGCCGCTAATCCATGTTTGCTATGACCAGTTGCGGTTAAAGTCCACTAAACCAGCCGATGCCTCACCACGCCAAATTTTGTGCTTTGAATTGGGAAACATGATGGATCTCGAGTCTTTTTTTCTTTCTTCCTTTACTTGTTCTTTTTATCGGGTTTCTACTGTCGTTGAGAGGCCATAGAGCTCCGTCGTTTTCTTCCCAGCTGCTAATACCTCCTGCTGTTTTGTTTTGGGCGTGTTCTGAATGACCAAATTCTCTTTGACTTCTTCTTGCGCCTGCGATGAAACGAGTTCCTCTCCCATCTCGACTGTATCTGAGATTGGAGGAAGTCGTGCCATGCGATATGTTGACGGGGGAAGATGTAAATGATACTTGCTTGCACTGCCGTGTTTAACAATTTTATCAGTATGCGACATTGGAAGTTTCCTTCGCCCTTCGCCCTTCGCCCCCCTTCCTCTTAATTCCTTCATTCTCTGTTTTCAAGATCCTGGCAATCGAAGTGAACCCCCTAGCGTATCCAGTCCACCGGGCCTTGGATTCTTGATCTGGCCCGGACGTGCCATCCACCAGCGCGAAAAACCCACATGCGGCCTGGCGGGCTCTCCAATTCGCCGAGTGGCCCACACGCGATGGACATCTCTCGACCCAGTCCCTGCATCAGTCGAGTCGGAGTGGTGGGAGTCCAATTCCCGGGAAAGGGCTTGGAACGATCGGAGACCATCAGATTATCTGAACCGGCGGAATGAAGCGCAGGAGGGTCGGAGACTGCAGAGACTAAGACACAACGGGTGGAGGAAGTGGATAGAGGCGTGGCTGAACGCACGAGTCAGAGGACCGGAGAGGATCAGATAACTTGCACTAGACCGAAGCCGGATGACGTTTCAAGGGCTCCCCGAGTTCCCACGAGGTCCAGGTGGGTTTTTCGGAGGAGCTGGACTCGCTTGCGAGACCCGAGACTTGACAATGGTGATCCAAGAAAAAAAAAGCGTGCAGAACTCTCTTTTTTCCCCCTTGGCGGAGAGGGCTACAGTCCGGAATGGTGCCTACGTTCTTGAGCAGACCGGCCTATAAATGGTCCATAGAATGTGATAGATACTTCTACCCATGCAACTTTTAATATCCAGGCTCTGATTCGGCCATTTAACTGTCTCGATGAGAGGGGGGGAAGACGCTGCAGAAGCAAAGTAGGTGGCCCGTGTAATTCGCGCTGCCAATGTTCGCCCCACCGCCTCCGCTCCGAGGGCCGGCCGATAATCAGTAAAATCTCTCTTGACCCAGTTAGTCACACTCGACCGCCTCAACTCCAAATCGCTCCTCTTCCTCCCTCTCCTAGCCCCAACCACCTTCTTCCCCACTAACTCTCTCAACGCTCTCTTCCCGCTACATAAAAAGGGGACGTCTCCCCGTCGACTTGCGAGGTCTCAATTGAAGCTGCCGCATGTTGGTAGGCAAGATGCTGTCTCTTCGCTCCGCTGTGCGGAGAGCTTCCACCAAGCCCCTCCGATCACTCTCCGCACCGCACGTCTCGCCTCTTCGGGCAGGCATTGCTGCTCGCACCGTTTCGACCCCTCTGCGCCAGGGCCGTAGCTACTCGCGCGCCACCGATTCTCACCTCAGTTCGACTCGCAGCACCGTGGTCCAACTGCTGAGCAACATCGGCTCCAAGCGTGAGGTCCAGCAGTACCTGTCCCACTTCACCTCCGTCTCCTCCCAGCAGTTCGCCGTCATCAAGGTCGGCGGTGCTATCATCACTGAGCATCTTCAGACACTGTCCTCCGCGCTCGCCTTCCTGAACCATGTCGGCCTCTACCCGATCGTCGTCCACGGTGCCGGTCCCCAGTTGAACCGTATGCTGGAAGCCGCCGGGGTCGAGCCACAGTTCGAGGATGGAATTCGGGTGACCGATGGCAAGACCCTGTCGCTGGCCCGCAAGCTCTTCCTTGAGGAGAACATGAAGCTGGTTGAGGAGTTGGAGCGCATGGGTGTTCGTGCCCGCCCGCTGACGGCCGGTGTCTTTTCGGCAGACTATCTCGATAAGCCCAAGTACAACCTGGTTGGCAAGATTAATGGCGTTGACAAGAAGCCCATTGAGTCTGCTATCGCCGCGGGTTGCCTGCCCATTTTGACCTCTATGGCCGAGACTCCGGATGGCCAAGTGCTGAACGTCAATGCGGACGTTGCTGCCGGTGAGCTGGCTCGTGCTCTTCAGCCGCTGAAGATCGTATACCTCGCCGAGAAGGGCGGTCTGTTTAATGGCGATACCGGGGAGAAGATCTCAGTCATCAACCTGGATGAGGAGTACGATCACCTGATGACCCAGTGGTGGGTTCGTCATGGTACCCGCCTCAAGATCAAGGAGATGAAGGAGCTGCTGAGCGACCTGCCTCGCTCTTCCAGCGTTGCCATCATTCACCCCGCTGATCTGCAGAAGGAGCTGTTTACCGACTCCGGCGCCGGTACCTTGATCCGCCGTGGTAACAAGATCCACGTCAAGACCTCCCTCTCGGAGTTCGAGGACTTGGAGGCTCTCAAGGATGTGCTTGTTCGTGACCGTGAGGGTCTGGACGCTCGCGCCGTTGTTGACCGCTATGTGGATGGCATGAAGGAGCATGACTTCAAGATCTACTACGATGACCCCATGGACGCGCTCGCCGTGGTCCTGCCTCCCCAGCAGGGCTCTCTGATGGCCCACCTGGCCACCTTCACCATCACCAAGTCTGGCTGGTTGACCAACGTTGCTGACAACGTTTTCGCCAGCGTTAAGAAGGACTTCCCCAAGCTGGCTTGGACCGTCAAGGAAGATGATGAGAACCTGACCTGGTTCTTCGACAAGGCCGATGGCAGCCTCAGCCGTGACGGTGAGGTCCTCTTCTGGTATGGTGCCGAGAACGGCGAGGAAGTCAAGCAGCTCGTCCAGGAATTCACCAAGCACGGCCGCCAGATGTTCGGTGACATCAACCTCGAGCACCGTCTTCACCGTGCTCACCAGGCCGCTGCCAATGTGTCCAAGGGCTTTGGAGCTAGCGGTGCCTCCGTTGAGCAGAAGCGCGCCTTCTCCTCCACTGCTAACGCTCTCCGTGCTTCCCGGGTGCGCCCCACCGTTGCTGTCAACGCCACTCGCACCTATGCCACCACCAACCCCAACCCTCCCCTTGGTGAGAAGAACGCCTCCAACACCCAGCCTGCGAAGGTCGCTCTTATCGGTGCCCGTGGCTACACTGGCCAGGCTTTGATTAACCTCCTCAATGCCCACCCCAACATGGATCTCCGTCATGTCTCCTCTCGTGAGCTAGCTGGCAAGAAGTTGCAGGGCTATGACAAGCGTGAGATTATCTACGAGAACCTTAGCCCCGAGGATGTCCGCAAGATGTCCGCCAACGGTGACATCGACTGCTGGGTCATGGCTCTCCCCAACGGTGTCTGCAAGCCTTTTGTTGATGCCGTTGATGCCGGTTCCGAGAAGGGCAACGTTATTGTCGACCTGAGCGCCGACTACCGCTTCGACTCCAAGTGGACCTATGGTCTTCCCGAGCTGGTTGACCGGGCCAAGATCGCCCGTGCCACCCGCATTGCCAACCCTGGCTGCTACGCTACCGCTGCTCAGCTCGGCATTGCCCCTCTTGTTCCTTTCCTTGGTGGCCAGCCCACTACTTTCGGTGTTTCTGGATACTCGGGTGCTGGCACCAAGCCTAGCCCCAAGAACGACGTCCAGTTCCTTACCAACAACATCATCCCCTACAGCCTGACGGACCACATTCACGAGCGTGAGATTAGCGCTCAGCTGGGTACCAGCATTGCTTTCATTCCCCACGTCGCTGTCTGGTTCCAGGGTATCCACGTAAGTTTTACTTCATTGATTTGAGATCAAAATTCCCAAGATTGACGAGGCTGACCATCCCCATAGCACTCCATCAGCATTCCTCTGAACAAGGAGATGACCTCCCGTGACATCCGCAACCTCTACCAGGACCGATATGCCGGCGAGAAGCTTGTCAAGATCGTCGGCGAGGCCCCTCTCGTCAAGGACATTGCTGGCCGCCACGGTGTCGAGATCGGTGGTTTCGCTGTTCACTCCAGCGGCAAACGTGTTGTTGTCTGCGCTACTATTGACAACCTGCTCAAGGGTGCCGCCACCCAGTGCCTGCGTATGTCCCTCCGTTCCCGCTCCTTGCTAGCTATTTCCCAACCCTTCAATTACTGACTGTTTACCACAGAAAACATGAACCTTGCGCTGGGCTACTCGGAGTACCAGGGCATCCCTCTGGAGTAAATTCGTCATGGCTGCAATGACCAGGATTCCCAGAAGAAAATTATAGGTTTATTTTTTTTTGTACAGGCGTCTCGTCCTCGCCTTTTCTCACAACCCGCGTGCATCTTCTAGAGCTGCTCTGCTTCGGTTTGAGGGTTCTATGCTGTAACGGGTGCTGTCTTGTGCTTTGTTCTTTGTCCATTGTCCTATTGGTTGGATCTGCCTACTACCATCTGGTCTATTCCATCTATCTATTTATCCTGCCCTGAACGGGGCTGGCTCTTCTCGTTTATTCGTCGTGTTGTGCTGGAAGAGGGCTTTGTTGATGTTGGTGTCTTGTCCTTGTTTCCTTTCCTCGCTTCTAGATTCCATTTGACCCCGGATTTCCTTTGCCTTCTTTTCATGCCTCTGCATCATCCTCGGATTTATATTCGTGCCCCCGTGTCCTTGGTAGTCTAGACGTCCATAGCACAAAAGTAAACATCTTTTTTGCGCCATACCTCAGTGGATTTGGTACATAATATAAGAATTACTCAGTAATATTAAAAAAAAGTATATGCATTCACTTTGCCCGTATTGGCCCTCAATGGCCTCCATTATTCGTTCATGTTCTTAATAATTATCGGAATCAATGGATACTGGATACTGAAGCATCAAGAATTACCAAACTTTCATTGAGAGGAGCTGGAAATGCTTGTCAGTCAGTATCTGTTGTCATGTCAAGAACGCCTTCTTAGACTTGAGACGAAATCAAAATAGATATTTAATAGGAATAATCATTCATAATATCTTGATTTTCATGTTTGGCCAGAGTATGATAGGCAACGTCTCCCTAAGATCATCATCCTTCACCCATGTCGACGCCTCAGATGTTCACCTCATTTCACCCAACAAACAACACCACCCCCAACCTCCTGCCATCCCCTGGCTCTCCACGGCTTTAATAAGCTTTAAGCCCATCAGCGCATCTTGAAACTTGCTGAAGCTGCTTTTGTCATCGCATACTAATCAAGCCTGTCGGTCGACGGGCAAGGCCATACAGGTCAGGTAACCTCACCGTAGCTGAGGCACCTACAAGATGTTTTACAGCCATGAGAGTTAGTGTGATTCAAAACATGGTAATCTCAGAAAATTTCACTAATAAAGAGATTCCATACAGTTCTCACGTCGCCAGAGCATGGCGTTGCTACGATCTGGTATGTTTGCCAACCTCCATCCAACCAGCCTTGATTATGGATCTAATGACTGATCACTCCAGGCTCGTGGCAACCCTTGGCTCGCGATCAATCGCTAGAAGATTGAACCGGAAGACGATACAGGATGTGGATGTCCCGGGTGCTTGTAGAGTCATCATCAACCCCGAAGCACCCATGGCATTGCGACTGCAGGGGAGTCTTCTGTAAGTCGTTATTGGCCATATTTGACCATTTGTTGGCTCTAAACTAACCGATGTGCTCTCAGCTACGGCGTCTCCAGAGTTTACGATCAACAATGCGGATATACTCTGCTCGACGCACAAACAACGCATGATAAAATGAATTCCATGCTCAAGCTGATACCGGGAGGCGGGTTGGATCCCAACGCCGGCAAAGTAAAGTGCGTGTCAATCTCCGCTGCACTATCTGAAGTGGTAATGTCAGAGCTGTGAACTAGAAGACTGACCTCATTTCCAGACCCGCGAGCCTCATCTTGCCCTACGATCCCACTTTTCTGCCTGAGACAGGCCTCCCTGGCATCGACCTCAACCTGACCATATTCGATATCCATATTGACGACAACTCAAGTCTACAATCTAGCGTCTGGACAAACTCGCCCACCACCAGCCAGTCTAGTCTCTCTCAGATTGGTAAATTACACCTTGACTTGCCCTCTGATGAGTTTCTTAGAGATGGCGATGTGCAGAGCCCGGGCATTGAGATCAACACTGCAAGCAAGAAGCGAGGCCTGTTTGGAGGGGAAACGCAAGCAGACTTTGAAGACTCAGGTGTTCTCTTCGACCCAGACTTTCGATTTGACGAGGACGGGAATATCGTTGAATTTGATGATTCCAGGCTGTCTCCACGAAAGAGAAGAAAGTTCAAGGCTAATCTACAAGGCAGCGAGGGACCCAAAACCGAACAAACTCGAGATGATGAGGTGAGAACAAAGAAAATCTGCCTTTTAATTGTTGTCGCAATACTGATACGACGTTTCAGCTTCTGGATCCGGCTGACGAGGCCGTCTTGATTCCGGGAGATGAATCGACGGAAGTGAATACTCTCAGACCACCACTACTCCAAGAGCAGAGTGCATTGCCCGGGCTCGACCGTCTACTTGAAGAGGGAGAGGTTGACCGAGCTGAAGCTCGCGCCCAGCATAAGGCAAAGCAGGTGAAGGTTATTAAGCCTGATGGAACCACCACACTGCGCAATGCCGAATTGGCACGGTGGAACGACGATTACCTTACAAATATGGCACGATCCCAGAAGCAGAAACAGCAAAATAAACAGATTTCGCTGGCCAAGAAGAATGCCGCTTCGTGGGTCTTTGGCCTGGGCATTGGATCTGTGGGCAAGGGCATTGGAACACACCATGAGCTCCACCCGCTCAAATTGTACTCAGGCAAGGACCTATACAACGCTGTCTGCGGTAGAACCGAGAAATCCAGACAGAAACGCAAACGGGACGATGGCGATGAGAGCATGATGGATGAGCAAGAGAGCCGATCTCGTGCTCGAAGTCAACAGCCAGAGATGTTGGACGTGGAGCTGGGCCGACAAGCCCCGTCAAGCGCATACGATGACCGCTCTTCACAGATGCCATGGAACATCACTGCCTCGATTCAAGGCTCTGTTGGAGGCCAGCGCTTCGGGAGTGTCAGCGAGTCCTCGGTCCGGGGACATGGTGAATCGGCTGGTCTTCTCGGCACTCGAACACGCGGCCGTCTCACCAGCGCCAGTCCCCTGGCCGGACGTGGCTACCTAGACGGACACGAGCGACCCAGCAGCCTGTCCATCCCAGGCAACATGGTCGATGACCTGGACGACTTGGAGCAGCTGGATATCACGCAGTACCTCGAGGGCGAGCTGGAACATGACCATGCCGACATCAGCACGTTACCTGCGCGGCGCAAATCCACCTTTGATCGGATCACGGCTACTCTCGATCAGGAGAGCGTGAATTTCCTCGAGTTTATCAAGGCGAGAATGCAGGATAGCATGACAGACGTGTCGGGACAGCTTTCTTTATCAACTCTCCTGCCACCGGCGAAGACGACAAGGACAGTAGCGGCGCATGGGTTCATGAATGTGTTGACGCTTGCCACGAAGGGCATTTTGACCCTGTCACAGGCGCCTGGTCTGGACCGCGGCGCAGATAGCTGGGGTATTCGCTACGAGCATGGTGAAGTGTCGCTGGGACTAGTTGGAATGTGAACGCATTTCGGGGCCGCACTTCGTGGACTTAACCAGTCGATGATCCAATGGCTGTAAACACCATTATGCCGTCATGGATGACTATCATTTCTTTTTTTTTTTTTTTTTTTTCTATTTCAGGAATAAGTAGGCTCCCAGGTTTGTTTTCTCGATCAAATTGTTTTCCGAGGTTGAAATTTTTTTTATCACCAATACCATGGGCAGAACAGGGTCCCTGGAACTCTACATTAGTTTCAGAGAAACCAGCCTCCCAGGCGGACTATGGTCTTGGTGAACCCTTGATACCGATGATTTGCTGGCGAATGATATTTTTAGTACCGTGACGGTGGAGCCGGAGACGATCAGAGCCGAGAGGATGCGCGACGTGTTGAGAAGAAGCCACTGGAGGTAGCTAGAGCAGAGCCAGCCTGCAATGCAATTTCATCTTGATCTACGGTGTGGCTATGCATGGAGGGTGCGGCGAGCAGCGACTAGAGGGAACCTTGTTCTATAGACCTATAGACTTGTTTCCAGCGCTTGCTGGTACTGGGAATCTTACCAGGAACCCGTAAAGTCAGGAGACGGAGACAGTATCGTGTACGAGAGTACGAGAGTACGGGATACAGGAACGGGAAAAGCCCCCTTTGGAACGATACCCAGGTAAAGGGAGTAACAATACCGACATTCCATTCGCGATATACCGATCTATAGGCCGTCTTTGGGCCTACACTGGTCTATCCCAAGTTCCTGCTTGGATTCAGTTGCGACAATGCTCGTGTCGGCGGTCTTGTAACTGCCATTCGATTTTCTCCCTGCCAATTCAAACCACCCACTCGAACTCTCTTGTGTGCCCAGAGCCTCTAGCCGAGCGCGCCCGGTCGGAAATGAACCCTTGGCATCTCAGACAGAGACATAGGCAGTAATGGGCATCGTTGGTTCTGAGCAAATTCTGCACATTGAAACTTGGAATAATTAGGATGTAATGGGTGCCCCCCCTTTTCTTCTTCTTCCGCCTCTTCCTCTTCTTCTCTAGCTGTCCATAATGGAGCAGTTCGTTCTTTGTGGGCTGCTGTTCCGCGTCATTCTCTCAATTGGTCCAGGTCCATGTGTCAGGGTGTTTCCGGTGACCCCGAAGAGGCCTGAACAGTGTCCTGGTCGGTAGATCGACAGGCTTCAAATTCCAAACTGCATCCCCGGATGAAATTAGAGCCCTTCCGATTTGACAATTGGTAAATCTTTGAACAAAAAGAAGCAAAGCAATAGGCAGCGTGGGGGGAAAACAGTCTAGAGACGGTCGCGAAAGACGTATCGGTACTTTACGGAGTTCGTAACTGTACTGCGTACAGTTACCCTCAGGCACCCGTCTTAGGTAAGGTACGCCAGTACCTGTACCACCCGGACTCCAAGTTACGCAGGGCGCGTTACCGTCGTACGCGCAAACCCCCCCTCGTAATCTCGTCTTCCTGTCTTCGTCTTTCCATTTCTTCCTCCTTCTTCTTCCCAAACACCGAAAACCAAAACCTTCCCCCCCCCCCCCCCCACTCCCGCTTCTCAACACCCCAAAACCCCATCACCCCTTTACATTCATCATCGCGTCTCACGCGTCAGATATATCGGCTTTCGGGTCTTCGAGGTCTTTGATCACCTCTGATCTGCCCGTCATGGGTCGTACTGTTGACCAGGAGGTGCACGCGGCGTTTGTCGAGTTCCGCGCCAAGGAAGATGACAAGGTGCGTGACTGCGTATTTTCGTAATATTTCAAACCCACACCACCCATCCACGGTCACTAACATACACGACCCCGTTTCGGGCATGCTGCATCTAGTGTCTCTCAGTGCAGTGTATTTACTGCCAACAGATCCGTGCAAAGAATACCTCACGACAGAAGCAACATCTTCTTGAATGCCCGGGCCTACGTGGCCATCCTAACGCGCCTCAACCTGCCCAGCCGAACCCGACTCCGAATGGTATGGGTCCTGGCAATGGCTACCCCGGCACGCCCAGTGGCCCAACTGCCACTCCAGGACCAGGTGGCCCAACTGCTATCCCGACCCCGAACGGTGCCTTGATGGCCAACGGTGTCAACCCTCATGCGACTCCAATGCAAACCCCGCTGCAGAGCCTGCAGAATCGCCCTCCCATGGCGACCCCCGGTCCACCTACCGGTGCTCCCGGATCTGCGCCGCCATCCGCCGCGCCGTCGCGTCCAACTCCCAAGCCTAAGGCGAAGAGCAGCACTTCCAATCTTCCCGCGCCGCCGCTGGACGACGTGCATGCGGCTTTTGTCGAGTTCCGTGCGAAGGAGGAAGACAAGGTACGAAGCCAATACCAAATACCGAAGATGTTTGACCTCGAGTGGTCCACATGCTAACGTGTCAAACCAACCATTAGTGTCTGTCTGTCCAGTGCATCTACTGCCAGCAAGTCCGCGCCAAAAATACCAGTCGTCAGCGCCAGCATCTACTCGAATGCCCGACCTATCTGAGCGTTATGAAGGATTCAATTCCGGCCAACAACTTGCTGCACACCTTCCCCGAGGGCGATGTTGCGCGATCTCTGCAGATTCCCGCTCCGACCCTTGAGCTGGACTTCCGCATGAGCATCAAGATGAACCCCAAGGTAGCTGTCGGTCATAGTATCTGGGGCAACCGAGAATGGGTTTCTTTCGTGGGTGGTCAGTGGGCAGGTCGCTGGGGCAAGGGCATTGTTCTGGTAAGTTGTCATGGGCTTCAATATCTGAAGGAGGACAATTGTTCTGACAGTCAAATCAAACATTAGCCCGGTGGTCAAGACACTCAAATTGTGACCAAGGATTCGACTACCAACCTGCGCGCCAGCTATATGCTTCAAACTGCCGACGAGCCTCCAGCCTTTATCATTGTGAAAGCCGAAGGTTGGCTGACTGGAGCCAAGGATGTTTTGGAGAAAGTGAACGACTCTGCCATGGCTGACGGCGTTAACCCCAGCAGTTATAAATACCGCATCAACCTGTCCATGGAGACTGGGGACGAGCGGTATACGTTCTTGAACACCCTGATGTGGATTGGTAGCGGATGCCGGCGCGGCCAAGAAGGTATGCATCTCTCTCTGCCAACGTATCACTATGATCATTTACCTAACAAGACGTTCTAGTCATCTTCGACGCGTTCCGTGTCAACTAAGCCATTGTGGATGCCTGCCTCCTATTTGCCGTTCTTAAGCGATGCCCATTTGCCTTCTTGTTCCTGCTCTTTTCTGTTTTGGTGATGGGAAAATGGTGTTTTTTTTCTTCAGTTTATGTTACTGTGGCGCAGTTTTCTTATGATCCCTGCTATCTATGCCGATGAATACGTATTTCTGGTTGCTGACAGGAGAGCGAACTAGCCCTTGTCCACACAGGGATGAGGACACCCTCTTCCAGCCATGGTCAAGTCCCTTTTTCCTTCACTTGTATCTCTTGTACGATTTTTTTTCTGGATATGGGCCAAGAACCCGAGTATCGCTAGAATTTCTACTCGGGTTTGTATTATCTGCTTTTGGGGTGGAAGGGGTATTTTACGTGATCCTTGCTCTCCGTATGTAGTCTTTCTGCTCGTCTTACAATGAAGCTTCTGCGGTCGTGATACGCTGTTTTTCTATTTACTCTCCCCCTCCCATTTCGTGGTATTTCAGTCTGCGGGAAGTATACACTCGGACGCTGTCGGTGTTCCCGCGTTCTGTACACAAGCGCTTCCTAGCGTAATCCGCGCTTTACCCCGGACTTGAGCGTACTGTACCCACCTGTTTGCAGCACAGAAGGCCGATCACTGGCGCACTAATACCGCCGGCCTTTACCAGCGTTGTTTATCCGTCAGAATGAGGACTCAGCTCGTACGTATCGAATGAATACCGCGCTGATTGTACTTCCCTGTATGCAGAAATCAAATTCAGCCCTACATTTTCTTGTGTACTTGCCATTCTCAGTGCATAAGTCCTAGTTTTATCGCGCTTCAAGTTCCTCGTGTGTCCTGACTAATCACAGAACGAGCAGGCAGCCTCGGAATTAAGACCCTGGGTTTGTACTTTAATTGGCATGAGGTTTCGGAGCATTTGGCACTCACGAAAATTGGGTTGAGTTTTGTCACCTAAATTTTGGCCCTTCCTCCTTTTGATGACCTCTGATGCTCTCTAAATTTCAGTCAATACCTTGAGCTGAATTGAAGATATTCCCTAGATTTACCGTTTGAGCATATTGTAAGTATGAGCCGGCTGTTTTTCATACGTGTAGTGTATGCGATAGTTATATATTTCTAGATGACCATTTCCCGCGTATTTTTGATTCGTACTTTATCGATTCATTGCCCCGCCGATCAACTGCGTCTAAAAACCATGGAAATCTGACTTCACATTCATATCTAGAGCCCCCGGGAGTCGGCCTATAGAATTCAAAACCAAAAGGTAAATTTCACTGCTGGCAAACTCTGTGTATGGTGTTCTTTCCCATGCAAAGGGTACGGTTACATAACTGGTCGATAAGGGTTAGAGCTTCCCGTGAAGGCGCTAAAATTTGGCCCCCAATTAACTACCCGCGTTTCGAGTCATCTTTCGTTGAAGCTGACCACTGGAGCTAATGTAGGCTGTAGTGATATTCAAAGAAGTATCGGTATCGCAGAGCATCTATTGGAAATTCTAGCTATTTAGGCTTAAAACAACAAAAGGCCGTAAGAGGCGCGCCATCCGTTTCATGCCCAAGAGCTGCCAGCTAGTACAGCCAAAATGCGAGTCCCCACGGAAATCTTACGCCGGATTATTCAGGATGCAGGACGTATTCTGCCCATACGAGATCTGATGTCGGCAAGGCTTGTCAATAGTAAGCTGAACTTCAGACCGTTCATCCCTACAAACCTGGCTAAACAAGCTATTCTAGCCTTTTTCGCGGATGAGATCATAGCGTTGATTAAGGCGGATCCTCGAAAGTCCCTCCGCTACATGGTAGAACTTCATTCCAGTCAGTGGTCATTGACTGTTCACAGAATACTGGATCTGCCAAACGAGAGACTCACGCCAGAGGATGATGAATTATTGATCGACAAATTGATCGACGCCTGGCTCTGTGGTCACAGAAAATCTGATGACTTCGGCCACCCGGAATATTCCAGGGCCCGTGAATCTATTGAGAAAACCCTCCAGGTTGCCCTCATGACCAGTGCCATTACCCGAGGGAACTGTACCGAATTACAAGCCCTTATCGATCAAGGCGTCAGATTAGACATAAGAAGTGATTGCTTATGTCTGGTTCCAATCGACATTGCAATAAAAAAGGGATCCGGTGATATCACCCGAGTGATCATTGCGAATGAGTCCAAGTTGATATATGAGCTTCCCTACTTGCGTGGTTCATACAGCTATACCAACGTGATATCCGTGGCCGCTAGAAGTGGTAATATAGAGGGACTGAAAGTATGGATTCAATACCTCAGAGATACGGGAAAGGGGATCCCCGAGTATGCGGGGCCTGCTTTTAGAAGTGCAGCTCGAATTGGAAGAATTGATGTGATTGAGTTTCTTGAAGAGGAATGTGGGAGCGATTTTAACCAGACTGTGCTGCTCCATGAAATGCTGATGCAAGGCATCGTATCTGGCTCCGTTGATTCGGTGAGGTACTTTCTTCTTCGCCTAGGAAACGACGCAGAGATGTGGACAAGCCCGTTTCCGAAGGGGGGATTAATTGCAGCTCTACAGGATTGCCCTCCTACTCAGAGACCAGAGGTCCTTAATATGCTTCTTCAACATGGCTTAGATCCAAATATGAGATACCCAGGGTCGCCGAGGACTCCTTTGCAAGTGGCGCTGAAGCGGAAAGACTCCAAGTCTGCTTTGGTCCTGTTGAAACATGGAGCCACTGTGGATCTTCATTCTATGGGTTCGGCCTTTTTCCTCGACGCAAAGAAAGACTCAGCTCCTCTTGCCAGGATCATATTAAGAGAAGCCAGCATCCAAACATTCGAATGGAAGGGTAAGAGGTATGTGGCACAGAAACGACCAAAAGAAGTGAGAAGGATTGAGAACATCATGCTGGAACTAGGGTGGAGCAACGAAAATGTGGAGGAGGCGCAAATAGAATATTATATTCTTGAGTATCCTTGATGCTTATGAAGGGGGAAAGGAAATCAAAACACCACATATACACATAACGCCATCTATAATGTAAGTACTCGATCTTTAGAACACCATGCTGAAGATCACAGCTCCAACGATACTAGCCATAGGTAGCTGCAGGCTCAGAGCTGAAATATAACTAGCAGCATCTGTCTCTGTGGTCGTTGTCTTCGCCTTAGCAAATGGATCGGGGTATTTCCAAAGATCGTTTTCGGAAACCTCTACCACCGTCCACAGCCCAGAAACTACTCTGGTCTTCTCTTCCCACACGGGCGCGCAGAACTGTACAGCAGTACCCTCATATAAGTTGCCCGTACAGTTGGCGAGAGTCCCGTAATAACAAAAATGGATGGCAGTAAAGTTCATATACGCTGCTGTTCCGGCATCGATAATTCGAGTCTGCTCAACCCAAGAGGTGACTGTTTGGTTGAAAGAGGGGGCAGGCATGGTCGCGTTTGCTGCATCGATTGTTTCCTGTACCAACTGGGAAAAGTTTGGGTTATTCAGAGCTGTAACATTACAAGTGGCCGTGAAGTTGACCTGGCCACTCCCACTGATGGCGCAACTACCCAGCTCATTTGTACTCTTGGCACAGACTTGGGCGCTGCTAAATCGGAAGGCTGAATCGTAAGATAGCACTGGATTTCCTTGATCCCAATTAAATACTGTGCAGTTTCCTCCAGGGTTCGTTGCGATTGAGGTTGCGACGAAGAGTAGAAAAAGGAGATACCGCTGAGGTATCGAGGAAAGCATGGCTGCGGGCAGAAGCAATCTGCAGGCAGAGGGAGTAGGGAAAGATTAGGTGACACTTTGGCTGGAATATGAGTGTAGGGCTTTATATTAAGAAGCGCTACCAACCCCATACCTAGCGCGCGCATATTGGGGGACACGAAATGTATCAGAATTGTTGGTTCGGACTTGTGGTTGGGCTCAGGAATCGTCAAGTCTATTAAATGCCGAGAATACCGTATGTTTTAGGAAAGGCGGGATTTTCAATTCTATTTATTACTCAACATGTTTGGTAAAGCAGTTGGCGCCGTTGGGTATCTGGACCTGAGAGCCAGTAGAAAAACACGAATTTGACCGCCAAGATAACAGGGGCTCGCATCCGCCTTAAACATTCCGCGCTCGCAGAAGCCGTAGCAATGTTTCCAAGATTTCAGACTTGGTGTGTTGCTGGGTATACAATCGACTTAGGCGTGACGGGTGGGGACAAAGCATGCACGAACAGAGTTAGCTGGCTATTACTGATGGAGAGTTTCAAGGATGTTTGTTATTCGCAATATTATTCAATAGAGGAACTTGCTAAGCGCCTCTTGTCAGTAAAAATCATTGGATCTTTACGGGAATTTTAAACATCAAGGTCCGATCGTATTTTGAGGCTTTAAGGTAAAGGGCTATTTTGCATAGTTGGAGAAGTCTCCTCTGGCCCCCATTACCTAGAGTATTGTAATAATTCATCAAGTTCTCGACATAAATAAGTATTGCTCATCAAAGGTAGACAGACATACGAAGTGGATTCCCGTGAAAACTTATAAAAGATAAGCAAAAAAAGAAGGCATTGAAATGCCATACAAATATTATCAAAAATGACAAGAGTGGGATTCGAACCCACGCCCCGAAATCGAGATCAGGAAATTATGCTAAGGTATGACCTTAACCTGACGCCTTGGACCAACTCGGCCATCTTGCCTGTTATATGTATACCGCTACAACTTTTGCCATTATCAGACAATGTCTTTTTTTTGGTCTAATTTGACCCGGGCAAGCTGGACAAGATGGGAAGGAAATTCACATTTGAAGATCTCTTGGCGGTAACTAACTAGTTAATGAAATCTTTTCTGGGCTTACAAATTTGATTCTCGGAGACCCACAATCTGTTGGGCCCAACCGGAGCTGGGAGAGAAATGGGCCATGTTCTACGTTGCTGGGACCACAATCGAATCACCTATGGAACACTATCGGGATTACAACATGGGAAAAGGCACATAGTTAACGTTGACCTCTGAGAATATCTAATCTTTACTATTTTCATAACTATCCGTGTCGAAGTTACTTAGCCCTTGGTAAAATAGATAGCCGCTGGTTCAGAAAAGCACTGTTACAGACATGAAGCCCATTTAAAGGCAATAGTTGATCTACTTTAACGATTTTGCACAAGACTCTACGAATGTCCCGAGTGGGGATTAGTTAGTATTTAATGCATGAACTGTGGAGCTTGACCAGGAGAAAGACTTGGAAGAGAACTCCGATAAGGATAAATCATGTAGCCTGTGATTGGCGCCTAACTAATATGATGAAGTCCCACATATTCTCTCTGTTAATTCTCACTATTATCTGATAGGTATGGAATAGCAAGGCGAAAATTCGACCACATTTTGGAATGGTTGGGAGAATCGATCGGACTTTACCGAATGAGATTAGGAAGAATAACCAAAATCCAGGAAACAGCCAGAATGGCCGGGCTTTGAGTTTGGCTCGCTAGGTCAGCCATACTGAAGACATAGTTTTTCAAAAGCGTTCACCCATCTACTACCAAGCAGTTGAGTGAAGATTGCTCCACGCAAGTTGGAATGAAGTCGTTGAAAAGATGAAGCATGTGGGATTAATAAAGAAGTTGCAATAAAGATCAACGAGCGGCGAGACAGCGAATGTCCCTCGACGGTAGACATTGACGATTCAACTCGGCAAATTCATGGAAAAGAGAGCCCTTCTTGATACGAAATTCAAGTGCAAGAATTGGAGAGTCGGAAGATATGATAGGCTTGTTCCTGTACCAAGAAAGTAACGGGGACTCCCCAGCCACTTGGCACGTTTACTCTATATGTCGAAAAGAGGAAAACGAGGTATCCGCTATCTTTCCGCACCGATTTGTTCCCTGGCCCAACTTAAACTTCTAGCTATCATTTTGTCCGCTGTCCCAGCTGGAATCATAAAAATTGGTTGCTACTCTTTTCGGCACATTCGATGTCAGTCTATCTTCCCGATATGAAAATCCCCTTTTCTCATATTTGTTCTAGATCACCCTCCCAGCTCAGCACCATGAATGGAATGTCATCAACTCGTGGTTTATGAGGTTCAAGGACATTCCGGTTAACATGAAGGAACTCTCGGACAAATCCGTAGCTGTATAGTTGCTACTCTTTTTTCGTGTGAATTGGTTTAATATTTGTTGGGTGTAGGTATTCGTGGATTTTCTTCGGATCAGTAATTCAATACCAAATTTTCCAAAGACCGTGGTGAATTTAGGATATTCAGTTCAATGCCACAAAGCCCGAGAAATTGGCTATACGATTCAGATTTTATGATCTAAGTGCACTCCGAAAGAGGGGATAGTAAGTTCAACAATTGCTCATTTTCGCAGACTCGTAAAACGCAAATCATTAGGTGCATGGGTTATGACCATGTTTTAGAATCCTGAAATCTCTTGTGAGTAAATTGACCCAGTATGTTTGAAAAGGAACCAACTTACCCTTTTCCGTATTTCCCTCGCCCATACTCTTGCTACTGCTGCTTCCGCTTTGAATAGCACCCAAGATACCATCGATATAAGGAGCGCCACTCCATTTTTGGTGAGTGAGAACCTCAACGCCCATCTCCTTCTCACGAGCTTGGACAAGGCGCACATAGGCAAGCATACCCTCATCCTTGAAAGCGCGAGAAAGTTCGGTTGTGATGGTGGCGTTAGTATGGAGACCAGCCAGGGAGATCAGTTGCAGAACAAAGCTAATTATGTCAGTCACGTATTCAGAAATAAAGAGAAAAATGAATCACTCACCCGTGCTTAGCGATATCCCAGATAAAAGATTTCAGGGAGGCCTCATCGAAGCCCTGTCCCATCCAGTTGAATGACGGGCTAAGGTTGTAGACCAACTTCTTGCCCGGATAGGCTGTGCGCACCTTGCTGGCTAGATCAGCAGCCTTTTCAACATTGGGGTCGCCAGTCTCGACCCAAAGGAGATCCGCATAAGGAGCAAATTCCTTGGCACGCTTAGTTGCGGCCGGGAAGCCGGCGCGGTAATGGTAGAATCCTTCACGAGTGCGCGGACTGTCACAAGACCAGATGACAGGGGACTTGCTATAATCACTGGCTAGAGCCCGACGACGCGAGATGGACAGATCAGGGTTCTTCTGAACATGCTCCTTGTAGGCCTCCCGAGCAGATTGCGAGGCTCCCTCAGCCTCAAGGTGGGCATCAACAGCTGGAAAACTGTCAGTCCGAAAGAGCGGTCAACGCTGACTTGATATCACAAACCTTCGTCAAAGGTCATAAGTTTGTGGTCCTTGACCCATTTAACTTCGAAAGCATCAATCTCGGCTGGCGACGCACCCTCGCGCTCCATCGCCTGCAGGGTCTCGGCAAGTGGCTCCAAGTCTTCGGCGACACCAAGGATGAACTCATGATCACGCACATCAATAGCGCTACTGATAAGCTTTCCACTCTCCGAGTCTGTACGGGCGATCACCAAGTTCTCACACCCCATCATGTCCCACTGGAAGCGAGCAGCCACCAGACGGTTGATGTGCTCACCCATGGGCACTAGGACCTTGCCTGCCAAGTGGCCGCACTTTTTCCCACCATGCAGTTGGTCCTCAAAGTGCACTGCTGCTGCACCGTTCTCTGCGAAGAGCTTGGCTAGCTTCAGAACCGCAGATAAGCCACCATGTCTGTTTAGAAAAAAAAAAAATCCTAATCAGTCCTGGAAATTCAATCCGTTATAGAAATCCGGTTACACACCCTGTATCTCCATCCGCAACAATCGGTCGCATGTAGTCGACATACGGTGTCTCCTTCCGTTGCTCTGGCGTTAGCTTGCGTCGTGCATCCCACTGTTTCCGATCGTGCATCTGCTGTGCTTTAAACAGGCGCTGGACCTGGTTCGGGACCGTATTGTAGGGATAGTCTCCAAAATCCGGCGAGACCTCGTTGGTTGTTGTCAATAAAGACGAGCAAGCCCAACCCGAGATGTACAAAATCTCCTGATTAGGAGCCTGTTGGGTCATCTGGACAGGGTCAATGGCACCCACTATTCGCGCGATCCATGTTAGCGCAAGTACAGTGGACGGGGGCATCCTTGCGGCTGTCCAACATACTAGTATGAACTGGCTCTCCAGCCGCAGCTCGCTCGTTCAACAAATTGAATAGTTTCCGCGCCATCAACGAGCTAGGATATGTCTGCTGCACCGAGCCACGCTTGCTCACAACATCTTCGGCCGAATAAGGTCGCTTAATGCCCTCGTAACGGGAGGAATTCCACCAGGCCTCAACATCGCGCACTTGTTGCTCAAAGAGCGCATCCTCTGCCAAGCCAGCCTTCTCTGCTGTCGACAACAGCTGGTATGCATCGGCGGGCAGTGCGGAGGACACTGGCGGCGAAGGGGCGGGCGGTAATGACATCCGAGGATAGCCGCATGTGAACGAGCGCAGGGCGAGGCGTTTCGGGGTGCTGGCGAGGGGAAGCTGGCGAGGAAGTCGTCGTGGAAATGATCGAAACATGATGGACTCCGAGTCCCGAGGAAATTGGGTTCGAAAAGAAGCAGAATGCAGGGAAGAGAGTGCGAGGTTCTAAAAGATGGGGGTGTTTATCACCGCGCTGGTCAACCTCGGGCCGTCCGTCTGGGGTTCAACTTGCGCCCCCGCGCCTCCGATAACCGCTACCTGACTAAGCTCCCCAGGTAAACGGCTAAAACGGCTATAGCGGGAAGACAGGGAAGTAGCGAAGAGCGGAGGCTGTCGAGTGTGAAGGACACCCCGACGACTTTGAACTTGGGGTGTTTCGAGGCAGGGTTCGAATAGTTTCGGAATACTATTTAATTTAAGGTACGTTGTGGTTGCTACTGCAAAGACTGGCGAAAGCGTACACTGAAAATAGGACCCGTCGTTCGAAAGTGGGTCTGGACAGAAATATATACTTCGAGCACCACTAAACAATGTGATAAACAAGAATGCAGTATTGATTGCTGGTGGAGGGTCTCCATCCACCAACTATTATTGTTATTTCATCTATCGATTCAAGTTTTTTTTTTTTTTTTTTTTTCGCACAATTCTGGAACTTACAAATAAAGTTAGCCTGAGATTGGCCTAGAAAGAGCGACCTGTATTATTCTAGTGGTAGAAAGACCTACAAGAACCTGCTGGGTGGGACAGGAATGCGGCATGAATACACAACGCATGCATGGGGCCTGCTTTCCTGCTTGTTGGCCTATTAAAGCAAATCATTTTGAAGTTTTTATGTTGGTACGTAGTTATCATCAACAAATCCAACCTGCTTTACTGGATTACCCATATCTAGTCCAGCAGCATTTGGGAATCTCTGACACGAGAGTTGGAGGAGGGCTAATCAAGCAAACTCCCTGTGGAAAACCACTGATATAACATAGTCAATAGAATGAAGAAGGCCATCTGCACCCATAGACACCCGGGAAGACCATGGAAAGTGGCGAGCCTTTCGCGACGATGATATTGGCAGTGGTATGCCGCCCCCACAAGCCTGCAGGGAACTGGATAAGACCAAGGTTACCCTTCGATGGCATTTTTCTGGCTGATCCTTCTGCCGTTCTGGATGCCGATCATGTCATCATCTTTCACTGACTCTCCGATGCTTGGATGGGGCTGTCAATTCCGTGCGCCATACAACGCCATGCACAGTGGTGGGTGTGTTGTACAGTAGAAAGGGTCTCGTCCAATGGGGGCCCATCGATATGGACGGTCAATCTGGCCCTGATGAGAGTTAGGTAAGCCGTTTCCCCTCACGCGGTTCCAGTTCTATCGACGGTGCAGATAGTAGGAGAAGCTGTCAGATTGTGTTGATTGGGGGACAGGGCGAGGGGATCCACGATCAACCCAGATCCTCGATAAGCAAAGCCCGGTCTGTCAATTTCCAGACAGCACTCCCCACGCCAGGCCAGAGAATACAGCTGAAATTGCGACAGGCGTTTTCACAGACTCGAAACTTTGGTCGCGCTATCCCCACTGTTCAATCTCTATATGACCGCAGAAGATCCAGGGGCCCGTGGATCGCCCGATGCGCGTGTTCGGAACTTCCCCGCATCTGCCATGCCGGGTTCCCTGACGGAGCCCCTCGACGATCTCGCCAAAACCAACCTACACCTTTCATCTCTACGTCGTGCAACCCTTCGCTCCCTCTCATAGAGTTCCAGGTTCGTGGCCTCCTGCTCCGCGATGGACCTTGTCGGCTCTCTCGACCGCAGTGCTCGGCGAACGGATGGCAGACCAGATTTCAATGCCGAGCGTAACCCCTCAGAGGCTTCTCCAAGATCGGCGCCAAACCCCCGCAGATGTGCCTTATCATTCCGGAATGTCCTCCCCGCCTGAAGGTTTGCTGGCTATTCCCTATCTCCTTCGTGTCATTCGCTACGCCACTCCGGCTTATCTTCTTTTTTCACCGTCTTCCCCCTCCCGCCTGGGTTCATATACTCGTTGTCATCCATCTCAACCTCCCGCATCCTGCGGTTCGTGAATATCGCCTTGGCATGGAAAAGATCAAAATCCCATCTCCGTCCACGATCCTAGACTCGCCCGATCCGCGCCCGGCCGCGCGGGGAAAGTCTACTTCGCCCCCGAAGAAGGTGAAGCAGATCGCCTCGGCTACCCAGAAACCCAAGCAGACCAAGTCTCGTAATGGTACGATATATTGTCCTCTAATGGAAACATTTTCAGGTGTCCATTATCTTCTACAGTGAACCTGGTGAAACGGGAAACACAGCCTACACCACCTGAACACTATACCGAGAGGGCCCACTCCACGCGGGTGGGCCTGATGCTGTCTGGCGCAGAACGCTGACCCGATCTCTCCTCCGCGATGCCTAGGTTGCATCACCTGCAAGGCTAAGCGGTTAAAGTGCGACGAAACCAAGCCCTGCTGCCACCAGTGCCAGCGGCGAAAGGTCACCTGTGGGGGATATAAAAAAGACTTCAAATGGCGGCCCTTCGAGGAAACGAACCTGGCCGTCGGTCGGCCCACCGCCACAAAGGGTAAGAAAGGTATCATGCACCACGCGACCAATAGAAGGAACAAACAGCCATATCTAGTGAACTACCCAGAACAGCTTCGAACTAACATCGGCATTCTTCCAGCTGATGCAACCTTGCAGCCTCTCGTTGCCGTCGTCAATCCGGAAAACTTCCCGACACCCCCAACCACCGAGCAATCCACCTCACCGGTGCGAGTGCAGTCCAATTCTTTTCACACCTCTCCCCCGGCATCATCGCTTCATAGCTCCCCTAAAAGTGTCAAGAGTTTCCTGTCCACAGAGACCCATTCTCTGGATGACTTGGCTGTGCTTCAGGAGGAATCTTCCACCGGCGAGGAACCCATGCCGATCAGTGCTTTCTCAATGCCAGTGGACTTTGATCCTCTGAATTTTCTATCTTTCCTAGAACCCTTTCAAAATCCCGTACCGTTCGCAGATGACTTCATGGACCGAGACATAGATGGCGCTGCTTCAATGGTCTTTGGCCCGCACGAGTTTCAACCAGCACCGGGAACCGCCGAGCTCAGTTTCTCTCGGCTGCTCGAAGATGACAACTCGGATATCGAAGAGATCATTCGGCAATCTGACCCCGGTGAAGGACCATGGAGCTTGAGCTTCCTGGGACAGGATGCCGGCCCCTTCGATCTATCCCGTTTCCCCAACCAGCCTACTCTAGCACCCGAGAGTCAGGAGATGCTGGCGATGCGATTTGACAAGCTAACTTGTGGTATCCTGTCTATCAAAGATGGGGTGACGGAGAATCCCTGGCGAACCTTGATATGGCCGCTTGCGAAAAGTACGCCTGCCCTGTACCATGCTATCTTTGCCCTGTCGGCTTTTCATTCGGCAAAGGAAAATCCTTCGGTACGAGTACAAGGTGTAAGACACATGCGGCAGAGTATCACATGCCTACGACAGCAAATTCAAAGTATGCGTGCCGACACCGCGCTGGCCACCAGCCTGGCTCTGGCCTTCGCCGATACATGGGACCAAAACACCCGCACATGTATCCAGCACCTGCGGGGTGCGAAGGCCTTGATGTTGCAGGTTCTCAATGCAGGTCTCGAAGGTGGCCTCCAAACAGAGGAGTTAGATCGTATTCGGTTTCTCTACAATACATGGACATATATGGATGTTATTGCGCGCCTGACGTCGTTGGACGAGTCAGGCCCACAAGATCTCGATCCTTCGATCTTTCAACTTCCCGATGATGCCGTGCACGATATCGATCCATTAATGGGATGTGCTTCCACACTCTTCCCTTTGATTGGAAAGGTTGCAAGGCTGGTTCAGCGTGTTCGGAAGACGTCGACCAACTCAGTTTCCATCGTCTCCCAAGCCATGGAGCTGAAGGCTCTCATAGAGCAATGGGAACCGCCGCGCTGGTTTGAGCCACCAGAAGATCCGACTTCAGAGGTACAGCACAGCATTCAGATGGCTCATGCCTACCGCTGGGCAACGTTGCTCTATCTGCATCAGGCAGTTCCAGAGCTCCCTTCGGAGCCGGCAGAAGAGTTGGCGAAACGCGTGCTGATTCTTTTGGCTACCGTTCCACCCTCATCGCGCACGACTATCATCCAAATGTTCCCCTTACTCGCTGCTGGAGCCGAGGTCGACGCAGAGGATGATCGAGAATGGGTCCTGGAGCGCTGGTCTGTCGTCCAGTCTCGGCTGATGCTTGGAGGCGTTGATCGCTGTCTGGATGTCATCCGTGAGGTATGGTCCCGACGGGATAAACTCAGAGCTGAAGAACTAGAGCAAGAAATGATGAATGCCCGACGACCTGGATCATTTTCTAGCGATAAGAAAGCGAAGGCCAATGTCGGCATCTGCACGGGGGACAGAAGCTCTACGCCGCTACATAGTCGTGTCAATTCGGGTGAGCGTATCGAGAGGTCTGTCCAACAAAGAAATGGAGCATCTACATCCAAGGGCGGGTCAACGAGAAGGGGTTCTGCGCTCTCCTCACTGGAGAATATTGAGTTTGAAAGAACGGTGCGAAGCCGGTTGCATTGGGTTAATGTTATGGGGGAGTGGGGATGGGAGGGTGAGCATACTTTTCGAAAGTTTCTTTGAATCTGATGCTAAGATAAGCTAGTATTTCTTGGCTAATGCCTGGGTCTCTGCCAATTTGAACGGTTGGTTGAGACCTGCTGCGATCTTGAGCACCCTGCGACAGCATGGATGATCTGCAGCAGAGAAGTATCTGGGTTCTCTTGCAGAGCTTCCTCTACTAGGATAAACTAATGTCACGACTGATGAGACAGACTGTTATTTTCTTCTCGCGTTCTGTCTGTCTTGCAGTTTTTCAAATTGTATAACTGCGGACCACGCACAATTCTGCAACCAGCGCGGCGTTCGAGGTCTTTCATTTACTTTCTTTTCTTTCTTATCTTGACGATGTGATCATAGTGTTTTCGATCGAACCGGCTTTTTTTGACCCTATGATCATATTTATCTGACTGCAGACATATTCTCTAGGCACTAACACGTCAGTCGATGCTGATGTTGATGATTGCATACCCGCTTCCCCTCGACCAGGAGCCTCAATTCAGCCCACAACCTATCCCAGCCCACCAACCAAAACATAATATCAAGAAAAGAATATACCCAAAATGCACCATCTGACTCCCTGATACAGCCTTTCCCATCATAAACCGCTTATGACTCCTTGGCCCACTGTTTCCCACTCCAAATATCCCCTGTCGTCCATAGCCAGTAATCCCGGCCTTTGATCAGCCAGACCAAGAAACTGGGAATTGCAAATCCCATCGCGGCACCCACGCCTTTACTCGTACCAATGGGAACTAGCTGCGTCTCGCGTGTGTCTTCCTTGAATGCGCGGTCTTCTCCGGCAGCGGCTTCGCTAGTTCCGGCTGCGAGCAGTAAATCGCGCTTGAGATTAGCGCAAAGGACAGGCATGGCATTCAAAGTGGTGTGCACAGCTGGGCGGGCGTATGATGCTGCGTCGCCAATTGCGTAAATCCGCGGGCCTGCAGAGTCGACACGTAGCGTGGAGGAGTTGTTTTCTATTCGCCCATCTGATGCGAGCAGAGTCTTCGAAACGAAGCCCGTGTTGGGCATTGTTCCCACAGCCGGAATGTAGATATCTGCCTCAATTGTCTTATCATCCGCCAGCGTCACTGTTGCTTTTGTCACGAGAGAGTCTGCCGTGCCGGCATTCGCTGGTTCTACCGAAACCACCTTTGTACCCTTGATCACCGTCACTCCAACTCGAGCAAGGAGCCCCTCTGCTTTCTGGGCGAGACTTGGGCGGAGATGCGGTAAAATGCGATCGCCAGATGTGACAAGCGTAATCTGCACTTTGGGGCTGTCCAATTTCGAGCTGAACCACCAAGCGCGACCGTTCAGATACTCGCCCAACTCGCCAGCGGTCTCAACCCCCGTTGGCCCGCCTCCTGCGATGACAATGCGCTTGGCTGTAGGAAGTGCCTCTCGAAACAAAGCCCAAGCCGCTCGCAGACTGGCTGCATCCTTATTCAACCCAAACAATGGCGATACTGTTGACGCTCCGGTCGCGATGACCAGCGCATGAAAATCAATGGACTTTTCTTGCTCTGCTTCGGCGAATTTGACTTGCAAAACTCGATTTTCGTGGTCTATATTGATCACAGTTGCATGCTCGAAGTGGAAATTTTCTGCTGAATACTGTTCAAAGAGACCAGGGATCGAAACGAAAAGCTTCTCCTGGTTAAAAAACTTGTCTGAAAGCATTGCACGCGGGCAGGCTGGGCGACAGATCGCCTCCGGGGACGCGCTGACAAGAACGACGTGGTAGGTTTCTGGGCTTGCGAGTTTGGGAATGGCATGCTTGAGAAGATAATGGGCAGTGGAAATGCCGCCGAAGGAGCCGCCAAGTATGACGATATTTTTCTTTGATGTTGCCATGGTTGATTTGGCTGGATAGTTCGTTTTCCGATGGTGAAGATGAGGTTGTAGAGGTATACGAAGGGGACACAGGCGAAGTTTATGTATTCGTCCAATAGGCCACCCGCTTGGTAAGCGGCTCGTATATCTCCATGTAACCAACTAACAGCTATAGATTATTTGCAGAATCATCAGCCTTGAGGTGCAGGTGCGGGCATTGTACATGATCATGATCAGCGGGAGCTCCAATCACATCACGAAGCATCCTGCCTGTTTCCGACCAAATGAGGCGGACGATCTACAGGAGCTAAAATATACGAGCACAGATCCACCAATCAGAAGCACCGAATGGATTTGAAGTGGGTACCTGGCTCATGATGGTACCAACAGACCAGGATCCCATTTACTGTATTAGGATCCATTGCCGGTTCGTTACAACGCTCGCGACATTCTAGGGACCGAAGCACCGAAATTATGTTTCTTATCAGCCCCCAGTTCGATTAAATTTTATGCTTATGCCACTGGAATCTCTGTATAATCCATTGCGAAGCGGATATCGGGTAATTTGCACGAGCTGCTCGCTTCTTTTGACCATGATCTTGAACAACAGCTCGAAATCCGTACCCACAGTAGATAGACCGAGATTTCTTTGAAAGCTGATACTTGTCACACAATCTCTAGTCGACGTATATGAGATGATAGGAGAGAGGGCACTAATTTTGCAGAATTATTGACATTGAATTATGTACTATTAATAACAAGAGTATAGCTCTTGGTAGAGTCTCCTGAAATCATTAATGGTTATGTCTTGGGGCACCATACTTTTGTGCCAAACGTTGATACTTCACAGCCTTCTTGAGGACCATGCCGTTGGATAATTGATCGGTTTCTTGGCGGAAGATCTCCTGCCATGGCGTTTGACTGGGGACCAATGGGTATTCTTGAGACAACAGAACTTCTCGACGCTGTGCAATCTCCTCATCACTGAGGAGGATATCGACACGTCGCTTGGGTAGATCAATACGGAGTTTGTCGCCGTTTCGCAAGATAGCTAGATTTCCTCCGGCTGCGGCCTCAGGACTGGCGTTCAAGATCGAGGGAGAGCCTGAGGTTCCAGACTGTCGCCCATCGCCAATACAGAAGAGTGCATCAACACCCTGTTTGAGCAGTCGGCCCGGAGGGTGCATGTTCACAACTTCTGCTGCGCCCGGATAGCCCAAGGGGCCAACTCCGCGCATAATCAAGATAGTTTTATCATCGATCTCAGGCATTTGCTCCAATCGACTATGGTAGTCTTCGGGGCCGTCGAAAACCACCACGGATCCCTCAAACGCCTCTGGGTCCTCCGGGTTTGAGAGATAGCGCTGCCGGAACGCAGGTGAGATAACGCAGGTCTTCATGATCGCAGAATCGAACAAAGTCCCTTTCAGATGCACGAAGCCCGCATCCTTCATTAAGGGGTCGTTAAAGGGACGAATGACACGTCGATCCCAAGAATGCTTGCCGCGAACATTCTCGGCAACCGTCCGCCCATTGCAGGTCAGCGCATCCCCATGGATCTTGCCTGCGCCGAGAAGTTCGGCCATGATCGATGGAAGGCCTCCCGCACGGAAGTATTCTTCTCCGAGGTACTCCCCTGACGGCTGCATATTTAACAAAAGCGGGATCTTAGAGCCAATGGTATCCCAATCGTCCATGGAAAGATCAACGCCGATGTGCTGAGCAATAGCGTTGAGGTGAATAGGTGCATTAGTGCTGCCGCCGATAGCTCCATTCGCCACGATCGCATTCTCAAATGCCTTGCGGGTCAGCAAGTCGCTTGGTTTGAGATCTATATCGACCATTTCCACAATCCGTTTACCAGTCTCATATGCACATTGAGCTCGGTGACGGTATGCGGCAGGAATGGCTGCTGATCCAGGAAGTGCCATTCCTAGAGCCTCTGCAAGTGCATTCATCGTGGATGCAGTGCCCATGGTATTACAGTGTCCCACAGAGTGGGTACTGTTATGAGATTAGCTATTAATACTAAATGTTGTTTCTGGGTGAATTCATTACTCACCTTTGGGAGATGAACTCCATAAACTGATCTTCGTCAATTTCGCCTGTGGCATACATTTCCCGTCCCTGCCACAGGACACCACCAGATCCGACTAGTTTCCCTTTAGCCCAGCCATTCAGCATAGGGCCGACATTCATACAAATAGCAGGAATGTTCTTGGAGATGATTAGCAAAAAGCAATACCTAAAGGCGCAAAGTTCCACTGATGACGTACCACTGTAGCTGCGGCCATAAGACAAGCCGGCGTGGTCTTGTCGCATCCTGTCAAGAGGACAACACCGTCGAGAAAGTAACCATTTAAAATCTCCACGAGACTGAGATAGGCAAGATTCCGGTCTAACGTAGCAGTAGGGCGTCGAGATGTCTCTTGGATAGGGTGAGTCGGGAACTCGATTGCAATACCCCCGGCCGTGCGAATGCCCTCTCGGACTCGCTTCGCCAATTCTATGTGGTGACGATTGCAAGGCGCAATATCAGATCCAGTTTGAGCAATTCCAATCATCGGCTTTCCTGACATCAGCTCCTCACGAGTGATGCCAAAATTGAAATAGCGCTCCATGTAGATGGCGGTCATGCCAGGATCGCTGCGGCAGTCGAACCATGCTGAGGACCGAAGCGTGCGACCAGGCTTTTTGGTGATCTTGGAAGAAGCTCCATTGTCTGCACTGAGGCCGAGCCTTGTTTCGAGCTCTTGGTTTCGTCGTCGAAGCGCCTGTAGCTCGCTGATGCAGTCTTCTATCTGGACTGGTTGTGAATTGCTGGGACTGCATGAGCAGCCATCACATTTCTTCGCACAGGACATGGTGGCCAAGAAACTCCTTGCGTGAGGTCTTTGGTTCTCTATGATTTCATTCCACCCTGGACCCTGGGGCTGGGGCTTCCTTTTATTTCGCTGTCACGAGAGGGTCCAACCAGCCCTTCAAGATTACTCACTTTTCGGGATGTGACGTTCCCATTGGTGATGCTAGGTCTCTGGGGTAATTTTGTGGAGCTTGTACCAATGAAACTTAATTGTGGACTCCGGTTCCAAAAATGACTGCCGAAGTTTTTTGCCTCTCGGGAAGTCCCAATCCGAATTTCAGACGCAGCGTCATAGCCCATGCTTCGAACTTTCAAATGTAGATACGCATATCTACTCAATTGATACTCCATGGTGTCAAACGCTATCTTGATTCTCGCTACAAGAATTATTTGAGTAAGCTGGACGGGCAATGAGCTTTTGACTGCTATTCTAGATTTTCTCTTTCGTAGTAGAGACGGCTAAAGGCACTACCCGCCGGAATCCGGTCTTCCAGCCGGCAGGTCATGTTCCGGGCTCTCCCCGCACATTTATATTACATAGCAACATGAACACCCTGTCATCTTATTGATATTAGCAACACACTTCACATCGTCCTGACCAAGTACATCCTGTGTTATTGCTGTGACATCTGAATCCTCTCAATTTTTTTTTTTTTGGAGAAAAAACTCATCGGAAAATACTCGATTCTCTTACTATAAATGGGCAAGCGAATCATTGTTACTGGGGGTTCTGGCAAGGCGGGACAGCATGTAATTGCCTACCTGCTAGACAAAGGACATGATGTACTCAACCTCGATCTTGTTCCTCTTTCGGGCAAGCTTGGTGACCGCGTTCATACAATGCGAGTCGACCTGGCCGACAGTGGCCAGGTATACAGCGCCTTCACCTCCCATTTCCATCTGACAGAGCCATTCCGCGAACCTCTTGGCTTGATCCCGGATGCAGTCATTCATCTTGCGGGTTATTCTCGTAATATGCTTGCACCGGATAGTGAAACGTTTCGAGCAAATGCTCTTTCAACCTACAATGTGATTGAAGCGGCTTCAAAGTTGAATATTAAGAAGATTATCATCGCTAGTTCGATTACTGTTTACGGTGTGAGCTATGCAGAAGGTGATGTGGACTATCCATCATTCCCAGTAGATGAAGAGGTCGACGCCAACCCGATGGATACATACGCGATCACCAAAGTGTGCGGCGAGCGCGTTGCTCGTGGGTTTGCTCGTCGATTCGGAAACGATATCTATGTATTGCGAATTGGCAGGATCGTCTCTCCAGAGGAATATACAGAAGCCATGTTTGATAGTTACGTGAAGGACCCAGCTTCCTGGGCGAGTCACGGCTGGTCTTATATCGACACGCGAGACCTGGGGCAGATCTGCGATCTGGCGGTTCAGAAAAATGGCCTCGGCTTCCAAATTTTCAATACTGTCAATGACGAAATTACAAACTATACCACATCGACTACTGAGTTTCTGGCAAAAGTGTCTCCTAAAACGCCTTTCACGCGAGAAATGGGGCCTCGAGATGCCCCCATATGCAACCAGAAGATTAAAGATATGCTGGGGTTCCGCCAGAATCACCCCTGGCAAATGTATTATGAGCAGAAATAGTTTGCCGCTTTGACTCAATGATAAGATATTTTCAAGCTCGAGATTTTTGCTGCTTAAGATATGCAATAAATGTCAAGAGAGGGTATATGTACCCCTTTCCTCTCTTCTTCATGAACTTCGATGGTGCGATACGGCCGCCGGTACTGTCACTCGACTGTCTCAAATCACCAGCGAATGTAAAAGGTGCCTGCCTAAGAGGTAGCAAAACAACACCGAGGCAAGTTCATCTTCATTGGAGCAAAGGTCATGTCCTCCAGCGACGCGGGTTATGTGGTTGTCAGATAATTGACGTAATGCTTCCCCGTTTCCCCGTAGCCATGATTGCGGCTGTGATTAGCTTTGAAGAGCTGCTACACCCAGAACCCGCCTTTGAAGAAACCCGTGTCGAACTTATAAGTGAGGGTACGGGATATTCAGCAATAGCACTAGCCTGGCTATGAATCGGGCAGCATCCTCATATGCTAAGACACCACGTTATCCAGTTATGCCGTAGCTATTCATCATCTGGTGAACTTGAATCATTTTCATATTCCGACAGGATGCATGAGATAATGCAGTTCTCCGTCCAGGCGAAATCCTTGGGCAATGGCCTCAAGATCTAGATCAGATAGGCCCCAGTTGAGCTGCGGAGACCTCATCTCGATGCCTTGATCCGTGATGTTTATAGGTCCGGGGAAGGATGAACTGTCGGTGACAGGGATCTCGTCTCTGGATAGCAGTCCATCAAGCACTGCCATCTGGTCGTCGTGGTTGATACTGATTCCTAGATGGCCGACGAGCTTATCGAGATTGGCTTTCGCCTTTCCAGCCGCCCCGTAGAGGCATTGCTGCTGCTCTAGAATGCTTTGACAAAATATCAAGGATTGGAAAGAGCTCGAACTTTTGCCCTTCTGCGCAACAATCCGGGCGTGAATAGTAGCACCGATATATGTGGCATATGACATGATGTACGGTGCGGTGGTTATCAGAAAGTGTTGAGAGTAGTCGCGAAGAATTTGTACGATGTAATTCGCGGCTGTTGTACATACATTCACCGCTTCAAATGCTGTTGTTGAGTGGCGCGCATGGCCATTGTTACCCGTGAACAGGGGTCTTTGAGAGAGGATGACGAGGACGTTCGAAAGAGCCCTGGATCAAAGTTAGCAACCCCGATAATGAATGGGGATGAGGTGCCGCGTACAGGAGGCAAAATGCTTGTGGAAGAAGCAGTGATTGGTCAGGGTGTGATAGGTAGTCGAGTTGGGGAGGGAGGCTTGAGCGCCACCTGGCGAGATCCGAGTTTATATCTTTGGCAATCTTGTGGTTTTGACTTTGGCTCATATTTTGTGACTCGGAGTAAAGTTCGCAGAGGATACGTTCACTGATGATGGATAGCTCGCACAATTTTGTCAAAAGAGAGACATTGAGCGATGGTATGGCATATTGATGTTGAACTTTATTGTATGTAATGTCTTTAAAGGCGTCGAGTTCATCATACTCGTCCAGGAAGTTCAAAGAAGCTTTGAAGTTGACTTGCCGGAGTAGCGGTGGTCTGCCTTGGAGGAGACATTGAATTTTGTCAATCGCTAGACGTATTAATAATCCGATTTTTCATACTTTGACCTGAGATCGTACTCACTGTAAGCGCCCCATAGTACTCGTTTACGGATCTCAAGCTCCTCGGCCGACATGAGGCTTGGTGAAGGCAAAACATGCAAACCAAGGTCTATAATCATGTTGAAAGCGTTGCCTGCATAAAGCCAGGAGAGACTGCGCTCATCACATCTCGAGAACAGGGAATTTGACATGACGAGCAAGGCCTGGAGAGTAGTAATCTCACTCTTGTCAAATGAGTCACGGAGAAGCTCCGTAAACCTTTGTCGAAACCGCCAACCAGCTGTGGTTATATCATCAGGATCTGATCGGAGTTCAGGTCTGGGACAGTGCTTTGAAACTGTAAACAAGACAGCATTGAGCAATAGTTTTGAAAAATATGGCCCGTTGCATGCCATATCCCGCATGAAAACCGGGCGATATATGATCTGAGCTGTATATAGCTGACGGCTCCAGTAGATCGATAGCAAGTGCATTCCAAGTTCTGGATTAACTTCATCAAAGTCTAATTTACGAGCTGCCAGGTTAAGCGGCTCCATTTGCCCTACAAATTTCCGATTTAACACAGGACTCGTTTAATTGGGGGAATGTATGCTTACTTTCCCTAGCAGTCTGGGCAAAAAGAAGATGGCGAGCACATTCCTCATTGAGTAACGAGTTAGAAGATTCTCCATTCTCCTCGTTGGCCTCCAGATTCGCGGTGTCATCGTATACCGTACTAGTGGGCCCGTGGTACAATGACGCGCTTGTTCGGCGATTATCGCTGTCCGGTACTTCTGGGTGGGAAGTATCCCGGCCCCTAGTTGAATGTTGCTCTCTAGGGGAAGGCTCGACATGGCTAGAGATCGAGGAGGCTGTGGGTCTGTTGTGCGCTGGGCTGAGTGAGGCCAGCGGGCTCTCTGTCCGGTTTAACCTAGCCCTGTCGACCGTGCCGATACTCCCGGTTTCTAGCTGAGACCATTGTTTTCGAAGGAATGCATTCTCTTTTTCCAATTGTTCAATCCGCGAATTTGTTGGTCTATTCCTCTTCATCAGTCAAAGAAACCTTTTCCAACGGAGACTTGCTTAACCTTGGCTTATGCCGAGGAGCGCCTTGCTGGCAATCGATGCCCTTTGCCAGACAATTCCCACAAGATGGCTTTTGAGAGTCACATTTCAACTGTTGAATTGGAAAATTTATCTTAGCCTATTATGTTCGGCTCAATGGGAGGCTATAGACGATTACCTTTTTGTGGCGGCAGAAAAGGCAGGCCGCTGGCGCTCGGGTTCTTCGGGTCGGCATGACTGCTGTCACGGTGTGAAAGCCGATGAGGGCCAGGGATATACACCGGTGATCATGTCACCTGTACAGCCCTCAAATGTACTAAGGCCGACTACTCAAGACGAAAACTAAAATTATCCGCAGGAGTTTTTCAGTCACAAAAGATATCAAATTGGCCAAGAGGTCGGCCAAATTCACAGGTTCCGTACAAGCCAAAGCGGGGAAGGAAAAACTCTTTTTGCGCGCGGATCCGAATAGACGCCAGGACGGGAGCCCCAAGCTATCGGATGTACAGGAGAACGGCGCCGCATTTTACGATCTGTAAGACCACCGGAAAATAAATAGATCATATTGTGGTCATCGGCGTGATTGAGAGTGACGACATTTAAAGTTCCAATGCAGCGCGATCTGATGAAGAGGATATGACTTCTATCATACAGATCACGGTCATACCTCTCTGTTTTTGCATTCATTTCGAGTCAACAATATCGCCGACTAACTTTTTTTTTTTCTTTCTTTTTTTTTTTTTTAAAAAAGAAAAGAGATTGAAGTGTCTCGAAAAATCAAAAAATTTTTGGTCCGCCTGGAATCAAACAATCAAACCACCGATCCAGACATGGTTCAAGGTGTAGATACGGTAGGAAAATGATGTGGGAGGACGAAACCTCGACGGCGGCATAGTCGTTCGCTTCAATAATATGGATACTTAACCGAAATGAAGTACCGAAGGAGCCGAAGGAGGACATTCTCATAGAAAAACAGCCGTGATTGACAACTGCAAACTAAGCATGAAGGTACGGAACGCTTGACAGCTTCAGGCCATCAACCCACGTCCATTTTGGATTGCGGATGGGGTAAGACTAGCCGCATCAGGCAAAAAGATCCTCGATTGGGGGAGTGCATCGTACATCCTTGAAGCACAAGATGCATTCCAAGTTTCGACGGCCATTATTATCCGCTCTAAGCAGCATGTCCGACCGCAATTTGATCAATAAATCACAATGGATTGGTCCAAAGAAACATTCAGCGATCGCCGCAACCTCAATGCCCCCGGCTGTCATCTTCAGATGACCAAAGTGCAATGACTGGTGTAGTTATCAAAGTTTAAGAGACTTTCCCCTCATTGCCATCGTAGGTCACTGCCCCGCATTCATCGTGCTCTCTACTGTTCGGTATCCTGCTATCACTTGGCACTCCGCCGTCCTGCCTAGTCGGGGCATCTAATCCGACGAGCTGTTCTGGCTAGGATCGAACTGCCTCCTGCTGGAGCATGATTGAGATCGTTCATGATGCTCCCCTCTTTTGTGTCCAGACAGGAATTGGGTACCCCCTTCGAATGTGTGTAATAAAAAGCGAGACTGATCCTTGAAGATCGAAATATCAACCAAAGCATCTCTTCTACAATTCTTGAGATCGAGAGCAACTCATTGAGAGTGTATTCACAATGGCAACCCCGTTTACTTACCATGCCAAGGCGCAGTCAACCTTTAAGCCTCCTTTGATCGCGAACGAGAATGCCTTCTTGGGCGATGTCATCTCCAGGTATGTTATAGAGGATCAATGGCGGATGGAACCCATTAATGATACTCGTCGAATTGCGGGGCTAACTTCTGGGGCCAGCGACAAGGATAATGCTGAAAAGCCTATCTCCTGTGGTTTCTATCGATTGGAAAAAGGCACTCCGCTGGTCTACACGTATACCTATGATGAGATGAAGATCATTTTGGAGGGCCAATTCGAGATCTCGGACGAGACGGGCCAGAAGGTGACCGCGTCCCCCGGAGATGTCTTTTACTTCCCGAAGGGAGCGAAGATTACATTCACCACCGAGACCTATGGGCTAGCATTCTATGTGAGTTTAAGTTGCGCGCCCTTTCCACTTTCCCCCTAATGCAAGTGCTCACCGATGTCGCTGGTGCAGACGGGTCAACGGGCGGAGGGGGCCGCGTGAAAATGTGCAAGAGGGTGAAAGAATGTGATGTGGTATAGTTTGCGAGCGCCGGACTCCCGCTTCCAAGAGCCAATAGTGTTTCCAGTTCCTCCATAGTGCACGATAGATCCAACTATTGACTGAATTCGGACCCAATATCATATATTTTTGACTAGTTTGTGCCTCGCGGAAACTTGAAACCAACGGGGACTCCGTTTCGCGCAGACGATCCATGGATTGCAGCGCCTCCACAAGGTCTTTTGGGGGTTGTTTTTGGATCGAACGGGGCCACCCCATGCCCAATTCGGTAGTTTGCTTACTCGAGTGGAGCTGCCCGCAACCCCGGTGCTCTGCGATGCCTCACATTTTCCTCTTTCGTTGGGCAAGATCAGCATGAATACGCGAGCAATGGCCCGTTTCACCCGCGGGCTGAAGTGAAATTGGTTTTAAAAAGAAATTTCAACGCCGACTGAGGCGGCATCACTAGAGGGTTGCCGCCGTAGCATACTCTGAAGTGGTTTATCTCATTATCAGGATCATTATTGATTCGTCGCATTTGTCGTCTATCGCGGAGTGGACCATGAATATCTAGGATTCTGCAAGGCTATGGAAAGCTAATGATGCCATGAATGAGTGCTCGTCCAATCACCAGAGGGACTGGAAGTGTGAATCCGGGCTGGGGACTCAGTCTTCCCAGTGTGTGCCCGAATCGATGGGCCATCACCCATCGCGTCGCGACTGTGTGGCTTGGAAGGAGGGGCCAGGCCCGCTCTAAACTCCCTGAATGGAGCCTGTACGCTCAGTTCCGGGAGGAAGATGAGCTGCAGGGCCAACCGCGAACTCTTCGACCCCAAGTGGATATCAGGCTCAGCCTGGATTGATCAGCTCAGCTGTGCCACCGAGTCGGGTTCCTTGCGCGGGCATGTATATGACGTGAGGGGAGTTGCCCGGGCAACCTCACGCAGCAGCAGCCTGCTTGAGATGTGGATATGAGACGGGACAGTGGATTTGAGGAAATGAAATCAAGATCGAACCGATCGGAGGTGGAGCTGGATCGACTCGGAGTTTGCATGTGCCAGCAGAACATATAATAAGCATAAGCTCGTCTGTAGCACGTAGACTTCATCCGACGCAGGAAGAAAGAAAGGCCGACAAAGACATTCTGTTCTATTGTTGCCGGATAACGTGCGCTGCTGCTCTAGCGTCCTCGCTGCACATCCGCCCCGAATCAAGGGAGGCCACCTCACCTCCGCCTTCTCTCCCCAACTGCCCTTGCCCCGACTTCAATTTTCCCCAAGCACTCTCGACGATGACCTTCGAAGTCGCATCTGAAGACCGACTGGGTCTGCGGCTGCCAAATCCCCCGCCACTGCTGCATACTCGTTCCGGTAACGACTACGACCGCCCCTCCACCCCCGCCGACCATGGCTTCACCAGTCCCCCACAAACCCCCCAAGGGAGCCCCAGCAAATCCAAGGCGCCCCCCGGCTCCTTGGACCTGCCCAATGTCTTCGATAAGGCCTTGAAATTGACGCCCACCTCTCCGTCCAAGTCGACCTACAACCATCTCAATCATCCCATGTTTACCACCGACAAGAGCAGCATCGAGGACTTCAACGAGAGCGTCATCCACCAGCGGCCCTCCAGCCCCTCGCGCAAGGCCAACAAGGAAAACACCCCGCCGACAAGCACTCGGGCACCCAAGGATTTGGGCCCCAACCCAACTGCCGCGGCGCTTTCGCGCCATGAGCCATATCAGCAACGCGACACCGACACGTCCAAGCGCCAAGTGCACATGCGCGGCCTGACACCAGAAGAAACCGAGAAGCTGCAACAGCCCCGCGTCAAGCGCCTCGTCAATGTGACCCAACTCTGTACGTGATCCGACAGGAATAGCTTTTCGCTCCCTCTCCGTCCACAACCTCTCCCCCCTCTTCTTCCTACCATCCCCGCGAATGGCATCGACTAATGGAATGGAATTGTGCCGCCTAGATTTCCTCGACCACTATTTCGACCTCCTCAGCTACGTTCACAACCGCCAAACCCGCCATTCCCAATTCAATGCCGCCCACCCTCCACCTCCCACGACCCCTAATGAAGAATACGAACCGGCCCTGCTCAAATATCTTGGCCGTGAACGGGCCCATCTGCGCAAGCGTCGGACTCGCCTGCGCCAGCACGACTTCCAGATCCTGACGCAGGTTGGTCAGGGTGGATATGGACAGGTTTATTTGGCACAGAAGAAGGATACACGCGAGGTGTGCGCGCTGAAGGTCATGAGCAAGAAGCTGCTGTTCAAGCTGGATGAGATCCGCCACATCCTGACCGAGCGCGACATTCTGACAGCGGCCAAGAGCGAGTGGCTCGTCAAGCTGCTGTACGCCTTCCAAGATGACGATCAGATCTACCTTGCGATGGAGTACGTGCCCGGTGGCGACTTCCGCACGCTGCTGAACAATACCGGCGTCCTCCACAACCGTCACGCCCGCTTCTACATCGCAGAGATGTTCAGCTGTATCGACGCCCTGCACGTGCTTGGTTACATTCACCGCGACCTCAAGCCCGAAAACTTCCTCATCGACTCGACTGGCCACGTGAAGCTCACCGACTTTGGCCTTGCCGCTGGCATGTTAAGCCCCGGCAAGATCGAGTCCATGCGTGTCAAGCTTGAGGAAGTCGGCAACACCCCCGTGCCCTTCGGCCGACCCATGGAACAGCGTACCATGGCCGAGCGTCGGCAGGGCTACCGCACCCTGCGCGAGCGGGAGGTCAATTACGCCAAGTCAATTGTTGGTTCGCCGGACTATATGGCCCCAGAGGTGTTGAAGGGCGAGGAGTATGATTTTACTGTCGACTACTGGAGCCTGGGGTGCATGCTGTTCGAGGCGCTGGCGGGCTACCCGCCTTTTGCGGGCGCGACCGTGGACGAAACTTGGCAGAACCTGAAGCGCTGGCAGAAGGTGCTGCGCAAGCCCGTATACGAGGACCCGAACTATTTCCTGTCGCGGCGGACCTGGGATCTTATCACGAAGCTGGTTGCTGCCAAGGAGCAGCGCTTTAAGAACATCCAGGAGATCCATGCGCACGATTATTTCGCGGAGGTGGACTTCACGCGACTGCGCGAGCAGCGTGCACCATTTGTGCCGGAGCTAGACTCGGAGACTGATGCAGGCTATTTCGATGACTTCAGCAATGAAGCGGACATGGCCAAGTATAAGGAGGTGCACGATAAACAGCGCGCGCTGGAGGAGATGGCAGAGCGCGACGAGAAGATGAATAAGGGGCTCTTCGTTGGGTTTACGTTCCGGTAAGTGTGTTTTGAGACTCCTGCTTTTTGCCTGTCAATTTTGTATTCCCCTCGCTGGTATCTTTGAACAAGGACCTTCCTGCTAATGCAATACCCTTCGCGCAGCCACCGAAAGCCTGCCGTCGACAGCTCCGGCCGCAGCTCGCCGCGCAAGGCAATTGCAACCGACGGCACGTTCGGTACGATGTTCTAGGCAACGGCATGGCTGCTTCAAGCTCCATGTGATCGTACGCTCACGAATTCGGTCTATTTCTGTTCCTCTCCCTATGCCTTTTCTTTTCTCCGTCACACCGCGACCGCTTCGAGAAGCCGAGCTGGATCTTGGTTTTGGTTGGGCTGTGGTGTATGCCTGCCGTATGAGTTTAATGGCGCGTTGCTTCTTTTTTACGTCTTCTTTCTCTCCATTCTCATCGCCGTCATCCAGTTTGCCTGCATTACTTTACTTTATTCAGCTGAACGTGAACGTGAACGTGATACATGCTTTGTGTTTTCTGTCCCTGACTGTATTGCTTGTCCTTGCCTCTCAAGGGACGGATTATGTGGGCGGTGTTGCAACATTCGATGTTTGTTTGTATCATACATACATAAACCAGACAGACAGGCATTGCCTTGAGCCGTGTCCGCCGGTATGACACTACTCTATGGATAGCCACGCTTCCTCCCCTCCAAATGGTTCAGGCGGAGATCGTAGATATTCTCCCTTATTTAGTACCTGGCAGCTCTAGCCTAGTTCGTGGGCAATTGGCGCACCATGCGCAGGATCTCGGATTCATTGTCACCGATTACGGCGCGGCCGTTGACCCAGTCAACTGTCTAGAACGGGAATTAGCAAAAGAAAAAGCAATCTACAAGCTGCGTTCTCGGAGAAATCAAGTGCCGTGACATAGCAGGATTGCCGAATTACGGAGTTTCCCTGGTGCACTTCATCGCGCTTGTAACGGGGAGCACATAGAGACGTACCACAGGGCGCGCAAAGCGCGATGCATCTTCCTTAAACCGCTTCACGGCGTCCTCCGCATCCCGTGCGCCCTTGACCAGCTCGGCCACACCGTAGGTCGCCTTCTCGCCCTGGCCGCCGACTCCACTGACCGGTGAGATGTAGTCCAGAATGCTATGCAGCTGGTCGGTGGTGGGTGGGGCGGTGGTCACTTCGAGCTCGAAGTCGCCGCGCTGCTGCTTGGCGTGGGCCGAGTGGTCACTGGCCTGGTCTTCCGTGGCAGTCTCGGAGGCAGTAATACTGGCTTGCTTGAGGATGTTCAGGACCCGAGTGGAGGGAGCCAGGCTCGGAGAGTGGAAGAGGGTGATTGGGTCGAGGGTTTTGCTCTAGAGAAGGGTTGGGATGTTAGTGGTGGGTCTGTGGGAGTCTCGTGCTGGGTTTTAAGGGCATGACATACAAAGCGGAACATCTTGTACAAGTGGTTGAGGGTAATTGAGGAAGTATGTGAAGATTGATGTAGTGAAGGAAGCGCTATGTGAGGTGTTAAATCAGGGCGACCTGCAGTTCCCAGCTTTCAGTCATACACGGGATGATGTCATGTGCCGGAATCCTGATCGGGTTGGCTCGGGGGTTTTAGTGCAGCCACAACTTCAGGTCTACTAGGATGAATGATTGTTTTTAAGCCAGTTTTGATCGATTCGAAGGAGACCGAATTTACATCGGTCATGATGCTTTTACATATAATCTTCCTTGCAAAAAACGTCAACAATCCAATTTTCTTGGAGGCTGGACCTTTCCTCCGTTGTTTCAGCTGCATCAATTGCGTCTGCTTTCAGCTTTTTCTCATGTCGACTTGCTATAGAGTGCAGTAGGCTCTTATCCCTCATTCCCAACTCCAATGGCTTCTTGGCAAGCTCGAGGTTGTTCAGCAGCTTCGGATTGTGCCTTGGATTGTGGAAAGGCCACGCATAGGGGACTAGCCCGCCTTGTAGGTGGCGGGGCGGAAATCGGGAAAGATGGAAAATACTGCAAGTTTGATATTCTTAATCATGATCGGATAAAGTAAGAGTAAATAAATTTAAATAAAATGATGGAGTGAGAGCACGTAAGCCCAGTCATTATATACGTCCATGATTATTCGGGCATGCGTTCGTGTCTCAGGGAAAGCGATGACATAATGCACACTTGAAGAGAGCTGGAAGACTCTGATGAGATTCGTGCCCGAATTCAAGCTATTCTCCTGTACTTAACTCCTTTATCTTGGCCTGCGTGATTACTTAGAGATATAACGATAGACAGTTATCGATGCTGGAATGTATGCAGTCTGGGGCAATGCTGACCGAAACGTGGACTAAGTGGGGAAGTTGGAAGCCCACCTCAACGCGCGGTCTTATAGTCCAGCTCCAGTGCATCTTGACATCGCCGTTCGAGAAGCCTTATACGGCATAATCTATTGGGAAATAAACAAAACCGCACAATGTTCGCGATAAAGCCAAGATGCCAGTGGGACTGAGGAGATTTCCAATATCTCAAGCATGAAATCGCAGCATTGATGAAGACATCGAGGTAGTTTAAGCAGGATGGTTTCCATAACGAGACCCCTTTTCAGTCTTACCCATCTGCACCAATCTCAGGCTGTCATGCGCCCTCTTTAGGTTCAGGATTAGGGTATAGGGCATACCGCGTCAGGGGTCACGCCTGTTGGAGCCCCAGGGATCAACAAACACACCCGCAGCCGATCTATACAAAGTCCGATCCACAACCCCTTCCACATCCCCTTCCCCATACTTTTCGCGAGTTACACCCGACTCTTTGCTACTCAGCTCTAGAATTTTAGAACATGGAACAATTTCTCCTGCAATATGCCACCCGGCACCAGTCCCTAGTCAAACAGTTCAAGCCTCCCCGATCGAAGGGCAATGATCCAGAGCAGCCTCCCGCCAGCCCAAATATCACGGTGGCCACACGCATCCGCCCCATGCTCTCTGAAGAAATGGCATCAGGCCAAGTGCCCGCGGCATTTGCGCGCTCGGATGAAAGCGGGGTCGTGGACCTCCATACGTTGCGACGGGTCGTTCGGGGGCTACCCCCGTTAAATGTTAGTGCACCCAGGATGACCATGTTCCTCCTTCGTTCTTGGGAGACAGCGATGGCATATCCGTACTCCATAAAGTGCTGATTTCGCATTCTGGCCTAGTCTTGGTCCTTTAGGGCCGGCAAAGTGTTTGGCCCGGATCACTCCACGGAGTTGGTCTACGACGAGCTTGTCCATCCGCTGCTTCCGTGGGTATGGAATGGAGGTGTGGGCACACTCTTCGCCTATGGACAGACTGGATCGGGCAAGACATTTACAGTCACTGGCCTAGAGCGGCTGATCGCCAGCTCGTTCTTCGATGGGGCGCTGGGCGGCGAACGGAAGCTACACATTAGCATCTTCGAACTGGCAGGCAATTCGGCGTACGGTAAGCAGAGATTCAGTCTTCAAATTGCTACGCTCTCTAGTTGAGCATGAGGCGTTAAATCTAACGTGCCAACTTTTCAGACCTCCTCAATTCCCGCACCCCCTTCTCCATACTCGAAGACTCCTTTGGCAACACCCAGCTCGCAGGCGCCCTGGAACACGCTGTTGCAAATGCGCAAGACCTCCTATCCTACATCAACGAGGCAACCTCCTTCCGTCAGACAGCAAGCACGGAGAAAAATGACGGATCCTCTCGCTCCCATGCAATCTGCCGCATTCGCATCGAACAGCCGGCCCATATAGGAATCGATGATGGTTTCTTATACCTCGTCGATCTCGCTGGGTCCGAGGCTGCCCGGGATATCTTCAACCACAGTGCCGACCGCATGAAAGAAACCCGTGAGATCAACATCAGCCTGTCCGTTTTGAAAGACTGCATCCGTAGCTTGGCTGCCATAGAATCTGTTCCTGCCATGGGCAAGTTGGCGAAGAAGCCCTACATTCCATTCCGCCAAAGTACGTTGACGAAGGTCTTAAAACATGTCTTTGATCCCAACGCGGGCCGCCAATGCAAGACAGCCGTGCTGGCATGTGTGAACCCGAGCTTTTTAGATACGGGGGCAACCAAGAATACGCTGCGCTACGCGGAGATGCTTCGATCAGCGGAGACGAAGACCACGGCTGCTGGGTATGACCCGGCGAATCCATCAACCTGGACAAACAAAGATGTGCGCAATTATATCAAATTGAAGGTTTGTTCTTTCATTTCTCACCACGATCGTTATTTATAAAATTGAAGATAAAGAGAGGCACGGGACACTGCGGTCTCTGTAGTCAGTAGGTACTGACTTCCGATTCGACAGTCCGGCGATCCTAGTGTCTCGCCATCAGATTTGGCGCCGCAGGAATCGGGTTTGCAGCTTCTCCGTTTACCAGCGGACCAGTTTGTCTCCCGTTGCCTGTCTACGGAAGGCGTCACTGAGGACCAGGCCAAGGCATTTTATGCGAAGTTCTGGCGCTTGCACATTGACTCGCAGGGAAACTCGTCGACAAGGGCGGACGAATCCACTGGAGCAGACAGCTCTTCGTCCAAATGCCGCGATTGTCCGGATTCCTTTCTGTCAAGTCGAGACCCGGACCCCAGCGCAGCAACCCAAGACTTCATGAAACGGATTCGGCCGGGTATGGTGGTGAGTTGGACACCGCCGCTCGATCTACCCGGTCGCTCGACCACACAAAATTTGGCCCTTGTGCTGTGTCCTCAGCATGCTGTTTGTGATGGCGTGCAAGATGTCAAAAGCAATAAAACATTAGAAACCGTCGATGGGCCTGGCAGGAACGGCCGGTATCTCTGTGCCATGGTGCTTCCTGGTGCAATGGCTGGTTCATACGAGGTTAACTTGTGGCGCCAAGTAATAGTGGGTGTGGAAGAGATGGAAAGGGAGGTTCTATTGGAGTATGACCGTGCCACACGATACTACCATGCTACAGTTTAACCGGGAGTTCCGTATTAGGTGGTAGATGGTCCTCACTTCATGTCGCGTAGGTTATATATATATCTTGGTCAAGAATCTGTGCCAACTACGACTATACCGTCCTAGATAAAATTGATGTCATACTACTAGACATGGACACTGCCAACATTAAAACCATATACGAAGGACCATTCAACGTCAAAACTACTCGAACGGGTAGGTCGCGTTGTCCCGACGGCAGTTCCGGCGCGAATGCCAGTCACGTGATACGGGGACCATCGCCAGGCAACCAGACAGGTTTTCGTTGAGTTCATATCCCGGCCAATTGACATAATGACATATTGACGTATTGACATAGAGACCCCGAAACCGTACAGTGCATTCGGCGCAACGTTAGTCTCATGGACCAATTTCAACGACTCCGGAATGTCGGTAAGTCCGGATTGATTCTGCCCCATTCAGCGTCTCCGCCTGTCAAAAAATAATCATTGATCATTGGACATTCTACGTATACCTAGGGCGACTGGAGCAATACTCCACGGCGCGCCATCAATGCGGCTTCTATCTGAATGTCGCGGTGTCGGCGAACTATGTTCTTCCAGATAAATATGCACTGCCGATCAAACACTACTTATACCATGCGTGTGCCAACTTGATCGCAGAGCACCCAGTGCTATCAGCCATCCCTGCAGCGGACGACACCCAGCAGCCGTATTTTGTCCGGTTACCGCAGATCAATCTGGATGAAGTTGTGTCATTTCAAACACGCAAATCTACTTTCTACCGGGCCGAGGATGAGACTACCGAGCCCACTGAGGATCTAGAACTTCAGGCTCTCCTAGAAGCGCAACACAATAGGCCCTTTACGGCGCCAAATGCCTACTGGAGACTGTGTGTTCTACTCGACCCTGAAAATGATCGCAAATTTTCCACGGCATTTGTATTCCACCACGCCCTTGGTGATGGGAACTCGGGAAAGGCTTTCCACCACGCCTTTCTGCAAGCGCTGTGTGCTGGTCTGACGGAAGAACCCAAGTCTCTTGTAGAGGCACCACAGACACCTCTACTTCCCAATCTCGAGGCCCTACACTCACTACCACTTTCATTCATGTTCCTCGCCAAGAAGCTCTTCCAAGCAAAGATCTACTCTTCTCGAGACCCGGGTCTCTGGGCCGGTGACAAGATTCAAACCGCGGGCCAGACTCGCATTCGTCTGGTGTCGTTCCCAAAGTCCCTTGTCACATCTCTTCGATCTGTCTGCCGTCAGGAGAGTACCACGATAACCGCTCTCCTGCAAACAGTTGTTGCACAGGCTCTCTTCACGCACCTCCCACCCTCTTTCTCGCGACTGAACTGCACAGGGGCCATTTCTATGCGCCACTGGCTGCCAGATATCATCACTGACGACTCTATGGGCGTTTATGTCCAAGATCTCGAAGAATCGTACTCTCGTTCCGCCGCTCTCCCTGCTAACGGCACGTTCCCTTGGTCCGAGACCCGCCGCTCGAGGCAGACCATCGAAACTGTGCTCAAACGCAAGGGCGCGGACGGGAATGTCAATCTGCTCAAGTTTGTTGGCGATTATCAGAAGGAGCTGTGTTTTTCGAAGGTCGGCCGGGATCGGGACAAGAGCTTCGAGGTTTCGAATGTCGGTGTGATGCACTGTGAGCCGTCCTCTGGGCGGCCGTTCCTCGAGGGGATGGTCTTCTCGCAGTGTGCTAGTGTCATTGGTAACGCCGTGGGGGTGTCAGTCGTAACCGGTGGAGATGGCCGCTTGGTGCTTGCCATCTCGTGGCAGGACACTGTCGTTGAGGATGCTTTGGTCGAGGGGATGATTCGGAGCATGAGGGATGTACTGACGGTCCTCGGAGGGCGGACGTGACTAGGGCTCTAGAGTTGAGGTTGGGTGGGATCTTTGGATTGATCTCGGACTGTAGATTCTTGACAAGCATAGAACTTAATCGATAGTATAAAGAAGGTGCTAGCGGGTGGACTTTATGACTTTAAATGTTAACTATGGAAGAGGGGAGCGTACTGCTGTGCTGTCAACGCGAACGGGTAGCAAGATAGAAGACAAAGGTATATATTGCCTTGGTGCACAGAGAATAGCCCCTAAGAAGCTTTATCTTAATAGGAGAAGATGCTATATAGGCTTGTAAAGATGGGATTCAATAGAATAGGATACTCAATATGATAATATAGTTTATGAAACTGAACCAGCCAGCAGGGAGAGTTGAATATCTCCTACATCGCTGACTACCGTGTTACAGTGCTCAATTCCGAGTATACCCCGGATACTATCCAAAATGGACAGGGAATCGAGCATTACTATAATGACTGAACGTACGGAGGACTATCGGTGTCCTCGCGGTATTTTGTGACTTCCTCTTCTCGAGCCAAGATACCCTGCGTTTCTAGATTATTATACAATGAGAGATAAACAACTACTAATTATTATGCTAAGGTTTTCCTGTAAAAACCAATGGACAACCATCCTAGCCGAAAATTTAGTAAAAATATGCTATACAGACAGGGAATCGGATACTTACCATCGGAAACAACGTAGCAAACACTCGAATCTCTTCCGATTGCTCTGTCGCAAAATGCTTCCAATCAAGTTCCAATGCTGCCTTCCCAATCATTGCGGCCATCGACAACGGTACGTACCGTCTCGCCAAACAATCATGTGGCCCTGCACCAAAAACCAGCCAGTTCTTGGTTTTGGACTCGGCATCGCCTGTGATCCAGCGGTCAGGGTTGAATACGTTCGGGTCTGGATAAGCGTCTGGATCATGCAGAGCTGGGTAGCAAGACGGGATAATCATGGATCCCCTTGGCACCGTATAGTCTGCAGTTACTGGGAAATCCTTTGTTGCTAGGTAAGGCACAAAGATGACAGGCGGCCGGTGGCGTAGTAACTCTTTGATCACGGCGTTCGTGTAGGTGAGCGACTCGAGCATGGGTAGGTCAAACGGCTTGGTTCTATCGCCGCCCCTGGCATCCAAGTTCTCTTGTCTTAAACGATCAAGGACATCGGGTCGTTGGGCCAATATTTGGAACAGCCATGTTGTCGCACTGCTTGATGCGTCTTGTGATGCGAATAGGAATGTGAAGAGGGTCTCACTGATTTCCTTGTTTGTAAATTCGCGGATCATGTTCGTCGGCTTTTCGACATCTGTCTCGCCTGCGGCAATGCGCTGGCGATATCGCTCAGACTCCATCATGTGTAATACCCAGTGATCTACAATACTGGTGGGTGCAGCCCCAGTCGCCATATTGGCCTTGCAAGCGGCTGCACATTTCTCGAACTCAGCGTGCACTGCATCAGCTATTCGCTTTCCTTTCCAGGTCTTAGTGAATGGGATGTGCATGGAGAATGGGACATTGACAAGTTCAAGGGCAGCGGTAGCGAGGTAGTAATCGTCTGCGATTCTCTTGACCGCATTCTGCGAGATATAATCACCGAAGAATGTCCGACATGACAGTGCACAATTGATTTCACGGAATAGGGTCATGAATGGAACCGGCTGTTCTCTGTTTGCCTGACTGGCTGCAACAAATTTGTCAAAGTAGTCTGCGAAGACCCTTTCTTGAACAGGGAAGTAGGTAGCCATAGCTTTGTTGGTGAAAAGTGGCGTCAATCCTCGCCGGTACTCAGCATGTTCTCTGCCCTGCAAGAAAACCCAAGCTTTGTGGCCTAAAATGTCCTTCGCAACTGGTACAAGACATGGCTCGGTATACGAGGGTGATTTGAAGACTTTGTGCGCAATGTCTCGGTCAGAGGCTAGGACAACGAATCTGTGAATTTTAATGTCAGTATTGTATTAGGGAGATTCGGGTATCTATGAGGGAACTCACTTATGAAAAACTGATACACAGCTGAGTGGCCCACTCGCCCACTGTGCCAGATATTCATCAAACTTTGGATGAAGTGCTTGAATAAAGGGACCGATCAATGGAATTTTGAATGATGGCCCAGCAATAGAGCCTTTGCGCTTGATATACATAACTAGGTTTATCTGTGAGCTGATGTATTATCTTTCAGAATTTGGATTTTAGTGCTCTCAATTACCTTGATCGTAGATGACTACCCCCAGTAGAAAGGTCGCGAGATACTGCCATGTTGACCAGCCCAGAAGAGACCTTTGAAAAGTGCTTTGAAGCTGACTAGCGACAGAAGCATTCATTTGTTGCCATTTGGACGAGGCTGCTAGAGTTCTCGAGCTATTTAATGCTCCGGCAGCTATGTTGATATCCATGATGTGAACCCTAGCCTTTGATGATCACAGACTAGAATAAGGGGCCAGCTGGTATCAATCCTCCAACCACTGGAAAATGTGGTCTACTTATAAATACCCCCAAAGGCGCGATGTCTTGATCTCCTTGATCCACATCGACTAGATCGCAAGGTACATCGACTGATTACCGAATGAGGACTAGACTCCGAAAACGCCAAGCCCAACTGTATTAATTTATTCTGCGCTAGTCTGTTTTGGGCACCAGACTCAGGCCATGTGCGCAATCATAATCAGCACAAATAATCCAAGCAATCTCAATCCCCATTGAATTCATTTCCTATTTTCCCTTTCCGGTATAATATTCATTTCTATAATTCTCACCAGATAAATCGACCAACCGGAAGTGACCAGCTAATTTGGAGATTAAGGCAAACGGAGTCGTGTTGGCCCTCGGCCCATCCCTAACTCTCCTCCTTGGGTGGCTCCATTCCGGATTTCCCGGCTCTGTTTCCCCCAACATGAGCAAGACTCTTCGCCGATCCTGTAGTGCCTGTGCCAATTTCAAACACAGTTGCGACCGACGTACACCAAGTTGCTCTCGCTGCATCAAGCGCCGGGTCCTGTGTGTCTATGCGAACGAACCCTGGACAATCCCGCCGGGACCAGCTGGGCGAGAGCATGGCACATCGATTGCCACGGCCAAGAAAGCCGTCATTTTGACTAGTTCCAGATTTGGCTCTCTTGACCCATTTGAGTCATATCCTTCGACAAGGCTTCCTCGAGAACGAGTCCAACGACTCATTCATAACTGTGTGTGGTATACGCCTTCTGTTGTTGTTGGTCTATACCTGGCTGACAAAAACAGTTCTTCATAAAATTGCCTTTCAGTACTATCCACTGGATCTAAATGCTACTTCCAACCCTTTTCTTATCTCCTGGTGGCCCCTTGCTCTTGGTGACCCGGCACTATTTCATGTCTCGTTGCAAACTGCGAGCCTCGATGAGGAACTATTGGCACAGAAGGGGTTTCAAATGTCAGAATTACTTATGGCTGACTCTGTGGCTCTACTCCGACGGAAAATCGAAGAACCCTCATTGGCTGTACAGGATGGTACCATGAACTCTGTTATTACCTTGGCAACTATTGAAGTAGGACATTGATTATCGATCCCCCTCTCCTTATTGTGTGTAAGATTTTCTTAATGAAGGCCTGCTGATCTTGATTTCACTGCTAGTTCGGCAAAGGAAACATGGAAACTAGCCAGATGCATGTTGAAGGCGTAAAACAACTTGTCAAAATGAGAGGTGGAATCAATGCAGTTAGACAAACGAGTCCTCTGACTGCGAGAATGGTTAGCTGGTTAGTTTTCGTGCCATATACCAGAAGATTACCTTTTAACATCTGCCAAAGGGTCACAATGCTTATCATGGGTCATCCTCAATTCAATACGCAAAATGATCTCGGCTTTGGAGACGGCATTCCTCCCATCCCAGAATGGCAGATAGATCCTGCCAGTCTGTCCAGCCCCCTCTCTACGCTCACCGAAGCGGATATGGACTCGGAAGTCAAGAATGTGTTTGATCGACTTCGCAGAATCTTTGCATTGGCCCAGGATACCCCCTTCCAGTCGACACAGCTTCACGACCTGGCTTGTTTCGTGATTCACCGGCTTCTGCCATCGCTTTCAGATGCAAGCGAAAAATGCTCGCATGTTTCTGAATCAGTTCGGTACGCGATTATACTTTACATGTTTCTTCTCCAGGGTCCAACATATTACTCGCACGCCACTATCTTGAATTCCATTGCGACACAGCTGCTGAAGCATCTCAAACATTTTCGGCCAAGACCGTCGATTGACGCCTCCCTCAATATCTGGCTACTTTCAATTGGAATGGTTGCTTCATTTGGCACTGATCATTATCATTCTTTTCTAGAAAAGGCTCGTGAAAATGGTAAAGTATTGAACCTGGCAAGTTATCATGATTCTCTAGTCCACCTAAAGAATATCCTGTGGTTGGATGCGCCTCATATTACGACAATGTTTCGACCTCATTGGGACATTATTACCGATGCTCCAGACTGAATATATACGGTAGAACTTGGGCTCTGGATTTCCTAATTATCCTTTGGCCGCAGGTTTCCATGAGATGCCTAAAAGAAAACACCGGCAAATTATGGTATGAGACTCATCGCTTCACGGCCACGTTTTCAGTCATCTCTCATCTCAGTTTCCAGCCAGTGAATATTTCAGTGACTGCTTCCTTGGATAAGATAGGTGTCACTTTCTGACAAACAGACAGATATCTGGGACTATTTAAGAGATATCATTCTATGTATCAAGGGATCGAATTTTTCATTGATCTGTCTGTTCTTCAAAGATGCCAGCCAGTTGATTCTCAAGTTAGCCCCATTGATACTGTCAGCCATAAATAACGTCTCACGTCTTATCTTTAGTCCTTTCAATGTGTAATTAGCGAGTAAAGAACTTGCAAGGGGCTCTTGATTCGAGCCAACGGATTACCCTTTTTCGAATTCAAGGACTGCTCCCAGACTCACTTTACATATTTTGGTCATTGTTACGTGCACTCTTCTGTAATTTTGATCTGATCTCAATCATATCGAGTAGAGCGGTCTCCACTCAGCAAGAATAGACCGGTGGAAATAGAATCGAGGGTCCATTTCCTTCTCTGGTGGGTCCCTATTTTGAATTTGAAGCGTAGCATGGAAGGTTAAACAAGAACGTAAAGGCTATTCACACGGCAATGAAGCCGGCTACATTAGTTCTCCCCTGCGTGTAATCATCCAAAGCATTCGACTATGCAAGTGTAATAAGGGAAGACGTCCTCATTCAGAATTAGAAAGAGGACTCCAAAAGCGAACTGGGCAGGAAAGAAGGTTTACGATCATTCGGTTGCCTGATGTTGTAGATAAGTCAAATTTCCGGACTATCACTGTAGCCAATTTGTACATTTGCAAATCCCGGGGGAAAGTATCAGACACAGTCTACGCAAGGTCAAAGTTTCAAGGTCGTCAATACTTGTCACTGTGGAGGTATGTGATGTTGACACAGTCATAAATATGGCTTTCTGATGTCTCTTTCTCCTTTCAGAGTACTTTTTCATCCATGAAAGCCTTGGATGAATGGGAATCACAACTAGTGGATTCAGAAGGGTTATGGTGAGGAACTATCGGAATATATATTAAGTACGATGAAGACTCTCCAAGTCCAATTGTGATATGTGGTAATGGGCGGGATTTTAAAATTAAGATCATCAATACTCCATCTAAATCCGCTGCTGATCTCGGTAATTAGATGTCAATCCTGAGCTCAACTTCTGTGTGCGTCATTGATGTCATACCCAACCAAAAGGAGGTTGATTCGCGGGCGAGGGCGGGATAGGCGTGGGGCACACTTGAGCGGATGAGTATCCTTTTTAACCAAGACAAGCTTTTCAGTGGGGCTGTTGAGGCAGTGCTAGAGACTTGGCCGTGAATAGGATCTCATACTCTATCTAAACTCGCATCGCTCGGCGCATACTCTTTTCATCTTCATTTTCTAGCAGCTTTTGGCAGACCTCGAGTGAGTTTCTCGTAAATATCTCGCCTAAAAAAGGGTGTCAGTATAAATTATTTGCCCATTCCACTCCCGGAATTTACACAAATTTGCCCCACAGTTTCTGGGAGAACTGGAAGAATAATCTGCAGTTTTATTAACTCGATACAAGCTAATGCATGCCCTGTTTGACCCAGATCCCGCGTCTTTGGCGAAAAACAAAACAGCCTAGTCAAATGGACTACGTTGTATTCTTTGGGCACAGATGTGCACTTTTTGTAGTGAGAATTCTCCATTGGAGATCACCTGATCATTATCTAGAGATGAATATTATCGGGAGAAAGTGACCGACTTAATACTTAATAGTGAAGATAAATACTCTGTTACCCGTGAAGGCCATTCTGCATTTCGTTTCCCGCCCATTGGAAACCGTCGATGTTTTTCATTGTGGACCATCACTAGCACATCTCTTTTCATGTGGACACAGGTAAGAGATGAAAGCCTTTGCTTCTTACTGTGCCTCGTATTGTTATATTCACTTCGTGAATGTAAAACTAGACGCTGAGTTATTTGTCTGTGTCAATTTTGGCTTTCGTCTTGCATCCCACCTCTCGACGCAAAAATTCCACCTCGTATCCACATTGGTCATTGCTTCTTTGGCCAGAAGTGAGGCCTCAGGCATTCTGTGAGGTCTTATTCGTCGCCCAAACCCACACAAGACGAGTTTGAGTTTATCCACAGGGGTGAACCCTTCTCGGATGACCCGGGCTGGCCATCATGTCATGAAGATCTTCGTTTCATGCCAAGGTTTCAACTCTTAGCGCAATCAGATAAGCCAGAGCCAATCTTATCAGACGCCATGATCGACATTACAATGCCATTCTCGGAAAGTGGTGTGGAGATTGTACAGCAGAGAGTGGGCTTAGTCACGACAAAGGTGCTTCTTATTTCCCGTGCGAGAACGAAAAAGAAAGCAGGGATCAACAATACAGCCATGTGCTCTGCGCTGGGATGTTCCGCTCTGCGTTTGGTACGAGCGAGATCGGAGCACATGATCTATGCCACATGGACCTCTTTGTCAATATGATTTGTGCCGCTTGTGGGATGCGTCGTTGAATATAAAAAGTCCACTGTTGCCACTGGAACAAGCTGAACAATTGTGCCGGGCTATAACTACTTAATTCTATTCCTTTACAGAGCTCACACTCTACTCGTTATACAACATGTCAGCCGCTTCTATATTAACCTTGACTGATCAGATCAGGCAAGAGGCAACCGAAAAATCATCTACCCCTGGGCATGGGCATTCCAGGCTTCTTCAATTGATCGAAGAGCTCAAGCTAGTGGTAGAAACACCAACAGAGACAATTCTACGCTTGATTTATCAGGTATATACGGTATATCAATATCTATTTGATCTTGACCTGTCAGCTGACTCCCTTCTTCTCAAGCCACCAGAAAACGCCGCGATGAGAACAGTGGTCGAACTTGGGATATTTCCAATTCTCACTAATGATACAAAGAAGCAGGGAGTATCAGCGTCAGATTTGGCTTCTCAAACGGGGGCCGATAGAGGCCTAATCGGTAAGTGCCCTTTAAGTATACCGAAACCTGGGAAGACGCCTAGATATAGAGTTGCGAGCTGATTGGGCCAACGAAGTTCGCCTTATGAGAGTTATGACATCTCTAGGTCTATGTTCAAGTTCAGAGGCGGAGATTTACAAGGCGACGGAGAAAACAATTGCCATGACCAAGCCTATTGGGCGCGACGGGGTTCCGTGCATGTGAGATTTTGCTATCTGTGCATATGTGAATTTCTCCCAACTAATACAGAACAACAGATATGATCTCACAGTACCAGCTCTATCAAAACTACCCGAGTACCTTCGTTTGCACAACTACAATAATCCAGAAGAATATGCTACTTCCCCTATGCAATGGGCTGTGGGTAAAAGTCAGTTCGAATGGCTTGCAGAGAGTAAAGAACATCAAAAGCTGTTTAACTCGTACATGTCCAGTCGACGCGAAGGAAAACCTAATTGGTTTGATATATACCCTGTGGAAAGGTTGATGAGCGGAACCAGTTCTCACCCAGATGCTATTTTCCTTGTCGACATCGGTGGAAACCAGGGTCACGACTTGGGAAACTTCTATGCAAGATATTCCAACACCTCCGGTCGGCTGATTCTCCAAGATCTACCCAAAATTGTGGCAGCCGTTGATAGACCCGGGATAGAAACCGTGAGCTATAGCTTTTTGGACCCGCAACCTATCAAAAGTGTGCCTCGGTTACGTTGTTTCCCATTTGACGAATACATTGCTGACCAGCGATTGAAGATGCACGTGCCTATTACTTTAGAGCGATTTTCCATGACTGGCCTGATCGGATTTGCAAGAAAATTCTCCTCAACACTATCTCCGCAATGAATGCCGAATACTCCCGTATCATCATTGTGGATTTCGTGCTTCCTAATACAAATGTCCCCCGCATGCAATCTGCGATGGACATCCAAATGATGAGCATTGGCGCTGGCGTAGAGCGATCGAAGAAGCAATGGGCGGATCTTTTAGCTAGTGTCGGACTGAAGATCACTGGGATTTGGAATTCAAACCCTGCTATGGAGTCTATCATCGAGGCAGTCCCAATCCAGGACGACAGGAACGGATGTTGATGGACAATGCCCTACTTTCAAGATATCTCTTTTTTGATCGTGATGTGATTTTTAATTTGCGTTTAATTGGCCGCGGTATGGATCCAGAATGTCAGGCGTTGGGTTTTGTCTCTCCCAATGTCTGATTCAATTCAACTCATTCTTCCTTCTCATCCAGACTACAAGTTATTCGCAACTATGGCGCTTAGTTTAGGTTATACATATATACAGCTAGAGCTGCGAGAGCTCTTAAAAAATGAAGACTGCAATATCCTTGTCATCGCGCTACAGTGTTGTATATGACCCCCTCTGTTGAAGACTGTCGATACGGCCCAAGAGGAATTCGAGCTGCGAATGATTAGCAGAGGAAGTGAAATGAGAAAGCTTCCTAGGGAAAGCTTGCAATATATACGTACTTGTCGATAGGCAGCCCCGGGGACATATTGAGGAATCTCGTGTCCAGAGCCATAGACCGTAGTAAATGTTAAACCGCGCTCTGTATGAGCCGTGCCAAGAATTCCAGCACCTGCATCGGCAGTGTACGGCGATTCTGCCTTGCCATTGGCGTTTTCATCTAGAGTATCTGTGTATGGCACAAAGAGAGGCTCAGTTGGCGCCTTTTGAAATCCTTGTTTTCCTCCCCATGTCTAATTTTTGTCAAGTCAGCAACATAAATTATCGCGATTCATTTTGAGAGGAAAATTTTTGCGCGTGACTCACCATGTTCTGTATCGTTGCTAGGCTGCCATTCATAAATAACAAGTAGTCAAGCCACCCGTGTCCCAGAACAACGTTATTAGTGCGTTCAATCACACTAGGGAGCGGACCCAAGGCACTTGGCACTGACCCATCGCCATTGGGGAAGATGTCCCCACCGCAGACAGCATAGTTGGTGGGTGGAACATGGAGTGCCTCTTGAACTGCACTCTGGTTGAAGTAGTCGTTTGGCCCACCAGCCAGTGATGGGAAGCCCATTTCATCCCACAGAAAAGGGCAGAAGTCTGTCAAATGATACATGTTGAAACATGGGTTCACATAGGTTGCTGCTTTGACAATCTGATCCCACACGTCACAGTCACCTTGACTGGGGTCTGGTGCAGTGGGAAAATTCTTTGGTGGTGGGAATTTCAGAGCTGATTCAAGGAACCCATTGAAGCCGCACTTTTCAGATTTGGCGTTAATATCCTTCATGAACGTTTCGTTCAAACCAAATATGCGGTCAAAGTAATTTAAGGCTGCGACCGCAGGTGCTACAAGAACCCGAATTAGCATAGCATTCGTCGATTCAATCGTAGGCTTCAATCTTACCGTAGATCATGACGCCATCTTCATTAATGGATGGATCGTTGATTTGAATGCCTTTCAGGTTGAAATGAGTCGTATCATTTTGGTCAAGCATTCCAGCCGCCAGATATGGTATGTATTGTCCAGCATAGCTTTCACCGGTGATATAAACTTTGTATCCTTGCATGCCAAAGGTCTCAATAAACCTCTTCCAGAAATCATTAAATTGATTGGACACATCGATCTCATCCTGCACTGTTGCCGGGCCTGGTGACAGGCCAGTACCGGCTGGCTGATCAATATAGACGATGTTGGTCAGATTAGACCACGAGTAGGGGTTTCGAACAGGCTTGTAGGTCCCCGATTGCCATAGAAAGGGGCCATTTTCCTGAAGCAAGCCATCCAGGGAACTGCATCCCGGTCCGCCATTCAGCCATATTGTGATCTAAATCGGAGTCAGAAGAGTTTTATTGAAGTAAGACAATATACTTGATGCACACCTCCTTATCAGCAGCCGGATTTGTCGACGGAAAGAACCAAAAGAAGAGACTTGAGCTTCCATGTGGGGTATTGCTCAGTAGACCTGCGTAGCTCTCGCCAATATCAAACGGCACTTGGGGGAAATGAGTACCGTTTACTAGATAGCCTTCCGTTCGGTTATTCAGATACTGCAACCCTGAAGATGGTGAAAGCTCTCTTTTCTGCCGAGATCTGGCGGGGTTTCTAAAAGATGCAGTCTTGCGATGAGGATTTTGCAATGCCATAGCTGTGCTGACCAGCAGAAAGGTCGTGTAGAGTAAGAAATGCATTCCACAAGCTGGACTGGAATACAAGCAAAATAGTTGCTTGTGTTCACCCGAAGTAAAAAATTCTCTTCGCCTAGATTTTTATAGTTTTCTTTTCTTTTTTTTCAGGGTCTTATTATAGGTGGGCTGGGCCTGAAAATCAACCTTCTAGGGTATTCCAAGGCTACACCTACACCTAGAGAACGCTCGAAAGTCCGAGGATGTGCATGCAGATCTTGCCTGATCGGCGACGGCGAAATCTGGTTTCGACTAAAATAATTGGATTGTCACAAGCGGGGTCTCCCGCACGCATGGGCGGATTGCAACCTCACCAAGGAAAACTAGGAAGGTGACATGATATGAATAGGCGTCTAGATACCCAAAAATCGGGCAAGAAATCTCCACACCGACGGAGTCCTGCTAAGCCCATTTTTCTGAGGTGTGCACAGAGATCACAACGGAGATTGTCATATTATCGCAACAGGAACTAAACCTGACGCAGGGTACTTTAGTGCTCTCCGATCAAAGACGTCATGATAGCCGTCTAAGGGCTTATTCCACAGCGGGGCGACGTGGGAATTCATTCAACGCTCGTAGGCATCAATATTTCACTTGGTAATCTGGCTGCAGTTCAAAGGCCCATTTTACTCGGGTGTGGACGATGATACGCAGTTCCTTCGGAACCGTCAACGAAAAAGGCTGTAATGCTGCTGATTTAAGTCCAAATTGAACGAAAAATTAACATGAGGTTGCGGGACAAAATTGGGTTGGGGTGGACGTCTTCATAAATTATATGCCATTGTCACTAGGCAAGAGAACTTGGGAATATTTTCTAGATATGCGATCTCTAATTCGTTGACCTTGGGATATGGGTTCTTAGCCTTTGAGATTCCTATGGAAACGGACTGCTTCCAAGTTTTATGTTTTCACGGCTGAGAAAGTTGAAAGAGATATTAAAAAAAAAAGAAAAAGAAAACAACAGTCGCAGAACGAATAATCTGCACGGTAAAGAAGCTGTTGCGACGAGGTGGTTGAGAGGGTTTTTAACGCCACTGCCGATCCGGCCCGCCTAAAAAGCTTGGAATCCTAATACCAAGACCGCCAAGTTTGCTTAGGTTACAACTTTAAGTACCAAGTAGCTGTGGCACCCGATCGATCAGACGTTATGCCAGAGAGCTTCGGGACTGCAACTCATTTTCGGTTTTTAATGCATAGCCTGGCATAGCATAACCCACGAGTGGTTAATGCTGCAGGATCTTACTCGTGCGACACTTAAAAGGGCCTTGATCTCGCCATTAGCCACTAAGTTTCCGTGGCTATATAGACAGGATAATCTGATCCGGGTGGGGCTTTCCTATCCAGCTGCCACTGCTTTTATGAAGACGCTCCGGCTCAGGGTCACTGAGTAGACCTGAGCACGCCTAAATGCTTAGTTATTATATTATATTAACTACCCTTAGTCAATCGACTATCGCTTAAAAAATTAGTTAATAATTACTGTAGTGGGGATAGAGCCTGGGATAGGTTGTTTCTGATTCGATGATAATTTTCATGATACACTGTCTATACCAATATAGCTTCCCATCTCAGACGGAGAAAAAGACAACTTCAGCACAAACTTTCACTCAAAAAAGTATCTGTTTCCGTTTTGTAAGACCGGGCTCCAGATTTTTGTGGTGGATTGGTTGTTGGTTCGTTGATCCTTCTCATCCAGTCTGCCTGCCAGACTTGCCTCCAAGCGCCCTGGTTCAGTATTAATCTAATGTCCGACCATAGCCTGCTGGGCGGGAGCATATCTGTTCCCGTGAGGCTTGGCAGCATCTATTATCCGGCGCATCTCCTGCTTCTCCTCCGCCGTGAGCTCGATGTCGCGAGATGCCCAGTTCTCCTCCAATCGGTGTGCCTTTGTGGTACCTGGAATAGCGATCATGCCCTGCGAAGCAACCCAGGCCAGCGCTATTTGGCTAATCGAGCATCCTTTGCGTGCTGCAAGCTTCTTAATCTCCTCAACAATTGCCCGATTTCTGTAGAAGTTTTCACCTTGAAACTTGGGAACTAGATGTAGGTCTCTTTAGTACTGTGACAGAACTCCAAATACAACTGGGGAGCTATAATTACCTGTTCTTCTGAAGTCATCCGGAGCAAAGTCATCAGGAGTCTTGTAGTCAAAATTGTCCACAAGCCAACCATGTCCAAGCGGGCTATAAGCAACATATGTGACTCCCAGCTCCCTTGCAGTCTCAATCAAACCATCGGTCTCATGTAATGTCTCAAAAGCAGAGTATTCTGCTTGAACAGCATCGATCTTAGCAACTGGGGGCCGTCAGTTCAAAATTCAGTCAATGTTTCATGTCGAGTACGTACTCGAATTTGCTTTCCGTAGGGTCGCTGCGGAGCATTCGGAAAGACCAATGTACTTCGTTTTGCCTGCCTTGCGAATTGAATCCAGAGCAGGAATTGACTCCTCAAGGGATGTATCTGTCCAGAGTCAAAATTTACGAATGAACATTCTGGCGTAAGACATTGCACTTACTCGGGTCTATCCGGTGAAGGTAATACAAGTCAGGAGTAAATCCCAGTCTTTCGATAGTGCCTTCAATATACTCTTTGATGTGCGCAGCCGAGTTGGTCACGCCACCGACTCCAAAGACATCAAAACCGCATTTCGAGGCGACTGGAATATGACATGTCAGCCAAAAGAAACACGATGACGTTCATTATCGGTTGACCCACTGAATATTTTGTTGCGGACGTTGTGCTTTCGAATAAACTCTCCAAGGAGTTTTTCATTCACGCCAGCCTGATAGACTACCTATATCTTTCTCAGAGTCCTGCATTTAGAAATTTCGCTATCAACGTGAAACTCACCGCGGTGTCCCAGAACGTGCATCCCAGCTCAATAGCCTTCAGAAGGACAGGCTCGGCTTGCTCGAGGCTTAAGTTGGAGCCCAAGCCGAAGCTCAGACCCATTGCACCAAAGCCTGGCGACGAGACTTGGATGTTGCTGAAAGGAAGCGTTTGGACCATTGTGTTACCAATATGCTCAAATACACAGAATCTTTTGATGGCAGATCTTTTCACGCGAGGAGGATCTCAATAAATAGTAAGTCATGATTTTTCCAATACTTCGGAATGTGCCAGCGTTACTTCCGATGGCGGACTCCATAGTGGGTCAGTGTCATCATCCTTGATCTTGATTCCGTTAACTCCGCCGTGATGACAGTGCCTCGATTTTGCCGCGCCAGACCCGCAGCAACGTCCTTCGAGTGGTGGGTTTGCGAAAACCCTACACTAAAGACTTTCGTCGAGGGCCACTTTGATATATAATGTGGCGCTCTTGGGCATGCGAATCGTTGTGGTCAGGGTTCATTCAAGCCTGAACGATGACACATTTTCTCGTGTTTCGAATGATCCTGTCTGAATTGGTATTCAATCTGTAGATGGACCGAAACAAGAAGATAACTTGAATATAGAATAGAATTGTCCTTTACTCATTCGTGAAATTGATTTTCCGTGACTATTCTACATTCTACCGTGGATGACTAGCCAGCCACTCACATTTCCGTTGCCTATAAAAACCCTTATAGAGCCTAACTCCGCGCATTCTCCGGGAGGGCGGGACCAATCATCAATCAGCAGTCATCCAGATGCAGCTGTTCTCCTCTCCCCCTCTCTCAACCCACGGAGGACCAATGAACTTGCAGAAACGAATCTAGGGCTTTGTGTCTATCATTAAATGTTGAACGATATTTTTCCTTTTGATTCTGCTATGAGCCATGTTTTCAAATATTTGAATCTCGCATCGCCTCAAGTGCGGCCTGCCTTTCCAGTTCAGTGTCCAGTTTTGTGCTCCACCTCCGACAATCCCAGGCACTCAGCCATATTGAAGAAAATGTCAATGGAATTTGACACTCCACCAAATAATTCTTGGCATGGGCCCCGTGCAAATACGGGCACATCTGTCAATGAGTGTACTCCCTGGCCTGCATCAACGGGTAGAGTTCCATTAATTAGGAACCCAGTGACAGCATCCTTGTAGGAAGCGTAGTATCCGTTACTCCCGCCATTTATAGCCTCTGCAGGCGTCCGAGGACCATCACTATGCACCTCATAATTTTCTCGGTGATCAGGGAAGGCGACCACGCCCGAGTGGAGCGTATATCGCGGGTCCCAGCGTGCAGGGAAATGGACACCCTCAGAGTAGCGGAGAGAATTGGGCCCAGTCACTGTGTACTGCGATAGTCCAGAGTTTTCGTAGTACCCGATCGCTCGGCGTTTGTCTCGATCATCCTCCTGTGCCTTTAGGTACTGAGTGTCGACCGAGCCGGTAACGTCGAAGCCGTGACCGTGGTCAGCCGTGACGACAATGAGGGTGTCTTCAAGCTGCCCAAGTTCCTCAAGCTTTTCAATAGTTGCGCGCACAGTATCATCGAGTTCGAGAAGTTCACCAAGGGCTCGATCGTAGTCCAAGGTGTGCATTTGCTTGTCGATACTCGCAGCCTCGGACATCATGAACCAGCCCTCCCGACTGTGTCGTTTATGGAGCACATCAATCGCCTTCAGAGTCATGTCTTTAAGTCCGGGGAGATCATCGGCATCCCGACCTGAGCCATCGGGGTAATTGCTGTGATTGAGGAGGTTTGCCTGATAGACATTGCGATCAAGCCAAGTCGCGAGGTTTGAGGTTTGGAAAACACCCAGAAGCTTCTCATCGGTGGCTGCTTTTTCCAGGGCCGTGTTGTTCCAAGCCAGGTTGTAACCTTTATCGGCAAATAGTTTGTAATAGTCTCGCGGGGCGTCTTCACTCTCCAAGAAATTCTCAGCGCCTGCTCCGAGGATCACATCAGGGCCACCCTCCAGCTTTGTCCATGTGTAGTTGGTCAGGCCTTCATAGTAAGTGCTGATAACGTGGTCATACTCGCCTCGCGTGCTTGTGTGGGCTGTCAACGCAGCGGGGGTGGCATCGGCCAAAAATGCAGTCGAAACAATTCCAACACCCCCATGCGGATAATGACGCTTGAAAATTTCGGCGATGGTCTCAAACTTGGGATCATCAAAAGGGTCCTCGGAAGAATCGATGTAGACATTCAAAGCGTTAACGGTTGTTTTGTGTCCCGAGTAGAGGGCAGTGGCCGAGTTAGCCGAATCGGTAATAAACGAATCCATAGAATGTGTCATCTGGTGGCCTAACACAGGAAATTTATCCAGAGCCATCTTGGTCATATACTTGCCGTTGATACTCCGGTGCGCCATGAGCCGCGCCGCTGTAATCATGTTGGTAGTCATTCCATCTCCGACGAAAAGGATGACATTCTTTGCCCGTCTTTTAGACGGAATGTCGCGAACAAGCCAATTTGCAACTGTTTTTTGATTCCCATAGTATGTAAGTGTAGCTTCATACTCTCCTGGCTCGTAAAGTGCAACTCTTCTGTATGCCTTTGAAGTAACGTTGACCACGGATGGCGTGTCCGCGTCTTCCGCGAAAAGATCTATTCGGGTTAATTCCACGATCTGTACGATAGACCACGGCGAATTAAGTTTTTACTTACCTTCATACCAGTCAAAAGTCCATTGTTCCAGCTCTGGCTCGCTCGTCTTGAAGTACTTCGTTGCAGAGACCGGATGACCCCCCTTCTTCGAGATGGTAAATGTAAAGTTTGGATCAGGTTCTCCAGTACGAGCTTCGGAGCCATTCACGGGTGAGTGGACTTCGAGGCGAATATCGAAGTATTGCCCCGCTAGAAAGTCGGCCCTGTCGCAATAGTTCGCATTAGTGTGCGTGTAACTTGATTGGCGACACAGTACGTACTGGTCAGGCGGAAACACGCAACCCAAATCAGGGCAGCCCCCGAGCCGCTGATAGGTTTGGGCGATCACCGATGAGGTGAGACTTGCCGCAAGGACAAGTGATATTGCCCGCATTTTGGTCACCAATAGCGACTTTTAAAATATCAAAGATGCTTCTCAATATGAATATGGCGAAGCGAATATGATGAAGATGAGTATGTAGATAAAATGATAGTTGCTGATTTAGGTTGCTTGAGTGAAAAGATATCGAAGACGCAGAGGTGGGATGTAAAGCTTTCAAATAGGTTCATGCAAGCCTTATTGTGAGAGCTCGATTGTAGAACTTATCTCACGCCAAGATCGCTAGCAGGGAAAGGTTGCGTTCAAATCCCCGGACCATCTTGGCTGTCCGATTACTTCTCTCGGGGGCATTATAGGCGATATTTGGACCACAATGAACATATTCCCCGCAGCAAATAAGAGCTTATAGTTTTCTACACGTGCTAAGCTCTCATGGAACATTTGGAGGGCTTGGAGACGGCTTTGCCAAGCGAAATTTCTTGGCCTCGCAGCGCTAATCAAATGATGTATTAGGAAGCCTCCCGGAGAAGACCGCCAAGTCCGCTTGGCGGTGCTCCGATGGCGGATGCTCACTGCCCGTCGCCCCTAACAGTCTGTCCACAACAGTCTTGGCAAGGTCTGCACGGGAGGATATTAGGTTAAATCAATGGACAACAGTCAATTCTAATTTAATTGGATGTCGTCCAATAGTATACGAATCTTGAACATGATCTAGACTAGCCGAGGAACAACACCCTCTGCTTCCGCATGGATCTCGAGATTATGATATAGCTCACGTATTAGGCGGATGGTAGATGGTGTTTTATTTGACTGAAAATAAGATGACATGTATTTAAAATTTTCAACTTGTATCAAAAGGGCGCTAGCTCTGCAATGCTGTAATATGGTTTGAACAACTTGTGTTAACGACTTTCATGGCCGGTATTTCGTGGCCTTGCTCAAAGCCTACCGAAAAATATCACCCAACGCAAATCAAGCGACGGCAATAGCGTGAAACTTTTCCAATTAGCATCATTGAGTCATAGTTCCGATGGTACTCTAGGGAGATACGAAGCCTTTGGTGCAATCTTCACTTTCAGAAAGGCCGTTTCAAGCCTAGCACCTAGCGCAAATTTCCAATCCACATTTTGAAAAGCTGTTCCAAAGAACAGAATTGAACACATATATTATACCTGGTTCTTTAGTATCTCTATGATCAAACGCCTTGGCTTCTTTAAATCTAGCGACTACCGGTATCCATGACTTGTTTACTTGGCTATTTAAGGGCTGAAGTCCATTGGAGGTTCTAACTACGACGTTTCTAGCAAACATAGAACACAGGCCTTGGGCATATTTTGAATATATGATCATCTTCTTCCACTGCAATTCCTAGCTTCCATTGTTGACCGTCGTCGATGGCCATTCTAGTAGGAGAATAATGTCTCTCATTGTCATTGGCCCTTGAAATAAGTTCATTCCCAGGAAAAGCCTCTTGTATATTGAGCCACGGAAGCTCGTTATTAACTTTGACTAGGTATAAAAGGACCGGTCAGATCAAAAACCCCAACCACCAAGCCATTACACACCACGACACTGGTTAGGCCTTGCCGATTAGGAAATAGATGTTGCTATTCTAGCTTTCTGGCAGACAGACTATATCTGTAATGACTGTACGCAGTATTCAATCTATCAATCAGGGTGTTGCCCCAGAAGGCACCCCCCTTTCACGACCTGACCTTAGATCCATTCAACTGACTTTACTAGTTCAACAGTAATTAATAGTTCGCGAAGACACGCTTATGTGGAAGTAGCTATATAGTCAGCGATATCCGACTTTTGTCTCCTATTTATGCAGCTATAATAGATTTCGATTGGAAGATATTAGCATAGGTGGCGGCGCCATTGAAAATTGCGTTCCTAAATACTCGACCCCTACATTCTTGACATACAAATCTCCGCCCCTAGCCGCTTCATCCCGGTTTAAACTAGGGATCAGCCCTTTGATGATTAAATTACCCATATATAGCACGTCAAGTCTCGCTGCTTATAGCTTTTGAGATCCAAGGGGCTAAGGAAATAGACACTATTCTCTGGACAGACATAAGATAAAAGATGCCTGAACCCCACCCAGCGTCGCATCACAATCACCAAATTCCCGTTCCGATCGCATGATAATAACAGGAAGCTTAGGTAACTATTTATCCTAGTTGTGGCTATTTCCCGTTTTGACCAGTGCGTTATTCTTTCGATCCAAAAAACGATCGTCAAGGTGAGATTATATCACTTCTGCGATTAATTTCAAAATGTAGTCCTCGATTCAAAAGCTCTGACACCTAATGAAGGAGCTCTGTTCCACAACAAATTCATCTAGAATCGATGATGTATTACGAGAGACTAGCAGCTCCCTGGATTCATTCATTGGTTTCAATTCACTTCAAAGAAGGAATGACGTCGAAGCCAATCCTTTCCTAATATGTAATTGAAACAAACCGACGGCTTATTGGCTGTTGTACATGCCGGACCATCAAAACTGAGCGTATTCTGTGATAAATTCCTCCCATCATTTGACTGTATTTCTCATCCCTTCTTACCCGCCATGGTTTGAAGCTCCGCAGAATGTGAAAACACGTATATTAGTACTATTTTAAGTTATAAGTGTAGCCTTTGGTCTTAAGAAAAGATTTCCTCCTTCATTTTCCAGTGATGATTAATTTCCGAAGACACAATTCAAGTCAATGGATACCGAAACGTGTTCATCTACCAGTCAAAATAATTACGAGAAGACAACTCTACCACAATGTGAAAATCAGCACCCAACCAGCATCTGTGACCCAGAAAAGTTACCTCCCGTAGATGGGGGGTTCCATGCCTGGATGTTCCTCGCTGCCTCTGCGATGATCGAGGCCCTGGTCTGGGGTATGTCATATCCTTCAAGATATTTGAGATGTCTCTAACTTGAAAAAGGGGTTGCATTCGCTTTCGGTGTTTTTGAAAGCTACTATCGGGATAACGAGATGTTTCAAGGCTCGAAAATGGTGGCGGTCATTGGCACATGTGCAACCGTAAGGACATTCAACCCCCATACTCCATGGCCTGTTTCGCTAAATTTTGGCACAGGGAGTGGCATATATGAGCTGCCCTTTGGCTATTGTGGCCATGATTCTTCTTCCCCGCATGGCGAGGTGGTTTTCCACGATAGGTCTTAGCATAATGTGCTTGTCGCTCGCCTTGGGTTCTTTTTCCTCAAATGTTACCCATCTCGTCTTGTCTCAAGGTATCGGGTTTGGAATTGGTGGCTGTATAGCGTATAGCCCATCAATCTTATTCATGTCCGAGTGGTTTGATAAAAAAAGAGGCCTTGCTTTCGGCATAGTCTGGGCGGGGTCCGGTCTGTCTGGGATTATCCTTCCAATTATGTTAGAGAAACTCCTAAGACAATTCGGATTCCAAACGACTCTCAGGATTCTAGCGGCTTTGATTTTTGTCCTTGCTGCTCCGTTTCTGTATTTCCACAAATCTCGTCTACCCCTTTCGACTGAGGTAGCCTATCATCGACTGAATGCACGCTTCTTGTTCAACCGGGTATTTGTCGTCTATCAGCTTGGCAACATTCTTGAAGCTTTGGGATTTTTTTTGCCTGGAATTTATCTTCCAACCTTTGCTCATGCTGTCGGGGCTTCAAATTTTATTGCCTCGCTCACTGTGACTGCTCTCAATCTAGCGTCGGTGTTTGGAAGTGTATCAATGGGCTTTTTATCTGATCGCTGCCACGTACTGACTTGTATATCTATTACAACCATTGGAACCGCGGTCTCTGTTTTCTTACTATGGGGATTTGCTACCACTGTTCCGATTCTATTGGTTTTTTCTGTTTTTTACGGCATTTTTGCGGGAAGCTATTCAGCAATATGGTCCGGCATGATTCATGAGGTTCAACGTGTTGATCCAACCGCAGACGCAACTCTGATATTTTCAGCAATCGCTATGGGACGTGGCATTGGGAACGTGGTTTCCGGTCCCTTTAGCGAAGCGCTAATTCGGGTAGATCCCTGGTCTGGACATGCATTGCAAGCATATGGTAGTGGATTTGGGCTTGTCATAGTAGTCACAGGTACAACTGCTTTGTTAGGAGGCTTTGCATTGATTGCGCGTTGTTTTAAGTGCATATACACAGAATAATTTCCGGCAACCATTGCCGTTCCCCTTCCGTCAAATCAGATCAAATCAAGCTCTATTCACCTAATGCAGCCTAACTTGTGGCATGATGGCTATGTATGCGCTCCATCGAATGAAAGCAAGAACTATGCAAACGCCAGCTCCACGAAGGAAATGTCAGCATTTTCCGTGTAATACTAATCTAGAAATGATCAGAGACCTATGATAAAATTTCTCAAGAAGGAGAAACGCTCCAATATCACTCCGATGAATCGACAGTTAGTTTCATAAAGTGTGAGATACTACGTTGTCACTTTCCTCGTGTCATCCGTTCCTCAGTATCATATTCCTGTTACGCTAGCAAGATCTGAAGATTCTGTTTCGCTCAGCTGCAGTTCCGAATTCCCGGGCAGCTTTCTCTTGACTAGGTACTGTTCATCTATGAATATTTTGTCATTTGTGATCTTCTTTCAGTCAAATCACCCTAAGATATTTTTATTTAGTCCTATCACTTTTACCTACTGCAAGTATCGGTGATAATGGCAATATCCCAATCCAGGTAACGGTTTCCCAATCTGCAGTCCTCTCCACAGACATATTCGGCCAAATCTTGCAAAATTCACGGTTAGAACCCCTGGAGAGCTTCTTTTTAGCAGATTCTGAGAAAGTAAAAATGGGTCTTTAAACTTTTATTACCTATTAAGAAAATGTTATTACCCTCTCTGCCACTGCTTATCTCTATGGCACATTTAGACTTGGGAATTTCTATTTATTTCAACTAGATGCAATCAGAGAGGTTCAGAAAGGCACTCAAAACTATTTCTATCTCCATTTCCTGTCAATGGACCCTCCATAATTGAGTGAGGAATTGATTCTTGTAGAAGATCTTGTGAAGTGAGGCCTCTTGAAGAGTTCCCAAATAGGCCTAGTGAGCGTGCCACTTTTCCCTCTCACCGCCTTCCATAGCTCGCCGCACTTGTGTCCAAACACCGCCCAGAGCCTCGGCAGAATGGCACAATCAACAGCTTATCATCCGTAAGGTTCCTTTTTCGCTTGCGACCGGACGATTTATGATAGATTCTTGTTCAAGATGTCTATTCGCGCCCCTTATGTTGTGCCTGCGCTCAAGAAGCATACGGCCACTGTGATCATGGCCCATGGCTTGGGTGACAGGTTTGTTCAGACCACTTACATGCAAGCAAAGATTCCCTGTTAACCAATCTTTCGATTTAGCGGTGCTGGATGGTATGATAATGTTCCCTTTGGCTAGTCTTCCCAAGCGCACTGCAATTAACACTCGATTTTTTCACTCAGGATGGACCTCGCTCAGAACTGGCGTCGCCGTGGCAAGTTCGATGAGGTTGCCTTCATCTTCCCTAATGCACCCAACATCCCGATCACAGTGGTATGGCCAACATTGGAGGATAAAAGCAGAGTGAAGCGGCATGCTAACCTTGAGACAGAACTTTGGTATGGCTATGCCTGGATGGTATGACATTGCTAAGCTGGGTCGCAACGTAAATATTACTCCCCTCCGGTCCAAATGGAATAATTTACTTACAAGAATCGATTTTGATAACTAGCTTGACTTTGAAGAAAATGTTCGCACCCAAGATGAGACCGGTATCCTGCGTTCCCGCGAGTATTTCAACGGCCTTATCCAGCAGGAAATGGACAAAGGCATCAAGGCGTCGCGCATTGTGCTGGGTGGTTTCTCCCAGGGTGGTGCCATGTCCGTCTTTACAGGCCTCAGCAGCAAGGAGAAGCTCGGCGGTGTCTTTGGCCTGTCTTGCTACCTGCTACTCAGCGACCGCATCAAGAACTTTCTCCCCGAGGAGTGGCCCAACCAGAATACTCCGTTCTTCCTGGCGCACGGCGAGGATGATGAAGTCGTCCCGCACGCTTATGGCGAGGCCTCATACAAGAAGATCAAGGATATTGGCGCGAAAGATGTTTCATTGAACACTTACAGGTACGAGTTACTCACCACTACCGATTATTTTTTTTTGACTTTGGAATGGCCATGTACTGACTCTGCCGGCTGCAGCAACCTTGGCCATAGTGCCGACCCGATCGAGATTGGCGACCTGGAGAACTTCCTTGAGAAGGTTATCCCACCAGAGGGGGATGGCCAGGCATCGGCCGGATTATGACGGGACGAACTCAATACCGTGAACGGCGCTGCAGCGGGGCGATGGGGTTTCACGGCGCTGCTGGGGATTCTGGTTCTGCTCGCTGCGATGATGTGGGCCAGATATCAATCCCGAGCCGCCGAGTCCACTGCACAGAAGCACCGCTAGCGCCAGTAACCGTACAATTTCTTGCATTTCAAGCACTCATATCAATGCGTCTTTCATTAAAGAAACACTCCACATACTAATGCACAGCCAGCCACCGTAGCTGACGTCTAAATCATGATCTTTCAGAAAGAAGAAACCAATCAATACGCAAAGTAAGGAAATAAGGGGAAAGGCAAACGAAGCACGGTAGAGGCCACACGCAAAGAAAATTCACAAGAAAGACATGCCCTAGACCTTTTCCTTCCCAGCAAAGTCCCAGGTTATCATCCTCGAATGGCCTTCGCAATAGTCTCCTCGATGATCTTCACCATCTCATCTGTGTTCTTCTGATCAAATGGAACCATATGTTTCGACCCATGGTCATAGAATTTTGCCTTGGATGGCTCACACAGCGCGTGCAGCACCAAACCCTGTTCATACAAGGGATCCAGCTTGCCCACCACATGTGCTGTTGGGATGTTGATCAGATATGTATCTGGCTGTGGCTCCACGTATGCCATGCCTGAGCTGTTCCACGGCCTGCCGCCACACAGGAACACGGCTACGCGGAAGGGCGGCGGCGCAGCGGGATTGGTCTTCGTGTGGTGCACAAGCATGGCGCTCGCGAGGGCGGCGCCTTGTGAGAAGCCAATGACGGCATCGAATGGGCCTTCAGTATCGATGATGCGCTGGACATGTTCGAAGGCTTCGAGCACGTCGGCGCTTGGCAATGCGGGGTCGCGGGGATAGTGGGAGTAGAAAGGGCCGTCAACGACCCCCTCAAGGCCTGTTCAGGGAACGGTGAGAAAGAGATTCAGGGAGGAAATCGGAAGTATACAGGAGACAGGAGTGGACAACGGGGTTGGGGCAATGACAGGACCGTACCCTCTTCGACCTGGCTAGGCAGTCGGCCGTTCATGAACGTGAAGCGATGACCATCTTTCTCGAGCTTTTGACGCAGCCCGCCGGTCTGAATCTCGAAGATCTTTGGTTTTGGTCAGCATGAAGGTGGTTGCAGTGGACAAGTCCGAATGTGGGGGGGGGGGGAGAGGGGGGGAGATCTCATTGATACCTCGCCATTGGTGCTGGCGCCGTGTAAACACAGGAAACGCATAGTGGCAGGTGCAATCGAAGGATGGAAGGTCGCGCACACGATAATCAGACGACAGCGGGACAGAGAAGAGCCGACATGAAATGAGCGACGACGGAAGTAGTCTGTCAGCTCCTGTAGGAAAATAGTCCGAAGCGAGAACTACAGGGGAGTGGGCCATATAATAGTTGCAGTGCATGCAGGGGGCGTCCCTGTTGGCAGGCGTGTCGCGCGCAGCATCAGAGCCATTGGCGGGGCTGCTGGGTGGGACAGGCTGATGCCACGGATCTTCGGCGTCTTCAATTTCTGTGGGATTGGAGAAGGATTGTAGACAATTAGAGACGATGGGCGGAGTGGATACGATCCATCATGAAGATCTAGTGTTTCGATCCGGGCGCGGTAGGCGTTCACAAGGCCGAAGCACCCGATCAGTTGGCGCACACGCGCCGATAAGCAGTCAGCAAAGCTCCTCTTTCCAGCTCGTTCCAGCTCTCTCTCCTTCCCTCATCTCGGGCCCCTTTCCGAGTCCCATTCTTTGGTAGACTCCTCAATACGGATCGGGTCCCAAAAGAAACCACAAAACTACAGCCGGCAGGGTTGCGTCCACATGCAATCTTCGCTAGTGGAAACTCCGCTTCCCTCGGCTCGCAGCGCTAGAACTCCTCACGATGGCCTTAAAGTATGCCCCGCTCCCCGGGGCGGCCCCAACGTAACCCGAACTCTCCGTACATCTGCACAGAAGACACACCACATGGAAGTGCGCGATCTAGCTGTCGGCGGCAGCTTACTCGGATATGCCCTGCGACATCCTCTGGAGGGCCTGTCGAGCTTCGGGCCAACCTTGAACGAAGCTACGTTTGGCCTCCTGGGATCCTCGTTCAATCCTGATCGCGACATTACCGACATCGAGGGAAAGACGATCTTGGTGACTGGAGGTACTGATCTATCACGACCCTTCGGGTGCCTTGAGGGAGTCCTTGGAGATTTTTTCCTTGTCAATGATTAGCAAGCTGACATCAGAACGCGATCTCCCCAGGCAATGCCGGTATAGGCAAAGAAACCATTCTCCGGCTTGCCAAACATCGTCCTGCCCGCATCTACCTTGCCGCACGCACAGAAAGCAAAGCACGCGATGCCATCGCGTCAATCCAGGCCCAGCTCCCCTCCCCAGCTGATATTCGTCATATTCCGCTCGACTTGGGCTCGTTCAAATCCATCCGGGCCGCAGCAGCCCAGTTCCAGGCCGACAGCGATCGGCTGGACATCTTGATCCTCAATGCAGGGACAATGGGTAACCCCGCCACAAAAACGGAGGAGGGCTTCGAGGTCCAACTGGGCACCAATCATGTGGGCCACTTCTTGTTCGCCAAGCTGCTGCTGCCCGTCTTGCAGAAGACAGTCGCCGCCCAGCGAGCCCGCGGGGTTACACCCGATGTTCGCGTGGTGACCTTGTCCTCCGTGGCGCACGTTACGAGTCCTCCGACGTTCGAGGGGATGACTTCGACTCCGGCGCTATTGGCGGGTAGTACCTGGAACCGTTACGGGGCGTCCAAGGCGGCGAACATCCTCTTCGCCGCCGAGCTTGCTCGCCGCTATCCGGAACTCCTCTCGGTCGCGGTGCATCCCGGTGCGGTCAACAGCGATCTGTATGCACATGCCAAAGCTTCGGGCTCGCTCGCGAAACATAGTTTGGGGGTTGCAACGAGTTGTTTCTTTCGTAACCCGTCCAGTGGAGCTTGGAACTCTCTCTGGGCTGCCACAACCGCGAGGGCCAATTTGGTCAATGGAGCTTATTATACCCCTGTGGGGTTCCGGAGCAACGGTTCTGCGTTCGTCCAGAACTCTGCTACTGCCAAACAGCTTTGGGAGTGGACTGAAGCCCAGATTGAGGAGCGGAGCTAGCATTTTCTTCGGGATATTATACCATTTACTTTTGATTCTGTACAACACCACCCCTTGTGCTTGTTAATAAATCTCGGTTAGAAGCCTCTGGGCCACTATACCATTTGTTGGTATACTCCATGTCATACTCTGTCTCTGTTAGGAGTCTTTTGCGTTTTCTTATCAGATATCGGCACTTTTGGCCTTGATGAAATAGTCGCGGTAGGCGATGATTGGGAGGCAAACGATACGAATGTCATCATGATGATACCAAGTTCAGCCACAACTTTCAGATGCTTTCGATCGATTCCACGAGCACCGGACGCGGCTCTTTCCACCTCATTCCTGTGCAACTAAGCCCGTACGACTAGCATTTCCTTGGACTCCCCATCATCCAGTTATCTCCAGACCCCAGTATGGGCCGCATCGTCGTGACTGGCGGCTCCGGCAAGGCGGGCCAATCGATCATCGCCGAACTTCTTGATGCCGGGCATACGATCCTGAACCTGGATCTCATGCCGATGGGCCATTCCTCCGTATACACCTTGAAAACTGACCTGGCCGACAGTGGGCAGGTATTCAACGCGCTTTCAGGCCAATGGACTCTCACTGAGCCCTTCCCCGAAGGGCTGCCACCACGACCGGATGCCGTGATTCATATGGCTGGCTATGCTCGTAACATGCTGGTGCCCGACAATGAGACCTTCCGGGCGAACACCCAGGGCACGTACAACATCATCGATGCCGCCTGCAAGCTCGGCATCCGCAAGATCATCATCGCCAGCAGTGTGACTGTCTACGGGGTGTCCTTTGCGCAGGGTGACGCCAGCTACACCTCGTTCCCGATCGAGGAGGATCAGGATGTGAATCCAACGGATACCTACGCGATTGCCAAGCTCTGCAACGAGCGGGTGGCACGCGGCTTCGCGACCCGCTACGGCGCTGACATCTACATCCTGCGCATTGGGCATGTCATTGGACCGGAGGAGTACAACGAGGACATCTTCTATAGCTATGTGCACGAGCCGGAGCTATGGAAGGTGCACGGCTGGTCATACACCGATGCCCGGGATCTAGGGGGCATGTGCGAAGCGGGTTTGCAGAAGTCGGGGCTAGGGTTCCAAGTCTTCAATGCCACCAACGATACGATCACCAATCCTAACCCAACGGAGCAGTTTCTGCGCGCCCAGTTTCCTGGCATCCCTATTACCCGGGCGCTTGAGGAGTTCGAGGCGCCGCTGTCAAATGCAAAAATCAAGCGGCTGCTCGGCTTCCGGGAGAAACACCCGTGGCGGAAGCATTTTACCCTGTGGGAAAAGAAGCAGGTGGTGGTGTAGGAGGATACTTGAGTAAAATAGCATAGAATGCAATACAAGAAAATCTCTGCCGGTTATTGCGAACCTGAGATGGTGGTGGTTGCGTATCCCATCGACTCTCAACCTAGACAACGGCCCGATCCCTTCAAGTTCTATACGATACTCGACTCGGCGGTTAGGGTTTAGCCGAGCAGCGTCCCTCCTTCGCCCACAAGCGAAACATCGCACCCTCATCCAGCACCAGCAACCACATCCTCCCAACCCATGCCCGTTGTTTTTGTTGCAATGACAGCCGTAGAGAGCGTAAAAGGGACTCCGTAGAAACTGGGGGCGGGCGGCCTTCTGTAGCGCGGGAACCAGAGGCGCATTAGCGAACATCCGTTTTGGGCCAACTCCCCACACAAAACTCCATGCGCATCATCAACCTTCCCTTCAACCTCGTTTCTGGAATACCCCTCCAACCACCCTCAACCTCCACCCGGTACGCCCTAACCTGCTCCTTTTTAAATCACGAAAAGACCATCCGATCATTCCAGATCGCTCGATCGACTTTTCGCCTCCCCTCCCGTGATTTCGGCTTTCTTCGGTTATCATTCGACTAACGTGCCACGACCGCAGAACACATATCCCCCCTCATAACCTTCACAATGGATCATGCCAAGCTGGCGAAGATGCAGGCGAGCGTGCGGATTGGTAGGTGGTCTATTTGGACATGAAATCCGAGCATTAGAGAAGGTTCCTCGCGGGGCTTTTGGCTGGAATTGAAGGTCTAGAGCTTAGCTAGGCGGTCGCATGAGATCTGCCTGGCCTGCTCCAGATGTTTTTACCTTCCTTAGGCCATTGTGTTTTGGGATCTTCTCTGATGCTTAAATCCTTTTTTCCAAACTGATCAACTAACTGATGAAATTATTGGACAGGGTATGTATCAATTCTGTCCTGAAGCTATCTCCCGTTCACCCAATTCTCGGCATTCCTCCCCTCCTCCCCCCCCCTCCCACCTCGAAAAAAACAACACCCAGACGATGGAAAACGAGGTGTGCGACTCCGGCCAGGATGCTCGCTTCCTCGGTTACCGATTGTTGATATGCCGGAAACATCGATGCGGGGATCATGCTACACCTCCGATCGCACGAGACCGAGATATCCCGCACATTCTGGCCCTGGCACAATCCATCTCATCATCTACACACTCCGATCTCAACCACCATCTTATACATTATTGACATCACACCGTTGTACGTGCCAGCCCAGCTAACCAGATGTTTTCTTTGATTGCAGAGGCAAGGGCACTCCCCGCCGCAAGGTCAAGAAGGTCCACCACACCGTCGGTGCCGATGACAAGAAGCTCCAGGCCACCCTCAAGAAGATGAACGTTCAGCCCATCCAGGCCATCGAGGAGGTCAACATGTTCAAGGAGGACGGCAACGTCATTCACTTCGCCAACCCCCGCGGTGAGTTACACCCCAATAATCGAATTTTCTTCACCTAGCGCCTACTCTCTCTGCCAACTGCGCTCTGTCTGCAGCAATCTCTCTCTCTCTCTCTCTCTCAACCCCTCATCCCAAAAACCGCGCAAAAGAAAAGACACAGAAGACTGACATTTTCTCTCTCGACTTCAGTCCACGCCTCCGTCCCCTCCAACACCTTCGCCCTCTACGGCAACGGTGAGGAGAAGGAGCTCACCGAGCTCGTTCCCGGCATCCTGAACCAGCTCGGCCCCGACAGCCTTGCCTCCCTCCGCAAGCTGGCCGAGTCCTACCAGAACATGCAGAAGAACCAGGCCGGTGACAAGAACGACGATGAGGATGACATCCCCGACCTCGTCGAGGGCGAGAACTTCGAGAGCAAGGTCGAGTAAGCCAGCAGCAGCTCGGTTTAATAAATAGAACAACGATCCCGCTTTTCCTTTTCCCTGGCCCTTTGCCTGGGTCTCCGTCCTCCGAGATGCGGGCTTCACATCTCCTCCTCTTCTACCTCTAAAATTTATCGTGGTCTATGCTATGATCAATGAAGTGTATTCATTCAGTTGCTGTCTGGATTCCGTGACGTTACCTTTCTTTTTTTTTCCCCCATCGTCCTTTGGATCCCTTTTCCATGATCCTGCGCAGCGCTCAAGTACTGGGCTCTTGTACCCCGTCCTTGAGTCCGGGGCTCTTGGGGCTCTCTTGCAATTCGCAAGCGTCACTTGGTTGAATGCCTTGTTTTCCCAGCGTATTACCAACCATGAGTAAGGCTCGGGATTATACATATCTCAGATTATCACCCCGGGCACTTAGCCTCGTAGACAAATGGCCCATAATCTGCCCGGGAAATGATATCAGTGCATGTAATACATATCTAAGAGTAGAATTAGTCATTTGATATTGCCTTCGCTAAAACTACGGCAAGAAACCACGGGGTCACGCGTTACTGAAAAAGACTGTTGGAGAGCATGTAAAGAGTCCCTGGTGAGGACGGTTCATAATGTCGCATCAAAATGCCCATCTGGGGACTATCATACAAGCAAAAATAGAACAAGAAAAACAAAGATGTTCCAACCACGACGCCTGATTAATGCTGCTGGGTTTTCTGCTTCACGCTCCGCTGGGCAGAGCCCGCTTTCCTGATTGTCAACAAGGACGGCTTGTTTCTCTCGTCTGAGAGGGGACCCAGCTGTGGTGCGAAGGGTCTGTTCATGCTTGAACTGGGGAGGGAAGGTATGTAGCAGGACTGGTTGGATATTCCCGAAAGTGCCCTGCTTTCAAATATAGCTTTGACCAAGATTATGGCCACGAACTCACGACTCTTCTTTCAGTCCACAGATGTCCGTGCCCAGAATTTTGTCCACCATATACCAAAACCTCCAGTAGGCGCCCGACTTGTCATAGTCGAAGGTGCCGTCCTCGCGCAGCTGCGGACCATCGCCCACGATATCTCCGGTGAACCAGCTCAGTATAGGGATTGAGCGCAGTACGCGCTCGGTCACGGTAGGTTGGGGTGGGAGGGCTTCGGTCAAGGGTCGCAGCTTTGTGCGGCGAACGTTGGGGATGTGCGTCATGAATTCGGACTCGGGCTTAACCTCGGGCGCGGACGGATGACGCTGCTGGACGGTCGTGGAGGCGCCGAAGCTGGTCGAGATCCCAGTCGCCGTGGCCGTGCCGGATGTAGCTGTACCCGATGTGGTTGTGATCGTGCCCGCGGTTGTTGTGGTGGTCGCTATTGATGAATTGGGGGACCGCTCTTCTTCAGGCCAGGTCATGTCGGGCACACTGGAGAGGTTGTTCATCGCGAAAGACCGCGGCAGGGTGAGCGAGCCTTGGCTGTCCTTGCTGGACAGAAAGGCGGAGGAATGTGTAGAGGTTAAGGTGCGCGGAGCTTTGTTGCGAAGTCGATCCGCGGCCGACGAGTCTGCTGGGATAGGAGCGTCGTTGGCAGGACCGTGGCCGTGATATAGCTCGCAGAAGACAAGGTGGCCATCGATCTCTTGTGGCGAGTAAAAGCACGCCCGATCTGCGGACTGAGATGAATCAAAGGTGACCTTGATCCAGTGAAAACCACCATCGTAGCGTTTGGACTTGCGATTCGCGTCGGCGGAGAGATTGGTGCGAATGACGACGTCTCCGCCGCTAAGAAGCTGTGCGTACTGAGCCGCAGAGTTGGGGTCACTCCGTGGGTAATCTTCACAAATGAAGCCCTGCGAGATGCGTTCGTATTTATCGATCACCTTCCATTCAGCATCCTTGGCCTTGTATCCGTACAAGAAACACTCCGTCGCAACCTTCTCTGTCGGTTTCCGGGGGTTGTCGAGGCTACCTGAAGAAGAGGACTTGGGCAACCCGACCGTAGTCTTCTCCTCCTCTTGTTGCTGAGCAAACAGTCGGCCGAATTCAGCCACATTAGGATTCTCGCGCTTTGCCGGTGTGCCGGTGCGGGTTCGCGATCGGGCTTCATATCGGGCGTTTCTCCGCTTGCCAAAGGGCCCCGTTTCCTCCGGTGGCCTGCGAGGATTACGAGATTCGCTAGAAGAACCATTGATCAGTATTGCGATGTAGCATTAAGGCGGTATGCTCATGAATAGCAGATACTCACTCTTTGTAAACATAGCCCCAGGGAAGAAGGTTGCCCTTCTCATCTCTTGCGCGCTCCTCAAGCGGCACGGCGTGATACTCCATGATGATCGGAGCCCCGTTGAATGTGCAGAGTGAGATGAATACTTTGGAGGATATTTTAGGAGAACAAAGAGTCCTTCTTCAAAGCGAAGGATCCACCTCAGGTTGGGCAGAGCGCGAGTCCAGCGGCGATGAGGGAAACTTTTTGGTAAACACTGGTTCGCCGGGATACCAATCACGTGATGCTTGCCTTGGTCAGTCTGGGAGTTCTACTTTTCCAAACTCCAACCCAATTCGATATGAACCCAACTTCGGAAAGAAAAAAAGTGCTCATAATTTAAGTAAATTCCCAAAATCCGATGGCCTTCGATAATGAAAAATGACATAATGAGTGGAACTATCCATGAACTCTCGATCCTAGTGAGCTGTATAGCTCCAGCACAAGTGACGGAGAGGGTGTATTCAAAATATATAACTTGAGAATACCCATCTTAATACTACATGGAATGATTTCATTCTATTTCAAGAAAGCAATCTTCTCGGCATTGTCATCCACTCCACACACTTCACGAAAATCCTCAAACTTCTCTTTCCGGTGGTTGATCTAAACCTCGAATTCATTCAATCCACAGAATTTTTCAAAATAAGAGATCTTTCATCTGGACAAACGAACTGTTTTGATCTGATCAAAACAATTTCAAACAATGCCCAATTCCTTTACCCCGCGAGAGAGGCTAAGGACAGCACAGCGACGATGGATATACGTATATTGTCCTTAAATGCATTAAACTATGACACAGGTTTCAATATTGGTCATACGTATTTTAATAGTCTAGCAATTATCTAGGGACAACTAAGCCACCTCATCTATATATATCATGTGAAAAGATTCTCATCAAGTGCTGTACATGAATCTTGGGTTCCGATCACCAAGTTCCTGGATCTCTGCCTCCGACATGGAAGCAATCTTAGCATCCTCGAGGCCACGGGCCCGACGCTTGTTTATCACACGCAGACAGTACCACATACCGCCGTATACAATGCCAGCGAATCCGACAAGTCCTAACGTAACAGCATTTCCTCTAACATACTGGGGTGCTTCGGAGTTCTTGTATAGGAAGGGTGACATGACACCGCTGATATTGCCGAAAGTGAGTTGCAGACCTGTTGCAAAGGTGCGTTTTCCATATCTAGGCAGATTTGTTGGCAACCATGCAAGTGGCAGGCCGACGGTGACATAAAGGCCAAGCGCAACTAGAAGCGCACCGAAATAGTGCACCCCAGATGAAGAATCCGAGATCAGAATCCCGTAGCCTATGACGGAAATGGCACTGAAGAGGCAGACGAAGAATGCACGGTGTTGTGTTCGATCACTCAGCCAAGCTACAGCCAGATAGACGATTGCACCAAGACCATAGCATGGAATCGTAAGTGCTTGGACTTCGGGGGTGGTCCAGTTACCCATTCCTTTGATGATAGTAGGCAGGAAAGTGCTGTATCCGTACAGCATGGTGTCAACTCCGAATTGTCCAATGCAAAAGGCATAGATCTTCCAATCAAGTGCGCCTTCTTTGACATCCGCCCAGTGGAACTTCTGGGCAGATGCTGTCTGGCCCACATAGCGGCTACGGCGACGCACGACGAGCGCCCGCTCTTCTTCGTTCAGGTAGTATGCAGTGTCAGGGTCATCGGCCAGGAAGAACCACGTTGCTATGCCCAGCAAGACAGTTGGGATACCCTCAAGGATCATGATCCAACGCCATCCTCGGAGTCCACTGATGCCATCCATGAATCCGATTCCGTACGCAAGCAGACCCCCAAAGGCGCCCGCGATTGCAGCACTACTGAACAAGTAGCCGGTTCGCAGAGCAATCTCACGTTTGCTATAGAATAGAGTCAAGTAGGTCATAAGCCCTGGGAAGAGCCCTGCCTCAACAACTCCGAGGAGAATTCGACAAGCAATGAGCCCACCGTAGTTTTGGGTGATACCCGTGAGGGTTGCGATAATTCCCCAGATGATAGAGATGGCTGCAATGTAACGGGATGGCCTGAGCTTCTTGATGACAAGGTTCGAGGGCACCTCGAAGAACTAGATCTCACAGTTAGTCGGGCATCGTGGGTCATCGCCAGTCTTCACTTACGCAATAGGTCACAAACAGAATAGAGACAGCGATCTGATATTGGTCACCGACCAAGCCCAGGTCTTCTTCGAGGCCATACAAGCGTGCATTGCCAATGTTCACTGGGAATCAAGGTTAGAGACGACAGATCGATGAAGCTCCGCAGCAACGCGAGTCAGAGAGCAGCGGACAGAGCACTACGAACCTCGGTCAAGAAAGCTGAACAGATACAACAAGACCACGAATGGAAGTATATGTATGTCAATTCTCCATATCAAATTTCGCTCCATCTTTTCGTCTTCGACAGTCGGCACTGAACTGGCCTCGTCGAGCAGCTCGGGCTCGCTCGCTTTCGACGGCCCCACCTCCCCTTTGGCTTCGAGTTGCCCCTCCATCCCTGCGTTGAGCGACCTGCTATAGCAGATAGAAATCTAGAATTGTGTACCTACAGGGCAGATCGCATATCCTGGGCCGAAGGAGGGGCAATGAGGTCTGACAATTATCAAAAGAAAATTTTTGCCGATGGCAGGGATTCCGCCGTTTAAGTTGCCAAGCGCCAAGGCAGCGGGATCACCCGTCGGACAGCTGGGAATCACGCCTTCTCGTTTCTGATAAGGGCTGGGCTAGACAGTTCGAATGACAATTGGTGGGAAACCCCATAAATGTGAGGCCTTTCGATTGTGAGTCACATGGCGAATTGTACAGCTTCTCCGGAAAGGCCATTTTGTAGGTGCTGCCGACCACTTGGTGACTGTAGTTACACAGAGTACAATCTAATGCAGGGATCTCCCCACCAGAGAACCCCCTTGCCTACTCGCTATCTTCACAAGGGCTGGTGGACTATGTATTTTATATGCTTATGCATTTTATATGCTTATGCATTTTATATGCTTATGCATTTGTTCATCTGTAGTCCAACATGCCACAACTATGTGGTTTCGAGCCTCTGTCCTATCTGATCCAGCCATGTTCCTTATTGTGCTGTACTTTGTATGCCGCCTGCTGAATTACACTCATCCTCAAGAAAGTATGTATGTGGAGTGATTGAATGGGTCGCATATCGTCAAATATGAAGTGCAAGGGAGTTGCCGTTGATGAAAGTCGCAAAATTTCTCGCATTTGGGATTCTAGAAGCAACGAACTACGTATAACGCCTCCTACTATGATAGACGGCGTAGGTGATTGTGTTCTAAGAAATGCTCAGTTAGTTGTAGCTTGCTCTACACTATATTTTCCTAGTTGTTGGTAGCCGGTGGACGTGCTCGGCTGTCATGGGACTTAGGGTCTTCCAGGCGCCGAGGTCCAGGGCGACTCCACCTGGTCCCATCTGGGGATTTCCCCGGCTTTGCGACCCTGACTTGTGTCATTCCCTCAATCGCATTTCTATTTGCCAGCAATGTCCGAAGAAAATTACGGCGCCTATCAGACTGAAATTTACGGGAAGGGAGCCCTCATGGGCATCCTGCCCAGTGTGACGACCGACCCTCGGCTGCTGGAGGAGCAAGCCAAGAAGGCCTTGGGTGAGCGGTCGTTCAATTACGTAGCTGGGGGAGCAGGTGAACGGGCGACAATGGACAGCAATCGCTTGGCTTTTCGACAGTGGAAATTGTGCGTGATTTTGGTTTCGATTCAAGAATTACTGTGATGATTTGAATGGTTTCTAATCAAATTCCGAATCAATAGAATCCCGAGGATGATGCGTAGCGTTGGTTTACTCTCTTTTGCCTGCCACTGTTGGTATCCCAGCTGCTAATGATTTTGTTAGATGGAGGGCCAAAACGTGTCAATCGAGCTATTTGGGCAGGAATACGACACTCCCGTAATTATGGCTCCCATCGGGGTTCAGGGGATCTTCCATGAAGACAAGGAAACGGGTCTCGCGGAGGTCTGCGCAGAAGTTGGTGTGCCGTATACCATGAGCACGGCGGCCACCAGCTCGATTGAAGACGTTGCTTCGGCGAGCAATAGCGGAAAGAGATGGTATCAGCTCTATTGGCCCCAGGACAATGATATCACTCTGTCGCTTTTGAAACGGGCCAAAGAGAATGGCTTTTCGGTCTTGGTGATCACTTTGGATACATGGTCCTTGGCCTGGCGACCGGCGGATTTGGACAATGCGTATGTTCCTTTCATCAAGGGCGTTGGATGCCAAGTGGGCTTCAGCGATCCGGTCTTCCGGGCCAAGTTTGAGAAAGAGGCCGAAGCCACGATCGAGGACGATATCGTGGGCGCATCGCGGGCATGGCTAGGGCAGGTGGTCGCAAGCGCGCCACACACTTGGGAAGATCTAGCCTTTGTCCGGAAGCATTGGGATGGGCCAATTGTCTTGAAGGGCATCCAGCACGTCCAGGATGCGCGAAAAGCGCTTGAATACGGATGCGATGGGGTTGTAGTTTCAAATCACGGCGGTAGGTGTACACCCTTGTTCTTGTCGCATTTGGCGTACCCCAAAAAATTACCGGTGACGCGATTTGAGCGAATAGTTACTCACAATCCAGCAGGTCGTCAACTTGACGGTGCCATCGGATCTCTAGATGTCCTCCCAGAGATTGTCGATGCGGTCGGCGATAAAATGACGGTGCTGTTCGACTCCGGGGCGCGCACAGGGAGCGATATTATCAAGGCACTGTGTTTGGGAGCCAAGGCTGTGCTAGTCGGTCGACCGGTGATTTACGGGTTTGGTATTGATGGACGCAATGGAGCCAAGCAGGTCCTCAAAGGCCTCCTGGCCGATCTATGGCAGAGTATGGGGCTAGCTGGGATCCGCACGGTGGACGAGTGCGACCGAACGATGATCCGCAAGGTGCAGCATGCGGGCGACGTGAAGGCGATGATGTAAACCCCTCCAGCGAGGGTAGTTACTGGGTACATTCTACACCCTTTTAGCAAGTCAGAACACCAGAGCAAAGTCAACCAGAGCAGTCCGGCCCTACCATCTCCACTTTATCTTGTAAACCAGGGCAAGTCACGCCAGGGCGAGAAGTCGAGCGAGCAGGTACCGGGTACGTCATCCCAACGAACGCGTCGTTGGGAATCACATGCCAAAGGCAAAGTCGCGATAAGCATCGGGCATGATTCGTTTGGCCGTCGTTGCTTCTTCTCCCCGGGCCTATTGACATACTATTGGCATTTGATGCCAGATGCCATGGCATCGTTCCTCTCCTTCCTCCTCATGGCTCATGATGTTATCGAAGTCTCCTGATAAACCACTCCGTGAAGACGAGAACCAAGTGCAACTTGCCGCGAGCCATGCGCCTGCGACGTCAGGCACCACACTCCTTCCTCGACCAGTTGCCTCATTGGTCTCGTTTATAGCCCAGTCAACATCACTTTCCCTCAGAGTGGGCACGTTCTTTGGCGGTGTCGCTTTGAATGGCGCCCGAACGACGACTTTGACCGGCCTGGAGTTGGGTCGCGCAGTGGTAGAAGGCATTTTGACCCGCGCTGGGCGCGATGTTGCCATTCGCAGCAGTGATGAACATGGCCGGATAGAGGCAGAGTCGCTATTAGAGCGAAGTGTACGTTGTTCATCCTCGAGGCGTAAAAACTGCCAATACTCATCTCCGAAACCAGCTAGCGACATTACATACTACAGTGACCTCAGCATCATTCTTCGCCGCGGCTACCTTCCATTTCTCGTCGACAACATTAGCTTCGGTTGCAAATTTCTCGCAGGCCCTTTTATCCACACTCGATGCTATTCTTGGGTCCACGGAATCATCGAGGGCTATTGCAGCTATCATTACTCTCATTCGTCGCGAGTTCAGGTCTGTTGATCCAGGTACCAGCGCAGAGACCGTTGGTGTGGGAGATCTTCTGATTGGATCCGTGGGGTTTGCACTTCTTCAGCGCTGGGGCAAAAAGAATACAGAACGTACGATCCGAGAAAAAGGTGGAGATGAAGTGGTGTGGGATACAGTCATCCTGGACAACGGCCTACGAGCTGATGTGGTGGGGACCCATCAAGTCCAATTTGCGACTCGAAGCCAAGAAGATCTTGTCGAACCAGAAAGCGCGTCTTTTGTCATGCCAGGTAATGGGGATGAAGCCTTCGATGCTGTGCATCGACGATCAAGCGTCACCGAGAACTTCGCCGGCTCGCGTCTGTCGCTTTCTTTGGATGGCCAACAGCAAGTCTCGGACGAAGACATCCGCTCCTATATCGTGAGTCAATTGCCACCGGGCTGCCATGCTTCTATCAAATCGGAGGTCTTGACGGCGCGGACGATCACAGTGGACATCTTCGATGATGACATGGCAGAAATTGCTCCTCCCCCTGGAACTACAATGATTGAAGAGAGATTTCATCATGACCATCAACACACCAATGCCGCCGAGCCAGACTATCAGCGGCTCCCAAAGCATACTATGGTATTTCGAACTGCCTTCAACAAATCGCAAAGTACGCAGCTACGACCTTACGATGGCCCTATTGACCACAGTCCACCAGAGCCTAGTCATACCCCATGGCATGCACCCATTCCTCCATCACCAGAGCACACAGGAAGTCAACATGATCGAACCCGCTCACATCCTGATTCTGGAAGCGATACTATAGTTGCCCAACATGATGCTAATTCCGATTCTATTGGCGAACAAAGCCAAAAACCTGGGCTCAGAAAGACCTCCTTCACCAAGTTTGCACAACGAGTGAAACCCAATGGCAGCGAGAAAAGCGACATCCCCAAACGCTTACCACCGAAAAAGCCGAGCATAAAGCCACCCAGTTCATCAGGTTCTGCAAACACTCGTCCACTCGCGAAACCTGTAAAGGGATCTGCTTCAGCGAGGGAGGTGACTGCACGAGAGCTTTCCAATCGATCAGAGCTCAAGAGACGGCCCAACGAGACAGCGGCCTATCGGCCAGCCACACCCGCTCCGAATAGAGCTCTGCGGAGATCGCCTTTTCCTGGCTCGCCTCAAAGCCCCCAATCGCCTCGCGTGCAGACCAAACCAATCACTGGACATCATATTCCCGACAGGACGAGTTCAAGGGCTGGTTATTTTGCAGTGCGTGAACAGAGCCAGGAGTCTCTCTTGACTCACACCGATACTTTCTCACGACGAAATAGGGACATGCGTCCTGGATCACCTGTGGCAACCCGAGCCCATGTTCGCAGTAGCAGTTCCCTATCAGTGACTCACTCTGAGACGGATGGAACTCTTTCTGTGAAGGATCATCGGTCCGGTTCACCCGCACTGCACCGACGATCTCAATCCTATACGCCCAGCATGTACTCAGTCGCTACTGCTGGCTCAGATACGTCGCTTATTTTGGCGCATCGGCCACGCAATAGCGCATATGAAGAAGCGAGTACTATCCAAGCGCTAAACCGTGACGGTGTTGTGCCGGGCATCTTCCCCGAAAGACATTTTGTGCAAAATATTAGACGGTTCTGTCGTTTCTCCTCTGCATCTTACGGTGCTAGCGCGCTGAAGGTCATGGGCGTCCACGTACACCAAGGAACCAATTCTCTGCCTCACATCCCATCAGATCGTCATGAGCATAGTGCATTCTCAAATTATGCGGGCCTTCCGCCATCCACAATTCTCTTGTCTTCCTTCGTCGATCCTTCAGGCGGCTCCAATGCAGCGGGTGAAACTGAAAGCGGGTTCCCGCTCGTGCACTATCTATCCATAGATCACGAATCCAAGGCAGTGGTCCTGACTCTCCGGGGGACGTGGGGTTTCGAGGATATTCTCACAGACATGACCTGCGATTATGATGATCTGGAGTGGCAAGGCAAAAACTGGAAGGTGCACAAAGGCATGCATTCCTCTGCCATACGACTACTAGAGGGTGGCGGCGGCCGTGTAATGATCACTTTGCGAGCTGCACTTGAAGAGTTCAACGACTACGGCGTCGTCCTTTGCGGCCACTCCCTCGGAGGCGGCGTAGCAGCCCTGCTAGCCACAATGATTTCCGAACCAAGCAACGACCCGATAGGGACCTCCTTCGTCACAGCCTCCTACCAGCTCACTAGCAGGCCCCGTCTTCTCAACACAGACACTGACGCCGGCCAAAATACCCCAACACCAGCACTTCCAGCCTACGACTTACCTCCAGGCCGCCCAATTCACGTCTACGCCTACGGCCCACCAGCCGTGATGTCCCCATTCTTGCGGCTCGCCACACGCGGTCTGATAACAACCATCGTGAATGGCCAAGACGTCGTCCCCAGCCTCTCTCTTGGCATCTTACACGATATGCACACAGCATCACTCGCATTCAAGAGCGACATCACCGGTGCAAAGTCGCACGTCCGCCACCGACTGCACGAGAGCCTACGCCAGAGCATCATCCACAAGTTCTATGTCAACCAGCCGCCGCATGTGATCAATGCCGGCGATGGCGTCGGCGAGGACGCCTGGGCTTGGAAGACGTTGCGCCAGCTACGCGACGAGATGCGCGCTCCTAAGCTCGTTCCGCCGGGCGAGGTGTTCGTTGTAGAGACCATGCGCGTCCTGCAGCGCGACGCATTCACTCCAGCGCCCGACTTCGCGGCTGATGCGTATCCGCGGCTGGGGCGACCGGCGACCAGAGTGCAGATGCGGTTTATCCGGGATGTGAATGCGTGGTTTGGCGAATTGCGCTTTGCGTCGGGGATGTTGAGTGACCATAACCCGGCACGATACGAAACTAGCCTCGCAGCACTGGCCAGGGGTGTTTTGGATGAATGAAGAGCGGAGGTGGGAAATGTGGAATGAAAGTTATGAGTAAATGGCGATGCAGGTCTTTTTTTTATTTTTATAAATGGGTATTAAAATGGATATTGAGAGGATGATTTATGAACATGGGACTTGGTTGGGATTCTGGAGCCAGCTATACATGGGTATGAACATAGCAGGGACTGATTTTATTGCCGATTTCCAGGGCGATGAGCTTTTTTCGGGGTATGTATATGGCCATTGATATTGAAATTTTCTTTTTCGGGTTTAGATTTTGGATACGACAGATCGACTGATAACCCACGAATTTGATCTCTTTTTGTTGCATGCACCAAGTTTCTCGATGCATTGGAATATTCCATAAAGGAGATCTACATTGACCTCGGATGTCCGAGCCTGTCCGAGGCTCGACCGATAGCAGCTTCGATCAAGAGTTTCTTGAATAAATGAGATATAGCCGCAACCAACCAGATTGCATAGGATCCAATATCAGATCTGCGTTCGTATACTCCTCTTAGATCGATATTTATCTTATACCCTTTACGGAACACTGTTCAGTGAAGGTGGAGGAATAATCCGACACCACTAGGGTTGTGCGATGCTGCTTGCTTCGAGCAGGCAATCAATGCATCATAGTTGACAAAGAAGAAGAAGAAGAAGAAGAAGAAGTGGCGCGGTATCAGGGCGTTGAAATGATTGCAACATGGTGCATATGAGCCCCCGGTATCAACAAGCGACGCGATGGCTCTCTGCGAGTACTTAGATGAAATCCACCCAGGACACATTAGAAAATGGCTTTTCGGGGTGCTCTTGCTATCATCTAGTGACCATTTTTCTTCTATACGTAGACAGTTTGCCAACGGAATGGCCGCCTCTCTAGGGGACCGCGACACAGATATTAACGATACCTCCGGGTAACAGTAGGGCACTTCATCGATCCATGAAGCACCATGTCATGCAGGGAATTTAACTTTTTGACCACCAAGGCGAGACATTTACTTCTACGCAAGGATAGCAGAACCAGCAAGGCTTAAAAAAAGAAGAAAAAGGATTCGAATCGTCGAGGATAGTACATTGCTTCGTAAAGTTTTAGGTTTTATCTCAAGTTCCATCCCATCTAATACCAAATCCGACCCAGAACAGCCCATATCGAAACAAGAGAGAAAAAAAGAAACCAGGATATCCAGGGTATCACGGCGAACAGAAGAAGCACCAGGCGCAGTCCAAAAGGACATCAGAAGGCCTCCCCATAAACAGAAAAAAAACGCCAGAAGGAAATTTAACCAGCACGCCGCTTGAAACAAGACAAAGGGAACAAGAAAAACAAGGGAAATAGTATATAATAACACAGATAATACCCCCCCCCACGTTGGTTGGGAGAATTTTGGCTGATCAAGATCTCAGATCCTGCTTTGCCAGACATTGACAGCGACTGCCATTTTGCTTTTGCTTTTCTTTTTTTTTTTTCTTTGGAGCGTCAAGAACCGTATACAAGCCGCCTTAAGGAGGAGAGAAGACAGACTCCAGCTGTCTGTTTATGAGACCAGGGTCGTGGGGGCCGGAGGGGCCACGGGGCGACCGGAGTGGCAGCCACGCTCGTGACGCTTCATGTTGCTGCGCACGGAGAAGGCCTTGCCGCAGCCAGCGTGGGTGCATCGGAAGGGCTTCTCGCCAGTGTGCGAGTGGGAGTGGATGCGCAGGCTGGAGGGGCGCGAGAAGGCCTTGTGGCAAGTGCGGCAGATATATCGGTCATGGTTCTGCTGGTAGGGGGCTGAGCTGGAGGGCGGGAAGTAGTGGTGGTGCTGCCAGGCCGGGGTGACGGGCGAGATGAGCGCGGGCGAAGGCGCAGGAGGTTGCTGGGTAGGCATTGGGGGTGCAGTCACGGACGGCGCAGGCTGGAAAGTGGTGGAGGTGGGGGTGCTGACGGTGGGAGAGGCGGTGGTGGGAGGTGGGCGGGCATAGTAAAGGTTGTTGCTCTGAGAGGGCGGCGCCTCAACGGGCGATGTGTAGGAAGAAGAGACGCTGGGCGCAGGAGAGGCGTAGGGACCAGCGCGCGAGATATGCGGGGCGGACGAGCTGGTGGTGCTAGAGACGGAGGCGCGGTGGGGGAGGTCGGACTTGCCCAGCTCTAGGGGCGACTGGCGGTGGCCGGAGCCCGAGCCTGGGCGCAGCGGGGGCGTCGGCGGGAGGCAGACGGAGTCGTACCGGGTGTCCCGCTCGCGCAATGGGGGGCTGAGGCGTTGTCGCTCTGAAGATACATCGTCAGCAAGATGATTTATTGAAACTTCACTCGGGCCATATGATCATATGATCGATAATAGGATGATCACACTATAGCATGATCGAATGACAATGACCATGGTATAGTAGTGAAACATGATAATATATCCGGTAAGGCAGTGTTGGAAAGGATCTGACTCACTGGCTGCGTGTTGGGCGCCATCGGCACCTTCCAACAAAGTTGAGATCGAGGGCAGCGAACACTTGGGCTGGTCCTCGACTGGTGGGGAGAGCGGCGCTTGCATCGATCGCTTGCCGTAAGTCTCGGAATAGACCTTGGGGGCCGGGGCGGCACCGTGAAGGAGATTGGCCAGATCCATGATGAGGTTGGTGAGGGATCAGGATGGTAGAAGGAGTTGGGTGAAGGGTGGGGAAGAGACAGTTCAAGGGAAGAGAAAAAAGAAGCTCTGGGGAAGGGACACGAGGGTTTATAGAAGTCGATCGAGGGGGGACGTAGTATAGTAGCCCGTCCGTTAGCCGTGCCCCCCCCCCCCCCCCCAGTCCCGGTGGTTCTGGGTTCTGGGCTCAGGCCCAAGCCCCAGCAGCAACCGAGCGCACCGGCCAAGTTCAACCGCAGAACCACTCGAACAGGAACCAGGTGTCTGGGTTTCGCGTGGATGATCGCCCGCGGGCGATGCCGATGGTGGCTCCCCACTCTTTCTTTTTGTCCAATTTTCGATTTTCTTTTTTCTCTTTTGGTTTTTACTTTCCCCACTCCGTCTTTTCGCATCGATTAATTCTAGGGTACTCCGCAGTAATTTAGGAGATCTTACAACAGCCTGGTGACGGGGTGTGCTCTTGGAGTTGGGAAACGCTCTCTATCAGAACACGGACAATGTAGATATGTAGATTCCGATCAACTATAATGAAGAAAGAAGAAAACTGACTCGATTGAAAAGCCCAACCTGCCATTCTCTTGTTGTCTGCCAACCCCTGTGTTCACTCCATGGTATGCCCCGTATGATCCCCCGTCTTCTTCCCCCCCTTGCCCCGTCTACCCCGAGGACATCATGGTGGGTTGTTGTCGCATGGGAATGGGTCATGTACCCAAGGACGTATTGCCCGATTGAAAGCATGCAGCACCGAAAAGGTGAGACAGTCCGTTCCAAAGCTTAATTTAATTAATAGGACGGCGGCATTACTAAATTGAATTTTTCTTTTCTTTTTTGATTCTTTTTTTTTAATGAGGGAGGAAGGTCGCCAGGCCAGGATGATTCATAATAATAATAATACCGAGGAGGATGTATTGCGTTCACCACCCGAGAAGAGCATGATCGCAAATAGCAAAAACAAAAGACAAGAAGAGAGTAGAAAAAAAAAGAGAAAGAAAAAAGAAAAGAAAAAAAGAAAGATGTCGGAGATTAACCCTGCGAGTGGAGCCCCCATGACGATTTGCCCACGCGAAGAGAAACCCACTCGTCATGTACGACGCAGCAGGCAACCCACGGCTCCAGGACGGACCATGCCCAATGACGGAGCCTTGATGCCCCGGCGGCTGCAGTGCCAGGTGCAGTTTCAATGCCGGTCGTCTGCAGTAGTCTGGTCTCGCGGGAGGGTCCCCCTCAGCGGCCTCCCTATGAGAGAGCCGCTTGCAAGTCCACTAAACTGGATCTGGGAGGCCGGAAAGTCCCCGTTCACCTCGGCTACGCTTAGTGCAGATCCTGCTTACCTGTCACATACTAGCCCCATAAACGGCTGATCGCACCGAACCTGATCGTATGTCGATCCTTCGGTTTTTTTGCTTTTCTGGATTTTCCCCTCCTTTTTCGTGTCGGGAGTTTTTTTTGGAATTCTAGCGAGAAGGGATTTGCTTCTTTATTCGTGCTCTGATTCGTATTCGGGTTTTCCGCCAAACCTAGTTCCGATACAGTGTAGAGTCCATGGCTTGTCCGGGCCCATTCAGAAACCTTTACGGGTCGCAGATCCTCGCGAGAGCTCGCACACAACGACCCGGTCGCACACATCCCACAACCCTCCCCCAAGACATCGGGTCTCTGGTCCAGAAACTCAGGGATCCCGAAAAGGAACCCGAAGACCCCGGATTCAAAGCACTGTCGCGTGGTTGATGGGCCCCCTGCGCCGAAACCGGAAGGTCTGTAACTGCGAGTCCGGGCACTATACCCTAAACGAGTAGAACCTCCGATGGGGCCAGACATCGTCCAACCCAAAAAAAGGAAAAGTCAAAAAGCAAAGGTTTAAAAAAGAAAAAAGGGAAAAAAAAAGGAAAAAGGAACAAGGGGGTCCGTGTAAGGAAAGAGAACGAGAACAACCGGTTACCAGATTAAGAGTTCCCTGGGTCTGGTTTCAGAATCCTGTCCCATCGAGGCATGTCACCTCCGGTCCCTCCATCTACTCATCACCGATGTCACAATATAGTTTCTATGGACGCCGCAGCGTGTCGATACTGTCTCAAGGCGGGACAAAGGGAGGATGGAGGGGCGGAGGACGCCGTCGAGGGCCCTATAGTTCCCCCATGGAATGCTGAATTTGTCCCTTCTCTCCCCCTTCCGTAATTTCCAGTAATTCGCTCAGCGATGACGGGGGTGGCGGCTCTACGCGCTTGGGACTCCCATGTGGGCTCGCTTAGAGAAACCTTGCCATGCCAGCAACTGCATACATACAACACATAGACTTTTAGCGGGGGGGTTGTGGAAAGGGATAGGAGGAAAGATCTGAGGGCTGGGTTTCCGTGAGGTGCAGACAATGGATGGGCAAATCTTCAACAGAGAAAAGGTAGTAATAGCGAGGTAATAGAGAGACACAGTCTGGTTTAGAGTTGCGGGCTGTACATCACCAGCATCGTCGTCAACCTCGACATGATCACCGGGCGGCAATCACACTGGAGTTAGCCACGGAGGCCGCCCTCCGTGCGGACGGGCGCCAATAAGGAAGGTGCCCGAAAGGACGGCGGTCGATCGGTCAAAAAGGGGGATCTGGTGGCCGTCGATTCCTGTCTCCTGCCTCTTTTTGGTTCTCCTGAAGATCTCCGTCGCATAGTCTGGTCGAACGGCGTTGGAAAAGGCGGTGGTGGGCGTAGCCACCACCGCCACGGGAAAACATGAAGGGACCAGCCTCTTTAGGCAAAGGAAACGATCGGGATCGGCATTCTGGAACGAGGGGGCCGTTGCCTCTGAGAGGGAGGGGGATTGGCATCCGTGCACGATTTCTGCAGCCGGCGCGATTGGAGATTGGCCGCTACGGAGGAGGTGGAGGCGGATTCCCGGCCTCGTGGAAGCGAGGCCCCACTGGCTTATAGCCCTTTGGCCAGGATCGTCTGCTCCGTGCGGGTCGATTGGTTCATTTGGGCCGGACTCCATCGGGTGCATGATCCTCGGTCCGAATTACTCTGTCCATGGTTCCCCAAACTCATAGTAAGAGGAAGAAGAGAAGGAGAGCCGGAGGAGTGTATGATGGTTTATTATCATAATTATGCTTATTGTGTCTCGGATCGAGTTCTATAGTCTTTTGAAAATGTAAAGCGTACATGTTTGTGGGGGTGCAATTTCGGTGACCCCATATATTACCAATGATTCAATATACTCGAGGCTTGTGGGTTGGAAGGATTGGCAGGATGCAGGATGCAGGATGCTGGATGCTGGATGCTCGACATCGACGCAGCAGTCTTGATGTGGCTCGCCTTGACTGGTTCATCGTCCTGCCCTGTGGTGTGTGTCTCCGAACAGGCGGTTGGATGCAGGAATGCAGTAGTGCAGGAGTGTTACATCCCTCACAGCCCAGCCCTCGGAGGGATTCCAGCCTCTCACCGGTCGGCCACCCTCTCGCGTGGGAAAAGGCTCGAGCGTCATGATCCACGCTCCGGGGCGATCCTCCTCTCCTGATCGGCCCTTTTGGGTGCTTGGGAGACGGAGGCAAACGCCCACCGCGAAGCCAACCAAAGACCATGCAAGATGATCATGGTCATACATACAGACTTCCTCCATGCATAATCCCAGACGGAATGCTCCCCCCCTCCTTCCCCCTCCTCCTCTCAAGCCCATCAGTCCTCCCAACAATGAAACAATAGTAGATCCTATTAATTCCACCTCATTTTATGTTTTCTTTTTGCCGGTGCTTTTTCCTGTTGTGTGGTGGTCCTTCCCTCGTGTCCGAGGATTGCCAAGATCCACCCACGTCTCCCCTTCTCCCCTCTTCCTCCCTCCACTGTCGGCACTTATCATCGGGATCGACTAGTGCCCTCCAGAGCCGGCGTTAGTATCCCACCACATCTGATTGGCGCCCCGTGCGGCTCATGAATTTGGTCGTCGAGAGGATCTACTGGCCTGGGCCTGGGTCGTTCGATGGGGGGATGGAGCAGTGTCTCGCACGGCTGTGTCTGGTACGGGTCGGATGGGGATTCTGAATGGCCACCCACTTGACTCCAGTTACTCCGTCTGCTCCGTATACTTTTGACCTCCACTGTCGCTCTTCATTTCCACCGTCCGTGGGTTTCCATTTTCTTTCATACTTCCTCGGAAACTCTGTCGACCAGACATTCCCTTCTCGAGAAGCTTTCCAGCCACTGCGAAGTTAAACGGCAAAACTCCGGTCCGGTCCCAATCGCTTGGATCGTCTCGGGCGGAGTAGGAGTCAACGAAAAGTCAAATTGAGAAAAGGGGAGGTACTGGACGGTGCGACGACTTGAGGAATGGAACTATGCAGTACAGAGTCAATCCGGATCAGAAAGTGATCAGAAGGATCTAATGTTCGAAACCTGCGCCGCCAATCGGATCTTGGCCTCCCAGCAAGTGAATACCTCCATGGAATCCTCCATGGAATCCTGATTCAAGACGGACGCCTTCTAGCGTCTCCCTAGTGCCCAGGGCCCCAAGGCCCTTGACCGGTGGAGCCCCATCGCATGTCGTACGTAGACACGAACTAACCCGATTCCAGCTCGTCGGCCGGGTCTAGCGGTGATCGATCGGGGATCATCCGGGGGCTTGGGTGTGGTTGGCCCGTTGGCCCCATGAGCCACGCGAGCGAGCCCCTTTTCCCTCTTGAATCCAATGTGGATGGATGATCCCGTGTCCCTCAAATCCCGAGCAAGCAGTCATCACATGCAGTGGGCAGTTGCCTGGAATTTCATGATGTTGTACGGAGTTAGAGAGTCGATGCACAGTGATGCGAGGTGATCTAAGGGGGAAGAGGATCATGCCTCTGAACGGGCCTTCTCCTTTCATGGTTTTCATCCTTAATATTTCATTGTATTTTTTTCCTTTTTTTTCGTTTTTTGCTTTGTTTCTTGTGCTCCCAGCCACGCGGCATCGGCGTGGGTGGGCGAACACATGGCACTTGCATGATGCAGTCTCAGGACCGCACCGCTCTATGTCTGACTTTGACCTCGCTAGCCATCGCTTCGCTAAATTGTACTCTATGTAGCTATGTGCATGCATCATGCTCATGTCGGATCCGGTGGTGGTCACGCTCTTTTCTTCCCTTGCTTTCTTTTTTGGGGGAAGGGGGGGGGGGGGGGTTTGTCTCGTATCTATACTTAGTCCCTGGAGAAGATCTGCGACTGGGTTCCCGGGGGTGATGGGAGGAGAGAAGGACCATGCACTGTTTTGGGAGAGAGCCAGATCCTTTTCCACCGCTACGACCGGGACATCAGGTACTGGAGAGGCGCTCTGTGTGGGTCTTCGGGAATAACGCGGGCCAGCAGATGGAGAGGACGGACGCCCGGCCGGGATGAAGGGAGCGCCTGCAATGCCGGGATTGAGCATCTGAGCCTTACGCGAGGTGGGCAAGGAGCTATGTATGGAGCTCGAAGCAGGAGGGATGGAATTGCTAGCCCTGGAGATCCTGATCTCCGTTCCAATGCCCCTCAGGCATCTAAAACAAGTAAGACAGCCGCTCGAGGAGGGTACCACGTCCGAGACTATCTCGGAGGATGCCTCGGATGTGGGTGGAGGAAGCCCTCTAGACGGGGCTAAGCGGCACTCCATCACAACGTTACGAGGGAGATCGCGCACGGCCTCACGTGGAAAGTCGGGCCAAGCGGACAATCTGGGTATTCAGTATGTGTTGATAATTCCTGACGTGTTCGCCTGACGCGGAAGCGGAAGCGGACCTGTCACTCTGCGTCTACTCTCCTTCCTGTTCAAGCCGATCGCCCCGGTGGATCCTTCGATCCCTCGGATCAACTGGATCAACTGGATCAACTGGATTCAATCAGATCAACGAGATCAATTGCTTGGAATTATCTCCTCCCCAATCCATACCAACCGCTGGCCATAGCTCCTTTCGGGTAGTCTGTCCGGTACGATCGGAACCAGGGGAGGGTGTACAGGCTATACACATTCGATGTCTCCATAATGCTCTGTATATCCTTCGGTCCTCCGTCATATGTCTCCATCAAAGTGCATCACCCTGTTATGCATCGGAAGACAAGGCGGATATCGGTTGTCGGATTTCTGCCTAGCCGATCATGTATCGAAGATCCTAGTCTTGGTCATCAGTCAACATCGCTGACCAGCTAGCTCATGGACTATCTCGGCTGTGGACTCCCTGGACTGGTGAATTCCAGTAAACCACACTCCTCACAACAATACCTGCCCGCGGTTAAGAAACGGCCCCCATTACTTCCGGGGGCCAAATCTGCCCGAGCCCCGAGCCTTTAGCTCCAGCGCCGTGTAAATCCTTCGCATATGAACAGAGACATACAAAAACGAAAACAAAAACAAAAACAAAAACAAAAACAATAGTTTTCATTCTTCTCATATTGCTCAGTCGCAACTAAAACATCTCTATCACTTCCCCACCAAAACCTTGAGCTAGGCAGAGTCAACCCCCTGGAATCTCGTGCCTCATCGAAAAGAGAGCCCCGTCAAAAGGCAAATCCCCCAAAAATAAAGCCTACTAGCTTCTAGCTCAGAATCCCCAAACCCGTAAACTCAAAATCCAGAAACGCCGCCCGCACCGAATATCCCTACAGCGGTTAGCGCCCATAACCTACTCTCCCCCAACCACGCCAACCACTACGCTAGACTACCCCTGGTCCGAGTCTGAAGTCATATTTCTTTTTCGGAAAGTAAAAAATAAATAAAAGGATCGACCGATGATCATACAACCAACGATCTCACACGGGGGGTATCCTAACCCCAAAAAAAAAAGAAATTGAAAAAGCCAAATATCTAGCCGCCCCCAAACCGCCCCCCTCCTCCAATCCCAGTCCCAAATCCCCAGAAGGTCACAGCGCAGGGATGTGTCAGGCCCGCTGGTGAAACACGACCTGTTCGTCACAGCTGCAACCTGTGCGACCGAGGGTCGATCTCTCGCCCTGGCCCTGCACCAGGATCTTAGCGACCTTTGCGCTTGAACGTCTTGGGTATAACCCCCGGGCTATGATCGTCCACGGGTCTCTGGCTTTTTTTGGAGAACGGAAGAGCACCGGATGCCGGGGATGGCTTTGGCGGTGGCTGATTTAGAGGCCTTGAAAGGGGGTGCTTCTGGGTTGGGTAAGAGAGCTGATCATATTGGTACTGACGATGTCCATCATCTTCTAAGGGAAAGCTTGGGTTTGGGGGCATCTTCTGTCTTCGGCCCTGGGAATTGACTGGGTTCCATGGTGTATAGTGTATAGTTCTCCTAGTATACAATACACTGTCCTCTGATACATTCGTATAATTACCTTTATCGACCATACTTATGGAATTCTTTGGGGATGTACTCTGCACTTTCAGCATGTATACCTCCACATGTATACCTCCACATGTATACCTCTACTACTTACTACTATACATTCTCCTGACTCGATTCTCGTGAAAGCGATGTGGAGTTAATGTCCGTGTGGAAACCGTTACCGCGATTCTCGCATTGCCGTCTCCATTGTACTCCGACGTACATGATTCCACCAGTGGGCTTCAGCTTATGTCCAACACTCCAACCTCCCCCCCCCCCTCCGTTCTTCCTCCGTATGGAGTAGCAATCTGAGGTCATAGTCGTTCCTGGCCTTGACCTGTCACGCCCGCCATCCTTGATCTCCGATTCCTGATTCCTTCCATGCTACGGCGTTCTCCGTTCACCACGGAGACACATTACTATATTCTTGCTAGAGCCTTTCTCAATTCACGGGGGGCCGGACGTGATGAGTTGAGGAGTTGCATGGTCGTCGGTGAGACCTAAGGTTTTTGGGCTTTAATTAGGGTCCTGCCTGTTTGGGCAGCTCCCCATTCGCATGGACGAGACCTTATGCGGCTTTCAACTGGGACTTCGAACTATGCGACTCTATCGTTACCAGCCCCCCTTATTCCGCCCATTCCTCTCATCCTTTCAGGACCACGGAATACTCTCAGGTCTTCATCAATGATGACGCGCTCCCCCCTCCCTCTCTAATCGTCCCGCAGCCACCAAAGTGACCAGCATGCATTGCCGTTTATGGTCGGGCCCCGTATTCATCGTGATGCCCGCTTTCGAGGGCCCTACTACGCTTCGGAGAATCCCCCGACACGGCTCCATAATTGATTACTTCTTTCATAATCCTGGTCTCTTGGATTCTCCAATCATCATTCACTTGGAAAGTAGGCTTGAGTAGGGACGGGGGGAGGGGTGATGTTTCTTTGACCATTTTTGGACGCGCTACTGCTAAGAACTCCTAACCAGGTATACTCCATGTACTCTGCCCTCCATCCTAGATCCCATATTCTCGAACCTGCGCCGGGTAGGTCTGTTCTCGCTATGCCCTATTTTCTTCCCTGCTTCTTCCCCGGCTCGCCCACTTGCCGAAACCCAGCCTTCCGAGGGTCGGTCGATCGTTTCAGACCCTGAAATGTGAGTGACAATTTTGGTCGGGTAGACGGAAGTCCGGTGCAACCACATATCCTCCTTAGAGGCCGCGTGGGCGGTCACACTAATGGTAGATCCTAGGATGATCGGCCTCAAAGTGTGGTTACGGGGCAAACGTCTCCCGGCAATTGTTTCTTCCAGCCCACGCAGCCTAATCCTGTAGTCCTCTATCATAGTTTGCTAATCTACCGGGGTGTGGACAAGGATTCTGTCTAGAAAGAGGGGGAAAGCCGTGCGTGAGCAGGGTATGTCGAACGGTCAGACCAGAATTCGAGATGGGCTTGAGGTCAGACTGGGCTCTGGGATTATTCGGGCTTGCGAAGCCTCCATTTCTTCGCCGTTCGTTATTGGCCCTACAGTCGATCATCCTACGGTTGCATCTTGGCCATGGCTGACGAGGGTGAGTGAGTGGGTGGGTGGATGGGTGTCGGCACATGGTGTCAATGGATGCCATTGGGTCGGTTTCCCAGACATCCTGAGTCTGGATGGGCAGTGCAGCTTTTGTATATTTTTGGGAAATCTCAGGGATATCCTGTGGCAGTGGGCTGTTTGTTTGGCTGGAAAAGAAAACGCCCCCGGCGCTTGCCAAGTATATACATCTACAAAGTATCCGGGTACATCTCACCCCGCCTCATCCAGCCGTTATAGAGAGTGTCCCGAGTACAGAAGATCCGGGTTGTACCTGTCATACTCTGCACAGCTGGTCCAGTAGGCAATGCAGCCAGGAGAGGGCAAAAAAAAAAGAAAACGACACGGCTGCTGGACTCTTGATACACCAAACAAGGTGCATAACGGGAGGGTTGTCACCTGGTCTCGTCCAGATCTGAATCTCGCTGCCCGCTTACAGCCGAGATTTTGTACGACACGTCGTACGACGCTGGGATCAGAATAGGATACTAAAACGGGAGAGCAGCAACTGCTGTGGTACATCGCTTGCTCCGGCTAACAGAGGGGGAAGATATATCCCTTAGAGCCTCGGCCTACGTTATTGGAGCCGTTGGGAATGGCATCAAAGGCTATGACGATGGTCATGCAAGTGGACTCTTTCCGCATATTTCAAGCAAGTAGAGAATTCTCCACATGGGAATGGTAGAGCAGTAAATCCTTTCTCTCGGTGTACATATCATCCCACCTGCAGAGAGTCAAGATAAAGCGAAGACAATGCGGCCGTCATTCTCACGAGCGGTCTGTGCATTGGCATCTTCGATTGTTTCCTCCTGTGGACCGAACAGGGTGATGTTCTCGTGTTCGAAGCGCCCACTGGGTCGGACTCTGCATCACCTGGGCACACAGGACCGAGCAAGACGTGATACATCGCACCCATCACCCCCTGTTGTCTTTTGTCTTTTCAAATCGCCTGGGCTTTCAGGCTCACAGGGCTCCCACGGACCGCGTTCTTGGAGAGGCGGGGAGCATATCGAGCCTTCTGGGGACACGGATACAAGCCACCCGCCACCTGGCACCCGCTCGGATGCGCGGGGTTCAGGATGGAGAACAATCGCAGATGTGGGCGAGATGCCAACCGTTGAAACAAGGAAACAGCGCCACGGAGATCTGTCCGCGCGGTTCGCTGAATTGGGCCAGGGTCTAGCTGCAGTAGTGATTTGGGGACAATCCAATTCCCGAAGGGCTCCAGGCGGGGGGAGCGGCGCCTTCCGGGAGAGGTTGAGCTGTGGGATGAGATGCGAGATAGTCGGTTTACTTTAGGGATCTACGGTTCGGGATAGTCTATTAGAGAAGCGGTGAACAGCATGAACCGGTGAATCTGGATTCGAGCTTGGAAAGGTGTGTAGCACTGCAGTGGTGACGGAGAAAAAAAATGGGGCCCCTCGCGTCGAAGTATAACCGATCTCCGCCAAACCATGCGGAGTCAAGACTCGCCGCAGTTGGGGTAGGGTCGCTACGAGGGAGATCAAAATGGCAACCTGGGCAAACATTTCTTGAAAAGCAAAAGGAAACGACCGAGTGTCTGTGCAGCCGTCAGCCATCAGTCATGAAGGGTTGCAACGTGTCAGTGCTCGGTCGAATCGAGGATGGAGGACGAACTTGGTCGAGGTCCCTGGTTCCTGTTCCGAACCCGAGCAAATCCATCATTTCCAGTTGCACTTTGTTAGGACGGAGGTCTGTCATTGTCGTGTGGTGACTGGCTGGGATTCACGAGGATCGTGAAATATCGAACCAATCGTCCCCTCAACTATCCCCACCGCCGCAGATGAGGCGCAGTGTCGATCAGTCTTGTCTGTCTCCTTCTGCATGCAAGGCCTCTGTCCAATCCGTGCTCCGCGGTTGGAGAGGACGGAGCTGTGTGTAGGTAAAACTCGGCATCCGGTAAGATCGCGAGGGTGCATATGGAACTCCAAGTATACAGAACCGCCATTGGATAATCGACAGGGCGAGCAAAGGAGGCGAGGAGTAAGAAAGTGGTATAGCGGTGCATGTCTAGTTGCTACGCTTTTGCCTTCTCTTCTTTCATGCAGTGAGAGTCGCTAGCAAACCAACAATCCTCCTGCGGAGGTATAGAGGGGGCCCGCTATACCCCGTAGAACTAGCAATAGGGCTCTCGGATTGTGACCGTGAGACAAACGCAGGAGGCGAAAGGAGGGAGTCAATGCAACGAAAAAGGGCCCCCAACAAGAGCCCAGCCAGATTAGAGTTGGCCGGAGAGAGAATATGCCCAACGTCGCCCAACGATTGGCATGCAAAACCTCCGAGGCTGGGGCTGGTGATCTGCGGCGGAAACGCCCGGTGGTCGATCTGCATGACACTGAGAGCATCATGGAGTGGGCCAGCAGGGCCAGCAAAGTCCGTCTGACCAGTATGGCCAGCCATATCCAGCTCCATTGGTGCAACCCGGGGGCGGAGGGCTAGCGACACAGCGCGAAGAAACCATCGCCTGCACGAGGATCGACCTGGCTCCAGTAGCCAGTCTCCAGACATCCGAGATACACTAATGCCGCTGCGAAGATGCTAAGCTGCAAGCGAAGTTGCAGGGAGGGCACCAACAGGAGCAGGAGCAGGAGCAGGAGCCGACTCCAGAATCCAGGAGTATTTCCCTTCAGGGCCCTAGTGGGCTCCGATCTTGACTCTTTCCGTCTTCTGGTCCGATCCGAACAGAATGCGCATCCTGTCGGATCGCCCTCCCAAGAACCCAAGAACTTTCTAGCTACGGCATGGGGGCCTCTCTGCAAGCGCCTTCATCTTTTGCCTCGTCTGATCGACAAGAATCATTCACAGAGGACAGAATCGCGCCTTGCTCGATGCAGCCTCGTCACACTATGGCAAACGATTCAGCGTCAGCAACCTCCACTATTGTTTCGTCAGCATAGCCGATAATCATTCTTGTCCGAATGTGAGGAAGTTGCGCCCCCGGAGGATGAGCCATTCCTTTGCTCCTCATCTCCGATCCTCACTTGGCGCTGTCGTCTTGTTCGCTGATTGATTTTCCCCTTCTGCCCTCCTTCCAACTACCGAGGTGATGGGCGATGGGATGAGTGGAGAAGGCGGGAGCACGGACACGGGGTGGCCGACACTGCATGGAGCCAGAAAGGAAGAAGAAGTTGGCCCGGAGGCTCGCGGTGGGTGAGCCTTACTCCACCAGGGCGATGATACCCGGTCAGGCAGGTCCTGGACTCTCTCCTTCACACCTCCTGGTCGCTGAATACGGAGCTTGCCCGCTCAGATCCCGCTCGCGCGCTCCTGAGACAGCGGGAATGTAGTATGCGACCGATCGTGTTGCATTAGGTGTCGCGATGACGCCAGAAACTTGATTCTCTGGAATCCCATCACACATACACGGGGCAGGATCCGGCCGGACAAAGTGTATCGGACAGGAAGAGGAGGGCGGGAACGAGAGGCCGTCTGTACTCGGGATGATGGATCGATTGATCGTAAAGGCTCCGTCTCTTCCCCCACCCCGGATGAATCAACGATGATGGGCTCTACAATATTTTGCAGAACGTTGAGGGGCTTTCTATAGAGCTAAGGCGTACGACCGGATTGAAGCTTCTTGTTTCCCTCGTCCCCCGGTAGTCCACAGTGCGATCGGCTAAAGTCGAAACGCCGAGGATGATCGACGGCGTCGTGGTCTTGGCATCGAAAATACCAATCAGACTATACTTGCTCTGTGCTTTTGTATGAAAGTTGTACTGGCGATTTAGATTTTCTAGCAGACAGAACTTAGTCCAGATATATTCACATTCGAGTCATCAGGACTGAAGTCATAAACTGAATCAACCTCAAGAGTTGTCATGTTGTCCCTGTACATACTGATATATATCTATCCGAGTATGTACCAGTCTGAAAAAACATTAAGAGCAGCGCACATCACTTGAGTAGCAACATAAAGTTCTATCTGTTTCTAGAAGAATTGGAGCATATAAAGACATGAATTAAAATTGGGTATTTGCAGAGCGCTACATTAACCATGACATTTGACATTTGAGCCCAGAACATGAGCAACAGTATCCTTGCAGCAACATAATCGAGCTGGTGGCTACCTACCACATAATCAAAAGACCGTACCAAAGAAGACCCATATAACTCCAACAAAAGATTTAAGATTCACATGAGTAGTAAAACGCATTCGAGATTTGTCAGGATCAGATCAGGCATGCACGCCAACCTGGGAGTTGCCTTCGAGTCGTCCGGACTTGAGGGCTTTCATGGTACGAATGGCCTTGCCAAAGTCGAGGTCTTGGTAGTCCTTTGGCATGTGTTCACCGCTATAAATGCACAGCACCCTCATGCCTGGCCTATAAACCAGCCCACTGAGAAGCTTTGGTGTGACAAGGAAGTACTGCCCGCCGTCACTGCCACCAGCAGGATTCGCCTCGTCCGTATCAGCGGAGTTGCTCGTGCTGCAGGCAATCTCGACCAAGCGGCCGTGGACCATGCGCTCATTCCGTGGGTCCATACCCTGATTAATCTCGTCGACGACACGGAAAGGAGAGGCAGAGAGTGACTGCAGTGCCATGAGATAGAATATTGTACTGACGGCGCGCTCGCCACCAGATTGGCGGTGGGAATCCAAGATTGAGAGCTGCTCATGCTCGCGGAACTTGACATGGATTTGAATGGACCATTGATCGAACTCGACACCTCCAGGCTCGCCACTCAACCCAGGCTCGGCTTCCACTTTGTCAAGGCTGACTTGGCCCGCACAGCCAATGCGCGCGAACGAGTCAGAGAAGGCGTCACTGATTTTACTGATGAGCGTGTCCAGTTTTGGTTCCCACAGCGCGCGGATTTCCTGGATGGCTCCATCGAGGTCAGTCAACCGAGCATGGAACCCAGCCAATTTCTGCTGCAGCTTCTGAATCAGGCGTTCTCGGTCTTCGAATTCCTTGATTAGGTTGTGACTTCCTGTGTGGGTCAGCTCTAGGCGTGCGTTTTCTGCGTCGATGTCGGCGTTAAGGTTGTCGAGGAAGTAGTCCGCTGTACCGAGCATCGCTAGCACTTCTTCGCTGCCAGGCCGGTCTTCAACCTCTTCTTTGGTCTTGTGCGCTTTTCTCATGAGGGTGCGTGCTTTCTCCCGCCCTTCTCTAAAATCTACCATCGCTTGCTTCACCTCCCTACTTTTTTGTTCCAGCATCGACACGCCCTCGCTATGCTGTTGCTTGAGAGTCTTGAGGTCAGAACTGGCTTCCAAGTACCGAATTTCAATCTTGATAAGCTCCTCATAGGTTTGGCGAAGCGTCTCAGCAGAATCCTGGACTGGGTTAGTTATGACTCTACAAATATGAGCTGCAATTAATACGTACAGCATATTTGATAGTTGCCTCCGCTTTTTCAATGGACAGTTGGTCTTGTCGGTCACGAATGTCACCCACACGGTCTCTAACTTCCTCGAAGAGCTTTTGGATGCTTTTCAGCTTGGCTTCCTGTTGGGCTGTAAAGCGAGTTAGTTCATGCAGGCCCCGCAATTTCGCAAAAAAGACTTACCAAGCTTCTCGGGGATAGCTCGATATTGTGTATATGCAGTCTGCTTGGCAGCCTTTTCACTTTCGATGGCTCTCTAGAGAAAAGATCAATAAAATGAACCAGCGTCTAAACCTTTGCATCGGACAATTACCATTGCTTCTTCGTTCAGATCCCTGCGCCTTTTCAGCTCAACCATGGTGGCCCTCTCATCATTCATTTGAGCTGAAACTTCAGCCATTTGCTGTTTCCAGGCTCCGATGTTCTGAAGATACTGTTGCTTGAGAGATGCATCTACCGGCTGTGCTGTCCAGTATCTGGCTGGTCGAACCTGTCTGACGCGAGTTGAGGAAGCGTTGTATTCCTGACGTCGAGTCACTTGGTAACTCTGCTTTCCAGACACCCAGCAAGAGATGTTTCCACTCTCCATTTCATTGTACCTATCTTCTGAGATATCATTGAGGCCAATGGGTGTTTGATGGAGCCGATTCTCGAGGCAAAGGGCGGCAAGCACTGGACCGGGCCCATTGAGAAAATCCTTGGCCCAGCCGTCAAATCCCAGCCTTTGGAGTTCACTCTGTGGCAATGGAGATCTAATGGAATCCAACGATATGGAACAGGTCTTGATACTGATATCATGAAGTTTGAGTTGTCCGTTGAGTGCTCTTTGTAAGGTGCGAAAGTCGCTCCTGGACTGAACAGTGAATGCTGTGAAATCATTCCTTTGGAGTAGAGTCTCGATGGCATCGGCGTATTTGGGGTTGGCCACAGAGCAAGTGACGATTGGCGGACCAAATACCTCCATTTCAAATAAGTGCTGATTTTGCTGTACCCATCGATAAGCTTTAAGGCTGTCGTTAGATAATCTCTGTAGTTTTGCTTCTTGTTGACCTGATTGTGAATCCAAATGTTCCATGGCCTTCTGAGAGTCTTCAATAAGCCTCTTGAGTTCGAGTTCTTTCTCCACAAGTGGCTGCCGTCTGGTAAGGATCTCACTAGCTTGAGATTCCAGTTCGCGTTTATCGAGACGATTCTCTCGCTAGAGAAAAATCAACACACGCATTCAATCATCCCAAATTGACGGATAAATAACTGACCAATTTCTCATTATAAATGTCAGGATCAAACTCTATTGCCTCCTCTTCTTGTTGACGCCGCAATTTGTGAATGGTAGTCTGTACAGTGCTTGCTTGGGCTCTGTGTGTCTGGCCGCTCTTCCGTTCGGCCTCGATCTGTCCAGCGAGATCCTTGATCGCGCCCTCTAGCTCTTCAATTTTGTCACCGCTGGTTTTTGCTTCCTGTGAAAGCTGGTCGAAACGCTGTTTGCGGTAATCTCGAACATGGATAATCTGCTCGAGATAGGTCTGCTTGGCCGTGACAGCTCGCATGGCAGGCTCAAGATCGGCTTTGAGCTGTTCGTGCTCTTGTTCGACTCGAGCTTTTCTGCTCCTGATTTCTTCGAATGCTCTATGATGCTCCCTGTATTCCACGAGAGGCCGGCAAAATTCCAAAAGCTCCACTTTCTGTTTGACTTGGGCCCTCTCGCGCATTCTCTCCACGTCAGCTCTTTGGTCTTCTTGTCGACCCTCTAGATTTGCTAGTGTTTCTCTATCGCCTTGGTTGCTCATTTGAAGCTCTTTTTGTTTGGACCGGAGGTCCCTTAGATGTTCATGCCATTTCTCCATCTCACGCCCTCCTGCAGCTTTTTGGGTGGACAACAAAAGCTCAACGGGTGAAAGTGCCGCAAACTCAGCAACTCTATCCTGAGGCAGGAACTGGCAAAGATTATCGACTTGGATTGCAAACTCCCGCGCGAGCTCTTGCACCTTGGATCTGGAGGCGGATGCCCCGTTGATGGTGAATGAGCTCTTGTTACCGTCTCTTTTGATGTTTCGACAAATCACTATATTGCGAGAGACCTTGGGTGGACCTGCAAGCTCAATCTCGATGGTAGCCTCTCGACATCCGTGTTTGACAAACTCTCCAAGGTCTTTGGCGCGTCCTAAAAGCTATTGGACAGATATAGAGTCAGCTATGTAGAAAAAAACTACAGGATACCCAAGTAGCCAGCAGAGAGAGCCACCATACCTGAGGGGACCCCCCAAGGCCTAAACATATTGCGCAGACCAATGTGCTTTTGCCTGTTCCATTAGGGCCAATCACCATGTTGAGTTTAGGCCCTGGATGGAACTCGGCAGAATTGTAAGTCACAAAGTCCGTGACTTTGATGCGCACGATCGCACCAGGCCGATAGCCACCAGGTCCAACTTCATGGTGTACCTTCACTGCGGCAACGGAGCGCTGGATTGAGTCTTCGGAGCTTGAAGTCGAATCACTATCGTTGACATCGTCATGATCAGCTGTTGATTGTTCCTGCGCGGGGTTTAGGCGAGGGCGCTTGCTGCTGGGCGGCGACGCCGAATATTGATGAGTGTCGGCCCCATCACTATCATCTTCCAGTTCACTTCGAGACCGACGGCGTGGACCCGTGCTAAGACGCGTGGGGCGCGTCGACATCGTGACACCTCAGAGTTGTAGCCATGAAAGGTGCAAAGTTGAGGGCATTGATAAGGAACTCAAACGCGCGGGAGACGCGAGGCAAGCGATCAATACTAAACCCCGGCCAAGTAGGCGGTGAAGCCCGGGGATTTCTTTTGCTGCTGCATACGAGGGAAGCAAAGCTACCGCTCACTTTTCAAAGATGCCATCTCCTCAGAATGTACGCCGGCTAGTTCTAACAGCTGCTGTGACATCGATTACTATTGCGAGTACCCTGTATGGAGCGGGGATCAAGACGAATGAGGAGATTTCGGAGGTGAGCAAAGACCTTTACCTTCTCCGGCCAGCTCAGCCCACCTCTCCACATTGCATGCAATGAGTACCAGCCTGGGCTCTTGGTGATAAAATTTGAGAGCTAATTCAATCTTGGTGAAATTTGATACAGAATATGCGCAAGCGCCAAGAATCAACTTTCGACGAAAAAATGACGGCTCTCCAAGGGATGCGTTCAAACCTGACGGCCCGGAAAGGCATGCTCGAGACCCAAATTCGCGACCTGGATGCGAAAATTGAAGCAAAAAAACAAATTAATACGTCAAAACATGATTTGGAGCAGTCACAGGAACGACGATGATTCTATGCGATCCGGCCTCACTTTTCTGGAGGCAAATGACCCTGCATTTGGAATGGCTATCGAATATGGCCATGGAACCTGGCACCTATACTCCTAAAATAGGAGTCCATCGCGTTAACCTGCGATATACTCAATTTTCTGCGTCCCTGGAACATACATGGCCCCAGGTGTAGCATGTAAATGCAAAGGGGCTCAATTGTTTTGTGACGATACACATCCAACCATGCGAGTATCACCTGCATACTGCAGCGGATCAACTGAGAGCAGTTGAAGGAAAGATATGCGACTTGTCTGCACGGTCGACATGAGAGTATACGTTGTGAGATGGGTTTTGAGTCACCACGGTATATTATGGCTCTCGTGAGCTCGATGCATTTGGAAAGCGCAGGTAGCTATCCACTTCGAAAAGAGACTCATTGCGTATAATATTTTAAAAAATTGTATATATGCATTGTCCGAATAGTGTGTGGCCATAGCGCCGGGATTTGCTGCCAGGCTAGTTATATATACGTATATCGGGCCTATATAGCTAACCGACATGCCTCGTTTGGACATCAGGCATCTATAGGTAGTCATAAGCCTGTATATCTCAACAGATGTCAAGAATGGTTAGACGTCCAGACCCAAACTCTCCAAAAGAGCTTCAAGCTTTTCCAGGAGAATCTGATAATTCATGGCGTCCTCATCGAATTCATCCTCAACGAGTGCACCGTCTAGAGTCCGAATTTCCCGGATGTATCCCTGTGGTTGCGGTGAGTGCCCATTCTGTCCAGTCATTAAATCTTTGGTCCCAGAAACATTGAATGCCTCGAATTTCTCGGCCACATCTTCCATGTCTTCCGATGGGACGGATGCATCGCCGTTTTCTGGTGGCGCCTGTTCTTCCATCATCTCGTCCAGACCAGCATCATCGAACCGCAACCGAAATCTCTCTCCAAGATAAAATCGGATGTCATCCACCAATTCAATGGAATCAGTCTCTTGTCTTGCCTGGATACGAGCCGCCGATTCTTGAATCAATTCAGCAAACTCAGGCAAATCGATATGAGCTTCCAAACGATATGCGAGAAATCGGGCAGCGAATGTTTCCAGACGTTGGACTCGGGTCAACCAAGCAGCACGCATGATTGCATAGACATCGATGTCATCTTCGTCACCAGTCCCTCGGGTTCTCGCCGCTTCGGCTTGGGACATACCGCCACTGCCCAGGGTGCTAATGACAATGGCCGCCTTTGTCTTCAGCTTTTCAATGAATAGCATATCGGCTGCGAACAAAACGTCGACGGCAATTTCTAGGGGAAAATCCGCCCGTTCGGTGTACAAAAAAGTGAGGATAATTTCCAAAACATCAGGCGCGCAGTCGACGTCGATGATGTGCAATTGATCCTTGACATGCGCCTCCCGGAATGAGGACATGAACATGGCCTGGAAAAATTCCGAACGTAGGAGCATGGCCCGGTGGCAAGGGAACAAGGTTGATTTCGGGGCTTCGTCCGCTGAGCCCTCAGCCTCTTCCGGCAATTCATCTGCACGGAGAAGAATATCTGCAAAGATAGGGTTATTGCGGCGCCATTTCACATCATCTACTTTGGAAGTTTCAACGTCAATCTTGTTTCCAAGCACGTGTTCTCGGAACCAGGCCTCCAACTGGTCCCGCCCTTTGGAAAGCTCCTCTGTTCGGCGCTGCCTAGCGAGTCTCCGATCCCCGCTGTCGAGGATGCTGCCTACGAGACTTTCAATCTCCAAGTATTTCGAGATCTTGTCGATCCCTGTAAAGACCTCGGACTCGGTAAAACCTGTCCCAGGTCCACTCCGAAGCTCCCTCGGAGCTTCACCCAAGTATAGGTACCTAATAGCAGCTCCAAATGCTGCTGGAGGAATTGTACTCGGAAGTTTCCAGGTTGTCGTATCGGAGGCAGCTGCAAGCTTGTCTCGAAAATATGGGGATCGGGCCGCCAGGATCAACTTATGCAAGGGAAGAGACTCGTCAGCGGCCGTCACAACGATATCGGTGGTCACTGGGGTTTCCCGGGTCAGAAGTGAGGCTATATGAGCTGCGAGGGGTTGAAGGGGGTCGGTCGATTTGGAATAGTCATATTCGAGAAGAAGATTTCGTATCCGGTCATTAAGGGCGTTATATAGACATCTAGGGAAATGAACAGATATCAGCCTCTTTTCAGAGCCTTTGTTGGAAGAACACTAGTCGTATATTTACCGCTCGCCTTGAAATCTATCTCGTTCGCAGAGCGCGCCCGATTCCAATAACAACTGTGCAACTTCATAGTGTCCACAGAGACTGGCCTATGTAAGGATATATTGCGGTTACACCATATTCGGCTGGACCGGTTCAGAGGCAATGTCCTTTTCAACACTTACTAGAATCAAGGGTGTATAATCATATAGATCCCGAGCATTCACATTGACACCCTCGGTGATTTTCTCCTGACACACTTTCAGATCGCCCCTCCGGCAGGCACTGCACAAGTCCCGGAATGGCTCACTCAAGTCTAGTGGGTTATCGTCCTTGATGGTGCCTTCTTTGATGAGTTTCTGCTCATTGTGGAGGCTAATTTCCAGCTGGTCCTTGCGCAATACTGTCCTCTCTGCCATTGTCTCGTCCACAAATATGGCTTGCCACTTCGTGCATAAAGAGGAGCAACTCAACGATGCGGACCCAAACTGCCCACTATCGATAAGACGATCACCTGACCGTTATCGGGGCTTCACGGGGCAACCAAACAGGGAACACAGCAGCCAAATTTATTACAATATACTCCAATTAACCACATTGACGTTGACATTGACGTCGACCGGAAGAAATTGAAGTTGGAAATTCTGAAATATTGACTGTGATTCTGCTTCATTGATTTTAAAATCATTGGATGGCGTTGCGATTGTGTGTTGGACGCGTGGAGCGTCCAACGGTCGGTTCGCCGGTCGCGACCGCCTGCTGGAGTGGGGCAAGCGTCATGACTCCCGTTGCTCAGCAACAACACCACCCAAACACTCAGGATCGCCGAACCTCTAAACCCCATATTGTCTTCAACTTTTCCTCCACCGTTTCTTCAATTCCTCTTCTACTAACCCGACAGAGACTTTTCCGGCTTAACTCGTCCATGCCAATTCCTCACTTCACCTTTTCTTCCCTTCCGACGCCACCCCTTTGATCCCCACTGTTTTGTACAGCAATCTATAGCCATGGCAATTGCTTTGGCTGAGGCGGACAAGTATGAGATCTTGGAGAAGATTGGTAGGTTGAAACAAGCTCTCCTTCTTTTGCTATATCATGCCGGCTTTCTCGAGCCCTGTCACTGACAATATTCTTCTAGGTTGCGGTTCCTTCGGCATCATTCGCAAGGTCAAGCGGAAATCGGATGGATTTGTGAGTCTCGTCTTGAAATGCGATATGTCGGGAGCACAGGATATAGCTGACCAATATTCAGATACTATGCCGCAAAGAGATAAATTACATCAAGATGTCCCAGAAAGAGCGCGAACAGCTCACCGCTGAATTCAATATCCTGAGCTCGCTTCGTCATCCCAACATCGTTGCCTACTACCACCGTGAACACCTCAAAGTGAGCCAAGACCTATACTTGTACATGGAATACTGTGGTGGCGGCGACCTGAGCATGGTTATCAAGAACCTCAAGAAGGTCAACAAGTATGCGGAGGAGGAATTCGTATGGCGTATCCTGTCTCAGTTGGTCACTGCCCTTTACCGCTGCCACTACGGATCGGACCCGGCAGAGGTTGGATCAAACATCCTCGGTGCTCCTCCGAAACCCTCTGGACTTAAGGGAAAACAGGGCCAAGTGACAATCCTTCACCGTGACCTCAAGCCCGAGAATATCTTCCTCGGTAGCGACAACACGGTCAAGCTGGGTGACTTTGGTCTCTCCAAACAGATGCAGTCGCATGACTTTGCATCCACCTACGTCGGAACCCCATTCTACATGTCTCCGGAAATATGTGCCGCAGAAAAATACACTCTCCGATCGGACATCTGGGCTGTCGGTTGCATTATGTACGAGCTCTGCCAGAAGGAACCACCCTTCAATGCTCGCACCCACATCCAATTGGTGCAAAAGATCCGCGAGGGCAAATTTGCACCTCTTCCCGACTATTACTCTCCCGAGCTCAAGAATGTCATTAGCAGCTGCCTTCGTGTCAACCCCGATACCCGTCCGGATACCGCTGCCCTGATCAACCTTCCGATTATCCGTCTGATGCGGAAGGAAAAGGAAGTTGTAGATCTCGGAAAGACTCTGCGCCGACGCGAAGAGGTTGCCGTTCAAAAGGTTCGGGAGATGGAACAGAATCTGGCAAGAATTGAGAAAGAAAAGCAGCAGATGAAGGCCGAGATCGAGAGCACCGTTCGGCGGGAATGGGAGGTTAAGGCCCGGCTGGAGATTGACCGACAAGTCCAGAATGAACTGGATCGACTACGGAAGCGATTTGAGTCTGAAGTTCAAGAGCGCGTTTCTATCGAGCTGGAGAAACAGACGAGAAACAGCAGCAACTCTCGTGAAGAGCTCTTCCGGGCAAGCCTCCATCGTTCACAATCGGGTTCCAGCTCCCAATCTTCTCGAAACAGTGGTCAGGCCTCTCGTTCTTCTGGCGCCACGACCGATGACTCCGACGCACCCTCCAGCACAGATATCAGCCAGCTGTCGCTCGAATCACCCACCTCCAGTAGCAAGAGACCGAGGAAGGAAACTCGCACCCCATTCTGCCGATCGAAGACCGTAGTCGAGTCTCCTGTTGATGTGCAAATGGCCGAGCCATCCCCGATCTCGATTGCTTCTCTCTCTCTTTCACCTCGCCGTACCTCTGCCGCTGGTGGCTCGCGCAACATTTTCGCAGAGGCTGAACGCCAGAAAGCTAAATGGGAACCAACTCTTGCTTACTCCGATGATGAGGATGATACCCCTGACCTACCATCACCCACACGCCCGAAGGTCAAACCCGACCCATTCAAGGCACCACCTCGACCTCTTCTGCGCCAGAACACTGCTGCCCTTATGCAGAAATTGAGCACTCAGCCTCCTCTGTTTCCTTCCAACGGATCCAGACTTCCTCAGGTCTCAGGAGGACCGTCTTCCTCTCAGTCTGATGCGCGAAACAATATGAGCGAGGGTCGGGCTAAGTCCCCTCACCGACGCCTCTCAAAGATTCCATCTTCTGCCAACCTGGCAGCGGATGCTGGATCACCAACTCGCAAGAATTCTTCCAGACAAGCTCCTGGCAAGGCCAACGGAGGCGGAGAAGAGATGTTCAAGGCCGTCATGCAGCGTAACATGGGCGGTCGCACCCTCGTGGAACTCGCCCAGGCTCGCGCTGGTGGCCGTCCCGTTGACGAGTTCAAGAGATGTGCTAGTGATTCTCGTGCTAGTGCTTCCATATCCAGCCTGAAGTCTTCAGAGCGTGAGCCACCTGCTATCTGGGACCCAGAGCGTGACGAAATGCCCAGCCCTTTCCTGGCTCGTGGCAAGAAGGTTATTCGCAACCTTCGCTAAACTGATTACCCTTTCCTTTGTCTTTTCATTTCGCATCCCTCTGGAGCGGCCATTTTTTCATCATGGTGTAATGGAGTTGGGGCTTTGATGGGTTGGAAAATACCTTTGTTTTTTGCCGACCGACTGTCGTTTCGATTCGATTCTTGCGCATACCTCTTTGTTATTTCACGGAGTTTGGCTTGCTATGTTGATGGTAGGGAGCTTTCTGGCGTCCGTTGCAGATTTGAGTGCCTGCCATCCTCTTCCTGTTTCCATGCTTGGCTTTGCTTGACTGGCCTGCGACGACATTGTACTCTCCCGACTCGACTGTGACTTTTTTTTCCTTTGTGACGCCGTGATGCCCTTTTCATTAATTCACTCGGAAGAGGCGTTGTTTGTACATTTATTTGCGTCATCAGACATACACTGGTCATAGGTTCTTTTCTACCGCTTTCAAATAATTTGAATGATGATACTTGCCATTTTTCTTTCTCAAGATATCCAAAATGGTAGAGGAGAAAGAGACGGGAGTGAAGATTCTGATAGCTTGTCATTAATGACTGAATTTTTCCGTTTCAGAAGACGTCAACTGCAATATCGGAACTGGCGAGTAGAGTTCGATCCTCAATTTACGCCCACTGCATCATACAGTACCTCCGACTGTGACTAAGCTTTTTTGAGCTTGATGCAGATTGTTATTGATGTAGATTGCCAGTGAGTTTAGCTCATTATAAGTACGAGAGATAACATCGGCTCCATTCCGATTGAGCAGCGTGAGGGTCTCGCAGATGTGGTTACATCAATTGATGGGAAGAAGACTCGAAGCTCGAGAAACCTAGTGTAAAAAATTTACACCTCACTATCTCCATCATGCACATTAGCCACAAATTCGATTAATAAACGCACGCTTGCAAGGCGAGCAGCGGAGTGAAGAAAACTCTACTTGCCATCATTTCAACAATTTCATCCCCTCCAGGCTGAGAAGTATTCGGACCATTCCTATCTTTGGATGAAATCGTGATTTACTGGCACTTGATATTCACGCTTCGCCCTAATTGTTTCTTCAATTTGCATCTGTACCACAAGAACAAAGCCACTTTAGGAACCGATGCTCGTATTTCAACAAGATGTAACGCCACAGCTCCGGTGTCACTCCGTGAGGCGATATCAGCATTATATGTCTCAAGAGAACTTTGCTCACTCTTCAATTTATGGCTGCTCAGCACAAACGAGAAGGAGAAGGCCATGCTGACGTGGACCTATGGGCGTTTTATGTTCTGGGTTGCACCTTCCTAGGTGGCACCGGCAGACCAGTACAATGCAGTCTGTCCCCGAGTGTGGCTGGAAGAGGATTGCGCACTGTTTACCGCTTCTTGCGTAATTATGTTGGGCCCATTCTTGAAATTTGAAGGTTCATATTGGCACCATGTTGAAGTAATGTTCGCACGCCGTCATGACGTGACTCGTTGACAACCGCACAGAAAGGTCTCGTTTTGAGTACACATAAAGAGTCAATCTCAGCCCCAGCATCGACAAGAATTCTGATTATATTTCAGCCACTGAAACATTATTGCCATTCTATTCCGAATCACTAGCTCCAGTGGGCCTTACCCAGATTCATCCTATAGATTTATCTGAGTTCAATGGTCAAGAAGAAGCCTGAAAGCCGGAGTATGGTTTCGGCTTGCTCTGAAGATGGAATTTAAAATGCTTATCTTCCTACCTGCGCTTCCAATTTACTTTTGCTTTTGCGAGAATTAGAAAACCACAATAGCTCACGTTAGGCTCAAGAATAGGTCGCGTTTTGTAATGAGTGGATCGCAACCAAGAACCATGAGATCCACCTTTCGACGTCATTGTTTGGAACCTAAAAGGCTGACTAGAGAAGGAGGGTATAGTAACCCATGTGCCACCAGGGAGAATGAGCGAGAAAGACGAGAAAAAGAAAGTTTCTTCGCGGAGAATAAGCCGAACATCCACGTTACCCCTAATTGAGTGTCTCGGAGGGTGCATGTGCCGGGAGAAGTCCAAATGGCCCTTCCCTGGGTGGAGGCAGCTCGGCTACTTGCTCTTCCACAGATGTCCATGTCATCTGTACATCTGATGTGATGAGGAAATAAAAGTCTGTTCATCTTTTCAAGATTCCTACAGGCAGCGGAGCCCGAAATAAATTCGCGAAATCACAATCTGGAACCCCGAACAAATCTTCGCAACGTGGTATACCCACGCGTTAAACATTATTCACACTATACACTAAGCTTGGAAAAGTAACGACAGAACCTGAAACCATAGATGGTGGACGTGTGGGTAACTTGTAGGCCATACATACGCATGAAAATAGCAGGTTCCGATCCATCGATCATCGCAAGGAACTGGGTTGAATGCGAGATCGTCGATCCACCTCAGACCCCACCATGAGAAGGCTAGCGATCAAGTTTCCTCCGTAGGTATGATCTACAAGGGTTTCGAAAAACACATTATGAGATTTACTCTTCCTGAAGTTCACTATTGGCTCACTCTTGATTGCCTGGCTCGGATCTTCTTTCGATTGCTGTTAAAACGTACCTTGGGACCCAAAACGGCATGGCTGCTGCTTGGTTCTGTAAACTACTTACCAACATCCAGACCATCCCTTCCAGCAACCATGGGGTCAGAGCTTGGAATCCTCCATGCAGACTCTAAGCTGGAGCCTGAAATCACACCGGTAACGATCTGGTGGGCATGTTGGGCATGCATTTGGACTCTTGCCGTGGTGCTGGGCATGACGTATTTGATATCTCGTCGCAATACGAGTCCTATTCGGATTCGAGGCTTGTGCTTATCGCTGTCTCCCGTCGTTCTACTTCATTTGTACTGGATATCAGTCCAACTGGGCGATATGCCTGGAGCTCTCGTGCCTGGTGATGCCGAACTTTTCAACTATGTCCGGCTATTAACGGCCTGCAGCATTCATCCTGAGCTGGATCTTCAGTCAGAATCGTGAACTCTTTTTGAGGGATACTGGATGATCAAATGGTGAGTATCTCGTTTGATGCGTTTTTGATATCCGTAAGAACTATTGAGATAGACATACTCAAGGATAGCCCTTTGAAGGAATTGTCACTTATGTATATTTTTTCTCGGGGTAGTATAGAACAAATCCGCGGAAAACGACACAACTCGCAGAAATCAAAGAAGTCCCACTTCATATTAGATTCCTTTTTGCCACCCAGAAGCCATTCCTGCTCATTAAGTTAGGAAATAATAGTTCGCGACAAATGATTTTCTAAGTCATTGTAGAACGAGCCGGACCTGATAGTCAGTTTTCTTAGTTTGCGATTATCTCTCTACGCTTAGACTACCTGTGAGCATTTACCCTATATCTGAGCGCGAATTCATGGTCAAATACTATTGCACGGCGATATAATCCTCTTGAAGTTTTCAAGTGTTATACTGACTACTTGCGCTTTCCGCACTCTTTGAATTCTGTCTCTCGTAATATAGCAATGGCTGTTGGGAGGGAACTAAACTTGGGTAGCAAATGGTTTATCCGGAAGCAGAATATAAGTTGCAACTCCAATGGATGGTCACCCACTAAACTGCCTTCTGTTATCATGCTCAGACATACTTGAAAGTAAGCTTTTGTCAAAAAAGCTTCTCCACGGATAATGTACAACCACATCTACCCAGATAATTTGCACATACCGTTTGAGTTCTTATAACCCTCCGCTAGCAAATAATTACCAAGGATTGTCTCAAGTGGCACCGTCATATAGAAAATGTTATCCTTTCCTTTAGGTCTACCTTGGCATGCCAGCTATCCAAAACATAACGCATTGAGGGAGAGAATAAATTCTCAAGGAAGCCGACAAGGAACTCAGAAAACGTCTAGGTCGCTCACTTTATGCATGCTTGTCTGTGAAAATGTGAAATGGATAGATCGACCTCTCAAATGGAGACTGATGCAGTGTGACTTGTTAATAATACCGCATTATCCCAGAAGCGAAGCAACATTTTCTATCCATGATGCGAATAAAAGCCTGATTGGTTTTCTTAAAGGCCCAAAAGTCGTGGTATCACATTAAGATAAAAAATAGTCTTGAATTGCCTCACAAATTGCCTTTCAAAAAACGTTATCGTGGACATCGGCATTCAAAAAAGTGGGATGATGCTTAATTCATTCAGGGAATCATGCTACTGAATAACGTGCAGGATAGTCGGCTGAGTATGCAAAACAGCGAAGTCTTAAGGTAAGGGGTAATAGACACTCAAAAATCGGGAGCTTGCAAGGAAAAAGTCGATTATATGTCTTTCTTTATTGAAAGAGCGCAGTGCTTCTCGTTATTGCAGGGTAAGCTCTCTCAATCCTGCCATCTTGTTGTTGTTGTTGTTGTTGTTGTTGTTGGTGGTGGTGGTGGTGGTGGTGGCGGTGGTAGTAGTAGTTTGAGAGAGAAGAGAGAGCAAATATAACATCTACTTGCGCGTGTTGAATCTTAGCGTGTTTCCTCGGGGAAGAAAGTGCGGCTAGGATGGAAGCGCAAATACTTTTCATCCATCACTGTAATCCCCGACGATCTTCACATGCTCCTGACTAGAACTATTCAGCCAATGACGTCATGGATTCATATCCCTTGCTTGACCCCTTTCTCAGGCCGAAAGAGGTCAAAGTTAGCAAGATACATAGAAAAGCTCTTGAAACTATTGATGGAGTGTAAAGGCCGCATTGATAGGAAAAGATACTCATATGCTGTGCAACTGGACTGATAATCTAGGGGTTGCAATCTTTTTGTACAACAATCCCTGTTTCCCCTGCATGGGGCGCCTGCATTTAGACTTTAAAATAGTATGTAGATCGCACGGCACCCTTTCTTATCATTGGAACTTTTGGGTGTAGTAATTGAGAGCTGGTCTGATTTTAGAAGCATTCCTAAATAGCATGGCGACTTTGCGTAAACGAGCCAGACCTGGATTTTCTCCACACAATGTACAAAACCATCCCTGAGCCCATTCATGCTCGGCATGTCAACAACACATCCACACATTTTGCTTCATCGCAATGGCAAACACTCATCAATGCTCTGACCTCACCGAGGACACCTACCCTCTACATTCTCTAGATGACCACAAATCCAATCGCAGTTTTGTTCACTGGATAATGAGGTTTAATGACGTTCTGGAACCCAATAAGTTGAACTCTGCTCTATCAAGGTTGCTCGACATCGGAGATTGGAAAAAGCTCGGAGGGAGACTCAGATTCAAGGTAAATGGGCTGAAATGAAATCTCTCTATGACGATGATTTCGTGAAGACTAATCGCCTCCATAGAAAAACGGGAGATTAGAGGTGTACTTCCCCAAGTCACCAAAAGCTCAACTCTCTAAGGTATTTTTCACTCACCAAAGCTTTGATATGAACATTGAAGTTCATCCGGTCGCATGTCGGATGCCTATGGAGACAAATGGCCCATCTGCACAACCCGTTATGTCGGATTTTAGGCCTTTCATTGCACGGCCCAACTTCCCGAGTTTGAATGATTTAGTCCAACAGAATCAAGCGATGATTTCCCTACATGTCACTTCGTTTAATGACTCAACCATTATCGGCTTAGCATGGCCCCATGTGTTAATGGATGTTCTAGGTGGCCAGGCCCTACTCATTGGTTGGTCTGCTGTATTGGCGGGCCAAGAAGACCAAGTTCCAACAGTATTTGGAGCACGAGAGGATATTCTCCGAGACAAGGAAGTCATCAGTGACGATGAGACGCAGGAAGCGCTGAAAATTGAACCTAGACGACTCCAAGGAGGAAGCCTGCTGCTGTTTCATCTGCGATTACTATGGGATAGATTTTGGGGTTGCTCTCGAGAACGACGTGTCATATTTCTTCCCAAAGCATGTTTTAAGACATTGGAAGCTCAGGTTCAAGCAGACTTAGCTGAAGTCACGCAAGGGTTTGATACCAAACCTTTCATCAGCGAGAACGATATACTTACAGCATGGGCTGTGAGAGCAGTCGCCTCTGAATCAAATCCCCGACCGATAACGGTGCTTAGTCTTTTAAATGCTCGATTCAGAATCCCCAAGCTGCTGAAATCTACCGGCGTCTTCGTTCAAAATATGGTGATTGCGAGCTTTGCCTTTTTACCAGCTCCAGTCGCTGCTGGATCTATGGGATCAATTGCGCTCAGTCATCGAGAGCATCTTGCGGAGCAAGGTACAGAGAAACAGACTACTGCGTTCTTGAGGAGTGTGATTCAAGATATCGAATCTACAAGACGTCCAAGACTCGCCTTCGGGACGTCAGATAGTGTGACTATTTTAATCAACAATGTTATGAAGGCCAATTTGATGACAACTTTGAACTTCGAGGCGGCGGTTGTCCGCAAAGGAGACGTATCAGATACGAGAAAAAACCCTCCAGGGACTATGACTTCTTACTATAACGAGGCTCTTGATGGAGCATTGGATTTTTTTGATGTTTGTCTGATGCTTGGAAAAGACTACTCTGGTAATTATTGGCTCATGGGAAACTTTTTACCACGGGCTTGGGCGAAGATAGAAGAAGATCTGAAGACATGGTCTGTCGCAAATTTGAACAATTAGAACTTCAATGTATTTCTTGTCAATTCTTCGGCACTTCGAGAATTTCACCTGAGCTCACTCCCAAATCCGTGAACAAAGTGCCTTATACAGCACCCCTCCCAACCCTTCTGGGTTGTGGGTCGCCACACACTAATTCAGAATTTTCATTTCTATGTGTTTGTTGCTTCACTATCTAACATCACCATCAAAATATGCTTAAATTGATGAATCCTATAGGCTGCATCATGCGTTTAGCATGCAAATTTGGCGCCCATTGACATGTACTCCACACTTCATTCAAGAAGGAGTAGGGCCGTATATAGTGAAACACGATATGAGATACGCTCTCTAATTCTCTCAGGAAGAAGGTTTAATTTGCTAGAATCAAAATACGAGTGATCTCAATATACATATCACTCCTAGATTCCTAGAATCGTAGGCGAATCATATATACTAACGAGTTTCAGAACCACACGTTAGCAATAATATAGGTGTTTGAGATAATAATTGATAAAATTACGAAAAGAAATGAGAAGGAAGCGGATAGAAAACGGAAGCGGGTAGGGAAGTAGTGGAAGCCGTATGGAAGATCACCATCACCAGATCCCACATAGTGATCCCAGGCATCATTAGATAGAATATAGGAAACGCGTCAAAACAGGCAGGACTATTCTGTAGATACAGTAGGAATGCATAGAAATTATAGGCAGATAGGCAAAATTGGAAATCTCGGCGTAAATGGAATCTGTGTCAAACTTATTTACACCGCTTCCACATTATGGGTGGGTGTAGGCACCAATTATATGGATCACTTTGTTGATCACCCAAAGGGGCGATTTGTGCGATAAAGCCAGCCAATAAGAGCCACTAATTATAGCAATTTTGCACAAGAGACCGAGGTTGGGGGCTGGATTCACTGGGCTGGTTCATCACAGGTTCAGCAACGTGGGACTAAAGGATGCGGCCCCCAATGATAAGTGGCCGATACTTGATTGATGACGCATAGTTCGGGATGTCGATCTCAGTATTCATTTAGAGGTACAGCTTCACAGAACAAGAAGCATGGATGACTATAAATACCAGTTCTCTCTTCCTTCTTAACTCACTATCACGAGTCCAACTGTTTTCTGAAAGCATCATATCTTGATCATGCCAACGGCCAAGTTCTTTGACCAATGTCCTCCCTTTCCATTGGAAACCCCTCTGATCCCGTTACCAAAAATATCCCTTAAAGATTTAGAAAGTCATGACAAGGAAGAGGCAATTCGCTTGTTTAATTCTTGTCAAGAATGGGGGTTTTTCATACTAGATTTGAATGGTTCAAATGAAGGCGAGGCCTTACTCCAAAGCGCGGAAAATATGTTCGATCTTACCAACGAGACATTCTCGCTTGGACAATCTATACTGGATAGCTACGCTTACAACCCTCCTTATGATCTTACAGGGTATGTGATTCCAGAGCAAATAAATAGAGTATACAAGTATACTGACTGATGGGGCCCATCAGCTATAAACAGAAAGGCAAACTAAGGACTGACAATGGTAAAATGGATTGCATGGAATTGTACTCTATCAATCAAGATGATATCCTTGGAAACTGTCAACGACGAAGGAATGTCGGCTCTATCGAAGCGAATCGACTTCAAATTCGAAATTTTATCCAACAATCTCGCACAGTGTCTGAAGTGATTTTGGCGCAACTTGACGGTCAATTGGGGCTCCAACCTGGTACCCTAGCTGCACTCAGTCCACTGGATCAACCGTCAGATAGTTCAGTGCGACTTTTGCTCGCACAGCCACAACTCAATCCTCAAACCGATTCCATCACCTTAGGCGGCCATACCGATATTGGCACGATTACCCTGCTCTTCAATGTGATTGGTGGACTGCAGATCCTTCCAGCTAGATCTGAGAATGTGATGGCTAATTGGCGCTATGTGAAGCCAGAGGTAGGGTGTGCGATAGTAAATATTGGTGATACTATCGTTGAGTGGACTGGCGGACTGCTGCGTAGTTCGTTGCATCGCGTGGTGACTGCTCCAGGCAAACAAGCCCTGGTCCCGCGTCGGAGTGTAGCCTATTTGGCTCGTGCACAAAAAAATGCTTCAATGAGAAGGCTGAGGAGTGGCCTGATTTCTCCACTCGAGAAGGACCACGAAGAAACATGTACGGTCACTGAATGGGCCGCCTGGCGATCTCAGCAAATAATTCGTGGGGAACTGAAGCCTCAAACTAGAGGTGGAAAGACGCGCGATGAGTGCGAATCATCCCCACAGATATAATACCTAGGATTGAAAATGTCCATCAATCAGGAGAAGGTACACGGAGGAGGAAGTTGATTAGATCTGTCGACCTGAAGAGACTTGAACCTGGATTTTCTCCAAACTAAGTACTTATATGCATCGGTTGACTTAAATTGTCAATCTGAAGAGTCGAATTGGTAAACAATCGGTGACAAAAGCCGCGGAGAAGGAAAGGAGATACGGATCGTGAAGAATCATCGGCAGGCTCCAATGGCGCTCTCAGAGAAACTACTGCCAGCCAGGGAGCAGCTAAATGGTATTTGTAATTAGTTTCGCGGAGCTGGCAATTGGATAGCTTATCTCCACCAAATGGTGAGCTGATATTGCTATTATGCCACGAGTTAGGCTGCATCAAGTTAATAGAGATTGATTTAACTTGACCTAATGTAAAAAGTCAATCAGTAGAGTAGATGTTAGTGATATGCGAGGAAAGACATTTGAATGAGTTGGATTCGTATCAGGTATCACACCAATGGCTTGGTGGTTTTCGGTTTCTATAATTTAAATAAAAGAATGATCACATTTTCTTACATTCTCGGCTCATACGAATGATGTTCTTTTTTGTGCGCTATTAAATTTTTCATATTCAAATAATCCCACTCCATGAGGACTAGAAAGCGCTTACTCATTTTCTAGGAGTTCAGAGCATTCTGAGCAAAAAATAACTCCTCGGAAAGTCACAGGGCGAAGCATTTGTCAAAATAGATCGATGGAGGTTCAACCAAGTTACATGCCACGACACATAATAAGGAAGCCCAAGCTTATTACCATGCTAAGGCTACATATAAAATCACAGGTGAAAATGTTTGCAATGATGAATTCTTGAAACTCCACCGGCTTAATGCTTTAATGTATTTCACATTCCTGAAACCAGGCTATATCATGTCGATTGATTATTTCTCAAAATAAAAACATATTATACGTAATAAATTACCTCTTCCTTCGAAATTAATCAAGTATTCAAATCACAATACGAGGAAAAGAGCTTAAGCTTATAGCTAAAAAATTGGAAAGGACTGTTTGAACAGCAATTTCAATTCAATCTGCTTGAGACGTACATTGCTTGAACTTTCCGTCTTATGTCATGGTAACTTCAATAAAGGCTGTTACCCACAAGCATAAAATGAGTAGATGAAATTTAACACTGATACAAGATGAGCATCAGCGTCCAATCGTCTTTGGAAGCTTAAGCGCTAGAATAGGTGCATCCAGAAAGATCGAGAGTCGCCAGGTCAATGGTGTATGGAGGTCCAGTGCCTAAATTTACGGTTTAGCGTGATTTGTGAAGTTAAAAGGGAAGCAAACTTACTCAGTGACAGGGTATAAGTCACAGTGCAATTAATGATCTGATCGGCGGCGGGAATGTTTCCTTTTCCATAGCTGTTGAGCACGTTGATCACACCTTTGAGTTGGCTTCCGCTAAATTCCAAAGACTTGGAGGCTGTTGCAGAAGGTGCCGCGGAGGCAGCAACGAAGAGGGAAAACAAGATGCTCTGGACCTTCATATCGAAAAAAGACTGTACTGGATAGTACGCTGAGGGTTATTTCAAGATAAATTTATTTGAATGAGGAGCTTGATTGCTAAATTGCTTGGTGAAAAGAACAAGACTTTGAGAGATCATGCTCGTTTTTATACCTTGGCTAGTCAGGGCTTAAAAATTCGTTTTACTCCGGCGAGAGGTTTCCGGTCTTGGCTCTTTGGCACTCCATTCCCTTCTCTGTTCAACCCGAGCTCTCGGATAAGAATAGGATTTGAAGTGAAATATCCTGTGTTGCAGTTACAACAAATGATAGAGCATTTATCTGGGTTTGATTTAGCAGATAGGATTGTTGTACTGGACCTTCATATCCCTCAAAACTACCTCTTGATGGTTTGACAAATTCCTCTAGATTAATCAAGACGAAAGTTTGAGTGTCTTTTCTTAAAAATGCAAATTTTTATTTTTATCTCTCCTGCGAATACTTAGGTAAGCTCTTCTACGCATTTTTAGAGAATGTCACGGTAACTTGGAACTAGCTATGATTTTTACAGCATTTAACTTCAAGGTGGCTTTCGGAGCTGAGATTGATAGTATCCATAAAATTCTATATATAGACAATAAACCGATTTAGGCACTGCCTTCCAACTTGCCACTTTTATTAGGAACTAAGCCTCGATATTATACCCTTTTCACTGGGAGTTATGCTCTCAAGAACCTGGCATTCAGATATTGCGTCTTTTGATTCCATCAGAAGTTATACCCATTCACATGGGATTATTGATGCTATGTGAAGATAGTATAAAGATTTTTTTTTTCAGATAATCAAGACATCGCGAACCGTACAATATCAAGTTTAAATACCCCGCATGCTTCTAATCACATACAAAGTGGAAGTAGTCGGGTGCCAGAATACACACATTTTGTACCGGTACTGAGAAAATGAGTTTCGAAAATTTCATTTAAATGGAATATACTTACCACAATGTGTTCCTATATTAAATGCCTCCAAATTACAAGAAACGACCGCCGGTGTTTGTTGGGGAGGGTTTGGAGGTCCAGACAGAGGCTCGTGAGCATATTCAAGGACTGAATTTTTAGTTGATGTTGGGGCAATGGAAGAGTCCGAAGCAGTGACAGAGAGGGGCAAAAGAGCATAAAGCCACAGTAGTTGAGAAGAGGTATCAAATATCATAGCTGAAGGTAATTTTGAGAAAGATTCAATCAAGATAATAGATCAATATAACCAAGGCCACTTGTTTCATGAGCGGAAATGCTCAATATAACAATGCCCCTGGAAGTTATCGAATAATTGGCGCTATTAACAGCATACTGTAGATTGGAGCTAACTTTATTCCTGAGCTTCAGTGATATGATAGATCCCTCAAATCTAACATCAATTCCTGGCTATGACTCTCAAGCGACTCTCACGGGGAATTAGGGAACACGGATGATTCACATGCACATCAGGGGCAGAGGAAAACTGCTGCCTACCCTGGGCACATGGATATAAAATTTTGAGATGGAGGAGATGTTGCAAAGTCCTCCTTGGCAGAATTTAAATCGCTTCTTCAGTACCACGGTAACATGGTTCATTTGAGGTAAAAAGTGTGACCAGAGCCATCCCGACGGATACTTCAATTCCTAGGTAACTGTAACCACCCAGGTTTTGCCAATTTCGCATGTGTAACACAAGAGTTGGCACTTTTGAAAATAGGACGAAAAACAAGATTAACCAAATGCATCATGGCCACCGGAAATTTTGGATGCTCAAATAGAGATCACAAAGCCGGTAGCATGCACCATGAGAGAATTTTTCTTCGTCTAAGATGGATGCCTGTACCAACCGATTGTACTACTCCTAGTTTCATCAATGAAAAATGTTAGTTCTATGGACACCTGTTTAGTGAGGTGAACGTGACAAGCAAGTATGCTAATTCTACACCACAATGCTAGGTAACGGTAAATTTGGAGCCGAAACCGGCTGCACTTGATGCCATTTAAGAGCCCTTTTTCACAAGCTTAGTCATCGATTTTGCTTGTAACCTTGTTCGTCCCACTCTTTCCATATGCTCCCTGGAGTATCATATATTGGTTCTCTGGGCAACCAAGAGTACTCAGGGATCTGCTCACAAGCAGTTAGGGTACTGAGGGTAGACAATCATGGATATCGTCATGTCTCAACTTCTATGTCATCCGATAGTAATCGCCAATTTTAAAGTAGGAGAGGTCTTTATATTAGTCGCTGGACCCCATCTGGGGGTCACTTTCCAATACTTAGAGACCCCGCCCTCGTCGACCGTAGTTACTCAGTGCACATCGCCCAAGGATTGTAAAGCACTTTGTCTCTTTAGATCTCTGGATTTTTCTGTTACGTTTTTTTTTCGTTCTTTGATTTTTTTGTGATATCATTTTTCCTCCTCTCCCTCTCTGCTATTTTTCTCTGCCTGATCGAATAAGGAGTCCTAGCTCACCAGTCGAGAAAATCGGGTCTCAGTATGTGATCATTGAATCTGTTAGTGAAGACATTTAGAATTTTAGGCTAATTTACTAACTATTTGCATTTATTCACTGATTTTTCCTATTCTGGAGTCTTTATATAGTTTATATAAATGTGTAGGGTGATTGCGATTAATTCGTATCGCGGTGGAGAAATGGCCGACGATGGGTGATCTCTGATTGGAGGATATCTTTCCTGGCACACGTCTTTACAGACTATAGCTTGTATCTCCGATAGGGAAAGAATCAACTTTGACAAATTTTTCGGTGAAGCAGCATCTGTTTCCTCTCTGAGTGGCTTCCTTCCATCATGGTGTGGTATGGTTTGTTGGCTTGTTCGCTGATCCATCTCATCCTGCCCGCGTTCGCAGGCTTGCCGTAGAGCGCCCTAGTTCACTATATAGATCGCCTTCATGTGAATATTTCGGCTGCGGACATGTTAAATATAACTTGGGATAAGGAACTCGTCGATAAAGCCCAGCTATGGGCTGATAATTGCGAGTTAGCAAAGGATCCTAAGCCGAATACGCCCAACTACAACTCTGTTGGACAAAATATAAATGCCTCCGATCATTCAGAAGATATGGTGCGCAATGCAACGGTATCTTGGGGTGAAGAAAAAGATTATTACAATTATGATGACTTCATGCACTCATGGGCAGATATGTCATCATTATACACACGTAAGTCATAAATGATAATGATTCTCTCCGGGGTTTTATTAATAAAACTTGCTCATAATTCCACTTTTATGTTCCAGGTTATCTGGGCCACAAGCTATAAACTTGGCATGGGTGTATCCTCGCAAAAATGTCCTTTTGGTAAATACCTAGTAGTTGCCAATTATGCGGAAGCTAGCAACTTTGTAGGGAAGTCGCCCTATATACAGGCTAAATCAGCTTCATCCTGTTCTTTGGGATTAGAAGCCGGACCCTCTGGAATGTGTGAGGTGACCAACGAAGATGAAGTCAGGCAGTCAATCAACCTAAAAGCCACTAACGCAACGGATTCGACCCGTGTATCACCATGATCTTATAACTGAGTTGGTCTGTATTGTGTTGACCAATCGGGAGAAAGAGAGATGTATTGGATGGCTTTCTGGCCAAAGAAATAGTAATTTGATTTCCCTCCGTCCCAGGAGATGGTGAGGTGCTCTATTTTGTCGACGGACTTCCAGCACTCACATTATGGCTTATGGCTTATGCTCGAGGGACGAATACGAGGACGAAGCCTTAATTCCATATAATGTGCATTCGCTGGCAGTTTTCAGCCGACATCAACTGTGCGGTCGTGATTAATTCTATGCGCACTAGTCCGCCATGAAGGGCTCCGCTCTGCCAATAAGAGACCTTACGCTTATTCCCTCTTCAAGTATATACTGTAAAAATTCTAAGGCCTTATGTACTAAAGATATAGAGTCGACCATAAAGGCTGATGGTAATATAATATCTGCCGCAATATTCAGCATAGCAGATATGCGATATCATCGCTCAAAAATACCACCGCTGTCTTCGGTGCCACTGACACACAGGGTTCCTCAGTAACCCGAACTTTTCTCAACCTTTCTAACTGACACATCCGCTGTCTGACTCAGTCACCTCCTCCCGAAAACGCGCAAGTGTTGACCAGTTAAGGGAATAGAGATCCTTAGTCTGATTTGAATACCCCGAAGCTCGCTACGTCGTACTTTGAACAGTGCTCATGCCATTTTTCTCGACGCTGATTTCTGTGACCGTCATACAGTGCTCTCATCTCAGACACGGAGCATGTTACCAGTTATCAAATTGGCCATGGAACAGGAGGGGCAGGAGGACGAAAAATACCACGAATGTCGCTAAGAAGACACCTACTCCAGAATGTTCATTTATTCCGCCTCGGGCCTCTTGAATACTGCAATTGGAGGTAAATACCCTTTACTATATCACGAGAAGACCAAGCCGTACCTGATGGACCACGTTCAGAAGATGAGGCTGGCGAATTTGAGTTCTTTTATATTGTTTCCTATCTAAAAAATCCTTTCCGATTCCTAAGGTTTCACGAATCAACCTGAGATGCACCGTTCTCCACCCGGTGACAAAAAAGACCGGCATTCCCGTTATTAATTCAGAGAGATCGACAGGTCCATTTGTCACAGGTTTGGTCGAAGAGGAATTACCCTGAACAAAATTCTCAAAATAATGCCGCACAATGAGTATCTCACTTTTCATGGGGTTATGAACGCCCAGTCCAAAATTACAGGTGAAGAGGCCAAGGCTATCCTAATGGATATTCAGAAGCCGCATGCTGCAGATATTACTGGCCTATCTTTAGAAGTTCTGGGAGGCCCTGCTTACTTGAATGAGTATGACTAATGTGCTGGTATCTTTGGTGCTATTGAACCTGCTTAGCTCAAGTCATGGGTGCAAGCGGAAATTCCTTTGAGGACTCTACAAGAGGATTAAGTGAATATATTCTGCATGTACCAGTGAAAGGAGTGATTGTCTTAGTTGGTATAGGGGTGTAGTTAAAAGAATTGACAAGAACATAATTCACACAAAAAACACTATGCGTTGTAACTTTTCTCTGGAAGGTAATATACAGGCTGAAGATATGCCTGAAGACAGGAAAGTATTTACTTATACTGAATATTCCACCGGTTTCTGCCTTGTATCAATCACCAACAGCTATTTGTGCAGACATGGACGTTCTTTCGTTTACGATATTCTCTGTCTAGATATTGAGTTCATTTGCCTCGCACTTTTGTCACATTTAATTTGAATTCCAATCAGGATTTTTCAGCCCCTTTCAAATAGCCCAATACTTTCTCGACCAGGAACTGTCGCGGTTCAGCTTGATCATCGTTGCTCAACGCATGAGAAGCGTTTGGAATTATGGCGCTGTGATCTTGATCCCAGATCTGGTGTTCTCCATTGTGATCGGTAGCATTTCTCCATCTTGTCAAGAGCTTTTGCTTGTCAATCCATGCTGGCACAGCCTGATCCGCACCAGAAAACAGGACCATCAACTTGTGTTTTAACAGACCCTGCTGTTTGATCATTCCGAATGTTTTCTTTAGTTGATCATCGCTCAAATCAGAGCTAAATAAATCATCTTCTCCTGGTGATTCTGGACTATCCGGACTTATGAGACTCAAGAGCCTTCGACAGCTGATGGCGGTATTGGCTGGATAGATATGAGAGGTCATCCACAGCGGGAGCATTGTGTCATAAGGTTCGCCTTTCTGAACAGTTTCCTTTGCCAGCTCCACCATCTTCTCATATACCGGCCGAATTTCACTGCCTGTCTTCCCCCCAATTCCCTCGCTCAAAACCCATTGAACGGCTTCCCTGTCGGAAACGGGTGCTTGCATAATTGCACCATCAAGGGGTAGACGGTCAATATGTTCGAGATCAGAATCAAAGTCCGGAACACTAGAATGGGGATTCGAGCGATAAAGATAATGCATCACGCATTGACTGCCCGTGGAATGACCCATGAGGACAATCTTTCCAGTCCCGAATTTGGATGTTTTGTAGTCTTTGATATATTGCAGGCACCGGGCAATCTCATCTGTGTCTCGGTCTAGGTGACCAAGACCCCAAGACTGATAAGATGATGTGAGGTTCAAGGTGAAGAGCGACCATTCTGTAGGCTGAAGGGCGCGAACGAGGTCGGCCATATAGGATGTTGTAGCAAGGCCATCTCCTAAGCCACCGACAAACAGAACACTATGAGGCTGTCGGACAGCAGTGGAGGCATATTCAAAAGTGACGAGGCTCTCAGTCTGGATATCTCACATGTTAGACAAGTTGTCGCATCGCGTCACCTTTTGGGGTGAGGGAGAGGTAATCAAACATACATAGTGATGCAAAATACCCGGGATGCCCCCTTTCGGCCAAAACTTAGAGTACATATTGTTGTGTGATGCACTGGGGGTAAAGTCACGACGAGGCGGTTAGAAAATGATCTGAAACGGCAAGGAAATGCGCCTAGTATTAGCTTATGTAGCGTGCTGTTGCTTATGAAACGGACACGTTATCAGATCCGAAATGACAGCGAGATCGGTCTCTTCTGTTTTGCATATTTTTCTACGATCGCTATTGAAAGGGAATTGTGGGCAAGCACCCAGCCGGCTATTTCCGGGAAAGACAGACCCGCCCAAAACGTGCGCGGTTCGGTTGGTGAGATTATTCTCCTCCTCGACCGGCCCGCCAAGACCCATCTTCCGAGCTAAATAATACGTAGCTACGTAACACGGACAAAAGCCACTCCTTCCTGAGGGGGACAAGGTTATCAGATTTTTATTATCAGATCCAATGTATGTCTCCAGGTACGCGTTTGGAACTGTACCCATGGAAACAGGAGTTGATTAATTTTATAAAATTCGTATTTGTGGCGCTGTGGGTACCGGTCGTATTTGAAGGTAACCATGAACCTGAAAGGTTTCCGCTTCGCTTCTGAACAATCGACATCCACGGAACCGAGGGCTGTTGCCGACTGAGTTTTTTCTTCTTCCTTCCTTTTTCTTGATTTTTTTCTTTTCGCGCAAATTGCGGAGTCACATTGGGACCGAACAAGGATATTGGTAAGAGTGATCGGATCTGATTAGATTTTGTGGCTGCAGCACGGAAGGATCTGATTAGATGCTGTTGCTATTGTGCTCCTCTTTCGGTAAATTTGAGGGGTGAAAGCAGCGTGACCAGCCCTTGGCGGCGGAAGATTCCGCCAGAAGGCGGCATGCGAAGTGTTATTTCTTATGAGCACACCGTAAAGAAGAATCTTGGGTCTTCTAAGTCAAGTTGGAAGTCTTCTCAGACCGAGAACGCGTTCATCCTGCCAGATATACCAACGCCGACTGCCTACTGGGTAACGTGGACGCGGATGCGTTCGGGAAGTCGAAACTTGTAGCGATATTCGTCTCAGTCCCTTTGAAATCTATTTACTGTTCTCTAGCGGGGAGCAAGTTCGCATGACAGGACATGGGGTGGACTCCTGGACCAGCACGACATGACTCGACCCTCGGAAAACTCCGAGACATCAAGTGGGTCGCGTATTTTGCTCTGGGGACAAGTGCTCGGAGATAGGTCAAGATTGAAATACACAATACGTACAGCCGAAATATTACCATACCTGGAAATACCAATTGTCAGGACTCCAAAAGCGGATCGCGGTATAACTATATTCAGAACTTGTACGAAACAATAATCCTGTCTTCGCGGCAAGCTCGCTAGTGGAGACAATTTTTGAGTATATAGCGTGAATCGGATCACTTCGGTTATTCGGCCTCATGATGTTCCTGCAGAAAACGGCACGTCGGTCGCGATCCTTTCTTCTTCCTTGATATTCAACCGAGTCAGGATTCTGAGGCCGGTGACAACCGAACCCGTCAGAATGGGATTCATACATATCAACGACATACGTGACCACCAACACCATTCAGGTGAGGTCGTCAAAGGACTGTCTGCGGGGCAGATGAATGGTGAACCCTTCCGGTCTTTCACGACCTGCGACCTTGCATCCGATCAAGTTACCTTTCCGACAGGCATGAAAGAGGATATCGTTCTTTTATCCTGGCTCATAGTTCTCCTTCGTACGAAAGAAGATGGTCGCATTAGTTATGAGTGGACTTACAAAAGTCCGGATCAAGCTCTTGAAGACGCACAAGCACACAGGCTGTCTACAAACGAAGTACTGCCCAAGTTAGAGAGTAAAGTCGGGGAAGCTGTGACTGCTGTTTCGCAAAATATCAAAAATATCAACCCGAATCGGATTGCAGAAAGTTCTTCCGGTCATTCACTTATTTTGAGCACGAATACTCTGTCTGATACTTCTGAAGAAGCTAGAGAAGATGTGAGTCACTCACCCATTGCCCCGATTATTTTACAATTCGGCTGACAATTTTTGTTAGGGGTCGCTCTGTATCGAGGTATGCTTTAATAGCGCAAGCCTTGACATTCGTCCAATTAGGAAAACAGCGAATTTATTACCATATACAATTTCACGGCACATTGAATCTCTCGTGGATACGATCAGCATGTGTCTCTCTAATCCCGGACAATCTGTTGAAAATTGCCTTCGTCCTACTACGCACGATCTGACCCAAATTTGGAAATGGAACAACGAGCTACCTCCTACTTATGACCTTTGCATGCACGACGTGATTTCTGAACGAGCACGAGAATTTCCAGACAAGGAGGCTATTGCATCTTGGGATGGTACCTTGACATATCGGCAGATCGATGACTATTCTTCGTTCATGGCATCAAATCTTCTCAAATCAGGTGTCGCCCTTCATGAATTTTTGCCAGTATGCTTTGAAAAGTCTAGATGGACAATCGTTGCCGTTCTTGCAGTGATGAAGGCCGGGGCAACAATTGTCCTCATGGACCCAACTCTTCCCCTTGCTCGACTTCAAAATATGGCAAAGCAAGTCAATGCAAAGATGATGCTGTCTTCTGGGGACCAACAGGATCTTTCGAAATTGATTCTGCCAGAAGGAGATATCTTTGTTGTAGGCGAAGATATATTCGCCAATTTCTCACCATCGAATCCTTTGGAACAGCTTCCAGCTGTACCACCCTCTGCCTTGATGTACATTATCTTCACTTCTGGAAGCACCGGAACACCGAAAGGAGTCAAGATTTCACACAAAGCCTACACAAGTAGCGCGTTTCCCCGAGCGAAAGCAGTTGGCTATACCGAGAAATCTAGAGTCCTCGACTTTGCCTCCTACGCCTTTGATGTCAGCATCGATAGTATGCTTCTCACACTAGGAAATGGCGGTTGCCTTTGCATTCCTTCCGATGAAGACCGGCTCAACAATATTAATGATGTGATTCGAAAAATGAGAATCAACTATGCAGGCATTACCCCTTCAATGGCTCGTATTCTAGACGCAGATGTCATTTCTTCTTTGCATGTCCTTGGGCTAGGCGGAGAAGCTGCATCGGCTCGAGATGTGACCGTCTGGGGTCGCGAAACCAGAATTGTCATTGGATATGGCCCCTGTGAATGTACAATTGGCTGTACTGTCAATAGCAGTGCTGCTACTGGCAGAGACTATATCTCTATCGGACCAGGTAACGGTGCAGCCATTTGGATCGTCGATCCAAATGACCATGAAATCCTGATGCCTGTAGGTGCCGTGGGTGAGCTTCTAGTTGAAGGCCCAATCGTCGGACAGGGATATCTCAATGACCCCGAAAAGACCGCGGCTTCCTTCATTCACGACCCATCGTGGCTTGGGGCCGGTCACGGCGAGTTCAAAGGTCGACAAGGGCGCCTGTACAAGACTGGCGATCTCGGCATATATGATCCCGATGGCTCTGGAGGAATCGTATTTGTTGGTCGGAAGGATACACAAGTCAAACTTCGTGGCCAGCGCGTTGAATTGGGAGAAATCGAAAGTCAACTCAATGCCAGATTGCCCCCCGAAACAACTGTGATTGCAGAGGTCATTGTCCCCCAGGGTGCAGGAGGACAGTCCACTCTGGTTGCATTTATTTCATTCCAGTCAGCAAAGGGCCAAGATCACACAGATATTCAATCTGCAGAACTGGTTGACGAGCAGCGCGAAGCAATTTCTAAAGCGAATGCGGAGATAACCAAAGTTCTGCCTCGGTATATGGTCCCAACTGCCTATATCCCAATTAATTTGATTCCCACCTTAATTTCCGGGAAGACTGATCGTAAGCGACTTCGACATTTTGGCTCGACTGTTGACCTGCGAGAGCTTGATCAAGGGACAGAGAGTTCTGTTAGCCGGAACTTGACCGATCTCGAGCAACGTCTACGACAAGCATGGAGCATTGCTTTGAAGCTCGACACAGAAGCAATCAGACTCGAAGACAATTTCTTTGCTCTCGGCGGTGATTCTCTCGCGGCAATGCGACTTGTTTCTATCTGCAGAGATCAAGAACTTGATCTTTCTGTCACCAATACCTTTTCTCACCCTACACTTTCAGCCATGGCAACAGTGGTTCAGCTTTGCGAACAACAACCACAGACGGAGATTGGATTATTTTCCATGATTTCTCAACCAGCTGAGAGTGCATGTGTGGAAGCCTCCCAAGCTTGTGGTTTCGATCAAAGTGCTGTTGAAGACATCTATCCCTCAACACCCACGCAGGAGTCGTTATTTACCTTCTCTCTCAAATCTGTCAAGGTCTATGTTGCACAGAGAGTTGCATGTATTCCATCAACGGTCACTCTCGAGTCCTGGAAACAGGCGTGGGAGGATGTTGTAGCAGCAAGTCCAATTTTACGCAGTCGGTTGGTTCAACTTCGAGACCCCGGTCTCCAACAAGTCGTGCTCAAAGAAAAGATAAGCTGGAAACATTCCAAGAATCTCACTGAGTATCTCGAAGAGGATCGAAACGAGAGAATGAATTTGGGAGAAAGCCTGGCCCGTTACGCGATCGTGGACAATTCGACTGACGGCAAGCGATACATGGTTTGGACTGTCCATCATGTTCTATATGATGGATGGTCTGAGCCGGTAATCCTTGATAAGGTTCGCAGGGCACTGCAAGGTCAACTTCTGGAGAGTAAATCTCAAATGCGGGACTTTGTTAAGTGGGTGCAGGATACAGACCAGTCCGCGATGCACGAATTCTGGCGACGGGAGTTAAACGGCGCCGTTGGGCCTCAATTCCCCCGTTTGCCCTATCGAGACTATCTGCCCACTCCTGACTCCATGATTGAGCATCAGATACCTCTTGACTTGGGCCATGGATTTCCATTCACACTGGCTACGCTCATTCGGGGTGCATGGGCCCTCGTGGCGTCACAGTACACGCGTAGTGACGATGTTGTATTTGGTGAGACGCTCACCGGTCGGGACATCGCTTTGCCAGGCGTTGAAGCCATTGTTGGTCCTCTGATTGCGACCGTACCTATTCGGATTAATGTCAATCGGAATGGTTCTGTTGCTTCATATCTGCAGGCCGTGCAGCAGAGCATCTTGGCCCGAACGCCGTATCAGCATATGGGAATGCAAAACATTCGAAAGGTTAGCCAAGACGCTCAGCATGCTTGCGAAGCAAGCACTGGTCTAGTAATCCAGCCGGAGCCAGAGTATGAGGGCAGCGACCTTGGTGTTGAGCAAGGAGATGTAGTCCGCGAAGCACTTCATTTCAACCCATACCCGCTCATGGTGGCCTGCGGTATCCGCAAGGGAGGCTTTAGGGTCTGTGCTAGCTTCGATAGCAGCTTAATTGAAGTTCCACAGATGGAACGCATTCTTTCGCAGCTCGAAATGGCTTGCCAGCAGTTGACAGAGGACCTCGACAAGAAAATAAACGAAATATCTTGTCTTCCTGAGTCAGAACTGAACCAGATTTGGAGGTGGAACCACCAATCGCCTCTAGTATTGGACGAGCCCTCGGGAAGACTTCGTGCGGACTCGAACATTGAACAGGGGTCAGTATACCCCTCCGTGGTCGTTCGATGGGTTTGCGATTCTCGAAACCCATCATTACTTTCACCTATCGGATGCCCTGGTGAGCTCTATCTAGAGGGTGGCTTTCTTGCAGGCGACACTATCGATGCTCCCGCCTGGCTAGCAGCTGGTAGTTCCGCGTTCACAGGCCGCTCTGGGAAGATTCACCCAACAGGAGATATTGTCCAATTGTGTGCTGACGGTACCTTGACCTTTGTTGGTCGAAAGGAAAATATGTTACCAGTCCAAGGACATGCCGTGGATATCACAGAGCTTGAAAAGCATTTCTCCAGATATCTTCCCACATCCATCCGTGCTGCCGCTACTGTCTTTCAACCTAAGGCTGTCGATTCCGAGGAAGCGGTGCAACAACAATTGCTCGTCTTCGTTGAGAATATCTCCGCTCAAGAGGAAAGCATTGACATCATGTCAGCGCAGGAAGAGATTGTTTGGGACTCATCTGACCCACAAAGTCTGAGGACAACTCTGTGTGCCACTGCCCCAATCACCCTAATCATAGCTTTAAAGAGGCTTGATAAATTCTTCCGAGACTCTCTTCCATCTCATATGATTCCCTCGGGTTATGTTTTGGTCGACCAAATGCCTGCTGAGTCAACTCAACTCAATCACAATTTATTAACTCAATTGGCAGCCAAGGTTCCTGCTTCTCTGCTCCAGCAGCTCCATGAACGACTACAGCTGATTTGGAAAGAGAGTCTCGCGCAGGCAAGTTTGAGTACGTCGGAAAGCATTCTTCGCTCTGCCTGGGCAAAGATCCTTGGTATCAATGCCGAGGTTATTGACGTGGACGACAATTTCTTCCGTCTTGGTGGTGACTCCGTCCTGGCAATGAAACTGGTCTCCAGTCTTCGTTCACAGGGACATCGCCTCACTGTGGCCGACATTTTCCAGCATATGCGCCTTGGCGATGCTGCTCAGGTCTTGAAGGTGGGCCAATCATCAAAGGAGAAAGTCCAGCCTTATAAGCCATTCTCTACGTTGAGTCTATCAAACGTTTCGAATTTCCTAGCAGATGTTGTTAAGCCAAAGCTTTTTGATCCAGACTGGACTATTCAAGATGTGTCTCCTGTCACCGACACACAGGCAATGGATATCAGAGGCACCATCAATATGCCTCGTACCTCGATTCAATACAATATGCTCTTCTTCGACAATGCTGTTGACCAAACACGTCTGTTTAAAGCATGCAGAGAATTAGTGAAGACCCATGACATTTTGCGCACTGTCTTCATTGAGAACAATTCTGCCTTCTTTCAGGTTACCCTACAGCATTTGGATATCCCGGTAGCTACCTTTTCCACGGAGAAGGAAATGAAGTCTTTCGTGACCGACCTGTGTGGGAATGACATAGAATCAGATTTCAACCTCGGTTCACCATTCCTAAAGTTCTTATACGTGAGTGGAACTGATGGCAAGGAATGCCTCGTTATAGGCCTGTCTCATGCCCTGTACGATGGCATGTCTCTTCCCAGGCTGCTTCAAGATCTGGAGACACTATATCTTGAAAACCAAGTGGTTGACTTTGCGCCGTTTTCGTCATACATGGCACGTATTAACGACGGCCGCTTCCAAGCTAGGTCACTTAGCTACTGGAGTAATCTGCTGGACGGATCTTCACTCTCCGTTTTGAGTGAGACATCATTCCAACCTGGTGACAAGGGGATCTTTTTATCCAAGCCTGTTGATATTCTTCGTCATCCAGAAGACATTACTACGGCCAATTTATTGACTGCAGCATGGGCATTGGTCTTGGCTCGCCGTCTGAAAACCCCAGATGTAACATTTGGAGGGGTCACGTCTGGCCGGATGGTTGATTTAGAAAACGTGGAGAATATCATGGGTCCTTGCTACCAACTCACTCCGGTCAGAGTTCAGTTCCAGCCCCAATGGACGTCCATGAATCTACTTCAATTTGTTCAAAAGCAGAGCACTGAGTCGGCTCCTCATGACTTTATTGGTTTTGAGAAGATTTCCAGGCAATGCACTCATTGGTCGCTTGAATCTCGAACTTTTGATTCAATTGTGCATCATCAAGACTTTGATGATTTCGATACAATGCCTTTCGCCGAGGGTACTTGTAATGTGGACATATCTATTCCACATGGAGATGCACCATACCCTTTCAAGGCCGTCACATTCTTCAGGGGTGGCAAAATCAATGTTGGAGCTGTTGGAAGCGAAAGAAACCCAGCTTTGGTGACCACGCTTCTTGACGAGTTGGCAGCCACGGTTCAGGAGCTTTCAGCATGTTCATCCAATGTCTTGTTGCAAACTGAATTATTTTGAATGACAAATTGAGTCTCAGCCATTGAATAATGGCTAATGTAGCAGAAATGTCAGAGCTTGCGCGCGTATTCCGGTTTGACTTTTATTCGGTTCTCAGTTTTATTTTTTATTGAAATACATGGTCTTCTTAACTGAAAGTCTAACTCGAGCTATTTAATTTTTGTAAGATGTGCAGTGAGGTGTGATTTTTGTTCAGTCAGATCTATCTAGCGCACATATTAGTACATACCCTTTGTCTGAACCTCCAAAAATAAACATCTTCAAATCCTTTCCCAATAGATTCGCTACTAGCTAGCCTCTTGTCACTTCCATATTAAACGGAAATCATTTGAATTTGAAAAAGCGTGAGTCATTTCCTCAAAAAGTAATGGCAAAAAATGGAAATTGAGTATATAAACGAAAAGTAGAGTTATAAGTTTTTATGATCACAAAATATAACGAAATGTCACTTTCTGAGTTTCCATCAGGTTGCCACTGTTTGATGCATGACGTTTGCTCTATAGCTGTCTGATCTTTCAAGTAGCTCCTCATGCGAACCATGGTCAATACACTGGCCAGCTTCAATCAAGAAGATTGTATCCGCCTTCCTGATGGTGTGCAAGCGATGAGCAATTGCAATGACAGTAATTCCTCTAGCAGCTTTTTCAAGTCCATCTTGCAAGAGCTTTTCTGACTCAGCGTCCAAAGCACTAGTTGATTCATCCAAAATCAACAACTTAGGCTTGCGAACAAGGGCTCTCGCAATCGAAAGTCGTTGTTTCTGGCCACCCGAGAATTGATTCCCATTGGGGCCACACAGCGTTTCGTAGCCATTGGGTAACGCCTTGATGACATCGTGGATGTTTGCAAGTTTACAAGCCTCTTCAATCTCCTCCATGCTCACTTCATGGCCAGGTCGAGCACCTAGCCCGATGTTGAATTTAATGCTTCCTTCAAAAGCACACTTTCTTGTGGAACCAAAGCGATGTTATCTCTGAAGGACACACCCTGATGTTTTGTCACATCAATACCATCAATCAGTATGGCACCGGACTCCGGAATATACAATCTTTCTACCAAAGAAATGATAGTTGATTTACCAGCCCCGCTGGGTCCAACAAGCGCGCAAAACTTTCCGGGTCGAATATCAAGGCTAAGGCCATTCAGTACATTAATGTCTGGCCGTGCTGGATAGGCGAAATGGATGTCACGGAATTGCACGCTTGATGCACCAGACTGAATAGTGGGCTTCGGCTCACTTATCGCCTCTAGATCCCTTTCATTCGGATCTGTAAGAGAAATACTTCCTTGCATTTTGTCAGAGCCAATCTCAATCAGACTCAAGATTCTTGCCATAGCTGCGCGGGCATTAGACAGCTCCGGTGCAAGGGCGAACATCTGACTCCAAAGGAGTGCGCTGACTAGGAGAGAGAAAACGACAATCAAAAATTGAGTCTGGGTGTATGTACCGGAAAGGATCTGCTTAGCACCCCACCAATACGCGAGAGCGTTTACGCAGTTTCCGAGGAAATATGTCAATGCTTGCCAAAGGCTTGCTTGCAGTGTGACTTTGAGGGTTTCCTGTCGAGGTCCCTTCAAAGAACGGCGGTATGTCCTAAGCGTCACTTCCTCTAGAGAAAGAGATGCAATCGTCTTGATGGATGCAATTGCCTCGGTGCCGATGTCCACAGATTTGGTGTAGGCGTTTTCGTGGCGTTCCTCGAATTTTCCGAGGACATGGAGCTCCATCAAACCAGCTCCAAGAAGAAGTGGTACCAAGGACAGACACACCAATGCAATCTTCCAGGCAATAATGTGGGTCAAGATAATCGCTGCAATAAGGTTTACACTGATAGAGAACAACGAGCCGATAACAGAACCACTCAACCCGGCAAGGGCGTTGCCATCTCTGGTGATATAAGATAGAAGTAAAGCAGGAGTTCTGCCTTTAGATTGGTGCCATTGAAGATCCTGCTCAAACAGTGACCGGAACGACAGCACTCGGACCGAGTAGACAATTTTCTCAGACACCCAACCAAACCCGGCCCAGCTGGCCAAGTTCGCAAAGAATTCAATGATTGCAAGGACGAAGAACATCAATCCGAAGAAGTCACCTCGAGAACTGATATAACCCGCTCCTTTACAGGGGTTCAAACTTCCAACAGTATTTCCAAAAATCACAGCTTCTCCAGAGAAAGCCCCACCCACAATAGTTGCCCCAAGTAGAGCCATGAAAATTATGAGCAGGTGAGGTCTGAGTGCTGGGGCATATCCTTTGCAAAGCTCCCAGAGAGATTTTCGTGGTGTTTCTGGCTCTTCCATTTCTTTGATAGATTCGGCGGCGGGTGCTTCGGCAGTTGAGATCTGGGTCTCTTCTTCCTTGCCGACGTGATCGGGTAAGAAGCTTGTTTTCTCGTTTTCAGTGTCGGTTAAAGATACGTCGTCCGGCTTGCTAGCCGTATCTTTGTTCGAGGTTGTTTCATTGTCGTTTGAACGGAGAGTCTGCAGTTTGACTAATTCGGCGTACGAGCCATCCAAAGCCATCAAGGTCGCATGGTTGCCTTGCTCCACAAGATTACCCTTATGCATGACAATAATGTTATCAGCGCTCGTAATTGTAGACAGACGGTGGGCAATTGTGATCACTGTTCTCCCAGTAGCAATGTTGTTGATGGCCTTTTGGATGCGCTGCTCGCTTCGAGAGTCTAAAGAAGCTGTGGCTTCATCTAGAATAAGAACTGCCGGATCTTTGACGAGAGCCCGGGCAAGAGAGACTCGTTGCTTTTGACCCCCGCTGATGAGCCGGCCACTCGATCCAACAAGGGTACCATAGCCGTGTTGCAATTTGACGATGAAATCATCGGCATCAGCAAGCGTCGCTGCCCGTTGGACAAGGTTCACAATTTCAACAAGCTCGGGACCTCGCTCCTGTGCAGCAGCCAGAATATCCTTTCCTTCTCTCACATCACTCGCCAAGTCTGCCACTTCGGAGCTCAAAAGCGTCATCTTCAGATGGGCATGATTGGCATTACTCGAATTGATCAACCCATGTGCGATATTTTCCAAAAGGGAGCGATCCAAAAGAGACGGCTCCTGCTGTACCAAGCTCATGAATCCTCTCAAGTCGCGGAGATTCACGTCCTTGACATCATGTCCATCAAAGAGAATCTGGCCTTCTGTAGGATCATAAAGTCTCGTGACAAGTCCGGCAATCGTAGATTTTCCACTTCCTGAAAGGCCTACAAGAGCAGTGTGCTTCTTTGCTGGTAATGAAATACTGATGCGATCCAGGACAGTAATCTCAGGACGCGATGGATAGGTGAATGAAACATTCTTCAGCTCAAAACCACCATTTGCTTCAGTCAGGCGAATACCAGACTCAGATGTTCCATCAATTAAGGGCTCGCGGTCAAGGTCTTCACGCAATTTTGCAAATGAGGCAACGGCTTGAACGAACAGATGTAGGAACGGCGCGACTTGGCTCAAAAGCAGAGTAGCTGATCATTATTTTAGTGATAAATCGTATTAAAGAGAAAAGAGGGCAACTAACCTTCAATCAAAACGAAGATTACCGTGAATGTTGCACCAACAGTAACACCATGAGTGCCGTTTCTCACTGAATCGGCAACATGTTGGGCACCTTGCCAAAATGCCAAGCCATTCGCACCGTAAGCAATAAAGTACAGTACACCCGATTGAGTGCCAACTGCCGTTGCCTTCTTGAGGCCGGCATTCTCTGCCGCTTTGAGAGCCGTGGAGAACTTATTCTCCAACCGAGCATTGGCGCCAAAGGCCTGAACCACAACAATATTGTTCAGAGCTTCAGATGCAATGGAGGCAGCAGAAGCTGCATAGTCTGACATAAGCGCCGAGTACTTTTCGATATAATGACTTCCGACGAAGGACATCAGGAGGTATGCGGGAATCAACGAGATAAGAATGGCGGCGAGCTCCCAGTACTTGATAAACGCCACAATATATGCGGTGACGAAGAATGAAAGACTACCCAAAACAATCCCCACCTTCTCGGAAGTACCGGAGCGAATTGTCTGGATATCGCTGCTGAGACGAGATGCAACTTCGCCTGGGGGAAGATCGTCAAAGTGCGATGGTTCTTGGCGGAGAAGATTTTGCAGATAAGTTTCCCTCAATCTCTGCGCCAGTCGAGAGCCGAACATTGTCCAACATGTTAGATGGCCATATATCAAGACAAACTGCGCAATAGCCAGGTAGAATATCAGGAGAATCTTGCTGTTGATGCTACTGGCGTAACCAGCATTTGAATCCGATCCAGACGAGTCGGATTCATTGCAGGTGACGGAATTGAAGTCATCGAGTAGTTCACCGAAAATAATACCGATAATTGGGAATGGTACACCAGATCCTATAGCGCATGCTATACCTGACAGCAACATTCCCAAGTCGAACTTAGAGGGGTTCCCGGCCAGAATTAGGCGGGGATATCCCGCAAGCTTCCCGAGAAAATGCATTCTGGCTGGGGGCAGAAAAATCCCGAGTTCACTGGCAGGTTCCCTTTCTTAGCGAGTGCAAACCTTACGAGATATCCAAGGTGATGTCTTACCCCCAAGAGATAGCTCCCCCGCTGTTCTAGGTGAAAGAACGGCACTGTCGACTGCTAGAGAACGATGTTGCTCAAGGACCACCCGCTATAGAGTCCAGACCCCGCTTGAAAAGAACGGACGGAGTAGTTGACCGCTATGAAGACTGCAAGATCAGCTGGCGATGTGGTCATCTCCAGTTTGCGGAAAGAAAATTGAGAAGGGGGAGTTCTGAAGATAACCGAAAAAGGTTTAGGAGATTTGCCGACATCGGTATGGACCGGTAGCTTTGGCTTCCGGATCAGATAACTTAGTCCACGGTCCCCTGAGAAAAAAAACAAATGGATCATGGCTTGGACATACGCCATTTCTCGGCGGAGTGGGCCCCTAAAGGTGTAACCTTCGTAACCTTGTACCGAAGCTTGTGTAAATATACAAATACCATACAGTCGGTAATAGTACACGTCCGGATGGTTACTGGTATGTATTGACGAGGCCTCGGGAATAATCAAATCGTCATTTTCAAATAGGCAATTTAGTCGACTCTCTCCCGCGACCAACTGGAGCCATTGGCCTTTGACGGATCCTCGGGTTGCCCAAATGGTGAAAGTCTCCGCAGCTCACAAGCGATCATGTTCGGAAGGCCCATCCGTGAACGATAGCGGATACTTCCACCAGGATCCTGGTCTACCGTCCTGAAATTGTAATCAACCTCAACCCCTTCTTACTCCCCGTAAGTTGATTGCATCAATTCTCTCAGTCAGTCCGCTCATTCAAAAATCGTCAAGCGGCTAGGTTCTTGGGGGGGGGGGGACGGATCACTGGGTCCGCCGGATAAATATTTTGTGTGGCTGGTAAAGAGAAGTACACAACCATGTCGAAACTGAGGTTCCACTCTGAGCAGTGAAAATTGTCTGACAGCGCCACCTATGTCCGAAGGTCCACTTCTGCACGTCGGCCTTACGTTACAGTGAAGGCAGCAGCATCTCGTCCGTCGCGTGGGAAATTATGTATCTACAGGCGATCGCCCATCCTCACCGATGAGACCCATTCTAGGTAGGTATATTGTCTTTGAAGACTTATTACCAAAAATCAATATGAAAATTCACATGGAACGACCAGCCACGGGTATTATATGACACACGGAACTACTATAATTTGGCATTCCACGCGGCACGATCGGCCGACTCCAAGGGCCGTTCTCGCCCGTCCCAAAACAACGGACACAGCTGGAACCATTTCTCCCGGCTGCAGATGGAGTGGACCGAGCGTTTGTGGCCAAGGTCAACATATTTGCCGATCGTTAGACCCTGAGAATTTTCATACGACAGAATCGTGGAGCCCGTCGCCTTGGGCTCGCCAACCACATTCACTGTGCGAGGGTCATCCAAGAAACAATAATGGATGCAGCTGGAATACCATGCGTTGACTCGATGAGAGCCGCGGAACGATGCATCGCCAACAAGAGAGTGGCGTCCGCGATCATAATCTCCGGCATCATAATGTGCTCCGTAATGATCCTCCTATTAGCAGTTTTTGGTGAGTCTATGCAGGGATGCAAACTAACAGGCTTTCCAGTAGGAACTCACCTTAGCCCAGTACAGCTCATAATATGAGAAACGAGTATTGTCGAAACGTCCAAACAAACAAAGAACATGAGGGTCAAAGTGCAGGTTGCGAAGATATGCTCGGTGTTGGTCCAAGGTGCCTGTTTCATTCCATCCTTGCGCGACTCGCGGGTCGTTTTGCCAGGTGTTGAAAAGTTTCAAGTGTTCTTGGTTTTCCCAATCAACCACCTCAAGAGAGAAGTGCTCGTCAACTTCAGGAATGTATCGGCTATAGGCAATTGAACCGGGGTGTGGCTTCGGACGACGAGTTGGGTGGCGAGTATATACTGCCTGTTCGGGAAATTTCATGGTGATCTGATAGTTCTCGGGCATGATTGGAAATTGATCTAGCGGTGTTCTCAGCGGACCATCTGTGCCATCTCCCGCGGCCCAGATGGGACGAGAGCCCGCTGGTGAGGCAGCGCCTTGCCAGAAGGCGCTTCGGAGAATCAAAACTTCCTTCGATTTCCAGGTCGCCTTGTCCTGGGGACGATGCCATGGCTTAGGGTGCTCTATTCCAAGTCCAGTGGTAAGGAGCTCCTTGCAAATTACATCACTCTCAGAACCAATAAGAGTAAGCCGAAAATACTCATATGTTGGATGAGCGAGATAGATTGCATGCACCACGTTCCAAATCTGCCCCAGGGAAGGTACATCAGCCTCCCATTGGAATGTAGTGAAGGGGCTCCGGCGAGCTCTAGCCCAGTGACTATTATCGGAGGCGGGCGGGCGCTCGTCCAAAGTAGGAATTGTCAGAGCCGTCCATGAGAGTGATTCGAGATGCAGTGGCTCTGACAATGGGCGTCCGTTACTGGGCTGACTTTCCAGCACCAACCGGTTCTTGGCCGGAGAAGTATGTGCTGATGTCTGCACCTTATATGCAGTCAGAAAGGGATGCGGAAGCTTAACCGGAGGATATTGCACTGAAGGTGATGCGTTGGACGCCATTTTGACAGGTCTTGATCCAGTGCGATAGCTTCAAGAATGTAACAGAGTGCAAAGGTCAAGAGGAGCGGCTTCGCATTAAGAAGCTCTGCATATACCCTAGCAAAAGCCGAGGTATGGTGATTTCGGGCTCGGAAAGAAACCCCCCCGGAATAGCTCCAATCTGATAAAAACTTGATGAAAACTATAAATTACTATTCCTGTTTTTTTTGTTTTTTTTTAAAAAAAAAAAAGAAAAAGAAAGAAAAAAAGAAAAAAAGTTTCAAACTATCGTAAATACCGCGCGATCCATGGTCCTCTCGTGGGCTCGGGCCTGTCCGGATCAATACCGGAGAACCTCTCATTACCACGTAAAATGGCTCCCTTCCAATCAACCCTTGACTCCTTATGGGCAGTATGAAGAGATTTTTTAAGCGAAGACGCTAGAAATATTCTAGCGGAGTCAACCTTTTACGAAGAGCGTACTAGCGCTGAAGAAAGCCGCCCAGCAATACGGTTTCCAAAATATCAGACATCGGTATCGCCTAAGAATCCCGGCAGTACGCTTATACCTGTAATCTGATCAAGTCAATCAGATAGGTATAAAGCCAAGTGCAGAACTGGTCAAAAAAAGCAAGACATCACACTGCACTTCCTTGAATTGGTTACCTAGAGAGAATTTACCGCAATGACGCTGAAATCAAGAACCCAGGAATATCGGCATTTTAGCGTGTCATTTCCGCATGAACGAGTAGTTCAAGTCACATTGAACCGACAAGATCGGTTGAACTGCATCAACAAGGCGACCAGTCGAGAAATACAGGAAATATGGGAACTCTTCGATCAGGATGAAAGCTTATGGGTCGGCATCATCACAGGTTCTGGGAGAGCTTTTTGTACCGGAGCCGACCTTCATGGTATATCCCATTCTTATCTATTTCTTCGTCAAACTTGGATAATTCTGATTAAATTTTCATTTCATAGAATGGAACGAAATGAATAGAAACGGGGTTGTTAATGATATGAGCGCCCCTGGTTTGGCTGGTCTGCCTCGTCGGAGCGGCAAGAAACCTATTATTGCAGCAGTCAACGGGATTTGTATGGGAGGAGGGTTTGAGATGGTGGCAAATTGCGATCTCGTTGTAGCGTCATCATCTGCAATTTTTTCGCTGCCGGAAGCGAAGCGAGGGATTGCAGCCGTCGCAGGCTGCCTACCACGATTGACACGGACACTTGGATTACAGCGCACGATGGACTTGGCACTGACTGGCAGGAATGTGACAGCCAAGACTCTCTATGAATGGGGCCTCGTATCCCGTCTGGTCAACTCAGGGGAAGATGTGGCTCAGGCCGCCCTTACACTTGCGCAGGAAATGTGTGAAAACAGCCCCGACTCGCTTATTGTCAGTCGCCAGGGAATTCGCTTGTCCTGGGAGTCAAGCAAGGTAGAGGATGCAGTTAAAATTCTGGAAAACGAATGGTACCCTCGCCTGATGGCTGGCGCCAACTTTCGTGAAGGTATTCAAGCGTTTGTGGAGAAGCGACCGACGAAATGGGTCAATTCAAAGCTTTAAAGGTGGTTCGCAGGCTATTCGATCGCTGGGCATTCCAATGTGCTATCTAGGACACATAATAATATACTGCATAAGGGAAGTGTTAAGATAAATAATCTTACGTCTGAAGTCAAGTGCCCTTTGCTGACTTTACTACTATCATTGTGATCGCAAGGCTGCTTTGAGAATGCGACTTAAAGTGGTAGAAGAGCCCGTGCAATCCAGGAGAGGGCCTTGACCTTATCAAATTAAACTTAGTGTATAGTTTCTTTCCAACCTCTCACTTCCTGGGATCTCTAGGGAAGAATCGTAGTATACTATAGGGACTCGTGGCTCGACAGACCTAGCCTTTTACGAGTAGCCAAAGTCTGATAGATAGTGAAATCTCGACTATAGCATGAGTGGAATGAAGTCTTTCGACTGCTTTGGGCCTCCCGCGCGTGAACTTATCTCCATTGGTCATGACCTATAGCTATGTCCTCACGTCACCTTCTCTTCCGACCCCGAAAAGACACGAAGAAATGGGAAGGTTTAGGTGAAATGGCCTTACCTGAAATTTCTGCAACGTCAATGAATAATTACTGATGGTCGAATATGCTGCACCAAGTCCGTGGCAGAATGAAGAAGCTTCCGTGGCAAAGCGGCTCACTCTACGGAGTACAGGAGAATCTCCCTCTAATTTGGTCCCATGGGAGAGATCCACTGAGCCCTGGCCATCTGATTAGATCTAGCCTATAGTTATCACGATTTAAGATTCTGGAACATATCACTTCGACAAGGATTAGATAGTAGCGTGTTATCCAAGGCCAGTGATGTATAACAGCTGCAAGGTGTGTTTTATGTCTTGGGATCTTCAACAAATTTCAAGTGGCTCCTTCACATTGCTGTTCCGTTCTATATATTTGGCTATATTTGCAGAAGGTGTGATGCTTCATTTCCACCAACCTGATCATTACATTAGCTATATTGTCATGTGTCAGATTTTTACTTCCGTCGGTGGTACCATTTTCATTATCATTGAGCAGCTGGCTATTTGGCTGCTTCCGATCACCAGTATGTTGCAAGCGCTCTGGTATTTTGAACGTCGCTGGAACTTGGCGAATGGATTGACGCGAACACCTGTGCTGGATTTTGCACTACCAAGTACTATCCGGCTTTTCTAGAATATCTTCCGCAATCAGCTATGTCAAATATTGACCTGATCTCGAGGATCTACCAACACAGCTCGGCCACCCTGTTGGAAGCACTACAAGAGTGGCTATTGAGAAATCGTATGCCTATGTTCAGATGAAAATACTTGTTGTGCGAGCTGGTGTTATGGTTCTGCCTTTCGCTTAGACTCTTCAAGATCAAAAGCATCAATCTCGGCGAGGTCAAACAGGTCAAGGTTACGTTCTTTTGAACCACTAGTTTTTGACGGACTGTGCATCTTTCAAGACCAGCTGAGCATTTGTCGCGCGTTATGATGCTGTATTAAATCATATCTAGCATTTTGTTTCTCTTTTCATACCCAAACATTGTAAATGTCAAGACAAATATCCCGAGCGCACCAAGTAATCCTGAGCTGTATCAACTTGGAGCGTACATGTAACGCTTTGAATTTCGGAAAATTAGTACTGAAGAAACAAAGAAAAAAGTAGATCTCATTGCTGTCTTTGATCCCACATGAAGGCATCTCAGAACACTGACAAGCAGGAAGATGTCAAGGATTTCAGTAGGCGCGCTTCAAGTGCCTTCTTTCCCAGCAGAGAAATGACGCTTGTGAGTCGAAATCAAGCAGGAGCAAATTTGTGTCAAGGGGAGGAATCAACATTCAATGCCGACAGCTATATTACGTAAAAATGGCCTTGACAGAAGACTTGTGATGTGGGTGCCATGGCTGGTCAGGGTGTTAGCCAGGGGTGCCTAGGGAATCTAGGACTGGAGTGGGCATTATCGAACGCTTCAGGAGGGGGGATCCTCACCAATAGCCGAATCTAATCAGGGTTTTTTTAACCATGGACTCGCCACGGTATATAGGCGCCAATTATTAACTTTTATCCAGGAAAATTAGCCCAGTGGCCTTCATCAAGATCCAACAACCCCTTCGAGACAGCCCCATATCTTGAAGACTGTGGAGAATTATTGCTCCACCAGCATTTCGCTTAGAGCAAAACATGAGCAGATTATGGGGGGTGGGGGTATAAGCCACGTGTGGTCTAACTGGCCCTGGCAGGGGTTGTTGCGAAGGCTCGGCCCTTGATACCTAAAAAGGATGGGGGCGGGGCCTTATCAGATCGCTCGAGGCATTGGAAATGGGGTCTCGGGCCAAGCATCCGGCGGAGTCACCCGCCGCTGGTACTATACCACAAGTGGTATCTTACGTAGTACTACCGCAATAATACCCGTATCTTACGATGTATATGACAATTAGACGATACAAGATCCGAGACCCCCTTCGGAAGACAAGAAATGTAGCCTTAGAGAACAGAAAACTCTGCTCCATTCTTTTTCCCTTCTTTCCGATGGAGACTCTGGGAGAGAAGGAGAGAATGTTGTTGCGAGTCTCAACCAGAGCAACGAACTAGTTAGAAAAAATGCCAATAAAAATAAAAACGCCAATACTCGGAGACCGAGCGCTCCATGGCTCCAATGATGCTAACTCCGAGAAGAGACCCATGGATGTATTGCCAGGCAGCATGGCGAAGGATTCGAAGAAAAAAGACACTGTTTGACAGTAATGGCGTTCGGGCCCCTCCATTAGCAGCATGACTGAATGTTCCAGCACCCAATGGAGATAATAATCCTCCAGCGCCACTATCTAGAGCGTGTCGGCTCTGTATAGAGTCTTTCTTTCTAATATTCTCCTCGGTTTCACTTTACCATCTGCGACTCTTTCTGATTTCCATCACTCTTCATAATCTGTTTCGACTACCTACCAAGTTATCTTAATTCTGAGCTCCCATCACTTTGCTGTCGACCTCGTGATCCCTAACGTGTATACCTCTATCTTCGCTCTTTGTCGATCACCTCTAGGCAGCTAGGCTTTCTCGAAAGGACTGAGTGCCCCGAAGCAGCACGTCTCTATCAAATTCTCTCTAGATTGGTCTTGAAATCCGAATGCTTTTCGAAAATCTACGTCCTAGACGAGACTGAATGGAGAGCTATTACGGTCGTGTTCGTACCTGTGCGGATGCCATTCTTCTCTTCCAAGCCTCTCAGGATGGCACGTTACCACGCCTTCAGAGACGATTATCAGAAAAAGAACGTCAATCAATCAGATCTGGTTCGGTATTCATATGGGACGAGCGTGAAGCAGGCATGAGAAGGTGGACCGATGGCAGACCATGGAGCTCAAGCCGTGTGGCAGGCAGATTCTTGACCTACCGTGAAATGGAACGTGATGTACATGGTCGCGATCCGGTTCAAAAAGGAGATTTCCGAGATGATAGAACCAATCTTCGATACAAGCCGACTGGCCTCACGAAACAGTCGTTTAGTATCACAGCATCTACTGGTCATCGACTGCACCTCATCAGCTATCATTCTGAATCTAACCCTTTCTTCTCTGAACTGCAAATCCCTACCATCGACCCTGGTCTACGAGATACTCTTCCTCAAAAATCGTTCTTTCCTCCAACATTGGTCAACGATTTACAGAACTTCGCCGTCTTCGCTCGTGAACAAGCCGTGGCTACAAATTTAACCAAAGGTGATCTTACTGAAAGGCACCCGATACCCCCCGCTACAAGGGCATCAAATCCTCATATTCCCCTGTCTCCCATCTCTTTGGCCGCCAAACCGGCCTTTCATGAAACAACACCATTGTCTCCAGTGCTTGTAGCATTGGAGCATCCACAACATGGATATCATCAGCTACCTTGTCCGCATACTGCAACACCAATATCGTCCAAATGTGAGGAGGATGATATCTCTTCAAATACACCTTGGCCAGGATCAGGTTTCATCAGGCTCCCGTCTCTGACACATCTCTCACAATCTAGCTCACAATGTGAGTCACCTCTATCAAAAAATATACCGCGATATGATAGGCCGGAGAACACAATACCTTCCTACACAAAGTTCCCGGCCCTTTCCCACATCCTGTCTCAATAGTTTCAGTATCTATACATTTGGAATGTCTTTAACGCTATCGGTGGGATGATTTTTTTCGCAAGCCTTTGAGATTTAAGTTCGCATGATTCATGTCATAATTTTGAAATTCTACTACAGATTCCACAAAACAGGGCTCATCAAATTTCAGCCAGTAGCAAAATCCGCCAATTTATGGATATATACTCCACTGCGAGCGGGCGAACTTAACACGAAATGAATTCAGATCAAATGGATACGCAAATACAATAAAATATCAGCTTCCCTGCGTATTTAATTCTGAAAATCCACGTCGCTCGCAGTTGTCTCGGGAGATCTGAATTAGCCAGATTAGAATAAGCTCATCCTTTGTCCAATATCAGAGATACAGCGACAAAGGCCTACTTCCGGATGATTTCTTTGTGATCAATAAATTCGGGTTCACAATTGCTTTATTTCAGAAGTCACTTCATTGTCATATTAGTGGGAATAAAGCAGCTCCAAGACATATCTGCTCAATTCAGTCTATCAAATAACACCGAGACGGGAGATATCAGCTGTCCTGCCTTCGAGGCATACTATATAAGTTTCATTTGTGCCCCGATTTACGTGGCAGACTTCTTCCCCATAGCCTTGTGGCCTTCTTTCAAACGCAGCCTTCTCGCAAAAATCGAAACTCAATATTTTGTGACAGTATTCAAATCTTCGACACAGCTATGGCAATTACCGACAGCATTTTCGCACGGACTGGTGACTTGGGACCACAAAATGATGCTGATGGAGATGATTCGTCCGACTCAATGGAGTGGGAGTCGTCGCCCTCACCCTCCATGGACTCGGGTACACATTTGGAAGAGTCTACAATGGCTGACATTTTGATGGATATTGACGAGCCTGAACCCGAGATCGTGAGCGGCCTCGTATCTCGGTCAGCCGTTGAGAATAATTGCGCTTCCATAGACTTCAGTATCCCATCTGCCGTCGGCTTTCCGATCCGCCTCGACACCCCCCATCTCTGGACAACCCCAGACCTCCGTTCCAGTCGAGACTTTATGGTAGCTCAGCTTGGTGAGTGTGAAAATCTTCTCTTGGCTAAATGTGAGCTTCGGGTCGTCACTAACATCCTTCATGACGTGCAGCACCGGCTATCTCAGTACGCTCTTGCTATTCACAGAGCTACAGTGGAGCAATCCTTCATCACAAGAGCTTGCTCCTGGTCACGGTGGGGAGCAATCAACAATGCCATTGAAATGAGGGCCGCTCTTTTTGAGCAGGGCAACCACCAAACCTCGGCACATTTCCTCCGCATGGTACGTATTTCCCTGGGACGACTCATCGTTGAAGTCACCTCGTGTCCTCAGCAAGAAGAGACTGACACGATTGCCATCGATTTCGAGGTTATGGCTCGCATGGAGTCCACGTACTGGAGACTTCGTCAGCACGACCTGGATGTCATGATGCGGATGGTTCTCCCCCTTTCGAGCCCCCTGAGCAATCTGCTCGGCTCGATGAGCTGTATAGCATTTGGTGTCGACTGAATGAGCCATGTACCGGATGCAATTGCTCTCAATGCAGTTGGCGCCGCACCCATATCAGGTAAGTTGGACTATCTGTGTTCCATTGTAAGCTCTCGCAATCATGATATGTTCTGTCTTTCTAGATCAAGACGGACTTGCATGGTTCTCAGAATAGATTGCAAATTATCAAGAAAATGAACAAGTTCTGCATCAAATCACAACGAATGAAATGCTTCTCCCCCCCCGGTAGAAACATCTTTGTGGCAAATTCAGTAAATGATATAGGGAAATATGTAATTTTGAAAGGCAAGACAGCCGAGATAGGCAAAGTTGATTGTAAATTGATCAGCTTTCCAGCTGTATGTCGGGCTGTAGCTTTGAATCCTCATGTTCATTAAAAGCCTTCTCGGCCATATGGAAGACAAGAGTCAGAAAGATATTCAACGAACGGGTAGTAGTAATACATAGAAAGGGCTTCAATAGGGGGTATAGTTTCTTCGGAGCCCAATTAGTTGAAGACAGTCCGGTCCATATCTGAAATTCTAATGCATGTCTGACACCGCTAGGCATCTTCGTCCGACACCTCTTCTATCTCGACTGAGCGCAGCTCCTGCTTGAACCGCCGCTCCTCCTCCTCAAGGGACTGATGTTCATCCACCGTTGTGGATGTTTGATCTGCTTGGGAACGAGCCTCGGCTCCTGTAGTGCCAGCAGTATATCCAGATTTCTCAAGCTTATCCATTTCTTCGGGTTCCAAAAGTTTTCCTTGGCCTTTGATGGACTCCTGTTTCATGCGCACCGCCGCGGGCACAAATTTGTTGATAGCCTCCTGCCGCAAATCCCGGATCTCCGGCTTGGCTTCGTAAACGGTCTTGGTTTCAACCGCTGGCGGTCTAGACGGTAATGCATGCGGGCCCCGACGCTCCGATCCTTGAGCATTTACCCCCGGGCCTCTCTTGGGCTGGAACTCGCGAGGTATCGGCGGCGGTGTATCGCGCGGCATGGGGATCCGTCGCACGCTCTCGTCTGTGTCACTGCCATCGCTTTGCTCCTGGTGCCGCCGAAAGTCCAAGTCTCTCCTCCGTTTCCCTAGAACCCTGTCTCCTCCATCCTGTCGGGGCCCGCCTCGTTCCCCTTGGTTAAATTTGGGCGCCTTGTCGCCCAACGCTTCCCGAGCTTTCAATACCGCCCGTAGATCGCGCTCCAGGGCTTCCAAGACCTCCTTGTCACGCGGCCGCAGCCGCTGGCCCGTCTCTTCCATCGCCTTGAGATCATTGATCTGCCGCTGGAGCCGGTCCGGGTTGCGGCGCGCGAGCTTCTCATTCCGGCGCGCAAGCGCCTCTGCTTTGCCCTTTTTCAGCGACTTCTGCTTCTCTTGTTTCCGCTGCGCCGCCGCAGGGTTCATGGACCGCTCCTTGTCTTTGGCCATCTGGACGAGCTGCTACGCCCGTTTGGGAATCGTAGCTGCAGTTAGGGTCAGAAATCGCGGGGCAATATCGCGGGGCAGATTTCTCCACTGATCCACCTAGCACCACACGCAGGGGTCTGTTGGATAATCTCGGAGGGATTATGATGCACCAGATGTCGATCCCCGGCGAGTCGTGTAGTCAGCTGCCCCAACACCTGGATCGATCAGGTCTTGCTTCCAGTGGGCTCCCAGGCCGAAATGTCTCCGATGTGGGACCGGGTCTCGCTTTCTTGAACTTGAATTGCGGCGGTGGGGGTAGGAGGAAGGGCGCAGGAATGGCGGAAGAGTTGTGGACGGAGAGCGCGAGGCTAGAGCTCGCGGATGCAAGAGACCTGCAGGAATACGTGATCCAAGCGTCAGTGCTCCAATCACTCGGGGGAATCGCGTCAAGTTGGGCCGTTGGGTCAAGAGGAATCTGCAGAACGAGCACGATCTGGGTCCAGCCCGGGGCAGTGACTGGGCAATGGGGGTTGATGCGCACCGGCTTGGAAAGTGAAGTGCGAATCCCACGCTGTGGATGTCGGGTGGGCGCGCGTCTGGAAGTCAACTGTCAGCCCTTCGGTCGTCGCGTCGGTGCCAATGGCGAGGTTTCCGGTGTCGTTGCTTCAGCCTCACGGTTTAGGCAGCGGGTCGGGATCTGCGTCTGATTGGACTGCGTAGCCGGGAGGGGAGGGGAGCAGGCGGATGAGGATGAGTCCAAAGAATCGAGAAATTGGAGAATCGTAACGTGTACGTTGCCAGTCGCCGGCCCAAGGGTGAAAGTTTGGCGAGAGAGAGGTGGAAGAGGTTGGATGCGCGATTTTGGAGGTGAAGAGCGAGCTCGAAAAAGCGGAGCGGAGAAGGGGATGATCCATGGTTCGGAGGTCGATTTGACGCAGGACCACCACGGAGTAACAGGCCTCGACGTATATGAGACACCGGAACATATAGACGAGAACGCGGAGGAGGATGACTTATTGACAAAGTCACAGACTGGTCTGCTAGTTCACCGAGGTTCGATTCATCTTGGTCGATAGTGGTCGATCCTGATCGATACTACAGTACGTACGTCGTACTAGTATGATAGGAATGGAGACCCACGTCTCGTAGTACAAGATAAACTATATCTTTTATATCTTCGCAATCCCTTCCTTGACGGAGTCCTTTCTCTTTCTTAGACCGCTATCTTCTGGTATTCTCAATCATCTCATATCTCCCATATTCTCGGAATTGCAAATTTCTATGTCGATCACCTCTCGTCTGGATCGATTCATTGCCTAGCGGTCCTTCCAGTCTCCTCCAAGCCCCTTGGAATCGTACTTTGGGGCTTCTGCAGGGAAGAGCCCCGAACAGGGAACAAGGCGATCAAGAGCCGCCTCTGAGGGGGAAATAGACGAAGGGGAAGCTGGACTTCCCGTCACATCGACTCGACTTTCGCGCCTGAGATTGTTTTTTCTCTCTTCGCTTCCAACGCCGCATCCCCGTCTGCCTATCTTCTGTCTTCGGTGTCGTCCTTTCGTGTCCTCGAGGTATCAGAGTTCCCAAACGTGCTCCCTTCGTTTCGCCTCCGACTGTTTCTCGTCCAGCCATTCGACCGAGCCCCAATATAAAATCCTCGGCTTCCCACTGGCCGCAACTCCTGTTTCGGTGTAACGAGGTTCACGAGCCGCGGTGTGGCCGCCCACCACACCACCATCACCTCCTCCTCCTTTTGACTGCCGTCCTCTTCACCTCCTCTTCTCTCCTGTCCCGTCCTTTTTGCCTCTTCATGCTACGGTCTCCCCTCCCGAGTCGCTTTCTATTCTAGCGCGAACTCTTTCTTTCCTCCCGATACACAAGCTCCTGCGGCTGCGCTGCTGCTGCCGTTGCAACTCCTCTTCTCCCCTCCCCTCCCCCCTCTCCCCTCCCCTCCATCTGCCCGATCGACTGCCGACTACCATCATCAAACCCACCAATCCGACCGTGACCCGCCCCTCCACCATGACCTGCGGTCCGTTCGGTCTCTCATCGAGTTTAATCGGCGCTTCATAGACTGTTTGTCGGAGCATGTCTCTGCCGGGACCAAATGTCCGTCTCAGCAGCCTCGATTCCCGACACTTCGCTTGGCCTCACCTCGTCCGAAATCCAGATACTCCGACAGCAGCAACAGATTGCTCTGCAGGGCGGCCATGCCGGCAATGGAATGTCTCGGGGCCGAGGAACGGGGCGAACCAGCAATTCCAGCTCACGCGCAACCAGCGCCGCCAGCAGCCAGGGCCGCTTGCTGCTGGACCCGATGAGCCTGCGCGCCCTGTCACACCAGCTGGACAATCTTCAATCTCGAATCCGCCACCACATAGAAGATGTATGATGACCTCTTTCCCTTTCTTGCATAGAACCTCATTGTTCTGGCCAAACACGAGATGGCTGTGTCACCCGAACTAATCTGGCCCGCGACTTGTTATAGTTAGAACAAGAGATGCAAGAATCGATCGCCCGCACCTACGACCGCGCCGGCAATGTTATGCGTAACGCGCAGGCGGAGATCGACCTGACCCGTCGCATTCTCGCCGACATCGACGACCTGGACAATGAGCTGGCCAAGATCTCTCACATCCGTGATATCGTCAAGGGCTTTCGCGCCCGCATCGAGACGCTGGATCATCGCATGGACCATTACCCATCCGTTCATCGCTCGAATTGTTATCCATCCCCGACACCAACATCAACGCGTACTTCATTCTCAAGCCGAAGTCCTCTCTCTTCCCGCCATCCTCCCTCCTCTTAACTCCGAAGACCCAGAGGGCTGATGCCTGACGTGATGGCCCTCCTCCCTTTCCTTCCTTTTTTCCAACGCTAAGGGCGGCTGAACCCAGCCAAACATCCCTCCCACACCCTCTACATCGATCTTCCGACATGAGCTCGCGCAAAATCCGAGTCAACAAAACATCGAAACAGAAAATAAAACCACCCAAATATACGAGTATGGTCCTCACGGACGCCCTTCGCTTGAACTCCCCTGCAATTGACTTTTCTCCCATGATTCTTGCATACTTGAATTTTCGACAGTTGATTTTAAGAGAACTGCATAAATGCCTCGCGGCACCTTCAGTCCTGGTCACACTCAGCTGAGCCGGCGACTTGATGATTGCAGTATACTGGTGGCGCTGGTCTGATTTGATTCCTTTGTCTGGCCTCTTGTTTCTTTAGGAGCTCTTGCGCAATCTCTTTCTCAGCCACTGACTGGCCTTGTTTTTTTTTTTGACTCTTAACGACTACCATGATCATGGTTCTTTAATGTGTTTTGTTTGCTTTTCATCTACTGTTCTGGGCGCATAAACACGATCTTGTTCTTTTTACTTTGTCTTGCTGAATATGTCCCACAGTATCTATCGTGTGGTTTCGATTCCCCTATTTGCATGCTTTTGTATATTGATTCAGGTTGTTACGGCCCTGCCGTGGCCATTGTCTGACACAAAGATGATCCCAGATTTGCTTTTTCAGAACTGCTTCTCTGTAGCCGAAAGTAGAGCCGGCTACCCCAAATCTCCTTGAAAATTACATGTGCATTAGACAAGAGGATCCGGCGATGTCTCTGCCTCAAAAATAGCGCACGGCTGCTGCACTGCGCCGCTTGCTTTGTATTTGGCAGCGAGATCAACCTGCGAACCGACGATCTTTGTGTGGGGTTGAATAGGGTTCAGGCGCACCTCCGGTCCGTACGCTTGAAACGGTAGAAATTTGTTTTCAGGGCAAGTCATCCACCTGGACTTAATTTGAATAGCCGCAAATGAACTCTGCGATTGGCTCCGTTTCCACGCAGGTCGTGAGCCACATGATGCCCGCGGGCGCGAACAATCGCCTGGGCGAGTTAAATTACGCTCGCCCCGCATTCTTGTGCTCATCATGTCAAGAGCACATGTCATCAGGGTAGGCGTGCCTTGCTCCTCGGCTCAACCCATCGGTTTCAGCGACTTTGGCGGGATGATGCTGTTGAGTTTGGAGTTGAATCAACCGAATCTGATCCACTCAAGGTTGAGATAATAGAATGGTAATTGCCTGGAAAACTGCCTGGATGATTTCATGAGTCATCGACTGATTCCTGTTGCTTGGACAGGTGACGACGCTCAGGGAGCTTCTTGCTGCGCTTCTCTGTCTGAGGAAATCGCTTCTCAGTGCCGCAGGCCAGGCAACGTACCACCTTTACGTCTGCCCATGGTTTCTTCTGGCCTCGACTATCATTCCGGATCTCTTGAATGCAATTCGCTCCAGGGATGAGAGAGGCGTCGCAACGTTTGCAGAATGACCGCTTGACTGGGATGGCAAGACGAGTCTGTGTTTTCAACGACACACCACGCATCTGGGATACATAAACCCGGGATATATTCGTCAACGGTTTCTGAATAGAATGCTGACTGGTGGGATTTGATGCGGACTTCACATCTTCTCTTTCCGAGGTAATTTGAGGCGCTACCTGCTCTGTAGCTTCATGATTCATAGCTGCATTGCAATATTTCGTGCTGAGATCTGCTGCAGTTGTCCGCTGCAAGTGAGCATTCTGGAGAAAGTTTGCTGCTTGCTGCAGATACTCCAGTCGAGCTCTTAGGTGGCTCTTTGAGTTTTTGGCCTCCTTCGGAGCTCGTACCTTGGCCATTTATTTTTCCTCTCATGAACCGAGAATTCAAGTGAAAGCCGAACGCTGCAGTGTACCAGCCTGCACCAAGTGGAACCAAGTTGAACCAAGTTGGGGTCGGAATTGGAGCAATATTGAGGTGGGAGCAAAATCGCCCCCCCAGTGGCACTAGTCCCAATGCAGCCCGTATGTGCCTATCACGTGATCACGTCTCGTCTTCACTTCGGCGCCATCCCTCGTAGCCGCAATCTCCCCTCTCTGTCATCTCTTCGCTCGTCGACCTTGTCCCTGTCCCCTGCTCAATTTTTGAGGGACTTTCATCTATTACTGCTCTGACTGACCCTTTGATCTCCATTTCCTCCCCTTCTCATCACCTGTCCTGACCCTTGAGCTGCTTCCATTGCGAAGAAGCGCCCCGACCAACTCTCATCTCTCAGCCTCATCACTTCAGCCAAAATGTCTCACGAAGAAGATCTCATCGACTACTCCGACGAGGAGCTGCAGACCACCACAGCCCCCGCGGCCTCCGCTGCTCCTGCTGCGTCCAACGGTGATGCAGACAAGGCGGGCGACCTCACCGTGTCTGGTGGCCGCCCTGACAAGAAGGGCAGCTATGTCGGCATCCACTCCACCGGTTTCCGCGATTTCCTGCTGAAGGGTGAACTCCTGCGCGCCATTACCGACTGCGGCTTCGAACATCCATCGGAGGGTTAGTCTAACATTTCTCCCACATGCCTTCCTCCATTACTCCAAAGCTTCAACGTCCGTCCATCTCCTCGGGAATCCGGTATTGGCATTTTGTCATCCTCGAATCTGCAGACGACATGAGAGGCATCATTGTTGTGGGACGATGGTATATCCCTTCTGTCTCAATTGGGCTATCCCGACTCTCGCGCTGCGGGAAAGTCATTACATATGACAGAATGCCATGGCTACGGTCGTCATTTTACTTCCACTTCTGGTTTCCTTTTTTGCTTGTGGGCACTCGGCGCCTCACAGTGGAAAACAATGCGATCTACCTCTCTAGCATCACAATGATAGACGTCCCTCATGTCGTCTGCAACCCCAAGATTCCAGGCTCAGGAATTTTTCTTATCTCCTCTCTCATATATGGTTCCCTCTTGAAGCTCTGTTTAGAAGCCATGGAATTGACGAGAGATACGGGAACAAAGGCGAACATCTCGCATATTCGGTTTGGGTGTGAGGTTCCGGGAGATGGATGGACGAACATTGCGACGCGATCTGTTTTTTGCTGCTTCATCTTGAATCGAAACCAAGTCTAACCACCGCTCCGCCTCTCCACAGTCCAGCAAGTCTGCATTCCGACTGCGATCCTCAACGTCGACGTTCTTTGCCAGGCCAAGTCTGGTCTTGGAAAAACCGCGGTCTTTGTCCTCACCACTCTGCACCAGCTCGAGCCCGTTCCTGGCGAGTGCTCCATCCTTGTGATGTGCCACACTCGTGAGCTCGCCTACCAGATCAAGAACGAGTACGCCCGTTTCTCCAAGTACCTTCCCGATGTTAAGACTGCCGTCTTCTACGGTGGTACTCCCATCCAGAAGGATGTCGAGGTCCTGTCCAGCAAGGAGACCTACCCCAACATTGTTGTCGCCACTCCTGGTCGTCTGAATGCCCTGGTCCGTGATAAGAAGCTCTCTCTTCGTAATGTCAAGGCTTTCGTTCTTGATGAGTGTGACAAGATGCTCGACCAGATTGGTAAGTGGTTATCCAGCTGCGCTTGTTCCAAGGAACACCTTTTGACACTCATCTGCCCCTGCTGCTAGATATGCGCCGCGACGTTCAGGAGATCTTCCGTGCCACCCCCGCCGACAAGCAGGTCATGATGTTCAGCGCCACTCTCTCCCAGGAAATTCGCCCGATCTGCAAGAAGTTCATGCGCAACCCCCTCGAAGTCTACGTTGACGATGACACCAAGCTCACTCTGCACGGTCTGCAGCAGTATTACATCAAGCTCAGCGAGCAGGAGAAAAACCGCAAGCTTAACGAGCTTCTGGACAACCTGGAGTTCAACCAGGTTATCATCTTTGTTAAGAGCACTCTTCGTGCTAATGAGTTGGATAAGCTTCTGCGCGAGTGCAACTTCCCCAGTATTGCAGTCCACTCCGGTGTCAGCCAGGAGGAGCGGTAAGTTTGATTCTTCCAGGCTTGGTAATGCAATCTATGGACGCGCTGCTGACAACATGGTTTTAGTATCAAACGCTACAAGGAGTTTAAGGAGTTCAACAAGCGTATCTGCGTTGCCACCGATGTTTTTGGCCGCGGTATCGATATTGAACGTATTAACCTGGCCATCAACTACGATCTGCCCGCCGACGCTGACTCCTACCTGCACCGTGTCGGCCGTGCCGGTCGTTTCGGTACCAAGGGTCTGTCCATCTCCTTCGTGAGCAACGAGGATGATGAGAAGGTTCTGAAGGATATCGAGAAGCGCTTCGAGGTTGCTCTTCCGTATGTACTCCTCTATTTTATCTCATCTTCATTTGAGCATCCACACTGACCATCCTATTATAGTGAGTACCCCGAGGGCGGTGTTGACTCGTCTACCTACATGGCTTAAACAACCTTCGATGGTGCTATGTGGTGACGGGGCTGGAGGCTTCCGTTACTTGTTCCTTTTTCCTTTTTCTCGCTTCATTTTTTGACGTTTCGATATGGCGCAAATAGTAGCTCGGCTATGGTTTTCTTTTCGCACGGGTCTCTGCCGGCAGTCAAGTAGAGCTCACCTTGTATGTCAAAATAAGAATGGATTCAAAATGCCCGAAGACGATCCGAATTAATTTTAGTGCACTAAGAGACTCGGTCTTTTATACCTGCGCCTGCAGGCCTCAAATGCGAAGCTGTATAGAGACACTGGTTTGAATAACCATGACGTTCAAACCTAGGCTAGGATATATGAATAAATATATAGTACATGGCAAGGAAAACATTCAATCAGATTTAGAGGAACAACTCCCGATCAAAGAGTTGTTTAGCATACTCAAGACATATATCTCATCGCTAGTTGTGGATAGTGTCTATTTGACGCGAAGGGCTTTATATTTCACTCTTATGTATCTAGAGGTAGCTTCATCCTCCATCTTTCCCCTTTCTCTCCCCCGAATCCCTGCCTTATTCTGATCCCTAATGAGTTACCACAGCTGGCTGGGATGATGATATCTAAAGAACGAAAATATATCAAAAGCTATCTTATTAGACCGCCGATGACGCATTATCCGGTAAACCGTAGTGTAGACCATTTAAACCAACTAGCAAATCAACAGGAGGATAGAACACAATTGGGGTCAAAGGGTCAATGTCATCACTACTCGTTCCTGGCTGAGCAAATGCCTCTAATGTCAATCCATCCAATGGAAACCATCGGCTTTGTTGCAGGGTCTGCAACGTCCGCGACTCCATCAAACTATTTGACTCGTACAAAGCGGACATCGCGCACACATCCCGGCCTTCACCTTTTCAACGAGAAAAGTCGACCTAGCAAGGCAACTAACTACAGCCTCCCAGACGGACTATGTGGCCCCGGCCAAGCCACCTCCGGTGGAAACTGGGGGCCAAGGTCGACGGATCCCTGCCCAACCGGTGGACTCTCTTAGCCCGGACCCTGACTCAAAAGCTCTACCGAGCAATGCCGGGCCCCCTTCATCTGCCCCTGCAGCACTGCTTGTAGAGTCCTCGTCGGAACCTCCTGAAGGCTGAAGCTCTGATGTGCAGCGCCGCGGTAGCACCTCGTCGAGAACCCTGGACAAGATTCTACGTTGGGCGCCGGGTGGAGGTTGGGCTGGCTTTTGGGTTGATCTACAGTGCGTCACCGGCCGTGGGAGATGAGATATCAACCACTCATGAAGTCAGGCTGCAGGGCCTCATCCCTCCCCCCTTTTCTAGCCTGTTCTTGCATCGGGGGATAATGACAGCTGTCAGACTAGTGGACAAGGAAAAGCCGCGAACTTGGGATGGCTTGTAGGCAGTGCTCGAATCGAGGGTATGCAATGGGCGATCGCGGGTGCTGTGGTGACTCTGATTCGGCATGAACGACTGGGATTAAGGTTCGAGGTGAAGACAGCTCCAGCGGGTTTGGTGATGGGGGATCGGCGAGCAATTAGATCAGAATTCCTTTGTCTCCGGAGGAAGAGACTTGAGAGTGAGACTGGAAAGGTCTGGGGTTATTTTGGCGTGCCCCTACGGTCATGTCTATCTATGCGTCGTTGGAGAGGATACATTGTCGGGTGTGTAGATGTATGGATTATATCGTTTGAGGCTGGGTCGATTGCAGCGGCAGTAACTCAGGGCAAGATACACCCGAAGACAAAATACAGCATATGGCCTGGCACACAGAATTATTCATGCACACTCTGCAGGTGCTGTCCTGAAGTTTAGAGCTGGGTTGGTAGATAACGGCGTTGAATCGAGAACCGATGGAATCGCAAACCAACCGCAGGAGGCGGGTCCCGTCGTATACACTGTGCATTATAGTGCCGCGTCTCGGAACCTCATTTAAATCCCTTCTCGGTTGAGAAACAATCATATGTAACATTATTTGAACATTTTCCCCTGTCGCGGATTTTCTCAGGAGATGAACCAGTGGACCAGTGAGCCAGTGAACTCCAGAATCCGGGAATCCAGAGATCGCCTGCGGTAGCGTCCATCCAAAAACAAGGCAGCGGACGGAAGCTAAACAGGCCCGTCGCAGAAAAACCCTGTCTCGGACCTCGCACCACCGAGCCTAGTGTGTCCACCCCAAATGTCCTTTGTCTTGCTTTAGCGTCGATGAGGCTTTGGTGGTGACTAGTTTCGCGGCAGTTCCTCAATGCCACGAAGCCCCCTATCAAGAAGAATCTATCTTTTCCTTTGCCTGTTTTTTTCTTTTTGCCTTTTTTCCTTTTCCCTTTGTTTTGTTTTGTTTTGTTTTGTTTATTTTTATTTTTTTCGCGGAGCGAAGGTGCGCTTACTTCGTTGGCCGTATACTCCGGGTGTCCTCTTCTTGGGGTTTCTCCTGCATGGAACTAGCCATTCGAATCCAAGACAAGAAAAATCAGAAGAAAAAAGCACGAGAGTACTCAAGGATCCGGCGCCCTCCGCACCTGCCGTCTGCCTGTCTGTTTTTTTTTTTATCTCTCTCTTTCTTTCCCCTGCTGCTGATGGGCTGCCGCCACTGCTGTCACCGACTCCATTACTAAAAGCCGAGTCGCGGAATTAGTGAGACAGGGTGCATGAGCGGGGCCAATCGCGCATTGAAACGATCGATCAGTTGGCAGATGACAATCACAATAGATTGAAATTTACGAAATTTGGAGGGGAGCTGGGATTTGAAATGGATCCTGCAGTCTCCTAGCTCCCCATGCATGAACAAGACTGACGGATGGAGGATAGGATGCGTGTGGAACAATCACTAACTGAATGGAATAGTTGAATAGTTCAAATAGATACCCTCTACTCTGGACTCTCGTCCATGCTTGTTCTGTTTGGACCAAAGCCGTGCAACGACCACCACGGAATCAGAATTGCGAGGCGGCACCTTGTGCACGTCGTACTTCGTTACTCCGTCCTCGTAGCCGGCCGTTGTCTAGGCTGTGCCCCGGTGGGCCTCGATGTCTGGCGGGTCCGAGCGAGAATTTTCTACTGGAAGGTTTACGTGCTCCCGTCTCCATGCCTCTCGTTCCAGGGCCTTCTATAGCACGGAGCGTCCGTGCTAGCAGCTAGCACACGGTGCCGATCGTGCGGTGGCTGGCCCATCCCCGGCAAAAGGCGAGAATCGTGAAATCATCGATCGCGGCATCGGGTGTTGATCACCAGCCGGTCACTTTTGGGTCCAAGGGCTAAGGGGGCCAAGGGCCTATTGTGGCTGAGTCGTTGATTTGCAGATGACAGCATAGTTCCGGCCACGGGTCATCCTGGACTTTTCTCCGGCGAAAAAAAAAGGGCAGGGCTCGTGGAGAGAGAGAGAGAGAGGAGAGAGGAGAGAGGGAGAGAGAGAGAGAGAGAGAGAGAGAGAGAAGGGGCAGCCCACTTACAGACAAACATTTGCCTGCTTCCGGCGATTTTCTGCAAACGTGGGTTCACGCGTTGACAAGCTCCTCTTTGACTCCCTTCCCCGGCCACTCGGCGGCATGGCCGCGTATGTTGACACTATGTTCGGAGGCTTGTTTGGGGACTCCACCCAAGCGGCGCGGACGCGACGATGGATTTGTGTGACGAGTTATTGGCCCCATTCCCCGACTCATCGCTTCTCCGCCTCCCACGTCGATGGGCTCGTGATAGCTGTAGCCCGGAGCGTCGTTCAGGTCATATACTCATGTACGCCGTAAATCTGGACAGAGCACCCTCATATGCGATCGTATTCGTGTTCTCGACGCTCGGGTGGAATGGGTGGGAGGAGGGGGGTTCTGGCCCGGGTCGACCATCCAGATGCAGAGGGCAAGTATGTGATTTTCTCTGTTTGAAACAGGAGAACAATGTGAGGCAAATCCTCCGACTGGGCTCAAGCGGGGGGGGGGGGGGGGAAAGCCCGCCATGGGCAATACAGAATAGACGTCTCGGACTAGGAAACTATAAAATTATGGAGCGATGGAGCTATGATGGAACTATGATGGGGGTTGCGGGACAAGTACAGTTGGAAGAAACCTCCTATGTTTCCCAAGTCATAACCACCGATCTTCAGGCCAGTGTGTTGTTGTCTTTTGTCTAAAAAAGGGAAGGACAAGCAAGAGAAAGGCAGAAAAAAAAAAAAAAAAAAAAAAAAAATCAAAGTCAAAAAACAAAAAGGAAAGAAGGGTACACAGAAACCCCGAAGAGTCCCAAAATCCCTTGATGTGGCCGGGAGCCGGCCGCAAGCAGCATTCGGCACGCGCGTCGATCATTGCTGGCATGCCGGGCTAATCAACACCGCCTCCCCCTGCCCACGAATTGGTCCCTTCAACATGCAAAGCCGATCGCTTGTGGTGGCCGAGCCCGGAATAGGGAATGAGCTCCTCTCCCCCCCATCCTTCCCCGGCCTTAGCCATGGGCCCTATGAAAGCTCTCCAAACAATCTAGTTGGTAGTTCCCGTAGTGCACTGGGAGCTCTCCCAGAGCAGGCGGTCTCTGCAAGTTACACGCGCTTCAATGCTTTGTTTCCGTCGATTTGTGTTCTTGAGTGTTTTGTGTTCGTGGAACCGCTTGAGGAACCGGCGCCCCGTTGAGTGTGTGACGACAGGTTTCTACAATCGGAAACCTGTCGGGGACGGGAAACGAGGGAAAGAGTCATAAGGGAGAGGGCGAGACGGGTCGATATGCCATCGATGCCTTGAACAGTGCTCCCCCCATACCCATAGAGTGGGGAAGGGAGGGGAGAGGGGAGTAGACCCGACTAGACTCAGACTCCTCTCGTCCTTTTCTCCCTCCCCTCTGTCGTACGATGCTTTTTCGGGGAGGGAAGGGAGGAGGGGGGCAAGGGGCTTTACTTCTGGAGGGGTTCTTTCTGGGTTCTTGGTCGCTGATTGCTTTTTTCGAGGCGCCATCCTGGGACATGGTCGAGTTGCCAACGGGACCCAGGCGTCCGACAGGGATGAGCCATTTATCACAAAGTCCCTATTATCGTGCCTGTCTCTGGCCAGATCCTCTGGCCAGGATCCTGCATCAGGATCCTGCATGGATTGTCCAGAGAGAGAGGGGGGGGGGGGGGAGGAGAGGAGGGGAAAGAAGGGAGGGAGGAGGGGGAATGAGACAGGCGCCACGATCAAGCAGGAATCATACGGGGTACAGAGTACAAGGATCGTGATCCCTCTTTCCTAGGTTAGTTGGATGTTGGCACTGGCGCTCTCTGTCAATTCCGGGGTCCTGGATCCGATAAGAAGCATCAAGCCATCAGGCACCGGCCCTGAAGAGACGAAGAGATAGCCGAGGAGCAGACCAGGAACAGCCCGATCTATAACATGTTTGGCTGTTGCCAGAGAGGAATTCCGCGTCACTTGGACACGCTCTGCGGGGAAATCCTCTAGAGGGCGGGAAGTCCATCTTCGCCAAGAGAGGTAGGATACACAATTGTCTATATCTATGCATAATGCGTATGTTGGTATGCTCAGGCCCTCGGGGCGATTGCAGAGCCGAACTCCATTCGCTCGCTTCGCCCGCATTGCCCTATCCGTCTACCATTTCATTTTGATTAGGTTGATTAAATAGATTAATTTGCCCGTCATTGGGATGCGGTTTCTTTCTGCGTGCCTCCTCTCGCTGTCCCATGCTTCTGCGCAACCAATCCGGGTCGGCGGCGGGCCGAATGCACGGTAGGCTCCAGAAAGTGGAGCGGTTGGACGCGGCCGATATACGCGTCGTAGCCTCTTGACATTGTTGGCAGGGACGCCAGATGGGGAGGTACACAAGCAACAGGCGACCCGAAGCCCTGAATAAGCGTGGGATCTCTGGTTTGCCAGGGAGATCGGGGGGATGTTTCGCCTGTCCATTTGCGGTCTCGATAGTTCGCATTGTCGCGCACCGCCGGCCTCAATGGCCCTGGGGGCGACTGGCCGATATCATGGGCCTGTGATTAGGTGCAGATCGCAGCGCATTGTAGTGTGGCTCCTGAAGTGGGGACCTGGTGGACTCCATGAGTGTTCCCTTTTCGGGGGTTCCAGGGGAAAAAAAAAGAAAAAGAAATAAAAAGGCCAGGAAAATCAAAGTCAATTTGGTTTAGAGCCAAATTCCCACGGGTTTAATTATAGCAGCACTGCCCAGCACGGGTTCCCGACCCTGCACGGTCACTCTTTGCATACCAGTCCACGATCATGCGCTCGATGGATTTCATGAGAAGCAATAGCATTGATGTTATTCATGTTATTCATGTCATTCATGTCATTCATGTCATCCACATCATTCACATTATCCATGTAGTTAATATGATTTACCTCCCCCATGTCCCATAATCTCTTTCGGTCGCAGGTGCCAACTTTTCTGGGTTTGGGGCGGAGGAACTTTTGGGGGACTCGTGGATTGCGTGGAGGGCCACGAAAACCGCGATAGTGCGGGCACTAGAGTCGTCTGTTCGGCGGCCACGTTCATAGTTCGAGGAGAGACGACCAATACGGAAACACTCTGTAGAGCGAGCCCAAGTATATGAGAGAGAAAGAGAGAGCCAGAGAGCGAGAGAGCGCGCAACATCCGATAGCAAACAGTGGTCGCCGCATCCAGTCATCCTCTTCCGTTGGCAGCTTATCGACCGTTTCCGGATCCAGCCTGGCGGGGGATCCACGACCGTTAGAGCCCCCCGTATACTCCAAGCAGACGATAGTCCGCTGCAATTGACCGGATCTCTGGCATTATTGACTGGTTACGGCGACGACGATCGAAAAAAGAAGAGGCAGGCAAAAGAAAAGACGGCCCAAAAAAAAGAAACGGCAATCGCACGCTTTCCTCGGACTCTGCTCTCGACTCTTTTCGACTCTCTTGACTCGCAACACTTCTCGACTCTGCAAATCCGCTGGAACTGGGAACTCTCAAACCGCCCAAACCGCCCAACCGTCTTCCCCCAACCTTCCTCCTTCCTCTTCTCTTCTCTTCTCTCTTTTCTCTTCCACCTCGTCACCTCTTCATCTCCTCTTCTCTTCACCGTCTCCTCTTTTCGACATTCTCCCCCTCCCCGTCCCTTCTCCCTCTCCTCCCCCTGCTTTTTTTTTCCCGCTCGAAAGGCCCGTCGACTCTCTCCCTCGTCGCTTCTCCCCTCCTCCCTTCTTTCGCCCCCCTCCTCCCACTTCTGCCTCTCCCGGCTTCCTCGATCAGTCGACATTCTGAAGACCTGAAGACCTGAAGACCTGAAGACCCGAAGACCCGAAGACCTGCATCCATCCCCCCCTCGAACCCTGGCGTAACCGGTGCTGGTGCCTTATCGGCGGCCGTTGCGCCTCTCTGGACCTCGCGACCTGGTCCTTCCCCGAACTCCGACCTTCCTGCCAGTTTCAGATTTCAACCATGGCGCCCCCTCCACGCCTGCGCATCCTGTCCGGTGAGTGTCGGATTCCCTCCTACGAGGCTCCTACGAGGCCTTGGTCAATTCTTGATTCGAGAGTCTTGGAGTTCTTCCCATCCCCCTCTACCCCCCTCTCCTCTCTTCTCCCACCACCATCAATTTCCCCAATGGAACGTCCAATAATGAAGTTCTGTGTAGTGGGTGGCAATGCGATCTCGGCCTTTCTATCCTGGCGCCTCCAGGCCACAACCTCCTGCGATGTAACCCTCGTCTGGAAATCCGGCTTCGAAGCCGTCGCCCAATATGGGGTCTCTTTCAAGTGCGTTCTTCTCCCTCTTCTGGCCTTAGTGCGAACAAGGCCTACGGAAATCGACCACAATCATCGGGATGGATATGGGATAGAGTCGACATGATCCTCGTTCCATCGGCTGGGGGATGGTAACTGACGCGGTGCATCCATCGATAGATCAAAAGCATTCGGAAATGAGCGATTCAAGCCCCGTCATGGTATGATTGATTCCCTTCTGGGTCCTGCCCCCCCCCGGACCCGCAAAAAAAAAGCCATCCACCTTGCTAATTACGGATTTTCTTTCCGGTCGTTGCAGTGGTCCGCACACCCGAAGAAGCCTCGTCACGCGAAAATGCCTACGACTATGTGATTCTCTGCGTCAAAGCTTTGCCCGACGTCTATGACCTGGCCTCCGTGATCGAATCCGTCGTCACCCCCCAACACACTTGCATCCTCGTGAACACCACCAATACCATCGGCATCGAAGCCCATCTGGAGCAGCGATATCCGACCAACGTTGTCCTGTCTCTTATCTCCAACGTCGAGATTTCTCAGACCGGCCCGAGCGAATTTGAGCACTTGAGTGCGAGCGAGATCCACGTGGGCGCGACCAACAAGCAGTCCGCCATTCCGACCTCTATCCAGAACGACATGGCTGCGGCGTTGGCCATGACCCTGAACTCAGGACAAGTCGACTGCACAGTTTCTCAGAACATTCGTCAAGAGCAGTTTGAACGGATGATTGGGTTCGTTCTTCCCCCTTCCCCTTTGTTTCTTCCATGCCGTGGGGGGAGAGAGAGAGAGGCACAATCAAAGCCCCGAGACTGTCTTGCTAACTTCTGGTCACAGCCCGATCGCATTCCACCCCGCAAGCGTCGTCTTCGATACCTCTCACCCAACCCAGCTTCTGGAAAAGCCCGGAGTGCGGCAATTGGTGACTGGTATTATCGACGAACTTTTGGAGTTGGCGACCGTCCAGGGTTGCGAATTTCCTGGCGACTTCCGAGAAAAGACAATCGAGAAGATGACCGCCGTTGATGCCCCCAGTGTTATGTTCCAGGATTTCCAGGCTCGACGCCCGATCGAAATTGAGACTTTCCTCGGCTCCCCCATCAAATTGGCCGTTGAATCGAACGTTGCCGTACCCCGAATCCAAGCGTTGTATGCGATGCTCCATCATCTGAATATTGTCAACCAAACCAAACCCCGACCAGGCGATTCCCCTCCTGCGTCCATCATGGGACACCCGCCGCCTCGATTGTCCTCCGCTCCGCCGCCCTCGCGACCGCCCATGAATGGCGCGATGCGATCGAGCCGGACGAATTCAAGTATGGGCATGCCTCCCGGTCAGCGACGAGGCCCGCCTCCTGGCATGATGCCGCGAGGACCCGGTGGACCGATGCCGATGCCCCCTCCAGGAAATCGGGTGCCCCGCGATCCCTCACTAGAGGGACTGGAGGAATTCAGCCATTTGGTGGTCTACGATGAAAGTGAAGGAGGTCCTCCACCCCACGTGAACGGCAACGGACATTTCGAAGCTGGCTCGGGCGGCCCTCCCCCTGATATCGCCTTAAGGGAACGTGAACTGGCCCTCCGTCAGCGAGAGTTGCAAATTCGGGAACAAGAAATGGGCATGGGCATGCGGCGAGGACCTGGCCGTCGTGGACCCCCACCTCGACAGGCTGCGTTTGATGAGGAAGATGAGGACTATTTTGACCCGATGGACAACATGGCGATCCCTCATATCGATCCGGATCAAGTGGACATGATGAGCATCACCTCGCGCCGAGCCCGCAAGGCTCCGAGCCAGAGTCAAATCCGCCGGAACCCAGAACAAATGGGTGGCGGTCCCATGCCACAAAGTCGCCCTTCATCTTCGGCTTTTGGCCGATACTTTGGCCGCAAACGTGCGACCGACCGAGTGATGCAGGAAATTCCTGGTCTTCATGATTCCCTTATGGATAACCCCATGATGAGCTACTCGTCGAACAGATATGGGGCCGTCGATCGGAATCAGATGCATGTCGATTCCCGAGCCAATTCGTTAACCGCAAGCCACATGGGTGATTTCCCGCCGCGACCGTATCCTCAAAGCCGACGTAACAGCCAGTCGCCAGCTGCGCCATTCCCGGGACCTCCTGGCCCCCCCGGGATGTCGCGAATGGGCCGGCCGATGACCGCCCAGGATCAAAGTCTCGGACCCCCTGGTGGACCCTCTCATCATAATGGCCATCCATCACCGCCTGGAAACATGCGGACACCGGTCCCCCGGCACCCGTCAGGACAAGGCAATGGACCACAGCAGATTGAGCAACACTATGGGGTGAGCAACCCGTACCCTCCCAAGGGCCCTCCCAAGAACAAAAGTCTGACTGGAAGTGCGAGCGCCAGCGCGGGGAGTGGTGACAGCGGGGCCAGTGCCAATCTTGATTCTGAAGCATCAGCTCACAGCAGTCAGATCAGTCTCGGTGACCAACAGCAGCACGTTGCCGCTCCGCCCGTCCGTTGATCTCGCTCTACTCGCTAGATGTGATTTTTCTTTGTCTCCCCTCTCCATGAATTAAGCAGCAAGCGCTGAAGGAAAAAAAAAGGGAGAAAAACGACTTGATGTCCTCTTGTGGCATTTTTCTTCCTCCTTTTCCTCTTAAGTGGACGAGCCCGCTCAAATTGCCGGCTTCAACTCATGTTTGGACTCCTTTTGCATCATTGCGTGGTCATTCCGCGGGAGATATCGTTTTACGGTCCCCTGGAATGAGGTTATCGATTAATACTCTGCTACTCGCTTCTTTACATATACATGAGGGACATAGGGGTTTTATCGCTTATCTTTTGTCTTGTTTCCTTTTGTTTCGGAGCGGTCGGGATACGGGCTTGTACTCTTTTTCTTTACTTTCCTGCATTGATACTCATCTCTCCGTCTTTCGCCATATTGTCGATTGGCAGCCTTTTCCAAAACCACCAAGGCCTGCACCCAACCTAAACCAGAACATTCTTCTGTCTGTCCTTCCTCCTTTCACAGCATGTCGATATACTCTTTCGGGCACACCTCCCCAGTCGCAACCACTCACACAACCCTCTCGTCTTTCTGCATGACTGTATACTACCTCAACTGGCGCCTTCCTTTCCCTTTGGTCTACGCGATATCATGTGGGCTCGTATACGCTGCCTTGTCTGTTTTATTTGATTTGCGTGCTATCACCATTGTCCCCCCTCCGCCCTTGGCATATCTATCCTTTATCTGATGTTTCCTTTTTGCTGCTGTCCTGTCATTTGGCCGATCGACGTCCGCGGCCGTTGTCTTCGAATTGTCTCCCCCCCTCCCATATTTCCTTTTGTGTTCGTTCCCCTGGTCTGGTTTCTCTGGCGCATTGCAAAAAGAGCGAGCGGATTCGTTCGATTTATTCGGTTGAGTTGTCTGGATCTGGGTTGGCTGGGTTCGCGCCTGAGTGCGATCTTAATGACGGGCACGGTGTCCGATGTGGAGCTGCCCTCTGAACAGAACTCGTTTCTATCCTTCATGGAGTGCATGACTTGATAGACATTCCCCGTTATATTATTGAGGTTGCTCTCTTGGCTTTTGTGTTTGTGGTGCTCATTCTATTTCTTTCTCTCTCTCCCGTAAATGTGATTATGATTCTACCGGTACGCATGCGTTGCTGTCTGGTCCGACCCACCCACCAGCGCGGTGTATACCCATCACGTGATACTATAACCGTAAACAAATACTCCAGTCCTCAACTTGAACCTGATCGCCAACTCAATTCTCGCCCGCGAACCACAAATCCACAAACTTGCAACCCTCGACAGGAACATTGAATCCATACAACGCAACATTCCAATCCACCGGACCATCGACCATGCCCCCTCTCCCCTCCCACCATCCCCACCGCCGCACCGACTCCCAATCCTCCACCTACCCCCGCGCCTCGATCCTCCCCTCTCAATCCCAAGCCCCCGCCTCTTTCGGCACGACCAGTCATGCGTCCGCTGGCTCTACATCCATGTCCGCTGCCAAAACGCGCCAGTATGCGCATCTTCACGCCCAGCTCGCCCAGCTGAACGCCAACCTAGCGGACACGGAGAACCTGCTGCGCATGACGGCCGTCCAGGCGGGCGATATGCGCTTTTTGGGCGGGTATATCGGTGCGATGTTCATGGGTTCCGCAAAGATTTTGGGCGAGGAGGGAGTAAAAGGCAACGCGGAGGAGTTGGAGAAGGATGGTAAAAGTGGGGGGCGCGGTGGGTGTTAAGGAGGAGAGTGAGGAGGATTGAGGATGACGGTGTGTGAAAGCATTTCATGGGGGACCCGAGGGGGCAGTGGCCTTCTTGTTACAATTGTTTGGAAGGTGAGGATTACGGAATTGCTGGGTAAGATTTCTCTTTTTCTTTTTGGCTCTTTAAGGAGCCGCGAGTGGTATTTGGAGTGTTTTGGTTGTCTATCTATATGCATTGGACCCGGCTAACATTATTTACAGGCGCTTGACAGATCGGACTGACAGGTCTGCCTCATAAATCTGTTTCAAATGGACGGTGGGCGGGATTTCACTGCTTCCCATTTACTCCACCACGAATCCGCCTCCCAGTATGATCGCGGGCTCTTCGATATTGTGGTGCTCGTAGCTGCGGCGAGTTTGCTTAGCCTGTGTCTCCCTGCTTTGCTTGCTGCGCGGAAAGGTGCTCGCTTTTGCAGAGTTGCCTTTGCGAGCTGACTTCTCACCGCTATCAGAGAGAGTTCGGGTATGCGAACGTACCTGAGTGTGCCTACGCCACCGGCTTCAAGAATTAGCGATGTTTCTGTCAGTGGCTTGCCGGTCCAACGCATGGCGAAGGCGCGGAGAATGTGCCCGTGTGCAACGACCAACACGTCGCCTTTTGCGCTGTCTGGGGTTTCCAAGCAGGGCTTGTGGTATTTCTCCTTGATCTCGGCGATCAGGGCGTCGAGTCGTCGGACGACATCGTCGGGGGATCTGGGAGAGCAGGAAGTACGTGTCAGAAGAAGGCTCCCTTGCTTGAGGGAAGAAGGGGGAGGGTCTGGTCCTGCGTGGGGTATCCTAGTCGCCAGGATTTCGCAATACTCCAGACTCCGAGCCAAAGCTAGAGATACGAAATTGAGAGGTAATATCCCCAACAAAAAACACTTGAAAGACCCTTGGTGCAAATAAAGGAACGCATCGACTATCGTCCGGACACTCGGACACTCACTTACTCTCCGCCTGGACACCCGTCCGTCCAAATATTCCATGGTCCTTCCCCATTTTGTGCCCGAATTGACCGGATCTGCGCACTGGTCAGCCCCTCGTAGTCCCCATAATCCCATTCCCGCACGGCCTCCGTAATCTGCACGCGTGCTTCCGTGCGAATCGGCTCATCTTCCTCGAGATTGCGCTTCTCGTTCCAGGGAAGCCGCTCGCGGCAGCCGATCTCGAGGAGTTCGAGCGTGCGTTGCGCACGGGTGCGGGGTGAGACGTATCTATGTAGCCGCTCCATGTAAGCCGCCGAATTGTATATGGTAATTCGCGGAAGTGCCATAGGCATCGGACGAATTGAAACTAGGAAGATGAGATGTGACCGTCTTACACGTGAACGAGGTTCTTGGGCACAATGAGCCGGTCGCTGCCAACGAGTGCCTTGCCAGTGGCTTTAATCCGTTTCTCGCCGTTTGCTGTCAGCGGAAGGTCTGTTGTGCCGGTGTGGCGCCCGTTGAGGGACCACTCGGTTTCGCCGTGGCGGATGATGAAGCAGCGAGGGGCCATTGGGGCGCAGATGTGTGAAATACTGGGTTGGGGATCGCGTGGGAGAAGAGAGTCCGACTGGAACGAGTGGGAGAGTCAGCTCAATACATGCGCACAGGGACTGGGCTGCGTTGCGTCATCGAGTTGATAAGCTAATCGCCAACCTTCCCGATTGAGCGTGGGAAGTAAATACGGGTACAACGACCCGAGACTGAGTATTCTACAGGACAATCTCATTTAATTCAGGCATTCGCATATAGTATGAAGCAACAAACTGAGAGAAATAAGGGAATTGAATCAGAAAATATCGAGTTCAGAAATACAAACATGATGCAGAAAGTCGAGGGGAGAAGATAATCACTGCGAGGGAAACAGAGACATTCAGATCAATTGTGCCACAGAGAACTTGGGAGAACCTGATCATATCATAAATTTTCTTCTGGTTTTTTGTTGAATTACTTGCATGGGGAATCAATCACGACAAAGAAGACAGAGGAAAGAGGGGAAAGGAAGGGGTGTGTCGGGCTTAGCTATGGCGTTCAGCCTTGGGGACGTAGTCCACCACATTTTTAGCGGCCTTGGGGAAAGGCCTGGGAGTTAAAACTCGTGTAGCAAAGTCGGGTACCTCGATATCGATAATGGCAGGGGTAACCGATACCAGATCCGGGAAAGATGGTGGACGTCTCTTGTTCTTGGGGATATTGGGCAGCCTCAACGCGGCCTTAGAGGTAGAAACATATAGTCGATTGTGATGGTTGTTTCGTGCTGATCCTGTGTACAACATGTGTCTCAACCACGGGCCGTCCAGCCGCATGCTATATTCAGGGTCATAATCGAAATCTTTAATGATGCACGCAGTTCGAGTCCATTGGGACATCCGCTTGTTATCCGCATCGAGAATCGTCACTTCTATCTGAATGACAGGCTGTACTAGTATCTGTTCACCAGCCGTAAGGATCTGGCTAGCACCGATGATACGGATTCCTGGATACTGAGGTGGTCGACATGCACCCGTGATTCGCATCAGATCAGACTTGTAAATCATCATCAAGCCAGCTCCGGTGTCGTGCGTGACTTCTAGTTCGGCCCAGTCTCCATACCCGGGAAGACGAAAGGCACCATTATACTGATGGGTCTATAATTAGACAAGAAACAGGTTGTTTTATCTGAGAGAAAGAGGATTGCTCATACCATACTCAGGAACCTTTTAGGCCCTTCCCCGCGATGGCTATATATGCAGGTCCCTTGGGGGCTGGGTCCAGGTCCCATAAACTAAAGAACGAAGAAGGGAGTATGTTAGAGAAATATTGAGGATGTTAATTTTAGAAGGCAATCAACATACTCCCTCTACCCAAAAGCTCTTGCTTCCCTCGTATTTTTTGTTGATAGCCTCGAACTCATCCCAATCAAATGGTCTGGGTTGGGATATCTGGTTGCCATGAGACCAGTAGGTAACAAGTCCCGTCCAATCCAATTCTCCTGACTGATAGGCGGTTAAAATGGAACGAACATTTGGGATCTGCTCATATCCGTCGCCTTGCTTCTCGATTTCTTCTTGGATTTGATGTAGTCTATCTATCCTTTCAACAACGTCCCAACTGCTATGTGGAGGTGCCTTGACTCGCTTGATAAGCTCTCTGTTACGGAAAGAATTAGCTTGAAGGGGGTCAGAGAGTCAACCATAGATTTATAGAGGCCCTACATACTGCCGCCTGGCTAGAGATTTCTCATATTGATAAAGTTTTTGTTCGAAAATATGAGGCATTATATTGTCTTCAATTCGCTCATGACATCTGGAAATCTGACCATCAAAGTCACTGCTTGTGTTGAGTTAGCTGGTTGATTGATAGAATTCGTGATTCGTAACAATATACGTACCTTTCTGCAAGATCAGGCTCACTCGAATTCCAGTCTGGATACAGCGCGCGTAGTCGTGCAAGATCTGTCAAAGGTTCATCCCCATCCCACTTCCACCTCTTCTGTCTTGGGTATCGTTTCGGTTGTGGGAGCTCCTCAATTTTATAGTCACCCACATAAGACTTGTCAAGATCAAGATCTTCGAAATTGAGGATTCCTCGCGGTGTTGGGTCCCATGGTGAATCCTTGGTCGCCGATTTGCCTTGTTTCTGGATCTTTTTTCTCTGAGGCGACGTCGGTGCTATCTCAGAAGGCGCGGAAACCTTTCTTTTAAGGGAGCCAGTCATAGACCGAGTCACACGCCTGATGGACTTAGTTTCTAGCATCAATTTGGGCGGACCCGCAACCTCCAAGTTGTCGACATCAGCAAGCAGGTTCGCAGTCCGACCTTGTTGTCTATCGGATTGTCTGCTTGAAACCGATGTCTGCTGGGTAGAGGCTGAAGTCGGTCTACTCGAGTCCGAGGAGTGTCTCAACGAGTTGGACTTAGGCATCCTGAGTGGCTCGGGAACACAGAAACTAACACTGCTGATGGTTCAAGAGCCCTAAGACTACTTTTTGTCAGGACGGCAGTTAATGAAATTTGAGAAAATTTGAAAAGGATATTTCATAAGAACATTAAATATCGAGGACGAAAATCTTTTGAACAAAGACTATGGGCTTTTGAATTTGATGTATAACTTGCAGATGAACTTCTTTAAATTTCTTTCACAGCCAAGCTCTTTCTATTTTCGTATTCTTCCGGGTCCGTTTTCTTTCAAGTTGGGGCGTGGAAAGCAAACTTCAAGGCTTTTCTCTTTATTGAATGCCAACTTATTCCTTGAATCTGGAGACTGAACCAATGCCTCCAACAAAGAAATAGACTGCTTAGATGATGGGGGAAAAAAACTTGGCAAGAGGAGCCTTGATTGTGATTGATATGTCGACATCAATTCGCTCCCTTGTGGCACGTTTCCCTCTATCATCAAGAAGCCCTCTTGAAAATGGCTGAAAGGAGAGAGGTCTCGGAACAGAGGCCGAAAAAGATAGGGCTTCTTCGCGTGACTCCAAATCTGCGTCATGACGAGCGACTGCCTTAACGAATAAATTGATGGCAGGAACTGGGCCTTAGCAAAGTACATACATATATTAGGGTTAAGGGGCTCCACAGTATTCGCATTATTGGGCTTTGATCAATGGGCCACAGATTGCTGAGTGTTATTGTAATCCCCGGTCTCGCAACCGGCCCGAACATCTAATCAGTACTGGCCTCATGTTTTTTAATAGTGCCCACATACTAAGAGTGCCATGCCAATTGAGAAATGTAATTGTGAAAAGGCTACAGATGAATAGTAATATATGTGAATCCAATTTCCCAGTTTCAAATAATTGGCTGCTCGATGCGATTTGTATCTAATAGGAGTGGGATTTTGCTCAGTTGGAACGCCAACTCCAAGACGCAAAATTACGTACAGTTAGTTGAACATCTCAAGTCAGTACGATCCAGTAAACTACTCTTATATTTGAGGAGTGTGTTCAAGGTAGCTACTGTGTCCCCCTCGGGATAGTGAAACTGGAAAAGAATAACTCCGATTTGATTGACTTATCCCGTAATCTACCCACGCTAGCTAAACAGATAAAAGTTGCTGAGTAAAATTACATAAATCCTCGTTTTAGAGAAATCGCTTAGCTCAATATCACTTTACAAAGCAGAGTGTAGACACCGACGCGCGTTTTCTGCCCCATCCAGCGGGGGAGGTGGAACCATGGACAGTATGGAAATGCAAGCCGCGTGAGAAGCTCCCGACTGGAGTTTAACAAACTGATTACACAAAAAGGAAATGATAGCCAAGAATTGGCCAGAAAAAATTTCGCATTTGTCAAACTCACCGAAAGGATCGAACTCTACAGTGTCTCAACCCGGCCAGGTGCTTTTTTATATACCGAATCGTTGTTAGTAATACAAGATTTATGATTTCGTCATAGAATTCTCACTCTCAAAAGAAAAAAATTTGAATGAGTATGATGATGAGAATTTAATGCCAAATGCTAGAAAATTCTGGTGTATAGAAAAGAGCTATGTCTTGGCTGGCCTCTGTTCCTGGCCCGATGATCCGGCATTAGTAGATGTCCTTACTCAACAAATCCTTCTAGAAAGGCTACGGAATTTTAAGTCTCTAGGAATTGTGGACACAAGAGGAATTAAATCACAAGATAAGGCACTGATTTTATCAATTTCCATCGCAAACGTGCGGATTTATCGGGGCCCCGGGGGGTATGTGCCGGCCCGGTTGACTGCGCCGGGCCGGGAAGAGCATGGGGAGACTCGAGGACGGTTTGCAACGGAGAACGCTAGCCATATTCAGGAGGCGGTGTTCTCCAAGTTGACATGCAGAAACTTAAATCGGAAGGATTATATAATCATTCACCATCGCCTCCGTTAGTCTGTCGCTTATTTCTTCTACAGAAAATGGACATAGATATGCGATATTTGCTACAATTTAATATGATGTGATTTGTTTGTCGTGGCTAGGCCTCAAGGTCATAATTCTAGAAAATTTCCATCCTATTTTGCTCTGCGCGATCGAAAATTCCATAGAAACCAACGGTTCTCTTCGGCCGGGCGTCTTTACCCTATGTAGGGTCCAACGCCACGCGCCAAGAAAAAAATATGGGTCAATATGCCTTCAGTTTCACCGAACTCCACGTCTCCTGGCCCTCCGCACTTTTTCTTCTTGTCAATCTCGCTCATACACTTTCTTCTTTCGTTCTCCGTGAAATATAGCGACCATGAGCGTCTCAGAAGCACCTCGTTCTAACCTGCACGATGTCGAAGTTTACATTGACTCGACAGATGCAGAGAAGATGGATATGGAAAAGCCGCCTCTCGTGGACGATCCCTTTGGAAATGAAGAATCCGGTGAAGTGAAGTATCGGGTGATGAAGTGGTGGTAAGTTTCAGCTCATCGTTCACATTACTCGTATTATAAACTTGTGCATCTAACACCATCATAGGCAAGCTGGAATGCGTAAGTGCCAATTATTTTTTTTGACGGTAATGAAATATTCATCTGAAATGTTTGCCTAGTTATGGTTGCCGAAAATATCTCGCTTGGAATTCTATCTCTTCCGTCGGCCGTTGCAACACTTGGAATTGTCCCGTAAGAATATCAAATGTTACACCAAAAGGGCAATAAGACTAACCGCCATTTAGAGCGTTTCTTATTATACTCGGATTATCTGCCATCTCATGGTATACAGGGTATGTCATGGGACAATTCAAGCAGCGGTACCCTCATGTGCACAGCATGGGAGACGCTGGTGAGCTGCTTTTAGGCCCCATTGGTCGAGAGATCTGTTATGTTGGCCAGCTTCTGTTCATCATCTTCTTGATGGCCAGCCATATTCTCACCTTCTCTGTCCTTTTCAATACTATTACGAATCATGGCACTTGTACTATCGTCTTCGGAGTTGTGGGCTTGATTGTCAGCTTCCTCGGAGCCCTTCCGCGCACCACAGGCAAGGTGTTTTGGATGTCTCTCATATCGGCGATTAGTATTCTCACAGCTACTATTGTGACTATGATTTCTATTGCAGTTCAAGCCCCTGATGACGTTGTGAACGATATCACCACATCCCCTAGCTTTACGGACGCTTTCCTGGCCGTGACCAACATCGTTTTCGCCTTCATTGCCCACGTCTCCTTCTTCGGCATCATGTCAGAGATGGAAGATTCGCGTCAGTTCCACAAGTCGCTGGCTATGCTTCAGGTTGTCGACACCTCCATGTACATCGTAACTGCGATGGTTATCTACTGCTATGCCGGCCCAGACGTGGCATCTCCGGCGTTGTCATCTGCCGGTCCGGTGATGAAGAAGGTCGCTTACGGTCTGGCTATACCGACGGTACTTTCCCCCACACATTCTCTATCCCATCTTAAAAGGCACTTTCAAATTAACTCTAATAGGTCATTGTCGCGGGTGTCGTCTTTGGTCACGTTGCATGCAAGTATATCTATGTTCGAATCTTCCGAGGCGAGCGCTCCCACCACATGCACCAGAGAAGTTGGTTGGCCACAGGTACATGGGTCGCAATCGGCTTGACCACCTGGACTATCGCTTGGGTCATTGCCGAATCTATTCCTGTGTTCAATGAGCTGCTTAGCTTGGTTGTAAGTTCCCCCTTGTATTTTTCTCATGCTGTTCATCGCTTATATGGCCCACAGAGCGCTCTTTTTGGAAGTTGGTTCAGCTGTAAGTTTCTCAATGTTTTGACTTTTGTTAAAAGTAAAAGAGCTAATCCCATGGTCTCCCAAAAGACGGTCTACCTGCCATGTTCTGGCTGGTTCTGAACAAGGGCCAGTGGTTTGCCAGTCCCAGAAAGATTGCACTCACGATTGTCAACTTGTTGATTCTAGCAATTGCCTGTGCTATTGTAAGTACAAATTCTCAGTTCCTAAGATGATAGGCTAATCAGAGTAGTGTGGATTGGGATTGTGGGTTTCCGGCAAGGCAATTAACGAAAGCTCCTCCAAGGCCAGCTGGACCTGTGCCAACAATGCCACTTGAAAGTGCTCAAGCGAATGAAGATAAATCTTTTCATTTTACATCCTGTTCTCTCTCAAAATGATTTGTGCCTGTTTATAGATTTTTTTGACCTGCATTCCGTAGACATTTTGCTAGGATCATTTGTATATAGCATGGAATTGCTAAGAGAATCCGGCTACTTGAAACAGATGACTCATTTGTATATAAGGCTGCATTGGATTGCTTATCTATATGTGGGCCCGACTGCCTAACCCGACTAACAGAATTGTAAGAACTGACTTAGAACACAGTGCTATTTGGAAGAGGGTATACGAATAAAAGACGGATGCCTGAGTAAGACTCGTTTTTATAATTGCAAGGGAGATAGGGAGAGTCATAGGTATATCGCTATACCATCTAATTCATACGAAAGATAAGTCGATTTCCATTTTCTTAATTTCTCTCCTGGTACGCCATCGGCTATTCAAGGAAAGTTGCGATAATTTTTCCCCAAACGAACTCTCGACTGGGAGGTTCGCGATATTTATGCTACATACTATTGCTCCCGAAATTGACTTCGTAAATATTAATCAGTCTTAGACCATGACAATTATCTACTGTCATGGGAATCTGCATATTTGGCGAACATCCTGTTTAATGATTGAATACTGCGTATGGTCATAACAGATATAGTCCCTATCTGCCAGATAGCTAGGATAGAAACCTTTCCACTCTCTTGAAAAGAAATTGACATCTGTTACTCCCTCGAGCTAAGCATTGTGGTCTGTGGTATTTTAGTTAATTTGTTGATTCGATTGGCCCTTTTCTGCTTGGTCGCTGCATTCAGCTGTGAGCTTCCCTAGTTCACTATTTATGCGAGATGTTTTCTTCGTGCATTTATACTGAGAACCAAATAGCCTGTTCTTCCATTCGTTGCTCCCATTGTCTTCTTAGAAAGATCTCATATGAACCTGAGTTCGATAAAAGCCAGTTCAAGTTCAACCTACTTGGCGGCTTAGCTCAGACCTCGTAATTAATACATCGTACTTGGTAATTATATGTTATGGAAATTTATAAGGCACAGAAAGACTAAACAAGCAAAATGAAGTAAAGTAAATTTTCCCGGTATGCGGCTGAACTAATTGGCTGTCGCTCATCATCCTAGTGGCCAGTGGCGGAGGCATCCGGCAATTGGCTTACGACCTCGGCTCTTTATTCTACAAACAGCAAATATCAACTCGAAAGGAATACAGGTTAATGTATCTTATGAGTTATTTATTCTAACTACGTCATATTTCGACGCTTCGGCGCAGGATCTCGTGTAGGCTACTGGGTACATACTAAATACATGTCACTTCTAAACCACGGCCTGATGTATCTATTCGACGCCCCTCGCAGGCTTATCTTGCGCTCGGAACTTCTGTATCAGTACACGTATCCGTTATTTATAATTTATAAGGCCATCAGAGTACCATTATTACCTCTGATATTTATTTTCACCCTGCTAGCTTTCGCTACTTTACACACTTCAGTGCAACAGAGACGAAGTAGCCGACCGATATGTCCGACGAGCATAATGGCCTAGTCAGTGGTACTTTTTGAAGCAAGTATTTGCAGGATCCATAACTAAGTTATGTGCAGATTTATTGGCACCCTGTGTCCCCAGAGCCTGATACAAACTGCATTGTCGAGTATGTCAGCAAAACTCGATCCTCCCTTGAGGAAGAAAAAGCTTACACTGAAACACAGTATCGTTTTTCTCCATGGAATCAACGGTTCCATTGGAAACACATTTACTAAAACCTCTAGAAACCGTCGAAGAAGCATAACATGGCCTCGGGATCTCCTTGAACATGATCTTACAAAGGACGGCATATTACAGGCTCGAATCATGGGGGTAAGGTGCCTTTCTAGGACTGACTGTTGGCTAAAATTTCATAATTTCATTGGAAATACACTGATCTTTTACAGTTTGAATTCGATGCGGATGTCTTCAGCTTTTTTGGTCAAACCGGTCGGGAGACCATCGCTAGTATCGCAAACACACTCTTGGCCGCTTTAACAAATGCACGAAGGGAGGACTATCAACGAGAAAGGCCTCTGATACTTTTTGGCCACAGCATGGGAGGCCTGATAATAAAACGAGTATGTTAAAGAGGAACATCTCATTTTGGGGGGTGCTAACGCATTTTTATGAAAGGCATTGTCAAGAGCTTGGGATGAAGACGATCCAACCAGCGGAGACGTATTTCGCCGACGAAGGCTCATCGCAGTCAGCACCAGAGCAATTATATTTGCGGGAACCCCCCACCGGGGCGCAAGTATCGCACATTTAGCCTCGTGGGGTACTTCCTGGCTCGGCGCTTTTGGTGTTGCAACGTCGCCTGAGAACATTCGGCAACTACAGATAGGATCCACTACGACACAGCTGCTTCGTGAAGAATTCTTAGTCTTCAGGCGAAGAATTCGAGATACTCGATCACAAATGCAACCTCCTAAATCCGATATTACAATCTATACCTTTTGTGAAAGTCTTCCTATGGATGTCGGAGGAATGGTGAGTTGATATATTTTGAAAGAGAAAATGTGACTCTCTTGACAATACTCGATTGACAAGTATATGCAGATTGTAACGCGAGACTCTGCCATTATTGATGGACAAAACGAAATTGTCGACTCTATAGCACGACGAAATCATCAAACAATGGTTAAATTCGAGAGCCGCGAGGAAGCCGGCTATCAGCAATATTTAGGTGCTATGAAAGATGTCATTGATGAGGTACGAAGGGAAAGGTCAAATTTGAATGGTATGCTTGTCAGGCTCAGATAGGTGTACCTAAATAATGCAAGAACTATGGACGTAAAAACTGACAAGGATTAATTTATACCATAGCATGGCATTCAGACTCGTATACGATAAGCTCATCGTCTCCAGCTCTCCATGGAGTTGGAAGTTGGAATCAAGAATACTCTAGACAATCTTCTAGTCAACACGAGCTTGAACCGCAACACCCCCAGCCTTATGTAAACCGAAGTCAACAGAATGGGTTAATGATTACGAATGATGCGCTCAACCCGCTGCAACGAATGCCTAATTACTCTTCATTTCATCGATTATCTCATTCTCAGAGTTCTAGTCAATCTAGTCAATCCCCGCAAAGTGTGTACTCAATCACAGCTACTCCTTATCAGCCAAATCAATCATCCTCTGAACTTTGGAGCTCCGAACAGAAGGATATTACAAAACTTCTTGAAGCTGGCAGGGAGCGAAGACTGCTTGCAATACATAGGAGAGATACGGAATACGCCTTGTCGTTATTCCAGCACGCACTCCTCAAGTCACAACAGTGTTCTGACTCTGATACGTCTCATAAGACCCACGCTTATTTCGGCATTGTTGACTGTTATTGTGATTTGAGTGAGAGCAGAAGCAGACACATTGGCCCAAAGGAGAAACTGGGCTATATTAGCAAAGCCCAATATGCTTGTGCGGAAGCAATGAAGCTAGCCTCAGAAGGAAATCGTCCCGGCCAACAGAGGCGGGCACGGGTTTATTGGACTCGCTTGAATGCACAAGAAGTAATCCTGAAAGACTTAGACCCGCACACGGATAGGGATGTACTGAGAGAGGCCAAACGTACTGTCGAAAATGAACTTCGGAATATACTTTCGGAATTGGAACGTGATGTACAGAAAGACCGTTTCTTGTGGGACTTGATGGAAAGAAAGCTTAATCTATTAGAGCTTATCACACCTTGAATAGCTGGATATTGATTACCACAGACGCCAAGAAATACCAAACACATTAATGAATACTAATTAAGATATTATGGGTTGAATTATTGAGATGGATGCTCAAAAATTCTCGTAAGGTCCATTATCTCGAGGGTCAACGGAAGGCCCCGAAAGAATACTTGGCGGTTTCACTTCATGGCTCCTCGACTCAGCTTGACTTACGGAATAAAGCTCTATGTGGTCAGTTTCTCCACTTTGATCACGCGCTGAGATATGAAGGAAACGTAGAATCCGCTTTCGTGACTTTGGAACTATCATTGCAAGTAGAAGCGATACTATGACTGCGCCAGCGATGGCGATGCCGACGATTGCACCGGTACTCAAGGGATGTGCGGAATGCGATGAATTAGAAGGTAAAGATGTAGTCGCTGAGCCATCACTACTGGTGGAGCTTGTGGTATTCATCAAGGTAGATTGACTTTGCGAAGAAGAGCTTGTTGGCAATGCTGTGCTGTCGGATTTGGTCGTAATCTGAGAATATACGTTCTCCTGGAATGGCGACGGTGCACAACCAAAGCCGGTCAAAGTCGTCGTCCCAATCCACGATCGCGTGTAACAATAAGAGTACTCAGAGAATGTGCTAAGAGATTTGTTAGAAATGAGAAACTTTAATTTTGACACGAGCTAAAATACCACTTCAGAACGGAAGTATTATCTTCACATGAATTTCCACACACCCCATTAGCTACATCCGTTGCCGCGTAGCACGTTGTGGGCATCACGCAATTATTGGGATCCGCGCAACAGAAATGAACGCTTTTTGAGACATCTGATGCACACGTAGATCCCGCTGCACAGGTAACGGGAGAGTCTTGAATGTGTCAGCGTTTATTCAACCAGAAATCGTAGATGAAATATACACACTTGCATTTCCATTGACATAGCCGCAAGTTACAGACCCATCGAGTTGACGCTCCTGAATTTTGGCAAGAAGATCGACATTTGGGCCTGGAGTAATCAGGGGAGAGTATAGCTCCATACCGTATTTTCTGGTACAAGTTATTTAAGGGAGGAAGGGGACATGGAATATTCGAATTTAATGAGCGGCCAGTGCCTGGCTTTAAGAGAGAGAAAATGGTATTAGACGGATGAAAAACACTTGAATGATCGAAACAAATGGGGTTATTATAATCGAGCGCAGGGTTTAATCGTGGCTTACGCTTACGGCTAGAAGCTTTATGCACTGTATGCAGAATGGGTGTGTATAGCCGAACCCCACGCCACCCAAAAAAGCAACGTGGGTTCCCCTGAACCCTTGAATCTCCCCTATCTTCGATCAAATCGATGTGCGATTAATAATATAAGTGCCTTACACCGCCCTTCCCCCCTACCCTTCGGTTGTGGGTGCGCTACAAAGTCTTTTCGTTTCACATAGTCTTTTCGGATTCTTCCTACCATCCTATTTTTTGCTTCCCTATCTAACACCACCATAATAATATGACCAATTTTGATGAATCTCATATAGCTGAGGCCTGCCTAGCTGTATCACTCGTTAAGAAGCCTAATATAGCGCGTTTAGCACGTGAATTTGGCGTGCCTGAGCGTACGCTTTCAAATTGTGTTAATAAGAAAATAAGGCTAATTACCGCTAAACGCGGTATTAAATACGCTCTAGAAGCCTATCAGGAAGAAGCACTAATTCGCTGATTCAATATATGAGCGAATGCTATATGTCTATCTTTCCTAGGATACTAGGCGAATCGTGTATATTAACGCGTCGGAAAGCCGCTGATTAGCAAGATGTAGCCGTATCATTATATTAAATGTAAGATTTTATAGCACTAAACCTATAATCGCTTAATTTAAAACCAACATCTTCGCCGCTACTATAAACTACTATATCTTCTTCTAGTATCGACTAGTCTCTACCTAGATCTATACAGGATCTAGAGAAGAACTAAAGAAGATTACTAGATATCAGTAAGAAGATCTTATACTACAGCAGCAACGAAACCTCAGTCGCCTGTTTTATTATAATAAGATTAATATAGAGAATCTCTAGATAGTGAATAATATAATTTGTAAGATTAGAGAAGCTCAACAACTACTAAAGCGCCTAATCAGTAAGCGTCAGGTTAAAATACAGCTTAGCAAAGCAGGGGTTCTCTCTATTAAGGATGCTTATCGCTCTATTACCAAGAGAAACGACAAGGAAGTAGAGGAAGAGCGGAATCAGGAGGAAGCAGTAGAAGAAATCGTATACAATATCAACACCAACGGATCCTACACAGAATCTATATGTAGCACTGGAAAGGGCAGAGGAAGCACGCTAGGAAGAAGGTATTTTCTTCGTTGATATAGCGGAGACATACAGTAAAAAAAGGACGGTAGGAAGAATCCGAAAAGACTATGTGAAACGAAAAGACTGTGTGGCGCACCCACAATCCGAAGAGCTATTAGTGACTATTTTAGGAGCTTAATATTGAATGATAGTCATTTTGAGGCAAATCTTGGAATTTTCGGAAGTCAAGGAGCAGATACAAAACTGAAGAATCCCCTTCCCCACCTTTCATTAACTACCAAGCAGCGCCATTTGACAAATCACTAGCAGGTCACCTCATAGCTGTTGATGTGCTTCTTTTTGCTCGAGATCTTGGTACATTTCTTACTCGCTCCCGAGTTAACCTCATGGGTTCTGTGGCGGCTACTGCAGCTATTGTCCTTGTAAAGCTCCACTGTGCAGCCGGAGGCAATGCTTGCCGCATAATAACTCGAAGCACCCCCGCTTGGAACATCATTACGACATCCAGTAGATCCGGAGCCAATGAATTTTGCTGCTGATCCTTTGCATTGGCTGCTATGGTATAATTTGAAGTCCCAGTCCTGGCTGGATTTAGCTTGCACATTGGACATGCCTTTGGATAGCGGGGAGCCATAGAAAAGTGCCGGGAAGCACGTAATGGTAAGCACAAGAACACAGATAGAGGTTGTTTGAAGCTGCATTTTCTGTTTGGAAAATATGAATTAGCATAAAGGCATTTTCATCACAATCAATGCTTGCGTGTCCAACAGGGAAACATTTACCGGTGGAGTGCTAAAGAGGTAAGTTATGGATCTGGCAATTGGGATGAATTAAAAAGACAAATAGATATAACTTATTGGACTTTTAGCTCCAGGAAGTTGATGGTGAAATGTATTAAATAGCGAAGGTTGGGTTCATTGCGTAGTTATGACATGGATAGTATCCTACTCCCACGGGATTCCACAAATGTATGATGATGATTCATGTGGTTCAAGAGTATTCATTTAACAGCCTAATATCTCGTTTTAACTTTCTGCCCTAATTATCTTGAAATATGATGCTAATTTTGTTCTGGTAGTTGCTCGCATCGCTCAGCTAATCGCATACATGTCGCACATAGGATAGAGAATTCTCAAAAATATTTTGGCACGCAATTCAAGGCGACTATTGCAGATTTCTTCAGACTGCAAGGCCCGAGGTAGTATATATAAGGTCTTATTTTATTTTCTGTACTTAGTGTCTGACATTCGAGGAGCTTGTTTATTGACTTATCAGGTTGAAATCAACAGGGACACAAGAGATCGGTGGAGCGTTCCGTAACATGCTGCGATATTCCCAAGGCAATGGTCGAGGGTTTCTCCGGCCGTCACAACTACCTCTTATTGCCTGTTCCCGCCGAGTAGCTATTTCATGTTCAAATATGCGAAAGAAAACGGGTGTTGCGGGTTGGCTTGTGAAATATGACCTTTACTTCCTCATTACTCACGTGATCACAGATTCCTGACGCACAATCTGGTGATCCCAACGTGCCAATCACAGCCCATTCCACAGATCCAAATTCAGCATCCGACGAGGAAAATATCAAAGCATGAGATAGAGCTGGATACCCGAAAGGATTAATTCGACCGAAGCTTGAGACAGCTAACCACTTCTCGTCTTTCTCTTGGAAGCCGGCGATAAGTCCAACATGCCCAACAGGAAAAATGTCCGCGACCTGGACAAGCTCTCTGGCAAGCCGCTAAAGGAAACAATAAAGCCGTCCTCACCTGCCCTTAAAGTGAACGCGGAGGGCTGGCTTACGTCGAAGGATCTTCATGAAGGCTGTCTGCCATTTTCGCCCACAAGTGTCTATCATGCGGTGCTCTACCTCGTGGCAAACCCGAATGTTATGTCGAGTCCGTTATTTCGTGCAGATATCATTTCCGACAGTAATGAAACCCTCAAGATTCCAGGAGAAAATGGAGGAGATAGCAAGTTATTTAATGGCCCCCGATCAACTATTTCAGATACCCGAAGAACCCCTAAACCTGCACCCATCGTTGAAGGGTTTCATCTGATACGGACAATGGTCTCCAAATTGATCCCTCGAAATGAGAATCTGGATAAGACTATGCTGCAAACATGCCATTTTTACGCAACCCATGAGGACTCTTTCCGAGAATCGGGAGAAGCCGAGGAGATATCAGACACAAACAATGATCACCAAGCATGGGATCAACAAGTGCTTGCAATTTACATCCCGCACATTGATTCACCAGAGGAAATGCCTTACTATTATCCCATTGTCAAGGGAATCGCTCATCTGTACGATTTTCAGATAAAAATGGGACAAGGCACTGGAACTTTGTCACTACACTTCTTGCCTTTTACCTCGGACATATCAGAGCGACTGGAACGAACTCTCAATCAGCTTCTCAACATTCATATTCGAACGGCCCGTATCAATCATATGAGTTTGTCCAAACATACAGCACCGATTATCAACAATCCTGCGAAGGATAACTTGATCCCACGTCAATCAGTTCAAAATACGTACTCGCGTCTGAAAAACGCCTATGCTGTTGACTTAATCGAAAACTGGGTAGAAAATACGGAGCCCAGTAAACATGTCTTTGAGGATCTGGCCATTGCGGCATTTCTTATTGAGCTGTGGAGTCGAATCTACCGAGTGGTGGCATCCAATGAGAAAATTGATGAACAAACCCCGACCACCAATTTTCCAGGATTCGTTGATTTGGCTTGTGGAAATGGTGTACTGGTATATGTTCTCCTCATGGAAGGCTACGCAGGCTGGGGATTTGACGCCCGTCGACGCAAATCATGGAGCATTTTTCCGGCAACGGTGCAGGAGCGGATTATGGAAAAAATCCTCATACCTAAGCCATTTGCGGATATTGTTGACTATGAAGATATCGGACTCGATATCACTATTGGGGACTTCCCACGCGATACCTTTCTCATCTCCAACCATGCCGACGAACTCACTGTTTGGACTCCGCTTGTGGCAGCGCTTGCTTGTCCAGATTCACCGTTGCCATTTCTAGCTATTCCATGTTGTTCCCACGGACTGTCTGGTCTGAAATATCGTTATCCGCCTCCAAGGAAAGACAGTGCAGCAAAAGATCAAGAAAGTGAATTTTCCTCGCAGAACCAAGTGGAGGCGGTGGAGGCAGATCTGCAGCAGGCTTCGGGTGACTTGAAAGCACTACGGGCAGCTAAAGAACATGAGAAGACCGAGGAAGGCCATCTGAAGTCGACATATGGCTCCCTCACAGCAAAAACGATGGCGATCGCTGAAGAGGCCGGTTATGACGTTGAAAAGACTCTTCTCCGGATCCCCAGCACAAGGAACATGGGTGTTGTTGGAGATCGGCAAAAGGCTGCCCATCGGTGGAGACTGTTGGCAACCGAGGAGGTATCCACAGCGGCCAAAAGCCGAGATCAGGAGTCTGCAGGCGTTGCTGAGAAGATCATGCAAATTGTTGAGCGAGAATGCTCGAGGGATGGAGGGATTCAAGCTGCCGCACGAATCTGGATTGAGCGCGCTCGAGGACTCCATGAGTGCAAAGGAAAAGGATTTGAATGTCATTAAGTTTTCTAGATACCCCGACTGAAATGAGATCATGACGACTAGATCATGCAACGTACAGGGAAAATCGCGGTTTAATCTCGGTGATTCGCCTACGCTTCTTCAAGTGCGGGTGGGCAACCCCAATCACGCTGTCAACGCCGGCATTCTTCCGGGTAAATACCCCGCTCCCCATGGGGTTTATAAGGTTACATGTACCTCCACGGAATAATTTGTAGAAAAGTTTGTTTTTTTATATTTCTTTCTTTCTAGGTTGTTTTCGACACCTATTGTGACCATGCGCTTCGCGCCTGTCTTCTTGTCCTTTGGTCTAGCTGCCGCGTTGGAAAATGGGTTGGCACGAACGCCGCAGCTAGGATGGGTATGTGGTAAATTAAATTTAGCTCGCTTATTGAACATAATTAAGCAATACATAACTGACGGCCCTAGAATACATGGAACTCATTTGCATGCAGCATGAATGAGACAGTCATCTTGGAATCTGCCAAGCAGATTGTAGAGCTAGGCTTCAAGGATCTAGGATACAATTATGTTGTCCTGGACGACTGCTGGTCTGCAGGTCGTAACTCGTCTGGATATCTTGTTCCAGATAGTCAGAAGTTTCCCAATGGAATTGCCGATGTAGCCGACAAGATTCATGCTATGGGGCTAAAGATTGGAATCTACTCGAGCGCGGGCACATTGACCTGTGCGCGGTATGCGGGCTCCTTGGGATACGAGGAGAAAGACGCTGCAGTATGGGCAAGCTGGGGGGTAAGATTTTTAAACAAATTTTGCGAGTTTGTTCGGCTCGGTTCTATACTAAAGCAATCATAGATTGACTACCTGAAGTATGACAACTGTTATAACCAAGGCGAAGAGGGTACTCCGAAGTTGTCCTACGATCGATACAATGCAATGGGCAAGGCTCTCAATGCCACCGGGCGCCCTATTTTATACTCCCTTTGCAATTGGGGTGCTGACGGGCCTTGGAACTTCGCCCCGACCATTGCCAATTCTTGGCGGACCAGCGGTGATCTTTTCAATGTTTGGGATCGCGAAGATGTGAACTGTCCTTGTGCTGAGATGGATGGCCTTGACTGCAAGCTTCCAGGTTATCATTGCTCGGTCATGAACGTTGTCAATAAAGCCGTCTATTACCCGTCCAAGGCGTACGCTGGAGCATGGAATGACCTCGATATGCTTCGTAAGTCAATAGGTCGACTCGACGAGAATCAATGACTAATATATGGTTCTGAAATGAGCAGAAGTTGGAAATGGTGGGCTTTCAGACGAAGAGGCGGTTTCCCATTTCAGTCTCTGGGCAGCTTTGAAGTCACCGCTACTAATGACGAACGTTATGACCAAGATTGATGCCTCTACTCTGTCCATTCTCCAGAATACTGCCGTCCTAGCCGTATCTCAGGACCCAGAAGCGTCAACAGCTGTACGCATGTGGCGATACTTTGTCGACGATGGAGAAATTCAAATGTATAGCGGCCCTCTGAGCGGTGGCGACCAGCTTGTCCTACTCCTGAATGGAGGATCCAAAGCCCGTGATATGAATGCCACGCTGACTGAAATTTTCTGGGCTAATGGACCCGGTGGGACTGCCTCACAGGTGCAGAGCAGCTGGGAGGTGTACGACCTGTGGGCTAATAGAATGAGTAACGCGACGGCAAACGCGATCATCCAAGGCGGAGAAAACGCAACGAGACCGATCAACATGGCGGCGCAGGGGGGAGCAAGTAAAGTCTACTCCCAAGTCCCACTTCCAAGCTCCAAAGCTCTCATGGGGTCCAAGGTGGACACTGTGAAGGCCGGTGGTAGAGTGGCTGCCCATGTAAAGCCTCACGGGGTTGCGATGCTACGCCTGAGGGAACGCAAGTCAATGGATGAGCTGTGATAGATGGTACAAGGAGACCAGAGTGAGATTGTGTATCTAGGGGCCATAAAAGACCTTATAATATAACGTATGATGGCGCTCTTCAAAACAAACTTCAAGAGCATAGAGTGGAGGCTTGAAGGGAATCACAAAAGATGATATTGTACAAATCAAGATTCAGAGACGCTCCAACCCCTTTTCCAGAGGTTAGAAATCCTGAATTGAACGCCTAAGTGTAATGCAAGAAAAAGGGTATATGCAGGACATAGTGGCAATCCCGAGATAGAGTTCCGCAAGCCTCTCCTAGACTGTGGGCTCTGTGCCGATCCCGATGTCAGAAGCAGAGCGCTTCTGGTTCTGTTCAGCATTCTTGCTTTCAGATCGAAGCGTCTCTCCAGACGCACTTGGGAAGCTGGTTCCGGGTGTCCTAGAGGCTGAATTGGCGGCAGATGCTGCCGCATTCTCGCGTAGTCGTCGGATGCGCTCAGACCGTGCCTCACCAGGTAGACTGCCCCAGACCGGTTCAATTGAATCCGCGCGCCAGTTTGCGCGATGCCCCGCGAGAATGCCTTTCCTCGGAGAAATGGGAGCCAAGGAGGTGCCTCCGACGCCGGATTCACCCCACATGCGGACACGCTGAAGCTTACGGAGCTTGGCAAGCCCGTAAACACAGACAACGGCAGTGAGAGCAAAGCAAATCACAGAAACTCCTCCAAATCCAAAGTCAGATTCTTCAATGAAGTTTTTCAAGTTCATTCCGTACAGCGCAGAAAACAGAGTGCCTGTGGCCAGCCCGAGGGTTCCAATGCTGAATTTCAGATCGAGCAGCATGAGGGAGTTGCGATTAGCGTCAAGAATAGCTTTGACCCTGTGATGCATTAGAGCAAAGTTTCAACAAGAGAGGAGTGAGATGTCTTACACTTCTTCGGTGTTGCGAATATTAGTCACCAGATTGCCACTTGCCTGGACAATTTCGTCGCACACCTTGTGGTATGATTCTAGCAACATCTCCACCTCCTGGTGGTCATCTTCATCCCTTTCCTTTCCAGTCGCTCTTTCAGACAAGTACATGGCAGCTAGATCGTCGTCCGCCTCAAGCAGGTCATCGATAGCATCTCGCACGAGCCGAGCCTTTTGCTCGAAAGTTCCAAGCTTCTTTGAGTAGATCAGAAGATGTCTAAGCTTGTCACGATCAATGTCCTCTTCGAGTGCACGAAGGACTCGTACAACTGGTTCCCTGACACCATTAAATTCTTCCTCAAGGCCAGTTGTCACACTAATCAGGACAGCTTCAAGAGCACGAAATTCATAGGGCAAAGCTTGGCCAGCTTGTGCCGCAGTGGGTTGTTTTTGACGTAGTTTTGCCTCGAGGTCGTAAATAAAAAGTGACTGCATGTAAGAGTCTGTCGATCCATAGGCATCGAAGACAAGCACCCGATCGGCTTTTATAAGAACACGGAGGTGCAGGAGGTTGATTAGAATCGCGCTCGGTCGGACCAGGATATGTGGTAGTGTTGATGAGTCGATTTTCCGTAGATCGCGAGGGAGGAGGCCATACTGTGTACAAAATTTGTTCAGTGCGAGTTACAGCAATGAGAATAGATATTAGCAAACCTTAGCGATGAGTTCCAACTTCCGGAACTCCCCATTCACCAGCGTGACATTTCCATTAGTATCGAACTCCGTGCATCTAATCCGCAACTCATTTGAGGCTTTAGCAGCTAATCCCCGACCAATATTGAAGATGCCGTCTGTGCTATCATCAATTAGAGAGGGTCCCTGATTGCGGTTGCTTTTATAATCGACCTCTTTGCTACGCTTCAGGTCGAATAGCCTCTTGAGCAGTGGGCGACGAGTTGTTGATGCATGACGAGTCAATGTCAAAAGTTTGGGTGAGCGGTTTGCCGCAGATAGGATCCTCGATCTTGTGATGAGAGATTCTGTGGCCTCGCCAGTTGTAGAATTGTTGCGAATCCCTGGTCGGGCCCAACTCGAAGTTCGGCGAGGGAATACCGGCGCGAAGGCCTGACAGCACGGAGCCCGTGGTTTGGGTTGAGTCCTTGCCGAAGAACTGATCACAAATTCAGACTGCAAGCGCAAGAAGCGCAGTAACGAGGCTGACGGCACCGACGGCTTCAGCGGAGACAGCATGTCTCCGTAGTGGTTGACGGGTGCTGCACAGAAGGTCTGATGGACATGATCTCAGGCGCGGCTTTTTTCCCGCGACAGACAACGTCGGAAAAAGGCTAATCCGATACCTCCAACGAAGTATACCACGATTGGCTCTTCAAATTCGCTCGCTTTGTGTTAATTTTTCTGCTTTTATTCCCTCTAACCTCTGTATCATTGTGGTATCGAGTCGAATCCTTCACAAGTTGAAGGATGATGCCTGATACTACAGAAGTTCTATTCCGTTCTTCATATTGTGGTGGAACGAGAGGAACTACCTCGTTTTCAAGTTGCGAGCTAAACCTGTAAACGTATGCAAAAGACGGAATCCTTTTCGGTATTTCAAGTCTTTCAATCGTCGTAGTGTATTGATTCAGCCTTGTATCTGACATGGATCATACATAGGATCTACAGGCGACCAGCTAGCTTTGTTGACCACTACCCGTCCTTCCTTCAGAATCGCGACCAGATTGCTCTGAATATGATCAAGTACACCGATGTTTTCGAGCGGATTGGCATTCAAAATAATCAGGTCAGCAATACTGCCTTCTTTAATACACCCCAGTTGATCCTGCATTCCTAGATATTTGGCAGCATTGATGGTCGCCGATTGAATGATCTCTTTAGCACTCAAAGCAGCGGACCGAATCGAAAACTCCTCATTTTGCAGAGGATGCATTCCTCCTAGCAGATCGGTCCCAAAGCATATTATGGCGCCGGCTTTCCGCAAGATTTTCAACGCATCTAGTCCGCTCGTAAGAACTTGTCGATTCTTCCTTCGTCCGAACTCATCAAGAAATTGATCAAATGGTGGCTTGGCCATGCCCTGATACGTCACCAGGGTAGGGGTGAAGACCACACCTCGCTCTTTGCAGTAAGCTGCGGTCTCCTCGTCAATGAAATTTCCATGCTCAATTCCCTGTACTCCATTATCAACAGCATGGCGGATAGCTTCCACGGAATACGCATGTGCGGTGACATAGGTCTTCGACTGCTTCGCAGTAGTCGTTATAGCACGGATCTCCTCCGCCGTAAATTGCAGCATGTCGAGAGCATCTGAAGGTGTAGCGACACCACCTCCGCACATTATTTTGATGAAGTTCGCACCCTGGCGCAGCTCGTCGCGCGCGGCATGGAGACAATCTGGGACTCCATCGCAGAGACGGGCCAGTGAGGGTGAATGGCCACCACAGCATTTCTCTTCGACTTGGTAATTGGCACGAAGATCCCCGTGTCCACCGGTCTGTGATAGCGCTTTCCCTGCAATGAAGAGTCGCGGGCCTATTACCAGCCCTTCCGCGATAGCATCTCGGAGGGCCGCATCGGCTCCTCCAGTATCACGGGCAGTGGTGAATCCGCGGAGTAGCATCTCCCGCGCAACATACGCCGTCCGGTATGCGATACTGTTGGGGCTAGCAGAAAATATTTCTTTCAACGCAAAGCTGCCAGGAGTCGCCATGAGATGCACATGGCAATCGATCAGTCCGGGACAGATATACTGGCCTTTCAGGTCCACTGCGGTCGATTCTCGAGACAGACTGGCTGGGCCCCCAGCTAAGACCGAGACAATGCGACCATCTTGAATGCGGACAGTTGAGCCACTAATTACTTCACCTGCCTCGACATCAATGACTCTAGCATTATAGAATGTAATGTCTGGTGGTGCTGTCCGGGGTAACCATGGCTTATTGTGTATTTTGTTCATCATTTTTGAAGGGACTGGCTTTCATGTAGTCGGATTGACTGCTCTCTTCGAACAGTCAAAGTCCACGCTCTGCAATCAGGAGAATCAGATTTCCTGTTTCGTAAGTCGATTCACAGCACTTCCGCGGTCTAGCAGGTTCATGGGATTCAAGACCTGGTGAAGAACTCGAGGTTACATCCGTCATTGCGAGCGGGGAAAATATCTAGAAAACCCGAGCTTTTCATTGAGGGGGGCTGATAAGGAAGCCTGATCGGCAATTTGCCGAGGAGCACCGTTGAACACCTTGAACACCATGTGTAATCTCTTAACAATACTTCATGTCGATAATTATTCAGAAGAAGGCATTATGGCTATGTATATACAGCATTATTTGTTTGCAATCTTATAAAAAGCGCAAATTTTCTAGTTGGCAAAGGCGTGAGGCTTGCTGCCGCCGAAGCTAGGCTTCTGGCCATGAGCCTGGTGCCCGGGACCGGCTGGCTTCAGTAGCCAAAGAGCGTCACCCACGGAGCCATCATTTCCACGGATGTACTCCCATTTCAGGGCGGTGGAATTAGCAACAGTCAGCTTGCTGAATCCGAACTCCTTCTTGTTCAGTACGGCCGTGATGTTAGTCAGACCTTGGCCGCTGCTGAACTCGCTGTGGCTCTCAATGTTGCCGGCCATGCCGTTGATGATGTGGGTCATCGATTTGCCGGGGTTGGTACGGTAAGTGTTGTTGTTGATCACAGAGGCGGTGTCGATGGTGCCGTTGGCGCCGAGCGGGAAAAGACGCTCGTACCAATGAATATGGCTAAAAATATTCTATGAGTTACATGCTCTTTCTGTTGTCATTATGGTGAAAGGGGAACTTACCCAGACAGATAGGCATCGACGCCGTTCGTGAGCAAGAGATCCTCAAACGCCTCGCGGAGGTGCAACTGGTAAGAAGAGTAGGCGGAGCTATACATGGGGCGGTGACTCATAACAATGACCCAAGGAGTCTTGCTTCGGTCCACACTGGCCAGATCCTTCTTCAGCCACTTGTACTGGGCGTATGACTTGGTGTCCTTGACACTACCATCAACTGCACCGAAGGGGCCGCTGTCGGTAATAAAGGTCTCAGATTCAGTGGGCTGCGTCTCATTGCCGGAAACCTCCTCGGCAAAAGACCACTCGGGGCTGTTGGCAAAGTCGGTCTCGCCATCAATGGAGACAAAGTGAGCAAGACCGTAGTCAAAGGAATACCAGAAGTTACCCACACCTCCAGTCTCGGCGCCGGGCATACGGAAACGGTGCTGGTAAGCAGTAAAGTTTCTATAACCATAAATTAGTTTTGAATCTTCAGATAATGGAGTCCGGTGCTTCTGGTATTACCTTTGGGAAGGCGGGCAGCTGTAGTAAGTCAGGGCGTCCTCAGCAGCAGTACTGTTGGACTTGTCCTCGTTCAAGTAAGCAGTCAAGACATTACCAGGGCCGTCAAACTCAGCACAGGCAGCCTCGTGATTGCCAGGCAGAACCATGTAGGGGATCTTGGTCGTGACACTTCCCAGCCACTGCTGCCAGAGATCCCAGTTGGATTCGTACAGCACACTCATATCACCACCTTGGGGGCCGCCTTGGTTAGCGATTTCACCCTTGGGCAAAGGCACCTTATACTCGTCAGGGATGGCACCTCCCCCTGGCAGAGTAGTACTAGTACCATTGTAGCAGACGGGCCAGTCATCGGCGCAGGGCAGAATGCCAGAGTACCAATCATCCGCATAACTGATATCACCGCCGTGCCAGGCAAATGCGGTGCCCTCGTTGGCGGCCTGGGTTAAATACTTGTGGGTACCCTTGGCATTGGTGTATCCCATATCGTTCAGCACGGCCACGGTGAACTCCTTGGGGTCACCTGCTTCTTGGGCGGTCTTGAAGCTCAAGACGTCGGATTGGGTGGTGCCATTGGCCGCGGGGATTTGGTAGTAATAGGTCGTACCAGGCTCCAGGTGGCCGAGGGAGACCTCGTGGAAGAATTGGCTACACTGGGTGATGGCCTTGACCTGGGAGCAGGATGGGGTACGGTCATAGCTAGATTCCGGAGTCAGCTTCGAGCTCTTGAGTTCATTGGGACAAACTCTCTGATATTTCGGAGATGCTCACGTGTGAGTGTAGCCCGACGCAACCCGGTTCAGCTTGTGGGGATTGGTGCCCCATTTGACGGAAGGAGCACGACCCAAACCAAATGGAGTTTGGTAGTGAATGTGAATGCCCTCGGGGATATAGGACAACGAAATCACATTGACATTATTGGTGGGATGGGAAGAGGCAGGCTTGACAGCAGGCGGCTCGACCAGGCGGGGGAAGCCCTTGCCATTGCCATTGATCGTCGGGTCGACCCAGTCGCCAACGGGCACCGCTGGGCCCTTGTAAGGGAAGCGGGTGTCAACCGTCGGGCGGCCATGGACATTGACGGCAGAGAGTGCCAGCAGGACAGAAGCAGTAGTGGCCTTCATGGTGGAATTGGGAGCCCGTGTCGCCGGCAGCCATCGCGGCGGGACTGGGGTTTTATCTGCGCCATCGCAATCTCAGGCTGGAGAAAGCAGTGTTGATGCAGGTCCATTTACAGAGCTGCGAGACGCGACCGGACTCGACGAGGGCATCCACGTGCAGGGCACTATCGGCACGATTGGCACGATTGGCAGCTGGTGACGGCTCAATTGACGTTTGGCATCGAACTAAACCCGGAACAAGAGCGACTAAATACGACCAACAAGCACTAACGCCGGACTCCGCTCCGACCCGTGGACACATGGGAGTCGGCCCATTGCCTGATTGGCGCAGGACGGACGGCATATCATTGAGAATCTTGTTGTACTACAGGGCAACATGACATACCTATACTCGTTATGGCAGTGGATACTCTTTTGTGCCGCACTCCGTATACCCTCTCGGTATCCGAATGCCGAAGGAACCACGCCGGCAGCACCCACCCACCAATGGCCAACTGGACCCATCAAGCCGGTCAGTAGGGCTGAGGAGGTGCTGATCAATCCCAGGCCTGTTACTGGGCTCGCTTTGACGTAGCCGATCCGATCGTGCCTGGGCGGAGAAATGCGAAATCCGATTGACAGATGCTCCTAATCGACCTGCCGTCTTGAGCAAGCTTCTCCGAGCCCCATAGTGCCATCAATCCTCATAGTGGTGGGGACGGCCAAAGCACACCTAGATTATTCTAGAAAAGGAGCTTCTATGCATACACGGCGGTCTTCTCCGTCAACTCTCCACTCGTAATTTCCTTAAAGCCACGGCGCTCGTCTCGCGTCTCGCTGAAGCCAGTCTATTGAATTCAAGCCCATCGTATATTAGGGCACACCTAGTCTGCTTGCATGAAACCCGAAGAAATGCTAGAACGGTCTCTTGTCTTCGGACAATTAATCTCTCCTTTACTTAAGGCTATGATAGATCTTAATGGCCGGATGGTTGGAAACGATGATTGCGATAATTGGTCAAAACAGCAAAGCTTCCTCCGCCTCCACCGGGCAGGGCCCAAAGAGCTCAGGTCATTGGCAAACTACACATATGCTCGAATTTGAAGGACTCGGAACCATAGAAGAATACATTCATCCTTGGCAGCGGGCTTGACAGGCTGAGTCTCATTGGAAGTAGTGGAAAATATAATTATCCTCGGAAACCGTGGCTGTTAAGGCCGAGAACGAGCGATTCCTATTCTCATGGGCATCGACGTCTTCATGCTTCTGCATTTAAAATGCAGAGTGGTTTGATCATGTCGATCCTGAGCCCAATGCTCAAACCAGTAGTCAACATGTTCCGCTACGTGTCGACGTCAGGTCGGCCGTATCAATGCAAGGTAGGTAGGACAGACGTCCGATGGTCCTCTAATGCAATTCCGGACATGGTTCCATGCCAGCATTGTTCAAGTTTCATACTCCCCACAACCTCTGCGATGTCTGCTACCACTCAACCCTACTTCACTGGGTCCAATATATGCTTTACTGAGAGGAGAATCCCACGTGGAAGGATCTCGGAGCGGTCGCGGTTTCATTCTCTCTAAGGGGCCATGGCAAACTCACCTTTACGCGGACGGTTCGCTCATACAAGGAGATAACAGCCAGCCGAAACTAAGCTCCAAATGTACACCATTGACCATATATAGGGACGAGCGTCCCTTGATTGCATCTGCTACCAATTCAGAAATATATACAAAGCACAATGCCCTCCTTTTCTCACAAACGCTTGAAGCCAGACTTTTGGGACAGATCACGGCAACATAAATGAGAAGCACGAAGGAAACAATGCCCAATCCCCGCAAAAAAATGCCCATAAAAACCAGGTGGTATCATGAACAAATACATGTAAACTTTCGAGTTCAAATCGCGTCTTCACCAATCATCGTCATCTTCCTTCTCATCATCTATAAGAATGGTTAGAATGTAAACCCCTTCTGCGTTTTCAATTTGGAGAACACTTACCACTTCCACTGACCCTCTGCTTTCTCTTACTCAAAGCGTCCTGAAGGGCACCAGCCAAGCCACCTTGCGCTCCGCCTCCAGAGCTAGGAGCCGCCGAAGATGTTTCGTTGGCGCTTCCAGGCACCAATGCACCACTCCGGTCCCGTTTCTCGGAGTCCTTGACTTTCCGCAAGCCACCTCCTCCCTGACCACCAGAGGCTCGGATGGCTGCAAGGAGATCGTCTCGTCCACCACCGCCGCCAGTTTTGGGCAGTGGAGGGGGTGCTCCGCCAGATGGAGGCGGAGGAGGGGGAGGCGCTCCACCAGATGGCGGTGGAGGAGGGGGAGGTCCTCCAGAAGAACCACCTGGTGGTGGTGGCGGTGGTGGAACGACAGGCCCTGAACGTCCTGGGGGTGGAGGAGGGGGCGGTAATCCACTAGGTGCAGAAGAGGTTTGGCTAGGCGGCGGTGGTGGTGGGACTACAGGAACCGAGCGGCCTGGAGGTGGGGGTGGAGGGCCTCCTGGTATCGCTGTAGGTGATGTAGGTCCACGTGGAGGTGGTGGAGGCGCTGCAGGAGTAGATGGCACCGCGCGAGGAGGTAAAGGCGCCGGGGGTGGAGAGACAGGTGCTCGAGGAGGTGGAGGCGGTGGACCAGATGGGGTATGAACATTTGGGACTTTAGGAGGAAGCTGAGGCGGTGCTGCCGGGCTGGATGTACGAGGCGGCGGCGGCGGCGGGCCAGGCGGTACAGGGCTGCGGCTCGGAGGTGCGGGAGGAGCGGAGACCTTACGATCCCCAGAGAAAGGTGGAGGAACTCCGAATCGATGTTTGTTATCATCCATGGGTTCCTTCGGAGGCCGAGGAGGCGGCGGCGGGCCAGGAGCAGCGCCAGAGGCTGCCCGTGGCCGCCTCGGGAGTGCAGGGCCAGCGGGCTCTGCAAACTTGCCTGCATCGGCGATCGGAGGAGGAGCACGGAACATCCGGGTCGGGGCTGGGGGTGGTGACGGTTCACGAGGTGGAGGTGATACCGTTTCCTCGGCCGACTCGGCTCGAGCTTTCCGTGATGGGGGAGGCGGCGGAGGACCGCGTCGGCTCGCTGAACTGACTCCAGTACCCTGGGGGCTGATTGAAGTCACTTTCGGAGCAGCAGCTGAAGGTGGAGGTGGAGGTGGCGCTCTAGGCTTGTTGTTTTCGGTCGGGGCAGGAGATTCGCCTGCCGCGCTTTGTTTCTGGGCGATCCAAGCCTTGATAAACTCCGAGTTCTCCGCAATCTGATCTTCTGTAATTCCCATTTGTAGGAGCTCATCCAAGAGTCCCTTCTGCGCAGGATCATTGATATCGAACGGTAGATCTCCCTTCGCTGGCGGTACACTCGGAGGAAAGGTAGGAGGAGGAGCGACTGGTATTGATGCCACAGGAGCCGGGGAGGGTGTGGCACTCGGGGGATGGTTCGACCGATGCAGCAAGCTTCCAAAGATAGATCGGCCCGGGCCTTTACCATTGGTTATAGGCGCAGGGCCGTGTCCCCTCGCAGAAGCGAATGGTGTCTTGGTGGTTTCTTTACTCGCATGCTTCTCACGTTCCTGCATCTTCTTGATGAAGGTCTTAGCCTCCTTCTCGTCCGCGAAAGACAGACCGGCGGGGCAGTCCTCTAGTTCGAATGTGTGAAAGAATGTCCTGTCCTGATTATAAGAGAAGTTCTCATAGATCTCTTGGTCCCATATCACGCCCTTCCCGTTGGGCTGTCATCACCACCACGATGTTAGCAGATGCAGCTCCCTCAGGGGTTTCTGGAGCACCCACCGAAACATCGACTACCTTCAGCCAAAAAGTTCGTCCTACTAGGTCATTGCAGATCACTGCAGCGCCCTGGACACCGGTATATGTCCATCGTTGGACATCAGGGTAGGCAACGTAGAGTCGCGCGACAGCTACGGCGAGGATCTTGTTTGCAGGTTTGGGGACATTTCTCTTGACGGTTTCCTTATCGGCGTCACTAAGAATTGAGGGCATGACGAATTAACGTGGGGCTGGAAGCGACAGCCAGAGGAACTCAGAGGTGACTAGGTTAATGAGGTTAAAGAAGTCGAGGGCGCATGGCAGACGGGCGGTATGAGGTGGTTCAAACGAGTGTCCCCAGCACACCGACAGGGCAAGGGTAAAAGCTGTGATAGTCCAGCGGAGGAGACGTTGAGAGAATCGTATCTCAAGCGAAGGATCAAAGGCGGAGGTGAGGAATTGGAAAGGAGCCGACCGGCGGTTGCCTTGAGAGAGAGTAGGAGAGGGTGAGCTGGAGAGAAAGAGACGTTCGGTGGGGGGACCGCAGTACACCGGCGGAACTTGGTTCTGGAGCGACGCCGCTATGTGGCACGTGGTACACCCGAAGTACATGCAAAAAGCCGCCTGTTCGCTCTTTGGCGCTGATTTCAGGCGCGGGCAAACGCCTGCCTGGCCTTGGATGGCTTTAAGGCGATTTATTCTACGGGATACACATTCTTCTCCTTTTTGTCGAGGCTGAGGTGGTTTATCCAACACCTTCTGAATGATTTCCTTCATCAGTCTATACTTCGTAACTATTTCGATCAACCCCTCCTCCAGTAAAATCCTAGTGTTTTTTTAGGGGATCTCAGTGGGCCTTTACATCCTTTGTACTTCGCTCTCTGTTTATCGACCGCCGACGTCATTCCGCCTCTGAAGTATATAATCCAGCGTGCTTGTCCAGCGGGGATCGCCGGACAATTTTCTGAATCCTAGTCTTCGATAGTGATCATCCGTCCACACATTTTACTTTATTACCTAGGATTCTCTTCAAAAAAAAAAAGTTCTCTGATATTTCATGATGCCTGTTATTCCTGATCCATCCGAGTTCCCATCGGCTTCCCAGAAAGACCCGTCGAAGAAACCATCCGGGGAACAGCGTGAGAAACCGTCGTTGGTGGACTATCTCTCAAAGGGCCCGCATATTCCCGACGGTAAGGAAATAGCTCAATATTATACAATATGAAATGGTTGGGATCTCAGCTAACATATATACCTGGGGGTTCAGACATGCCGTCGAAAGCGTCGAAAAAGGAGATGGAAGCACGGAAGGAAGAACTTAACAAGCCCAAAAACTGATCTATGGGTGCTATATAACTTGATAACGAAGGGAACTGGACTTACTTCACTCTCATTCCATAGATTTTAAATCTACTTTGAGTTCCTCACTTAAATAACCAGAATTCGTGCATTTTTGTATACTCGACCCATTGCATCATAGAGCACGTGATCGCGCGACGACTTGCATCTCCGTCCGGCCCGTCATTTATGAACGCGTCAAGAAAGGCTCCCCATGCCTCCGGAACGAACTAATGTGCCGGTGAAGCTGTCTCTGCCGCTGGTGAGTGTCTCTGCTCCTTTGACACTGCTGTCACAATTGCTAACAGTTTCCCAATACAGCAATATCAGCAGGACATCTTCACCGAGCTACGTGCCGAGGATGAGCTAGTAATCCTGGCCCGCGGCCTCGGCCTACTTCACTTAATAACGAATCTCCTTCACTTTTACGATGCGGCTGGTAATAATCTAGTCCTGATTGTCGGTGCAGATGATCGAGAGAATGAATGGATTGGAGAAGGTGCGTCGCCTAAAATTCGACCTTCGGGCTGTGCGCTTATACATCCCGTCAATAGCGCTGGCGGAGCACTATGCTACCAGCAAGTCTCCACTCGCTAGGGGGTTGAAGGTTATCAATACAGAGAAGGCTACAGTCTCGATGCGGTAGGTCTCTGGGCCATTTGGTGATGTCGATCGAGATTATTCTGATATCCTCTGCCAGCGAGCGAATCTATGGAGAGGGCGGCATCCTCAGCGTAACATCTAGGATATTGGTTGTTGACTTGCTGTCGAGTAAGATGAAAGTTCCGGGTACTGAATTCCCTTGCTAACTCGTTCTCAAGAGCTACTCGACCCCGAGAAGGTTACTGGAATGATCATTTTACATGCTGACAAGTATGACTAGCATTTTGAGTTGAGCTATGCACTATAGTTGACATTCCTATAGGGTCGTCGCAACTTCCCTAGAGGCATTCATTATTCGAGTCTACCGACAAACAAATAAGCGTGGTTTCCTTAAAGCCTTTTCAGACTCCCCCGAGCCTTTTACAACCGGATTTGCCCCACTGGCGAACATGCTGCGCAATCTATTCCTCCGCAAAGCATCACTTTGGCCCAGATTTCATGTTTCTGTGGCGGAGGCCCTCGAAGGCCACCGCAAAGCAGAAGTGATCGAGTTAGATGTTCCGATGAGCGCCAAAATGAGAGAGGTCCAGAATGCAGTTCTTGAATGTGTTGAGCTCAGTATCGCCGAACTTCGAAAATCTAACACTGGGCTAGACATGGAGGAATGGACGCTTGACAGCGCTTTGCACAAAAACTTTGATGTTTCTATCAGACGGCAGCTGGACCCAATATGGCATCGTGTAACTTTCAGGACCAGGCAGATTGTCAGTGATCTCACAGACCTTCGAGCCATTCTTCAGTATGTATACTTTTTCTCTCTCTCATCTTTTGGATCTAATATCTTGCCAACAGTGCTCTGCTTACTTATGATGCCGTGTCTTTTGTGAAATATCTGGATACAATAGTCGCGGCACATGCCCCACCTCCCGGTTCAAACAAACATAATCACTCTCCTTGGCTATTTCTTGATGCCGCTCATGTTCTTTTCCAGACAGCTAGGTCAAGGGTCTATGAAGGAAAACTGAACAGTGAAATGTCTCTTGCCTGGTCATCTACCAATTTTTCAGCAGAGTTGCAACCCGTCTTGGAACCTCTTCCCAAATGGAGGGTGCTAGCAGAGGTCCTTGAAGAGATTGAGCACGATACTTATCTTCATCCCGCAAGTAAGGATGAATCTAACAGTACGATCTTGATCATGTGCAGTGATCAACGAACATGCCGTCAACTTCGCGAATTTATCAGCACCATGCACGTCAGAATGCCACACGGATCAGACGTAAGAGGCGAGGATGATGAAAGGGCTGAAGAAGGATCTTCTGCTGAAATTATGATGCGGCGTCGACTGCGAGACTATCTTAATTGGAAGCGGTCGCTCTCCAAGGTCAACAAAAACCTATCTCAGTCTGGGGAGAACGATAAATCTGGAAGACCTGAAGCTTCTGCAATAGCTCAGCAACAAGGGAGACCTCCCCCGAATAAACGCCGCCGAGTGCGTGGGGGAGGAGCAGTGAATTCCGCCTCTGGCCGCGTACCAAATAGCAGTGTTCAAAACGAGGTTGAGCTACCAAGTCAGGTTGTCAGCCTCCTGGAAGACATCCAACCCACCGAAATTGAGGAAATGCAGAAAGAAGAGATTGTTATAGACGACCTTGAGGTCACGGAAGATTATTACGAACTATACGACATGGACGAACTAGTCATGATACATCCATATGACGGTGACATGGATGAGCATATTTTAGAGGAAACTCGACCTCGTTACATTATAATGTACGAACCAGATGCAGCATTCATTCGCAGGGTGGAGGTCTACCGCAGCTCCCATGTAGGAAGAAATGTGAAGGTATATTTCATCTACTATGGCGGCTCAGTGGAGGAACAGCGTTATTTGAGTGTCGTGCGACGAGAAAAGGATTCATTTACCAAGCTGATCAAAGAGAAAGGGGTATGTTATTTCCCTCGCCGTCTCGATATTGTTGATTTAACCAGAGAGCTTCTTTTGGCAGAATATGGCTGTAACCCTGACGCATGATAAAAGTGCCGAAGATCCTCAGGAACAATTCCTTCGCACAGTCAACACTCGAATCGCCGGAGGCGGACGTCTGGCAGCGACGGCGTCTCCTCCACGAGTAGTGGTTGACGTAAGAGAGTTTCGAAGTGCTCTCCCATCTCTCCTCCATGGCAATAATATGGTTGTGATTCCTTGCCAGTTAACTGTGGGTGATTACATTCTCACGCCAGACATCTGCGTTGAACGAAAATCAATCCGTGATTTGATCACCTCTCTCCGCAATGGCCGCTTATATAACCAGGCCGAGACGATGCTCCAGCATTACAAGAACCCCCTTCTCTTGATCGAGTTTGACCAGAACAAATCTTTCACCTTCGATGCTTTTGCATCCATCACTACCAATAGTACCTTCCTGACTGATTATGGTTTTTCGTCCTCTGGACAGGCTACCAGCTCAAGCAGCAGTGCCCTTGCCAACCCCTCAAACCCCAAATCTGCTCAACATCTCTTGGTCCTGCTCACCCTGGCTTTTCCAAAGCTGAAAATAATTTGGTCCTCCTCGCCCTACCAGACCGCCGAGATTTTTTCTGAGCTTAAGAAGAATAGCGCTGAGCCTGATCCTCTTCGAGCTGTACAGATCGGTCTTGACATTGATCTCTCTGGGTCTTCACATCCGGGCGACGTCATGGCTGCAGCTGGAATTGAACACAGAACATTCAATCTCCTACCACAGGATATGCTACGTGCTGTGCCTGGTGTCACCCCTCAGGCACTCGATCGATTGATTGTCGAGACAGAAAACATCCACGAAATTGCAAACATGGACGTAGAACAGCTTGATCCGCTGGTCGGAAAAGAAGCTGCTCGAAAAATCGTTGCTTTCTTCCGGAAGAGTGTTTTCGAGGACTGATGAATTCAAATAATTCTTGATTACTTATCTTCCGAAATGTCCTCCGATGATTAGGCTAGAAGAAGAGAAAAATTTGAGTAGTTCCCCCCCGATATCAAATTGTAATCCATTCTAATCGTTCTCCAATTTTCAATGGCACATTGATCTTCATGATGCACAAGATGAAAGTACTTGTCTTACTTTAACAATTCTGCTGCTGAGGATAAAAATACAGCATAAAAAAAACCAGGATAATCGGTATATATACTATTATAAGTCAAGAAGTAGAGAGAGGATTTAGAAGCCAGTTCGAGTGAATGGTAAACTTGAAGGGGCGTTTGAAAATGTCGCCGGTGATTAAAATACTATGTATAAACAAGCAAGAAGACCATCGCACGTCCCAATTATTTTCAGTCCTCATCTCAATACCAGCAAACAGCCGCGAAGAAACTACCCGAAACTTCAAGCCTCGTTTCAAAGGCGTGTTTTCAATCGCACGACCCTGATTCTCGTCTTGGCAGGGATCCTGGATGCAGATCGGCCAAATAGGATCCTACCACGCAAGGGTCCACTAGAGCCCCTGAGAGTGGAGAACAAACCCCCAATATCGGGGTTGCCTTGAGGTCTTATAGAAGAACCTCTAAGTTCCTGATGATCCTAGCATCCATTTTAAAATGCATTTGAAGACGGCCCTGTTAACCTCAGTCGCTCTGGCGGCCGTTGTTGGGGCTAGCAAGAGTGCCCGCAATGTCAATCCATGTGCCCAGGTCACCAGCTTGATGACGGATGCTAGGCAAAATGAAGGTTCGTTCAGGTCTGGGAGGTTCGAGGATGCAGCTCACAGTTTTAGGCGAGGCCAAAGTTCCCTTGGAACTTGCGCATCGATGTCTGGTGTCGATGCCGTTCGAATCGAGTCGTGCAGTATCTTTTCTTACTCAAGCCCGCAAGATGCTCCAGTTCCAATCAACCGTTGATATTTTGAAACGCAAGAGGCCCTCGAGTTATTTGGACTATAACCAAGACTGACCGTTGCCAAGATCCCCCGCCTGGCTATAATATGCCATCAACAGACCTTTTAGGGGGATTTGATTCGATCCTAGACAAGGTTCACAAAGGTGAATACTCTAGCCAGTTCGAAATGGATCTGGAAGTTTCCCATCTTATCAAATCAGCCCACGATGGCCACTTGGTGTTTTCGTTATGCTCGCAATCGATATTTACCTACGGGTTCAATTTCCCTCTTGTATCGATTTCAGCAGATGGCCTTACGCTGCCAGACGTATACACGTTAAGCATGTCTCACATTCTTCCAGTGACAGCTCGAAATCAACTCTAACAAATCATAGATGATGCTAAACTCAAGCATGATGGCTTCAAGGGCTTGTCGCCTCTCGTATCCATCAATGGTACCGATGCCGTTACGTACCTTGAATCATATGCTTCGATGCAAAGTCTTCATGATCGTGACGCACAGTACGTTCCCCTTCCTTGCCGAGCTAGTTACTTGCTCATCCTCTCAGGTACAACCGAGTTTTTCCAGCATTGGCTCGCAGCGTCACAAATACTCCCACAAACGTCGATGGCATCTGGGCCTCTACTACAGACTGGAGCGATGGCGGACCGCTCATTCTCAAATATGGCAACGGAACCGTCCAGACAGTGGAGAAGACAGCGACCCCAACAGAGAGATTCTTTTCTTATCATAACGGAACCGAAATGTATGCAGCCAATTGTATTCCGCGAATCTTGTCTTCTACTGCAGCTGCCTCCCCAGAAATGGAGGAGGCTTCATCTCCGACGGGGTTCCCGAACACCGCTTGGAGCAACTCCGTCAACTCGATCGCTGGCTATTATTCAAACCTCACTGGTCTCGAGGACACTGGCATTGTATTTCTTCCGACATTCTTATCCAGTGCGCAGGAGGTAGCGCAAGTTGCTATTGAGTTTTTGCATAATGCTGCTATGGCCGGAAAGAAGAACATCTTGATCGATGTTGCTGCAAACCCAGGCGGATACATGGCCATTGGACTTGACATGTTTCGAATCTTTTTCCCAGATGCCTTCCCCTACACTGCAACGCGTTATCGGGCCCACGATGCTGCCAGATACCTCACCAAAGCGTACTCTCGTGAGATTACTCTCGACTCGAGTAATCCATACGCATATCAGCAAATGGTCAAGCCTGATCAAACCAGTGGATTTGGCTCTTGGGAAGAATTGTACGGGCCACATGATATTTTGGGAAGTCCCTCGTCGAGTTTGTTGGCCAATTTCAACTATACTTCTTCGTCAACCAAAACATCTCCTATCAACGGCTACGGGTCTGTTCCTCTTGACCCTCCAAAGTCTCTCTTCTCAGCAGAAAATATCGTTATTGTGAGTTTTTAAAGAATTCTAATAGGTTCTCCGGAATACCAGAAACTTTCGAGGCTAACTGTTAGCAATAGATCACCGATGGAGACTGCGTTTCAACCTGTGCTTCGTTTGTTAAGCTTATGAAACGCCAAGGTGTACGCACGATCACCTTTGGTGGTCGGCCCACCGAGTCTCCAATGCAAGCTGTCGGTGGTGTGAAAGGTGGCCAGTCTTTGGCAGTTCAGTATATCAATGGCTACATCCAAAAAGCCAACCAGTTGATTGCAAAGGCAGCCAACACCTCTTCCCCTCTCTTGACACCGGCTGAATGGAAGAACTTCAACGAGTCAAGCCCAGGTCTCGCTACTCCATTCAGCTGGAGCGGCAACGTCAATCTGCGAAACGAGTACGATCCTGAGGATGACCAGACCCCGCTGCAATTTGTTTACGAGGCGGCTGAATGCCGGCTCTTCTACACAATAGAAAATTACCTTCGACGAGAGACTGTGTGGCAAGCTGCCGCCAAGGCAATGTTTGGTGGTGACAGTTGCGTGAAAGGGTCAACGAATGGGAAGGGTAGTTTGGATGCTCCCTGAAATTCAAATGGTTGCATATCTATTTGGCATCGAGATGTGTCTATCCTGCATTAAAAATTAGCAGGCTCTAGTATGTTGTGCCATATATGGAGCATTTAACTTTTTAGAGCACTACGTTGCTAGATCCCAGCACCGTATCAGAGCATGAATGCTTGGTCTGAAGAAGGTTTCATGAAACATGAATTTCTACAAGAAAAAAAAACAATATTTACCAGCGTATTTTCAATTCTCGTGACCAATTTTTCATAATTCTATCACCTGAGAAGGATTGGAAGGAAAGCAAGGCTAAACAGAGTGAGGCACATAGCATAAAGCAATGCAAGGAAAACAAACACGCAGGTTCATCACGCGCGTTGCGACCATTTTTTTCTCTGTAGCATGATCCCGGGTATTTTGCAAGAACAAATACGGAACTGAAAGACTATAAACTCCAGAAACTCATACCCGCCAACATCCAAAATCCCGAAAATCATCTCATCGATTGCTTCATGCCCTGTTAAATTGTCGTAACGTCGCCAGAGGGAGAGAAAAGCCCTCATCCTCCATGCAGAGGTGACATGGAAGCGCCGTGGGTGTTGTTCAAGATTGCTCATTATGCCCACTCAAAAGAATGGACAGGTATGGCCGGATGCTGATGGACTCGGGAGACCAAGAGAACCGAACACAGTTCAAGAGCGAAGAGACAACACCGCTTGGGCTAACAGCACAGTGCAAGAGGGTTGTTTTGGCGGAACACGGGGAGTACCATGGCGTACTTCTGTATGGTACTCGTGCAGGGCAAAGAGCATCGAGCTCTTGGGTTTTAAGGGGGAGCTTAGAGCTCGTCGACATCGATTTCCTTCTCATCCTCGCTCTCGCGGTCTTCGTCGAACTCGACGTTGTCCTCGAAGCCTTGCTCGCCGTAGGTGTCGGTCTCGTTGATCTTGGCGTGCTCAGGCAGTTCACCGTAGGCCTTCAGGGAACGGGCCTCATCGGCGGTGTACTTCATGATCACATCACCCTTCTCGTCCTGGTAGTCGCGAAGCGAGAGAAGAATTATGTCACCCTGGTTGATCCAGACCTTCTTGCGAAGCTTGCCACGGATGTGAGCCAGACGCTTCTCGCCGTCGAAGCAAAGAGCCTCCAGGCGGCCGTTGCCCAGCATCTTCACGACCTGGGCGTACTCCTGGCCATCCTCCTTGAAGACCAGCTCACGCTTCTCATTGTCGTTCTCGTTCTTTCCGCGACGACGGTTCTTACCGCCCTGTTATTTGGTCGTCAGAATTCCTTTCAAAATCATTTCTGGGGTACTATTTCCCAAACGCAATGTGGAATCGAAGTCAAGTCCCTTTCCAATCTACCGACCCTCTTTGAGGATGATCGACCGTAGGTAGGTGATGGTGGCGAAGTGACACATTCCAACAAGGAGGGGGCTGAATATTTTGCGCGCTTACCTTTCCCTTATTCTTGGGCATAGTGGCGGGGTATGACCTTCACTGGACTTAAGTCTGGCTGTGTGTCGGTACTGGATTTGAATCTCCGTCTGAAAAAAAGACGTGGAGAAAGAGACGATATCCCCGAGGAGTTTGATCAAGGGAGGAAGAATGAGCGAAGGTGGGGGATCTGTGCCATTCAAATCTATCGCTTAGTTAATCAGGCACAAAGTCTCAGGTGGCAACTTTCAGGCCTTTATTTCCAGGCATGAAGTTTTTTTCTTACCGCCTGATTTGTTCCGGCAGAAAAAAGGCGCGGATTCTGGTCGCGGCCTCGTGGAAGGTGATCTTTGTGAGATAATCACTCCGTTCTCGTTCTTCATATCTTTAAAGACAAAATCCCTCGGTTCTGACTGATAGACAGGACCTCTTGTGGAACCTTTATTTCATATCCCCAAGCTATCTGGTGCTACCTCCCCAATCCTTTGCGCTCGGAGCGAGTGAGCCCGAGACTCACGGATCCTCAATGACGTTCGCCGGTTCGTTCTGGTACCAATGAGACTCATGCTCTGCTGCTATCTGCTATATCAATTGCTAGAGATTCCGATATCCTCGCAGTCATGAAATTGATTGCCTCCTCCCCGAATCTCATCTTCCGATATAATCACAAGCAGGTGATTCCTCCGGTCGCCTCCCGCTACCTGGGCTCCCCAGTCCATCCTATACACCCTAAGATCGCCTACATGTACGAGCATCGTGACAAAAATACGCTATGGTGGCGGGTCTCGGTTGCACAACTTATTCAGTATAAGCGGGTAGTACGATCATGGTGTGCGCGCCGAGTGCGCATCGCAGTCAAGCAGGCTTTACAACGCCATGGCTATGATCAATTAGGATCCCCACTCTCTACATCTCCTCTCGCCGGACAGGCAACCCTTACCGGATCACTTGAAGTCATCATACGCCAAAAAGTTGTTACCCAGAACTTTGAGACAGTGCAGAATGATGCCAATGATCTTCTGACCGATATTCTGGCGCAACGGGCCAAAAAACTCCGACCAAGCCGGAGACTTTGAGAATTGGAATCATGGTAGGAATCGCCATGGAATTTTATTAATCTCTGTACAACAACAATATTTTGTACCATATTCGATGCCCTTGTTTATAAGCAATCTACATACATAATAACAAGAGCCACCCATCACCCACATATTCGCTCAACAGACAAATCCCAACCTACTCGCCCAGCAGTTCAAGACCAACAAAAGTAGGCCATAGTATCAACGCCTACTTTAGGGGCGGCTTTGCCGACTCGGGGGTCGGAGGAGGTAGAGGAGGCGGAGGAGACAGACGAAGACAACGAGGTAGACGAGGTACATAAGATAAACCAGACGAGAGGCCTACCCTAAGCTACAAATACCCAGGACGCATTAGTATAGGCTCGTCTTTCCTATATTTTCCAATTAGAAGATTCGGACTTACAGAAGCGACTCTCCAGGACATCTAAGGCAAATTGTCGTGCTTCTGCTAATGCTGACGGCGGGATTGGCTCTACCACCGGGTATCTATAGCCTGTCAATAATGTCTGCACCTCACGAGCAGGAAACTTGCAACGTACTTACGCGCATAAAATGCGCGAATCCAGGCAGTAATGTTGAAGAAGCAGAAAAGGATATCGAGGCTAGAGGGAGGTTGACCACTCTAACCCTAAACGAAATGCACGGTGCTACACGTCTCTACGGAAGAAATGGTTCCGCGATGGCAAAGAGGAACTTTCATCGAGTGCCCCTGGGCCCTACTACTTCAGGACAAGGTTTCAACTATGGATGTGATTGAGGGGAGTGCGGAAATGAAAGACATTGATTGAAGTTGCTATAATCCAGCAGGGACTAGATCTCGCCCTCGAAGCACATAATGCTATCAGAGCATCAGAGCATCAATGGTCCCTAAAGTCCTAATAAGTCGCCGAAGCCTACCTTGTTATACTATTTCAATGAATATCCCAGTAGGATTCAATAATGAAGCTTTATCACCCCCTATTTACAATCTTAAATAGAGGTGGCTAGTAGAGTTGGTGGCTTCTCCGTGGTCACCTACTGTTTACTCCGTACAGAAATAGCACACGGGGGCGGATCTTAGCTCCCGTTGCCTCGACTCTGAGCCTCGCTAATTGCCGATCCGGTGCAATCAACACGCGGCGCCTAAACCTCGACTCCCCCCTCCCCATATTCCTCCAACGACCTTCGTCTCTTTTTCATTTCTCTAAATTCGCCTTCATTATGTTGGTCTCCTTGACTGTTGGCAAGGTAGACGCAGGCGTCGCAGTGCTCCTGACCCAGGACAACCGCCTGGTGAGCTTCTCCAAACTCCTTCCCCCTGGGCGCGATGTCCACCGAACGTCCAGATGCTGCCTGGGAGATCAGGACTTTAGGCAAGAAGAAAGACCCCCTTCAATGGCATACTAATAGACCCGTGAATCCAGATCGAATTCCCTTCTGTTCTTCTCCCAAATAACATTGCTTCCGGCAGCATTGTGGACATCACTGTTTCGCGCAACCTCGCCGCCGAGCAAGCCAACGCAACCGCCTTTCAGTCGCTCCAGAAGCGAATCCTGAACACCTATGGCGTCAAGACCCCATCTCCTCCTGTTCTGCGCCTGCGGAACGCCACTCAGACCTCTCTCGTCCTGGAATGGGATCCTATCGACTTGGCGACCGCGTCCCTGAAATCCCTCTCCCTCTACCGCAATGGCTCTAAGGCAGGCTCCATACCCCGCCCTCTCGAGACGCGCAGCACCAAAATCAGCGGCCTAGCCATTCACTCCGAGTACACATTCCACCTCGTCTTGCGCACAACCGCCGGAACCTACCAGTCGGAGAAGCTGACGTGTCGGACGCACAAGATGACCGACCTGTCTGGTATCACAGTCACCCCTGGAGTCCTGGACCCGCAACGCAAGGAGGCTCTGGGCCACGCATTGGACCGTATTGGGGGCAAGATGATTGATTCGGTCCGCATTGACACCACTCACTTCGTGTGCACGGAGGGTCGGGGCCCACTCTGGGAGAAAGCCGTTGAGATGAATATCCCAGTCGTCGTACCGGAGTGGGTGGATGCTTGCGAGTCAGAGGGTACAATCGTCGGTGTTCGCGGCTATTATCTTAATGCAGACCCTAAGGCGCGCCAGCTTGGCGCAATTCATGGCTCTTCCCACCAACGCACTACTTCCACGATGTCTACGGCTACAACTGCCAACCAGGGCCGGCCCAGCACACAACCACAACCACAAATCAACGAGGAGAATACAGCACTCGAGGAGCCACCTCTTACGCCATTCCCTGGAGGTGAGACAAGCGCCCAGCCACAGGCACTGGCACAAGAGGTCGGATCAGAAGATGAGGACGAATCGCCTCCTCCTCCCCCACCGAAGGATGAGTCCGATACCGCAGACGAACCCGAGAAACAGAATGATGAGACGGATCTTACGTCCGAGTCAGATGAGAAGCCCGAGGCAGAAGCGTCCGAGGACGATAGAGACGAGGAACCCGCCAAGGAGAGCACCCTCCCGCAGAATATGCCCGAGGGAGACGAGCCGGCAGGCAGCGATGACAGCCCGAAAAGTACAGGAAAGGACGGCGAAGGGGATTTCAATGAAGTACCTCTCTAATCTCTTCTTTTCACTTTGCTCCTATAACCATATAGGAATCTCGTCATGTCCCCTCTCCCGTTCCCCACGGTATCTCTACGATTATATCCAGTACAGTTCGACGTCATTACATTTGGGCGTTTACTTCTCTTGGCAGAGAGCTTTTTATTGATGAGTCTCTGATGCCTGCACCTGTCCTCTGCCTCGCTGTTTGTTTGTGTACAGTAGATAGCTCTTCTTAATGCAGCCTGAACCTCGACGATCTTCCTCTCATGCTTTTGGTATTAACATAAAGGTCAAAGAAGTAGTATATCATGTCGTCAGTAATGAAATGCTGTTCATTCTCTATGGGCTCTATCATCAATAGTCGTAAAACTAGGCTCGGAAGGCCTGCCTGATGCAAAATTTTGGGCCACCCAAATCGGGGTACTATCCGAAAAAAGGACCCCCGCGTGGGAAAACGCTAAGCAACCGAAATTGAATCCCCAACCTATCAAGTGCGTTATATGGGTTTAAAGTACGTTCCGAATAACATCATCAATGGCCTGCGCCACATAGACCACGTTCTTCTCGCTCACTGTATACATTTGAATCAGCATCCTGGGTCTTCTCGTCTTGTCACTCCACTCAAGCGGGAAAGGAAAGACTTACAGCCACTGATGGAGGCACGGCCGGACTTGAGCAAGTAAATGTGGTACTTATCCTTGAGAGAATAGACCTGCTTTGGGGTGAGACCAGTATAAGAAAACATTCCGTTCTAAATGAATATGAGTCAATTGCCATCCCAAAATCGAAAAAGAAAAAGAAAAAATGTCAAGGGGATGTTTACCTGTTGGACGATATGCTCCCAGGTACCAGGAGTCTTCAAGCGAACCAGCTCATTATACAAAGCCTGGCGCATGGACTTGATGCGAGAGCTCATGACCTGCAAATCCTGGTGCCAGTCGGCCACCAGCTCCTCGTTGGTCATGATTTTCTTGACAATACTGCAGCCGATACGCGGGCCCATGGAGAACTCGCCACGGATCAAGTGGCAAAGGTTGTTGACAACAATGTCCCGGATAGCGGTAGCGCTGCGGTTAGTGACGTAGTGGAAAGCGCCCACACGCTGTCCGTACAGGCCGAAGTTCTTGGAGAAGCTCTGTGCCACGCACATCTCCATGTCGGGCTTGTTGTTGAAGAAGTAGCGCACAGCCCAGGCATCCTCCTCGACGGAGCCCGAGGCGAAGCCCTGGTAGGCGGAGTCGAAGAAGGGGAAGAGTTTCTTGCGCTCGCAGAGGTCGGCAATGGCAATCCACTGCTCTTTGTTCGGGTCCAGGCCGGTGGGGTTGTGGGCGCAGGCGTGCAGCAGGACGACGTCGCCTTCCTGGGCCTCGTTCTCGAGGGTCGAGATCATGCCGTCGAAGTCAAACGACCGGGTGGCAGCATGGTAGTAAGGGTAGGTCTTCCGGGGCACACCGGCCAGCTCCCAGATCGTCATATGGTTCGCCCACGAGGGGTTAGACAGCCAGACCGTGGGGGGCTTCATGTGGTGGGCGAGGAACAGGGCGCCCAGGTGGTTGGCACCGGTGCCGGCGACGGTCTGAACAGAGGCAATACGTGCCTTGGCGTTCTCCTCTTCCTGCTTGCCCTCAAAGCCAAACATCAGGTCCCGCGCCAAGCCCAGGAACGGAACGTCGCCCTCGATCGCGGTATACTCATGTCGCATGAGGTCGTTCTCCTCCGCCAGCTGCTTCTCGGCTTTCTGCACGACCGGCAAGGGCCAGGGCTTCCCGTCATCAGTGCGATAGACGCCCACTCCCAGACTGACTTTCTGTGGGAAGGGGTCGGCGAAGAAGGCGGCGTTCAAGGCGAAGATCTCGTCCGGTGGGACGGGAGCCACGGTGAGGCGGGTCGGGACTTGGGCCATGGTGGAAATTGAAAGTGGAATTGGGCGGGTGTGGTTGAGACAATTGTGAAAGAATGGAGACAATTGAGAGCGCTCTCGATGACCCGATAGCCTAGTTCGCAGCGGCCGGGTAGTTTTGCGGAGAGAATGCCGGAATATATGTTCTCTGTTAGCGGGCAAATTCCCCGGGAGTCGGACGACGCTGAGTCAAGCCGATATCGCGGCCTTTTTTTTGCCCCGCGGGAATGCCCGCTTACTGGCGGATTCTACACATCTTTGGATCTTTGGATCGTTGAAGCTTCGGCAGAACTGGAAGCCTGCCAACCTCAATTCGTTCCATCGTCACGAGGTCGAAACTACCCGGGAATAGCCTGGCGCAGATGATGCAGACCAGGCGATAAGGTATAGATCCAGATGGAGCAATGAGAGTCACAACTTGGGGAAAGGCTGAACTCTATCGGATCGCCGCAGGACGTCATCCGATGTACAGCTGACTCTTTCTGGGGATTGTCAGCCTTCCAATCGCTGGGCTGGGAATTTAGGTGAACGGTCGACGTGTAGAGTATGTGTCTTCGGCGTCTGCCTTTCGCGTGTAGCGGAACTATACTGGGACCCGCTCTCCAAAGTGTAACATCCGTCCCAGAAGAGCCGAAATATATACATAATCGCCTCATCTTCACCGGCACGACTCACCGACATTCTCTGGTCTCACGTTCGCAGGCCACCGACGACGATCCAACTTACCTCTAGCCAACCCGTCCAATGAGAAATCCCGACGGCTGGCGACATCGAGGAGCGTTTCCATGTCGTACCAGCGGATCTTGACATCGGCGGACATGAAAGACGTGGAGGGAAGAAAGATGGACGACGACCCCGCGCGGATGGTGCAACGTCAACGCCTAGGACCAATCGGTTTATAAGCAACGAGGTTGAGATGCGTCTGAGCCCTGCCACCCCTCCAGGATGAAGCCCCTCCCCCTCCAAACCATGAGAGACAAACCTCGGGATTCGTTATATCGCCATATCCCCATATCACCGTTTCGCCAGAATCGACAGTATCGACGGACGAGATTGATTCGACATGCCGCAGCAAGTATATGACACCGGAGATCCAGCTCTTCATGAGTTCCGAGCACCAGAACTGCATCAGCCGCTACATAATAGCATCCCACCGGAACTGCTACCCAAAGTTGACCCGGTGTATGTGGGGTACTACAATAGATACAATGCCGGTCGCCTTCACACCCACGAAGTCCCGATCGAGGAGTTTCGACGGAATCCCGAGCGATATACGATCTCCTACGGCCGGGCGCCAGGTCCGGATGTCTTTCGGATTACCGAGCAGCAATGCCCCGTGCAGGGAGGCGAGATCACGATCCGGATCTTCGAGCCGGCACCCAAGATGGATGCCCACGGCCAACCGAAGAAGAGAGCGGCCTACCTCAACTTCCACGGTGGTGGATGGGTATTTGGCGGACTGGCCGTCGACCATGACTTTTGCAAGCGGATCGTCCACGGGTTGGATGGGGATTTGGTCGCCTTCGACGTGGATTATCGACTGGCCCCCGAGTATCCGTATCCCATCCCTGTGGATGACTGCTGGGCGGCGTTCAACTGGGTGCGAGCACGTTCGGCATGACCGCAGCAGATCGCCCGACTAACTGTTTGCGGCCTTTAGATTCGATCCACCAAGGCATCGGAATTGAATCTGGACCTTGATCGGTTTGCAGTCGGGGGTGCCTCGGCCGGGGGTCACCTTGCAGCGGTCATCGGGCATCTGTGTCGGGATGCGGGAATCCCCTTACGGCTCCAGGTCTTGACCGTTCCAGTCTGTGACCTACACAGCGTCTTTACCCCGCACGGGGAGTTTGATCGCGTCAACTGTCCCTACGAATCGTATCGCGAGCTGGAATTTGCGCCGGCGCTGCCTGCCGCGCGAATGGCCTACTTCCACCGGCAATTCCTCGGGGTGCCTCGACCGGCCCCATCTGACGATGTATGAAAAGGCGCCTGCCATGGCTAACCACTCCTGTCCTCCTCCTTCATCTCTGCTGATGGGACATCTTTGTCTATCTCATTTTGCCTGCATTGCTCCTCCTCGCTAATCCGAGATCTAGGACTGGAAAGCATCCCCGATGCTGGCCCCCGACTTCTCGAACCTCGCGCCCGCTCTGGTCTCGACGGCGGAGATCGATCCCTTACGCGACGAGGGCGAATGCTATGCCACTAAATTGAAAGCGGCTGGAAATCGAGTGGAGTTGAAGCGGTTCCCGGGCGCGCCCCATACCTTTGCTAGCCTGGATGGGATCCTGGCGACGGGCCGCCAATACAGTGCTCGAGTGATTGAGGCGATGAAACACGAGTTGTGAGGGGGAGGCAGGATGTAGTGTCCGTGCCGCCAGGATAGCGGAATGGAGCTCTGAAGGTATGGAGATACGGGGCTATGGAGCTATGGAGCTATGGAGCTATTGTGCCTGGAGCTAGGAGCTATGGACGCTACCGGGTACGAAGAAGTTAGTGAGGAGGAGCGCTAGCTGGGACTCGGCAGTGGAGAGCGCTGAGCTGAGATGCTCGCCAAACTCCGGCCTCAATAGGTTGCCCCAGACGACGAGGATGTTCCTCGGTTCCTCTGTTCCTCCTCCAATTCACTATTAGAGCCTTTGTAGCCAATAAGTACTGCTTCCACTGCTCAACATGCGAAGTAGGCGCTCCGGGACTCAATTGACTGCGTCCTCAATAGTACGCATGCCAGTCACTCGTCGACTGCCTTGTTGACTGCCCGTGGATGAATGTATAAGCCAGAGCTCAACGGGCCGCAAATCGTGACCATACCGTACGGGAAATAATCAATCTTACCGGCAGTGAGACTCGGCCCGTAGAGGTTGAGCGGTCATGCCGATACCGGGAACTTTCGGCTGGGGCAACCCGCCCATTTCACCTCCGGTTTTTTGCTTTGCTTCGTTTTTATAAGGAAACTCGCGATCCTTAGTCTCCGAGACCATCCCAGACACCCTGTGCGAGCCATTGGGTCCTATCCTCGTCTTGTCGCAAAGCTACAAGCATCCACGGTCATCATGAACCCTGCTTCCTCCCGAGCCGCGGTGCGCTCTATGGCCACCCTGACACATGCGACCAGAGCTGCCAACCCCGCAGCCCGCAGCGTCCTGTCGGTTGCTGCTCGCTCCCCGGCCTTTGCTAGCCGGGCCCTGAGCTCCAATAGCCGTCAGATCGGCCAATTCCCCCGCCTTCAGTTCCTCGCCAACAACAAGAGAGCCTTCAGCACCACCGTCACCATGGTAAGGGAGGAGAAACAAGGGCCCTGCTTCGATGGATTCGCCAGTACTGACGAGCCTTCCTAGTCTTCCGGTTCTCGTACTGAGAGTGATGCCTTCGGCGAAATCCAGGTGAGCAGACACTACTGAATCGCCTCCTTCTCATCCTCTCCGTTGTGCAAGAAGCTAACCGTGGCGTGCGATGGATGTAGGTTCCTGCAGACAAGTACTGGGGTGCCCAGACCCAGCGGTAAGAACGAAACTCTGCCCCGAAACGAATCGAGAGTGAGAGTGATGGCTGGGAAGATACTCGCCGAAGACAGAGCTAGGAATACTGATGTGGCATCATGAACAGCTCCCTGGGTAACTTCGACATCAACCAGCCCCAGGACCGCATGCCCGCCCCGGTGGTCAAGGCCTTCGGTATCCTGAAGGGTGCTGCTGCCACTGTGAACATGAAGTACGGTCTGGGTAAGTGGGCACTGATCTATCTCAAGCCATGGAATCCACTAGAGGAGTTGGACACAGGTTACTGACCCTGTTGTGTCTCGGTGCTACAGACCCCAAGATCGGCGAGGCCATCCAGAAGGCCGCTGCTGAGGTTGCCGAGGGCAAGCTGCTCGACCACTTCCCTCTGGTCGTCTGGCAGACCGGCTCTGGCACCCAGTCTAACATGAACTCCAACGAGGTCATCTCTAACCGTGCCATTGAGATCCTGGGTGGTACCATGGGCTCCAAGACCCCCGTCCACCCTAACGACCACGTCAACATGTCCGCCTCTTCCAACGACTCCTTCCCCACCGTCATGCACATTGCGGCCGTCCTGGAGCTCGAGAACACTCTGCTGCCTTCCCTGAAGAAGCTGCGCGATGCGCTGCAGGTCAAGGTCGACAAATTTCAGCAGATCATCAAGATCGGCCGTACCCACTTGCAGGATGCCACTCCCCTCACCCTGGGCCAGGAGTTCTCCGGCTACGTTGCTCAGCTTGACCGCAACATCGAGCGCGTCGAGTCCAGCATCCCCCACCTGCGTTTCCTCGCTCAGGGTGGTACCGCTGTCGGCACCGGCCTGAACACCTTCAAGGGCTTCGACGAGGCTGTTGCCGCCGAGATCTCCAAGCTGACTGGCACCGAGTTCAAGACCGCCCCCAACAAGTTCGAGGTTCTGGCCGCCCACGATTCCATCGTTGAGGCCTCCGGTTCCCTGAACACTCTGGCCGCCTCTCTGTTCAAGATTGCCCAGGATATCCGCTACCTCGGCTCCGGCCCCCGTTGCGGTCTGGGCGAGCTGAGCCTGCCCGAGAACGAGCCCGGCTCGTCCATCATGCCCGGCAAGGTTAACCCTACCCAGTGCGAGTCCCTCACCATGGTCTGCTCCCAGGTCATGGGTAACCACGTCGCCGCGACCATTGGCGGCATGAACGGCCAGTTCGAGTTGAATGTCTTCAAGCCGGTCATGATCAGCAACTTGCTCCACAGCGTCCGTATCCTGTCCGATGGCATGAACAGCTTCCGCCTCCACTTGGTCGAGGGTCTTGAGGCCAACGAGTCTCGCATCAACGCTCTTCTGCACGAGAGGTATGTTTTTCCCCCTTGAAATTCCCTTGTCTACTCCTCTTGGACCACAGTCCTCATTGTCCGACTTCACCCACTTCGGCCCCTCCTTGATTTTCATCACGAGAGACTAATTGACTGTCTTTTTCGATAGTCTGATGCTCGTGACCTGCCTGAACCCCGTCATTGGCTACGACATGGCCTCCAAGGTGGCCAAGAACGCCCACAAGAAGGGTCTCACCCTGAAGCAGAGTGCCATGGAGCTCAAGGCCCTGAGCGAGGAGGACTTCGACAAGTACGTCCGCCCCGAGCTGATGCTGGCTCCCAAGGAGAAGAAATAGATGGACGGCTTGGAGCCGTTCGACCTCACCCCCTGTGCCACTATAGACTAGGAGCGACAGGCCTTGTACACTGAATATTTAAATGCACTATTCCCACTATTTTCTTTTTCTTCCACCGAGTAGGACCCATGTCGAGTTCAAAAGAAAAGAGAAGCAAAGGTAGCTCCACTAAAGAAACATGGTTTCACACGTTCAATAAGCATTTAGAATTTTGTCGTAAGACAATTAATAGTTGAGTAGATATTGAGATGTACAGATATATATACATTGATAGGGTGATACAGTTGAAGACCCGATTTGTCAAGTTGGTCTAAATTAGGGTGAATTGTAAGCTTTACATCACCAGCACAAGTTGTGCTGATCACTTACTGGGATGACATATTGTATATCTCTACCTATTGATTATGCTACATATGGTTTTATTGATGTCTGCTCCGTATTCGTTGCGATCGGCATCTCCGATCGCAGAATTTCGAGGCTGTGCTTACAGTTTTTGGTTGCCACAATATATATAATATGCATGTACAGGGATCTTGAATTGCTCGGAAAGAATCTCTAAGGCATCCACTGTAGGGAGTGGCATCGCCCAGCATGGGCCATGGTCGGTCGATAACTCGCGAAAACTATCCCGAGGGACTCGCTAGTGGGAGGTATTAATAGTAGCAGCCCCTGCAGTGTCTCACCCGCCGGACCTGACGCCGGCATTGTTGACCTCTTTTTTCCTTTGCCATGTTCGTTTGAATAGACTGCTTTTCTCCGACCTCTATTACTGGTCCTCTCATTCTTTCGTCCTCTCGCTCATTGTTCATTCTCGTCCATAAACTTTTCCCCTTCGCCCTTCAGCGCCCTTCCACCTGGTCGATCTCCCTTGCGCTAAAGCCCCCGCCGCCTCAGCGATTCGCCCCTCCCTGACGGATCAACACAAACCCACTACGATCTCCCCCCGGTCTCAACTCTCCATCCTTTCTCTCCTCCTCTCATTCCCTTGTCAAAGATTCTCGCATCACATCCCGCACAATCACTACGGACAATGGCCACTCCCACCGTCGCAACTACAACCGTTTCGGAGCCCACCAAGCCGATCATGAACTCGGTCGTTACCCCAGTCGACATCGAGAACGATGGCCCTCTCTTCCCCTCCAACCTCATCTCCCCTGAGGTGATCTCCGTTCTCCCCACCGACTATACTATCCGGCCGTTGCGCCGCTCAGACTATAAGCGCGGCTACCTGGACGTGCTGCGCGTGCTGACGACTGTCGGCGAGATCAGCGAGGCACAGTGGAACAAGCGCTACGACTGGATCGCCTCCCGCAACGACGAGTACTATATGCTTGTGGTGTGTGATGGCGCCGATCAAGTCGTCGGCACCGGCAGCTTGATCGTCGAGCGCAAGTTCATCCACGCCCTCGGCATGGTCGGCCACATCGAGGATATCGCCGTCGAGAAGAACCAGCAGGGCAAGAAGCTTGGCCTGCGAATTATCCAGGCCCTGGATTATGTGGCAGCCCAAGTTGGCTGTTATAAGGTATGTTTTATCACCAAGGCACCGAGGTGGTCGACGCACATGCTAACCTGTCTTAACAGAGCATTCTGGATTGCTCCGAGGCCAACGAGGGCTTCTACGTCAAGTGTGGTTTCAAGCGAGCTGGCTTGGAGATGGCTCACTATTACTGAGCTGAAGCTAATTGCTGTCAATTTTTATTTCTGAATTTGAGGTTCGTCGGCGTTCGGGGCATTTTGGGATCATCTGCCCGGCAGGGCATGCGCTTGCACAGCAGCGTCATAATGAGGACGAACTTGCAAACAAGGGAGGAGAACGAAAAACAGCGTCAGAAGCCACCCCTTTCGCGTCAGCCCTCGAGTCTACGTCTGATTCCAGGTCCATCGGCAAAGCCTCACACATGGTCGAGAGTCTTCCAAGTGATCGCTCTGGATTTGAGCAAGAGGCTACAATGCATACATAGCGGTCGTTTTGTGGCATCTGTGATAAGGTCGGAGCCTGTCTCTTGCAACTACTGTGTAAAAGTACTGTGAAAGTAGACCCACGTCGAGTACAAAACCATGCTCTTTGTACTACGGAGGTGGGTTCTGTGGTGGATTCAAGTGGACTTTGGCCTGCAGGGCGTATTGTATGAGCACAAGTCAATTCTTTAGACGTGAGAGGTATAGATATATTACAATTCGAATCAGTTCCACAAGGCAAAAAGATTTCTCAACAACTGCTTGACCACAGCTTCTGCGCTGGAGATGAGTTGTCCAATATTATATCTTGTACTAAGTCAAGATAGATGTTACGTGACATGCTTCTTCATCTGGCAGCATTTTTAAGAACTACAAGTCACCTGCACGCATCCTCAATACGTAGAGAACAAGAAGCCTGCTGGTTCTCAGGGAAAGATGTCATCACAACAGACCGGAGGACAAGAAGAGGTTGAAGAGCCCCGAAGGGCAGAAGAGTTCATTTCTTGAGGTGGTTGAAATTTTCGTAGATTCCTTTGTTCCCATTTTTTCTGCATTGCATTTGTATTGCATAAAAGTATTTCAGAAACAAGGTTAAAATGGCCCAAAGCCAGTCCTCAGAGACAGTACTCCAGCACCCGTGCCCGCAAGTTCCATCATATCGCAACCGTCAACACGAAAGGTACACACCCAATTTTATCCCTTAACCAGGTATCAGATTTAACGGGACTTGGCGGCAACCTTGGGGGCGGAGCCCTTAGCACCCTGCTTGCTCTGGATGCGACCGGCGCTGCCACCGGCGGCGGCCTTGGCCTTGTCAGCCTTCTTCTGGGCCGCGGAAGCAGCCTTCTTCTCCTTGGCCTCCTTGACGGCCTGCTTGCGAGCAGCCTCACGGGCCTCAGGGCGCTGGGAACGGCGCTCCTTGATCACATCGAGGGAGGCACCGACGATGGCACGCTGGTGCTTCACGACACGGCGGGTACGCTTCTTGGCAACCTCCTGTATATCCACAAAAAAAGAACGAGTCAGCAAGTCCACAATATTCAAGTCATTCGTCCAAGTTCCCTTCTCCATAAATTTATTGTAGTCCCATCTCTTGCGCCGTCCTATCTGGTGCCGGAATGTCGAATTATTTGCCATATCGACGAGGTAGGTCGGCCACACATCCCATCACACTAATCCAACTAAAACGCAAAACCAAAGGAGGGGTAGGTAACGGACCTCAGAGATACCCTTGCGGTGCTGGCGACGGTAGAGGACAGTCCAGGCAATGCGGCGGGGGTTCTTGCGCTGGAGGAAGAGCGACTCGGACTTGCCGTTCTGGAAGCGGAAGATCTTGCTGTCGCCACGGACGTACAGCTTACCCTATAATATTAAAGATGAGGTATTAGCAACCAAATGCAAAAGAAATGTGTATTTCCCGTATGCGCAAACAATGCCACGCGATCGCAGAAAAATGGTTGTAGAGTCTTGGGTGGGTGTCGATGTCGTGATGCCATCATGTCATGGTCGTCGTTGAATTCCACACAATCATTCCAGCTCTTCCCGCTCGAACACCAAGGAAATTATAAAACGCACCTTGCCGGGGTAGATCTTCTGGCCGCTGAAGGAGTCGTCGTAGGTACGCATCTTGACGGGTGATGCGCTGACGCGGTGTCGGTTGGCGTTGGGTGATGTTCAAAATTCGGGGATCGCGGTTGTCTCAATGCTGGGTCCAATTGTGGTGCGACTCGCTAAAGTGCAACACGTGACCCCCTCTGCCCTTTTGCGGACATTCTATCACGTGACATGAAAATCACCAAAAGATCACATGATTAGCTAGTCCATTAAGGGAAAGAAGTTCTATAGGTGTTATTACAGTTTTGGTCTCTGAGAAATCCTCAAAAGTTCAAAAAGTGAACTCAAGATGGACTAGCAGATCAAAAGCGAGTGATCTTAGTATTTCATCAATGAGTGACCAAAGAATCCTACGATATTATTAGACCTCGACCGTTATTATTTACCTAGACTAAAACCAGATCAAAATTGATCTACAGCTTTCAGCCCCCCAACGATGCAAATTAATAACGTAAATTGAACTCCAGCAATTGAGTCTGAAAATTGCCATGAACTGGAACTCTACAGCGCAAAAATGAGATTCAGGCTAGTAGCGACATGATGGTGTATATGTCACCAACAAGAAGGATCGAGTAACATGAGGTCTGCGTATTTTGTCTTCAAGCCCCAGAGAACGCCAATTACGTTTCCTTAGGAGATTGAAGAAGGTCCATCTAGGAGCAGCAATATTTGTACTGGTTTTTCAATTATTGCAAGCGTCGCCGTCCGCGATGTCAAAAATTTGCTCGCTCGGTCTTCAGCTTCGTACAGATCCTTCTGCTGAGTGATTGAGCCAGGCGTGGTTTAAGGCTCAATTCAATCGAGAAAAAGAACATCGGTACAATTGAATACATATCCCAGTTTTTTTACTAATTGAACCTGATTCATGGAGCTTCTTGCCCAGAGCACTAATCTTTACGTACGTAAACAAGATAGGTAAACGTGAATCCTTCGTTGCCCCTACGAAAGAGATCATGAGGTTTGTTTTATGGATAGATTGATTTGTTTCCCGAGAGCTAGACTCGTAGAGCAATACAGCGGTGAAACTATAGATAGACACAATGGCTCGCGAGCAAAACTCCCTAATGGAATTTGGGAATGCACTAAATGACGCTTTGAATTCTATGAAACGCCTCTGGAATAAGCCATCGGTCTCCAACAAGATGAATATTGCAGAATACAAGTTTTACGCTGAATTAGCACAGACGCTGCCCCATCCCAGTTCAAGGTGGCGGTGTATCGGCTGACCATGCACACGGGAACACCTGATTCTCTTTTGTTTTCGTGGTCACGTCGCATTTAGTCTTATTCAGGTCATCGCGTGGGTTTGAGTCCACTCCTTCGCGGTCTGAATCGCGGCAGGCTCATCCTCCTTCCAACGCTCGGCAACATCATTGGCGAGCGGGTCATCTGGGTTGGGAGCACCGAGCAGGGCCTGAATCGAGAGGAGAATTGTGCGGATCTGGAGGGCAGGGGACCAGTTATCTGGAATGATGTTAGCGACAGTTCTGAATCCCAAAGTACATCCCAGGCATAAGGTATCTCACTCTTCAGGACATCCAGGCAGATACGGCCCAGGCGATCAATGTTCGGGTGGTAGATCTTGGTCAGGAAGCGGATTTTGGGCGGAGTCATGGGATAATCGTCCGGCAGGAAAAGCTCCAGGCGAAAGATACCACCTAGAGCCGTTATTTATTGGTATTAAACATCACAAAACAGATGAACCACATGCATACCTTCGTAGGGAGACTGTGCGGGCCCGTGGATGGAGACATCAAAGTATCGCAGGTTATCTTCGTGTGGGACAGCGTTGATACCGGGGACCCTAGATATTTCATAATTCCATAATTTAGCATTTCATTGAAAGTACAGTGGATGGACAGTGTCTTACGGCTCCGCCATAAGGCGTTCTGTCTCCTTGATAATCCGCTTAGGCAGTGCCATATCGAGTGTTTATCACGGGTTCGAGAGGTGGGTGGGTTTGGATAAGAGGCTTAGAAGAGCAATTTGGGATGAGAACAATGGGTATTACGACGATAGCAGCACAGAGTAAGTCGGAAGTATTGAGGGAACACCTCGATAGCAGATAATGTGCCAACAAAATCCAGTCGCAACCGACGCAACCGCCGAGGGGCATTTGCGCTGCATCGCGGGGTGCTGCCGAGTGCCGTACCCACACGTGATATCAACGCACCGCCACAGCATGTCAGCCACTCCGCGTTATCGCAGCTCCCCCCCCTCGGGCACGCGACGTCCTAAGGCTTTCTAGAAATTACAGAAGACACGATACGCAAAATGAGAGGGCAAACTACATATGATTTGCTGCAACGTGCATAGAACTTGGATTTGAGACTTTTGTGAAGGTCTAGCACGGCCCATTGCGGGCGATCGGGGACAAGATGTCGAGCTCCATGGAGCCCCGGCCGCTCGCTTCGGCCTTCGAAAGTCCAACATTCGATGAAGAGAGTTCCTTCCATGTCGAACAACCAGTGGGGTCAATGTCTATCTCCCCATGTGGGCGGGATGTGGTGCTGGCCTCCAAAGAAGGTCTTCATGTCATCGATCTGGACTCGCCGTACTCCCCGCCGCGTTATCTACCGCACCATACTCCATGGGAAGTGGCCGATGTACAATGGTCCCCATTTGCATCTCGGGACTACTGGGTGGTTAGCACTTCCAATCAAAAGGCCCTCGTCTGGAACCTAGCTATGAAAACCTGGCAAAACTCCATTGAGTATGTGCTGCATGCCCACTCGCGCGCTATCACCGATATCAATTGGTCCGCTTTTCATCCAGACATTCTCGCCACCTGTGCTGTGGATAGCTTTGTTCATTGTTGGGATCTGCGTACCCCTTCTCGCCCAGCCATCTCATTCTCGGACTGGTTTACTGGCGCCACGCAAGTCAAGTGGAATCGACAAGACCCCCACGTCATCGCTAGCTCTCACGATCACTGCTTGCGAATCTGGGATGATCGCATGGGTGCATACCCTATACGATCCATTGAAGCCCATGACACCAAGATCTATGGAGTCGACTGGAACCGCGTCCGACGGGGTGCGGTAGCGACATGTTCACTGGATAAAACCATCAAGTTCTGGGATTATACATCTGAGACCGACGTTCCAGAGAAACTGATCCGCACCTCGTTTCCTGTCTGGAGAGCTAGAAACACTCCGTTTGGATGGGGTGTGCTAGCAATGCCACAGAGGGGCAACAATGACCTCCATCTCTACAGTCGCAGAGCCGGCGAGGGCAGCAACCCTGATGATGATCTACCCTTGGTTCACACCTTTCCAGGCCACAAAGGTCAAGTCAAAGAATTCCTTTGGCGGCCTCGGGGAGGTGTGGTAGACGGAATAGATCACCGAGAGTTCCAGCTTGTGACATGGGGTACTGATCGAGAGCTTCGTTTGCATCGAGTCAATCCCGAAATCTTGGAGCGAGTTGGATATGAAAAGGGAAAATCGTTCATTTCCACTCGAAATGTGACCCGTCTAGGGGCGGCATATCGAAGCTTCAGGGATGTGAACTCAGATTTGGATTTGGAGGATCTTGAATCTGCATCCTCGGTCGGCCCTCACCATAATGCAAGCACAAACTACTCTGTTGGCCCTGGAATGAACGCAATCTCTGTTCCGCACGCTCGTGCCTGGACACGGAAAACCAATGTTGATTCGCGAGTAGGCATGCTGCCGCGGTCAAATCTCCGAGCTGATACCAATCCGATTGCCTGGATGCGTGGTGTGAAGATCTCTGGCTGGGATATTGAGACTCTGGGAGATGAAATCAGTCATGTGGGAGAAAAGTTCACTAAGGTTGCATTTGAATCGGTCGATGTGCGACAAAGGAAGATTACGATATCTTTGAATGGACCATGGGGTGCAGATGGCGCATCCTTGTTCCTGAAGGTGGATATCAAGTTTCCTAATAGCTACCCCAAGACCGCTATTCCAACGTTCTCATTCCAGAAGACAGCAGCTGTCACTGATGATCTAGCTGGAAAAGTCACGGCTGAGCTGCGGACTATTGCTGAGACTTATATGTCTCGCAAACGCGGGTGCTTAGAAGGTGCCGTGCGCTACCTTCTCGGTGAAAGCAGCCTGGAAGAAAGCATAGCGTGGATTTTAGGTGAAACTGGGGACCCTGTCAAGTCCCCAATCAATGGAGAGCTAGAGGGCGAGTCCAGCGACGAAGATGAAGTTGGTATGACACAGAGCCAAGAGTTGGGCATGAGCTCTGAACTGCTTCGGCCTGTCAACGCCAATGTCATGGTTCCTGTGGCTAAAGGATGCGGTGCGTTGTGGGCGAACGATGGTCGCCTAGTGTGTTTTTTCCCACCCAAGAAAGACAAATCGACAGAGCTGTTCGACACCATCGGGTTCAAGGAGATGAGCCGGCTGTCGAGGACAGACAAAGTTTTCGAAGGCTTCGGGCGCCTGCAGACCAGCTCTCCGGGCCCGCGAATGACCGGTACAATCACGAGCACAGATGACGGAGTGTCCGACTGCTCCGATGATTCATATTCCGAAACCTCCAGCTCGTCGGGCTCTTCTGATATTCTTTCAGGATTGCCTGTTCGTTTCCAGGCACCTCAGACTTGGCGAAGCGCTGGCAGCATTGGCATCTATCGGCCACGGTCCACGGCTCATTCCCAACGATCTACTGTAGGGGCTGGAACGGCCAAATCATCCGATAATCCAAGAAACATTGTGTCTATCCATGATCTGAGCGATATGTTGCCCGTCAAGCGAGACCTCGCGAGCAAGTATCGCATCTGCGGCAAGGGAACTGATGTTTGCACTCACAATGCTGCAGTTGCTTTGGATGCTGGATGCTACGAACTGGCTCAGATTTGGGGGTTGATCAAGTTAATCTTGCAGGTTCGGAAAGGACCAGGCTCTCCAATCGAATCTAGGGTGGGATTGAAGCGTCTTCAGAAACATATTGATCCAAAGAAAGCCAGTCAGACACCGGAGAAAGGCGGACTCTACAAAGATCTCGTTGGAAGTGTGATCCGGTGGGGTGACCACCCAATGGGTAACCATTGGCTTGTGCCCGCGCTGTTCGATCATTTCGAACGCATTGGCGATGTTCAGATGGTGGCAATGCTCTCGTGTGTACTTCACGAAGCCAACCATGAAGGACGACCAGATCAACAGGAAGAGGTTGCGTCTGGCCAGCGGACTTTCTCCCTAGAATTCTCGTCTGTTTCGACAGCTGTCCAAGGAAAGTCGCAAGCTGCTACACCCGCTTCATCAATCCCTCGAGAGCCTCAACTCATGCTGCCCCATACATCAGCACGGTCATCTAGCGAGCTTTGGCGCGCGGATTATACCCCTCCATATTCGACTGGTACCACACCCCCTTTCACATCCCGCCCTCGAGGCATCATTTCCGACCGAAAATCTTTGAGTCAGAATGTCTCCATAGCCGCATCTCCAGATCAGCAGTCACAGCCACGCAGTGGGTCTGGGTTTGGGTCAGTACTGGCATCATCTTTATCTCGGTCATTTACTTTTGGCCCTTCGTCTGCATCGCCGCCAAGTCACAGCCTAAACAAGAAGAAACAAAGTCCGGGAGAGAGCCCCAGCGTGGCGACTGGGCAAACAGTATGCATTCCTCTTTTTACCCTTGTTTTATTGTATGTTATCTGACTGGACCACAGAATCATTCAGATACTGAAAGCGATCAGCCCCAGGTCGCAAAGCCTGCAGGCCGCTTCAAAGTCACTCTCAAGAATCAAACCGCTTTTGATGGCGATGATGCTACTCCCGACTCGCTTTTGGACCGCGAAAAAGAATGGCTTTACCGATCCTATCGAGCTGCATATGCCGATTTGTTACAGATCTGGGAACTTCCAGTGCAGCAAAGCGAAGTTATGAAGATTGGCGCTGTTATGGCGGATGATGCAGAGGATATGCAGTCCAGTCATTATTGGAGCAGCCACAGCTCCAAAGAGGCTGCTCCTCTACCAGAGGTCAAACCAGGTGACGTTTCTCCAAGCCTTGAAGGACTCGACTTCCAGCGCCACTGTGCCAATTGTGGCCATGCCTTACAGTTGTCAATATTCGCGTCAGCACGTCTTCCCGAGACCCCGTCGAAACATCAACGCCAGAAATCCTCGTCATCTCGTCTATGCCCCCAGTGTAAACCTCGCCAGGCGCTCCCAACCCAACTACCCTGCACCATCTGTGGCGAAGTTGTTGATGGGATGCTGGTACCCTGCCTTAGCTGTGGTCATGTCTGCTGTTTCCACTGTCATCGCCTCTGGTTTGTGCGGCCGAAAGGTGAAGTTGATAGTCCATTTGATTCTCCACATGACACGAGCGCTCTTCCGACGTGCCCCACTGGATGTGGCTGTAGCTGCTCCGAGAGTGTTGCCACCGAAGTCGTTCTGCCAGCCTGGGAACCCTCGTCTCCACGATCCAAACCAGCCAGTCCCGGCCGGACCTTTTCGCATGAGAGGCGTCATCGCCGCCGGCAATCCGAACCACCCGGCCATGATTCAAGCGGAGGAAACACTCCCACCACCACCAGACCCCGAGCCGGCCAAACTCCATCCGACCTGGACTTGTGGCAAGAGTCATCCCCCTTTGCATCTCTTGCGCGGGGCATGGGTGGTGGTCTCAGTCAGGGCCTACGCACTAAAGAGGATCGCAAGAAGCAGCGGTCGGTAGCCGTTACTATCCCCAAGCGCAAGTAACTGTGATCCATGCTCAGCTGTGAGAATCGGGATGGGTGTTGCTTGTGCTGGCGTTTCTTTCTTTCTTTCTCTCTTTCTTTTTGGTTTGTATTGATATCCACCCCATGTTTATATGCCCTGAAGACCTCTGTATTTTAGTGTTTGATACGAATCTATGTTTTGGGTTGAACCCTCGGCAGCCTCAAGAGCCCGTTAAACCGGCCCCTAGAAAGATCCAGCAAGCAATTGACAGGTTCCATACTTCATAGTCCGTCCAGCCCTTTCCCTGTTCTCATTAAGCTCTACCTCCACTTTGTGGTGCCATATGATGCACGAAACTCTTCGCCATAGGCGATCTGGAGCGCCATGAGTGCCGTGAACCCCATACTTGCCGATCCCCCACTCGATGCCGACAGCCCACCGCACAGAAACGTTTCTCGTCCGAGAGAGCACTGGCCGCTGCGGGGAGATGCTGTGCAAGGGCGGGCCACCAATCACAACCCCACAAACCCTGACACCAATCAAAATGAAATAAAAATCTAATCTTAAATGATATAAATTGAACGACCTCTCGCAATATACAAGACAGGCCAGACAAGGTCTACGGTGGCGGCGGAACGATGGTTTGTCATTAACTTCATTAGAATGGTAATCCTCTATGGTAGACAAGAGCAAAGAAACAACGGGCGAATTTCTCTAATTCTGCAAATCGCAGTTCTGGCCCGCAGAAGGGGATCGAGGCCCAACTCATTCACAGATTGCGGCGGCAACCCTCATGAACTTGTGTGCTCTGCGGCTCCCTCCTACGCCCCGGAATGAAAACCCTGGGTTAAACAATGCGCCGGTCTAAAATTCCATTTCTTCGTTTCGTTCTCCCGATCGCACGCTTACAGCTGCTTGTAGACGTGGTCGGCGGAGGTAACCTCGAGAACGTTCTTCTCACGCTCCTTAGCGGCATAGGTGACCTTGCCGTGGTCGAGGACGATCGCGTAGCGGTAGGTGCGACCCTCAGCGTCAGCCCAGCCGATGCTCTTAGAGAACTTGGCCTCGGGGTCGGAGAGGAAGAGCTAAACAGACAGAAGAATAAAATTAGAACATGGGGTCCTTCAAGGAAGAGGGGAGAGGGGGGGGATGTAAAACTCGAGAGGAGCACATACAATGTCATCACCAGTGACGCCGTTGGCCTTGCCCCAGGCGCTCATGACGTAGGCATCATTGTAGGCCAGGACGGCAACAACGTCGACACCCTTCTCACGGAGCTCAGGGAGCTTCTGGATGTACTCGGGGACGTGGTTGGCAGAGCAGACGGGGGTGAAAGCACCTGCAGGGAGTAGCGGTCAGTAATTGCGGGAACCCTGGGAGAAAAAAAAAACAAAACGAGACAAGAAGGGGGTGAATAACAAAAGAGGGGAGAGAGAACGAACCGGGCAGAGCGAAGAGGATAACCTTCTTATCAGCCCACTCCTCGGAGGCTTTGTAGTTGATGGGGATACCGCAGGAAGTGATCTCGCCCTTTTCATCGGACCAAGGGATGTAGCTAATGAAGAAGATTGATGTTAGTGAGCGAGCGAGGGGCCATGGAGATCAAATGGGCTATGCGATATGGCGAAGGAAGGCATGAGGGGATGGAGGGGCACCAGGTGGCGAGGACCGTGATGGCGGAGGGGTAAAGATGGCGATAAGCAACGAGGAAAATTTTTTGAGATCCAAACATACGAGAAGACCACGTCCTGGGGGAAGCTATCACCAGCCTGGATCGACATGATTGCGATTGATGGGAGATGTGATGGGTAAAAGAGAGGGAAGATGTGTGGAAGTTAAGTTTAGATTCGAGAAGGAAGAAGAAATAAGGCCCAGGGGCAGTGGCGGCTTTAATATTCCGCGCCTCGCGAGTGGGAGGCCAGTCCTGAGGAGCCAGCTTACGCCGATTACACATATTACAGAAATCGGCCCATCGGGATCGCGGCTATGACGAATAAGGGTGGGACAATGGGCCATCCTGGGGCCTTATCCATAAGGTGATCCGAAGCAGAAAGATACCGAACCGCATGGATTAGCAAGAAAGACCGCCCGAGAACGAGGGGCGGTCCCGCTGGCTGATGACTGGTCCGTTCCGGCGGGGGTCGGAGTATCGGAGTGTCGGAGTATCGGCGCCACCCACGGACACGGAGAGGAGTGGCAGATCAGAATATCTGGGAGAGACCTTGGAGGCTGATGTCGAGATATCCGACCACTTGATGGAGAGGGAGAATGCACCACCTGATTCCTGGATGATGCAACAGTTGGAGTTGGTCCGGAGGCGCCCTGTAGTGCTGCGGTTAAATTGCTTATCGAGGCCCGCGCTCATTTGGCTTATCAGTAAAAGTTCTTGGTGCCTGAAAGACGCGGCCATCAGGCACCAATCAGCACGGAGTGGGCAGTCCCACCTTCCTGTTTGGGACATTTCCCATTTGGGCTGCCGCCATCGTCATCAGGCCTCAAGGCTGCAAGGCATCAATAGGCATCAATAGGCATCAAGGGCATCAGATCAAGGTCTCATGCTTGATATTGAGCGTCTCCATGCTCAGTTCTCGTAGGAAGAAGACCTATGTGGTTCGAATGACAACGGATCTTTTGGGTCTATCTGCAGGAGACAATAGGATAGAGAAGCTGATTCAGGCGCCTCCCGACCCGACCAAAACGATGATCTGGATATCATCTAGATTAGGAACTCGATTGGTAGGTCGAATCTTGACAGCTGGCACATATATAGGCCCTGTAACCGAAAAGATCCGAGCTTAGAAGTTCTGTCACCGAATATCAAGCTTCTATTAGAACAACAAGAGCCGGACGCGCGTCACGTGGCCGATAGGCCTGCTGTCTTCAACCTTACCCGAATCCGCCTCTTTCAACCCAATCGCCACATCTGGGGAGGGACTTCAGCTCTATGGAGACAACAAGCTATTGTCACCGATTGCAACGTCGACGCCTCTTTGTCTCTCCCGAAATAGAGAACAAGTCCACCATATTCCGGGCGTTGGCCTTGTGATCCCTTCTCGTTCATCGGGAGCCTCGCCGAATTACTCGCATCCCAGCGGGAGGCCCCGCGTAACGGCCACCCTCCCGGCCAGACATTTCTCTGGGACCCTTTGAAACCCAACCGCACCTTATCAGCCAGTCCAGTAGAGGTAAAGGGACGGGAGCACACAATGAATGGGTTTCTTATCCTCGGAACGCCTATAGGCTGATTCCCACTTCCAGCCTGCAATCGGACGAGCGCCCGAAGTCGCGCAACTTGATGGAGGTGGGCTAGATACCGTAGGGTCGAGGACATGCGGGGTTGATCTAGATAGATAAACTGGTCTGTTCGTAACTACAAAGGTCTCTATCTCGAGCAGAAGCTATCGGCCCTCTTCCATCATCGACCAAATGGCTCTCTCGTTCACTGGAAAGCCTCCGGGTCCGCGTGCAGGGGAGTTGCTCATCGCACAATGGAGTATACTCCCGAGGCATTCGTCTAGACAGCCCAAGGGAAGACGATTTACTTCCACGCTGCATATTGCGCAGAAGCAGAGCGCCGTGTCTCCCGCCCCATCCCTCCCGCCTCTTGCTGCTCTTCCCAATCGTGTGCTTCTCCGTTCCCTGTTGGTGTCTACAATCTCGTCCAAGCCGTTTCTCCTTCGACCATCCCTCTGGGCTATGTCGATTTTGGCCAAGCCTAACAGGGGCTTCTTTTTAAACGTGGATCGGAACCCTATACTCCATGGAATCCTAAAGAAGACTTTCTATGAGCAATTCTGTGCCGGAGAGAACGGAGCTGAAACCAAGGCTACGATCAAAGAACTGAAGGATATGGGTTTCCGGGGTGTAATCATGACCTATGCGAAGGAAACGGTGTTCGATCATAAAACAAACACTCAGCAGGGCCTGGGGGTTGCGGCTCTAGAGAAGCAAAAGGCCGGCGAGAAACTCGACCCGCGGCTGCTACACTGCGCTAATATTGAAGCGTGGCGAAAGGGAACGTTGGAAACTGTCGAGCAACTGGAGAATGGAGACTACTTGGCTGTCAAGTATGTATCATCAACAATCAACCATCAGTCAAACTTTTTAGTAGGACAGTGGAACTGACCTTCCCTCGATAGATTGACCGGGGCTGGACCAACGGTCACCGAAGCCTTTTCCAAAGGAGAACTCCCTCCACTGCAGATGATCGACGCAATGGACGAAGTGTGTCGCAGATGCCAAGAGCGCAACGTGCGCATCCTGGTCGATGCCGAGTCCCAGCATTTCCAGTGGGGAATCATGCTTCTCACCCTCGATCTCATGCGCAAGTACAACCGGGATGGTTTTGCCGTAGTCTACAACACCTACCAGGCTTACCTGAAGAGCACCTCTGACACTCTGGCAAAGCACCTCACGGCCGCTCAGAAGGAAGGATTCACTCTCGGTCTCAAACTAGTTCGTGGAGCATACATGGCATCGGATAAGAGAAGTCTCATTCATGACACGAAAGAGGCGACAGACCATGCATACAACACCATCGCACAGGGCGCACTGAAGCAAACCATCGGAGATTTCGGGACCACTACGTCTTTCCCCTCTGTCAACCTTTTCCTGGCCAGTCACAACAAGGCAAGCGTCATTGACGCCCACCAACTTCACAAGCAGCGTACTGCTGCCGGCTTGCCGACTGTCCCCGTAGGTTTCGCCCAGTTACACGGAATGTCGGATGAGGTGAGCTTTTCGCTTTTACAATTGAAGGGAAGCGATGGGACTCCCGAGGTTTACAAGTGCTCGACCTGGGGTGGAATGGGAGAGTGTCTAGCATATCTGCTACGCAGGGCAATTGAGAATCGTGACGCGGTGCTACGGACGACTGATGAATATTCCGCGCTGAAGTCCGAGTTGAAGAGGCGGTTGAAAGGCGCCCTCTCTCTGTCGATCCAGAAATAGAAGTATCATCCTCATTAGAAACGAAATTCATGAAATAATCCTTTCAACCATTCAAATCTCTCCAATCCAGGCTGTCCAGTCTCCGTTCATTGATAATATACAACGTGACTGAAGCTAATGTAATAGTCCGTAAGCTTATCGTGCGTTTCGTTCCGTGGTGTCTTTAGAGTTAAAGAAAGTAGGCTACGGAAGGCCTGCCGAGTGGAGCCCCGCATCGCGATCAAACGCTCGGTCCAAATGCACGAAGCGAACTGCCCCGCGCTATTATTGATCATGGGATCGTGGGGTTACTTTGCTGCATTGGGATAAATTTTGCGCTTTGGCTGTTATCTATTACATTTCTTTTGAGTAATGCTTTTCTTGACATGCCATTAAGAGGCTCCAGGAAAAGAAAATCTGTACTTGACCATGAAGCGCGCTAGTCGTACGACAGATACATAATGGTTACCGAAATGTTCATTTTCGGAGACCAACGACATAAAAGAATCAGAACCCATATTCGACTGTGTCCTCTGTCAGGCCAATTGCACAAGCTACACTCAAAAGGTAGAGAGCGTGGAGTATAGAAATTATTGGAGCCTAGAACTTGACCAAAACTTTATAGCACAAATAAAATGATTTCATCAAAGAAATGCTTTTAAGCAGTCAAATTGGAAATTCTAGGTAGGATTCATATACAAGGACATATCGAAATGAATATCAAATCTAGTGGTTGCTAGGATAAGTGAATCCTGTTTGTGGGAAAAACTCCTCCTTGATCAAACGGGGGCTGGTGAACCGGCGGACAACATCGGAGCTGCCAGCCTTGTCGTTGGTACCGCTGGCGCGAGCGCCGCCAAATGACTGTTGCCCAATGAGAGCTGCGGTAGTCTTGCAGTCTAACAAATAACATAGAACATTAGCAAATGGATTCAGAGCTTCTTCCATTTAAGGAATGTTTAGAAACTTACTGATATAGAAGTTACCGGCGGAGTAGCGGAGCGCATCCTCAGCCTCGCGGATGGCTCGGCGGTCCTGAGCGAAGACCGCACCGGTCAGAGCCAATCCACCACCGCCCTGGTCCACCTTCTTTAGAGTGGAAGACCACTCGGCATCAGGGTAAATGTGCAAAGCAAGTACAGGACCAAAGATCTCTTCGTTGAAGAGTTCGTGGTCAGGAGAGTCCACCTGGTAAACAGTCGGGTTCACATAGAAACCGACCGAGTCGTCGTAGGTTCCACCGGCAATCACCTTAACAGAGGGGTCTTTGTTGCTCTTGTCAATGATTGACTTGATTTTGTCGAAGGATCGGCGGTGGATAACAGGGCCCATGAAGGCCTCGAGGTTTTTATCAGGATTTCCGATGGTGATATTTTTAACACCTGCCTTCAAAGCAGTAATGAACTCCTCTGCACGAGATTCGGGAAGGTAAAGACGAGAAGTTGCAGAGCACTTCTGTCCCTGGTACTCGAACGAACCGCGAATCGTGTGGTTCACTGCGCTGGGGATGTCGGCGCTTGGGTGAACCAGATGGAAGTTCTTTCCACTGGTCTCAGCGACAAAGCGAGGGAACTCGCGGTATGACTTCTTTGCAACTCCCTCACCGATCTTACCGTACAGAGAGCGGAAGACATCAGATGAACCAATAAAGTTCAGGGCAGCAAAGTCGCGGTGTGACAGGACAACTTCATTGATAGTTTCAGGGTCGCCAGTCACGAATTGGATGACGTTGGGAGGCAGACCTGCCTCCAGAAGAATCTTGTAGACGATGCTGCTCGCATAGACATTGGAAGGCGAGGGCTTCCAGAGAACAACATTACCCATGAGAGCAGGACCAGCAATCAAATTTCCACCGATGGCAGTGAAGTTGAACGGGGAGACTGCGTAGACAAATCCTTCGAGGGGCCGGTATTCCACACGACTGCGCATTTTGTTAGCCAGGATATCGAGAGCCAGAAGCCATCTACTATAGCCGTCATTGAATACTTACCTCCACATGCCATCGCTGCCGCGGGTGGGTTGCCTCTCCAGTATCTCAGCTCCATAGTTGCAGTTCAGACGGAAGAAGTCGGCCAATTCCGCAGCGGCATCAATCTCTCCTTGCCAGATGTTCTTTCCCTGGCCCAGCATAGTGGCCGCAATCAATTCATACCGATATTTTCCAGTAACCAACTCCGCCGCCTTCAGGAAGATTGAAGCTCGGTCAACGAACGGAGTTTCCTCCCAGTCCTTCTTTGCGTCAAGAGCAGATTGAATTGCAGCGGAGACCTGCTCCTTTGTGGCAAGTGGATAGTTGGTGAAAGTAGTCGCATGCTCTGCGGGTAGGACTTGGTCCCAGGACTTCGAGCTCTGCTGGACTTGGCCATTGTAGAAGATGTCACTCCGGACTGGCAGTTGAGACCGCAGCTTGATCAAAGCCTCTTCTAACTTGGCCCGTTCCTCGGAGCCCTTCTTGTATAGCGGCTAATGTGCAACACATGTTTAGTTGAACTCGACGCGAAAGAGGCTTTAATTGGAGATACTCACGTTCGGCTCATTGCGGGGATCGGGGAGGCGAAAAGGCGCGGTCGCTTTGCCTCGAATCTGCGCCAAAGGTCTCACTGTTTGAGGACGTAGACGAGGCGTAAATGATCGTGTAGTACGCAGGTTTATGAACGCAGTGGTAGACATGGCGGCGAAGTTGTTCAAGGTATCAGCCGACTGAATTGAACAAACTCCATTTCAGCGACCGGGCGAGCTTTATTAGGACAGCTCTCGTCATGACATCGGATGTCTGGCCGATGGAGCAGCTTGTCACCCCGCTATGATTTGCCTGGAAGCTATGACGATGCTGGCCCTGCGGAGCTTGTAAACCCGGCTGTCCAGCTCGGGTGCACCGTCGGCAGGCCTTCCGATGGTCGCCCCGCCGCGTATACTCCGCCTTTCTCGCACGATATCAGCTACCGATACGCATGGTTCAGGGAATGAAACTGCCGAAAGAATTGTCGTTTTGTTATCTAGAAAATTCCCAAAATTGGGAAATGCAAAAAAGACAAGTCTTTAGCTTGTCCTACATCCATCTGGTCAGCATTTGGTACCACCGCCATGCAACATAGATCAGCTGAGAAGGAACAACATGGAACGGGCTTCTTATTTCGACGATTGGCAGGCGATGTTGGAGCTGCTGTGATTTCGGCTACTCTGGTTGCTCCAGCAGTAACTATTATTGATAGGTTTGCTCAGCTCCCAGACGAACCGCGTTCTCGGGTGTCTCTTCTAACAGCTTGAATAGGGCTCTCGTGGAGAAGTCGACCTTCAATCAACCTCTTATACGCGGTCTCCGAACGCATGCAATTTCTGCATTCAAAAGCCCGGCTCGCTTTGTATTTCAAGCGCCCTTTGGCCTGATATGGGCTTTGTACGGCGCGACGTATGTTGTTGCGAATGGATCCGACACAATCGGGAGGGCATTAAAAGCCCCCGCGACGGGAATGATCACTTTCCTCTCCACCACAATGGTGAATGTGCCGCTAGGCGTTTGGAAAGATATACGTTTTGCGCAAATATTTGGCACACAGCGGACTGCTGGCGATGTGGGAGCCGTTCGAGAATCTTTAGTACAGACTCGCGGCGCCGCTCGAGCAGCCACCGCAATTTTTCTCTTGCGGGATAGTGTGACAATTTTTGGATCTTTCACCCTAGCTCCTCGTCTGGCGGATGTAATTCCAGATGATATCGCCAGCCATCCGGCTGCTAAGCCGGTGATTACACAGCTGACGGTCCCAGTCCTGACTCAGCTTGTGGCATCGCCATTACATTCGCTGGGCCTGGATTTGTATATGCGACAACATGCCGTGCCCTTCTCCAATCGGCTGGTACAGTCTCAGCGTCATCTCGCTTCATCAACGGTGCTTCGGTGCATTCGCATTATTCCAGCGTTTGGGTTTGGCTGCTTGGCGAATCTAGAGTTACGAGAAATGTTTCATAGAAAATTGAATGTCTGATCTGATCTAATGAACCTAGTGGGGTTTGTATACGTATCCTTGAGTACCCAGGAAATCTTAAAAAAATCATTCAAGTTCGGTACAAACTACATTCCATGAGTGTATCTACAGTGGTCTTCTCCGCTCCCGTTTCATCATAGGTGGCCCGTTGGGTGTCTAGATATTGCACTTTCTGAATGCCTTCCCTAATGTCTGGTATCATTTACATGCTCGGTTGTTTCCATAAGACGAGCCAATGTGACCGCCTCTCGAAGAGCCCGTCCAACGTGGCCACGGACTGCGCCTTCTTCAAGGACCATCAAGCCTCCAATGGTACATCCCTCGGGAGATGTGCCTTGGTCGCGCAGGGTCGCCGGCTGCATTCCTCCCTGAAGCATCATAGCAGTGCCTTGCATGGACTGAAAGATCATCGTTTGTGCCAGATCGCGAGGGACCCCAACCGCCACGGCCGCATCAATCAGGGCATCGCAAATGACGGCAAAGAAGGCCGGCGTTGAGCCGCCGACTGCCGTCGTCGCATTCATCAGTCTCGGGTCGATATGAACCGGCCGGCCGATTTGCTCGAAGATCGCGGTCGTGATCTGCAGATAGTGCTCTGGGAGAGCAGGCTCCGAAACTTCAATCGCCGTGAGGGATTGAGAAACCTGGGCGGCGATGTTAGGGAGGGTGCGAACCACATATGCCCGATCGGGCTTGTTGGCAATGGTTGTTTCACTGCCGTAGATGGTCTGCTCGAGCTTTTGTCTGGTCCAGCCCGCGGCAATGCTGATCAGCAATTTCCCCTCGAGCACTTCGCGCAGGCCGTGCTGGGTCAAGACAGTCTGGATATCTGCCGGATCGACTCCTAGTATGATCACGTCGGACTCCCGCACAGCCTTGATATTGTTGCCCCGGTAAACAGTCAGTCGGTCTTGGTGCCCAGAGAATCGCTCCGTTAGCTTCGTTTCAGAGATTTCACTGCGAACACAAGCAATAAACCGGTTGAACAGAGGCTCGGGTTTGGTTGTATTGAGTAGACTGCTGAGAATTGCAGCTCCCAGATTTCCTATACACCATGAGTTATCGATCCGGATCGGTGACAAATTGACCATGGGCGATATTCACCGCAGCCCAACAGACACAGAGTTGACAGCTTCGCGTCGGCCATGTTTGCATGCAATGGCCACTCAATAATTTCAATTCGTCCAAACCAAGGCGTTTTCGAAAGGTCTCAAAGATAAAACCATCACGCGATCACCAGCCGGGCAAAAGCGTCTCGAGTTGCCCCTCGCCGATAAGTGCTGGTCTGGGTCGGGCGGGCATCCGAGTCCAAGCGGAGATGCTCCAGGGCCTCTGGGGATGCGCGCTTAGTGATTGGGTGTGCCCTCCACTCGTCCACTTCTCCACTCGGCACCGTGTCCCGGGGATTGATAGCGGAGGGTCCAGAACTGACACTCCGCAGTCGCAAAGGATGCCGGTCTATCGGAGCTGCCTGCGGGGTATATGCGATTATATATGATTCTATAGGATGATATATGATCGCACAAGCAACAGCAAAGCGGAGCGGAAACGCAGAAAGAGGAAAAAAACCTTTCTAGCCGGAACCTCGATCGGGACATTTCATCATGGGGGTTTCCAAGTCCGACGTGATTATCATCGTCGGAGGAGGTGCTTTCGGCCTCTCCACGGCCCTTCATCTCGCTAAAAAGGGCTATACCAACATCTCGGTCTACGAGAAAGATGACCATATTCCCCCTCGCTCTTCGGCAGCCAATGATCTGAACAAGATTGTCCGAGCGGAGTATGAAGACCCGTTCTATACGGAGTTGACCATTGTATGATCCCACACCTGCTTCCCCTTGCCTGACGCGCCAGAATTTCGGACTCAGATACTAATTGTTGTGCTTCACGAAACAGAAAGCAATTGCAGCCTGGAAGACTCCCCTCTTTGCGCCCCATTTCCACCAGACTGGTTTTCTACATTGCGTGTCGGGCGATGCCCCCGATCAAGCTGTGGACACCCTGCAACGCTTCCGCAATTCAGCCGAACACAATGCGCAAATCAAACCGCATGTAATTCCCCTAAATAACGAAGCCGACATTCGCCAGGTCTGCTGGCAATTAGACGGACCCTTGTCGGGCTGGAAGGGGTACTTCAACCGTTTCGACGGATATGCCCATTCTGCCAACGCCCTAGCGGCGGTCTATCGGGCCACACAGGCCGCCGGAGTGAGATTTTTCTTGGGCGAACAGGGGGCCGTGGACGAGATTGTATACGTGAGCACCCTGAAAGGACGGAAATGTGCTGGAATCCGAACCAAGAACGGCCGATTCCACCCGGCCGCGCTCACGATCGTGGCAGCGGGCGCGGGCGCGGGCCGCCTGGTCCCTCAGCTTGGCCAGCAAGTCGTCGCTAAGTCATGGTCAGTCGCCCATGTTCATCTGACGGACGAAGAAACATCGGCCCTACGTGGAATCCCGGTCACCTATGCTCGCGACCTAGGATTCTTGTTCGAGCCGGATCCAAAGACAAACCTGTTGAAGCTGTGCCCGATGGGAGGCGGATATATCAACACCGATCCCAAGACCGGCGTATCGCATGCGCCTCTGTCTTTGGAAGAGAGTGCGTTCGTCCCGGAGGAGGACGAGAAGCAAATGCGGAAGTTATTAGCCCATACGTTTCCATCCCTTGCGGATCGCCCCCTCGTTAAAAAGTCTCTTTGCTGGTTTGCCGACACAAACGACTCGGACTTCATCGTTGATTACATTCCCAATATGGAATCTTCAGTCATTCTGATGTCGGGTGACTCGGGTCATGGCTTCAAGATGTTCCCGATTGTCGGTTCATTCATCACTGATCTGCTGGAAGCTCCAGATAATAAGCAACCAGTTTCGCGTTGGCGGTGGAAGCACCCTAACCCAGCGGCTGGCAAAGCTGCTGACTGGGGAGGCGAGGTTAGTTGGCGCCTGGGACAGTCTAAAGAGCTCTCAAGTATTCTACCATCCAGGGCTTCTAAGTTGTAAATAGAATTTCTATATATGTCGTCGTCAATGATACGTTTCAACATCCTTCTGAGTTCTGAAGTCTTGTTGATATTAACCCAGTACATAAGAGATTAGTCTTTAATATGTGTCCTTAGGTCTCTCCAAAGCAAATACTCGCTTTATCTATAATCCCCTGCCAAATTGATGACTCCTCCTATTAGCGATGGTCGGCATTAGAGGCAGATGATGCGAGACTAGGTTAAGGATGGATGTCTTTATCCGCCTTCTTTGTGGTGTTGGTTCAGAAAAAGTAATATTTTGTAAATCTCTAGCAACCAGGTTGAGCATAAAAATTTGAAGCTATTGTTATCCTCTATTGCAATTGTTTGTGCCCCCTGCCAGTTCTTTGTGTCCATCATTTTCGGTTTCTTTTTGACCCCGTTTTTTGAAAGAGACCCTTTCTCCAAATACAGAACTCCGCAAGCCACACAACGACTCCAAGAATCAGAGTGAAACAACATCCCCTCCAATTATTAATTCATCGAGTACCGTCCTGTTCAATGAATACCCAACCTGACCGGAACACTTTCTACCCAACCCCCGGGCCTGCTTTTTTAATCCGGAGAAGGAGCAGATCACCGCCTCCTCAGTATATTCAGATCAGCCAGAGGTTAGCATTGCCCTAAGAGGATTGCGAACTGTAATTTTATCCAAAATGTGCCTTTTAGTTCTTTCCGACCATGTTAAGTACGGCTGTGGCCATTTCTACGTCGAGCGCGTCGAAAAATGCTTACGGGCTACTCACCTCCCTGGCCACCCACTGTGCATCTGGACCTCGGAAAGGCAAATCGTACCTCGTTCCGATTTATGGCATCGGCTTGCCCCCTTCTTCAAACCGGAGCTTAACCAGATGGGTGGCCCATGCAAGCAATGCAAGTACGATGGGTGGCCAAATTTCTTCTGAGCCTCAGCTCAACCAAGCATTGGTGAACTATGATTTCGCATGTCTATATTTCTGACCTTTAATTCGAACCTGATAGTTCAAACAATTATTAAATTTCTATGAAGCATCTCTTGCAATTCTTCTTTTTTAAAAATACACATCAATTCAAATTGGACTCGTATCAGTTTGTCTATATTCATTCAGGTCCACGTAAATTCATCCCTAGCTACCAGATGCTATGTTCAATCATCGCGTTAGACATCCATTCCGTATCAATGCTTTCAATAGAGTCTGCCACAGCCATGATTTGGGCCGCCGTCAACCCACTCGTAAAGTTGCACCCATCTTCAATAGAGGCCTCGGGATCCGACGGGATCTGATGGCTCAGGGCCTGCGCGGCAGAAGTAGGGAATGAGCTGGCGACAGAGGCGATCGGAGAGTTGAGCACATTATTTGGAAAGGACACTGGGGCTGACAAGCATCGCGGTTGATCTTGGGGGAAACAGCTCAGCATCTCATCCAGGAGCTGTAACTCTGAGCGTCGGAATTTAGCTATCAAGTTTCCATTTTCAATGATTTCTTCGAATATTAAATAGGCTTTTTCGAGCCATGAGGGATAATTCCATCTCATGTCGATCGCTGCTCCCATCAGGAGGACTACAGTAGAGACAAACACGGATTCAAGATCAAATTGAAGGAACGTTTCTAATATTTTCATTAGTACTTGAGCACGTGATACAAAGCAGACAAAAAGGGGACCATGGCAGTGAGGAAAAAACTCGGGATATTACCAAGAAGACCTTCCGATTGAAGGCTATGCAGTATACTGATTATCTGTTGAGATGACTCCATGCACATCTGGATCAAATTTCGAACATTGCGAGAGGTGTTCAGTGCGTCCAAACAATTTTCGGGGGACTCGAATCGTATCATCAGGAAGCAGAATAGTAGTGGGCGGGTAGCAAGAATAATACATTGATGATAAAGAAGGTGGAGATAGGCTGATGTTCGAGAGACGCCGCTGGACGTCTTATCGAGATTCAAGGGGAAGGCATTTCCAAGCTCATCTGCTAGACGAGCGACATTTGCTAATGCTGCCTTTGTGCGAAATAGAAACTTGCGATTCAAGCGCCCGTCAATTGCATAAACGGCTATTATTGGGGTTAACTCTAGTCTGTGGGCCCCGAGATTTATTATATACTCACTGCCATTGATCTCGGCGATGATGCGCGAGAGTTTGATGTGCATGCTGATGGCAGCTGTCCTTTGTACCGAGGTCGGAAAGGTGGGAAGCAGAGTATTCACATGGTCATCATTGATTGACTGTGGTAAACCCATCAATGAGGTCATCTCACGATCGAGAATGTATACAGTCCACCATATCTTACGGCATCTCTGGACCATGCCTTCCCCTAGATACTCGATCGGCATCTGTGTATGCATTCCCTCGGCCATTGCCATTCGCATGGCTTGTCCAATCTTTCATATAATCCCTATTAGTGGTGCAAGACCAAAATGAAAATGACGAAGGCTCAGTTGAATGGACATACATAGTTATGTGCCGCGGACCGGCAGTCCAAGACCTGCAGATACAGTGAAGCACAACAGAGAATCTCTGTCGCTTCGATGGGCTCGTTGTGAAGGATACTAACGTCCGGTAGCAACTGCAGAGCCTTCACGAAAAACTCAGCACCGGCTGGTCGGTTGCCCTGCAGCTTTTTCTGAACGAATCCTTTTCCGAATGCTAAGATAAGAAGGAAGTGAATGTACCAGAAGCTACCCGTCGTGTTGGGCTTCGGCTCCGAGTAAAAATTATGTAGGTTTCCCATGAACTCATTCTCATCGAACAGGTGGTACAGTTGTCCACACCGGAACCTCACGACATTGATCAGGTAAAGGGCATAATCAAGGGTAGGAACCGCGGGGTAGTCCGGATTTTGTGATGTGGGTAGCCCATCCCAACCCAGATCATAGGTTCTGCCATCGAACAACAAGGCTGCCGTTGGAAGTGGCTCTTGATAGATGTGTTCGTGCGTGAGACTCAATATTCGGCGCGTGAAGGACCAGTTGGATGAGGTCCCTAAGTAGACTATAGAAAGAAACACTAAGCATACCTTGCTCGACACCGGGAGGAAAGGGTCAACCTACATGTCCTCCCATTCTCCGCCGACATGAACGCAGGGGGGCCGGTCGACATGGGGTTTGTCAACCCAGATGTCGGGTCCTCGAGTTCCTGGTGGAGCTGCAGGTCTTGATTATCATGGGGGCTGGATTTGATAATCTCTGATATGTCATGTTGGTCCTTGGGATCTGCAATGCATCAGCCCGTGGCCTGATCGAACGGTGCAGGCGACTCACCTGGCGATCTCTCCTCGGCATATTCTGGGCTCAGCAGAGACGGATTGATCTGTCCGTTCTGCTGCAAGCGTGCGATTTTTTGATGCAACTCATCAATATAGCTAAACGGGAGTGAGTTTGATATCTCTCAGATTAGGCCTCTACGGGAACATGAGGACAGTACCCTCTGGTCACTAGGATCTTCTGGTCGCGGTCATCGAATATGCAGGTGAGCTTTCGTTTATTGCAGCCATCGCAGGGCTGAGACCCCGAGCACTTGATCTTTTGTCTGCGACACCGAGTACAACTGCGTTTCGGGGGCAGTCCCGAGAAGTCAGCCCAGGCTCTCGGCCGTTCAGGATCTCAACAGCACATACGCATTCAAGGATCGTTTTGCGACACGCGATCCGTTTCCCGCCATCAGAGAGATTGATTTTGGCTGTCGGGTGGAATGCCGTGGGGTCGAGGGAGATACAGAAGAGGAATCAGGAAATATCGTGGACAAAGTGCAAAATGCGGGGGAAGCTGGTGGAGTTCCTCCGGTTCTGGCGACGAAGGGCGATAACGAGGGGCGACCAACAGGGCGCGACCGGCAGTCGCCACTCACAGAGTAGAGCGCTCTCATACATTCATACAACTCATAGCGCTGAACATCCTCTAAAAGCCAGATCTCGAAGGGCCCCTCTCCAGCTCAAGCAATGCAAGGCAGTCCATAGCAAGTACCATTAATCCCTATGCTCCAATCCGTCACTCCCTCCCAGCTTCCCTCGTCCTCGTGCATCTTCCCAGATCTTCTATTGACTCGAAGCACTACTACATCCCGTGCCAATCTATATCGCCTATACATCCTATTCAAGGTGTCATATAAGGTGGATTCTTATCCCTCTCGGTCTTTACAACGGACATCATAACCTCGCGCTGGACATATTCTTTCGCTGGTCCGTTCGTTCTCCAATTCTCCATTATCGGATCACCTGGTCGGAGATGGTCCGTTCTCGCACAGGCTTATCATTCCAGCACGACCGGCCATACTGCAAGAGAGGGATTGATATCCTAAATTGGCACGTCTGTGACATCTAACTCTGGATGATTGACATCGATAGCCGCTCTTCTCCACCACGCTACGGGAGGCTGCCCGGGATATCTCGTTGGCCGTTGATAGGGCCGGCCGCCGGCTTCGCTCCCGATGCCCACTTTGTTTCCTTCACCACGTCACCGTCTTGTCGTGTCATTGGTTATTAGTCATGGAGAAAGCTTCACCAGATTCATTGATCAGGCTCCTCCTTCAATCTACTATCTTGAACTTATCTATCAAGTGCCGAGAATCCGTTCCAGTTGACTCGACATGGTAGAAAATGGGATTGGTCACGTGATTATATGCAAGGGTCATTTTTTGTCTTCGGGCGATTTAACAGGGTAAAATAACAATAATAATGCAGACTGCACGCTGATCAATCTAAGAGGTAATGGCAAGAACACTGCATTCTACTCAAGAAATCTTATTTCAGTACTTTATAATGTCCGTAGGTTCTATTTCATTATGTGTAACCACGGATCAGTGCGGGTGCGACTCGATGAGAACCGACGTATGCTATATATATATCTTTGCGGTGCAAGTATGTAAATGTCGATTAGAGCTGAGTATGCCAGATAACGAAATAGATGCACCATAATCTAATCGCTTTCAAAAATATTACATGATAGTCAATGTCGCTACATCTGTATACACAACCGAGGTCAAATCTTCTCTGCTTTACCAGTGTTCTTGACTGATCGGGACTTCATTGACATCGACCCCGTCCACAAACCAGCGACCCTCTCCATTCCCGTCTGGACCTAGAAGCAGATCATTGCCGCTCATCATACGCTTGCACATCTTCCCAGTTTCCCAATCAAAGGTCCAATCTTCGAGGCCATAACAACGTTTCCAGCGCATCCCATCGGTTGCATCTTGATATTCGTACCAGAATTGCACCGCAATGCGGTCGTCGCTGAAAGCGAAAAGTTCCTTGCGAAGGCGGTAGTTACACTCTCGTTCCCATTTTGCGGTCAGAAACTTGATGATCGCGTCCGTCCCCGACAAGAACGAGGTACGATTACGCCAAATACAAGTAGGGGTGTATGCTTGTGCGACGCGTGAGGGATCTCTATTCCATGGTTAGCCTGCTGTCCTACGATACGTCATCCAGATGTAATTGAATATTAACAGATTGGTCGCGTCCCAGCTCGGGAAATGAAGCAGTGAGACAAAAGGGTGAAAACAGAGGGGAGTCGACAATGGTCTACGGCGGGAAAAGCCATGTGTACATGGGCACCGAACCTCGCACGGACAAACATTGGCGATCAGAGGAATGCAAAGGATGGTATTTTGCCCCAAGCCCTGTGGTCGACCACATGGCCTTTATGGAGATGAGGGTGAAAGTGAAATGAGACTTACTGCATGTTCCACATGTTCTGTGCTGCTTTGACCTTCTTATGGGCGGTCTCGTCGGTAAAAGGAGGCTTGATATCGGCCATGGTGAAATTTTGAAGACTGACGATCATGAATGAGTTGGGAAGAGGTAACGCGATCGGAAGCGATTCCTTGTATATTTATATTATTATATACATGTAATGAGTCATGCAAGAAGCGACCGTGGATTGATCTTGCAAGAGCATGCATTATTGGACACGAAACTTTTCGCACTCCGGCAGAGTATCGTTAGCATTGGGGGGGAATCAAGTGGCTCTTGAGAGCGCCCGAAGACTTTGCTAAACAAAGCTGGGCACTGACGCAACATCTGAAAGTATTAAAAAATCCACTCTATTGTACTGCGGAGATAGATCGAAAGAAGCGAGACAAGCGAGGATAGCGATGTAGGCTGGAGGTTTTCATAAATAAACTAGAAACGATTGGAGATTGGTGGACCCACTGTGGACCAAGGCACACCCCCAAAGATTGACACAACGAAGACATACATTAATTCTATAATTACCAAGGAATAGAAGGACCAGAAGGAGATTTCAGAATACCTTTGACAACGCTCATTCGTTCTGTGAGAAGACAATCGACAACATCGGGACGACGGGGCTCGGTAGAATTGGGAAGTAGAGTATACCACATATTCTGCTTCTTCAACACAACACATTCCCATTGTGTTATCATATTAAGTAACGGCATCTAGCTCAAAAACAGTCTGCAAACGACGAAAGGTATATCTGATTAATCCATCGATGAGTGAGTCGCTCCATATATTTTTTCTTTCTCTAAAGACTATAGATCGATTCCATCGTTGGAACGATATTTCGCAGGACGAGACAACGGGAGTTCATCGCCACGAGCCGTCCGACTTCTTCATGACGAAAGGGCCGAACATCAAAGCCCATTTCAATCCCGAAGAGCGCATCCCATTTAGATTTGAGGAGGATTCTAGGGCGTGGAATGTCGTCGATAATGTGGACTGGGAGCCCCTTGATACGCCTGGCGATAAGCGATAACAAAACTCGAAGGTGACGACCACATTGTTTCCCCCTGCCATCACGACGGAATGTATACCCGGTTCCTTTTCCCTGGTCCAGTCTGATCATCATACGACGCCTTTGAGTTCATAACAGAGCTGAAGATCTACGTAAATGCTCGGTTGTTTCATAGGTGGGAGTTGTGGAGGTGGAAAGAACTATCACGATGTGAGGCCGAGTAGAATAACTCGGGAGAATAAGGAGGAAGAACAATAAAAAGTAAAAACAAAAAAAAGGGCATGGAGTTCGGTAATCCCTTATTTTGAATGAGTCGGAATGGATTCCAAGACGCGAGTGAGAATAGGATAGGAAAGCAAGTAGATTGACGATGGTTGAATTATACGAACTACTCGAGTTGGGTTGACCCCAACGACTGAGTGCATTCCAACGACGGCACCTCTCCATCTCTCATTTCCCCCCATTCCACAACAGTCGTGCTGAGGCATGCCATGTCCCTTCCCCGATCGTGGTCTTTTGATCCCAACGCCCAGAATACCGGCAGACACTGTTCTCACCATCTTCTTTCTCGTCCAGTTCGTCAAGCACTCGGGTTCACAGCTCCCGTCACGCCTCTCGTTCGCCGTCGCCAAATCCAAGATGCCGTGTTAATCCTCCTCATCCGTCATTCGTTACTTCCCAGCTGCTGCTGGAGCCGATCCTTGCCGATATCCTTCGTTTCAATTAGTACTCTCAGTGAGCATCGACAATCATCTCTCGTTGGACCTACTCCAGCGTGAGTCGTGAGAAGAACTGAGGAGGGGATTCACGACTGACTCAGGAAGCAGCTCTCCGAGAATAACACACAACAGACAAACATCGCCAATACTGGATGCTGCGCTGAATAAACATCAAGACCACAGCGCCAAAGCCATGGATCAGGCCATGTTGGACCCGAATGATCCGCATCGGAGACGTCAGCCTTTGACCGATGCATCAAGCAGGATTAATCATGCTAAATCTCCTAAGGTTGAGACTCCAAGTGTACGAGTGGAAGATCTGGAGCAACTTAAAACCCCAGATAGGATGTCTATCGTCATGAGTCCTACGCCTAAGGACAACAAAGAAAACCAGCGACTATCGGTAGCCACCGACTTCCAGACTGAATCTGCCCGAAATTCTGTCGTATCAGCAGCTTCAATTCTCTCTAATAAGGGGAAAAGAAAGACTCATGTTGGCCCATGGCAGTTGGGCAGAACGTTGGGAAAGGGCGCCACGGGCCGAGTACGACTCGCCAAACACGCTGTAACTGGCCAGACCGCGGCCATCAAGATTGTCTCGAAGAAGTCCGCGGCCATGGTGCAAAGTGAAAGTATTGCAGCCATGGATCGTAACGTCGGAAACTTTTCAGGTTTCTCCAACGCACGGCAAATGCCATGTGGGATTGAAAGAGAGGTGGTCATCATGAAGCTGATTGAACATCAAAATGTGATCAGCTTGTACGATGTATGGGAGAATCGTGGAGAGCTGTAAGTAACCATTCTCGCTTCCGCCCTCCTTTTTGTCCTAAGTGACCACTGTGCTAATAAATTCGAAACCTAGGTATCTGGTTCTAGAGTATGTGGAAGGAGGTGAACTATTCGACTACGTCTCGAACAATGGCCCACTCCCCGAAGAGGAAGCTGTGCGTTTATTTCGCCAAATCATTGCTGGACTAGGTTACTGTCATCGCTTCAACATCTGTCACCGCGATTTGAAACCAGAGAATATTTTGTTGGATGCGAATCATAATGTCAAACTGGCCGATTTTGGGATGGCTGCTCTCCAACCAGCAGGGCATTGGCTGAACACCTCCTGTGGTAGCCCGCATTACGCAGCTCCAGAGATCATTTATGGCCGCAAATATCGCGGGGACCGTGCTGACATGTGGAGCTGTGGGATTATTCTTTATGCTTTACTGACCGGCTATCTTCCATTTGATGGAGGGGATCTGCCCAACACCCTGAGACTCGTGAAGAAGGGCGACTACATGATACCTCCCGAGCTGAGTGATGAGGCAGCTGATCTGATTCAACGAATCTTGCAAAAAAGACCCGAAGACCGCATTACGATGCAAAACATCTGGCTCCATCCGCTGCTCACAAAGTATGAGAAGCTTCACAATGCCATGGCCGACCATTATATCGGTCCTCCCCCGCCACTATCTATCAAGGACTGCGGTAACCCGGTCACATGCCGTCAAGACGTTGACTATGATATCCTACGAAACCTCCAGACCTTGTGGCATGATGTGAAGCCCGATGCTTTAATAGACAGACTCCTCTGCATAGAGTAAGCTTTTGTCAAAGAGATGAAACCCATGAAATGTTTGCTAACTTGTTCGAAGACCTACACACGAACGAATGTTTTACAATGCCCTTGTCAAGTTTCGAGACGAGCAATTGGAAAACTACCAAGGACAGCCCCTGGAATACTCCGCAAGTGACTACCACCACATTTCTCGTCCCGGAGGCAGGGTTCGTAGAGGCAGAAGTCAAAATGGACGAACCAATTCCAAGAGACGTACCCATGCCTCGATTGTCAAGGACCTTCACCACACCCAGGAGCCTAGATCTTGTGGAAGCGTTGAAAGTTATGATCCTTACAGATCTCCAAAGATCAAAAATTCTGGAGTGGAGCCAAAATATGCGCAGATCACCATTCATAGAGCTCGGCCTGAAGTTGTAGATCAAGAACAGTGCTCGCCTGCTGTGAAGCCACCACCCTCGATTGCCGAAGAAGATGAGCCGGAAGACTTCGATGGAGTGACGAGCTCGCCGTTTACAGTTCTTCAGAAGCGAAAGCATAAGCCAAACTCGATGAAATCTTTCCAATCCTCCAAAATTCCTAATTCCAGCTCGCGATGCCCGGGTCTCTCTATCCGCTCCACAAGCTACCGCCGCAATGTCTCATTCCACCACGTCCGGAACCGTTCCCAGGGATCAACCAAGCCAAAGCGAAGAAAGATGGTGCCGAACCCGCAATCGGATCTTAAGAGATCTCCCAGTGCGGCCAGCTTACAGATGATTGCCGACTGCGTCGATATTCCAGAGATTCCAAGCAGTCCTCCTCTTCCAGCTCAGCCAATGGTAGTTCGACCCAGTGGCGTGAAGGCTAAGAGCCTTTGCCGGGACCAGAAGGTACAGGTTTTGGACTTCATTTGGAAAGAAGATGCTCGCAAGGTCTCCAACGAGCTGAGCCAAATTTGCGAAGAGGCATTTAACGGAAGCTCAGTAACTACTATGCGTACTGCCAGCACTGGAACTGGATATGAGACGCCAGCGACTCCAGTCTCTGTTGCCAGCCAGGAGCAGCATTTCAACATGATCAGCAAGCCCACTCCTGACTCTTCCAAAGCAACTTCGAAGGAGTCCGGCCGGTCTTATAGCATTGAGGAACTAACTGAGACTCGTCGGAAACTTGTTGAACATAGCCGGGGGCGCAGTGATAACATACCAACATATCTTTCCGGGGTCATCGGTCATCTTGACCGTTTGATTGAGGAGGATCATGCACAGCGTCGCTCGCAGCGCAGAATGGAGGAAAGCACTTCTACCCTTGTTGATCCCTTTGTTACAAGCCCGGATGACACATCTTTACCTGTCATAAGTGAGGAATTCGCAAGTCCTGTACGCGGACCCAATGAGTGGACTGCTATGCCAAAACCAAAGGCACATCCTCCTACCGTCAAGAACAGAATCGGTGATTCAAAGACGACCATCCGAATGGTGCCACAAAGCTCTCTCCGATCAATGGAAGAAGTCAAGCCTTTGATGATCCGCAAAAAGCCTCAAATCAATGGGTCAGAAGACATTAAGAGCGATTCGGCAGAGACATCTCGCAACTTCTCTTCTTGTTCCCGACAAAGCCGCCACCCTGGTGGCCTCGACCCGATTGAGGAAGTCCCGGTCTCTCCCAAGAAAGCCGAGAAAGTTATGGAGAGCAAGAAGTGGTCATGGTTCAAACACCGCTCCCAAGTCTGCGAAAGCCCCCCATCGCTACCGCCCAAAGATAGACAAACCATCATTCCCAGTAATGGGACTGTGGTAGTTCATACGTCAATCGATCCCGAGTCCCCTATTAGATCGTCCGACGAGGAGAAATTACCCACCCGGAAGACATCCATGGAGCGTTTTGGTGGTGCCCTCAAGAAGCTCATGCCGAAGAAGTCCAATAAGAACGCTCCCCAGCCCGAGACAGGTAGGTTCAACTGTCTCTTCCATCGCCACGTCACGCTGACCCCCAAGGAAGATAAAGAAAAGACTAGACCCAAGGAGCCATGTAATTCTGCACTCCTGTGCAAGGGATTGCCCGAGACAGAGAGCTCGTTTGAGTCAAACGACCCTCTAAATGCTTCCATTCCTCCACGCAGCAAGCGTCTCTCGATTGCGAATCAAAATTGGTTCGCCCGCGTGTTTCAAATCAAGCCTGCTTCTCGCGTCATAGCTCTGAATACTTCCAAGGTCAGGGGTCGCAAAGAAGTCTACAAGCTTCTGCGCGATTGGAAGCAGTACGGAATGGAGAACGTATACATGGACAAGAGTAACAGCATTGTTCATGGACAAGTGAGCGATAACAACTGTGAGTCAAACACCGACTGTCAGATCTAATGAATGTCATACTAACTACTCTCCAGTATTCCGCCTCCGGGAAGTCGAGTTCACAGCAGAGTTTTACACTGTTCTTGAACATGGTCGGAAAGCCAACCTAAGCCTGGTTCGATTCAAGCAAGAGCGTGGTGCTGCATCTTCTTTCAACAAGGTCGTTGAAAATGTACACTTGATGCTTCAGAACAAGGACTTAGTTGTCGAGGACCCTGTTCGAGCAAAGAAGATGTCTCGTGTTCTTGATACAATTCCCAAATCACCATAATCTTTCCTTATTCAACCACTCCCTCTACTTCCCCAATTCTGCCCTATCTAGCATTTTCCAGCCTCCCACTCGCTCATGTACCACGCACTATTGCGCCGCAGCCCTGCAAAACTTTTGAAGAATCTTGTGTTACCATCTCGTCATTTAGAGCCATCTACACTCGCTTACATCTGACATTCTTTTTGTCGACTCTTCCCGCGAGCCCGGTATTGCTCGGTCTTTTAACCCTTTCGTTTCTTCCGTTTCATCCTGGATTATTCAGCTCACTTTCCTTCATTCATTTGCACGTTTGTCTTCTGACCTCTTTTCTTCTCAAGTCACATCCCCAAGCCCTTTTATTTGCATCGTGAATCTTTTGTCTTTTCTCTGATAATTTCCCTCATGCAGCACGGACGCCAAACATAATCAGACCCTCAATGTAATTCATAATCGCTGCGCGTCGGGTACTAGATTAGCTTGCTGGGCGATTCATTCCCCGTGGAACAAGATCCATTGGTAAAAACAAGGGAGCGGGGGGAACATGTAGTTAGTGAAATCAATTTATTCAGCAGAAATGAACCATTTTATTCCTTTTAATTACTCACAAAATCCATGATGATGTCCCCCTCTCCAATGGACCAGCTTCTATTGAAATTGAGGACTCGAGATGTTTGAATGGTGGTCTTGTCCTAAAGTGTAGGATGTCAAACTGGCTGGCTTGGCGCGCCATCTTCCTACCTCGGAATCACTGCCGCCGGTTATGCTGTCTTAGGTGAGACTATAGCTAAAGGTGATATTTCTCTATTTAATTCTTAAATTTTAAGTGTTAAAGGAATTAGTATACATGGTGATTAAACCGTGTTATGGTATGGATGCAGAAAGCTCTATGTTCCGCACGGAGCCCATGAACATTTGGGCACAAAGTCCCTTCAAGCATGTCTCATCACAGTCCCAGACATGGAAAATCTACGCTCTAGCCAATTCCTGCAAAGGAGAGAGTGGCAAGAAAGGGCAAAAATAAGAAAATTTGATTTAAGTTTGGATGATGTTGTTAGTAGAGAAGGGTTGGAGATCAAAATTCACATAGAGGCACAAGCGATCCGTATCGCCTCGATAAAGGTGGCTGGCTATTGGGAGTAAGATGGATGTGGGCAGATCGTTATGGAGATCCCGACATCCTTGAGAGTAATGGTGACCGTGATACCTGCATTCTCTGGAGGTTCAGGTGTTGGGTCGCAGGGGAGTTTGACAGGGGCAATTGCACCGTGGATGGGTCTCTTCCGTGATGACCGTATAAGAGTGAGGTGTGGATCACGGGTAAGCGGATGGTACTTTTGCTGATCTGCAGTTGGCAGACCCGTTATCTTTCAATTGAATTCACAGCTACTGTTCTTTTTTTTTTTCTTCTTCTTCTCGGAAGTCTATGTATCCACCGAGATGATAATTGCAAAGACATTGCAAAGACAGTAGGTTCATTGTGTCTGTTGTCCCGAAGGCGCAAACAGGGAACGTGACAGAGTAATCTTATCAATCAGTAATTGGGCCACACTACTGGCTGACGTAGCCTTATATCGTAAAGGCCAGATGAGGTTAATTTTACAACCGAGCTCAGCCCTATTTCAACGGGTCGATAAAAAGATACGAGGGGGCAACTCAATTTGAAACCTCACAGCCTAGAACTCGGCCACTTCTGCCTACATTGCAATACCCCACCACAGTGAAGATACCAGCTCAGGCCCAAATAGAGGCAAAGCTATTTGATTTTAGGACACACTCAAAGACCCTTTGAGGAAAGAGAATAAGAGAAGCATGTGCGAATCGCAATCACAGTGAATGAGCTTCACACCATCGTATTTCACCAAAGGCGCTAACCGACGAAAGATAAAAAGAAGTAACATCAAAACTTTAGAGCATGTGAACGTAGACAAAGGCAGAAATAGTGATCAGACAACCTCCCAGTTATAAGCGGACACGCAGAAAAAAAAAAGACCAACAGGACCAAGGACATGATAGGAGTCCAAAAAAACATCAGGAGAGAACGAAAACGGAAAATTTCACACAGCCGACCATCTTTTGTCGCAGGGACCAACGCATAGAAAGGATTCAGATTGCCTTCCCTGGTAGTATAGATGTACGAAATGAAAAGAACAAAAAAAAGCACCAAACATAACAAACACGTGAAAACAAATAGGAATGATAACCAAAACCGAACCCGAACGCAGAACTGAAAAAGTAGTCAAATAGCCGCCCGAAATTTGTGACAAGAGAAAAATTGGGTTGTTGCCACCCGTCATGGAAGTTGTATATAGTCACGGAAAAAGTAGTGTCTGAGGGGGTGTCGGTAGTGGGTTTGTTGAGTGATTGCGATTTTGTAGTAGGGCCCGAGTTTGATTTCTTCACGTTGAAGCAATGGAACAGGCAGGCTTCCAGGAACTCGAGTAGTTTTCGTGAATTGTCAAAAAGCTGATCATTCCAGACTGGCGGGCCCACTCCACAATTAAATCAGACAGTCAATAAGAATCGAAGTGTATAACAATAACAGAAAAGTTCATATGCCAATAAGCCGAAAGGCCCACAGACCTGGCCATTTGGGTGTAAAACGTCGTGCGGCTCGTAAAGCTCATGGGTCCGCGTTTCCATTCATGGCATCGTGGTCGGATCGAAACGAACTTCAGGACCGTTTCCGATGTTGGAAAATTGCACCTGCTCCAAATTTCCTTTTTGCCAGTTCGAAGAATCTGGCTGTTGCTAAAATAGCGGATTTCCGAATCGGTGTCAAAAGTTGTATATCTGCTCAAGCATCCAAATGTCTGGGGGTGTCATTCATGTATATTCGGCTCAAACCCTTGCGTGCACAAGGAATCATGCACGTTCCCGAGGAAATGAGAGAATCACAAGCAACAACATAAAACACTTGAGGAGCTCACGCAAACAGTCTAACAAAGGGACCGGTCCATTGGCATTGCTCCGGTCAGGCCACGCTACCTCTAGGTAACCACAGCTCAACACATGGTCCTCCCAACCGTGTGGCCAGCACACGGTCTCCATTCTTTCCTTCCTTCCCGGCACACCCGCATTCCAGTCGCGTTGTTTCGCCAATTCCTCCCGTCCCGGAAATTCGTCACAAATCTCCCTCCCCTTGGTGCCAAAGAGGAGGATTTACCGAGGACCACGGCGGTTCAGCTGGTTCAGCATGTCGCTGTCGGTGCTGGAACGACCCTGGGAGTCACCATCCTGGCCAGGGTTCAACATATCCCGTACATTCAAGCCTCCGCGCTGAGAGCCACCGGGGGTAGAGGTGGGTGGTGGAGGGGTGCGGCCGCCCGCCGGGGCCTGCATAGGGGCATATGGCGAGCCATGAGGGGAGGTGGAATGGCGGGAATCATAGGGATATCCAGCTTGCGGCGAGGTACGTTGGTCGATCGGATGACCATAGTAGGGGCTCGGGGCGGTGTGCGTCTGGTATCCGGGGGTAGAGCTGGCGGGTGTAACGGGGGCCAGATTTGCGGGCTCAGGGTAATCGAAGCCGGTCCCAGAACCACGGCGCTGTCGCTGTGGAACACAATGAAATCAAAACATTAGATCGGAACCACCCGCATGGAGGGGAATGGACTGCCTTACCGGATCCGGCATCGATTGCGCAAGGGGCAGTGGGGGGCCGTCCGCGCCGGGGCGGCCGTACGGGTTCTGATACATCCCTTGAGGTGGCGGTAGAGTCGTCTCGGGGGGTTGCACCGCCTGGCTGGGGGGCAGCGGCTGGCCATGAGCGCCGTAGAAGGTGGTGCCGGGAGGAGGACCTCCCTGGCCATTGCGTAGTTGAGGATAGGCGGCGTGGGCCGGGACGAAGGCTTGTGCTTGGGAAGAGACGGGTGTGAACATGCATTCCTGGTTGAATCGTTGACAATTGTGGCAGCGCCCATCGGTCGAGCTCTCAAATCCCGAGCAACGGATCTATTGTTTCGAGGGAGGGGGTGGTTGCCACCCTTGCGATCAGTATGCTGGTTTCACCACGTCGAGGGTCTTCCGCCCCTTCACGATGGAGATGGCGGTTCTCCACCACACATACCTTGCGTCGGCGACAGTACCGGCACGCAATGGCTGTTCGCTGGCGCGGCGCGGCCGCCTGGTAGACCATCTGCGGCGGCTGTGGGGGTTGCGGCTGATACGGGTCGGGACGATAGGCTCCGGGAGGAGGCGGCAGCCGATAGTCCGGCGACGGACCGGGGTGAATGGCAGTCATATTGGAAGGAGGAGGATATTGCGCCGGCGGAGGATAGTAGGAACGATCGTGCTCAGGTGGAGGTGGATAGGACCCAGGGGGATACTAGAAGGCAGGGCGGATCAGTGTGCTGCGCGCGGAACGACAAACGCGGACGACGGAGTTTCCGCGTAGCCAGGTCGAACGGATCGAAGGGCAGAGCAGAAGAGGAGTCGAGGCGCAGAGAGGGAGAGAGAGGGGGGAGGGAGGAAGGGAGGGATCAGGCGAGGGAAAGGGAAGGGAGGCGAAAGGGCAGTGGCATAGGTCATTCCCCCGTCTTCTAGGTCACATACCTGATATTGCTGGTCGTCGGGCCGCCCTGACCATTGGGGAGGAGGATAGTGTCCCTGGCGATTGGGGTCACCGTCGGAGGGATGGCGGGACATTGGTAGTGGTCGAGAAAGAAAAGGAAGGGAAAGGGAGAGGAGAGAAAGGAAAGGAAGATCAATGGATATAAGACGAGTCAAAGAGCAGGGATTGTGACGTCGGAGGGAGGGATTCACGGGTGGTGAGGGTTAGAGGATTGGAGATTTTGGAGTTTGGGGGGTTTGGGGGGGAGGGGGAGAGAAAGGGATTGGAGGCAGGAAGTATGGAAGTATGCGATGCGAAGACCAAGTTCCCAGAGGAGAAACAAAGCAATCCGATTGGGAGGAGGAGAGGAAGGTTCCCAATGCAAGAAAATAAGTCCAGGGAAAAAGAAAAAGAAAAATCGAAAATTGAAAATCAAAAGAAAAGAGCCTCGGCGACTATGACGTGAGCACGGAGTCGGGACGGCAGTCAAGGTATTCGAGGTTCGAGGTATAAGAAGCCCGGGACTCGACCAAGGCCACTCCCCACGATTTCCCAGGGTTTCGTAACTGGTCGGAACCCGGTCGAATAGGGAAAATGGGAACAGAAAATGCAGGAAAAAAAAAGAAAAAAGAAAAAGAAAAAGCGCGAAGAAAACGAGGACCACCGAAAGGGGGGAAGAGAGGCAGAAAAAAAAAAGGAACAGACCCCACGTCCGAGAAGATAAGGACCCAGGCGCAAAGGAACTAAGAATAGTGGATGAAATCAGACATCAGACCGTAGACCGAAGACCGTGGACCCCAGAACACATAGTTCGGATCGGAAGACGGATGAGGAAGCGCATTATAAGAATTATTCTACAAATTCACCCTTTGAATCCGGGAGAGAGACATCCAGATTCCTCCTAGGTATGTACAGGATACTGTGATTATGCCTGGCACACCTGTCCAGACTGAAAGGGGGGGAAAAAAAAGAGAGAAGAAAAAAAAGAAAATGAAATGGTCGCAAAAATCATACAAATAATAATAAAATAATAATTAGGGAAGCCCAAAAAAATCCCCCCTCAGCCTTTCGGCTTATGATTGGGCGCCATCGCAGGTATTTTTTAACACAAACGGGGTGGAGCCCGGGCAGCGCGGGCTAAAGCGGCGCCAGTGACCCATAGACATGGACGGGGGACCCCCAGCGCGCTAGGACGCTAGGACGCTAGGACGCTAGGGCATCAGCTGAACCAGGTAAGCCCCCGTGAGTTTGGGAGGACAGAGAGAATGGACAGAGGTCCCATGTTATCCAGGACTGCCACTGGGACTGTGATAAGATGAACAACTGCGACTTGAGTCGGTAGAGGGAACAGGATCTATAGGCTTTCTATACTGTCGACTCCTTTTGGGGGAGGGTAGGTGGAGAGGGCGAGATGAGAAAGGGCGGGGGCTACCTCCTTTCTCTCTCTATACTATATCCTTTTTATTTTCGGGGCTGTTCTTTTAGGGTACCAGGAATCGGCGGGTTGGCGATGCCGAGAACGGCGACTGGTGGGTGCACGCGCATGGGTTGGGCCCTTTAGTGCCCGCTCTGCAGACGAAACTTTCTTTTGGCCTGCCACTAGGGTCGAGGCATCATAATTCTCGAACACAGGTCAATCCGACGAGAATGTCGCGGTCTCGATACATCTGTATAGATCCAGGAGCCATCTAAATCCATGGTAGTATAGGTCGTCGAGAGCGAAGGCCAGGTGATGACAACCAGAGTCCATAGGACAGGCATCTGGCTTTCGTCGACCATGGGAACCCAGGTGCAATCCATTGTGGCAGTACATATTCCGTACATCGACTAGTTCGTCCCCACGGACCGAAGGAGGGGGGCTATCTTCGCCATTGAAGCCCCCCAGTTCCTTGCTTCGTGTTTTCCAGCCTTCGACGGCCGCAATCCTGCTCGTGTGCTCTAGCCAGAGCCTTCGGCGGAGATCCTAAGGCGAGCGCTGGCCGTGGCGAGGAGGAAGAGGGAAGCGTGGCTATCATCGTGAACAACGAACAAAGGGAGTGCGATGCTAGTGGACATCTCTACATAGATCATAGATCATAGATCATAGATCATACAAGACTCAGACGGAAGCGGGGAAACGAGCAGGGATTGGAGGAAGATTGAAAATCCTGACATCATCTCCGACCACAGAGATTCATGCTTCAATTGAAATCACAGCCAAGGCCTCAGAAGGCCTCCGGGCTGGCGAACTTGACAGGCTTCACTCAACCAGGGTCGGCTCGCATGGATGAACCCTGCCATGCATAATGTTGAGCGTGGGATCGCCATGGGATTATTCCGTGAAACCAGAGGACAGAGCGCCAAACAGTGCACGGCGCGCATCCCTGGCTCAACGACATCCACTAGGCCGTGGGCGCGACTCGGACCGTCGTCGCACAACCGCAACCGGCCCCGCGGAACCAGGATTGCCTTCCATGGTGATGGGCGCGGGTCGGGGCGAAAAAGGAAAAAAAGTCTCGATGGGAGCAACCCAATGGGTTTGTCCGGCGGGGGGAGGACCATGAATTGGGCATTTTAACACGAGAGTTTAGTTCATCACATTGGACTCTATCTTCCACGATGAGTAGTAAGTAGCCGTCGCTTGCTAACAGGGGGTGGGTGAAGGAGTCCGGCGGGCAAAAGTTTAAAAAGAAGAATCATCATCAGAATCATGAATCCCGCGCGATCATTGGTAGGGTCATAGATCAATCAAAACCCGTCCAATCCACCCCATCCATCCGCCTGGGAATGACCTGCGCCCGAGACAGATCCCCCCCCCCCCCCCTTCCTCTCTCGACCGACAAAAAAAAAGAAAAAGAAAAAAAATATGGGTGGAAAAAGGGACATGGCACACTCATCCCCAGCCAGGGCGAAGCAACCTGCTCCCGGCGATGTACATGAAGCTACTGCATGTACTATCGAACCTCCCCTCCCCCAAAGACACCGCGTGGGAGGCGGTGTGAAGTGGCGATCAGACTTCAGCTGACGAGTGGGGTTCAGCTCTCGCCACTCAAACCCGATACGAAGTGTCTGGTGACGCCGTTTCCGACATGCTGACCGGGAGGAAAGTGGAGGGTGGAGTGCGGGCAAGTGCTGGAACGCGGCCCTAACCCGTCCTAAGTTGTCCTAGGTGTCCCAGGGCTGTAGCACTGGATCCGGAAAGCCCATCATGAGCCAAGGAAACCTGCATTAGCGCTGCGTTGACCGGCTGACAGGGGGCGGGTTCCTTGTCCAAGAGCCACAACCACGTTGTAGGTGGCACCGTCACCGCCAATCCTGGCGGCCCGCGCAATCGAAGCCATCGAAACAGTCTCTCGTCGGTCATGCTCCATAATTGTCGAATTAGTTGAGTGGTCGAGTGGTGATGGTGGGTGATACTGATGGTGATACTCCACCCATCGGGTGCCTCCCCACTTCTGGCCCTGATTTTTGGCCTGGGTTATTTTTTCTCTTTCTTTTTTCTTTTTCCCTTTGGTGTATTCTTTTTGTTCCGTCGAACACGGCTTGTAATAAGTCAATCTCCGTCTCGTGAATCCTAGTACGGAGTAGAAAATCCGATTCCACGAGAAGGACAAGACTTCGACGGGGTGGAGCTTGAAACACCCGGAACACATGGAACCCAGGAGACGGGGAGGGGTGGGGGAATCAAGGAATGAAAGGTCGGGGAGAAGGGAAGAAAGGACAGGGATGCGAATCAAGATGATTGGATATCAGAAGATGATACCAACTTGATTTCATCTATTCCTTGCCTCTCTTTTCCCTTGTCTCGCATTCAATATCCCATCTGGCGTGTCCATCCTGTCATCGTCGTGGGTGGTGAAACATCGGGCTTAGCAGGGCCCTCCCTCTAGGGCTCTAGGGCGAACTTTTGCGGCCTGTGTGGTCGGGGTACTTGTCCCACGGGCCGCTCCGGCCTTCCCGCCGATCTCATGCATGTGTGCCATCTGAAAAAAAAAGACCTCGGGCGCCTGGTCAAGCATGCAGGAGCGAGCCCGGTGATTGGCGTCCTCGTTTCCGCTTTTTCCCATGAACCACTCCCCGTTTGGCCCCTTTGGGCATTGGTCGGAACTGGGGCCATGGGGGCTCCGTCTTCTTCACCGCAAGCGTCGTGGTCTGACGTTTTTGGCGGCCATCGATGCTGCCCATTCGTCTTCCGTCTCTTTGAATCCTTTGCCACGTTTTTTATTATTTTTGTGCCCACTTTCTTTACCAAGCGGGCCAACCCAATCGGCGCGATGCATTGCCGTCCGCGTCTTTCCGCTTTGCCGCACTCCACTCTCTGGCGTGGCCGGTTCAGCTCCTGTTCTGTTAGTGTACCATACTCCAGACTCTTGAGGGCTCCACACCCGACCCAAACTTGCTGGCCACTCGATGCAGTTTGTTCTGGGGACGCGCTAGTTTGATTCGGACCCAAATGGAGGGACTGAGCGCGGCCCTTGGAGACCCAACCGCCGCCCGACCTGTCGCAGGCTGCGACGTTCCTTGTTCCCATTTGATTTGCTTGGGAGATAATTCATTTTGGAGCTGGATGCTTTGCAAGGTTTTTTTTCGGTTTCTGTGGCGCCGATCAGAGGAGCAGCAAATTGTATTGTTTTGCCCCCTCTCCCCTTTCTCCGCCCCCTCCTTCGTCGACACACTCAGCCCCCCTCCTCCTTCTTTACCCACACGGGAGCGCGTCTATCAGCAGGGATGGAGCCCGTCGGGCACTAATAGACGCAGCCCGCATGGCGAGACGGTCACGGGAGCAGAAACAGACCTATGATGAAGGACGCTCGGAGGGCTTAGATCCCTGGGATATGACGTGGCTGTCTAGTCTGGAGGGGAAGGAGTGATCGCATTGGTGGTGCGGTCCACGTATCAGAGAGAGAGTTGTATGGTTGGACGATTTGTACGGGTTAGGACCTAGTCGGATGCGAAGACTCTTGGGGGGACTGTCGTGGGGACTCGAGGACCCGGTGCGAGGACTGTCCTGCCTGAATGCGAGGCAGTGCTAGGCATGACCTGGGTCGTGTGATGGGCAGCAGAGTGATGGGCCTGGTCCCCGAGGCCCGCTACCCCCGGACCTCCCAATCCTAGACACGGCGCTCGTCAAGAAGTGGCGGTGACACACCGTTGCGATTCCAACGCTGTTCGGAGTGAAAGACCCGGGCGTGTCGTACAGGGCGGGACGATCACATTGCTTTTTCTTCCTGCTGCTTGCCGGCGCATCAGCGATCTGACAGTGGGCCTTGATTCGCGCCTCACCTGGGGATCCATGCTGCCACTCATTCCCGGTTTAGGACCCGTGCATCTCGGATTCGTCCGTGACATCGGCAAGGCTCTGAGCCGGATAGCCGAGTCAAATCAAAAGGGAATCAGAAGGGCTGCGATGTGACTGGGGTGCAGGATGCAGTTCCTGCGAGGGGAAATAGACGAAGAAGTGTGACGCTGCTCGCCCGGTCTTTTGGGCACGTGGAGAGATGACGAGGAGAGACAAGACAAGAAGCCGCCATGGTTCCTGTGGGGGGCTTTGGGCAGCAATGGACAGAGTCAAAAGAACCGGCAATTGAGAAGAACATGCAAGGGAGTCATCTGTCAGTTGACCAGGGCAATGCGAGATTTAGTCCGAGCACGGATTTTTTTTATCACAGGCTGCGATCTCCAATCCCAGACTCCTTGATATCAGTGTGCAGCAGACACGAGGAGATGGCGCCGAGCTAGGACAACAGATCAATTTCGCCTATGCACTTGTAGTTAAGAGGTCCATCCGTGGCATCCTGGCTCTTAAATCCGTCTATTATGATTGTGATCAGTATGTGGCTTGCGGCCCGGGCCTCCCGACTATTATTCATCAAACTAGCTGCAATCTATGTAGCCCGATGAGGGATGACCTCCTATAAGCCGACTTGATAATTCCAATCCCACCTCATAATATGACTTTTCTTTTTCAAAAGTATTGTATCCACGGTCTTCCGGCCCTAATCTTTCAGAGACTGCAAGCGGCTGCAAATGAAGATCCTGGGCGCTGCAATGCCGCCCCCAACCATTTGAAGGCACTTGTTTTATCTCGGGGAGGACTAGGTCAAATCTAAATCGCCAATATACATGAATATGGAGGATGTGCTCACCAGAGACCAGAGACCAGAGACCGTCTCCGGTATTGAAATTATATTTGCTCTGAAGATAGATTCGAGAGACTATATTGGCCGATGTGCGCTCCTAGATTCTGTATGGGTGTGGTAGCTGGCCGTCTTGACGATGCTTTCCAATCCCATGCGACATTGGCCTATCATTCGCACTTACTGCAAAAACAACGTAGGATAATATATAAGTATGTACATATATTATATTCGTCTCCTCGCCTACTTCGTAGCCATACCATTCAGGAGTCATAGGGGACCCGCCCCCCAAACCCCTTCCCCACCGTTGGGTGGCCATAGATATTCATCTTTTGTATTTCATGATTCTCGGTATACATAAACACTGCTTTTCCAGCTAGCTACTAGGCATCCGCAATGGCGAGATGCGATTACACTGCCACAAAATTGGCCTCTAATTACATTGGGCTTCGATATCCCATACTATGAACAAATGGTCCTACTCCATCATCCATTTGAGTGACCTGCTACATGATTGGACTAGGATGTCTCTCTCCACTGGCCGAGTATTTGATGATATTGTATGATCATAGAGCCGCAAAAGGAAAGTCTCTCCCTCTCTTCAAATATACCACGGATACAGTACTCTACAGCGGTGGCTGTTTTGATGGAACCATACATGTGCATTAGAACCACAAGCTTGCCTACAGGTACGCCATCTTCCCCTCAAACGTCTAATCCACTAAAACGACTTACCTATTATGGACACATTCTAGTCCGTTCCAAGCGCAGAGACCCTGATATCTTATCCCGATGTCCTCTCTCCTCTCCTTCGAGCTAACCCCCCTTTGGCTCGGTCAACTTCCACGCGGTGGCGCCTGGTCCTGAAAATAGGCACCCGAAGAAGAAAAACGTGGCAAAAAACGGGTCTGACAGGAACCGCGCCTTGTACTAGAATAATCTAGCGAGAGATCCCCATTGCCACGAGGAAGCCCGAGGCCCGAGGACCCTCAAACGGCCACCGTTTTGAGCCAATTCTCCGGAGCCATCCCAGACCAGGAAGGTGCTCGGGGCTCAAGGCGCGCACCGGACGAAGCGGATAGAAGGAATCGATGGGAAAGACTCCTAGCCCAACAAAACTACACTAAAACATAACAGAACCCGACCCAGCATCCGGACCCAAAGAATGCCAGGAGCTAGAACCAGCAGAACGCCCAGCTGGAACCACTGAACCAGTGTTTCCCAGTGCTTGGGACGCAGCGGAGTCCCACCCCGACCCAATCATAGCCTTCTTTATCTCCGGGCGCTGATGGAGTCACCCAAGGTTTTGCTAGCGGGCTTGCCCGACAACGGGCCGAACGCGGCCGCGCGGGTGCTTGCGGTGGCGAATATAGCTGCGTGTCAAGTGTTCCCGGGTCAGGGTTTGGGTTGATGGAGAAGAGTGGTTCGGTAGTCTCCAGTTTTGTTTGTCTTCGTCTGGGTCCTAAATTTCATTCTCGCTTTGCGCTGGTGGGGAATTGAAATGAATATCAAGACTGAGGGAAAAAAAGTGGTGAAAAGGAAAAAAAAAAAAAAAAAAAACAAACTGATTTATGTGCGGACTATAGCTCATACAATTATGAAATGTAATAAGAGCGCAGCAGAATGTGTGCGACCTGAATATGCTTTGTGGGCGGGAGTGCAATTGAGACAAATGCTCTGGGTCCATCTGTTAAGACCATCTCAGATCTGGTTTGATCATCGGTGCTGCGGGCGATGTGCAAGCTTCTGCTGCTGCGCATACCACCTCAGGGTAGTATGAGGAGGGGCTGCATTGGGTCGGAAGGTTAGGGATGCACATTGTCTAAGTTGGATGGGACAACGAAATGGGTGGATATCATCAGATAGACGGCCTATAGGGAAAAAAAGAAGGGTAATAGAAAATCACAAGCGGGAAAACAGGGCACTCGGAGAATTCATGCACTAGACAAGTCTCAATTGCTGTCTGCTCTTGATGGTGATGCAGCAGCTAGTGGAGATATTCACGCAGTGACACTTCATCATGGATCATGTCATTGTCTGCAGTAGCCATCTCGATGGGGGATGGCTATTATGTGCATAAGCAGACTAGAACCATCGGGGCGAAAAGTGCACCCAAGAAGTGGCCGAGTGCAGTTGTTGGGCAGACAGGTAGGAAAATGCAAGTTGTCATGATGGCGAGTGGCCGGGAATCTTGTCCGATGTAATAGCTTTACTAGGCGCGTAAGAAATACCACGAAAGCCAAACGAAAAACTAGGGACAAAAAAGAAAATGAAATTATAGCAGCGACAGAGGGCTCCAGACAATAAATATCAAACATAAAGAAAATCTAACAAACGTAACAAGAGTAGCCCTCAGGTCGGACGGAATGTCCAACTCAGTCCTCCTTCATTCACAGGTTGCAAGCACCTACAAAAGGCAGACGAAATGGGTGCTGGCGAGGCTTTGAGGACCTACTGGTCAGGCATCACCACGCTGTTGAGATACGTCACCTATCACACGAGAAGCGGTCAGCCAAAAATCCCGAAACAACGGACCAGGCTTATCGTCGCGGGGTTGTCCCCTCCTCTGGCCATTTCCCCCTCTCTCTCATGCCCGGTCTTCTGTCTCGAACCCGTGAAAAAAGGGGAGAGAAACGCGATGGCGCTGTCGCCCAGGCCGATTTGGGCAAAAAGAGAGACGGGACCAAGTGGCTGGCTCAAAAGGGAAACGAGCTAGTCAAATGGGGGGCAAAATCGGCGGCAGGTGGGCGGACCAGGGCGACCAGCAAAAGACGATAGATCATCATTCTCATCAGAGGGGGAAAGAAGGGAAAACCTTGGGCCTTGGGACCTGTAACTGGGGCTGGAAGGGGTAGTCTTACGAAGGGCTCCATGACCCCGACCAGCGCGACGATCCGGTCCTGCACATCCGTGGCCAGCATCTCAGCATCCGAGAGGGGCCGTCCGAGAGTAAAACTGCGTAGCCGGAGCAATTGGATGTCCTTGTGGTCTGCATCGTAGCCCTAGAGACGAGTAAAGGTCAGTATAGTGCTCACATCATTCATAGTGAACTATGCTGTGTCATGAAAAGGGGTGTATAGTTCCCTCAATAGGGTCGAGCATGGTGTCTTCGTCGTGGACGGGCCTTCGAATGCTTTCGAGGCCCGTGGAGCCTGGTGCCGCCGTGAACCATGGAACCAGACGAGACGGCGGCAACGCGAAAAAAAAAACCACCACCCGAGCATCGCCATCGCCCCCCTACTCTTCCCCCTAAATCCACGTAACTCGTGGCAAAAGAGGAGGCACTAGTCTCCGTCTAATCTTGACTCGCAGCTGGGAGGGAACGCTGGATCTCGGGATTTCGGGGAACTGATGTCCTGGTTCTTGGTTCATGGTTCTTGGTGGCTCACTGGCGCCCGGGGAAATGCCTGGGGCTGGGCACCCCCGGCCCCTGCTTAGACATGTTCCCAAGCTCTCTCTCCCACGGTCACCCGTCATGTTTCCCGTGTCAAAGCTCTCGGGAACGAGTCCATCCCTGACAAGCAGATGAGCAATGGTTGATGGCTGATGGGTTTCCAATCATACCAAGAAGCTCGGGGTGGCTCGCTGGGAGACTCTTGGGTCTTTCCAATGAATGATCTGTCCCCAGATGGGGATCTGCCTGGTTCCAATGTATGGCCTAAGACCCGGCCTAAGACGCGTCGAGGGCCAACTGACCAGGCGCCTCTTTAACAGACCTGCAGGGTGGGATCTCCTCATCAAATGAGAGCATCGTGAGTGATTGGGAGACCCTGAACACTTTGTTGGATGTCTTTGTCCTCCTCCTTTGGATGCTCGATGCCGATCATTTGAAGATGGAGATCCTCGATCGCATTTCGGGCTGCACCATCCGCATGCCTTCATCCGCAGCGAACCCCCTACCATCGAGCCGTGTCGATACCGTCATGGGTATAAGAGAATACAAAACGCCAAAAAAAGCAAATGAACCCATGGGATTGCCATGTCACTCTCATACTGAGAGTATGGAAAGTATTTGACAGAAGAAACAGTCTACATACCTTAGGCTTCGTCTTGAGGGCAGATTCCCTATTATGATAAGAAAATGCTTTGACAACTGCGTCGTCATCGTCCGACACTTCATTCAAAAACTCGCGTCGCAGGTCCGGCGCCCGAAGTACTTCTTTCCAGCGATCTGCGTTCTCGTCGATATCCTCTCGCAGGACTGCAAGCGGATCGGCCTCTGGATGCCATAGGCCACAGCCTATTTATGGAAAATAATAGAGTGAGTCCAAGGCCATATTCATACAGAATGGAACATGTGGTAAAATGAAAGAAGAAAGGGAAGGAAGGAATATCCAAACAAAGCCCAGGTGTTGACTGTGGCTCAAGAGAAGGATGGGTGAAAGGGAGGGATCCTGGATCCCAACTTACCCACGAAACAAGAACCGGGCTGGAAATGGACATAATATGCTGCATATGGCCCTTTCTTGCCGGTGCGGGACCTGGGACTTCAATGAGTGGTCGGTCTTTCGTTTGGTATGTTCAGGGGTTGGTCTGGTTCCAACCACTTACCATGCAGCCGAGAAATGAATCTATTCGTCCATCAGCAGGGGCACACGCACGCCGCTAAATGAGCATCACAGTAACACAAGCAAATTCCATCACCTGGCCAGGTGCGCTCGGACGGGACGGTCCGGATACCTTGCAGAACATACCTTGTATGGAAGGGGATTCTTGCTAAATCGAATATCCCGGTGGATACGGAAGACCTGGACGAATCATAACTATGGGTCAATGCTTTCATGTTCATCTCGAAAGTGGGGGGCAAGAAGGGAATCAGGGTCAGAGAAGAGAGCAGAAGAACACTGGTCTGGTTGTTCTGTGCTATTCGTACCAGATCCTTTACTGGCAGTTCAGGGATGGTGCTGTCAACCTCACCGATCTTTGCGGTAAGGCTCTCGACGAAGGTCTCAAAGTCCTTCTTTGCTGTGCGGTAATCTGCATCATGGGCTGTGGAGAGAATATTCACCACCTGTCAGCGATGCCATTGAGACTGGCTTGGGTGCCCGGCGACGTACCTTTCAGCCATTCACGCTCGTTATTCTTCGCCAGATCCTGCAGGAATAGCTTGCTGTTGGGATGCAAAGTTTCGTCCTGGTAGGCCACGTTTCCGGGTTCTCGCGCCTTGGGTTTGGGGATAAACACTTCCTTTCCAGGGCCCAGGCCGGTTCGCACCCCCTCTCGCCAGAGCTCCTTACCCTTGAGGGCACCTGCGTCTATGGCCGCTGTCTGAGACTGCCTTCCCTTTCCGCGGGACTTGAGTCGATCGCTTGCATCGCTATCGCTCTTGTCCTCGGGCTCCGAGTCATGGGCAGAGGCAACGTCCGAGCCTTCCTCTTCATAGGCGGAATCTGACTCTCCGCCCTCCGACTCGGTGGAGAGTGCGGGTTCGGCAGAGCTTTCAGGTTCAAAATACTTGCTCTTCCGGCTGGTGGACTTTACCCGACTGGCGGGCAAAGAGGCGTTAGACTTGACCCTCTTGATCTCCGCCTGCGAGGCTGACAGTCGGGCTGAGGCGCGTCGCTTTGGCGCCGGCGCTTGTGGCGAGACCGGAGCGGCCCGAGACGATCGCCCAGCCATACTCGTGAGTAGTTGAAATATGAGTCGATGTGGATTCAATGCCTCGAAATCTGGCGAGACTGGAGATCTTTCTTCCTGCGATATTGTATTACGAGAGAGAACCCGAGCTCTTGCAAGAGGTTCGGGGCTGTTGTAGCTGTTGTAGCTGTTGTAGCAGTGCTTGCACGGAGTCTTTGTAGTTCTTGTTGGCGGGTCGCCTGAGGGGCTTTTATTTGTTTCCTGCCAAGTGGAAGAGACGCCGCAAACGAGACGAACAAGTATTTGGCGACTGGAATTGATAGAAGCCCACCAGAGAGCAAATAAATGATCAAAGCATTAAACTCCTGGAAGCAAGGCCACAAGGTCCGGGTTTGAAATAAAAAAGGACGATCGACCACGAAGGGGCCGCGGGCCTATAAAAACCGGCTTTTTTGCCCTTTTTCTGACGGCGTAATACGAAGCAGGAATCCGCTATGGTGGCTGGACCAGTGCGGGCTCCAGTTGCAACGGGAGACGGGAGAATGAGGATTTGACGACTGGAGCCTAGAGACTTGAAGGTTTGCTTCGAGGTTTTGCTCGACGATGTTTCCCAAGGGGCGTGTAGTTCCAGTCCCCAAGCTTCCTCCGCCTTCGTTTTTCTGCCCCAGCAAAATGGAAATGGCCGATATCGAATCCGTGACCCGCCATCGCCCGTTCCTCAAGGCTGCCCTTTCCACTGCACATTCTTCGCGAGACTGGGATCGCACTTTTCCGGGGAACTCTGGACTGGCGACAAGCCACTCGTCCAAATGAGCGCAATGGCCTCCCTGCCATCGATCCCCGCGGTCTTTCACGCCCGCAAGAGTAAAATTGTCGAAGAGCTCGCCTTACCAGATGCCAACTACACCGATTTATCTCCAAAAGGGTCGGTGGACGAAGGAGTCCGCGATCTCATCCGCGATATTAATGCCCTGCCCGGTCTCGTCACCACAAGCAGTTGCGCTGGGCGCATCAGCGTGTTTCTGGAAGGGCACAAGAAGACATCCGCACCGTCGAGCGACGTGGAACCTCGACAATTCGCTGCAACAGGAGGCAAAGGCGCAGGCCGATGGTTGTATGTCTCGCATGATCCTTTTGATCGATCCGAAGCCAATGCGGCCGCCTCGGACAAACCACTACATCGGCGCTTTGGCTTGGTCCCCGGCAATGGAAAGCCGCCAGTGCTCAGTGCCACTCGCTCTCTGCGCATGGTCCGCTTTCACTACGACCCATTGGTATGTCGACTATCTAGAGAATTGATTTTTTTTTTTTTTTTTTTTAAAAAAAAAAAAAAAAGTGTCCCTGCGAAGCATGGCTATACCTTCTGGAGAAATGCAGCCAGAACTACGACTAATAATAAGCGAGGCAGATCCTTCACATCATGGCGGCTACTTTAAACCATGCGCAGCCAGTTCTTGCTGCCGCATCAGCCTCTGGCTTTCGTGAGAGTGGGCTGCAAGGCCTGCGCTGCTTGGACAGCGATACTAGCCCTATCGTGGCTGTACGCTCCGCCGGGTTGTCTTTCGAATCTGTCATCGGCTACTGCGATGACAATGACGATGACCAAAGCACTGAAGCGCCAACTATCCACAGCTTGGTGACGGAGGAGTATCTGGAATTGCTGATTGCGATGTCCGACGAGAGATTCGCTATTAATATCGAGCGCAAAGAACGTTTCCGGACCATGCTACTGGCGTCATGTTCTGCAGAACAGCATCAAGGCTCGACTAGGGGGAAGCAATCAGGCTGGGAGGATCCAGTGGCTCGAAGGGAACGGAAGCGTGCGGAGGGATTGATGAGGAAAAAGCTCCTGGAGAGCTCGAAAGGACTAGAAAATGTGCAGCAGGATGACATCATGAATGCCGAGATAGATACTGATCTTCGATAATCGACTTCAGAGTAGCTCATCACTATGAGCCGTGGCGCAGAAGAACGGAAATCGCACTAGATGGTGTTTGCACTGGAACGGAATAAAACCTACATGATCCGGATATCTGCGTCTACGACAGGCCGTTTGTATGAGCAATGCAAATCAAAAGCAAAGGGTAATAATAAATTTCCATAAGGATTAATTTTGAAACATGTCCATCAAAGCCATGAAAGCAGTAGTAGACTCCCTCGACACCTGTATTGAATACATCAGAAGAATTTGCTAGAAAAAGCCCCTCATGAAATGATGAAATGATACTCTTGTCGTGGTCGAAAAGACCGAGGGAGAATTCTTCGAAAGTTGTAAAGCATAACAAATCGGAAAACAAAGACAAACAATTAAACAGGAAACGATAGAGTGGTGTTAGATGCATGTGCAGTGATAAAGAAATCCACATGGAAAATAAAAAGAGGAAAAAGAAGAAAAAGTACCAGAAGGTGAATTGTAGTTATTCATCGTTTCTTGTCACCTCGTCAGTCGCCAGTTTGACACAGCCTGTGGATCTCGTGAATAATTGTGTAATCTTGTAACCCTGCCATTCCGTAACGTCGTAAGTTAAGCACCACATATCTCAATCCACGGGGGTTTATTGCCGGACAAGAGGTATCTTCAATAGCGGTGGCCAGTTCCGGGACCGAATTGTCCACGACCACCACGGCCCTGTGAACTCTGGGAGCCCTGAGGGCCCGGAGGATCACGAAGGTGAAGTTGTCCATGACCTACACCCGAACCAGGAGCAGTCGGGACAACGAAAGGGTTGGGCCCGTGGGATGGGTATTCAACACGAGGTCGGAGAGGCTCGTAAGGCAAGGCTAAAGACACGCCCCGCTGAAACTGCTGGAGACCAGCACGTGGGGTCGACTCCCCAGAGGAGAGATGGGGCTGATTGTCATCACCACTCCGGTCTCCACGCTGAATAGTGCGCTGGGTGGCGGTCATTGGCAGTGGGGGAGCCTGTCGGCTGGGGTGGGTGATGTTGTATCCGGTAACAAGGATGTTTCGAAGTACCTGCATCTCATAAGCCATTGCCTCGGAGAATTTTTTCTCCCTCGATGCCGCATCAGTCCACACGTAACGGTGATTGCCGTAGGGGTACTGCCGACGTGGGTGTTCATCAGACCGTCTTCCCCAGTCAAGGCTGCGGGTGCCTGGGACATCATCGTGGCATACAACTGAAGGATTTGTTAGTTATTACTCACAGTAAGGAAAGAGACATGTGAAAGAAAGCAAATCCCTACCTCCAGTGAAATGGGGTTGTGAGGGCTCACCCAGGTCAGGGTGTCGAAGGGGAAGTACGTGAGCCACATAGCACTCATACGATGCAGCTGTGCCTGATCGCCAGCCATGAATGTGAGATCCCACTTCATGCGGGGATTAAAAGCAGGGCAACACAGCCCTGCCCGGAGCAACTCGGCAAGCAGGCGGAATTCCAATCCCACAGTCTGGCGGGACGCTTGCACGCGATCACGAAGCAGCTCGATCATGTCGCGCAAGGTCTCGAAGAGCTTGTTCCGTGCATGTACCGTATACATGGTTGTAGCAAACCATGGGAACTAGATAGTGGAGTCAGGAAACAAAGTCACACAAGTAAAATTCAAAGGAGAGATGAAAAAGGCTGTGATTTCTCACTTTCCAGATGGTGCTGGTGATCGATTCATAAGTCCGCTGCGGGACTTTGGTTGCAAATGCACTCTGAGTTAACAGTTAGATATAGATTGATAAATCACACCACAGGGGAAAGATAAGACATACTCGGTGCGGCTCTTTGGCGTGGCGAAGCACGCAAAACAGCTCCTCATCCGTGAGGAAGCCTACAAAGCCGGTCGACCATCCCTCATCTGGGTGCTTAGGAACCTGCACCGGACGACCACCAATCCATTTGATGCACTTTGCTTTCGGGAACATTGCCCGAAGCAGTTCATCTTGGGAACTGAGCACCACGTCGACATGGCGGTTGGCCATGCGGGCACCCTGACCGGCATCATTGGTGCGGTGGATTCGATCAACTGCCTCTCGGGCAGCTTGGCGAGAGGTGAACTCCACAAAACAGTTCATCGTCTTGCCCGTGGATCGTTCCATGATAATGTGGATGGGACAGTCAGGAACGAGGTCAGAGCTGCGTCCAAAGAACTGCCTCACCTCTGCACGGGTGACACCATACGGAATCTGAGCGTCGATCAGTATTGACATGTTTCCTTGGTATGTTCAAGACATCCACTACCAGATGTCAGATGAAAAGTAACTCACATTATCAAGCATTACAACGCCGTACTGGGGAGGGTTGAAGCGTTCGATGAAATTTGTGCCGATGGGACACTCGGCAGGTGAGAGAATCTGGTCTAGTAGACGTGACCAGAACTGTTCATTCTGTTGTCGGTGCATGCCCTCGAAGGCCGGGGCCACCGGGAAGTGAAACATCCTGAGGTGGATGCGAGGGCGAAGAGACCCTCTGACAAGTGACAAGTAGGGGAAAGGCCCGGCAGTGGTAGGGTTACAGGGAAGAGTGAAGACAAGGAAGGATGTGCAGATTAACACAGAACACTTCAAGACTCTCAGGGTTGAGAGCCAGGATGGGAATCGGGAGAAAGTTGAGTTTAGACTGAGCCTCACGCGATGTAAAGGTGAGATACGGGAAGCGGATGAAGCGAACTCAGGGACCATACAGCCCGGGTAGAGATATTTATGAAAAGAAGATGTCAGGGTTCTTGTTGATGTGAGAAGAGCAAGGATTGGAGGTGAAAAGAATGAAGAAAGGTTGGAAAGGTTACCCAATTGGAAGAACCAAGTGCGTTGTTTTGGTGTTGAAACTGAATGCTGCACGAAGCGAGCAGTAATGCGAGCATGTGAACCCTTGACAGTTGTCCAAAGCAATGTTGAAGAAGATGAAAATAAACAACACTGAACGGCGGGACAACAAAATAGATCTCTAAATGACTGAGAGTGACGCTGTGGACAGCGGTCTGTTGTAGTGACTCTGACTGAGTCCCAGTCCACCGTTGGTGGAAGTGATGATTTCCTTGTTATTTTTGTCTTGATATTCACAGCATCAGCACAACTGAAATAACTCTGGAAATGGGTAAGAAGTCTTATTCCAGGCCTCACTCTGCTGTCCATGATTAGCTTCATGCCGGATACAATTCCGTTATTCTGCCGGCGGATTTGGGGTTGGTGGATGAAAGAAAGAGAAGGCGGTGAATATAAAAGGAAGGCGGTGACAACAAGAAGAAGGCGGTGAATTGGTGACAGAAGGCGGTGTGAACTCTATTGTGGTGGGTCGTGTCACATGACATGCTGGTTTTCGCAACTGTGAAATCTGACATTGGATCATACACCCACTTATCTCTTGATCTCAAGGCTTAGTTAGCAAGTAACAATGGGTCAATATGTATCTTCATCGACCGAGAATCAATTTTAGTGTCAAGTATGGATTATCAAAACATAAGTCCAGTTATCGGACCATTATGCAAGATTCGAAAACCAAGTGTTGAACCATTTAAGCCATCTAATTCTGCATAATCTTACCCGGGAGAGGTGGACGACTAATGCAGAGCCAAGTTCTCCACATTCAGTCACATTGACGATCGCCAAGGATGAAGCTGAAGGGCCAATAGAAGCACCAATTGTGAATTTAGAACCAAGTCAGGTAGAACTCTTTGGATTGAAGAGTTGAAGCTGGCTATACAGTAGCATGAAGGTACACAATAATCGGATCATGGAGTCGCTCTGCGACATGAAAAACAAAAACGCTTGGAGGTTTAATCGAACTAATCACAATTCAAGTATTAGATGGATAACTTGATGAGGCAGGGTCAAAATTAAAGACGGGGTAGCATACCGGTGTCAAAAACGATTCTGCGACAAAGCGAGCTCGTGCATTCAACTAAGAAGGGTTAGCATGACAAAATCACTGTGAAGGCGAACCAGGAGCACGAGGTCCCTCACAAATAACTTCATCTCTGACACTTCCTTATCAACCTCTTCCATACTGTCATCAGACGAGTCAGCTAGAGTGCCTTGCAGCGGGCTTGAGGGAGTTGAACGAACAATTGAATAATGAAATCAACGAGCTTGTGCTTGAGCATCGATTCAGTGTGGAAATTGGTGATGAGGAAAGAAATGTCGTATCCCTGGGAGATCAAAGAATGAATTAATATTTGCAAGACATAAACAGGGGTCGAAAACAGTACGAACCTTAACGGGCTTGCGACGAAGGATGAAGAAGGACTCAGCTCTTTGTTCCAAGAATCGTGTGAATTTGGCGACAAGAATATTCTCAATCTCATCCACCTTTTTGATACTCAAGGAGACCCGAACACTATTAACACTAAATTCCACCCGAGATCTGTCAGTATTATGGCTTTTGGGGACACAGGTCCAATCGAGTGGCGGCGGCACGACATACCTTGCCTCGATCAGCACTCGCTCCGAGTCGTTTCTTGAGATGACAAGTGGGTTGAGGAGTAGCTCAGGTGAGCTGCGGGCCTCAATCTCTGGAACGTTACTAGATAACACAGTCAGCACCTCAAGGGTATCGCGAGGATGGCATCTGTTGGCATACTGTCGCTCAGAGGTCTGAGAAGCAAAGTTGGAAATAGCCAAAGCGGCTGTCAGGGAGGAGCGAACACATTGTAGATATGGGCGGAGTGAGTTAGACTGCTTAAGTTAGATAATGTGTGCAGTCTGATGTGAATAGTGTGAGCTAACCATGGTGGGTGAGGGGGGTTTATCGTTGGCGAAGGGGCGGGGCTTTCTGCACAGGTAAACGGCCAGTAGAGAGCAGCAATTGCAAGCCTTTTAGTATAATTGAAGCACCAGAAGACACTCTGGCCCACTGGAATAGAGAAACTGGAGCCCGACGATTCCAAGTTGACCAGGCAGATGGGAAGTTGGTGTCGGCCCGGCCAAGCTCGGGCGGGTGGCCTGGAGGTGATACAACGCAGGTTTTGTTTGGTCTGTTTGCACTCTGCCCCACGGCCCGGGCGGGCTTTCGAGCACCTTCCCCGGAGCCCTGGAAGCTGTTTACCTTTTGCAACCACCGATTCCCCCTCATAGGTTCTGCTGAAGTATCTGCAAGGCTAACCGGGAAGATGACATCGATACCAAGTTAGTTATGAGCCCGGTATGATAATTCTGGCGGGAAATCCACTAAAATGTTCTACAGTCATCGTCAAACACGCAGGCAAGCGCTATGAAGTCGAGCTCGACCCTGAGGCAAACGGCGAAACATTGAAATACCAACTGTTCTCCCTGACCGGTGTGGAGCCAGATAGACAAAAAGTGTTGGTCAAAGGTGGCCAGCTGAAGGATGACACTCCTCTTTCCTCTCTTAAGGCCAAGGCAGGGCAAACCTTCATGATGATGGGTACGCCATCTGGAGGCAAAGGTGCTGCTGATCTTGGCCGCCCTAAGGAGGCAGTGAAGTTCTTGGAGGATATGACTGAGGCCGAGGTTGCACAGCAAGAAGGTGCTACCCCTGCTGGTCTACAGAATTTGGGAAACACCTGCTACCTGAACTCCACTCTTCAAACCCTCCGAAGTGTGCCAGAACTGCAGGAGGAACTCCAGCGGTATCAGCCGAGCGGTCGCTCTGGGCAATCCGGGCTAGCTGACCTCGCCAACTTTGGTATGGGTGGCCTGGGCAGCTCTAATGATATGGCCGCGTCTCTTCGGGATTTGTTCAAGCAAATGTCCGAGACCCAGGAGGGTATCCCGCCTTTCATGTTCCTTAATTCCCTTCGGACGATTTTTCCTCAATTCGCTCAGAAAGATCGGAACGGTCAAGGTTACGCGCAGCAGGATGCCGAAGAGGCGTGGTCACAGATTGTGAATCAGTTGCGGGCAAGGTTGATCATCAAGGACGGGAATGGAGAGTCAGCATCACAGACCTCCTTCATTGACAAGTACATGGCTGGTAGATTTGAATCGGTCACCGAATGCGATGATCCTGCTGCCAAAGAAGCTGGAGAAGAACCAAATCAGTCCTCAGACGTTTTCTTCAAGCTTGATTGTCATATTGGAAAAGAGACGAACCACCTTCAAGATGGCATCATGGCTGGACTGGAGGAACAGATTGAGAAACAGTCCCCCGTTCTTGATCGCAATGCTGTGTACACAAAGCGATCGCGCATTTCCCGGTTGCCCCAGTACCTGACGGTACATTTCGTCCGCTTCTTTTGGAAGCGTGAAACCCAAAAGAAGGCCAAGATTATGCGCAAGGTGACATTCCCGGCAGAGCTAGATGTCGTCGAATTCTGCACCGAAGAGCTGAGGAAGCAGCTCGTGCCTGTTCGCGATAAGGTGCGGGAGATTCGCAAGGACGAGGTCGATGTTGAGCGGGCCCGAAAACGCCAAAAGCTCTCGAATCAGCGGGAGGACGGCCTGGAGGATGAAGATGCCAAAACAGGTGGAAATGTCGAACCCATGCAGAAGAAGAAGGCCGCCGAAGAAAACAAGAGCAAAACAAACGACAAAGATGGTGATACCGCCATGGAAGAGACTTTTAAGACCGACGCCGAGTATGAGGCGGAGAAAACCGAAGCAATCAATGCTGCCAAAAAGGAACTGTTTGATCTCATCAACCAAAATGCTTCTGCAAATGCCGGTACAAATCAATCTGGGTTGTACGAGCTCCGTGGCGTGATTACCCACCAGGGTGCAAGTGCAGACAGCGGCCACTATACAGCCTATGTGAAGAAGGAGGGACGGAAACGAGATGACTCCCAGAGTGGCAGCAAGCGCCGCGAGGAGGATGACAAGTGGTGGTGGTTCAATGATGACAAGGTGACCGAGGTGGAAGCCGAGAAGATCGAAACTCTCGCTGGCGGTGGTAAGTCTACATCTGAGATCCAATTCAATGCACATAGTTGCTAATCATGCTGGCAGGCGAATCCCATTCGGCCCTCATCCTTCTCTATAGGGCCATTGACCTTCCGACATTGGATTGATCTAATCCAACATGCTGATCTTGATCCTATTCCCGTCCTAGTCTGCGAGTTATACGAAACGCCCTCTAGATGAATAGAAACGATGACCATGAGTCGATGCTAATAGTGAATTTTCTGAACTTGCTGTTCTTTCTTTATTCCTCCATACAAAATACCTATAGAATCTGATCTATAGTTTTTTCCATTCTCTTCTCCATTCAGCTTTGCTCTATTCGTATAACTTTCCGGGGTTGCTTTGGGCCTACTTCAACCCACCGATTACGATGTATCACGTGACTCGAGCCCCGGTGTCCGAGACTCTGATTGTGAAGCTCTTTCTCTCCGCATCTTTTGATGGCGATGTGACCAACATGCACCGATCGCGTTGGATTCAACAACTATCAGTGCGTGCGCCCGCCGCCCACAGATTCAACGTTTCATATTCACCCGTTCGAAACGCCAGTACGACCACATCTCAAAACACCTCGGCCCAAACTTCGCGATGGCCACGTCGTTTGGTTTATGCCGCACTCTTCGGAACATTAGGCGTCGGTGCTGGCCAATGGATGGACACTAAGATCGCTGCCCCCCCAGAACCGGGCTCTATCGAGGACCAGCTTCAGCTTCAAGACATCCATCGTGCCTTCGATATTGGTCTTCCGATCGTACAGCAACTGCGCGCCAATCCCGATTATGTCGAACTAGAGGTCTACGAGAACTTCTCGGAGGAACAGAAGGCACGCCGGCTGACATCTGGTCCGATGGCGGGCAGTCGGGGCTTTGGGTTACAGGTGAGTGGTCATCGGCTTCTGTCTGGAGCACGCGGCGGGTGCATGGCGCTGCTTGGCGGCGACATTGTGCTAGGATGATAAGCAATTGCCGAACTTCTCAAGTGCCGAACCTCGGGATCCCGTCTGGAGACTGACTGGGCCTCGTTTCCCGTAGAAAGTGTTCTGGAGCGGCAAGGAACGAAAGCTCGTTAGCGTGGTGTTCATGGGGTCAGGCCTCGAGGGATGGCCAACGATGGTGCATGGCGGCGCTCTTGGCACAGTGATTGATGAGAACCTCGGGCGCGCTGCCATTCGACACTTCCCAGCCCAAACTGGTGTCACGGCCAATCTTAACATCAACTATCGCGCCCCAGTCTATTCTGACAATTTCTACTCCCTGCACACCACCTTGGACGAACAGCGCAGCACAGACCGCAAAGCATATGCCATATGCGAGGTTCGCGACATGACTGGTCGCCTTTGCGTTGAGGCCGCGGGTCTCTTTGTTGTTCCAAAGAACCTCCAGCTCTCTAAGGTTGGCGAGCATTTTTGAGCACCGAACTTACCCCTAAGCGTGACGATTTGAGAACCCGCCTGTACGGTCTGGTGACTTGGGACTGGACTAGTCGAATGGAGTTGAATGGAGTGGAGCCCGTCTTCCCGGGGATGTCAACGTAATAGACATGGTCGACTCAGCAGCCAGGTGCGTTGAGACTGGGGGGTTTCGGGCTTTTCCCTCCATACCCAAAGGAGACATGAAACAAGATCAAGGAGACCCTTCACGCTATCCGCCGTGCAGATGGACTACGTCAACCGTACTGAATTTCGCTCCTGGATCCTCCGCGGGGCTTATCTATTCTTCCTTATTCTTCCTACACCCCTGTACATAACCCTGCGGGCACAATGACATCCAACATCCAACATTCAGTAGAAGCAGACATCATCGGCAAATCCATTTAGCACAGACCTCTTCCACCAATAAACTAGCGACGTCTCGTGTGTGGGTTGGGGACCAGGGGATTACAGTTTCGGGGTTGATACCGTTCACGGCATTTCGTCCGGGCTGGCGGGGAAGGGTCGAGGCCTACGATTCGAGCAATGCAACCACTTTCTCCGCGTTTGCCTCCCCCGCATTTTGCAGCCCGCCCCGGCTTCTCCGGTCTTATTCTGGTCTTCCTAAGACTCTAAATTCGATAAGACGGCTAAGAAATGCCCAGACTGCCTCGGTATTTTCTGAATTTCGAACTCGAGAGCCCCGGCTATCGCTTATCTGCACTACAATCCACAGCGCAGTCTTTGTTGTGGCGTTTGCGCCCCACTGATTCGCTCCTAGACCTTGTTCAATTACGGACGGTTCCGAGTCGCATTGTAGACGGGTCATCCTCTTTCCGATGTCTGTCCTAGCTCATGCTGTCATTCTAGCTCTCGTCGCGAGGTTATATCTCGTGGTCGCCCTCCCCACCCGGGTGGAGTGATTCTAGTTTGCACTGGTGGAATTGAGAGCTTCCCGATTGCCCTTTCACTTCCCCCCTCCCCCATATACAATCAATCTTCCTGTTTTGTGACTTGAAGTCTGTCAAGAGTGACTCTTTACCCACTATGGCCGGGTCAATCGATTATTCGAGCCCGGCACAGGCCGACGAGAAAGGGGCCATTCAGCCGCAAGGGAGTAGCGATCTGGAACAACGACATAGTCATCAAGAAGTGGCTGATGCGGGTTCCAACAAGGCTGAGGTGCATGAGTCTGAGAAAGAGATTCCAGTAGGTCCCGAAGTGTCAATCTCGTCTTCTAGTCAAGCATACACGCTGACTCGGACATCTATCTAGATGACCTTTCGCCGTTTTATGGGCTTCACTGCCATGGCTTTCTTGTGGACTGGCAGTCAAATTCCAGTCTACCTATTCGGTACGAGGAATATATACCACTTCATATAGACCGAAACCTCTAATACTCTCCCCAGGTGGTATCCCCCCGTATATCTATGGATCTATTGGTGGGGCAGACCGTTGGGTCTGGTTTGTATGGATATATCCTTCCACCCGAACGTTTCAATTCATCATCTGACCCTACTCGATCTGTTAGGTTCTTGCCAATTTGCTTGGCCTTGCTGGTGTATGCCCCTTTGTCGGCTCTCTGTCTGATTTGATTGGTCGTCGCTATGTTGCTATTCTCGGTGCCGCACTCATCTGTCTCGGAATGATTGTCTGCAGTACGGCCAATTCAATGAACATCTTCATTGGTGAGTTCCCATTCGAAATGAATGGAGAATAAATTTCTGACGAATAATTGACTAGCCGGTATGGCAATTGCTGGTGCTGGTGCTGGGGTCAACGAATTGACCGCGCTGGCTGCAACATCGGAGATGGCACCCACTCGCAAGCGAGGTGTCTATGTCGCTGTTTTGATATTCACAATCGTACCGTTCTGTCCATCAGTGTTGTGGGCGCAACTTATTGCCTATTATAGCAACTGGCGCTATGTCGGGGCATTCTGCGGCGCGTGGAACGGATTTGGACTTTTGATCACGATTCTATTTTATTCTCCTCCTCCTCGTGTGAACTCACTAGGTTTGAGCCGATGGGAGATCATAGGACGCATTGATTTCATTGGGGGTTTCCTGAGTATTACTGGGCTGATCGTCTTCCTGGCTGGTATGCAATGGGGTGGTTATATGGTTAGTTTTTGGAATCCGCCCGCCGTTTTGGCTGGATTATTGCTGATGATTCCTTTTCACAACAGTACCCGTGGAGCTCTGCGCATGTCCTTGCACCGTTAATCATCGGCTTCCTTATGCTCGTAGCCTTTGCTTTCTGGGAGATCTACGGTGCCAAATATCCAATCTTCCCAACTCGCTTGAAGCAGGAACCTCGCACCCTCGGCCTGACTCTCGTGATCACCTTTATCTCTGGCTCCAACTTCTTCTCCGTGCTGATGTTCTGGCCTACCGAGTCTTTCAATGTATATGGTCATGACCCCGTAGATGTGGGCATTCGCAGTTTGCCTATCGGTTTTGGCATTCTGGCAGGCGCCTGTATCGTTCTCACCCTCCTGAGTGTGTTCCGAGGGCACAACAAGGAGCTACTGATTGCGAGCAGTGTTTTGATGACGGCTGGTGAGTGATCCTTGGTCCATTTCAGAATGTAGCGGCGTGTTGATGTTCTGCGAAACAGGTTGTGGGGCTCTTGCAATTGGCCGTGTTGACAATCTTTACCAACTTTGGGGACTTCTCGTCCTGGCTGGCCTTGGAATCGGTGGTATCGTTGTACCCGCTTCAATCATCACCACCATTATCTGTCCCGATGATCTCATTGCGACTATTTCCGCCCTGACCCTTTCAATTCGCGTCGTGGGAGGCAGTATTGGCTACACCATTTATTACAATGTTTTCATCTCCAAGTTCGTGCCTGCAGCACAGCACTACATTGGTGGCGTGATGGTGACCCAGCTCAATATCACCAGTGTTGAAGTCATTACTGAAGTCATCGAGCTTACTGGTGCTTCGCTATTGACTGAAATTCAACATATTCCTGGCATTGCCGGCAATGAGACTGCATACGAAATGGTGGTCGCAGCAGGCCAGCTGGCATATTCTGAATCTTATAAGTGGGTATATTATGTTAGTATCGCGTTCGGAGTCGTGTCAATCCTGGCCTCATGCTTTTTGGGTAATATCACCAAGTACATGAATGACCATGTGGCCGTGGTGATGTGAAAGTGCCGGGTATAGTAAGTATAGTTACCGCTTCTGTATCATTCTAGCTAGTTATCAATTTATCTATGCTTTTCAAGAAGGGAAACTCGATTACTTGCCAGGCTCGAAGGGTTAGAATTTACCGGTTTCTAGTCCATAATCAGTGCTCATGTTGGAAATGTGAGCATCTGACCCTGGCGGTGATGCACGCAGATCCTCGACCACAGGGTGTAATTCTTGATGCTGATGCTCCATATTGTTCGACTTCAGCCCATTATATATATCGTGAGAGGCGGCGACTAGCTTCAACAAGTATGAATCGGTAAACTCACGCTGAGACGTGTTGAAAACAAGGTTTTCAAAATCAGTATTAAATCAATCACGTATATTAAATAACTTGAGGAAATTTGAGCTGCCTTCGGGAAGCTTGTGGCTGGAAACCGAAAGATAATGAACGGATATTCTACGTACTATGCGATGAGCCAACAAGCTGCGGGGCCGATCAATGACGCGCCAAGCGCGGCCCAACTTTTCTGTCAGTCGACGTTGCTGCACTCAACCACCTCGTCAGCCGCCACCAATGGCCTCAAACATCGCAAAAAGGAAGCAGAGCTTCTTCCCAGGAGCTCCTGGCTCTACGGGAGCTTCTAGAAAGCGCGCAAAAACGCTTGATGCCCGCACATTGGCTGTGCAGTCCACTGATGCCGCCCTTTCGTCAACCGGTGAGCTCGATGTCGCTGCCTACGCAGCCGCGCGAGCATTCGAGATCCGGGCTCTGGAGGAGGGGATGCAGCGATCTAAAAATGCTTTGACGACTCGAGCGTTTCAAAAAGTCCCTCGCTCTTTGCGGCGCCGAACAGCTAGCCATAATGTGAAACGGGTTCCGCGGCGATTGAGGGCTCGCGCAAAGCGAGAGGTATGTTTCGGATTGACATGGATCCTCTGGCCTACATAGCTTCTAACTATCCTGTCCGTCCCAGATGGTCGAAGATAATACACCGACCGTCACTGCGCGGCGCCGCAAGCCCACGCAAATCATGCGCATTCGACTCGAAACCGCCCGACGACTACAGAACCTCAATGCCAAGTCTAAAAACCGACGCCTAGGCGCGAAGAGAAAACGTGATGCCGAAGACAAGACAAACGCTGATAAGGAGGGAAGCCACACATACAACATTGCGCCTCGAGTCCCGAAAATCAAGAAGAACAAGCTTTCTCGCCCCCGCTCTCCGACGCCAGGTATTGCAAGCGCCAACGGTGCAAGACATGGCTCCCGACTCACATGTTCCATGCGAAGCGTGCCCACATGGCCACCAGTAAGGATCCAATCTGGCGATTTGCAATTCCCTTGTCGCCTTCGGAGAAGAGCTATCGACCTACACACAGAGCTAGTGGTGCTCGCGGTGCTGTCGCATGGGACATGAGTTATATGTCTACCGTGCAGCTGGAAGGCTCAGAATCTTGCATTGAAGCGGTTCTACGAGCCGTGGGTGTCAATGGCGATATGGCATGGGGCACCAGGGGAAAGAAATGGAGGGCTGGCACCAGATCTTTACAAGCATGGACTTTTGAGAAAGATCATCCTGCGAGGCCGATTGCTCCTGTTACGCTTGTCTGGTGTGTGCAGGCCAAATCCGAGGATATTGAAATGACAGACGCAGATCAAAGCTCGTCCACATCAAAGAAACTTCTTCGGAGACTTTTAATTCGTGTGCACCCATCGGCATTCTTGCAGCTTTGGAACGATTTGCTTGAAAGTTCAAAACGACAAAGCCCTCCAGTCATGGTCGAGGATCTTCGATTTGAGATTGGTAGCATTCAAATCACTGGACCGGGCTCGACAGAGGCACTACTGGCTACATTGCAGCCTGTCCTAGACCTCAAAGAATCGGCAGGAGACAGTCCGGAGGCTACATGGCCACGGTTGATTGGAGTATCGAACCCTTCATCTCTTCCCCAAAATGCTCTCCTTTCTTTTAATGTCTCCGACCCTCGCCTTCATTTTCCACCCCGTACCCTCAAGGTCCCCGCAAATGAATCTCAGATGAATGACTTGGCCATCTTGCTATCTACATGGTCTCCCGATAAAACACAGGGCCCATCTTCTCTTTTCGATCGCCCAAGTCGTCTAGCTGCTCTACGGCAGCTACCAAGCCAAAAGGCAATCAACCGTCGCCGTTCTCTCTCTGGTCCGGGTAACTATCCGGCTTCAAAGCCAGATGATCCTAAGATACCCGTGATAATTTTAGCTAATCGACCGCCCATACGACATAAACGAAACTCTGCTCCAGGTTCCTGGACTGTGCTTTTGCCATGGAAATGTGTGACACCAGTCTGGTACTCGATGATGTACTATCCGTTATCAAGCGGAGGGAATCCACGTTTCGGCGGACTGAAAGAGCAACAGCAACTTGCATTCGAGGCAGGCGAGCCATGGTTCCCCGGTGATTTCCCGGGCACACGGGCTGGCTGGGAATGGGGCCAGCGTGAGACAGAGAAAGCCCGAAAGCAGTGGGAGCAGCGACCCAAAGGCCGTCGAGTTGAATTCGACAGTCTGGTTTTGGGAAATAGTCATCCCAAAGGAGAAATTGGAAACGGCTGGGGGTGTGAATGGGAGAGACTTGTTCAACGACCACCGCAGGATCAACGAAGCCAGAAGGACGTTACGAATGACATGCCCGTCGATCCAGAAGACAAAGAATCTGGCACTATTGGCTCCGCCATTCCACCTTTGAACCATCACAATATTCGTTATCCCTCACTCGATACAAACACGCTCCTCACCAAATTCCTCAAATCACCCCCGGATCCTTCGTCGATCGCCACTATTCACCTGAATCTTTCTTCTCGCGGCACTCCTACTCCTTCTGCGCGTATCTACCGTCTTCCAACAGAGCCGGTCTTGCGAAAAAAGTGGCTTGACCTAGCTTCAAAACGGAACGCCAAGTCTAGCAAACAAAAGCCTAACCAAGAAAAGCCTGAAACTCCCAGCGAGGAAGCAAGGCGTCAGCTTGCTGAATCGCTCCTCTCAACATGTCCTTCTGAGGGTTCTGGATCTGATCATCTGGAAATTCCGAAGGAAGAAGATTTGATAGGTTTTGTCACCACTGGGAACTACAACCTCTCTGAGGGCAAAAGCACTGGAATTGGGTCGATTCTTCTTTCAAAGGCTTTGGTTCCCGGTACGAAGCTGTCCGAGATGAGGATGTGTATTGTTCGTACCTCCGGAGAGAGAGTTGGACGATTGGGAGTGTGGGAGCTTGTTTGACACATACCGCCTGATATTGAAAAGTGCTCGGGGGAGAGTTTCCTGATAATATGATGCCTATGATCTGCACATCTACTAGTTCTTTTACTGCATAGACGGTAAGATATCCTTCATCAAGGATCAAGTCCAACCTGTCTAGAATTGGTGAGAAAAAAAAGAGTAGTCTATACATACAGTACAGGATTCACGGCAAGAAATTGAGTAGAACAGTGAAAGAAAAGACTTCATATCAAGCCGCGGTATCATCTCATCAGACGCTAATCTAACCCACAATGCGATCCACAAAAGCCGCTTCCATCTTCGCAACTTCCCGCTTGAACGCATCGACTTCCTTCCAGCAGTCTAACGGCCGTCGGTCATTCAATCGCAGACAACCAACAACATCAGCCTTAGCCTTCGCAACGCCCTCATCCAGTTCCGCCAATTTCCTTCGTCCATCCAGGCGGCTGCGGAGCTGGTCGATCTCGCTCATCACCTCATTTCGCGAGATATCGCGGGTGACGATAGGCTGGGCGGCCGGGGTCTCCTGCGGCGCGGCGAACACAGGCGCGGCCTCGTACTCACGACCGGCAAATGGAATTCGTGGCGCGTCCAAGTTCAGAGAGCCAACGGGATAACCCGAGGAAGAGGTGGCGACGGGGGCGGTCGCAGCGGTTACGGGCAGGGAGCCGGTATCTTTCACTTCGGCCAGGCGCTTTTCGATCTCGGCGAGGGTTTGCTGTTCGCGCTCGCGGAGGCGCTGGAGTTCTTGCGCGACGCGGTTTTGGATTTCGAGCTCGACAGCCTTAGCTCGGGAAGAATCGGTCTGTGTTTGATTTAAGCGTGAGTCTTGGGTTCTATTTCTTCTCTTAGGAGGGATTGACTGACCTCGGACGTGGATTGTAGGGCCTCAACTAGGTTGGAGGAGAATTGAACCGGGGAATTGCTGGGTAGAAATACACGTCAGTGTTATAATGACTCAATTAAATCCGTACATAAAGGCTAATGGACGCCTGTCTGATAGTCCAGTAATTGACCACCATGGGTGAATCTCGTCGTCCCGGTTCCCGGCATCAATCGGCGGATGTGAAAGCGAGGACGCAACGCTGGGGAATCTAACCTGGAAAATATGTGCTTGGAATCGCCCGAAGCCTCGGGCTTGGAGCTGCCGGCACCCATGATCACGAATGGCAGATGTGAATGCCGTCAAGTCAGGTCAATAGAAGGGCAATGGAGAGAGACTCGTTCACCCGAAGCTCCGATACTTCGGTCACGTGCTATTTTAGTCATCCATATCAGCCTAGTTCACGGTGATCCACGACATAACTACCAAACACAGGATACCAGGAGTCGATTTACCTTGGAATTCCAGGTAATTATCACCAGTATGTTATTTACCCTAGAAAATAGGAAAAGCTCCATTCTATGGTCGAAATTATGGGCTACAGACCAAGGATTACAAGTTCAATTATACTCTGCTTATCAAACATCTCAAAACTTATCGCTCTAGGAATTGGCGCAATCCAATTCTGAGGGAAATGATAGTTTAATATCAAATAAAACGTAAGATAACATTAGTAGAATACAGCGGGATCGAAGTTCAGTCGCCGCATATCGAATCACCATTGGAAGACACCACATCTCAAACTGACAACTATTTCGACTGATTCAAAGTTTCTGTCATTATTTAGATTTACATAATGGTCGAACTCTAATTGTGCTTTAGTAATCGTCTCACGGGGGGAGTGAGTCTCTGACAGAAACATATATGTAGTGCTGATGGACAGTCCGTTCATTGCCAAGCCATATAGATAAAAGAGACCAGTTAAAGGCAGAAGACGTCAACACGAAGGTAAAGAACCGTTATGAGTCAGTTTGAATCAAAATTATAATATATCATGCAAGCAATAGCTATGAATAGCTACCATCGCCAGACGGGACGTTAATGCATGAGCTTCTCCTGATCGGGGTTCCAGGATCGGGATTTCGATTTCCTAAAACATCAAATTTGACAATTTGGGCCATAGTGTACCTTTTTCCATCACAGCTACCTGAAGAGATCTTCAGTAGGATTAAAGGAATTCTGAGGACTATTTAGAGCAATTTTTGGGAATTTAAACTACTGTACAATTTCGAACGTATTCAATTTCAGTTCCACCGGGAGACGAGAAAAATACACCATGCCTCGTTCAAGAATTGCAATTGGCAAACGAGACGGCCGGTCTAGACCTTTTTTCAATTTGATGCCTGAGGGTGTCACCATATCCGTCATAGTGTAAAATACTGTGGGTATATGCTGCGGTGCTACAGAAAGATGCAGAAAAAGAGAGCCACGTATGACCATCATGGTCTTTTGAATTGATGGTAGAGACGACATGATAGCGGCAGGTTCCTATGGTTAAATAGGTACCATCAATATAACACAATTTGTTCAAATCGGAACCTCCTTGACCCCTGGAGTCAACTCCGTCAGAAAAGTGTGGTTGCAGTCATAAGGATTGGCGTCGCATCCTTCAAGAATGGTTGAACGCTGCCCACGGGCAACATCACCGTTGCCGGCAGAACAGAATATTTACTAAGACATATTCGTTGGCTTGAAAATTTAAAGAAAGAACAAGCAATTAAAATTTCCCAGTATACGCACAACATATTTTCTATCTAACAGGTGCATCTCGGACGCCCATATGTTTTGCTTGCGGCCAAGGGTCGTGTCTTTCCAAGCGGTTCTCATGTCGCCATCAACCAGGCCACCTAGTAATGGATCTTGTAACCGATATCTGGGTTGTTTGGGTGTCTTTCAGGTAGGAATATCCGTCCATGGTGACCATGTGAGGATCTCTCCAGGGGACAATATTGGATTGAAAATGTCTGCTTCGAGAACATACCGGTCATTAATACCAAGATAATCAACCAAAGAGAGTTTATTGTGGATTGCATGTTGGAGTTGGACCTGGTTGGAAGTTTTCATTTCGTGAATTGGCCTAGATAGACCGTACATGGTGCTAATTCTTAAACATTTGTATAAAACATGTGGCTCCTTCCGACAGCCTTTACTACATCGGAATCATATAGAAGCCAAACGTATGAGCGAGCAAGGTTTGGACAAGAAGAGATTGCAAGAGATTGGGAGTAATGCAATGTGGTGCGTCATATATAGCCTACAAGATCATTCGATGCTATTATCAACACCATTTAATTTGTTGTCAGCCTCTATTTAGGCCTCCCCCAGTCGGTTTTGTAGCGAATTTGGATTAGGGCTTCCGCTCCCTTGGTATTGGCCCATGCAACAATGGACATGGTTGGAGCAGAGTCATACGTCACGGGATAACGTTGAAACGTTTCGGAAGCTTCGCAACCACATTGAAATCAATGTCTTTTCAGCTTGTTCATATTCTCCACGATTTCTTCAAGCGTTAAAAGATCACCCATATACAAAGCCTAACTACGGCTAAGTTCAGAATGATTTTGCTCTTGTCCCGTCACGACGCTACTTTATTGAGAATTAAACTCACCCCCATACACTTGATCTTACAGCCTGGCCAAATGCAATGCACTCTGACGTAATACCCCTCCCCCCAAAGAGCAGACTTGGCAGCCACTGGAATTTTATGAAATAGTCTGTGCTTTGCCCCTTGAAGAAAGAAACATGCAGAATCCGCGGCGGGCCAAGTCAAACAAACCCAATGGATGATTCTGGTAATTTTTGACCAGGATCGTGACATTCGTCACCAAATGGCAGAGAGAAAGAAAAAAGCAAGCCCCGCTACTCCACACGCTTTAGTCATGAGAATATGGCGCGGTCGGGATTCCGTTGACTTGGGCCTTCCGACGAGGGACGGAAAGCCGAGTGCCACTGACGGTGTGCCGTGTACGGAGTAGCCCGAACCATCCCGAGACAGTGGACAGCCCGAGACCCGGTTTCCCACACGATGATCCCATGGAATCGTAATTTCAACCCGAGCGACCAGATGGAAGAGCAAGGGAAGGGAAAACACAAATGATAATCATCCTCTCTGGGCAACTCCCTTGGAGTGAGTGTGGCGCCTGGCTAGTGCGTATCTTAGCCAAGACGAAGTATATCCAATGATGGGTTGTCGGGCACAATCACCGTCTCCAATCTGGGGTATTTCTCGAGGATGTCATTGAGTGATATCGCTTGCCCGTGCGCTGCATACGACGCTGTGCGGCGCCCTGTTTCTCCAGGCCGTCATCGTCAATTAAATCCCCGTCTTGTACTCCGTACGCGCCCCTCCCTCCCCCCATTTTCCCGCGTTCGCTTTAAACCACTGTCGCTCACCGGTGAGGTCGGGGATGAGCGTGCCATGGAGAACCATTTGTCACTCGCAGCCATTCCCCACATTATCGCCTCCGTAATTTCACGAAAAATATTCATGCTGTCACCAAAGTGAAAAGAAAAAATTCTAGAAAATTTCCATGGCGAGAGACATGATGTGACAGGACACGGCTGGAATGCAGGGACAGGATGGCTGCATCCGGGGAGTAGAAGTTGAAGACAAGGTCCCATAAAAAGCCGACTCACTATCATTATTGAGAGATATTGGGACCTCTGAATCAGCCAAGAATAGCGAGATGGAATTACAAAATAGAACACAGAATACTACACACCCACTGCCTGTCCGTGAACACCCCCGGCCATTTGCTCCTCTCCCGGTGAACCCGGTGTTTTCTGGTAATGCTCGTACCGTTTCCATACGTTCCCATACCGATGGTACAGCTCTTAACGGCTCTCGGGGGCGTCTCTAGATCGGAGAGACATGCCCCAATGTATTGTTCGGTATGCGCCTTCCCGGACCCGGGGGTGGTATGTAATTCCCGGTATGGAGTGTATTACGCTGCCAAGGGCCGCGGACTGACCTCATGGACCCCGCCGTCATCCCACTTTGTCTGCCCTCTTTTTCTCTCCTGCACTTTCTTGCCTCCTCTGCATCTGTATCTCCTTTGCTCTCTCCTCCCTCTCCTCCTCTCTGTGCGAACTCGCTTCTCCATTCCACAATTTGCCAGTTCCCGCGGTTTCCTATCTACCACCCACCATGTCTTCCGCTTTGCTGGACGAAGCCACGCGCATTGCGCGCGACTTTGACTTCCCCGCAGACCAAGTCCAGCGCGGTGTCGCAGAGTACATCCGGCAATCAGAGGAGGGTTTACAGAAAGAAGACATGACCCTGAGTCAAATTCCAACCTTTGTGACCGCTGTCCCCAATGGCACAGAAAAGGTACGTTGACCGGACACATTGCCGCTTTGGTGAAAGTCTCTAGCTGACTTGAGAAATCAGGGCCTCTATCTCGCCGTCGACCTGGGTGGCACCAACTTCCGTGTTTGCTCTGTTCAGCTACACGGTGACACAACTTTCTCCCTCACTCAGTCCAAGATCATGATTCCCCGGGAACTCATGGCCTCTGGGACCTCCAAAGATCTCTTCCTCTTTTTGGCCCGTCAAATTGAGGCTTTCCTGCGTATTCATCACAATGAACACTTCGAGGCCCACCTGCGTCGACGACTCGATGGTAATCAGGAACAGGATCTTTTCGATCTGGGCTTCACCTTCAGTTTCCCTGTGCGTCAATTTGGCATCAACTCCGGCACCCTCATCCGGTGGACCAAGGGCTTCAACATTCCCGATGCCGTAGGCCATGATGTATGTGCCCTGCTACAGTCTGCCATTGACGAGCTTCAGCTACCCGTTCGCGTGGCTGCGCTGGTGAACGATACCGTGGGAACCTTGATGGCTCGCTCCTATACCTCCCCTGGTGAGACGGGCACCTTTTTGGGCGGTATTTTCGGTACCGGTACCAACGGTGCCTACGTCGAGAAGCTTGAGAACATCACCAAGCTCCAACACATGAAAGAGGCTCATTATGACAAATCGACCGGCGAGATGATTATCAACGCTGAGTGGGGTAGCTTCGACAACCACATGAGCGTACTGCCCAACACCATCTTCGATCAGGAGCTGGATGCGGACAGCAACAACCCCGGTGTGCAAATGTTCGAGAAACGGGTTTCCGGTATGTTCCTGGGCGAGATTCTGCGTCGTGCCCTGCTTGCACTGCATAACAACCCCGCTTTGGGTCTCTTCAAGCCCAACAAGACTTCCAACGTCTCTCTGCCTTCCGACTCCCTCTTTTACCGTCAATGGGGTTTGGATACTAGTCTTCTCAGCCAAGTCGAGGCCGACAACACTCCCCAAATGCTTGACGTCAAGGCCGCACTGAAGGACCACCTGAAGATCGAGAACCCCAGTGACACCGAATGCAAAGCTGTCAAGATCTTGGTCCACGCCATCGGCAAGCGTGCTGCACGTCTCAGTGCCGTTCCGATCGCCGCTATCCTCATTCACACCAACAAGCTGCAGACTGATGACTTAATTGACATTGGTGTGGACGGCAGTCTCGTCGAGTTCTACCCCAACTTTGAGGGCTACATGCGTGATGCCCTTCGCGAAGTCGCTGAAGTTGGACCCCGAGGCTCTGAGAAAATTCGCATTGGCATTTCCAAGGACGGAAGCGGCGTTGGTGCTGCTCTGATCGCCTTGGTTGCCAGCAAGGATGAGACCTTAAAGAACCCCTCCGAGAAATGAGTTTAAGGGGGCGCGCATTCTCCATTTGGTTTGCCAATATCCCTCCTTTTGATAATAGCGTTCACGTGGGCTATTGGCTTCCTGGCTGGGCCAGGATCATGGGAGCCTTGAGGTGTCGCCGTCGACCTGGTAATACAGACATCACAGTGTCAAATATTGTTCACCAAAATGACGGTTTCTTCCCCGCCCAGATATTGTGATCATTTCCTTCTCCAAGACCCGATTTCATGGCGAGGACTGCTCGCTGAAACCAGGGATACCGGGGAGTGAAAACCTGACGGTCTACTCTGTCATGATATGCAGGGATGCAAGGATGGCCTATCGCCCAGAAACAATCACCAGCGCGCTCTTGGTTCATTTTTTGCAGTTTAAGATTTCATTCTGTCTTGCTACTTCTTGGACCCTCGCCTTGCAGCAGGGGTGTATCATTATGCTTCATGCCTTTTATGTATCTTGTTTGATTTGGTTAACACGGAGTTGCACAGACGTTGTCCTGGCGTGGACCGGCATTCGATATCAGTACACATTTGCATCTACTTGCTTCTACCTTGACCTAAATGTCACGAAACTTTTTTGATCTTCCAAAAATTTCTAGTGCCTAGTACTCAGGTTCTGAATGAACCTTTTAAGAATAATTCGTTCCATAGAATGGATGATTTGATCGGCTTCGATGGATATTTATATACTACGACCTCTTCGGCGAAGGAGCACGAACCAATCAGGTAGAGTGAAGAAAGTGTCTAGTGTACCAAGACTATCATTGTCAATCACAATTGCCTATAAATACATTTCAAATCAATTTAGACAGTTAACGTAAACTATTTTAGTTGCCTGTTTCATATCCAATCGCCTTTGGTTTCAACACAAAGTCGACATTGCCACCTGTCCTGGCCAGAAGCCCGGCCTTCCCATCGGTTGTGCCAGGGTCGGGGCCGATGAAGTTGTTCGGGAATCCAACATCGAACTGGGTGGCCGACTCGAGGAAATCAAGCTGCTTTCGCGTGAGGCGGATCGATAACGCCTGAATATTGTCATGCAGGTGCTCAACCTTGCGACCGCCCACAATGGGGAACACGTTCGGTGCCTTGCAGAGGACATACGCCAATGCGACGGCAGTCACTGATTCGACGCCATGCTCGGCTCCCACTTTCGCCAGCGCTTCCGAAATATGACGCTCAGCCTCGGTCTGCTCGCCACCGTCTAGCACATTGCGCAGCCCTTCGCCCTTGGCCTTTCGTTCTGCTAGAGTCTTCGGCGACTGGAAATGCCCACTGCCCAGCACGTCCCATGGAGCCAACGCCATACCGAAGTGCCGGGCCATGGGCAAGATCTCGCGTTCAAAGTCCCGCCTCATCACGTTCCACCGGCCCTGGTAAATAGAGAAGGGTGTCTTTCCATGCGCTCGGGCGTATGTATTGGCCGCAGATACCACCCACGCTGGTGAGTCCGAGATGCCCAGGTACATCACCTTGCCCTGCTCGACCAGGATATGCAACGAGTCCATAATTTCCTCGATGGAGGTGGTGTGGTCCCACCAGTGCAGGTACAGGATATCGATGAAGTCTGTTTGCAGTTTGCGCAGCGAGTTGTTCACACTGACGAACATGCTACGCTTCGAGTTTCCGAGCGCATTGGGGGCGTTGCCCTTGCCGAGCTCCCAGGTGCGATAGTCGGTAGTGAACTTGGTTGCAATGATCATCTGCTCCCGGTTCTTACGCGCAGCCATCCATTCACCGATCCATGTTTCAGACTGCTCGTCCTGGTAATTATTGGCAGTATCGATGAAGTTTCCGCCGGCGGCGACAAAAGCGTCAAGTAGCTTGAAAGACTGTTCCTTGTCCATGCTCCCCATGAACTTGCCCCAGGCGTCGCCGATTGACATGCCTCCTAGCTGCAGCGGAGAGACACGGACACCAGCACTAGAGGAAAGCACCCGGTACCGACCCAAAGGGGTGGCAGGCTCTGGGGGGGCTTTGAATATCTCGTCCATTGTGAATGATTTGAATCAAAGAATTAGAATTGAAGATTGAGCACTGAATATAGTAAGACTTGCTGAAGGTTGAGGATATTCTCTGATAACAAAAGATATTGGGGATGTCTACAGACGGTCCTTTTATAATCGCCATCATGCTTAGAAATATTGTTCAGATGCATTCCTATGGCGCTGCTTGTCATCCGGATTTAACGATTTGTCCGGTGGACCGGCCAAACCTTATCCAGTGGCTGATTGTCTATGATGCCAACCAGTCTGTTGTTGGCATTTGGCTCCTTGATACTAGCACAGTCACGACAAATCTTTTCCTTTCTTGGAAACTCAGTTTAAATGTGGTTCATTACTGTTGTTTGGCGAAGCTGTGCCTCTTCGATCTATATCAACCCAGCTAGAGTACTGTAGAGCGCTTCGTTGATTTTGTAGGACCTAGAGCGCCCCGGAGATAGGAAAGCTCTTCTTAAATCAGTCCTTTTGAGATACGCAGTGAGTAAACTCCCAGCGGAGCTCGCTTTGCTTCTACAGAATCTGCCCATTCGACTTCCACAGCAACACCTGTCGCCAAACAAGCTAAACTCCAAACTCCGCGATGGCTTGGCAACCCGGCATGCGCCAGGCTGTTTTAGGTTAGACTGTTGTCATCCATGCTGAGTCACCATCTCATGCCTCAGGCCGTCAGAGCTGCCCAGCAGCGATTGGGCGATCGTGTTGGGGATTTGGGTCTCATTCACGCATCTGCGCCGGCCATCTTTAATTGCCGGGACTTCCTGGATGATCCGGAAAAGTCCAGGCTACACAAATCGGTGAATGACAGGTTCCGTTCCCGAGTCTGATGATCCGGTCCCGTTGAAAAGATCCGCAACTCCGGTATATTGATGTAGCCCAAGTCCAGGGTGACGGAGATGATGATCTATAGACCCTTTGGCCTGCCCTTCTCCCTCCTCCACCATGTTCATCCCCTGTTCTTCAATTCGCCGATGATAGCTGTGAAGGCCCTGGAGTAAGGGTGTTCGACTATCCAATCCCTCTCATACCCCTAAATCCCCAAATGGGGCCCTTGAAGGTCTCGCCGCAGCTCGGGTCGAGACATGCAGTCTCTAGCGCAATGATCCTTGCATGGCCTCCTGGCCGATGCGGTCCCGCCTGGCCTGCGGCTGAGACGCGGTTTCATTTGTGCCTATGCGCGACCGTCGTGTCCAGCCACAGTGTGTTGCTCGCTAATGCACTGAAGAGAGCAAAACAAAAAGATGCCATGTTGTCAGCATAACAGACGCCCAGGGAAAAAAAGAGAAAAAAAAAAAAAAAAAGCACGGTGAGCTAGTCACTGCGGATTATGAAAACGGCAGTTCACAACACTATGATCGCGGAGATTCCCACGTCCCACCTGGGATTAAGGATTCCTTAGTAGGATGTCTGTGTGACGAGGATGGCAATGGGGATACTGGGCTCCTTTTTCCACGAACCCACGTTGGCCTTGGGTCGCAAAGGCAAGGTTGCCCCCGTCCATGATGAGACCTGTACAAAGGGCCAGCTGCGTTGCCAATGCCAATCCTGCATTGACTGGCCTTTATTATCCGCGTTACCCTCCCTTTGAATTCTCGTATTCAATCCTATTTCCTAATTTTGTTTTTCGCTGGCCCCCGTTGCCCGTGGTTTTTGGGCTTGTTCTTCAGTTCCTGCCATTCGTTTGCCCACCATGCCTTCCATAATCTCTACTCTCTTCAAGAAATCAGATCCCCCCAAGGATACACCTCTAGCGGAACAACTCAATCAGCCTACTGAGAACCAGGTCGGCAAGACGAATGGTCCATCGGATACGGATGCCCAATGCCAGGAAGAAGAGAAAGGCTCCAAGCCACCTAGCGAGAAAGAGAGTACATTAGTTGATGAACCGATGAGAGACACGACGGTCCCCGATGATTCAAACAAGGAGGCTGCCGCAAATCACTCGCCTGGAGTAATGTCTAACGAGGACTCGAACAAGGAGCCCGTCCCTAAAGAGCAACCGGAGAAGGAAGCTACTACAGAAAATTACGAGAAGAACGAGATTGTCGAGACTTCTTCCGATGCGGAGAATAAAGAAAATGATGTGCCTGAATATCCGTCAGCCTGGAGACTTGTCCTAATTACCATCGCGCTGTGTCTTTGTGTGTTCTGTGTGGCCTTGGTATGTGCAGCTATACCTCTCCCAAACTCGCATGCTCTTTGGTTCCTCACACTCACGATTGATATCAGGATAATACAATTATTGCAACTGCCATCCCCAAGATTACTGATCAATTCAATTCGCTCAACGATGTGGGTTGGTATGGTAGTTCGTACCTACTAACAACCTGCTCCGTAACTCTCATGTTTGGCAAATTCTACACCTTCTATTCTATTAAATGGATCTACCTCTTTGCCCTCTCGATCTTCGAGATTGGCTCGCTCGTCTGCGGTGTCACTCCAAACTCGGTCGGCTTAATTTGTGGGCGCGCCATTGCAGGCCTCGGTGCTGCAGGCCTCTTCTCGGGTTCGATCTTGATTATTTCCCAGAGTGTGCCTCTCGACAAGCGGCCCATGTATACAGGGCTGGTAGGCTCCATGTTTGGCATTGCCAGTGTTGCTGGTCCCCTGTATGTCGTCATGCCTTACCGCCGATAACAAATAGTCCCGATCAATGAGTGCTAACCTGGTCACAGCATGGGAGGCGCTTTCACTGACAGACTGACTTGGCGCTGGTGCTTCTACATTAACCTTCCAATTGGCGCGGTCACCTTCTTTTTCATCCTGTTCTTCTTTAAGTCCCCCGGGGCCATCAAGAACAAGAAGGGATGGAAGGAGCAAATTGCTGAGATGGATCTCCTGGGCTCACTTTTCTTTCTGCCTGCCATTATCAGTCTACTCCTTGCCCTCCAATGGGGTGGAACCAAGTACCCTTGGGGAAACGCTCGCATCATCGCGCTGTTTGTCGTCTTTGGTGTCCTGATCATTATCTTCATAGGTCTGCAGTATTGGGGCCAGGATCGTGCCACTGTTCCTCCACGCTTGATCAAGAACCGCAATGTCTGGGGTGCTGCGTGGTATTCGCTCGCCCTAGGCGCGGCGTACTTTGTTCTCGTCTACTATGTGGGTGATATATCCTTGACACTGATCGACTCGTTCCTGCTAACGTAGACCCAGCTTCCGATTTGGTTCCAGTCTATCAAAGGTGCCACGGCTGTGAAGTCAGGCATCATGAACCTGCCGATGATCATCGCAGTCGTGGTGGTTTCTATTCTGGTCGGTGGCCTGGTCACCGCTTGTGGTTACTATACTCCTTTCATGATCTTCTCGGCAATCATCATGACCATCGGTGCTGGACTATTATCTACGCTAGAAGTTGATTCTGGCCACCCCAAGTGGATCGGATACCAAGCGCTCTTCGGTATCGGGCTGGGCTTGGGTATGCAGCAGCCCATGATGGTTGCTCAGACAGCTCTCAGCGCCGGGGATGTCCCCAGCGGCACAGCCATTGTTATGTTCGCTCAAACTCTAGGCGGCTCAATCTTTGTATCTGTCGCCCAGAATGTTTTTCAGAATCAGCTGTACCAGAATCTCGCCAAGTATGCGCCCGATGCTGATGCTATCAAAATCGTCTCTGCTGGAGCAACTATGCTGCGGACTGTCGTATCCGGATCGACCCTGCATAGCGTTTTGGTGGCATACAATGCGGCTATCACGCAGACTTTCTACGTGGCTGTGGCTATGGGTGCATTGTCACTCGTCGGACCCATCTTCGTCGAGTGGATCTCGGTCAAGGGAAAGAAAGTCGAGATTGCGGCGGTTTAAGTCGACAGGGAACACGCCCAAGGGCAATCCACATTTCACACTCCTTGTCTTTCCTTTTTTGCTTCATGCATATTTTTCTTCTTTCCTGTCATCTAAATGATGACGAGGCTACTTCTGGGACACGACTGCCCAATCTTTTTAAACTTGACCTTGCTACACGACCATCCCCTTCCTCTGATGTCGATCTTGTGGATACTGTCAGGCTTGCTGGCATGTCCACTCTTGGAAAAATACCCCGACTTTCTGGACCCCGTTGACACACAACCATAAACTTTATTGATGTTACTTACCTGCGAAGACGAGTCGCAGATTCTAAGACTCGTATCTTTACTGAATCTTAGGGATTCGCTTAATGTTCCATAGTAACTCCGCCTTGAATAGCATTCATTGGCATTCTTTCTTTCTCGTAATCCTTTGTCTTTGGCCTCGATTGTACAGTGCCTTATTCTGTTCTACCGCACTTCCAGTCAACAGCTGTCTAATACCAAATCCCATGGACTTACTACTCGACTAATAATTTCAAACATTCATGTCTCAAAATAACCTTGGAAATTGACCTATGACAAATGATTGATCCTTTTCCGAGCGGTGAGAGAAGACTCAAAGATCTACATCAGCTAGATTTCCTGTCTTCGATTTATTTTTGCACACAAGCGAACCTATATTTACCAGACTGTGCCATACAAAACCATAGCATAATGAATTTGCCTTGTTGGATCTGATCAGATACACGAGCATCAATGCAAAGCTTATGGAGAGGTTTCTTTTTCCTTCGGTGGTTCTTCGTCTCGTCTGCTTTGAATCGTAAAAAGAGCAGCGATTCGCCATCAAAAGCTAATATTTGAAGATAATAGCTCAAATTCAGGCAATTCTACTATACTGGTAGCCACGGCCAAATTACAAGCCCAAATATAGAGTCAAGGCCAGATCAAACAAAACAAGAATGATGCCATGCTCTCTCATCTTCATCGGGTATGGTCATTATGACGTTCCCTTTTGCCTATGGCAATTTGGATACAAGGAGGCCTAAAGTGAGTGAGAATGATCGAGAGCAACATAGAACATGAAGAAGATGGAGTAGAGCAAGTGCATGGGTTTTAAGGTGAGAGCTCGAGAGAGAGAGAGAGAGAGAGCGAAGAGAGGGCGCTTCAACGTTTGCTAGGTTGTTGATATATTTGCGGCCCCAGTTTCAATACAGTCAACCTTATGGATGCTCAAAATATTCTATAGTTATCCTCATGGTATTATAGAAATCTAATGTTGAATAACTGAACAACATATTGGACGAGATGGATTAGCTCACCTCTAAGTGTGAACGCCGAAAGCAGGAAGCAAAAAAGAAAAACAAGAGATGACGAAGAACACCCTCCTACACTGCCGCATAGAGACTTAGGTAGATTCCCCAGATTACGCCGCAGCCGCTCCCAAACACGACTCGGCGGTCGACTGGAATGACTGTGTACATCAAAGTCGAGACCACGGGGCGATATTTGAGGCGGGCAATCATGATTGGACGGAAATCCTAGGGAGGCAATTAGTATTGAACTTGAGCTCCATCCCATCTCATGCTAGATGTAAGAATGAGACAAGTGGGTCAATATAATGGAGCCAGAAGGCACAAACCTCCACGACTAATTCCCACACCCGCTGCAAACTCTCCCCTTTCAAAAAATGAATCAACACAATGAAAAGCACTATATTCATGACCGACGCGACGGTCTGGTCTAGAATGAATTTCATCATAAAGCTGTGTAGGCCCGACTGTTTTGGTCGAGGCGCCCAGCGGTCCTCTCTCTTCTCCTTCTCCTTCTCTAAGTGGCGAGGTAGCGCCCCATCCCGGTCGGGCCGAGCGAAGGTTGCAGAGAAGGAGGAACGGAGGGATGATAAGGAAAAGGAGGATGACCTCCGAGATGAACCTCGAAAGAGATTGGAGATCTCTGCCCGCGAGGGAAATCCTGGGTACCGCGCCTCCAGGGCGCGCTGCCAGTAGAAGTTGATAGGTACGATCAGGATGCCATAGGTGATGAATTGAAGCAAAGCGAGTGTATTCAAAGTAAAAGGAGTCTATTTGACCATTAGAAAAATTTCATGTTTTCCGAATGTACTTGCCGATTTGCTCTGCTATCCGGGGGCTGGGCAGATCCATATTCAATGTCAGAAAAGGAGGTTTTGCTTACGGTGGTCTTGCGCTGGTCTATTAGCTGGGCAAGGATGTTGGACACGGCATTCAGCACAGTTGCCTGTACGAACGTCACGGTCAATGCAGAGGGCATTCTCGCAGCATGGAGACCGATCTCTAGTCAGGACTCCCCACAGCGTCAGCGCATCTATGTCGAGTGGCGTCGGGCATCCAAGGAGGGCTTGGTTGTTTGGGGGACGTTGCGGGTGCTGCCAAGACGCGCAACCGTGTCCTTGGCGCGACCGCAAGTTCTTCTTGCTTCATACTTCCGTTTACTTCCACTCCGACCAAGAATATCTGTTGGATTGGGCAAATTTTTCATATTCATTCTATACTATAAACTTGTTTATATTTAATTTTCTTTTATTTCACGGGCACAACCTTCTGAAACTCCACGTTGGGTCCGTCTTTTGCACTTGTGAAGTGATCCACCAATGCCAAATGGCCAGCGGCATCCTCGCCCTGGCGATCCGCTAGCGACATGTCAAAGAGGAAGACCAAGCGCGCCAAAGTGAGGCGCATCTCCATAAATGCCATGCTCTTTCCAATGCAGCCGCGCGGGCCAATGCTAAAGGGGCAGAATGCTCGTCGCGCAGTCTCAATGTCCTCTTTCGAGCTCTGCCACGACACGCCAGACGCCTGGCAAGTCTCGCCTTCGATCCAACGCTCCGGTATGTAAGTCTCTGGCTCACGATAGTACTGCGCTTGTCGGTGGATCGAGTAGGTCGGTGTGCCGCAGTCGGTGCCTTCAGGCAAGAAGACACCATCCACAAGAGCACCGCCTTTCATAACTTCGCGGGGTGGTGCGCCGGGCACGGCGGGCGCCAGACGGAGTGCTTCGTCGATGCAGGCCTTCAGATACACAAGCTCATTCAACCGGCTGCCGCTGACAATGTCTTCCACTTCAGTGAAAGCCTCGCGTACTTCAGCGGTTAACTTGGTTAAGGCCACTGGGGAACGGACCAGATAGAAAAGAGTGGCCGCCAAAGTGGTGGAGGTTGTGTCGCTGCCTGCGATCATGAGTACGTTTGACTCGCCCCAAAGCTCAGGCATGCTGAGACCCTTGCCCGTCTCAGGATCTTTGGCATTTAGCAAATAGTAAAAGAAGTCCTTCTTGGCTTCCCGGCCGGCCATGGCCCGCTCCTGCGCACGCTTGTTGGCCTCTACCCGAGAGTTCATAATGAAATTCCACCGGTCAGTAGTAAGCTTGCGAATCAAAATCTGGTCGAGGTGCCAACGATCTAAGGGCATCCAAAGTCCACACTGGAATATTGTCTGTCAGAATGGCAGCTTCATCGTGTTCGAGCGATGAAGCCCGCGTTTAAACAGTTTATAAAACGGTCGAAGGATAATTCCAAATGGATGATAACTCACCACATAGTGCCGATTAGCAGCCCGGTCCACAAGTCCAATCATGTGCCTCCGGCCTTCTGCGATGAGCATATCAAAGCTCTTCCCAAAACACAGCTCTCCCATCACATCATAGGAGAGGTAGCTGAACCAATTACCCATATTGCGGACAACGCCCTTGCGATCGCCTGCATCTGCACCATCGGATCCGGCCATCGCCGCACACAGCTGCCGAACATGCAGCAGCATCACATCTTCCATGCCCTTCATCGCGGCATCTGAAAAGGCCTGGCTCAATACACGGCGCTTGCGCCCGTGCGTGGTCTTATCGATAGCATTATGCGTATTGTACACGCCCTTGATCGCGGGGAACGCATTGTAGAAGTCTGCCTTTTGGAGCCGCTTGCCGTGGCCGTAGATGTCGTGTAGCCCACGATCAGTATTTACAGAGACAAAATTTGGCGCCACGCGCACATGTGTGCCATAGTCACGGTGCAACGCATGCAACCACAGGTGACGGTCACCTTTCAAGCCATGGTAGAGTTGGACCCATGGGGTGGTAGACGCCAGGAAAGGACCCGGTATGCGGCGCAGCGGGTGAATAAACCGGTTATAAAGCACGTAGGCAATTGTCTATCCTGTCAGCCTAGAAGAAATGACTTGGAAGAGCCGTTGTTGGGGGTTGACTGAAGGTGGGAGAAGTTGGCGGAGTCCTTACCAAAACACCTAGTACCTCGACTAGGTCTACCACTACCCTCTGTATCGACATTTGCCTCAGCACTGGTTCTACGAGCATTTTGTTTGCTGTTTGATGCAGTAGTTCACGTCATTCAGTGTCGGTATGGGCTTATCGCTGGCGATATGAGGTTGGATTCTTCGGGGATGGTTTATATACTTCCCGAGCAGCTCTCACCGAAGGTACCCGTGCCCAGCCGCGATTTTGGCATTGATGACGACGGAACCGGGGAAGGGTCGACACCAAACTTCACGGACTGAGGTCTGCGCCGGTCTTATCGGTCGTTCCGGCTATGACCGGGTACTTCCCTGTTTCAATTGGCGGGCGTGAGATATGTGGGATCAATGGCCTTTTGATCTCTTGGGCTTTGATCACGGGAGGATGGGCCGCTCCCCCACAATTCCTGGGGAATGTGGATGAGTTATGCTTAATCGCCTATTCGCTACACTCGGATTTGCGGGGAGAGAAAGAGATCACGCAAGACCCGTTTTTTAGTTTTGTTCAATATGAGAGAATTGTCAACTCTATAGGGAGTCTGTTATGATCTACCAGACAGATATATGGGCAGAGGGCGGGGGCTACAGCTACAGCTGTAGGCTGCAGTGATAATCTATGCCAATTGCAAAAGCACCCGCCCTTCGGCGGGTCTCCCCACCGCGGGTTGTTAGAAGACCCCCCTGGTGCGTCGTATACCGCTATTATCCGAGGTCTTTCATATCTAAAAGTGGCCCGGCTCCATAATTAGTTTCGCATGGCTTATGGACTCCAAGACGGTTGCTGCGCATTTCCAGGAATGGAAATGGTGGTGGAGGGGACGCTATCTCGGCGGATTGATATGGCATTGCAAAGCCATGTTGGCATTTAATACTTGCCCGGTGAGGCTTACCATGCCAAAAGGGATCGTCATCCACAAACCCGGTTGTACAGAGGATGTGTCAGAAAATGGCCCGACGGGGTGGGAAGTCGACCTCGTTGGTCGGACTTCATGCAGCCTTGTTGCTGTGTCCATGTAATCCACCATCCAGAATCCACTGTTCGTTATCGTCATTGTCATCCTGAACACGCCGCCAAGTTTGTTTCCGCTCGTTCCGCTCGACATTGTCAGCAGTCTTGCCATCGGGAGCCTTCCACACTGGACGCATCAGGCCTCCTGCCGCAAGCAGGGGGTTTTTGCTGAATGCACGGGTACTCTCCGGCCCCTGGGCATCCTCCGCATCCGCCGCATCCGCCGCATCTGGCTCGCTGGTCTCTGGAGTGGATTCGATCGCGGCCGATTGATAAACACGTCGTACCTTGCCGCCTTTGATATCGAGGCTCATCACAGTCTTCTTCTTCTCCCACTCTGGGCGAGCCTTCTCCTCCAACTCACGCTGGATGCGCTGTTGCTTTTTGAGCGCGAGTGCACGTTGAGCGGGGCTCATCCATAGCGTGGAAGCCACGTTCGGGATTTCGAAGTCAGCCGCCTCGTCCACCACCTTCGTTCGACGGGCATTCTGTGCTTGGAACTGAAGGAGCTTATCTCTGTGCGCTCGGGCTGCATCTAGCTTGTTGGGGGTCGATGATCCGGATCCCGAGCCCGATGGCCGTGGCCCCCCGTCATGGTGAACACTCTCATTGTGAGCGCGCATCTTTTCCTGTCCCCGCTCGGCCCGAAGTTCTTTGATCATTCCTTGAATCTCCTCGGCCGACAAGAGCGGGGTGCCACAGAAGGAGCATGGCTGTAAGCCCTCCAGGGAGCAGATGATTTTACCGCAATTGATGCAATTGGGAGCGGGGTCGAATAATGGATGAATGGAGGCAAAACAGGAGCATTTCCGTTGTGTGGAGCCGAGAGTCGGGTTTGTTGATATCTCCAGCGCCGCAATGGCGGCGGTCAAGTCGGAGATATTGTTGGTCGTCAGGGCCCCAGTGGACTTGGACGGGGTCGCTGAGCCTCCGGCTTGCCTGGTCGATTTGCTTGTCTTCGAACGCACATTCGGGAGTATATCTGAAAGCACAGGCCCCGAGGCGGACGGGGGAGGTTTGGCGACGGGGACCGGGAGGGGCGACTGGGCACGGGACGAAGCTGACGAACCGGGCGTGGAGAGTCCATGGGAGGGATGAGAGGTGGATTTGCTGGCGGGCATGTAGACCTCATCCTGCTTCGACTTCATATAACCTCCCCCGATATCTCCATAGTTGGATGGACGTCGCGGCGGGCCGGCGCTGTGCAGTGGCTTCTTCTCCTTCTTGCTCTTCCCCTTCGGTCGGTCATTCGTGGAGGAAAGGGCTGCATTGGATTGGGTCGAGGCATTCGTGGTAGATCCGGTATTGCGACGGGCATTGAAGGAAGTAATGAATTCCAGGGCGGCGGGGGAGTCGCCGAGGAGGTTTTTGAGGTGATCGGCGCTGGCGTCTTTGGACAGACTCGCGGAGTAGTCGATGATTTGCATTAGCGATTCATTATCAAGCGGGAGCAGCTGACTGAGACGGGACAGCGCCCAGGCCGTGATGTCCGGCATGTCTGGCAGCTGGACCAACCCTAGACTAGGGTGAAGCGCACCGTTTGGGACGTGGTGGAATTGGGGGACGAGAGGTAGAAGTGGAAGAAGCGGAAGAAGCCAAGCGATCCCAGTCGGCGTTCCCCCGCGCCGACCCGCCAATCCAACTATACCCAAACGACTCCCCGACCACGACGGGCGGCAGGCGGAGCCCGTTCGCGTGGAATACGCTTCAGGCTTAAGACAAACACTGTTGACGAGAATTAGATTGTGTTGGGGCTGCGCTTGGCCTCCTAGACATGACATACATATCAGACATACCAAGATTCTATACTCCAACAACATTTATCCCCATCCCACCTTGATTCCATATTATTGCGACGTCACAGAGTATGTATTATTGAGCGAACTCGACCACCTCAATTACGACCCTGAATTGATCCCAGAGGTGCGCGATGATAATACCGGCATTTTGCCCATTGGCCCATGGCCCTCATTGTATTACACCCCGTCACCAGCGCTAGGGGTGGTTGATCCGCTGCTGCAGATTTGCCCTGGGCTGCATGGGATGGCCTGAGTCGAGAGCGAAAGTATTGGATGACTCCCGCCTGTCCTGCACTACTTGTTTGTGCAGGATATGGAGAAAACGAGGGATATATCGGGTGCGTGCGCACGATCTATCCATTCCTTGCGGAGAAATCGGATCAGTGCTTTCCGAGGCGGGCAACTTCTCTACTCCCAAAACCAATGACAACGATGAACGATCGCATGGAGCTCGTTCCGGGCACACAGGATGTTTTCGGACAGCTACCTCGCATGAAAGGGTATACCCACCTAGTCGTGTGTTTGTCCCATCCAGAGAGCTATTCTCGAGATGCCACTGTATTGGCTTTTCAAGCGGCCGCCAGTCGAATCACGGCGGCCCTACCTTGGCTCGGCGGTGCAGTGCTACACTCAGAGGTTGGCCCAGGATGTACGGGTATCTTCACCGTGGCACGATGCGCCCGAACTCGAAATATTCTCCACATCCAGGATCGATCGGAGGAATGCTCGTCTTATGAAGATATCATAGCCTCCAGAGCACCAAGTGATCTTCTCGAAGGACACCTACTCTCGGCCCAGACATCTCTCCCTGACAGCTATACCGAGAGTGAGACTGAGCCTGCGCCAGTCCTGACTTTGACAATGAGTTGGATCAAAAATGGTCTGATTCTCGACTGCGCAGCCCAACACAACATACTGGACATGGGAGGCATTGACCAGTTCTTCCGTCTCCTGGCGACTGAACTACAAGCCAAATGTTGCGGCCATACAGTTATAGATACCAACAATCGTGACCGGTTGCAAATGTTTTCATTGCTGGAACCAAACGAGTTTCGATGCGGCCATTCAGACATGCGATGTCCTTCGTCTCTAATCACAATCCGGCGGTCTCCTCCACCAGGCTCTTTACCAGCGTTCTATCATTTCCGCTTCGATAAAGCCAGCATCTTGCAACTAGCAGGCTTGGCAAATACTCCATCGGTAGATGATGCCCTCAGTGCATTCATCTGGAAGCAACTCAGCATAGCCCGCCTACGTCTGGGCCAGAAGCCGGGCACAGTAACGGGCTTTTCTCGAGCCGTCGACTGTAGACAGGCTCTTAATATACCAAAGGAGTACATGGGCGTTGCCGTCGTCAAAACCTTCTCGACCATGACTTTGGAGGAGATTGGAAGAGCCTCATTGGGAAGCATAGCTGTAAATTTGCGCAGAGATGTCCGGAGAATCAGAGATCGAAGTTTCCTCCGTAGCCTAGCAACGCTGATCGCCGAAGAGCCTGACAAAAGCACTATCAACTATGTGCCAGAACTTAATCCTGATACCTGGCTTAATGCATCTTCGTGGGCGGGCGTTGGTGCATACAGTCTCAACTTTGGGCCCCTAGGCAAGCCTGGTATCGTAAGACGCCCGAAATCCAAGCCGGTCCTGGGGCTATTGTACTTTCTACCCAAATCGGAACAAGGCGATATAGATGTGTTACTCTGCTTGAAGGAGAGTGAGATTCAAGGCTTGAGAGGCGATCCTCAATGGAGCCAGTATGCTGGATATATTGGTTGAAATATCATTATAGGATTCATAAGCGGCAAGCAGGCATATACATGAGCGCTGTTGCCTTTTCCTTGTATTTAGTTTTTGAAGCCGTACTATTGCCCGGTCAATTCTAGAGCCCGAATCTACGAAAAATCAGCTACAAAAACTTTGTACGGAATAATTCACAACGAAATGCCGTGCCAAGGCTCCTTGTATGATATGAATAATGTACAATCCTAGCCCACCCTTATCATCACCGTCATCTATGCAAATTCTTGTGTAGATCAGTCCAAACCCAGAGACGCCATGAGTAGCACAATAAACCATCACGTAACAAATACGCGGCAATAGTAGAGAAGCAACGCCAACAACTCCCGAGACGAACGTAGATATCAAAAAGAATTCAGAGCCTCTGTCAGTCCGCATTCTCGCTCTTGACATCATCGTCGTGGTCTTCCGCCGTAAAAGAGTTTTTCAGTTTGCTCGGCCCCGGCTTCGTAGAAGAGCTCTTCTTAGGGGCGTTGAGCTTCTTCTTTTTGGTTGGGCTAGGACTACCTTCGTCCTCTTCGTACGGGCGTTTCGGGGCAGAGGATGTTGGGCTGCTGGCACCGCTGGCTCCACTATCGGTTGGGGTTTTATTTCGGGTGCTGCTGCCACGGCCGGAGATGTTCATGCAGCGATCCAAATGCTGGGCCACTCGGTTCATCACGAAATAGCGCGGACAGATGGGGCACTTGCTGGTTGGTATTTCTGGAATAGTGCTGTCTTTGTCCGATTTCTTCTTCTTCGGGTTCGGCATGACAGCGAACAATTTGCCATGAACATCATGGCCAGGGAGGGTGATCATCGGCCCATTGTGACAATACTCGCGTTTAGGGTCAGGCGGAGGACAATGCCCGGTACCCACTGGAGGGTAGGATAAACGAGGGAGTCGACAGTCGGGGCAAATGATTTCTTTGACAGTGTGCATGGGGTTACCCTTTAGAAACACTTTCCCATGATCAAAGATGGCGGCATCAGTCTCGAGATGCGTGTTTGCCAATTTGTTTGCGTCTATCATCACCTCCTTTGTTTTCGCATCTGCCACAGACTTGCTTGCAGTTTCATCCGGAACGGTCGCTTCGTCCTCGGCTTTTTGCCGGGCGATCACGACCGCGGAGCGCATCCGCGCCACCTTTTCTTCGCGGTGGACTTTAGCGACCAAATCATGGATGATGTTGTGGAATGTTTCGTTAAGAATGTCGGTTGACTAAGTAGAGGAAAGAAAATACGGAATGATTAGAAGGGTGCCAATGTTCGTGATCTACCGACGGGCGTAGTCCCGTTACATACCACTTTGGCAATCGTTCCAGCAGGGTAGGTTGGCCTGCGGCTAGCGGTGTTGGAGTCGGCCATTTTCGGAGTCGTCCAGAGATATCAACCTCGATCGTCCGTTCCTGAATGGCCGACAGCCGTGAGCTGCGTCTGCCCGCGACACAGTCAAACCCTTTTTCCGCCGGGTCGCGGTCTAGTTCTCCATGTGCTGGAAATCTATGCAGGGAGGCGCCAATGGGAATGATGAAGTCGGAATCGGTCCGAGGTGACGGTGAGTATTGAACATAGGAGATTCAGATGAAAGAGGAAGAACGATACTGGGAAACCCTAGTGCAGTGTACTCCGAGTCAGCGGAAAGCTTGAATGGCGACATCGGGGGTGTTCGCGAATGGGCCGACCATCCCCAATCAATAAGGGGGAAAGGGGGCTTTTTCTGGTGAATATGATCGCGTCCTCGATAAAACGGATCCAAGACCGAAAGGACAATCGACTTACCGATTGGGGGCTCTGCTGGCCGGTCCAGCTTGTGGGGAGAGAGATGGAAGAGCGCGGCGACGAGGCTGGAGCAAGTTGTTCACTGGCTTATCTTATCGCATCTCCGCATTCGCCCTTTCGTCCTCTTTGCGCCTCGCCAGGACGAAAGCAAATGGCTTACCAGTTCTTCAAGGGCCAGTCGCAGCCCTCAAATACCTCTGCGGGTTCATCTCCTTCTCCAAGCCGACACACTCGGCCTCCCATTCACCCTCCGCCGCCTCAGCCACCCCGATCTGCTAGCACAAACACCAACTCAAACCGTGCCTCCCTTGCATTTACGCCATATGAAGGTGTCATCCCCGCAGGCTATGCGACATCCCATCCGCATATAACGGTCGAGAAGATCAGTACTGCGCATATACCGTCCTTTACACGGATCACGGGGCTGCTCCTCCCTATCCGCTACCCAAACTCCTTCTACACGGCCACAATTGTGGACCCTATTATCGCGTCCTTGTCACGCGTCGCGCTGTATCATGACCATCCGGTGGCCGCTGCACCTGACTCTAGCGCCTCAACTGGAACAGATAAGGTGATCGGAGGCATCAGATGTCGATTGGAGAAGCAGGAGTCGTCGGGGTCGGCCCAAGATCGAGTTGCAACCAATCTATACATCCAGACACTTCATCTCCTCTCCCCATACCGTGGTCATGGAGTGGCTGCTGCCCTGTTGAACTCCCTACTCTTCGAGTCACCACTCCGATCAAAAGGCCCATGTCAAGTATCGAATATTGTGAAACACTATAACATCCGCTCGGTGACGGCGCATGTTCACGAAGCCAACGAGGATGGACTGCGATGGTATGTTGCCCGTGGCTTTCAAGTGCAGGAAGGGATTGTTGAGGGCTACTATCGACGCCTGCAACCTTCTGGTGCTAAAATTGTACGCCTTGATGTGCAATGGGATGGGAAGAGCGATCTACAAGACCCATCCAAAGAGAAAAAAAGGCTTCACAACGCACATCTCGCACCGCTCCCGAGGATGAAGATTGGGAAAAGGTCGAAGCAGAAGACGAAGATGACGACGATCATGGTGTTCAGCTACTAGGCGAGTCACAAATCCTGGAAAAGAGTGAAACCCCGACACGGAAGCGTAAAGCAGAGGATGACGGTGTGAAAGAGCTACAACGGAGGTGAACTGTTTCTAAACATCTGCGATTCTTGATATGATCAACTTTAAAATACCCTGGTGGTTGGCTAGAGTTTTGTATATATCAAAGGGTAGGATGTACGGTCATAAGGTTAAAGTAAAATTAGTGCTTGCCCTTTTAAGCGTCCTACATGCATCATGAAAGCGATAGAACAAGCGCAAATAACATGTGCTTTATTGAAAATTACTTGATTGAGGGCAACATGTGCATAAAGTAGTGCAAAGATACACAATGATGGTCGTATATTGACAAAGTAAGAAATTTTGAAAACGCCACGGGTATCAAATCAGCCAGAATAGGTGTAACATAATCATGAAGAGACTGTACATCAAACGTATAAAAGGAGGGACATGAGATTATTAGATGTTGTAGTTCTCTGCATGCAAGAAGATCTCGTCTATGGACGGATCTGTCATCACCTTTTGTTGAAGCCTGGCTACTGTACTAGCCACCTCGACACGCAAGCTAGGAGGGCCGCAAACGAAAACGCAAGTACGGCGACCGAAATTCTTTGAGAATTCATTCAGCATATCTGCAACATTTGGACGGAAATAGTCCGTCCGCCAATTTTTCCCTTCTCTGCGAGGGATGGAACACGGCGTAGCGTGGAGTCGGAGCCTTCTGCGGCTTTGGTTGTGGGCTGCCGAATCCAAAATCAAAAGGAATATTGCTATTGGATGCTGATGAAGAATTCGAAGCACTTGGGTTCATATACGGTTGATAATAGTGACGAGTATTGGGAACATGAGGCGCTGTGTATACACCAGGAAGAGCGGCAAGTCCGTCTTGATTTTCATGACGAAGCTCCTTTTCTCTCTGTGCATCACCCGCGGCTTCTTCGCGAATGTATGCGGAGTTGCGCTTGTCGATGCCTTGAAGCATATCATAAATCTTTTCCTGGACCAAATCACGGCCGGCTTGATCCACTTGGACTCCAGTCAGGAAGAAGTGGCACTGGAGGACATTGACTGGTGCATGGTCTCGACAAATGCGAAGTTCCTCTTGGAACCACTCCATGGTCTCCGGGGTTTTCAGAGCCCAGATCACCTTCACTGACCTGGTGATTGCCTTACCATCTCGGATCTTCTTGATCAGATCAAGGAGCTGACTGGCGATCGCGGTAATCCCACTACCTCCTGCAAAGAATATCACATCGTCAAAAGCAGCCATTTCTCGCTGCATGCCCCCATATGGGCCTTCCAAAAATGCCGTGTATGTTTTGAACGGACCATTTTCCAAAGCCTTTTTGAGAACTTTGTGAGTAAAGCCTTTGAATGGTCGAAAGACAAGGGTGCAGTCGCGATACTTTTCGCCGTACGCAGACGGAAAGTCATCGCTACACAGAGAAGCAATCGTGAATGGGTGGTTGTCGAAGAACGCAACACTAGGCATGCGGAGGTAGACGTACTGACCAGGCCTCCAGCGCATCTTGGTCGGGATCGTCACTTTGAGGGCTCCCTGGGGAAGCACGGTGATGGCGGATTCCTCTCCAATCAAAAATGACGAGAGACGGAATGGGTTGGTCCAGTTCAGATAGAAAAGCCGAGCAATATATGTTGTGATCCAAATAACGACTGTGGTCCAAAGATAGCCCCAAGACGAAAGGAAGTTCTTGGTATGCCAAAACAACATGGCCACAAAGATCCAGGACACAGGTATGTGGACAATGACGAACAGCTCATACATCCAGTGCCGAAGAAAAGGAAGTGAATGAACACATAGAACGAATAATGGCGTAATTGCTGCAAGGCCAGTTCCATACACGTACATGTTAGGAGTAACGAACTTGCTGTAGTTGATGATGGCCCCGTCTTTCCAAATCGGAGTGACATAGAAGGGAACCATGTGTACCAGGCTCAAAAACAGGCAGATGTAGGCCGACCAACGGTGTAGTCCATTCAACCGCTCAGGGCCCAGCCCCGTTAATAGTGAAATAATGTTCGCCTTCGTGCTGAGTGCGACGATCCATGGGACCATCGCAACGGCAAGCATGCCCGCTCGAATGGCCAGGGAGGCGATCCTAGGCGAATCGACCAGTAGTACAGTGGTTGAGGCACAAAGCAGTATAGCGTCACGAAAATTAATGCAGCGAACACGATCACCGTCACTGCCAGAGAAGGGAAGACGAATTCCAATTTGCCAACCCGGATAACAGGCATAGGCCGATAGAAAACCCAGCGCATCAGTGCAACCACCCGTTGCAACGGAATAATTCGTTGGAAAATCGATTCTCGTCTTTTGGGCGGTGGGGGAAGAGGCTGTGAAGCGAAGAAATTCGCGCTCGAAGCGTCAGTACCTGCACTGGGAAGCTCGTATTCATCCGGCGATGAGGTACTGTGATTGGAGCTGTTCAAGGTGAATTGCGGTCGCTGTTCTTTGAACTTCGCGATGCGAATTTTATCTCCCCATATATGCCAGAATCGAATAAGAGATGTGATGACCAGTAATATGATCGCAAAATAGACGAAGCCATATCCGTATTTTGCCGATTTTGACCATGGATCTCTTTGCATCTCGGCCAATTCTTTCGAAGTGGTTGAGGCCGAGACGATGACATTGACACGCTTCGCGAGAGAGGCTAATGAATCCATAATGGATAGAAAGGAGACCAAAAGGAATATATATTGGCTTGTGTGGATCTTCGTGGTGGATGATATATGTCGGAATCTTCAAAATCTGATCCTTATAAGCTTTGACTGTCTTGCCAACCTTCCTAGTTCCAAGTCACATTGGTTAGAAAGCAAGCGACATACCCTTCTTGTTTTGGTCGCAATCAGAATAGTTTGCTAGCAGCAGAGAAACGTGCCTCCGCCAATCTCTACGACCGCCTCGAGCTCATATCTTCACGGGAGCTCGAGCAGCAGCTTCAAAGTCGATGGCAAAGCAGAAAGGGGAATCTGGAAGGGCGATCTGGCGTACAAGTACTCCGTCCACATGGGCGAACGAAGCGCGGGGGGGGGGGGTGACACCGAAATAGTGCATTCTCGGGGTTTGTGACGAGAACGAGTTCGCTGCGCCATGCAGGACCGGCCGAACCAATCACGCCCTTCTAGGACATGGCGAGTTGTGAGCTGCAGAAGTGGTGGTTCACCAAAGCGTTTCGCTATGGCGACCATGGTGACCACGCCTTTGGTCGCCATACGACAGGGAATGTCCCAAGCAGATGTGATGGGTTAGCGCCGAGTAAATCCAATCAGCGTGATTGTCATTTGCAGAGACGGTGACTTGGAGTGATCGGGCCGCATTAGCGCGGTGGAGCAGTGAAGAGCTCCCGTCCAGTCGTTGTTCCCCTTCCAATTCTGGAGCTGGCATGACATCAAGAGAGCGGTAAAAGTCGTCCAAAATATATTATTCATGCCCTCAAGGGAGCGCGAAAAGTCTGAATTCGTCGGATGATTTTCCCTGTGGATGATGGGGACGATGTGGCCGTGTACCTTGCACAAGCGGCAAAAATTCTCCAATAAGAGCTGATTGGCGTTTATAAGAAAAGACATGGAGCCGCAATTGAGAGCCCAATTTAGAACATTGCGCAAGATATGCCGACGTGGAGCTCTAAGATCATTTGCTGTTCGTTCAATATATACAAAATATCCAAGATATAAATAGCGTGAAAACATACCTAAGGTCCATTCATATAATTAACTTTGATTATCTCGGGAAAAGCTATACCCACACCTTAGCTTCATTCAACCCTAAAAAGAGGCATCACATTAGGATCAAGATCTATGATCAGGTACGCTCAATCACAGCTGATGCCTGACTCGGGTTTTTTTATGCTTCATGGAATGATATTTGAGAGTGTTCTGAATGAATCGCATCAGACATGCAAAGGCGTACAAAGATTAATCCTACGCATATATGTCGACGAAATCTTACACAGATTTCTTTGACTGAGATGGAGGGCGTGCACTGCTACTATCTTGCCCAAGGTGGCCGACTAACCTGGTGTATTGACTCTCCATTTGAGCCAGAGAACCCAAATTGACTTTTTTTATAGAAGGTCCCTAGACTTCACGTAGGTAATGAGCTAAGTGCTTAATCCCAAATGTATCACAAGGATCTTGAAACGTAACAGTCCTGTGATAAGCTTAATTCAGCTTGAGATAAAATCCTGAAAGGTATGCCTTAACCCCACATCAAAATAATACCCCGGATCCGAATCGGGTCTCAAAACAATTGCCCGGCGTGGAACCTTACCAATTCAATTAGCTGTATTATGATTGATTCTGTGTAGATTCGTTACCCCGTAATCTAGGAATAATAGAGCCTTGAAGTAATTGAAAGTTTAACCCCGCATTTTACTTCGTAAATCGGGGTTCTTAAATTCCGTGGACTTCAATGCCTTCAATCACAATATTTTCATCACTTCACTTAGTACGAACTCACAATGTTTGATGAATATATCCAGGGTCGAACCTTGCGTCGTCTAGCGAGATTTAGTTGCTCGATTGTGAGTTTTACTTGAGACTATTAAAGAACAACCAACTTACTTTGAACAAAAGGGGTTCTTGATCGAAGGTTATCAGGCTGGGGTTCTTGGTGGAGTACAAGAAACAAAGCCTTTTCAGAATGCCATTGAAGTACATACTCAAGGTTAATAAGATTACATACGACAAGTCTAATGATTACAGAATCCAACAGGCACAGAAACAATCCCCATGATTGCTTCTTCTTACACTTTAGCTGCAGCATTCATGTCATGCGTTGTTATGCTGATTGGCCTACCTCTCGGTCGCCGCAATTGCATCATCATTGGCAATGTATTCATTGTTATCGGTGGAATAATCCAAGCAGCCTCATTTTCAGTTCCTCAGATTATTGTGGCTCGAGTACTTTGTGTAAGTCAGACATTCCAATGGATAGAAAAGGGGTAAATGAGACTAATTTGTGGCAGGGGTTCGGGATTGCAGTAAGCTAATCTAACCAAAAGAAAAAACTTTCAATCTGACCATGGAACAGTTTATCACTTGCAATGTTCCCATGTATATGGTATGCGAGAACACCTTTTTTTGAACTTGATTTTAAAGTCTAATTTGCGCAGTCTGAGATGAGTACCGATGCTAAAGGACGCGGGCCAGAAGTTGCAATCAATTGCTCTTCTCTACTTTTTGGGGTGGCCCTATCCTATTGGGTGACGTTTGGATTTACTCGTATGACGAACCAGGTCTCCTGGGTAAGCACTAATTGCACGAATAACTTAGATCCAACAAAAGCTTACTGAGAATAAATCTAGCGTATGCCTGTTGCAATCCAGTCAATATTTGGAATTCTGTCAGGCACATCGATGGTATTTCTTCCTGATACACCTCGATGGTACTATGCCCGTGACTGTATCCCCGAGGGTGATAAGACACTCTCACGCATCTACGGTGTTTATCGCCAAGGCGTCAGCAATAGTGGCGATATTCCAGAAATTCAGGCCATGAAAGAAAAAATTATGTCAAATTTTCATGTTGAAGAAGAATCAAGCAACCGCCTGACTCTTCTTAGTCTCGTCTGGGACAATACGCCCCTTCGCGTCGGACGTCGTGTACGAATCTCTTTTCTGATTCTGGCTATTCAGCAGTCCATGGGTATTAACATGCTCGTTTACTATATGACCTTGATTTTCACACAGGTGGGGCTTTCAGATTTTTTTGCCTCTTTATTGGCAGCCATCTCCTTGACCGTCCAGTGGTTTGGTTCGTTGCTGTGTATTGTCACAATCGAGCGGGTCGGACGCCGGCGAATAATGATGTACACCGCATGCATAGAAACATGCTGCATGCTTGTATTTGTTGTTCTGAATATGCTTCAAAACAAAACTGTCGCGACTCAATGGACAGCAGCAATGATCATGTTTCCTTACATGTTCTTCTATGGTTGGGGGTGGGTAGGATGTCCTTGGCTTTATGGGCCCGAGGCAAGTTTTTTTCAGGCTTTCACGACCGGGACATAGAGTTAACAAAGTGAATAACAGATTGCCCCATTACGATACCGCCATATCGGGTCTGCAGCTGGTCTACTTGGAGTATGGCTATTTACATTTCTGACGGTATTCGCGGGTGGCATTGCTTTTGAGACAGTTGGAGCAAGAATCTGGATATGGCCGCTGATCTTTAACGCGATTGCCTTTCTTTTTGTTTACTTTATGTGTCCAGATGTGAGTTCTCCAATTCACAAGACCAAACTTTGACTAACATACATAGCCTACCAACAAAACCCTTGAGGAGGTCGATGCACTTTTTACAAGCGACGAAGCTATGCTAAATAGGCTCAATCACAAAATGGCTCAGAAAGTTGTAGCTCAGGAGATTGAGGATGCAAGCTAGAAGTTTTATAGCTAAGTTAGTGACTAAGCAGTGCCATAGTTAGTTATTGACTAGAGGACTTATTTACTTCAAGATAAAATGAGGGCCCCTTGGCTTATGGCATAAGACATTTATTTGTGAAGGAAATCTATGACACATGCTTTAACTGCTCATATCCTTCACAACTTACTTTTTGAAAGGGACTTATCTTGATCTTTATCTAAGCGGATGATACCCTGACTTAATTAGCATAGATTCAAACTACGACAATATCTGATGTGGGTATCTCACCTCCTGGATGCAGGTTGCAAGAAGGGTTCCATCTCCTCCTGCCCATATCTTTTGATGAATCAACCCCCTCGCGTTTCCGGACCAGCTTGTCTGTACCTCGGTCAAAAGCCACTCATCGGCCTTGAGGCATTTGACATTGTGAAAATAAATGATATGGTCCAGGCTCACCATCATTGTGACCTTTGAACCAAGTTCGCCTTCGATCTGGGTTGAGCTTTCAAGATGCGGTCGTAGAATAGGCGTATGGGATTTGGGGGACGTGAATAAGTCTTCTTTGGTAGAGTAGAACTCAGTGACAGGTGGATCTTCAAACAGCCATGTTTGGTGACAATGTGGCACTGCTGCGAGCAGATAACTATCTGACATGAATGCCAATGCAGCGAGGTGGACAGGGTCACCGGCTGGGGCATCAATGGCACCCCGTGCTCGAATCCATTGATGAATGCGCTTATCCGACGGATTGTGATTTTTTCCTTTCAAAATACCAGCACTTTTGTTGATGAAAGGGGCCTCGAGTACAATTCCAGAATTACCGCTGGCTCTGGGTGATTTTGAACGACTCGGGAGCTCAATATTCGGTATATTGATAGCATGCTCCAAGAACTTCGATTCGGGCAGAATTTGGTGCGAGGTAAAACTGATTGTTGCAATAAATATTGTCCGATTTATTTGAATAGCACGAACGAGCCTCAAGCAAAAACTTTTCCCATCGCGGATCCTTTCGACATGGTAATTGATAGTATCCTCTCCGTTTCCTGCAGACACAAACGAACAGTGCATTGAATGCGCGTAGACCCCATCAGGGACTGTCAGTTGTGCTGCGCGAAGGCTCTGCGCAATTGCTATACCACCAAATATCCCGCGCAGACTTGGTCGCCATAATGTGTACTGGTTCTTGAATACATCCGAGTGGGAAGCCGATGCCGAGACAACCTTAATATGTTTCTCGATTGGCGAGGACTCAGTTGGATTCATTTTGTTTTCTATTCAAGATTTTATATAAATTACTGTCTTTGGCTGTTCATTTTTTTAGATTAAAATACTGAAATTCAATGCTAGTAGATAGTACATTTCCTCGGCTTAACAATGTTCGGAATTTAGCCTTGACTCGGTCATTTAATACTACAGGTAGTATCGACTCAACTTCTCCACGTGGGGGACAAATTTAGGGGCCGATGATTTAATATTCCCTATCCGGATCTGACATTACTCTTTAAAACAAATTTTCGGATGATGAATTGTCGTCAATCTATTGCGTCTGAAAATTTGACCAAGGAACTAATACCTTTTGCTCAAAGCCTATCAAACCTCCCATTTCAAGAGAAGACGCCAAGATCATAATCGAGCAAAGAAGGATGCCAGCCCTAGATGGAATTCAAGTCCTTGAGTTGGCTGGCCTGGCCCCAGGGCCTTTCGCTGGAATGATGCTTGCGGACAATGGCGCCACAGTGATACGCATCGACCGCGTCAAGCAACATCACCAGCCCAGCCCCGACGTTTTGATTCGAAACAAGTCCTCAATTAAGATTGATTTGAAATCGCCTGGTGGAAAATCTTTATTTCTTCGCCTTGTCAAATACGCAGATGTCTTGATTGATCCGTTCCGACCGGGCGTGCTCGAGAAACTCGGGCTCGATCCCAGAACAAGACTGCTTGAAGTAAATCCACGATTGATAATAGCTCGATTGACGGGGTTCCGGCGAGATGGAAGGTATGCACATATGGCAGGGCATGATATAAATTACTTGGCTGTGTCCGGCGTGCTTTCGATGCTTGGCTCGTCCGCCGTGATTCAGCCATCCAATCGTCCATTGCCACCGTTGCCGCCTGGAAACATACTGGGAGACTTTGCCGCAGGAGGTCATATGTGCTTTACAGGTATTATGTTAGCGCTCTTTGCGCGCTCAACAACTGGGAAAGGACAGGTAGTGGAATCCAATATGGCAGATGGTGTTAGTTATCTAGCAACCATGCCAAGAATCTCGACGAAGATTCCTGGCCAATGGGATCTGCCTCGAGGGCAAAATCTTTCCGATGGGGGATGTCCTTACTACAATGTCTATGAGTGCAAGGATGATGGCAGCTATTTCGCCGTGGCTGGCTTAGAGCCACAGTTCTTTCTTGAATTAGTTGACGGACTCAGTCTGCGCGACGAAGAATGGGTTAAGACCCGAGAAGATCGTGCATGCTGGCCAGCTATCAAAGCTGCGTTTGAAAAGCGTTTCAGACAGAAGACACGTCAAGAGTGGGAAGAAATCTTTGATGGCACTGACGCTTGTGCGACCCCGGTCTTGACACAGCAAGAACTGGAGGCCAACGGATACGAGTTGAGGGCGGGCGTGACTTTAACCGATACACCTGCACTAGCTATTGGTAAATTGGGATGGAATTTGGAAGTCCTATATCCGGGTGAAGGGGGAAGTAAAGCATTGACGGAATGGCTAGGATGGAAAGAAGGGCATGACTATGAAGTTGTTAATGAAGGATTGGAATGTAAACCAAAAACTAAATTATAACAAATTTTGGAGCAGGTTGGTCAAACAGGTTTGAATGCTAGAATTCAATCAATACGATCATTTGTCTCCGTATATATAGGCACATGCTTTTCTTCGATCAATGTAATTCAATCGGAAGGCCATCTCCTAATTTTAAAGCCTTGACAACAGCCTCGCATACTCGGACTGCATTCAATCCATCGTCTCCTGAGCAATGAGCTTCCTCTAATCCTCGAGTCACTCGAGACAAATTCTCGATCTGCTGCTTGAAAGGAATTTGATCTGACAAGCTCAGTTGTTCTCGGCGGATAGCAACGTTCCACCCGATCTCCTTTTTCAATTCTTTGGCATCTCTTTCGTTGTACTGCCATATCGCTCCATCGGGCTCCGTGAGCGTTCCATGCGTGCCAAAGATACGATAACAGTCAATTTTTACTGGAGCGGGGGGATAAAGTGGGTTGTCTCCTGTCGCGGCTTCCCATCCGAATGGACTTTCTACGTTATCGCTGACGATGAAGGTTCCGACAATTCCGTTCGCGAATTGAAGCATAATTGCTGCTCCTTCTTCAACTTTATCATCCTTTGGAATCCCAGGATGTGATCGATGGCTTATGGTTCCAGTTGCCCACACTCGAATGACATTGGATCCAGTTAGATAATGTAGAACATCAATATCATGAACAAAGTTGGTCCATATTGGACCACCACCAGCAGAGCGGGAGCCACGCCACTCAGCGAAGGTATAATATCCATCATTCTTCTTCACGGTCCATGATCCAGATATTGCTGTGATTTTACCGATTTGACCACTGTTGATGACCTGCCGGGCACGGACAAGGGATGGGTGGAAACGGCGATGATGGCCCACAAGTATGGTGCACTTTTTGCTCTTAGCAGTTCGAAGAAAGCTTTCACCTGACTTGGAGTCTGTGCAAAAGGGCTTTTCAATAAGAATTGCTTTTGGTGACATGGTATTGAGTAATTCTTGGGCCACCGATATGTGGAGATTTGATGGGACACAGATAATATATGCTTCCGGAGTCGTGGAGCAGGAGTCCCGAAGATTTTCTATAGAGTCAAAATGAAGTACCGAAAGTTTGAATGCAAGTTCCTTTCCTGGGAGGAATGGATCGATTATCGCGACCAGAGAGCAGGTGGGAGAAGAAAGAAGGTATTCAGCATGGAGTGGAGCAATCGTCCCTCCGCCAACGAGGGCAACTGCCATTTTCCCGTCTTTGGAGCTCATTATGGTGCTAGATATTGGAAAAATAATAGACTGGCATGGCAATTAGTATTCTCCAGAGAAGCTCTCGAGATATACTGCTTCACGTCACCTCCGGTGTATAAAAATGGGCCGGAGAACCCCCGCTTTTGCCCGGTTCAATCTCCACTTCGCAGCATTTATCTCGCAAAAGCAGCTGTTAACATTCTGAACCTTACTTCAATTTCAAGAATCATTTCTTTCAAAAATGGACATCCTTCAACAGTCCTATAATTATGGCAAATCACCTCTTATCTCCTCATCTCTACGCCAGCCATACAATACCTATTTGTTTGGCGGTAGCATTTCCCATTCTCTGTCACCCCTTCTGCACGGAGTGCTCTTTGGATCTCACGGTACATCTTGGAAATTCCACCTAGCCCAAACAACGAACAAACTCAAGTTCAAGGACAAACTTGCTGCTTCGGATACAATCGGGATATCGATTACCATGCCCAACAAGGTTACATTTGGACCTCTTTTAGACGACTTAGCTGAGCCCGCGCGCGTGATTGGAGCTGTTAATACTACGTTCGTCCGTCTTAGTCCTGAAGGAAAGCGGCGACATATCGGAACAAACACAGATTGCGTTGGAATACGTGAAGCTATCTTCTCAAATGAACCCGATGTGGTCACGGTGGCAAAGGGGAACCCCGCAATGGTGATAGGAGGCGGTGGGGCAGCACGCAGCGCCATTTATACACTGTGGAAATGGTTCTCACCGTCAGAGATATATATCGCCAATCGTTTTCGATCTGAAGTAGACGATATTATGGCACACTTTGAAAAGGAGATGCCAGGTATTCGATTAAGATACATTGCTGATGTGGCAACTGCAGAGGCACTTCCCATCCCGTCAATTATCGTGAGCACGATCCCAGACTACCCTCCTTCACAGCCCGAAGAAATTCTTTGCGCTCAAGTCTGTGAGAGGATAATTCAAAAAGCTGGAACGGGACTATTTGTCGATATGTGTTACATGCCATCTCCAAAAACGAGGCTTCTGAATACAGCTAGTGGGAGAGGGTGGAAAACCATTATGGGGACAGATATATTGGTCAGAGTTTGTATTGCGCAGCAAATTCTATGGTTGGAACGATTACCGAACGACGAGGGGATTACAAGTGCCCTTAAAAGTATTGTCTATCCAAGGGAAATTGTCAACCCTCCAAAGCTGTAGTAGTACTGTTATTTTAGAGGTGGTTGCATATAATTCATGATTTGTATTTCCAATTTTTCCAGTGATCCAACAAATATTGTATAACTAGAGTGCACCATAAAGCATCATTAACAATAGTCTCAGTAAAAATGACTGGTCTTCTTAAGCCCAATGTTACGACACACGGAATATTATGGAAAATTTTGAAAATTTCCGAAGCATGTAGACATGTCTATATTCTTTGATCGTTACTTGTGACGGCTTGACCCCGCAAACCGGTGTTCAAATTAACAACCCGGTTCAAACAGCAAAGGCCAGGAGCATTGAATCGACTATGAAAACAAGTACAACATAAATATTATTTGGATCATTTTTTGCAGCTGATGGTTCTTCAAATCTTATCCTATTGCTTTGCATCATGGCTCACATTGCACCGCTAGCCCAGGTACGAAATCTCAAAATGATGTGCAGATCATGAGAAACTAAACCAATCCAAGCCTATCACGCTCAAATTATCCGGGAAAACTATCAAAAATCGTCTTTACCGCACGCCCCTGAGCGAATACGCTTCGGCCTTTGACGAAGAAAACGTTGAAAACTGTGGAAAGCCTCTTCCAAGATACGCAGAGCTCTATCAAGGTATGTATTTCAGTCTGTCCATGATGTCAGTTCTGGAGAAACACTGACTGAAAATGAAAGAACTTGCGGACGGCGGCGCTGGCCTCATTTGTACAGGCAACATTCCTATCCATCGCGACAATCTTGAAAACTACAACAATGCAGTCCTTGATATCAACAACCCTTGGGATCCTGTGGAGGCTTTCCGTCCGGCGGTGCAAGCCGCCAAATCCCGAGGCGCGATATTCCTTCCGCAGCTTCAGTTTCCTGGTCACCAGGTACCTGAATTTCTGAATGCCAACCCCAAGTCTTCCTCTGCGGAGCAGTTGCAGCCTTGCTTGAACAAGACTTATGGGAAGCCGACTCCTTTGACAAAATTGGAAATCAAGGACTTGCAAGCCCGCTACGTATGGGCGGCGGAGGTCCTAGCAAAAGCTGGAGCAGATGGAATCATTGTACGTGTCGACTGCCAGAAAGATGAGATTTTATTAATTGAAAAAGCTGCATGCGAGTCATGGATATATCATGCAGCAATTCTTGTCACCACTGACCAACAAACGAACGGATGAGGTATGCTATCTGGCTCCATTGGTCTGCGCGATATGAGCTTTTGCCAACCTCTGTCTTCATCTAGTATGGTGGATCGCTTGAGAATCGGGCTCGATTTATTCTCGAGATCGTCAATTCCATTAAAGCAAAGCTGCCACTAGACAAGTTTGTCATTGCCGCCAAACTAAATTGCCACGACTGTATATCTACACTTTCTCAAATTCATGACGAATCTTACTAACAGTCGCAGTTATCAAGGATGGCACCAGTTTTGCGGAACAGTGCGTTGTCATAAAATGGCTCGAGGAAGCTGGCGTGGATTTTTTTGATATTTCAGGCGGAACATATGCATCGCCAGCCTGGAGAGGCAATATCATGAAAGAGCTTGCGGAGAGACCCTCACAAAAGGCAAGGGGAAGGTATGTTTTTGCCACCTTGGAATTTACAAATGCTGATGAATCAAGCTATTTCATTGAGTGGGCACAAGAAATGAAGAAAGTATTGGTAAGTTGTAATACTTCCCATTTTCATTTCTCCTAATTTTTAATTCTCCTAATTGTTAATCTATTTGTTTAATAGTCTCGCGCGGTCATTGGAACGACTGGTGGTTGGCGCGATAGTCACTGCATGGCGAAAGCTGTGGAACAGGGTGATGTTGATATGATTGGGCTGGGAAGACCCCTTCGAGAAGACCCTGCTTTTGTCAACAAAGTACTCCGTGGTGATATCAGAAGAAGTAACTTGTGAATAGTGCCTTAAGCTCAGGCCATTAAGATCCTTTGATATTTCGATCGAATTATTTCCTTATGAATATTGTGTGTGCTTTTTTATTAGCCAGTAACATGCTAATAATATTATATGTAATTTTTATTTATGGTATTAAAATACATCGCCAAACCCAGGGCCAAATATCTCCCTGAGTAGATCTGTAAACCCTTCGTCTCCAAAATCATTCTCCATCTCCACGGTGGCTGCCGTTAAAAACGGATCGTATGCTGACACCAGAGGATTATCAACATGATGCGGATCCGACAAGAACTCCATCGTGCCATTATCGGTAGCCATAGCTCTCTCCACTCCATAGTTGAATTCATTATTGCACTTGTGAGCGCTGTGTAAGGGTACGACCTGGGCCTCAGATACTGGAATTACATCTTTGAGTCTAGCTGCTCTTGATCGCAAAATCACCAAGAGATGTTGACCAAGTAATGCTGCAATTCCAAATCTATGAGATGGTATGGTGCCCGCAGATTTCAACTGGATAGCAACCTGTCCTAGTAGGGCAAGAAGCTCAATCTCATACCCTGGGCGTGAGCCATGCAGATAAGGAAATAGCTTCAGGGTCAGAACTGCTGCATAGGATATCATGGCCCAAGTTGGAGATAGCATGCAATACATTGGCTCTCCCACTGATTCAAGGTCACGCACAGCGATTTCACAGCAATGAATAGCCGCGTCAAAGCAGTCTTCCCGAATGACATCCAAATCGTGGTCACTTTTAACAGCGACATTGAGGGCTGACGATAAAGTCCAAAGTCGATTGTGAATGTACACATGATATAAATAAAGATTAGGAAGCTTCTCTGAATCTGGTGTATTAGTATCGTAAGATGGTAGCCACATTCTTGTCCAAGGCTCAAAGGTAGTATTCACAAGATCACGGACCCAGTGAGGATCATGGTAAGGTACCGATGCTTGGTGTCTGATTTCTTTTTTGTAGGGTCGCCAGATGACGACGAAGAAGAATAAAGGCACAAGTGTGCTTATCAGTCAAGTCGGCCAGCGGGTGTGTCCACCAGATTTCAATATTGCGAGTCAGATCTGTTTCTGGGAAAGCGTTTATTCTTCCGCAAGCAGCACTATTAGCTCTCTCCCAGAGCAGAATCCGAAGCCAGGTTCGCTCTTTGTTGCGGGCCAGTCGCTGGAGATAGGAGAAATGTTGTGCAGAGGGGCAACTTGACGTGTCTGGGCTGAGTTGCGTCGTTGCGTCGTATAGGCTTGGGCTCGCTGGAATCACTTCCTGAGCTGGTAATTCCATCATGCTATGAGATGTTGAACCGACTGGAACATTTGCCCGACCAAAATTATGATTGGAACGAGACTTTGATCCTTGATCCAGGCCTAGTTCAGCAGCAACACCGAAAGCATACATGGTATATAACCACGATCGTTCTTCAGACAATGTTCTGGCTGGAGTTGCAGATAAGAGAGAAATGTAATAACCTTGCACAATCTCCACTGATTTATATCCACACGTATGGACGTGTCGGGATAGTTTTTCTCCATGAAGGCGCAGTCTCTTTGCCAGATGTCCTAGATTGTGGTCAAACTGGGCAGTCAGAGCAAGGATCCACGTAAAAAGCAGTGAAGATCTGGACCGCACAAAGTCCGCGGTATGCAGCACGGGATCAAGAATTCCATTGATGAGGTGAAGTCGAGAGAAGTAGCTGGATATCATGTCAGATCCGGTGTTTCCTGATTCTTGGTGGGGGCAACTACACCTACATAGGAAACAATGTATATGCTTCTTCCATCGAAAGTAAGCCCAGCTCCACTGGATCCAAATCAGGACCAACATCTCGCGGCGATCCGGTCTCAGTGGATCGAAAATAATCGGAATAGCGATCTAATTCTAATGCGGGACCAAATAAAGTATCGAGGCCCCGTTCCAAAGTCTGGCGGCTCAATTGAAGGCCTAAAGAGACGTACCCAGGTCGATGAAGCAGGTGTCGACCCATGCCTACTCCGGGTGGCAATTCCCTCTGCACATATTCCGCTTCAGTCATTGGAGATGTGGTTATTTGGTTTGAATGTGTTTCCAGGGCTTGTGCTGCGCCCGCAGCTTCAGCCATCAGTGCCAGTGGGTTGCTGACCGGCTCAAAGTTCATATGAGAAGTGATTGTATCTGGATCAGATGGGGAGGCTATCGTTCCCGGGTTTTTTGAGTACCAACAGGTGCATTCATGGGCTTTGATGCATCGGCAGTATGTTTAGGGGACATTTGGTGCTCGAAAGCACTCTCCTCTGATGCCTGGCTCCATTCTCGGGGTTTATTGTCGTCTCGCATCTTTGACAAGAGCAGGTCGATCACTTCTCCCTCGCCAGGAGATACGCTGGCGACTTCCTGGATCTTTTCTGTCGATTTACCGACTTTCTTGAGTTCTGTTTGCATTTTTCGGTATGCCTTTTCAAGTCCATGATAGCGACCAACCGCGCCGCGTTTGCGACCCAACGGGCGTGGTGAGGGGATTTTGCAGATGCGGTTCGTACGCTTGCAACGGTCGCAAGGCTCAATTGATGAATATTTCATGGCATCTGGTACGTTGGGACGGATACATCGCATCTTGAGCTTTCGACATGCCTCGCAGGCTGCTGTGGGAGACGGGAGGTGGGATTGCTGCCTCGTTACTGGTCGGGCTGTAGGAGAATCCATGATGGCTCTGTAGCTCTCTGAAGCACGCTAAAGCCAAGAGACAGATTTTGTTCTGTCTTATAGGTATATATGGTTGATGTACGGGAATAGGGAATCAATTATCGCTGCGTTGGTCGGGCATGACGAAAAGTTCCACTGCGTGGCGCTTCCTTTTTTGCGGGGGCGCATTCGGGATTTTGCAATGCATTTGGGGCCGCGCCGAAAGTTTACATGATAACTTTATCCAGGCTTTTTGGCCCAGCGCATATTCTGTACACTATTCTGTAAAAAGGTAGGGTTATTTTGCTTTCACGGCTTCGCAAGACTGTTTTTTATCAAAATTCGAATCTGAAAAACATCTGAAGGCGCTGTGGCTGGCCTCGAAGGCTCTAAGCCCCGGGGATCGCGTGGGCAAAGGCTTGTAGGCTTCGTGCGAATCAAATAGGCGACCAATTAATACAGTTTCCTCGATGATCCCATCTTCTCGGAACTCACTGAGTATATCCAGTCCTCTCCCGTCGCTAGAACGCTTTCTGGACCTACATGTCGACTCCCTCGGCAACCCGCATTTTCCCCGCCCGGCATCCAGATTTATGCACCGGATGCTCCACAATTGTAGCCCCCAACATTGTGGCCTCCAAGGACCAGTCACATAGTACAACGCGCAAAGGTAAACTATTGGTTCACCAGAAGCCTGACCCGGAGAATTTACAGTCCAATCTGCCATTCGCAGGATATTTCACTTACATATTACTCCCAAAATATCTGCTACCTCAATTTAAATTGTCCTCGCAACAATGTCGACTATAAAAGTGGCAATAGCTACTAACTCTTTGGGCAAATCACTCTCCGGTCATACAATTCATCGCAAGCTGGAGGCCGCAAAATCTCATGGCTTTGAAGGGGTGGAAGTCGCTTTTGAGTGCATTGATGCGCATGCAGCTACTTTCACCTCATTGAAGACTCGTGAAGACAGACTGCGCGCAGCTGCTTCCGATATTTTTGTCAAGGCGTCGTGTCTATCGCTCAGTCTTATTGCCCTGAATCCCTTTAGAGGATTCGATGGATTGAAGCGATCATCGGACGTAAATTTACGACTAAAAGAGGCAGAACTGTGGTGTCAGCTGTGTCAGATCATGCGCATTCCAATTTTTCAGGTCGGTGTGTCTCCGAGCTACCATTTAACAGTATCACTCATGATGATATAGATCTGTACGGCCCTTTACCCCGCTGATGAGCATGACTTCACCGCCAATCCATCTGTGATCGCCGCAAATATGCGAGCCCTTGGTCTACTGGCTCAAAAACATAACTTAAAAGTTGCGTACGAAGCACCCTCATGGGGTATGCACAAAAATACCTGGCAGCATGTACAGGAGATACTAGCTCTAGTTGATCTTCCTAACGTCGGTCATTGTCTTGATACTTTCCATATTGCATCAAAAGAGGCCGGTGATCCGTTTAATGTGGATTCGCCTATAAAACAAGATGGACTAAAGCGCCTACGACACAGTTTACAGGAGCTGAAGGAGGCTGTTGATCCGGCCAATATTGTTTATCTACAACTTAGTGACGCGACACTAGCAGATCCTATGCAACGAGGATATCCACAAAAAGACTTCAAACAACCTCCCTTCATGACTCAGTCCAGGAACTGTCGGATTTTCCCATGTGAGGAGGATTTCGGCGGTACGCTGCCTGCCGTCCAAGTCGCCAAAGCTATTTTCGATATGGGATATGTGGGGTGGGTGTCCATGGAAGTCTTCCATACTGACATGTTTGATACGCGATCATCGTAAGCTCCCCTCATTTGCTTGATATTATATCCTTTATTAATCGGAAATAAGGGTACCCGATTATTGGGCCGAACGAGGTATGAACTCCTGGCGTGAGGTCGCCACTCGTTGTGGGCTTGGTCGTCGTGAGTATATTGAAGCCCTATTCCAATGTCTCATCCTAATACTAATGACACTTTATAGTTGGAAAGATATAATCACAGAGAGCAGCCTGGAAACCTGTGACTTTAGATTAAATTTGACATTAGGAAACTCACCAAACTATTTACGGTCCCAAAGTTTTCTTGAAATCAATGCGGCCGATGGTTTCTTCTATGGCCCAGACCATAAAGTCTATGTCAGCCGAGCCACTATGAATACAAAAGTCTTCTCACAACGTAGGAGTAAATGTTCATAAAGATCTTATCCTAAAGTAGGAGGGAAGAGCAGCGATTTGTCCATTTGTTCCTTTAAATGACGAGTTTGACCTGCGTCGTCGGTCTTCCAGCATATAAGACTATTATCAAACATCCACGTCAATTGTTCAGACCATCCTTTATACTCTATATCATCCGAGGTATAAGCTAGAATTATTTCACACTCCGCGACCTCCATCCACTTCAAGCGTAGTACCCGTGACAAATGAGCTTTCATCTGACCCTAGATACCATGCGGCATTTGCAATATCTTTAGGTTGTGTAACTCTTTTCATTGGCAAAGAAGCTTCCACCTCATGGAGCTTCTCTTTTGCTCCCTCCCCAATTCCAATTGAGGATCTTAGCCTGATAGTATTCAGTCATTAGTTGGTGATCCCAAATGGGGTTAGTGCGGAGAATAGCTAGCGTTATCCTACATTGAGGTATTACCGACTGCCGGAGCAATGCAATTGAAACGAATTGTTGGAGCATATTCAAGGGCCATTGTTTTGGTAAATCCCTTGAATCATTTAGTACCTGCAAGCCAGTCTCATTAACAGGCGAAGGTACATACTGTGACGGCTGCCTTTGAAGCATTGTAGATAGCGAAGCCCGGTCGAGGCCTTGTGCATCCCGTACTATCAACCAAAATTTGTCAAAAGCATTGCCTATATAAACAGCTTTGTATATGAGGCACCTTGTGATATTAATAAAAGCGCCGTGTCCTTGAGCCATCATATAGGGAGCAAATATTTTTGCGCTTAGAAATATTGGCTAAAACCTCATATATTAACACTTTATCCTATTACAATGAATATAAATCATTTTACCTTGACATTGACATCAAATGTTTTCTCATATTCACTGATGGACTTTGTATGAACAGGCTGAAATTCAAGTCAGTATTTAGACACCAATATTAGAAGAGACCTTTACAGAGGGGTCGTTTGTAATTCCTAAAACACCCGATATATCAAGACCTGGTCATGGAATATTTGTGGAAGCGATAAAATTTACCTGCATTGTTGATAACAACATCCACTGTTCCGTATTCTTTTTGGATGATCTCCAATGCACTCTCCCAGGTTTCTTGCTTGGCCACATCGCCGAAACAAAACCGTAAATTAGCGTCTCTTTGGGCTTTTTTTTCTCCTTCTACTCGGTTCAAGTCAATTATGAGGACTTTCCACCCCTCAAGACTGAACCTGTCAGTGATGGCTGATCCGAATCCATCTGATCCGCCTAGGAAGCTTGGTCAGCTCAGGGGGAAAAGGGGTAGAATTGATATCCAACAACCTGTCACAATCGCCGTGCGTAAAGATTCCATTTTTTCGAGTCACTATGGCACATGAAAACAAATATTGGATGAATTAATATATAATCTTGTATAATCAAAATGTTAGGCTCTTTTTATAATTAGATTGAAGAACTTGGCGCTAGCACCTCATTTCTACAAGGATGACCGGCTTTTAGATTTAACTCCCGGATCTTCTCGGAATTTTAATCAATCAACCGAAAAACGACTCCTAGTACATATTTTCTGGTATCAAAATCCCCTTGAGGAAATGTGGAGAAAGGCTTAAGCATGAAGTGCTGTTAAGATTCGACACGTTATATGCCACTTAGAGCCCTCACTCTCCCTTCTTCGAGAATGTTATGTTCAACAATCGAATGCTCAAACTATTCCAAGATGCTTTTCAAGTCTCTCAGAGGAAGAGCTCTCACTACCGCCATCACACTTACAGCAGGTACTGGTTTTTTGCTTTTCGGCATGACCAGGGTTTTCAGTGGGCTATTATCAATATCATCCTTTGTAAAGACCTTCAAAAACCCGGCTCCTTCAGTTCAAGGGCATATCGTATCCAGTTATGATCTAGATTGCCTTTTTGGGGCTATTCTGATCATCTTCATTGGTAACAAATTTGGTCGGAAGTTCTGTATTTCTTTTGGTTGTTTGATTGTCATTATAGGAGCTACACTTCAAGCAACCTCTTACTCCCTGCCACAGATGATCATTGCACGAATCATTACAAGTATTGGTACTGGCATAAATACAACTGTTATCCCTCTCTGGCAAATTGAGCTGACCCATCCTCGCCATCGTGGGAAGCTTATCGCGTTCTCACTCGTCGTGGTCGTCCTGGGGTTGGTGATATCAAATTTATTCAACTTTTTCTTAACTTTTGCTGATTCAAGAAATTCCGTAACTTGGCGCTTTCCGTTGGCATTTTAATGCGTCTTTGCGATTATTACTCTTTTTATGCTGCCTATGACTCCGGAATCTCCGCGGTGGCTTGTTCTTCGAGATCGATCTTGCGAAGCAAAGCCCATTATTGTGAGGCTCATCGATATGCCTGAAGCTAGTGAAGTGGTTCAGCGGAATTTACAAGATATTATTGACACTGTGCAACATAGCAAGAACTTCAACGGCCCGGCATGGCAGAGTTCTTCAGTGGCGGTCATTCACAGACCTTTCATCGCATCCTCCTTGGCGCTAGTGCATCATTCATGCAACAAGCTGGACGAACTAATGTCATTGGATATTATTTTTTGACTCTTTGATGGAATCCTTTGTATTTAGTTCTCGAATGGCACTTATTCTAGCCGTGGTAGATTTTGTGAGCTTTGCCTTCTGGACTTTGCTTGGTGCTTTCCTGTTGGACCGGGTTGAACGCAAGAGAGTCTTCCTCATTGGGGCAATTGGTCAAGCAATATGTTTTGGAATGGCAGCGTTAGGAATTGGAATTGGAACAAAGCCAATGAATGCTTTTGCCATTGCATTCATATTTACCTTCTATATTTTCCAGGTTTGTGTATTCTTCGCACCCCACGATCTATTCTTTCCAGTTAATTTTTTAAAATCTATCTCACTAAATATAGGGAACATCATTTTGTCCCATATTCTTCATTTATCCCTCTGAAGTAAATTCTTAGAGAATGCGAAATACTGGGGCAGCTGTGGCCATCGCCGTACATTGGCTGTTTGTTTATATAGTTGTCCTTGTGATAACCCAAGGTAAGAGCATAAATTCATTGCTCTAAGCTAAAATCGTGTAGGCATTTCGAGTCTTGGTTGGCGTTTCTATTTGGTATTCGCAGCGCTCAATGTTGCCTTTGTACCCTTTATCTGGTATTTTTATATCGAGACTGCTGGGCTTTCACTTGAACAAATTGATAGAATATTGGAAGTCAAGTTTGACGGCGGTCCAGGAATGACTTATAAAAAGCGACAGAGATTGTCACCATGGAAACAAATGAAGGTAGAGAAAACGTCAAGTGGAATTGAGCTGGTGGGTCACGTTGGGAGTGATTAGGTTTTGCAGAGCTGGGATTATTTGCCGATCTATTGCAGTCATTCTCTAAAAGATCATGAATTAGCAGAGTATATACAGTTTTATCCCAAGCCAAATCTGTGATTTAAATATTCACTGTAGATATGCCGAAAGAAAACCGAACCAATGTGCGTATACTTTGGCCAAGGAGGTGCCTTAGGGTAGTCAAGACACACCGCCTTTGATATGGAATTATTCTGCCGCTGAATGCTCGCTTTTTCCTCAAGCTTCTCGATCCGCGATCCAAAGTCTCTGATTGTTAGTAAAGCTACTAGCCATGGCTTCGTCTGGGACAACAACCGCCCCCTCGGTTCCACCATCTCTCTCTCTCCCTCCCTCGCAATTCGCCCGCCTGCAACCTCATGCTTACCTCCTAGCCCACCTTTCCCCTCCCTCCGCCAGCAACCAGCCCTCAATTCGCGCGAATGGCCGCGCCCCTTCTCAATTCCGAGTCACGTCCGCTAATGCGGGCTCATTGACCCACACAAACGGTAGCGCTGTTGTCCGTATTGGCGATACAGCTGCTGTGTGCGGCGTTCGAGCCGAGCTCCTACACACAGAGGATATCGCCTCGTGGAGTGTCTCGCAAGCCACAAATGCCAACAAACGTCGCCGCCTAGCAGACTCCAAAGAGGATGAAACCGATGCCGATGATGAGGATGAGGAAGATCGATCCCATATTCAAGACCTGAATTTGCTCGTCCCAAATCTCTCTTTAAGCACCGGATGTGCCCCAGGCTTTATCCCAGGTGCTGCGCCCTCTGCACTCGCTCAATCACTTTCGCAACAGATCCTTTCTCTCCTGCACAGTACACGCCTGGTTCAGGCTGATGACTTGCGCGTCTGGTATCAGCCACCTAACCTTGGGCCGGAAGAGCCCGAGCGACACAATGAGGAGGAACAGATGGAGGTGGATTCTGGAAAGAGTGAAACCCCCAGTGAAAGCAAGCCTCGGGAGATCAAGGGATTCTGGGTGCTTTATATCGATGTCATGATGATTTCCCTCGCTGGTAATGCCTTCGACGCCGCATGGGCATCGATTCTTGCTGCTTTGCGCGACACGAAGCTTCCTAAGGCCTGGTGGGATGTTGATAATGAGACAATCCTTTGTTCGGATGACGTTTCTGATTGCCGCAGGCTCTCCTTGCGCGGCCTCCCGGTGGCTAGTTCATTCTCGGTCTTCGAGGCAGATGCCGCAGCGGGCTGGCGGGCAGTTGTTATCTCCGATACAGAGACCGATGATCAGAAGCACAAGAACTCTCAGCAAAAGTGGATCCTCGCAGATCCTGATGGTTATGAAGAGGGACTGAGCCAAGAGCGAGCCTGCCTTGTGGTTGATAAGGAAAATGGAGGAAGGGGCAAGCTTGTCATTGTCAAGATGGAGAAGCACGGGGGCTGGACGATCGATCGTGGTGACCTTAGGCAATTGGTGGACATTTCAAGCCAGAGGTGGGACGAAATGAAGCGGATATTAGACCAATGTTGATAGTGGCTGTGAAAGAAAAATATGATACCATTTTGTGCACCTAATCATTATACCAAAATTGCAGCTCTACCGTCAAGATGCAGGGGACATGAGTATTACGTTCGTAATTCAACACCGAAGGGGATATCATCAAGTCTATCATAAATTTGTGGCGATCATCGACGGATGTTCAAGCAGAACCCAAACTTGAGATTCTGCTATGTATACATGGGCAATTTCATCATTGCGTAACAGGCTTTCTAGGCGTCCCTCGCCTTTTCTTCAGTGGGGGCTCCTCGTCCAGTTCCTCGATCTTGGGAATGGTCGCCATCCCGTTCTTCTCGGTATTTGAATGCTGTGGAGAGCCTTGTTCAGCTTTGCTTCGTGTTTTAAGCGGGAAAGAGATTGATAAGAGAATCAGATCTCGGTTGTCATCAGCATCTTTTCTCTGGCTGGAATCTGTCTCGGAAGCCTGGGGCCTTTCGTCTTCCACAGCCTTGGTCGGCTTTTTTGTGGATTCATGCGCCTTTGAACTTTGAGCATCTTGCTGTGCGGAGCTGTCAGAGACGCCTGTCAATGATTTAAGGTCACCTGAAAGGATGCGCATAAAAAGACTTTTCGGTTTTTGAATGACGTTGCCATTTTCATCCTTTTTACCAGGACCTTCTGCTTTCTCATTGCTGGCAGCGCCCTCACCCTCCTCCTCAGATTCCTCATCAGCATCTGAGAAATTCCACATCAGGGAAGTCTCGCCTCGAACGAATGCAGTGCCCCAGAGGGAAGTGAGGACGCCTGGAACAAGGTATAGAAGAGCAGGCTGAGCGTGGTTCGAATACTGCATAGCGAGCAGAGTAGTGACCATACCCACAACATAGCCAACAATACTGGCCTTGAAGTAAATCTTTGGAAACGATCTGGCATCATGATACGGTGGCTTGAGTTCTGGCTCCTGTGGTATTATGGTGGGCGCCCAAAAGCGCTCCCCCCATGACCCAGTTGCTCGTTGATACTCGGCTTTGTCACTCTCTGCGTTAGAGCCACAGATTGTTGCAATTTGAATGGTTTTCCTGTGGTAGTAGAGGAAGAGATCAAAACGTAGCGCTAGGCCAATCATCATGCCCGGAATGACAATGTCTCCCAGGCCGAGCATAGCCAGTGACACGGCATCCGGAGCCTCACCGGGACTAGGGGGTCGAGGGAATAGAAGTTTGATGGGCACATCGAGTTTGGTTGCAACGGTGACCATCAGCGGGGTAAAGAAGACAAAGTAGATGTCGTAGAAGAACAATGAGCCCAGGATCAGTGAACCGGTCCAGAAGGTTGATGGGGACATGAACTGCAAGGCTCCGTATGAGAAACTGAACCCCAAGAAATTGGTTAACCACCATGGTTTGGTCACAAAGGCAAAGTACCCCACAGCCGAAAGAGCAAAGATCCCGCTGAGGAGATCCAGCAGACCCACGAGGGTTTTGACATCAAATACACCACGGATATGAGCTCGCAACTGAAGTCTTTGGTATGAGACGTTTCGGCAGGTCCACATAATATGCATCATCTTTCTGGGCAAGGGGATTGTGCTCAACAAACCCGGCAGGGGTGAAAGTCGGGTGCCTTCTGCATCTTCAGATCCGTCTGTCGCTCGAGTGATAAACATACGCCTGCGTTGCTCGGCGTGCCAAACCTGGCCTCGATAGCGGTAGTATCGTGGGAAGATAAACGATCGGAGGATCAGGAGGGCATCCTTCACAAATGCAATCGCAAAGAACACGCCCATCTGGGAGAAATAGAAGCTGAGGATCTTGTTTAAGATAGCTGGGTCTTCTAACCATTTGATGACAAGATATAATCCACCAAGTGTAAGCCCAGCTGTCAATGGGAACATTAGAGCATCCGAAGGCTCCAATCCCTCCATCTTCTGGACTGGACCGGACTCCTCATCCGCTTCCTCGTCATCTGTGTCCTGCCCGTCCTTCTCGGTATCTTTTTTGGGCGGTTTGGTGGCGGAGGAGGGACGTGAGAGGGAGGCATGAGCGCCAATCCAGATCGGAAACAGGGCAGCAACAAGCAGGTGCCCGTAGGTAGGGAGTAGAGGTTTAATGCGTTCAAAATAATAGAAGGCATACCCAAGCAGCTCGGCGAGGGGGGTAACTTCAGACATGGTGCTCGAGAGGTCGGAGATTGTTGGAAGGCAGGTTTTGAAGGACTCGAGAGAAGCGTTGAGGAATTATAGTAACTTAAACGAAAGGAACGCCATCCATGGTGGCCGGTCGAAGTGGAATTGGCAAGATGCAAGATGCAAGAAGCAAGCGGCGTTCTGTAGACAGGCCTCTCTGTAAGCTGTCGTGCCAAGCTCCACCTGACGATCCCGCTCTTCCTCTTTCCCATTCCAACACTTCAACTTCCAACCACTACCCTCCTGAATCATGGCGACGGACGTGACATTCGATACTTCCATGGTAAGCTCTGTCGGTCGTTCTGTCGCACAATTCTTGTTGGTCTGAGAATCATAACTAATCCCTGATAGGGCTCTTTTACGGTCGAGCTCTACAACACTCATGCCCCCAAGGTGTGAACTCCCCAACCCTTCCGACTGTGGAAAAGCATTCTTTGACTAAAGTATTTTGATAGACTTGCAAAAATTTTGCGACCCTTGCACAGCGAGGCTACTACAACAATGTCATCTTCCACCGCATTATCCCCAATTTTATGATTCAGACCGGCGATCCGACTGGCACTGGACGAGGAGGCAGCTCCATCTACGGCGAGAAATTCGAGGATGAAATTCGCGATAATCTGAAGCATACTGGTGCCGGCATTTTGAGCATGGCAAACAGCGGACCGAATACCAATGGCAGTCAGTTTTTTATTACCCTTGCGCCAACACCTTGGTTGGACGGAAAGCACACCATCTTCGGCCGAGTCAAGAGTGGAATGCGGGTAATTCAGCGCATGGGATTGGTGAAGACGAAGACTGAAGACCGGCCAGTGGACGAGGTTAAGATCATTCGGGCTCGTGTGGTGGAAGAAGGGGCAGAGTGAGAACGAAACAAGCCTGGCAGCACACCCCTTCTCACTCGGGTGGAAAACATTTCTTTCTACGCAGCAACAGCCTGTCACTCAGGTGTCCTTGACACCCAAGGCTCCAGGATCACGAGGCGACTTGCAATTGACCGATTGCCCTTCGCAGCACTGGTACTCCATCCATGCGCACTTCCTCTGAGAGCTTCCAGTAGGGAGAGAACCTCGATTCCAGGCTTTCAGGACTTCGGGACTTCGGGACTTGCGCCCATTTACCTAAGCTACGATAGATGCCATATTGAAACAGGTAACCTCAACCTGGCAATAGACAGATGAATGTATCACTACAAAACGAACCGCTTCCATCAGATGTTTCCATCCAGAGCAGCAGATACAGAGTGAATTCTTATCTACCACTCCCAAGACGACAGCCAGTGAAGGCGTCCGCCAATGAAGCCCGGGGTTGTCATGACATGGCAGCCGGACTGTGCAAAGCACTGGGAGTGGCTTGGGAGAAAGCAAGCTCGAGCGCAGTGGATTTTTTCTTTTAAAGCGCGCATCCACTGCTGCTGAGTAAGCCCAATCACGTGCCTTGTATAGGGTTTTGCGTCGCTGAAGTGGATTATCTCCATTGATATTAAAAGCACGATCGTAATACTATCAGCTAGACACGGCTCTCTAGTGATACTGCCAAAGTAGAATAGTATTTTGGAGAAGACCAATAATGCCGAATGGCTACTTGTGTGTCCCAGAGCTGACTCGGACCATCGACATAATCCATCATTTCCGTATATCTTAAGCCTATTTTTACCTCAGGAGATTCAAGTAGCTGGCCGACTCCGACCTGAATTGAGTTTAATATCCGTCAATGCATTCTTCATTGACCCTACCTATCCCCTTAGATGCTGTAATTGTCAATTCCAAGCCCTCCCAGCCGGGCTTTGAGTTATGCGCACTAAATCACCTGTACGGCCATCGATATGGTTTTTTTTGTTAGTATAAAGGCCAAATACTCAGATAATGCGATCATGCTCACGGATCAGAGACCGAGGAATAAGATCATTTTCGGGAACGTCGCCTCGTTGATTCCAAGGCTAGGAGAGTAACATACTGGCCTGTGATTGGAGACCTATTATTTAGCTTCTGTTGTGTTCGTATGTTGAGAGGTATGCGGAGATTAAATTTTCCCATATTCGCTTTATGAAGCTTTTATTCAGGTATCGTAAATAACTCAGGTGAACAAACATCAGTGGAGGAAGTATGGCTGTCAATTTCCTATTGACCCACTATACGACCAACGAGGTATAGCGAACTTGCGTTGACCGCCTTCCCGCACAAAAGCTCCCTGGCCCAAGTTTTTTTTCCTTCCTTCTCTCCACCACTGGTTTCTCACCTTCAGGTGCCGAATACCCTCTTCTCTGACACCCAGCCCACTCAGAGATGCTCAGAAGTGGATTGAGAGGTCACTTCCCAAGGTGACAAGAGTTAGTTCTGCTTCCTACTGCAGTAAAACCCGGACACACTTATCCTCCAAAGATCCGACCTCAGTCCTGATCATTTGACAAGATGGAGTCGCTCTCGGAGACGCCATGGGATGTCGTCATTGCAGGTACGGGGCTGGCTCAATCTCTTCTAGCTTTGTGAGTGGCTATTACTTTCAATGAAGCCCCAACACATTCTTACCAACTCCCTGAAGAGCCCTCTCACGGTCGGGGAAAAAAGTCCTTCATGTGGATCGGAACCCATACTATGGTGGATCAGAGGCAGCATTCAGTCTGGACGAGGCTTCAGAGTGGATGGACAGTGTGAATCAACGTGGGTCGTCACTGAGTGTGTACTGCATTCCGGCCGGTCGCTGATGTCTTTCGACTGGTAGATCCTGGAAAATCTTCTTTTGAAGATGCCAAGATTGTCAACTACCCACATCTTCAAGACCCTCCACGGTCTCCTCCTTCCCAGACCGGCTCCCAGACCAGCGAGCTCCCACAAAGCACACTGGCCATCCGTCCGAAGCTGGCTGCCAGCCGTGCTTATACCCTCTCTCTTTCACCCTATTTCCTCTACACTCGCTCAGAACTAATTTCTATCCTGCTCTCCTCGAAAATATACCGCCAATTGGAGTTCATGGCCGTGGGGAGCTGGTGGATTTACTCTTCGGACACGGAAAGTGGTGAGCTCGGTGCGACACAGGCTTTCCATCGTGTACCTGGTAATCGGGAGGATATTTTTGCGGATACTCATATCAGCATGAAGTCAAAAAGAGTGCTGATGCGGTTTCTGCGCCAAATTAGCAAGTCCAAGGACGAGGAAGATGGGCTTGAGAGAGATGATGACCTTCAGGTGCCTTTCGCGGATTACTTATCTTCCAATTTCAGTGTTCCTGAGGACCTTCACTATCCTCTGCTTTCACTTTCACTCTCCCAGATGTCTCATCAGAACACCGCTGCGAGTTATGCTTTATCTCGAATTAAGAGGCATTTGGCATCCATTGGTGCCCTGGGTCCGGGCTTTGGAGGCGTGGTCTCCAAGTACGGCGGAGCATCTGAGATTGTCCAAGTTGCTTGCCGCGCTTCCGCTGTAGGAGGGGGGATTTACGCACTGGATACAGGCATACAGTCTCTTCACAATCCCGAGTCTGTGGCAGAGGCAGAGCACTCGGTAACGGTACAACTTTCAAATGGTGAGTCTGTTCGGACCAAATTCGTCGTCGGTTCCTTCTGGGATCTTCCTCTTCAGACGCAACCGTCGTGTACGAAAGTAGCACGCTCGATCACCATTGCCTCATCGGACTTCGCGTCTCTTTTCCCCGTGACAGTGGAAGGGGCTCCTGTACCTGCCAGTGCCATCCTTATGTTCTCTGGCGACTCACTCAATAGCCCTCAATCCCCGCCGGTGTATCTCCAGGTTCACTCGAGTGACACCGGCGATTGCCCACGACAGCAGAGTAAGTCACATTCTAGTTTTCTTTCTGGTGTTTGGCTTTGGGTTGTTCCCGCTCGCATGATGATTTATTCAAACTTATCTACATTGCCTGTAATTTGCATTGATGAAAGCATATCTATCACGCACTGATCTCGAGCATCAATCCTCGAAACATGATTCTGCTGCCACTTTCATCTATTCATTTGCTAATGCAGTCTCACTACAGGTGTCATATATGGCAGTATTGCTCTCCCTGGTCGTGATGGCCACCATCTCCTCGAATGCGCCGTGGGCCGCCTCCTTCGGGCAGAAGGTCCCCAAGCCATAGCCCTCTGGTCCATGCGGTACAGCCAGCTTGGTCGTCTCAGTAATGACGGGTCGCTACCGTCTATTCAAACGTGTTCGCCTCACGTGCTTGCTTTCCCACCGCCTAGTCTTGATCTGGCGCTTGAGGATGACAATATCGACATTGTCAAACAGGCGTGGGTGAAGATCGTAGGAGATGAGGTCGCCCATGAAGATTTCATGATTTTTGACGATCGTGAAGGCACCTCTGATGATTGACTATTGTAGCATCACTTCAGGGATTTAAACCGGCATCCTTTAGTTGTCGATTACATACATTTACTCGTAATACGGAATACAATTGACCATTATGAATATACTGTTCTCAACTCGTACCCCTAGGCTTCATGCACCGCGACACACTATGATTAATCAGTACGCCACCGACATCCAGAAAAATGACCACTTGGAGGCTGAGGCAATTACGAGTCAGGTCGACTAGCAATCTATCCAATACATGTGCATGCAATCTCAGGATTTATATTCCAATTTCCACCAACAGAATTAGCCTTTGCATACATTCATCCGGACGAGTTCAGTCACTGGATTATGACCACGCCCCATTGATCACCCGCATAACAAGACTCTGGACCTGCTGGCGCGGCGTAACCATAGCCACCGAAAGCACAAGTGCCCCCAATCCCAACACCCATTTCGTAGTCCCGCGCGAGATGTCTCGACCCTCTCGATCAAAAGACGGCTTTGTTGCCGACACGATCTTCTTCAGCTTCTCAATCGAGTAGGGAGGGTATCGCGCGTCCATAAGGGCCTCCATCCAGGTGGGCATGGCATCGACATGCGTGCGTAGGTACGAGAACTCGCGGATTCCGTACGATCCGTGGTAGTAGCCCTGTCCGGAGGCTCCAATGCCGCCGAATGGCGCATCCCGCGCCACGACGTGCAGCGTGCAGTCATTGAAGGTGACGCCGCCGGACTGCGTCTCGTCCAGGATGCGGTTCTTCTCGGCTTGTTTCTCCGTGAAGGCGTAGATTGCGAGGGGGGTTGTCCCCCTCGCGGGTGAAGGTTAGGGCCGAGTCAAGGTCAGCGTCCATAATGGGAAGAATAGGGCCGAACAGTTCTTCGGAAAGAAGGGCATCGCCAGGCTTGACGCCTGTCACAATGGTCGGTGCGAAGAACCGGGTGTCGCGGTCACGGTGGCCGCCGTATACGATTTGACCAGATGTCGCCTCAAGAAGGCGTTCCAGGCGGTCGAAGTTGCGCTCGTTGATTATATGGGTGTAGTATTCCGGTCTCGCCCCCTTGCCCCCCATGAAGACATCGAAGTGCCGTGTCAGACTGTCGACGAGGCTTTGTCGTACCGTCGGGTCGACAATGACATGATTGACGTTCAGACAGATCTAGTGAGTATATTAGAAGCCGTTCACGGAAGACGAAAGGGTTTCCATGTTTCTTCCATCGAGAGATCAAGACACCACCTACCTGGCCGGCATTGCTGAATTTGGTGGCAGCGATGTGCTTGCCAGAAAGCTCTACATTGGCTGCCGCGGTGACGATGGCTGGCGCAAGACCTCCCAGCTCTAGGGTAACGGGGGTCAGATGTTTCGCCGCAGCAGCATGGACGATCTTGCCCACATGGCCGGATCCTGTGTAGAAGATATGGTCGTAGCGCTGATCGAGGACATACGACATCTCCCGCGGGCCAGCAGTGATGCAGCGGATGGCTTCTTGGTCGAGATACTTCGGGATAATCTCCATCAGCAGATCCTGTGTGGCAATAGCCATGTCGGATGGCTTCAGGATGATAGCACATCCGGCCGCAATCGCGGCGATCATAGGCTGGAGCAGCAATAGAATTGGAAAGTTCCAGGCGCCGATAATCAGCGCAACTCCTTTGGGCTCTTTACGCACCCGCGTGCCCCCCAGGAAGTTCACCATATCCCGTCGGGTGGGGATTTCGTCCTTGGTCCACTCATCCAGCTTGTCGAGCGTCCGCAAGATGTCATTTTGCAACATTGCGACGTCTGAGAGACCGGTTTCATAGGCATGACGATGGAGGTCGGCATAGAGCGCAGCGCGAATGCGGTCCATGTTGTCCTCCACCATCCACCAGGTGCGCTTCAGCTGCTGTCGCCTCCACTCCTTGTTCTTGGTCACCCCGGAAGTGAACGCCTTGCGCACACCTTGATAGGCCTATGGCGCTGTGAGCGATGAGTTGTCTTTGCGAGGAGTGCGGTCTACGTACCTGGTCAAATTCCGCCGTCGTGCTGAACCCCATGATGACAGCCAGCAAACATGTTCTGCGGGAAGTTGCCGTCGATGGTTGACGAGAGCAAGGCGGCTATCGAGGCCTTAAGACTCGAGTCTCACAATCATTTCCTTCAGACCAAGTATAGTAGATTCGACGCCGCCAAGCCCATTCATGTCCATATGGGGCAATTGTGGAGAAGGAGGAGTCTTCACTGCCTCGGCTATCTGCACCCCAGGACCCATGCGGACCGAGCTTTGGGCAGTGTGAAAGGCGTCCTCTGTGGCACATGGCGACAGAAGTTTGGTAACCCGGTTCAAATCGGATAATGCAGGACTCGAAATGCGGGGTATGTTCTTTACTATTGATTCGATAATCAAGTTCTTCGCGTATTGTTTATTTGTTTATTAGGAGGGGATTAGGATAGTGCTTCGAGGGTTGGACCCGTCCCTCCCTCAATACTATTGTCCCCGTCTTCCTAGGCAGTGACAGGTCAACAATGTAAATGACCACGATTCGTTGGCTTTTATCTAGCTTGCTTGAGATTTCAGGTCAGAGACTTAGCAACCCGAATTGACTACTCAAGGAGACTCGAAAATTTCCCCGTCAGCGTGGTCTCTTTCCCTTTCTTCGCAAACCAAGGCCATACCTGCGACAGAGGATAGAGAGAGCTTGACGGGCTTGTCTAGAGCTTGCTTTAATCCATAGCCTTCACCATCGTGGCTAGACTGATTTTATTGTGTCGATGTGGCACCTCTAATCCAGTAGACGGAAATGGCGTTTTTCATGTCCTTTCTGAAAATGGTCCCTTCATGATATTACGTAGGCAATAGAGGAGATTTTTAGCTCCCATAGATGTGTCAATGGGTATCCTCTCCGCCAGTTTCGAGAATGCTTTAAATAGGTGTGAGGCCCTGGAGGTGGAGGGATCACTCATCTCGTCCCGTTTTCGCGTCTCTCAAGGCTAATTGCTTTCGCCTTGCATAGATGAAGAAGGGAGGTGGAGGGGTTGGTGAGAGAAACGTCAAGGCTGTAGGGCCCGAACTGTCAACCAGATCTCGAGTTATATAAGTCATCATAGAGATCTTCGGAAATGGCAGGGTGAGGAAGAAAGAGATATTCTCGAGACTGTGAAACGGAAACACAACGGGAGGGAGAGAGTGAATGGATATCAAGCGTATCTGATATGGGCCTTGTCATCCTTTGATCGAGACACGTGAGACCCTCGCAGATTTTGCAGTTGCCTCTGGAAGCGCCCGTGTGTTGCAGAAGGAGAATACATCATTGCACCTCAATGATATAGTTACTATTGGTCTAGCACTACAGTCTACACAGCTATCTATGTTTGGTGAATAGAATACAGTAGCACTTGAGGTGTTTGAAGGTGAATGGATTGTGCACTGTACATCTGTTCCTAGTATTGATTGATAGCCTATCTTCCTAATAATCAACTAGACCTTCAGGTTGGCAAAAAGGATCGTGCAAAATGATGCAAATACAATGCATGATGGCTAAATGGAGTAAAGGAAAAAAAGAGGAGTGCAAAGGTACCTCACAAACCTCTACTTCGAGTAACTGGGTCATGTCTATGGTAGCATCGTCTCACCACCGACAATTAAGACCTGCTCTCAATTCCTCTTTCCTCTATCTGATTCTTCTTATTTGAATATCTAGCCCGACAGATCACCATCCACTGAAAAACTAGACGCTACCCGAGACAACGTGTTCGCTGCTTCCTCGTCTCTTAATAAGATGCCCGGAGCGCGTTCACTGTTGGTAGCTCAGGTTTCTTCTTGTCGGCGTCCTTCACGGTTTACTTGGATTTCAATTCATTCCTCGGCATGATAATTCGATGATCGATTTTGTTTCGAACGAGAAAGGCCGGGGACTTTTTATGTTGTTGGTGCTCTCATTTGGAGTAGTAGTCGTAGCGACTGATTTGGATGATATTTCTCCCGTACACAATCATGAAAATTATGACCTCATCTTCTAGAGGGATCTGAACTGAACAACTAGACACTCCTTCTTATATTCAGCATCTGTTTTACCTTCAGGAAGCTCTCCTTCAGCGTGGTGTATGGGGGTTTAGTGATTGGTTTGTTGATGCCAGCTCCACCTTATCTCCGTTGTCAGATTCTCCTGCGAGCGCCCTGGTTCAGTATATAACTCTGAACTACTTGATTGACTAACTAGGCTCTCTTAATTAGTGACGTCTTTGGTCTACTATCTAGACCAGAGTCCGTGTAACTCGGAGATTTGGCAACGGTACGGCTGCAAGATACAGATCATCGGAGCTAGAGACAGGTGCGTGAGAGACGACCCACTTACGTTAACCAGTTGGTAGTGCGTGACAGCTAATATATATGCATAGCCTAGGAACCTAGTGTGGAATGCGTAGACTTGTAAGTACAACTTCACTTTAGAGAGTGACTTTAGTTAGAACAGCTATATATACCGGAAAATAATCCTGCTACCTATTCGGAATAATAAGCGGAAAAAGAAAACGCAAAATGGGCGAAACAGACACCAAATCAGGATTCCCTACAATTAGTCTTGACAATCTCAGTATCCTATTTTCCTGCCATATTGATCATCGAACCAGCCAAGCATGGCCACCCATACCACTGAGACAAATATGGCCTTGCCGGTTGTTGATATTCTATAAGTTACTAATGATTATTAGGCCCGGCTCCTAGCTCTCACCTAACAACGGCCCGCATTGACATCAGCTCTAAAAAAATATTAGTTCAAAATCTAGAACCACTATTCTTCAAAATCGGATTTACCGGAAATACCACCCATTCCTTTCGCCGGAACCACCGCTCTCGCAGTTATTGATCTGCTCCTGCATATACCCATTACACTGAGGTGAGGTAAGACTGCCTCCAGTAGTGGCCTTGCGCTGAATCCAAAACTCGGCCTTGTTTTCGCCGAAAGGCAAATTGTAGCAGCCGTACTTAGTCTGACCAGCGCGATAGCTTTCACTACCCCCGTCTCCCTCGCACCATCTTCCTGCCTGATCAACGGCGGAATTGAGATTTTCACCCCATTTCTTGCCACCGGAACAGGTTCGCTCCACGAGCTGGGACTCGTCGGTGGGTGCGGCTGAGACGAGACCCATTACCAACAGGGCAGTGAAAAGCTGTGATATTTGCATTTCGACGTTTCTTAAGGGGTTGAGAAATGAGCTTGGGTATTTCCTTGCAAGTTCGAGGATTATTTTTCATTCGTGTGCTAAGCAAATCTTGGGGGATTTGTCGACTATTTATATTCAAGTGAGGAACTGCCTTGTATTCTTAGATAATTGATATATTATATAATTAGCAACTTATATTCTGCCGGCAAATTCTCGAAATTTTCATATGATTACCACCAACTCCTATCAATATATGTTAAAAACCAACTATATATCCCTCTTAGCGCTCTTCTCGTTTCAATTATTCATGACGGTTTATAGGGTGGATCCTGGGACCCCGTATATCTGGCAAATAAATTGTTCGTTTACGGGTACCTAGATGTAGTCACAGAGCTATGAAGCCAACAGGTGCGGGACATGATACTGAATCTGGATAGTGAAATAAGGCCACGCAGTACGCCTGAAGGTACGGTTTAAATTATCATATAGAGATCCAACAAAGGTATTACATGGTAGACCCTTGAAATAGGTTGTACTTCAGTGAAGACTAGTTCTAGAAGTGGGTTCAAGACCCATTTTCCTTATAATTCAGCGTAGACAAATGATATGGTCGATAGACCCGCCGTGGCCCTAGCGACCAACACCTTGTCCTCTCCTTGGATAAATCTGTATCATCCCCTACCTGCACATCAGACTGGGGTAAATGACCTAAAGAGCTGTCCATATATCCACACTTGCCCTGAACTTTGTGATTGTGGAGTACTAATTTTTGCTTTATACAAAGTAATACTCCCTATATGAGAATTCTCTGTAAACCATATACCCATATGTTAAATTAGGATTGATAAAAACAATAGATATTTTCAGTGAATAGAGGACGTCAATAATTATAGATTCTCAGGTCATATATCGAGAATCTTTAAGCGCTAGAGCACGCCTAATTATCTATTTTGTCCAAATAGCCGCCTGTTTTCCAAAGCGAGTTAAAGGCTGACTCTTATAGCTACTGAATATGATGAAAATTACAACAACGTTGGTTTTGGGGGCATTTTCATAGCGACTCAAAATATGAGCTACAATAAATCAGGCAAACACCCAATCATACTATCGACTCGCAGCTATTGGCATCACAAACAGCTTCAGTCGGCATTTCAGAAATACGGAGAACATATTTTCACATAGAAAATTCGCAAAATTGACTCTATATTTATCGTCAATAAACAGGAAGTCCATAAACCTTCCAAGAGTAGATGGTGGAAGGCCTGAATAATGCCTTGCGGCGTCCAAGTTCATGCCATCCTCCCCCCCCCCCACCCCTTTGCCCGTAAGCAGTACATATTTCCCAATCCGGTATTCTTAACTAGCTGTTAAGTATGACTGCTCTCAACATCTTGACCGTGAAAATTCCTCGAGGCTATGTAGAGCCTTTTGCAGCGCCGATGACCCTTTTCTGATAAACAAAGAATAGACTTGGAAGATAATCCGTGGGTGACGTGATATGATTCATAGGAGTCGTGTTATTAGGGCTGCCTTTTCTGGTCTCCTTCCTCACGTTAAGTATAATTTGGCCGGACTTAGAGAAGATTACACTGGAAGTGTCAATGAGCGGCCTGGAGCTTAGCATGACTCTCGCTCGGGAAGGTCGTGCCGAGGTCTATTCAGGGCCCATAGCCCAGAACTATAGTATTGAGAAGGAAACGTATATGGCTCTCAAAACTAGATGAGAATAAACTTAGTAAGAAACATGCGAGCTTAAAGGACCGGAGGTTAAGGTGGAGAAAGACTTGTGAAGTAGCCTCCGTACACTGAAATAACTTCTAGGTCTTTTATACCTATCTACGTATATACCGCTGTCTACATCTATGCGTACGCCAGAGTTTGTGCGAAGCAACATCTCAATCTCATTCCGGAAAGAGCGTAGCACCCGCATCTTCCAAGGCCGGCGAGACCAGTGATTCCGGTGCAGTACGCGAGGACGCGGCAACAAGGTTTGGTGACACGACGGGCAGAAGCTTCCTCGCCGTGACACCCCAGACTTGTGGTCAACATGCCAAAAGACGATGCCCGCCGACTGTATCCCGCCTATCCTGTCTGGGAGGATGTATGCAGGGCGACGTCATGTATCGATGCCGGTGCAACATATGGAATTTCGAGGCTGATCTGTTTTCCAACCCTTTTGAATTCCCTAGCCCGGAGTCTGGACGAAACTTGATCTGCCGTTTCGAGCGATATCAAAGCCGGGAATGGAGATGACGGCCAGGCTCGGTGTGGCGTCGATGTTTTCAATAATGAGTTATATGCGTTCTATATGTGTTATATGTGTCACGAGGCTGGACGGGCTCTGCAATTCGTTAGCTGGGGGGCCCTATTCGCGGACTCAGCGAGTCATGTTGTTCTTCAGAGACCGAGTGCGGGGTACACTCGGCGCCTCAGTGAATTATTTTACCCCTGTTGAATCAGTCCGAGACAGAGAGCCAACAGAGGCCGAACCTTCGATTTTGGAATCGTGTCAGTGATGACCCTGGTCCGGTACGAGGATCGGCAGCGCATCAGCCTGTCATCTTCGTCGACCAGGATCCATCACGAAGATCAGGAGACCAAGCCCAAAGCCTGACGGTAGGGGAATGTGTCCTACGAGCGTCTTCCAGTATTATTTTGTTTTAGTTTTAGGGGGAAAAGAAGAAATCAATGGTTTAGGGGTCAAGAACAAGAAGAACAAGAAAAGTCGCGGTTGCACTAGACGAGTGTCATAGACGGAGACATCATCATATCCAGTCTTCCGCGAGCACGCGAATGGTCTCCATCTTTCTTCTACTTTTTTCTACTCTTCTCCTCTTCTACATCAATCAGGGCGGCAGGTGGGCCAATGCGAGGGCCCCCCCTCGCATTGAATTTAAATGACTTTGTGGTCTTCTGAGCGAGTGACCAAAGGAGGTTTAGCGGCCGCGGACGAGCCTTGCTTCTTTGGGGGTTTGGGAAGTTGGAGCGGTCACAGTCGCTTTGGGGTGATGGAGCGCGGGAATGGCGAAAGATGGCATCATTTCGCTCAGGAATCGGATTTCTCAAGACGGCAGCTAGGCTTCGAATCTCTCTTTCTTTCTTTCTCTCTCTCTCTCTCTCTCTCTCTCTCTCTCTCTCTCTCCTCAACTAAGAACAGCACCGCATGTGGTCCACGCCGGTATACACCCAGCTGGGGCGCCCACTGGCCGCAGCACCGAGGACGGAGGACCAAGTACAGACTACGGACTCCGGCATGGAACTATAGCACGATAGCCGATGATCAGGGTCCATATCACTGCGAGGCCGGGTTTCAGCCCTGGAAAGTACGACAGGAGATCCAGCGAGTTCCGAGACGACGGGGCCCACTTCAGGAACCTGACACGCTCTTTTTCAGGGTCCGTAAGATTATCTCCCCCGGCCACTAGGAGAGCCCCCTGGTCCCACTCCTGGAAGCCCGTGGCCTCTGCAGGAACGTCTGCGCCGCCCCCTATTTTTGAATTGCGGGTCCCTGCTTCTCCTCTGGGGGGTTTCGATATGCTCTCTGCTCGAGGACGACGAGGCATTGAGGACTATGACAGCATCGCCAAGCCCCTGGGACTCCATCGAGGCTTGAACGACCAACGTAGCGCAGAGAATTAAATTACAGCCAAAAGATATGGAACACACCACACACACACGTCTCTCCAATACTCTATAGGCTATATCACTTCGCACCCTGCCCCCTTCCCGCCTCTTGGAATATCATTCGTGGAGAGGGCTAATGTGTGCTCACGAAAGACTCGTCACGCGGGCTCGGCGCTTGCCCGGTGGCCAAGGGACACTGACATTTTCTAGATGATGACGGTAGTTCACTGAGGGAAAAAAAAAGGGGGAATTCGATCTTTTTTTGTCTTTTTTTTTGTTTTTTTCTCCTTTCTTCTTTTATGGTGGCTGCCTACAGCAAGCCCATCGGCGTCGTACATCGGTATAGGCGATACCGAGAGAAGAGTACAATGGATACGCCGTCCGGTCGAGGTTAAGGTTAAATTGAATTGATTGGCTTCGCTTAGCACGGGCATTTTGGCACCGGTGGGACGTTCAATGGAAGTGAAACATGGTCGCCCGCGGGTGATGGACAACAGGTGAAACAACCCGGCCTGGCATTACAGCTGGTAGACGGTGTGATGCCTCGATCTCTTCTTCCTCGATCACCTCCAGATCAAGGTGAACTCCGGAATCCCTGCACAGAGCAGGGACCTTCATTGCCAGTGACTCGTACGTAGTCATCTCTACTGCGCAGCTGCGTATCTGGCTATAGGCTGCACCCTCTCCCCGTCTCATCGCGGATTTCGGTAGGACGCTATAATAGTGGCCGATCATATATCGTCATATATTAATACGACGGTATAGTATTAGATGATTAATATACATAGAACACGCAGCACGATCGTGACGCAGCTGTCTCATCGACAAGACGATTTTTTGGAGCAACCAGCCACAAGCCCACGAACATCTTCCTGTTCCCCTCCCCCTTTGGATCTTCACAAACCAAGGAGGCCAGGGCGTGAGTGCATGGTTCCATCTATGTCGATCGCGGCCCACTGTCGAGGAGGACCACGGCTGAATGTTGGTTTCCTTGCCACCAAGCCGTTGGAAAATGGGCACCGATAAGCTTTTTTCACTTTCTTTTGTTTGTTCTTTTTTTGGTCTTTTTTTTTTTTCAGGGTCTGGGTGTGCGAAGCATCTCGCGCAGTTGGGAGAGTGTTGGATGGTGCGCGGAGAAGGACCGCGCCTGAGATGGTGGCAACGAAGTCCGATGAGTGGTCCTGGTGGTGACAGGGTCAACGGGGAAAGCCCAGGTCAACGGGAGCGAGGGACACGCGTCCGTGGGGGCCCCGATGGCGACCCTCGCCCCTCCGGTGGCTGCTGAGTGGCCGGGGCGGCTCGATGCCAGGGCGATCGACCTCCAGATCATTTCCCTCTCTTTCCCTCTGGCTGGACTGGCTGGGTCAGTTCACGCCCCCGTACAGAGCCTGTAAGTGGCCTGTAAAGGCGCGGGCCCGCGTATCTCATTTCATGAGCCCGGTAATGCTCCCCAGAGAGGGAATCCGGCCACATCGAAAGGTACCAACACTAAACACCCGCCGTACAGACCGGGTGTTCTGCGTATTACGTTCGGGATACACCTCCCATCTCCACTTGTCGCCAATCTATGAGATCTGAGATGCCCGACATCTGCAAAGAGGGATCGCATCTTCCGATGCTGTCCAATACGCCAAACCCTGAGGCGATCGGAGATTGCTCTCCTGTGCCCCTGCCAGGTGTCTAGATCCATATAGAATAAAACTAACTAGTGCACTGGAACCACCCGCTAGAAGTGACGTGATTTATACACGATCATTTGTGATACCCTACGATCCATGGCTATGGCCCCCCTCGGGCATCATCATGATTGTGAGGAGAGGTATAGATTGGATGCTTTCGGTCTCTCACAATGACTGGTGTGCTTGAACAGTAAACGGACCATGAATGTGTGTAGAGTATTGAACCTCGGGACGGTAGTGTAGATGGGCCCTCCTACCACGGGGATGGATGCACCCATCTCCCGTCTTGGGAGACCCTGGACGACCCGTGAAGCCCAAACTCCCCGGTGCGCCGACGGGTGGGGATATGGTGTCGACTCGGTGCTCCATCTCTCTAGGAAAGCGCGAGCAACAGGACTGTCTGGTCGCATTTGGATCTACTGGCTGCAAACGATCATCATAGTACCACCGATGCAGCAGCCCAGGTCGCCAACCTTCAAATCAGAGGGCCTATTTTTAGCAGCGGATGGGATTCAGAATTCAGTACGGAGGAGAAGAGGACAGGAAGACGAAATGGGTTTGCGCTGATCATCGCTCGTCTGATACGTATTCGATGGGAGGCGATGGGGAAGAATCGGGGGTGATTCCTCGCCTAGTGGCATTCCGTTCTCCGTCATAGATCAACAGGGCCAGCACAACACACACAAAATCAGAGCAAATGAGCAGGGCCCAAAAAGACCAAAAAGGTCTTTCAGCGGACAGCAGATCCTCCAATAGAGTCAGATCAACAGATACACAGAAAGTCGCATGCAGCAGCATCCGCACCATCGAGGGCGGGAAATCCTGGAAATCCTGGAACCCATCTCTCGTAGCCGATGCCTCGACACCGCAAACAGGCACGACCGCCCAAACCCTCCAAAACGGCGGAAAAAAAACCTTACACTGTACCGTGACGGGTGTAATACCAGGACCACCCTGGTATGCCCACCAGCGTCAAGAAGCCCCATAACCTTCTCGACGTCGCCTCTCCCTTTCCTTCTTCCCTTCCACACTTTCACACCCTCTCACGACTCTTGACTCTTCAGCATCGGACTGCTTCTCGCCCTGGACGCCCGGTCCAGCCGCGTTGATCTCTTTCGTCTGCTCCCCTCCTCCTCCCTTCTCTCCGGGCCAACACACCCCAGCCGCCTACGACACATCCATCTCGTCATCACCCCATCACCCCTTTGGACCGTGTCGCGGGTCCCGACGCTGCCAGCCTCTCGTTGATTTCGGCTTCACTGCCTGTCATTCTTTAACTCCATCTCGTCCCTGTTTACATTCATTTTCTGGCGGGCTCGCTTCTCGGTGACCAGCTACAACTGTACCCTAATTTCTCCCGACACGAAACGATTTCTCCCCTCCCCCGATTCGACTTCCACATTCATTCCCCGGCCCCTCGAGAAGCAAGCACTCCCTAAGTCAAGGGACCAATCTCCTCGTTTGCTCCCCTTGACGCCGACGTCCCCGTTTTCAACCTCACGTACATGTTCGAAAAATCCACTCCGCCTAATACCGTCAGAATGCCTCTCTTCCGGCTGAAGACGGTGTTCCCGTTGATCGCCCTGGTGTCGATTGGCATTTTTTTCTGGTGCATGGAGCGCTATGATCGCACCGCCTTCCTCCGCTTCAAGCATCCCGCCGACCGCGTCAATCTCGGCGAACACGCGCAAATCATCGATACACCGGATCAGGCGTCGGGCTTGGCGTCTAGCAACACCTGCGAGGTCGACCCCAAGCTGGCCGCCCCGCTGCCCATGTCCGAATGGCTGCCACGCAAGAACTACACCCGTGCCTACATCCGCCCGCGGATCGTCGCCCCCGACACCGAGTTCCACACTCTGGAGGAGGTTGAGAAGCCCGTGCTTCCACCTATGGTCGCCATGGAGCGTGGCATGGTAGTGTCGCCCGAAAACCAGGAGGAAAACTTCGTCTGTCCCGAGATCATCGACGTCGATGTGGCGGCCGATGATGATGTGGAAGAGACCTCGAAACTTCTGTTCGGCTTGGCCACCACCGTGGACCGTCTCGACCGCCTCCTCCCGTCCTTGCTCTACACTTATGGTAACACCAAGGCGGGCCTGATCGTTCTGGTTCCGGAGTCGGATGATGATTTGGAGAAGCAGGAGACTTACTTCCGTAACCGCGGCTTGGATCTGACTCTCAAGGCCTCCCCGCTCGACTTCACGGCTCGTTACTTTGGGATGGTTGAGGCGTTCTCGGAACACATTCGCAAGCACCGTCCCCACACCACCTGGGTTGGCTTCAGCGACGACGATACCTTTTTCCTCTCTCTCCCCACCATCGCCAAGGAGCTGAAGCTCTTTGACGAGAAGAAGAAGCACTATATTGGGTCCCTATCGGAGGCCAGCTGGCAGGTGGATACTTTCGGCCACATTGCTTTCGGCGGTGCCGGTGTCTTCGTCTCCAAACCCTTGCTAGACGTTCTCATGAAGTACTACGACGAATGCCAGTCTTGGGGTGAGCAGCCCGGCGACCAGAAGCTTGGGCAGTGTATTCAGCGCTTTGGCGACACTCCCCTGACCCTCTGGCCCTCTCTCTACCAGATGGATATGACGGATCCTGTGGACGGTGTATATGAGTCGGGCCGCAAGATCGAGTCGATGCACCACTGGAACAGCTGGTACACCAAGGATGTGGTGAAGATGACAACCGTGGCTGCCGCCGCCGGCCGGAAGTCGGTGCTGCGCCGCTGGGTCTTTGACCAAGAGGAGACTGTGAACAATGCGACCGGCGAGTCTGTCCGCACCTTCTGGGTCATGACCAACGGATACTCTCTCGTCAAATATACCTACGATGAAACTGTGGCAGATGACGCTATCAATTTTGACGCGGTCGAAAAGACCTGGCCCGAGGATCCTCGTGGCTTCGAGGAGCGCCTAGGACCGCTTCGTCCCGCCGAAGATGACGGTGTCACCAAGGACCGTTGGTTGCTACACGATGCCTATGTGGTTGGTGACAACGTGCACCAGTTTTATGTGCGCGAGGAAGATGAGGGTCACAGTGTGATTGAGATCGTCTGGCTCGGTCCCAAGGGCGGCGGTGGTGGTGGTATCAGTGATCACTTCATCAAGGGCACCTACCAGCAATGATCGACTCCTTCCCTCTTGATTTGGCGTCCAAAACCAAGCGACTTCCAAGAAACCCTACAAGTGATTACAAGGCTGGTCCTTGGGGGTTGGTCTGCTTGAGACTTTTCTTCGATTGCCACACGCCCTCTTCACTTCGCTGCACATGATTCTATTCACTTTTTCTCTTTAACCACTACTCTAAATATTTTTTTTTTCTCTTTTCACTCATCCCCTGCCTTTTCCGATTGCTCACCTGACTGACACAAACTCCTACCGTCATCCCACCCATCCTTGAGCTTTTTCTCTATTCCGGATGAGACTCGTGATCGTGACCTGAACTTCGCGTCCTCCAGTTTCTGTTCTTTTATCCGGCGTTAGCATTGGTGGAGTCCATTCTGGTGCACGAACTCGGAGGTTTATGTGCTCCGATTATATTCCCGGTCCTGTTTGTTTATCACGGCCACCCACTTCCTCTACTTGGCTGCTAGTGATGCCGGGGGTCGAGTCTTTTATCCTCTTCCCCCCATTTCTTCTCGTCCATGCTTTGCTCCTTCGTCCTTCCCTTTCTATTCTTCTTCCTTCCTTACTCTTTTATTTTCCTTATTTTTTTTCCTCCCACGTCTTGTGGATTCTCCGTTTACGCCTCAGGGAGAGAGAGGCCCTTTTTTGGATCCAATCCCCCCTGCATTGTTTTGTAAAAATAGACTTGAGCCGGAGGCCGTGTTTGGGTCTTCCGTTGGTGATTAGCGTTGAACTGTTGTTCATTATGTGAAGAATATGATGAATGTCGACACTCGTGTCCGATTTCAACCTCTTTGATAAATGTCCTGTATGATGCGTAGATGTAGTCGACCGGAGTGTCCATTCTCCTTCAGGCTGTCGTGTATGACCATGTCATTGGACTCTTCTCCAACTGTCTCGGACCGGGCCGAATCATCAAAGGGGGAGGGGGGGGGGGAACGTGGATTATGGATTGTTTTGGTTTAGACTCATGCTTGGTTCTGCCGGTAGTTGGACGGAATGGATGCTGCCTGTTCGGCATTTCCCACGCGTGGTCTTTGCTTCTCTCGGTTTCCTGAGAAGCTCAACGCCTCGACAGATGCAGGGCAGAATTGTACGGGAGAGTCGCCCCCATTCAGAAGAGTCTTCAGTCTTCACCTTCATCGCGACTCGATCTACTTTAAATGCTCTACGTGCTACTCTTTTTTTTTCTTTTCCTTTGGGGGCTCCAGACTCTTCCAATTCAGCATTCTGGTTCACCTGAGAGGGACCAGGGATTCCCATTCATCATCGTCTGGCGTATAGGAGGAACGTCTAGGGGGTTTAACGGAGTCTTGTTCCGGGATATGGACGGATTTTCGTACTCGCTGTCTCCTGCCTGTCTTTCCCCCCCTCTGTTGCAGGGAGCGACTATCACAGTACGACCCATGATTGGCATCCCATGCCCTTGCACATGCCATGAGCTGAACGTGATTGAGCCTTGAATTGCGTATGGGGATGAATGTGAGCGTTCAGGCGGGAGGGGGCAGTCCAGCGTTGCCGAAAGCAGGCCTTAAAATGTTGACTGCAGACGCGGGAATCCGACCGGGGCCGAGACAAGGTCCATTCCACCCGGGCCAAGTCCCCCGGGATTCTATACACCGCAGATTCATTGTGCGACCGGGCGCCTTGGCTCCCATCATTCTCCCCTCCCGATACGATGGACTCTGCCGGTTTCTTCTCTCTCCTCTCTCTAGGATGTCCACAATTTGTGAAGAGATAGGAATACGAGAGGCGGGAGGGGGAGGAGCGGTGTCCAGCTCTCTCGACTTCCCCCTTTCACACTGTGTGGGCAAATTCCTCCGTACCGAGTACCGAGTACACAAATTCAGGGTCAAGGAGAGGAGGAAAGGGGGGGGGAGTTTTGTTCGTGCCTGAAACGACGTGTGCGCACGAATGTCTGGATTCAATGAAATAGGCTCCGATCAGTCTGGGGCCCAATCGCGTCTGGTAGCCGGAGTACTTCCCTACGGAGTACTCTGTGCGGATTCCAACATTATGTATCTGGATACACTACGTATATACCCGCATCACCTCACCCACAACCTCCCTGGATAGGAGGGATCATTGGAACTCATCACGGGGCTCTTCCTCCCGTCGAGAAGTTGCGGGACGGGATAGAGAGTACCAGGCTCCCCAGCGTTCTCTCGTCTCTGATGGATCGAGGATTGGACGCAAGACATGATCGGGTCTCCTTTCACGGCTGGCGCCCCGAGGTATGGTAACGGACGGACCACAGGGGGGTTATGATTATCACGATCAAACCACCATGATTGGTGATGGGAGATTATTGGAACTCACGGGTTGGTGCCCCCAGCCACCACGATCGACAAGCTTTGCCTGCTGGGGGCCAAACCCGCGAGCGGACCAGGGATGTGGAATGCAGGGCGAACCTCGCTGGGGGGGGGGGGGGGGGGGGCTCCGATCCTAAGTATAGAAACATCTGGTCGCCACCATTTGGAGCAATCGGTCGAATGGGAGGGGGAGGACGTGGTATCCTACCTGGCTCCCGGTGGAGGAAGCCGAGAGATAGAGAGAGAGGTAGGGATGTAGAAAATCCAGGCGATCAGAGCGGCCGCAGAACCTGATGACCGGGAGGAAACGTGCTGGAAGGATTAAGCATAAAGCCCAGCATAGAGGAGAAGGGGACGCCCTGGTCCGCCCTAGAAGGCCTGCGGACCTAGTACAAGTCGGAGTAGCCTTGTCCCTTAGTTCTGAGTCAAGGGAGTCCAGACCACGGGCAAGATTGGGTTTACGCTTTACGCTTACCTGAAAACGGAGGCAAGCGGAGGGTGGGGAGGAGAGGGGGGAGGGGCGTGCAGGGAGTTGGAGGGAACGCCCGTCGGCGTCGGGGGGTCTTCGAGGCAAAGACGGTCGAGTCCCGTCGAGTCCAGTTGAGGACCCGTTTTGCTGCGCGCCGAACGGGGGACTCGGTGGCCCCTCGAGAGCGGAGCCGCCAATGAACGGGGTTGCTTACGAGGAGGGAGGGGGCGCTGACGGTAACGAAACACCACCTCCCACGGCGATATCGCCCCTGCTTCCCCCGTCTATGGCCACCGGGCCCTGCGCTGACTGCGCGGGCGGACAGAGGGGTACTTGGGGCTAGTAGGGGAATTGTATGCAGCCAGAAGTCCCTGCCGGCGGCGGACAAGCCTCGGGGGTGGGCTCCACTTGGCGCGGCGACGGTAATACGAATACCCTTGGACCCCACACGTGACTGACCGCCTGCCGCATCGCACCGCGCACTTTGCCTTCTTCGACTTCCCCCTTCCTTTCTTTCTCCGTCTTTAACCCTGCGAAAGCCCAAAACGCGTTACTCGATTGGGTATTCTTGATCCCTTCCCCTTTGGGCCATTTCACTCCTCACAGTCTCGTTGACAACACCACTCTTCTCTCTCAACCCCTCTTCCTTTCTCGACTCCCCTTTCACTATGGCCGACATGGCTGCCGTCGGCGACGAGAAACTGTCCCCAACTCACGATGAGCTGCAACAGCCCGGCAACGGAGCGGATGCTCGTGGCACCAAGCGCAACCGCATGAGCGCTGAGGACGACGACGATGATGATGACAAGCCCGGCCGTGAGCGTCGCAAGATCGAGATCAAGTTTATCCAGGACAAATCGCGTCGCCACATTACCTTCTCGAAGCGGAAGGCCGGTATTATGAAGAAGGTACTTGCCCCCCCCCCTTCCAGTCGCGACCGCGACACCCGTCCTCCCCATTTCCCTCCCCTCGCCGCCATCCCAATCCCGGCTTTGTTCGACATATCCCCGAGATGAAAACGCTTTTTCTCTCGTCGCCTGCCACGGCAACTCCCTACGCGTTCCATCCTCGGATGACTCGATCGCGAGTTCACGATACATGCATGCTGACGTCGTGGCGTTCCTTTGTCTAGGCTTACGAGCTGTCCGTTCTCACTGGCACTCAGGTGCTCTTGCTGGTCGTGTCCGAGACCGGCCTTGTCTATACCTTCACCACCCCCAAGCTCCAGCCACTGGTCACCAAGGCCGAGGGCAAGAACCTCATCCAGGTAAGCTACCTACCACCTGCCACCCCTCTTCGCCACAGCAGTGGGCATCGGCTCACCCGTTCCTCTTTCTCCCCTCCCCTAGGCCTGTTTGAATGCTCCCGACCCAACCACCAGCGAGAATGGCGTGGATGCCCCCGATGTCCCGCCCGAGGCGCCCGAGGACGTGGGCCACAACAATGTCAACGCGCCGCAATCCAACATGCCCCGTCCCGGTATGCATCCCGGCTACATGACCAACGAGCAGCAGCAGCAGATGGCCTACTACCAAAATCTCCAGCAGCAACAGCAGGCAGGTGGCCAGTACCCGGGCATGCCCGTCGGCAATCGGATGCCCCCGCAGCACCAGCCTACGGCGTAAATAATCTGGCTGATGCGCGCCGCTGCGGTTGGGGGTCCCGGATACTGCGTCTTCCCTTCTGTTTTCTTCCCTGCGCGCTCAACTCTCTCGCGTTCATTTGATACCCGTCCATCTGTGCTGAATCCATCCCTTCCCTCCCCTTTCCCTCCTGTCCTCGCTGGCCGGAGGTGGTGCCGTTCCCTCTTTCACCCTTTTACCTCATGTGAAGTGTACATTGTCAAACACCCTGAAGATCTCTTTCCAGGTGTCTTGTCTTGGATACTGCAATTCGGTCCATTATGGTCTTGCTTTTTTAAACTCTGGCTTTTGCTGCTTGGACCATGAATCCGAACTCCTCTCGGGGAAAAAACAGAAAACATATGAAAATCCTTACGGAGAAAAAGAGAGAGAGAAAAGAGCGCAAGCACGCAAATCTGGACTTCTCATGCGATTCTGCCCCCGTTTCTTGTTTTTTTTTTTCTGCCTCCCCCCCCTTTGGCCCCTCTGCCTCAACCAGCTGGAGGGTGGTGGTGTTCGTGGTGCAATTGATTTGTTGGCGAAGTGGTCCCTTCTTTTACTTGTTTATCTCATATGACCATTATTGATTTGATTATTTCTATCTCTCGAAGTGTCTAATTCCAACAACTTTGTGTGCTTTACTTGACCCCTTGGTGCTGTTCATGCCGTACCCCTATGTGCTGCGGTGTGCTGAAGAGTGCTTCTATATGAATTTCCTATTCCAATCCGTTTTCTGGTCTTTGAAACTACTTGCTTGGGATCGGAGTTCCTCGAAAGTATCTATCTGGGCCTTTTTTTTCTTTATGTGTATTTGGTATCTCCAGGATGGTGACATTCGGACCGATCGTTCCCTCCCTGTTTTGGGTTTGTTGATGCAAGTCTGTAGTTATCAATAAGATGATTTTACTGGTCTGGCTTCATTGAGAAGTTGATCTTTAGGGAACTAATGCTACTGTTTTTCAGGAATTGCCGATTTCAGTATCGAATGTTCATTGAAATGCTGTTGCATCCTCTGGGGAGTTCCATGGTCACTCTAGTGGTCTATATCAAAATCTAAATAAATATACATGGCGGTCGGTGATGTCGGAAATAAAAAGTATATATATCCTCGATACTTCCCAACTCGCAGCAAGTAAATATGTACACCATGATATATACAGTACTATCCCGATTTCTTCACCGTCGATTACATCCAATCTGGGTAAGCATATATGAATGACGCTAGTTCAGTAGTTTCCAAACTCTTAGAACTATGCAAATGGTCTGAGACTGATGATCACTTATCATTTCGTGATAGTACGTAGTATGTATATCTTTCATGATGTTTGAGCGTAGGTAGACTAGTGACTCGACATTAAAGTTGTATATTTCCCATGGCATCCGAGCTTCATCCAATCCACCCCGGGACTACATCAAAAGAAACACGAAAAGGTAGTGGTATCGTAGCATTTGAACAGGAGCATGCTGGAAACAGAACGAAACAGACAGGAAAGTGTGAGGCGGAGAGAAAATTTGACTCTTGAGACCGAGTCAGAGAGGGAGAAAACCGCGTGCCTTTCCTCTTCTCCAGGGCGAGGCAATGGTATTTACTGTACACAATGGAGGATAGATTGGGGATGGGACACAGAGTTCTTTGGGTATATTGTAAATCAAAGTCGGAAATGTCTAGGAAAGGAAACATGGCTTGGTATGTAAACGTATCGGGTTGGGGACGACGGGGCGAAGAAAAGAAGAGCTTTCAAAGCGATGACGATGGTGTCAGTCCTGACTCAGAGGGCGGATCGTGAGGGCCTCGAGCCCGGGGAATAGCAGTTCCGGAACGCGGTAGTAATGGAGAAGACGACCTTTCCGATGAGTTGGTGTGACGGCCATCCTGAGCACCCGCCTGCGGGCCCGTCCACCGGGACAAATATTGGCGTCCACGTCGCCAAGCCCCTAACAGAGTTCTTCTCGAACCGGCGACAAGATCAAGCCTCGAGTGCTGCAGAGGACTCGATGGCTCATCGGGTCCTTGGTGGTCGCTTTCGTCTTCTTGGATGGCACCGTACCCATTAAATCCATGAGTGCTGCGCCACCACCGTTGGGAACCTACAGGCCCTGCCATGGGCGCCGAAGAACGACGCCAAAGGTTACCTTGTATTGGAGGAGAGGATCGTCGGGAGCCTCTTATGCGGTCGTAGGAAATTGGACCGATGGTCGAGTGGCGCCCAAGCTCGCGTGTAGAGCCATTCAGCGCCGCGCTGCTGCTTGAGCTGCGCGGTCGTTCCAGGGAGGACCGGAGTCTAGAGCTACTAAAATCGTATTCAGAGTCGTCAAGCTCGGCCCAGATAGAGGCGGCGTTCAAATCCGCAACTTCGTGATGGTGGAGGGGTGGGATGAAGGGGAGACTGGGGGCTCGCGCCCGGTGGTATGAAGGAAGATGGTGAGGCCGAGCAGCGGCGTGAAGGAGCGGTTCTCGCTCCCCAAGCTGAGATTCTTCATCATTCAGACCATCCAGCAGTCTGGGCGATGTGGGCGGATGTTCCTCAACAACAGCCATTCCTGGTCCCAGCCCAGTCTGAGTCGGACCGACCACAGTCACAGCGGCATGGCTGTCAACGTCCTCAAGACGCCATGACAGACACAGAACGCCGCCCAGTAAAATGATCGTTCCAAAGGCAATGAGGCCAGCGTGAAACCCCGCCAGTTCAGAGACCTGTCTGAAGTAGATCAAACCATCCATAATAGCGATGATGTTGTAGATGCAAAAGACAAATGGATACAGGACGCTGGTACTGCAGAGTTTCAATCCGCGATGCAAATAGAATAGTTGCGTCAGTGCCAAGAAGATCATGCCCAGCAGGATCACCCAAGATTGCCAGCGATTGAACTGGTTCACACGATCCACCACGGTCCGCACCAGCAGCTCCACCGCTGATTTGGCCAGCAGAAGCGAGTGGGCTGATAAGATTCCACTGATTGATCCATAGCACATGCCCCGGAAGAGCTTGACTCGGCCCTGGAGTCGTTGTAGATGGGGCGCAAAATGGCCTGATGCGGTGGGCTTCACCCGTGAACCTGGCATGCAATATTTCAACAGCTTCGAACCAACCAATATCGCAAATACCACGATCAGTGTTCCTCCCATCCAGATGAGAAATGGACGTCGCTGAAGGAGTTCTAAAAGTTGATTTAAGCTATGCGCGGGCTCTCCGATGGCACCGAAAGTCGCAATTAATATGGCGCCAATGCAAACGAGGACCGTACCGGCGAAGGAGTAACGCGTGAAGGGTTCGCCGAGGATGAGGGTCGCAAAGATTGTATTAAACACTAGTCCGGACTGTTCCCCTCGTATTTCATATCAGTCCCACGTGAAGCCTGCGGCATCGGGAAAAGCAAGAACAACTAACCGCCTGTAACGTGGAGAGCACGGGTAAGGGCAGCGTGGTGATTTGGATGGTGCTTCCGACAATGTTAGATATCACAAACATCCCCATGCCCAGCTGCCATCTTCGGCGTTTATACGGGGGCCGACGTCCATCGTAAAGAGGCTTTTCGTCTTCTAGTAGATGAGACTTCCGCTGCAGGGTCAGTCCGATAGCCTGCAGACTTGTGGACACGAGCCCAACTATTACACCGACCTAGTGAAATCGATCAGTCATGGCGGTCAAGGCCTCCAGTAGTAGGTCTCACTCACCGCAACACTGCCCTGTGGTGATAAGTCCCCTAGGTTGCCCATCGTGGTGTATCGTACAATGTCGACCGGAGACGCGGGGGCACCGTAGGAGAGCGCATGAGCTAGTTGACTACCGGGACAAAAGGGCCATGGTGCACATTCGAGCTTAAGTAGGGTGTTATGAAAAAGTCACAAGGGAAAGGGTCTCAGGGCAAAAGAAACAGGGACAAGGGGATGAGGGAAGGTCTTGCGGAGTGCTGGATGCGGATGCCAAGGCGCGCGGCGGCTCCGAGCTTAGTTGGACACAACACCCTTTCCTCCCCACGTCATTCAATCCAACCTCCCAAACACTCCCCTCCCCCAACAGCCATCATGTCGCAAAGCCATGCTCTTTCAGATGACCAGGTAGGCTACGTTCGCCTTTGGAAATGATTTGGGGGCTGTCTCTCTTCATCCCCTACCTCAGAACCCCGGCTGACAAGGCCTGATGGAATATCTTAGGTCGCGGGCGAGCTCCGCAAGATGACCGCGTTCATCCGGCAGGAGGCCCTTGAGAAAGCTCGCGAGATTCAGTTGAAGGCCGACGAGGAGTTTGCGATCGAAAAGTCTAAGCTCGTGCGCCAGGAGACCGCCGCCATCGATGTGCTCTACGAGAAGAAATTCAAGCAGGCCGCCATGTCCCAGCAGATCACTCGTTCCACCCTGGCCAACCGGACCCGTCTCCGTGTGCTTGGCGGTCGCCAGGAGCTTCTAGACGAGCTCTTCCAGAAGGCTCGTGACAAGGTCTCCACCGTTGCTGCCAACGACAAGAAGAAATACCAAGCCACCTTGCAGGGGCTGATCCTCGAAGGGCTGTACTATCTGAACGAGGACAAGGTCGAGATCCGCGCACGGAAGAAGGACGCCGATGTGGTCAACCAGGCTATCAAGGAGGCCGAGAAGGAGTTCAAGGATAACGTGGGCAAGGAGGTGAATGTGAGCTTGGACGAGTCGGAGCCGCTACCGGACGGATCGTAAGTATTGACCCGCTTTCGGTTTTCGATCTTTGGGCCATGAATATATGATTCTGGAACTAACTGTTGTTGTCGCATTGCAGTGCTGGTGGCGTGTTCATTGTGGGCGGCCAGGGCAAGATCGAGATCAACAATACCTTCGAGGAACGTCTGCGCTTGTTGGAGATTGACGCTCTTCCCGCTGTCCGCGAGACACTGTTCGGGAAAAACGTGAACCGGCGATTCTATGACTAGATACCTGTTTCTTTCTTATCTGGCTGATGGCTCTTCTCCTTGGATTCCGCCGTTGGCTGTTTCGTGTTTTATAGTTCGGGCTCCTTGCACCTGTAACCTCGTCTTGTCAATCCATAGAGAGAGGGGTATCTTTTCTTGCACATCTCCTAATTTTGACCTGCAAGACGGGTCTATCTTCCCTGAGCGTTCATCTGATTTCTCATCTATCGTCTGCAGAATCCTCCGAGACAAATTCATACCAAATGCCTCGCTCTATTGATGGTCATTACAAATATCGTCTCAGTCATAAAATAGTACACACGCTCAAGCCAAACTAAGTCATGAAAACTAAGTCATGATTCTTGCTCCAGGGCCAGTTTGCGAGAAGCATCTCATGGCCCTATTATTGACACGACCACAACCTTATGAAAAGGGAGCGTGCCCCCGAATCGGTATTAGTGTACCTTCGCCATCTGCGGTTATAGTGGTAGTATCATCGTGCGTAGTGTCAATAACGGCTCGGACTTTGAAGTGGCTAGAGATCGTGCTGTTTCGCCTGTCGGCGAATGTCTCGAAAAAGCTCTTCTTAGGTGGTGGCTTAGAGCGGACCGAAAATACGACTCGATGGTGCAATGCCTCTAGAGCATCTTTGGCTACCATCCGTTTGAGATGGGATGCCCCGGTGGACTCAATCGTAGTAAATATGTTTTTCAGTTGAGTGGCCAGCCTATCGACAGTGTTGTTGAACTCCTTCTCCGCATCTGGACTATCATGTTGTAGATCACGGAGAGCCGAATTGATGATAATGTCCAGGAGCATGGTCAATGCGATGAGTTCGCCGTAGTCATATTCATTGGCTCCTTTGTGTTGCTTTATCAGGAATCGCTTGTCACGCATCAAGCAAAAAGTAACACGTGATAAGTCAAGGACCTGCTCAGGGGGTTCAGAGAGCGGTGTTGGATCTTGCAGCAGGAAGGCAGCTGCAAGTCGGTATCGTGCTAGCGAAGTCCAAGGCGACGTAGGTAACAGGAATTGCAGCATGCGACTCTGGAACTGAGCAGTTTTGATTGTTTCAAAAGCAGTCGTGCAGATTCCATGCTCCTGATTTAGTTAGCAGACGGCCACTTTCAGCTGTGCAAGCAGACGAACCAGATATTTGGGTCCTGCGTCAATGAGGGCGCTCAACGCAGTTTGGAGTTCTAGGCTTATTGTAATATCAGCTGTGAGCGATGAGTCTAGTGTAATTCGTAGCAATAGCTGAACTGTATGCTTGAGGGTGGCATCCGAAAAGCTGGAGAAGTCAGGTCACGATGAATAGCTAGATCGATAGAAATATATCCTTACTGGGAAGCAGCGTCCCGAAGTAGCTCAAAAATCGAGATTAAAGCTGTTTTGTTCTTGAACTCACAGCCTTGGGATAGCTCTAGGGCGTGGAGAATCATGAGTTCGGACTGGTTGCACCCAGTGCTCAGGGGAGGATTTCTTACGCTCTGGGGACTCTTCAACAATGGGCTCAGATAGGTTTAAAGCTAGCGGCTTCGCACCCAGTTGACGAAAAAGACTATTGATATCACTGACGTGGACCAAAGATCGCACACGCTCAGCAGAGGTTTTCTGTACCCATCTTAGTCACATTGCATGGAAATAGGCCACCATATCACAAACCGTGAAGATTCGACAGTAAGCAACTCTCAACTCTTTTCGCGGCTCAAGGGGAACTGTGCTGGGGTTAGATTTGAGAGACTAGATGGGGACAGAACTGAACACACTGGCGTGGAAAAGCCACATGATAAATTCATCTGGCAAGTGCTGTAACGAGGCTGCAAATTCTAGGACACCAGACTGAAACATGCGTGTGCGGCTATCAGGTTCTGTCCGGTAGTCAGCTTGGAGATCTGAAAATATTTAAACCGCAGAATCTCACCTCGCAGTGCCGCCAGCCGAGATCCGGGAGGAAAGAGATGTTTTGGGAATATGGGCGCGGCTGTAGTCATCTGCTTCAGATCCAGGAACCGCCAGGCTCGATCTTGGTCAAGGGCCTCAGTTCTTCGGACAGCCTCGATCAAGCGTTTTAGACCAGGTCCTTCGTCATGCTCTCCCAATGCAGACGTTAACATGCGCTCATTCAGGGCATTCTGGTTTCTCGCGTCTGGACCTGCCACCGACTGATTGCCTCCGTGGTGGGATTGGGCAAAAGTGGCTCTGAACTTGGCGACATTTGCCTCGGTTTCATTGTCGTCCACCGCCGCATTAACTAACGAATCAAGTGTGTTCTTGTATTTCTTCGGCGCGGAGAGGCGTGCCAAAAGTGCCTGGTCTGGCTTTGCAGGTTGCGCTTTGCTGTTGTTTTTGCCACGAGGGTTGGGAGCAAAGAGCATAGAGGGGTCATCGAGGGAGGAAACGGAGTCGGTATCCTCTCCGTCCGAACTGATAACTACTTCCTTTCCATCCTTTAAAATGCGCTGGGAGGCATGGAGACTCCCAACCGAAGACGACGGAGCTGCTGATTCGGCATGGGACACGATCTGCTCAGACATACAAATTCCCGATTTTCCTCCATCCCCCAGTGGTGAGAGGCATCGTTCTCCTTGCGTGTCTGTGGGATCTCTCGTGTCTGGCTCGGATCCATTGTGATCGAAGAAAGTCAGAGGCTCAGAGAGCGGAGAGGATGCGTTTCCTGAGTCATTCGTGGGGACATGTTCTTGCCCTTCAGTTTCTGATCCGGAGATGAGATGAACCTTGGAAAAGGACGGCCGATGAAAGAAGTCTTTCAACGTTCGCATCGTTGATCTTGCGAGCTCGAGAGTTCCCCGCCATCCAGCTTGGGCCGCGTCGCGTGGGCTCCGCGCGACGTCACGTGATATGAATATAGCCTGATCGGGCAGTTTCTTTGGCACAACCGCCTAGAAGACCATCCTCGCTCGTTACGAGTACGAGCGGCGCTGGAACGAAATGATAATGGACGAGACGGACTCTTCACTTGGTCTACTTGGTCTGTTTTCATAGCAGCCTAAAAAATTATTTTCGGCAGCCACCGTCGTCGTGGTGCGGATCTTCGAAGGTCCCTGACCTTGCAACGGATCTTCATGTCTACGAGGCCACTCGTATGGCGCTGTCCTGCAAATGGAATCCAGCGTACACCCCACGGAGCTTTGATATTCACGCCGCCGACCGGACGAATGTTTCGCCAAGAGCATTGAATCAACCCCTGGCACTCTGTGGCCAGACAGCTGCAACCGCCGATCTGATTTAGGTTGACGAATCTGGCCGCCAGTGCACCATCCTGCTCCACCGTGGTTCGTGGTCGAGCCGCGCGGGCTGACGTTACTCTGTTATGTTTTGATTGAGATGTGGCAGTAAAAAGATACTTCGGTTGGAACTGTCCCGCAGGAAATTTTCACCTTCATAACTCCTTGGTCGCAAAAGCCCGAGCAGAGCCTGAGCCTCACAAGGAACGTATACTGCTGATGCAATTAATCTAGGCAGCACTAACCCCGAATCCACCGGTAGCACCAGTGAGGACGGAAAGAGCCTGGAGCAATCGGCAATTTCAAAGGGATCACCCATGGGGCCCGCTCAGGGAGGGCCACTGGGCACATAGTGCCCTCCTGAGCCAAGAAGGCTCCATCCTCAGGGCCGCGCTCATCCGAAGATGGAGAGGGGAAAAGGGGGATTTGAGGAAGCGAGGGGGGACAGGTCCCGGACCAAAAAGTGTGGAGGGTCTCTCCGACCTAGTCAATATCGCAATGCGCAACGAATAACCAAATTCGCTGGCAGATGACACTGATTCTTCCACCCATAAACAACCGGGCATTGTAGTGGAACAACACACGGGAGTAGTAGTCGCATCCATGGAACGGCAGTGGATGGCGGTGACGCCGGTGGATCGGGGGCTGCTCGTGCCGTGTCGCCGGCGGTTTCAGGCTTGATGTTCCGACGAAACCATGAACGGCCAAGGTGGCCTCTGTCCAGACTCTTTGAGTACTCCGTACCGACCGGTAGGCCGTTACCTTATGGCCATAGCCCAGGGGAGCCCGCAGGATTACCTCCATCGACCCTCCCATTACCCCCAAGAGATGCTCCGCTCGGCCTGTCTATAAAACAGAATACACCCCACTCAGACCAGAAGATCTGATGTTGATAAGGATGTCAAAAACGATACTTGAAAACGATACATTGCCGTAATTGTTGTTTCTGTCCAGCGATTGTTGGCCCGCTCGGTCTCATTTCTAAAATGGTTCTTCGCGCGTGGGGCGCCGATTTCTTGACGAGGCCTGCAAACAATTCCAGAGACACCATTTCGAAAATTGCCCAGAGTCGGCCTGTCTTTTGATATTGTATAGGTCAAGTGGATGTTGCTGGGGGTGTGTCGATTCTTGTATATCCATCTACATGTATATTGTTCGTACATCAAACCTATTAAAGCGAGGGAAGACTATATGTAGCTCACATTCCAATGTGGGATTTCATCTTCATGATCATATAAACACTTCTAGGTAGTTTATTCCAGTGATATATTCTCGTAGTGTCTTCTAGCATATGCTGATTGTTCTGGATTTCGGCTGAAGGTCGAAATCGACACGGACCGGACCCTTTGGGCCCCAATCTGCGATACGTACCTCACTAGCCAGTCCTATGTACACAGATACCCCCAATAGGGTAATTTTAATGCACTCGTGTTATGCCTGTTTGCTCTCGGCGCCCGGCGTCCAAGTACTCCGGGGTACCCAACTTACATGGTTACGAGGGCTGTGTCGGCTCGTGCAGGATGGCGGAGGGGCCATTTCCCGAAAATAGACCTCTGACAGCCCCAAAGACGATGCTGATGAGGCATGCCCTTCTCCTCCCATAGTCTTGACCCTGAAGAAATGCCGATATATCCACGTTGCCACTGTCAGAAATTGAGATGCCGAACCACGGCTTCTGGCGTTCGATTTTGCAGTGATCCGGTAATGCGGCCGTAACGCGCTTATGTGATTACCAACGGGGGCCCGGGGCCCGGGGCTTTGTGGAGGATATGTATGGTCATCTCCATACCGGACGTAAGGTATCATCGTCCGAGCCGAATTCCCTGGAGGCAAATCAACTGAAACAAGGCCAAATGTGACTACGATATACCAGCATTGAATATAGATATCTATATGAGGATCGACAGCAAATGATCTCTCACTCCAATTCATTCATTTATTAATTCACTTGGGAAATTCAGAAGACGGGCATCACCCTGGGTCATTTTGGCTGAAGAAACGGGCGAGGAAATACATCCCGATTCCGCTGGATGCCAAGCGCGCTGACCAAGCTGGCATGTACAGTCAGCCGTAAGATGGGTAAGCCGTGAAAAATACACGGTATGGGGCCCGAGTCCATCCCAATTCCTCCTGCAACGCCAGCATCATCTTCTTTCTTTCTTCGTGTTGCCCCCTCCCAGGGAGAAAAGAACTCACCTCATCCTTCCCCTCTCCCTTGAATGGCCCCGCGTGGGTGATTTTCGCCCTTCCTACTCTCACCTCCATCGGGAGAACACGTCCTTTCCCTTGGAACTCCCCTAACTGCCAATCGATACCGGCCCTCCTTCGATCCCGTCGTGATCCGCGCGCCGACCCTGTCTCCGTATCGCGACTTGGATCTCGCATCGTCCCCCCTCCCCCTTTTTCCCACTCCGATGACCTTGCACTGGTCCACCTGGTGAACTTTCCGAGTGATAGGCCAAATCGTTCGCTCCGCCTTGTACAGCGTGCGATTTTAGTTATAATAGACGCCGACTGAATGCGCACCCGGCCCGTCTACCCAAAGTTTTCGTCAAGTTTTATGCCCATTTGGGCGCAACAGTAGCCTGAATGGCTTCCGTGCATTTCCCCGGAGACAATGAAGGTGGTGGTAACGAGAATTCTGAAATTCGAGAGGTCAGCAGCAACATCTCCAAGCCGACCAAACGTCAACGATGGGCCACCACGCGCCACACCGGCTCTGGCGGCGTGCGGAAACGTGTCTCCATCATTGATCGCTTCCACAAACGATCGGAGATGAGGGATGAGAAGCGCAAGTCGGCCACTCCAAGTACATCCGCCGACGCCGCGTCCACCGTCGGAGAGGAGAGCCAACAGCCCGGACAGAATCGAACCATCTACTTCAACATCCCGATCCCCGAATCCGAACGAGATGAGGAAGGCCATCTCAAAAACACCTACCCCAGGAACAAGATTCGCACTGCAAAGTATACCGCATTGACTTTCGTTCCGAAGAACATCTGGCTTCAGTTTCACAATATCGCGAACATTTACTTTTTGTTCGTGATTATTCTCAACGTACGTCCTCTCTCAATCGTCTCCCTTTCACTTAATAGACAGTAGACTGGATTTTACCGGAAATGCGACTTCATTTGAGCTGACATGCCTTTAATAGTTTTTCTCTATTTTCGGTGCAAACAACCCCGGACTGAACGCCGTTCCACTAATTGTCATCATTGTTGTGACCGCCATCAAAGATGCGATTGAGGACTGGGGACGGACGGTACTGGATAACCAAGTCAATAACTCTCCAGTCTATCGTCTGATTGAATGGAACAATGTGAATTCCACCGAAGACAACATCTCCTTGTGGCGCCGATTTAAAAAAGCATGCACCCGAGGTACCATTACCTCGTATCACTGGATGAAGAGCGTGTTTGGCAAGAAGAACGAGGACGAGGATGACGGAAACGAACAAAGACGGGATTCGTTTTTGACCACCGCAACTCCCCGCGCCTCGGTATATTCACATCGCGACTCCCTTGCCGCCGATGTTGCTATTCCGATGACAGATGTTCCATCGCCCCAAACCGAGGCCCGCGAAGATTGGACGGCCTCGAGTAAACCAGAAAACAAATTTCTTTCCCCCGAGAGTGCGAACAGAGACAGTGTGATGATGTCTCCCGCCTCGCCAGACAAGAAATCCGGAAGTGTGGTCGACATGTCCAAACAGACTCCCGGTAAGGCTCGATTCAAGCGCGATTACTGGAAGAACATTCAAGTCGGTGACTTCGTGCGTCTATACAACGAGGATCCTATCCCGGCTGATATTGTTATTCTCTCCACCTCGGACCCCGACGGAGCCTGTTACGTAGAGACCAAGGGTTTGGATGGTGAAACAAACTTGAAGGTTCGCCAAGCTCTCCACTGTGGTCGTCAAGTTCGCCATGCTCGAGATTGTGAAAAGGCCGAGTTTACGATCGAGAGCGAGGCTCCACACCCTAACCTCTATGCCTACAACGGTGCCATTCGCTGGGATCAACGTGACCCGCAGTTTCCTGAGGCTCCACGGAAGGAGATGGTTGAGCCGGTGACCATCAACAATATGCTACTCCGTGGCTGTTCTTTGCGGAGTACTGAATGGGTTCTCGGCGTGGTAGTTTTCACCGGCGGTGAGAGCAAGATCATGCTCAATGCTGGCGCGACACCTGCCAAGCGTGCTCGCCTAGCCAAGGATCTGAACTGGAACGTTATCTACAACTTCATCATTCTGTTCATCATGTGTCTCGTTGCGGGCATTGTCAACGGTTTCGCGTGGGCAGCCCCTGACAAGTCGCTGGATTTCTTCGACTATGGATCTTACGGTGGCACACCTGCCGTCACTGGTATTGTTACCTTCTGGACGGCTCTCATCTTGTTCCAGAACTTGGTTCCCATTTCGCTTTACATCTCTCTCGAAATCGTTCGTACCATTCAGGCAGTCTTCATTCACAGTGACCTCTACATGTACTATGAGAGACTGGGGTTGTACTGTGTGCCCAAGTCTTGGAACATTTCAGATGACGTGGGTCAAGTTGAATACATCTTTTCCGATAAGACTGGTACTTTGACACAAAACGTTATGGAGTTCAAGAAATCCACCATCAACGGCCTTGCCTACGGCGAAGCGTATACCGAAGCCCAAATCGGTATGCGACGTCGTGAAGGAGTCAATGCTGACGAAGAAGCTGCACAAGCTCGAGCACAGATTGCCGCAGATGGCAAATCTATGCTTGAGGGATTGCGTCGTATCCATGATAACCCATATCTGAAAGACGAAAACTTGACTTTCATCGCTCCGAATTTCGTTACCGATCTGGAGGGTCAGTCTGGGGAAGCTCAGAAGAAGGCTGTTGAGCATTTCATGCTGGCTCTGGCTCTGTGCCACAGTGTCATCACTGAGCACACTCCCGGGGACCCACCACAGATCGAGTTCAAGGCCCAGTCACCCGATGAAGCCGCTCTCGTTAGCACGGCTCGTGACTGTGGGTTTACAGTCCTCGGTCGGGCTGGTGACGATTTGCTACTGAATATCATGGGCGAGGAACGCACGTACACTGTTTTGAACACCCTTGAGTTCAATTCTTCTCGAAAGCGTATGAGTTCAATCATTCGCATGCCTGATGGCACGATTCGTCTTTTCTGTAAGGGTGCCGACAGCATCATTTACTCTCGCCTAGCCCGTGGTAAACAGCAAGATCTCCGACGTAAGACGGCCGAGCACCTTGAAGAGTTTGCCAAGGAAGGCCTGCGGACTCTCTGCGTTGCCGACCGCCTGCTCGGCGAGGAGGAATATCAGGCCTGGAACCGAGAGCACGATATTGCTGCGGCGGCAATTACCGACCGCGAGGAGAAGCTGGAAAAGGTCTCGAGCGAGATTGAACAGGAATTGATGCTCCTTGGTGGAACTGCCATCGAGGATCGTCTGCAGGATGGTGTACCTGATACTATCCAGTTGCTTGCGGATGCCGGTATCAAGCTGTGGGTTCTGACCGGCGACAAGGTCGAGACTGCCATCAATATCGGTTTCTCTTGTAACTTGCTCAACAACAATATGGACCTGATCGTTCTTAATGTTCCCGAAGGAAATCATGACGACGCCGCTCGAGAGCTTGACAAGCACCTTCAGGTCTTTGGTTTAACTGGTTCTGACGAGGAGCTTGTGGCTGCTCGCGCAGATCATACACCACCTGAGCCCACTCATGCCGTCATTGTCGATGGTGAAACATTGAAGATGATGCTCTCCGACGAATTGAAGCAGAGGTTCCTTCTTCTGTGCAAGCAGTGCAAAGCAGTGCTTTGCTGCCGCGTCAGTCCATCTCAAAAGGCTGCCGTCGTCAATATGGTCCGCCATGGATTGAATATCATGGGTCTTGCTATTGGTGATGGTGCCAACGACGTTGCCATGATTCAAGAAGCAGATGTCGGAGTTGGTATTGCTGGTGAAGAAGGCCGACAGGCCGTAATGTCTTCAGACTACGCTATTGGTCAATTCCGTTTCCTCCAGCGCCTGCTTCTGGTCCATGGACGATGGTCTTATCGTCGATTAGGCGAGTGTACCGCCAACTTCTTTTATAAGAACTTGGTGTGGACATTTGCTCTATTCTGGTACTGTATCTATAACGATTTCGATGGATCCTATCTCTTCGATTACACGTATATCGTCTTGGTCAACTTGGCGTTTACTTCCCTCCCCGTCATTTTCATGGGTATTTTCGATCAGGATGTCGATGATCGAGTGTCTCTCGCCGTGCCCCAGCTCTACATGCGCGGTATCGAGCGCAAGGAATGGTCCCAGCTTAAGTTCTGGTTCGTGACCCATTTAACCTGTTTTTCTGACTGCCTCGGTGCTAATTTGCTTTTTAGGTTGTATATGGGCGATGGTCTGTATCAGTCAGTGATCTGTTTCTTCATGCCATATATGCTATACAAGGTCGCGAATTTCGCGACTGAGAGTGGCCGTGATATTGCCGACAGAAATCGCATGGGCATCTTGGTTGCCACCTGTGCTGTCCTCGCCAGCAACATCTACATCATGATGAATACTTACCGTTGGGACTGGTTCACCTGTCTGATCAATGCCATCAGTTGTCTGCTGATCTTTTTCTGGACGGGTGTCTATTCCTCTTTCACCGCTGCTGGTCAATTCTACTCGTCGGCCGCAGAGGTTTACGGGGCCTTGAGTTTCTGGATTGTATTGCTTGTGACACTCATGATCTCCTTGCTTCCCCGTTTTACATACAATGCCATCCAGAAGGTGTTCTTCCCTCTTGATGTCGATATCGTTCGTGAGCAGGTCACTCTGGGTAAATTCAAGCACCTGGAAGACCAAGAGGATCCGCTACCCCCCAAGGAGGCTACGGCTGTGGGCGCCGCCTCAAGCGATGAGTCGGCGGTCTCTTCGGATCTAAGCAAACCGATCCAGCCCTCGATGAAACACGACTCTGAAATTTCTCAGGAGCCACGGCCGTATTACTCTCCATCTGCCCACACAAACGGCCATAACCCGCGTAGCCAGAATGGCAGCAATGGAACCAACTATACCGAGAGTCTGGACCAGTATCCGCGACCTCAATCGGTGGACTATGTCCGCCGATCCCACGAGCGAACTCGGCATTCTTTTGAACGGGTGCGGCAAAGCTTTGAGCAAAGCAGAGACTTCTCCTCTGCTGCTATGCTTCAACGAGTGGAATCGAGCCAAACTCATGGATCTAACCAAGACCCCTTTCGAGCCCCCGGCGAGCCTCCTGCACATATGATATAAGGTGCTGTCTACCGCCGTGCATAGACTTGGACCTTTGACGACCCGTCATTGATGACTGACACTCTCGCTCTCCTCCTTTCCGCTAGCTTGCTGGCAAAATCTTTGCCTCTAGATATCTCTTTTCTATTGCCCTTTCCATATTCATGAGCAATATGCTGTCGTGTTTCCCTAACTTGTTACTACTTTTGTCCACCCTTTTTCACAGCCTTGATATTCCCCTGATAGAAAGCAGGCGTTTGGTATATTACATTCGGTTGGAGGCGTTGCGCATTTTTTTTATCGTTACTTTTCCATCCCAACCCTCATTATTATACTTGGCAGCCCCTGGTGGCTTCGCTCTCTACTTTGTTCACATGTCATATAGTGTCTATTTGCCCTTTGTACAAAAGCGTTTCTGTCTTCCTGCAATTGTGCACGACACCCGCATTTGATGGGTTCCTAACCTTCCCTGGAGCTATACCTATTTCCTAGGGATTTTTTTTTCTTTGTCTTTTTTTGGTTTGTGTTTCCGAAGGGTTCAAGCAGGCATTGGTTGGGGATGATATTCATTTATTCTATTCCACACCCTCTTATGAGGAAAGTACTTAATGCGGATTACCATGAATGTCTAATTACCCTGTCCAAAGACTATGAATGGCATTAGCTTCAAGAGGTTAAGATTGCCTGGCCTTGGGGAGCAAAGGAAAATTTATGTGGCCCAAAAGAGTCTGCCATCATGACTGTCCTGTGAATCACAACATTCACAACATTCTCTGTAGCCTTTAGTAAAGCTAATTTGGCTTCGATAATAATTAATAGTGTAGGATAGCAAATGCTAGAGCATATCAAATGTGATGTAGTACCTTCGTGTAGTTACTCCCACTTGGGTAAAAATAGGGCGCGTAAACGCGTCTATACACCGCCCTGGTTCTGCCGGTCGCCATCTTCTGCCCGCGTTTTGTTCTCTCATGGTTTTCCTCCCACGGGCGGACCTGAAAGAGATCAACAGCTTCCGAAGACATTAAACTGACTGGAATACCGCATTTGGTGCTTCTGGAGGGCTCAATCCATTTATCTTGGTGCCAAGCTTCCATGGCACTCTGAGTAAGTCTCTAATGATTTCCCCGTGAAAGAAGCTCAGTTTAATGGATCTGCTTCGTGCTTTATGCCTCGGTCTCCTGTCCGTCACCAATATTGCTAACGCTTGAGTACAGTGAGAAAGCTAAGCAGTCTCTCTCATCAAATACCTTCAGCTCAAATTTGCACAAAGCAACCCCCTCGCAAGCCCTCGCCGCTACAATTTTAACTCCGCCACTCATCGCATCGTGTTTCACCTTTACCTTACAGTCGTCCTGCCCCTGCCTGAATTTTGTCAAAGGACATGTGCCAAGGCAGTATTTTCATGGGATAAGGAATTCCCCTGTGGAATTTGATTTGAATCCTGGCGTCCCTTGTCTCTGAGAACTTAAGATGGAGTTCTCGGACGCAATTGAGTTAGTCACGATGAAGTTTAAATTCTTACATAGTTGGTATGATTACTGATGATGCATGACGGTATGACAGGGAGCTAAAAGCCCTTCCTGAGGGAACCCATATTCTCTGTCCAAGACAGAGAGAGGACGATCATGACCGCTACGAAGACCTTGACCGAGTCGATGAGAATGGAAGGACGTTTACGGACATAGTTCAAGATGCCAGGGCCCGCAAAGAGAAGTTTCTTTCATCGATGCGTATTCTAGCCTATAATGCAGATGGCGTGGAAGATATGCAGACCTGGATATTGAGCAAGTTGGATGAGTCGCTGGAAAAATGTGACCTCTGTATCAAACAATATTACACTGGGAAGATTTGGCTCCTGGATCAACTGAAGGAGTCCTATCAAGATGAAGATATTGAAGTGTTTGCCAATCGTCTGGATGAATGGGATATCAAGCGAATCACACGGAATCTGAAGACGGCAACTACTCAGTTGAAAAGCGTTCCCCCACAGGAAATCGCTCTCAATATCCTGGATCGGGCTGCGCTCCTTTCTATTTTCGAAACCTTGAGTTGTGAGGCCATGTTGCGTAGTGATAGTCTTCTTCAGCAACATTTTGATGAGCCGTTCAAGCTTATACAGACAAGGCGGACTCTGAAGATTACTGACTATGTTCCGGCTGTTACTCGGTTTTTATTTGACTCAAACCAGCTTCGAAGCTTCTGGGCCATCTCGACATGGGCACGATATACACGTACGCCAACGAGATTGGAATTCGAATGGGCAATTCGAGACGGTCTTCTTGGTGCGCTGCAGGCAGGAATGCAGGCAGCGTCTCAATCACCGATCCAGCTTGCCGTCATCCAGCGATTGTGGCGCGGCATGCAACTCATCGTTAAGAAACTGGATAAAGATCAAATCACACATCAGCTGCGAGCGCTAGAAATTGATCCTTGCCGTCTTTCTGTCGATCACCTGGCTCTCAACACTCCTGGGCTGCGATTCCTCTTGAACACCATTCAAACTCTTTTGGAGAAAGCCCCGGCCGATTTTTGGGATGCTATGCAAACCATCTCTCCTCAAGCGATCGCCGAACACACCTTTTCTAACCCTCAATTCATTGCTTTTCTCACGCAGAATACGGAGGGCGAGCCATATGAGAAGTCTGCATTGAAGGATATGCTCTCATGGATTGGTCCTTTTCTCGCTTCCCTCAAAGGTGTTCACCAGCCTTCTGCTTGTCGATTTCTAGCATCGCAGCTGTTGAAGCGTCTTCAAATCCCGGCGTTTCCTAACCTCTCTCGATATCATTGCTTCCACGTCGGCCTGACTAGTCTTTTACATACTCTTCGCCGATTCACCGATGACGAAGCATCAAGAAGTTCGGTCGACCGAGTTGTCCTGAAAGAAACCATGGATGTTGTCGTTGATACCATCAACGTAATTCTTAACCCCCCTACCTTCGCTATCGAGCAGCGCCGGCAACACGAAATCACTCAGCTGTGCATGGACGTTGTTCGGAATACTCTGGCTCTGGAGTGCCAGTCTCTGAAAAGCGACTACGAGGTCATTCTAAAGCTTGGATCTCTCTCTCATGGAGTGTCTACTTACTCGGCTCCTATCTGGGAAGCAGTGATTCAGCACCTTCATCAAAATAACCTTGCCTTATCTACTGCAGCCCTACTGGGAATTCTTCCTCTCGTGGGGTTGGAAAAATTCCCTACAAAGAGCGAGGACAACAAGGAGAAGACGCACTTCAACATGATTTACGGCCATCTCACTCATCTGTCCTGCCAGATCATCGAACGACTGGCTGACTTCACCCCTGACCACCTGAAGATCCTCTTCCAAAGCCAGGATACTTGCAGTGCTCTTATATCCACGCTGTTTGCTGCTGACCTCAACACCTACCAGGCTGCCGTGGACCTGATTAAGAATGTGGCCGGTGGTCAATCAGCTCGGCGGGATGCTATCTCCTGGCTTCTTGAAACGTATTTCACCACGACCATGTATGGTCTGAGCTGGTCTTTTCGTCGCATCTCCAACATGAAGACCTTTGCCCCTGCCCCCCGCATGCTGCACACGGGAACCGATATCGTAGAGATTCTGTGTAATAGCCAGACCGGGATGCTACGTACTCGCAATTTTACGGATCGACGAGAGATCCTGTCGTTGCAGAAACTCTGGGAATTTCTGTGGCAATCGTTGAGCACCATCTTCTCCGAAACCGAGAATTGGCACAAGAGAGGCAATGATACGAAGGTGATGACTGAATTTTGTCGTGATACCATCCAGTTCGCGGATTTCCTGTTCGATCAATATGCTGTGTTCCTCGGTGCGGTGGAAGGGGCGGATCCGGCGCAGAAGTCCGTCTCTGAGAACTTCATCAAGTCGCCCACGGCAACTATGAGTTCAATGGTGGGTTGGTTGCGACTGAAAGACGTGTTCCTGGCCGAGACACTGGTTGGGCTGGTGTCAAAGATTCTGCGGCGTCTGGCTGCCTTGGACGTGACAACAGTCAACCAAGAAGCAATCAAGTACATTTACGACGTTGCGGTGAATCATACCGTCAAAACGATCCTGAAAAGTCGCGACAAGGCAGAACTCGTCCAGGCACTAGGCACCTACCTGAAGAAGCCTATCAATACGGCTTCCACTGCGTCCCTCAAGAAGCAGAGCTCCATTGCTGCCTTTGTCAAACCTCTTGACTCCTCCGTTTCCTCTTCTCTCACCCCCAGTGAGGATGACTTTGACGACGTCTCAGACCAAACACTTCTTGATCTCTCTCGCTCTGTGGAATTAAACAAAAACCGTCTGGCTCTGGCGAACAAACGCAATTCTCAACAAGACACCAGAATGTCGGCTTCGACCACGCTAAATGCGCGTCCTCCCGTCGTCAAAGGCCTTGTTGCGCAACGACCCAGGGACGATGCCACAAGCGTGCTATCCTTCCGTGAGAAGCGCGAGCGAGAGAAAGAAGCCAAAAAGAAGCGTGACATGGCCGAACTGGCACGGCTCAAGAAGAACATGCCTGTGGGCGGAGTCGCAGAACAAACCGCAGAGCAAGGCTCTGGCCTTAAAGGTATTGGTGTCAAGGGTAAAGATCATGCCATTCCTGCAGATAGTATGATGGTTTCTTCAGGCGAGGACACAGACACTGAAAGCGAGGATGAACTAGATAAAGAATTATTCGGTGCCAAACCCAAGAAGCCTGAGGCCGTCGCGGCGTATGAGCAAAGCAAGAAGCAATCGTTGCAGCGAATGCCGGTCAAGAAGGTGAAACGCCACCGATCTGTCAAGGATATGCGTGCTCGACTGGCCCCAGATCTTTCTTCTCTTCACCATTCCATCCTATCGTGGGAATTCTTCGCAACTGGAGACCTTCCGCCTAGTTCAGGTCGTACGGACTATACTCTGGTTTCGAACGCCTTCCGTTCTCCCACGGACTACCAGAACACCTTTGAACCCTTGTTGATCCTCGAAGCCTGGCAGCAGTTCCAGCAGGCAAAGGAAGAAGGCTCGTTCCGGCCCTTTGAGGTCAAAGTGATGTCCCGCTTGACTGTGGACTCATGGATTGAGTTCAGCACCCAGCCAACCTCGCCGCCACCCAAGGATTTCAGCATAGGCGAAGGCGATCTTATTCTTTTTGGCAGCGCTCAGAGGCCGCATCAGGACCCCAATGCAGGACACGTGCTTGCTAGAGTTTGTGCCGTCAACCGGAAAGGTGGCAAACTTGAAGTAACCTACCGCATGAATCCTGGCAACAGCAAATTCCTCTCGTCCTTTGGTACCGGATCTACCACCTGGGGAGTCAAAGTGACCTCTTTGACCCCCGTGGAGCGAGAATATGGTGCTCTGATGGCGTTGCAGTACTACGATTTATGCGAAGAAATTGTCCTGGCTAAACCGTCGCCTATTCTCTCCTATGGAGACGCAAAGTTGCAACCTATCATGGATAACTACACTATTAACCGTGCCCAGGCCAAAGCTATAAAGTCGGCGTTGGACAACGATGCTTTTACTCTCATCCAGGGTCCGCCTGGTTCAGGAAAAACCAAAACGATTGTAGCTCTTGTCGGCAGCCTCCTGACCCACGTCCTCGGGAATGTTTCTATCTCTATTGGAACAGGATACAGCGCGGACCGTATTGCTCACTCAGCCTCTTCCAAGAAGATTCTACTGTGTGCGCCAAGCAATGCTGCTGTGGACGAACTTGTCATGCGTTTGAAGGAAGGAGTCAGAACCATTCATGGCCGTAATGAGAAAGTCTCGGTTCTTCGTCTAGGAAGAACTGACGCGATCAATTCTAAGGTGGTGGATGTGACTCTTGAGGAGATGGTTAACGCTCGTCTAAGTCAGGAACCTGCCGCAGGGAACAATGTCGATATACAGAAGCTGTATGATGAGCACAAGTCAGCCGATACTCGTTTCAAAGAAATCCGGGCCTCTCTGGATGATTGCAGGGCAAAGGGCCTCCCGGCGCCGGAGGAGCTTGAACGCGAATTTGAACTGATGAAAAAGAAGCGGTCTGATTTGAGTACAAAGATTGATAAAGCTCGCGATCAAGTCCACATGTTGGCTCGTAATGCTGATATGCACAAACGACGGATTCAGCAAGAGATCATCGATGGATCCCATGTTATTTGCACAACTCTGAGCGGTTCCGGCCACGAAATTTTCCAGTCCATGAACGTCGAATTTGAGACTGTAATCATTGATGAGGCTGCCCAGTGTATCGAGTTGAGTGCCTTGATTCCCTTGAAGTATGGCTGCTCCAAGTGTGTCCTTGTCGGTGATCCCAAGCAGCTTCCTCCTACTGTCCTATCGAAGATGGCATCTCAATTCCAGTACGAACAAAGTCTTTTCGTCCGCATGCAGAAAAACTACCCACAAGATGTTCATCTGCTGGACGTTCAGTACCGTATGCATCCGGCTATCAGCTGTTTTCCCAGCCTAACGTTCTACGAGGGCAAGCTGCAGGATGGCCCGGACATGGAAAAGCTTCGAAACCGCTCATGGCATCAAAGTGATTTGCTCAGTCCATACCGTTTCTTCGATGTTCAGGGCATGCATCAAAGTATGGCCAAGGGCCATTCCTTGGTGAACTATGCGGAGGTGCAAACTGCGATGCAACTTTACGACCGGCTGGTCACAGATGTCAAGGATTTCGACTTTTCGGGCAAGATTGGTATCATCACGCCTTACAAGGGTCAACTGAGAGAAATGAAGTCCCGTTTCGCAGATCGATACGGTGAGGAGATTCTCAAGACTATCGACTTCAATACTACCGACGCGTTCCAGGGTAGAGAAAGCGAAGTCATCATCTTCTCCTGTGTTCGTGCTTCAAATAAGGGTATTGGTTTCTTGGCTGATATCCGACGTATGAACGTCGGTCTCACTCGTGCTAAATCATCGCTCTGGGTTCTGGGCAACTCTCGCGCTCTGCAGCAGGGCCAGTTCTGGAACAAGCTTATCGAGAACGCGCGGGAACGCAATGTCTACACAGAAGGAAATATTTCCAAACTGCTGGAGCGGCCTCAATTCACAGGTTACAGGGAAGTCGACATGGTGGATGCCGACGCGTCAATTTCACCTCCGATCTCGAAGGAAAGCGCCTTGTCTTGTGAATTTCCTACGCCTTCTGCACCCTCGGAGCCCTCTATCTCTCGGTCGTCCTCTACTTCGATCAACTCTGACCAAGGATTGGCTCCGACATCTGCTATGGGACATGGCGCTCCCAATCCTCCTCCAGAAGGTCCCTCTGGCGGAGCTGTTGGATTGGACGAAACAAGGATGTGTGGAATTTGCGGCAGTGGTGAGCATTTTACCCATGGGTGTGACAATGCCGATGCCAAAGAAGCTGCTCGAGGCAAGTGTTTCCGGTGTGGTCAATTCGGTCACAATAAATCTGCCTGTACTGCAGATCGCTGTATGGAATGTGGCGAGTTCGGGCACAAGACTCTCAAGTGCACCACTACCAAGGCTCTCTCGAAGTTTGAAAAGTCCCGTCTCGCACAAGATGAGCGCAGATACCAGGATCAGCGGAAGCAAAACGTGGAGCGCCAACGCCAGCGACAGATGGGTGGCCACGATCCTAAGGTTCCAACTATTCAGGTTACTACCCACACTCCACCCGGCAGCGAGAATTCTGGCAGCAAGCGAAAACGCATCGACACTGCCTCCGACGCCCCTCAAGCCTCGCGACCTCGGACTGGCCCTTCCAATTCACTGGCTAATGCTCCAAAGGGTCCTCGAAATGCTGTTCCCCCTCCTGTATGCTAGGTCTTTCCCTTTGGTTTTCTAAAGTTTCAGACTCATGAATTCTTAGGGTCTTATCAAACCTTCTCGAGACGGCCCTGCATACTCTGCTGTCGCCAAAGGGCCCGTCATGGGCAATCCGCCATCAGGACCCCGCGCCCTTGAGGTAAGTTTTGTCCAATCATTCGTTTTAAATTCATCGTGCACGGCTTTTTAACGTCTATATCTAGGCCCCAAGAGGACCTGCACCCAAGCCCCGCCCTCCTATGCGTAAGAAAAAGGAAGCGGATCCCTTCATTCGGCCCAAGCAGAGACGCAACTAGCGAGGCCCACCGTGTCTCACCAGCTTATCTCACTGCGGATCCGAATTGGTCGTTGATCTCAGTCAGATCTTGTTTGTGGCTCTCTGTTTGTTTCTCTTTTTTTGATGTCTCGTTATTCTATCTTAGGGCTCCGCTGGGTTCTTTCGGCCCTGCTGACCTTTCTTCTTCCTTGACCACGTCACCCCCATACCCACATCAGTTCAGCATCCTCGGCCTTTTCTGTATCCATTCCCACCCTTCTTCCCGTGTCTTTATTCCTTTCTCCTTTCTCCTTTCCTTTCTTTACATATCCGGCGCTAGGCGCGACATCAGTTGAGAGCGGTAGACTCGTAATGGATCCGAGTCGGCTGCCTTCTCGACAACTTCCCCTCTCCCGGCATTGCAAGGCGTCTGTCTCCATGAACCCAATTCTGGGGGAGTACTCATGTACACACACATTACCTTCACATTAAGTTGCAATAAGCGAATCATTTTTGGAGCCAAGGAGTCTAATAAGGTTCTCCGGGGCATTGACCCGTTCTGTTATCCAATTTCCAATTTCCTGTGGACATATCAGAGTACCTAAAGTTCCTCTCTTCACCAACCATGCAATCATCCGATCACTCTGGGTGTAATGCAGGTAAATCTCCGGGCGGGCCCGTTGGTGGTTCTGGGACGGTCGCGTCCACGGTGACAGCGGGGAGTTGGGTAGGATGTGCAGTAGCGCGTGGGTGAACTTCCGGAGATTTCTACGTCCAGTGTTTGCTTTGCTACTTGTTTGAGTTCATCCCGTCTTCTCTTCGGTCCCATCAAGACTCAATTCTCAGGATGTGGCGCACTAGAGTTTCTCCATTCTTGCGATCTGACGGCCGCCGGGGAGACGATCCAGATGAACCCGATGAACCGAACCTGCAGATAGAACTTACAGGACGGGTCGGACCACCCAGAAGAAAATATCCAAGGGGCACTGTCCGTCTAGAAATCTTCATAGATTACTTCGGGTCCTGATGGGGACTGTGAAGGCGTAAATGTGGTAGATCAGAAAGACTGCAAGGGCGGTGGATCGGGAGAATCGATAGCCCACAATAGTCCACCCTTGGGATCTGTCGACATAATCAATTGGCATTTTGCTATTGACGTGCTTCATGGGGGTGAGCAGGCACTGGGTACGTCCATAATAAATTATCTGTAATTATGTATCTGGTTCTAGTGGCTGTGTCTTGAGGCGCGTTCTTCTTGTTTGTTGTTTGCCAAACCGGAGTTGGAGGTGGTTGTAATTGACATGTGACTTGGTCGGCTTGCGTGAACTTAGTCGGCACGTCCGTAACTTCTTCCGATTCTCTCGAATCCTATGTACCAATCCCAGAAATACTAGATCCATTCTTTTCGGCAGGCCTGTCAATTGTCAGCTTATCCACACAGACCCTACTGCCCTCCTCTTCAAGGTGGGCCAAGCTGCAGCTCATCTATGTGATCGACTGCTCGTACCCGCTCCGGGGATCCCTGGACTGTGGATCGACGTGGCCCCGGCTTCCGCGGTTGGACAGTGGACCTGACACCTCACATCCAGACATCGTTTACACTTTGACGAGAGAGGGGTGACCCAACTCATCGGGTCATAGGTTGACTGGCTTACTGAAGTGCTGGGGAGGGGAAGATGCCCCTTGCGTGTGTATTGAATGAAGAAGCAACGGGCGAGGGAAGGAGGCGCTTGCAGACGCTCTCAGCCCTGCATTGCCCGACACTGAACTGTCGCCATGCGAGAACTGGTTACACAACCATAGGCACAGTGTACGGAGTTCATCGTTGGCCTGCGGCGGCCCTCGAGGCGGATCCAATCATGACCTGCAGTCAGGGGCGGGCCCAGGCGAAATCGAAATGGTTTGCCAATCCCCACCAGCTGCTGTGTCATATTGCAAATTGTGGAGTTTGTGGAATTCCAATCGGTATACGAGTACATACATTCACTGTACATACAGAGTGCTCCACACAAGCATCCACGATGTATGGATACTGATGACTCCGAGATCCCGAACCACGATGTACCCAGCGTCGCACCAGGAAACTCCATGGACAACTGGAATCGAGCTGGTCCAGATCCAGTAGGGCGGTGGATTCTGGCGTGTTTGGAGAACTGAGCCGAGCAAACGCATTCCTTTGATGATCCTGCATTGGAACCCCGGTCGTCGTACTAATGATTTTAGCTTCAACCGTATCTGTGCCCTTTCCAGGTTATCTGCTTTCCGAAGGCGGGCCAAGTCGATGTACACACCCTCCTGCGTCTGGATCGACGAGAACAGGATCGGCCTTTGCCCCCCCTCCCCCCCCCACCTTCGGAGAGAAGATAGCTCAACTCTAGAATGACTTTGCTGGCTTTTAAAAACCGGGATTCCCTCCGTCTAAGGGTTTCGGTTCCTGGTTGCCTCGTCTCAGCTGGTCATCCAGTCCATTCTTTTGCTGGCTTCCAGCTTCCATTGACCCACAGACTGCCCATGCGTGATCGCACTGTACATAGTGGCTTGTCTTGTACATAGTACCTGTCATTCTGGGCCAGTTCTGGTCTCGCCTATATGTCCTGTGGCCTCAGTCGCTTCTTTTGTCCTCTCGAATAGGTGAGCTGGATTCCCAAACTATGACATTCAAAATGGGACATCTGACACCGAACACAGCCTTTACTTTACATGAACTGCCAATACTCAGACTCCCCTCATGAAAACCATCAGCCCGATTGCCAACGCAGCCAATTGATGCCCCTATGCATCATTGGGATTTAGTATATGATAGTGCCGTTGCACCGAGTCCCATTGTTCCGACGTATCGCCCAGATCCGCCTTCCAAACGTAAACTTTCCAACATGCCCTCATCAGTGTCTGGAACCGCAGACTCGGCCCCGTCGCGAGCGCTCATCCCCTCACGACCTCAAGTCTCTCCTCCAAGACCGCAAGCTCGCTCAGCTGGCATGGCGGAACGACCAGGTAGAAATGAAAATCTATCCGATCTTGTCCGCTTTTTTCAAACACAGAATGCGCCGGCACCTGTTTCCTCACCAATACCCACTCCTGCATCTCCGGATAATACCACCGCCCTGCCTATTGTCACAGAGTCTAAGGAGCCCATGGAACCTATGGAACCGAAGGGATTGAGCAAAGAAACGAAGCCTTTACACCGGCGACTGTTACATTTTACCCAGCGCCAGAAGAAGGAACCAACATCACGCTCTAAACTCGACGAAAAGCAACGGCAAATCGAGGCCCTTCAAAGAGAAGGGTATCTTCTTCCTAATTCGAAACCGAGGAGCACGCATTCATCCAAGACAAGTATCAGTTCAAAGAGCAGCCTGGAACGGACATTTTCCAGATCGAAAAGACAAGATGTCGAAACCATAGGCCAACCATGGTTGGAAAGCGACTTGAAAAAACTATCCAATGGGTCAAAACAACGCCTGGCCTCGCTCGACTTGAGCGACTTTGGCTCTATGGTCGATGTTGCTGTCTCGCTATCTTCTACATTTGACGATGCATCCCAGCCCACACATCGCCCGCCTCCCTCGAATATCCAGGTCTCTCCCAGTGATCAAAAGACTGGCTCAGAAGCCATATCTGCTCTTCCACCGTCGAAATCTTCCACAGACTCCGTGTCTCAAAGCAATCGACCAACATCACCTGCAATTGATGGAAAGGTCAGCAACCCAAGAGGAGATCATGCTCGGCAGTCTTCAAGCTCTAGTAACTTGAGCGTGCGGATTGTTGAATCCGACGTCAAGTTTACGGAAAAATTGCTTGATGTGAAGCTGGCCGGCACGAGAACAATAGCGATGTCCGACGAGTCGATCAAGCACGACGCAAGGCCGGCCCAGGTTGCGGACCAGCAAACACAGACACGAGCCTGCTCATCATCTAGTTCCAACGGGACGGCGCCTGCGCAGCCTTCTCTAAAGCTCTTCCCTGATGTTGCTCCGCCACGGATCTCGAGCAAAGGTGGTTGGAGAATTTCATCCGTGCCTCAATATCAACGACTGTCCAACTCACCTTCGATAACTGGCACTGATGCTCCAGTTGAAACATTGGAAACAGTCAAGCCAGCAGGTGGGAAGCAGAAGCTATCTGAAACTCATGCTATAGTTTCGCCTCAAGATGCTCAAGAACCTTGCTATTCTGGGGCCCCTGCTACTCCTGCTGTCTCCACTAAATTAGTCTCCGTGGAGCCTACGACAAAATCCAAGGCGAGTGCAAAATGTCAGACAAAATCTCGGCCACCATCCCTCGCAATGGGTACACTCCAAGCATTCCCTCTTCCGGCACCAACAAGGCCCCTGCCATCGATCCCGAAGCCCGGCCGACCGCCTCCCGCAGCCCCAGATGCCGACTCTCTTTCTACTATTCGCCCAGTACGCTCAGCCCTCAAAGCTGCTGACCTGCAGTCTTCCCAGCCCTCTCCTATCACCGAGCATCCTCATGAACTAGAAGATCGGCCTGCAACTGCCCTCGGCTATGTAAGGGAGGCAGAGTCTGAAGCAGATCATGACAGCGACATGTCAATTCATATTCAAGAGCGGCCAAAATCAACATCACCAGAGCAGAATACTCCTCGGCGACGGGCTTCGAGTCTTCGTATTCCTCGCATGCAGGATCTGCCAGAGAATTCTTTTGGACCTGACGACAGTATCCAAGAAGGACAGCCATTGGCTGATTCTCCTGTTCTGGGGCAAGTGACCCCGACCAAGCCGCATGGAAAGCGTGATTCGCGGAAAGAATTACAGATCAATTCTCGAGTTGATCGAAAGAATCTCCCATTTGGGCTCCCGTCGCCTCCCCCGACTGCCGCACTTCCTTCGGATCCCCCCTCGCATCCACTCGCTGAGCGCTCTCATGGTCACCGTAACTTTACTGCTCCTGTAGGGGCAGGAAGCCATCTGCTCAAAGGTGTTGAGCCCTCACTTGTGTCGTCTCATCGAAGCTCCATGGTATCTCGGAGCAACAGCTCCGGGAGCAGTCTGCGCCATGAAAGTATTCCCGAGTCATACGAACCAGACCGCTGCGAATCTCCTCTTCCATCTTCCGACGATGAAGGCTTTGGTCCGGTAGCCAATACTCAACGCCCACGCCATCATGTTGAAAAACACACGAAGCGAGTTCACCCGCTTCACCAAGGCTATGAAACTGTCGCTGCTCGCCCGAGCCATGGCCGTCTGCGCTATCCACACAACGCTCGATCCCAAACACCACAGGGCCGTAGTAGTCATAGCCTGGAAATCCCTACGTCCCCTCAGTCGACGTACTCTCAGTCCACTTACCGCTCGCGAGAATCACATAGCAATTATCGTTCTCAGTCAGGAGCGAACCATATGGCTCATTACTTGGAGGATCGCGTACTGAATCTGGAGCGCCAGAACCAAATTCTCCAGGCGGCTCTAATGGCGGCTCTTAACGCTGGCGGTAAGAGTCCCTTTGGAGACTTGAATGGGTCGCCAATTGCCTCAGGTTTTCCCGGCCCAGGCCATGCCAACCCCTATCACAATCGCTTTACGTCGCGCCCTGATAGCTGGGTGAGTTCTTCGCGCAGCAGTGAGCATGATGGGTTCGAAATACCCGGCGAGCATCGGGAGAATCGGGAGCATCGTGATCATCGCCCCAGCGTTCGCCAGCTAGATAATATGATCGAAGACATCGAGGGCGGGTGGATGTCGGACAAGTCGAATTTAAGTGGAGCTCGCATAGCGAGAACCCGCTGATACACTCAATCATTCCTTTACGTTATCCTTCTATTCTTGGGTTTGACACTCCTGGATCTCCCCTTCATGACTGACCACGATACATTGATTCAATCTTTCATCTGATGTTGATGATGCTCTCTCTACCTCTCTTTTTTTTCTACGATGATACCTCTTCTCTTTGGAATACAATGTTGCTTTTATTTTGGTCTTGAACACGTTAGACATTCGGCTTCAAAGCTATATACCCAATAATAATGTAATAATTCTATCATGCAATGAACATGATTTCAAACGGAAAGATGCAAGACAGTCTCATTAACGTCTTAAACTGAAGGGCAAACATTAGTTAGTTAACTCCTTAGCCATGTTATATGATTAGTCATCTGTGTTTGGCTCAAGTTCGAAAAGAACATTTAAAGTTCGAGCTTCAGGTCGCGTTTTCTTGGCTGGGAAAAGAAAGAGGGATCAGCTCTGTGTGACGCCCCGGATGCAGAGACCTGTCAAGGTCTAGCTTTCTGTTCTCATGTGCTATGAGCCACGAGTCTCACCGTGTCCTGTTGAACCAGCTGTGTCTCCCAACTCCGCCTCCCCACCGCCTGCGCCCACCTGTTCACAACAACATTCCCCAGCATGGCCAACCCCCCACAGGTAAGCGCGAAGATTTTGTCAATTCGGCATCCTACTGACCTTGTATGGAAGCAACGTACACAGCAAGTGCCTCACCATGTCACCGCGCTCCTTTCTCATCTCACCTCCCGCCCCGGAGTCCAGTCCACCCTGATTCTCTCGCGCAAAGACGGCTCCATCATCCAAAGCACCGGGCAGCTCGCTGCTCAGGAGACCAATAGCGCATCTCGTGCTGTACCACCCGCAGCTTCCGCTACAACCGATCCGAATCCGCTTGCCCAGCCTTCAGAGGCGCCCCCAGCCTCACCGGCGGCCTCAACCCCATATCAACCCTCCCAGGCCGAGACCCTAGCAGCGCATATCTTTAATTTTGTGTCAAGTGCCTCTGTGCTTGGAGTCTCATTGTCCCGGCCGATGACATCTTCAGCCAGCAATGAGCACAGCTCGACCACTTTAGACGGGGAGTATGAGTCCTACAGGAATGGAACGGGCACCAGCACCCCGCGGGAAAAGTATCAGGACGCAGAGACTGGGGACCGCGAGGAAGATGACGAGGTGAAGCTATTGCGCATGCGTACGCGAAAACATGAAATTGTCGTTGTGCCTGACCGCAAATACCTTCTCTGCGTAGTCCATGATACCGCAAGCGCGAATGCTGGTTCGATGACAGGGACTCGCTCATCGCGATAAATAGATGTTTCTCTGTTCTATTTCCTCATCTTTCTCCCTTTGTATGTGTTAACTGATGTCCTGGTGGCTGGTTTACTTCTGGATCATTCTTTTTTTGTGTCTTTTACTTTCTCTTGTTTCCTTTACATTTTCTTATTGTTCATTGTTATCTCATTGCGGGGCCTTGGGTTTGGAGTGTTCATACCGCATATACCCGATCGAAGCATGATTTTCACATTAGTTCAGAGCCTGATCGACGTCGATGTTGTGTATAGTGATGTTGCTATCACCTCTGGTTTCAAACTTCCAGTGTTAATAAATACGTCGCAGCTACCTTCTCTCCGTCCCCTACGGTACGACATGATTATGGAGTACACTTGATATAAATTAATTCCTAGGCACGCATCTTTTAGTTTCTGTTCTCAGTCAAATAAGGGCAGTCGGAACTCGGCCCGAGCCTATCAGAGCGAGACCCAGCCTGGGGAGGCATCGCAGCGGCCTGTCGCTTGTTTGAACGCTATCTATTGAAGAGTTCAAGTGAATGGGAACCTCTCCCCCGATCAAACCATTACATGGATCTGTTCATGGACAGTCCTATCCTATCTTGGCACCTCCACAGGAGATCATTACGTGTATAGGAACTCAAGCGTTGCTTGTCGGGCGGGGTAGATCCGATATCAATTTCCGCTTCAACCCCTCCCCCTTAGAGGGGACACGTACATATTCTAACCTCCCCCGGTCAATTCCTCAATACCTCCATATCTCTACAGGATGGCTTCTGCTTTCGATGTGACCAAGGCCCGTGCTCAATTCCCGGCGTTGCAGGGGGAGCAGGTGTATATGGATAATGCAGGTAGGTATTTGTTTAGCAGCCCCCGAATATGAAACAAGCCCCGTTCCCGACCTGCAACCACGATCGAATTTACATACTTGCTAACCGTATGTATAGGAGGAAGTCAAGTTCTGGGGACCGTGGCAGATTCGTCAGTTGTGATTATCATTCCCTCTTATCCATGCTCACACGTTAGTTATAGGATCCGATCATACTTGCTGAACACCAACGTTCAGCTTGGAGCAACGTACCCAGTCGCCCGAACATCGACGGCGGCACAAGCAGATGCGTATAAGGCCGCGGCGAGTTTCATCAATGCGAAGCCAGAAGAGGTGATTGTTCTTCTACTCTCCACCGTCCTCGACGGCGGCTACTCTTGCTGCTCATCAACGAGTCTACTGCAAGAAAAACAAGAAAAGGGAGAGAGGAATTGTTCTGATATTTTTCTCCATGACTAGATCAACATTGGCATATCAACAACTCAGCTCCTCCATAACCTTTCCACAGCTCTCCAGTTCGCGCCGGGAGATGAACTAGTGGTATCCAAGCTCAACCATGAAGCCAACAGCGCGCCTTGGGTCCGGGTTGCCGAGCGTCTGGGCCTAACGGTGAAGTGGTGGGCATCCTCAGATCCCACAAATCCCACTTGTGATGTCACGGAACTGAAGACGCTATTGTCAGCGAAGACCAGGCTGGTGGCCTGTCCGCATGCTTCAAACATCACCGGCACCATCAGTCCCATTCGGGCCATCGCTGATGCCGTTCACTCCTTCCCTCGGGTGAGTATCCACCAGGCCATTTACGGATGAGCTTTGATCGGAGGACAGTCAATAGATGATGCTGATCTTATAGCCAAGGCCCTGCTCTGCGTCGATGGCGTGGCTCTTGCACCTCATCGCCAAGTGGACGTAAAAGCCCTCGGAGCTGACTTCTACGTAAGGAAAGCGCCTCTTGGGCCGCTCCTCCTCCCCTTGAGAGGCCATGGTGACTCATTATGATGCTCTTTGCTGAAACATTCTCTGCAACCTTCCAGGCATTTTCTTGGTACAAGGTGTACGGTCCCCATGTGGCCCAGCTCTATGCATCGGCGCATGTGCACGACCAAATTGACTCACTGGCGCATTTCTTTAAGCCCACCGATACGCTAGACCTCAAGCTCAACCTCGCGTCGGCCAATTACGAACTGACTCAGAGTCTTCCGGCCGTCGTCGCGTATTTCGGGGTCAACGCAAGTGCGACGTGGGTCGAGATGGCCAGGCACGAGGAGCGCCTACAGCAGATCTTGCTCCAATTCCTGACGTCAGACGACCGGATCACGATCATTGGGGAGCCCTCACCTCGTCAAGATCTCCGGGTGCCAGTCATCAGCTTCGTGGTCCGTGGTGTGAGGAGCCAGCAGGTGGTGGAGGCAGTCGAACGTCGGTCCCAGTATGGGTTCCGGAGTGGCCACATGTACAGTCACCGACTGCTCCGGGAAGTATGTGACCTGGCCGATGTGGAGGACGGGGTGGTCCGGGTGAGCTTCTTGCATTACAACACTGGTAGGTCGCCGTCGATGGTTCCGGTCCTCTCCCTGACTTCATCGACGAGGTGCTAACCAGGCAACCAGAGGCGGAGGTGCAAGGACTCGTGACCGTCCTCCAGGCGGTGTTAGTGGAAATCCTCTAATTCCCGAGTTTCCATGGATGCAGTAGGCCCTCGTGGCGTACCAATGGTACCATAATTATCTAGTGTCATAGTTCCATAGTCCCGGAGGTCTTCTCCTCTTGTCCCGCTGTCGGGGCCCGGGGATCGCGGGTGGGTTGTATAATGACTCATCCGTCCGGCGGCAATTGGTAGAACATTGAATGCTACTGTAGTTCCCTTCGGGGGACTGAATGACCATCTCCGCTGACGAATTCTCTGTGTATCTCTGGCAACGGGAGCCTTTTTCCCGGTCAGCTCTTTTCTATCAGGGAGACTACCTTATCTCGAGGAGTATACGGTCGTCTCCAATGTCAACAGACAGATTTGTCCGGAGTAGAGATAGAGAGAGCGAGAAAGTCGCCATGCGGGTCCCGGACGCCGGACACCGCCGATATCGTATATCGTCTATCGTCCCTTGCGATTGCGGCCTTCAATAGAGAGATAAAGTTCTCTGTAAAGATAGACAAGGGGACTAGCCGATGAGCTGCCGTGCGTCCTTGTCAGCTGCATCCAAAGCCTCCTCGTTTCCCCCTCGTCTGATTGGAAAATACGAGGTGGGCGATACACCGGGGCTGCGCCCGCGCTAGAACAACAATCATACTATTAATCCTATAATCGTACTAGTTCACATCGTCATCGGAATACAGCCGAGGGTTTTTATTGGGCCGTCAGAGCAAGTCAGGCTCGCAGCCCGGCCTAAACCCTGTCCAGTCTGAGCTGGCCCTGTCGGCAGTTCAGATGATGTACATGACTGACTGGAACCCCCAACCATGTTCCTTGGCAGTTCCTGTTTGGGCATCGCTGGACATAGTCCCATCGGCCAAGCCAGTGTCAAGCATCGAGCAGGGGCCCGTACTTTCTCCATGCAGAGACTTCTGTTCCGTATGCACGGTTGCTCCGCCTGTGGACGCGCTTGCTCGCCTGCAATGCAGTTCGGTGTAGGGCGACAGGGCTGGGCAAGGACGGCGTCATTTATGATTATTATCATGATTATTATTATTTTCTGTCCGGCTCCCAATCCGCCGGGAAGAGGGGAGGGGAGGCCTACATAGATGGCGGGGACTCCGCTTGGGAATCCGCCTGATAGAGATGCTCCCGGGATGGAATCTGGAGAAGGAATAGTTAGTGACATAGCTAGTGACATAGCTAGTGAAGCCTGGTGGAACCCTCGACTGGAGCCTTGGACAGCGTAAAAGAACCCTGAAGATATCAGAGGGGGTACAACCTCAACGTTGTCTGGGCAGGCGACTACTTGGCCGGGCGGCTATTGAGGGGTTGAGGGCGACAGATTCCCATAAACATAGACAATAAGATTTCAACAACAGAGAAACTAGAGAAACCTACCGATGCTCCCCCTACACCCCCTCTCTCCTCTCTGCGCCAGGACCATGGACCAGAGCTGTGGCCCAGGGCTGGTTTCTCGGACGGTCAAGTTGTCACGCAGTGGCCCGACAGGCAACTGTCCCAGCGCGCGCCGATCGGAGGCGGCGTTCCAGCAGCTGGCGGGCAGGGGATGATTCAGAAGCCAATCAACGGCCGATGAATGCCGTGAATCAGCCGTGAAAGTGGGGAGGGACGAGAACAAGCCCGGGAACCGGCCGATGCGGATTGGTGGAGAGGTCGAGAGGTGGAGAAGGGGGGATGTGGTGCGAAGAACAGCGTGGCAAAGGGCTGGGACCAGAGTGTTGACTGGAGGGGGCTGTGGGTTTCTGTCTTGTACCCTAGAGGGGAACAGAAGAGAGAGAGAGAGAGAGAGAGAGAGAGGCAGAAGAAGCAATGAGTCAAGAAGAGGCAAAAAATATGAGGGATCAGGGATTCCTGCGCTACACACACACACTCTCTCTCTCTGCCTCCTTTTCTCATCAGTTGATCACGGGACTACTATTGGGAGGATTTGAAGGAAGTCCATCAGAAGTCCCGTCGTGGTATATATAATGGCGTATCTGAAGGATCTAGTAAGATGGTCGATATCTAGAGGAGTATCTCTAGAATATGGTATATGCTCATATGAGATAGTATATCTACGATTTCGTCGGTTTCAGAGACTGTATTATAGTATACACCCACCCTTGATCTGATAGTTCTTGTGTATCGAGTGGCGATATTGGGCGTTTAGGTCTTGTCGACCGAACTCCTATTGATGACTGGATTCTTGCGCACACTCTCGATCTCTTTACACCTCTCTCTCTCTCTGTGTGTGTCTCTTGATGGTGCACTTGAGTCCGGGACGGAGCCACCGTGTCAACCACACCACCTCGGCCGCATCCGGAGGACCCAGAGGATCGAGATCGAGATAGAGAGCGATGATTACTACATATTAAAGATAGTTCGAGAAATCCTCCGAACAATAGGACGCATGATAGATCGGGAGACCGGATCCTTTCTTGGTTTTTTTTTTTTTTTGTTCTTAATTTATGTACCTTGTATTTTTTTTGCTTCCTCTGATCGAGTGTAGAGGAGGATAGAGTTCAGATCCGACGTCCAAGCCCCCAGCCCGCGCCCGGAGTTGGGGTCCCGTCTTCGCCTCCTTCGCCACAATGTATGACTCCCCATGAAAAATCAAATCACCGGCATCCCTGCCCGACCGTCTTTGCCCACTCCTAGAGAGCCCTGCTGGTCTGCTGGTCTGCTGGTCTGCTAGTCTTCTTGCTATTTTGATCTGCTTGGATTAGTCGTATTGTCCGTATCCGAGAGTTCGATTCTGCTCTAATTCGGGGGGTTCTCCGTGTTCCGGGCCAACGAGTCATCCCGGCGTTCTCCCCCCGGCCGTTGTACCCAAGTGGCACCGCGACCACCGCGACCACCGAACCCAACCAGCCCAGCCCGGCGTCGGGAGCCTAAAAAAAGCCCCCCCACCCTGAAAGTCGCCCCTCTGGCGACTCTTGGACTCTTGACTGGGACTCTTGACTCTGACTCTGACTCTGACTCTTCGCCCTTTCCGCCTTCCGTCTCCGCCCAACCTTCTCTCTCTCTCCTCTTCTCTTCCCCTTCCAGTTCCACCTCTTACTCATCCCAGACTCCTCGTGACTCTTCGTCCATCTCTCCTCTCTCTTTTTCATCTTCCACACTTCCAACTATCCTTCCCCTCCGATCCCGCGCTTCGCCCCCAATCCGCCTCTGCCCTCCCCCCCCCCAACAAAACTCCCCGTTCACCTCCGCTGCCTGGTCAATCCACCTCGCCTGCCTTGACAAGCATACTCTTCCCCGAGTCTGCCTGTTGATGCTCCGCTAGGTGCCTTGACCATCTTCCACCCGAGCCTCATCCCCCAAAATGTATACTGCGTCCTCCGTCCCGATCGCCCGTCTCGCTATCGTCGATTCCTTTTCCGCTGGTTCCGTCCGTGTCATCTAAACTCCTCCCCCGATCACCGGAATTTAAACGCGATTCGAGTCATCCTCTCAGCGTTGCCACCCAGTTCGATTGATAGCCAGAGACGGTGCGATCGGTGTCGCTCGGATATCTCCCTTTCTCCCTCCTACACTTGGATTCCCGCGACGCCTTCTTCCTCTGTGCCTCTGACTCCCCTTTGACTCTTTGCCCGTTTGTGCCATCCCACCTGATATCCCCCTCCCCCAAATCTTCTCTTGTACCTGCTTTGCCTCTCGCCCCCCTCGTGCCTGATTATATTCCCCCTCTGCTCTTTTGACGACGGTTTTCTTTCTATCAACGACCCTCTGCTTTCCTGTTCTTCCCTGTTCTTCCCTCCCTCCGACCTCCCCCCCTCTACACTTAACACTCCACCAGGATCTCCTCGCGACGAGAAGATCTCTTCGGCCGGCGCCCCTCATTCCCCATTCCCTTTTCTCTCTGACCCTACGTATTAATCTCCTACGGTGTCAATCTGGCGCTTCTCCACGTTTAAAAGGCTTTGCCGTCGCCTCCCACACCAAGACGGCTTCTGTCTCCTCGGCCTTCGTTCCCGGTTCCCTGTTAAACGGTACTCTTGACAACTTGACGGTTCCAAATCGGACCATCTCCCTCGAAATTCCCGGTGTGGCACTTTTTTATTAGTCGTCAAGACTTCATGAATCCTACCGCGCCGCCGGATATGTCGGGGATGGACGCCTTGGGTTTGCACATGTCGAACCCGAGCTCAAAAGCGTCCCACGCTCACCCCTATGCCTCCTCGATCGCCTCTTCGGCCTCTTCGTCTTCCTCGTCCGTCTTCTCGCTCGATGCCTCGCAAAGTTCGATCTCGTCCACGGCAACCAACCCTGTCGATGTGATCTGGGAAGATGGAGAGACTCCGCTGGGGCGAACCAACCCGGGCGGTCCCGCTTGCCCTCGTGCCTTTGTAAAGGGCCTCCTGCCCAAAGCCGATAATGGTGTGGTGCCCCCCGAGCTTCGTATGCATCCTCGACGCACCGCCTGTGTCGCGAACAATCAAGCGGCAGCGCGGCCTCCGCCTTGTCTGCTCCGACAGTCTGAGCGGAAAGTGAATTTTGTCGATAATCTCGTCGGTAAGTTTGGGCCGGAAATTGAATCCGCATCCTCCGTTCTTCTCTTCTGAAGTCAAAAAAGTTCCTGTCCCGCTAAATTCTTGCCTTCTTTTGTGCGCTCCGTCTTTGAAGATACGGCGTCACAGATTGTTGAAAACATTTGGCCGCTGTCCGCCGCGGCATCCCGTAGCGATGCCACGACGGGCGCCAAGGGGGTTCTCCCCCTCCGGACGTTCATTCAGGAAACGCTCCGTCGTTCGCGTACTAGCTATAGCACCCTGCAGGTGGCTTTGTATTATTTGATTAAAATCAAACCGCACGTGCCCTCGCATGACTTCACCAAGGAGCAACCTCGGGATCAGTCATCTATGCGCGCTATGCAGTGTGGTCGTCGCATGTTCCTGGCGGCGCTGATCCTCGCCTCGAAGTATTTGCAGGATCGCAACTACTCGGCCCGCGCCTGGAGTAAGATCTCCGGCCTGAACACCTTGGAGATCAACCAAAATGAGTTGATGTTCCTGGAAGCCGTGCAGTGGCGCTTGCACATCTCCGAGGCGACTTTTCAGCGGTGGACCGATCTGGTCCTGAAACTGACCCCCGGTGCCGGTGGTCCTCCGATTGGAGAGGGTCAGTGCTGGCGGACGGTGCTCCCCGTCTCACCCCGGAATTGGCGCCGCTCGACCTGGAGCCGATGACCCCGGCTTTGGTGATGGGTGGCATGGAGTTGGCCCCGGCCGACTCACCGTCGCCACGCAGTGCGGCGAGTCTCGAGTCCATTCGCTTGACTTCACGCGAACCGACCCCGACCTGCCCGCGGAGCCTGCCCCAGACCATGGAGCCGACACCGCGCATGGAGGGTATGAACTTACCCATGCCGACGATCCCCCGGCCGCAGCTACTGCCGACCCCTCAGATGACCCCGCAGCCGCATGCTGCCTGCACTCCTGCTGCGAGTGTGACAGCATGTGGATCCCGCCGTCCATCCATCGGCACGGCAATGTCCCAGGCGCAGAATTTGGGAATGGCGCGCTCGACTTTGGATCAGCGCCCGCCGCTCTCGTTCTACCCTCGGGTGCATTCCTACGATGGCTACCCGGCCATGGTTCGTCGGTCGTCACTGGCCCGGTCGACCTCGTCGGCCTCCTCGCCGGATTCGATGGTCTCGGATGTGTCAACTGTCTCGACTGCGTCTTCCCGCTCCTCGCGGTCGTCCTCGGTCTCCTCCAACGCCTCAGGCGCTGGAATTTTGGCCCCGCGGTTGGCCGTCAAGGCCACTTTGCGCTGCACCACCAACTCTTTGAAGGAGAGCCGCAAGAATTTGACAATTGCTTCTCCCGTTGATGAGAGTGCCCTGGTCGATCTCTACAACTCCCCAGATGCGTATCCCGGTGCTCTAGGCAGCGGCCCAGATCTGTCGAGCTTTCCCCTCGACTCGAGCCTGAGCGAGGCTGCCCAGAGTCTCTGTGAGCTCTCAGGTGCGACACCGGAACGGCGCCAGTGCCGCAAGCGCGGGCGTACGGGATCGGACGACCAGCTTCTCCAGAGCCACGTTCGCCATCTGATCGATGCGGGTGCCTCCGGTCATCCTTTCGTGCTTCCTGATGGGTATCTGGCGAACTCCTTCCTGGTTCCGGGCGCTTCCTCGCTGTCCGGACCCGCTGGTATGAAGCGGGCTTGCTGCGGAAGCGAAGCGCGCAAGATTGCTCTGAACCCGAGCATCCGCGCCGACTTCCTGAACTGAAATGGACTGGTGCTTATGGATTTTCCTTTGTGGTGTCTAGAAAAAGCCCGTCTTTTTTTAATTTCTGTTATCTGTTGATTGTTTGGATTTGGATCAAATAATTATTTTCCTTATCCTTCACCTCTTTGGCGACCGAACCCGAGCTGGATGTCTCTTTTGTACATACCCTCCAGAACTCCGTTGAACTTGGCCGGGATTTCTCTTCGGTCGCCGTGCGAGCCGCAAAAGTGCCTTGCAAACGTGTACGATGTACCTGGTTTCTTAGGTTCCCTCGTCATCCTCCTTTCACTTTTGATTTACTTTTTCTATTCTTCTTGGTTTTTGCGCACGGAGTGTGGTGGGCATGGGACGGTTTGTTACTTTATTTACCCTATTTGGAGCCTCTGGTTCCGCCTGTTACTTTGGTGCTTGCTTCTGGGTGGCGTGGAATACGGCGAAGGTGAACTCGACCTGTACTACGTCTTCTCTTCCGAGCATCTCCGATGGCGCTCTGGCGCAATGTCGGTGTTTATGCATCGGGTATCAGGAGATTCGGCGTCTGGAGCCGAAAGCATCGCATCTACGGATAGTCAATCGTACAGTTCTTGGATCGGAATCCTCTCTTGTTTTGTTTTGTTTTATTTTTCTTCCTGTTCCACATTCTCCTGCCATTTCGTATTCCTAGGTAGACTCGTAGGCAGGTGGTCGCTTGGCAGGAGGCTGATTTGCCTGCGGTGACTCATCGACGCAAGCGGTTTCCTCCGGTCTCGGATATAGTGTGGCGCAAGTGTGGCAATCTCACTGACCGGCTTGGTTAACGCCTGCGTTGCTGCTTATAAAGGGAGCACAAACATGTCGCCGGGCTGGTTGGGTAATGATAATATGGGCTGTGGCAGACAGTGGTGTATTGATGCATACTTTCATTGCTCTCCTAAATACTATCTATGTATACTAACTATCGCTGTTGCTCGAACGACGCCGCACCGTGAAGCTTTTAGTGGTCTGCGGAGTTGAATATTCCGACCGAGTCGCTCCCCATTGGGCCAACAACCAACTATGATTGTCTAGTTCTGCATGATTCCATGTAGGCGCCGGCCGTGTGACTGTGGGTGATGCTCTCAAGGGCCGTTCTCGAGGGTACTAACTTCCTTGCAGGACACCCAGCATATTCCAAATCTAGGTAGCAAATCTCATCATACTTGTCTAATTTTTCTTTGGTTGTTCTACTCGCCTGCTAGTTAGATATTCCCCGTAGGAGGTTGTCGGGGTAGAACTCCAGTCAGTAGTGGTGCCCCCCCTTTCCGCCGGAGCCCACTTAGTGCACTAGAGAGAAAGTGCCATCTGATAAGATCAGGCGACGCAATACCCGCCGTCTCCGATTTCTCCGCACTTCGTGCTCTCGTCCTTCTTTCGCCTTCGACACTCACCTCCCTTTCCCTCTGCTTCTACATAGCTCCTCTGGAAACACTACTCTTGTCAACTAGGTGAATGTCCCCTCGTGCCACCATCATGGTTCTCCGACCCCCCGTTGCGGGGATGATTGCCTTGTGCTTGTTTACCGCCTGCAGCTCGATCTCGGCCTCGGCCATTCCGCACACCAACAGTCACCTGCAGGCTGTTTTCAACCACGCCGATGATGCACCTGCACAACTTGCTCTAGACTCGCTGGACTCTACATCGTTTGAGATCGAGGATGTAGACGCCGAGACCGACACTTGGGGCCGTCCTTCCTGGTTCACTTCCGCGCTTATGGCCCGCCGCTTGCTCGCGCTCTCTCCCTCCGGCGTTATCTCGACTGTCTTTCCTGACACCATTCCGCCCTCCTCTCGCACCCCATCGTCTGTTGCTGGTTTACCTATCGGCCTGCGGGAATACATCGCTGACTGTGACGGGACCCTTCCGACAGATCTGTCGCATGGGGACAACGGTGACCCCACCATCCTCGCGCTGCGGGTCGCAACCACCTTTAAAAACATCGGTGCTGGCTCCAATCTCAGTCTCGAGCTGGACTGGTGGGACCACCTCGTCGAGGCGGGGCCCGTTTACCCCGGACTGCCCCCAAGCCCGGCCGCTCTCCCTCGAATCACCTTGTTCGGCTATCTTGATACCATCCCCGAACTGTCGACCTCGGCGACTGCTCGACTGGAAAATTGCTTCTTGAAGTCTCATCCCGACGCAAAAGTTTGGCTCCCCGGCGCGTCGGGCTCTCCGCATGCCAGCTTCTGGGCTCGGTTGGTCGTCACCCAGGCCTACTGGATCGGTGGATTTGGTGATGTCCAGCAGATTGGATGGATGAATGTGACGGAATGGAAGAGTATCCGCCAGTACGGCACCGTGAACGGAGTGGGCGATGGACGTGGGTGGGACGACGTGCGACTGCCAGGAGAGAAGGCATGAGCAGGAGATGTTTTTCCCATGTTCCAATGATATGAGACGGCCTGAAATACCCTTGAAGCGAGGGCGTGCCTACGCTATGACCTGTTGACTTAATTTTGTTTTTCATTTACTCTTTTTGACTTAAAGACCTTTGGTGATAGGCCTTGTCCGGCGTAATCCTGCAGTTCGGGCAATATCATTCGCTCGCGGGCTTATCAGTTGCTGCCGCTGTTGCTTGGCTGGCAGGGATGCTTATCAGTGCGCGCTGGAGGATCCGTGGACTTGAAGCTAAGGTTATCTGCTTATCTGCTTATCGATCAAAGGGTCATCGAGTGCACATTTAACTACTCCGAACAACGTGCATTTCTTGACACTTGACTGTGTGGGACTCTCAGTTACTTTCTTGCATCTCCTGGCCCCCTGGCTCGTGCATTGTAGGTCTTGCATGAGTGTCACCCTAATTTCATGCGTGCTTTTGTTTGTTCTCCTCCCCCCGCTTCCCTTTATAGATCCCAATCCATCCTCTCTCTTCCCAGCGTCGAGCCATGCACCTCTCTTGGCCCCATCTGCGTGTCTCCCAGGGGCAATCCGCCTTTGCGGAGGGTAATGCACGATGGACAAATCGTGATTTGGACCCAATCCCATTGCTGGCTCGCAAATGGGGAGTTGCCAGCTTGATAGGTAAGAGAAGACTCGAAGAAACTCGCCGAGCCGCCATCGTCTAATTCCCAGCTGCTATCCCTAGCCTACTGGATCTCCGACGCCTTCAATGCAGCAACATGGCAATTCGCTAGCAGTATGATCGCAGTTGGTCTGAGCTATCGTGAGGCTCTTGCTATCGTGGCCATCTCGTTTTTTATCATGTCTTTCGTGATCGCAGGCAACGGCGCGGTCGGCGCCATCTACCATGTCCCCTTCCCGGTGATTGCTCGGGCCAGCTGGGGATTCTGGGGCTCATATATTGCCATCATTTCTCGTGTCATTCTTGCGATCTTCTGGTTTGCCATCCAGAACGTGAACGGGGGGAATGCCGTCCGTGTCATGCTCGGGGCCATCTGGCCTAGCTACTTGACCCTTCATAACGGTATTCCCGAGTCACAAGGGATCACAACGAATGGCATGATTGGGTTTTTGATTTTCTGGATTATCCAGTTCCCTTTCTTGTGCATGCATCCGAATAAATTGCGTTGGCTCTTCACTGTGAAGTCCGTGTTGGTCCCTATTGCGTGGATTGCAATTTTGATCTGGGCGTTTGTGGCTGAAAGGGGTGGTGGTGGTATTTTCCAACAGCAGACAGCTTCAGTGTCAGGATCGAAGTATAGCTGGCTGTTCCTGGCGAACATGACATCAGTACTGGGAAACTATGCCACGCTCAGCGTGAACCAGGTACGTTCCGACCCTTTTACTACACGATCCCGATATCCAGAGACGATGGGACTAAATCATTGTCAAATTTCTAGTCAGATTTCTCTCGCTACTCTCGTGTCAGCCCCCGTTGGCAACTACTCTACATCCCCATGCTCCCCATCGTCTTCACCTTTATCTCCTTCATCGGCATTGCCGCTTCCTCCGCCGGCCAATCTCACTACAACATCGCCTCAATTCCATGGGACCCGACCGTCCTGATCAGTTACTGGCCCAATCGCGCCTGTCGCTTTTTCGGCGGATTTTCCTTTGCACTCGCTTCGTTGGGTGTTAATATTTCTGCCAACTCTCTTTCGGCGGCCAATGACTTTACCGCGCTGGCACCCGAAGTTATCAACATCCGCCGCGGCCAGATTCTCTGCGCTCTCTTATCGTGGGCGCTTGTGCCATGGAAGATCCTCGAGTCCGCAGGGAACTTCCTGACCTTCATGTCAGCGTACGCGATCTTCCTGGGTCCTATCGCTTCCATTATGTTGTTCGACTTTTGGGTCGTTAATCGCCGCAAATACGATACTCTGGCACTGTATCAGCCATGGAACCCGATTTATCGCTATACCTGGAAGGTTTCCTTCTTAACGGGCAAATCATTGTCCGGGTTTAACTGGCGTGCCATTGCTGCTTTTCTCATCGGCGTGGCGCCGAATCTCCCGGGCTTGATCAATGCCGTCAACTCCAATATCGATGTCGGGGTTGGGGTCCATCCGTACCAGTTCGGATGGCTACTGGGATTTTTTGCAACTTCGATCATCTACCTTGGTCTATCCTGGATGTTCCCGGTACAGGAGACTCAACTTGATCGTGCTGTTCTCCCTGATGAAATATATGAAGACCGTGGAATTGTGGTGGAAGGTGTAGATGGAGAAACTTCTGATCACTCGCACGCCCCTCAAGGTGAAAAGAAAGATTTAAATGGGTTTGCGTCTTCCATGACGGTTGTTTAGAAGAAATTTGATCAGTATCTATCGCGTTTTTGTTGAATTTGAAATTATTGGCATGGAATGTTTACAAATTTGAATGAGCAGTTTCACTTTAATTCCTTGTACATGATTGATGCAGTTTATACATACAGTTATATTTCCTGAAGTGTAGAGATTCTTGTATAAGATCGGTATGTCCTCGTAGGCTGCTATCTTCTTATTCAAAACCTAGGGTGAGTCTTAACTGTACTTCTTTTTGGGGGAGCTGGCATTTCCTCATGTCTTTGAAACGTGGAAGCTGTTACCTCCAATTCTATAAAGGGGGTATGACATGGCCCTTCAGAATGCTTCAAAAATACCCCTGGGTGTTCATGATATCATGGATCCGGATGGTGTGCGAGCGTCCTTTGAGGTTTATTGCGGATCCTGGGGCACGCATGCGAGAAGGAATGTAAAAGCCCCTTTTCGATGGCTCTGCCCCAAGTCTCTCATATCATACATCAGAGTGGTAGATGTGACCATGTAGTGACAAGTAGGACAGGTACTCTGATTTCAAGGCCCCGGCCCATATGCTAAGGTTCCTTTTAGCACTTTGCTTACGCCAGATGAGGCGCGGCCAAGCTCACCACCCTCTTCTCGAGCGCTCCTCAGTCCACGCTCAATAGCTGGCAAGAAGCGAGTCGAGAAAACCCGATAGCGGTCCTCGCGGGTTTCATACATCTCGCCCTCCTCATCACGTGGCTGACCAAATAAATTCAAGTACGCATACGGTGCGGACGACTCGGAGATCATATGCTGATTTGTCTGACAGAGTGGGAAGACCCAGGCCGCAGATCCATTGTCCTGTTCTGATTCGTTCTCGGCGGACACCCCCGGCTGTCCAACGCCAGCATCCAAGAATTCCGCCAACGTCCCGAGGACTTTCACCATAGGTCTTCCCTGGCTCCCAGACTTTCCGAATGATGCCCGGTTGGAGGACCATCGCGCAGACTCTTCCGTGTGCCACCCCAGCATCGACAGAAAACAGTTCAGGGTCTTGATCCACCCTCCGGCGCAGGAAACCACCGCTTCGCCCGCGGCATCCACCATCCACGATAAAATCTCCACTGCGGACACACGAATATCCGCTGCAAGATGCGTCATACCAGCACGGATGTATGGCAGAAGCTGGGCGACGTGATCTTCTACGTCATTACGAGGAAGGGTTCGCAGAAGCTTGAGCAACTGTGTCCGTACATTGTTGTTTGCGTCGAGAATCAGCGGAAGCAGGGACGGAAGCATCACACTGACTGGCTGTGGAAGGGGAGAATCAACTGGTCGTGAGGCGATAGATGTGGTCAGATGGGCCAGGGAATCACGTCGTTGGTTGTCTGACTTGGAAGAGAGGAGGGAGAGGTGGTGCGTGAACTGGCTGTTGGAGGATGGGGCAGAAATCTGAAGGGATTGTTGATTGAGGACAATGGCTGAATAGAAGTCAGCACGCGCACTGCGTTGAATTTATCCGTGACATCGAGATGGCTTCGAGCATACCTTTAGATCGGAAGCTGGTGTCGGTGAAGTTCTCTGGTTTCGCCTTGGCCTTGCCGACCTTGAGCTTGGGTTTCTGTTGAAGAGATTAGCAAGCCAGTCGGTAAAGGAGCAATCAATCCTGACCTGAAAATCCTTCTGCTTCTCCTTCTTTCGCTTTGCACTGGCCCCCATGATTGCAATTATGATTGGCTTCTCTGAGAGGAAGACCGTCAGTCGCGGGAACTTTTTTGAGCGACAATGTATATCAGCACGTGATGTTGATAACTGCCTCAGGCATAACTTGATTTCCTGAAATGGAAGTCCTTGTTGATTGCTGTTTCTCGAGTTGCTCCGACAGATTTAAAGTAGTCTTGCTGGCATAACTCATTGATATACATAGTTTTCATATTACTCTGTAGAAGTTAGTAAGATTGTTTGATAGTAAATCTGCCATGGCAAGATTAGCAACTAGCTGGTATTGATATCAAGGCTGCTTCTACGATCCAGATGAACTAAATATTTTTGAGATGTATTCTATACCGTTTTCAATGGTAACAAGAAATCTGAAAACTCTGAATATTTGTTAAGGAGAAAGACTGAATTGATATGTCAGAAGCCTCTCACACAGTTCGTAGCATCTCAGAGAGGGTATCTACCGCAAGTAGCGTCACGCCCGCTAGATACGCGCCGACCATCCGATCACGGCGCTTGTGAGCGCGTCTTCCTTTCCTCCAAGCCACGATGGAAATTCCGCTGGACAATTTCCTCCATCATTAACCCATATAATATATTATTTGCTTACCTCCGAGCTTCCCTGTCAATTTTCAGCCATGTTTAATCGCCTGGGCGGAGCAGAGAAACAGCGTCGAGGAATGCACCTGCTCTCTCTCCGCGAAGTCCCCGCCTGGGTTGATGCGAACCCGTTTATCCTGTCTGGGTATCGTCCAGAGAGTCAGTCCTGGGTGCAATCTCTGGCCAGTTGGACATATCCACATAATGAAACGTGCAACATCTATTCACACCTGGTGCCGGGTTTGATCCTGGCCTTGGGGTTGGGGATCGCGGGCCTGGACTTATACACCCTTGACGGGGCCATTATAGCACTCCACCTCACGACAGCCATTGTGTGTTTGTCAGCATCGACATTCTACCATACCGTTCTGAATCACTCCGAGCAGGTCGCCAGCCTCTGGTTGAATTTGGACTATGTCGGTATTCTGGTTCTCACCCTAGGCAACTTCATCAGCGGACTACACTTTGCTTTCTATTGTGATCCGCAGCTCAAATTACTGTATTGGTCAAGTGTAGGTGTTCATGGGGAAGGCACCGACCCTGTCATTTTCATAAAGGAGATTTATGATTTCTAACTCTGGAATTTCATTATCAGATCATTGCCGCTAGTGCTGGCACTGGGCTAGTACTGCTCGGTCCATGGTTTCGTGCGCCGGAATGGCGCACACTGCGCCTGGCCAGCTTTATTGCCACAGGCATGTCTGCCTTTGCACCAATTGGCCATGCATGGTATCTCTGGGGATATCATTATCTGTTTCGAATCGGAGTACCCTATTATCTACTCGAAGGAGCATTGCTGCTGACAGGCTGTTACATATACTTGGTGAGCCCTACACAACCAAGAGACTTGGCATCTATAATGGAAACCGAGACTGATCCTAATGTCTGCAATAGAGCCGATTGCCTGAGTCTCTGTATCCAGGCCGATTCGACATCTGGGGCCATTCACATACCCTCTGGCATATCTTCGTGGTCCTGTCAATTGTCGCCCACCTCCGTGGCCTGCAGAGTGCCTGGGAGTACAATCATCATGCAACCTGTATCAGGTAGACAAAAAGTTCCCGGTATATTTTTGGAATCCGTTTCTCATTAAACTTGAATGCAATCGAGAATTCTCTGATCAATTATATCACGCTTTTACTGTTGGATGTTCATCCAAGTAGCCAAGGTCCATTTTTTCTAAAAAGAAAAATGGTAATTTAAACAGTCCACTTGATGGAATTGCTAACTCGATCCTATTATTTGATATTAGATGAAATTCGACAATAAAGAACACTTCTAAGCAGCCAGAGCAAACCAACCTCGTGAGCCTCCTCCTAATGCCTTTGCCACTACTTCCTGTGTAGACTGCCACAGTGACTTGGTATTCCCCTCTGAGTCCAATTGGCGTCTCATACTCCCAGGTGTATCTGACAGACGACGAGATGTGGACCTTGTTTCTCCTGCACAAACGAGAGCAGATCAGCGTCAGCACAGAGTGCCAGGTACAATTAACAATGACTGCAACTAAAAGATAGGATAAACCCCCGAGCGCATGACCGCGAGAGTGACCCCGTAACCTTTAGTGAAGATGTGGCGTACCTGGTTCAAATCGGTTTGAAATCCTCTCCTGGCCATGGCTAGCTGATTCGCTTGAACGAATGGCGAAAGTGTCAGGCTTGCTAACGTCGGTGATTATAGGATCGGGCAAATCTAGAACACAATCCACCGTATTAGGCGACTTCTTCATATCACCACTAACAAAACAACTCACCGCTAGTGCTGGTACTATCTCCCTGGGATGATATGTCAGCAGTGATTATTCGTGACTAGTCAATTCAATCCCGAAGAAATATCAAACCTCCATGGCAGATTGGTTTTGAATAAGGAAGCAGTGACTATATAGGAAATAAAAAGATGACTTTAATTGTGTATTGTTCAAAGTACATTGGGAGGGTATCATTGATATAGTCTAAACACACAGAGGCAAGAGGCAAAATATTTAAGGAGTCATGACTTGGAGCATTTGCCGCCATGACGTGAACCCCGCATTCTAGAATTGAGCCGTTATGCTATTAAGATTTTCTCAGAGTGATGTCAACTGTTGAAAGTTTGTCAGCAAGATCTCAACTCCTAACTAATATACAGGAATCATGTCTTATCTGCATTGCTAGTACAATCTGCAATCATCTACCCGGTGGGATACAAGGTAGTGTAATTGTCGCTGTATCTACTGGAATCTTCAAATCAGGGTATCAGTGCGCCTCAACAGGATAATGTCATTATAGCTTATTATCCTCGGGGTGAGAGATTGGAGAGATGGAGCAAGATATTATGAATGTGTGAAAGTCGGAGCCAAATGTCATAACAATCGTAGTCAAATTCAAGTCTAAATATGAAGTCCCATCATTATAGGAGGGCCTGCTCAGCAGTGCATAAAGAGATAAAAAGGAAAGGGTCGACAACAGAAAGATAAATCCAAATCAAGACAAGAGATGCGCACTTCTGTCCGGCTCCGAGCTGCACAAGAAAAAAAAGACAGACCAGAACAGAAAAAGCCACCCAGTGTGCCGGACAGACGCGGTTGTATCAATCAAATCACAAAGATCATCAAGCACACGTAACATAGAAAGAGAAAAAAAAACAAAGATAAAAAAAGGAAGGGGGAAGCATAAGCGCACGTAATCGGACCAAATTGGATCCAAGAAAGATACGGGACCACCAGGTAGGACATGAGTCATGTACTGCTGGATGACGGATAGTATTAAGGAGGTGGTGGCCCAGTCCTTATCAAACCGAGACATCAAGGAGACAAAACATTAAAAGGAATTCGTGCACACTAGTAAAAGGAGTATGCCAGGCCGACTAGAGACTCATGGTTAGCCACTCCCACTCCTGACTGGCACCTTGGCCACCCGCTATACTATGATTGGCTGGGTTTGCAGCCGCCGGTGGCATCATTGCTGGTGCCAGAGGAACCACCTTCGACCGGCTGGGAGGCGCACTCGTTCTAGGACTTTCTTCAGTGTCTGGGTCGGCCCCGGTCGGTGCTTTTTCAAGACGACGCTGCCGCCTGGGGGCCACCTGGACACCGGCACGGGCCGAAGCAACACCAGCGGGAGGCCCGGCCTTGGGCGGAGCGGCGGCGATGGGTACCACGCCTAGTTTGCCTATACCACCAGCTCCCGCGATCGCAGGTGGTGACTCAGATGCGTTGCCGCTCGGTGCCCGAGAGGCAGCAACACTGGATGTGGCCTGCGCAATAGAGTTCTTGCGGGACGACTTTTTTGACGACCGGGAAGTACCGACAGCGAGGCTATTAGCACTGCTGCGGTTTCGCTTTTTGATGACATCGGTCTTGAGTGATAGTGGGCGAACAACACCGTGAAGCTTCAGGAAGAGACCACAGGCATTGCACAGCGGTTGACCCTCCGGGTTGCGGCGCCAGAGGGGAGTAGTCTGAGTGAAGCAGTTGGTACAAGTAGTCGGGCCGGCGTTCGGGTCTCCGTTCTTGGACCCTCCGGGGCTGGCGGGGCGAGAGGGCACAGCACTATTCAGCCCGGATTCGGGAGGCGTGCTGGGGGACGGGTGATTCGTCGGCGGGTCGCTCGTAGTACCGTTCATACTCTGACGTAGCAACTGAGGGGCGTTCGGGGTGGAGGTAGTGCGAGCAATCTTCTGGCGACGAGGATCCTGTTCCCGGTTGCGTACTTCACTGACCGAAGCAGCTGAGCCGTGACCGCGACCCAGACTTCCAGCATGATGCCATTCAGGGGGGCCATCCATCATATCCGTGGAGCCGATCGTGACATGTTTGCGATGCTGGCCGTTAAAGCCAGGTAAGGACTGGACCGAACCATGAAAGCCGGTATCCCAGGTCAACCCGGCATTCATGTCACCTCCATCATCCATGGACGGAAAGTCATTGGGCATGGCAATTCCTCCTCGTTCAAAGGTTGCGCCGTCATCATCTTCGTTATCAGAGTCACCACCGAAGGTAAACATGCTGTTGGTGGGCGCAGTTGAAGAAAACTCGCCGGGACCAAGCACTTGCGACGGATCCACATGCTGCGGCGGCGGAACAGAGAACCCGGATGCGTGCATGGTCGTAGGTGGACCGGTGACAGGCCCGGAAGACTGGAACTCGCCGTTGGTGGAGTTAAACATGTGACGCGGCTGGAGTGACGCCGACAGGTTTGACGATCGTTGTTGAAGATATGCAGGGATGCGGCGCTGGGCATGCGATTCCACCGACGGCGCATCTGAGAAGAACATCGACTGCTCTCCTTCGTAGATGGGTTGAGGCGTTGACACAGCGGACTGGTAGCCTGATGGTGGAGGAGAGAAGAACTCTGTCGAATTCAGGGAGGAAGCCAGTGGTGTCTGCGCATAGAGATTGGAGAAGGGGTTCCCGGCAGTCATCGGGGAATCCGAAGGGGAGAAAGTAAAGTGTTGCTGGTAAGGTCCTGCCGAGTTGATACCTGGCTCATCACGTACACCAAAAGTATCCAGACTGAACGGTACGCTGGAAGTATGATGATGCTGAGGTCTGCGGGAGCCCCCCAAGGTACCATTTCCGGGCATCGCAAACGCGGTTGGGGGGTGATCTAACGAATAATCCGGAAGACCCGCCGAGAGTTCCGAATGTTGCGCGAGCATCGAGTTGGAGACGGGAGGTACCTGGGGCGAGGATTCGGCCGGTCGCTTGCGACCCGGAACTGCGAGGCCGGCGAAGAACTGGCGCTCGTCGACGCTAGTCTTGCGCACTCGACGAGGGACATAACCGAATTCACTGTCTTTGCGTTGGTCCTGTGGCGGATGCGGGAACGAGGCAGCGGCGGCGTCGTTCATCGGCTGGTCTTTGCGCACCTTGATCGGGATGGAGGCCGTCGGAGTCGCAGTAAAATGGCGGTCGATGGCCGGGTGGGAGACGTACTCGACCGGGGAATCGAAAGGCACGATAAAGTCATCGATGTTCATCGGGTCGGGGGTCGCATCAAGATTCATGGCGGAGCTCTGGTTCATCCCGGTCGCCTGATCCTCCAGGCGCAGCTGTGCAATGCCGCTAGGGGCAGGCCCAGTAGTATCCAATTTGACGTGTGCCGTCCTGAAGGGCCAAGAAAATGAGCTGTCGGAACCCGAATTCGGAGGTTGGAGGGAAGAGGGAGGAAGCGGAAAGGAGAAGGAAGACAGATGTGAAAGAGACGGAGATCAGATTGTATATGGCCAGTTCCACTTACCGAGCCTGTTCGCGTTCCTTGCGTTTCAAACTCATGGCCATCATACGCCAAGTCAGGTTCTCCATACGTTCCTGATTGGGGAGGTTGGCCTTGGTTCGAGTATAGAGCCTCCAGATCTGGGCCGCGAGGGGATCTTGTTTCTGCATCTCTTCGGGACTGTCGCCACCGCGCGGGGCGCCGGTTTTCCATTCCGGGAAGATGGAGTCCGAGAGCATGCCTTCCTGGGCGGTGGAGTCGGTCGGGCTGAAGGGCGAGCCGAAGGAGAAGTCGTCGGACATCATATGCGAGTCGAGGTCGATACCGGGGAAGGCCAACGCAGACTGTGGCGGTCGGGGATTGCCCTGCCCCAGCCCCAGTCCATGCCCTTGCCCTTGCCCTCCATGATTCATGCCGTCCATGATCTCGGGGGAGAGCGGAAGGGGGAAGGGAAAGGAGAGAGAGGTCGAAGGGATTAGATATAGATGGTAGGGAGGGAGGGGGGAAAGGTTGGAGAATGGGGTTTTAGAAAAGTGGTTCAAATTGCAATATCCCCGTACCCGCCGTAAACGAGGGCGCCGGGATTGAGAACGATCGAAGGCAGCCGAGCGAGGCGATTGGCAGGATGGCGCAGCCAGCGACCAGGGTCGGCGCCGACGTCAGTACCGTTTTTAACTGGAACGAGACGGAGGGGACGAGATGCACGACACAACGTCGGAGGGGGAGTAGGATCACCCTCCAATCTGCGCTGAAGGATTCGGAGTTGATTCCGTTCTATCTTTCTCTTCCTTTCTTTTTCGTTGATGTAATTTGCTGTCGTGGAGGGGGGGCTAGACCCTCCAGACGCTCATGCCCCGTGCGATCGCGAAGGGGAATGGGGGAGGGAGGGGAATTGGAGATGGGGGAGGAGGGGGGAAGGGGGGAGGAGAAAACAGAGAAGCCCTCAAGAAAGATGCTGCGAAGCGCGAAGAGGAAAGGCAGAGGGAATTGACGCAAAGGTCTGAGGGAAAGAGGAAGTGGGAAGAGAGCGGGAAATATGGAGATGGCGATGATGGTGGACTGGTTGAAGTTCGATTTGTATGGGCGGTGATGACTGTTCTGGAGGCAGTAACGTACAGGGCCGGTATGGTCACGGGTAATACGGTGACGGGGTCCCGATTTACGGCGCTTCGCTCGACTCGAGAGTCGTGGTCTTTCCGGACTTGGACTTGGTTCGAGAGGAGTCCACTCGAAACGAATCTATGGTCGGTTCTCCTGCTCGAACGTCGTTGCAGAGACTAGTCTTCTCACTGCATCAGACCATCCAAGTCCCTCCCCTCCCCCCCCCGGCCAGTGGGAGTCGGTCATGATCCATGCCGCATGAACAACGCCACTCCCGTCCCCTCTGCTGGCCTGGCGCTTGGTGGGAGCAAAGGGCAAAATATGGTCCCTACGTGATTCACCCGGGTCCGCTGGCCCCTCCCAGGCGCTGAATAGGGCCCGGTCCACTACGACTGGCTCGGCAGATTTGATGTGCCTTAGGGTGGTTTTTCTTTTCTTCGCTACGTTTGCTCCTGGTTTCTCCACGAATCGGCGCCATCGGGTTATCGATTCATCGAGCGGCGCATTGGTCCGCCCTGGCCGCACGGCCCAACGGGCCTCGTGGGTGACGCCCTGGGGGGTCGATTGCTGGCTCTTCCGCTCCATCAAATCATCGAATGAGAAGTCCGGGACCGATGATCTGGAAGGAGAGTCTCGGGCCGAGTCCGACAGAAGAGAGGGGGATGGAGGTTCGAGACCCGGCCAGCCATGCAGGTACTTCACCTAGCACGAGGCCAGCCGGGGAGAATTTACATCCAACGGGGAAATCCGCTCTCGGGAGACCGGAGGGAAAAGAAACAAAAGAACAAAACACAAATACACCTCGGTCACCTATGGTTCTTCGGGCATCCAGACAGGCCGGGTCACTGGCTTCCACCTCCCCCTCCCCGGAGACATATCCAGATGCATATGCCGCTTGGGTGGAAGTGGAGACGGGCGATGTGGAGTGGAGCTCATCCGAACCGGAGGAAATCGAACGTGTGCAACCGCACACGCGAGATGCGATTCGAGATTGATATTGAAGTACGGCGCTGAGGCCAAACCCATCCTCCCATATGCCACGCGGCGAAAGGGAGGAGGAGGGTCATTCATTGGGGGGACGTCTTACCTAAGAATGTAGAACTTTAGAACTTTAGAACTTTAGAGATTTAGAGATTTAGAGATTTAGAAATTAGGAGCTGTGAGCTGCGACCTGCGAACTGCAACCTGCGACCTCCAAAACGATGTATTCTGAGCGATAGACCCGGGCTGATACATAACCGGTGCGATCAAGGGCAGGTCGAGGACTTTGAACTTAGTGTTTCGGTGGTGTCAGCGGAGATACGATGGATCCCGAACAGCAGATAAGGAACGTTCTACGGGGCTTCGGCCCCGCCCTGCTGTCGTGAGTGGTCGCTCGAGTCCTTCCACTCGGTCTTGTCGGCCTAGTTGGGGTGGCGCGGGCTCCGCTCGGGGAAACTACCTACGAGGTGCCCCCATGCTCTGGATTTCAATCAGGAAAAAAAAAATCACGTATCATTTCCATAGAGACCCTCGAGACCATAGAGATCATGGAAGCAAAAGAGAGAGCGCGCGCGCGAGACAGCGAGTAAGGAGGCAGATCTCTGCAGCTCCAAGCTCCAATTCGGGGGGGGATGGACTCGGGGAGACTCTAGTCATAAAGTACGGACGATGAGTGGGGAAGAACGCAGGATTCGAAGTATAGAAATGGAGGCAAGACGATAACTCCGGAAACTTCCCGGGTCGAGGCTCAGGCGATCACTACGAGCATGGAGCAGTAAACCAGCAGCCTCACACCCTCCCATCCGGCCATCGTGATCTATAAGGGGAGAAATCCGACCTGGGATGCCACTGTCGCCATGGTATCGATGCCCATCACTGCGATACTGTGATTCTACGATCCTGCCGTGGAGCCAAGCACGGACCATATTCCGCTGCCAGGACAGAGGAATGGCAGTCCCGAGAGGGTGGCAGAGTGGGTGACCGGGTACGAGAGCCTCGACAGAGAAGAATAAAGACATCGAGGCATCGAGGCATCGAGGCATCGCGGCATCGCGGGTCACAGCCCAACTGGAAGAGCGGACGAACAAGAAAAAGACAGAAAAAGACGACTCACCGAAGAGCAGAAGAGCAGAGCTTCCTAAATTACCCGAGATCAGTACGAACCCTGTATGTGCCGGTATAGCAGTACGGGTGGTCATCAGCGGTACTAACGGTACCAACGGTACCTATGGTCCTGTTTGGGGGGGGGGGACCAACCACAATGGACCCAAATGGACTGCATCCTGACCTACCTGCGTCCTCCATCTTCCGCTGGGCGATGCTCTATTCTATAGGCAACGGAGTTGTTTTCCCGCTTCGTTCTCTTTGGTTCCTCTGGTGGACTCGTGGCGAGCGGATGTATCCCCGGTCCCGGTTAATATAGCTGCATCTACGTTGCCGTGTCCATCGCCTGGGGAGCTTGGGAGAAGGGCCTCGGTCGAACGCCTCCTCCCCCGTTCCCCTCTTGTCTTCCCGTCGCCACTGATGAAAGGGTTCTCAAATTTACCATGTTCAGACGGGTCGTCATCGCCAGGGCCGATCATCAGGCGCTCCTTGGCTTGTCCCCTGGACCGTGGATACTGGCCGGAATGGAAATCCTTCCCTTACCCTTTCCCCCGGATGAGTGTGGGGGAGAAGGGAGGGGAGGGGGAGGGGGGGCGCTGGCGGATCGGGCAATAGGACATTTGGGATGTTGACCTGATTTGGGGCCACGGAGCGATCGACGGGCCCCAAGATGACATCGTGTTGTGGGGCCCGGACATCCCACGTCCGAGGCGCGGGTCCTCTTCGGAAGAGAACTTGCACAGTAGAAAGTAGCAGTATCGGGGTCGACAAAAGTTCCCAGGGCCACAGCGGAAGAATGAAGGAGGGCAGAGGGAGGAGGAAGATGGTGGCCCCACTCGAGCGCAACAACAGGACGAATGGCCAAAACTAGAAGCTGATAAGTGGCTGATAAGCGAGTGTCCGTAGTCATTCGCGGTGGTCATCATGATGTTTCGAGGATGCTCCTTTGATAGGCGCGCCCGCCGATCACAGGCTCAATGGACGTAGAGTGGAGTGCCCAGTGGAGCGATGCTTATCGCCCCCTCTCAGAAAAAAAGCCTCCAACCTCGAGGACCGTCCGGAGCAACCGTTGTCGAGGGATCTTGCGTCGAGCGTCGTGGAGTGGAGGCGTCCAGGGGTAGCAAAAGGTTGAAGCCCAAGTCAGCAGCCAGGGCCCCAGCTTCCAGGTACCTGTCCTTGTCTTGGCCTTGTCCTGGGATGGAGGCCGGCGTCCGGACCCGGCTGGTATGAGGAAGTTAGTTCATCAATGCTGGACGATACCATGCCCGTTTCCTTCAAGGCCCGAAAAGGTCGACATCCAGCGGTCTAGAAACATCAGGATATCCTTGATATCCTGATCCTGTTGTCTTATTTGCTCGGCTCGTATCCTCACCTTCAGCCGCCGCAAGGACCCTCGAGTGGAGAGGACTGCAGCGAGCCGGCGTCGGTCAGCGTGGCGTTCCGGGACTTTTGATCCCGGGTCGAGGTCGGTCTGATGCGTCTGATACCTCTGGTGTTTTAATCCCTCCCCCACCCTCCAAGACAAGCAATCAGACCGGGGAGAATGGGGGAGGGGGGGGGGGGGGAATGGAATGGTCCGGGGCAGGGTGCAGGGTGCTGGGTGCTGGGTGAAGGGAGAGGGGGAGGGATCCTCTTAGCGTTCTGTGTAATTTTTTTTTCCAGGCGGCATCTGCGGTTATGAGCAAAAGGCCAAAAGGACCAGGGCCAGGGCGTCCTTATGAGAGCCCGGGGAGCCCGCTGGCCTACTCAGACGAGGAAAGAGAGAGAGAGGGAGAGAAGGAGAGAGCGTGCGTGGAGACAGAGACCTTGCGCATCGGTCACATACGGAGACCTCGGGCTTCTAGATCCGTTCCTGAAGTCGAAGTCTCGAGGTCTCGAGGTCTCGGTCGGTCTCTAGTATCCAAAATCCAGACTCCAGACTCCAGAATTCAGAATCCAGAATCCAGAATCCAGACTCCAAACTCCCGAGTCCCGTCGGCGCCATCTGTCCTCTATATATATATGTGTATCTCCCTCCAACCCTGCTCCCTGCTGGCCCAGACTTGATAAGGACTTTGTCCCCAAGCCTCTGTCCCGGCTGATACGACCAGGGGCCTCGATAAGTCTGCATGACGATCTGCCCAGCCATTGTGCCAGATCAGCCAGTCTCTGCAGAGCGGCATATCTCGGGGGGCCGTGGGACGTCGCCGACTTGAGAGATGCGGGCTCCGGTGTCATTGGCGCTTCGTGACCATTTCAGATAAGCGCCTGTGGTCCTCACGAGATATGCGAAAGCGAGAAGAGAGAGAGAAAAAAAAAGAAATTGAATGGAAATAAACCCACAGAGACAAGAAGAGAAAAAAAAAAAGCCCGTCGAAGGGAGGAAATGAGCACGCAGACCATCCCGATCGTGGTAGTCCCCAGTGGCCCATCACAATCCGGCCGGATGTCGCTGTTTTCTTAAGAGAGATGCCAGTGGCTGGATGCGACTCGCCGAGATGTCGAACAAAAAGAGCAATCTCCAAGATTCCAAGATCTCCGGATCTCCCACCCCCGGAGGATCCTTGCTGGGCGTTCATGCCGAACTCGCCCAGACGGGCTCTGTCCTTATCTTCCGACGGTGATCCGGCCCACCATCGAAAAGAATAAGACAGAGTCTGAAGAGATAAGAGGAGAACCAGGATGAGATACACGAGGAAGATCTGCGGATATGATATACAATCCAGCCTCCTTCGGGTTGTCCTCGATTGCCTCCCAAGAGGTGCGTCCCAAGATAACGTGATGCGAGATCCCCGTGAACATGATTGGGCCCAGTCGAGGCGACGGCGGACGCCATCCACAGGGGGTGGCCGCCGGAAGGCCGAAGAGGACGTCCCATCTCCTCGGAGCAGGTCGTATGTAGACCAGTGACATTGAACCCTGTAGAATGCCTTTGGGCCGGCATCGGAGAGCAGCAGATGCGCCCGATTGTCAGTCTAATCAATTGTTTCAAAGTATTTTGAGACGGTCTACCAGCATCGGGGAAGCACCCATAGGAAAGAGTCTCCGAAGCCACGGCTCTTCTCAGAGGCTCAAGGCCTATGGTAAACTAACCCCTTCACGAAACAATGCAGGCAAGGAGAAGCAAAAATCCCCGACCCGTGGTCAATTTCCAAGTTAAGGCTTAAGACTGGCTCCTCAAAGCCGGTATGCATGGATTTGGGATTCCAAGAAATAGGCAGAAGGCTCACGTAGCATGCAAGATCCAGTTCCATATATAGAAGGTAAATATGTACAGTATGTAATCGTCTCAGAAACCGGCCTCGATGAGTCCACTAAATGTCATGACATAGACGTCTGCTTGTGTACCAGCCGGGGGCTTGTCGCGGTGCGTCATCGTCACCCGGGGGGAGGAATTCCAATCGAATCAAGAGGGATCGGCTCTCATAAAGTGTAGGCCGATATCGTCCAGTCTTTTCACAGAGACCAGTCTGGCCCGGTACCACAACCCCGGGTTCAATCAAGTAGAAACTCGATGGACGCACAAAATAAAAGACTATGCATAAAAAAAGAAAGACCAGGCAAATGATGTGTGAAGCCATCTGAGAATGGAGCCGGACGGAGATAAGGATGAATGAACAGGAAAAGAGAAAAGAAATAAAGGAAAGAAAAAAAATAGAAAAAAGCGTAGAAAATAAGAATGGAAAAAGTGGAAGGAAAGGGTAAGAAAAGAAAGTCTATATAATGCCCAAAAAGTAAAACCCTCACCGGAGTTGTGTATCAATGGACTATTCCGTTCATAGAAGTATCCCCAGTCAAGCTGGATTCGAGGACCAGCAGAGAAAATCATCAAGGGGATGCAAGTTGAAAAAGAGCAAACAACGACTGGCTCTCTCGGGTCCTAAAGACATCCACGAGGCCAGACGCGGGAAACAAGAAAAAGAGATTTGAAATGGTTGGGGCATGCCATAAAATAAATCAACAGATGGGGGGATAAAAAGGAAAAATGCCGCCCAAAAACCCTTGCGCCCGCTAATGACCAGCTGCAAAGCAGACCCGCCATGATGTATGAGACTGAGGCGAGAGAAAGAGAAAGGGAAAGGGGTCGAAACAACGAAAATCGCAGGCGGGAAAAAAAACCCAAAGCTGTATATATCCCATGGGGTATTAGAAATGAAACAAGCTGTCTAGGAATGTGATGTGTATATGTTGAACGTGACGAAGGTCCAGACCTAGTAAAAACGGAGATGATCTGAAGTCGAAAATGGCAAACCTGTGCGAGAAGGAGGCCCGGTAGAAAGTAAGGTGGATGAAAATGGTTCGAAGATGGGGGGAGAGAGAGAGATAGCAGTAGTTTGTTAGGGCCCAGAACGCCCTGGAGCTCCCGGATGGCCCATGGGAGGAGCGTTGGTGGTATAGAGTGGTTGCTGGACATCGCCCGAGTACATTGGATAGGGAACGACACTCATGCCAGACATGGCATTCATGGGAGGCCATTGAGTGAATCCCATGTTCGCTTGGGGCTGGAAAGGAACCGCTCCGGGGGTTTGCATGTCAGGACTGGGGATGGGTGAGCCCTGGGAGCCGGCGGCTGGAGTGGTCATCCTGCGTTTAAGATCGGGGGCCATTGGTGCTTGGAATTGGCTCGGGTATGAGGCGCTCATGTCCGTCTGACCGGGATAGCTCATGGCTCGGGATGGTTGCGGTGGTACTTGCCAGACCGTTCCATCCGGCTGCATCGTATACGCAGGGCCTGGGTTCATCGGTTGACCTTGGCCCGTCATCGGCGGTGCACCTGCAATGGGCGAGCTGGGTGATAATCCTGCAGGCACGGCCGGGTTCCAGACGTTTGGTGCCAAATTCATCATCTGTCCTTTGCTGGCGGCTATCGAGGCCAACATTTGTGGGTCTGATATTGTCGTAAACTCATCCCACGGCACTCCGGTTTCCATTGCCGGGTGGCCCGTGAATTCTCCTGGTCCCATTGATCGATCTACTGGCGCTTTTGGTTCCTATTAGTACGGAATTGGAATATAGACAGGCAGGAGGGAGAGAGAAGGAGGAGCCATATGTTCCCATACGATCATCCTGTAAAGAAGACAACCTACCCGGTGCAAACCCCGTCATTGGACCCCCCCCAAATGCTGGATTAAATGCTGCCATCTCCTGGCCGGACGAGGCGCTCAAAGGAACCTGTGGGTACGGGTAATATGCCTCCACGGAGTCTGTATTTATATTGGTAGGCGAAGATGAAATCGGTGTCGTCGAGTGGTCCGCAGATCCGGTTTCGAGTCTCGAGCTAGGTCGTGATTTCTTCTCCACAGCCGGTTGCTGGTCGACCGGAAAGAACTGGCATTCCTTGCGCAATCGTATACAATTCTCACATCGTCCTTGTACGTCATCTGGCGCAACTAAACATCGGATCTTTCGTCGACGGCAATGCACTATAAGACACTTGTATAAGCTCAACTGCAAACTTCCCTGTGCGTAGGAGTCGCAATCTGGATCGGGGCGCATTCATAGTCTCTCTATAGTCTAGTTGACCTCGCGACGATGCTGATGTCTCCGAGATCTTAGGAGTAATAATACGGGCCGAGCAGAAGGAAACAAGATACTGACCGCATGCGACAGATGTCCGATGATACCCTAATTTGTTGCGCTTCTTATCCGCCGCACTGGCACTATCCATGGCACCTTGTGAGTTTGGAGTTGATGCCATCGCCTCGACAGCCGCGGGCATAGCTCTCACGAGCGAATTCTTATCACTGAACCGGCCCAAAGCGCATCAACAGCACCTTGCGAAAATGAAAACAGGACGCCGTTCTCTTTGTGTGGGGGGAGGAAGACAGGCAAGATATGAAACCGCCGTTAGATCGTGATCCGGGGCAAAGGCGAAATCAAAAGCTGCCAGGCCATGCAGACACCTGCGCGAGACACAGGACTGGGACGGGGATCCGGACGGAGAAAGCGAGAGGCTAGCCGAGGGGTCGAAGACCCGGACGATGACGATGCGCCGACAGGAAGTATTACTCGTAGTGACCGGCTTCAGGTCCACCTTGCGCCACACTGGGCCAGGCAGGATATTGCGCGCGTTTCAGGGCGTTTGTTGTCGCGAGGCGTCGGAAAGGCCCGCAGTCGGTCGTATAGAGGTGTATGTCTGATAGAGGGGAAGAGCGAGGGTGTTTCGCTAGAGATGTGTGCCCCTCGTAACAGCGTTGCGATGGAGGTATGAGACGGTCGGGGATAGATTGGACAGTCGGTTAGGCCCAGAAACCCTAGCTCAGCCCAGTAATTGCCAATTAATCAAGGATAATTATAGAAATTAGGATGCTTCATGAAAGGGGGTTGTGGGATGAGAGCGATAGGCGGAGGGTCTAGAATGGTATGCACCCGTTGCATGAGAAGGGGAAGGGTAGGAGAAGAGACCCCAGAAAGAAATTAGTAAAAAGCGACGCAAGTAAAATAAAATAAAATAAAATAAAACGGTAGTCAAAGGAGTGAACGAAGAGGAATGTCGATAGAAGCAGGGAAGAGGGAAGATCGAGAAATGCCCTATAGACTCGAAGAGACTAGAAGCTAATCGCGGGGTGAAACGCCCAAGGGCTGCTTTTCTTCTTTTTCCCTCTCTCTCTCTGGTCTCTTTTTTTTGGGTTATTTTATTTTATTTTGGGGTTTTTTGGGAATTATATTTTTTATTTTATTTTTTATTTTATTTTTTATTTTATTTTTTATTTTATTTTTTTTTTTCGCTGTTTATCCATACGTGGAACAAGGTGGCTCTGCATCATACCGACACTAGAACCAAGCGGGATATATCGACTTAGCCCAAATCAACTGCAGGTCATTGTCATGGACCATCGATGATCTCAGACCCATCTCAGGGGCCCCGGGGAGAACTTCCTCACGAGGACAACAATTACACTTTGTATGGCTGGAAAGCACGGTTTCCAAAGTAAGTATAATGTCTGCTTTGTTTTCCTAATATTTAATTTTATTTTTTTCTTTCCTTCTCCCTTCCCCTTTTTCTCTCCAGATTTTTGGACTGTGAAGCATTGTTTGGGGAGGGAGAGAGGGGAAAGAGGCGAAGAGGTTTCTACCCGTCTCGCCAGCTTGAGTGTTTCTTTTTTTAAACACTGGGTACATCCATACTTTTTACCTGACATTGACCATAACCTGGTCGATTAGGTAAATCTCAGGAGCCCCTGATTGCGTATGATAGACCCCCTCTCTTTCAGAGCCGGTTCATGGCAAATGAGGTAGTGTCGAGGAACCATGGTCTGGGAGCCCTGACACAGTGGAGTCGGGTGGGCAGTTGGTCGCGCAGCACCAATTTGGGGTTAGACCCAGGAAAGATGCCTGTCAATCCTTGATGAACTGGGGAATTCTTCCTTGAAGGCCCGGTTAAGTGATTGGCGATGGGAGCTTAGGTCGGCAGCCAGGGCCAATGAGCTTGTTGCTCCTAGGACCCATTGGGTCCAAAGAACCTTCTGTGTCTGGGCATTCCAGTGGGTGATCACTGGAAACCTTGATGGCTTCTCGAAGGCCTCCGCTGGGCTCAGCACCGGTTTCAAGGAATCAGAACGAAAGGCAAAAAGAGGCACTAGAGGAGATGGCGATTGCGCGAAGGTTCCTATTTCATGCTTAGGTACAAGGCCGCTGGAATATGTGGCTGCTGGTAAAATTGCAGAATTCGTACCATTACATTGCCCAGGATCGAACCACAAGATTGATTGGTGCTAAAAACAGATTCAGGGTCCACGGCTGATGCGTAACAGCCCATACCGAATAGACGAAGTAAGAACACGCTTCGCACGCGATGGATCTATTGCGGGTTTTTTTTCTTCTTTTCTATTCACTATCTTTTCTGCTGTTTCAAAAGGGGCTACCTTTAACCCCTTTTGTTAGGTCTCTATCCGCTTCTTCTCTCAGTGCTTTTGTCCAAATGCTTGGCCACGGTCTGGGGCTGTACCACTAGATACGGCTGAAGACCATAGGTTAATTTTTTGAGTGTGGAGTTATCGATGACATCGAGCCTGGTCATCATTTGATTCTAGAGGAGGTTTGATCGATCTTGCTTGTGCCAGTTCTTCAATGCTAGCCCCTTTTTTTTGGCGGCAAAACTCAACTTCCCATGATCCATGCAACGACTGGCCCACCAATGAGAAGTGTTGTCTCCCCTTAGTCAACCAATCTGGTATTGGCCAAATGATGGAAATACACGGGTCTGTTCCTTGGGCAAGAGATTCCAGAAAATCAGTCAATCAGGGACAATCTTAATCATATCGACTCGGCGGCCTGGGCCTAGGCGAGGACATCTGAAAGGGTGTGACACATCCGAAACGAAGCATCTGGAGGGCATAACGGAATATACCGAGATGATCAAGGTATCAATTTCCCATGAAAGAGGCGTGGCTGTCTCCCAAGATAGGATATCGGTCCGACGCGAGGCATTGGCCACTCACTACTCCGTACGATTGTTACGACTGCACCTGTGGACTGTTCGAGCACGATGCGTCTGTCCACTTTAACTGTCCACATAGACTGTACCAATGCAGGAAGCGATCTCGCGTCCTCCGCTGCCATTCTGTAACAAGGACCCACTCGCACAATGTGGGGCTTCCAGCGTCAAGGTTTTATTAAGGATCATCAGATGCGGTAGCGCGTTACAGAATGGCCTTGGCACCTGTCGGAACGAGGGCAGGAGGTTCTTGGATCCTTCTTTTGTTCTTCGAAGCCTCAAGCGAGCTTCCATGGAGTCACCAGATGGGGGCGGGGGGGTAAAGGAAGTTTCTACGAACCAAGTCCGGTTTTCCGACCGGAGGTACGTACGTATTTTCGGAAGATCGAGTGAACTAACCGTTTCGGATGTATGTGATCAGCGATGGCGAAAGATGAGACTGCGAGGGATTAAACCGAAAATTCTCTCTGCATTATACTTATGTGCATACGAGGCACCCAGAGAGTCGAGGTGGCCTACACGTATCCTGCGTACGACCCGATGGATGTATGCCTACACCGACCTTGCCAAGGAAAACCCAAATAAGGACCCAAACGAAGTATGGAATATCGAAGTAACCATGATGATAAACTTGAGATTGTCATCTTGAAAAGTATTACTGCTGCTCTCGCTGCCACCACCATTCAGATCGCGTAGTACATGGTGTACTAAGACTAAAAATAATTCGAGGGGGAAAGGAAGGGGGAAGGGACACCCTCTCGACCGCTCACTGGCTGCATCGGATGAAGAGAAACGTGTCCCCAGCAGGCAGGGCTTCAGATAATCGGTTTTCTTTTGGCGGTGGACACGATCTTCGTCGTATGGTGTGCTACCCATAGACAACTACTGTTCCTAGAAACCCAATCATCATCGTTAGATCGCTGGGCTTGCGTCTTCCACCTTCCTCGCCCTTTCACCTTCACGGCGTTTTCGTCCAAGTCTTCGGCGCGATGGTGGAATTGTACACCGTGACATGCCTTTCTGCGATAGACGTAGGCCCCGCATCGCCTTTCGCCTCCAGTGACAGTCTGGTGAAAGATCGACGAAGCCCGAGCCCTTAGAAACGAGGACGCCTGGCCTGATTGGATCCGACCGGGGGGCGATATCCCAGGAGGTCGGTCTGCATCCGTAGCCGAAGGAAAGAGAGAAGGACTGGTGTTGACGCGGCGAAGGTCAAGCACGCGATGAACCTAGCATCCACAATAACTGCTGTAGAAAACCCAGGTGCACGTACTAATACTCCATACTCCATACGGAATGCATCCTGCGTACCTCCGAAGTACGGACTGCGCCTCGCCCTCCATATATCGGAAACCCACCCGTGAAGAGTGCATCTCCCCTCCAAACTGGCCTCTCCAAGAAACAGAGTTTGCCTGGTGGGCATTAATGCATACCATCTTGCACTCCATAACCCCATGTTGGGTGCTTACTACCCCAATCTCAGAAACTTTAGGTGAGCTCGCGCAGGTTTCGCTGAACTCCGCGCGGGGTGGCCACGCCCACTGTTCCAGCAGAGCATGCTTTTCCGAGCACATGTGTGGATGATCCGGAAAAAGCTGGCTGGCTGGCCTCGGTTGGGTCGAATGGGTCGAAACCCGCCCACCAGCAACGTCCGCCGATCGGGGCGATGAAACAAGGGTCCAGCGCTGACTCAGATCTTTGATTTCGAGCCGGATCCTGTTTCTGTTGTAGGGAAAAGGCCAAGAAAAGGGAGGGGCGTGGTAGTCTTAGTGTGGCATCAGAATTGTTCGAGAAGCATGGTAGGGGACATCTTCAGACAATGGATTCTCTGTTACCACGATTCATGGAGCGGTCCGGGGAGGGAACAGGAGGAGCCGGAAGGAAGAGGAAGAAGGGGGGAAGGGGGTTGTTATCGGCAGCGCTCTTTAATCTTAACAGTATTCCAGAGTAATAACAATGTTAGAAAATAATCAGCAGCAGCAGGCTAAGCCCAATGACCACACATCTAATTCCCTGATTTTGCCATTTCTATATTGAAACTATACATGGTATTGTAGCAAGGATGTAGAAAAACATCGAACATACGTGCTATGGATATACGTATATTAGGTTCTGGACACATATGCACGCCGTCGCCCTCATCATCCCATATGCTGCCCTTCAAGGTGGGATCATCTATTTCCAAATAGATTGCCACCGTTTCAACGATTTCCCAGGTCTGACGTGGGATGGGCTGACGGGATTGGCATGGATGGAGCATCCTGGCTGACTTGGCCTGTTCTCCCTTTTCACCCCTTCCTTTTTCTCCTCATTATCCGCTAGACCGTTCCGGGCTTAGCAGGCCGCCATTTTTCCAACCTGCCAAAGCCAACTGCCGGCAGGGCTCCGTGGGATTATCTGCATCCTGTAGAGTCATGGCCACCGTTTAGTCCGCTTTCGGTATCTCCTCGGTGATGCGCTCGCCCCTGTAGAAATCATTATTTAGAGTCTCCTCTCTTCTTGGTCCCCTCAACAGTCCTTCGTCAGCCATCCTTTCGGGTCTTGTCACTGTTTGGGAATAAACACTCCGTGAACCCGGTCTAAACGAACTCGGCAGTTGACGGTGGAATAGAATGGGGGTGAAGCCGGGGTGCGTCATCTTGTGCATTCCGACTATGCTTCTATGGAAGGCAGGCCCAAATCGCGAATCGCGCTTCGACTGCTGGATGGACTTAAGAGGCCCGTGGCCCAAGGGCCAAGCCGTCCGAGAATTCACGATGTATGTGGAAGTCCTTATCTTGAAGTTGTTTTGCAGCAGAATAACCCTAAATTCTCACCCACTCTCATAAGATTTAGAGATGCTCTCGCATTTTAATACTTCCATTTCTAATTCCTAGACCTTTTGTTATACAATTAGATATCAATAATTCCTGCTGTACGCCTCCCACCGGCGTATTTTCTTTTGCACAGCCTCAACAGTTCCTTCCCCCCGGATGATTCGGTAATTGCCGATTACGTTTCAGGATATACATACTCTGAGCTTCATACACGATCCGCTGAGCGAATAGCAACATAGCTTTGAAGCGACCTTATAAGGAGCACCATATGATGGTCTCAGGTGGAGTCTTCGTGGATGGGATGTCCGAAGTACCGAGGACGGTAGAATCCAAGATCGATGTCATCATCCTCATTTCCATGGGAAATCCGATCTCAGCCCTTGTCCGGTGGGCCCTGAATGCAGGGACCTCACTGGCCCTGGGCCACTTGGTCGACAGGGGCCCCGTTGTTTCACCATCTTCGGGCCCTTGACTCTATTCGGTGATGCTCGGCTCTCCTCACGGGTCACCCATTCTAACTTGCAACCTGCCTTACGCGTCCTCCTGAGAGGGAAAAAAAAAGAGGTTAAAAAAAAAAAAAAAGGCTCCATGGGGCGCTGCTCTGCCCCATTTGCTCTTACCGTCCTATCATGAAGAGGTGAGTCTTCGACGTTGAAGTCCTCGCGGTCGCGGTCGCGGTCGCCGAAGGAGAAGGTGGTATTCTCACCGATCCCAACCCACGTCCCAGAGGGCTCCGGGCGTTGGGCGTTGGGCGTTCGGTCCCCGTGTGGTGGCTGTGAAGGAATCTCCGCCTGTGCTAGACCATTCCAGTCTCCAACGCCCGGCCAAATAAGCCAAATTCGATCAAACAACATCCCTTTGGGCGTTGGGTAGTCCTGTGTGGTTTTAAACGGCCGCAGAGTGTGATGCCTAACGCAAGGACCTGCCAGACAGTCGCCGGAATTCCCGAGTGCCCATCGCTGGACCTCGAGGATGTGAAGGTGGACATTCAGACGCGAGCCTGCTCATCCACAATGGACCATCATTCCACTCCCACGGTGATGGTCATGTACAGGAATTACCAGCTCGGCAGGTATGCTCATCTCACAGTTGCTCGGTGGTAGGCATCTACTATGGATCGTGACTAGTTGATTATCGGATAGTATAATATGGTAATCTATATCCTTACTCGCACCAGCTCGTCCTTGTCTACAGGCTTCTCCTGCTTATCATCCTCCAAATCCAGGAGATAATCCATTGGCTTCACCACTCTGAACATAAACAGTTAACCGGGAATCAGATATCTCCTCTGGCTACCCTGTTTTTGCACCAAATTTCTGAGCTCCCTTCGGGTTTGCCACCACGGGGAAGGTGACTTCATCACACGGAAATTGATCGTCGTTAGTATCTCGTGAAAATGTCCATTTGGATGGAAGAGGGGAGGAATATCCCTTACCCGGACAAATAGGGGGGGGTCATCCGGGTCGGGTCTTGTCTGGCGCCCGCATTCCCGACTGGAAACTCGCCGCGTCCCTTCCACTCAGCCCATCCCTCACGCCCTCACGCCCTCACCCACCCGCACTACCACCATGACCTCAATCGCATTTGCCTCGCGAACGCAACAGGCTATACATGTCCTGCCAACCCGCCCAATCAGAGCATGGTAGCCAACTGACGCACACCACGCCCGCACAAAAGTCTCTTTAGCTCGACACCCACGCGCATCCACCACCAACACCTCGGGCAGTGAACTCGGGGTCAACGACGCTTTCTGTGGTGGGAGACACTGGGTAACGCTCTCGAACGGGATGTACCGGTATGGAAACGACTGGTGAAGAGGGTGGCCCGGGAGGCGCTTGTAAGGAGCCCAGCTTGAGGTCGCCGTCTGCGGCGGGTCCTCATCGGCCCCCGAGCAGTCGTGATGGTGCGATGTGAAGCCAAGGGGTGGACGGCATTCATGCGCGGAGACGAAGCGGACATTATACTTGAGTGGAAAAGATATTGTAGTTGGGAGAAGTGTAATGGCGTCTCCGGCTCGGAGGGAGAAGCTGAGAGAGGCCTGGTCGCTGATCGTGATCCCTCGCTTGCTGGGAGTCCGGACAGACAAGGTCAACATGTCCAAGCGCACGACCGGCGCCGTTGTAGTCAATGTAGCAGCAGGCGATGATGCAGCCGGGTCGACGGGCAGGGTAAACGCTGACGCCGTGATGTCACCCGTGCCGAGCGGTGTCGACTCCAAGGCCAATTTGCCTCCCTGCTTGATGCGTGATTTTCCACTTGAACTACGCATCGCTTTTTGCATCTTAATCTCAAACCATCCGGGCTCCAGCGGTTGTAAGGTGAAGGCATCGCGCGGGAGCACATCGCTCCCAACCCACCCCATGCAGGTTTGGGCCCCGTCGAGACCGGACAAGACACGCCCGACGATGCTGGCTTTGCTCCAGTAACTTCGACCACGAAAGAGAAAGCCCCCGTAAAGATTGACAAAAGGACCAAGCCGCTCAATTGCGTCAGGGGTGTTCTCCAGCAGAGTCCCAATCAAGAGATGACTGATCGCTTCGCCCGGAATGACAAGCCCTGACAGCCAGCTACGAGAGATCCAACCCAGATTTTCCATCGCATGCAAATCCTGGTCGTCGGGGTGTGTACTGCGCAGCTTGACACACCGTCGGGATCTACTTCGGTTGTACATCTCTTGTCTCGCAAGCGGCATCTTGAAGAGCGTGCCGGAGGAAATTTCTGGCTTGCAAGAACCATCAATATTGATGATGGGACGAAATAGATTGGTGTCTTCCTTCAAGAGTCTTTGAAAAGCTGTTCTGAGAGCGTCGATGTTTGGCCATCCAATATTCTCCGCAAAAACATATAGCCCTTCGAGTTGCTGCCGAACATGCTGGGAGCTGATCTGATATTCCCAAGGACCCAGTACATCAGAATTGGACGTTGAGTATATTCGGCGGCTAATCGAATCGAATAAAGAAAAGCGTCGAGACTTGATAGTCATCTTGCCCGTTGAAGCCACCGGCGAACCATCAAGTGGTGACAGTGTGGATGGAACCTTGCCACAAGAGATATCCAGGGTATCAAGAAAACGGCGAACAAATATAAGATCCCAGTTGACTTTCCCTTCTCGTAATTTATCAAAATGTTGGAGCTCATACGGCGGGATCTGACCAGCATGGGGATCATGGAGCATACCAACACGAACAAAGGCATCAAGACGAAAGAGCAGCTCTGCAGCCAGGAGTATCTGGATTAGCAACCATTTTCGTTCCGCGCCAGAATTTATCCAGGGTTGTTTTGATGTTCCTGCCTCGTATGAGCTAGGATCAAGGCAGTCGCCATCTGCATGTGGTGGTACCTCCCACAGAATCTGACCAGCCCGAAAGCGCCACTCTGGCAAACTGAAATCAATCCATGCCCCTGGTGTGGCTAAGACTGTTGCTAGTGTTTTTATCTGCGATTTTAGGCTATGTGGATGGCCGGGCATCAGGTCTGCGGGTGGCGGGTGTGGGTAGAGAAAGTGCGTATGAAGGATACTATGCAACTCATTGGGTGTCTCCACATCTAGTACTGTGATTGTTGATCCATTTCGCAGAACATCTAGACGAAGCTGTCGTAGCTGATCGAGTCGTTGTACAAGATACAGCATATTGATATCGCGGATCCCAATCCGTTTCCAGGCAGAGGGTCCATCTCGGATGAGTTTGCAGCGGTCGAAGACGGCGCCACTCAGGCACTGCGAGTATGGTTTATTATAGTGGTCCATTAACTCGAAGGCCTCCGTGGCCGGAAGGGAGGAAACCCGCTGCATGCTGGGGGATTGGCAAGGCTCCTCGGGGCCCGTATATTGCTGTACGTCGGCAATTGAGAGCTCAAGAAAATTCCGAAACCCAATGGTTCCAGGTTCCTTTCCATTGTTGGCCAGCATATTGGGCACTTCAAATACGCCGACGTCGAAGGTTGCTCTTTTGGGCGCACCAGTTCGACGCCAATCTTGTAAGGGAATTGGCACTCCGCCCTTTACAGCCCAATCATCCGGAACCGGGAGATGGCCATGAAGGGTACAGAGGGTGAAAGATGCATGGGGTAATGGTTTCCGATCCAACATGCGCTGGATTGACGGGTTATGTTCATCCCAGGGGAAAATCACTTGTGGGTACCAACGGCCATGCTTGCCTCTCTCGAGCATGAAATGCGGCGCCCCTGACAGAAGTGCCTTGACCTCCTTTTTTGTAAGGCTGGACTTGGGCGAGAGATGGGCGTTGCCACCCGAGGGGTCATCGTAGGGAGGATTCAACTGGTCCAGTCTATACTCGAGGTAATCGTGGATGTTTCCCGGCTGTTTGGGCTCACTATGCGATGTCCTTGCTGCCGCTATCTCGGGGCTTCTTGGGGTACTCGGGGTGGAACAGTCCCGCGATAGTCGGCGAGCTTGTTCGCTTTGTTCCTGGTCTCTGGCTCGTCGTGGCAGGTCTTTCGTATGCAGCTGCGTTAGGCTGTTTCGGATCTGGACCTTTTTATTAGTGGGCGGTCAATATATGTCCTGCCAACTGAGCTTACTGATTTCTGCGCAGATGGGGACGCATCTGGAGACAGTCCGCTCTCGCTTCGTCGTCGAAACAAGCCATGAAGAATACCCGATTCATTTGAATCATCCCGTGTTTTTGTGAGTGACTTGAGATGTCTTTGTGTCGGTCGTCTTGCATCGTCTTCAGCGTGGTCGGCGGCCACATCGGATTGCGACCGACGGCGGCCAAAAATGAATGACATCAGTGCTCCCGGTGGTGACAAGGCGACTAGGAACCTCGTCCTCTAGCCGTAAGACCGAAACACCCTGCCAATGGGCGAGAGAAAAGGGGAGATCGCATGTGAAGTGTAAAATCAAGAAGCCGGCGGTGGTGACTAGGAGCGAGAAGGAAGAAATCATGAATCCGATAAGCTGAGCTGATCATCGGTTCCCTCGGCACGTCGCGGGTTCCCCGGTTTGGCAGTTAAACGGGAACCGGCACCTGGCACAATGCGGGAAGCGGGGCGCCGAATTTGGTCCGATATCCGTGGATCGAGAACAGCGATCTTACTACTCCATAGTAGTCTCTGATAGACATGGATCATCAAGTGGAGGATCGCCGGAGAGCTTGGATCTTGCCTATGGAATTCAGTATGGATGTCCTTATCAGAGGCGAGGATGGACCGGAATTTGATCGATACGTTGATACATCACGGTAGAATATTGCCCAGTAGTGTGCGACAAGGAAATCTATCTAGAGATGGGAGAGGACAGATCGCTCGAACTTCATAAATGCATTGAAGGTACGATAAATTGGCCGGGAGGGTGCTTTGAAGGGAATAGAAAAAATAGGAAATATGGGAAGAGTATCCAACTCTTTTTTTGGCGCCTCAATCCTCGACCTCCAATCCCGTTGTGGCCCCCCTTCCCCCTCGTCCCCTTGAGGAAGCGGGGCAGGCCGAGGGAGGATGAAGGGGGAGGGAAGACAATGAATCTTCGATGATGCATGCATTATCTAGGCATGCTGATGGAAGAATTCCAGGACGGTTTTGTAGCCGCGCTCGTACTCCTTGCGCACTTCGGCATCCTCGAGATCCGACCGAGCAGCCATCCAACCATGGATCTGAGTCGAGAACGTCTCGACATGATTAGGAACCTGCAGGTTAGCTTTGAAAGCAGCAACATCATTTTCCGGCTCGTCCTTGGAAGCCAGCATGGCGAAGGGCACGTTCACGCTCTTGGCGTCATTCGGGTCAACCATAGCCGGGTGAGCCTGCGCCGCGGCCTTGAAGAGGGTATTGTTCGCCCCGGCGGACAACGCGGCGATCTTCCCGCCCCAGCAGAATCCCAAGATTGACCACGACTGGAAGGCACCGCTGGGGGCGAGCTGGTTTGCCTCGGCCACGATGGCCGGGATCTTGGACAGCGTCTTAGGTGGAGATGCCTGGGTGGAGAAGAAGTCCCCGAGCTTCTGCTTGTGCTCGTCCGTGGTTGGGGGATACCAGGAGATGTCGGCAGGGTTCCCTTCGAAGAAATCAGGCATGAAGACGCGGTACTTCTGCTCGTTGGAGGTGGCCAAGATATCGGCGCCCTGGATGGTTTGGTCGAAAAAGCCGAAGATATCTGGGACCATTGATTAGTCGAGGCTCTTCCAGACGTTTCCACTCTTGACCGGCTTCCCTCCCCAACAGACCAACAGACAGAAGGATGAAACAAGCCTTACGCACCAAAGACGACCAGGATGGCCTTCGAGGCTGACTCGGGGCCAGTGACATCTGTCAAAAAGTCAGCCACGATCAGCTCGCATCGCCAATTGTCGATCGCACGCACAGGTTTTCAGGCCATTGATGGTTTGATAGGTGCCTTTGGCCTGATATCCTTTAGAAACCACCGGAGGGATGCTGTGACGAGTCAACCAAGAGCCATGGTCCTACTAGTGGGGGTTCAAACGAACGAGCAGCACGCTTTGCTAATTCCAGACATATTTGGCGAAAAAACAAGGATGTTGGGTAGTTGAGAGCGAGAGGCTTTCAATGGTCAATCAATTAGAACAGCCAAGTGTCAGCTTGACAATGAGCAGCTGATGAGTGATCAATAAACGTGACCTAGGTCGGTGGGCAAGAACGAGAAGGATGAAGGGATGGAGTGATGAAGTGGTGAGGTGGTGAGGTGGGGGAGCGGATGAGGGGGGGATGAACTGACCGACGTCATCGGAGCGGTCATTCCTGTCTTTCCCGTTCTTCCATGTCCGTTGCCGTTAATCGTGAATCGTGAAGCCCACACCCTGCAACTATGAAATTGACCGGGTATTCTTGTAGCACCGTAGACATTTGTCTGCTTATGCCTTGGGTTCCAACTTGATCCTGTGGTATACACAAAGCTTTTTGAGTTTTCCCTGGCACAGAGTGTACACCAATCTTTCTCTATTTTCCATATGTGTATATATACATATATATATCTATATGTATTTCACACCAGTTCTCTTTCGATAGAAGATCAAGGCCAAAGTCTAGAAAGTATCTATTCTATAAGTTTCTTGACATTTACTAACACCAGCTATCAAAACTAGAAGTCATCTGCGGCATTGAAGGTTGATCTTTTGTTGAGTTCACAGGATCCTTATTGGATGAAGGAAGCAGTTCAGGGGTTCGCGATCAGACATCTAGACATGATTATACAAGTCCATCGCCTAGGATCCATTGAAAGTTAGGACAAGCAGAACCCCACGCGTTTGGAATGTAGATCTTATGCGCAGGGGGCTTTCAGCCAGGGCTCTTCCCAGGGTAACATGAATCCCACCAGGTCGAGGGAGCGTGCAACGTTTCACAAACGCCGTCCCACGCGCTTGTGGACCAGTGGACCCTTGTCTAGATCGTCTGTACATGCAAGTTTCTCTGATTTTCTTTTCTTCTCGGATGTTGACCGAGATGATAGATGAATTCGGGAGAGGTGATGGATCATGCTCCACTCCTCGCAACCGGTGGAGCTCCGTGGGTGCCAGGTATATGCCCGTATACTACTTTCATGTAGCTCTAGACACCTTCCTACGTACCAAAACTCTGTATACTGACTCCTCTGCCTGCCAGTATGCTGAATGATATATATATATATATATATACATATATCTTCCCAATCCCTGATGATAACCTGAATATCGCAAGACGGAGGAGCCCCCGTCCAGCAAAGTAAATCAAAACAAACCCAAGAACATAGACTCAACTTTGGAATCACCTCCAATTTATGATACCAGTCAATCTGTTGTATGAGACCAGTCCACTCGCCAAATTTCTATCATAGTATAGCGATCAGCTCGGAACATTTCATCCAATATTGAAGATACACGGAGTACAGAGAAAGGCGCCGAGCGATAATGATCGAGCGATCTTCCTAGCCCAGCGACGCGATATGCATCAGCCCTGTCCGTACATTCATCGACTGTTGACCCTGCGCATCATTTTGCCTCTCTCCAAACGGATCCCCGTCGATCAATCCACCGGAGGCGGCGGCAGGGGGGTCGCTCGACCAGCCAGATCCAACGCCGTGAAGCCTCCCCGAAGCCACACCGGCAGGACCCGACAGTGGCGACGATCACATCGCCTGAGCCCTTGACAGCAGTTCAGGATGGGATCCACTCCGGCGCTGTCACAATTGCGGCGTTAGAGCCGCTTTGCATGAGGACTGGAGCCTCGAGCAAAATCGGCAACGGGGCCACCGTGGCGATGTGGTTCCCGGGCCAGCTGGCTGTTCCTCTTTTTCCTTTTTCCTGCTTGTCTCTTTCTTTTGAAGGGACTCCGGATGTATCGGCCACCATCAGCCTACTTGCTTGATTGGGCTCTTGCGACATGTTATTGGCATTTACATGGAAAATATATGTAATACGATGACACGCACTATAGATATCATTTGTGGAGGTGGAAAGGAGTGGACAGCCAAGATAGATCAAGACATCCGTAGGATTCCGGGTTTACTCTCCGACACTCCTTATCCTCAACGTCGTCGTCATCAACCCTGCGACTGTGCTCGTTAGCACCGTCGACTCTGCCCCACTGCGAAAACACTGCATACGAAGAATGCTATGTAGATAAATATGTAGAGCAGCAGACACTTCACTCCTATTCCAAGGTCACGATCTCATTCCTATCCCCTTGAAAATTTGTCAGGTGCCATGCCTCTTCGTTCACGCTGTATGAACCGTTGATTAAGATAGGGCAAATCCATCACCCCGCGCGTCCATTGATTGCTTGATTCATTCATTCAAAAACAAAAGAATTTCGAGAGACCTAAAGTGATCAAAGTGAGCGGAGGCATGTGGTCCTTCAGGAATGTGACCGTCCAGAGACTGGTCGCTGGTCCGCCTTGCATATTTTCTCCACTTTCCCCTTTTCCTGGTGGATACAGAAAGTCAAGACCAGGGAGCCAAAGGGACTCTGCAAAACCAACGAGCAGACTGCAGTCCCGATTGTGATCCCATGCAGATGCAGCCAGAATCCTTCAGGGAGAGAGGATGCTACCCCAAACGTAGGGCCCTTCGCCCAGCGCGACCGATCAATTACCCGTCCTTGAGACCCTCTCAACCATCCCACACAGCCCATGCAGCCCACTCCTATGTCGAGTTCTGTACTCCGCGGCAAGTTCTGATATGCATAGGTTAGTATAGGGAATAATTCTCCTGGATCCTATCTTTATTCCGACGGACGACCTCACATCTCACCCAAACCAATCAACTAACCTGGAGGGAACTTGTGGAGACTGTTTCCCGCCTGGCAGAATAGTGCGTCCCCTTCAAGGCAGGGTAAGAAGAATGGATATCAAATGATGATTGTAATGTGGATTGTTCATCATCATAATGGATCGGTATATTTGTATACTCAACGTGCTTCAACTCTCCAGGTCTCCCTGTCGTCAAGCAATCCCCCTCTTCCCGGCCTTGTTCATAACTCCCTTGAAATTCCTCTCATTGCCTACACCTGGGCCTCAAGGTGGATCGAGAAGGACAGATAACAATATCGTACGCTTTTCAAGGACGGGAGATGTTGTCTCACAGGGCATGCCTCTCTCTCCCTATCGACCCCGATCGACAGGGCACGACCGTTTTGGCCTGTTCTGCGCCGCCTCCTTTCCTCCGGGCTGAACCTTCGCATCTGTCAAAAGGATACAGGGTGTCCGTGCAGAACGGGGGAAGCGCGATGTCACACCGGCGAGACTATTGGTTGATAAGAAGGTCCTCTTCGTCCGGTCCATGGAACTCATGTGCTGGACGGCACACGTTTGTTTCTTTAACACCGCATCATCGTTCTCGCCCCTGGTCGCTATTCATTTGACCTCGTGTGGAGGGCTCCAGACCTCCTCCGTAGTCATCTAGGGGGGGGAAGAGCCATTCCGGACGCCACCCCGATCGCACGCGCCCGTCACTCCACACCAGTCCCGACTACCTGGGGCGGATGGCGATTGGTGATGGCGGACTAACGGGTGCCACGGTCCCTCGACCCTGGGCGATGGGCCCTCCTGGCACAGGTTTGGGGAGTGGGAGAGGAAGGGACGGTTTCGCGGTTTTTTTTTTTTTTTCTCCCTCTACCTTCTCGCCTTTGATCGGGGAATTGAGACGAAGGATGGCCGCGGAGTCTCCACGTTGGTTGGTTCCTTGCTGTTGGTCCTCCCCACCGGACCAAAGAAAAGCGGTTTCGTCGTCCGTGGAAGTTGCGTCTCTAGAACGATGGGGCATGATAGTACTACTGTATAGCGCTCTCTCGCTCGAACCGAGCTCAGCGGCTAGCAGGTAGAGTAGTGCGTATCGTGTTATATGATATGCAGTACAGTCACAGATTATGTGGTATCCAGACCCGGTGCCCAATGCCATCCATGGACGGAGAACAGAGTTATGAGGGTGCTTTTTGTTTATTTCTAGACGTTAGGACCGATAGCGCGTAGAAACCAGCAGAAATTAGCAAGCAGCACGACGAAACTGTCGGTATATCCGGGAGCTACCGTCTCCGCCGTCATGGTCTCTCATTGGGAGAAATGTGCTCCCCAGAAATCCCCTAGTTTCGTTAGTCTCTGGTGCCCTCGTCGTTTGTCTCTAATTCCTCGGCTACTGGGGGCGAGAAAAAGGGTTTGCAGATGACCCCGGCATGAGCAAAAAAAAAAAAAGGACCTCGTTGGAGGATAGGAAGTATTCGAAGCTAATCTGGATCCGCTCCCGTGCGCCTCCAAATGGGCGAATGGTGGGCGCCGCAGCTCGCTTGCCTCTGCCTTTACCGAGCGATACTCTAGACCTCCCATGGCTCTCGTATTCTGGGCCATTCCGACCGTCCGTGCGTCGCGCTCCTGACACGCGCACCATTGGGCAGGAATCTCACCGCGCGACAGGACCGACCCTTCGTACCAATTCATACACGTATGATCGGATGCCGGCTTATAGCCGGAGGGCGGACCAAAATGAATTTTCTCTCCGCGATGCTAGCGCAATCACTTTCGCGCGATCCGTCGGGACGCAAGGAGGAATCCTAAAAAAAGAAAAGGACCAAAAGAAAACAAAAACAGAGAGAGCGGCAGGAAAGAATAAGAAATATCTCAAAAACCGAGGGATGATTGTACATGTACTGGATATGATCATAATTATTCCATTGAAATTAAAAAAAAAAAATGGTCATCCTGCCTACTCCAGACTCACAGTCAACATTCTCTGGCCTTTCTTCCACGCATTTGATTCTGCCTTAAGACTACTCGTAATAAGCAGTTTCCTCCATGGTCCTAGCCATGAAGAGGCGATCCGATCGAGTGATACAGAGCTCGATCTCGATTCAGTCAACTCGGAACGGTTTACCGGCGAAGCACAGTCCGATCCAGGCAGTCCACTTGAATGGAGTCCTACTCTGGATCAATTGGCCATCCTATAGCTTCTGGTTTCCTTCCCTTTTCCCTTCCCTTTCCTTCGCCCTTTTTTTCTTATTTTATTTTTATTTTATTTTTATTTTTATTTTATTTTATTTTATTTTTTCATATTTCAGCAGGCAAATATCTGGCTGAGTTTCCGAGCATGTTAGGATTGTAGGATTGTCAGATACCCAGGGATATACTCCGCGATTCCGGATGGTGGCTCGTCCAACCTGAGCAGCTATGCAGATATGCCGCTACCGCCATGCAAGATTGAGGAGGAATGGGCCGAGAACGAGACTATCGGTTCTCGACCTTTTAGGCTTTAGCTCCAGTCGCCCTGGGTCCGGGCCTGTCAACCACGTTGCCTTGCCCACTTTCTTTCCCCCCCTCTTTTTCGTCTGGGACCGGTTTAATTAGCTGATTTTCTTCGCTCTCCTCCCCCTGGCCAGCAATCGAAATCAGAATCGAATGGTGTATCAGTGTTTAATTAATCGCCCCCCGCCTAGGTCTCCCAGAGCAGGAATCCCCCGGTGATTTTTGGTTTCATTTGGCGGATGCGGAGTATCTACAGTACCACTGCGTGCATGCGTAGGACCATGCTATGACTCCTGTAGGTCCATTGTCTTCGCTTTCTCTCGACTCCCCTTTTCGCCTCCCTGCGTCTCAGTCCTGTCCGTGACCCTCGTGACAAGTCCCAGAGGAATCCCAGCCAGATCGAACCAGCTTGGGGGGTTCCACTGAACCTCTTCCCCACGCTGGCCAGACCAGTCCCGACCGTGGTCTCTGGGGCCCATGTTTCTTTTTGTTTCTTTTCTTTCCTTTTCTTCGACTTTTTCTTTTTCTTTTTCTTTTTTTTTTTTTTTTTCCACCCATGATTGATGACTAGTATTGGAAGTCTTTCGGTCCTGGTCCTTTCCTACCCTACCGACCCTAGGTTTAGCCTGAGGGAGTAATTTGTAGTACCGATAGTAAGCGAAAGATCGGGCTAGTCCTTCGTCCCTAGTCCGCGACCTAGTTAGCGTAGTCGAGGGGGGCGACAATAGATTAATCTCGTAATCCGCGGGCAAAATCGTCCTGACAGCATGGGTCATCTGCAGATGGGTCCTCGTCTCTACGTTTCGACTCCGGCCCAATGGGCCCGGCTGACTGGCCGGCCTCCTCGCCTGTTCTGACCTTCCTTTGCCTTGCGAATAAAATACCCCCCCATACGTGCCATACGTGCCATTCCTCGACTCCCTCTCTCCTCAACTATTCAACTCTGCACCTTCGAATTACCCAAACTTACCATTCTGACAAAAATGGGTATAACGTAGTCCCTAGCCTATGAATAATAAGAATCACAACCACCACCCTCTGCAGAACCCCCCCCCTTAGAATCCTTAGAATCTAACAAGAGATATTAGAAGTTGCGAATCCCCAAAGTCTGCGACAAGCCTAGACCGTCATCATTGATAGGCTTTTTTTCCCTGCCTCCGGGGAGCAAACTCCATCAGGACGGGGGACTCTTTGGGGGGGGAATATTTTTTTTTTTTTTTTTTTCTGGTTCTCGCTGATTTGGTATTTTACTTTTCAACTGGAACGAATCGACCCTTTTGCCTCTCGCGTTTTTCTCGCTATCTCTCTATTTATATTATTATTATATTCCTATTATCCCTACGATTTCTTCTCTGAATCTGATTACCTCGTTTATTACCTGTATTTTATCGGTCCCCCCCCCCTTTCGTCCCCTCTCTGAAGCTCACCTTTCGTCTCGATCTCTTCCTACTGGACTCTCTTGACATCTCGACGCTGACCTCCTTATATAATTACCTTCCCCCCCTCCCCGCGCTTCTGCGCCTCCCCAGCGCCACGGCTTCACCTTTCCCTCCCCACTCCCTCCTTACTCCTGTGGAAGCGCGTCTTCGCTCGTCCTCGCGCTGTCTTAACTAAACTCTCTACTAACTTCGTCCACTTCGCCAAATCCTCCCACTTGGCTCTCGCTGTTTCTGGACTCGACAACCACTTGCTCCAGACGAGACCATGCCCTTCTCGCGCTATCGTCGACCGTGATCTTTCTCTCTCTCCCTATCCTCCCCCCTCTCCCCATCTATCCTTGATCTTTCCTCTCCCACTTGATTGCGCACTCTCCGCTTGACGAACGCATCATTTCACGTCCTTTTTCCGTGCCAGAACGACGCTTGATTGTTCGACGACTTGCTCGGTCACTCGGCCTCTGCCGATCTTTCCAATCGCCAGACTACTTGACTCCTGAGGCTTTACGAAGGCTTGCCTCCCACAATCGAGACGCCGCTCCAGGACCCAAATTAGACCGAGTTTTCGGCCTCCGTTCTCACTAGTATTTGGTGGAGATCGCTTTGGGAGGTGTCGAGAATCGGTTCTACTTTCGATCGCGACCCCCAGCGATCGACGCTTGCCCCTCCTGGATCCTTCGAGCCCTTCGGGGGCCCTGCCTGGCGCTCGAGATTGGACATTGAACCCTGGAAACACCTTTGCTGGGCCTCTGCCTACCCACCTTCCCTCAAATCTCCCCGAAACAGATCTCTTCGGCGCGGGACCTCCGCGAGATTCCTCCGCCAACCTGGCTGCCCTTGCAGTGCCCGCCCCGGGTATGGGCCCGGCGCTGGATGCGCTGGCCACACAGCCGTTGAACACCCGCCGCCCGGCCGCCCCGACGCTGCCCAGCTTTGAACTACCACCGCCGCCGTTTGGCCTCGTCGGCGCGGCCCCGAAGTACCCGGCCTACCCCAATCACCCGCCAACCTCCCATCCACCGACTAATGTGAGCGTGGGGAACCTATTGACGCCTCCCGCCACAAACCAGTCCGGGGAAACCTCGACAGTCTCCCACCAATTGGCCCCGTCCTCCGCCGCGGACCTGCCCCAGACTTATTGGACCAGCACCGGGACAACTCCATACGGCGCCCCTTCGGCGCAGTGGGCATCGGGAATCAACCCTCCGTATTCAGCCCGCAGTTCCTTCTCCCCCTCTGGGGTGGTAGGCCGATCAGCGGCCGTCACGTCTCCTCCGACCACCGACGGGCTACCCCAGCCGTTCGAAGCTCCTCCCATGGCTTCGTTCCAACAGGGCTTACCGGCACCACCCTCCACCATCTCTCCCAGTGGTTCCCTCCCGGTCACCATGGGTCTCTACCCATCGGGTCATGCCTCCTCACCGGCTCCCTTACCCTCGAATGATCCATATGCTCCGAAAGCTCACTCCCTTTACCACGCCTCGGCCCATATCGCCAATCCGCACCAGACGGGATACTCGACCATGTATGGCGGCCCGCACTCCATGGGGTCCGCCGGGCTGGGAATCCATCCTACAGGTCGGATGGGTCAGCAGAGTCCCGGCGGACAGCTGCCCTTGGCCTTCCCTCGCCAGCCGTGGCCCTCATATTCTCTCCCCGCGATGAATGGTCCTGTCATGACGAATGTCCATAGCCCCAACAGCCCCATGTCGGTCATGGGCGGGATGCAACCTGGTCTTTTACCCGGATTCAATAGCGGCCATGTCGCCAATGCCCAGCATTTATATGGCGCCCACCCACCTCCTCATGGCCTTCCCCCACCTGCAGCTGACCGACCGTTCAAGTGTGACCAGTGTCCTCAGAGTTTCAACCGGAATCATGATTTGAAGCGCCATAAACGGATTCACCTGGCGGTGAAACCGTTTCCATGCGCTCATTGCGATAAGAGCTTTTCACGCAAAGATGCTCTGAAGGTACGTTTCCACCTTATAAAGGCCCCATTGTTCTAATTTATTCATATCTCTATATTCCTCTGTTTCTAATATTTTCTCTTCAATAGCGACACATCCTGGTCAAAGGCTGTGGCAAAGATGGTGATTCTGACGTGATCAGCAACCAAACTGCTGCGGATGGCACCATCAAGGGCGAGGGGCCGAGTGAGGATGGAAGTCCTGTTATGAACGGGCGCATTTAGGCGCATTTCACTTCTGTTCCACTTCATCATTTTCTCTTTCTGTCTTTCCTCCCACTCTCCCTCCATTCTCTCTTCTCTCTATCTCTCTTCCCCACCTTTCCTCTCTCTTCCTCTCTTTTCTTTTGCATCCCTGTGGAGCTTGGATCCGATAGGACTCCTCACTTATATCAACCTCACGCCCCTCCTTTTTTTTTGTTCTGTATGTATCCCCGGGGAGGGAATGAGGACGATGGATCGTGTATCTACAGTGGCCAAGGGAGTCGGGGGTTCCTGGTGGATTCTGATCTTTTTATTTTATCGATTCTGCGTGTTCTCCGGCGAAGGGTGTGTGACTGGGCATATTGGGATGGCTTGATTTGGTGTCATTTCACACTTGTTTGATTATCTTTGTTTCTTAGCCTGACGTGTGACGTGTGTACTGATCGTGATTCTTTTTGTGGTTTTAACAGAGCGAGTGAGCACTTGAGTTTCACTGTTGATTTTTACGGGACGAGGCCGCGAGTCTTATGGTGTTCAATGGTATATAGCAACATCCGTGCATGGATTCTTCTGATACTTCTGATATGGGACAAAATTGTCTTTAGACCGGATTTTGTTGACTCTTCGCTTTTCTTTTGCTTATTCCTATCCTCTCCATCCTCCTCCTGGACCTGTTCATGACAGCAGGCCCGTCTTGCATGATCTGGACAAACACGATCCGGAATCTCAGACACCAGAATCACACTATTGTCTTCGACGTGGTTTCATGGGGTTCCAACGGGCTTCATGATTAGTGAAAACCACAGCCAGCTCGAGAGACAGGCCGTGATGTGTCACAGATGCTCCGTTCCTCTTCATTGGCCGCGGATCAATGTCCCCATCTAGGGTAGGGGCCATAATCTTAGCTTCATGCCTCTGGACCACAGATCGCCCTATTGAATCCCTCGGTTTTCGAGTGGTGGTACTTCGATGCGTTTTTCAACAATAGCGTCTTCGAATAATTGACCATCACTTCTTTACCTTATCAGCTGCTGCGTTTCCCGGACTGCCGTTCAGTGAGTTCTCCGTACTTGTGGCATATCCATGGGCCTCATTCGCGAATAATACCCTGTTTACCGATTACCGACCAGCAACGGCAGCAACGGTTGCTGGCGGACAGCATACAGAGCCCTTCATCATGGGAAGCTGGTCCTCGATAGGGTTTAACTCGATAGCTGCCCTCAGATCTTTTCGCAATATAAGGCTGTGATATCATCAAGGAAAATGCAGATGGTCGCTTTATGTTGAGCGCGGCGAATGATAGGACCCTGCCGTATAAATCAATGTCCTGTCGAATTATGAATCTTTAAATGACCGAGTGAGGAGCATAGGTGCTTAGTCGGCATTCACCTTTTGGTATTCAGTCCAAGGCTACGGCCCTGAAGGTTGCCCCTCACATTCGATGGGTAAGTCTAAAAGCCCGCCGCCCTGGACCATCTCAATATCACAACACAGCGATCTCGATTGAAGTTCCAGGGACCTGCCTATCATGATAAGATGGATTGATCTGTTGACTTCAGGATATATGTGACTAGAATTGACACTGAAGCGAAATTGGCCCGATCGACCATTCTTGGAATCAGTTCAGAGTTGATACTGGTGCCATGACACTGTCGGTTTAGTGTGCGGGTGTTTGGTTTAGCTATATAGGAATCCGCGTCCCGATCAACACAGCCCACGTAAGTATTTATGTGGCTCGAAATCGGCTGAATGTAAATGTGTCCGGGACTGTCATTGTTGGTGATGGTAGGTGCTGCATTCTGTGGACAGGAAAAATGATAGGGGAGATCTGAGATGTGGACAAGGGCGAATCGATCATCATGGTACACGGGATCTGACAGCCAATCGCATGACCGAGTCCTTGCTTAATAGAGCTTCCATCTTTGAGTAGTTTGCTCTATTCGAAAAGAAGTTTGGTTCCGGTAGGGGATGATTGAAAGCCTACTACAGCCCATACTGAGAGCTCCCTCCCAATGAAAGTTATACAAAGGCAAAGTGACGTTGTAACAGAATCGTCGGGATTTAAGATTGAATTGAGAAATGACTTATCTGGAACTCACATGGAAGGGATGAACTTTTTCCTTATGAGAATCAATTTTTTATGTGAAGCCCGAGAGCCTGGGCACTACCTATTTCCTGTTGGCATATCGTTGAATTATGCACCGGAAGCTGATCCGTTACGAGACGCTACAAAACTGGGGTATCTCGCGGGCGTGCACGAAGGAAGAAACAAAGAATGCGAATAGACGAAAGCCGAAAACAACACCGCATTACCAGGGTAGAGAAATCATTGCTAGTTCAGCAGCTTGGCCTTCCACTCACCCACCAACCCCTTGTAGTCCTCTGTGCCATAGGGATCGAAGCACCGAGCCAGCAAGCCCTGCTTGCGCGCCGGGGCTAGACCCAAGTCCCGCAACATCAGATCGATGTAAGGGATGGCATCGAAGACAAAGTCAGGGTTTCGGCGGCCAAAGCCAGCAGGATATCGGTACTTTCCGAACTCGGAGTGTAATGCGGTCTCCCATTTCAGGTCGAGTTCCGCATCGTCCTCAGATTTAGCATCAGATGCAGCACGTACAGCAGGTGGGCAGTGCTCCACCGCGGTTGGGGTGAGATGGCCCCCGAAGTAAGCGGCAATCCACAACGCCTGGGTCTGGGCTACCAAGGCAGTGTTGATGGTCATGGTAATACCCATAAACGCCAAAGACCGCTCCCTGACCTGGGACAAGGGCACCATGAAACGTGTCAGTCGGAAAGGGTGCGGCACAGCGGCTTCAGCTTGTTCGGTGAGCGGTTTGTACTTGGGGTTCACATCGGGCCCGGAGCGCAGGCGAGGGAAGCGACGGAGAATCTCGTCATCGGCCGCCTTGACCATCTTCTCGTCGAGGGGGTCGCTGCTCCAGGGGAAACCAAGATCTCGGTCGATGCCCTCTGGAAGGAACTTCAGGTTGGGAGTGCACCGCCAGCCGGTGGAACAAATCAAGCTTGTGGTATCGAGAACCTCTCCTGTGGACAGATGCACCTGGTGGTCGGATAGATGGTCGAGGTCGGCAATATGCACCTTGATTGTGCCGTCTTTGATCAGATCGAAGAAGTCAGTCGGATAGTTGAGGATACTCAAAGATGAAGCGATCCAGAAGGGGCTAACCCAGGGCTTCAGCTTCTTCATTTCCGGATGCTTGTCGAAGCCGTTGAGTTGCACCACATCGTCTGCTAGCACGGCCCAAAAGGCATCGACCAGCTTCCGTCCCAGCCAGCTTCCGTGGAGGAAGCGTCGCACACGGGGGAAACCATCGGCATCGCCCCAGATACAGGGACTGAACCAGGTCAGGAACCGAGTGGTGACGAGCTTCTCGAGCCACTTCTTAAGCGGCGTCACAAACGGTGGCGCCATCCAGATGGGGCCATGGCCCGACTCACGGATGATCCAGTCGACCTGCATCCCGGCGGTGGCACATGCGTACGCCGCATCATACGCCGATTTGGTGCCACCAAACACGGTTGCGCGGCGGCCGTCCTGGAACAGCTCAGCGTCATGTGCGAGCATGTCGCGACAGTGGACAATGGGCGCGTTGAAGGTTGCTTGACCTTCGAAGTCGGGCAGATATGCTTGAGAGGTCACGCCCGTCGCGACGATCAACTTCCTGGTGTCAATTGTCATCTGTCGGTCGTGGTTTGTTACCTGGAGCTGCCACGTCCCATCCAGATTGTGCTGGGCGCTGTCGACGCGATGCTCGAGGCGGATGCGATCGATGAAATCAAATCGCTCCGCGTAGGCCTCGAGATAGCGTTGGATGACGTCGCCAGGGATGTGCTGACCGGGCTTCACCCCGAAAGTCTCGTCCATGGGGAAGTCGCTAAACTCGTAGGTGCCCAGCATATTATTCGATTTCAGGCCGCGGTACAAGCGATGCTTGGCCCAGACGCCGCCGATGGAGTTGGCAGCCTCGAGGAGCAGGACATGACTATCAGGGTTGAGCTCGCGGTAGGTTTTGACCGCAACGAGCCCGTTCCAGCCTGAAGAATGGTTGTCAGATCGAGTCCAGCATCCAGCATTCAGGACCTAGTTTCTCTGATTCGCCGGCCAGAATCAATTAAGGCCATTGTGATTAGGGGAGGTGGAGAGGGGGGGGGGGGGGGCACTGGGGATGATGGCACTCACCTGCGCCAACCACTACCAGGTCAACCGTCTCCATCTTGGATGCCTACAAAGTCCCAAGCGTAGACCAAATATAATTTCCGTCAAGGGGCTCGGGGAAGGGGATAACTGCTGCTGGCAACAAGTACAGAGTCCAGCGTAAGGAAGGACAGGCGAGCAGCTTTGCGGGGTCCGAGAACCGCAAGGGGAAGCAAACACAGAAGCAGAAGCAAAAGCAAAGTCGCTCGAGGCTACACTCAAGGGGCCCACAGTGAACGTGAAGCGCCCCCTTTTTGAGTGAAACGGGAAAGGTGAGTTGGTCGGTTTGTAGGCTATCGAGCCGGCCGTTCAACGGCGACTACGAGCAACCGACCCAAGCACTAGGGCCTGCGGTGGGTCTGTCAAGGGAAATGACGGCGGAAAATTGAGGAGACGCGGAAGATGGTCCTTTTCAATGCCGGAAAGAATTTCAATAATTTCAATAATTTCATATTTGGATACTTACTCAACTCATGTACACTCACTCCATTGATCTGTTCAGTCACCAGATGGTATGTATACTTGGTTGGCCCTGTTGCCGCTGCGCTCTCTCTCTTCTATTGTTCTCTCATGACTACTCTCGGCAATGTCTAGCATATCGAGAAATCTATGGGAGCTTTCCCAATCTTCAGACCACACAAATTGAGCTCGAACAACCAGGATTTGAATCATCTAATTTCCCACCTTTCTCTTTCCATGGTGGCCCTGTCGTCTTTCGCGTTACAAGTCCAGGCACGCCGGCCAAGTCAGCACTTGGCATGTACCTACCTGAATGCGGGTCAATCCCAGACACAGATTGGATTGTCGGCAGGACGTCGGAGACTTTGCTGCCCCCCTATCCTTTCAGTCGAAAATATTCGTAGAGGGGTTGAGAAGATGGGCAGGGCATTCGAAAACATCCTCGCCAAGCGCAATAAAGTTAATTTGGGCCTCCGGCGTTTGACATGACCACTTTGACGGCCAAGCTGTCGATCGCTAACCTTTCTGATCCTTTGTTCACTGGACCGATTGCAAACTGTGAACCCCTCGAAAGCAAAACCAGTCCCGACGACATGGATTCCACCATCCGTGACTGGGAAGGACCTGCATTGCTAATTGCCTCGCACGGATGGTGGCGCCCAGGATGGGGCGAGTTGGTGGAGTGGGGGTTGTTATCCCATCAAACGATTCGTATTGTCCGGAGTCGGCAACAGTCTAGCCTGCAATGTTCCTACTCCATGTTAAAGACTAACCATGACCGGCGCATATGTTTTTGAGGAGACATAGAGCCTTTCCCGTCGTCTCGGACCCTGGTTCGTTGGTTCGTTGGTTAGTTTGTTAGAGAAGATGGGACGGCACTGTGGATCCGAACATCCATACATAGCAGGCCGAGCTAGGGAAGTGGAAAGGCAGCAACGTAGTTCCCCAACATTATGAACAAGACACCATATGAATCCACTTGGTGTACGAGCGAGCTATTCGGAATATAATCAGTCTGGGAACAAGAAATGACAAATATTCTCATAGTCACAGCATCTTCTCTATTGGATCCCGTTTGTGTCTTCCTCCACATGTTGTTACGGAGGCTTCAGGACGTTGTACAGCCGATTTTATTCATTTCCAATGTGACAACATCGACAAGGGCTAGGATAACTCCCTTTTTGTACGTAGCGACCGGACTAACTATGGGGTTTCCAACGGCGCGATCCAGCGAAAATGAAGCAGGCTGTCTTTTTTTTGCACGTTCTTGACCCGCCGAGACCCACTGTCATTTCTACGCTACCCGCCTGGACGTTGGGGCGGGGCGGTGGATCCATTTGGAGCAGTGAGAGCAGTGAGAGCAGATACATTTATCATGACATCGGAACACATAATCGAATTGGCTATCGACGGGGGAGAGAAAGCCAAAAATAGGTTGGACGTACCGTGGATGTGCGATCCCTTAATTTCAAGAGCATTGGAAGAGGATTTGAAGTACAAGGTTTGGAAGCATAGAGATATACACACCGCAAAACCAATGTGAAACAACCTGAATTTTCAACTAGATGGTAGACCTAAAAATTGATTGTTAGAAAATCAGGCATATTCATGATGCAGAATGATTTTAGTGGAATTGGACATGCGGGCGCATAAGGGAAAAACAAAGTTACGGAGTGTAATCTCCGACTCGATCAATGAAGGAGGTCTGAGAGTGCGATACTGAGCGAGCGAACTCGCTAACAGGGAATTTCCATGTTGATGTATTAGCAAGATCCCAACCCCAGCGGAGCTAGTCCAGCCGACAGTGCCGATAGCTACTCGAAAGATTCGACAGTCCAAACTGAGCACCCTCCGCGACCCAGACGATCGGTATCTGGAAAATCTAGGGCTGGGACTGGCTTGGCTATGGACATACTTCAGGCTGCACAGTCCTGGTTACTGCATCACGACAACTGCAATTTTTGGCTCTGGACATACTTGTCTGCCGACCAAGAAAATCCCCAAACGACCCGTCTTCTATTCCCCAATCCCCCGATGCCTCCTCTGGCCCCTTACCCGTGTAACCCGGACAGGGAATCGCGGATCAGAGCGTGGGACAAGAATCAATTCGACTGCTCACCTCTCCTCGGCGCGACAGAGAGCTGGCCGAAGTCAACAGACCAGTTCACAAATACCGCTTTCCTGGATGGACGGTCCATCATTTTCCATCGAGCCACTTTCAGCACACGGCTGGAGAAGAGCGGGACTCCTAAAATATGGGTCCATCTGCTACGAAGCACATAGGCTCCAAGCACGGTGGGTCGGGACCTTTAATGTCTCTCTCGAGCGCTGCAGACAGCCCAGAACCTGACAGATCGACATGTGCCAAAGGGCATCGGTAGGACGGGGTCCAAAGCGGGCCTTGGGAACATCCAACCGGATTGCTATTCGCCGGCCAGAAGCCTTCCTCACGTGTACTAGATGGACTAGATGTTCGAAGTACTAGTCCAGTCTCCATCCTGCCTTGAACGTTTCTGGCTTTGGCGGGAACCACATAGTCTCCGCCACTGGCGTCTTGGACGGGCCCTCTTTTTTCCTCCCGTCCTCTGGTATTTATAAATCGACCAAGTGGCAGGCTTGCGCAATTCTTTGTTCGGGCCGGTTCCAATGAAAAGAGTAAGGCCGAAGGGGCCGCCCAAGTCACCGAATAACTAATCGTCCTCTTGCTGCCATCTCCCACTGTGTTTCCTTCCTTCCCTGGATGGCGTCCTCGTTGATTTCTTTAGATTTCTCTTCTGTACTCCCTGGACGCACCACCTGAAAACCTTCGAATCACTTTATGGTGCAGAGCGAGGATCAGTAGGGGAGAATTCGACGAAGGAATAACAAGAGAAACCGCCCTCACTAGCCCAAAGCCCTGGGTGATTATGGGCGACTTCAACACGGAGGCCTTCACCCTTCTGGGGGTAGCCATTGTGGTCATTGGCCTGCGAACTACGGCAAGATGGATCATGGTTGGTCCAAGAAATTTTCAACCAGATGATTATATCATGATATTGGCAGGCGTGAGTATGGTGGAACAGATAAAATAGGGAGTATCGCTGATTAATAGATTGCAGGTGGTCTACGGTCTGGAAACAGGCGCCGCATACATGGTGGGGGCATGGTTCAAGGGGCTTGCAAACAACTCCATGACTGATCAGGAACGAAAAGCATTATCTCCTTCTTCAGAAGAATATCGTCTGCGGGTCGGAGGTTCCAAGGTCCAGGTGACAGGCTGGTCCCTGTATACGCTCTTGCTTTGGCTGCTGAAGACCTGTATGGCTATTTTTTATTCCCGATTGACGTAAGCGGATGAGACCACCCTTTGCGAATTGTGTTTTCTGACCGATGCTGATTGAGTAGGGCGGGCCTGATAAACATGCGAATTCGAATCAATATCGCATATGGCTTGATTGCCGCTACTTACATTGCGACTATATGCTCAATTCTCTTCGGTTGCCGCCCGATGCACAAGAATTGGCAGATATATCCAAACCCTGGAAGTGAGTCTAAATATCTGTTTTCAAGTTAAGTGACTGATGTATAACTATTCGGCCCCATCATTAGATTATTGCCAGCCTGCCGTGTCCAAGATCGACATCTACGTTACCGTGGTACTAAATGTTGCAACCGATATATATCTCATCAGCATTCCTGCCCCGGTAGGTCGAGGATTTTTGAATTTTTGATTTTGAGATGAAACTGATGTATGATTGGGCTCAAGATGCTATTTAAGGCTCGACTACGATGGCGGGAGAAGCTGGAGCTTCTGATCCTCTTCAGTGGTGGTCTCTTCGTGATGATGGCTGGTATTCTGCGCTGTGTTTTGATTTTAACTGTGAGAAGCTCCTTCTTGACCCCTGATTCTGAGCATGGAAACTAATATTCTCTTGACAAGGCGGGTGCCAATGGTGCTGAACAAGCGGGCAGTTGGGCGTGCCGGGAAACTTTTGTCGCCGTTGTGATCGGAAACGTGCCTATGATCTATCCCTTGTTTCGCCGAGCTGCTCGCCGTGCGGGCTTATATCTCACCGCTAAGAGTGGCTCGCAAACCTATCAAGCCTACGAACTATCAGATGGTGATACGAACGGGTATGCTAAGCGCAAGAAATTCCGACACCCCCTTTCGATCCCCGCCGATACGCAATGGAATACGGTGAGCGATGAGCAGATGATATTGCCGACTTCTCGCCAACAGCCTGCTACTTGTACTGCCGGGGATGGAGACTGGGAGACGAATAGTCATGGGAGTCACAATGGAGGCATCAAGGTCATTCATGAAACGATTGTGCATTCTGCTGAGAAGGAACCAAAGATATAGATAAATAATCATACCCCGTTGTTGAATATTCTCAGATCCTCCTAGTTTTCTTGGTCGATAAGCCGAGTGATTGAGTTTTCTAGGACTCACAACTCAATAGTCAAGATAGTCAAATGGTTCATCAAATTGGGGCAAAAGGCTAAAGTTCCTTTTCACAGTCTATTGCTGATTCCTTGAAATGTTAGAGATGGTGCAACTTCAATTGAGAACTCAGCTAATATTTGCCAGCATAGTATTAAGAGAGAAAAAGCCGATAAAGGGGCGGTGATGAAGAATGGAGTATTGCGGCGTTCTGGACATGACATACAGTGACGCAGCAAAAGTATTTGCGCTTCCTTAGCCCCATACCCCCTATATTATATGATATTCTGCCAGCCAAAAACTTCCATTTTCTATTCAACACTACTGCTATATATTCTAGTAAGGCGTATACTATCCCCTCGCTCTCCAAAATAGCTGCAACCCTATTTAGTATAGTCTCTGCGAGATGCCTAAGATGCTGAATATCTAATGCTTCCCACGCTTACTACGCTGTTTCTACTAGAATAGTCTTTATTGTATTATTATTCGGTATATACATAGCGTTTCAAAAGTATTTCCCGATCCCCACTTTCACCACCCCAACATCAAATATATATATCTGTTACACTACACACCACACCACCATCTTTCTAGCTATATATTTCTAGTAAGAAAATTTGAATTCGGGTAGGGTTAGACTCGCTTAGCAACCACTAATATTTTGTATAATAACCCTTAACCCTCTGCACAGCTTCTAGTCTTCTTCCTATCCCTAAAATCAGCCTATCTATCTTCCTCTGTTCTAATGCATCCTAAGCTTCTATAATACATCTTTTAAAATAGCGCTAATCCTCCTCAGACTTTCCTATATCAATAAGCTTAGGATGCAACTCAAAAAGCTTTAGTTTTAACTATCTCTAAACAGGTTCTATCGGGTTTAAATCAGGTGAGTGTGGAGGCCAATCCTCGACCTAAATGCCGTATATTTCAAACTACTCTTAGGTTATCTTCGCAACATGAATCCTAGCATTATCTTGTTGGAATATCTTCCCCGGCCTATATATAGGCAAGAGACCTTCTTCTAACGCGTCTAGATAGGATCTTGTTATATAACCTCGCTTCCGACCGTCGGATTCCTCCCGTTCTATTATAACAAGCTTCGACCGACCACCAAGCCAGATAGCACCCTAAACTATCTGCGATATATCCTTAACATGAACCTGTTTATTAATTAGATCACGCCTATAGGCCTCGGAAGCGAATCTCTAGTACTATTTAGGCCTAGTATTCGACGATCGCTGAACAGAACACTCGTCGGAAAATATCTACTTTTGAATCCTAGAAGAATCAGTAATTCTTTGCCATTTTAATACAAAATAACGTCGTTTTAAAGCAGTCTTTAACCCTATAGGGATCTTCTTCTTTGATAAGCGTTTAATAAGTTTAAATCAGCGAAGAACTCGACAAATTGTTGACCTAGAAGGATAACTAGGTAAGCAGGCTGATAGCTGTTTATAGGTCCAAAAAGGATGCCGGCGAGCTTGCAAATATAGAAAGGTGCAATCACGACTACTAAGCTTCCTAGGCCTACCAGATCTAGGCGCTGAATTAACTGTGTGTTGTTGTGTATAGCGTTGAATAGTATTATATATCGTCTTCGGATCGCATGCAAAATCACGTGCTAGCTGTGCTCTAGATACACCGTTATTAGCAGCATATACTATTGCTAAACGCTGGTTAGGGGTAAGCTCACCTTTTTTTCTTCGCTTTTTAGCAGTTTCTGCTAGGCTATCTAGCATTTTGAGGTTGTAGGAAGAAGAAAAAAAATAGGGTTAATGGTTGATGTGGTGATGGAAAGTGGGGTCGGGAAAAACTTTTGAAACGCTACTGTATATTAGATTAGGTCGAATCTTATAGATTTCCTTCTTTAATAACGCCTATAGATTCTTAATTAGATTTAGATCCAGCGAGTAAGGTAGCTAGTCTATAACCTGAATCCCTAGTTCTATAAGGGCTTCTCGTACAACAACTACTATATATAGGAGTATTATCGTGTTAGAATATAGAATCCTTATATATAAGTAATATTAATAGGATACGATAATATAACTCTTCGATAATAAAGCGATTAATACTACTACGTTAAGAATTAGGATCTCTAAATAGAGGATTAAGCTAGTCTTTCGTTTAGTATCTGAAAATATAGCCTAAAATATCTACTTAACTTACTTTCTACGATACGGTAAACCTTAGTATTAGCCTTCTATTAGCTAGTCTTTTAGACGTGTAAATATCTACTCTCATTATATTCCTATTCCTATTCCTCGTTCTACTATATATTCGTTAGACTAAAAAGAACGCTTCTAATCCTCTAGTATAAAGTATTAATATTTAAACGCCTAGCGAAGCCGTTTTAAAGTATACTCCTCGGTAAGATAGGGACGCTAGCTATATCGCTACTTTCGTATATTATAAGCGTTTAGAAGCCGTCTAATAGAGTTATATTTAACCTTATTAGATACTAATACAAGAAGGTCTTTTTATGTAAACTTTAGGTTCTCAATAATAGTAATATGGATACGTTAACTATCCGTTCCTATAAGCTCTTTTAGGCGACTAGAGCGTAGCTTAGATACACTAGATTTACGTTCTGTCTCTTACTTAATTGTATATCGAATAGTAGAGAGTAGTATCCAAAGATATCGTGTCTTTTGAATATAAGTAGGGCCCTATCCGATAGCATACAATTCGCAGATACGCTCACGAATAGTAGGTGTAAGCTCGGTTGATCGCGCCAAAGTAAAAGTAGTAGTAGTAGTAGTAGTAGGAGGAGGAGGAGGAGGAGGAGGAGGAGGAGGAGGAGGAAAAGGAAGAGGAAATCCAAAAAATAGGGGAAATATAGCCTGTGTATGCGCGTGTTGAATCTTAGCGTGTTTCCTACTGCGCGTTTCTGGTAGGTGGTGGTTAGGGCGGTAGGGGTGTGGGGCTAAGAAAGCGCAAATACTTTTGCTGTGTCACTGTATTCCATGGAGAGTACACCTTGTCTTCTCTGGAAGCGTAGAATTCTACCCGCCGGAATTCTGCTGTTAACAGACTAGATCCCGAGACTTTAGTATATCCCCACCGGAGAACATGGCAGAATTAAGATACGCCCCAAATTAACGTTCTGCAGATCCCGTCCGGGGAAAATGAGTTGCAGAATGCCTTCCATGACCAGTGTCTCAATGCACTGAAGAAACCGATCCGATAGCTGCTCGGAGCTCCACATTCTCTCTCAAAATTCACCACGCCCTCAGGGCAAACGCTTGGAATTTTGGAGGGGAAAATTTGGATGAGGGGGAAGTTTTTTTTTTTTTTTTTTTCTCTCCCAAAAAAGATAAAAAGGCGAGTTGGCTCCCACATATTTGTGAGCAGCGATTGAAACAATTCACCTACAGAGCAAACACTTGGATCCATTCAATTCAATATGTTGGGTGTTGTCACATTTCTGCTGGCAAGCGGTCTAGTTTTGGCGGACAATATCACTGCAACAGTGAACCTTAGTGTATCCAAGGGAAAGCCAGGCCACTGGGCCTCTGGATTTATTTATGGAATTCCTGATACGTCTAACCGAATTTCTGACCACTGGTATACGGAAATAGGGTTTCGATATGGTCGTGCGGGAGGCGCACAGCTTGATGCGCCCGCACGGGGGTGGATTTGGGGATTGAATGAGTATAGAGGGCGACTTCAGTCAACTCTCTCCAATTATCAGACATGTCGGAAGTACGGCGCAGATTTCATTATCTTGCCACATGATATATGGGGCACTGATCATGCGAACTCTTCAACGGTATGGCCTGGTGACAACGGGGACTGGTCGGATTATGATCTATTCATCAAGACTTTGATGGTAGATCTCAAGACAAATAACGCCCTTGAGGGCCTCGTGTGGGATATTTGGAATGAGCCAGATATCGAGACGTTTTGGGTGCGTGATCAACAGCAGTGGATCGATCTTTATATCCGCACCCATAATATTCTTCGGTAAGTACCTTGTATAGAGCGTGAGAAGATTGGGTTGTTAAATTCGAGCCTTTGTAGTGAGGATTCGAGTTTCGATAATGTTCAGATCTCGGGCCCATCGCTGGCTTATCGACCAGTGTCTGGAAATACTTGGTGGAGTGACTGGTTGGCCCAAATCGCAGGAAACAAAACTATCCCTGACCAATACTCTTATCACCTAGAAGGGTCTACAGATGATTGGGATAATGATCTCCAGAATACAAATGGTACTCTTGCGGTTCTTCTGAAAACTTACGGTCTCCCTGAGCGGCAGATCAATATTAACGAGTACGCCAACTATGCTGAGCAGATCCCCGCTGGAGCCGCGTGGTGGATTTCTCGACTCGAACGATATGACGCTTTCGGACTGCGTGGAAACTGGCTTAGCGGATGGACACTGCACGACCTCATGGCTAACCTGCTCACCAAGAAGTCTGACCCAAGTGACTACAATGCGACTGATTACGCGTCAGCCCCGGAATATCAAGTCTACAAGTACTATAATCTCAATATGACTGGAAATCGTGTCGAGACCTCTGGAACCGGTGATCGTCTATTTGATGTGTACGCCACTGTGGGCTTGGACAAGGTTCGCATTCTCTCCGGAGCACGCATTACAACTGGTGATTGGCAGATCACTGTTAATCATATGAGCGCTGTTGGACTTCCGTCAGAAGGCACTGTGAATATCCAGACCTGGGGCTTTGCCGGCACGTCCGTGTATGAAGAGGTGGATGCTCCAAGTGACCGTGGCATCGTCTCCCATACATACTCGGGCGATAGCCTCACATTCCCTATCTATCAAACCGATGCTAGTACGGCCTGGGCGTTTGAATTCAGCGTCTAGTCACAATTTTTCTGCTTATAAAGCAAGTTTGCGATGCACTCGTACCGAATGCCTATTTATCATCACATTAATTGGCAGAATACTCATTGATCGTTGATACATGCTTTACTGTTGAGCCTGTGGCTGCATGATGTCTCAATATACTGTCAAATTTTTTTCCCATATACTCTTAAAATCCAGTTCTTCAAAAATCAATTCTTTGTCTTTGTTGCTTTGCCCATATGTTTCGAGTAAATCATTATTGACAAGGGTATTGACAGGGGTTGGATCGCGTTGAAAAGCCGAAAGATTCCGTTTCTTCCGGAGACCCACATGGATTCCCCACATGAATTCCGTTCGTTCCGTTTGTTATCCCCCGTACGTCAACTCCGCATTTTGACACGGATCAATCAAAAAGAGAACTCTGACGGTGTCCTGCACAAAAGATATCGTAGCATAATTCGGAAAACAGCCCGACTCTTATGTACCAAAGTGGCATAGAAGGCCAAGGCGGGCCGGACGCACCACCACCGAGGCGGACCAAAAGGGGAAATTATGCCTCCAAAGCATGGTAAGATTTGCTTCAGATATTGGCCAAAATATTTTTCTTCTGTTTGCTAAACTTCTCTTATCGCCATCAGTATTCAATGCCGGCGACGAAAAGTCAAAGCAAGACTCACCTTGTGAATTGCTAATTGGATCACAAATAGCTGACATTTTGTTCCTTGCTCAAACAGTGCGATGGTAATGCTCCTTGCAAAGCGTGTAAAGCTAAGAGCCGCGAATGTCAGAGAACTGGGACAGATATGCGTGGGAAGTGGAGATCTATTGAAAAACCACACACTCGATCTCAAGACTTGACATCACGTTTGAACCAGGTTGAAAGCCAGCTAGCCATGGCGAGAGGAATGAAATCTCGATGCAATGAGGTGCATGAACAGATAGATAGGAGAACTCACCAAGTGGATACGCCTAAAGTCTTGCATGACATACGGTCCGGTCATAATCGAACTCCTTCTCCCCGAGTCCCAACGTTCTCTGGCGAGACTTCAATCGCTCACAACCTCACAATTGTGGAAGGACGGCTAGAACAAATGGGAGTTCAATACACAACACGACTCTCAAAATCTCCAAATATGGCCTTTGCGTCTCGTCTGACTCCATCTCCAGAAACAGCATTGAACCATTTCTCCGAATGGCAACCTAGTTTCATTCAAAAGATTCTCGACGCCCATGGAATTGTAGCAGATCGACAACAGTGGGATGAATTGATGCACACATTCTGTGACGAGGTGCACGTACTTGTTCCCTTTCTTCACCTGCCTAGCCTATGGAACCTCTATGAGGATACATGGCGGACTTCCTTCAATCATGGGACGAACGACCTCAATCGAAGCAATATTAGCCGAGTTCGTGTGGCTCATGTTCTGTTGAGCATTGCGAATGGAAAATGTGTGGAGTCATCGTGCTTTGAAGCAGATCATGGCTCCTACTCTGCTGGGTGGAGCCTTTACTGTGCGGCACGAGAAATCTTTGGGGATCTACTCAATGCCTTTCGTCAATGCACAGACCAACTGCTTGTACTTCAGACGGTTGTCTTGATGGTAGGAGTTAAACCCAAATTGATCCACCAAGTGGGCTTGTTTTTTGTACCATATTGTAACCTGATCTAGGTCGTCTATCTCTTCCGCCTTGATGCGCATGGGTCCGCCGAAAAGGTTCTAGCTTTGTCAATATCACATGCCCACCATCTAGGGCTCCAGAGAGAGAAAGTGATCAAAAGAATGACACCCTTTGACGGTGAGATGTCACGCCGATTATGGTGGTGTATATATCTTTTGGACAGAAGACTGGCTATTGAAACTGGTCGGCCATTTCTCATCCAGGATGTCAATGTTGATGTGGGCCTTCCTCATAATGTGAGCGATGAACGGCTCACAAGGCATCAACTAGAACCCCACGGACCGGAAGTCGAAGAAGATATTGGGGAATCAAATATGACAAAAGTTCCATATTTGGTTGCAATGACAAGTTACTCCAGAGTTATAGGCAAGGTCTGGGAGGCACTGTACGGGGCTGTCACGTCCGAATCAACGCCAAGCCCTCTGATAAACGAATATCTGGAACACCTAGCTAGGCAATCTCAAAAGGGACTTGAGAAGGAATTTATGTGTGATCCATATAAACCAGAAGAATATAAGACTGAAGGTTTGGCATGGTGGCAGGTTAAACAACATCTCATGATGCGCATCGTAAGTCTGCATTTATTTCCTCCTGTTACTTGATTTGTCGGAGTATTTCCATTTTATTCGTTGCGTCAGTCTGATTAGACTCTAATAGAGATGGTCCTCACTATATCTTTTGATTCGGAAGCCAATACTTCAAAGGGTACGATTATGCGATAGCGAAGAGCCAGAAATAATAGCAAACGAGGTAATTTGCATACGATTGGCCCACAGAATTATTGATGATTTCAGCAAAGTGCCAGAGGAGCACCCGAAGTACACCTTCCCATTTTTGCACTACTTGACCAGCGCTACAATCATTTCCTTGGGTCTGATCATCAAGCAACCTTCATTTAGAGGTACTTATGGTACTTTGACTCTCAAAGCGGCAAGATCCCTTAGAAAGCACTGTCGTAAGACGTGGATGTCAGGGAAAATGATCGAAACTGTTTGGGCTCTTAATCAGATGGCTGATGCCGTTTTGACTCAACCCGAAAGAGCATCTTACAATTTTGAATGCCCAACCAAGAGTGCTACGCCACCCACATTCTCAAATAAATCTTCTCGGTCTGCCAGCAACTATTTTGAGTACTCTCCACAAAACTTTCTCTCAAGAACAGGAACAGGAATGCGTACACTCGGTATTTCTGCTTCTAGTTTTTTGGGCGGAGTTGATCCGGGAATCGAGTCACACAACACAAATCACTCAACCCCAATGACAAGAAGATTTGAGGGATTTCCTTATGCTCAATCCCCCGGTTGGACTGCTCTAAATCCGCATGTGCGGGGTATACCTTGCGTGGGACAGAAACCTACTTCGGTTCTAAGTTTAGAAGATGGTTCTACTACTCCCAATCTGCTTAAGCCTCGCCGAACAAAACTTTCTGATCGACTTACATCCTACAATGCGAGAGAAGAAGCAAATGAATTTGAGTATATTTGCGATAACGAGAAGTCCCCGTTTCAGGCTCATCAAGGAATGCTAGAAGGGGAACAGAATGACTCATTTTCGGGAGAAATAATAGACGACGGGATGGAATGGCTGCAGGCACTATTTGCGGATGGCCTGGATACGCATCCTCTTCCAGTATGAAATCAATTGGCTATGTAGATGGATAACTACTTGAATGATTCGAATATTGAAGGGCAAATTTTCTTAGCCGTAAACTCGTTCCCCAGTAAGGCCTGTAACAATTTGATCCAGACTAAGGGGGCACTAACGCAATTGCGCATCAAGAATTGGTCTACTTTAAAGACAAAATTTGATCAGTTCTGTATCAATAATACTTCGCCCACATTGCTGGGTAACTACACCCAGCGAATTATACTTTCCTATTTTAATCCACCTTCCGAAAAATCACTGACGTTATTGGTGTGTTTTTTTGAAACACCAAACCATTTCCAGTCACGAGACAATGAACACCCAGCATTTGGCGAGCGGTTCTATTTGTTTTCTGAGAGAGCAACGGCAAATAATGTATACTGCAAGACGAATGATATCTCTGATGCCTCTGAATATATGTAGTTATCATTATGTCGTGGACATCATAATAATGTAACTAATTGTTCGTTGGAATAAACTTGAAGTGTTCAGTGGTAACGTTTCTCTAAGTTAATTAGGAACCCAGGCAAATAATCCAATTTCGAGTCCCAAGCTCTATGTCACTATTTCCTTCACAATCATAGAGCTTCGTAAGCGAATCTTGTGACCAAATTTGTAGAAGAAAAATGGAATGGGAATTAAAATAACTTCAATCAGCGCCAACATGGTCCCGGCCCAGTTGGGTCCCAATTTATAGTACAGTTTAGATCCAGCGAGAGGAAGAAGTCCCGCAAGCCCATAACGTACGATGGAGTTGCCTGCCAATGCGGATGCAGCATATATTTGATAGCTTCCAGCCATGTAGTTTGTTGCATAAATGAAAACCAAGCCATTTCCAAGCCCGAAAGGAAGACCAGCAAGAATTGGACAGATCCAGTGAACCGAAGGGTCCGCTGTCCATGCGAACCAGAACTCCCCGATGGGAATAAGTATGCTTCCAAGGCAAACTGCAAATACTGCTGCTTCAGGAGAAGGGTGACCCGTCATTGAGTCGCAGCGATGCATCGCGATGATTCTTCGAATGACAGGTTCTAAAATGACTGCAATTGCTGTACCTGTCCCAATACCACAGTAACTGAGTCCAGCCAAACCCGGAGACCATCCACGATGTTCTTCAAATATTATGGGATATGCGACAAAGCATAGAAACAGCACAGCATAGACAATCCCGACGTAAAGATTCCAGAATATACTATTGGTGGAGTTAGTACCGACATAGAGGCTTTTTGAATCCCAAGAAAATTACCAGATAGGTTCAAAAAGAATCATTCGAAGAGGGCGGATCAAGTTACTCTTCAAAACTTGATAATTTCCTCCTTCATGATCAAACCGGCACCACCACCGACAGTCACCAGTCTGTTCTTGCATTTTTATTCTGCGCTTACGAAGAAGAGCAGGTGCATAAGTCTCTTTGACTGCGGCCATGAGAATTAATGAAATTCCGGTGCAGATTAAGATCAACCAGTTTATCCAGCGCCATCCAAGGTATTGAAAGAGAAATCCACCAATTATCGGGCCTTTGAGATTGAGAGATATGTTAGTATTGGGATAAACCACTGCAACACTCTTGTTTAAAGAAATGGACCATACCAAGCACTGGCCCATTCATGGTTCCGAGACTCCAGCAACTCAAAGCTAAAGCTCGATATTTATCATCTGTCACATCTGTCACACTTCCTGGTGCACTAGAAATCATGACTCCACCGAAAAACCCACCGAAAAATCTACTGATCAAAACCGCTTCGATATTTTCGGCAAGTGCGACAGGCAATATCAAGAGCCCGAACAATAGTACAGAGACCAGATATACAGGACGTCGACCATAAACCTCAGATAATGATGACAGTATGACTGATCCGATTGCAAGGCCAAATAAATTGGTGGTAAGCCCAAGAAGAACGACGGTTTCTGAGGATATGTTGAACGCGTCTTGCATCCCCTTAACACTAGAAGTGTATATTGTCGTGTATATAACCCTGTACGTCATTGTTGTCAACTTTTGAGACCGGATCATTCAGTAACATATATGAGTTACTTACACAATGGTAGTCGAAAAGGACATAGAGGCGACGATAAAGCTTCTATACCAGATTGACCAGGCCCGGGGGTTTTCTTTATCTGTTGCGGTCCAAGTCACCTCAAACATCGGATCATGAACAATATCCACAGTGTCTGAAAGACTTAACATATGGGTATCCTTAGATATTTCCATTGTAACAAAATATATAACTAAACAATTTTTCAAAGGGGGGAGGTGGGGGGCGTTCTCCTTGGATAATAAATACAGCACAACATGCGGGGTACGTTGCGACGGAATCTTGAAGATTCCGTAACTTAGCAGAAGCCATTTCCCTGCGATGCATAACATTTTTATTAAGTCTTTTCGCGGATATCATATAGCATGGGCCTAAAAATCAAAATAATATAGCCAAAAAAATCATTATAAGCGACTATCATGGAATGTTATGAGGGCTCTAGATACAGGAAGAATAAATCCAAGTCGTACGCACAGGCACCGGATTTGCAGAAACCATCCGTGGACCGTGAGTCAACATCCTTGTAACAGTGAACAAGGAAGAAAAACAAATTCTCACTCTATAACAGAGATTGTATAAATCAAGGACTCCGCCACATAAAGCCTTAAAGGGCATATCGAAAAAAGGGGTTTTGCTTGTCAGTGAGATCGTCGAAGGCAATCTTGTCACGGTTCACTTCATCTAGGTCCAACGAGTCACGAAGTCTGTTTTCCCGCCACAACAGCCCATACAGGATCATGGCGGCGAATATAGTGATGCAATAGCTATATTACGTTAGGATTTTAAATGAAACCTGCGTTGATGAGATAAAGCAACTGACCATATCACCATGCCCGTCCACAACTCTGGATAATGCTGGGCTTTAGTTCCACTGTTGACTAGCTGTGGTCCAATTATATTCCCAATCGTATATGCCACAAAAACAGTGGCGGCCATTACAGATTTCTTGGTAGCCCCCGCAACATTGCTGGCGCCAACCGTGATGATGAGGCTGACGACTGGTCCAAAGAATCCCGTGAGCGCATAGCCGATTACTGGAGTAGCTGGCTGATATCCCCATTTTGATTTCCAAATCATCACACACCCAGCAATAACGGGTAGACAGCAGATAATCAGCATTGGAATACGGGTGTTGGGAACAATGGTTGGAATGTACCCGCACAGAGGGATGAAGATCACACAAACCGCCCCCACTGGAAATTGAAAAAGGATGGAGTCCAAAGTGTTGAATCCAAACGTGGAAACAATCAAAGGGCCAAATCCTGAAATGGCACCATTGATAGTGTACCTATTAAGGTGAGCAAGGCGAATAGACTACATGAAGGAGACTTACGCTGCTGCCATCATTATGGCCACCAAATAGATCTTGAGGTCAGTGAAGGACTCTTTGATTTGATCAAACTTGATCTTTTGGCACCGAATCCCGGTCTGTCCTTTCCGTAGCCGTTCCACGGCAACCATTCTCTCCGCCGGAGTTAAAAACCAAGCAGAAACCGGGGAGTTTGGTAGAGTGCAGCACCAGAGACCGAACAAGAATGTCAATGAGCCAGCAAAGATATATATGTACTGCCAACGGGTTAAATGGCCTGCCGTTATTTGACCAAACCCGTAGTTAAGTGCACCGCCAATGATTGTGAACCAGCCTGTACCAGAAAACCACCAGGCTTGACGAAGAGCTTGTTCCTCTTGCGTGTAATAACCACTGACGACAGTCATAAAGCTAGTCGGGATGACACTTTCGATAAATCCTGTAGATAGTGAGCATGTGTGTGATAGATTTTCAACATATGCCGAGGAAACCTATACTTACCAAGGAAGAAACGTTGTACAAATAGGCCTTGCCAGGATGTCACACCCGCGGTGGCAGCACAGACGATAGACCAAAGCAGAACAACAGGACCAAGAACATATCGAATGTTGAATCTCTGCAAGGTGAAGGTGATAGGATAAAGACCGGCTAGCATCCCGAAGTAGAAAATGGATGTTGCCCAGCTCAAGCGAGATGTATCGACAGACGCCGGAGAAGTTGAATAGTCAATTACTTGCAAAGACAAGTCGGTCGTCATACCAAAAAGTGAAGCACTCCCTAGAATGGCCTGAAGATAATTTTAGCGGAATATTTGATTATCGAAAATTGCTCAGAAAATTTCACCTTGTCATAATATACCATGCCATAACCTGGGCCAGCTTGCATCAGCACTGAGAAACAATATAGGGCATCGTATGACTGCCTTACCTATCAACATGGCTGGCATAAAATACAAATCAATTTTTCGCAGCACTCTTTTAGCTATAGCTGGATCAATCTCTTGGGCGGTATCGCCAACCATCGCCAAAGCGGCGTCCTTGAGGTCGGTGGCAGAGCCATTGGCATCGCCAATTTCAGGTACATGAATCATTTTCTTGTACTTGGCAGCACCATGCAGGCGTCTGAAATTTGGCAAGAACGTGAATTTCTTCTTTGGTCAATCTCTTTTTCCTGGTCATAAACAACGATGATTGGAAACAGAATTAAACTTTTTGAGATCTTCCCGATTGGGCCATCCGATATCGCAACGGCATTCACCGCCTTATAATACAGGATTCACCCAGAGCCTGCCATAACAACCGGAGCACTGTAGGCCGTGGACTTTACGGATGTCCTGCTCTCTTGAATAGTTCAGCCTTGATCGTCTAAAATCAGTAATATCCGCTAAGCAACTCGATTATATTTCACTCGGCTTCCTTAGGCCACTCTCCTAAGGAAGGACGTCGCGCGAAATGTCTAAAAGGGGTTAAAACGTTCTAAGATCAAGCTCTGATTCATTCTTTGCTTCGTGTGGGATCTTTTTCGTTCAAGCTTCATAAAAATTCGGGTTCTGTGCATTTTTCTAATGACAGCAAGACTGATGCATCCTACAATAGCACCTCGGAATCTCTTGATTAAATTGCGGATCTCACCGCTCTTGTGTGGAATGGAAGCCTGATGCATGACCCCTCCTCGAAGTGCGACTTGTTTGGATCACAAATTGACAAGGAGAGTTGACTGGGAACAAACGAAGGGGCGGATTTTAGACCAGTTCCGTGAATCTCCTATCCGATTATAGTGAGTAATTGTCACATATCCGGAGAAGAGAAGCAAAGGCGAAATGTGATGAAATCAGTGGCCCAATTAGACCCGCCGCGCCCCACCCAATTGCATCACGATTCTGCTGTGCTCACAGTACAGAGGCCCCTACAAAAAAGAATTTCTGGTAGAGGTTCATCTAGTAAATGTAAGACATGCTCTTATCTCGGTAAAATGTGACGTAGAAACTGAACGATTTATAAATTTGACCGGGTGCCTGTATCTCTGTGGCGCATATTTCACAACCCAACAGAACCGCAAGAGCCGAATAAGACATTACATTATTTGATCAACTATGTCCCTCGAGTTCAATGTATTCAAAGGATCCCCGAATGGATCGATTCGCCAAGAAAAGATCCACCGCGGTGAATTGCAAAGAGATGAGATCTTTCTCCGGATTACCCACTCCGGGGTCTGTTTTACCGATGTTCATTATCGACACAATGACATGGCCCTTGGCCATGAAGGAACTGGAATAGTGGAGGCGATTGGGCCCGCCGCCCAAATTTTGAAGAAAGGAGACCGCGTGGGATGGGGGTATGAACATGATTGCTGCGGCCATTGCCGCCAATGCTTAACGGGCTGGGAAACGCTTTGTCCAGAGCGTAAGATGTACGCCATGGCGGATCTTGATCAGGGATCATTCGCTACTCATGCCGTGTGGCGCGAGGCCTTTCTTTTCAAGATTCCCGAGAACATGGACAACGAGGATGCAGGCCCTTTAATGTGTGGAGGCTCCACAGTTTTCAATGCTCTCCACGTTGCACAAGTCCGCTCAACAGCTCGTGTTGGAATTGTTGGGGTTGGAGGACTGGGACATCTGGCTATTCAATTCGCTGCCAAAATGGGCTGCCAAGTGGTTGTATTCTCTGGCACTGATAGCAAGAAAGAGGAGGCGTTGAAACTAGGGGCGACTGAATTTTATGCGACTAAGGGTGCAAAGAAGTTGATGATTAAGAAACCCATCGATAATCTAGTTGTCACTACCAGCAGTCAACCAGATTGGCAACTGTACTTGGATGTTATGGCCCCTAATGGTGTTATCTCACCTCTTTCTGTCGACTCAAATGATCTCAAAATCCCCTATATGCCATTGCTGTTAAATGGCCTGAGAATCCAGGGTGGAGTTGTGTCTGCAAGACAAGTCCATCGTGATATGCTCGAGTTTGCAGCCATTCATAACATCAAGCCAGTCAAAATGAAATTCCCTATGACGCTCAAAGGAGTGGAGGAAAGCCTCAAAACCCTCGAGGAGGGTAGGATGCGATACCGCGGAGTTCTTGTTTCTGAAAACTGATATGGCAGGAAAGGGGAAACGCATTGTGCACGTATTAATCTCAAAGCGAACAACTTCCTTAGTAAATGATTGTGATGAAACATCTCGAGAAAAGAAAGAAAGAATTGAATTTTACTTATATGAGCTGCAAATTGGAGAAAAGATCCATATGTAGACATGAAATGTAGTAGATAGAAGCGCTTCAGCTGCTAGAAGACAATGAATTAGTTATTCCAAAAGTGAAAAGTATGCGAAGGCAGAATAACTCGCTGTACCATTAAAAACTAAACCCTATCGATGGCCCGAGGAACTTCAAAGCCGTCCATGAAGAGGTAAACTGTCTTCTAAACAAGCTGCAGGCAAATGAGGCTCAGGCAGGCCAAGCTCTCTGGCAATCTCCCTGGCAGCCCATAATCCAGTAACAAACGCAAGTGCAAGACCTCCGGCATATCCTGTATTACTGAAGCCGCCAGCGTCCACTCCTGCCACAAGCAAGCCAGGAATGGTAACCTTATCGTGAGTCAAGGCACGTCCCTTGGTATCGATCAGGATACCGCCATATGTAAAGGTAATACTTTCAAGAGGCCAATCAGGGTGAGATTCCTAAAACGATACATGATATGATAGAGGGGGATCAAATACGTACGATGGCTGAACCTCCATGGCATAAAAGGGACCTTCACCCTCAACAAGGGGTGCAGGGGAAAGACCAAATTGACCTGTGGGGGCGTCGAGGACTAGATTTCTCTTTCCCAAACGGACGAACTGATCATATTGTTCGAGAGTGCGTGCTGCTTGCACATAATCAACCCCCCACTCACGAATTAAGTTAAGAAGCCCATTCAGCGTAGATGCTTCGCCAACATTGCAGCCGTATTCTCGAGCCTTCTGTAAGCGATCAACATCTCCTGCGTTGGGAAAGAATGCCCCCATACAGTGTTCAAGACGAGTTTTTTCACTAATCAATGTCATTACACATATTTAACTATACAGGGATTGAGAACTCACTTGAAAATAAGAAATCCGCGACGCGTTTCTTGTTTTGCCAGATGCTGGTTCAAGATTTCATCCCCAATTGTCTCATCCGCAAAACGTTGACCTGCTTGATTCACAAGTATACAATGCTTGCTTTCTGCCAAGGTATCAGATAAAAAGGCCAGAGGAACTCTAAGTGTAAGGACCCTTACGATATTGAGCCAAAGGTAGGAAGTCAACGGGATCCACTTCCTCGCGTCGAAGAGGAGCTGCCAAGAGGTGACCATAGAAGGTATTTAAACCTCTACTTGCCCCAGCTCCAACCTTTGTAGCTAGACGAAGCCCATCCCCCACTGAACCTGGGTTTGAACGAACAAAAATATTGTCTGCGCCCTGATTCAAATAAGTTGCAGTCATGCGTGAGGATCCCTGAAAGCCACCAGTAGCTAAAACCACAACCTTGGCCCTCACTTCATGGTAGACTAATGAGCCATCAAGTCCTTCCGCTCGTATGATAGCACCAATAATACGAGACCCAGGCACATTTTCTCTTTCCTGAATGAGTTTCAGGATGGTTGCATTTTCTAAAATCTTTGATCCAGTATTGCTTGACTCGATGCGTTGACGGTGAACCTTGTGTAGAGAAGGTATTTTAATCGGAAAGCCAATACCTGCAACCGAGTTAACCTGATGTGTTCTGAATAGCACGTTGACCAAAGTAGGCTTGAAAATACCTATCGTCATGATTCCGTCATACCGGCTGGATGTGGGAATTCCATTCTCGCGCATCCATTGTACTGCTGGGAGGTATTCATCTAACCACGCGCGCTGCAAGCATGGGTCGCCCTCTGGTACCCAAGATCTCAGCTTTTCAAATGAATGTGGTGCCCAGCTATTTTGCATTAATAGAATGAACGATAAATATGAATGTTTGGACTTACAACATCCCCGCCGAGAAATTTGAAGACCCTCCTATAGTCTTTTGCTTCTCAACTACCAAAGTCTTGGCACCAGCCTCTGCAGCAAATGCTGCACAGGCCATACCAGACATACCACCCCCACAAATTAGCGCATCGACTTCGATAACTTCCATTTCTGTATCCCAAGGGGAACAATTGAATGATTCCAGTGAATAGCTGTCAGTGAATAGGTAGCTTTAACTTTGTGCCACACGGTAGTCGCTCAATATTTAAATCTTAAGGCTGTGGATAGCCTAATTGACGTAAATCCCTAGTCAAAGTTTCCGGGCTTCAAATTAAATAACCGGAGAGAGATCATGTTGACGCCTGATGGTTGCCAGGACTTCCGTCCCGCTCCGGTGCCCTCGAGAAGACGGAGGAAATGAACAAAAGGGCCCACTCAGCTCCTATCTTCTCTCTTCGGAGATTGTTTGCAACTGAGGGGGCGGGGGCTGGTGACTGCTTGTTGGGATCCCTCTTCAATTGAAGGCAGGTATACTAATACCTTGTCTACAGTACACTCCATTCACCCCTGGTTATTGTTTCCAATTGGATGACATTACAGCACCATATATGTATATTCTTTTGCCTGTACGGTGTATCGTAGTCATCACTCGGAAGGATTATATCCTGACAACCTGTATTTTCTTTCCTTGTCTTTGAATCGCTTTGATTCTTGCCCCATCACTAGATGACTCTTTGACACCTTTCCATGCCAGACGGTCAAAATTCGCTGCTAGGGTCATACTGCAGTCCTAGAATTCTCTTCTCTACATTTAGAGATCCAAAAAATACCCTTCGGTTGTTATGACACCTTGATTACGTCGGCTTTCTACTTCTTATCATTGCTTTAGATGAAGCTAGTGATGTAAGATCTCATTAATATCAAATATACGAATCAAAAAGATCAAGGGAAATCATTTATAGCAGATCCAACATTACAACCTCTGGCCATGAACGTGTAACCGCTGTGAGACAGCGGCAATGGCATGTAGTGCACTGGCTTTGCTTTCCCAGAATGGGGGTAAAGTGCAGGCCACTCGTGTAAGAAATTTCAGGCTCTCAATTCCACGAATTGCATGGCTTATTGGTACCATACTTCCAGGTTTGTTCAAAGAAGAATTGAAGACCTCTAGTGATATGGGCCCCGTGTATCCGGTCGCGAGGACAGCGGCCGCCACAAGCTCGACGGGCATATAGGCACCGTGGGATCGCTCTAACGGATAAAGTCGATGACTCCTTGACCATGGAAGAAGAGCAGGAGTGTCTAGATCCACAGGTGGTTTGAAGACTGCTGGGTTCATCAGCTCCGCATCCCCACACTGGAAGAAGAAGATTCGGTCTCCTGGGACGGTCATGACCAAGGATGAAAGGGATGCTGTCAGAACTTCGAGAGACTCTTCTAGGGTGGGATATATCCGGCCGTGGCCTGCAGGATTATACGGATTCGCAAACTCGACTGCAAGAATATTGAAAGCGTCGACGATAAGTCCGACATTTGGCCGATTAGCAAATCGCACCACCTCCCAGGACGCTGACCATGTATTTCTGGCCGCCCAAGAAAGACCTTCATATCCAATTTTCAACATTCTCCCTCCATCGGTCTTTGAATAAGCTGCAGCCATATCCCCCAGTTCTGCAAGGTCTCGTGCCACGATCTGGAGATCCGATGTGACCCCGCGGTCCTTTCGGATATTGGCACACATGAAGACCAGGTCGGTGTCAAACGCGCGCATGAACGGAAATCTCTTTGCGACGTGATCGAGAGTACGGCGGCGTTCTATCGGATCTATCACGCCCTCGATCTGGCGTAGAGGCTGCGTACAAGCGATACGCATTCCCAGAGACTTTACCAAATCGCTCACCTGGCGCGCGAGCTCCAGATTCCGAGGTGTGGGCTCCCACAATTGATCGGCTGGGATTCCATGTTCTTCCAGATATGCTGCCCAGCACTCATCAAACAAATCAATCCATTGATACCCTGCTTTGGCTGCTGCTTCAAGTCGCGGTACCAGTCGGTGTTCCCTCCAATTTCCGAGGGAGAGTGTGGCGATCCCGAATTCATTTGTGCCCGCTGGGGGCCAGATTTTTGACATGATGGATGCAATAGACAAAAACGAAGAAGCACTTGGTCGATCCATACACGACTTTCAGATGTTTTAGAAGGAAGATGGGTGAGCATATACCCGCCAGGCCCGGCGCATCCGGGGTCCATCCCCGCAGACCCGGCCCATTTTTTAAAATGCCGGGTGTCCTAAAGAGGAGGATACTGGGACCAGATACTAGAGCTCCAAGAACTATGAACCTCAGTTGCGATTGTAGTACGAAGCACCTCGCCTTGCGTGTATTTCTTAACTTTTCGGGCCTAGCTCGTGTATTTTTTTTTGTAGCCTCTGCGTGATTGGTGTCAAATGGCGTCAACTGCTGTTTCTCTGGTCGACCATATTAAACTCGTTTCCCATTCCACCACTTGTTACAAGCTTTACAGCATAGAATGAAACAAGAAGATAAGACGAAAGTTTCAACAGAGGAAGCTGTCCCCAGTCATGATCGGAGCCGAGTCGCATTCAGTCGCATTCCACCCCACCCAGAACCGGCCGCTGGATCGTAGATCGAGTCAAGGGGGACTCGGCGGACTCGGCGGTCAGCGGCTCGGCGGGCTCCGACTCCTTAATCAGCTTCTCCCCAAGGTCCCCCCAATCACCGAAAGGCAGCCGAGTGGGCCTGGCTACGTTGCCCCGCGTTCTCCGTCTGTTTCTTTTGTTCTTCCTTTGCTCCCCAGTCCTCCTACAACCGATCCTGCCTTTGATACTATCCAGAATGACGACTCTTAAGCCCGGTGACACGTTCCCCAGTGATGTGGTATTCCAGTGAGCTTCCATAGACTGTCAACCCCCCATCCGTCGCTCCATCGCTGACCTAGTTAGATATATTCCGTGGAGCGAGGAAAGCGGGGATATAACGGCCTGTGGCATTCCCATCAACTACAATGCTTCCGAGCAGTGGGCAGACAAGAAAGTAGTCTTGTTTTCGGTTCCAGGTGAGTTTTGAGACCTCTACATGGATTATACTGCTGTCCAGAGCTAAACTATATCCATCACCCTGGCAGGCGCCTTCACCCCCACCTGCTCCGTCAACCACATGCCTGGCTACATCAAGAATTTGCCCCAGCTACGCGAGAAGGGAGTCGATATTGTTGCAGTGGTGGCGTTCAATGACCCTTTTGTCATGAGTGCATGGAGCAAGGCCAACCAAGTGCGCAAGGATGAAATCGTGAGCACACCCCAATCCCTGAGGACCGCTGGGCGTGAGAAGCAAATAAATATGCAAATGGCTAAATATGGACAGCTCTTCCTCTCGGATCCCGATGCTAAGTTCTCCAAAAGCATTGGATGGGCAGATGCGGCATCTGGCCGCACCGGCCGGTATGCGATCGTCATCGACCACGGCAAGGTCAGCTATGCCCAGATCGAGACCGAACGGGGCGCTGTCAAGGTAATATTCACCCCACCCCTCAGCCAAAAAACGGACATAGTTAACGCGACCGGGTCACAGAAATCCGGTGCCGATGCAGTACTTGCATCCTTGTAGCTATAGAGGGATTTATTGGAAAAATCATGTGAATCTCTTTTGCGCTGATCTCTGTTTGCCGCCTGATTCTTCCGCCTTCCGCTCCTTAGAACAGTAGATGAAACCATAGCATGATGCCATTCTAATAAAGATCATGATTCTCATGAATTAAAATCGTGAAGTTGGAGTGAAACAGCCCCCTGGCGACCAGCTGTCACAGTATGTACATCGTCAAAGCAGGTGATATATTCCATCAAAGTAATCAGGCCTGTGAAGCTGCCAGAATATATGTCTATCAAGTAAAGTCATCAAATGGTATCATATAATCAGTTTCGAATCACCAAATCCTCCTAACGAGCTTAGGTTGGGATCTCCCGGGTGAAGACGCGATCGTGGAGATGAAGTTCTAACCCAGCAGCGGCACAATCCAAATGGAGTGGCTCAGCTGCTTGTAGAATCTTCTGCTTGATGATGTTGTTGTTGGCTGGATCAGATTCCGGGGGCCTGAATTCGCCAGACTCATCAGAAGCATTGTGGAAATCCCCTTCAACATCAATTCGTTGAAGTCGGGGCAGACGCGTTCGGTGGCTCTTGACCACAATACGAAGTTGAGACACCAACATTGCCAGGTGTCGCTCCTCACAACCTTCGATGTAGATGGTCTCCAACGAAGCCGGGAGACAGTTCAAGAGAGATGTGGCGGGTTCGCTTTGGTAACGGATATCGAGCAGGTTCGGCAGGCGAATGCGGACCTCCCGGAGAGCACTGAATTCGGCTAAGGATCCAAACCATTCATCGTGAGTTTGATTCAGCCCAGCTGCAGTAAATGCATAGTGGTCCCCATAATGATCCAACCATAGGACCTCTAGAGTTCGCTTGCTGTGAGACAACGAGCGATAGAAGGCGGTGGGTTGGTAGCCGCGGGAGTGCAGGTGCGAATCAGAATGTTGATACTTGAAGGACTTCAAATCTGCACAGGAGGTGATCAACGCCTCCATTCCATTGTTTACACTACTTGCTCGCAAATCGATGTTTTTAATCGACGATAAATCGAAGGGCTCCAATGCCGGCTCCTCGTTGGAAAGGCTTGAGTCCACCACCGCAGTGGCGATGATCGTCCGCATCGAGGGCAATTGGAAGAATGGCAGTAGCAGCGTGGATGGTGACTGGGCAGAACGTTCCGCAGCAGGATGCTCATTCCTTGAAGGGTTGAGATCCTCACGGTGATGGAGAAAGACATGGGCCAGGTGTTGGAGTGCACGCCCGCCGCGGAAAGACTTGTCCCCCTTGAGTGCCCGTTCGAGTGAGCGTTCGAGGCAGGTTGTTTCTGACCCGTGAGCAACCTGAAGCTGTTCTAAATGACTTAGCAGAGGCAACAAAAGAGCCGACCACGCTTCACTCCGGCCACGGGTCAAGCTTTCCTGCCATTGCGTCGCCTCCCCCTCCGAATGTGATAAGCTGTGGATGCATTCCCTGATTAGTACGGATCTTTCGAGCTCCCATCGGTCTTCCTCTGCGATTTCCTTTGTCCCCCATGCACTCAAGTCCAGATGTCGCACTGCTCTCGCAAGGTAGGGGCGCCGGGATATGGCGTGGAGGAAGGAATTGGCCGCACGCTGATTCTGAAGCGGCACCGCTCGGTACACCATAGAAATGAAGAGATTATGGAAATGGCGGCAGACGAAAACGATGTTCCATCGATCCAAATGTTGATCGAGTTGTTCCGCTATCATGAGAAGCACATCGTTTGGGAGCGAGATGAGTGATAGAGCCATAGCTATTTTTTGGGCTTCAGGAATATAAAAGAGTGCGACAGAGGGGGCTCCTCTCGCCGTCTCTGGCCTCCGTTCGGCACATCCAGGGGCGACTGATAAATAAATAGGACACCCGAGAGAAGAGACTCGTCGTCATAATTATGAGAGAACGAAGGGAATCCTTCCCTGTAAAGCCCTGCAAAGTCTAAAGACAAGATAAGCCCGCTTATCAGTGGATCACGACTTGTTCGCACACTAGTTCCAGTGCCACCGAAACGACGACTTCGAGAATGTCAAATAGCCCTAATATTAATGCTATCCACTTGGCTGATCGGGAAGCATTGGTTCGCCATCAATGTAACCAGTGGATTCGGTGGACCGGTGGCAACGGAGTCGTCGGGAAAGAATGAGTTTTCGTGCTCCACTAATGCGCTCACCAGGCATCACTTCCCCGGCAGCCCACCAAGAGAAGCACAGAAGAAGAGTACTAGGAGAAGCGACAGGATCAGATCGAGAGTTGAAAATTTCGATGAAACTGACGCGAGAGGGGCAAAAGAGAGCGAAAAATAAACAAACAAGCGCAAGTGGCTGCCCCGACGGATGAGCCACAGGACACGCATCGACAGTTAACGTTGTAACGTCTTCAGTATCCGGATAGCCCACGAAATGAGGTAGCTGACGGTGTCTACATATTCTGCGCGAGAATTTAAGTACGAAGTCCAAATGCACTCTGCGAAGGATATGGACTCTGAAGCACATGTACATCATTCTCCCACGTATGCATGCCGGGATCAGCCGATCTTGGATATGAAGCTTGCGCTCCGCTGACTTGGCGGCCGAATTAGTCAAGTCTACCGAGATCGCCCAAAGCATGGGTCATTGACATCCCAGTCGGGGGGCGGTCGCCTTTGAAACGGTTCTGGACTGCAGAGGATTGATGGAGAGGTTATATGCGTGCAGTGCCTTCTAATGACTCACATGAATCTACATGATAGACATGTCCAAATCCGGTTGCGGGTCTAGGGTTCGTTAGAGAAGAGAAGGCCAAAATAGCTCGGATAATGAAACCAAAGCTGCGGGCCGAAAACTTCGCTGGATGAAACGATTGGCGTATGATATAGTATGGTATCGACTATGTTGTAGATTTCAAGCACTTTGATGGATTCTTGTTCAAGTCGAGGGTCATATGACTGTGAGGTATGGAGTAACTAGAAGCATCGATGTCTCGACTTCTGCTCTTTTCTGGGCTCATACTAATTTTAGGTGTTTTTGAAATCCAGCAGGCTGCACAGCCCTCACTAATCACCATTAAGTCTTCACCATCACGAGGCAGCTGAGGTTGCGGAGGCGTGTTGGTAGTCGAGATACCAGAGATGTAAATGAAGGCAACCATGGGAATCTCTTATTTCTCACTTAGAGGATTCCAGTGTTACCCATGAATGCAAATTGGAACCTCTTGCTTATGCTAAGTGGATTCATGGGCCATGAGGGCAATGATTTCCATTCTGCTTCTAACAGATCCCAAATCTCGCGCGTTTCGTCTTCCACCGCCCCGATTTGTTGGTCCTGATAGCTAGACCAATTCTCACCCGTAGAAATGGTCGGTTGCAAGGTTTCTGTTATATCAGTGGCTTTTACAGCATTCAGAATGTTCTCATTCGAGTCCATTTCCTGTGATAGACATCTCAAAAGAGTCGGTCGGGGAACCATATCTGGATGGTTGAGCACCATCGCGGCAGCAACGATTTCTCATTGATCCGTGCGGGTGAGGAGGCAGTGTGATCGCGACCGGCAGTTAGGACCCCACTTATCAACGTAAACGATGGTCAGGATCAGGTTTTCATTGATGACCCATCGTACACAACAACAGGGACTTGTTTTCCGAACACAGAAGTGTAGGATACTACGGTGAAGAGCTTCTCTTCGGCGGCCTGGCTCAAGTGGAGTGTGAATGTCAGCTTCTGTGGAAGGTACCCATTTATGGCCGCTAGAAACTTGCCAATCCTATTCTCTGCTAGTATTGACTCATATGGATAAGATGGTAGGATAATGCGTCATACTGAGGGGCTTGCTGCTCTTGATAGTCGTGCTGCTCCGTATGCGGAAGTGGCAGGTTATCCATGTTGCCGAGCTCGAATCGATTTGGCTCGGTAGTGGTATCCATTTATGATTGATATTATGAAGAAGGAATGACGTGTGTCGCTCATAACTCGATTGTCAGAGGCCAAGTCAATAGAAGAATCGGAGGTAAATGCAGTAGGTTCTCTGGCATGGAGTTGGCCCTGAAATTGTAAGTGGGAGTAGCTCTGATGGGTATGGGATGTTGGGGGTTGGTTGGAGGAACAAATGAGTGCCGGAAATATAGATAAACCCTCTATTTTGGTCTCGCCCAGAACGACATAATGAGGGACGAAGATTTGGTTGCTGTTGCTTCCTGGGAGCTTGGATGTCATACTTGGAGCCCAAGCTTCCGAACAGAGGATGGGGTGGCATTCCTGGTTAGTAGAAATACTACATGAATAAGCAAAATCAGAAAATTTTGCTCTATGGATAAATTGATGCTTTCTCTGATGGCTTAGTAAGACATTATAGCGTTATACGGCGAGCTATATCTCTACTATGAATATGTGTAAGTTTCATGCTTCAACATAACCAATTACCAATCGCAACCAATAGTAGTAAAATTATTAAAGTATCGATTCTATACTTTGTGAGTGACTTGAAGTTATTACATTCCTGGACAAGTCGCAGAATTGGGATAATAGAAAAATAAGTAATGATGACAATAACATGTGATCTCAAAATGGTTATCGCGTGGAAGGACCACAAAAGGCCGCAGGCTTTTCATTTTTCCTGCTTTATGGCGTATTGGGATCGAGTGATTATGAATAATCTTTAGATAATTAATATCGGAAATCACAATACTTGTTGAAAGGAGCCCCTGGGAACCAGCATATTGTTGTCAGGCATTATATATAACGCTTGTGCGAAACTGCACAACGGGACAGCAATAATTCAAAGTCAGCATCTTCAAGAGACTATTTGATTATAAGCGTGACTAGGGAGAAGCATTTATCAACGATGGTATTACTTTCTTTATCGATAAGACTCGAAATGGATTTAAAAATTAAGGTTAAGTATATTAATATTAAATAATCAATATTACCAAAAGATCGTAATATTGCAAACTAATGTAGAGATTGTGTACGAGAAAGGCAGACGAGGTAGTTGTTACAGACCCCACCCCTAGGGTGCTAAATATGGACACGCCTGAACCGTTCGACAACAAGGCGGTCAGGTAAGATTCTGCCAGGACTATATGGAGAGGCTTAGGCTATAACACCTAAGGCCACGTGACGTCCGGTCCGTTCGAACGGAACGGACCTATCCGCTTGACAGGAAAGGTCCTGTCAAGAAGAACGGAAGAGTTGGATATATAAGGACGCTTATTCACCTATATGTATTTAGCTCTTTGCGTTAATTTATATATTGTTACTTGTAGATACACTTGAGACCTACCAATCGACTATCGTTAGTGACTTGGATACTTTTCACAGTACAATATAAGGATACACCTACAACTAGGAGGAACACTTAGTAGTTATCTGATAACTACTTCGTTGACTGACTAGGCGCCCTTCAGCTGCATACGTCTTTGGACTACTCTATAGATCCGAACCCTTGTAAGGCCAGAGTAGGCAACGGTACGATTGCGAGATAGATTGTCGCAGCTTACGAGAGAAGTACGTTACAATAACGCACATTTTACATTAACCAGTCAGCAGCGCGTAACAGTAGTCTGGCAACGGGAAACTTGAGAACATCTGCGTTTACAGGGGTTCTTGTCCATTCATTATTAAGGACTTCACATACTGAGAGAAGTTTCATTAGAAAGTCAAAATTGAAGTGGAAAATCCACCATCCTGCTGAGTAGTACCTATTATATACTGGTGGTATGCCAAACTGTAGTCTCATACAGCCGCACTCGTCAGCGGCACCATGGTGGCTGTATTGAGCGCCCCCTTGGCGCCTTATTTGTGAAAAAGTTCGATCAAGACAGCCTACGGCAGAGCATCCGATCTGCCAAGCCAGTTGGGCGCGATGGGTAAATCTGTTATTTTGAATCGGTGAATGTATGGTGTGATTAGTGTCATCCGGAGGACACAGACCCCGTTTGTGGTTACTAAATGGCTTGGTGGCTGAGTAACGTGGCTCTTACGCCAACCTATATCTTGTAGATCCGCTACTTATTTGATGGGCGTACTGTGCTACTAGTCTCAAAAGTAGAAAGATGAAAATGACTGTTTACGCAGAAACCAAAATTAAGAGAAAAATATTCAAACCATTGCACCGCGAGTTAGTTGATTTTACCGGGGACTACAATGTATATCCAGTACTAATGGGTGTCAGGCTCTCAATTTTCTTTTTACTTCATCCTTGGATAATTAAATCGAAGGTTTCACTCACCGATCTACGGCATTCAACCAAGACTGAGTCCACCAGAAAATATGGAGCAAAATACCTAGCACGAGATCTTGGATAAGGATGAGGATAGACTTGGGACCACTTTGCTGGGATAGTGAGGCGATGAAATCGAGACCTATACCCCCAGGACAGCTCATGATGTACGAGATGGGGAGCGAAGCCCATCAAAACCAGAATAATTAAATTCGACACCTGGAACCTCTCAACTCCTAAAGTCCGACGACCGATTTGGAAATACTGCACTGATTGAGCGGCGCGATGAAACCATGTGGCGTGCCAGCCGACCCTCGAAGTTGCATACACTAGTGCACCCTTGGGCCACACAGGGCTCCCAAGGTCGTCAAAGCCCGCCAAGGGGCTGACGAGGCATTGGCGCCACTGGCTCATTGGCTTCGGGTGACGGTTACCAAAACTTTAGCTTCTTAGCGCCGAGCGTCGGGTCCTTGTTTCTCAAGGGGGGTTTTCTCACAAGAAGAAAATAGCTTAGGTGTAAAGTTCCCTTGAAGGAAATCACCAGTGAACTCCAAAGGGGAGCAGAGAGAAAGCAGATTGGGAAAAGAAAAAGAGCCGTTGGGGAATACTAAAAATGGAAAATAAACCCTGTGGTTTAGAATGTGATTTTGTAATTTTGTGGGGTTTAAGGGGCCCTTCAAACCTTCAAACCCTTCTAACCCGTTTAACCTTTACTCATTAGTGTGGAGGCCTCCCTTAGGTTCCCCCGGTTGACCCTTTTTTCAGGATGTGCTTAGACACATGGTACCCCCGCATCTCCGCAAACGTAGTGGATCCGATCCCTGAGTCTCTCGTATTGCGACGGTACGCTGTCCCGTTTGTTGCCACTCACTGCCTGACTCGTCGGGGAGGGGTGAGGTCAACGTGGATTGGCGTGATTTTGAACCCAGCCAGGAGGTCATGCCCCAAGTGAAACCAGTAACTTGCTAGGAAGCTGGGGGGTCCCTTGCCACTAACCTACAGCTGCTTGCTCGAAGGATGACTACATTGGTTATTCCCGCCGTCGGGCTCGCAGCATGGAGCATGGGGATCCTTTGTTTGGGGTTCGGATCATGAATTAATCAATCATAATACTGGTAATTTAATCAATACAAAGATCCCCACCTTTCAATAGCCCCTGTTCATGGACGGTAGCATTCTCTTCCTCGCCCTCCCATGGATAATCCATTCCTAGGTAAGCCTAAGTGGTTTCTGGACACATGAAGACATACATCGTCCGTGAGCCGGTTTGTTCGGATTCGTTACTTGGTCTATTATTTGGCCAGTGTGTCTCGCTGCCAATTCGGGCAAGTCCTTTTAATTGTCCGTCTTGTGGGGTTGGTTCGGATTATCAGGATGATTGGGTCTGTTGGGAGTCATGAAAGTCTTCGAATCGGGAGATTATCGTCTGATTCGCTGTTTGAGAACTCATCGCGAATGGAAATCTCAGCTGACAGCTGCCGTGGTTGCTGTATATAATGCGTCAGACTTCCTCACCTATTCTTCTTTCTTTCCCTCTCCCCACGGCTTCTTGGCTCTCACCTGCTTGCTAACTGAGCCCCTTCTCCACCCTTAACCCCCCCCCCCCCCACCTCTCCAGTCCATCATGGGCTACGTGATCGGAAACATTTATGTCATCACCACGGTGGCCGTCATTGGCGGTGCCCTGTTTGGTTTTGACATTGCGTCTATGTCTGCCATGTATGTCCTCTCTATACTCCCGCACCTCGACCCATCCTCCCAATTTTTTCTCCTATTATCCTCTTCCCCGCCTCATGTTGCATCCTATACTGTTTAGCGTGGGCGAAATCCCAGGACCGTATCAAATTAGCCAAAACGCTTTGCAGAGCGATTGTTGACTCTTTATCTTCATCAACTCAGTCTTGGAACTCAGCAGTACAAATGCTTCTTCAACCAGACCGGCCACGGCGATGATGGATCGTGTGGTGGCCCGACATCTTCCACCCAGGGTGGTATCTCCGCCGCCATGCCCGGTGGCTCTTTCGTGGGCGCGCTCATCTCCGGTATTCTTACTGACTGGTTAGGTCGCCGTCTCGCGATCCAGACCGGCTCCGTGATCTGGTGCATTGGTAGCGCTATTGTCTGCTCGTCATTCAGCATTGGACAACTGGTTGTCGGTCGGTTCATCAATGGCCTGTCCGTCGGAATTCTGAGTGCGCAGGTCCCCGTCTATGTCGCAGAGCTTGCACAACCGAGTAAACGTGGCCAGGTTGTTGGTGCTCAGCAGTGGGCCATCACTTGGGGTATCTTGATTATGTTCTATATCTCATATGGCAGTAGCTTCTTGGCGGGCCCTGCTGCCTGGCGTCTTCCCTGGGGTCTTCAAATGATCCCCGCGGTGTTCCTGTTCGGAATGGTCTTCTTGCTCCCTGAAAGCCCGCGTTGGCTTGCAAAACATGACCGCTGGGAGGAGGCCCATGAGGTGTTGGCCCTCGTCCATTCTAAGGGCGATAAAAATGCACCGTTTGTGCAAACCGAACTGCAAGAGATTCGTGAGATGGTGGAGTTCGAGCGCGCAAATTCCGATGCCTCTTATCTGGATCTTTTCAAAGGCAACATGATTTACAGAACTCATATCGGCATGTTCACCCAAATCTGGTCTCAACTCACCGGAATGAACGTCATGATGCTCTACATCACCTATGTCTTTGGTATGGCTGGCCTCTCAGGCAATGCCAACCTGGTTGCTTCGTCTATTCAATATGTTATCAATGTCGTGATGACGATTTTTGCCCTCCTTTTCATCGACCGCTGGGGACGTCGCACGCCGCTCTTAGTTGGATCTACCCTAATGATGACATTTATGTTTGCGAATGGTGGCATCATGGCCTCCTATGGTAAGCCGGCTCCGCCAGGGGGTCTGAATCACACACCTGAGCAATCCTGGGATTTGAGTGATGCTCCTTCGGCCGCAAAAGGCGTTATTGCCTGTACCTATCTTTTTGTGGCTAGTTTTGCACCAACATGGGGTCCTGTTAGCTGGATCTACCCTCCCGAGCTGTACCCCCTTCGTCTGCGCGGTAAGGCTGTGGCTGTTTCAACTGCCTCTAACTGGATCTTCAACTTCGCTTTGTCATACTTTGTGCCACCTGCCTTTGAGAACATCAAATGGAAGACCTACTTGGTCTTTGGTGTGTTCTGCTTTGCCATGACAGTACACGTTTTCTTTGCTTTCCCCGAAACAGCCGGCAAGACTCTGGAAGATGTTGAGACCATGTTTAATACGCCCGGCATGAAGCCATGGAAAACCACTGTGCAATTCCAACATGTACGAAAATTGGAAACTGGAACACTTCAATCTGAGAAACTTGCAGACCTCCAGGCTGAGTCTGGTACCCGAACGAGCGAGAAAGAGACCGCGACGGCGGCCCAAGTGGAGTAGTGCTAATGGGTCGCATTACTTTGCAGCGGGGATGAAATATTGATATAAGGCGAGAATTTGATCGTGCTCCTAGCTGTCACATCTGTGAACATTCCAATTTGAGATACAACAATCATTATGGAAAGTCTTATGAGATACTTTCATCAGCAAAGGTCCGCATCTGAAATCTCATATTCTTGGGGGGTTTTCGATATATTGATCTTAGGAATACAATTAATGAAGTTGGATACAATGAAAGTCCATTTTATTTCCTGACTCACCCCCTAGTTATGGGCCATTGTATGCTTTTTGTCAAAGTCACGTATCGCTGCTAAGCTAATCATTCCATGAGATTGCGGCTAGTGTAGCAGAATAGCCCCCAGAAGGACCACCTCGGAATTTTTAGAGACTTAACATCACAGAACTCACGAAACTGAAGAATTATGATCTAGTTTGCCGAAAACACCGTTTGGACCAGTCGAGTGCGAGTGAACCTTAACAATGAACTTCCTGGTCGTTTGGTTTGATATCCAACTATCTCCCCAAGTTCAATGTGGGCCTCGATAATGAGGAGCTTTAAGTATATAGCCTGATGCATCTTGAAACAGTTAAAACAATGAAGAGTGCTTGCATAATCGATGCTCGTGATTCTTTGTCAAATAGAATCGACTCTTATCAAATATTATCAAATCCACGCACTTGGCTTGTCAAGGTGAAAAGGTTTACATTTCAAATACTCGCAAGACCAGCATACATAATCTTAATTCCTTTGTTTTGTCGGCATCAAGAAACCCCCACCGGAAAGTCTTTTTGTCGTCCCCTGCAGCCAGCGATTATCGGCTATGCTGGAGTTATAGTACAGATTATATCCTGAGCTATGGACATTGCTTAGGGTGGTGTCTGTATTTGAAAAGTTTGTCAATTCCGTATGTCCAGTCAAAGTCCAGGAAGAGGTAGCGTCGAGGGAAACAGAAAAGGAGACAGTTCCATAGCCAGAGTATGCCCTACCAATCCAAGAGGAATGATTTGACAGGTTCCAGCTAATTGAACTTCCATTATAAGCAACTATATCCCCTTCGAGGTCTGATTCCGAAATAGTGATGGTAACTTCAGCTGGAGCAGTGGAATCCGCAAAGTAGCTGAAATCCTGCGTCACCTGTGAATAGTTCGCGATAACAAGGATCCCAGAGGTGGTGTTAATTTGAGTGCGAGTGAGAGCTGCACTTGCAATCACATTTCCAAACCATAGTCCTGCTCCATCATTTGGAAGGACACCGATACGGGAATTGGTGAAGTTGATCTGAGAACCAGATTCCCTAGTTCCAGATGAGAAAATGACAGCGCCAGCAAGGAGCCCTGCAGTCAAATCTGACTCATGTATGTTGATTTGTGCACCATCGAGGAAAGCAATTGGTGCCTTTTGAGCAAAGCCAATAATGTTTTTCGCATAAACTGTTCCTTGGCCATAGAAGATAGCACTGCCGATTCCTGCCGTATGTGCAATAGAATCAAAGACGTATACATAACCTTTCGGACTGTCTCCGGCGAAAGAGGAGGATCGGTAGGCTCCGGAGTAGTGCTGAAGATTCTTCCCTACCACAGTGCCATAGCCGGCCGCATAAAGTCCATGGGACACGGGTCCAGAACTATATAGAGAGGAATCCGAGATATATGCATATGAGCCATTCCCATAGACATATACATTCGCAGCTCCATTGTGAACTGTAACATTAATGTTTTCAAGATATGTAACTGACATATTGGCCACGTTAACTGCAGCGTTGAGCCCATAAAAGCTTGACTGGTATAAGTCGCTTGAATAGCCATGTTTGATGATTGTTGAATCAGAAATATTCACAGAGGAATATTCTGTAATCACAACCACGCTGGTGTCATTTGAAGAAACAGACAAAGTCTTCTGAGATATACTAACGTCTGTGTTGTTGTAAACATAAGGCCCCGTGATGGCATATGATTGATAGGATAAAGGAGAATAATCCCAGTCTGTTTTGAGGGCATTGTCTGATGCATCTCCTAGAAGGTCGGCAAAGTCACTGGAATCAAGAATTGTGATCGAAGCAGCGGCAAGTATAGCAAAGGAAAGAAAGAGGCTGAGCATGATTTAAGGCTTGGGCCTTTTTAGGATTTGGGCCTGGATTATTGTTGGTCAAATGAATTGCATTTGTCGACAAGGCCAAGTAGAGTAGAAATGATGCTGTGAGGCCTTATTTAAGTTTTCTCAAATTACCGGGACAGAAATTGTCCACATTGTTACGTGACAAATTATAGTTGATCTCGGTATGGCTTCTAATTTATTTGTTGAGGGCTGAGTCCATACTAGAACAGCTTTGAATACTTGTGTACTCCGGTCTCTACCATAATAGTAAGCACACACGCACACACTATTGTGGGGCCGATTAGGACATAATTACAAAATTTAGTTAAAGGAGATCAATGATTCGAGTTAATTGTACTCAAAAACACTTTAAAATAGGACGATTCGAAACTCTGCATTCAGTGAGGAATTTTGGCTCAGTATCGCCTAGGCAAGCAGGACAAGTCCACATCTTGCGGGCAACAGAATAGATGTGGTAGAATGTTTCATGCGGCAGATGTTAAACAACATTGGAACTCCCGATAAAGAGTTAAAGACAGTCTCATTCATTCTGCTATCTATTTCGGCTCCACATTTTGACTGTTCAGTCCTTCTATCTCACCCTAGAGGCCCGCTAAAATCCTAAAGTATCAAAAGGATAATTTTTTTTTGAATATGTGCATACCTTATGTGGAGTTTATAATTGTTACACAAAGTCATATTTTTAAATATCTTGGGAGTTTAGATAATTACCTGATTTGTTCATTTTTGTTGATTGCAAAAATGAGGGACGTGAGAAATAATTTAAGTGGGGCCGAAGGCTCTCTTTATCACTACAATAAAGTTGATCTTGTCTTCTATGTGTGGCCCTCATACAGGCCGTTCAACAGAGATTAAAGCTCTTATTGGTAAGATGAATTAGATATACTAGCATAATATGTCAATAATTATTGAACCGGGAAGCTCGCGGCCGAATCTGACTAGGTACAAAAGACCTGATCGAATTAACGAGTTACCACTAAAACACTACACACTACCCAACTAAGCAGGCTATTCGAATAGAGGGCCTAACTATTCAGCTAGCTAGGAGCGGTCTTGTAGCTTGTCAGCTTCACTCTAGCCGGTTTAGGGTATCTTTGATACAAGTAGCGTTAACATTCGTAAGTTGGATAAGCTGGTGGTTGGTTGTAGACCTCGGCACGACCCTCGCGAGGGTCGGGTCTAAACCTCATGAGGGTCACCCGACCCGCGACCCTCGCCTACCCTCAGCGACCCTCATTTTCATAAATTCTAGACGCCTTTCCTAATTAGGAAGTATAACTCTGCTTAGTTATCTAAATAATACATAATTTATTCATAGTTATTTAGGGCTGTTTGCTTAGTTTGACTACCCGCAGGTCACCCGCCGAGGGTCACCCGCAGGTTGTGCCGAGGCCTAGTTGGTGGTTGTATATTAGAAAGTCGTTGTTTCGCTTAACCTTATAATCGAATTTAGCGCAGTAGTTAAGTCGATTCAATAAGCTTTCCCTTCTTGCTATTAGCACTATATAAGTATATAATTCATATTTTGAGCCGAACCTCGAAGAGATTTAATTATTAAGCAATTTATATACTTAATATTTGGGTGCTACTCGCAGGTTAGTGGCCTATTAGTTAGGTAAGGAGAAATAAATAGAATATTCAATCGTTATAGAATCAAAGAAGAATAGTAAAGATAGATTTTTCTAATAATTGAATCTTAAGGAGGTTTAATTCGAAAGGAAGGGGATTCTCTTTCTTTAACCTAAATATCGTTATTCTGCTGCTTACCGAATAACCGTAAAGGAATCCGATTCTAACTTTTTCTTCTTCGTAAATAAATATAGTTATATATAAAATTCGTTCCTGAAATAAGCCAGTCAACTGGAATAACATCAAACATAGTTATTCTATAACAGTAGGCGATAGTATAGTTACAAGGTAGATCGTCGGAGCTATCGAGAGAGTGTCTCGGCTCTTAGCCTCTAATAGAGGAGGTCGTAGGAACAGCGGAGAATTTTATAGACAGTTGATTAAGAGTTGCGCTCTTTCTCTCTATTCCCTTTATCTTTAGCCCGCTGTTAACTTGCTTTGGCTTGCTTCCGTCTCTTCTGTTTTCATAAAGAGCTTCGAGTACCCTCGAGAGCTCTTATTAGCTATTTAATGTATACTGAGGACCAAGAGAGACCTCCCGAAGTCTCTTACGCGTGAGCTACTTGAGCACACCTCACACCACACTATTTACACAGAGATAACGTGACACGTGGGACCCGGTAAGGGCACAGCCGGGTACATTATTTTGTTATCCGTCGGGTTCGGAAGGACGCCCTATGAGCCAATCATAACATAGAGAAATGGAATTAGCTCTGGAGTTGCTCTAAAATTCGGAAGTAAAATCACTAAGCCCGCGCCTTTTTTTGCTGAGTGCAACGTTGGAGCCTTCCATATAATTTTGAGGCAACAATTCTGAACACGTGTAGTACAGTTGATTGTTCTCTAAATACCGATTTGCTCAATGCGGACGCACCAACAAGTTTTAGAACTGTTTTCTGAGGGGGGAGTTCTCTTGGCGACCGGACCCGAGGTAAATCGTAGCCAATCAAGATTGCTGTGACTGAACCGTGCTTGATTGTCAATCATCGGTACTGCCGAGATATAATAATTTACCCTTCCGAAAAGGCTTGTTCTGGTCTCTGGCCAAGACTCGGCTACTAAGCGATGTACTCAACCTGGCTATTGTCTTGTTTGCCCTCAACCCTCAACATGAATAAGAGTCGGGGCGGTCGCAGTTCATTTTTTGATTGTAAGAGTGATTATACCAACGAGAAGCGCATCTTTATAACCTGCATCATACGCCGTACGCTGGAGTTCAAATAAAGTGCGACTATTGACGCTCGCTAGCATGATGACCGTAGCGGTCCTGTTGTCAATGGCTGCTATGGCTCACGCTCTAGTAGCGACCACCTCCGAGCCAGCACTCAACCAGATTAAGGCCGCGATGGCGACAACTTTACCTGAATCTCCCGTTTCAAATGTCAGAGGCATCTCTTTTGATCGGTTCTACCAGGTTTGGTTGGAGAATACGGTATGTGAGATTTCTAATTGAAAATTACGAGTTGCATATTAAGAGGGATAATATTTTAATCGCGGGCAATAGGCGTACTCTGATTCTGCAGCTGATACCAACATGCAATGGCTTGCGTCCCAGGGAATCTTGCTGTAGGTTGAAATATCATGCCGAGTTTGCAGAACCAAGGTTGACCTAAGAAGGACCAACTACCATGGCGTTACTCACCCATCAGAGCCAAATTACTGTGCTGCAGGGGGTGGTGATACCTTCGGTATGGATTGGGACAACTTTGTCCAGATCCCCGCAAACATATCTACTGTCCCAGATCTCTTAGATACCAAAGGTATCTCATGGGCCGAATACCAAGAGCATATGCCGTACCCCGGTTTTCAAGGCTTTAACTACTCCAACCAAGAGACATTCAAGGACGACTATGTGCGTAGGCATAACCCTCTGGTTCTCTTTAATTCCGTGGTCCGGAATGACACACGTGCTCGGCAAATAAAAAATTTTACCAACTTTGAAGAAGACCTTGCAAACAAAAAGCTTCCCCAGTGGGCCTTTTTCACTCCAAACACAACAAATGATGCCCATGATACAAATATTACCTTCGGTGCCAAGTGGGAGCGCCATTGGATGTCAACCTTGATTAAAAACGAGTACTTTATGAACAACACCCTTATCCTTCTTACCTTTGACGAAGATATGTACGGCGGTGAAAACGGATCTACGTTCGATCAGGGTAATCGAGTTTATAGCATATTGCTTGGTGGGGCTATCCCGGATGACTTGAAAGGCACTAAGGACGATACTTTCTACACACACTACTCGAGCATTGCATCTGTATCTGCCAATTGGGGTCTTCCATCACTAGGACGCTGGGATTGCGGGGCTAATATTTTCGAGATCGTGGCAAACAAGACCGGCTATATCAACTATGACGTTGATCTGACCAATTTATATTTGAACGATACCTATGATGGCCCATTGACTACTGGACTGCTGGATAAGTACCTAGGAGTTTCTTCTTCACTGAAGAAAACGGCAACCTCCTTATGGACCTGGCCTATTCCCAACACTGACGCCAAGTGTTCTGCTGGACATGGCGTACTGGAAGTGGTAAAGAAGACCTATAGTGGCATGAGTGCGACCTACAATTACACATCTCCCTACCCTTGGGATGAAGCCAGCGGTTATAACACAAATGTGACTGCTAGCCGCAAATCATCCAATAGAACTAGCTCCTCCACCAGCTCGACCTCCGCCGACTCTAGTACCAGCACTGGTACTAGACCAAGCCTAGGTGCTGCTTTTGGAAGTCTGGTGGTTCTCTTTGTTTTACTGCGATAAAGAATCAAGAATGGAACTACGCGGCAATCTAGTGAAAAGAGGAAATTTTATATACAAGTGAAGTAAAGTATCCTATTGTTAGAGAATAACTACTTGTACAGGGTAGAAAGCCTGTCGACTAGGTAGGAAGATAAACGTCAAGTAAGGAAGGCAAAATACTGTTTCTTGCTATCATAGATCTCTCTATAATCCTTAATATATGTATAGGCTTCAATACCTTCCTATATAACTAAAGCAAAGGCGATAAATTATATTATAATATACGGTCTGACGTGGCCTATATATAATAGAGGTAAGTAAAGGCTATAGGGGAGAGGGGTTTACGAATCCCTAATAGAAGGGCACCGAACCCTTAGGGCCTTGTAGGTCATGTATCTATATTAGGGAGAGGTAGGGTTGTTATAACGAAGCCTGACCGGCAAGGTGTCGAACTAACACCTAAGGTATAGAGTTAGGAATAGCCTCATATCGTAGTTTACAATAACTATCTAACAGTGACTTATTAAATAATCAAATACAATATAGTATGATACACGACATCGTGAGATAAGAAGAGAGAGTATCGAGGTAAATCTGATTTCGAGACAGCCTATACAGTGGATATAACAAACACCTTGGTTTCTGTTCTTCAAGATAACTATTCACTCTGCCTTCTAATTACTCTAGCCCTCTACACGAGAGTTCGTTAGTCGATAAGGACGTCTTGAAAAACTATTGCGAGGGCGCTAGACCTTCAAACCTCGTTACGATATCTAATAGCCCTAAGAGGGTTTTGCGTTTTATTAAACACTAGGATTTTAGGGACCTAGAAGGAGAAATAATAGCTGTGATTAATATCTTAAAGCTTCTTACTATAAGGGTCCTCTTTAGTCGTACAACGACTTTATATACTAAATTAGGTATAGATACCTAGGCCCTATAGCGGAGTAACGGTCTTAGTGTTATATAATATTACAATATAAGGCTATTCCTAACTCTATACCTTAGGTGTTAGTTCGACACCTTATCGGTCAGGCTTCGTTATAACAACCCTACTTCTCCCTAATATAGATATATAACCTACAAGGCCCTAAGGGTTCGGTGCCCTTCCATTAGGGATTCGTAAACCCCTCTCCCCTATAGCCTTTACTTACCTCTATTATATATAGGTCGCGTCAGACCGTATGTTATAGTATAATCTATCGCCTTTACCTTGGTTATATGGGAAGGTACTAGAGCCTATACATAAATTAAGGATTATAGAGAGGTCTATAATAGCAAGAAACAGTGTTTTGCTTTCCTTACTTAACATTTATCTTCCTACCTAGTCGACAGGCTTTCTACCCTGTATAAGTAGTTATTCCCTCACAGTTAGGTAAATCTAAATTATTAGGTAGCTCATCGATAGGTTCTAGCTAAGTGTATCGAAATTTTGTATATCTATAGAGTTTCTACGAAGTACTTACGAGGAATATAGTATTAGTAAGTAATCCGGGACTTGAAAAGACTATACTTATTTAATTATCTAGGAGATCTTGATTTCGATTAGCAACTTTCACTTGATAATTTACTTCGTCAAAGAATAGAAAGCCTCGATATTTAAGCTGCCTACACTTCTGCGAAGGATATATTTAAGTAACTTGCTCGTATTATAATATTAGTAAGTCCGACGCTAAACCTCCCTAACAAAAGAGCTTCCTCCGGTCTTTCTAAGTTATACAATATAGTAAGAGATAAGGGATACCTTGTCGTTTTTTTATTATTTTTGCGGCTATCATGATCTTAGACATCACGATAGAAGCTATGTACGGAATCTTAAGTAGGTACCTCCACCATTGACCCACATCCCTAGAATCTTTTTTGAGGCCAGGTGCGCCTTCAAAGCAACACTATTAGTAGGCCATCAGAACGGTACCTTGTCAAGGCGCTTGGGCGTCGCGCGATCGTCGTACTAACTTATTTAGTTAGAAACTCGTGCGATATGATTAGAGGAAGAGCAGAACCTGAAACAATCACCACAGACGGGTATAAGGCCGAGTTAGGCCTAGTGGCGAGCATCCCTAGTCTGGCTGGTTCACATGTGACCGCATAGAAATTAAGCGATCATCTCAGCATGGACTACACACCGGACGGATATTTTTCTTGCTATTACTCCAAAAGAAGTGCAGGCCAGCTGAGGTCTGGGCGGTAGCACGGTGGCCATTGACCGAAAGTGCTCTTCATGAATTCACGAGCGTGCGACAGTGCGCCGTCACCAATTTCTTTCAGGGATTGTGTGAAAGGAGGGGAGGGGGAACGAGACTACTGTATAGACGCTCGTGATGGAATCACGCATGACCAATTTCGGTCCTCGATGTTGCCATTCTTGCAATATATAGTTACCTACCGCATTCGAAAGTTCCAGAAAGTTCCCTTTTCCAGCGACCAGCATAAGGACGCATCCCCGTCACCAATTTAGATGCGTGGAGCTACGATTCTCGCCTTAGGCATCGGTAAAAGGCAGGAAACATGTTCGCAAGGCAACTTTCAGCCATCTTTAATTTCGTACGCATACACTGTGCCGTAAGAAGACACTAATCACATCTAAAGTGGCCGTAGCAGCGACAGCGTCGTGAGTGTTCTGGCGAAAATTGCAAAATAAATATTCAATTACGTCAACGGTGAGAATGAAGACAAGATGATCTGCGAACACATTCACATAGTCCCGTCCGCGACTGATTCCACAGAAAAGTCATGATTGTTAACGAGTACATCCATCGAATAGGACATGTGGAGAAGGGAACGGCTTGAATTGATTGAAGCTTCCTAAGAGGAGGCTTCTCTGAGATGAAGCAGACTATCAACAACGACAAAATTGCAGCATTTGTGCGATTGCGATTCAGAACCAGTATGACAGGAGCAGTCGCATTCCGTCTTCAAAACGACGATTCCAGTCAGACATCAAGAACAATTTTTGGAACTTCAGTTGTTCTGACTCGTGCAATGATGGTGCTCTGGGCCTAGATCGTCGACCAGCGCAGAAGCAGCGCAGCAGCAATGACTGGCAACACACTCACCAACTCTCCCAGCCCCGCAAACTCTGGAGGAATTCTCGCATTGCCAAAAGCACCCGCAGCCAGAAGGACTGCAAAGGTGTTGTACACGAAGCTCCATATAAAGTTGAACTTGATGCGGCTGACAGATTTCCGACTGGCATCCATCATAGTGAGGATACCAGCCAGAGATGGCCGCATGAGAACCACATCCGCGGCGGATTGCGCGACATCAGTGCCTTCGTTCATGTGGACACCGATCGTAGCCTGTGCGAGAGCAACGGCATCGTTCGTGCCGTCACCGCAGAAAACAACAACCGGTTTCTTACGATCTATGCTGGTAGCAAGGAGCGTCTGGATGTAGTCCTTCTTGTCGGCGGGCGAGCTTCGAGAACTCACATTGCCGCCAGGAATGCTAAGCTTGGATGCCAAAGACTGAACAGCTCCGTCATCGTCGCCAGAAACGACATGTACCGAGACACCACGCTTCTGCAAGGCCTTAATCGTCCATGCAGCGTCAGGTCGAAGCTCATCTTCAAGACCATAGACCGCCTGTAACATATTATCGATAGTAAAGCAGAAGACAGTGTACCCTTGAGCAAGCATTGGTCGAACAAGTTCATTTTCCGATAAATTCAGCCAGCGAGAATTGCCTGCTCGAAGTTTCCGGCCACCGAAGGTGGTTTCAACACCTTTGCCAGTAAGGCTCTTGGGCTCCGGAACAGTCGAAGCTATAACTCCAGCATCCTTGAGGTGAGCAGCCACGGAAACAGAGACTGGATGTCGACTGTTCTCGATGAGGGCAAGAAGAAGCGGGAGCTTGTCCACATTGTCGCAGTCCTTCGTGACCACGGAAAGCTTTCCCCGAGTCAAGGTCCCAGTCTTGTCAAACACGACGTGAGACGTCTTATGAGCCACTTCAATAGCATCTCCTGACTTGAAGATGATACCCTTTTCCGCCGCAACTCCGCTGACAATCACAATGACCATAGGAACAGCCAGTCCAATAGCGCAGGGGCAAGAGACGATGAGGACAGTAATGGCGTAGGTGATGGCTTGAATTATAGCTTCGGATCCATTATATCCACGAATAGTCATTCCTACCGCAACCCAGATGACGAACGTGATGATTGTCAATACCAGCACTACCGGGACGAAGTAGGATGCAACCCAGTCTGCGAGATCCTGCAGCTTGGGTTTCGACAGTTTGGCCTCGTCGACCATCGCAGCAATAGCATTGATGGTGTTATCATTAGGCAGGCGGTTCAGTCGAACGGTCATAACTCCAGACCCATTGATAGACCCAGCGATCACCACAGACTTGGGATATTTCTCCACCGGTCTAGATTCACCGGTGAGCATAGATTCGTCAACCTCAGACGACCCATGGATGACGGTGCCGTCGGTCGGGATTCTGGTGTCAGGGAGAACCTTGAAGGTGTCGCCGTATTGAAGGAGTCGGGCGTCTATCTCACGTTCCGTTCTGCTATTTTGGTCGACAAGAATAGCTGTCATTGACTGAAGTGACCGGATAGAAACAGACTCAACAGCTCTCTGACGAGCGAGAGCGGCAACCCATCGACCAACCATGATCAAGGTGACCAAGAGAGTGCTCGTTTCAAAGAATTGACCAGTCGAAAGGGGTCGTCCCGCAATAAGGTACCCAAAGGAGACCACCGAGAAGATGTAGGCAGCACTGGTGCTCAAGACGATCAAGAGGTCCATCTCGATAACGCTCGAGAAAATGAGAGCCTTCAGGGCCTTGGGATAGAAAGGCCCTGCTATGGCAACTTGAACAATCGTGGCCAAGGCGAGTGAAGCCGAGGAATATGCCACTTTCCTCTCAGGAAACGAAGCCCATGCCATGACCAGGACCGGAATCGTGAAGACAGTGGAGAGAAGCGTCGTGTACCCGATATGACGGACGTGCTTGCTGCCAGCCTCAAGCGAAGGGTTACCGCGTGCAGGAGCAAGTTCAATTGGCGGACCCCAAATCTTCTGAGTAAGGTCTCGAGCTCCCACAATCTTCGGATCGAACGTAACTCGCAAAGTCTGCCTGTCCACAGGTGCTATGTCAAGAACTCCGTCTGGCCACGTCTGACTGATGAATTTCGAGGGCTCATCAGGGACGATAAGATCTAGGCTAGATCCCTGGTTCTGGACTCTTTCACACTTAAATTCAGTGGTTCGCTGTAGATGTTTCACGACTTCCTCCACTGAGCCAAGGCGTAGATCAATATTGAACTCGGCTCGTGAGAGAACCAGACTGGTTTTCAGGTCTTTAACGGCCGGGAGAGTAACGAGGATTCGTTTGAGCTTTGTCTCGCAACCAGTACAAGTCATGCCAGAAATTCTGAGAATAACATGTTCCTTGCCAGTACCTTGATTCTCTACGTCTGTGATGGCCTGGATCGACGTTTTCTCAATATTTAGACCAGGATCGGACACAGCAGAGGAGAACCAAGCATCGGTGCAAGCGCCTTGAGGGCTGGCCAGCTGCTCTTCTGTACAGCGAGAACCCGTGCAACTAGCAGTGTCTCCGCCCACCCACACCGCTTCGCGTTGTGGGTGTGCCACACACAGATGCATAACCACACACAGATGCATAATCTTTCCTATTTCCCCTATCTACTACTGCATCCCACTAGTATCTATATAGAAACCCTGCCTGTTCTGACGTGCTTCCTCTGCTCTATCTAACGATGCCTGGCTTTCCTGTGTAGGTTCTGGTGGTGGTGATGTTCCATATGTTTTCTTCCACTGCTTCCTCACCCGCTTCCGCTCTATATCCGCTTCCTTCTCCTTTCTTTTAGCAATAGAACGATTTGCATCTCTAATAGAGAGGACCCCTGTTTTGCTAAGCGGCGTTTTAACCTGGCGCTTGGTGATTGGGCGCTGTAGTGGTTGTTGAGCTTCCTAATCTTGCGAATAGTATCATTCGCTAGATTTAGGTTCTCTATAGCAATCTTGTTATGATGAAACACACGATCAAGATTACGTTGCTACCTTGGTGTAAGATCCTCTTGATATCTAGCAATCTTCCTTTGATTCTTTTCTAGATCCTGTATAGATCTAGGCGGCGATTGGTCGATACTAGAAGAAGATATAGGTGGTGGTGAAGGTGTTGTATGAAGCGTTGAATGAAGCGGTTGTAGATCTGGCGCTATAAGATCTTGACACTCTTGGATAGGAAGGCTATTAATAACCTTGCTACTATCGACTGGATATATCCCACGATCTTTGAACGATTCACGAATGATTCGCTGGCTAAACGCTCTATTCCGAATATCACCGATTATTCGAAGGAACTCGGATCTCCCGATAGGGCTTCCACCCCAAAACGCGTGATCGTTATTCGCTAAGCGGAAGTGTTGCTTATAGCTTAGAAACGGCTTACCGTCAAGCGGCTGGCAAAGATGTGTAGTATGTGGTAGGAATCCTATTGGTAGGATATCGTTCTTTTCGCAAAGGTGTAGAAATTCGAATGTAAGATGCGAGCCGTGACCGTCGAATATTAGGATACGTTTTTCACCTAATTTCGTACGGTCGCATGTTGATTCTATAAAGAATCGAAGCTATTGAACTGCTATATCGTCGGTTATCCAACCGTTAGGCGATGTAGTGATAGTAGTTCTTGGTGGTAGGTCGTCTGTTTGATTAAACCAAGATTCTATAAAGATCCCGTTGCCTTTGAAAATAAACCAAGGCTCCATCTGCCACCCGTCGGCAGCGATACACTCGATAGACGTGATATTTTCGCCTTGGTCTGGCTGAGGAAGATCTACTACCTTCCTACTAGTAGTAGTAGTAGTAGTAGTAGTAGTAGTAGTAGTAGTAGTAGTAGATATAACGTTTCTAGATCTTCCTTCGCCTGGTTGAAAGCCGCATTCATCAAAGTTATAGACTAAGCGTGGTGGTGTAGTCTTCTTGATCGTTTGGGCTAGTAGATCGTACCAATGCTGTAGTGCCGCTGGATCCTCTGCTAGAATTCGCTTCGACTCCTTCGTATACTGCTTAGTAGGCCCTAATTGAAGATGTTTAGGAAGCCTATTAATAAAGCGATACGCCCACATCTTGCTAATCGGCGGCTTGCCGACGCGTTGGCATACACGATTCGCCCACGCTTCTAGTATCCTAGGAGTGATAGGCATATAGCAATCGTTCATATATTGAATCCAGCGAATCAAGGCTTCTTCTTGATAGGGTTCTAGGGCCTGTTTAGCATTGCGTTTAGCTGTATTAGGCCCTGTTCCCTTTTTAACACGGCGATAGAGAGTGCTTTGATTAACGCCAAATTCACGTGCTAAACGCGCGATATTCGGCTTCTCCTCTCGTGATGCAGCTAGGCAGGCCTCAGCCATACGAGATTCATCAAATTTAGGCATATTTAGATAGTGGTGTTGGATAGAGAAGCAAAAAATAGGGTGATAGGAAAGATTATGCATCTGTGTGTGGTTATGCATCTGTGTGTGGCACACCCACAACGCGAAGCGGTGTGGGTGGGCGGAGACACTGCTAGTCATTGGTGGGGTCTTCACGATATCGGGTTCTGGTGACTTGCAGCAGGAGCCAGATGAGGCGGCATTGGGAAGTTCTTCAGTGATCGTGTTCTTAGCTGTCCCACAAAAGGACCCTGCACACCCACTCGTTGGTGGTTTAGCAACGGGTTTAATCTTCGAACAGCAGGGGTCCGCATAAATGCTCCTGGTGTCATTGTCTTTGACACGCTGGTCTCTGGGACAGCAAGATCCGGGACAGCTGACCTCCCGAGGGGAGGCTTCAACATGGGGAGTCTCCGAGCAGCAAGAATCAAGGCGCCCAGTTTGAGCAGCAGGCTGCTTCAGGGGCTTTTCAAGGGAATAGCAAGACTTGACACAGTTGTCCTTGACGAATGGTGCCGTGGCAAGGATGTCCTCAACGCAGCACGGCTTCGAGCACTTGTCTTTGACAGGAGGGTCTTTGGCCGGCTTGTCCTTCGAGCAAAAAGAGACAACGCACACATTCGTGGACGCCTTCTTGACAGACTCTTTGCTTTCACGAGAACCCCTCCGCAGGCGAATATGGCTCTGCGCGGCCTGGTCATTGGTGACGGAGCCGTTGCTTGAGCATGAATCCAGTGAAGTACGAAGGGAGCGAGTAGATGGCTTCTCAGACCGCTGCTTCCCGTCCAATGACTGTCGCTCGCGAATTTCACAGCAGGTTTCCTGGCCAAGAGCGATGAGAGCGCGGCAGATACACCCCAGAGCTTGTAGAGTAGCGCCATAGCGGTCGAGGGCAGAGAGACGATGTTGGCTGCATGCCTTGCGGTCGGTAGGTCTACCGCAAGCTAAAAGGAGTTAGAAATCTTTGAAAGCCATTCTTAAGTTGTAGATACTCATTGTTTGGCTTACCGTTTAGGCCGGGTGCAGCCGTAGCACTCATCTCGCATTCCCGCATAGCCAAGCGATCAAGGCAAGCCGTGTCGCAGCATGGGCTGACTTTGCCACGGCAGCAGTCAGGCGAGTCGGTATAATTTTCGGTTTCGCTGTCCGCACATTTGCCAGGAGAGCAGCAATCATCCGGTTTCTCCGGGGTGAGCTCTTTCTGACCCGAGGCCATGGTGTCGAGAGGCTCACCGTCGACAATATCGCAGCAAGGATCCTGGCAACTGCTCGTCTTCTCACCTGGAGTCGCGAGTGACTTAACATCAGGCTCGGGGGCTGGAGCCGGTGGGCTGTAATAGTCGCATCCCATTATTGAAATGAACCTTTAGCCTTTGCTTTCAGTCTAGTTTGTGTAGATTAATGAGTTGTTGATGTTTTTGAGAAAACTTATCAGCCTGTCTGTTTCCCATGGTGACATGCTGGCACGTGGATGGTTCGACTGCCCCTGGCCAATCACATGCACAATGGCTATCTAGTTTTGGAGATTCACGATGCTAACATCCTCCAACTATTCGTCTTTAGGCTAAGAGCATAATTAGGCTACCTGTGGACCTTTTCATGTACAATGACAAATCCACTTTTAGGATACTGCTAGAGAGATACTAGCCTACTGTAGTATTCCCTCGGGAATAGTCGACTATTCTACGCTTTTCGTCCGTGCGCCCTATAGAATCAGTGCCTCAGGTGTCAGTTCGACACCTTGTCGGTCAGGCTTCGTCATGACAGCCCCACTTCTCCCCAACATGGATATATGAACTACAAGGCCTTAAGGGTTCGGTACCCTTCTATTAGGGATTCGTGAACCCCTCTTTCCTATAGCCTTTGTTTACCTCTGTTACATAGGGGCTATATTAGACGGTATGTTGTAATATGATCCATCGCCTTTGCTTTGGTTATATAGGAAAGTGTTGAAGCCTGTATATAAATTGAGGATTATAGAGAGGTCTATGATAGCAAGAAACAGTGTTTTTTCTTCTTTACTTGACGTTTATCTTCCTACCGAGTCGACAGGCTTTCTACCCTGTACAAGTAGTTATTCTCTAACACGTCCTTATATATCTAGTCCTTCTTATTAGAAGATAAGTACGGAACTTATCACTTGATATCTTCCGGGCTTATTACTCGATAAGTCCTATCACGTAACCTCAGGTATTAGTGCCTAGGTCTATTTCCCCTTACCGTCCGGCAAGTCCTAGTTACCGCCTTATTGCAGAACCGATTATTCTAGGCGTAACCATATTTAGCACCCTAGGGGTAGGGTCTGTAACACCCTAAAGGAGCCACGTCAGACCGTATATTATAATATAATCCACCGTCTCTACTCTGGTCATATGGAAAGGTGTCGAAGCCTGTATATAAATTGAGGGTTATAGAGAGATCCAAGATGGCATAAAACAGTGTTTTGCCTTCCTTACTTGACGTCTATCTTCCTACCTAGTCGACAGGCTTTCTACTCTGTACAAGTAGTTATATCCTAACTGTTAGGGTGCTACTTTCAGGGTAGCGGCCTGTTGGTCAGGTAAGGAAAAATGAATACAATATTGAATCGTTATAGAATCGAAGAAGAATATTAGAAGTAGATTATTCCAATAACTGAATCTTGAAGAAATTCAGTTTCAAAGAAAGGGGGACTCTCTTTCTATAAACTAAATGTCCTTATTCCGCTGCTTCCCGGAGGAATAACGATATAGGGGTCCGATTCCAACTTGTTCTTATTCATGAACGAATATCGTCATATGCACGATTCGTATCCGAAACAAGCCGGTCGGCCGTAATAACATCAAATGTGGTTGTTCCATAACGCGCCGAGCCTACCATCAAGTGTCTTTATAGGTGTCTGGATGCAATGTTATAGGGTATAAGATCAAACAATGCCCTAGATAGGTTGAATGGATATCTAGTGTTGTTGTGGAAAAATAGAGTTTTCAAAAAGTAGTAAGGGTAGAATGGCCGACTAGTGAAATACGTTAGTAACACTGTTAGAGAACACACCTAGGCACGTGCTTCCTAAGTTGAGCCAAAAAGACCACAATGTCAATGTGCAAGCACATTGACAGCCTAGGACCCAGATATGGTAGCGCACGATAGTGTTTTTTCATTAATAAACACGTGGTCATCAGGTGACTACAGCGCTACGCGCTGCACAATACTGTAGGCGACTAAATTAGCCTGAACTTTAACGTACTAGTTTGGGACTACATGATTTTTTTGTGATGAAATCTAGACTATATTATTCTGCTAATTTATCCGAGAATCAGTTAATCATAGACCCTCGTCGCCCCGGCGGAGTCCACAATTGGCCCCGAACCGCGGGAAGTGGGCCGTCGGTTTCGTATTCGGATTTTGAATATCGAACATGGACATCCGCAACGCTGGACTACCAACCGTTGTAATCAGCCCTGTATTGCAGTTGCCTGGAATATCTTCTATTTATAGCGGAATGCATTATCTTCCGGTGCTCAACATTGAGCGATAAAGATCCCCACGATGTACTTAAGAGTGAATCGTGGATTATCAAACTCATCATTCGATCTTTTTAGCCTCCGAAATGCTATCATTGTCACTCCCCGAGTCACTCGCTATTCTCACTTTCTGATTTAAAACCTTCTACTTCGTTCTCGCCATTCACTCACGATGTCTGATTACATTCTCTACAACTACACACCTTCGCTAGCAGCCGCAGTGATATGTCTACTTCTTTTTCTGTGCACCACATTCGGACACATCTTTCTGGTTTGGAAGCATAAGACAAAATTCTTCATAACCTTCATTGTTGGTGGATTCTTTGAATCGATTGGATATGGGGCACGAGCAATCAATGCCCATGAAGCTCCCAATTATGCGACAATGCCATACGCCATGCAGAGTCTCTTTATTTTACTCGCTCCTTCTTTATTTGCGGCGTCAATATATATGATTCTTGGCCGGATCATCCGTCTCGTCGATGGGGATTCGAGATCTCTCATCCGCGCAACGAGATTGACCAAGATCTTTGTACTGGGTGATGTGCTGTCATTTGTCATCCAGAGCGGAGGTACTCAGCGGCTTTTCCCTCCCATACTGTGGATCATCTACTAAATTACATATGCAGGCGGCGCAATTATGTCCAGTGCCAAATCAGCGAGCAAGTTGAAACTTGGTGAAGATGTAATCATCGTCGGCTTGGTCGTCCAAATTATATTCTTCGGTTTCTTCGTCCTCGTCTCAGTGATCTTTCATCATCGAATGGCGAAAAACCCTACAAATGCAGCATTGGGCACACCCGTGGACTGGAGCCGCTACATGATTGTGCTGTATTTTGCAAGCGCGTTGATCATGACCCGTTGCCTGTACCGAGTGATTGAGTATATTCAAGGATCGACTGGCCTTTTGCAGAGTCACGAGTACTTCATGTACGTGTTTGACACTATTCTCATGCTTATGGTTACCATAATCTTCTTAGCCTTTCACCCGAGTGAAGTCATCTACGAAGGGCACCGTAAACTTGACGACTTGGAGCTCATACGCGGACAGAGGGATTAGTGACATTGAGAAATTTGAACAGAAGAATTGAAGAAAAGTTTACCATCAGTTCAATTGATATTCTGTTCTATATCTTATCTCCAGTCCCCGATTCATTTGAGCAAATTCTTCCAAGTATTTTTCTTCTCCCCAAAAACCAAGTTCAGAATGATAGAATATCAGCAGCTATAAGTCGATAGATGATACAGGTAACTACTGTACATTTTGAAGGTGTTTAATAATTACAGCGAAATTGAATTACATCATCGACTTGCAAGCGTTGTTACTCGGCTCGTTCAAAAATCCAACCCGGGCATGTCAGGAGGACAAAGATGTCCCTTTATACGCGAAGCTCAAATGTCTACGATATACCATATTTGAAGTCACTTGAACTTTGAACCGCCAATAAAGCATACATCTCCTAAAAGAAAGTCCGTTCTGAATCCTACTATTTCATTTGACAAATTACGTACTTCCAACTCATGTATAGCTCATAGCTCAAGTTTGAGCGCAATACACACTGACCAGCTTCAGAATTATATGAAAAAAGGAACTTTCGACGCCAAATCATCTATATTCATCCATGAAAAGAAATAACCAGAATATCCCAAGCCACGACTCGATATAAAAGAAATAGAAAATAAAGAAAACAAACAACGGACTTATCTCCACCATGTTACTCCAGAATATTCACCCAATTTTTAATCACAAGTCACAAAATCTTCAGCTATTAGACCTGCTCTTTCGGGATATTAATGGGACTCTCCGTTGTTCTAGAGCAGGCAGGGCCCTGTTCCTGCAAAACAGCAGAGGGGTGAAAGATATTCATGATGAGCATAACCAAGAACATCATAGCAGCATCAAAAACGTACAAGAAAACCTCGTGGCTAATAACATAGCCACTGTTTCCTTGAATGAATTCGATGAGACGATAGACTGATCGAATTAGAATCAACACGCTTACAGCGTAGCATGCCATGAGAAGACTAGGCCATTTTCGTGAAAAGAAAAATCTCGTGTGGTGCATTGTTCGCTTCGACTTTTCCGTGGGGGATTTGCGAATGCCGATATGGAAGAGAGCAGACGATAGGATGAAGGTTCCGAAGAAAAGAAGTTGGACACAGAGACCCGCGACTATGATCCACTGACCAATGATTAAATTATCTTTAGATCCACTGGTCATGACACCGCCACCTGAGGTATGAAGAGATTAGATTGATAACTTTATAAGTTTAGAATATTCCCACTATGTATAAGTTGCTTACCTACACCCTGAAGGATGAAGGATAGAATATCTCCACCCACAAAAATCTTTGTCATAAGACGGACAGGCACATAGCTCAGATGCTCGCCATGCAGGAAAGTGATGATTCTTCCGAGGACCATATAAATTGATGCTGCGTAAAGAATTGGTGCTAACAAAATCAAGAGCTGCTGCATTGCGTAGAGCGCGGTTGAGCTCTGGTTGAAATGAGCCGCTGCACGAGCGATATAACCAATAACTTGGACTGAAAGCCATATGTGTTAGTTGGGGGTGAAGCGGGATCGATGATCATGGCGTGGACTCACATAATCCTCCAACGAGAAATGGGTTGAAGTATTTAGCATGACTTATAATCCGTTGGTAGAAGTGGAAAGCCGTTGATAAAAAGAAGAGCGCCGCGAAAATGATCGCGCCCACTAGACTGGGCGTATAATTGTAAAGAACATAAGTAGAGCTCGCCATCTTGATAAGTGCAATGGACTTGGTGAAAGGTATGCTTCGTATACAGCTATACTAGCGTCTACTCAAGTCAAAATGTTCGATATTATTGTAACGAAAGTGTTAGGCGAAGCTGAGATATATACCTGTTGGCAAGCGCTAAAACTTTCAGTATTAAATACTGAGATTCAGGCAGCATAGTTGCCACAGTGTAAGTAGAATTCTCAACTAGGTTCCATGGATGAGGCTGTGTCAGTCTAGAAAAACTCCAGTATCTCTATTTTGCATTGTGAGCGCCAAGATTTTAGGTCCAAGCTTTACGTTAATCTCGGAAAGTCTGTGATCTTACTCGTGCCGCTATACGAACCCGAATACGAATAAAGATGCCCCACCAAAATCGATCTGCGGTCGGTTTTGCTCTCGGATTCGGGATTCGTATTCGACCCGAGGAAAGTCTAGATTCTCGCATGCCTTTACAACCCCCACTCAAAATCGAGCATACTATATAGGCCCGCCTGAGAGGATGATCTATGAGGCAGCCTAGCTGGATGCACACATAAGTTCCGGATATTTCCCGCCAACAGAACGAGAGAGTGGCTTCATTATTGAAGATAAGATTTCCCAACGATCAAAAGCTTTCATGTCTGGTGATTTTCGAAAAAGAGAAGAAAGAAAAAATGCTGCCTAGAGAATTATAGGCCCTAGCATATCTTTATTATGCAAAAGTGTTTCCGATGCCAAATTTCTCTGTCCAAGTTCCATCAAAGATGTCATTCAAACGAGTTTTAGGAGACTCGGAAGAGAGAGATTTCGACGACGACGACATGAACGAACACTCAATCACGGAAGAGCTGCCACCTACATACAGCTCAATCTTCTCTGAAGATGTATTGTCTCCACTGTCAATGACTGGAGATGAAAAGCATGAATCGAGGTTGATCGAAGGTACTGAATACAAAAAACGAATCACGGATTGACAAATCATTTACTAAAAATTTCATTTGCCTTTTCTTTTTTTAGAAATCGGTCGATTCAGCATAGATCTCAGTGCTGGGTGTCGCACATCAATGATAATTCAGGAATTTTCAGTACCCGCAAGACAACAGCAGATCATAGAAATTCGCCACGACAATTTGAGCTCCAAAGAATCTGTCACACCAAATACCAAAACCTTGGTCGAAACCCACGAAATTTCACTAAATATCCTTCTTATGCTTGTGGGAAGTAGAGGTACGAAGAAATATCAACACGCGCTTTATCACAGCTAATAAAGAGATAATGATATAGAAGAGACCAAATCCATCATACTCATTGGCCAGGAACTTCAACAACACGGTCACCGAGTTCGAGTCGCTGCACATGCAATTTTCCAGTCACTCATTCACAGAGCTGGATTGGAGTTCTTTCCGATCAGCTCAGATCCCCAGCATCCTATTGCGGTAAATTTTCATTTATTACATAATCAATATGCCAGTAACTAACTAAGCAAGAGACTCATGGTATAACAGGCAAAAGATTCAGGCATCACGACTATTTCAAGTAGTGTTAATGGCTCCCAGTCCCTAAAAAGCAAAAGGACTTTGCTGAGCACACTCAAAGAATGTTGGAACGCCTGCACCCAGCTCAGCCCATATGAAAATAAACCTTTCGTCGCGGATGTCATTATCGCAACGCCTCTTGCACACGCTCATATACATTGTGCGGAGAAGTTGTCTATTCCGCTTCATATCATGTCTAACAGCCCCTGGACGCCGACAAGAAGATTTGTGCATCCACTGGCACAGATCAAAACTGGAAGTGAGATTGACTATCAGTTACAGAATTATCTGTCCTATATACTTGTTGAAGACTCAGTATGGCACGAGTAAGTATTATATTGGCCCACAAACTACTCAGTAAGTATAAAAATGGCTCATGGCAGAGATTTAGGATCTACTCTGTTATAGATAACTTCCGGCAAGCAGTTTTGGGCTTGTCACAACTATCTCCATCTGATGGAGCCCGAAGCTTGAGAGATTACAGGATTCCTCACACATATCTGTGGTCATCGGAATTACTTCCAAAGCCAGAAGACTGGAATGACAAAGTTTGTATGCGCACACTCACCCTCGAACTTAACTGAAATAACCTGATTGTAGCCAACACTGTCTTTTAGGTATTTCTGGATTTCCTATTGTCAAAAGTTCGGCTCACTATACCCCTTCAAAGTCAGTGGCCGAGTTTCTCAAATCTGCAATTGAGCCTGTCCTTGTTTTACTGGATATAACGCTCTTGAGAAACCAGACTTTATTTGTCCAGTATCTCCTGGAGTCTTCCGAAAGCTATGGAATCTATTTTCTCCTGCCAAATACGTTCCATGAATTACTGAATGTCTCTGAAACGCCCAAAATTTTTGTGTTAGAGAATTCTCCAAATGGTAAGCTACTGAATTCATTATGCAATATTGTAATAACCAAACTAACTGGAGGTAATTATTAAGAAGTCAAATCATGGCTCATTCCCAAAGTGTCGGTTGTGTTAAGCAATGGTGACATTCAAACAGTGGACCAAGTTGTCAAACATGGGAAGCCAATGATCACTCTGCCACTTGTTTGCGAGTAAGTTTTCAGCTTCAGAGCTCCTCTTCCGGCTAATCTGTATGGGGTCCTGGAATTCTGTACTCAAAGCTAATATTGTACAGCCAACCCTTTTGGGCTGCAACTATCTATAACGCATGTCTTGGTCCATCCCCACTTCAAGAGGCCACGCTCAACAGCGAAAAACTTGTCGAGGCGTTCCGCTATTGTCTGCGGTCAGATGTGAAACAAGTTGCTTCCAGGTTAGGCCTGAGAATCCGGGGCGAGAACGGCACTATAAATGCTGTGAAATCGTTTTATCGCCAGTTGCAATGGGAGAGAGTAAGATGCAGTGATGCTGGCACGGATCCCATAATCTTTCGTATGCAATTGAAACCACCGATCTGCAATAAAATTGAGACTAGTGGACCGATCGACTTGGCAAAAGGAGGAGAATCCTCTGTGACACTGTACGTTTTCTGTTGGTTATCCGGCTCTAAATCAAGTTGACTAATGGCTATGAACAGAGGCGAAAACATAGTCTACAGAGCTCGGGATAAAGAACCGGACTCGATTGATGGGAAGATCAGCACTTCATTGCTTGTCAACACAAAAGGCGTATCCAAAAGTCTGATCAAGGCCATCATCAAACCGACCGTCTCGCACATTGCAGATGCGCACAAAAAATTCGAGGTATGGAAATGAATAAAGCCTACCCCCAAAGGACAGAGCCAAATAGGTTATTGACTAATGTTTAGGCTCAGAATGATTTACCGTTTCCGGCGTCTCAGAATGTGGAGCAATATAGAAGTCGAAAGGAGAGTGCTATGAAAGTAGCAAGGAATGTGAGTTTTGGGTCGGCAGTTGCTTGTGGAAAGATTGCGATACTGCCATTCAAGAGTAAGTAGAGCAACTTGACGATCTATATTACCATTTATGGATCGCGGAATTTGGTGAATGGGATTCGCATACTAAAGTCGTCATTAGCTGTGTGGTATATGAGTGAAACAGCATCATACGGTGTACGAGCCCTTCAAGGCAGGGGTCGCCAAGACAAAATTCATGAACAAGACGAAGAAAAAGTGTTGGATAACAAAGATCCGTGGGGCTTCGAAGAAGGTAAAGTGGCACAGGAGCAAAAGGTGAAGAATATGTTTTTTGACCATGCTTGTCTTATCCCAGTGATCGATCCGGCTACTTTCGACAGAGACGATGCTTATACCCGGGCAATCACGGCTTCGAGAATGATGCCTGCGCACGGCACTCAGAATTCAAATGTGCCTCGCAGTCAAGATGGGGACGCCCCTGGCCCTGAAGATTCTGCTTAATCCACACTTAATAGCAAGAAGGATTAAAGAAGTGAACTAAATATAAGACGTGAAGTTGCCTGTTATTGGGGTCACAGCTGTCAATATATTGCCATAATATGAAGGTTGTCTAGAGCGAGCGTTTTCGATTGATATAGAATGACCTCATCTATCAATATCAATCTAATTAAGTTTTGATGGTTCTTTGTCGTTATCTTGGTAGTTATTTCCTCTTCCTTCCATCTTCTTTGGAAGGAGTTGTAGAGCCATAATGATGCGCTTAAATAGAGAAAAGCAAAGTACCATGGGCTTAGTCTAGTGAGGCCTTTGGACTTACCTGTATCCAGAGGAACTTCTTGATCTAGCAAGGCCCATCCACTCGTGCAGCTGAAGTAAACACGTGCTTTATTATAGTTTAAATTGATTATCTTACAATCCATGATTCACGAAGCGGATTCAAGACAGCCGACCCCCTGATTATAACACCAGAGGTATTGACTATATTGCGCTTTCAGCTTATGGAATAATTATATACGAGATGGGTGACAATCTTGATTTGGTCTCAAGCTAAGGTTCAGAAAACCGACCAGAGCTTATTACGAAATACCAGGTAGACATCTAATTAAAACATTGTCTGGTTGGAGCCTAAACTTAACATGTATTGAGGCCTAAAGGAATTTTAATTCAGAACCAATATATTTAGATGTACCTGATCAATACAATAATCTTGGCGGGAACCCTCCCCACCTTGATGAGTTATGCCCGGATCCAGATTCCTTTCGGGTGCTCGGACCTCAATGCGAATCCGAGTACGACCAGCCGCTCCGAATTTAACAAGAAACCCGAGTACGGTCGGCAGTTGTTCGGACAGCAAATTAAGGTTACTCCTACATCAGTTGACTATTGATTGCAAGGCTTCCATGTTCTCTACCCCCTGCACCATGGCACATGGCGGTCGGAACTTAATGCACTACTCCACTTTCCGACAATCTGCGACACTTTTTCTTTTATTACCTGAACTATTACCTGTTGAAGTCGATGTGGAGCTGAAAAATCAATTTTGCTACGAAAATCGTCTCCTTGATAGGAATTTTCTGGGTGGCTTTCCTTCGGATATCGTTCCCATGCTCGGGTTTCTTGAATCGAGTCACAGATCCTTTTGTATAAAAAGGGTCATAGAAGATCTTCCAGGTCCAAATAGGATCGCATTCACTATTACCTTTCGTCTGATATTCAATTTGCATCGCAATGAAGTATCTTCTATCCCTTCTGGGACTCCCCTTTGTCCTTGGTGTTAGCTATGCATCAGGCGCCGATTCCTTGATTGGCACATCGATCAGCACCTCCTTGGGGACGTTTGACTTGACCACTGGTGCCGCTTGTGCCTGCAAGAAGCTTTCAACCTTGTATCCAAGTCAGTTTATTTCTCCCAATTCATCAAGCTACGAGTCCCAGTCCACATATTATTGGGATATTCGCGCGGATCTGAGTCCAGCTTGTATTTTCTTGCCGGAAACCGACTATCAAGTTGCTACCGCTGTCAAGACCTTTGTCAAGTGTGATGCTCAGTTTGCCGTTCGAGGCGGTGGCCACATGAACTTCCCCGGATCTAATAATATCGATGGTGGTGTTCTATTGGCGTTCAATAATATGAAAAACTTCAAGATCAATGATGACACAATCGAAGTCCAACCTGGGATGACCTGGTACGATGTGTACTCGGCACTTGATCCATACGGTCGGGCAGCTATTGGTGGCCGTCTGAAGACAATCGGTGTTCCTGGACTCACGCTCATCGGCGGCGTGTCTTACTTTATTAATAAGTATGGCTTTGCGATGGACAATGTCGCTAGCTACGATGTGGTTCTCGGGAATGGGACCCAGGTAGTTGCAAACTCGACCTCCCATCCCGATCTCTTCTGGGCACTGAAGGGCGGTGCGAACAACTTCGGAATCATTACTAAATTTACCTTAAAGACCTATTCTATGCCACATATCAGTACCACCATCCAGGTCTTCAACGAAAGTTCAGCCTATGATTTCACTCGGGCTGTCTGTGACTGGGCCACTGGTGACAGCGAAAGCCCTGTTGCTGCTGGATCTGTGATTACTACCACCTACAACGCCACGACAAAGGTCTTGGAACCGATGATCCTAGGCGTCCAGGCCGGCATCAGTAATCCGCCGTCTGAATTTTCGAATTTTACTGCTATCGCGGGCGTCTCCAAGACACACAACGTTACCACATCTAAGCAGTGGGCCTCGGGTCTTGACTCACCTAAGCAAATGTTCCGGTATGGCCTTAATTATATCCTTTGTTCCTTCAAATACAGATACAAATAGAGGTTTGCAGCTAACGAAATCTCATTAACTACATAGTGTTATGTTTGCTCATCATTCAATGGTTCCTGACGCAGATGTTCTATACGGAATGATGCAGAAATGGAAAGAGTCAGTTGATGAAATCGCAGATGTTCAAGGGCTCTACCCGACATTCGTGATGAATATCTCACCTGCTAGCGCTGCCAGAGTGGCTATGAAGAATGGCGTGGGCAATACGTGGGGTCTTCAAGATGAGCCACTGATCTGTAAGGCAATTTACTCCACTGATGTATTTCCGATTGATGCTAAAATTTGATTTTCAGGGTGGCAACTCAGCACCGGCTGGGATCTTGAGCAGGATGATCTTCGTGTTGAGGGTTGGGCTCGCCAGTTAACAGAGCACCTGCATGGATTGAACAAGAAGAAGGGGCTTGCTAGAGAGTTTGTTTACATGGGGGATGCAGGCGAGTGGCAAGATCCGTTTTCTGGCTTTGCTCCTGAGAATGTTGAACGAATGAGAGAGATTAGAAATGCCTACGACCCCAAAAAGACATTCTCTAAATTGAACTGGGGCGGTTTCAAGCTTGGCTACTAACTAAATACGCTCAAGCTTGAGATTCAGAGGCTTTCAGACTGGCAGTCTATAGATACTTGATTTCGGCGATTGTTCAAAAAGCCCGGTATACAGGCACCTAGGATTATGTTGGGGGTGGGCTCAATCTTGCTGTTGAGATAGTGCTTTCTCCTCTCTCAGAATCTCTTCTAAGTATATTAGATGAAAATACTGATTTTTCAATCACAAATGCTTAGCTTGTACCGATGGTGCATAAGGAGGCCCGGTTCTGGAACCTTTATCTATGGGATCGAAATATAGGACCTCAAATTATTAGTATCTCAAGACTTGCCAATTGAAAGCCAAATTGTAGCTCTTAAATAAACCTTTTCAGGGGCTGAGTGTCGCACCCTGCTATACCTCATGCAAATGTTGTGTGGATCATGTGGGTAACATTAAATCTATTGAAAAGCCTTGTTTAAGGCGCAATATTTTAAGGCGCATTGGACTAGAACTCGTGGTTTTCGTTCTGTTAATAGGTGGTGTCCGCATCGGCGAAGGGCCCACCGGAGCCTGAGTGAGGGCTTTTCCTCTCGGCTGCCAGTGCCAAGGAAGCTGACGTAATCATAACTTTCTCCGGCGGGTATTGGTACCTCAGACAATCGCGAACTGGCGCTAACCGCCTCGCCACAGTATCAGTTCAGAGGCATTTCTTTTTCTAAAAGGTCCCGTACTTACGAGTTTTGGATGCTATCTTCATTATGACAGAGCGCTCAAAGGCCCGACGAGCGCACACCAAATCTAGGAATGGCTGCCAGCGTTGCAAAGCGCGTAAAGTTAAGGTAGGCGCGCCTCCTTCCATTGTAACCTGGGCCCTGCGAGCTTCCAGAGACATGATTAACCTTGCCTACATATTTTCAGTGCGATGAGACAAGGCCACACTGCCGCAACTGTGTCAAACATGCGATTGATTGCTTCTATTCCCAAAAGAGAATCAACGAATCGAGTACAACCGCTACATCCATTCCACCATTGGCGGATACTCTGTCAACAGATGGCTCGCCCTCTGTCCCGACAGACCTTACTGATCCAAAGATCAGAATTATCCCTAGGCCATACACCGACTTGGAAATTGGAATGGCAGACTTGGAGCTCCTCCATCATTACTCAACATCCGCATGCTATACGATTTCCCGCCTCCCAGTGCTCCAAGCAGTATGGCGAATCAAAGTTCCCCAGTTTGGATTCTCTTTTCCATTTGTCATGCGTGGTATTTTGGCATTTTCAGCTCTGCATCTGGCTCACTTGAGGCCGGAGCGTCGTGCACATTATGTTGCGCAAGCCGAGTTTCATCATACCCAAGCTCTGCAGGCGGTCTCTGCTATTATCCCAAATATGAGTGAGGAAAATGCCCCAGCAATATATCTGATATCATCCATCACATGTCTGATATCTTGTGCTAAGCCACGACTACCGCATGAACTGTGGATAATCGGTGACAGGGATATCGAGTGGTTGTCCTTATTTCGTGGAACCGCCTTCATTATATCCGCAGCAGAAGAGACTATCAAGTTTGGAGTTCTCTCTCCAATCTTCAAGAATGGGAACATGCGAAGCCGCGCGCGGAATGGCAGATCGACAACAAAGTTGACTTATCTGAACGAATTGCGACAGTTTGTTACCGATCACGTGCTGGATACGGGAGAAATCCATTGCTATCTTGACGCCATTGATGATATGGGCAAGTCATTTGCCACCGTGGAAGAAGAGGGATCTCAAAATTGCCAGCCGGCTGATGTGTTTGTCTGGCCTTTGCAAATATCTAATGAATATCTGAATCTTCTTCGCCAACGGAAGCCTGAAGCCTTAGTTATCTTCTCATATTTTTGCGTCATCACTCATCATCTTGAATGGGCGTGGTGGATGCAAGGCTTGAGCATTCACATGATACGAAGCATCTATCATTGTCTAGATGACCAGTATCGCTGCTGGATACAGTGGCCGATGGAGCAACTAGGCTGGGCCCCCTAAAGTGCATGTTCGGGACCAAAAGGGGTGGAACGTGGAACAAAAATCAGAGAATAGGATTACTTGATCCGTGAGGCGTCTTCTCATTTGAGTCATAATGGTTGTCGATTTCCAAGGCTGGAGAAGAGTGAGATGCATGAGGTCGGTGACTGAACCAATCAGTGTTCACAGTCGTTCCGGCGACTGGAATCCCCTTGATGGACTCAAAGCGGGCACTACCTTGATCGGCATCCAAAAATGCTTTGTTCGTGGCTGACTAGATTTGTTGCAACGCAGCCGCGGCTTGGATCGGTCCGTGAACTATGACCAGCAGTACCAAAGCAGGCCGGGGCTATTTCGTGGTTTATGAATCGGCGGATAATATCGCATTGACCAGAAGATTTAGAGCCAATGATGAATACGGATGGCCTCAATATCCAAGGTTTCTCTATTGCAATTAGAATCCGAGGATAGGTGAAATGGAAGCAGAAATTCTGGCGATGGTGGTGGTCATGGCGCAGCGCGGCGCCCGAGCTACATGAGCCTGTATGCCTAAACATCAAAACTCCGTTTTCCCTGCATTACATTAACCGTTTCTTATACAATTCCAATATCGAATTATTTCTATAGGTTTGAGGCCACTTGCACCGTTTCAAGCGTTGCTAACCCCTTATCTCCAATAATGGGGTCCCCAACAATAGGGTCACAGAGATGTTCTTCAGTTCTCGCAAGGATCTCCTCAGTCACTCAACTCTGATATTCGTCGGGGAGATTCATGCTAAGTCGGCAGTCAAATATAATTGAAATAATGATTTTCTTTATTCCCCGAAGAAGAAGAGGATTATTGCTTTGGGAAAGATTCGAACCTACTGGTATCACATCGCATCGCTTGCTTATGTCTATCTGGCCAATGCCAGGCTCAATAACTTATAAATCCCCAATACTCTCCTCACCAAGTCCAGAGATTTCAAAGCAGGTTGGAGTCACAATTCCCATGGCCCTTGGGTATTACTTCTATTTTTGCGCTTTGCTCACCAGCCTCTTCCACTTAGACACTGATGGGATGCAGAGGCTGCGATGCAGTTGAGAAATAGGCAACAAAACTAGCCTGTGGGCAAATCAGCACTAGGCGTTCCACCCCGTACAGCTTTTTAGGGAACCTCTTCGGCTACTATATTAATTACTGATAGAAAAAGCTATAGGCCCGAACTATTTAGGAATACTTGCGATCGGTTATTGCTATATACTCTCCGCAAAGGCTTATTAAACGATAAGGGGATACTACTATTATCCGTTATGCGCATTTTTTTGCTAATTTTACGGGCCAAAATTCTTACAATCCTTTAGAAAAGGCTTAAATAATCGAGAAAGGGGAAGCGGACGAACGAACAGTTTGTTAGTCTGCGAAACTTGTTAAGTAGGATAGACAGGTATCGTGAAAGATGATAGGAACAAGAAAAGGGTTTTTTTTTGTATTTGTGTTAGAGAATAACTACTTGTACAGGGTAGAAAGCCTGTCGACTAGGTAGGAAGATAAACGTTAAGTAAGGAAAGCAAAACACTATTTCATGCTATCATAGATCTCTCTATAATCCTTAATTTATACAGTAGTGTTTCAAAAGTCTGTTCCGATCCCCACTTTCCATCACCACACCAACCACCTACACATAATTTTTCTTTCCTTCTACAACCACCTAGATGGCATCTAGGTACCCCGATTTTGGTAGTAATCGTAAGAAAAATAGTGAGTTAACCCCTGCTCAACGTCAAGCTATTGTATATGCTATTAGAAAGGGTGATATTTCACGTGCTCAGCTAGCACAGGATTTTAGGTGTTCGGTCAAGACTATATATAACATCTTTAAACACTACTAAAACGATGTCATATGATATTGCAACATGAAGCTATTCCCAACTTCACGCCTCAGGTGTCAGTTCGACACCTTATCGGTCAGGCTTCGTTATGACAGCCCCACTTCTCCCTAACATAGATGTACGACCTACAAGACCCTGAGGGTTCGGTGCCCTTCCATTAGGGATTCGTGAACCCCTCTTCTTTGTAGCCTTTGCTTACCTCTGTTACATAGGGGCCACGTTAGACCGTATATTATAATGTGATCTATCGTCTTTGCTTAGTCATGTAAGAAAAGTGTTGAAGCTTATACATAAATTGAGGATTATAGAGAGAGCTATGATAGTAAGAAATAGTGTTTTGCTTTCCTTACTTGACGTTTATCTTCCTACCTAGTCGACAGGCTTTCTACCCTGTACAAGTAGTTATTCTCTAACAAACGACTACACCTTCGATTCAGCACCTCGTTTAGGTAGGCCTAGGAAGCTTAGTAGGCGTGATTGCACCTTCCTATATTTACAAGCTCGCCGGTATCCTTTTTAGAACTATAAATAGCTATCAGCCTACTTACCTAGTTATCCTTCTCGGTTAATAATTTATCGAGTTCTTCGCTAATTCCGACGTGCTAAACGTTTATCAAAAAGTAAGATTCCTTTAGGGCTTCAGACTGCTTTAAAACGACAATATTTTGTGATAAAATAGCAGAAAATAACCGATACTTCAAGGGTTGAAAAATAGATATTTTTAGATAAGTATTCTATTCAAAGAACGTCGAATTCTAGGCCTAAATAGTGCTAGAGATTTGCTTCTAAGGCCTATAGGCGTAATCTTATTAATAAGTAGGTTTATATTAAAGATATTTCACAGATAGTTTAGGGTACTATCTAGCTTAGTAGTCGATCGAAGCTTATTATAATAGAACGGGAGGAATCTAATAGTCGGAAGCGAGGTTATATAATAAAATCCTATCTAGAAGCGTTAGAAGAAGATCTTCTACCTATATATAGGCCGGGGATTATATTCTAACAAGATAATACTAGGATTTATATTATAAAGCTAATATAAGAGTAGTTTAAAAGACATAGAATTTAGGTAGAAGATTAGCCTCCGTACTTACCTAATTTAAACCCGATAGAACCTATTTAGAGATAGTTAAAACTAAAGCTTTTTAAGTTACATTCTAAGCTTATAGATATAGGAAAGTCTAAGGAGGATTAGCGCTATTTTAGAAGATATATTATAGAAGCTTAGGAAGCATTAGAATAGAGGAAGATAGATAGGTTGATTTTAGGGATAGGAAGAAGACTAGAAGCTATACGGAGGGTTAAGGGTTATTATACAAAATATTAGTGGTTGCTAAGCGAGTCTAACCCTACCTGAATTTAAAACTTTTTACTAGAACTATATATCTAGAAAGATGGTAGTGTAGTGTGTAGTGTAATAGATATATATATTTGATGTTAGGGTAGTGAAAGTAGGGATCGGAACAGACTTTTGAAACGCTATGTATATTAGGGAGAAGTAGGGCTATTACAACGAAGCCTAACCGATAAGGTGTCGAACTAATACCTAAGGTATAGAAGGAATAGCCTTATATTATAATATTATATAATAAATTATCCTCTCTCTATAACTACTTACCCCTAAGCGGGAGGTTTAAGTAGTTAGTAGGCATATATAGTATAAATAGACTAGATCTTAAGCCTATAATCCTTATATAAGTAAAATAAATAAAGAGGATTATACTATAGAAGTAAGAGTGTTATATGATATTGCAATATGAAGCTATTCCCAACTTCACGCCTCAGGTGTTAGTTCGACACCTTATCAGTCAGGCTTCGTTATAATAGCCCTACTTCTCCCTAACATAGATATATAACCTACAAAGCCCTAAGGGTTCGGTGCCCTTCCATTAGGGATTCGTGAACCCCCCTTCCCTATAGTCTTTGCTTACCTCTGTTATATATAGGCCACGTTAGACCGTATGTTGTAATATGATCCATCGCCTTTGCCTTGGTCATATAGGAAGGTGTTGAAGTCTGTACATAAATTGAGGATTATAGAGAGATCCATGATAGCAAAAACAGTGTTTTGCTTTCCTTACTTGACGCTTATCTTCCTACCTAGTCGATAGGCTTTCTACCCTGTACAAGTAGTTATTCTCTAAGATTTAGCTATATTATACCTTCTAATCCCTAAGGGCTTTCCTTTCCTATTATTAAATATACCTTTTAGTTAGCCTAATATATAGATACCTTTAAATTTAGGCCTTTATTAGGGATTAAAGTAAGGGAAATACGTAAAAATATAAGCGAAATCTATATATTTTATATAGTCACAAGACATTACTGTATTTGATTTTTCTAGAGCCTACAGAAAGCCTATAGGCCTACTATAGGCCTAAAGGCTGAGCCTACAGCCTACCGTGGGCCTAAGGACCGGGCCTAAAGCCTAACCCATTCGTAGGTTGGGTTAGGTTAGGCTCAGGCCCGTGTAGGCTTTGGCGATGTCTACCCTTGCCATATGTAGTCGTTTGACAGATGATCAGATGTACTTGATCATTTTTCCGAGACTCAACATTAAATATGCGAAACAAACCAACTATTGACAAAGTTTCACCCGTTTCAGTCAAGTGCCCGCTTATAGCGCCACGAAAAACACACAACCGAAGGCCCAAACATCATGCCCGCAATCCTGTTTTCTCAAACGGGCCTGTCTATTCGGCATTCGCTGGCAGTAGGACCAGAGATACAATGACTTGTTCAGGGCCGGAGAAAAGACCGGTAGATTGCTGCACATGTAAGTGAGGGCCGTGGTGCCCCGTAAATTGCAAAATAAAATTGCATTATGCATGGGTTGATGCATCTATGCACTATGCGGGCATTCCGAATTTCAGCCACGCCGGGCTCTTTCCGGGAATTTGTCCGGGGATTTGCCCCGCATATCGGAAACTACTCTATTGGCGGTCAATGCGGGGTTTGAATCTGCGAGTTGATTCAGGAACAGGAATTTCGTCATACATAATGAGGAAGACTGATCTGCTCATAGCCAACCAATTTCGACCACTATTTCTTGCCCCTCGCAAATGCGATGAAGGTCCGTTGATTGAGGTCTGAGATACAACTTCCGAGGAACTTACTGGCTAATCTTTTCCGTCTTATTCAATTAGTCTATTAATTTTCTTAGTGCTACTGTGGCCTTTCTCGTCCACATATCCAATGCGAGCGTGACTGATATCCCTGGCATCTATGGGCCTCTTCCGGTGGTAGCTGTCTCCAATGTGAACAACATAAATCTATATCTGAAGAAGCACCCAGGTGACTTTGTCCATCCTGGACTTTGGCACACGCACGAGGACCTGGAACGCGTTCGCAATAATGTCTTGTCCAACACCGAGCCTTGGGCATCAACATACGCCAACTTCAGCGTTGACAGTTACTCCCTGGCAAATTACACCATGAAAGGCCCCTACTCTGTCTTGTCTCGGGGGAAGATCAGCAACTACACGTCCTTTGCCAGTGACGCACGTGCTGCGTGGCAAAATGCGCTTATGTGGTATATCACTAAAGATCAAAGCCATTGGAACCGCAGCACTACCATTCTAGACGCTTGGGGCTCGAAACTTACCGACATCATTGGTACTGATCGGTCTCTCATGATTGGTCTGGACGGAGACCTGTTCGTTAATGCCGCTGAAATTATGCGCTGGGAGGGAAATTGGACCGAGTCTGGCATGTCTTGGAAAGGAGGATCCGGCTTCAGTAATCAGCTCTATTGGCTCTTCTCTCGACAGGGGGCAGTCATTGGGCAGGCGAATTACGGTATGGTCAGCATCAAATCGTTGTTGAGCTTTGCAGTCTACTTGGATGATGTCAACCTTTATAACTATGCCATGAACGCTTTCATCAACGACCCGTGCAGCAGTGTTTTTGCCATGTACAACCCGTCTACTGGACAATCTGTGGAGTCCGGTCGGGACCAAGGTACTTTATCGTTTATTCCGCATTCCTTTATGTGAAAAATTACAGTTGGACTAATTTTTGAATCGAAATCAGGCCACACACAATCGGGCATTGCATGGACCGCTTACGGAGCCCGAGTCGCACAAAGCCAGGGGACTGATCTCTATGGGCTTGGGGATAATCGGTTGTTGAAAGCAGCTGAGTATACCGCCAAGTTTAACTTGAATGAGACGGTGACCTATGATCCAGCATGGCATAGGTGTGAAGCCGTCATGGTCGGCGCGCCTTGGCCTACCATCGCCGAATACAATAAACAGATCTCCCATACGCTACCAATCTGGGACATCATTTACTACCAGTATGTTGTGAAGCGGAAGTTGAAAGGGCCGTGGACAACTGAGGCCCATAAGAAGGAAGGGAATGAGGTGGCGGTAACTTCGAACGACCATCCAAGTTGGGGTGGCCTTATTTGGGCTTATTAGGTGGCTTTGCTTTCGACTATTCAGATCTCCTCCCTTGAAAGGAAGATATATGACTAGATCTAGAGTTTCTCTCGCGGTAGTTTTGAGTTGCCAGGCAGTTCTTTCACCTGTATTACGAGCCCGGCATCCTTGATAATGAGCTGCTTCTCTTCATGTGCAAGTAAGATAATCCAGTGGGTTCTTGAGGTCCTTTATTGTCTACCTATTCTATCCAAACTCGTTGCCTTCGGGGACTTGAAATACCATCCGCCCATTCTTTCATATATTAAAACTTCACCTTCCGAGACGGGCTTAGTCTCAAATCCCGCGAAGAAGCTCCAAGTTTAAAGGTCATATTTCCCGGGAGCCACGGCCCACTCCTGAGCGACAACATCCTAATGCAATAGGTCTCGGCTTCTCAAGTGAAGGTGACACTCGAGGACTGACCGACCTCAGGAAGATTCTTTCAAATCCACGCAGCAGACGAACAGGCTGATCAGCTGCATCTGGGTAAGAGACATACAGCTATTATTATGGCGAGGAAGCTAGACTGTTCAGCTTTAGCCTGGGTCAATGACGAGCTTTAGAGAAATTAGGGTAATTACCTTGTAGCAAGGGGCCTCCCTAGCGAAGAATAGCTGAGGACCGATAATATTTCTAGCGCAATAGCACGTGAACAAAACTGTGATCACAGTAGCTTATTTTGTGAAGCCTCCTATGTTAGAGCTGACTAGAGCTATTGAGAGAGGCATGCTACTAGAGAAGACTTGCATAAGGCAAAGTCCAGCGTATTTCGCTCTAATAGTGTCGTAAGTATAGATAACAACGGCGCTAGTAATGCTAGAGCGCTACGAAAACTCAAAATTCGTTATCTCTATTAGTGCCTTACACCGCCCCCCTAACCCTATCCTATAGTACCAGGTGCAGTGAGGCTTACTATAAGGCGGTTAGAGTCTTTTAGTATAGGCAGTATTTTGACGCTAGACCTTACTGTAATTAATTTTCTAAGGCTGACTGCAAGCCTTTTTCCTCGTACGATTAAGCTTAAATTTTAGGATATTTTAATTCGGAGTATCTACTATCTCCCGTTTTAATTTAAGCTTCTATAGTTATAATTTACTCTTATACGATCTAACCCTAATTTACTTAAAATAGCGGAGATTTTTTAATAGGGTACGACCGGGAGGACCTATATCCTTAGTCAGCTCTAAAGTTAGATCTTCTTCTCTAGACCTATATATAGGGTTATCTCGTACGACTAGTTTATATAAAGACTTTATTAACCTTTCTTTTATTTTTTAATTTAGAGATATTAGAGCTTATTTTTAATTAGCCTATATTAAGGGTTTTATTTATAGTTAACCTTTTTTTATTCGTACGAATTACTAGAATAAAGAAGACTAGCGATTAGATCTATTTAAAACTCCGCGACTTTAGAATTTTTATTCGCTCTAGATATTATCCTTAGAGAGTTAAAGAAAAAGTCGTTACTACGTTCCTCTTTATCGTATAAGAGGCCCCTTAGTAGATCTTAGCTTCTTTTCTACTATTTCCTATATTTAAGAACTTCCTAACCCTCTTATCTCTACCTCCGACTCTATCTTATACTTACTCTTACTCGATACTTACTCTTCTCCTCTAATCCTATCTTTCTCTATTATAGTAGGTACTATACCCGTAGGCGCTCTTATACGAGTTAGGTATAAGCTAGATAAAAGCCGCCTATAGAGTTAAGCCCTTTTCTATATCGTACGTCTAGTATATATAGTAGAGGGTAGCGCTAAATATAAGATCGTATAACTAACTCGTACTAGTAATTAGGCTTTACTATAACTCTACTATACTCTATAGTAATAAGAGGTCTAGACCTAGCTATCGTATAAGTTTCTAGTAAAGATAAAGCTAAATAGGAATCTTATTATTACTACTAAGTAGGTTAGTTCTTACTCCTCTTCTTTCGTACGTACTTTCTAACTAGAATTCTTATTCTAGATCTAGGCCGGACGACCCTTATACGTAAATACCCTCCTAATAATCTCGCGCGGTTAGCGATTTACTAGACTCTATAGGAATTCCCGATATAGGTATCCCTTCTATAGTATCGTACGACTCCTAGGTATATAGTAAGAATATTATACAAACTATAAATAGAAGGAATAAGCGTCTTAGTATTTATTTAGAGATATAGTAGAGCTACGATTTATTCCTCCTACTAGTATCTCTCTACCTACTATAAATTAGGTAGAAGTATTATAAGATAGTAATAGCTCGGATAGCGAACTACCTATATAGCGATATAGTTAGGTTAGAGAAGAAGTATAAGGGTTTATTATTATTCGTATAATAACTTTTAATTCTTATAAGATAGTTAGATTAGGAATTTAGGAATTCAAGGCGGAGATAAGTATAATAATAAGTATACTAGATTTACTCCTAATATATTATATATATAATAAGATATTATTAAATATTAGTAGAATTCTATATAACCTTTATAGAGATTAAAACTCTTCTTCTATCGTACGATCTATATATTTAGAATATATAAGGGTAGGTAAGTAAGAAGGAAATAAGAGAGAGCGTAGGTATTAATATCGGGAAGTAATATTAATACCTATATAGATATTTTACTCGTATAATTAAATTTCCCTTAATTAATATTATACCTATATAACTACCCTATAATCGTATAAAGGAATTTAGACTCTACTTCTCTTTTATAATTAGGTTTATATAATTAGTAAGGTATTATAGATTCTAAATTATATTCTAAATTCTTTAAAGTAATATACTCCTAACCTAACTCCGTATCCTCTATAGTAAAAAAAAAATAATCTAAAAGTAAATTAGTATTATATAAGAGAAAGGAAAATCTTCCTTCTTACTTTAGAATACTACGTATTACTAGAATATATTAGCAACTATTATTTAATAAGTAGGAAGAGGGAAGAATATACTATTTAGGCCTTATCCTAAGGATTAAAGAATTCCTTCTCGACGTCCGAATTATCCTAGACCTTAATAACCGTAGTACTTAGACGATTATCGATTAGTATAATTAGGTTTATCAAGGTTCTACTAGTAAGCTAGGGTAAACTAGGTAGAATAGGAAGCTAATAGTAGAACGTATAAATATAGTTATAAGGTTAACCGTCTTATACGGAGTAATAAGAACTAAAGTTAGGCTATTTATAATTCGTATAACTACTACTAAAGTAGCCTAGGAGTCGTACGTAGTAAGGAAAGGGGTATAGAAGGGGATTTATATCCGTATAACGATCGTATATAGCTACTAGCTCTTAGCCGCGGGACTAGATTAGTAAGGTATTAATATATAATAGCCGCTATAAAGCGATTTATTATATATTTAGAAAACCTTATATATACTATATATTATACCTAGGGAGGTTTAATACCGTACGTTACTTACGAGAGTAAGTAATCGTATCAAGGTTAAGCCTACTAAGAGGAAGGGGATAAGAGTTTCCTTATTAATCGTATTCGTACTATCGTACGAGCTAATTAAGCTATCGAACCTACTCGAAGGTAGTCCTACGAGGAGGAGGGCTAGGATAAGTAACCCTAAAGAGGCAAGGAGGGAGGCGGGGATAGTTATATAGCAGCAGACTATCGTACGAGCTACGAATTAGTATCTTATTTATTAGATATAGCACTTACTCTTCTATCTTAGAGCTTCTACGGATAAGATATATACGACCTAAATCGTACGAGTACTCTTAGGGGAAGATCTATTAGGTTTCTAGAAAGGGAAACGTACAATATAAAGGTAATAGTTAGTTAGAATAAAGAGAGAGATTAAGGTCGATAGGCTAATAAGATACAGAGAGGTAATATAAGAACTATTAGGGGTTCGAGGAAGGGAAGGTTAAAGAGGGAAGAAGGAGGTATAGGAGATATAGAATTTATAGACGTGATTATACGATTAGAATCCTATAGATTTCTATAGAAGAGTATAGGATATTAAATAATCTAAGCGCGGTAGCCTAGAGAAGATTAGATAACGTATATAAAATAGACGACTAAGTTAGCACGGAATCCTCTAGACGCACGGTAGCCTTAGGAACGTTATACGATATATATAAAATAGACGACTAAGTTATTATAGAAAGCTCCGGACGCGCGGAAGCCTTTAGAACGTTACACGATATATATAAAATAGACGACTAAGTTATTATAGAAGGCTCCGGACCCGCGGTAGCCTTAGGAACGTTACACGATATATATAAAATAGACGACTAAGTTATTATAGAAGGCTCCGGATACGCGGTAGCCTTCGGAACGTTACACGATATATATAAAATAGAACTAAGTTAGTATAGAAGCTAATAGACGCGCGGTAGCCTTAGGAACGTCGTACGATATATACTGCTAGGAACTAGGTTGCTATAAACCTACATAATACCCTTTCTAATACTAGATCTTTTATACGAGTAATCTTTATAATAGCAACGAGCGTCTAATCGGTAATACCGCTAAGAACTAGGTTACTATAAACCCGTATAATACCCTCTCGTACGAGTAATCTTTATAATAGTAACGAGCGTCTAATCGGTAATACCGCTAAGAACTAGGTTACTATAAACCCGTATAATACTCTTTCGTACGAGTAATCTTTACACTAGTAATAAGCGTCTAATCGGTAATATCGCTAAGAACTAGGTTGCTATAAACCCGTATAATACCCTTTCCTATAAGTAATCTTTATACTAGCAACGAGCGTCTAATCGGTAATACCGCTAAGAACTAGGTTACTATAAACCCGTATAATACCCTTTCGTACGAGTAATCTTTATAATAGTAACAAGCGTCTAATCGGTAATACCGCTAAGAACGAGGTTGCTATAAACCCGCATAATACCCTCTTATACGAGTAATCTTTATAATAGCAACGAGCGTCTAATTAGTAATACCGCTAAGAATTAGGTTGCTATAAACCTATATAATACCCTCTCGTATAAGTAATCTTTATAATAGTAATAAGCGTCTAATCGGTAATACTG